TCTCTGGAAGGTCAATTCCCTCACAGACCAGTTTCGTCCCCATAAACACACGGTATCCTCCCGCTTGGCACCCATGGATCCCCTCCACCTCCTTCCTAGTCTCTAGATCCCCGTGCACCCATATTTTGGGGTGCTCTACAGTCCTTGCAAAGACCTCCCCTCCCGCTCTCTCGCCTATCACCATGGCCACCGTCTGACGAGCCACCTCATATACCTTCGAGGACTCCACCTTCTCAAATGTCTTTCGCACATTCTGCAGTGGCGGCAGCGTCATCAAGGTCCACACGTATGCCTCCTCGTTCATGTGTAGACACTTCAACACCAGGCGCATGCCCGTGGTCCCGGCTGTCGCAGTCATTAGTACCACCTTCCAGGACAGTAAAACGGCACCAGCGGGTTCCCCTTCAAGGCCGCCCTTCTAAACTCATTTTCCTCGTACATATTGTGACACGCGTCAATCACCAGCATGCCCAAGCAAGTTCCCGTGATGGAAGACCCCACTTGGCATGGCGTCGTCGCGGGTCATGTTTCCCTAAATCGTCAAACGTACCCACATACACATGCTCAAAAGCGAAGTTCCCGTGCGTTTCACAGCTCCTTCTTAATCCTAGATTCGCATGCTTCCTTTACACCTGCTCGTCCCACTTCCCATTTCAAATAACAAGTCCTACCACATGGCGTGTCTAGCCTTCCAATAAGAAGTTTTATATCCAAACGTACAGAAGGGCATTATCTATAAGAAGTTCCATATCCAAATGTAGAAAACGGCATTATCTATCGAGCCTAGTTCAATACCGCGACGCAGAATAGTCACGAAGAGACCAAATAAAAATCAATGCGAACCCCTCCCTAGAGTTCACTAAAATAAAGTTTTACAGCATGTAAAAACTGATCTGGGAATGTAGCCTTAAAACGCGAAGTTTAGCTGACCGTTCCACATATCAAGCTACCCGTTTAATGTAAGGATTCCTCGAGCGAATCTTTGCGCCAAACGCGTAGAAAACGAATGGTATTGGTATCATTGCAAGCGCAATAAATGCAACTGTTGAAGCGCCCCATTGCACTCCAAGGTTTCGAAAAAGAGAGTGACCAAACAGTGGGAAAACCCCACCTAAGATTGACCTCAAGAAGGTATTAGCTGCGATAGCAGATGCCGCATACTTCGTGAATGAGTCCACCAGATAGTTGAGGCAGCCTTGAAAGATGACGAAAAATCCCACGGACATTACCACAATACCAATGCATGGGGCAATCCAATGGATTTTTGCTTGTGAAGTCCATGCAAATATGAACAGGCCCGCAGGCATCAGCCATCCAAACATCATCATAGGCGGGAACCGTTCCTCTGGGATCGGAACCCCCTTGTGTTTCACGAGCAGTCTTTTATATCTTAAACCTCCCCAAACGTTGACCGCACCACCAAATATCACGCCAATCATCATGCCAAGAGTGGGAAGGTTACTTACAGTACCCTCCCAGCCTCTCGTCATCTCAAAGGTCAATGGCAACGAAGTTACGATCAGATACAAAATGCCGAACACATAACTAGCGAACAGTGCCAGGGCGAATACAATAGGAGTGGCAAGCATCGCAAACGGCCTCACAAGGTGAATGCTGATGTATTCCTTCAAGTCTAAATCCCACTCTTCGTGTTGGGCATGATACGCCCAATTACCAGATTTTTTACGAATCTGCTTGGCTCTTTTGGCCAGCACAACCCCTGCATACGTCTCAGAAACTGTCAGTGTGGCAACTATCAAAAGAATACCCTGCACGATGCAAATGAACCACAATGGCCATCGCCATTCGTCTGTGCCAACTTGATAGGTCAGCAAAGCAGATATGACCGGTCCCACCGTAACGCCACACACAACAAACATCGCATAAAATACCAATGCAACCGACCTTACACTGATCGGCCAGATATCCGCAAGTACCCCACCAGACGATACAACCGGGCTGCCCCCAAAAAACCCTGCAAAAAACCTCGTAACAAGAAGACTTGGATAGTCGCTACATCGTGCAGAGCCTAATGTGAACGCCATTGATATAAACAGAGGGACAAACACACCTATTTTCCTTCCGTACATCTCTGACAATGGCGCGAAGAACATGGGTCCAAAAGCAACGCCGATGACATACAGTGACGTACATAACAAAGCCTTTTCTGTGCTGACATGAAAGTAGTTAGCTAGATGTACAACTGAAGGTGCAGTGGTTGTGGAATTGAATTGGGCTGCTAAGGTAGCAATACCATAAATCATGGTGTGATATATTTTCTTCTTCACTCTCCAGTTGATGGGCTTCTCTGGATCATTGTCTGTAAATTCAACCAAATAGCCACTCTGCGCTTCGGGATCGGAGCTTGTACCTGGACCTATACTTTCGGTCTTCTCTGCCTCATCCTCCAAGTCCCTCTCTGGCGTAGTAATGCCGTCACTTGTAGGTTCAGCGAAGTGTTGAGATAGGTGCCAGGAAGTGTCTGTAACTGGTCCACCGGTTTGCATCCTTCATTTGATTTGCCAAGACTTAATAAACTCAGAGATTAACATCTTAAAAGTCTTGGCGAAAGAAATCGGAAGACGCGGCGTATTTATCCATTTGTCATAATTTTTCTTCAATATTACGTCCTACGCAAAATTGATGTGAAAACTGACCGGAGAAGGTCGGAGAAAGTCGGAGATAATATCTAAACTCCAAGCCCCCGTTTACACAGAATGCAGTGTTCTGACGGTCTTGACTATGCTACTACGGTCAGCTGTTACTGTTGGTGCTCCGAAAGAGCAACCGGTCTGTGCTTTATTGTGGTGAGCTGGAATATTGAGGGCTTGCTTAAAGACTGTTGAAAGGAAAATAGGTTTGTAACAATTTATTTAGGATCATCGGTAGTAGCTCCTTAATTAGGTGTCTGTTCAGTCCCAACGAACTACTGACCTGTAAATCCGGAGTCCCAATATTTTGGTGAGTAAAATCCAATATATCCATGATCTGTAACTTTTTTTTCTTGGCATAACTATACCAGAAACCTTGATCTTTCTCTTCCTGTTAGTGAACGAATCATCATAAAGTCGCAGGGCACAACAACCTTTTAAAAGAACTTCCCGGACCACCTTCCGTTGAAAACGGTGTAATCCGATAATTCCTCTTGGTCTTCATCCTACTCACTTTTCTTTCAGAACGTCCTTTGAGTCGTTTCTTAGCCCAAATACGTTGTGTCGTAGGCTAAACTTTCGAATATATAGCTGTTGGGATGAGCACCCTATTGGAACATATTCAAACAATTTTTTTTTGTGCGAATTAGCATACTTGGACGCTTCGAGTCAATCAACACTTGCCCCACAAGTTTTCACTTTCGCAGGAATGGAGCACGTAGAATGCTCACAAGACTCGAAGCTGGCAAGGAATCTGCGAGATGAAAAATATCTGCCACGAGAGTTGTACTCATAATATTCGCGATACCCACGCAGTACCAAGCCAGAAGATAAGCACAACGGGTAGCGAATCAACAAAGTCACATGCTTTGGAACACAGTTTGTCATACCAGCTTTTGACCGGCTTCTAGCCTGAAGCACCACTTATTTCCAGTTCCTAGTTGCCAACCCCTCTTCCTTTGGCATTTCCATGGTACAGTGAGATTGGCACATATCCAGATATGATCATGGCTGCTATCAAGCCGTTGGCGCATCAAGAGAGTGTGCCAAAATTAAGGCTGAATCGACTGACCGACCTTTATAACAATCTGCCAGTTGTTTATGCGCTTTGTATATAAGACCCACGACGATCCAAACAGTTAAATTGATCCACAATAAGAAAACTGTCACTTACGATCCAGAAAGTCGACCGAACGATTTAACATTTTATTCCAAGAATCTTGTTGAAGTCTAGTGTATTTAAGCATTGTCCAAATTCTCACATAGCTGAAACCTTCGTCACCGCTATTATTACCACTTTTAGGATTCCCTGTCCGGATTTCAATGTTCAGCCTTTGCATCGTCTGATCCCGTGTCCTGCTCTTCGAACCCAGCACGTATCGGAGCCTTATGGTTGACATCTGGTCTGCATCCTGGATTTCCGAAATATTCTTTTACCCTGGCTCTTAAGCTATGTTGGCTGCTTATAACTTAAACCTAGCACGCATGAGTCTCAAAGGCACAGGAGGATGTCTTGGCAAAAAAGCTCGGCTAGGGTTTTATCGTTAGTTTAGAAAGGAGATCGTGTTCTGTGTCGCCTTGTGAAAGCTGTTGATCCAGAAAGTGCACTGGGTTTAGTTCAGTATATAACCTGCTTCGTAACCCTCATGGTCATTTTGACTTAAAACCGAGATACTTAAACGAATGAGTCCCGCGTTAATACTTCTTTTTATTGAATTTGCTCGCGATAGGTGGTTTCATATCGACGGGTAATAAGATCTGCGTCTAATCACTACTTCTTATGCCCGGCCATTGCAATGGCGGCTGTAAAAACTTTTAGCAAGGACTGAAACTCTTTTAGTCCAACCTTCACTCTTACGAAGTTCGGATGGGCCCCAAACTGAAGCACATCTCCAAATTCAAAGTTATTTGCCAAATGAGCATAAGGGCATGCCAAAGTAAAGTTTGTGCCGTTAGAAGACCCTTTAAATACCTTTGACTTATCGTATAAAGTCTTGGCGTCTTCTTTCTTGTGAATGATCATGGATAATAAACGTCCATTGCCGATCTCTTGCCTGCAGCATCGTAATTTTGCAATGTTTCTTCAGATCTTACCGGTGGATAAAATATTTTCTTGAGGAGCTCTCCCTCTTGCCGTTTGTCTCTGTCCTTTGTGCAAAATCTCTAGAGTTCTTTTTGAGCACAATTGCGCCCTGAAGCCAGAGAAGTTCTTTGAACCCGCTGCTCACGAAATAAGTACGAGCACATGCATACAACCGGGACTGAGGTTAAGTAGTGTTGAGCCTCTCATGGCATTGCTGAAGCCGCTGAAGAGCTTTGTCAGCGACGTGCATACAACATCAGCACGAGGTGAAACATTAGTGTTCAGTCCCCCGCTTGTTTCGTCTATAATAAGAAAAAACCCATGCCCATCTGCAAGATTCCTCAGTTCCTACAGATCTAGTACGTTCAGCATGGGATTTCAAGGCGATTTTCCATCTTTCGGAATTGTTACAACTTAATCACATCTCTGGAGTTGCCAAACGCAAAAAGTTGGCATTTTCCGAATTTCTTCGTTGTCATTTTCGTATCTCTAAAAGAGAAGCCCAAAAACGGCCACTGTAGCGCAAAGAGGTTCGGTGGTCTTTTCTTCGCTAAAAAATTCCCAAAATTTAGGCAGTTTGCCGGTATTGAAGACATAACACTTCATACAAGAAAGACGTCTCTCAAAGGATTGAGTTTAGTCTTGACCCCGGGACCTCCGTTGCCCAAGGTAGATTGTGGTTAGTGGCTATCCTCTTTTTTTTTTTTGACTTGACGACTTGCTTGTTCTCCATCCTCCTTCAGGAGAGCGATGACCTCTTGCCTTAAAACATATGAACTGGGGTTTCGCCCCACATCTTCTAAGCAGTTGAGAAAAGCCGCTAGTCGACTAGATACGCATTAGGCGGTCAGTTTCCAATATTCTTTTACGATGTCAATTTCATCAGGAGCGAAATTGGCCGCTATTATAACGGTGAGTAGCAGGTGCCAGTATCAGCCGGGTATAACGTTTCCACCTCGAGGTGGGCCCCGCTTTTGGAGCCAATAACCGACTTCACATATTCCAAGCATCTTGAAGTGCATTGCGAGGATGGGAAAGGGCGATAGCTCTCGTACGTCCGGCCAAACTTTTTCAAAAAGTGGTTACAAAGCTTCTGTATGGCAGGCTAAGGAAAAGACCTTGAATACCTAGTTGACATTTTATTGACAAAATAAGGATTTTTCTCCACGTATCCTATAGCAAACTCCCATGTTGGGATACCAAATGACACTTCATAATCTAAATTTCCGGGAAGGTGTTGGCCAAAATGAATTTCCGTCATTTGTTGTTCGCTGTCAAGTCAGCTAACTAACTGTTCTGGCATCTCCTTCCCTTCAATGGCTGCATTAATACAACATCAAACCAAATTTGATCTTCTTCAAAGCGTGACTGTGGCTTAAGGTTGGGCGATTAGGCTAGGAAGTAGGTTAATTTGTGACTAAAGAAATATCCGAGCGGCGATCACGAGTGATTTCGGTTATGCTTTCATTTAGCGAATATCGAGATTACCGATGATCCATTGAAAAATGAGTGAGAATAAGTCTACATGGTTCAAGAATTCCATCACCGCCATGAGTCTGCACTGAAAGACATCTCAGGATCAAAAGTCCGTAGTGGCGTTGCAATATCTTGATTGAGTTCTGATCTCATCACTTCTTAAGCTCATTTTTTACTGTAGTTAAAAACCGTCTCGTGCTCGTCTGATTAACAAGATTAATATAGTGCTCATTCCACATTAAAGACAAAAGTTGATTGACGATGGCAGAGGATGGGAGAGGAAGCTCAAAACTGCAAGCCAGAGAAGATTCCCCAGAAAGGCATACAGCTCATATTAAGACAATGCGAATTAAGCTAAAGAATTTCAAAATATTAGCATCTGGCTTATTTTGCTACACCAAGTATGAGATCCATAACTACAGTTCAAGAAAGTCGCCAGGACCCTCATACCAACTCCAACTTAGTTTTATAGTTAATTCATCTAAATTCTTAGTTCATGTAAAAATTTCATCCGCAATCTTTGATAAGCGCCCCCTTAAGCCCAGATCCGCAGTCCATGCGTACCCTGGCATTTTTCGAAATAAACTGCGATTCGCTATACAGTGGGTATATAAAGCTCTCATTTTTCTAGATCTGAGCGATCTAACGCAGCTAAATATATTGATGAATTTGCTTTCTTGAATTCCTTTGGATCGCTCGTAACTGAAGTTGAGAATTCCTACTTTTCAGAAATTCCTCTCGCCATTTCATCCATGGCTAGTAACCTTTGCTGGTTCCTTCCTCTCGGCCTCTACCAAATGAGAACTGATATGCATGGGGCCAAACCAAATGACATGACGATCTGGATAGTCCAAGCAGGGAAGCGATCCTAGCAGGGAAGTAGCGCGGCATCTTTTTCCCTCCAAATCTATGGCAAAATAATATTGCCGATTGTGTATCCTGAAAGACTTATTGAGCTACTTATAATTCTTTCCGCTCAATTTCTGTAACCTGAATTGTCGGAACTAGACCAACTCAACGCAATGATAAGCGAGAATGCCAAAACCCCTGGCCAGCCAACGTATTTTGATCAAGATGTCTACTTTACTATACCAAAGCAAAGAGTTTGTAACGACCAATCCGATAAATGGTGGCTAGAATCGGAAAATAGCAGTGAACATTGAATATTTGTCCACTTTATCATAGAGAGAGAAGCAATAGGAGCAGCGACAATAAAAATTCAGCTCCGGCAATAGACACTAAGATGGATTAGAGCGATGAGCCCCTCTTACGCCCCCAAATAATAAATTTCGTTGGTACGTCAAATTATTCCTAACTGCCCCAATCCAGTGCGAAGAAGAAGAAAGATAGCCACATATGGTAATCATGTATTTCCTCTTTGAACTGATGTGGCACATAGCGTTCTACTCGAATGATGATCCAGTTGTAGATTACACTCTCGTGAAAAGCCACATGCGCTCTTCCAGAGAACAAAACCGAGCAATCGAAGGATTGTTTGGAAAATCAGAGCCACGGTGATCATCATGAAAAAGGTGGGAATTATTATTATAATATTTCAAAAAGGTTGATGGAAATTTGCAGATCTCTCCTTGGAGGTACACCCTTATGTGACTTCGCGATCCATTGGTGTCATCCACAACCCAAACAACCTTTTCCATATAGACGTCATAGGTAATTTGCTACTCAGGGCGCGCGCGTTTAAATAATGAGCTAGGACATACGTAGATTGAAGGCACTTAAAAATTTTATCTTTTCTTGAACTACCGAGTGGAGTAATCTAGGACTGTTCTAATAGCATCGAGTTGCATAATAGTAATCTTCAAAACAAGTGTCATTATAGTACGAAGTGATGACGATGACGACAGTAAAAGAAGAATGTACAAGGCTAATAATCAATCAAAGGAATTCAGAGGAGGAGCGATTACTCAAAAATGTCCATGCTGGCCACTTTGATCATGCAACAGCTCAATAGCCATTCGTTCGAAGGAATTGTTGGATCATGAAGCCCCAACTGCATCCAGATTATTCCAGTCAGAATTTTGTATAAATACCGACCATATGTCCCAGGTATGGGACAGATTTATAGCTCAAATAATCACGGAGAGAAAATCACAACTTAATTTATGAGCTTAGATTAAAAATCAAATATACTGCATATTATTCTAGGTATACTGACATAGTGGAACAAACTAATCATTTCAAGGCGCGAAGCTTTAGCCCAGGAGAGAGGGCCCACTATAGCCATCTAATATTAAAGCCATATTAAAAAGAAGCTTTCTACAAAGCATATACAACGTGTGACGATGGCCTCAAGTCTGAGTTTCAGCCCCACAAGTAGAGAGTATTTTACCATGTACCATTGACTTCAGCGTGTGTACGTATGTGATGGATGCGCCCTGCTTGCTTTTGGGACTGAAAACCAAAAAATTTTACATATTAGGAGAATGCCGTCTATATTAAAAAATCGGTGTAATTTGGGACCAGAAAATGTCATTTTTAATTAAGATGGGCTCGGAGCTTCATGTTGATTATAAGCGCCTATAAAGTTGTTCAAAATATCGCATTCCTCCAGCAGCTCACCCTAAACAGCTGTCGCTCAGTGGTCGAGGGTCAAACTAGATGGATAGTATTTCGCATCATTGTAATACCTTGGATCCTCAATGGGTCTCTCAGCCTGTGGCGTTATGCGGAAAGCGTGTCTCAGAGTTGGTTCATCCCAGTCTACTAGTGCAGAATGGTGTACACGACGGTTGTCCCAAATCGTGACTGTTCCAGGTTCCCATTTCGCCCTCAACTGCAAATCATGGGTGTTATTAACCAAATTGTACAGGAATTGTAATAAATGGTCAGACTCGGGCTTTTTCAACTCCACAATACGACGCGAAAACCCACTGTTTACAAAGATAGTCTTCTTCTTCAACACAGGGTGATATCTGATTAATGGATGAATGTGGGTAACAGGAACACGTCTTTGAATACCTCCTTGAATTTTCGAGTCATTGGCCTGCTCCTTGGCGCTGTGAACGACATGCAGGGTACTCAAAAACTCTTGAAATAGAGGAGAGAGCCTTTCGAAAGCTGTCAAGGAGTCGCTAAATAGAGTATCACCGCCTCCGTCAGGACCTTCGAGAACCGAAAAAAAGGTGTAAGATGGTGGTTGCAATTCGTAAGAGACGTCTGTGTGGAAGACAATAGAAGAGGTTTTGTCTCGAAAAAAGCTTTCGAGCTCTTGAGGATCAGGTCTACGGTAAACAATGTGAAGCTCCGTGTGATTTTTAGGGGCTCCAGAAGTTTGATGAATATGGAGCTTTCCAAAATACCTACCATAATCGGAGGCAAATTTCGGCCCGTGTTGAGCGAAATCTTGGTCCCGAAAGACGACCACTCCACGCTGCGCGACAAACAACGCTAGCTCATCTTTCTCAGGATCAGAGAGCTGACTCAATTGCAATCCCCTGATCTCGCTGCCCAACTTAGGAGTTAATTTCTTGACTATTACCTTGCTTTCTTCATATTTTGGAAACAAATTAGGCAAAGATGGATCAGCCCGTAGAGCAGGATCTTCATAGTGATGAAACTTCAATGGCTCAAACTTCTGTTTTGGGTCCCACTCTGGTAGAAACTCGGGAAATCTGGATTGCTCGCGCAATTCGGCGGGAAGCTTGAGCGTGCCATCCTGATCGACTTCATCTTTACGATGATATAAATAAGGATTTGGATCTGAATATGTTTGTTTTGAAGTAGAAGGTTGATCTTGAGTCATTCTGATGTTGTTGTTATAAACCTTAATGCTACTATATCTGATGATCCGGTAACATGCAGATTTCAGATTTTTATGGGCAACACCGTCCTTATATACCACTTGAGCTTTACCTAAGCTGAAGGAAAAACTTCACCTGTTCTAAAAAGTGTGCAGTCATTCCTAATAATGCCACAGGCTTACAACAGTGAAGAGTCAAGGCTCGAGATTTTGTTATTATGTGGCTGACACTGGCGAGAAAGTCTGAGAATGGCTGCCACCACTCTGATGTTTGGGAGTCCCATTATAACGGATAACAAACCGTTGCATAAAAACTAGCATTATCACTCCCATATAGACTGATTATTAATGCAGCTCCCTCCATTCTCGATTCTAAGCATCAGTTTCAAGCAAGCAATATTCCCTGATGATCTTTTTTTTTTATCGAAGACATTCTGTCTCATGTTACCATTTATCAAAGATGTCTCTTTCAATATGACGAGAGTTGTTCAGTCCCTCATCAGGTCGTTCAGCTGAGACGTGAGGAGATAATTGACCGAAATTTGGGAGCCTAATTTACTTCGATGGTCTTACAGAGGAAGCCAACGGGAGCATGGAGCATAGGACAAACAAGAAAGAGGATGTGGAGGAGGTTCAAACCCACTTTTTTGAACTATTAGATGGATTTTGATACTTTTTAATATGTTTTTGGAGTGTAAACACCTGTTTGCTCCAATTCATCTTTGTGCTATCAACTGCTGTTTAGGAAAAACGATTTCCGAGAACAATGGTACACTGTAAAGCAATTGAGTAGCAGTAGGCTTTTTAATCGCATGGCTACCTTCGAGCACAAATGTTTCTGGCAAGATTTAGATGTCACGAATACATAGGTGTAGATATAAGGGAGAGAAGAGGCAAGCCCGCGAAAGCCGTCAAGTTTTCGATCACACCAAACTTTCTTCTACACAAGATCTATATAATCACAAGAGTTCCAGGAGACTTGTAGAGGCCATTGTCGTAAACCTTTGGCGAAGATAGCGCGCCATTATCTGCGAAAAAATATACGCAAGCTTAATATGGTAAGAATCTCCCCATGTAAACAACGAATTTTAGTTTAATTGTGCTCGAAGTTAGATTTTTGCTTGTAATTCTGTAATATTTGGATCATAATTTTGATCCATACTTGGGACTCTCAGCCGATGCTCAAACAAAATTATGACGCGAATAATCAGGTTACAATTATTGCTAGATAATCCAGAAAATCTAACCCTATTTAATGGAGCCGTGAGCTGTTGGATAGTTGAAGCAGTAGGTTAGGCTAGGTCTAGGCAATCGTTGCTCCTCTGGAACTCTGGTTAATTATTCCCCTATACATTCTTGTTTTATTTTCGAAGCATCACTTCGTACCATTATGTCACTTAGTAAATGTTACCTATTTTCCTACTCGACATTATTCATGCAGCACTAAATCGCTAACATTCAATAGCTTTAACAGAGAGTTAATCCGAGGGTCTGGTAGTCAGCACAGCTCCAAGAGCACTACTTAATACAAGGGTGTTTTTTGGGAGACCTTGATCCGGGAATACTTGGCTGAGGAGTTTTGGTCGTTGCTCAACCACACTTCAATATCCGAATAATACCAGCCCTTCCCCATCCCCCGCAAAATAACATGTACTAATCAAATACTGCAAAAAGATGGATTAACAGAAATATAGCTAGTGTAAGATAATCTGGGACAACTTGATCACCAATGATCGTGCTGCATTTTGAAAACAGCCTTCACTAACTTCAGATTCCTCTAAGGCACTCAGTAACCTAGTATTTTTGCCGAGGGGGAGAGTACTGAACTTCATAGAGCTCAATGTATATGATGTGCAGTAGAATTTTGCTATAGTGGCTAGTACACCTTTAGAAATAAAGGTCTGATGTCCTTACCAGTCGAACAATTCGTCTGCCTTATCACTATTCTATGGAAATGCTTACAGTCTATAAGCTTCAGCAGAGGAGGGTAGCAGAGTCGGTCCTGCGTGATGGAACCTTCTTTTCAATCAAAAAATTCTTTAACATAGATGTACAAGATCTGAAAGATCTTCTTTAAGAGTTTATGTAATTACGACATTGAATATTCAATATCTGTGAATCTGTTTTTTTTTTGAGTAATTCATAATTATTCAGTCTGAACATGAACTCACGACATGGCATTGACAGGAGATCAAAAGGGTAAGAAACTGTACAGCTTATGACTGCCCTGAATTTGTTCAGCAGCGTGACATTAATAGGAAAGAGCTTTCATAGGAGTAATTGGAGCGATCGTTAAGATCAAAATATGTTCTGAAGTATGTTATGTATCCATGACTGTTAAGAGGAGAAGTATTCAAACACTCTCATCCTAAGTATGGAGAAGTGCATTAATGAACAAATCTGAAGTCCAATCTTTTATTTCCTTCATCCTTGGTGTAAATGGTATAGTCGCGCTTTTCATCTTCGGACAAGGCACTCCACCGTGCTTCTTTCTGTTTGTTACGCCAAATGTAGTAAAATTTAGCAAATAGACAAGCTGCTATGGTTGCAAAGGCAATCCCGATAAGGGCTTCATTTCCTCTGTGATACTTTGGTTTATCATCCATTCTATAAATGTTTGCAGAAACGATCGCCGCAGATTGTGAAAAGACGTTTACAACCGCAGCGGAGACAGCACGAGTTCTAACAGAATTCGAGTTGGCAGAACACCAGCTGATAGAAAGTGGCCATATAGGTGCATGTCCCAGTAGCAAAGTAAGCAAAGTGTATGTGCCCCACACATTTACCTGAGATCCAGGCCAGTACCGTAAGGGAAACAAAAATATCAGAATCCAAATGGGCGTTCCCATAATGACCAGGGAGCGCTGATTGACAATCTCGGAGAAGTAGCCGGCCAGGAGCATTAGTATTACTGATATAATGTTGTATGGTATCGAAAGGGCATTTGTTTTGTACGTGGAAAAGCCCAGTTTTCTCAAAGTGAGAGTCATATAGTTCGATACAGGTGACGTCCCGATATCGCCCAAAAACCGAACAATGTAGATTGGTAAAAGATCGTAATCCAATAGCGACCTTAGTAATTCCTTAGGACTAACTGGTTGTCTATTATGCATATCTCCTTTAGAAGGATCATCGCGTAGAACCCTATTCACGACTATCTTCTCTTCCCGATCAGTGTACCAACCCTTCTTGCGATACCATGATTTGGTTTGTGCTGGAGACGCTGGCATCTTGAAGAAAGACGCAACACCAACCAAAAGGGTGAAAGCTCCTTCTACGAGAAATAACCATCTCCAAGACTGATCCATGAGTCCTCCAGTTTTTATTTTCAATAAGCCGAAAGACAGGAGACTGGACCAAACAGCGGTCATAGGGTTCGCAATGTAAAATATTGACAATCTAAAAGGCAATTCTTTTGATGTAAAGAAGTAGCTCATCCACAAGCAAACATCGCAAATGAATCCACCTTGGAGCGCACCAAGCAGTGCCCTCGTGATGTAAAATCCAGCTTTTGATGTCATGGAAGCTTGCGTAATTGATACAATACTCCACAAGCAAATCTGAGTTGGGATCCAAATATCTGCTCCAAGTTTCTTGGAAATCAATTGCGATGGTAGCTCAGCGGCAAGAAAACAAACCAGGTTGATTGTGCTAGCAGTGTTGTAATCATTCGTTGTTAAGTTCAGATTCTCTAACATGTTATCGGCTAGAGCCTGGCTAATGTTATTTCGGTCAAAATCAAGCGCAGTAAACATAAACAGTGTCCAGAATGTCACGTACCAATCGTTCTTTCTGACGACTCGTTTTTCCTCTTGCTTGCTCCATGTAAATTCTGGATCGAAGAGGTGACGACACTCGTATTGACTCTTTTCATAGACAGTAGAGTAATAACTGGCAATGTTGGGGTCATTGAAGACATTATCCTCGCCCCCTGAGTCTGTACTGACACTCTCGATGTCGATAGGAAGCTCTTGCTTTTCCATGCTATCGGCGACGTAACGGTCGTCGTCGCCAGAATCATCTCTGTTGGAACTTCTGGAAGAAACATAGTCACGAATTCCCATGTTGAATTGGGAGCTTTTTGGCCTTGATATCTTATTATAGGCACTACTTTAAGTGTTGATATTTGAAGGTCCCTTATATACTTTACATGACAGGAAAATTATCTAAATATGTGCTGCAATTCCTTGATTTCTCTCTTCGGCATTCACACATGTACGTATTAACACTGTCTTTCTATGACTTTGGTCACCGGGTCTTCAAGTCGCACACATTTTTGACATGTTGCCAACCTCGAAATTTTGGGTAGTGCCAATATAATGAAAAACTTACGTGGACCTATAGATGTGAGCCCCACAGAGACTTTATGTCTCCGTCCACATTAATCACAAAAATGAGGTGTGACCAGGATGTCACATGCTTGATCCGCTGACACAATGTTCTGAACACATCCAAAGGTTCACTTCGGCTTTATTTGATAGATCAGAGACTTTCTTCCCAAAACCTCATGATGAATGACATGATCATGGCCCAAAAGTGTACAGGGCTCGAATATTTGCCGCTTCGCAGAGGTGACCTACCTTGACAAGAACCGATATAATTCCCACCATCAAGAGGTTAATGACGCAATTCAATCAGATATATTGAATAACGTCTTTCAAGAACTGTTATGTCAAGGAACTGATGGTTTCCTCTAATTTCTATAATGGCTTTTTAAAACAAGGTTCTAAACATCTCTTGTCACCAAGCGTTTTCTATTACTTGATCTCACCTTATCAAGATTCATTTGACGCTTGTCGTTTCTAATTTGATATGCTCTGGATAGTTTCAGAAGACAAAGCACTTTGAAGAGAAGTGGGTGCCAAAAGAAAGCTAATATGGAGACCATAGGTTGGATCTCTGCTCTCTGAAAAAAAACATCAAACAATATGCTGTTTTGTTTATATTATTTATCACTCACCGATCAAGCGGCAGCCTTGTTTGCTTGTGATCTCGTATTAGTGTTACGCGTGCCATCCTCTTCTTAGGCCATCCCAATGTGGATACTTGGAGCATACATTTAGTTTAATTTACTGTTTTCGGAGCATCTCTCTAGCATATGGTAAAATAAATATTTAGCAACACCTGGGTATTGACAGCCTCCGTATGGCAGTCATACAATTGTGCATATAAGGAAACTAAAATAGCATTCTTTGTTTACTAGTCGGGTTGTAACGCACAGGTATATATTAAACGGTCATAGACCAGCAACAACCACAATGCAAGAATTGATTTTTGGCCGGCACTTACAGTGCTTTTACTTCTATGTGTTTAGCAGTTCTTTGGTTTAGGTACGGTTTGCGAACGGTAGCATTCCCAGCGTCAGCAAGATAAGAGTGAGCATAAAAATCTTTGATTAATAAACTAAAGGCAGAAGATGTAAGAGTGATCTTTGGGCTGTTCTTTTTTCTTGGTAGACCTGCTTGCCTTTTGTCTTAGAACCTAAACCAGAAATGTTGTAAAAATGAATATTCCGCGTAATCAAAAAGCCCACAAAAACTACTAAGACTTCATAGGTTTTCACCACATTCTTACAGCACCTAAACTTTTCAAAAGCAGGGATGACCTCTTCATGTTTTGTGACATTTTCGATTCGAGAAGGTTCGCTTTCAAGTTTAGTATAACTTGACAAATCAGCGACCCAAAATGGTGAAAGAAGAGTTGGTAGACGCAAAACGTAGGCCCGCCAAAATCAAAATCATCCCAAGTTCGAGATTACCCAGAAGTATCGCAGCTTTTATTGAAAGGTCTTTGAAGCCTTGAATTTTTTGGCACTTAAGCATGTACTGTTCATATCATTTACAATTAGTGTCTATTCAGATGTGCTGGTGTACTAAACATGACTGGCAGGCTTTTCCTCATTAGCCCATTAAAGAGATGATCTCGGGTAGTTCAAAAAGCGTGCTCTCTTTGATGGCGAACAAATAAATCTCGAGAGAAACACTCGCTGAGATCTCAATAACCAGATCCCTATGGGGAATCTCAAGGCAGCCTAATTAGTAAATCGCTATCATTCACATTATCTCTCTTAGTTGAGCCTGGTTTCGCAAGTAAGGTAGTCCGTAACATAGTCAAGGAGACAAGATTGGTTATACGAGTTTTTGCTTTATGTTAGTTTCAGCCAAGAAGTAAAACGTTCAAACTGCGTAGCAGCCAAGGTTTAATGGATGATATCCGTCACTGCAAAACTAGGCCTGCCTATAACCAAGGAGAGGCTTCTGTGTAGGTTAGGCAAGCGAAGGTGCCATTTTTTGGCCTCGGCTAGTGTGGCATCCAGACTGGCCGTATTTCTCGCTGGCTCTTACCTGCAGTGCCACTTCGAGTCCAAGATATTTATAAGCAGTTGAATATGAAGAGGAACGATAGTGGCAGCTTAAAGGTTGTTTCTATTCTTAAATATTTACATGTTAGACTTTGTAGGAAGATATTATTAACCTGGAAAACACTGCAAACACAAATGATTAATAAAGTTCTTATTGTTTTTCCCATGGTGTTTGGATAGCCCGAAAACGGCTAGCCGGAAAACCGGTGTCACCATAGATGTTTTTTTTTTTTGATCGGACCCTTGTTGCTACCGAAGATCGTCGAGACAGTCTAGGTATTTTAAGGGCAGCATAGCTACGCTCCATATGGCATTTCTCTGTCTACCAGTACCCAAGCAAAAGCATGACAGTTCTTCAAGAGATAGTGCCAGGCAAACTTTATGATCCAGCCAGGGAAGAATACGCTTTCTTGAGGCAGGAGGCCAAATCAAAGCTATATGATTACAATAATCTTCATCCAAAAGAGGAGAAATTAAGAGAAAAAGCTATTAGAGATCTTTTTGGAAGCTGCGGCTCTAATTTTTGGATCGAGCAACCCTTCTATTGCGACTATGGTAGCAATATACACATCGGTGACAACGTGTACAGCAACCACAATCTCGTCATTCTGGATGTGGCAGAGGTACGCCTAGGTAACAATGTCATCATGGGCCCTAACGTGGGACTGTATACGGCAGGCCATCCGCTGGACTCGGAGAGAAGATTGAAAGGTGATGAATTTGCGTTGCCAATATACATCGAGGATAACGTTTGGATTGGAGGTGGCGTTACTGTAGTTCCAGGTGTGACTATTGGCAAGGATTCGGTTATTGCTGCGGGAAGCGTTGTCGTCAAGAACATCCCTTCTGGTGTCGTTGCTGCAGGGAACCCATGCAGAGTATTAAGGGAGATTGGGGACAAAGATCGTGCTATCACTGATTTTCGTAAGTGAGAGAGGGGATGTAGAGGATGTCTAGTTTCATTGTTGACTTCCATCCTTCAAACAAAAGTTGACTTCAAACCATCCCATGTTGGCCATAACCAATCTAATTCAGCATTCCATCAATCCGAAGGCGTACAGAAGAGAATGTTGCCTTTCTAGCACAACCTAGGTTTGAATTAATCAAAACGCTCTATATTACATTAGGCATTTTCCCCAGTGCACCAAGAGGTATAAAACAAGAGCCGATACAAGCCCATAATAGTATTTACTTCACTTTCTAGTTGTATATGCAAATGTTGACAGTGACCTACAATGAAATCCGATTGATTTGACTTTGTATTAATACCCGACCTGAAAAGTGGCTCACGACAGAATTCGTAGCCGGCTGACATGTGGAAGAAAACAACCTCCAAAGGGGACTGCAGAGAAGTTATGAAGACAGCTAAAAAAATGTTTGAAAAGGTACACGCTCGTCCACACCTCCTCATTATCTGTATTCTGTGGTCATTTTCTAGATGAAGCTATAAATTGGCCTTTCCTTGCGGAAAGATAGTCAGGAGCGCTTCGATATCCGCTCAACGGGCATCTTATCACTATCGGCAGGAATGAGGGACCAGGCGTTAGATTATGACAATACGCAGAAGCACAAACAGCACTCTAATTTGCTACACTCCTGGTAACGAGAGATTCTACCTTGCGAGAAGCTATTTAAGGCATCCTCTGCCGCAATTCTAAGATAGGTTAAGTTTTTACCGGACTTTACATGATTCACCATGTTTAAGCTGCCCCAGATGCTTCACTCCACAAAGAAAGGTTTTGGTTCAGTACTCGTAAATCATATATCGGAACCTTAAGTTGTTGGCGTGATTTTTTGGCTGTAAAAGCTATCTATCTAATCTTCCAATCAGTCGGTACTGACACAAAAATTTGGCCTAGGAGCGAGCTTATACTTGAGTTTCAAAAATATTATATCTCTCATTGGATAATATATTTGACCATGTTTTGAGTATCGTCCTATGCCCCAAACCACTTTTCATAAACTTTTCTTGCTCGCCGGCAATTTATTTTTCGACAATCTGAACCACTGTAAATACTGGCACCACCTCTGTTTCCAGTTGTGTAATTTGATAATATACAAAACATGGAGCGTTTCTCGTGACATTGTCCCAACAGGAGCGTAGTTTAGCTATGCTAAAAATGCTTCCAGTAGCTGGACAATATATTTGCTAGCAACTTCAAGAGTAGATATTCAAAGTTCTCCTTCAATCATAAATTATTGGCCTCTGAGAATAAATTGAAAGACGCCTCGGTCCAGGTGTCTATTGGGTCATACACTTTACCCGAACTCATCTCTTTCGAATCACGAATTTTTCTGACTTTGTTGATCAACACTCCTACCAATCCCAGGCCAATTATTGTGCAAAACATTATAGCCCAAATTACAACATAATATTGTTCGGCGTTAAAATTACCTCTATTTTCTTCCAAGGTAGATAGAAGAAAGCCGACCTCGCCACGCGAAACCATAGGCTAGCCTGTGATAAACGGGGGCATAAGTGATCTCACCATAGGAAGTCCCCAGGAGGAATCGCCAAAATCAATACCATTAGCAATTTGCATGTATCGAGATCTCCTAATAGCCACATTCCGCATACGAACTTACCTATTGTCATAAATGCAGCATAAACTAAGCCTTTCCATATGATCCTCCCAAACAAAATCCTAGAAATGGTAATGGAGAAGCATATTGGTGCAAAAGAAATTATGATTTCAAGATCATTGCGAATTGGACCTCGAAGTATGACTACCATATTGTATCCTTGATATGTTGCAAGAATCTAAATTAGAGGCAGAAGCTTTGACAAGGCTCCCAGCTATTAAACAACCGTCAGGCTCTCTATTTACTGAAAGTACTCCGTTCATGAAACTGTATAGATCATTCCTTTCTGCAATTCGGCGGGTGGTGCCCTTTGGCTGATTTGAATTCCTCGATATTGACGTTAGCTTTTAGCAAGGACACTTGTCGAATTGATGTACCAAATTGACCACGGTAAAATTGAATTCATGGACACAGTTATTAACAGCATTCCTCTAGGAAAAGCTTGAGCTTGACGTTTTATTCGACATCACCTTATGGACCTCGTTATCATACGAGTTTATACCTGCACCGGCGAAATAAGCTGCATATATATTTACGTGCCAGCGTAGCTAGAAATCACAACAAATACGAAGAGTAGAGTTGTGTGAGTCGCGAATGTAACTTGAAGTCTGGTTGAGAGATAGCGATGTTTTTCAGAGTTCAAAGAGGTTTCGTATAAACTAGGGGCTTTATCAGAAACTTGCAAGCTAGAAGAAAAGCAATGGTAAATGCAAAAGAGACGAGAATGAGTGAGGTAATAACTGCAGGACTAAGCCGAGCTTCTCCGCCTAAGTTAGCGATGATTCGTGCCATGACAAGTCCCGTAACATCATTCAGCATAGCCGCACGTGTCAACACTACTCCAAGTCGACTCATTTTAGCCCGCAAAGCTTTTAAACTGCCATTGTGAAACCCGGCCTTTCGAGCGCAGTGAAGCACCTGCCGCGAAGATTGTAGAGGTGTCGAGTGAACTGGGACCATCAGAACATACGATAACCCTATGGGTAGAATAACCCATGTTAGACCCCATATAGCGGAGACAAGTTAGATTTTATGGTGTTGATATTTTTCATATACAAGCAAAATGAGGCCCAAGTACCATAGCTGAACAATTGTCTTCTGGGTCGGAACCGGTCGCCAATTGCCTCCGGGCAAGTCCCATGCGATTCCAACCACAACTTGGTCTCAATAGGCCACAATATATATGAGGCTATCAAGAACTTCGCCTACAACGTTGAAGATTGTAAGGAATGACGCCAAACTAAGATGATCATTATATCAGGCTCGTAGTACGATATGGCTAGTTAGCACATACGTGGTCTCTTTCAATGCAGTACAATAATGTAACCGTGGTAAACTCATCTAATCGCGAACCTTTTGACAGGGAATTTCAGGGAAGCCTCACCTTCTGACGCTTCAAAATTACTATATCTACATTAAGGGCTGCCTCTATAAGCCAATAATAATACAATACGCTGAAAGCCTACGCTTGAGAGGTAATGATGGTCTGTGCTTCTAGTTTCTTATTACAGCTATTACATATCATGAGGGCCATTTGCCTTGTAAATAGAATATACACTGCTAATGCGTCTTGAATTTTGAAGTTGTAGGAGGAAAAGACGCTGGCATCAACACCACTTAGAGGAGCTCTTGGAAGTATCATGCAGAGCCGAGTGCCATGGTTTGACAAAGTCCTTGTTTATCGCGTGAGTAGACACTGTGAATGATCTGGATTTTGTGAGGTTCCTATTTCCTTTTGAGTAAAACTGTATAAACTACAATGTCGAATTATGTATTGAACCAAAACTGTATAAACTACAATGTCGAATTATGTATTGAACCAAATATTTGGGACTCGAGATGAATACTTGATATCCTAGCACATCCATAGTAGTCTATGGTAGAAGAATATACTGGGTAAGATATCAGACTGTAGTTGTTGGACTCTTTTTATTCTTCGGCCATTTCTCATTATGACATTTGTCGTATCGGATCGTAAGACACAGTGACAAAAGCGAGTGTCGTTATGCAATTTGGTTCCATCACATAGGATTGGGGGTGAACCGTGAGCATTTTTGAAAACATTTTTTTGGGTTGTTTTCACTGTCATCAATGCTGCACTCTCTTTGGAGGATGGCATTCGCCAATTTGTCTCGAGGTAAGGTGGCTAATGGAAATTAAGCTTGTCTGGATACTTCTTCGTTGTAACAAATTTGATCATCGGCAAATCGAGCTTAGTGAGTAAAGCCAGTTTCCAAAAAGAGAATTACAGAACAACCATTAGTATATTTCAAAAATGGGTATTATTGGGGCCGACGTTGTACATAGTAAGTTTACAAAAGCCGAGAACATATTTACTCATTACCAGCAGAAACTCCGCATCAATGTTGAGTCTGTAAAAAATGAGATGAAGATCTCGCTTATAAAAGGGTAGTCGCAGAAACAGTAGAGTTAGAGGACAAAGAACCAATGGAGGTCAAACTTCCAGAAGATTGAGGAACAGAGCTGTTTGGGTAGAAAGCGGAAGAAGAAGCGATAGAGCTTAGAGAAGTAATGGAAGCAGAACCGGAGGTGATAGAAGAAGAGCCGGAAGTGATGGAGGCGGATCCAGAGGTGGAGCCAGAGGTTGGGGCGGAGGAAGCGGATCCGGAAGAAGCACCAGAGGTGGAACCAGAGGATGGAGCAGAAGAAGCACCAGAGGTGGAACCAGAGGATGGAGCGGAAGAAGCAGATCCGGAAGAAGCACCAGAGGTTGGGGCGGAGGAAGCGGATCCGGAAGAAGCACCAGAGGTTGGGGCGGAGGAAGCGGATCCAGAAGAAGCACCAGAGGTGGAACCAGAGGATGGAGCAGAAGAAGCACCAGAGGTGGAACCAGAGGATGGCGCAGAAGAAGCACCAGAGGTTGGGGCGGAGGAAGCGGATCCAGAGGTCGACGTCTTGGTGAAAGTCGCGACGATAGCAGTAGCGGAAAAGTCATCAGTGGTGGTGGATTGAGCAGAGACCACGGCGGAGACGGCCAATAGGCCCAAAACAGATCCGTACTTCATTTTTTGTAGTGTGACTTTTGTTGAGCGAGTGAAACGTAGTCTGAAGAGTTTAGACTAAAAGTAGACTCTTCGAAAGACAGAAGGGAAACCGGAAGGTTATACAACAGCGTCCGAGGACCTCAGTACTTATACTCAAGTCTTCACCCACATTTTTCTTCCGCCACCCACGTCTCTGAAGTTCGCGATTACACCTCCCACTGTTGGCCCACATGCATCACTAAAATGGTTAAACGCCGGTGAAGAGTCGGCAGGAACTCAGTGTTTCCCGAAATGAGTTAGTTTTCTGGTGTTGTTATCTCAATTGCGAAAATCCTGGCCTTCACACATGTACGACTACCGCCTTCCTGCGACTCTTCTTCGCATGCGCTCTGACGCAGAGAAGTTTTCTCGAGCCTGTGTAATATCGTTCCATACGCCTGAACAAACTTTTTGTGGTGTCCGTGGCTCCTCGAGCGTGTACTTTGTACACGGTCTTCTGAGGGCAGCAATTGACACTTACATTTTTGTGCACTTTCCATAAATGGAAGTTGGGGCTTATATAATCGTGTGTTTTTGTGCAACGCATTGAGACTCTTATGAGTAGTTTCGCGGACGCCACTGTCGACCTTTCGTGGATTTTCGCTCATACAAGGAGAATGTATGCCCTTGGTAACCATCGGAGCGCATACATGGTAAACACTGGAAACTGCTCCCTTTGGGCTTGAAGAAGGCTGGTTCGAGTAACGTGCTGAACCATCAACCCACGCTCACCAGAAAATGTTGCAGAATGTGTGGGACCTGAGCAGAGAACGCATCTGCCCGGCATGTACTCCCTCTGGCATCACCAGTATGAGATATGAGAGAGCAACAAATGTATGGGTAAGGCAAGACGGTGCTAAGCGACAAAAGGAGGATTTTCCATAGAATGGTGAGCTCATCTGTCCCTGACAATGTTTGATTTCTCGCGATGCGGACTACGGTTAATAAGCAAACACAACCGTTAAAGGGCAGCGTGGGATTCTAGGGGTTATTAATTTAATTAGTTGATAACTCTTGTGGTTCGAGAATGGAAGTCGTTAACAACGCAATCGTTTACACAGCTGAGACATTCGGAGACACAGTCCGAATGGATTTATATATGATTTACGGAAAGTTGTTGACGAGGTGGCCACTTTCGATGTGAAACGTTTGAAAGGAAAAAGTATCCCCAAACAGCTTTGAGAATCACAACATGTACAGTACGTACGTTTGTAGAAGAGAATAGTGGCATCTTTCAACACCAAAAGCGGTATACCCTGTACCAGACAGATCTTGACTTGATGTAGTCGCGCTCCTCTATAATTTCTTGCTTGAGCAACTCGATATCCACATCACGTCTTCCGGTGTCAATATCTAGATCTTTCGCTGGAATCAGTAGGGTCCAGTTGCGTGTATATAGCTTGTGACCGGCGTAGAAAACCAACAGAACAGGGAACGACAGGTATTCCTCGAAAAACGCACCAGCGTTCGGTTTCTCCCCAACGGGAAACAGAGCCACCCAGAATTGGAAACAGAGAACAACAACTATCAGAATACATCCGTAGATCGAGCCCCATATTCCAGTTTGTGCGGTAAAGGGGAGCTCATCGGTGGTTCTGTTTTGAGCACGCAACGCCATCCTAAAGCGAAGATGGCAAACGCACACCGATCCCCATGTGAAGAAAGAGCTCAGCCCCGATAGGGCAAGCATCCAATCGAACACAACTCCCTTCTTAGAAGACCCAGCCAGGAAACATAGAAGGCCGAAGATGAGGCATATCACCAGAGCGATCAACGGTCTTCCTCTTTGATCGATGTAGGCGAACTTTGATGGCAAAAATCCGTAGTAAGAAAGAGCTAAAACAGCGCGGGAAGCCGCGAAAACACATGAGTTACCAACCGAAAGAACTGCGAAAAGAATTACAACATTCAAAACACTGGGCAAGCCGCCAATCCCAGCCTCTGTGATGGCAATTACGAACGGCGAAGCTGTAATATCGACACTATCAGCGGCGAACAAGCGGTCATTGGTATATGGCACCAAACAACCTATCAAAGTTAGCGAGATTAGATAGAACAAAGTGATTCTCCAAAAGACTTGTTTTGCTGCGCGTGGTAAGTCTTTCCTGGGATTTTTACTCTCAGCAGCGGCTAAGGCGAAGTATTCTGTTCCGGCAAACGAAAAAGCCGAGGTGACAAATATAGAGGCGAATCCTTTGAAACCATTTGCGAAGCCACCGGGATTATACCAGTATCTCGCTCCAATGTATCCGGCGCTGTTAGGACCACCACCACAAGTCAAAATGATGCCCAAGAATATGAATCCAATAACAGCCAGCACCTTGATGAGAGAAAAAATAAACTCTGCTTCGCCATATCCTTTGACACCAAAGAAATTGATGCCATAGATGACTACAAAAAAGAGAGCAACAAAACCTTCCGTATATTTCGGATCAACGCCCCAGAAATCGACAGTGATCGAGGCAGAGATTATTTCCAAAGGAGCTGTGATCAAGTTACCCAGTAGGTAGTTGTAGGCTAGAGCAAATCCAAAGCTGGGCTCGATGAATCGTGAGACATAAGATAAGTAGGAACCCGAAACAGGCAATGCAACGCATAATTCCCCAAGAGCTTGTACAACTGAGTATACCATCGACCCAGTCAAAGTCCATGCGATGATTACTGCGGCGGGTCCACCAATTCTTAGCGCCTTTCCAGAGCCAACGAACAACCCCGTGCCGATAGATCCGCCAATGGCAATCATCTGTAGATGCCTATTTTTGAGTGTTCTGTTCAGTGGCGCACGGCTACTTGCCAGGATAGCCCTCTCGTTTGGCGAAAGATTTGGGTCGATTTCTGGAATTCGACGCTCGCGAAAGCCGTCCACGAAATCCTCGAACCACGACTTGTTAGAGGCACATGAATATTCCTCGATTTCACCTTGCTGGGGACCGGACTCTATGTCATCAACTCCTGGGAGCGTTTCTCCTATTTTGTAATCCAACTTTTCCTGTGGCTCTGGTGAAAGAGACATCTCAACTAGTAATTGACTGTCGAGTTGAACGACCGGCACATGTTTCAATCTGAAATCTGTGGAAGGAGAGGTTGACGTTTTAAATACAAATAGTGGAGTGTGGTTCACGGCTCTTTCAAAATTTCATGGTGAAATAGCCGTGGGCAGAAACCCTGGGACGATAAACTTTTAATCTTGATTCAGACAAAGCGCACTCCTACAACTGGAGAGACTGGATGAGAAATAGGTTGAGGCACCTACCAATGGCGTGGACAACAGTCGGCTTCTTCTCAATAATCTCTGGGTAGGCAATCAAGAACCAACTGCTAACCCAAGCGCGGCTCTGTAGATTATAGATAGCAATTTCCCCTCCCCTCCTTACAATACATCATATCTGCGATGTGGATGAGATCTCAAGCCAAGCGAGAAAAACCGTTGTCTCCATGCCAAGCGCATACTTGGCTACCCTGATCTTCGGGTTTGGGCTGAAGTTCCTTGATAAGCGCTGGGGTTTGACTGTTAACTTGGGTAAGGTTTTGCAGGCATACGTCACTTCTCTCGAGATTCTACTATTACTTTTTGACAACGTTATCAACTGGCAGGCAAGCTTAATGTTTACCTCATCGCGGCGATTCGATAGAGAGAATTCAAGCTCAAGGGGCAGCACCAGTTTTTGCAAAAAGTGGGTTATCTCTAGGTAATAAGAAGATGAATCTCACATGGGGAAAGATAATATGAGGATTCTCACGTTAGCTGCTTCACCACTAGAAGAAATCGCCAGGACTCACAAGTAGGCGTCATCAAAAAAGCCCCGTTAACTGGTGGTTTATGGTCGAGCGTTGATCAAAAATGCACGATACATGTTACCGGACCCGTTGGATGACTTCGTAATAACCTCTATAATTTTTTTCCATAAAGGACTAAAGCTATCACCTCTATGTCGTTCCCACTCCAATGGCCCACAATGAACACAAGTCTTCAAGTAGCGGTCCAACTTGGTTGATCAGGAGCTAATCAGATCAAAAATTGGAGCTGTAGGTATCCATTCTTGCTAAGCTTCTTTCGCGTTTATGCTCACCAAAAAAAGACACAAAGGTTCTGAATGCCACCCCACCATGAACAAAATAGGAATCGACCGGCTTGGCAATTTCACTTATGAAAAAACACCCAGTACTCTTCTTAATGGTGGCAGTTCTGTTAGCGGCGTGTGTTATTGTTTCGCGCCTTCCTAATTCTAGGTAGCATCACCAGCTCAGTCTGGCTTCACTACATTCTGATCAGGGTTTTCTCCTGCCTTTCCCTCTACAAATGACTACTAAACTCTCCTTTCTAGGGTTGACTTTCAAGAAACGCTGTGAATTCACTCGATTACTGTGCCTGACGCGGACCAATGAGGACCATATATATTACACGGTTTGACCGGTCTTCTTTGCAAGAATGGCTCACAGTCGTCACACCTTACTATATTCAAGCGCTTGGTAAACTTAATAAGTACACTTCACCCGCACCTTGTAAATTTGTCAAAGCGTAGAGCCTGTTACGATCTACAACTTGGCTGCTTAACTCATCTGCAACCAATGGCGATTACTTTATGGTGGTGATTCTGGATGGAATAGAATCGTTCACGCCAAGGAGGGTCTTGTAGGACGGCAACTTGTTGTATTTTGTTATCCCATACTATTCTGTCAATGACGCTTATATACCAGGGTGAATACAACGCTTTTTCCAGAAGACCTGGCACAGCCTTAACTACGTTTTTGAGAGAACTTGAAATCCACTTTATGCATACTTTCCCTCTGCAGGTGGTTTCTTGGCTGAAACTCCCAATTGTAGAGAGTGAGGGTCGCTTCGATCCAAGTACTACAGTAGGGCAATTATATGAGACTTTATGATAAGCTTGTCCTCATCAAGGTTCTGGGGTAATGGGGAAATAGGGAAAGATTTTCGAACAGGCGCAAATCTCCAAAGCTAGCTTGGCCTATCGTTGGGTTGCCCACCATTCAATCCTCAGCCTTAGGTTTAGTGACGCTGTGATTATCAGGGGAAAATAAAAATGCTCGAAATGAGGAGAAAAGGAACTCAGTTGAAGGCGGTACTTTAGATTCCACTTTTACATCCGAATTCGTTGAACTTTGGTAAGTGATTCAAAATGAGGCGCCTATTGATAACTTCGCATATTAACAACCTCATCGTCCAGAGGATAATATAAGCACCAGCTTCCTCCAGGCTCCTTGAGTCTATATAAAATAACATCTTAAATAAACTAGTGGCATGTGGATGCCCTGAAATCAATTACGCTGCTCCAACAAGCTACTAGCTCACCTTCTACAGCAGCCATTTATTAATTAATTTGACGATCAAACGACTCAATTTGAGTACAACTATTTAAAATCAAGTTGACAGAAACGAAACCATTGCGAACAGGAAAAGAGATGTTAGTCATAACTCTTGGCAAGTAGCACTCGCTCTTGAAAACTTGGACCCAGGCCCAATTGACTTAAGAGCTCGGTGAGAGGCGTAAACATCCATTAACAGCGTTGACTTCTTTTATAAAAATTAATGACTGGTGATCTATAAGTGCAACAATGACCTGATGGACAACACTGGACTTGGCAACGATGTGTTTAGATTTGTTGCGAGGGTGGTCACCGTTCGATAATCGACAAACTTCAAAAACTAATGCGGCGTTCGAGGGCAGCGATATTTTGCGCCTTCTGGTCAGTAGAAGATTCTTTGGTAACCACTGCAAGTACCAAAGCCACCAAACTGAGGATAACCGAGAGAACATAAACACTTCTGATCCCAAAGGCGTAATTATTTATAACAACATCTCTCACTTCGGGACTAAGTTCTCTTATCAGAGACGTGTTTTGACTCAGCTTAACGAGCAAGGTCTCAATTTCAGGCTCTGTTAAGAGGCCCTTCAGGCCACGTTTAGTGCCCCTACTCACTAGTCCTTGCACCAGACTCGAGGTTCCAGCAACTCCCCAAACGCAACCAATGCTTCTGAAAAGATATAGCGTTGCAGTGGCAGTTGCTTGCTTTCTGATGGAGAAGATAAACAAAAATGAGAATAAGGTTGATGGGAACGTTATGCCTTGACCAATATTTGCAGGAAGCAACAAAATGAATGTGAGCCAGTTTGGGGTCGTTTTTCGTATAAAGAGGAAACACAAATTGCCCGCTAACATGAGCGCAATTCCAGATATCAAAAGAAGCGGCAGGCGTCGCGTTTCCTTCATTGAGAGCCCCATTATTAAGCCACCAACTGGAGTGCAAAACGAGGGTATCGCAAGCCTGAGACCGGCTTGGGCAGCTGTGTTGCCATCTACTACCTGGAAGTAGAGTGGGAGCGTGAACATATATGCGTAGGCAACAAATCCCACGAAAAAGCCTACCACCAAAATGCTCCTGGAATGCTGGCCTACCAAGTGATGGGGGATGATGGGATTGGCTGTGGTAGTCTTTTCGACGTAGGCAAAAAGTACTAACGTTGCCACACTAACAAATAAAAAGCCCAAAGAGGTCGTATCCACGAAATGGGAGCTTTTGCCTATCTTGGAGCTCGTTAATGTCAAGAAGACCAGCTGACAAGTCAAGCCAACAATTAGAAGAAAAGCACCTGTGAAGTCAATCTTTCTCCATCTGCTAGAGCCAGCGATTGGCCCATGTGGGGTCTGTTGGTCTTTCACAAACAAATACGCGAGCCCCGTACCGGCTATTGAAATGGGCACTTGAATTAGAAAGCACCATTTCCACCCAAAACTTACCGCAATGGCTCCCCCCGCTGATGCTCCAACAACTGCGCCCGTACCGACCAAAATATTTTGGAATGATTGGTAGATGCCGCGCTTTTCAGGACTGATGATGTCGGAGTTAACGATGGTGGCTAGCGTGATCAGACCACCCCCTCCCACGCCTGTCACGGCTCGCATAAAGATTAGAGTTAGTATGTTGGGTGACAAACCGCACCCAAGACAGCCAAGTGCGAATATGCCGTTGGCGAAAAACATACAATGCCGCCGCCCGAGTGTGTCCGAAAATGAGCCGTAAAGAGGTTGAAACGACGTGCAGGTTACTAGGTAAGCTGTGGTAATCCAACTGGCAATCTTGACATCCTCAAATTCGTTACCGATGAGCTGGTAGATGGATGCTGTGATTGTTCCATCGAATCCTGACAGGAAAACGTTGGTGAACAAGGCAGTTTCAATAAGAAAAATTCGGTTTCGTTCGAGCCAGCTTTTTTGGCTACCCACGAGCTGCTCTTGGTCCAGATCCGATGTTTCCTGGCGATCGATCGACGAGTACAATGTTTCGTTTCTTCCTGGAACTCGCGAAAATGACATTGAAGTGTCTACCAGCCGATAGTTGGAGGAATCAACTTGCTAACAACCTATGGTCATTACGATCCAAGAGCTTCTTATATATAAATTAAACGGCCTCGTTGCCTCGTGAGTGGCCCTGGCGTAGGTGGCATTGGGCCCTAAATGACACCTTAAGCTTCGAACCCACCGCCAGTGTCTTTAACATGCCGCTGGAAGCCACAACGTGCCGAGAAGTCAGGTGGCTAAAGGCCAGGTCAAGAACGTCCATGAGTACTTTAGAAGAAGGAAACTGAGTACTCGTGCAGTGCTGGGCGGTGCTCAAAATTAGAACCTGAAGAATAGCCACCGCCGACTATCTCATGGTTCTATCTCCCGGTTCTATTATCATTATTTGCTTGGATAACCCATTTCGATACTTACAATAATCCGCGGGAGTTTGTCTAATTCGAGGACGGGTCGGTGTTCATACAAAATGGTCAGTGGACCTCGTTAGTTGAAAACGGGCAGCATTGCATCCAGTAAGGTCCAAATAGCATCTCTCGCAGCTTTAATAAGCTAGAGTCATCCAACCGTTTCTTAGTTCAAATATTCAACTTTTTTGTCCTTGGTAAAGGTTGCACAGAGCAACATTAACGCCTTCTATATAGGGAAAAGTTGAGATACTCAATACTACTGTTCGAAATATCGTTTAAAGCTTTACGATGCAGCTGCTGTGAGTTAGTCTTCGCACACTCACTAGCTACCATACCCACGTTGATATCGCACGCTCTGATTAAATTAGGCTTCTAAGGTACACTATGTATAACTGAAAGTCAATATTTAAGTAAAAGTATTTAACTTGCTATTTTGAAAGAACACAATGCTCGTGGAGGAAAAATGAAGGCAGCTAGGAGAAGCGAATATTGCATAGAACTTCAGGAGCACGTTTTGCTTGTATGCCATTGCCAAGAGAGGAGCCCTGTATTTAGTATTTGATATTTAATTAACCATCGCAAACTATTTGTTGTCCGGATGTGCCGGATGTGACGACAAACTGTGCACTTGGCTAAGCAGTCGGAGTGAGAAAAAAATCTCGCCTTAACCTGCTTGTCAAGAGAGCCTACCCTTGCGCTTTTCAGGGATGCATCTCGTTTCCAGAGAGTTGACAATAGGGCAGACATGCCAAATACTGAGCACAACCTACATTGCATTTTATTTTGGAGTTGGATATCCAATTCGAGTGCCTTAAATTACCTCGGACACCGAGTAGTGGTTGTATACTTTGGAATAGACATCTATCAATTAACCATCCTAGTGTCGGTAAATCATAAAAGGAGGATCCGATTATGCTGCGCGTGCAACGTTTGTTCTGGTTGTTGTACAACATTTTGATGGTTTGAAGGCTGAAGCTACAATTGATTCTGCTTTCAAGCTTTCCGAGAAACTCCGTGCCTCATGTGCTGCTCTCAAATTCGTAATCATCAAGTCACAAATTCCAGTGAGCGCTAAAAACAAGGCCTAAAATACGATTGCTGCCAGTATACAGAATGACATCCTTGAGCACTTGAAATTATTGAAGTGTGGGAATACTCTCGTCAACTCTTGATAAATAAATCGTCCCGGGTTTGATATTGGATATTTGAAGACCGACAATCTCCTGAGCGGACCCTGCCTGTTGCGACCTCCATAGAGCACTGTTTCCATGTTTCTCTCCACCACGGGTACATTATATGCGGCGCTCTCTGCCGACAAAGAGACTCACAAATAGTGTACTATCATAATCAGATTCGCGAATCATAGTATGACTACCCTCAGAACAACCGGTGGCCATAGTGAGGGGTGCCTAAATGGCCGGTAGAGGTTGTATTTCGTTTGCCATGCAGGGTCTGCTGAGCCTGCTGAGGAATTCTTTCGCTTACAAGATAACTTTTCTGTATCGATTTATACTATCAACCGAAGACAATCAACAACAGTGAAGACAAAGCAGTCACGTTGAAGACACGAACCACACTGCCGATTGCTACAATACAAACGGATATATTATTCAGCCGACAAAGCTTAAAATTAATGAGTTTTTGCAGATCATTGCAGATATTAGGCTAGCTCATTCATACTCAAGTGTTAAAGCTTTAAAACTTGAATGATGCCAGATAACGTAAAGCAGAGCACTGGCATCGGAGAATTTGAGCTCGGGCCTCTAAGCTCTGAAGATCGATCGAATTACGATCCCCAGAGTGGTGTAAAACGTGCCCTTAAGGATAGACATATCTCACTACTGGCTCTTGGCGGTGTCATTGGACCTGGATGTCTGATTGGTGCTGGCAATGCCCTCAGTATTGGGGGGCCACTGGCCCTTCTGCTGGGGTTTGGAATCATTGGATTGGTGTGTTTTGCCGTGATGGAGTCTATCGGAGAGCTTACTACGCTGTATCCTTCCGGTGGTGGCTTCACTAGTCTCGCTCGCAAATTTCACAGCGATGCGCTCTCAGCGGTGTGTGGCTACGCATATGTGGTCGTATTTTTTGCCGTGCTTGCCAACGAATACAATACTCTTTCCTCTATCCTGCAGTTTTGGGGGCCCCAGGTGCCGACTTATGGCTACATTTTGATGTTTTGGGCCTTTTTTATGGGATTTCAAATGTTAGGAGTAGGTGCTTTTGGAGAGTGCGAATATTGGCTAGCTTGGCTCAAGATCTTGGGACTTATTGCCTTCTACCTCTTCTCTGTCGTGTACATATCAGGGGGCATTCACGGCCAACCTGCATTTGGCTTCCATTACTGGAATAGCCCTGGGGCCCTTGCTAATGGGTTTCGGGGCATCGCAGTAGTATTCGTGTTTTGTTCGACGTTTTACTCTGGAACCGAGTCTGTAGCATTGGCTGCCACAGAGAGTAGAAACCCTCGTCGGGCTGTTCCACTTGCCGTAAGGCAAACTTTCTGGAGAATTGTCATTGTCTACATGGGCATTTCAATATTTTACGGGGTAACAGTGCCCTATGACGACGAGAATCTTGGTTCCAGTTCAAAGACCTTAAAGTCACCTGTGGGAATTGCGATAGTTAGAGCTGGCTGGGCTAATGGTGTACATTTAGTCAATGCCTTCATCCTGGTGACATGCATTTCAGCTATAAACAGCTCCTTATATATTGGGAGTCGCACAATCAGTCATCTTGCTCATGAGAATTTAGCGCCCAAAGTGTTAGCATGGACTAATAAGCGGGGGGTACCTGTGGCCGCTCTGATTGCCTTCAATTGTTTGGGCCTCATTTCTCTGATGAATATCAGTGTCGGTGCTTCCAACGCTTATGGCTATATTGTTAACTTGTCAGGAGTTGGAGTTTTCATTGTCTGGGGTATCATCTCCTACACACACCTTCGCTTCAGAAAGGCCTGGGATATCCAAGGCTTTTCTTCTCACGACTTGCCATATAAATCGCGACTATATCCTTGGATTCCAATATTCAGCCTTGCTGCAAACATATTCCTTGGATTGATTCAAGGCTGGACTTCATTGTCTCCATTCTCTGCAGGTGATTTTGTCGACGCCTACGTCTTATTGCCAGTAGGCGTAGTACTATACTTGGGGTTTGCCATATTCAAAACTGGCACCCTAAAGCCAGTTGATTTATCTACAGTCGATTTGCAAAAAGGTCAACGGGAAAATTTGGATGGGGACTCCGCCGAGTATGGGGAGAGGGGTGAAAACGTTGTTCCGAGGTCAATTTCTAGATTCACCAAAACCCTTTTTGGATGAGGAATTACGAAGAAAAGGACAATGTGAGGTAAACATTCTGGGAGGCATGCCATCTAACACAAATTTTGTAGGGATGTGGACAACAGTGAACAGATGATTAATTTTACCGCGGCTGATGAATGCTGCGAATATCCGGCTGGTGTTTACCATCGCCCCCCCCCCCCCCCCCCGACTGCCTGTCATGCTGATGATGCTCAGTTTAATTATCATTATCATTATCATTATGTCGTTAAAATATGTACCTATTATAGCAGGAGATTACAAATGTTTTAGTTCATACCACCTTAAACTTTTTCGATGGCTTCAACAAATGCTTTGTCAGTGTCAGGAGACCCTGAGTTGTGGGCAACAAAACCTTCTGATGGGACAAAATTCTTAGAGTGACGAGCGCTGGGACAAGTTTCGTACAACTCATCAATTTGCTCAAGTGTGAGGCCCTTAGTTTCGTAGATGAAGAAGTAGACGAATAAGAAGCAGAGGAAGGTGCATCCTCCCCAAATGAAAAACACTTTGGATTGTAGGTTTGCATGTTCGGCGTCAACGAGGTAAGGTGTAGCGTAGGCGATGGCAAAGTTGAACAACCAGTTGGATGCGGCACATACGGCGACAGATTTGGCTCTCACCCTAAGTGGGAATATTTCACCGACGACAACCCAGGCCAGGGGACCCCAAGTGGCAGCAAAAGAGGCAATGAAAGTACACGAGAAGGCAATGAGAGTCTTGTTTGCAGAAAAACTGTCTGGTAGAGCAGTACCTACGGCCGCAACGATCAATTCGCTGACACACATTCCTACAGCACCCCATAGTAGCAAATTTCTTCTACCAGCAATTTCTACCAAGGCGATACCAGGAACAGTCATTACAACATTGACAATGTTCATGATCAGCTGGATAATGAAAGGGTTCTTGATGCCAGAATTTTGGAAAAATTGAGTACCATAGTAGAAGATGAAGTTAATACCGGTCAATTGTTGCAAAGCCTGGATAGCCACACCAGTTATGATACGCTTCAATTGATGATTAGCAGGCTTAAAGCAGTCGAGGATGCTAGTCGAGCCAATTGATCTCTCGAAGTTGTAGTTGGCAATAATTTCTTCAAGTTCGGCTTCAATACATTCATGGTGTTCTGGAAGACCTCTTAGCTTTGATAGTGACTTGCTTGCTTCGGAGACTTTGCCCTTCATCACGTAGAATCTTGGAGATTCTGGGAGAATAACCATTCCCACGAACATGATCAAAGCCCACAGTAATTGGATAGCAATTGGGATCCGGTAGGAACCCGAGTCATGCCTACCATGCGTTCCCTGGTTGACACAAGCCGCGAGCAAAAGACCGATGGTAATGGCCCATTGGTAGCATGATGTAACGGCACCTCTAATCCACTTAGGAGATGCTTCAGCTTGGTAAAGTGGCACGATGGCAGACAAAACACCAACGCCTGTACCAGCAATGACTCTGCCCACGATTAAAAGGTTTTGCTCGCTAGCTATCACTTGCAGGATGACACCAATAGTGAAGATAATCGTGGATAGGATGAGGCCAAGTCTGCGACCCAAGCGATCCGAAGCTAAAGGAGCCAACATGGCACCGCAGAAGGTACCAGCTGAAAGGATAGCTGTGATAAGCGACGTTTCATTGGCAGTAAAATGACCGCGGGAAGTGAAGTGTTCCTTCACATAATCCATCGCAAGCACCCCGGAAATGGTACCAGTGTCGTAGCCAAACAAAATACCGCCAAATGCGACAAATAGCCCAACGGAGATAGCTCTGAACTTAGAGCCTTGGATGTTCTCTTCCGCATGGAAGAGTGTTTGAAGAATACCCATTAGTGATGGTGACTGAGCGGGTACGCAGGAGATAGAAAAAATTCAGGTATTTCTTAAATACCTAGCAAATAGGACTGAGGATTGGAATTATTATTAACAAACAGAAGAGATCTGCTAGTTCGATGATCTTTTAGAATCTGAGTAACGAGAGATGAGAATAAGGTTACATTATAGCGTACTTTTATAGCTTTCCCACTGAAACTTGTTCCTCACGTCCAGAATCAGTTCATAGCGACATCCATCGAACATCCTACTTGTGAATGGCAGCTGCTACCTAGCAACAGGCTCTTTCCTCGAACAGTGGTCAGTCTCTTGGCTTTGTATTTTTCGGAAAAACTTTTTTCCATCCGGAATAACAATGTTCCGCAACCCCTGCTCCTGCGACACTTTCTGAGGCGCTTTTGATTTCAGTACTCTTTGGAGGCACAGAATGATTGAACCGCTGGCCCCGACATGCACCAAAGAGCCGAGCCTAGCTTTTATTTAAGCGGGGAAATACTCGTTGACAATCGCCACGGTAACTAGGCTTCTGGCTCCTATTGGTATTGAAAAAAGGTCATTCGCTGTGGTGACAGAATATTTAGAAGTAGTCCGATGTCTTAGCTCCGTCACGCAGCCAAGGATAGAACCAAATGTAAAGCATCTCGTTAAACGTATAGTGTGTAGGTTCTAGCTATCGTCAGTGCTCGATGTTTCTCAGCCTCAAAATAATCGCGACAGTGGAAAACTAAAAGGGCTGCTCCGTTTGATGGATCACTCTTGAGGACCACTTTACAAGTGGTCCTCCGACCAGCCACTCTTTTTAAGCACTCAAGACCGGAATGAGTTAGAAGCTCCAGCTAGGTCTCATGGCAATGGCCAAACTCAATTCGGGCAACCACCATTTGTTCCCGTTGTTACCTTTTGATCTGTTAGTCGAGCTTGATCGTTTTGTTCAAACCCAGACACATTCTTGGCTTATACACAACGTTTGAATAGTACAAGGAGGGTTAGACATTTTTCATTGCTCCTTCCGAGATAATACCACCAGCTGATAGTGGATATGGCATAGCGTGACGATGCGTCTAGGCGGAAATAAGCACGCTGAATTAATATGATTAGTACAAGTGGGCCGTCCAGTTTGAGCATGAAGGTCTAACTAGTATGTGTTGCAATTGTTTGAAGATCCACCTAGAAAATATCAATAAGCACGCTTGTTATGGCTGCGGTAGCCGGCCGGATGACATTTCGGCCAATTAATGTGGGGAGATAGATAGCCATCGTATAATAGTTGAAGACTAGACAATGATCTCGGGTATGGGAAAAGATGCGCGGGATATAATGCTAAATATGAGGGGAAGCTCTATATATATGGCCTATATTTCAGGGGTTGATGTGGTTAAGAGGCCGAGATATAGTACGTCGTTCTTATAACTTACTTTAAAACAGAGATCTCAATGAGCGTTCCCGAGAGAGAGGGCACGAAGTCTCAAATTCCCTCGGAGCCATTGTTGTCATCATCATCAGCATCACCATGCTCCACCGGATCATCAGAGTCGTCGTTCGCCTCGTCATCCTCTTCTCTGAGGGTAAATAAGTCAACCGCAACGAATGACAAGAAGTTCGCTGCCCCAAAGGCCAAGGTCATGTTTGAAGGTAGTACTATAAAATCAAACGACGGGCAGGGCAATGGTGTTCGGCACAAAACAAGACAGGAAAAGAAGTACCGCGGCTTCGATAACCAGTTGGGGGGCTATTCAAGGACTGGATTGACGCCATTGACGCCATTGACCCCCATACAAAAAGGCTCCGAACCTGAGGGAAAGCGTCTCTCACAGCAAGGGTCTATACTAGCCAGACAGGCGTTTTCCTCTCCCAATCTCAAGGCTCTACACGACTCTAACTATGAGCGCGCACGACTATTGGAATTGTACCGATTACATGCCATGCAGCAAGGTCAAAACTACGTCGATCCGTTCTATCGCGAGCTCAATCCCTCCACAAGGAGCAAGAAATCCAAACCGGTGTGGAGCCTCAACCAACCCTTACCGCATGTACTAGATCCAGCGTTAACGAGAAAAATGCAGCAGAAAAGCGCGGATGCCAAATTTCAAGCTTCCTTCTCGAGGCCGCCTTCAGCAGCTGGGTCAGCAGACGTTTCTCGAGCGACATCCACGTCTTCTTTGAGCGAGTGGAAGAGGGCATTTAGACGCGCAACTTCAAGTAGAAAACTGACGGATCTGGAGGCTCAACGTCCAGCACCTTCGGACCCCGATGTGAAGACCTCGAAAATACATATCGGAGCCGAGGGCCCCATAACAAACATGAATTTCAAGGGGCAGCACAATGCAGAGTTTACTTTGGGTGGTGACAGCTACCAAAACTCTATCAAAGACATTTCAGTTGACCCACCTATTCCTGTCAACGAAAGTGCTCCCACTCGTAACGAAATTGAAGTAGGTCCAACTATTTCCAACCCTGACATCGGGCGTCCACTTTCCGAAGATGCCGAACCAATGACCTTTCCAAACTTTTGGGCCAAAATACGATACAAGATGCGAGAACCTTTTTCAGAGTTTTTAGGAACGTTGATTCTTGTCATTTTTGGTGTCGGAGGTAACCTTCAAGCAACAGTTACGAAAGGTGCAGGTGGTTCTTACGAGTCTTTATCGTTTGCCTGGGGATTCGGATGCATGCTTGGGGTTTATGTGGCTGGCGGGGTGAGTGGTGGTCATGTTAATCCTGCCGTTACGATCTCGATGGCTATATTCCGCAAATTCCCATGGAGGAAAGTTCCTGTATACATTTTTGCTCAAATAGTCGGGGCTTTCTTTGGTGGAGCCATGGCGTACGGATATTTCTGGAGTTCCATAACGAAATTTGAAGGCGGCCCTCATATTCGGACTGCAGCATCAGGTGGTTGCTTATTCACAAACCCAAAGCCATATGTGACATGGCGCAATGCGTTCTTTGACGAGTTTATCGGGGCAGCAATCTTGGTTGGTTGCTTGATGGCATTATTGGATGATAGCAATGCTCCTCCAACCAACGGAATGACAGCGCTAATTGTAGGATTTCTAGTGGCTGCGATAGGAATGGCGCTTGGGTACCAAACGAGCTTTACCATCAATCCTGCCAGGGATCTCGGGCCACGTATATTCGCATCCATGATTGGATACGGCCCGCACGCTTTCCATCTCACACACTGGTGGTGGACTTGGGGCACATGGGGTGGACCCATTGCAGGGGGCATAACCGGGGCTTTAGTGTATGATGTGTTTATTTTCACGGGCTGCGAATCACCCATTAACTACCCAGATAACGGATATGTCGAGCATAGAGTGAAGGCGATTCTTCGTAGAGAGCCTGATATGCAATCTAGGCCCGAAACACCTGAAACTGAGATTGACAGAAGTAGTAACAGCGAAGCACCAGTATCAGATACCAAATTGGGGTGATTTGCATAATTCAATAGCAGGAGTTTGCTTTTCGAATGAGAAGATCCCACTTGCTTTCAAATGATACTCGATACCGCGTTAATTTGAAGGCTTGAGGGGCGGCGGTCGAGAATTGCTTTAAGAGTCATTTGTCTACGACGATTTTTGACTCAGTCCTAAATGGCGGATAAAAAGGTGATAACGTTCTTTCGACTTAAAACAATGATAGTTCTTGGCCATTGTTTGCAAATCGGAGTTTTTGTTTTTTTATGTATCATCCTGCAGGCAAAGAGTAACCGCGATTAGGTATGGAGCGCTCGAGGATAACAGTGCACAAACGCCAACATTCGAGCAATCGCTATCTCAAGAGGAGATTCAACACAGTCAACAATTGATTAAATAAAAGTTTTGCTTAGTGATCACCGATAGTGAATGAGATTTGATAGTGTTGATTACATTTGGTCGTGGCGCTTCCCCAAATACACCTTTTCCCCAATAATGATATTAGATAAGCCATCGCAGCTCTGCACTCTTATTGCCTTCAACCCTCGAAACTTTTAGAAAGTTTAACATGGGCTCCGCCACTCGGCGCCTGGCGCCCACCCATATTGGGTTGGTGATTGTTTGGCCTAACCAATTTTGAATATCCAATTTGGCATTCTTGCACCCAAGCTTAGAACTCTTGCACAGAAGAGCGAATCTGGAGATGATTAACCAAAAAAGGTTTTAGGGTGCACGTCCTTTCGTGGTGAAAATTCACTAGGTCAATTTACTATTAATCGTCGGTGGAGCTGGTCTTCCTGACCCTATGCACCACACCATTGAGTTGGCGAAGAAATACATACAGTCGGGGAAGGAGAGCATCAAGCTGGTAGTATCGAAAAAATTACGTCTTACACGTCTTCAATCCAGAGTTCTGAGTCCTCTAGACTAACCGAAAGGGGAGTCCAAGTTGAGCTCTACGACACGAGCTCACTCTCTAGAGGCGACAGTTCGGATTTGGACAGAACGGATATTGAGATAGTGGAAAAGGGGGAGAGTAAGGTGGAAACTAGCGTAGACTCAAGTCTAGCATCTATCGCCGATAACATGGGATTTTCAAAGTCGCTAGGGCGCCCCAAGTGGACTTTCTGCTAGAATAAATCATTGTGAACTCTTCGAGTGTCGGGATTTTCTGCTGCGGACCTCCATCGCTGGTCGATACAGTAAGGGAAAGCACCGCTCTCTTTGTCAAAAAGTATCCTGCACTCCTATTTAGTATTTTGAGGAGCACCAGAGTTGGTGGCACCGGGGCTCGTACAGTGAGGGGCAAAACCCAATTATTTAAGGCGTGGATGAATGTTGTGAATGGCAGGGGAGCCCATCAAATACCAGTATAGTGTTTATTAATCGAAATATGCTGTAATTGTCGTTTCCGTAGGTGATGCTGGGTCTGCAAGAGCATACACTGTATGCGGACTTCCGACCATACCTATGGCGGGCGCACGACCCATAATCCCACTAAGTTCAAGTGCCGTGTAATGAACATCAGTGCCAGAGGCAATACCTGCGCTTATGGCCACGGAAATCTAGTCTATAATTTGTGAATGAGTACCCATTTTTACCTGATTAAGCGCATGGATAATTCGAAAGCGGCAAAGGTAGCGCCGTTCACGGGTAGTGATCGAAGCATGGTAGGCATGAAGCCCTTGGCAAAGGCACTGAGGCCACGCTCTTTGTAAATCGATCTGGCCACCGTCAAAGCGTTGCGTCCATGGACAGGTTTCGTCAGGTCATCTGCTTGCATCACGGACTTCACTACGTCAAATGGATATGTCATAGCCCAAAAAAAGGCTCCGGAGAAAGCACCAAAAATGCAAACCTTCCAAGCTGGGATCGCTTCGCGCGGTACTCCGCGATGCGCTTGGTTAGCCACGAGGGCCTCATAAGTCAAAAAATAGACACCGAACCCATGGGATGTTCTCATAGTAGTTGCAGTGAACCCCCTCATCAAAGCCCCAGCCTTTAGTAATTGTCTAGCGCAGTCCAGCGACCCCCGATATAGTCCCTTCCCTCGTGCTTTCTTCTGAATCTGCAAACGAATACGCACATGTTCGATGGGAGTAGCTAGAAAAGCGTTAGCTGTACCACTGATGAAACCACACATATAATATTGGCTCAGCTTCAAATGAGGGTTGTCACCGCCGTTGAGCGCATGAAAGTATCTCTTCATAGTCTCGTTAACTCCAAACTGACACGAAACGCATGCTCCCACGCCAACCAACGGCACTGCTGTACCTTTGTAAAACGCCAGCAATCCTTCGTTTCTTACCAAGCTTTGTATAGTCTCTACAGCCGTAGTCGGCACTGCCGACGTTTGTAATCTGACTTTCACAATGTCAAACGGCTGTCCCACTAAGACCTGCGCGATGCCGCCCACGGTTCCGCAGAAAATGTCCTCGAATGTCCGTCTGAACCCATGGACCTCTTCCAAGTCATCAACAACCTGTGGTAATGTCAACTCATCAGACATTGTAAGCTACCTGGCCCAGTCGTTATACAGAGATCCGGATATTGAGCAGAACGATAAACAGGAGAACCTTTCCAAAATGTTGCTGTTCTATATGGGATCTTTTCTGCCGATCTGTAAGCTGTGTCTTTACATCATTGAGCCGGTGTGGCTATTCGCAGATACATGCCGTCGCTTTTCAATCTCCGACAGCAAGTGCTCACATTACAAGTATCACTGGGTGAACAATCACAACTAACTGATATCAACATGATAACATCATAAACCTAGCCTAACTATCAAAGACGATATCGCATATGTAAATACGGCCTGCAAGTGCAAGAAATTGCTGCGCGGCCAACGCTGAGCGTAAGGACTATTCGAACCGATCAGAGAGGTAACCTGCGCTATCGTCAATGCGCTGAGCGTTTAGACTCTCCCGATGAGACACTTTTTTTTTTTCAGATAGGGAAAAACTTCCTATCTCACGTTCGCCGCGCAAAAGGCATTTTAAAGCGTATGGTGGAAGAAGCGCAGCAAACAGTCAAGTTTCCTAAGACGAAACCCAGCAATGTCGCTGAATGGAAACGCCAAAAATGCATAATCCTACAGGTGAGGCAGACAAATAAACGGGGCAGATATTATTGGGATATATCGAAGGGACCTTGAGTTGGTGTGCTGGAGGACTATGCCGATTATACCGTAGAGGTGTCTGTAATATTAAAAAAAGTAACCTAGTTCTATATCATTGGTCTAGCATACATAGGAGCAGGACGTTTGGGCGACTTTATTGCGCGACACTCGTCCACTAGTCACCAGCAGTTATCATATGGCGAAAGCCAAGTCCAAATTCCGCTCTTCCAGTATTTCCCACCAGCTCTTCTTATACTTCCAGCAGTCTTCCATGACGATCTTGGCCTGGTTCGCGCTTGCCATTCCCTTCTTCATTAGCGTTTCTACGTGGGACGTGAAGATGGGGCGACTGGCGACCAAATCCTTACCCACCAGCTCGCATCCACAGCAGAACAAGCAGAAGGTAATACATGACTCGGCTGATGAATTGAATGGAATCTCCTCATGAATTAGCTTGGAAATTCGCAAAAGTAACTCATTCACGGCTGGACTTCCCTGTGGAATTTCAAGAACCCTTCTTTTCAATTGCAGCACACCCGTGAGACCGAATACCGCGTTAGTGGCCCTTAGCATTTTATAGGTGTCATATCCCACCTCCCCTCCAGAGCCCTGCGGACAAATCGCGTAGAATTGACGGTAGATTTCATCTCGTTCTGATTCAGATTCGTTTATATACGTGAGAATCTTATGGTCCAGATCCAGGGCCTCCAAAAACAGCGGTCGCAATTCGTAGGCTTCTAGCAAAGATTCTTTTCGATCCACCAGATGAGCTACATCGGCCAATAACGACAGAATTTTAGTCTCCAAACCAGTGAAGTAATCGATGTCTTTTAAAGCCTTTCTTCGCTCATATATGGCTCTTTTTGTCCCTTGATGTTCAAATTGATAAGACAAAGGCCTCAACTTCTCAATAGGCACTATTTTTTTTACCGATGAAAGCGATCCAATAATGTTCAAATACGAAAACCAATGGTTCAGAAACGTTTCAGCATCCAAACCTTTTCCTATGGAAGAGACCTGAAGTATATTTTCTCCTCCAATCCTTAACTTATCTAAAATCAAACCTCGTGCGCCGAAAATGTGTGCCCTCCACTTGTTTCTGGTGTCACTGAAAAAAATGTCAAAGCCTGCTAACATAAGAACTGTGGCCAGTGTCGTGTGTGTATATCTCTGCTCTTGATTAGTCACGTCAGAAAGTAATTGAACAAAAGTTTCACTCAGCAACCTGTCGGCAAAGTTTCCATCCTGTATTGCTCTATCACATCCATGCGCTAGCTGCAATGAATGTTGCTGATCTCGTTTATATTTCGATATCTGTTTGCGATGATTAGCTGCGAATGCCAAAATTAGCTTCATTAGTGTTGTATTCTGCATTGCCATTTGTGGAAGAATAGTGTTAAACGGGTTCGATTCGTATGCATGGCGAGGTGTTGGCACAAATAACTGCGAGGTCTCCTGAAGGTAAAACCCAAACAGTTCTGAATGGAACGAGGACGCAAAAAGTATGTTAGGACATGGTGGGGGAATATGTACAGCCACTGGATTGAAGAAGGTTTGAGGGCTGATACTGTCCAAGATTGAATTTTGTAAAGCGACCTCACTCAGTGGATCTGGAAAGAGCAAAGCATTCTGAGCCGAAAAACCATCTAGCAAATCTGTGCCCTTGTCAGTTGCTGTAAGTAAAATGTCTTGGGATGGAGTTGTGAGTGAAGAATCTTTTAGGGCTTGAGCTCCAGTGCCCTCAAGACCAAAGTTAAATGTGGCCTTTTTCGCACTCTTATTCAAATTTCTGGCAATGGTTAGCACCCCGTTAACAAAAGCAGCATCTGGAAGGTCTTTTATGATCTTCTTGGAGTTGCGAGCCGGCCTCCCGCCCCATTTCAAGTGTAAAGAGTAATCGCAATCACTATTTCCCTTCTTGATGCAGTTTTTGCAGGTAGGCTTCTTTTCATCGCATTTTATCTTAGCCTTCTTGCAGTTACTGCACCCAGATCGAGATCGCTGGCCGTTGTTCCTGGACGACATAATCGTCGCATCGGTTTGGCTTATGCCTTTTATCTGGAGCTCAGTAATTTTCAATTCTCGCTTGTCAGAAACGACGACACATACTATTTCAATAGATCTCATGGGCAAACCTGAAAAAGCAGCTGTTGCCGCTTAGTGGTTGAGAACGGCCAGAAGATACTCACCCATGAGGTTCCTCTTTGTTCAAAAGTAGAGAATACGGTTGTCTGCATAAATGTCCAAGTTTATTAAGTAACGAGCTGTGCTACGTTAGCAGTCAGATTAATGGATCTAAACTCTAAAAATCTAAACTCTACAGCTCATTCACTATGTATAGAAGTAATGTTTGGTAACGATCCTAGCGCAAAGGACTATGTAGGCATTTCAAACTTCACTTGTCATTTCTTCGCTGACGCGACGATGTAAATTCAAATCAGATGGATACTCAGGTAGGCCCTCTTTGTCATCGGAAGCTTCATTGTCAGACTTTTCGTCTTTTTCGTAAAGCTTCATTATCCTGTGGAACCTAAAGTGATGTCCAAATGTCGCCAGGCCCTGTGCCACTAACAGCCAAGCAAAGAGGATAGGCAAAGCTCTATACAAACGGGGTACAGCGCCACCAGACCAGATATCTGTCAAAACATCATAAGCGTTTCGACCTGGAAGAGCGTAGGCCCAACGGTAGAATCCTGGATTGACTTCGAACGGGCTTATCGTGCCTGTAATGTTCAAAATGATATAGGTAAGAACAAGGAACGGTAGAGCGGGCGGAGGTAAGAATGCAGTACCAGTGTCTAAAACTAGGAGGTGAATATACATGAGAAGCCATAACGTCATCCAAGTAAGGACAAATTGGCCCCCGTTCACATCCCAACTCTCCCTGAAAGCCCAAATGTAGCCTGCTTGGCATAGGCCGGCCCCGAAAGTGAAAACAACACTGAAAGCGGTCCGGATGAGAAGTACGGCAGTATAGCTAAAGCTTTTGTATATCTTCAGCTCAAACGACACACCGTTAAGCATCAGAAGAAAGAAGAACTGCTGCAAGATAGGCATGACCATTCCTACTGTATTATAGAACAGCTTGGTCCCTTGTGGTGTTGGTGTTATGTTAATCGAAGCTGAAGTGATGGGGTTCAGGAGTACCTGTAAAGCTGCAGGATCAGAGCTATTCATACTCGCCATCGCTTTGGGAGCGAACTTCGCATTAAAGGCCAGTCTTGTGGCTTCAATAAGTGTTTCGAAGGATGAGCCAAGCGCTTCGTCAGAAATGGGTGGATAACGAACTTCATTCCACACATACGTCAATGCAGGAGTAGAATTGTACGTCTCAGCTGCTTCTCCTCCTTTCAAAGCCATCGAAAGGCGGTCTGATGAATTGGAATGGACCACAAACGCGCCCCAGTAATCCGCAGACCTCACTTTGCTGACTACGCTCTCGAGATCTGGATAGTCGACGGCGGGTTTCTCCACCAAAGTTGGGAATGAAGGGCCCTGCAACTGGTTGTACGCCCCTGCGAGGCTCTCGCCGATGATTCCATTGTCGAAGTCAACATGTAATACGCGGAAAGCATGTATTCTCGAGGGAAACTTGTAAATAGATCCGTACAAGTAACTCATGGTCCCGAGGAACAGGAGCCACAGGAGGAAGCCCAATACTCCCAAAATCTTGAAGAACTGTTTTCGGTTGTGAGAGGGATCGTGAGTCTTAGGCATTGTAGATGAACTCTTTACTTCGGCTGGTACATATCAAGACCACTTAGCACCAAAATACCAAGCTTCCACACACCTTATATATAAATGCTTACTGATATGTATGATGTTTGCGAAGCCTAACCATCAGTCATCTCATCTGAGCTATTCAAGCTGCCTTTACACACTGAAACCCATAATCAATTGCACCCTCGCTTTTTTAAAGCCGCACTATCTCTGAGTGGCTGGCGGCTCGCCATTGTTGTCGATCTCGGATGTCGAATTAAGAGCTGCTCCATCTCGGGAAGCGGTTGCACAATGGAAGAACAATGGCATAATCCAAGACAGTCAAAGGTGGCACGTGAGTATCGGACTTGACAGTAGCGCAGCTATCCGAGGTGGAACAGCGAATGCCAAGTCATTGGAACCTGAGTTGGAAGTGTGGGAACCATTTTCACCTGTGTTTACTAATAGGATTTTAAGAGCACTTGAATTCAGGTGAAATGCCAGATTGTGCCGAATGAAGTTAAATACCGGAATAATACTCTTCTGACAATCCGACATACGCCGTGATGTCTAAGAGTATTGAAGCTGGAACGCATAATATTGTATTTCATCAGTAGATTGGGGCTTTTTGCCCAGTAGTAAAAAGACGGAAATCAACGTCTTATTGGCAATCGCGCGGTGCATATCAAGCAACAAAATTGTTCACTCTACAGTGGGGCTCCGAGTTCAGTTCGCCTGAGTAGCCTAGTTGCTTGCTAAAGCCAAGACTGCCGACAATATCAATCCTCAACTATACTACCGATCCATCACTAGTGCCCAGTATCCTCTGTCAGAAAATTACCTGCAATGGTGACGATTTCATCCTTTCGTAGCAAGCCTCCAAAAAGACCCGAGTGCGCTCTGAAATCTTAACGAGCTCAGTCCTCTTACGAACTAATGAAGAGCTGGTGGTGTCTAACTCGCGAGCCAACACACAGATCACCGACACCTTTACGTCGTACTGGACCAAAATAGATACAAAATTGCCTGCTGCCATTGAGATTCTCATAGACACCAGTTTAAAATTCTTGCAGAAGTGGTCTGAAACCTCCTTCATCTAAAGTAACACTACTTGATGCTCGACTGCTCGAAACACCATAACTTTACGGATAACATGGAGTACAAGTGTTTATATTCAATACACGCGTGTGCCATAGCGTGAGAAGCTTCTCGGAAGCCGTATCAATAATAAACTTGAGGAAACTGTCAAAGTGTAACTTGCAGCGTCAGTTCTGGTAGGTTATAGCAGCTGAAATTAACTCCGCTCTAACGGCCGTATAATGCTCTGTAGCCAAGATTCGGCCGTAACATCAAGCCAATGCAGAAGTACATTTCAATGGACTTAAGAAGACATTTTACATATAAAACCTACTCGATTCTCTTATGTAAAGATTGAGTGCACCAGGACATGCTGCCTGGCAGTCATACATTGATAGAGGTCTTGGCATGAATGGCTCATCGGAGGAAAACAACCATATTGAAAGAGGAGGAGACGAAAATAACGATAAAGCACCGTACTCTAGGTTTGGGCGCCGAGCTAAAGCATTTCTTTCGGTAATTTGCGCATCATGTGGACTTTTCTCAGCAATCGCAGCTCCCATTTACTACCCTGCGCTTGACACCATCAAAGATGAGTTCCATGTAAGCGGCGAGCTTCTGAATATCTCGGTTGTGGTGTATTTCATCTTCCAAGGCATTTCACCGTCTGTGATGGGAGGCTTTGCGGACTCATGGGGCAGAAGGCCAGTCGTTATCTGGTGTCTGGCGGTGTATTTTGCAGCTTGTGTTGGCCTTGCACAAGCAAGAACATACGGTCAGATCTTGGGCCTCAGATGCCTACAAAGTGCCGGAATTTCGCCCGTAATTGCTCTGAATAGTGGCTTGCTAGGAGATGTTACATTACGGCATGAGAGAGGGGGCTACGTAGGAATGACATCCGGGATTCAGTTGATAGGATCATCATTTGGTGCTTTAATTGGGGCAGGTTTAACTTCTCGGTGGGATTGGAGAGCCGTATTTTGGTTCTTAGCCATTGGTTCCGGTTTCAGTCTGATAGTGAGCTCCTTTCTAATGCCGGAGACAAATAGAAGTTTAGCTGGAAACGGTTCTGTATTGCCAAAAAGTGTACCCAGCAGGGCCCCAATTTTATACCTCCCAGCCGTCAAAAGGTCGCTACATCTCGACAGACCGGACCTGGAGACACTCGTTACAAACAAGAAAATTACTTTTATGGCGCCCCTCAAGATCCTTGCCGTTCCTAGTGTCCTTGTTGTACTATGCGTTGCTGGCATACAGTTTGCGATATACACTTGTATGCTCACAGAACTTTCAAGTAGTCTTCAAAACGACTATGGCCTGAGTGTAGCAAAGGTGGGATTATGTTATCTTCCAAGTGGGATATGCACCCTGATAAGTGTTATAAGCACAGGAAGGCTCCTCAATTGGAATTATAAACGCCGTTTAAGCCAACATCGAAGAATGGTAGAAAATTACCACCCGGAGCAAAAGAACGAGCGCCCTGGAAATAGCGAGCATGCAGAAGATTTGGTCAAGGACGGTAAGAAGCTCAAATTCAATATCTATCGCGTCCGACTTGAAATAGGTGTGATTCCCATGATCTTCAGTTTTGGAGGCTACATTGCATTTGGTTGGTGTCTTTATGCAAAAACACACCTTGCTGTGGTTTTGTTTTTTAGTGGGCTTTCCGCGCTGTGTTCAACTGGAATTGTGTCTTGCACTAATACGCTAATGGTAGATTTGCACCCTGACAAGGGCTCGAGTGCCTCAGCATGTCTCAATCTTTGTCGATGCTTGCTCGCAGCAGCACTTATAGCAGCTCTTGATTCAATGAAGGCTAAAATGACAGTGGGCGGGACTTTCACATTCATGGTTGGCGTAGCAGTTTTATTTACTACGGGGCTGGTGTATATCGTCGGATCCGCGATGACCAAAGATACAGCGCCTGAGGATGTATATGAATAAAGAGAACTTTTCTAGACAAGGCATCGAGCCGAAGCAGTATCAGAATCTTATGCTAGCATAGCGCAAGTTTGAGCTTAAGGCGGTAGACCAGGTAATAATGACTTAAATAGGCAAATAGAGAAAGTCAGGAATCAAGACATTGTACAAACACATTCTGAGCTATGCATTCAGTAGTTGAGTAAAAATGAGACGCACAACATAAAGTTCTATATAGGCGTAGCCTTTTGTGACTGACGATTCTTCCCATCGTTTAGGCTTTAGAGAAATGGTCGAACCAGTGAATCTGATCCAACAAAACTTTCTCCTTCGCGTACTTGATTTTGGCATCCTTAATGTCCCCTCTCACAGCGAATCCGTGACTGACATTGCTGAATAAATCCATTTGAAACACAGCGCCGCTGTCAATCAAAATCTGTTCAGCTTCATGTCTTGCTTCCGTAGTGAAAATAGGATCAACTTGAGCCGCTGAAATGAGCAAGGGTGTTTGACCAATGCTTTTGAGTTTTGCGTTTTCCAGGAAACTTGGGTGTGCAATAGCAACAGCGTCAGCCAATGGCGATGGTGACTGAATTAAGTCAACAGCGTATCTGCCACCGAAGCAATGGCCGATGACACCAAGGAACTTAGGATTGAGTTCTTTTTTCAAAGGCTCTACAAAAGCACTGATGATTGGCCCTGTGACCTCGGGTCTGTGTCTATAGGCGTAATCCTTGAAGTCCACGGACCCATCCATCGCTGTGACCGCATCTCCAAATAATATATCTGGAATTACGACCTTGTAGCCAGCTTTTCCAATTTGGTCGGCGATTAACCTATTATTGACAAGTCCTATACCGTAAACGTCGGTAAGAATAACTATAATTTTATCATTGGAAGTCGATCCGGTTACATAAGTCTTTAGTCCAAAAAGCTCTTTAATCTCACCAATAGACTCTCCCTCGTGCAAATTTCCAGTGAAACAACATTTGCTTGCCATTTTTGAAATAGGGTTAAACCTTTCTGACGGTTGGTGCTACAATTGAAGATGCAATTGAGGTATCATATGTGTATTAACCTCTCGATATGACATGCATATTTATATGTAAATATTTGTCGGCATAATTGGACACTCTCGAGTCGGAGATTGCACGGGCAATAGCTTTACGGCCGAAAAGTCTTTTAGCCGAGCACGACAACTGCCGACGACAATTATGTCATATTGGGATGATAAGCTATTGAACGGAAGCTCGCATCAAAGCCTAGTGGTCCAACCGTACACTTAAGATCTGGTCTCATATCTTCTGGTGATCAAAAATGATTTCAGCACAATATGCGAATTTTTTGTGGCACACTCGTTAATTGCCAATTGAACCTTTATCCATGCACTGGTCGTTGCTAAATTTTGAGGTACGCATTTGCGTTGCCAACGTCTCTCGAAATATACTTGCGACCAGTGGTGATTACCTCGAGTGATGTTTTTATGAACCAACTAAGTAATCGACATCAATCCAAGGTCCATGGGTACATAGAGCTCGCCAAGATGTACTATGTGATAGTTGGAACACTTTTCCAAGGCCCTCTATAACTTGCTTGGATCAGCATTATTATCCCGTTGAAGAATAATGACATTATATTATCAAATATATATAAATTGGCGCTATAAGCCAGCATGGGACCAATCCGCTAGGCAGCATATAACCCTAGATTGGCAGATAGACTTGGCACAAGCTCTAGCAAGTTACTTAGCCTAACAATGCCCTCGCTTCAGGAGCCTGGCAGGAGTTTCGACTTTGGTATAAATAATTTACGAAGTATCGTAACCTGTGGCGCGAGCTATGGCTTGATTCCGCCCAAAGGTGCAACCAGCGTCCCACCATCACACGTAGCACCAGTTAGAGTATTTTCAGGCGGATTTATTAGTCTGAGCTGCCTGCAGTTCATCTTTCTTGTGATGTTGGCTTAGCATGACGTTAGCTACAGCTTCCCCCTTTGCGCCACATTCCTTGACCAAACCTTCTGAAACCCCCTTGACATTGACCACATCTTGCTTCTGATGCGCCTTCACTTGGCACTCAAATCTGTCAATCTCTACCTCAAGTCCCACAATCCCTCTAAGCATGGCATCGATATAGTTGGAGGGCGCGTCAGAGACAGTCCACTTTTCTTCGAAGTCGGGACCTTCGGGTCTTTTGCCTTCTTCCTGATCGGTCACCGTGTTGAGCATTCCAAGGAGCCAATCCTTGTCATCTCGAATGATTTTAGCCTTTCCATAGACGTGTACAGCACTGTAGTCCCAAGTAGGTACAAACTTGTGAGTTTTTTTTTTGAGTGGATACCAAGAGGGGGAAATGTAACTTTGGGGGCCCTGGAACACCACCAAACACTCCGGCTGCTTCTCTAACAACTCTGCGTGCTGATTGTTTTTTGACAGGTGTGCTAACAACCGATATTTATCAGTTTGCTGGTCCTTTACAATGACAAAAGGGACATGCGTGGCATTCATTGATACAGCAGACGGCTTTATGTAGTTCAAAAGACCATTCGATTCCGGAGCATGGCTGAACATGATCCCAAGCGGGTTATTTTCGATAAGCTCCACCTGTTGAGCGACATCGCTGACTTGGTAGGGTTGAGGGATATACATTGCTCTCTATGATTTCTTGCCGAACAATGGATGGTGAACCGGGAGTCAAAGGACTGACTGGCTTTCTACAACTTATATGCTGGGCTACTTGCTTGAGTCATGGGTTCCTGCTTGACGTTGTTATTAGATAAAAGATAATTCTATCGGGAAGCCCTCGGGATAAAGATAAGGTACAATCGGCAAGTCTGAAAAAAAAAAAGACCTAGACTGCTAATTCAGCGGGAACTTCTCGATTAGATCGCAATAATTAATTCGGTGATGATCGATTACATGTGCTTGTTAGGGAAAGAATATGGGAACTTTATTTCCTCTGCCACCTGCTCGAAACTCGCCGAGGTATCACCCTAGGAATGCGATAGAAGAAGCTCGAGATTGCGCACTCTATAAATGGGGTCCCATTACGCTACGAGAGACGTGCACGCTTCGCAATCGTCCCTCAAGAGAAGGTCCTGAAGCCCAACGTACTGCATGCAATATCCGTACAATATGATCGATATGGATCAGTAGTTGAGCTGAATGACATTCTGGCTGGGTCCTCGCAGCATCTATGCCAGTGTTGCTCTTGTACTCAAAGTCGTAGACTGGGAGCTGTATTGATCGACACGCTTGATCAGTGGGATTCCGGCATTTTCACCTAGGTCTGCATTTTTTTCGTAGTGTGACATTCCTAGGTGAGCCAGCGAACCAGAGCATCCAGTACGCGCTTGGTTTCTAACTCTTTCCAAATGAGAAGAACAAATGACTCGTTTTAGTTCTCAGCTTAGTTTGGCTTTAGTTGAGGCCGTCCTAAATGCTCTTGAGATTTTACCACTATCGATGAAAATTCCATTTAATTAAGCCCATATCCCAACCTCATCGCAGATCAACGCAGCTCGGCATGGACTTTCAAGATAGTGGGAGCGAGGACTATCTGTCCGACGAGGAAACGAGTCAGGTGCTGATCACCTCGAAGAAGAACCAGGGCAAGGATGTCTTCAATCAGAACGAAGAAGAGGAAAGTGAGGTGGAAAGCGAAATCGAAGACCATCCAGGCTCAACTACCGAGCTAGCGAGGTTCGACGGCAATGAGCCCGAAACGGACACGAGGGCCCAGATCTCTCGAGATGAGCATGGTCTGGAAGGCACCGAGGATGAGGTACGCCAGTATCAGGACGAAGAAGAGAAAGCCACAGCATCTGCTGACGAGAAAGAAGATCAAGACTTGGAAGGGCTCAAGAAAGAGAGGCTAGAGAGGTTGAAAAAGCTACGGGCAGTCAAAAAAAGTAAGCACAAGACTGGCGTGGTGTACCTGTCGAAGATTCCACCGTACATGAAGCCCGCCAAAATGCGCCAACTGCTTTCACGGTTTGGGGACGTCGACCGACTATTTTTGAAGCGCGAAGATGACCAGAAGCACAGAAACCGTGTACGGGGTGGCGGAAACAAGAAGGTGATGTTTGAAGAAGGGTGGGTGGAGTTTGTGCGTAAGAAAGACGCCAAGCTGTGTGCCGATACTTTGAACGGAAACATCATCGGAGGCAAGAAGGGTAATTTTTACCACGACGACGTGATGAACGTGAAGTATCTGTCAGGCTTCAAGTGGGCCGATCTCACGGAACAGATTGCCCGTGAGAATGACGTGCGCCAGGCCAAGCTGCAACTCGAAGTTTCTCAGGCCAACAAGATGAACGCCGAATTCATTCGCAATGTCGAAAGAAGTAAAATGCTCGGGAACATCAAGGCTTCGAAGAAGCGCAGTGGCTCGGAGCCTGACGAAAACATTCGGCAGGAGCCTTCGCCACAAGGCTTCAAGCAGCGCAGGGTAACAACGACGCGTGCAGCGGGCCCAGAAGAGCACAAGCAAAGCTCCTCCAAGCGTTTAGACAATGTCATACAAAATTTGTTCTAATACCAGCAGCGACAAGGTATGATGTGAGACTCTCTACGAGTAGCCAAGCTTTCAGCCCTTCAGCAGAAACTTTTGTACATTATAATCACATACAAGCATCGATAGACTCAAGAGCAAACATCCTCCTGGACACCAGACTGGGCTCGACAGCCCAACTTCGCACTGTCAACACTCACCGCTTCTCAGAGAACCCGACGGACCGCCTGTTTATAGATCTTGGCCAAAGGCGTATATAGCGATCCACAATTTTTGGTAGCGGTTATTGTGAAAAAAATTTTACGCTCATCGCAGCTCATCTCATCTCTTCTTAGTTTAAACTTACCTTCTCGACGAACAATTTCGATCCAATAGAGATTCATTGTGGGTGTCAAAGACCTTTGTGACCATTCATTGAAATCGCTAGTATTTTCAGATTTGGGTATTAACCAGCCTTTGTAAGCTTTCAAGATGGGTACCGGAAAGAAGGAGAAACAGAGACGTATTCGTCAAAATGACACCAAAGATGGGAATCTGCGAGTGAAGGGTGAGAATTTTTATCGTAGTGGGAAAAGAGTTCAGTTTCTGAATATGTATCGCGATGGGAAGTCGATTCGCAATAAAAAAGGTGATCTGATTCGTGCGGCTCCGTTGCAAGGGACTGACATACCTACGGCTAGAGTACAGCCAGATCGTCGTTGGTTTGGGAACACCAGAGTTATTTCGCAGGACGCCTTGTCACATTTCCGTGACGCGCTTGGCGATACTGAAAAGAACAATTACCAAGTGCTGCTGCGTCGCAACAAGCTTCCTATGTCGCTTTTGGAAGAAAAAGACACTAAGGAGTCTCCACAGGCGAAGATTCTAGAAACGGAAAGCTTTGAGCAGACTTTTGGTCCCAAATCGCAACGGAAGAAACCCCGGGTAGCTGCTTCTAGTCTGGAAGACCTAGCCACGTCTTCGGCAGAAAACACCACTGCGTACGAAGAAAAGCAAGAATTAGATTCTACGCTGGGGCTAATGGGACAGAATGGCACGGACGAAGATGGGTGGTCACAGACGGCCAAGGAAGCCATTTTTAGCAAAGGGCAATCCAAGCGGATCTGGAACGAGCTTTACAAGGTCATTGATTCCTCGGATGTGGTGATCCATGTGTTAGACGCTCGGGATCCGCTTGGAACTAGGTGTAAGTCGGTCGAAGAATATATGCGGAAAGAAACTCCTCATAAGCATCTAATATTCGTACTCAACAAGTGCGATTTGGTACCAACTTGGGTGGCGGTATGTTTTAATTTATGAATTTGATTGGTGGATTTATTCTGCTGACATGGCTAGTCAGGATGGCGAATATTTGGATTTTACGAGAGGCATTGGAGATTTTTTGAAACCAAAACTTCTAGTCAGGATGTTTTCTGTTCCAAGAGAACGACCAGTTTACGAAGATGTCTGTTACTGTTTTGGGAGATTGATACTACTCACAGTCCTTCCTTTGCTCCCGTTCTGGGTGCAATGGGACAACTAGGCTGGCCTTCTTCGTTTTGAGGATTGTTGAGCTTTGTTGTGAGTAATGAGGCGTTCGAGAAGTATTGGGCGCAGAAGAATACAAGAAAACTTTTCTTGTATAACAGGTTTCTGCGTTCGCTTGCTTTTCGATGCCTCACAGCATGCAAAATCACTCCAAAGATTTCTCGTGAAATCAAATTATGCTAGCTTGTATCACGGTCAGCATTTGATTTGGCTTATGGCTCTTCGGATTTAATACTAACATTTTTTTTTAAACAGGCTGCATGGGTGAAACATTTATCGAAGCATCGTCCAACTTTAGCATTCCACGCATCTATCACTAATTCATTTGGTAAAGGTTCTCTAATTCAACTGCTGCGTCAGTTCTCGCAATTGCATAAAGACAGGAAACAAATTTCGGTCGGGTTTATTGGGTACCCTAACACAGGTAAATCTTCGATTATCAACACCCTTCGTAAGAAGAAAGTGTGCCAAGTTGCGCCCATCCCCGGTGAAACCAAGGTGTGGCAATACATCACCCTGATGAAGAAGATCTTTCTTATTGATTGCCCAGGTATCGTTCCTCCTTCAGCAAAAGATACCGAGGAAGACATTTTGTTTAGAGGTGTGGTAAGAGTCGAACACGTTTCCCACCCAGAACAGTACATTCCAGGCGTTCTGCGAAAGTGTCAGAGAAAGCATTTGGAGAGAACATATGAAATATCCGGCTGGAAGGATGCCGACGATTTTATCGAAATGCTTGCTAGGAAAATGGGAAGACTACTGAAAGGTGGCGAGCCAGATGAAGCTGGTGTTTCTAAACAGGTGTTGAATGACTTCAACAGAGGTAAGATTCCCTGGTTCGTTACTCCTCCAGAGAAGGAAGAGCCAAATAAAGCTGCTGGGGCCAAGAACAGCGATAAAAAGAGATCCGCCGCGGACGCGGAGATTGAAGTATCAGAATCCAGCAAGAAGGCTACTGTTTAAATTGAAGGAGTTATGATATGGAGACTCCTCTTTGACCAGGGGTTTTAATTTGATGCTTGTTTGTACAATATATATCTATAATGGGACCAATATTTCTGCCGAATCCAGATGCGTGCGCGTCTCTCTTGGTAATTTCGCAAACTGACAGCGCGTTGTTCATGGCTGTTTAGTCATTACCTACAGGAAAACTTGGGTAGGATATCCTACACATATCACAGCCTATGCTATAGATATAATAACGCCAGCCAGCACACCACCTTCTCAGGTTCATTGAACAATAGAGTGTCATGGTTCAGCGAGATGGAAGGCGAGTCCACTTAGTTCTTGAAGCGAGTACTTCCAGGTTAATAGCTCGAAAATTTAACTATCTAACCTACTATCGAGTAAAGTTGAAATCGTGATAGGCCCAAAATAATTGACCATGCAATCGATAAGACAGCTACCAGATATGCCTATGAATGACCACTTCTTTTCATCACATAATCAGCAGCATCAGCAACCTCCAGGGATTGGACCTCAGCTATTTTCGCCCCAGTTAATGCATGCTCGTTTACAACAACAACAACAACAGCATCAGCCGCAGCAACAACCAAATGGACTAGTAGGAGATGCTCATACAGTAGATAAGAATACTGGGCTCCAAAATGTGTACCTGCTCAAGCAAAAAATGGAAGCTGCGAATGCTGCTTTTGGACCACAACAGATGACCCAGCGCCAAATGCAGCCCCAACAGATGTTGAACAACGCGGGCCAGAACGGAATGTCGAGCACACTGGGAAATCTAAGTGGTCTTCCGCCTGGTGTGAATGTGCTTCAACAAACAGCTGCTTCCAATTTGGGCCCCCCTCCGGGAGCTTTACCCCCACATCTGGTGGTGGAAAACTCGTTCGTCCTTCCCCCTCCTAACCAGTTCATGGTGCGAGACGTGTGGAGCAATAATCTACATGCTGAATTTTCTCAGATTCGGAAGCTTGTGGATCAGTATAGTGTGGTGTCTGTGAGTACGGAGTTTGTGGGGACAATTGCAAGACCCATGGGTAATTTTCGCTCGAAAAACGACTACCATTATCAAACTATGCGTTCAAATGTTGATCTTCTTAATCCTGTGCAGATTGGTATCTCTATAAGCGATGCTCGCGGTAATAAGCCCGAAACCGGCCCTTCTACTTGGCAGTTTAATTTCCAGTTCGATGTTACTCAAGAAATGGTTTCAGCTGAGTCACTTGAGCTTCTGAAAAAGTCAGGCATTAATTTCGAACGTCATCAAAATTTAGGTGTGGCACCTTTTGAATTTGCTCAACTGGTGATGGACTCGGGGCTGGTATCGGACGACATCACTTGGGTCAGCTATCACGCTGCCTATGACTTTGGCTTCCTGGTTAACATGTTGATGAACAACTCCATGCCCAACAATAAGGAGGATTATGTTTGGTGGGTTCATCAATTTATGCCTAATTTCTACGACCTCAACTTGATTAACAAGTTTGCTCAACAACAACAGCAGCAAGGCCAGAATCAAAGTCAATCACCATCTCAGTTGCAGCCTACACTGGAATCTATGGCAGATGAACTGGGCATTCCTCGTCTTCCTCTCTTCTCATCCACAGCCGGCCAAAGTCTACTGGCACTATTGACTTTTACTCATTTATTCAAACTTCGCATTCCTCATCCTCAGTTGGGGCCAAATATCGCCAGGTACAAGAATATGATCTATGGAATTACCAATGAATAGATGCTAGAGTAGTGACGCTGTTTGTAATGAAGTGAAACACGAAAGATCTATAGGGAACGAAAGGGATCCGACATCCTCTGCCCTGATAGAAGCTGTCCCCATTGTCTGTTTCCTCCGTTTTATTAGGCCAAACGTCATCATAGAAATTGAGTTGAATTGTCAAGGGCATAGGTCATGCATGAACAGTCGAATTCTATAATTAGGACAAGCCGGATACTACGGTCAGGATGTAAGATTTTAGTAATGATGAGCGATATTAAGTAGTCGTTTGTAATAGTCGAACTGGAGGTTTACTTTAATTTGCAAAGAATTACTTCTAACTTCTTAAATAAATACCAAGCACTGATTGAATGAAATGAAAGCTCCAGTGTGCGGCTTAAGTGTTATGGTGTCGCTTGATTTCGGTTACCTTGTCTCAAAATCAGAGCATACAATATATATAATAACATGATTATGAAAAATTTTTGAAATGAAAGATGATTCAATGATAAAGCTCGTCGACAATCCATAAAGACCTAACTACTTTCTAAGTTACCAACACCGCCAAAAGGTTTGGAATATTTCATCATCGTCCCAGACTTGAGTTGTACTATAGTGGAAACTTAGATAAGTGTTAATCCGACCCCTCCTGTTGATACAATTGCATTTACACACATCAGATACACACTATAAAGATCGGGATGGCTAGCGTCGTTAACGTTCCAGAAATTGGCTATGCATTTCTCAAAACGTATTATCAACGGATGCACCAAGATCCAAGCAAAGTTCATCACCTGTATTCTACCACTGCGGAACTGACGCACGTAAACTATAAGGACGAGTGGGACCTGAACGGCGACGAGTTGCCTACTGTCAAATTGATCGGTAAAGAGAACATAAGCAAGTTTTACACTAGACATAGTAAAAAAGTGCGGTCACTTCAAGTGAAGATTGATACTTGCGACTTTCAATCTGCTGGGGGCAATAACACAAGCATTTTAATTTTGGCTATGGGAGAAATGTGCTGGGCAGACACGCCTTCTTTTCGCTTTTGCCAAATTTTCCAGCTTGTACCAGTTCCTAGTAATCCAAAAATTTACGACCTCACCAACGATATTTTGCGATTTGTCCCGCAGCCCATGCTGCAAGCCAACGGCCTGGTGGCATCAAATGAACCAGTCCAGAGCATGGGTGCTGATCAATCAGCGGCACAAGAGCCTCCAGCGGTTAATACGAGTGAAGACGTGTCGGCCGGAACAACGACCACCCCTGGCCCCGCTAAAGAAGAATTGAATAGTTCAATTGGTGATGTTCACCCAGCTGCTACGGTACATCCCTCGCCAATGCCGGCATCAGACCAAGAATCAAGAGGAAAAGATACACAGACGCCCAAGGACACTTCTTTGATTCAAAAGCCAGATGAAGCTGTAGCGCAACCAGAAAGAGCTTCCGAAGTTAACGGCACACTAGACCGCCCCGTCGAGGATTTAGTCGACGAGAAAACTGAGGAAACAGCTCAAGGTACCACATCGCCACCAGTAAAAATTAACGAGACCACGAACGATCAAAGCATTGAGCCCGAAAAGAACATCACGTCTCCGGAGCCCACTAAAAAAATGAACTGGGCCTTGAAGCTGGCTGCTTCAGAGTCCAAGGACGTCCCCAACGTTACGACGAAGTATATTCGTGCAGAGCCATCAGCCCCTTCGCCCGCCAAAAAAGTACCCGAACAAAAATCTGTGTCTCCTAATGCTCTTTCGCGTGAAAGCAGAGACGTAAAAAATCCTAAAAAAAAGCAGTTTAATCTTGTTAACAGAGATGGCTTTTACCCCATTTATGTCAAAGGTACCGGCGGCGTCACTGATGACCAGCTAGTAAGGGCATTAGAAATCGAATTCGGCGTTGTCAAGAGAATCTCATCTCAGGAGACGTTTGCAGTTATAGATTTCGAAGACCAGCGATGTCAAACAGAAGCCATCGAAAGAGGTACACTAAAAGTCAACAACGTCGAGGTCCACATGGAGCCCAAAACTGTGCGGAAGGTTGGTACACCTTCCTCCTCTCCTTCTTCGACCTCATCATCTGGACAGCGTTTCACCAAAAAACATACTAAGAGGAAACTTAATGCCTAATACCTCGTGAGACAGGTTATGCAGTAGAGAGTATATAGCTTATCTGTCTAAAATTCGGCAGCATGATGTTTACATAGACACATCCCAGGACTCAAGTCTTTTATACTATTCGAGGTGGTTCGAGTCTCGCGGGCCGCAACTAAAAAAACCTAATTGGATATGAAATACCAAATGATTAAGATTTCCAGACTAGTTTAAAGTTATCTTTTAAGCTCAGGCATAGAGTTTAAGGCTGGCCGCTTTAGAGCTTAATTATGCTAGTTCCACCCGCTAACTTTGGGATAGCAGAAGAAGGAATTTGTATGGTATCAGTTGTGTTTGATGCAGTCGAATATTAAAGAGACAGCAATGACTAACTTAATTGTCCTTTTAGATCGATGCTCCAAGATCGAGACACTCAATTTATCTTTCTTGGAAACGCTCAACCTTAAAACCGTTATATTTGTAGGGGGACAGGAGCCTTCCAAGTTTTTTCGTGAGTTTTTTGAGCGTTCCGGCGTGCAATGGTTCGTCGTAAGAATTACGGATGTGTCTTCAAATCTTGCACCAGTCAATGCAAGTGGCGGCAAATCGAAAAACGAGGAAGAATCTCCGAGGAGTAATGGAAATGCGGCACATGGGGATTATGAACTAAACGATAATGACGATTTGATGATGATTAAGAGTTATAGCCTAAAACGAACCTTTGAGCTATTACTCAACACGTCCAACCATAACACAATCCTTGTTGACAAAACATCTATAGTGGTTGGGGTTCTGCGAAAGATACAAAAATGGAACATATCATCCATCATAAATGAATACAGGCTATTCGCTACTAAGAATTCTAACTACTTTGCCGAGACCTTGTTAGAGATGATCAACGTCCGCATAGTGCAGGAGGAGGAGGACAAGCTGGTTCTGGATAATCTAGCGACTCTTCAAATCCAGGAATCTGGCGGTGCTAACGACCTTAGCGGCTGTGGCAAGTGGGAGATAGTCAACGAATCGGACCTCATATTTCCTCCCAAGATACCGACTCATCTCCTGCGCATTTTGAAGGACGTGCAGGCTGACAATGAGGATGCTGGTGTTCTGGTGGATTTGAAGCTTCCTGCAATGACCAGAACGCAGTCTGATCTCGGCATATTCGGGAATCGCTATCGACTGGCTTTCAATAAAAAAGAGCGGGCCGATTATGACTTCTATAAGGGTGGGAATCACAACGTAATAACGTTCCACATTCCACGGGAAGGTCTTCTGCCTAGCTGGTTCACTCGTCAGCGGGATATGTGGGAGAGCGAAAATGCTCAGGAAGAACACAACTTTTACACTGAGAGCATATTTGTGTGAGGGTGTGGTATCTAAATAACATACTGGAAGTCACCTAGCGCCCTATAACGACTCCAGATCGTCATATTTATGCCGTTAAGACTGTGAATAGCACGGCTTTCCAGTTTGTCTCAAGCATGAACAAGCCAAATGACTCGAGTGAACTTAAGACATATCCACACGGGCCGAGCCCTGCGCATGATTCAAACTTTTTTCATTGCACTGCTTTTCGATATTAGATATGCTACGTCTAGTTTCGAAGCCTCCAGGTGTGTAGGAGCATTTATGTACTCGGTAATCATAGCGTGAAGTGGGTTTTCTGGCATGAATAAACATTGACCGGCCACCCACGCAGAATGTTACATAATCTATGCTGATTAAAAGTTGGATAAAGACCCTGCCTCTTTGCAGCTTGACTCAAAAGACGGGCAAGCATCAACATTCGCACGTTTTGATCTGGTGAGAACTTCCCTCTCTTGAGTGTACTCATCGTGTTTTGTCAGTTGTATTCGTGTGTTTTATTCCATTGGAATTTAGGAAGAGTCGTTCAGCTGAAGTTAACGATGTTTGATGCCTTAAGAAGCCACGGGAAACAGATAAGTATCACGGATAAAATTCCGGAGGAACTTGTGGAAGGGCGATATGGGCAAGGAAATCCCACGGGGAACAGGGCGATGCAAAACTACTGGATATGGCCAGAGACTATTTAAGTTGAGAGGTAGTAGGTCAAAGAGATAATGATATTCTCTGCTGCTCTCGACATTGAGCAGTCTAGCTATAGCTACTCTATTCACACTCGAGATGGTAAAGAACGTTCTTTTGCTCGGATCTGGGTTTGTCGCCCAGCCAGTTGTTGATGTATTGGCTGCCACGGAAGGTATCAACGTGACAGTGGCCTGTAGAACTTTGGCTAAAGCGCAAGAGCTGGCTTCTGCGTCTAATTCAGCTGCGATCTCGGTGGATGTTTCCAAAGACGAAGAACTGGACGCAGCGTTGTCTAAACATGACTTGGTGATTTCTTTGATCCCTTACATTTACCATGCTGCCGTTGTCAAGAGTGCCATCAGACTCAAAAAGGACGTGGTTACCACCTCGTACGTTTCCCCAGCTCTGAAAGAGCTTGAACCAGAGATCAAGAAGGCTGGTATTACGGTGATGAACGAAATCGGACTGGACCCTGGTATTGACCACTTGTACGCCATCAAGACTATTGACGAAGTCCACAAGGCCGGGGGTAAGATCAAATCTTTCTTGTCGTACTGTGGTGGTTTGCCAGCCCCAGAGAACTCGGACAATCCTTTGGGCTACAAGTTCTCCTGGTCTTCCAGAGGTGTTTTGTTGGCCCTGAGAAACTCAGCTAAGCTTTGGAAAGATGGAAAGATCGAGGAGGTGTCCTCTGAGGATTTGATGGCCTCCGCTAAACCTTACTTTATATTCCCCGGCTTCGCCTTGGTATGCTACCCTAACAGAGACTCTACTCCTTTCAAGGAGCTTTACGAGATTCCAGAAGCCGAGACCGTTGTCAGAGGAACTTTGAGGTTCCAAGGTTTCCCAGCCTTCGTTAAAGTTTTGGTTGACGTTGGTATGCTAAAGGACGACGAAACCAGCATATTCAAAGAGTCAATTGCCTGGAATGACGCTCTGCGCCAATATTGGGGTAGCAAGTCTTCCTCCAAAGAGGACCTCATTGCGTCCATCGATGTTAAGACCAGCTGGGTTAGTGACGAAGACAGAGAGAGGATTCTCAACGGTTTCAGCTGGTTGGGATTGTTTTCCGACAACAAGATTCATCCTAAGGGCAACGCTTTGGATACGCTATGTGCCACTCTTGAAGAATTGATGCAGTTCGAAGAGGGCGAGCGTGACATGATTATTTTGCAGCACAAATTCGGCATCGAGTGGGCTGACGGTACTCCGGAAACCAGAACCTCGACTCTAGTTGCCTACGGCCAGCCTGGTGGTTACAGCGCCATGGCTGCTACTGTGGGATTGCCATGTGCCATCGCTACAAAGCTTGTCTTAAACGGTACCATCAGAGGTCCAGGTTTGGTTGTTCCCTACACTCCAGAGATCAACGATCCTATCATGAAGGAATTGAAGGAGAAGCACGGCATTTTCTTGACTGAGAAGACAGTCAGCTAAATAGGGTACCTAGTAGTAAATTTAAAGAATATAAACTAACTTAACCCTTCTATGGTGGCTCTCAATGCACCAGCAAGATTTCAAGTGGCATAGTCTTATGCCTTTAAAAACACTGCCAATTCAAATACTATGAAATATAACTGCAAGTCTTCAATGGCATAGCCGAAGGTAGCAGAGTAAATGAGCCAGTTATTAGCCACATCTTAGCAAATATCAATTGGTTGAGCACTCTACTGCTGGATATCGCCCGCCTAGCCCTGTTATCATTCAGCTTCATGTAAAGGATATAAATCTATCGTGCATATATATTATAAGTTATTGGGTAGGGAAATAGTCAATAGTATTGAGAGCTCGATCGTTGAAACTCAACCAAAGATGAGTTCTACTGCTAATCAGAAACCTACCAGATTCTGGAGTAAGGTAAAGTCATCAACGAAATCGATTTCCTCGTCTTTATCCCAACTTTCCATTAAACAAGAACGCGATGGCGACACACCAACAACAACGGTGGTGCACAAGGCATTGGTCAAGTTTTACACTCACAGAGAGCCATTTGAAGGATTCCCAGACTGGCTAGGACATAAAGAAGAACTTCCTGACGAACAGAAGGTTCTTAGGAAGCAAAAACACCATCATCATGATCCCAGAGCTGGCATCGCAACTGTCACGCCAAATGCTTTGGATAAATCAGATCGACCTGCTGTGGCGCCCCATGCAACGGCAGGGTCTAATTTCAGAGACATTTACAGGAGCTCAACTTCCTCTGCAAGCTCAAGAACGGCTCCGTCAAGCTCACCAGGCGCTGCACCAGTGCCACAACAGTCGCTTGGTTCTCAGGAATCACATCCTACGCTCTCGAATCAAAGAACATCTTCTATGCTGATGCGAGAAAGACTAAAACGCAAATAAGAGCATCTGGCAGATTGTGCTATGTATTGGCAACCCCCTATTGTTTCTCACGGCGGGCCTTTTTTCTCTAACAGCATGTGAAGGCGTTAGTAGTGTCTTCGCCTCTCGCAACATCTATCAAAATGATGTTCAAATTACTGTGAGACCTTACGCCAACCGCTCCAGGAAATTTATTCTCCTCGGGTGATCTGTGAATGTTTACCATAAGGATCAGGCATGGTTGTATTATAGTGGGACCAAAACTTGCGATGTTTTTCAAGATGCAGCTTCTTTATATCACAAGTTTAATTCTTCTCCTTGGTCGATTGATTCTTGAACCGTTCCTCAAGGGCTCAGCGTACATTGGAGACCAATTGGTGACCGGGGTCCTTAACCAAACTTATGAGCTAAACATTTCAGCATGCACAGACATCAAGACAAATTTAAGCCCGAAGGAGTTTATCAATTATCAATATGCAAGACCAACTTGATGATCTTCCGGGGAATTCAAACCAACGTCGAGCGCACCTCTTGGTTCGGCCTAGCGCCTCGTTATAGTTGTCACGGAATACCTACAATTCACCGTCATTGTTGAAAATAGCCTTAAGCTTTATCGATGCATCAGACGCTCGAAGGAGACTCAAAACTAATTGTCATTCTTTGAGCGATGCCGAAACTTTGAATACTGCATGCTGTTATTTCGGACGGTTCGTTGGTGAGAAGCCAACTTTGTTACGACTAGAGTTCAGAGTTTCTGACGTTGCTTTTGGGTGTTGAAAGAAGCGTAGACTCTTTTTATATCACTGAATGTTTATTATTGATGGCACAAGGTTAGGTCACGTCACAAAAGCACCTTATTCCCAGCTTGTGGAGCTTAAAACGTGAGACGTACAGGTTGTTTGATGCGCCGCTGTTATCAAAATTGTTCAATAAATGGTACTTTTCTGCAACAGCGGCCTTTGGGTGAAAGGATAGGACCGCTGGAACTCTAGTGGACGGGGCTTACTAATTTTCAGATGAACCCTACTGAAAAGTATGATTGTACTTAATACGTAAGCATTGTTCTCTATCTTCATAAGCTCTCCTGGTTCAAAGAACCGCCGAAAAATTGAATAAGGTTCCAATAACATTGGTCTTGATATGTTCGACAACTAGAAATAGGTTTACGAATGCTCATAGGACAGCAGCCAGGCTGAGAAATACAGCGGTTTCGATAGTGGGCTATGGGACTCTTTGCAGTGTTTTATCTTTAAAAATGGAATTATAGTCCCTATCATCAACACAGATATTTGTTAGAACTGCCGAGCAGTAATTTTCTAGTACTGTTTGAGTAGCATTGAACTGCATGATGGCAATCATCAACCCTGTGTCGGTATAGCATGACGTGATCCTGGCGAGCGTCAGTAAAATGAACGTGTAAAAGGCGAATAATCAAGTAATGGGATCCAGAGGAGCAGGTAATATATACAAATGCCCTCGCTGTCCGTTCCAATTATCCAATAGCCCAAATATCATCTGGTGGGTGGACACTGAGTGAGAACTAGAAGTCGCTTTACAAGCTTCAGATTCAGTATCTAGTCTACATCATAATATACACGATGTCTTTCGACATATTGAACGAACGATTTAGCAAAGTAAACTACTGTCCACGCTGGTGTACTTCAATATTCTCAATGTTTACTCTCAATGTTTCCATTGTGAAGCCGCGCAAAAGGTGATCTTGAGCGTTGCGTCATACTGCACCATGGCTTACAAGTTAGCGACAACAGTGACAGGTGTCTGGATCTTTAGATTCGAAAGGGCACTTGTGCTATCTTCAATATCAACGGTCAAACTACAGCAAGGACCAAACAAGTGCGCTCGATAAAGATGGCGCCAGGTGATGGGGAAGCACGCCCAGTAAACAAGACAACTCTTTGTAGATTAGGAAATTAAGCAGATTTTCTATAGGTTCAAGAAACGATCAGACGCATTTTGGCTGGCAATCGATGGTGCCTGGGTAGGTCAGGCCGGGGGCAAGTATCTGTTCTTAACAGTTGAAGTAAATGGCCAACATCCTGTCTATCAATGACATGAACAGAAGCTCCTTAAGCTTGTCACATTTGTTCAAATAGAATACAACCTTCAAAAAAAACCACTAGCGGGCCCACAATTACCATGCGCCTGTTATAGTTCGCCTTTAGCTCGCTACGCATCGGCATCAGCTTAAGTTTCATCCAACATTTGTGCGAGTACGTGGCAAGTACAACTCCCGTGCTGCCTTCCTAATTTGGAGCTTGACCTCTCGAAAATGCCAAGATGGTTATGGTAATCTGGTGATGGGCTTATCGCCGTGATAAGACGTGCCTTCTGGATAAACAAAACTCCCGGCCTGGTTAACTATACCTGAAGCTCAAAACCGAGAACAGCGGCCAGACAGAATGTCCCATCAATTGGATGCTAAGGGCGCGAGCCACAGCAGGGAGTGACCCATCGCTGACTGTCATTGTAATCGATGACGAGAATTCGTTACTGCATTAATTGTGGCTGTAGGGCCTACCGTCGAACTAGAATTGAGTAAGAAATCGTCCAATATCCAATCTTTCTGCGAATATAAGAGGATAAGATGGGGACCGAAAATGTAGCCTACCAGTTTTATGAAGGGACCTCAGCTATTTATTATTGGTCGCGGAGATAATGAGTGGTGATTCGTCGTCCTCGTTGGAGGCAGTGCATGTTGATAACTTTGACAAGAATACAACTTTAGGCACATCAGAGGCCAAACGCTCAATCTCGGAAGCTACTGCCGAGTACAAGATTATAGCTTCAAGAGATGCTGACGCTACACTTGAATTTTTAGGAAAACATGGCTCTCAGGTCGTACTAATCTCACCAGAGCGTGAGCGTAAGTTGTCGAGGAAAGTGATCTGGTTTATTTTGCCGTTGACTATGCTTATAGACATGATCTTATACTCCGACAAGGCCGCGATGTCCTTTGCCGCGATCTTCACATTTTTTCAGGATACGGGGCTTACCCAAAACCAGTACAATAATGCAAATACTTTGTTCTACGTTGGCTTCGTTCTGGGCCAAGGAAACTTGTATTTCCTGCAAAAATATCCTGTTGGAAAGGTCATGACCACTATAACGGGGCTATGGTGTATTATAATGTTTTTACACTGCGCGGCTTTCAATGCTAGTGGTGTTTATGCCCTTAGGTTTTTCTTGGGATTTGTGGAAGCGATTGGAGTACCTGCACTGAATATCACTATGAGTCAGTTCCTTACATCGGAGGAAAAGGCGAGTACTGCTCCAACTTTTTATGCTAGCTGCATGGGTGTAACTATCCCTGTTGGTTTCCTTGCTTACGGAGTTTTGCACATTAACGATTCCGCGGTGGCTACTTGGAAGATATTTTGTGTCATCATCGGAAGTCTTACTTTCGTGACCACGGTTTTGGTCGTCTTCTTGTATCCGAACAATCCAGCCGACGCCCGGTTCTTGAGTACCGAGGAAAAGGTCTGGGTGATACGTAGGGTTCAGCAGTCTACTGGGTCATCAATTGAACAAAAAACGTTCAAAAAATATCAGGTTGTCGAAACCTTCAAAGACCCCATTACTTATTTGTTCGGGGCATTCTTTATGTTGCAGCAGTTGGCTAATAATTTGACATACCAACAAAACTTGTTGTTCGAGGAAATTGGGGGCATTACTAACCTGGACGCAACATTGGTATCAGTGGCGTGTGGTGGTTATAATGTCATTTGTGCATTACTAGCTACCTGGTGGTTGAGATGGAACAAGGACACAACCGCATTTTCAGTGGTCTTCTGGACAATTCCATCTTTTGTTGGTTGTATCGGTAGCGTTGCATTGCCATGGGATAATAAGTTGGGCTTATTAGCTATGATCAGCCTTGCCACGCCATTTGGTGTTCCTTGGATCATGATGTTTAGCTGGAATGTAACAAGCTGTTCAGGGTACACGAAGCGTTTGACAAGGAGCGCAGTAGTAATGTTTTTCTATGGAATTGCCAACATAATATCTCCTCAACTATGGCAAGAAAGTGATGCGCCGCGCTACAAACCAGCTTGGATTGTGCAAACCGTGTGCTCATTCTTTATTGCGCCGCTTCTGGCGATTGTTATTTGGTTTATACTTAAGAAGAGAAACCAAACAAGGCGTGTGGAAATTGCTGCACATCATACCCCTGCGCGGGGTGTAGTGGAATATGAAGGCCAAAAATTGGAAGTTAACGTGGCTATGATGGATTTGACAGATTTAGAAAACGAGAAATTTATCTACCCATTATAAATCAAATTAAGATACATACTTTAATAGTGACGGTCGGCGAGAATAATACAAGGGCTCGCTTAGACCGATGCATAGTGGCACTAGCTACATTTGCTGAAAGATTTACTTCAAGAGCTCCTCTAAAATCTTGTTGGCGTTCTCGTGATCATCAGCACTCATTGACTTGATTCCCAATCTTCTGAGAACCTCCACAACTTTATTTTCCGTAAAACCTTGCGAGACAAATTGTTCTACCAGGACTCGATTAAGCCCATAGAGAGCAACCTGGTCCACGGGAGCACTTTGGGTATCACCGTCCAGTGGCGCGTAGGTTTTAGTCCAAAAAGTTGCTGTTTTGTTAAAAGATTCACGGTCTCGAATATAATGCTGGGCAACCTCAGCATCCTGTGGATCGTTTGGTTCGGGGGATTGTAGAAGTGCCTGTAGTGATATCAAAGCTGACTTCAAAGTGATTACTGGTGACCATGCATTCTTCAAAATGTCCAAGCAAATAGCGCCAGTGACCGACGACACGTTGGGATGATATACTTTGGTATCAAATTTCATCTTTGGTGGTTTGAACGGATACTCCATAGGAACCTCGATGTCCACCACAAATTTTCCATTTTCGTATGGCGTTCCAGGAGGTCCTAGAAACGAACCTTTTAAGAGATGAATGTCGTCTTCGTTTACCAACTGCAGGCCAACCCTGGCTTCTGGATCATCTTTGATACCCTGCAACTCTTTCATAACCCTCTTGGCTCTAGACATGGTTGGGCTTAATTTAAGTGCTGCTTGGGAGAGATTTGGTGGCGCCGTTGTTATTCACACGTCCACTTTGGCTTATTATCATTTGCAACCTTTAAAACCTTTAAAATGAATAACTGTATATTGAAGTAACGTTTCCTACGAAAATGACCAAACTACTTCGAAGTAATGATAAACTTCAATACCATCCATATAGAACCTGGAGCACGGACCCCGTTAATTTCTAGCTCGATGTTGGAACGCCTTTTTATGGATGATAGGCTTCAAATGACCGTGAACTTCTCTTAATATTTATAACTTTGAATATTTAGTGGCGTGGACTATTCAGCAGTTGATAATTTCAGAACAGGTGCCTCGTAAGTGTTTTTTTGAACCCTACAGTAGATTGAAAAGGAGAATGGCCGCTTGACTTTGACTGAGAGCGACTCCGATATCATGAAGCAGGTATCCCTGATAGAAAATAAAAAAAGGCGCTTGACAGACAAGTCAAGCAGACTAATGGAATGGAGAAGGTGTCTGCTCGTTATGCGTAGCTACAGATCAATACAGTTTCTGCCACTATCCAACGCATCATTTTCCTTTGACGTATTCAACACGTTTTCACGATACTCTCTTGGATCGCATCCAGTGCTTCTAGCTGGAATCAGGTTACTTTTTTTAAGTATTCTGGTGTGGATCTTGCCCTCAACTAAAGCTCGCTCTACTATAAGATCTCTCTCAGAGGTATATCTTGTGTTACTGAGCGATTCTCGGAATCATTGTTGTCTTCGAAACTCAGAAATGAATGGTCACCGAGTTTCCTTGGTTGTACAACCAGCTTTACCAGGAAAACAATCCCGAAAAATATTGAAAATCCTGCCACGATCAGGTATAATACTCCTAGTGCCATGTTTCGTCCGCCAATAATGCTATTGGTAGTGATCACAAAAGACTTGGACCCACCGAATACAGAAACCGGGTAGTTTAAGCCAATATTCATTTGATACGTACCATGCGGTAGCGTAGAAGTTTCGTTCTTGAGGGCTAATTTGTAAAATTTCGGTAGCCCTGCCGTCCGCATCCATACTTGAAGCTCTTCCCACTTTGAAATATCCGGAATATTCTCGTCAGTGTAGCCATCGGGGTATTTTTGGGCCCAGTTAGGTGGAGGGACAATTTGGGAGGCATTATACGATGTCTTCTTGTATCGATTACGATCTGCTTTCCAAGCTATATTTTTATTGGTGAGACCATAGTCAAGCTTGGTTTCATTTATACCTGTAAGAAAATGTTGGAAAGTGTCATTAAACACCGAATTCGCGATTAATCCACAGGGGTAAACGACCTTCTCACCGTTGACACGCAAGGGGTTGCAATCTGACGTGAGATCATCACCATCAATATCCTGGCCCTTTAGTTGGTTGATATCAAACGATTGTACGTATTTTCGGTGATTTTGATAGAAGTTGGTGAGTTGGTAATAAACGTATATGGACTTTTTCACATCGGTGGGTATCTCAAATTGGAGCTCGCAAGTTGTGTTTTGATCGTTGCTGCCTTGTTGGAGCCTCCATACCGGATGAGCTGATGTCCGCTTTTTGAAATGAGAATTGACGTACTTTGACGGAATTTGGGTAAAGCTGTGCGAATTAGCCAGCTCTCCACAGTGACTATAGTCGATGCTTAGATTTTGAACATTGTTGGCGGTGATGATCAGAGCAACGCCTATAGGGGCAAATATAGCACTAACCAGAATAAGAAGAGGTAAGACAGATTGAGGTGAAAGGATAGGCTGCCATGCTTTGAGTCGTTGTTGCCGAAAAGCTGTGTTAGGAGGGCGGCGGGACTTACCTATAAGACTTTCGTTTGATTTGGGATCTTTGGCCTGCCTCCTGCGAAGCCACGCCATGTCTAGCTTTAAGTTGTATAGAAGGTGGTCCGAAGCCGTAGAATACCGTATAATGAGCCGGGCGGCGTGTTCTGAATGGTGACTTCTTATTTAGTACTTTCGAGAGGATCCCACATTGAAATATTGACTTATATGATATCTTTATACGACAGGCCTTACAGCTAATTTCCAATAACCTTGAGCTCCTCCTTCTATCGGCTTTACTTGCTGTGCGTAAAATAGCGCTCGCGATTCCAAATGGAGCAAGCGTATCTCCGATAGGCTCGCGTACTTGTTATTCATTCAATAAAACATTCCTCGATGGTGAAAATATTATAGCTTCAAGAAGCTTCAATCAAGCTTCAGAAGCCACCAATACCCCGTCTTCGTTGGTATCTACAACTTCCTGGGAGCTCACAATATACTTGGAAAGGTGTTTGATAATTAACTCGACTTCTGGAACATCTTTAATAAACTGAAAGGTGGTAATGGAGGCGCCAGGCGCTTTTAACAGGTCTGCAAATGTCACAACTGCCCCCCAGCAATGAGGTTTATTTGTGACGATGCGCTCAAGAAGTGTTCTAACGATAATCTCTTGAATCTCAGCTTTATTCGAACCCCAGTCTTCGGCAAAGAAAAAATTTTTCAGCACATAATTGAACCAATGTGTATGGGCATTTGGATAACGCAGCTGGTTTGCGATGGCTTGTACTACGTGAAACCTCACTTCGCTGTTGCCATCATTCAGTAAACTTGCCAATAACGTGTAATAGGACGATTTCGTGTTGAAAATTGCAGTGGCCGTAGTTTTGTGCTTTTCTAAAGCAGCTTCAATTCCTACATGGAAAACGATAGCGTTTATCAATTTTGTGTCGACCGAAACTGTATCATAACCGATACCGTTATCCTTCTGGTATTCGGGCTTAAAGATGCCAGTGGTTATAGCTCTCTGTAAAGAAGTACTGGGTATTCTCAAGTAATTGTCCACTGGCTTTTTCAAAGCATGCAAGTCTTGCACTGGGTCGTAGAAAACAGTTGGAGCATCATGGCATCCTATGACATCGTCTATAACCAGATTAGGGTCGTAAGGGTTTGGTACGACCAAATTTTTTGGAATCGCACTCAAAATAATGTTTCTCAGCTGCATGTAAACATGGGGCAAGTTGTTCAGCAGTTCATAGTGATTCTCTACCAAAAAGCCCGGTGCATCATTGGCTACCGCTAAAAATATCCTCAATGCGCCTTTGTAAACAACGGAGACTGCATCTGGAACATCGTTCTTCTTGGTGTACTGTGCCATGAATTTTAGTAGATCGGTGAACAATAGGACAAGCTTTGCCCAACCAGCTTTTTCTGGTAATCTTAACATCTTTGGTAGAAACATCCTGTGAGATATCAGAGTTATCCACGCAAATGAAAACCCTGGAAAGGCTATTGGTTGTGTTGAATGTAGGAAAGAGGCAATGATATTGTAGAAATCAAAGTTGAATTCCACCAACTCTGACCTGCATTGTTGATCTCCCATTTTGATGAAGTTATGGCCACTCACACACTCCCACTCACAAAGGAGGCTCGAAATCAACCTGAAATAGGGCCTCTCATTGAAACCTTCGCGCATGCGACCATGATCCTCGGAAATGACCATAGTGATAACAGAAATCATGAGCTTAAAATAGTCTGCGCGTGTCATATCTGTGAATTCTTGTAGTATCAAAAGTTTTACGATTAGTTTGCTAAAAGCATCAGTGGCGATGAATACGTCGCTGGTAGGATCACTTTCTTTGAAGGAACTAACAGATAGTTCTAGAGCTGCGTTAGTAAATTTAACCATTCCTTCCGTTGAGCTCAAGACACCTTTCTCAATCATTTGTCGAATGAAAACCACTACACTTATATCGTCATCCGGGACCCTCTGAAGTAGTTTGACCCATTCGGTGAAGACCAGAGACATTTTCTCTTGATCAGTAGCGTTGACATTTCCGCTTAATGGCAGTATCTTTGAGTTTTCAAATTCGTCAAAGAAGGAGTTGGTTAACGCGCTATTAACCTTATGCAAAAACGAAATTGTTTGTAAGAATTCTGATCTCATGAAGAGTGGATTTGCAGACAGAACAACACTTTTCAGTAAATTTATCGAAAATTCAATGGAACCCTCCATGCCACTCTTCATGGTTACAACTAAAACCTCATCCAGCTCTGTTGCGTTTATGAGATTGACTTCCAGTAGTGATCTAATGACAGGGACATTGAACTTCCGAACATCAAGCGCGTAAACTAACCACCATACAACATCTTTCCTCGCCACAACGGACAAGGAACAGAGCTTCTCTAATAGCAGCGACAGAACCTCGCGACACAGTAAACTTTCACTGGTGGCAAACATGCTGTTCACAACAGCTTGTGAAACCTTGAGAGCCAGCTGATCTTTCTGGTTACTTCTTGAGATGAGCGTTAAAATTTGGAGTAAAATATCGTTGATACCATTTTCTGGTCCCAAAGTCGCGAGCGTCTTAGTGGCATTATCCTTTATTTGAGCAACCAGGTTATCCATAAGAAGAACTAGAACCCTGTGGCTTTGTTCAAGCTCTAATTGAATTGCAGCTTGGGGCTGTAACTGTGGAGTTCCAGGCTGGGATTGGCCCTGTGGCTGCTGTAATTGCTGCATCAAAAGTTGTTGTTGTTGTTGCTGTTGCTGTTGCTGTTGTTGCTGTTGTTGTTGTTGCTGTTGTACTTCCTGCTGTTGTTGCTGTTGTTGTTGTTGTTGTTGTTGTTGTTGTTGTTGTTGTAGTTCTTGCTGCTGCTGTAGCTTTTGGAGCTTTTGAAGTTGTTGCTGTTGCTCCTGTTGCTGCTGTTGTTGCTGTAGCTGGAGCTTCTGGAGGTGCTGATGTTGTTGCAATTCTTCACGTTGTTGTTGTTGTTGTTGTTGTTGTATCAACTGTTGGTTCAAACCCTGCGATTGAGAGGAGCTTACGGAGCCTTCTGTCGATAAGCCCGGATTACTGCTAACAAGCCCTTTATCGAGCGAAGCCCCATTCCCGAACTCTTCGTATATTTTGAACTGTTGAGGAGTGACACCAGAAGCCTTTAACCCGAGAGGCTCCGGAAGGTTCAGAGAATAGGTACTAGCATTCTGAGCAAGAAATAACTGATCGGACCTTCTCTCTTTGTGATACCTTCTGACCGCAACAGCTTGCATTAGTTGTTCTCCAACGTACAAAATCGCTTTGTCGACGGTGGCCTTTTCAATGAGCGCCAAGGCAATTCCAATGTTGTCATTTATAGCAGTATTAAGCTCCTCAATTGGTGAATTAGGAACATTCATGAGGTTGGGAGCCAGTGATTGGGTTGTAGATCGTATTGTATCTTTCAGAAGTTCAATCGACGTAGCACGAGCTAAACTCTGTGCTAAATGACGCACCATCGTAACTGCCGCAGATTTCAGTTTTATGTCATTGACTTCGGTTGCAAAGTCCTTCAAAATAATATTAACTGTGGTGATAACTGCGATACTCGATGATTTGTCAACGGCTGGGACCAAAACCTCACGAACGGACTTGGCAAGAGCCATTTGAAATACACGCTTCAAGTCTGGATGAGTGACAAATAAGGTACTACCAAGTAATGTACTGAATGGGGTATCGCTCGGATTTCCTTCACTTGTGGGAGGTTGGTCTAAACCTGCAGGAATCCCCGCAGGCAGTCTGTTTTGGGTTTGCTGGTGTGATTGTGGTTGTTGATGTTGTTGCTGTTGTTGTTGCTGTTGTTGTTGTTGTTGTGGCGGTGGTTGTTGTAGGGGCAGCGGCGGTTGTGGGGTCTGCTGCGACTGCTGTTGCTGGTGTTGCATCAACAGAAATTGTTGTTGATACTGTTGCATTATGGTGACTTGCTGTTGTTGCTCAGTCTGTTGCTGCTCCACAGTTAAAGCATTTATTTGGCCACTGAGAATAGCCATACTGTCTGGGTTATCAATATAAGCCGAGGGCTCCACATCGATCATCTTAATTTTCAATGCCTTAAACAGCACCTCAACCTCAAAAGTAAGGTTTAACCTCCACTCAGCCTTTTCATTCAACTCGCGTAATACTTTCAAAATTCCCAAGGTCCAAGGATTGGGCGGTCTGAATACTTTCGAGTTAGCTGCCTGTTGCAACACCTTTGTGACGAATGGAACCACGATCTCAAGACGACTTCCACGATGAGCATCAAGCAGTAGTTCCCTGAACGCGATATTGCTATATTTTATGGCTCTGTTGGATGCAAGTGTGATACTGCCAAGCCATGAGCCTAAGTTCTTCAAATGATTTTTCTCATTGGGTTGAACTTCTTTCATGGACAGTAGTAAGAATAGCTGCTTATATGTAGCGTTTAACACGTAGTCATTAAGCAACTTGGAATCCATCGAGTTCACAAGTCTTGAATAAAGCGAATGGTAATTTGGTTCGGTCTTCGCGCGCTCATTTACTAAATAGTTGGAAAACCAGCCATAGTAACTCTCTTTGAGATTTGATTTGAAGCCATCTATCTTACCAGCGAAGTTATCTTCAGTAATGTTATTGACGATGAAAAGTATTTTTTCTGTCACCTCTTTAGGTGGAGTTTCTTGAATAACTTTTGGAGGAACTTCATTGATAGAGAAAAAATTCAACGCCATCATTTCTGGTGCTCTACGGATTTTGCTTTGCACAGTGCTCGCACGATCTGAAGCTTGTGATGCTGCTTGGCTTAGAGTTTGAAAAATTTGAGGTTGACTTTGAAGCGCTGGCACTGCCTCAATCAAATGCCTGCAATAATGAGGAAATTCTTTGAGCTTCATGCGAAATGCATACAGGGCCTGAACCGAGAACTTAAACATCTTGGAATCTGTGCCGTCTCGCGCAAATTTAAGAATAACGTTAAACGCAACATCGAGAACAAATCCTCTCAGAAGCTGAAATAAAATCATAGAGCCGAAGAGTACGGAAGTAGTGGCCAGCGCTTCTAATGGGTAATCTTTGAAAAAGTTAGACTCGGCAATTACTGCATGAGTCATACATGCAAACAGATCTTGATCATGTGGATCATCGCTATCCCTCAACCTCCTTAAAATTTCGATGACATCCTTGATAGCTAACTCTCCACTGTACATTTTTTGAAGGTAGTTTTGCATTTCCTTTTCAACATCCATTGGGATAGTGGCAAGGTCCCCATTGGCTAAGATGGCCTTGTCGTGTCCAAAACCAAAATTTATCAGTCTAGGGAAAGCAAGTATGAGGGAGAATTGAATGTCTTCTAGATTCTCTCTTTGCGCTTGGTTCAAGTTGAACGAGCTCAGAAGAGTGACCGCATAGTGCAATGCAGGCAGGTCGTATACTTTTGAGGTAAAAAAAGGAGTATTGGATTCATCCATTTTGGCTTGAATTTCTAGAAAATCGAGCATGACCGGCACTGTTTCATTTGTAAGTTTTGTTTTCAAAAATTCTTCGAAGCCTGTCCAGCCAACTTTATTAGCGCTGGCGGTAGCTTTCAAAGCCTCTGAAAAAGGTAATGAACCTAAAAATTGTTCTAGCTGCTTTTCATCGTAAAGGATTTGCGTCAACCCTGATAAAGGCGATGAGTCCTTGCGAATTATTACAAGACCCAAGTCAATTACTTTATCAAACGGCAATTGCTTTATCAAGTCAGAAAGCGAAGAGGGCATCTTCTCGAAGACTTTTACGAGTAGGGTAATAAGTAGATCGTCAATAATTGCGGCATTGTCAACTATCATCGAGAAGTGTTTCGCCTCGGTCATCACAGCTAAAGCCAGAAACTCCGGGGCAAAATCGTAATCCTCGAAGAAGCATTCTTGGAACACTGGCAGCATTGGATTCCCCGATAGCTCCTCCCGCAAAAGAAAAATCTCCACATCTAGTCTTGCAATTGATCTTAGAGAGAGTAAAGTGTCCTTGGAGTTTGCACTTGAGAGGCCGTTAGAAATTTTCTTAATATCTGGCATGCTTAAAAGATCAACACAACCCTGTTGTAGATTCCATTTGTGGAAAAGAAGGCAAACATTAAGTTTGAACTGAGCATTCCAATCACAGCCTAGAAATTGATCGATTAATCGGCCCCGATTTAGAGCTGCTACAAGTGCATTCAGCGATGCCAATGAAACAGATATTGGACGATCCAGAAAGTATTTGGTGGACATGAGATTGAAAACGCGATTCCAATTAACCGCTGATGGACCTAACTTGGTCAAGGCATTGGAAACTTGACTACCCCTTTGGCCTGCTTCGCCGATCGCCACGGGGGTGAACCATGCAGAGCCCGTTTGTTGTATATTTTGCGATCCTGGAGCCAAGAGCTCAGAGAGAATCAGAGCAACAAAGTCATTCAAGTTTTCACCACGCAGTGAGCACAGTAAGCTACTCAAATTTTGTTCCAAAGTACTTGGAGATTCTGTGGCCAAGAAATGTTGTAAAGACTGAGCAGCATTCATTGTGAGGTTCTTTAATTTCGTCAAACGTCTAATTGTAGCAGATGGGTCAAGCTGGCTGATTATTTGCTGATCAACCACTGGGTCTAGAGTCTGGATAATGTCTTGGAGGTTCAAGCTTGTATGGGCCTCAGAATTAGGGTTCAGCAAAACTTGCGTTCTAACTGCCTCGACAACGTCGGTGTTTCTGTATTTGAGATCCTGCAGTAAGCGGTACACCAGATGATGTAGAGGGTCCTCTTCAATATCAAGCTTATGGTGTGACTTTATGTGAACCGAAACTAACGGTAACACTCTCTTCCAGTACTTGAGATATACGTTGAGTGGCGATCTCTCTAAGATGCTGTGTATCTCTTGCTCTATTTCACGGCAATTGTACCTGTTGAGACTTGTAATGAGGACGCTAATCTGGGTTATAATGATCTGGGCAGCTTGGTTATCCTCTAAGTTGCTGTCGTGCGTTGGAAGCTGCTGCTTTGTATGCATATATTAAAAAGCGTGAATAGGAGTTCCTACGAGTGTCAATAATTGCGTTAGTACTCGGCTTGTCTAGAAAACGTTGTCGAAGGACGCCAATTGCTAGGTAACTGAACCTGGAGCAGATTCCTTTGATCGACAGAATTCTCCTTAAAATGCAACCAAATAAGGGCAATGGAGCCAATGACTCAGCGGGTACGTACTTTTAGTCACCTAAAGAGTTTTTAGGCCGCCAGTGAGCCGTAATTTCTGCTGTTTATAGCGGTAACGTTGGATTACTCCTTGATCGGTCAATCTGGATGGCGCCAAAACATTATTAAACGTCTATTTTACGCTATGTGTAAAGGACAGAATTTTGAAAATTTTGCCCCAATGAAGAATCACGTTACCCGGAAGTCAAGGTGACGGTAAAGGAGAGAATGATTCAGGCGACATTTCCAGTTAATTCAAGAAGTAGGACTAGAAGCGCAGTGACGGCAGTGTTTTAATGCTGTGTCCCCTGGTAGCACGCTGACCCGAGGGTCACATCAGTCAAATACCTTTGACCAAGACGTTGGTGGAATAAATCATAATTTTAGTCCTCCGAACCTCTTGAAAATCCAACGAAGTGGCCGCCTCGATGATTTATATAGATTTCTCACCCTCTAAGATGCTGTTCCGATGCTGAGAGTAATATTTGAAAGTATTATACGATAAATATGTGTCACAAGCTGATAAAGACTTAAATGCGAAAAAATTGGACAAAAGCATTAATTTTAATATGCTACTCAAATTTTGGACAGCCATTGAAAAGTACCGGCAAGATTTAACTACTTCAGTAGTGTTGAGGATTGATACCTACCAATAGTCGATAGGATTCTACCTAAGATGTGTGTAGGACCTTATGCCGAAGACAGAGGGGGTCAAAATCGCACATCAAGTTTATTTACCATATATATAACTCCTCAGAACTTCTATGGCAGCTGAGATTTAGCAAACGGGATTAACATGAGTCTCTTATTAGCAGTTGAGCTTGTCCTATTGCCGCATCTACATCGATGGCTTACTAGGTAGTCGTTGTGCACGATTGTTGCACTTGATTCATAACGAGCTATTATTGCACTAAGCATCTTACCGCCTTCGAGAACACCATGCTAAAGCTCTATGCCTTACCAGCCTGCGATTAGTAAGTTCTTCAAGTCCAATTCCAACAAGTCGAACAGCAATAAGGTCGAAAGCTTTGGTGCTGAGAGCGCAAAATCTGGTCCCGAGGAACGCGTGAATGAAAGCCCGAAGGGTGTGCAACCACAATACCGGCCTGATCCCACACAGAGTGTCAGCTCTACAACGCCGGTTCTCCAGGAGTTTAACTTCTCAAAATCCAATGGTCATGAGACACCAAGTACACGATTGAGCTCAAACGACTCATTGCTATTTTCTAGCAAAGTGTCCGAGGCGCTACGAAAGAGGGCCTCAGGCACAATTGATCGAGATGCCGATCGAGAGAACTCCATAGAAGTTGAAGAGGAGCTACCTGCCGCTAAGCGGCAAAAAGCTGGAAAACTGACGCCTTTGGATCAGCAAGTCAAGGAGCTTAAACTACTGCACATGGACAAAATACTGGCGGTCAGGGTCGGTTACAAGTACAAATTTTTCGCCATGGACGCGGTAACGGTTAGTAAAATACTGCAGATCATGTTAATAAAGGGCAAAATAAGTCTAGACGACTCCAGCCCGGAAGACAAATCTCACAGGCAGCTGGCATATTGTAGCATTCCAGAAAACAGGCTACAAGTACATCTCCAAAGACTTTTGCACCACAATTTGAAGGTTGGAGTAGTGGAACAAGTTGAAACTCAAGCGATAAAAAAGGTCACAGGGACGTCCAGCGGCGTGTTTAGAAGACAGGTTGACAAAGTGTTTACCAAAGCAACATTCGACATCAACGAAACTTTTAATGGAACCGACATTGATCATAGAGAAAAGCCTAACTCTATATGGGCGCTAAAGGTCGAAGAAAGTGGCAGGTTCTGCAATTATTGGATTTTGTCTGTCCAATTGACAAGCGGTGAAATTATTTACGACAGCTTCAGCGACAGGGTGAAATCTAAAACTGAGATAGATAAGCGAATATCCTATCTTAATCCCATCGAAGTCGTTTTGGCAAACGACGTGCCCAGTTTTGTTGTTAATTTTCTGAAGTTGCAGCTTCCTGAGATAAACTTTCAGATGGACGATACTTTAATTCCAGAGGATGCGGACGATGACGCGTTCAAGGGACTGGATCTAGACCCATGCATTCATGAGCTCCGAAGTAAACTTCGCAGATATCTTGAGTCCTACAATACCGAAAAGGTTCTAGATATGCCCCACAACTATAAGCCATTCAGCACCATGGCCAGCATGCTTCTTTCGCCAAATACCCTAGAGAGCCTGGAAATTTTCGAGAACCAAACCGATCATACAAGGAAGGGCTCTTTGCTGTGGCTCTTGGATCATACCAGGACGTCTTATGGTTATAGGCTACTGCGGGAATGGATCTCGAAACCTCTGATTGACATAGCTGCCATCAATGATAGATTAGATGGCATCGAATGTTTGAAGCAGGAGATTACCAATATATTCATGGAGGGGCTCAGTAACAGTATAAAAGATACCCCAGACTTGCTGAGAAACCTCAATAGGTTATCTTACGGCCAGACTTCACGAAAAGAAGTGTACTATTTTTTGAAGCATCTTGATATAGTTGCCAAGCATTTCACAAATCATCATTACTACTTTCAAGATAACGTTGTCAACCCTAATGGACGAGTACACAAAAGTTCAACACTCCTAACTTCCGTGCTACTTCAATTAGACGATGCGCTACGTGAGGTCGACATCGCCAAGTTGCTTAGCATGATAAATACTGCCGCTGTTGTTGAAAAGGACAAGGAAAAGAAGTGCGTTGAGTTTTTCAACTTAACGAATTATGACCAATCTGACGAGATCACCTCGAAAATGAAAGACATTGAAAATGTTCGGGAGCAACTGAAGGAGGAATTAGATGCAATAAGGCGTTTATTGAAAAGACCTAGGTTTTGTTTTAGGGACGAAGTTGATTACCTAATCGAAGTTAGAAATAGCCAGCTTGCCGGCCTACCCAAGGAATGGGTGAAGGTATCTAGCACCAAAGTGCTTAGCAGGTTCAGAACTCCGGAGACAACTAAATTAGTGGAACAAGTAGAATACCATAAAAGTCTCCTGATGGTTATCTGCGAAGAACATTTTAGAGCCTTTCTCGGGCGTATAAGCAAACACCACCTACTTTTGAAGCAAGTTATAGAAAATTTGGCTAAATTTGACTGCCTACTTTCATTAGCGGCTTCTTCGTTACATCGCAACTACGTGCGACCAAAGTTCAATGACGATATGTCTCATGTCAAGGTTAGAAATGGTAGGAATCCGATCATTGAATCTCTAGACGTGAATTATGTGGCCAACGATATTTACATGAAAAGGGACCAAAACAAGGTAATGATTATAACCGGTCCAAACATGGGTGGTAAATCATCGTTCATACGCCAAGTTGCTCTTATTAGTATATTAGCACAAATTGGGTCTTTTGTTCCAGCGGACACCGCGGAGTTGCCCATTTTTGAAAGCATCTTCACGCGCATTGGTGCTCACGATAATCTTGTTAAAGGTGACTCTACCTTCAAAGTCGAAATGCTTGAGATGCTTGACATCATAAAAAACTCTGGAGAAAGGTCTTTGCTTCTACTGGATGAGGTAGGAAGGGGGACTGGAACAACTGATGGCATCAGCATATCATACTCAATAATCAATTATTTCCTTGACCTGAAAAGAATGTGCCCATTTATCCTCTTCATTACGCATTATCCTATTTTGGGATCTATCCAATCACCATTGTTGCAAAACTACCACATGGCCTATATGGAAGAGAAACGCTCCGGTGAGAAATGGCCCACCGTTGTATTTCTTTACAGATTGAAACAAGGACCCGCTCATAATTCATACGGTCTCAACGTTGCTCGACTGGCCAGAGTACCAACCGACATTATAAACAAGGCGTATGAACTGTCCGAAAGGTCCAAAGCTGAAATGGAAAGTGAAAAAAATCTGCATTTTATTAGTTTGCTCAAGACTATCTTGTCTTCAAAAGAATCGTCGCATCAGCAAAAAGTCAGCAGGCTGCTAGAGATGTAGCATGAGGTTACGAGTAATGATTTTATTTAATTGATATTGCATAAGACATACTTGCCAAAATCAGAAAATCGATCAAGTCACCTCTTGAAAAATCGGTGACTATTACTTCTAGAACGGTTTTGGTTTGACGTATAAGAGACCCTTCCATAAGAGTTGTTGTCACCGTATATGAGAGAGTTGTTGTCTTGCATCATTAAACTCATAGAGTTGAAGTCATGAAAGGGGTCATCATCAGAGACAATATCATCACGCTCAACTTTTTCTTCGAACATTATTTTTTCTTGCTCTGCCATTGCATCCACTACATCAATGTTCTTGCTGGCCCCGCCAACTTTGACCCCCCCCTTGTTCGCATTATCTGACAGTCTAGTAAAGTCGTAGCCATTTTCAGTGAGCACAGGAAGTAGAGGGGGTTCTTGGTTTCTCAACAGAGACCATTGTACTTTCTTGAAGAATGGATGTTTTTTGATGTCACTTGCTCCAAATTTAGAACCCAAACGCTTTCCTTCATTCTTTATCAACAACTTTCTAATAAGATCTTTGCAACTTCTGGAGACCTCATTATTATTCGGAAAATTGACATCATTCTTCAGAACATTGGAAAATGTTTTGTTCGTGTTATCACCCTTGAATGGTGTGAAGCCAAATAACATTTCGTATATGAGAATACCCAACGTCCACCAATCAACTGCAGCAGTGTGTCCGTTTCCTCTGATAACTTCGGGAGCGATGTATTCTTCAGTTCCAACAAATGAGTTGGTCCTGAATCCACCTGAACATATTCTGGTGTCAACCATCGATGACTGAGCAGAACCCTTAACAACTGGATTTTTACTATCCTTGGCTTGAACTGATAAATCGAAGTCAGAAAGCATGATATGCCCTGATTTGTGCAACAAAATATTCTCCGGCTTCAAGTCCCTGTAAATAAAGCCCATCAGATGTAAATACTCAATAGCAGCAGTAACTTCACTAGAGTAGAACCTCGCATCTTCCTCATTAATACACTTCGTCTTTCTAGTTTGAAGAGCGCGGAAAAATTCACCTCCCATACAGTACTCCATACAGAGATAAAGATAATCTTCAGATTGAAACGAATGATACAGTGTAACAATAAAAGGATGATTACTTGTTGCTAAGATTTCTTGTTCGGCTAATATCCGTTTTATTTTTTTTCTCTTTATCATTTCAGCTTTGCTGAAGATCTTAAGAGCATAGAGCCTGTTAGTTTTCCTTTCCTTCACCAAGTACACCTTTCCAACATCACCTTGTCCTAACAGCTTTATTTTCTCGAACGATTTCGGTCCTACAATCACTTCCTTGAATTTGTTGCTGAAAGATTTGTTCCGCAGCCTGTGAGACCGTTGTGGTTCGTCGGTCCCCATGTTGAATGTATTGGTGGGTGAGGTTTTGGCAGAAGAAGTAACAGCAACTAACCCGGAATGCCCATTTTTGACTTTTGCGGGATCAGAAATGGACTGTACCGGGGCCACTTTCAACGCATTTGGCTCTGAGGCAACTCTCCGTAGTGATGGTTTTATGTGTGAAACCGGTTCATTTTTTATATCGCTACTATTCGCCGGAGGTGGCAATGGAGACATGTCAGCCAGCTGAGCATCGTTACCGCAACTGGCATCCACAACAATAAGCGGAAAACCCGGTGACATTTCGGAGATAATTAGCGGACTGGAAGGTGTTGTGGAATTAGAGGCAGCTGGTAGTGCAACCCTGGTATTGAAACTATTCGGGGTACCTGGAAACTCCACAGGATCTTTTGAATCAAAATTTTCGACTTCTTCGTTTTCGTTAATATCGTTAAGAGATTTGTTACTACCGCTCCGGTAATCAGTTTGGAGATAGGACGTCAAGCCCGTAGAACTGGTAGGTGGTGGTGTCATTAGCATGGATTCGTCATGCCGGGAAACGGCTGACGAGTTTGGCTGATTCAAGTCCTGAGAAGACAGGGCATGTAGTGGTAAGCCTTGGCACTGAAAGTAAGGGTTACTGCCTCGAACTGTGTCGGATCGGGTTCCGCGCCGGTCAACGTTGACCACACCTCCTCCTTGAGAACCAGTGCTCGCTTTTCGAGAGTTTCGCGTGGAGCTATTATGTAACTTACCAGGTGAACCATGACTAGGCATTATTGGAGTAGAGGGTGACCTTGCTCTAGCTCGGCCTCTAGAGGCATCCACGCGGAGTGGTGCTGAGGTGGGAGCCTGGCTTAGAAATTTCATATCATGCTTTGATTCATCGGAATTGAGCCACGATTCAGATAGTTCTTCCACTAACTCTGCATTATTCACATCTGCTGAGCCTTCGGATATCTCAGAAGCTTCAGCCTGTTCAGGGTCCGGAGTTCTAGTGCTGCTTTTGAACATTTTTTTGAACCTGGTGGAGAATTTAGCGGCTTGGGTAGGGCCCAAAGAAGGCGACTGTTGTTTCGATGAAGTTTCGGGTGTCTGTGACTCTGATTTTGATGGCCCTTCTTGCAAAGCATCTTCTTGATCTTGAGATTCCATCGGTACCGTGCCTAACCCCATTGATTCCTCCGAGCCATCTGGACCCGTGTCAATCTCTGTGCCTGAGTTACCTACACTTGGCTTGCGAAAAGAACGTGGTATCAGCTTTGAAAAGGAAACACTTCTTGACCTATCTTGAGTGTGTCCATTTGCGGGGTTTGATGGAGGTATTACCTGCAGGTTGTCCATGTAATGGTATATGTGGCTTCAAAAGATGCACAGAAAAGGGGAGAAAACTGGATGATCCGAGAAAACCAGTTCTATAGGATGTCTTAGTGGCTCTAGCACGGGCAGAGAGTGAGAATCTATATGCTATTAGGTGCGGTCACCTTTTCAAGGCGAAGCTTTAGACCTGCATTACTTTAAATAAAGTAGAGAAGTTAATCAGGCACGTAGTACGAAGTATCGCTATACCACTAATCTACAATAGCCGAGTTGACCAAGAAGGTGTTCGTTGAGTTGTGTATCTTAAACTTCAAGCTCCAAATTTTCGAGCCCCGAAGTGTGTGTGTATTTCTTCAGCGGTGTCTCTAACGTCTGTTTTACAGATTTTCGAACTTCTGTAGAGTGAGCAATTCGATAGCATTTCATATCTAATGTGAATACACGCATGCCGGCCTCATACTTATAGCTTGCTTCCTCTAAGAAATTGATATGGTTCTTTTACGCACAATTCCTGCAATTGTTCACACCGCACAACAAGCAGGATCACTGCATAGATGCCACAGTAAAGAAGCGCACTTTTCACTCGCATTCAGGCCCTAACGGAGCCATAGTCAGTCATGGCAGGGCTTTTTTATCTAATCAGAACAAGCTTGTTTTTTGGAAGCTATTAGTTGCGCGCCTGATATATAGCATGAGTTTGGGCATTCAACGCGCACGAAAAATGGCACTTGCATCTATTGCTTGCCTCTTCGCATGTTCATATGTCAATTAATTTACCGACATTTGGCCCACCACGCCTTACAATCTCATCCTATAGCCATGCAAACAAGCACCGCCAGATAGCTCAGAAAATTTACCGTTAGGCTGCTCTAAAGAATAAAATATGTGAACTAGGAATTGTAACTCTCTGGATACTATCTCTTGAAAAAGGGATATTTGACCAGCGAAGTAATAGTACTTAAGACTCCCTCTGCCAACAGGCGCGCAATTACAAGACCCTTGCTTCATTAGCTTATGCTAGCAGAGTTTTGGTCTTCCATAAGGAATGTTTTATGCGAATTGACTTAGTATATAATTAGAATGAAAACATCACAGCAAGGCAGTGCTCTACGCCTAGCCAAGGTTAGCGGCTGCTAGGTCCTCCTATTAGTTTACTTTGTTTGTGTCGTTCCATATTAAGGCTAGACTTTAAGTTGTATTTGAAAGGTCGTGGGGAACTAATTGTTGCCATTATCCTGTCATGCTAAGGTCCGAAGGACCGTCATACCATGCCAAATTAGCACAAAGTGATGTCTAGTGAGTACGCCGTTTATGTTGCGTGCAGGGCAGCTTAAGTGAGGACCTTCCCATATATGCTGTCTATATTTTGTAACAGGCATTTACCAATGAAAACCCTTCTCTCAAGATTTTAATGCTGGCTGTCCTAGTCATTGAAGTGGGTATATCAGGCTTTCGGGAGAGCTTTCTTTGGCCAATCCTATGTCAGTCAGAGATCAGCCATCAGTGTTCAAGGGTTAACTAGTGAGCGCCCGCAAATATCTGAGCAAAATGTGAATTCTTCAAGGGACTATTTTCGTTATAGCACTCTTGTCGAAATTCATGGATTATAACGTGCGGAAAGTTTTCCATCCTGTGCCGGAGCACACATTTAAAGTAAGCTCATGCATATGCTATATAACAAAATGAATTCAAGGCTAGCGAAAAAGCCAGCCGTCGATGTTCTAGATTCGCGCGAGTAAAAAGTTGCGCATGTCTCTAATGTCGTCAATGGTGTGTTTAACTTTGATTCAAATCATCCGTACCCTTTCTCATATGAAGAGTATCGCTCCAAAGGAGATTGAAGCCACGAGTATCTTATATTGCCGAGGACAAATCATCTATCCACTATGCCTCCTCTGGTATGCTTGCACTAGGCTAAATGAGGTGGTAATAATAGATTTGGAATGCTGTTCTTAATATAATACACATGCCCACAATTTTTGCAGCTCATTTCTCCCTCCACTATGTTAGTTTGGATCAACAAAGTGTGTAGATCAGCCAAAATAACCTTATCTTCCTCGCTGAGCTCCTCATTAGAGAACTCAGGCTTGCCCGCAGGTAAACCTGTGTTACCCAAGTCAGCGGCAACACTCAACACAGCAGCCCAATCAACACGGTCGATAACTCGGAGCAGAAATTCAGGGTTAAATTCCAAACTTTCGTCTTGCTCTAGCTGGCATTTTTCGCCGTTGAATTTCAGCGGGAAGTTATCGTTGCTTCTATCGCACGCCTGCACTGAGCACTTTAGGAAATTAGATGTGAGAAATTTCATTCTTGAAAGTAAACAATAGTTGAAAGAGGACAACTGCTTTGTCCACGCTGGTGATGAGTCTACTTGAAGTCGAAGCTCATCAGCTTTCACATTCGCTTCATTTCCCAAAAATTTTTACGGCTTTCAAGTCACGACTCGAGCATCGACTCAAAACTCGACTCAAGTATCGACTCGAAAGTCAATGCAATGACGGGCCCGATGATCAGATCAACACTTGGCACAGGGCACAACGACAGTATTTGTCCAACATTGTATTAACTAATCCTTGTGGTTTGTGAACGTGTTTAGTCTTTTGACGCTCTGAAAAAGTCAAATGCGATGCACGCCTGCCGAGGGAACTGAAGGACTAAAAGGGACGTTTTCTCACGTCGGCAACTTGGCTATGGCCCCCAAAACTTTTATGATCTCCGGATTTTGGCTTACAAGCCTGTAACATTCAGTTTTGTCTTGCGATATTCCGGAAGGACCTTTGAAAAAAATACCTTGTTCGCCCGCTTGTGGTAGTATAATCCGGACTTCGCGACCTCCAGAAGAGCTTCTAGTGGCGATGCAATTGTTTTTAATAAGTGAGACTAGTCGCATAATTGAGTCGTTACTTTTTGTATTTTCGACAACATGTAGGTTACCTTTTAGCACATCCACAATCGTTTCCAAAGACACCGACGCGAGATCATCACCACAGCGATTGAAGAAGACCCTGCGCCGTGGATTGTCTGCATTCGTTACTATTGAAGTGTAGCGCGCAAGCCCCAATTTATCATCTATGCAGGATTGAATCAAGGATCTATAAAACATCTCAAGGTCCTCTTCCGGAGAGTTCTTGAAAAGTTGGAAGTTGTCGTAGAGCCAAGCACGAAGCAGAGCTTGCACACCACTCGGGTGCACACTGTTGTAGAAGCGCACAAAGTCAGACATTGTTCGAAGTTCATTGTCGTACAAATTTTGACACATTATTTGAAGAATCGCCGGATACTCCGTCCAGTTCGGCATGTGAAACTGCTGTGATCGGCTCAAAGTAATGTACATCTCCTGGAATTCGTGGCGCCAGAGACCATAAAACTCCTGCGGGGACCAACTTTTAGTGTTGTTAGACCCGGATAACCCCTCTTCAATTAGCCCAAGCCGCAGTTGCCGCGTTTCCGACCCCCATTGCTCGCCCCCACCATAGCACCCCTCATGGCTAGCCTCCAAACAAACATAGTAGGAGTAAAGCATGTGGAATAAAGACATTTTGGCATGTTGCATTTGCCAACTTACCGGAGGTCTATTTTTTTCGAGTTCTATCCAATCTGCCTCGTAGCGACGCATTGGGCCACTGGAATAACCAGACAAACATGGCTCAGCGGAAGATTCCAAATCCCAACTTTCCTTCCGTCCTGCATCAAGATATTCCTGCATCATTTTTTCCCGCGACATGGATTGCAATGTAGAGTAAGAAGCGATTCCCACCAGCGTAACTACATTCGTCGTAACGAACACCACATTTCCCGGAGCATTGAAGTACCGCCACAATATACTACCCGCTCTAACAGGTCTCAAGCCATTCCGAGAATGATACATGCGGAATTTGGATCCGAAAAAGCGTCGACTATTGATGAAAGTATTGGCGAGCGGTTGAAACGGGCTCCTGGGTAAGAAACCCGGCCGACGTCGGTACATCAATACTATTGCAAATATCTCGCGCTCCCGTCTCCTCTCCAAAGGCAAGATAACAGCGAGGAACGCTCACCAATAATTCGCTATCGTACTTCAATGTTCGGCCGAGATTTGGTGATTGATATTTTCATATTTTTCACTTCATATAATAAATGGAATACTTAAAGCGACTAACAAGGCTCCCTCAGAACAAAACAAAACTTGGTTCTCATACACCCAATTTTGTTGCCCAAAGCTCAATGGTTTACACCGTAATTTCAGCCACACTATCTGATAATATCAGTTGTCTTTCGGTGAAAGATACCGATGATGATTTGGCGGAATATGCCCTACAATTACGCTGTATTGATTGTAGGGAAGTCAACGATTCTAAAGTGACTGTTAACCGAATGGAAAAATATGAAATGAGTAGTGGCAAGGGAGAAGCATCATTAGTGATGAAGTGTAAGTTCTGTGGCAATGACTGCTCAGTCAACCTTGAAAAATACGAGGAAAAACTGTATAATCTGGATTTGGAGGAGAACGGCGACGTGATCAACAAGCAGCTTTTGCAGAGGAAAAAGAAGGGTATCAAGAAAGTTGAGGATTCCAGAGCCGTAGCTTTGGAGTTAGATTGTCGTGGCTGCGATGTTTTTGCCGTAGACTTTTCGAATTTGACTTTTAACGTCGAAATGGTATCAGGAAATGTGCTGGAGGCAAGCTTTGGCGATGAGAATGAATGGTATGACTATGACGACAAAGCTGGGGAGGAGGTGTCTGTGACGGATATGAGCTTTGAAGTGGTCAAGGGCAAATAATTGAAACAAAGTATGGAATAGAGGAGATTACCACGAGACGATTTGTGGCGTCTAACGTCTACTGGGTGGATTAGCATATACTATATCACAGTTTCTTGTTTTTAAATATAACACCTCAATTGTCTAAATCAACATCATCAGCATAATGGCCCCCAGAGCTCTATATAGACCACTGCTGCGTTGAAGTTGAATATGAGCAGCAGCCGACCCGGCGTACGTCGATACCACGGGCGTCGTTATCCATGTAGATGCATCACTCGAATAACTCTCTTCACTTCTGGTTGTAACAACGCCAGATGATAGGGAACGGGATCCAAGGCTGTGTGGTGCACTTGAATCAGGATGCGTGGAAGTTACAAGAGAAGACGAAGAAGTGGTAGCTGGAACTCTTGTGCTGATTAACATCGTTGTTACAGTGGGTACCAAACTCGAACGAGAACTTATAACGGTTACCAGCTGTCCGTTTCCGCCGGTATACGTCGATGTGAAGGGTAATACTGTGGTCACCGAGATGGTCGAGGTGGTACTGTACTCAGTAGCTTTTGAAATTGTTACTAGCGATTGAGATTGGGTGATTGACACTGTATTAGAATTGGCATTAGACGGCGTGCCTGATGATTCGTGATTAGCACTAGGGTTTAGTTCAGAGCGAGGTGCGATAGTGCTCGTCGCAGAGCTCGTCAAAGGACACCAAGTTGTGTATTGGGTGACAATTCCCTCACTCGTCGTGGTGATGATTTGCGACGTGAACGATACGGAGATGCTCAAAGAAGTATCGATGCTCAAAAAAGTTGATGGTGCTGAAACGGCAACCTTGTTGGACCGTGGACGCTCTATATTACCTTCACATGTGGAACATGTTGTTGTCAAAGTGATGCTTCTGGTTGTGGTGCTCGAATCTGGACATGTCACACAAGTAGCTGTGAATGGCGATCCACTGGATTTTGAAACGGAGACTGAAGGAGACACATATATGTATTCGGAACAAGTATCACACTTGGGAGGGCTCTCCCAAATAACACTTGAAGTGCTGGAAGTTCCTTCTCCACAGCTAGAGCAGCTTTCGGCTGCTGTTACTGTTGTTGTTACTGGGGGCGATTCAAGTGATTTGGAACAACTTGAACACGTTTCGGTCTCCATTTGAGGTAAACTAGAGGCGCTGCTGGGTGTATTCGGCAAAGAATCGGTAGAATAAGAGACACTTGAGGTACTCGAGGTCAATAGCATATTCTCTTTTGACGTAGTTCTCTTCTTTGCTGTTGAAGTGGCAGCATCGACAATCAAGGAGCTTGTGGGGTTGCTTTTATGGGCCGAAACAACCTCAGTTGCGGTACTCGATGAAGATATCGGTGAATTTGCCGAGATAGTGATCGAAAGAGGCATACCGTGAGCCTCAGAATGGAACTCGACCGTGGAAGTTGTGATTAATGATTTTACCGAGGAATAGCTTGTAGTATACACACCAATCAAGGCAGACTTAGATGCGAGTGGCGTTTTTGCCGAAGATGAATCTACAATCGAGATTGCGCTGGAGGGCTTGGTGGAAAAGATGCCAGCCGATGAGCTAGTTTGAGACACTATGGCCTTGGTTGATGGAAACGTTTTACCCGCGATGGTCTTAGTTGAGCTCTTAGAGGTTTCCAACGTCAGTGGACACCATGTCGTGTATTCAGTAATGACCCCGTTGCTCGTAGTTGTCACAGTAGAAAGGGTAGACGACAATGTACGACTAGAACCAAAACTTACAGTCGTGCTTGACTTTGAGTTAGATGCACTTGACTTTGACTTTTGAGAACACGAACTGCATACTGATGACACAGAAGTCTGGACAGTTGAAGAGTCTCCACTAAAAGTTGTGCGCCCTCTTACCGGAGCACTGTGGCTAGTTGAAGTGCGAGTACTAACAGAGGCCTCATTTGAGTTGAAGTATGATAGCACACTTGATGTTACGCAAAGATCCCCTGTACACACGGTAGGACCGATCACTGCTGAAGGGGCAGCTGAGCTGGGGAAAGAGGCCGAAGACGAAGAAGAGTGAAAAGAAGTGCTAAGGGATGATGGGGCTGTGGGGCTCGATACTGTGGTCTCAGTAGTGAGAATAGTGCTTGGAGTACTTGAAGAGTGACACTTTCCCGAGGAGCAATCAACTGTTGAAAGAGTGACAGCGTTTAAAACCGAGGATGTTTTAGAGTCTAATGAGATTGAAACAGGGGAACTCTTTACAGTGGAGTGACTGCCCGTTGCGGACTTCTCCTTTGTCGAAAACTCCAATGTGCTTTCTTCATCTGAAAACGAAGATTGGCGAGAGGTTGATGCCATTGTCGTCTTGTCCGTTGATAGCGTGTGCGCAACTTCATCGTTTGAGACTGAGCTTACAGGTAAGCTGTTTGCTTTCGATGAAGGATTGGTGTCACTGTTAACTGGACACCAAGTTGTGTACACAGTAGTGATACCATTTAAGGTTTCTGTGGTGAGCGTCCTAGTCGCTTCGAAAGTGGTCAAGATACTGGAGCTCGCGCTCCTTACTAGGTTTGAAGTGATCGTAGTCAGATCCCGATAGAGTACTGAGGTGGAACTAGTAGAAATGACCGATTGGCGGGTCGTAGAATCAATGCCATTGGCTGAGTGGTCACTTGCTTTTGATGAGTGCTTACTGGAATCGCGTTCACTTTCGAGTAACTTCGGCGTACTTGTTGAAATCGACAGAGTTTCTAGAGGACACCACGTAGTATAAACAGTAGTTACGCCGTCTGAAATCTCTGTAGTCAAGCCCTTGCGGGCCGAAAACGTCGTTAACCTGGTCGAACCTGCACTGTTGGTTGATTTGGTAACAACTGTTTTGAGAACGTCAGATGTACCAGACTGAGAGGATAATGACCAATCAGAACTGTGCTGAAGGGTAGAAGAGCCCTTTTCAATTATAGGAGAAGTTGTGGAAGACGCTGAGTATGCATAAGACGTTGCCAAAGTATTGGAAGCACTTGACGAAAAAGAACTCCCAAAGCTATTAGATGGTGCAGGCTGAGAATAAACCGACAGTGCTAGTGAGCTGCTTCTGCCTGTGACACTAGAAAATAGCGCCGATGCGGCAGGCGTTATTTGAGATTTTCGGAAACTCGAGCTAGGCGTTTGAGAAACTAAACTTGATGCTCCATGAGTTGAAATCTCACTTGATTGCTTACTCCACAAACCACTCGCATCAGGTGAATGCGCATGACTAAGTGAATACGCTTGTGAGCTTTGAGAGGAAGAAGTAGCTAATGAGGAAGCATCCAGATTTGTAGTACTGGACGGTTGACTGGTACGTTGACGGGTGCAAGTTGGACAGACAGTAATTGTGTAGGTGTGGACCACATAAGTCGACACAACATGCTGCCCACCGCTTTCATCGATGCTAGTGGACTGTGATGTGACACTGCTGGTTTCAGTTGTAACGTAGTTGAAACTAGGTGTTCCGACTTCAGAATTTTCCGAAGATAGGACAACATTTGATGGTAATGGACACCAGGTGGTGACAACAGTCACTGCGTCGCCAACTTTAATAGTGGCCAGGCTAACAAGGGCTTCCGACACACGAGTTTTGGTAGAACCAACAGGATCAGTGGAACTGATAGTGAGTGTTGTGACTTCTCGAAAAGAGCCTTGGGAACTTGCTTGCAAGCTACTGTTTCCGTAGTAAACGCGAGGATACAGATTCGCAGCGACTGAGCTCGTGTAGGCCAGGGCTACAGATAACGGTGATAACTTCATGATTCTCGCCCCAAATTCAAACCAGAAGCGCTCCGAAGAGCATCTCCTCCGCAATTAAATCCCACCATTTATATACCTTCAGTAAGACTCAATTTCTCACAAGTTTGGTTCTCCAAGCGAACAAGGTAGTCTCGTTGTACACATTTCTAACCTACAACGGTTCGCATCGCAGTTTTAGAGCCCAAAAAATTCCTCAGAAGGACAAAAATCACACAAGAATCTGAAACGCTGCATTGAGCTTCACTCTACCAGGAGGAATTATGCTATACCGCTGCTAGACGTTTCAGTTAAATTTGACCTACATACAAGTTTCATGATCAAACAAATATATGTTTTAGAGCACCATGGCCGAAGGAAACCTCTTATATAATTAAAATTATTTGACAGAAGCATTCGCCTATAATATACCAAGGAGAGTCCACAGGAAACGACATCTACGACATCCATTCATTCAACAAGCGTGACGTAGTTACTAGGGAACAAACCTTTTTCACCACTTGATTCTAATTCCCCGAGCCACCAGTCATCATCAACAAACACAATGTTGATAATCTTGTCACCTTCTTGGAAAGCCAGTTCATTGTGCTCTTCGGCCTCGTTGTCATAATCGGCAATAGCAGATGGTAGATCCTCCTTTGTTTGTTCTTCATCCGATTCTTCTTCATCTTGATCTGCAATGTTGACTGGAATATCTTCAGGCTCCGATAATTCTGCAGTCACGTTAGGCGACTCCAAGCTCTCGGCTTCTTGGGAAGCACTTGGTGTAGGAACGTTTCTTCTGGGAGGTGGTGGGGGAACAAAAGTAGTCTCCGTGCTGCGAGTAGGAAGAGGTGGTGTTGCTCTAGGTTGTGGGGTGGGCTCCTTGGACGACGGTCTTGGCGACGGTGCCGGGGGAGGAGCTGCACTAGTGCTAGTTGTTGAAGTCGGCAACGTGGGTTTGGAGGCAGGAATTTCATCCTCTTCATTATCCCAATCGTCATCGTCCGCCTCCTCTTCGGATTCGTTCTCAATTTCCGCATGCATGCCAGGTAGAGGTGTGCCAATGGGCTTTTTGGTTGTGGTTGGCTGTCTTTGTTCCTCGGTCGTGACAGACGCAGGTGCTTTTGTCTGGCCGGGCTTTATTATCTGGGGTTCGGCTACGTTAAATTTCTCGAATTTGGACTTCACGTCAGAGACATTCGTTGTGTCATCCTCCTCTTCGTGCCCTTCCTCATCCGTTTCATCTCCTTCTTCTGGTTTTGAGTCAGACACCTCACTCGTCATTGGTTGCTGCTTTTGGTGCTTTTCGGCCCAGATTTGAGCTGGTGATTTTTCGTTTTGGAAACCCTTCACCACCATGTCTTCGCTTCTCTTTGGCAAAGTGGTAGAGGGGGCTCTGGTGCCTAGATATCTGTTAATCTCAGCATCTCTTTGAGCTTTGGAGTCTTTCCTTAGTTTTTCAATGTCGTCCTTGGCATTTAATTTCGCAGGCGTTTCTGATTTGACAGAATTTACCAAACGCGGGTCTTGCTTGGACTTTTCCTCCGCGATTAGCTTTTGAAGGTCCACCTTGCCCACAGGTTTCCATGTGGATTGGTTGGGCTTCAATGGATTGCTCCGCAAGTCGCGTTCTTGGACTTCAGGCTCATCCCAATCGTCTTCTGCGCTCGTCGCCTGCGGAGCCGGCTTGGACGCAGGTGGGGTTGACACTCTGGGAGGAGCAGTGGCTTTGGGCTCCGGCACCACGGTTTTTTTATGCTCATTTTTCTGCGGAACAGGAGAAGGGCGTGGTTTAGGTGCGGATGTAGTTTTGGTTGGACCCTGCGTTTGGATGGAATAGCGCGCGCCTGCTGCGTTGCTGACCTTCGCGAGGAGCTCGTTTTCGTCCAGATCATCTTCGTCCCGCGCCGTAATCTGAACGTGGTAGCTCTTCAACACCTGGTTGGCCACAACACCAAAGTTCGACGCAAACGAAGCTCTTGATTTCATAGGAGCGTTGTCCGGGCACCACCCAACCAGAACTAGCTTCTGCACATCGGAGCCTGGAGGGTTGACACGCGCAAGCCCATACTCCACTTTGGAATCCTCGAACGATCCTAGAAACTCCCCAAAACCGCTTCCTTGTTTCTCCGAAGTGTATTGTTTTTGGCCGTTGGGACTCAAGATCAGCCAGTCAATCTCCTCGTCTGCAGCACGAACGACTTTCTGAAATGCTTCTTCTATAGCATGACAGTGCGTAGTGTAGTCAATTGGTTCCAGAGCCATTGATACTCAATGATCTCGTCTGCGCTTCTTGCGTTGCCTTTGTGATCCCAGTGTCCATGTGTTTTGTAGTCCACCCACAGGCTACACGTCCAATATTGAGATCGAAACCCCTATCACACTCGTGGAGAGTGATAGAGAATAGAGAGAGGAAGGCCAACTTTTGAGCTCAGTGTTTGGTACCTCGGGTGTGATGTATTTGTGGCTAGTTTATTCGTCTCGCCAGCATTTGACCAGCTGGGTACGCTTTCTTTCGTCTTTCCCTTACGATTCCCCGGAGCCTAAAAACTGTCAAGACGCTTACACCAGCATTGGGTGGACAATTCTCGAGCAAGTTACACTCTTGATAAGGTCCTCTACACCTAGTCCTGCTCAATCCTGTAGGGAGAGCTGGTATATGGCATTTCGGTGGGTAATTCGAGAGCTTGGCACTCCGGTGTCAGTTTAGTAGAAAATGATACAACAGAGTATAATGTGACAGAGGGCCGTTTTAGAGAGATAGTGGTGCTGTCGCCAAAGGCGGTCCAGCGGAACGTTCCCCTGCCCCTCAGCTACGCAACGATATCGGATAGTAAGGGCCTATATGCGACAACGAGTGGTTGGCGCGAACAACTCGTCTGGTATCGGCCATGCCCACGAGCCCACTTGGTTCCTGTGCTTTTGGGGAGCCCCCTCAACGTAATATGAACACCCTCAGCTGCGTTTTATGGGTAGGCCTTACCTAAGCTATTGTTTAATGCCAATGAGAGTCCTTGAGACTCTCATCAGCATTTAGGCTTTTGGACGTCAATTGCTCTCAGCAGATTTCCCCAAGCTGCCAGTACCAGGCCCATGCACACTGCTGCTCTCTACTCTCTTTCTCGAGATTTATTGGCGACGTCAGTAAATACTATAAGTGCGATTTCAGTAGTCATATCTAAAAATTAATCCACTTGGGCCTGACTTTGGCCTGATCGACCAATGTCTTTTGACCCAAGGCATTCGCTACCAAAGCCGCTTTTTGCCTGAGCCTTTGAACCACCAACGAGGCATTAGGAACATATGTGATCTGCGCTAGACGGACGCAATGGGAGCGTCGCTAAAATGCATAAATTAAAAGATAGATAAAAGATCTTCAGTAAAGGCAAGGAAGGCGTCGACCAAGGCAGCTCCACTGAGCTCAGGCACAGTAGTGCCATGCATAGCTAACCTCTTTGATCGCCAGCTGTCGCTTTTTGTTTATTGGTGAGCCAACTTGACGGTCTCCATTGTCTGCATAAGCACGTTATGAAAAATTTTGAGCTCATCGCTCCATCTCTCCAGCTTAAATGCTAGCCATCGAATCTATAAAACATACTGCCGTGTGTCTCCAGCGCGCTTCGCCATGGTGACTTTCAACTGCGAAGTTTGCAACGACACGGTTCCTAAAAAGAACACCGAGAAACACTATTACAGATGTCCACAGGCCTACTATACGTGCATCGACTGTAATGTCACTTTCGATGACGGTGTCTCATATAAAGCGCACACGCAGTGCATAAGCGAAGACGAACGGTACCAGGGCGCTTTGTACAAGGGCAAAAAGACCAAGGGCCAAAACAAACAGCAACAGCAGCAGCAGCCAACCGCGGAGACCGATGTGAAAGCAGCACCCCAGGCTGAAAATGCTTCGAAGTCGAAAGATAAAAAGTCAGGGAAAAAGGAACCTAAACCAACACTAAAGGCCAAATCGAGTTCCAAGTCGCCGCTTGCTGGGAAAAAGGGCACTAGCTTGTACAAGATTTTGAAGTCGGTCAAAGACAAGAACGAAAAGAAGGAGCTGCTAAAACAGTTGGTGGTTGACAGCGACGGGCATTTGGTGCTGCAAGCTTAATCAATGCTGGCATAGGCGGGCTTATAAGTCAATGCAGAAACCACAGGCAAGCTTCCCGCCAAGCAGACTTTCGGCAGTCGTCATATAATTTTTATAGACTAGATCCAATGCATGCAAAGGTGTACTCTTGACTCCAATACAAAGAGAAAAAGCAGTAGCTGCTAGAGGAAAGGATACAATAGAACTATCCCGTCGGAGCCCCATGGCTACCACAATCACGGCTTACTGCGCAAATGCAAATGGCGCGGGGTGCCACTTCAGCGCCTCACTCGGTTTGCTTTTCGTTTTTGCTGAGACACCTATTCAGTTTGTTGTAGAACTGACTTAGAGACCGTAGGGGGAAACTCAGCGTGTCAAACAGATACCCAGGCATTTGTTTCTGCAGAACCCGCAATTCTTCCGCGCTTCTCTGCTTTAACAACGGCACATACACCACCTCGGTGCCACCTGCGTCACCCTCCGCTTTCACAAACCCAAGTTTATAGTCCATTACGCCAAACTTCCCGCCCTGAGACGTATCAAACCACAGGCCCGAGTCGTCTTCGTACGATTTGTGAACTCTAACACCGCACAAGTGTTCGAATAGGTCTCTGATGATGTCCAATTCTTCCTCCGCTGTACTGCATTTCTTATCGAATTCCTCGTTGCGTTTTCGGGCCAGTTCCAATTGCCGTTTCAAAGAGTCCATCTCTTCGTCTTTGTTCTCAAGCTCCTGGGATAGCATTCGGTTCTCATGTATCAATTTGGATACTAAGATATCTGCACTATCCAATCTACTTTGAATGGACGTCTTATACTGAGTTAAAGCATCCATTGTGGATACTTCGATTAAATCTTCAACTGTGCAGAGTTGGTCCACGTAACGCGTTATTAACTTGAGGACGATATACATAATAAAATTGGAATTATATAAAGGACAGAGGGAGGGCATGGGAAGCCGATCCACGAGCATCCGAGCCGAGGCTCCTGTGTCCCTGAAAAATTGTGCCCGTTCGATTGTGTAGGCGTTGCTGCGTATGGCGCGCGTAAAACGCAGAAGGAACACGCTTCGTGAACTTGAAGACTGGCCACAGTAGACCTAATTTCCCATGACAGGTTCTCCATAAGTACCGGTATGCCCGATAAGGTGGCTGTGGATACAGTAGACCACTGGACGGAGGCGGAGGAAGTAAGGAAGACGAGTTTCGGAGATGGAATGGAAAATATCTATCGGTTTTAGAGTTCTACAAGCACTTCCCAGGGGAAATGACAGCAAATTAAGTCGTGCTGTTGTTCGACCACGCTCTGCGTGGTAACATTCTCCTCCTTTCAGTGGTGCTCACCGCCAACCTAAGAAATTGGCAGCATCAAAAGCCGAGCTGAATACAACAAGCAAAGCTTATATCAACCCAAACATATTCAAATTAAAGGGATAGCCATATGGGTAAGCTAGCTAAGCCCAAAGAAGCTAGGCGCGCCTCAGAATAGGTCAGAATCCCACTAAAAACGCAACTTGATGAAAAGATCTGGTTCTGCCACCGTTCGAAAAACACCTAGACCAAATCTTTCAGATACTGCCAGCTACTTGACTATTCTATGACTCTGCCAGGCAGGAAGCTGTCTCACTGTCACAACTATTCCAGCAGCTTGCCAGAGTGTGACGCTCTAACTAAGTATAAGACGTATACAACGATGTAATGTTTTTGGCAAGTAAATAACCTAAATTCAAATGAGCGAACTGACAATGTCAACAAATCACAACGATAGAATCAACACTTCAACAAGCGGTTGACGTCGAATCGGTGCTCAGTGGATACCGAACTTCGCTTTTAAAATGGCCACCAATGCTGTGAGTGCCTCACAAAACAAGCTTAACGAGCTTTTAGATGGTATTCGTCAGGAATTCGGACAGATTTCTCAAGAAGCCAATTCGTACCGTTTGCAAAACCAAAAGGACTATGATTTCAAAATCAATCAGCAATTGGCAGAAATGCAGCAGATTCGCAACACGGTGTATGAATTAGAGCTTACTCACCGGAAAATGAAGGATGCATATGAGGAAGAAATCGGACGGTTGAAATTGGAACTCGACCAGAGGGATCGTCAGGTGGCTTCCCTAGCTGCTGCTGCTCAACAACAACAGCATCAGGCTCAACATGCTCAACAAGCTCAACAGGTGCAACAAATCCAGCAGGCGCAGCAGGCCCAACAAGCCCAGCAAGCCCAGCAAGTCCAGCAAGTCCAGCAAGTCCAGCAAGTCCAGCAGGCCCAGCAGGCCCAGCAGGCCCAGCAGGCCCAGCAACAGCAGCAACAGCAACAGCAACAACAGCAACAACAGCAACAACAGCAACAACAGCAGCAACAGCAGCAACAGCAGCAACAGCAACCACCACCCCCACCACAGCAGCACCATAACACTTCCAATGGCGTTACAAGCGCTATTCCCGCTTCGTCCAAGCCAATTCTGAACTCTCAAGCTGACCAAGCATCACCCATCCCCCCACTGAACTCTGCTCCAAGTGTTACAACGACTAGTATAACTGGAGCCAGAAGCCCTGCAGATGCCTCTCAAGCTGGTTCAGCGGCTATAGCACCACAGATGAAAAAGCTAGCCTCCACCAAGTCAGCTTCAGGGGCTCCAAATGTGTCTGTTCCAGAGACAACAAACATTAGTGCCAATGCGGGTGTTCCAGGCCAGCCTCCTGTCTCTAACCCAGCTTCCCTCCCCTCACAAACCGCACCCTCTGTCTCTGCCAATCAAGGTTTGAGTCAATCGACGGTACCATCAATGGCGAACAATGCGACTGCTACATTATCTGAAACTACTCCACAGGAACATTATTTGGTTCCTCCACATCAGCGCAGCTCGCACGCGAAACCAATTCCGCCTTTTCTTCTAGATCTGGACTCACAGCTCGTTCCGCAACATTTGAAGAAGCAAACGAATGATTACTACGTCCTTTATAACCCTGCATTACCCCAGGACTTAGAAGTCGATCTTCATGCTTCCTTAGATCACTCGTCGGTGGTCTGCTGTGTACGATTCAGCAATGATGGTGAATTTTTAGCTACCGGTTGCAATAAGACTACACAAGTTTACAGAGTTTCTACCGGTGAATTAGTTGCCAGATTATCCGAGGATACGGCTTCACTATCCGTTGGGGCAAGTGGCCCTCCAACAGAAGGTTCTGATGCTGCTGTCGCAGTATCGTCTTCCGCTTCTTCGGATCTTTATATTAGATCTGTTTGCTTCTCACCAGATGGAAAATTTCTTGCCACTGGTGCAGAGGATAAGTTGATTCGTATTTGGGATTTGACAACAAAAAAAATCGTCATGACTCTTCAGGGGCACGAACAAGACATTTATTCGTTGGATTATTTTCCTTCTGGTGATAAACTAGTTTCGGGTTCTGGTGACAGAACAGTGAGAATCTGGGATCTTCGTTCTGGGCAGTGCTCATTAACGCTATCAATCGAAGACGGGGTCACGACCGTTGCCGTATCACCTAGTGATGGCAAACTAATTGCCGCTGGATCTCTAGACAAGACTGTTCGTATTTGGGATTCAGAAACTGGTTTTCTTGTCGAGAGACTTGACTCTGAGAACGAATTAGGAACCGGTCATAAAGACTCCGTTTATAGTGTTGTTTTCACGAGAGACGGCCACGGCGTTGTATCGGGATCACTGGATAGATCTGTGAAGCTCTGGAATCTGCGGAGTACCAATGGCGGCGCTGTCGACGGTAAATCTAGCTCGGCTTCGAGCGAAGTAACTTACACGGGACACAAAGATTTTGTTCTTTCAGTTGCAACTACACAAAATGATGAGTACATACTCTCAGGATCAAAGGACCGCGGCGTTTTGTTTTGGGATACGACCTCAGGTAACCCGTTGTTAATGTTACAAGGTCATAGAAACTCGGTGATTTCTGTTGCAGTTGCCAACGATCATCCATTAGGTCCTGAATTTGGCGTATTCGCTACAGGTAGCGGCGATTGTAAGGCAAGGATTTGGAAATATACTAAAAGGGGCTCAAATTCTGAACCAAAGATCAAAGAGATCAAAGAGTAAATTTAACATTAGATAACAAGTGTATTTTAGAAAATAAAACCAAAATTGTCTTAAACGAAAAGGCTCTAACGGGTGGTGAGGGCTAACTCATATGCGCATCATTAAATTATTTATTATATACAAGGTGACTATTAACAAGTCCTATCGTTCAACCCCACATAGCACAACGCGATTTGTGAGTCAGTATCTCCATTACACCCAAAATTATTTGATCGATCACTGTCTTCCATTAGCTTCCGAAAACCACGATGTGTACATCTCATCTACATCATTAGCCAGGAGGCTATTCAAATCAGTCTCATAATTGTTCCAAAAGTCATCAGCCAAATTATTAAGCACATCCTCGCTTAGTCCCTCGACATAGTTACCTAAATCACCACGATCTGTCTCATTTTGAGCAAAAAGTATTTCTTTGACCGTTGGATTACTCAAGTCAGTACCAGAGCAAATTGGTAAACGGTTGACAAAGTAATGGTGAAACAGATCTCTACTTGACTTTTCAATCGCACAGATAACAATGAAACCATACGAAAAGCACTTCAAGCAGCGAATCATATCCGCGTTTTCATCGCTCTCCCACCGTTTTAGAACTTTGACAAAATACTCGTTGGTACATTGAAAGCCCACGTAGTGATCTGAAACAGACTCAAGGCTATCCATTGGCAGATCAAATTTTCGAGCAAGCGGATACTTAAATCGCAAATCATCAAAGCCTTTAAACGTGCTTATAGATGAAAGAAGCACATACACTTCGGGTATTGAGCGAGGAAAATGTTTCTGCAGTATAAACATTGCCAAGTGAAGATTGTAGGGAATTCCTCTCACTGGAGGAGCCTTATTTTCTCGCGCAGCTGCTCTATCTAGATCAAAGAACCCCTCGGTGATAGTGATGGACATAGACAATATCTGGGCCGAAAATTGCAAGGTGTTGTTGATGGCTACTGGGGTGAAGTCGTCAAAGCACGTTCGCTTCAAGTTGGAAAGGATACTCAACCAAGAAAGTAGCCCGAGGAACAGATCAAGTTCGGTGAAATTGACTTTTTTGATATTTTCACGGTCCATATAGAACACTACGGGCTTAAACTCTGAAGTTAAAATTGCTTTAACTTGTTGACTCATCGCATCCAAATCTGGAATCTTGTCTTTCTCATGTAAGCCATTAAGTATCTGTCTGAGAGGTTTTATCAGTCTTCTCAATATTGCATTTGTCCCGAAATTATCTGCTTCAATCAAATCATACTCCATGAGTATTTCTGGGATGTGCGGAGGAGTTCCCAACCCAGTTGCAGTTTCTATGTCAGCGTATAGAATCCACAGCCATAGATTTTCCAGATATTTTATTGCACCATGAGAATTTTCATCATTGGCGAAGAGCTCTTTTATATTTCCATGCAGGCCCACTTGTAAGGCTGCTGCAAATACCGACTGAGTAATCAACGAAACGTTGCTATGATCACCACCAGTAAGACCCTTAGTAATCATTGCAAGCCTTTTCAGAAAAATGAATTGTACGCGTTCAATGAAGAACACTTTAGCCGTGAAGCAGGAAAGAAGAAACCTATCGAAGTTGTCGTGGGGCTGCGATATAGGCTGGTTATAGTTTACCAAAGACACTATTTCTGTGATAATTCCAATTGGGTAGAAATTCTTCTTAAAAGTTGGGCGCAAATGAACAATGGGATGCATTTCAGTAATTGGGTCCTTTGGGCCCTTTATAAAACAATTCTCAAGATTCCTGAAAACAACCACAGGATCCAGTACCTCGAAGCCCTTGTAAATCGAGCTTGAAAAGAAAGCCCGCAAAGATTCTTCGATTTGTTCGTAAAAGGGCAAACCTCTGCACATGGCGTCGAGGTAAGAAAGGCCGCTCTCTGGTTTAACCTCGATAGCAGTTACTTCTTTGAGAGTAGAATACCCACTAATAGCCTTCCACCGTCGTCTTTCTTCCTTTATCTTAGCCCAAACTATTGTGTGGTAGGTGTCGAATTTAAGGTTGCTAATTGCCAACATCGCCTTTAAACTGGTACAGCCGTAGTAGATCTTCCTATCATCTTTGGTCAACACAACTCGAATATTGCGCGTAGGGTTGATGCCTTCTCCGGAATGAAGCCGCCGTCCCTCTTTGTAGAGTTTTAACTCTTCCTCCAGCTCCTTAATCTTGCTCAGGAGTTCCAAGTTGGGGGCGGATTTCAGCAATTCTTCAGTTGAGATATCAGGACCAAAACTCTCGACATAAACACACTCCTTCATCCCTCTGGAGAGACATGTTGTACATATGGGCTTCTTTTTGTCGCATTTCAGTTTACGTTTCCTGCAAAACAAACACTGTTTAATGGCCTTTCTACGCTTCTTAACGTTGCCGTCGAGGTCATTGAATTCGTCTATTGAATCAAAGCTTTCAGCCCCTGTTGGCATACTTTCAAGCTTTCAGTCCCTGAGTCAGATATTTTAGCTTTGTCTTCGTTAGAGTGTGATGCTCGAAATGATGTCGTCTACCTCTCAAGTCATTGACTCTATATTTGCTTGTAAATTCACTGACATAAACAAAAATCTTATAAAACAGGGACTGTCAGTCAAGCTGGTCGTCAAGGAGTCCTAGTTAGGATATCTACGGTGAATCAAAGAGGTTGGCGATGAACAAGTTACTACAAATTTACATACTTCTGGGTTAAACCTAGGTCTGCGCCTATATACCTAATGAGTTTCTACGAGTTCGCCATTACTTTCAGCTTTTACTTGGGAATGCCGGTAGTTGTATCGATTAGGCACTCAGTGGTGTCTTGGGGGCCGGGCCCAACCTGAGTTAGTATAACACGGGAAACACCCTTGTGCAAGTCGAGGTCAAGGTCAAAAGCCATGTCGGGAGCCACGTCGGTGGTGAAATACTCGCTAAAGACCTCGAGGTCTTGCTTAGAAAACTTCGAATCCCAGCCCGAATTTTGCTGGAATACTTGGTGAATGAAAGCCATCACTTTAGTCTCATTTTCTTGTAGATAGTAGAGAACGGCGTTTGGGCCAGCGTCGAACGTGTAGGCAACGACAACCTCGTCGAAGAAAGCATTGATCTGGTGACATAGCTTCACAATTTGGCGGGAGGTGTCATTCATGTAAAAGATGGGAGGGTATGAATCCAAACAGGTGGCGTGAAAAGAATTCGAATCGCGCATAGTGAGCTCGGCAAATTGAGCAAAATCACGGCTCCAGATGGCTTGCTTCATCTCCTCAAAGCGTTTAGGCACAACATTGGTGATTCGTTCTTGGAAAAGATCAGAAGTGCCCACTGTATGTTGCATACCACTGGTTGAGGGTGTATCCTTCTTAGCAGCACTGACTACCAAAATAGCGGCTTTCATCTCTGGCCAGTGATCCTGTGGTGCCACTTCGACTGCTTTAGAGTCGGAGCCGTCCGCTGCAGTCCCCATTTCCCATGCCACGTAGCCACCAAACAATGACCTACAAGCGGAACCAGAACCCTTACGGGCAATCTTGGAGATCTCTGAGGCAGATTCTGGCAGTTGGTAGAGTTTAGAAATCGCAACAACCAAGGCCGCAAAGCCAGCGGCAGAGGATGCTAGACCCGCGGCTGTAGGGAAGTTATTTTCGGAGACGATGTGAAGTTTCCATTTGGACATAGAGGGCAGACTCGGATTTTGAGCTTCTAGTTTCGCACGCAGGTCACGCAGATCTTGTAGACAGTGCTGTGTTCTTTCACTTTCGAGGGACTCAAGCTTCCCGTTGAGCCACAATTGGTCCTCATCGAAGCGTTCGCTCGTCGCGGCAGATGTTAGGGTACGCAGGTCATTCTGAGCTAAGGTTACAGAAATGGACGAGTTTGTGGGCAAGTTGAGGGTTTTATCCCGTTTTCCCCAGTATTTGAGGGTCTAACAAGCAAAGGTAGTTAGTATTGGACGGTGGGCCTTTGTGCATGCCAAGAACGGTTGAAGGCATGGCCGCGCAGCAGTACACTTGGGGTGCAGTTGGGAAACGGAAGACATACAGCAATGTTGACAGGAGCAGTCGTGCTCGCAGTAAAGATGGTCATTGACAAAAGTTTGCTTCTCTGGAATGTAAAATAAGTTTTTGGCTCAGGTGGAAGACTTTGACGGTTTTTAGATTTTCAAGCATACTTGTATTGTTTACACGATATGGAAGACTAAACGACGGTAAAAAGAGAGAAGAGTTGACCAAGGTGAGCTGATTGCTGGTGCAATAGAAGATGCGAAACTAGAGCCTGAATGTCTATTTTCTCTCATTTCATGATCTATGCCACTATTGTAAGCCAAACTTTTTTGGCCCCAGACCTCTGCTTTTCCCGCGTACACAGGCCCACGAGAAAGCTCCGAGGCTAGTTTCTGCGGGCTGTTTGATTTATCTCTATGATTTTGATCTAGAGTGGGCTTTTTGAGCTACCTCATACCAAGCTGAACCCCACTTTTAGCGATTCTTTGACCATCTAGCAGCGGTGCTCTACATTGCGGCTGCCAAAGTGCTATTCAAGAAACACGGCTAACACGTTTTCGGCTGTAGCTGTAGTACCCTTTGGAGTACCTTTGCCGTCGAGCTCTTTGAAGAAGGCGCAAGAGATGCATATATAATATGACACTAAAAGGTTTGCCGCTAAATGCTTAGAAACGCATTGACCAAGCAGATGAATGAGTGCAAGTCATAACATAAGCTATAAAACACTCTCATGGGGAATCTCATCCTGTGCTCCCCGAGATTTGTCTCGAGATGACTCTATTTTTGCCTTTTTCAGCTGCTCAAACTTTCAGTCATTCTTCGGAATGAGCTCCCAGTCCGCGATCTTCCAACTCGCCCTTATGGAGACCTGACTTGCTTACTCTGTCTATGACCAGCCTCCTGTCGAACACGCTCACGACGGGTGACAGCACAATCTTGTTCTTGTGTCATTATCTTACAAAGTGATCTTAACTGTTTTACACACCGCGGTGTGACGAAGGAGCTTCAGCGAAGGTCAAGAACTGAAAGAGCCCCTGGTAAAGATTAGGCCATCTGCCTGGAGCAGTGCGTGATCATCGGGGTGCAGGGAGCTTCTAGTACCCGACAAAAAGCCAACCTCAAGATTCAGACGACACGCCGAGTTCGCGACAAAACAGCACTTCTACACGCCAAGCAAAGGCTTCCCAGCAGGTCTGCGCTATGAAAGACACATCGGGGACCCCGCTAGATGCCGCTTGTCCCACGTCAATGGCTGGCAAGCCGGTTTTCCAGCGGAGCCCAGGCATCACATGACCAGGCAGTACGTACAGAGCGACTCCTTTCAGTGTGTTTGCTGGTCCTTTGTCAAAATGACCCGCGACAGGACACTCCGTTTCCTTCCCGAGCTGCTTCCCACCGCAGTGCTCGAACAAGCTCACCTCTGCCCCAGCTGTGCAACTCTCTCGGGCACAGGTGTCCCACGCATCGACGATCAGTTCTCGCCCAGCTCGTATACAGCGACTACCAACCTAACTAACCTAATTTTTCACTATCTGCAGACTATCCTTACGAACAGCCACCTACTTACAAGTTATCGCCCAACGCTCGACGTCTGTTTCTACCGCAAGTAGATTCACTTTCTAACGTCCGCAACGTCGAGCCGATCCGTTCTCCCGCATGAGCGAAAAGCCTGTCGAGAAACCCGCTGCTCGTTTCGTCAGGCAGTTCCAACAACAAGATCTGGCAGACAGTCCCGATTATGCGCTTTTAAACCACACCAGAACACACCTCAACAGCCGCGTTCTGCAGAAAAAATACCTGACAAAACAGCTGCAGCTGCTGTACACGCAAATAGACAAGACACGCAACTACCAGGAGTTTGTCGACACGCTGGCGCGCAACCGCTCGCTGCTGAGTGACATCTTTCGGGTGGAGAAGGACGGTCACGTGGTGCAGAGAAGAGCTGGCGCTGTTTCCGCCGGCAGTGGCAAAAGCGTCGGCAGTGGCCAGCGAAGAAGGGGCGTCTCCGCAGCCCTGGCTGCGGCCACGAGCACGCACGGTGTTTTGATCCCCAGCGTGCCCTGGCATCAATACGGAGTGGATGTCGAACAGTATCTACTGGCAAGCGACGAGAGTCGCGACTTGGTCCACCAGAGCGGATGGGTCTTTCACGATATGTAAATAGGACGAAATTTTTAACGAGCAAGCTACGAGACTTTACCTGGGATAGAAAGAAGGCCAGCAACGATGGCAGGACGCGCTGGCCGGGGTGTCACTTTCGTGTGGAATGATGACGGAACTAAAAGCTCTCATGGGCCCCCATGCCACCAGCTTTTGGGTTCCCTAGCTACCTGCAGCGAGAGATGGGGCCGCCAAGAGGCGCCGCCTTACATGTACACCTCGAGGGGCCAGCGAGCAAAGTAATGGACCATGAACTAGAGCACTACGTAGGTAATGATCTACGGCTTATAAGTCCACGCCTGCTTCTCTGCCTGTATAAACTAACCAGCGTTTTAGCAGTTCAGACGCTACCATCGAAAACCTATCCTACCAGTAGCACGCCATGTTCAAAATTGCTTTCCAACGTCCGATCGCGGCTCGTCCTGCCGTCTTGCGGACTCTCAGATTTCAGTCTACCGTCACGCAGCTGGAGTCGCTACAGGACTTCCAAAAGGCAGTTGCCAACAAGAACCTCAGTGTCATTGACTTCTACGCCACCTGGTGCGGTCCTTGTAAAGCTATTGCACCTCACTTCGAAAAACTTAGCGAAAAAAACCCTGAAGTAGATTTCTACCGCGTGGATGTGGACAATTCGCCCGACGTGGCTGGCTATTGCGGTGTCAGTGCGATGCCTACCTTCTTACTAGCCAAAGAAAGTCAAACTGTGGGGAAAGTCGTGGGCGCCGACGTCAGAGGGCTCACCCAGGCTATCTCTGACTTGAAGAATTGATCTACTCGGAGAAGTCACTATCCTTTTCTCTTCATTTCCACCTCATCTCTTCTCGTCCATACTAATACATTATTGATTCATTATACACATACCACACATAGTAAAAAACCAGCTCATCGGTCAAAGATTTGAAAGTGTCGGACGAAACGTTCTCCAACTCAAAGCCCTTTCCTCGCTGACAATGCAGCGCTATAATTGGCTAGCTAGTAGACACTTAGCTGCCAGGTTTTACGCGACTCCAAGAGGTGTTAAAGTGCCGTTGTCCGCTAAAATCAATGCTTTGATATCAAAGACATCGGCCGAGCAGATCTACAGCTACAAGCCGACACTGTTTGTAAAAGTAGGATCGTGGACGTTGGCCGGTGTTTTTGCGGTATACGGAGTCTCTTTTGCAGACTGGTCTCTTTCAAGCTCTTTGGATCTGTACGAGCAGGAAGCGGAACAGTCCACACTGTCGGAGGCCTGGTGGAAACACCCTAAATTACTGCTGGTCGCAAGAACTGCTGGATCTGTACTGCTTTCAATCATACCTTTCACATTATCGGCTCTAGCAATCTACGCTCCGTCGAGAATAGTCACGGGCGTCACATACATGCCGCATGGTGCTTTCCAGCTTACTCGAAGAGCACTGGTTTCTGGCAGACCTGTGACTAGGACTGCGGTTTTTGGTGCCATAGTTCGTAATGAAAAGACCAGAGTCTACACAGGGGTAGGCTCCCAGGGAACTGAGGACAGAGCCTCGTTTGCCTTCTTACTAACAGACACCGACAAACCAACGTGGGATCGCTTCTACATTGTCAATCGCTCGGGTAAGTTTTGGGCGCAGGACGGAAGAATCTTCGATGTTCTGTTCGGAGGCGACTCTGCGGAAAGCTTAGAACGGTCGCCAGAGTCTGCTTCTGTGACAACCGCCAAGGATCCTAACCTGCTACAGAATCTTATAAAAGAACAACAAATACGAACTAAATTCAATAACCGGCCCGCGGATGCCAGGAACATTGTTTTGAAGCGAAGATCAAACTGAACACCGACCGGTGGTTGGTGAAGCCTATATAATGTCTCTATACCGTAACGTTACATTATTCCTAATATTTTGAGGAAATAGTCAATTAGCAAAGCACCACTGAAAATGAGCCCGGATTTGATGTTGCTGGTGAAATGTTTCCAGCAGTCCGCAGGGTTATCTAAATCAACGTTGCGAACCATCGAAAAGAGTCTATATCCAAAAATTGCCATGCCACCCAAAAAGCCAGGGCCCCACAGCAAGCCGCTGGTAGCACCCGCTAAACCTAGAGCCCCCATTTGGGCGACCGACATCGCAGTGCATATCTTGCGGCTCTTGTCACCCCATGCTAGCGCTGTGGACTTAATACCCGCTTTAATATCGAATTTTTTATCCTGGTGCGCATAAATCGTGTCATAAGTCATACACCACAAGAAACTGCTGGTATATAACGGAAGCATCACCGACCAGTCCATCACCCCCATCGCAGGAAAGCCTAAAAGAGCTCCCCAAGTAAAGCACGCGCTCAAAGCAACCTGCGGGTAGTATGTGAACCGTTTGAACAGCGGGTACGAAAACACTAGCGGTAACGAAGAGAGCCCTAGCCACCAGCAGTCAGCAGGAAGCTGAGTCAAAATCCCGATCCCAGTGGCCGTTTGAGCGCCCAAAAAAGTAAGCGCTTGATTGGGAGAAACTCTACCGGAGGCTATTGGTCTTTCTACGGATCTGATCACCTTGTTATCAAGGTTTCTGTCCAGAAGGTCATTAATAGTGCAGCCGGCTCCTCTCATGATTAGCGCTCCTGTTCCGAAAAGGAAAAGCATCCACAGGGTTGAAGACACTGGTGCGAGGGTCTGGGTAGCTGCCATGGTGATTGACCAAGTGCAAGGAATATACAATAGCCAAGTTCCCACAGGTTTCTCCAAACGCATCAGCTCTGCGTAAGGAATTATCTTTGCAGGTAGTTTCGAGACGTATGGTTCCAGCCCTTTATTTCTTGCCTCTCGAGCTTGATCAAGCTCGTCCTTGGTAAATGCTACAGCCTTCTGGTTGTGCGTCAAAGTTGAGCTAAATCTGGCTACAAAACCTGCATACGAATGATTTTTTTGGTTTTTCAAAAACAGTTGAGCGCTCGTTTGATATAGAAGCCGAATGGAAGCATTTCTGGGCCCCAACATGATTGATTTGCATTAGTTGCAGATTATATTAAAACTCGCTGGCACCACTCGTGTTGACCATTGTCGTCGCCCAACTTTGTTTACACTTCGTCAAGCGTGATCACGATGTCCATAAAGCGACGACCGGCGCTGAAAATGTACCTTTCTCTCGGTCCTCCTTCTGTTCATCGACCTCTTCTCCTTCCTGTTCCTAGCTCCCAGCTTTCGTGTTCAAATTAAGTTAGCCAATGGTGTTGCTTTGATACGAAAAGCCCTCCGTGGTGTACCCCTGTGCAAGTGGTAGTGATTTGGAGCTATCGGGATAGCTCCGCGTTGTACACTATAGTGGCTAGAGCTACCGAGTGGTGATGATCTAGCACAGCTCGAATAGCAACGAGTTGCATTGGTAACCATCAACCTAGTGTCAGTAGGGTATGAAGTGATATTCGCGATGCCAGTAAAACAATGGACAAGGTGAGCAGCCTACCAGGGGCATCCAGACGAGCAGCAATGACCCACAGCTGTCCTGGCCCAGCATTGGGATTATTCAACAGCTCAACACCTTATCCTTTGGATTGGGCCCTCACTGGACCCACATTATTCCCGTTCCGTCTCAGGTATGGGCCAGATCTAAAGCCCAAGTAGTCTGGGAGTGATACCCGGAAGACGCTTTCAGTGTCAATTTCTCAGAGTTTTATACACGATGTCTATCGACAAATCGGACAAACAGTTCAGCAGGTAAACTACTACCGTTGCTGACTCTTCGCCCCACTATATTCAAAAGGACACGGGCAGAGTACGCCGTGACCACCTGAAGGCCAATCCTGCCCACTGGTCGCCCACTCCTTACTGTCTAAACACTTTCCAAAGATTTGCTCGAACCTATTGAGGCGAATCTGATTCATTAGTAGAAAGCTTACCAAAACTGTCTTGTAAGTTGGTCATAATCATTGTAAGGTGAATACCGTGGATCTGGAGAGTTCCATCTCTCCATGATTATGTTAGGCCTTAGAATTGGGTTAATGGTCTGAACAAACGCCTAATATCTATATAATTCGCACTCGGTGACTCTGGTCAATACATGTTTTAGACACTAGAGTTCTCGAGGCGAATCTGATTCATCAGTAGAAGGCTTACTAAAATTGTCTTGTAAGTCGGTCATAGCCATTATACGATGAGTAGCTCGGGTCTAGGGGATTCTTTTATTGAGGCGAATCTGATTCATCAGTAGAAGGCTTACTAAAATTGTCTTGTAAGTCGGACATAGTCATTGTAAGATGAGTAACTTGGATCTAGGGAATTCTATTCATCTCTCCGTAATTATTTTAGGCATTAGAGTTGGTTCAGTTACCTGAACAAAAGCCTGGTATTTATACAATTCTCACTCGGTGACTCTGGTCAACATATTTATTAATCACCAATTCTAGATCATTCTATTACCCAAGGATTACGGCTTCAATGCCGTACACTACCGATAACTTATCAATGGCCAATCCCATTGGACAATAGTTGTTCTCTTCGGTTTGTCTTAGCTTGTAGCTCTATTTGAATGGCCTCGGTTATGTCCTATCATTCTGTACCACTATGTCACATATTTCCTGACACTAATATTGCCGTTAGGCGCACATCACCATCAGTTCACTAGAAACTCCCACTACTCCCAACACAAGCCTCCGCTGTGAAGGATTTCTTCACCTTTCATGAACCCCAATATCATAAATATGTTAGATATATGCCGATGCTGCTGGTACGTTCCAGCAAAGGACACAAAGCCAACAATCCATAAGCCTTTGTGAAGTGTAATTTAATGTCCTTTGCCCCATTCTAGATGCCGTTCTGATGGTACGTACGATGTTCAATGGCACTTCGCTATTCACCGAACTCTTATCACTTTTTCCCAAAATGGCGACGGAATCTGCTCTTTGCCAGATCGTTCATAATTATCAGCTTATTCTCCTGACAAAAAGCCATCAACAAGAGTTTGCTTTCCCTTTACTGCAGATAGACATTTAAGTACAACGAACAAGTTTGAAAGTAGCTTTTAGCCTCGTCACAAGTATTTTTGGATATTTGGAACAATTGTTTAGGTACTGGAGGTGTTTTTGTTTGGGGCCACGCAATTGCAAAATAATTGCAATTTGTCTGAGAATTCATTCTTCGTCAGAAACCAAGAAACGCCTAGCGTCCAGTATTACAGTAGTTGACAGACTTTACTTGAACTGCGTTCAACAATGACCACTACAGTTCCAAAGGTTTTTGCGTTTCACGAATTTACGGGAGTAGCTGAAGCTGTTGCAGATTATGTTGTGAATGCACAGAACCTGGCTCTGTCAAAGGAGCCTTTTGCGCTTAGAAATGGCGCCGCTGGTAGCTCTGACGGCTCCAGCAGTAACCCGAACGGCTCTTTGGCGGTTCCGCAAACATCAGCCCACATCTCTCGACAAGCCAGCGGGAGGAGCATGTCCGGTAGAGAGTCAAGCCAGGCTCCCAGCGGCGGGGCTTCTAATCCCAATATCAGGGCGCCCAGCAGCAGTAAACTAAAGAAAATGAAGGAAAAGAGGTTCAAAATTGCGCTTTCCGGGGGCTCATTGATCCAGGTTCTTCATGAGGGGCTACTCAAGCGAACTGACGTCCATTGGGGGAAATGGGACATTTACTTTGCAGACGAGAGATTGGTACCTTTCGACTCTCCTGAGTCTAATTATGGGCTCGCGAAACGCAAAATCATCGACTTAATCGACAGCGACGCTTTTGGGTCCCCGCGTGTGTTCCATATAAATGAATCGCTGATTGACGATCCTCAGGAGTGTGCCGACGACTACGAAAAGGTACTTATCAAGGGCTTTGCTGGCAGAGACTCTGTGAAACTACCGATGTTCGACCTTTTTTTGCTTGGTTGTGCGCCCGATGGCCATATTGCATCCTTGTTCCCCAACTTCCAAGAAAACCTACGAGAGAACCTCGCCTGGGTGATACCTGTCACTGAGGCGCCTAGTGGACCGTCCAATAGAATATCGCTAACCATCCCAGTTATTTGTCACTCTCATCAAGTCACATTTGTTGTGGAAGGATCAACCAAGGCGCCTGTAGTAAAAACAATTATGGAGCGTCCCGAGAAGGGTCTTCCAAGCAGCATCGTCAATGAAGGTGCAGCTGGTCGTGTTGTCTGGTTTGTGGACGATGATGCATTGACTGATGTTTTCGTAACAAAAAAGAAATACAAATTTTTGGTGGCCTCTGAGAATCCTGAGCGATCGTCTCCAGCAAACACAGGATAATAACAGCATGCAATAGTACGCAGTGCGGTAACCAAGCTTCGACAAGCATTAATGCTTTACCAAATCATCATAAATGCCCTTTTGTTAATTCCATTTCCTTTTATCTTTGCGTTTGTCGTGGCTAGGATTTTTATCGTCTAGTTCAGGCCTGGACCTCACCTCAAAGATTAGAAGGTGCTGTAATATTACGACTACCAGCTCCGTGTGCCATCTCTGTTGCCAGGACTAGGTTTTCATTATCTATACACCAACCACTGCGATATGTAAACAAAATTAAAGAAAAGTGTCAGCATTGCAATTCCGATTCTTCCAAAATTAGCAACCACTACCTCGAGGTTGAAGACTGGCTCGTCCCGTGCTATTTGCAATGATAGCTGGGACAATGAGCAAACACTACCCAGAATGTCACAGGCCACACTTTGGATTGGAAATCCGTTCATACTTTTACGATCATAATTGTGCCTCACTTGAGGCAAATATTTAATAAGAGACATGCAAATTTTGAGCAAGTATAGTTTGTTACAAAATACCAAGGTATTTTGATTGTCCCAACCAAATTGTGATCCCTGCCATAAGATCTGCGATGTAGAAAGCAAACACAGAATTATGCTGAGCCCAAGAATTTTACTGTAGATGGGCTTCATTCGCACACTCCCACCCTTCGTAAAACTCCAAAGCGCATTACCCCATATTATTTGGCTCAGAAGTACCAAATTCATGATAAATCCATGCAAGCAATAGTAAAAATCGAAAGCTGTGACTTTTGGTCTCGATATTCCAGGCGTAGTCTGAGAGCCTTCTAACCAGTAGAAAAGCTGAAGCCAAAGAGACACCAGTAGATAGAGGTATCCAAACACATTTAACATAACAAAGTCCATCGACGTTGCAGAGGCCGATTTGTGATGCCAATTGTGATAAATGGGGGGGTATGCAGAAATGGTCCATGGGATAACGTATCCATAGCCCAAGAGCTTCACCAAATCCATTTTCACGCAATATCTATCCTCAGTCGGCTCTTAAGGCAGGTTTGGATCGGCAACGTTGTTGGGCTACATGCAAGAAGTGCATATCTGGAAATTTGGGCTCGGTCGCGTGATCTCAAGGTAATCGATCAGACGCCATTGTCGACTAGATCTTACCAGTTTGTAACAGGAGAATCCCGCCTGTGATCGATGTTCTCTCAACGCATCCCTATTGAAATCAAACTTTCAGTTCAGAGTTTGGATGATGATGGAGTTTTTTACTGAGGAATTTTAAAAGAAAACCACGACGCTCGTAGGGCAGAGCGGTCTGCACCGGGACAGCATAATTAATTTACTTTCCAGGCCTCTTTCCTCTTCAAATAATGACTGTTCGCTGATTGAGCCAACAACACATCAAAAATAACCCTGTATTTTATTTTGGCATATGAATCCAGAAATTTTATGAGTGTCAACCACTGGCCAGGGAGCCTGTTATGAAACTTTGGTTGTCTGGACACAGCTTTAAGGTTTCGCTTAACAGTCCTTCGAACAATAGCACGGTAAATGTTCATAATGTACACCTTGTCAATCAATGACACGAAAAAAATGTAAGAATACGTCCTCCCCCATTGTTTTAAACAGCAGCTGCGGTTATTCGACCTACAGCGGTCAGCCTTTATACATGTAGAATCAAACGCATCTGCTATTTGTTTCTTACACAAGATATATCATAGATTATCACGTTAGCTGAAATACCTGGATGACACGCTCTTCACAGCTTGTTAACAGTGCACAGTATAGCGGATAACTTATTCGCAGGAGCTTGGGTTATATAATTTGGAAAACCATTCTTGAACGCGGTTTTATACAGCAGTAGTCATCGTGTGGTGAATTCTTTTGACTGGCGACGGAGCTTAAAACACGGAACAATTTTATCTGTCAACAACACACGAAACGAGTTTGCTAAGGCCCGAAACGTTCAACAATACATTTCCCGGTTGGGCCCCACATTTTCCCTGCTAGATAAAATCCCGCGTTCATCCATCTAGGTTTCAATAGAACGTATCGCCTTCGCAGTGCCATTATGCCTATTCTATGGTATATAAGATACTAAACTGAGCCATAAATAGCGCTTACTTCTTCACCTCATCATACGCCAGCGTAACATGAAATATGAATCACAAACTGTGGCAGCTCAGAGACTAGATATAGGGGCGGTGCTCGGGAGAAGCCTCATTATCTAGCATACGATGACTATTGGTAGCTCTTTGGAACAAATATCTGCCATCCTGGAGCGAATATTCGTAGTCCTCGTCCAGTCGAGATCTACCATTTGCACCAGATCTCTCCTGAGCGAGTTGTGCATCCGTGCCCTGTGCATGTGCAGGGTCTGTTAATATTCCAAATAGTTCGTAGCAGTATTCTTTGCCAAGTACTTTAACAAGAACTTTGTTCTTGAGGTCGAAAAAGTATCCCAGAGGCACAATAACGATGAAAACCGCAGGTAAATACCTATTCAACATATCCACCAACGGGATTAGTTTCAAATCACGATACAGAACTTTCTCAAATCCACTCTCCTGGATGTTAGGCTCGTGAGATATTAAGGTTATGAAGTTGAAGCATAATGGTAACAGCAACCTACTCGAGTATAACGAATAATAAAGCGCATTTTGAGGGCTACTTTGACCATTGGGTATAAGGTGCAAATTGGCAAATTTGAAGCAGCTCATGGCGTATAGAGAGGCCAAGGTATTATAAAGCAGAATGGACATCTCAAGTACGAAGTTGATCCACTTTTTACCTCCAAAAAGCCTCCCATGAGCAAGCCGCGAAGGAGTTAGTTCGAGAGCTACCACCAGGCATGAAAGCGATAGGCACAATATACCTAAGGCCCACTTTCCAAGCCTTTTTGTCCAAGACACAGGGTCAACCTGGGAATGGGCCAGATTATGAATGATTTCATCAGACTTCGCCTGATAGTACAGGTAATTGTAATACTCGGTCTTGAAAGAATTATAGCGCTGATTGATCTTGGTCAAGTTCGTAACGAATTGTTCGCGGCGACTAGCAGGTGGTAAATCTATTTGCGTTTCGTTGACTAAGGATTGCACCTCCAGTTTGCACTCGTTGAGGGTAGAGTTCAGAGCCACGTCACCGTTCCTTACTTCGGGAAGAGACAGAATCTTGCCTGCATATTCAGTCATGGCAAGTCTCGCATCATTGGATTCGTCATTGCACTTGCTTAGCTCCACAAACAGCTTATTTTCGTCGTCAGATTCAAACAGAAGTGCTTTAGGAAGTAAAATCAGCCCCATTGATAGCAATATTAGAGCATAAGATAGCGAATAGAGGTGGGAAAGAGAGATAATAAGAGGCTTCAGGTCGCCCATTCCACGCTTTGCTCCCAGTTTCAAATACAAAATTCCACAAAATAGGCCGAGAGAGCACAGTGCGTAGAATTTTATATTGGTAAGTAATGCCCTTTTCACCCGGTGTAGAATATAACTGCCTTGTCCAGATTCTTGGTGTCGTGGAAAAAGGTATTTCAAGTCGAGGTAGGAAATCAAAACAGGCAGCACAAACCAGCATATGCCAAACTCAAGCCAGTATATCGCATACCACAGAAACGAGATGTCGGGCCTTGGGATCTCGTTTACAGGGGACTGCTCCGTATTGTCTCGGAGCACCATATCGGTAGAAGGTTCTTCTTGCCTGGCAGTTCCTTCGGGCCCCGACGACCTAGCCGCGTAAAAAACATCCAGCGGTAACAAGTACGTGATCGAGAGTAAGATACACATATTCGCCAGAAGCACGGCTAAAGTTAGTGGAAGGGTGTTTTTATGTCGCTTGAATGACAAGTAGCGATTTACAAACACGAAAGAACATAATGCCGTAATTCCAGTAGCAGTTATAACCCAAGCCCAGAACAGCATTTCCTTCCAAGGATGCTCTTGAGTAGCTATCGATGCTTTAATTCACTTGGCCTACGGTTGATAGCCAAATAGCATAGCCAATACCCATGTAGACGTTAGTACGAAGTGATCAATGATAATCATCTCGTAGATACACTTACAATCCTAATGGTCACAATTCTTCCGCACAACTAAGGGTGTGGGCTGTATGTCTAAGATCAGGGGCAGCAGGTCAACTTGCAGCTATCTTGGGGCCCCAAGGATCGACAGCAAGCTTGGCTCAATTAAGCATTGAAAAAACAGCTCTCAAAGGGTATGAATGATCGAGAGATAGACATTTTGGATTGCTTCAGGCCTGCGAATATGAAGACTCTGATTCCCTTCCAGCTCAATGTATGGTTATGCTGGCTTGATAAGTTTGATATTCAATGACGGCTATCATATAAGTCATCAATTACGATCATCTACTAGCTATTATATGTTATGGTTCATTACTGGGATAGCTAGCACGCTCATGCTCTCAAGCAGAATAACAGTTCCCGGAATCCATTCTTACGTCCATTACTTCAGTGAAGGAGATGATTCTAACCGACATAATACCCAAGGCTGCCGGAATGCTGGTCCTAGACGAAAACTACAACTTGATTGAAGCGTCTGGTGTCGGCCAACAGCATTTAGCGGATATACCAGTCATCAGGCAAACTGAACTGGATGGAGAGGGATTCGCAGTGTTGGAGAGCTCTGAAAATAGGGTAATTATATATCGGCAAGATAAAGCTACCATGGCTGTTTACACCTCCCGAGACTAGATGTGCCAGCTGTTCCAAAAGAAACCTGTGTAAGCGTAGGCTCTCGTCTCGAACCAAATAAGAAGAAAACTAAAATACAACCGGCAAAAAATTCCAATTTAGGCCCTTGGTCAAATAAATCCGCCACCGCTGCCGTGGAATTGGGACCTACCAAACGGGTCGTCAAACTTGGCTCCGGGAAAAGGCGGCCTCGGTCCTTTGGGCTCGCCACCCAGAGGACCGGAATGAGGATCTCCAATTCGTTCATCCCCGCCAGTCCTGAATGGATCAAACGCCATTCCACCCCTGCCCGGTGGTCTCGCTTGTACTGTGGGATGTAAAGATGGATCTTGAAAGTTTGGATATTTTTGTCCGCCTGGATACAGGTCTTGGTCCCCATAACCGGTGGCCAAGCCAGGGACTCCAAATTCGCCTGTAACAGGTATTCCCGCCTCCTGAGTCACCTCGTATTCGTCGTCAAAGCCAGGCATATCAGGAATTATCTTTCTGCGCGTTTCTCCTTTTGACGCTGACGAGAACATCGGTGACCCGAATTTGAGTCTTTCTAGCCTTTGGTGGACTGCCGAATAGTCGGCGGGATCTTTGCTTTGATGCCCGCTTTCACGTAGTTCCCGATTTGCGTCTCTTTTCGAATAGAAATGAAACTTGGCCTCCAAAGTCGAATCTAGGTTCGGCGTGTAGTAATTGACGACCTGGTTTTTTTCCATGGGAAAAGAAATCTCGCTAACACCGCCCACAAGCTCTCTTTCATAGTTTACTATTCCCTGTCGTACTGATTCTTCATCAACACACACACTAATCATGCACTTTTCTCCCCCGCTAATATCCATTAAGATTATCTCTAGTTCGTCACAATGATCACGCTTGAACCCAGCGCTCGCAACCTCATTATTTACATCAACTCTAAGCTCGATATTCTTCTTGGAAGCCTCTTTTAATCGAATATTAGGGTTATCAGCTAGAAGACCCGAATGATCCAAGTATATGAGAAAAAGTTGTGAGGCAAGTTCCAGCTTATTGCTAACGCTATCCATTTTGTCTAAAGCTGTGATTGAATGCTTATTGATGCTTTCAGAAGTGTTGCTGTCAGCTTGGATCGGGATGTAGACGAGATGTGTCTTTATTAATACAGCAGCTTTAAGGAAATAAGGCGATGAGCAAACATGTACTCAGGGAATGGCAAATCCTCAAGAGTACGAACATATCGAGTACATAGTGATGTACTCATGCTCAGATCTCCCGAACCCAAATCGCAGTGGTATCGAGTCTTCAGGCGTGCGGACTGCCATCCTATAGCTACTTGCAAGTATTGAAAGGTGGTTTGAAAGTGGTCTCACAATTCGTCTTTTGAGCTTCGCTGAATCAGTACCGAAATGACGTCAAAACAATTTAATAGACATTTATATATTACAGAACTGGAATGTACTACTTGTCACTTGAGTTCACTAATCTCTCCGTCGCGGGCAACTAGCCCCATGACGTTGAGGAAGAGATTCAAATCTTGATAAAGTTTGTCTCTTTGGTAGAGGGCGATTTGTTGTTCCTCAACAGGTGCGGTAGACGATAGCTGTTCGGCCCTGCTGATAGTACCAAAAATTTCTTCTCTAATCTCATCGATAATAACACGCTGGTGGTTGAGTTTGCCACTTAATGCTAGAGAAGCTAAAAATTGCCAGATGTAAGATTGATCGTAGAATTGATGTTTGCTGGATTGGCCCACAGTAGCGGAAGTCACAGTACCGGAAGAAGAGGTGGCAACCACCCTGGAACTATATTCGTCAGGAGGGAATACCACAGCAAGCTTTGTTTCCAAGGCCGTGAAAAGCTTGTCGTAGATCTCATTCCAAGTTGAGGCCTCCATTGAGGACAAAACATTACCTCTGCTAACATCCTGTTTGATTAGAGCAGCGCGCGAGATCAAAACGGTGATCAAATTCAAACCAATCTTGGACGTACTGATGAAAGATACGTTGTTATTTTTCACCAGGGCCAACAGTAGACCTAGGACTTCCAGGAACTCGGCAGAGCTAGATAAAAACGACACAATGATCTTCAAAAACACCGACTGGAATAGTTCAAGCTTCTTGAGCTGGGAGTCCGATGGGTCTGGATTGGTCTTGTAGGAACTGGTCACAATAATGTTCAAATGTGACAACTCACTGAAGAAACAATATAACAACTTCAATTTTTGCTCTTTGTTCAGGAAATTGAAAATCCTTGGCATGATCTTTACACCTTTATCGAAAGACAAAATGGAGATGAAAGGAGAAACTTCATAGGCGTCATCTGATATGTGGAGAGTTTCCCACAACGCACTACTGTCCGTGTCTTGGCCACTTCTCAACTGTGCTTCCAACTCCAAGACTTCAGAGTAAACCGTTTCGATCAAAGACAAAACAAATTTACGGCCGCCAGAACGAGATAAAACAGCCCGCTGATCAACAGAGCGGAAGGCATATGAGGACCGTCTCCTTGCCTTCGACGACGAAAGCTCGACACCATTCATTGACTGCACAACATCTTCAATGGCTTGAGAAGTAACTTCATCTTCTTCTTCCTTTTGCAAAGGAATTTGGAGTTGCCTTCTAGGTGCCTTACTATTTCTGGCCGACGAAATTTTGCCCAATACACCCTCCTTGGCGCCGTCTAAGTTTTCTCGACTTTTTTGGGGCCTCTCTTTCGCAACAGTAACAGCTTTTTCAACTTGGCTTTGCATCCTTTGCAATGCGACATCTGCACGTTTGTAACGACCACCCAAACGATGACCTGAGTGCTCGAGGTAGGCGCGAGCAATCAGACCCTTATTGGACTCACCGACAATACCACCACGTTGGATGATCTTGTAAACTTGGAAATAAAAGTCCTCATTGTAGGGGTCATCAGTAACAATCTGAGATAATTGGTACCTGGTGATAAAGTCCTTATCACGAGGAGTCATAACACCACTGTGTCTGAGAATCTTGTCAACCTTGGCCTGGCGAATGCGAAGTTTTTTTAGTTCTTCGGATGACAAAGGTTCTTGAGGCTTGCGCATAGAGCCTCTACGAGTTTCCCTTGGAGCGATTTCACGCATTACTTGATCAGGAATGATAGCTTGACCTCTATTACCAGGAGCATTGTGGGGTGGCCTCATTTCCTGGGCAAAGGCCTGCTCTGGCACACCAACAGAGGAAAATTGGTCAGCGCGAACCACCTCCTGCGGTTGAACAGAGCTGGGAGACTCTGAGGGTTCACGACTCAAGACAGGAGCTGGAGATGCCTCTTGGGGCAAGGAAGCTGGAGCTTGATGGTGTGCCTGTTGAGGTGTCTGCTGCTCGTGTTGCTGCATAGGTACGGGAATGGGTTGATAATGTTGGGGAGGGCCCATTGGCGCCATGTGCATCGGCATGGCCATTGGTCCACCTTGAGGTAGACCTTGAGGATAACCCTGGGGAACGCTTTGGGAAAAGTCCTGTGGCAAGCCTTGGTATCCCGTATTGTTCACACCTGGTGGCCCGTAAGCATGAGGAGGATACCCATAACCCATGGGAGGCATTGGAGGCATGTTCATATAACCATGCTGTTGCTGTTGCTGTTGCTGCTGAAATTGCTGTCTTTCAATTTCCCCCATAGAAAGAACCTGCGGAATGGGATTCTGGGGCTGTTGCTGAGGAATAACAGCGGATTGATTGGTCCACAGAGACTCCATTGGCGTGAAATCCATACCTTCGTCCATGGTGTGGGCCGAAGGCAATGAATAACCAGCATTGAGAGCTCCAGGCCCAGCAGAAGCGGCAGCAGAAGCATAAGAACGGTTCAAAGCAGGCTGCTCCACATGGCCAGCGCTGCTAGTGTTAGCATCGAGGTTGCCCCTGCCGTACCCAAAATCGAAGTCTGCGCCCAATTCTGTTCCGTCCCCAAATGTTTCAGCATTCAAATAGTCATCTTCCTCATTTTCATACTCTCCAAGACCTTGATAAGTGTCTTCAAAATCCATAGGGGCGTTGTTCTTTTTGGCACCGTTCCTCTTTCGTCCAGAGCCCTTATTTTGGCCCGGAAGTGCCGTGTCGAACCCAAAAAAAGACATTTTGGGTATTCAATACAGTCAATTGATAGCTCGAAGTAATTGACAAGTTTCAAACAACTTCTGGAGCCTCTGGTTGACGAGTTTTGGCTACTTTATTGACGAAGTCAGACATGCTCTACGGACAAATCTTGATCGATTATTAGGAGATACTGAAAATTTTCGTATTAATCACAGGTCACGAACATAACTTGTGGATATCCAAACAAGCCGAAAGCGACCAGCCAAAAGTTAACTTTGCATTACAATGCCCGCTTAAAGAGGAAGCAGAAGTCCGTTCGTATACTGGCGCTGTCCACAATGTGTTTGAATCAGTTTTTATGTATTTATGATAATGCGATGTAGTATATCACGTGAGCTGAGGACGACAGGACGTTAGGGACGGACACGAGGATACTCCATTTATTTCAAGTGAGTCATATCACTTAAGGCAGTTCTGGCGGTTTACTGATAGCGCTAGCGGAGTTTGCGCCCCTTGAAAACTCCTTAACCCGTAAATGTGCCCTCGTTTGCAACGGTTGGTTCGTGGCAGTTTTAGCAGCGTTTCCTAATAAACTAGTTTCCTGCCCGTAATTGTACGTCTTGTCTGTTGTTCTCCTTCATCTTCTTCGTCCACTTTGGCACGGTTCAGCACTTTGATGAAGGTGTCCACACGGTAGCGCATGCGCGAATGCATGAAGGCCTTGGAACATTTGATATGGTAATGGAAATAATTTCTGAAAAGTGTTAAGTGGCAAACCGATGAGAACTGAAGCTCCGGTGTTTGGAAATGCCGTGGGAATAGTACAAACGTGATGAAGCGTCTGTCTTTGTCGAGTTTGCGGGATGACGTGAAGGGGGCAGCCTCGAGAGGAGGCTCATGGGAAAATAACACCTGCGGAGCCGATTGAATGCTACGATTCCTTTTGCGCGCATCTACAAATTCTTGCAAAAACACTTTGCCAAATACCTTGTCGGTCTCGTCCTGGAAAAACGTCTCAAAAATAACGGTGATTCGGTCGTTTGAGGGCTTGATGAAGATGTTTTCGTCGTCCCGATACTGCAGCATGCGGACAGTGCCAGAACTGTCGGAGCCCGAGAATGAGGCGGGGTCTTGCGCTTGCTGGCTCAATTGGCCAAACTCATCGAACGCCAGTTGGAATGCAAAACTCATCGCATGGATTTTGAGCAGTGACAACTGTATAATTGCAGCTGGTTGTATCTGCCCGAGATCTACAGACAGGGTGTAGTCAAAACCCTGTTCTGGCTGGCATGCCGTGATTCCTGGAAACTCGGCGTACTTGCTCTCCAGATGCTCCAAAAATCCGTTCCCACACTGGGAAATGCTTTGCCAGGCCTTAGTCTTGATACTCAAAAACAAGGTCGATTTGATATCAGGAGAGTTGGACACATGCAGTGTTGTATAATCAAAGTCGGAAATAACTCTATCCAACGTCAGGGGACTTCCTGCTTCATTAGCGTTCCACGCTTCCGTCAGGGTTTTTTGCACCAACAAATTCTCTGGTCTCAGATGAAGCATGTCAACGGCCTTTCTCAAACTTCACGCACAAACTTCACGCACAAACTTCACGCACAAACAACACGAAGTGCTTTTTGGTAGCTTTATGTTATCGCTTATAGGTTGTTCTACACATAGCTTGAAATGTAGAAATGCCCCTATGTCACCATCGTTTTAGTAGATACAAATCACTCTATACGTAGGCAGCGATGGCAGACGCTGTTGGTTGTGTGCTCACAGTAGATGCTTATATATGTACATGTCGTCGTTCGCGTCAAAAGCCGCCTCAGGCTTTCTGAGGCTTTTTAACCCCATATTTGGAGCGAGAAGTGGTTCTGTTCACCACACCACTTAAATCACCACCCCCGCGGATGACACGGTACTTCACACCAGGCAAATCTTGACAACGGCCACCACGGACGTATACTATACTGTGCTCCTGAGCATTGTGACCCTCGCCGGGGATGTATGCAGAAATGACTTTTCCGTTGGTCAGTCTTACTCTGCAGGCCTTACGCTGGGCAGAGTTAGGCTTCTTGGGTTTGAGCACCATTACCCTGAGAACCACACCCTTGCGAAGCGGACAGCAGTAAAGGTCTGGGGAAACGGTGTCCTTTTTGCGCTTTGGAGGCTCTACGCCTCTTTTGATCTGGTTTAAGGTGGCCCATTGTGGACGGCACGCGGAAAACGAGCGTTCAAAGGCGGAAAATGGCAGTATCGAGCGCTTCAAAATAGGTATCTTCGGTACCACAGATGGAACCATCAAACTTGGTCTTGCCAACCGGGCAACTTGCGAGAAGAACATCGCTATGGATCCCGTCGTATGCCGATCAATTGGTCGCTCATCGACAATAACGTGTGGAAATACATTAAAAATTTTTGGTAATTAGCTGGTTGTAGATGTCACGAGACCGATAGTAAACAACTCTGCTGATCTTGTGGCAGCAGCGAGTCGAAGTCAAGTCGAGAACCCTTCAGGGGTAGCAGTGAGCCCGTATAAACGGTAGACGGTCGTTGTGTATGAAGCTCTCTGCTATATAGCACTTGAAAGGTGCAAAAAAATCTGTAAAACGTATGTTCGTGGCTCGATCTCTAGGGTTTGAACTGAAGTAATGATGCAAGGAGTACAACTAGCTTGGCAGGTATATGGATTCGCGGTGCAAAGCTGTGTGCTCATATGGTTGATGCAGACGTCCTCTGTTCTTCAGCAAAACTCCATACCGCATGGATTCATCACTTTGTACCATTCTGGCACCACGGTGATCGTGCGGTTATATACTTGGCATCGTAGTGATTTGATGGATAGACGAGGTGTAGGGAGTGCTCTGACACATCTTGAACAAGACGGAAGCTTAGTGGTCAAATGGAGAGCTGGTTTACACTTCGACCGTGATGTACTAAAATAATGATTCCATCTTTGAATCATTACAGTCTAAAATCTGCTCAACGGATCGTGAGATAATCTGTTTGTTGAATGGTCTGCGATTACGCTTCCCTGCTGAGCGCAATTGATATGCGCTCTCATTTGTCTGTAAGCCTATAAGAACAACTTGTATGTACGAATATTTTGAAGCAGCACATCTGGAATGCACTTTTACTTCACGTATAGCTACACCTGATCCCACTCAATCTTCCACAATTTCCTCAATTGGATGGATAAAGCAAGTATGTGGATATTCAGCTGTGCTGTGCGCTGCCCTTTGGTTTTGCTAGCTCGACCACCTGCTTTCTCATTTACAAGCAATTAAGAAATATAAACCGTATAGACAAATAACTAGGGCTTCACCCATCAAAGAGCCACATAAACACCCTTTTGCAATGGGTAAAGCTCAGTCATTTGTTTACCTAAAACCGGCGAACCTTGTTCTTAGGCAATCTAACAAGGTCACGTCCAATGTCAATAATGGCCTTACGGGCCAGCATGGTAAGAGATCATCGCCAATGCTTCGGGTAAATCTCAGCAAGTTCCCTAGTTTCATAGGCCACAGCTCCAGTAGAATAAATCGAAGGACCAACGAGGATACTTATTCCATAAATATGTTGAAACTACCTACTTCCGGATCAGAGTTGAGCTGTATACGAAACAAGACCATAGCGGACAAGAAGAGCCACTGGGAGACTCAATTACCGCTTAAGAAGTCGGTACTGAATTTGTCAGTTTTCGACGGCCATGGGGGCGACCGCGTGTCGAAGTTGCTGTCTATGCAACTTCACAATGAAGTTGTAGCGACGCTTCCATCTCGAGAGGCATTTTTCAAGCTACTAGGACAATACAAAGATGTGGTGGGTGGAGAATACTGGGAAAAGATATATGATAAGCGGGAACAATACTTCGAACGGTTCATCGCAAACTGTAATACAAAACAAGAACAGGTTCTCTTTGAATCGGGAAAGTCCGGATCTCGCATGCTTTTCGATTCTTGGGGCAACATCATCGACAAGACAAGTCTTCTTTCCGAAAATGAACGCCTACGCCTCTTTAGCTCGTATCTGAATTTCGACTTCAAATATTGTTGCAATGTCAACAATGTATCAGAAAATGACAAGGTAGACGGTATTCCTGTTGGCGGGTCCACAGCGTCTAGCATTTTCATAACCTCATATCACGAAGAAGCGTCATTCGATGAATCATTTTTCATCAGTCCAGAAGGCTTGTTGAAACTAGTAGTTACACAAGTTGGTGATACAAAGATTGTCCTTTGTGATAAAAACGGCATCGCTCATAGTTTAACAAGGATGCATCATCCATCCTCATCTCGTGAATCAAAACGGTTGGGGATGGGCTTTCAAACAGACTCTTTTGGAGATACCAGATTTCTTGCCAATTTCGCAAACACTAGATCGTTTGGTGATTCTGTAGGAAAGCAAGAAGGACTCTCCTGCGAGCCTGACATCTATTCATACCTTATTGGAAATACGCGATCACTGCCCCACTCGGAAATCAGCAAGCTTCAATTCGGAGGAGACGAATGCTTCGTTTGCCTAATTACTGATGGAGTTTCCGACTTACTAAGTGACCAGGAACTTGTCGATCTCATCACCAGTACTGTCAACTTGCGAGGTCTAAAGAAGGCTACTCCCCAATTTGTTAGTGAAGAAGTTGTACGATTCATTGCGGCTATAGGTGGTAGACACGCTGATAACGCTACATGTCTGGTATTACGGTTACCAAATTGGGGCAACTGGCCCTCGATAGACCGCACTGGCGCCATCCGCGAAGAGAAATTAATGGCAGGATCCAGCGGAAGTGATCGATCGAACGTTTAATTCATCAAAAATCACCAGCTTGAACTACTTGTTCACTTATCTTACTAATTCAAGAGTTTGTAGGATGCACCTCGAATTAGAACAGTGACGTGTATGAAGGAAAGCACTATCTGCCCCGGTAGCCAAAGCTTCTCGATCTTCTCATTCGTTCTAAGATGTTCAGGGATCACTGTTGTCGGCTAGAAAACAGAGCTCTTTCTTCATCGCACGAACTAACATATAACACAGACGCGGCATTACAGGCAATCAACAATTGACATTTAACAACCGTCTCTTCTCCCTGACTATTATAATAATCAAATTATGGTCCGCCAAGACCTTGCATTTCTTTCATTACCTATTTACACGCTATCGAAGGCCCTTCCTCTATTTGTTCTTAGTTTGGGTGTAGCTAAACCGCTTTCTCGTAGGCACAAATTCGCCCAACTTGCTTCCAACCATATCTTCGGAAACCTCAAATGCCACATATTCTTTTCCATTATGAACCTGAAACTTCAGGCCCACAAATTGTGGCAATATTGTAGCCGATCTTGCGTTAGTTCTGATTGGCGCACCTTTCGCAAGAGCCTCTTTTACTGGGAGCGGAACAATGTTAGGACCCTTCCATACCGACCTCGACAATAGATACAAGCTCTGGTGCATTTCTAATAAGTCAACAGGGTGAATTGAGTAGATCTGGGGGCCTCCTATGGTCGCTTTTCAATGATTATTCGGGCAGCGTTATTGTATTATGAAAATTTTCTATAACCTTTAACTATTAAAATTGTTCATCCTGCTGCGATGAGCCCGGGAAGGAAGTACAGAAGTACACGGGCATTAACATGTTTGCCGCTAGATTTGACCCAACGCGAGTCCAGTCATCAGAGCAAAATGAACGTTCAAAGAGCAGCTTAAAGCGTGTCATTCCAATGAAAAGAGCTAAAGAGGTAGCGGATGACAGTGGTGATGAGGATGAACTAAACAATGGCGACAGCAGTGAGCTTAGCGACAATGGAAAGGAAAATAACAGCTCTGATCGCGATTCAGATGACAGTGAATCTGATCTCGGTATGCGCGAAGAGCGCCTCTTAGGTTCCCAGCAAGATGGGGGCTCCATAGCCACGATCGATGGTGGCACCACGAATCAGGTTTTATCGAGTACCGATAAGCACTCTAGCGTATTCTCACGATTTCAAAAAACTTTGGCAATTCAAGACAAGCTAGATGCTCCTGATATAATGGAAAGTGCTGACGAGAAAGAGGTATTGGAGCCGTTTCACGAGCTAGTACCTATTCCGCAACCCACAGTCGTCAAGGATACGCTTATGTCAGAAGAGGTCGCAAACTCTATAAGCAAGTCAGCGGCATGGTTGCATACACAGAGAGTTCGATACGACAACACTATGATCAAGCCATTTGCAAGTTACAAAGCTCAGCTTAACGAAAAACTGCTATCTAACATTACCACTAAGTTCTCAAGCTCCACCTTTCCAATTCAAACAATTCTATTGGACACACTTCTACCTAGGCTCAATTTTGCACAGTCTGTGAATAAGAAACAATTCGGTCGTCGCGTGGGTGACGTGCTTGTTAATGCCTCTACAGGGTCTGGCAAAACATTGGCATATTCAATTCCAGTGATACAATGTCTGTCAACGCGCACGGTCAATAGACTGCGATGCTTGGTGGTAGTACCAACAAAAATTTTAATTCATCAAGTGTTCGAGACGTTAGTCAAACTTTCGCAAGGAACAAGCCTCATAACCGGGATATCTAAACTTGAAAACTCGCTCAGGGAGGAACACAAAAAATTTCAGCTTCAGGAACCTGATATATTGATCATCACTCCCGGTCGTTTGGTTGATCATTTGCAGTTAGGAACTTTCAGTTTGAAGAACCTCAAGTTCTTGATCTTGGATGAAGCTGATAGACTACTTAATCAATCATTCCAAAATTGGTGTTCAGTCATCATGAATGGGCTAAAAAAAGATCGCGATGAAGCTCCCCCTATGAGTGTCATAAAAATGGTTTTCAGTGCTACTCTGACGACCAACACAGAAAAACTTCATAACTTGCAATTGAATAGGCCTACTATTTTTATGATGAACTCTGTCAAACTGTATCATTTGCCAAAGCTTCTTCAGGAGTACAATATCAACATTCCAACTGCAAAAAGTTTTGCGAAGCCTTTGTTTTTATTGCGACTGATCTGTGCTCTCAAAGATACACAAACACGGGCACTGGTATTTGTACGAAGCAATGAGGCATCTATTAGACTTTCTATTCTGCTAGCGTTGATGGTCAAGGAGCGCGCTATATCGGCTGAAGACGATATTGAGATCCTTTCTATTAATTCGAATAATACTAGAGGTCTCAACAATAAACATATCAAACAATTTGCATCCTCTAGTGATTCTCATATTAAACCTAAGGTTCTGGTTGCCACAGATTTGATGTCAAGAGGGATTGATATTGAAAACGTTACACATGTAATAAACTATGATTTGCCAATTTCTTCTCAGCAGTATGTACATCGTTGTGGAAGAACTGCCAGAGCTCAAACTAGTGGCGTGGCCTTCAATATGCTTGTTGGTAAAGGTGAGCAATCGTTTTGGCAGCATAATATAGACAGCGATTTGAGTCGGGACGTCGACGGTTGTCACGCCAAACTATACAGCGACCTTGAGCCCACGAGCGACATACTTGTTATTGACGATGGGACAGAAAGGGCTTATCGCGAGTCCCTTGAGCAGTTGAAGAATGGTGTTCGCAATGATTAATTTCTGTCCGACATACCAGGGCAACCTAACATGTATAGCACCTTAGTCGAAGATCGTTTTTCACATAAACAAGCTAAAATAGGTATCTAGCGATAATATCTCACCACAGGCTAAAGTCACATCTGTTGAATCTATTTACAGCCATATAACTGCCCAAATGGCCAACTTGTTCTCAATCTTATTGTGATGCCATTATAGTATGAAGTGATAATAATATATCAAGAAAAGGTTGGATCGATTGGTTACGTATGATGACTTGAATGTAATGCACTCACTATTTGGTAAAGCAATCTGTAAAAGTGATCAGTGCATTCGAATACGGGGGCCCGTGCCCATACATAAACAGTATCAATGCCTAACAAATATCTGCTGAATCCACCGGACAACCTACACTCGCTCACGGCTGACAGCCGAAAACGAATATATCCAGACTTTGATCCATGGAGTCATACACCCGTTCAAGATCAGATCTTTCTCGAGTTTGTTTCTAAGGGCTACTATAATAGTGCTAAAGTCAATTTCGAAAGCATCTCTTCGAGGTCTTCCCTGCAAGAATCATTACCTGCAGTATCAGAGCATCTTGCCGAACAGTTATCTAAGGTTATGACAATTAGGGAGGAGCAAGTAAACAAAATTGGGACCAATTCTCCAGACTCGAAATCAATGCATACCGCTGGGTCAGACCTTTGCGGTCCGGGGTTTTCACTCCCGAAAAGAGTCACGCTTACGGATCACAAGAGAGAGCTTTGGCTACAGGCTCTGAGTTCTCCGCATTCGTCCCTTGCAGATACTGTGAAGACAATTCCTCACGGCCTTAAAAGACGTCAGGTATTAGAGCAATGTTACCAAAAACAAGTCCCGTATTCTAGGGCAATTTGGCTGATCAAATGCTGCTTCACGCTTGAATGGAATACATTGATCAGCAAACAAGTCTCTCGCCAACATGAAGTTTCGCTGAAACTCTTGAAAGAATGGTCTGAATCTATGGCTCACATTCTAGAGAAACTGGTGTTCGAAATGACACAGTATTACAACGAACCCTTGAAACTGAAAAGCTGGCGGCGTAGGTTGGCGTACTATTTGAAACTTCTAGGGAATTGCTATGCATTGCATATGATTGATAGGAACGTTTTCCATCACTGGCTGGTGGACTTCGTTGTCAAGGTTGAAAACTTCGAATGTTTACCAATGACACTTCACATTCTCATTGTTTTTTGGGATGGGATTTTCGGGAGTTTGCCGGATAGTGAGAACCCCCAGCAGCTTTTCCTCGTCAATAAGTTGACGGAGGCTTTGATATACAAGTATTATATGGTCTCAACCAGCAAGTCCATGATAAATGACGAGCAATATCTGATTAATGACATCAAAAAGAATAAAAAACTTGGATCCATGATAACCAAACGGATAAGTTTTCTAATTTTAAAAGTATTCGACGAGCAGTCGCTAGAGGCATTTGTGTTTCCTAGCTCTAATTGGGAGATCTACAAGAAGTGTCTTTATGAGATAATACCTACTGAAATACCGCATGAAAACCATCCATATAAAACAGACTCTCTCAAGAAACTTGAACTCATTGTGTACAGGAATGAGTCACTGAAATTTAACACAATACTACACGATCCCGAGGAGCATAAATCAGGTAGTAACAACGAGCCCAATAGCGACTTAGAGAGTATCTTCATTCCAAACCGAGTACTGAAGCTGAAGAACATTGATTATGAGCTCACCAGACTACTTGATGCCAACGCTGCTGGTGACGACTGGTTAAGCTTTGCAGAACACAAATTTTCCCGAGTGGACCAAGTAATCCAAATGATGCTCTGGGCGATTCATCCTTCTCGATTCCACCACTATGAGGCTGCTGAGCTAACTGCAAAGCTTCTTTTACTCAAGTTAAACCTCAAAAGTGGTCTACTTGAATATAGTCTAGAGGACAAGATATGGGCCCTGATGTTTGTATTTGCAAAATTGAAGCCCCAAGAACGTTGTTTAGTTGTCAAGCTCTCAAGACTGCACCAACTCTTAAATGTGTTCATTGGCTATGGAATAGTTAAGGTCCCCACTTACATTAGAAAGTTGATCAGTTCAGGAGTCTTGTATTTAACAGATTCCGACGACAAGTTTTTTCATTGTGAGCTCCTAATTAACCTTAAAATATCTCCCCTCATGAAAAGTCAGTACAACATGGTTTTAAGGAATGTGGTCGACGTTTGTCCCAAGTATTTTGAGGATTATAACTATGATAATTTGATGGCGTTGTTGGGAGAGTCTAAAGACTCTCTGCTTACCAGGAATTATACCTTTTTTGGAAGTGTGCCGTACAGCGTGAAATTGATGACTTCAGAGTGGTATCTCAATCTCATTTGCTCTCCAGTCAACGGAGATCTTTTACCAGTTACGAAAGTTGACATAAGAGATAAACTGATGGTATTCTGTGTAAATCTCAAACTGTACCACCAATTTTACAAATGGGTCGAATTTATTGTCTACCACAAGCTGCTTAAGGATCTTGAGGCTCTAGAATGCTTGGTAGATATTTTGATCTATTACGATAGATTATTCTCCCTGTTAATCAATGATCACATCCTACTAATGAAAACTATTTTGCACCTATACTCTGATAAACTGATCTGGGAAAGTCCCGAATCCCAAAATCTCATAACATTGGGTGGCTTTCTGCATTTTTTCACTACCAGGTTTCCTATGGCTCTAGAACTTGACACCGATTTGCAAGCAAAATTGCATGAGGTAAATGAGTTCGAGAAAGCAAAAATTGAAAAGGTAACCAAGTCAAACTCAAGATCGGGACCTTCAACCTTCCCTAATGAACAGGATCTCACAATAAGTTCTGGCGATGACTCCTCAAGTTTTCCAAGTCTATTTCAACTAAATCTAAAACTTATTTTGCATCCCAAGACAGACGACGAACTTCAAACTGCTAGAAATAATATGAAAGCGCTAATGATAGTCAACCTGAGTGAATACAACAAATTCATGGCGATTTTCTTGAAGAGGAAAGTGGCTACGGCAAATGATCTTGCTCGTCTTATTTCCATTAAGGTGCTAAGTTTAAATTCGGTTAGCAAGATCCTTGGCGAAGAATCCCTTCTTTTGATGCTTGATAACTCCTTCTATGACCATGGCATGGCATTTGATTTGGAAAAAAAGCACTTCACTAGGCGCAATCTCAAGACTGTTTTCAAGGCACTCTGTGACAATTTACCCACAAACTATAAAAGGCTACTCGACCTCATTGCAGAATACTCTCCATCAAAAATCGTACAGGACTATGCTTACAAGGTCATTGGTTCTTCAGAAATCCTTGGGCACAAGTGTCTATTTTCACTTGCTAGCGAGATGTTGAGCCTCGGTGTGGTTTCTACGTCCTCTGAATATCTGCTCTTTGAACCGAACAAAGATGAAAGAGAAGAGGATGATGGTGATATGACAGAAGATGAAGCTGATGTTCTTGACCTTTATGAGAGGTTAGATTTCACTAATTTATGGATTTTCCAGTTGCTCACTTGCCATTTTTTACAGAAATCAGAGACTAATAATTCAGCAGGTTATGAGCAACGTTGTTCAAGGCTTGTACTAGATTGCATCAGAATCTCCAACAATGATATTTTGGGCTCCAAATTATTCGACAAAGTTACGGATATTGAAGTTCTACAAAATACTCTGCAAGTATTGGAGGTTAGCTTTCTCAAAAACCTTTTGGGTCATCAAATAGAAGGGGTTTCCCAATATCCATTGATAGTCGAGACAATCATCAATATATCCAGAAAACTTAACAGAGTTCTAGCTGGAAACATCGCATTAAGCAAAGAAACATCTAGTCTAATGCAGAAGTGCTGTCAGAGGTTTGCCATGAACGACTCTGAGGATTTAAAGGCTTTAGAACCTCAATTAGACGTATTTCTGAAAATTCTTATTGTTCATCAAAGATTCATCCTAAAAGAAGGTTTCGAAAATTCAACAGTGTTGCAGAAAAACGATGGAAACTTTTTGAAGTTGCTTTGCCTTCTTTTTCAAAAGATAGGATTCAGCTTAAAATTGAAGCTGTTGCTTTACGATGTATTGGCTTCTTTGAAGTCATTTGCTCTCTTCTCACCTTCTAATGGTGAGCAACTACTCTTTCGCAGCGCAAGAGTGAAGATTCCACAAGAGCTTGTGGATCTCCCACCTTTCAAAATTTCATCGTTCATGACAGATACGATAAAGGATGACTCCAAAAACATTGTTGAGCTAGGAATCAAAGACAAGGAGGAAGTTTGCCATAACTACGAGCCGAAATTTTTCTTTTACAACCGTAAACTCGAAAGATTCGAGGCTGAGTTAACATTGAGACCTTATCACCTACTTGACAACTTGCAGGAGGATAATGAATTCAATGATACACCACTAAACTTAAGCCTATTTAACGCACGTTTCGATAGGCAAAACCCAACTTGAGCCCGAGAAAAAGTCCTTTCAATCTGCATGACTCGCCTATATCCTACTTACATCGATTGTAGTTTCCACTAAAGGCAGCGATTTTCTGATACACTTATCAACTGCTGTTCGCAACTTCAGCTCATCATCATTAGAGCCGCCCGACATATGTATCTTCATTAGCACGATGTACTGGTCAAAGTTGACCTTAATTATAATAAGGTCATCATTTGATAGTTGGCAGTTTGCTCGAAAAACTGCCAGCTCTTCGACTGATTCCTTGATCTTGCTTTTGACAACACCAGGTTCAAGGTGTTTAGCGACCACTGTCTCTGAACTAAGTTTAGAATTTGCTAATGGGAGAGTATTGCTCATGGTTTTGATGGCATTTCGTGAGTGCGTGCCTTCTGACTCCTGAGTCCCATTGTCTAAGATCAGCCCCTCTAGGGACTCTGTTGAGAATCCCAAAAGAAGAATTGTTGAGGTCCACTTCGCAATCCTCCATCCATAGGTCATTATGAATATAGACAGAAGTCCCGTAGCGAGATAATCTGAGGAATTTGTGAACTTTGAGATCCACGGATAAAGAACTAGGTATGAAATGTAGCAGCAAGTGATGAGGGGATTCTTTGCCTTGAATTTGTTATGCGAATTTGAATGGAAAGTCATCAATAGCGTGAGTAATGAAAGCACGAAATTGGGCGCCAAGACCCCGTACCATAATCGAGTATCGTCTGTTGTATGAAGAAGAGCAGATGCATGATGAGAGTGGGGAATTTTTGGCGCAATTTCCTCGTGGTGGTCATGGTTAGTTGATTCAACGAAAAGTACGATCGTCTCCTCTAATATATGAAAAAACAAATCCAACCCCATAAAACAGAGGGAGATCGCTAGAGCAAAGCTTGAAAGTAGATCAATGCGGTTGAGCCCAAATGGGAATGTAATCGTACCTGTGGTCCAAACCTGGAATTGAGATAAGTTTTCCACCAAAATTATGGCTAGGGATCCAATGACATCATAAAGAACAAAATGTGAAAGTGTGATGAAGTTATTCCACGTTTTTTTGTGCCCTAGGTGAAATGTGATAACACAGCTCATAACTTGGAGAGCTGTTAAAGTGATTTGAATATGGCCTCGGGGCCATGGGATGTTACTTTTGAGATCAGAAAAATCTGGAATCGGTAGTGACTTGGCAATATTGAGGGGTATCTTCACTTCAGGCTCTTGAAAAAAATTCATCGAGACAGAAGAGTGTTTGTACCTATGACCCTTACGAAATGAGGTCCGGGCCACAGATCCACTGGAGCTTGGGGGCTGCAAAGTAGAAGATGAAAAATTGAAAGGTTTATCGAGAACCAAAGAAGAGCGTCTTTTGGAGCGCTCTGGAGACGGTGTTCGATCCAGCCGTACGGGAGATTTGGAGCGTGAAGACGACTGCGGCGGCAGTTTAGGGCCGGGAACATATTTTAAGGAATGTCTCTTATTTGTGGGAAATGAGCTGTCGTTAATGATATTATTACTGCCCATTCCGAAGCTGAAGGAAGGATTCGCGATAAGGCTATTACTTGAGTTATTTCCACCTGCAGCAGAATAAAAAGAGAGAGGTCTCTGTGGCGTTTCCTCGACAGTGGGCTTCTTCTGCGGCTCTACTTCATCTTTAGAAATAGAATCCTCTTCCACAATGCTATTCATTCGTTGTGGAGTCATAGGTACGTCTCCAAATGGAGAATTGAGCAGCGATTCATTGAATGCGCCAATATTGGGCGAGTCCATGTTTGTTTGTGGTCAGTTATGGCCATTGTCAGAAGAATCAGATAGGACATGGCCAGTTAGCTCCACCAAGGTTAATTATCTTAATCAACTAGTTACGTACATGATGATTTATATCAGCGTCAGTATTGACATTTGACGGCACAGTCACCAAAGCCATCTCGGCCTTCAATTGCGTGGTAGTTGTCAGGAGCAGAGCGCAGTTTTATTGAGGTTATTGAATGGAAGGTGAGTTAGGGCAGCACTGGAATTATTGAGGCGAATCTGATTCACTAGTAGAAAGCTTACTAAATTTGTCTTGTAAGTGGGTCCTAGTCATTGGAAGATGAGTAGCTTGGATCTAGGGAATTCTATTTATCTCTCCGTGATTATTTTAGGCATTAGGGCTGGTTCAGTTATCTGAACCAAATCCTGGTATTTATACAATTCTCACTCGGTGACTCTGGTCAACACATTTATTAATCACCAATTCTAGATCATTCTATTGCCCAAGGATTACGGCTTCAATGCCGTACACTACCGATAACTTATCAATGGCCAATCCCATTGGACAACAGTTGTTCTCTTCGGTTTGTCTTAGCTGTTAAGTCGACTTGTATGGCCACTGTTGTGTACTATCATTCTGTACCATTGTGTCACATATTTACTGACGCTGATTATGCGATTAGGCGCACATCACCAACAGTTCCCTATTCATATTATTCCCAACAACCTCCAGTAAAACAACGATACTATTATTGAGGCGAATCTGATTCATCAGTAGAAAGCTTACTAAATTTGTCTTGTAAGTCGGACATAGTCATTGTAAGATGAGTAACTTGGATCTAGGGAATTCTACTTATCTCTCCGTGATTATTTTAGGCATTAGAGTTGGTTCAGTTACCTGAACAAAAGCCTGGTATTTATACAATTGTCACTCGGTGACTCTGGTCAACATATTTATTAATCACCAGTTCTAGATCATTCTATTACCCAAGGATTACGGCTTCAATGCCGTACACTACCGATAACTTATCAATGGCCAATCCCATTGGACAACAGTTGTTCTCTTCGGTTTGTCTTAGCTGTTAAGTCGACTTGTATGGCCACTGTTGTGTACTATCATTCTGTACCATTGTGTCACATATTTACTGACGCTGATTATGCGATTAGGCGCACATCACCAACAGTTCCCTAGAAACTCGCATTATTCCCAACAAAAAGGCGAATGATCAACCCAATAAAATCAAGAGGAGCAGCAATTTCATAGAAATGCCTTGGCCCTCCATCTCAAGTATCCAACAGCCTAACAATCCATCTGTCGGGTGATCCGGCCCTAACTGCACCCGGACCATTCCCGCTAGAATTGAATCCTTTGGGCCCTAACTTTCAGATATGGACCAGCACATATTGTCCAGAATATCACGGAGAGACAACCAGAAGCCGTTTTACCGGCTCCTGGTTTTATATCAAGTACTCAGAATATCATAATCGATGTCCATCAACAAATTGAACGAACAATTCAGCAAGTCGACTACTGCCGACGCTAACTAGCCCGAGTAAAGTTTATTAACGGCATCGGTTTTCATCCTTGAAGTTCTCTACATTTTTCTATCAAAAATGACTTTAATAATATGTTTGGAAACCTAAGTATTCCGTTTGGAAATTAGTACTAACATGCTTTTTTTGTAAGAAAATGATTAAACGTCACGGAAAACTTGTAAGGCACTCTCCAGCTTTGTGTGCATTTCCTCCCATTCTCCTTCCAGAGTGCTCAAAATAGTGACTGCTCCTCCAGCACCTAACCGCCACGACCTTGCATTGTCGTATGAATACATGCACCGGATATTGACAGACCAGTCGCCGTGATCATGGATACTCCAGTATCCAGTTACACCAGAGTAAACTCCACGTATTCCTTGATTAGACAGATGTGAGTTAAGATCTTTTTCGATTTCTGTCTGTAGCAGGTGAACCGTATTCTTCTTTGGCGCGCCTGTCATAGAACCAGGAGGCAATGAATGCCGTAGCAGGTCAATTCCTGAGTACGCAGTTCGATTTAACTCATGGCCCTTGACAACGCTCACCAGTTGGTAGACAGTCTTGTACTCTTCTACTGACATGAGCTCATCCACTGTGACTTTTTCTAATAACTCGTACAAATCGTTGCGAATCAAGTCCAGGATCATCAGGTTTTCTCCAAATTCCTTAGGCGTTTTCAATATCTTTGTAGCAAGTTCAAGGGTCATAGACCCATCCTTCCTCACTGTTCCTTTGATGGGACGCAGTTCACATGAATCACAGTCCCATTTCAAGAATCTTTCTGGAGAGGTGGACAGCAGACAAAGGTCAGCAGGTTCAGCATGCAGATCACTGAATTCGAAGAAGCTCGAAAATGGAGCCGGGTTTCGCTGAATAAGGGTTTGAAATACTCTCCAAGGCTCGATGCGGTCACTTGGGGTAACCTTTGTTTGTGTCGTCAAACATATCTCATAAGAATCACCCTGACGTAGATAAGTTTGCGACTTTTGATATGCTCGCGTGTACGCCTCCTTGGTGGGGAGCTCGATGTCGAACTTTATGTTTGGAGGTAACCTTTCAGTCGAGGGCATTGACGTGCCATGCTCATTACCACGCGCAATTTCCTTCACAAGGTTTTTCAGATGGTGAGGAAAATTGTCATTTAACGAAACGAAGGAGACAACACCTCTCCTCAGGTCAACAATTATGCAGTTTTCTATGAAGACAAGCTTAGCATCTGGTACTATATCCCGTGAGTTTCCGTTCACTGTGAATTGACCCATCTCGTAGCCCAAGACCCCCACCAATCCTCCTAAGAATGGCAACTTAGATGTGTTCGAGGTCAAATGGTTTTTCATAAAATCGCCAATTGACTTCCAGAACTCTGATTTATCCTCCTTTATGACTTTGAGCCCCGGGTACACCTTGCCATTGGCACTAATGGCTGAGGTATACGCTTGCCGAGAAACTATCGGATCCCTCCACCGGTGGATTGAGGTTACATGCAATTGGTCGTAGTGCGTGAAGACCGTAGAATTCTCATTTGGCAAGGCAATTATCGAGAATTCACCTCTATTCTCTTGTATGGTGGATGAAGACATTAGAAAGAAAGGATCACTTAGAGCATTGCATATTCTGATGGATAACTTTGCATCAGTCGCGGCTGGTAGCTCTTCGATATGTATTTTTTTTGGCTTCAGAACTGCCTTTTCATAGACGCTACTTTTATCAATGGCCTTGTCCAATAAGCCTATTGTTCTGCGCAACTCAGAGTCATCATCTTGCAGTTTATAGATAGAGTGGTGTCTGGTTCCACCTCGGTTGAATTCTTCAGTAATCTCCAAAAAGTTCGAGATCAGCCGATCACCTAGTTCGGAGCAGCAAGACTCTGGGTGATATTGAACTCCGTACCAAGAGGTGTTAGCAATTTGAGCGCCCATGAGCACTTGGCCGTTCTCGTCATTCGTGTAGCAAAGGGGTATGATATTTTCACAGTGGAAGTCAGTCTCTGCTACATGCAGTGAATGGTATCGTACAGAATTGAAAGTTGGAGGATAATTGGCAAACAGCCGATTCCCAGTGCCCTCATTTGCACCACAAACTTCCACTTCGTAAACTTGACCATGCTTTATTTCTGTCAGTTGTTTCACTGAACCACCAGCAGCCCTACACATCACTTGGAATCCCAAACAGATACCCAATACGGGGACCTCCAATTGCGCTTCAAACATCTCATTGAGGAAACCCACATCTCTATAGCCGTTATCTGGATTTCCTGGCCCTGGGCCGACTACAATACAGTCGAAGCACGTCAAAAAAGGCTTCAATTCGTTAAAGCTGGGAAATGTGTCATTATGAACAATGGTTACATGTGTATCATCATTTTGAGCTCGAATGAGACTCACCAAGTTGTAAGTAAAGGAATCATAGGAATCTATGAAGAGCACATTAACCGCCATAGTTTTAGTGGATGAGAAGACTGGCTAAAGCGTTGTAGTTGGTTGAATCTTTAATCTTTTTATGCTCATCGGGTCCCTTGACGCTGGAAATTTTTCAATTAAGAAAAGCCATTAACGAGGGCCCATCAGTTAGAATCGAAGACAAGAGCCATTGAAATCATCGCAGTGAGCAATAATGATCGAAGTAGAGGTCAATGATCGTCTTGGAAAAAAGCTGAGGATTAAGTGTTTGGGTGAGGATCTAATTGGCGACTTTAAAAAAGTTCTGGCCCTGCAATTAGGAGTATCATGGAATAAAGTAGTTTTACAAAAAGGTGGGGCAGTACTAAAAGACCATATCAGCCTGGAGGACTATGAAATCCACGATGGTACTTACCTGGAGCTTTATTACTTATAAGTTTGCAGAGAGCAGAAGAAACGCAATAATTACCGTTCGTTATGGGTGGGACGTTTGTCGTTAGGCGACAGCCGTAGTGCTTTGTTTCATATCTACTTTTGTCCACTAATCGGGGGAGCCCGCGCAAAGGATTTCGTGACCATAGGGTAGCCTGCTGAAGATTACAACCATCAAGCTGTTAAGTAGCAACACAAATAGTGGCCTCTTTGCCGACAAACTCTCGAAAGGCCAGCTACTTCTCCAAATATGTTTCTTTATATTATAGCGTGCTTTTTAACAGCGAGTCTTTTGTATTAGTGTACGCCAGCACACCATTGCGTCAAGTTCTGATGTATCAAATAACCTTTAAAAATATGACTGCCACAAGCCCACCTTGCAGGACCCCCCAGAAGTACTTCAAATTTCTCCCCCAATAAGCTTTTCAAAGCTCACGGATGTAATTGAAGCACATCCTTGCTTTACTAATAGTACTGCGAGCTGGTTCATCCTAAACTTGATAACAGAAATTGATCGGACTTGCACTTAAAATCGGCACAAAGAGGAAGGTACCCGGTGGGATTTCTTTAGCACAGATCAATTACTAGTTTTGATGGAACTCGGACTGTACAGGAGCTGGGTCAAAAGGATGCCACCTTTATAATTTGCTCGGAGCGGTTCTCAAAGTTCATAGGGACCAGAGCCAGAACTTCTACTGAAGGTATATTGTGAATACTCTGAACCGCAGCCTGATATTAAGCTGATATTGGTTTGCGACGCGTTCTTGTATCTACAGGAAATACTCAACATGCCGTTTTGAAGCGGATGCCATCTGATATTCATCTGAGAACATATCGACAGATTCAGTAGATTCTCCGAAAAACTCTTTCAAATAAGCTTCGTTGGTGGTATGTCCTGTACTGTTAAGGAGCTTGTTTTCGGGGGCCTCCTCGAAAACATTGAAGTAACTGTGATCTTTGTCGTAGAGCTCCAGAATAGAAGCTTTATTCCCACAACGATAGCAGTAGTTCGGAGCTGACCAGACCGTAGTTACGAGGCCACCAAAGTATACCTGGTAACCTTCATTACATAATTGATGGGCCCTGTAGATTCGCGACATACCGTTGAGTTGTAGGAATTTTTCGACCACACTGCGCCCGAAGGTATATCCTGCACCGCGCGGCGAAACCTGGAAGTGCGTTACTGTAGAGGCGGGGTTGGGGTTTCCGCTTTCCGAGCCAGAGTCCTCGGGATCGGACCATACCAAATCTGCCATCGCACCATCGTGTGGAATTTCCCGGAATCGATCAATAATCCGAATTTGGTCGATTGTTTGGACGTTGGGTGATAGCCCACCGTGGACGCAAAAGAGCTCATTATCGATTATGCAGCACAGAACCAAAAAGTCAAATAAATCTGTGAAGCACTGCCATACCCCAGTTGATCCGCCATATTTATTCAGACACTCGGAGTAAAATCCATAACTTTGGGTTATCTGGCGAGATTCGTGGTTTCCGCGCAAAAGATGTACTCGATTTGGATATCGTAACTTTAGTACTATTAACAGTGACATTGTCTCCACGCTGTACAGGCCTCTATCAACATAATCTCCCAGGAAAAGATAGTTGGTATTTGGAACAATGCCTCCAATCTTGAATATCTCCAACAGATCGTGGAATTGACCGTGTATGTCGCCGACAACTGTCACTGGAGTTGAAATATGGACCACGTTTGATTCATTTACAAGTTTCTCCTTCAATTTGAAGCAAAGAGCCCTCAAAGTTTCTTCAGGCAATAATTGACCAGCATATAGAAGTTCTAAACATTTATCTAGCTCCATGAATAGCGATTGGAGATGCTCTAACCGAACTCGGGTTTTGTATTTGTTACATAGTTTTATGATATATAAGATTCAATTAACATAAGCTTGACAAAACAACTTGCTGCAGTCAGACAGAGGAGCAAAAACATGGCGGAAAAGGACTACTTTAGCTTCAAACAGGGCTACACTCTTGAAGACAAGTCGTCTGCATTGGGTCGATCGAAGAGTAGGTCAAAATTGAAGCAGAATACGTCAGGAAATGGGGGTACACGTTCTTTTTCTCCGTCAAGACAAATGGGACCGGTCCCGGCACAGCAGCCACGTAGTCCTGGCTACTATACGGCAAACTCGCTGAGAAGCCCGTCTGGAAATCAGGGCTACTCCCCAATGAGCACTATGAAACTTAACACCAGCGGTTTGAAGCACGCCATGAATTTGGTTTCACCGTCATCTGGGGCACCTTCAGCCCGTCCCAGCCGCAACCCATCAGTTTCAGGTGCTTCTGGCGTTAGACAGGGCTCTCAGGGAGTGCAGGGAACTCCTGGAGCTGGGCTGGTTTCCCCAGGGCGCCAGAGAGCTCGTTCAACATCCATCGGCAGTAGTTCTCATGGAAAGATGCCATCAATGCTTCACTTGGAATCTAACGTAACGCCTACACTGGTGATGCCCCCAAAGGTGGCGTCGTTGAACTCACAGAGCACATCAATGCTGAGTTCACCTCAAAATCAGCTTACAGCCAGCGGCATTAGCTCAACGCAAAACACAAGCTCTTCTTCACTACATCATGATGGTGATTCCTCGTCCTCCTCAAATAGATCCTCCCACGGTGCGAGCTCCTCGTCTGTCCTTCGTTCTTTTAATCCTATGCAAAAACAGTATGTTTTGAATGAGGAGCTATACTTGAATCGAATGAAAAACAGCAACTTAGACGATTACTACACCCGCGGAATCGCAGCAGCTGCCCATGATGACGATGACGATACAGACACAGAGGCCGAGGCCGATGAAATAGAGGGCGAGGATGCGACCTTTGGAACGAACTTCTTCACGACTACAGATAAGTCCGGTGCACTGGCTTCTGATGACGAGCTCGTTAGAATGAGCTCCCACTTTTTGCTTGATCGTATGGATTGGCTCAGAGAAGCTGATCCGGAGAATGCTGACGTAATAGGACTATTGGGAACCCGGCAAAAGATTCCATCAGGTCCTAGCAGCGGAACAACCACCCTTTCTAGGCCACTTGGCAAAGTTGAAGGTGACAGCTATACGTACGTTCAACGGCTAAGCCGAAATCCTCACGTATTAGAGCGTCTTGAATGGCAAACCATGTTGGGCAATGTACTGAAAGGCGATATTGTAAAAAGTGAAAAGAGTAAAATTGCCAACCATGTTGGTCGTGTGAACACTGGAGTACAGTATGCTGATGAACTCTGGCTAGAGTTAAAAGCTTGGATGAATTGCAGGTCAATTGAAGAAGAAAAGAGAAGTCTGGATTACCTGAGGAGTTCTACAGATTTGTTTTTTGAAGAAATCATGAACTTGACTTTCGAAGACAATGTAGAGGTCGAGTTCGCTGTTTCAACCATGAAGCCTATAGTAGAAAGATATCATAAGGTCACGTCTTATTGGAGAAACTCGCAGCACATGTACAAGGAAAAGCCAGTTACCGGTCGCGAAGAATTTCAACATCGAATCGCAGCAATGAACACTTTTCTCACTTTGAAAGAAGCATTTGAATGCGAATTTGAGGCTTTGAAAAAGTGGACGGGAAACGAATCATTGGACGTCAAGTTCACGTCTACATCTAACGATATCGAGGGCGTTTATAAAAACGAGCAACCTTTCGCAGAACAGATCATGAAAGAAAGGGATATTGAGAGTATTTTCCAAAAAAAACTTTTCTATCGCCATGCTCCGTGGATTCTAAAGGCCAAGGTTTCTATTCTCACGTTTTCTCAAACCGTGAAAGAAATGAACATTCCTCTTTTGCACAAAGAACTTGAAATACTTCTTATGTTTCCATTCAAGCTTGTCAAAGAGATCATATTGATTCGTCTGGAATATGCCAAAAAGCTCAATAACCCGACAATGATGATGATCGATCAAATGATAGACGATTTTAACTCATATGTTAGGTTATCGGTGCAGATTAAACATACGGTTGTGTTATACTGCTCTGATTGGGATTTCTCAACGCATATTGATGCCGACTTCGACCAAACCGTGAATGAGGCAATCGGCTATCTATTCAAGTTGCTGCACCTAAAACTCATCGATAGTGCTAATAAATCTTTCAAAACCTTCAAGGAACCTGATGAGCTCTTACCTTACTGGGATCAGCTAAAGAATGTTGGCTGCTTCATTGAGGGGGCAGGGAATGTTGTCGCGGAGGGCTTCTCAAACCTTACTTTACGGTTATTAAATCGACTTCATTCTTACATCCTACGAGAACAAAACCAGCCTCCCCGCTTTGAAAGGGAAGTTGACGCTGAAAAATGGCTCATTCAAGCGATTGAAAATATGGGGTCCGTCAAGCGTAAGATAAACAGATTTTCCAATGTTCTCACCAAAGCTTTTCAAAATTCCGTTCATTACAAAGTCAACGATAATCAAGAGTTACTCAAAAACTTGAAAGACAGTGGCCACTTTCTTCTCTACACTGGAGGTGACTTAGAGGCTAATGGGATTTACCTATTCTGCAGCGGTGAGCTACTCGGGTGCTCTGATGACCAGGTAATGCAAATACTACAAAATTCGCTTATTGGATCCGACCTGCTCTCCAAGGTCGAGATAAAGAACAGTTTGAGTGTCTACAATGCTCTCGAAAGTGGCTGGGACCAAAATGCTTTACTTTTTCAGAGTTACGGCGCTAACGCCGTCTCTTATTACCAAGTTCAACCAGAGTCACATAATAAGAATTCATTTGTTAGATATCGCCTTGGCGGTAACCAGCGAGGCGGCATCGAGGTCGATGACTTGAAGAGTGAAGAAACCGAGATGATTGAGCTAGAGATGAAGTTGAAATCTCTAGGTTATATCGTTGCCTACTGTCCTAATGATCCTATCTTATGGGAAGGCGAGATGCTCAATTTATCATATGGCCTAGTTCTTATGACTGAAGACCTTGACTTTAAGCTCTCTAATGACTGTTTGGTACTCATGAATCAAGGATCGACTTACGCACTGGAATATCAATGTGACAAATTTCAACACTTTGTCGGAAATGCTGTGTCCTTCAATGAGCGAAGGTGCTCAACGAGAAACGTTGAAAATACCCTTCAGAAGATAAACAAAGCATACTTCAGAATCACTTACACTGTTCTAGCCAACGTAGAAAAGATCATCACCACCATTCAAAAAGATTATCGAGGCAATGAAACATTAAATAATCTGTTCATCTTCTGCCGGGACTTTGCGCGGAATTTCTTGAGAGTGAATGTGGCAACTTTTGAGAAGAAATCAATGATAATCCTGATGCTTATGAAGATCAGCGTCAGATGGATCACATTTATGGTAGATGATTGCGATCCAACAGATCTCCGCACCTTCAAATGGTGTGTACCCGCCATGGAATTTGCAATGCAAATGACAACTGGGTGGAATATCCTCGGACTCGATCAACAGCAATTTTCGGTGTTGCAGGAAAGGATTTCTGGATGTATGTCTTTGTTGATCTCACATTTTGATATAATGGGCGCTAGAACTTTGAAGACAGAACCGGCAGCTCATCCTCAAGTGAGGTCGAAGATTGGTGCCTGTGAAGGGGATGATGACTCAATTCTGTCTGTTAATTCAAAAGTACGGCTCGAGGCGATTCACGAGCTTGAACAGCGTGTTTCAGGAAACCCTCGTCAAATCGGAAAGGTTTTGGACGAGTCTGATCAGGATAACCAGTACTTGCAATCACTTGCTTCGTCACTGTCTAATGTTACAATTAGGTGGCAAAAAAGGCATTTTATTGGTGGTGGTGCATTCGGAACAGTCTCTTCGGCCATTAATCTTGATACCGGTGAAATTCTGGCGGTAAAGGAAATCCGGATTCACGACCGCAATACCATGAAACAAGTGTTTCCAGTAATAAGGGAGGAAATGAAGGTCTTGGAGATGTTAAACCATCCCAACGTTGTCCAATATTACGGGGTTGAGGTTCATAGAGACAAGGTCAATTTGTTTATGGAGTACTGTGAAGGTGGATCCCTGGCTCAACTTCTGGAGCATGGAAGAATCGAGGACGAAATGGTCACCCAGGTGTATGCTTTACAACTTCTCGAAGGGCTTGCGTACCTGCATCAGTCCAGCGTAATCCACAGGGATATTAAGCCTGAAAACATTCTTTTAGACTTCAATGGGGTGATCAAGTACGTGGATTTTGGCGCAGCAAGATCATTGGCAGCTAATGGAACAAAAGCCCCCAATAATGCTACCGAGAAGCAAGGAGATGGAGCTAATAGCATGATGGGAACCCCAATGTACATGTCGCCAGAGGCGGTTACAGGTGCAGAGAGAGGCAAGTTTGGTGCTGGTGATGTTTGGTCCCTGGGCTGTGTTGTTCTGGAGATGGCCACCGGCCGGAGGCCCTGGTTCAACTTAGATAATGAATGGGCCATCATGTACCACGTTGCAGCGGGTCATATCCCTCAAATGCCCTCTAGGGAAGAGATATCATCCCAGGGTACTAGGTTCCTGCGTCGTTGCCTAAAGCAAAATCCCAACGACCGTTCCACTGCGATGGAATTGCTGAGAGATCCATGGATGGTTGAGATCCGTAAGCTGGCCTTCGACGAAGATTCGTCAGGCACTGTTTGATAGTGCGAGCACGCTGTAATATAACATAATTCAGGCTAATTTTTCGAGGGAACGATGCAATCGTAAACCCTTCCCAGGTGCTATGTATTATATACTTGACAGGAGATACTAATTTAGTGACTACATGCGGCCGGAGAACCGATTGCTTACCGTAGACGGGAGCTGGAACTTGTTATGAATCTCACTTTGAAATTCTAAGAGCTCTCTCTGATATAAACAAGGTTGTTCTCTCATGACCTCGAAACCACCCTCATGTCACTTCGGTTGCAGATCTCGCTGCAGCGAATATGTTACATAATCTAAAAGGTGCCTTGCCAAAAAAATATCCAGAAGCGTATATAATGATTGAAAATTTTGGGAATATTAGGCGATGAGTTCTCTTCGGGCCATGGTGATGAGCTTCAGTTGCTGCAAGAGGTCAGACATAGAGAGCTTGTTTACACCTTATTCAAGTCTACAAGCAAACTATGGCTACCCTGATACCACCACCTTCGAAAAAGCAGAAGAAGCAGGCTCAACAGCCGCGCGAAGTCGAGTTACTACCAGCTGATCTTCCACATGTTTTGATCAAATTCCAAGCATTCGACACAGGTGAAAATGTCGGGGGTTCGCTACGTGTTCCTGGCGGCACGACGGAGCAGCAGCTCGAGCAGCTGCTGAATCAGCTACAGGGTGAGTCGGATGAGCCGGTTCCTTACAGTTTCAGCTGCATGATTGGCGGGGAGGAGGGCCAATCAGAGCAGATGATTGACATCAAAGACAACATATACAGCTCCATCTTGAAGCCAGGGCACAAGACGACGGAAGACTTCATGACCCTTGTCTTCACACCACGGGCAATTTTCAAAGTACGCCCGGTTACAAGAAGCTCATCAGCTATCGCCGGACATGGATCTACCATTCTCTGCTCTGCATTTGCTCCCAACACGAGCGGTCGCATGGTTACAGGAGCTGGAGATAACACCGCTAGAATCTGGGATTGTAACACTAGCACGCCCATGTACACATTGAAAGGTCACTATAATTGGGTTTTGTGTGTGGCATGGTCTCCCGACGGCGAACTTATCGGTACAGGATCCATGGATAATACAATTAGATTATGGGAGGCGCAAAAGGGGGAAGCTTGCGGTGACGCTCTGAGGGGGCATTCCAAATGGATCACGTCGCTGGCTTGGGAACCTATACATTTAGTTAAACCAGGCGAAAGACCTAGACTGGCTTCTGCATCCAAAGACGGCACCATCAAGATATGGGATACGACGAGAAGGGTTTGCCTAATGACCCTCAGCGGCCATACCAACTCGGTATCGTGTGTCAAATGGGGAGGGCGCAATGTGCTTTATAGCGGTTCTCACGACAAGACCATCAGGGCTTGGGATATGAATGCTTCCGGGAAGTGCATCAACATTTTAAAGTCCCATGCGCATTGGATCAACCACTTATCGCTATCTACAGATTACGCGCTCCGTGTTGGTGCTTTTGATCATACAGGGCAACAACCAACTTCACCCGAGGACGCTCAACAAAAGGCTCTCAAACACTACGAAAAAATCGCCAAGAAGAACGGAAAACTTGAGGAAATCATGGTTACCGCCAGTGACGATTTTACGATGTACCTATGGGATCCTCTGAAATCGACAAAACCTATTACGAGAATGACCGGCCACCAGAAATTGGTCAATCACGTAGCGTTCTCACCCGATGGGAGATACATTGTATCGGCCTCGTTCGACAACTCCATCAAGTTATGGGACGGAAGAAATGGTAATTTTGTTACAACTTTTCGTGGTCATGTTGCAAGCGTTTACCAGGTTGCTTGGTCTTCTGATTGTAGGCTGCTAGTCTCTTGCTCCAAAGACACCACATTGAAGGTGTGGGATATCAGAACCAAGAAATTGTCAGTCGATCTTCCAGGCCACAATGACGAAGTTTATACAGTGGATTGGAGTGTTGATGGTAAGCGCGTGTGTAGCGCGGGTAAGGACAAAATGGTTAGGTTATGGACTCATTAATTGTAATTATCACGGGACAATCCCTCTCGCATTACCTCGGCTGTCTGGCGGGCAAATCGAGTCATGTAAACTAAACAAAATATAGAATAAGCCCCCGTAACATAAAAGACTTTATACACTATTCAATAAGGTTGAATCTGGAGATCGGCACCACGATTATAATGTGGAGAGTCAGTCTCTTGAGTTATCATCACAAGATACGTATCACGTAACTAAAAATTTTGACCTTATGAAGTTCCAGTCGAGCGTTTACCTTATAAGACTGTCTGTGATTGGTCTTCAGGCTCTGCAGCTCGGTATGTTAAGCTTCAAGTCGGCAGGTCTCACGGTGAAAAGAGGATGCTTTTGTTTGGGGCGTAATTTCAGCTCAACTGGAACACTGCGAAATGCCATAAATGTGTCAAGTTCAGAAGCAAATCAAGATCAAACGATTGAAGGTATTACAGCTCAGGAGGCAGAAGATCTGTCCAAAGCTTTAGATGATTCCTCATACAGTATTTTCCCTGCCATTCAGGATATCAAACCTAGCGATCTTGTTGGCCACCAAAGCTTTGGAGTAAAATCATATTTCGTTGAAAGATCTGCGACGGGGAATCTTCCGGTATACACGGACTTCAAAAGCGGTGGCAAAGTGGTCACGGAAATTCGCAGGATCAGTGGTGACCCCGTGCAGCTACGGAACGATTTGCAGGAAAAACTCAAGCATATACCCAAATCATCTTTTCGGGTAATGATGCAAGCCAAAAAGGTTGTCATTCAAGGCGACGTCGTTAAGCAAGTGAAGAATGTTCTGTCTACTTCGTTTTAGGGTGAGATGATATGTATATATGTTTGTAAATAGTAGCCTCTTTAATAGAGCTTTAAGCCGATTGCACCCTTCTATATGTGTACAGCGTTTCCACAGTAAAGATGTCTTGTAACACCGTTATGAAGTCACGAATACTGCGGCGGGTGAGAATATGGCGCGTCAAGGGGTAGCCTTCGTTGAACTCCGATCGCAAGATTTGTCTGAATTCAGACACTTTTGCGCCAGAGAATGCTTTCGTTGTGTGAAGTAGCTCCCAAGATGCTGTACTAGGCACTATAGAAAGCTGTGGCTGTGGTACGGCAGTTATAATATAATCAAAAGATGACCATACTTCTTTCAATTCATCAATCCCTTCAGTTTTATCGTAACGGATGTTGTGAGTTTCATCAAGTTCACCAAACAAAGTGGCCCCCGTCATACACGTTGGGATGTCCATATGGAGAGTTGAATCGCGAATTCCATTTTCCAGCACATAATTGTTGAATTGCTTCAGTGCAACACCACCTGGGTAGTTAAGGGAAGAGATGGTTAAAAAGATGAGAGAAACAACCAGAGAGCACACAAGCGAAAGTGTGATAAGCAAAGTCAACCAAAAGTTACGATTTTTGCCCTTAAAATCGGGGGAAGCCCCACAGCTAGCTACCAGTGTGATCACTGGAATTGTGTAAATGATAAATCTCCATTCCTTGTGGGGTTGCAAGGAAAGCACAAAAATATGGAAGTATGCTGCCTGTGCAATTATTTTCAATTCTTTAGGTGCTTTGCGATATCCGATAGCGTTTAGTAACAGAATAGTAGGAGGAAAGAATATCATGGGCAGGAATCTTGTCAGATACGCGTGAAATGGCATGGTTCCCCAGTTTACCGACTCTCCCTCCACAACGTTGAAAAGAAAGGCGTCTAGCTCGGGAAGTGTCCAATTCTGCCAGAAATGAGAGTCGATATAAAGTGAGACGGTTGCTCCAAATAGCGCTCCCATCAAGCCACTTTCAATAATATCTCTGAATTTCATCATTCTGTATACCCATAAGCACAGTGCAAGCCCAGAAGTGAGGGCACCCAATTCAAGGCGGAACACAACGCTGGCAAATGCCAGAATGGATACTGCTAGGCCGAATCTTTTACCACTCAGGACAAGACCAAGGGCAAAATTTGTTAGCGGTAAAACTATAACAAAATTCGGGAGCGGGCGTGAGCAGTAGTACATCAGATGGAACTGACTTACGCAAAAAACAGCGAAGAAAATTCCGACATTACTGTTCGCATCATGGCCCTGCTGGCTATGCTGAGTGGCATCCCTATCAGTTTTTTTGTATTGACGTTCTCGAAGGTAACCGTCAAATAGTTTTTGCGCCTGACGTTTAAGATAGATGAGCCCCAGCGCATTGAAAAGTCCAATGACACCACGAACGACCAATTGTTGGTCAACGTAAATACCCATCTTCAGGATTTTCACAACAGGGGCAGACATTCCCGCTATTATCAACGGACCAACGAAACTTCTTGGAACTACTCCAGGAAACTGAAGATGATCATATCGTGAAATGTCTGCTACACCGTATTTTAAAATATCTCTTATTGCTTGGATTGTAAAGCTTTCCTCGACTTTAGTGTAGGGAGATATACACAATTGAGCCAATATGGTCACCACTAGTAGTACATCACATACTGATGACCATTGAATTATCATAGCTACTTGAGCTTCAATAAAACAAAGCGTTTATTTTTGACAAACTGTGAAATAAGTGATAGTTTCTGAGGTCATTTAATTTTAATAACAGCGAATTGATTAAGGACTCTCTTAATGTCGTTGAACGCTGAATGACATGTCAGCTCGCAAGGACTTCAGTCATAACGAAGAGGAGGATGGCGAAATTCCAACTTTGGTCGCAGGCAATGAACAGAATATAAATGATATTTTAATGTCTATCAATAGCGATGGAGGCAAAACAATTGTCAGTGATAAAAAGATTCAGCAAGCCAACAAACAGCTTGAGTTTGAAGAACCAGATGGCCAAGTTAAGATTCCCGTGAGTATCATAACCGGGTACCTGGGATCTGGAAAATCTACACTACTGGAGAAAATTGCATTGAAGGGCTCGGATAAGAAGATTGCAGTGATATTGAATGAGTTTGGTGACTCAAGCGAAATTGAAAAGTCGATGACCATTAGAGAAAATGGCTCCTCTTACGAAGAGTGGCTGGATCTAGGGAATGGCTGCCTATGTTGCAGCCTACAAGATGTTGGAGTTAGGGCTATCGAAAGTCTTATATCTCGCTGCCCCGGAAAGATCGATTATATCCTGCTAGAGACATCTGGGGTCGCAGATCCTAGACCTATCGCAAAGATGTTTTGGCAGGACAATGGCCTGTACAGCAATGTATACTTGGATGGGATTGTCACGGTGTTGGACGCTGAAAATATATTAAAATGCCTCGACGACGTTTCCCCTATGACTCACTGGCACGGGGAAAATGTTAAGGTGGAGAATGATATAACAATCGCACATCTACAGATTGCTATGGCTGACTCTATCATTTTAAATAAGATGGACCGCCTACATTCCATCGAAGAAGGGCTCAGCATAGAAAACTCAATTCGCAGGATAAATTCAATAGCACCAATTCACCAGGCACGGTACGGAGAGGTCCCCTTAAAACAGGTACTGGAGTTGCGTGCCTTCGATACTGTGAAGTTTGACAGTATGCCGGATGGCGTGTTCCACGATCCCCGTATTTCCACGGTGACTTTGGACTTTCGTGCCCTAGAAAATGAGCTCGAATTTAAAACATTTTTGAGCAAATTCCTTCAAGTTGTATTATGGAATGGATTTGGGTCTGAAGGCAACGGGGATTGGGAGATCCTTAGGACCAAGGGCTTGATACTTGTTGGTGACAGTTGCAAAATTATACAAGGCGTACGGGAAACCTATGATATATTACCTGGCCTAACTCCAGAGGAAACGTCTGGGTGTAAAATGGTCTTCATTGGTAAAGGAATCTCTGAGGAAGGATTATCGCGAATCTTGTCTATAGTTATAGGTTAAAAGTGTCTGAAATGTACTAACAATAGTGAGTCGAACTAATTGCATACCTAGCTCAATCGTGTCTCATGGACACGATTTTGGTGTTCTTGCTGAAAATTCGGGTCTTTCTAACAATCAAGTATATCACAAGCAAAAGAACCATACCTGAAGCAACCTTCACTGCCGGATGATGGAGTTGTTCAAACAACACTTCTTTCATAATGGCTTCTTCCTTTTTACCTGTTGCCAGTGTCGTAGCCATGCTCACACCTTGCGACATGTCGCCATGCTGGAATTTTTCAGCCTGATCCAACCACTGCTTGTGCAAATCCTCCGCTCCGCTAATTTGCAACTCTTCCACGAGAGTGTATATCAACTTGACGTCGGCCAAGGGTTTATGTTGCTCATCGACCTCCACGTATTGCACCTCTTTAATGAGCTCGTCTAGTCCAGACACAACTTGCCCAAAAACGACGTGTTTTGCATCCAAATGTGTTTGAGGTTCTAGAGAGGTAACAATAAAGAATTGCGAAGCATTGCTGTCAGGCTTGTCAAGGTTGGCCATAGAGAGTCTACCAGGCCTGTCGTGTTTTAGCTGGAAGTTCTCATCTTCGAAGTACTGCTTTCCGAAAATGTTGAAAGGCCCAACGTCCGGTAGCACATCGCCGCCTTGAATAATAAAGTCTGGAACTATGCGATGGAACTTGGTATCCTTGTAGCCCAATTGGAAACGGTCATTCTCTTCATCCGTTCCTCGGATAACAGCCGTGACACCTTTTGTGAGTTTAGCAAAATTTTCAACCGTCTTAGGGACTACAGTCCCGTATAGTTCTATAGTTAAGTCGAGTTCCTTCACTTGTGATGTTGTCCTGTCGGTGTATTCAATCGTGAAGAAAGCACGATGCGTCACTGGAGGGTTGGGCTCATAGATCTTGCTGCTATCAATCTGCGCAGCCTTTCCTACCTCAAATAAAGTGCATAAAATGCACACTAGGTATCGAAAAAGCATGGTTGGGAGTTTTATCGTTTTAATGTTTGGTGTTGGAGGATCATGTTTATCGGTTGGTTTCCAATTACAATTTAAATATAATATATAATATATAGCAAGGAACATAAAAAGAGATTTCTGAACAATCACACAGTTTGACAAGGAGATTCAGCTTGTGGGACAACCTAGCCAGCTTCTACATCTTTCTGAAGTGGCTCGACTTATTACTCGAATTCTAGGCTGTTTAATCTGAACAGCGGGACAATTTTAACCACATTTGGGGTGTCTTCCGACAAAACCTCGAAAGGTCATGTTTCATGTGGCCGAGAAAAGTCTATGGAAAGCAGAAGGGCGGTTGAGTAACCTTTACGATGTCTTACTATAACATTTGAGCGCGACGAATTGGTACAAAGTGATACAGGTATTGCATAAAATCAAAGAGCCTTACACCTCAGGTATTCATTATCCTCCTGCTAATTTACTTGTATTTGTGATTATCTCTTGAGCTGCAAAGCAGGTTTTCCCAGCTCCCAACTGGCAGCGATTCTTTCCAAAGAGCAACCTTTAGGAACATAACTGTAAATGAGTTTCTTTAACACCCTGCTACCTTGGGCCTGTGGCCGACAATATATTGAGTTTGAGATGTTCGTGAGTCCTGAAGACTTTTATGTCAGTTTATGAAATTTTTGGACAAAATCAAAACGACTCTACACAATGCACGCTCTACAGGATTCGCCAAGAAGCTGCGTCTCCTAAGCTATACATATTCAGAACGAATGGCATGTAATTATGGTGGAAAAAACCTGTATTAGGACATACTCACGTCCTGATTTGTAGCTCTCATTTATAGTAACAAGTAGCTCAAGGGTCATCGTAGATCAGCGTCAAAGATCAGGTACATCACCCGAAACTACTTTATATTTATGAAAGCTGCCAGCAAATGATTATATTTATGAAAGCTGCCAGCAAATGATTCACTAAGAAGAACTCAAAGTTTAACCTCCTACCCATACTTAAAATCCACAATCAGTGTCGCTATATTGTAGTATTATTATTATTATTACTTATCTACTATTAATCAAAAAAGATACCCTCAACGCCTGTGACGAACACACTACAACCAAGTCCAGGAGCTTCCCAAGATGGTCAATCCTGCAACGACGAAAATAAACAAGCCCAGACTTCCGAAGAAGAATGGACATCGTGCGTTGAAGGCCTGTGACAGTTGCCGACGTATGAAAACGAGATGTATCCCATCACCCATTCCAGAGGAAGCTCAATGTCTGCGCTGCGATAGCTTAAAACTGAGATGTTCATTCCAAGATCTATGGGAAAATAATGAGAGTGGTGGGGAGGAAGTGAGCGCTCCCATAAAGGTTAACACTCAGCGACTCAGTAATAGCTCCAAAAACGGCAGTCGCGAATCTGCTGAGTTGACCAAACGACTACTGAAGAGTGGGTACTCGCCGGAGCATTTTGCAGTACACTCAAAACTTCTGCAAAATGTAAACAAGAATGTTTCTAGAATATTGAATATTTTGGAAAATCAGCCATCGTCCACCGTTGTAAGCGAACCTTCTAAAGCTATCAATTTCAAGGCTCAAGACATCAGTACGGCTTTAAGAGATGCAATAAACTCAACTGCACCATCATCATCTCTTCCAAATGGTTTAGAACATCTGCCATCCTCAGTTGCCAGCACTGTGAACTCTAGAGCACAATCGCCAAGCATTAACGGACCATCAGCCAAGTACGAGCACTGCCATTCAACACCATATTTAACGTGCCCTTTCACAATGATGTCTCAGATGGTTTCGCATGACAATATCCCCTTACCCATTCGCAAGCTTCACGAGCCTAGCTTCATGCCACCTGAAGCCATCAGCGACGTAGTTGATATGAATCTACTTACACTTGATGAAGTAACATGCTTGGTGCAGTGCTTTCGTGATGGATATGGTAAATGGTGCTCCTTTCCGGAGATACCGTCTGAGAAACTAGTTTCAAAACTGAGGTCAAGCAAGTCATCCCTACTTTTATCCACCATATGTGTGCTTGCTCTTCGATATACTACCCACTATCATGATATGAAGACACGAATATACAAAAATTTACTCTACAAATTGAGAACTGACCTAGAGCTTAGCCTTAGGATAGTCCCGCAAACAGTAGAGTTTGTCCAGGCAGCCGTAATTCTTTCACTCTATGCGTACTCTTTAAGCAGTGACATTATGTCAATCGACGCATGGTATATCTCAGGGATTGGCTTGCAGCAGTTTCTCACCCTTAGCCTCACAGGCGAACAGTACAGACGTGGTGAGGCCCGCAGTACGCTGGGTAACTTAGGCTTCCCTGGTGATATGGATTCAAATGTATTTGATGAAGACGACAGCTCCGACGTGCAATTTCAAAAACTTCAATTATTCCGGCTGTGGAATCATCTCTGTATGGTTCATATCACCAATTGCGTGTTGTCGGGAAGGATGTGCATTATTGATGGTGTAAGGGCTGATCTGTGCCGACGCATTGTTGACTTCCCAAAGTCGACACATTACGACGGAATGATGGTCGCTGAGATCTCTTTACAACTTATTCTTTACAATTTTGTCCAACAATGCAGCTTGAGCTCATCAAAAGACCTTGAAAAGTTAGCATTAAGTGACGCTGTACAGGATGAGCTCCATACGTGGTATGACGAATGGAAATATCTCCTGTCGCAGCCCATCTATCCAGGCAAACAATATGCAGATTTTGCTCTTGATTATGGGCATACAATTGTACTCTACATTTGGTGTCACAAGAAGTACAGGACCAATAAATTGGCATCTAATCAAGCTGATATAGCGTCACAATTGACCACTAGTACTAATAGTGTTGGAGATGGCTACTTTCCTAATGCATTGAATGCAGCATTGCCCATCAAAAGTATCCTAGGTTCCATGTCGGTGCACTCACAATTCAAAATGTTAGGGCATGCGCACAAATCAGTTGAAGCGATGATCAGTGACAGTTTCAAGAACTTCCGGTTTCTTTCAGATCAATTAATCTTTCAATGTGTCCAGTGCTCTCTGACGTGCCTGTTAGTTGCGCACAATTTATACTACTCGGATGCGGGTCTTTTGCGAGAAGAACAACTTGAGCAGGTTCTCAGCGACGTAAAAAAGTTCAGTTTGAGATTACAAAAAATAAGGGAAGGCGAGCTCAAAAGCTTCTGGGTCGAGGAAGTTGATTTACGGATTCCAAGCATCATTTTACAATACCACAAGGCGATAGAAGCCAGCCTACAGGATAATTTCTCAGAATACGAGATTCAAGTTGACGACGATTACTTGTAAAATATTCAGACTTATGTAAATAGATGTTATGTGGGTAAATTTGAGACGCTCGATTCCTATAAATCCAGCAGACGATAAAACGACCAGCGTGTTATTTGTAACTCATCACTAAAGCCCATATTCAGTGCACCACCCATACCAGTTGCGACCCACGCAACTAGTATTTGTAGGTTCTGAGGTGATTGTATTTGTCGTTCTTGTTATTGTGGTGGAAGACTGGGACTTCGAGCTAGTTGTTTTACTCGAGGAATCCTTGACGTATTTCCAATTGAAGCAATCATGACATGGGCCTGGTGGCACGCATCTTGCAGGAGCTTCATATGCTTCAAGTACTCCGTCTATAACTTTATGAATTCTGTGATTCAAGAGGCTAACATGCCATCCTTTCTCCTTCACAGTGTCAAAGACACACTGTTTACCCGTATGACAGGAAGTTTCCATTGCGTAGCCCCCTATGGAGCAGGACGAGCTAGCCCCGTTACAAGTTCCCATGAAAATGGGATCCGCAGTATTGCCGAAATGCCATATACCTTCCAAATAGTTGGGATATCCAGGAGGCATAGGGAGATGAAGCCGTCTGCTAGCAAGTAGCTCGCCTGGTGCTTCGAAAGCAACTACAGGGAGCCCATAAGTACGACCCATTAAGCTAGCTAGAGCACCCCCCAAGGAGTGGCCGGTCACCCAAATGGTAGAGGATGGATGCCTCTGTACCACTTCACGGTAGATGTTTAAAACAGCTTTGTAGTAGCGGTCTTTTCTTCTTAGTTCCTTCTCCAAACAAGTTTCATCACAAGTATAAGACTTCAGATAGCAGTCACACACCGTAGTCCACAGATAGCTCACTCTGGCACAGCAACATGAAAATAATAAGTTGTCATTAATCTTATCGTTGACCGTTGTTTCGTCTTCACCGGACCCAGTGAGTCCTTGTGCACTGGTGCCCTTTATCGCTATCACAACGATGTCCTTCTCGTCGTCGACAAATATATGGCCGCGAATTCCATCGTCGTCCCAACCATGGCCCGAATTTTCAGTATGGTTCCATGGACCTGTGACGTTCCTCCAGTCCCCCGTGTGTGGTAGCTTGACGTAAGCGTTGGATGACATAAGGGCCAAGCTCACCACGGTTTCTTTGTCACTTATATTTGGAACAAGTACAGTTTCGTCAATCCAATCAAGGTTTACTTTCGAAGCCATGTGCGGATTTTCGTGAGCATAATCCAAATACGACTCCACAAACGCTGGGTCACGATAAAGCATGCGCTTCAGCACCTGGGGCTCTAGTGATAGTTTGAATTTGTGATCCAACGGGTTTTCTGTGGCATAATGGGGACTTGATGTCCAGATGTCGTCGTTTGCAGCCGAGTCTGATCCTTCCTGAGCAGTACGCAGCTCCGAAAATCTAGCCTTTCCCGATTCTATTACTTCGCTACTAGCTTCTAGTACTTGCATTTTGGGGTATGTACCTATCCCATGCCTGTAGATGTGTTCCAACCTGAAAGAACTCTGAGCGTGACCCTTATTTGGTAAGGCTGAATCTTTTCCGAGTTTCGGATAATTCAAAGGCCCAAAAATGACATATAGTCCGGCTAAAACAATGCTTACTGATATCCATATCGTATTAATACTTCTAGAGCGCCTGGAGCGCTTTATACCTGTCTTCTCATCCATGTATCCGTTCAATCGTTAGAACTACTCACCTTCTACACATTCATGTCCGTAATATATTGATCACCAAATATCTCTATTAACGAGAATTAAAATCAAAATCGATTGTTCCTAACCAAGGAAAATGCTGAGCAGAGTTGGAACCAGCTGAACCTACCAAGAGTCAGTAGCCTGTGGTTTAATTTTGACCATCATCAAGCTGCCCTCGTGTCTCAAGCACTGGTGTCAGTATAGTACAAAGTGATATCAGTGAAACTCAAACGGCATACATGAATACCCGATATATTGGATCCAGCAGAACCTATAGCTTTGGCAGATTAGACCCACTATCCAAGCAAATTGTTTAGTCTATTTCTGCTGATGCTGTTAGTGTTCAAAACAAAACAAGTGCCCCCAATTTTGTCTAGCCCAAAAATGGTACATATCCACTATTTCGCCATTAATGGGATTACCTATTAGCCTAGACATTTGCGAAAAGGCTAGGGTACTATAATTCATGCTTATTAGGAAGGGCATTTTTCGCTGCTTCACGGTGACTGCCATAATCAGCCGTTAGCTTCGACAGACTCGCTTCTGAACCATGACAGTATTTCTTTTCTTCGAAAACGCTGTTTCTGTAGTACTTGCTCAAGGTTCCATTTTAGTTTAGGTTTTACATTCTTTACAGCATCTGATTCGTACTTTTTTTTCTACATTCGCGGGCTCTGGGGGGGGGGATTAATGAATGACTATTAGGGTGAGTTTCCCGTCTTAAGCATGGACTTCACTTTGGGCAAGAGAAAGTTCGCCTCGCTTTCGTATTTTCTCCCGTTCTTCTGTTCAACCCTGGTGGATTCTCTAGCTCTCGGATAATAGCTTCACTGTCGAGACCCTTTATATGCAAGAGAAGAACAGAAAGTTCAAATGAAAAATTCGCACATTCTAAACTTCATTCTATTTTTAAGAGTAAACCAAACCTCCCATGACAGAAGTACTATGTTACCAAGTTGGTTATTTTATCGTGGCCGTCTTTCTTTATTTGTATTCCCTCATTCTCGTCACAAAGTGTCTACAAGACGCATATGAAGAAGTCATTAAAGAGAACCATGAACATTTCACCCCAGAAACTAGCTCCGACCAAAAAATAAAAGCTCTCAAAAGCAAACGGTATTCTGAAATCACTTATACTCTGCTTTCGGCAGCTTCATGTTTGGACAGTACCGAGTTGCATAGTGGCAATCATTTATTTAGTGTCAGTACAGTATTAAAGATGCTGGCGACGTCAGTAAAAAAAGAAAGTGTACACAGCTAATAATGAAGCCCAATGAGATTCGAGGAGCAGCAAGTAAATGGAAATGCCTTGGCCCTACATTCCAAATAGCCAACAGCCCCACAATACATCTGGTAAGTCCTAGTGTTGGGCTATACGGCCCTAGCTGCACCCAGATTGTTCCCGCCAAAATTTTGCATTAATACCGGCTATATGTTCCAGATATAGACCAGATTTAGTCAAATTCACAATCCAGATAATCACGGGAGACAACCAGAAGCCGCCTTACCGGCTCCTGATTTCATTTTCAAGTACTCAAAATACTATAGACGATGTCCATCGAAGAAAATTGAACGACCAATCCAGCGATTGAGTGCTATCGATGCTGACTTGTACCAATCTCTCGCAATGTCCACGATATCCAATCAATTCCGTGCCATTATGGTATAGAGTGATTTTAGGTAACCTGAGCACTTTTCGTTTGTTGTGAAAGGTGACAGTATTACTAGACAGGTTTAGTGAGAATGCACCATTACCGGGCTTCCCGCAGCTGTCCTTGAATTAACAAGCGCTATTTCTATTGTAGAGATCTAAGCATAAAACTCTTCTTATCTTTGTTATAGTCGCTAGTATGCGAAGCACTGACAGTAACAACTCTATCATAAATTTATCTCTATAGCTCAAACGCCGAGTATTTGACATCTACTTTAACCCCTAATAGATCACGACATTCTATGATTTTCAGGTCATTAATTCTCTTCGACTTGTCCTGGGCGTTTTGTACCGTGTGTATTTGAAGCGTCTTCAACAATATCGTGTCTACCAAAGAAACTACCTCATTTACCGCTCGTGCAAGATCTCTGGTCTCAGCTGACTGGCTAAGAAATGTGTCCAAAAGTAGTGCACTAAACAGATCACCACTTCCGCTAAACTGCACATCAATTTTCGGTATCTTGAAATATTGTGCGGACTTGGACGATCTGTCACTGCACACACAGAGCATAAAATCAGATATGGAGGGCTCAGGATCCACGCTTGTGACAACCACATATTCAATCTTGGGATATAGCTCATGAAATCTGCACACAGCCGTTTTTAAAGTGTTAAGATCACTGATCTGAACGCCGGTTAAAGTTTCGATTTCAAATTGGTTGGGAGTCGCAAGAAAGACAGCACCGCGCTTCAAGATTTCTTTATATGCGGGAATAGACTCCTGAGAGACATAAAGTTTACCGTTGTCACCCAAAACAGGATCAAGGATCCATTTAATATTAGGGTTGGATTCACACATCTCGGACAACAAGCTACCCATTTGCCTCAAAGCTTCAGGATCTGGCAAGTATCCTGTCAACAAAGCATCGTATTGGAGACCAAGGCCCTCTACCAGCCCGTTTTTGACAATACTTTTCAAGTCTTCTGCTTTAGACCGAAACCCATGAAATTGACCATAACCAGGGTGATTGGAAAACTGTACCGTATTCAAGGCGTCCACGTCCCATCCACGGTATTGCAGAGGAAATGTGGCAGCTTTATTGCCAACGTAGCCGTGTACAACGTGGGATTGGATAGATAGCACTTTTCGAGTCATTCCGGAAAGATCTTCAGTGCTGACAGGAAGGAAGAGGTCACCTAGCTTCTCAAGCACTTAACCGCAGATTAAATGAAAGTAACTTAGTGCAAGATTTTATAAAGAGCTGCTGATGGCTGGGTGGAACCTTCCTCGACCAATTTTTTTGATTCTGTTTGTATGGACAGTATTCCGGTATCGGAAATTTATTATTCATATGTTAGAGTCACTCATTGATTGTTACTGATAAAGTAGAAAAGTAGAAAGCTTATCTATCAAACTTTGAACATGACATTGCAATAGAAGTCAGCATGTTGATGGCTAAGTTCTGTTGCAATTGAGTGCTTTGGTCAAACTGTAAGCAGAAACAAGTTCAGCGAACAAGCGCGGCGATGAGTGGCCGGAGATGATGGGCTACTTGTCAAGTGATGGGTATTTAGATCCCACCAATATTCTGTGAGCGACAGTCAGTGCGCACTCGGCAGCTCGGACATGTTGCTATTACTTGGTTACATCTCGAGTTAGTCTTGGTAACATCTCGAGTTTGTCGTGGTAACATCTCGAGTTTGTCGTGGTAACATCTCGAGTTTGTCGTGGTAACATCTCGAGTTTGTCGTGGTTGGGCGTGGGGCTGCTGAGGTTGCAGCACTGCGAAAAGCTGGCAGGGCATAAGAAGTTTATGACAACGCACATATCGCAACTAAAGCGGTACTGTACCTTTTATACAGCGGAACGCTCTTGAAGTGCTCCTTCACGAAACTCTAGGCGTGAAACCAGCTAATTGACCGTGGGCCCATAAGAAATGTTACAATCAGCGACTCAAGCTTGCTTGGTACGTTCAAATTTTTCCAGAGGTGCCATCTTAAACAATAAATGATGATATAATGCGGTCCCACCAACCTACCCAACCCTCCATGACTTCAGTGAAGCTTAGAGACTTACAACGGAGAGCCACTATGCAAATAACCTAAGTGACGCAATACAACAGGGAAGAAACAGAGCTGGCAAAGTTACGTTCAGCCCCAAATGTTCAGAATGGCCTCTAGGAAAGGTTAAAAAACCGCGTAGAAAGGATTCAAAAAGATGAGAAAAAAAATCATACGCAATTATACTCAAACGCAATTGAATTGATTGCTCATATCCAAGATTCAGAATCAACCAACCATCTAAAAGCACACGTCTTGCAATAAGCTTCCACATGATTGTGGTGCCAAATCACACTATCATCGCTACCTACGTAAAATCCACTTTTAATCATGTGATGTATCGTACATAATGCAATAACTATGGGTGTCCAGTAAATGCCAAGTTGACAAGAGCTATGCGAAAGGCCCTCAATTAGATAGCGTAACGGCCTGTCAAGTAGCGCGATTGAGCATTGTTATTGTTTCAACAAACCCGTTAGAGCTCTGATATGGTAACAATTTCCAATGCTCATTCCGAGCTTATTCATGATGCAGTATTAGACTACTACGGCAAACGCCTTGCAACCTGTTCTTCTGACAAAACCATCAAGATCTTCGAGGTTGAAAATGACGTTCACAAACTTGTGGAGACTTTGCACGGCCACGAGGGCCCTGTGTGGCAAGTAGACTGGGCACACCCAAAGTTTGGTGTGATTTTGGCTTCGTGTTCGTATGACGGTAAAGTGCTGATCTGGAAAGAGGAAAATGGACGTTGGACTCAAATTGCCACCCACGCAGCTCATTCTGCTTCAGTGAACTCTGTGAAATGGGCACCTCATGAATACGGCCCTCTTCTCCTGGCAGCGTCGTCCGATGGAAAGGTATCTGTGGTGGAGTTCAAGGAAAATGGCACCACAGAGCCCATTATCCTCGATGCCCATTCCATCGGCGTCAACACTGCTTCCTGGGCCTCTGCTGCTCTTCAGGATGGCTCTAATTCTCTGCAAAACCGTCGTTTCGTCACCGGTGGCGCTGATAACCTTGTCAAGATTTGGAAGTATAGTCCTGAGGCCAACACATATTTAGTACAAGATACTCTCGAAGGCCATACCGATTGGGTCAGAGATGTGGCATGGTCTCCATCCGTGCTACTTCGTTCGTATTTGGCGAGTGTATCTCAGGATCGCACTTGCATTATTTGGACACAAGAGAATAGCCAGGGCCCTTGGAAGAAGCAATTGCTAAAAGAAGAAAAATTCCCTGATGTTTTGTGGAGAGCAAGCTGGTCGCTGTCTGGAAACATTTTGGCACTTTCCGGGGGCGACAACAAAGTAACATTGTGGAAGGAAAACTTGGAAGGTAAATGGGAACCTGCCGGTGAAGTGGAACAATGAAGTCTAGCTCGAACCAAATAACTCTAAAAGTACTGTGCTGGCTTTGACTTAATTAAGTGGGCGATATATAATACGGGTACGTTCTTGTGTATATCAATCAATCTGCAAAGTCAAGCTGGGCCGTAAGTATGAGGGCCGCTGTTCCTCATAATTCGCTAACTACGGCTTCAATTAACCTTTCCACATCTACAGAGGCCAGAAAGCCGGCTTCTAGGACTTCCTCATGGGTGGCTTTTCCGCGGTCGATTGGCACTGGGTTTTCATCCAACGCACTAGCTGGCAGGGATGTTACAACTTGATTGGTGATCAAACTCAAAGCTAGAACTTTAATCCCACAATGTCTTGCGACAATGACTTCAGGAACGGTACTCATGCCAACAACGTCCCCTCCGATCAACCTTATCATCCTGGCTTCGGCTCTGGTTTCAAAGGTGGGCCCGGACACATACGTGTATACACCTTCGTGAAGTGGCCTGTCCATGGCCAATTGAGCTCTCTTAGTGTACAGCAGCTTTCTCAGAGACAAATCGTATCCGTCGCTTAAAGCCTGGAAACGTGGACCATACTCTTCGAAATTGGGACCGCGGAGAGGATGCTGGCCTGCTAATCCAGGCATATTGATATGGTCGTTCAAGCACATTAGATCGCCAACTTGATAAGAGGGGTTGATCGCACCGCAAGCGTTAGTGACAATAAGGTTCTTCACAAATCCCCATTCATTCATGACTCTGATGGGGAATACTGTCTCGTGTAAAGCATGTCCTTCGTAGTAGTGGAGTCTACCGCACATCAGTACTACTGGACTGCCCTGCATGTATCCAAAGACAAGCTTCCCCTGATGTCCTGCAACAGTACTCGTTTTGAAGCCAGGAATTTTCTCATATGGAATCTCCAATGGTTGGGGGTTTGGGGACACTTTATCCACGATCCCACCCAGTCCAGATCCGCAAATAATGAGCGTTCTTGGCTCGAATCTGGTAAAATGTTCGAAAATAGCATGTTTGATGTACTCGACGGCGTAACCTATCAACAACCTCTGATCCTCAAGGTTGAATACACTCATCGTAACCTATCTATCTATATTGTCTAATGTTTCCTTGTCCTTTACTCTTTCTTCTCTGGTGGTTGGAATGATTTGCAATTGTCGAGAATTATATCAAGAATTTACAGATAAGCAGGGCACAATTAGATAGCCAAACGATATCAACAGTGAAACTTGTACTATGTGCTAAAATTCATGACGGAATGCTGGATATGGAAATTACAGATGCTAATATTATGCTTGGTAATAAGGTGCGAGGGTCTGAGTCAATGCAAAATGATGTTTATCGAAAGAGGAACAGTAATCTCTGATACAAAGCAGAATCCTCACCAATTGCAGACTCTACCTGGGATACCTTGTGAGATGATTAATTGAGTGACTCTCTTCCCACAATGTGGCTATTCCAGCTTTCCTTTGAGACTGGAGGTTCTTGTCCTTCTATTATTGTCCGCTCCACAGACACTATGCCACTTAAAGAATTGTCCAATACTGGCTTCGGAGCTGATGCATTTATGGCTAAATTGCGTATGAGAGGGAACCTCTTTGAAGTCTGAGATCCCAGGCTTATGGGGTAAAACATCTTGAAAATCGTCCAAAGAATCGAGAAACAGAACAGAAAAAAGGGTATGATCATAGTACAACCATTTGAACAGTATATTTAAGTTCCAAATGGTGAGTGAGTTGTGTGGAAGTTATTGTTTTATTTAAAAAAAAAAAAAAAAAAAAAAAAAATTGGATGGAACCAATGCCTTTTCTCACAGAGATATCCAATCAGTAGCCTTGAGGAGATCCATGACCGCGAAGCTGTGGTGTAGAGTCCAAAGATGGCGATCCCTGCATAAACGGTTGTGGTGCATACGTCTGGCCCGCGTACTGTTGAGATGGATAAGGCTGTGGTGGGTATTGTTGGGAAGCAAACTGTTGTGGTGGGTAATTAAGAGGCATTTGGTGTTGTTGTAATTGTTGATGTTGATGTTGATGTTGTTGTTGTTGCTGCTGCTGCTGCAATTGTTGTTGTGGATCCAGCTGATGAGGAGGTACAGCATGAAATTGCGGTTGAGTCACCTGGGGAGGCAATTGTTGACCCGCAACATTAGCCATCGTACTAGGCAAAGACGACAAGGGAAAGGGCACGGGCACGGCGGAGTTGTCTTCGGCCACGTAGAGAGATTTGTCGATTTGGGCTGGAATAGCAGCAATCTCCGTGCCTAATTCTTGTTCAATCTTGTAAAGGTTGAAACGATCATTCCAATTGATCAAATTTATGGCCAACCCCAAATGTCCGAATCTACCTGATCTACCAATACGATGCAAATACGTCTCGGCCGTTTTAGGAAAGTCAAAATTAATCACGACGTTTACCGCTTGAATGTCAATACCACGTGTCAGTAGATCGGAGCACACCAAGGTACGGACTTTGCCCTGGCGAAATTCGTGGAAAACCTTGTTTCTTTCTTGTTGCTTCATGCGAGCATGTGAGTAGTAACAAGAGAATCCTAAATCTGTGATTTTTTTGGCCAATAGCTCCACCCGATTGGTGGAGTTACAGAAAATGATAGCCTGGTTGATTTGTAGTTTGGAGAATAATGTGTTGAGACAGTGCAGTTTTTGTTTCTCCTCGACAAAAGCATAGTATTGAGTGATACCTTTTAACGTCAATTCGTCCATGAGATTGATTTCGTAAGGCTTGTGCAAATGTTTCACCATGAATTCTTTGACGGTTAGTGGGAATGTAGCACTGAACAGTAGAGATTGGTGTTTTGGGGGCAAAAATGTCAAGATTTGTTCAATTATGGTTTTGAAGTCGCGAGACAACATTTTGTCGGCCTCATCCATGACAAACAGAGGACACTCGGACAAGTCGGCAACCTTTCTCGACGCCAAATCCAGCACACGGCCTGGAGTGCCAACCAAGATGTGTACGGGCTCATTCAGACGCATAATATCGTCTCTCAAATTCGTACCACCTGTTGTCACCATACACGAGATACCGCAGTGTTTACCCAAAGTCCGAACAACCTGCGACGTCTGTAGCGCCAGCTCACGGGTGGGTACCATGATCAGGGCCTGAATCTTGCTGAGCTTGGGCTTGACGCGCTCGAGGGTCGGAATCACAAAGGCAGCGGTTTTGCCGGTTCCGTTCTTGGCGCGTGCCAGAACGTCTCTGCCGGCGATCGCGATAGGAATCGCCTCCTCTTGAATTGGCGACGGCTTCTCAAATCCGGCTTCGAAGATACCCATCAAAAGCTCCCGTTTAAGGAAAAAGTCCTCAAACGTGTTGCCCTTGGTCCCAAGAACATCGTCTGTCTGTGGTCTGGTGTCTTTCTTAGGGATGTTCAGCTCAGCTTTCCAGTTGTCAACATCCATTACAAAGCAGTTGTGGGATTTATCACGCTAGTTCGATACCTTAAGCCGGTATAAAGAAACAATTGTAAACAGCACAAAAACGGTGGAACAATTTTTTTACTACCTAGTGAATCCGCTATCAACCTTATCCGATAACAATCTTCTCTATAGTCCCAGCGGGCTCTTTATAATCGCAATTAGTGGACTGGACCCTTTTTACTTGGTTCTCAAATGGTTTTAAAGTGGCCAAAAGATGGTCAAGTTTCAATTTCTAAACCCCCTCTTCCTATAAAAATTTTTGACTCATATTAATTACATCATTATTCACGTAATCGCTGGTTTTGAAATGATAGATTCTATACAATTAAGGACAGCAGAGTGTAGTTTACGCACACTATATTTGGCTGCTGAGTTCGTTTTACGCTGGATGAAGATTTGGATCAGCACTGAACTGCCCTTCGGTGAATAGTAAAAGCTGGTCAAGTCTTTTCACTCAATCGTTTTTGAGCTAGTTTTGCAAGAGCAGTGTTCGAGGTCATCCAGTTGGTTCAACAATATAAAAACACGCCAAAAGAGCATCAGAAATGAATTTTGGGGTTCAGGAGGTGCGAGTTCGGCAAAACCATCAGCATAGCGACTCGCGGCTGTTTCAGCCCTCGTCACTCAAGCGAAAGAATCTTAAGCAACTCACGTTGGGGAGAAACTCGCCATTCGGTGGGCCTGGAACGAGTGACGGTGTGAGTCCGGCTTCGGTGTTGAAAAACAGCGGCGTGGGGGCGTTGAGTGTGCCCGCTACGAACCGTGTAGTTAGCTCAGCCATGTCGCCTGGTGGATTGCTCCAGCAGCCGAGCCCCACGACGTCGGATCTGTCGTCTGCCGGGGTGACACCTACAGACGAGGCGGTGAAGGAGCTGGGCTCGGATCTGGAGAATCTGTCGATACTGAAAGACAGCTCGATCGAACTCCAGGATCTGGTACAGCTAGGGAAGATCGGATCCGGCAATTCGGGCACCGTGTTGAAGACGCTGCACGTACCCGACTCGCGGGTCATCGCCAAGAAGTCAATTCCTGTGGAGAACAAGACGCTGGTGAAAAACCAACTGATGCGGGAGCTTTCCATCATGCAAAACGTGAAGCCTCACGATCACATTGTTGGGTTTTTTGGGGCGTTCTATACTGCTTCCACCACGAACGAGATCATCATTCTTATGGAATACATGGATTGTGGGTCGCTGGATAAGATAATGTCGACGTACAAAGCATTTGTAAGACGAGGATCCCTCGAAGCCTCTGCAAATTGGTTTACAGAGCCGGTTTTAGCCAGAATTTCTCATTCCATACTGGATGGGTTGTCTTACCTGTATCGCGAGTACAAGATTATCCACAGGGACATCAAACCTTCCAATGTGCTGATCAATAGTAAGGGCAGCGTGAAAATCTGTGACTTTGGAGTCTCCAAAAAGCTGATTAACTCTATTGCAGACACGTTTGTCGGTACATCCACATATATGTCTCCAGAACGAATACAAGGCAACGTGTACACGACAAAAGGCGATGTTTGGTCACTGGGTCTCATGATAATAGAGCTTGTAACCGGTGAGTTTCCGCTGGGAGGGCATTCAGATACCCCGGAGGGTATTCTTGACCTTTTGCAAAGGATTGTGAATGAGCCTCCACCCCGACTTCCACCTGGCCTCCCATGTTCCCGCGAAATAGTGGATTTCGTAAACAGATGTTGTCTCAAGGATGAGAAGGAACGACCCTCTCTGCAAGAGTTATTGTGTCACGACTTTATCGTAAGGGGTCGGTCGCAGGGAGACCGGGACTTTAGACATTGGTGCAAGCGCATAAAGAAGAGACTGAAAGAAGACAAAATGCTCAATCGAGAGGAAAAAGAGCGTGCTAAACTGGTTAAGCGCCAGCTGGAAAGCGCGGCTAACGCGGCCACTGCAGCCCGGCATCGATAGGGTCGATAGTGGGTACTCGTAATTTAAGTAATCAACGATCTAAACTGTAATAATAATAAGTATTGTCGAAAGGACGCCTTTTATACCATTCGCTTAACCCCAACACATTCGCATTTACAACCTATTTACAGACGATGTATATTCGTTAACTACACGCTAGCTTTTTTTATTCCATAGCCACTTTTCTGTGCCTCTGGCGATACCAAACACTATTAGGGCCCCGCCCAAGCCTCTCAAGCTCGTTCTCCACCATCTCGGATTCAATTCCTGGAACTTTTGGATGGAAATTCCACGCTTTCGCTCCTTTTCTGAGTATTCAAAAGCCTTACCGCTTACCAAATACGTACCAAATCCTAAGCTAAACAGCGTACTCATTGCCTGACAAGGTATACAGTCCTTAGTTTCCTCATTCGAGAGATCGCGTTGAGGTGGGGGATTGAAAACTGACAAGATATTGCTGGACATCCCCTTGAGCTCGATAAGGCCTTGTAAGGTGTCTGTTTGGTCTTGATGCCTGTTAGAAATTCAATTCGATAAATTGGTCAAATTATCTTCATGAAGTAGTCGATGCTGTCGATCGTCAACAGGGGCACAGGCAGAGGATGGCCGAACTGAGTGAATTTCAGAAGAGGAGACTGGAAAATATCAAACGAAATAATGATCTGTTGAAGAAGCTGAACCTCAATGGTGTTTCAAATAAGCTGAAAAGTGAGGTTGGCGTTAAGGACCAACACAAAAAAAAGACTACCAATGGCAAGAAGAAGGTGGCGAAAAAGGAGCCAAAGCCCTCACGAGAACCCACGCGAAGATCTCGCCGATTGCTGGGTGAATCTTCTGATGGCAAGGAGGTGCCACACGTAAGTGATTATGAGCTACTAAAGAAGTCCGATACGGAGGCCAATCTAGAGGAGTTGAAGAACACAGCGGTGATTGGAGATGTAAAGCTGAGTGATCTACTGAAGTCGGAGGATGAAAGTGAGCTCTTGTCTCGATTTCAAAGCTACAGTAACAAGAATTTTTCGTCGGGCGATTTCTTTAAAGAAATTCAGAAGCATCAAAAGGTCAGCGACGATATAGCGACATTGCAACGCGAGCTGGAGCTTCAACCGTATGAAATATTCGAGCCCAATGAAATCAAGATTGTCCAAGACCGCATCAGTGCGATGTTCTGCCATCCGGCTCTAGACCGCAAGCTCGTGGTTGGGGGAGATACGACGGGCAACGTCGGACTGTGGAATGTCCACCTTGAAAATCCTACAGATGAAGTTGAAGGGCCAGATATAACGACTGTAAAATTGTTCAGCAAGAACGTTGCAAAAATCGATGTCTTCCCACAAGACTCCAGTAAGCTTATAGCTGCTTCCTACGACGGAATACTGCGGTCTATTCATCTGGGAAATATGCAAAGCGAAGAACTGGTGACTCTAAAGGACGAATACGACGATCCAATGGGACTTAGTGAGTTTCAGTTCAGCTACGAAGACCCCAATTTGGTGTATATGAGCACTCTGGGTGGTGAGTTCACAGCCGTCGACCTAAGGGCCAAACCAGCGTCCATGAATATCAGACGGCTGGCTGATAAAAAAATCGGCTCCTTCAGCATTAACCCCAGAAGACCCTACGAAATTGCTACGGGATCACTCGACCGTACGCTTAAGATTTGGGATGTGCGAAAGATTGTTAAGAATCCAGACTGGCTGCAAATGGAAGACCATCCAAGCCATGAAATGGTGGCTACCTACGATTCAAGGTTGAGTGTTTCAGCTGTGTCATACTCACCATTGGATGGATCGCTTGTGTGCAACGGTTACGATGACACGATCCGAATATTCGACGTGAAAGACGTGCCGCCTCTAGAAATGCAACCGCGCCTCACACTCAAGCATAATTGTCAAAGTGGCAGATGGACAAGTATCCTGAAGGCACGTTTTAAGGCCAATATGGACGTTTTTGCCATTGCTAACATGAGCAGAGCGATCGATATATATCATAGCTCGGGCCATCAACTGGCGCATCTCAAAACTGCGACGGTTCCTGCCGTATTGAGTTGGCATCCGATGCAGAACTGGATAGTTGGGGGGAATTCGAGCGGCAAAGTATTTCTGTTCGAGGAGGGAAGGACGTAGAAAATAAAAGTTTTTTTGTAATTGAAGTTACGATCAGGTAGAGAATGAAGATCCAGATGCTAACGAGAAAACAACGACGATACCATCGCTGTTTTCGTCCAACAACTGGAACCAAATGTAAATAAAGTTAGTTATCAAAGAAAAAACTTCGAAATGTTGGTATGATTTCCCTCCAATTCTATCAAAAAAAATGCAAACACCTTTTTTAGGGACCCATGGACTGCGGTATGAGTGAGACGCCCGAATCTCTCACTTCAAATGTCCTTTGCACCTGGCAAGTCTCCCTTATAATATATCATTAAATGACCCACAAACCCTTCTCCGTTAGGGTCAGGGTTACCATTACCGTCAACTTCACCAACACCGTAGGCGAAGGAGTAGTAATTTTTAAAGCCAAAGTACTCGTAAACAGACTTGGCATGCTCGTTGATGGCTTCTAAAACCAAAGCCACACCCTCGGCGTCAGCTTTCTGCTTGTAGTGTTCAAAAATGGCCCTGACAGAACCACGAACCCGTGGTTGCGTCAAGTCCTTGCCAATTATGAACAAGTAGTAACAATCGATATCCTGCAAGAGCTCGTCGCGCTTGTCATGCAAGTCGTCGAAGAAAATCTTGTTGAATACCGGATCATTGGTTAAGTCCTGCTCGAAGTGTTGACCAGGGGCACTCCAGACAGCCACGGCGTCGAAATCGTTGGCCTCAACAATCTCCCCGCCCTTATCTGAATATAGGGTGTTGAAATAGTGCAAGACCGCATTGATACGAGTCTTGGAAACAGGCTCGTCAATTGGGATATTGACAAACTTTTTCATGAGGTAGTCATTAGCCTTGGAGTCCTTGAAGGCTTTGGCTAACGTTAAAGTGGCCCTTTCAATATCGTTGATTCTATTTACTGGCACCACGGTTCTGCTGTGGCCTTGATTCAGTTTGACAATTGGTTTCGATTTCATAGAATCAAGAGGGGACGCTGGTGGAGAAATAAGACCGTTAATCATGGCTGGCAATAAACAAACCTTGTGAAAAATGCGCTGTTGAGAAAAGTCTTCGTTAATAGATGTTGAGGTGCTGTAAGAGCTGTTCTGTCTTGGTGGTAGAAGATTGGTATAATAAAGTTTCAAAATCAATATAGATCTCGGTGACTCAACTCCCCGTGTTGCCCTGACCCTCTTTATACCTTTCAGTCCTGGCTAAATCTTGGCTCTCAGCAGCGATCGGAAGGCCCGCATCGGGCGCTTAGCTCCCGCCCCCTGTGGCGAATTTTTACCCCTGAGCTTCGCAAACGAAACCCACGAGTGGATTGTGAACGCTCGAGAGCGCTTATCGGCTCGCATTCGGTAGTTTGAATTCCCGATTCTGTGCGTAATTCGCTTTGTCGCTTGGGCGCTCTTATCGCTGAAGATAGATAAGTTGTGAAAAATTATCTCGAGCCGTGCGTGACAAGCGACGAGAATGAAGCGCTAAAGAAGCGATAGAGAAGCGAGCTTAAGCCACTTGAGGGTTCGTTTGCTGGTAGCTCCCGCTATTGCCAAGAATAAAAAACTGCACAGCTGGAATTTCATACCCCTCGTGGTCAGAGGCCTGGTCCGGGGTACAAGGACAAGCATTAGGTCCTTTGTTCTAGCGGAACTCCAGTGCGGTTAACATGGTCTGAAGGAACATCCACTAGCTCTAGGTCCATCTCTCCTTATGCTAGATGATGATCTGACATATGTTTTCACGGACAAAGAGCAGTTCGATGTCTTCGCGGTCCCATACCAGTTGCAATAAGTTGGTAATTTTCAAAGCTCCGTAGGAATGTATGGTTTCCGAGGTGCTCTTCAAATACTCCTTTATGACCAATCGGTCCTCTGGATCAATGGTGAAAGCTCCGATGATCAGCAAAGACCATAGCAAAATGCAGAGCAGCGGGTTTCCTTTCTCTATGTCCTTGAGGCTCTGTATAGTGTATTTCACCACACCTTGGATTTGGCAGTCGCGAACGTCGAACTCGCGGAATTGCAGTATCTTGCTCAGTAGTAGGTAGCAGGCTTTGCTGATAATGGAACCGCAAAGAAGACCGGGCCTGTAGATCTCGTACTTACGCTCATCGCGGCGCACTGGTTCGGGCAACGTCGGAGGAGTGTAATAAAGACACTCTTCGAGTAGCTCCTTGGCACAAGCTTTCCATTCGCTGGACTGCAGTGGCAACGGCATGCGACTCAGGTATGAAACCTTCGCAAGCAAACAAAAGGCATCTAGAGACGGGCCTAATACGGGGTTGTTCATCCATTCGACATCGCAGTCGTTGAAAAGCGGTGACTTTAAAAGCGCGGTCAATTTATGAAAAACCTGGCCAAACGGATTGGGCAGTTTTGACAGGTCTCTAGCTACCAACAATGACACGGTATAGTTGTAGATAAAACTTTCGATCAACATTCGATCGGTTGCAGTGGATCCGTGTTTTTCGATGTCATTGTACTTCAACTGTATGATTTGGAAAGAGTGCGTCAGATTCTCGATGCATCGATCAACCATGGACTCGCCTTGTCCATTGTGAAGCTTGTTTGTTAAGCATAATAGTTGGAAACAGGCAAACGCCCAGGTTTCATCGCCGCGGATGCTTTTAGATTCAATTTCACGGTGTAGCTCACCCCTGCACTTTTGGTACAGTTTTTCTGCAACGCTGGAGTACTTGTGTGGCTGACACCAAGCTAAAAAGGTGGCCCCGCAGCACAAAAATACGTCTTTTACGATCGGATGGTGCGTGAGCAATGGGACAAATGTTTCCGTTGTGGTTAACTGCGGCAGTGTTTGCTGGGGGCCCACTGCCGGCAAAAAATAATGGATGCTTGTATAGTACAGTAACAATTCTTGTTGCGTGAGTTGATATTGGGACAATAAACTCGCAGCGGAAGCAGCACTGACTTCTCGTGGAGAAGTTGACCAATGGACAAACTTTCGCATCAACTCAGCGTAAAACTTTTCAGACAGCTCTTCGTCGAGCCCATATGCATTGTAATCTTCATCGTGAGTAGTATTTGTGGCGTCTGCTGCAGACAAATTGCTGGGGGTTGGTCCGCGTAAAGTAGCGGATCGTGAGGTGATGGTGTTGGCATCTACATTTGCGTTTCTCTCCCATAAAAGTGCCAACGATGGGGAATCGGGCCCAGGTTGTGGTGTGTTTAACAACGCGAGCCACTCTTCATTGGTGGCCGAATGATTGGATTCTCGTAGGGCACCGTTGACAGGAGGCGCAGCGCTAGTCCAAGTGGGCTGCGAGCTCACGGGTAAAATGGGAGGGTTGCTTGAATCCTCATATTGAGGCATACCTGTCTGTTCATTGTCCCGATAAGAGTTGGTCGTTGCAAATGCACTACTCGACAGCACCATCTTAGGCTCGCCGCAGTCCGAGGCGTATTCTACGTAATACCGTATCCCAGAGTCCGAAATGAAGAATAAGTCAGACGAGCCCCCTTCAAAAGCATCGCCAGAAATGTCCTCTGAGAGATCTATGTCGCGCTTCATCTTTTCCCGCATTTCTTTAGTGAGTTGGCCAACACCTTTGCTGGGCCAAATGCATTTTAGCTGATGTCTTACGCAGGGCCCACATTTTGGGGTCGCCTCATCACATTTCTTGCGCTTCAAACGGCAAGTGTAGCAGCCAGCTTTTGATCTATTGCGCCTGCCCCTGGCGCTTTGTCGCGATGGTTTCTCAAGCCAATTGTCGTCCTGTGACAGCTTTCGTATATCCAGCGAGATATCCTGGGAATCTAAGCGATCCGTGACCAAGAATTGTGGTTGAACATGGGTTTGTTTTAGGGTTCCCATGGTCTTGGCAAAAAATCATCAAGCGGAGAGAAAGCCCAGTTCTAGTTGTTTTTGAGTCGTTAAAGCTACTGTTCCGAAAAGTTATCGTCTGGGATCTTGGAGCGTTATTCCAGTGTGTTCGAGAGACCAGATCGATGAGTGGACAGCTCTTTAAAGGTGAATGTTAAACTGCTTTGACAACGGCCAATGGTTACCATTTTATCTAGCCGAGCAGCTTGATTAACCACACATCACATGATCTTCATCGATAAGCTGAGATGCAAGAACCGCGCGCGACAACGAGACAAGGTGAAATGAACGGTATTAAAGAGAAATCGGGTAGTAACTATTGGGAGCTTGGTGTCATTGACCAATTTCCTAGGCAATGGTATGAAGTCTTGGCGTGGAGAAACACTTAAAGTTGTCTTAAGATCAGAGTAAAGAGATGAACCTTTCAGCGTTGAATATCAATTGGAGAACCTCTGATGGCTCTAATCCTGACTCAGTGCTTGGAATTGAAGTTCACACTTGGTGTCGGTTTGGATTTGAATTTTTGGAGCCTTCTTTTTTTAATGACTTTTGAGGATTGTAAGCTTTTAAGAACTCAATCTTGGTTTTGACTACATATAAGATCAAGTGAAAGGGCAAAGTGCGGCAAAAGCATTGAACTGCTCGCTCTCTGCAGTGACCCAGTAGTTCTTAATGCAACCATGGCCAGGTCCAATTATTCGAAACTCAGCAAGTTAACGCGGAAGTGGTCGCTTGTTCAGTTTTACAAGGCTAGCCACAAAGATGGCGAAGAGGTAAAATAGAACGCATCTGGGAACTTTTGCCCTGCTTGTCTTCTCTATACATCATCTCCTCAGCATAATGAAACTATTGTGGCATGCAAGTCGCCGTTAATAGATTTAAAAGACAAATTCGATTAGTGAGTGTTTGGAGGCCATGCACGTCACCACTTGAATACTTATAACAAACAAGGCAGAAGCGTCCCCCCGCATCTCAATACCATGTCCGCACCTTTGCTGTGCTACGCACCTGTGTTTCATTCGCGAACTGATTTTACAGAAACTAGTGGTATCATTTTGTACCACACTGTCGTCGCCTCAAAATCACGTGAAGTCAGATGACTATCACATGACACAGTGACTCGTACATAAAGATATATCACGAGACTAACACGTGGTAACATCATGCTTCAATCGTTTTCTGTTTGGCCGATATCCACTTTTTTTGTTTACACTTATTGAGCACAGACACATCCACATCGAGAATACAAACCTGTAGTTTTGACCTCCGTCGAAGTTCATTAGTGACTGTTGAAAGAACACAGGCGTGCTCCCTCCCTACCTTACGCCCGAAGCTTCCCTGGAAACGTTTTCTCTCAATTGCAGCGGGTAGCACTCGATATTCGATTGCGTGATGCCTGGTTTGCCGTTTACAGACGAGAATGCCATTCCGCATGATAATGCCTACCGCAAAGACGATGGTGCTTATGACCCGGTTCAGATAGCTACCGGCTTGCAGTCTTCTTTCAAGGGCCTGCCGCTTGGCAGAAGAGTTGCCCTGGGCGATGTTACTTCCCAAACAAACATCCCAACCCACAACAAAGCACAAACTGGCCTATACTCGCGCCAACTGAATATTAGGGACTCGCCGGATCGAGCCTCTAGCTCGCAACCCACGCATCCGCAGGTTGCAAAACAAGCTCCACAAAACGCAATTGGTGACATACTGGATGATATTACAGAAGACAGGATGGAGGACTACAACGAGAGCCATGGTGCGGCTATCCCAGACGGGAAAATACATGGTGATGCCGACGATAAAGGCGAGAAGGATACAGCTACAGCCCTGGCAGCTGCGGGAGCAGAAGCTGAAATCGATATCGACGAAAATTATAACGAAGTCGAAGGCAGCGAGACGTCTTCCATATCGTCGGATAGTGAGCCTATTGTCCTGGTGCACACAGAGGAATCCCGCCGTGCCATCTTGCTCGCGCATCAACAATTGCATTCAGACGCCATCGACCCTCTTGATGAGGACACTTATGATCTAGTAATGGTGGTGGAGTATGCGCATGAGATTTTCCATTATCTCCACGAAATCGAGAAAAAATTTCAAGCACATCCTCGCTATATGCAATTTCAACCTGAGCTCAAATGGTCGTACCGTTCTACCCTCATCGACTGGATAGTGCAGGTGCACGCTCGGTTCCAATTATTACCAGAGACACTTTATTTGACTGTGAACATTATCGACCGTTTCCTATCGCGCAAAACGGTTACTCTGAATAGGTTTCAGCTGGTTGGGGCAGCGGCCCTATTCTTGGCTGCAAAGTTCGAGGAAATTAACTGTCCGTCCCTCAAAGAGATTCTTTACATGCTGGATAATTCGTATTCAAGGGACGAGCTCCTCAAAGCCGAGAGATACATGATAAATACTTTGGAGTTCGAACTAGGCTGGCCGGGTCCCATGTCCTTTCTTCGCCGAGTGAGCAAAGCAGACGATTATGAGTACGACATACGAACACTTGCTAAATACTTACTGGAGTCAACTATTATGGATTCTCGTTTGGTATCGGCTCAGCCAAGCTGGTTGGCTTCCGGGGCGTATTATCTCAGCCGTGTGATACTCGGATTCAACGACTGGTCTCAGCAGCACATTTATTATTCCAAATATACTGCGGAACAGTTGTTTCCTCTGGCCACAATTATATTGGAAAACTGCCGACATGCGCCTAGACGTCATCAAGCGATTTATGAAAAGTATTCAGAGCGTCGTCACCGTCGCTCTTCCCAGGTCGTGGCTCGTTGGATTGCCATGGCCGAACAACAGGTTACATAAAGGGCTAAGATATGAACAAATTTTTAAACTCAATAAGCAACAAATGCGGCGTGTCCGTATAAGATTTGCGTATGGTGGGAGTCTTTTCCCTTCAATACGAGAGATGTTTACGGGATATTGGATCAAATAATAATGTAATAATTATACATGAAAAACACTCGGAAAAACCTACATCATTTAGACATTTAACTATTCTTGTCTCGATCATGCTATGCCATACGTCTACTCTTTGAACCTGACAGATCTTGTCAAATTCTTCTTGATACCAGTCTTTTCACCTTCATACGAGCCAGTTTGGCCGCCAGAGTAAACAGCGCGAATAGACTTGAGCTTCTTTTGGGCTTTATCGAACTTCTTTCTCTTCTTGACACGCGAATTGCGGTTGTCCTTCCTGCGATGTGGTGTAAGACCCTTGTTTTTCATTATTTGATAATTAACGGCGCGTTTGGTATTGTCATCATCTCCCCCGGCCAATTCAGCCAATTTGCCGCTTCTGTTTGCCAAGACAGCATCGCGATGTGCTTGTTGACGTGCCTTCTTTTTATCAAATCCACCTTGTTGGACGGCAGCATAGTAATCACTCGAAGATTCGTTGTTGATTGCTTGTGCTGTTTTTTCATCATCGGAATCGTACTCTTTAGAGTCTAATCTAGTACCATCTGGAGCCGCTTGACCGCGCTTGCGAGCTTCTTCCAACAACCTCTGCTGTCTCTCGAACAGTCTTTCTTTGTAAGGAATATCGTCATCACCAGTGTATCTATCCAGCTTCTTTTTCTCTTGCTGATCAACCTTGGAAGTATAGAATCGCAGCGTCTTCTTACGAGCTTTTTTCTCTTGTGCATCAACATCTGCGACATCTGTCTCGACAAAATCGTCCACTTCTGCGCTTGGCAGAGCTTTGGCATTGCTGGGTTTATTGATACGAGGTTTGCTGACATCGAAATCAAAAGCAGAGTCTTGTTCCTCACCATCATCAGATTCGTGGACACTGGGCTCGGAAGAATTGTCCTTGTCGTGGGTTTGCAAGAGCTCTTCGTCCAACGTTTCTAGATCTGACGCAGCGTCGTCTTCAGATTCTTGTAACTGCTCGTCTTCGCTGTCCTGGTCGTCCACCTGCGAGTGTTGAATTTCCATACTTTCGTCTGGTAGTTCTTGCGCTTGCCTCCAAATTTCCTTACACATGAGAATAGATTCCATGATTGGGTGATCCTTCATACCTTTGAACTCGTCATTCACTTGAAGCTCCTGTAACAGCAACGCAAAATAAGAGGTGATTGTTCCCAAATAGGACGATAAAGCCGAAACCTTAAGGCTTATGCAAACATTCGTCTGTGCTTGAGCCTTAAGTTCGTCAAGACGTGGGGCCAGCTGCGCCACTTCTTTTGATAAAGGAAAAAACTCCGGACACCATGTCTTCAGGAGTCTTTCTTTCGCCTCTGGTGCCATGGTGAAAATGTCGCTGGCCTTTGTCGTGATAGCTTCTTGGTTTTTTAGAGTTGAAGAGTCTTGAAATTGACCCAGTGCGTATTTTTTGGCACTTTGTGCCCAGTCTTGGTCTACTTCTTCGTCCAAATAGTCATTCATATCGAGGTCTTCCAAATGCTTGCGTTGTTGCCGCAAAGCCTCACGCTCAATCTCCTTTGCGGTCTCGTCGTCGTCGAGATCATCGGCACCATAATATTCACCCTTGGTAGATCCCCAAGCAGTATCGTTATCCAACATGGCATCCCCGTCCTCTTCTTCTGCACCATGCGTATCCATTTTACGCCCAAAAACCTGTCTGTAGGCTGCCTCGCCATCCAATTCTTCGTCTTCCTCATCCCGGTCTTCCCCGCCCTCCTCGCTGTCTCCACTGTCCGATGACTCAACTCCCAGCACTTGTTCTTCGTCCTCATCATCCATAAGTCCCTCATCGTCACCTTCGTCTAGTTGCGAGCTTAGTCCTGCACGGTCAAGTAGTACCTTCTCCCGCTTAGCAGCGAAATCGTCCACTTCGTTCAAACCATACGGCTGTTCGTCGTTTCTCGCGCTAGTTCTTGCTCTATTTCCACCCTTGCGAGCCATGAGTAGCCTTTAACGTTCTTTGAAAAATTGGATAACAACTAGAAACTACTTCCAACCTTTCAAATGTGCTTTGATACTGAGTTTAAGTCTCTTAAATCTGGAGATGAGCTATGCGATGAGCTTCCATATAATAAAATTTTCCAGTGAAAAATTACCCATATAATTGATTTAGAGATGAGAAAGCCAAGAAAGATCAACAGCAGTGCTTAGCTAAAATACATAATACAAGCCCCATGAGTGGAACAGGACGGCTACAAGGACTTGGGCAAGGGTCTGGAAAGCCAAGTTTAAAGTTTAAGCCAAAAGCTCTGGCCAGAAGGTCTAAGGAAGAGCGAGAAAAAGCCATTCCTAAACCTTCCTCCGAAGAGCTAAATAATGGTCAAAACTCGCGCAAAAAATACAGCAAGAAGGACTTTGGAAAGCAGCAAAAACGCGTGCCGAAGTACTTGCTCAACACTCGAGTGGTTGGAGCCGGTTTCGGTGCTGAGAACTTTTCAGGTGGAGGAGCCGATGCCAGAACCGGCTTTATCAAAAGCGAAGGGTCGCCGATGGGGATGGATTTGCTACAACGTGGTCTTCAGCAGGTCAACAGTGGTGGAAAAGGTGCGGTAGAAGATGGCGACTCTGAAGAGGAAGGAACCACGACCAGAATCAACATGGGACGGGAGTACCGTGCTAATGAGCTGTATGCATCGGAGGAAGAAGAGAACCCACAAGAAGATGACGAACTAGACGAAGAAACACTGAGGTCGAAGAGACTTGCTCATTTTTTCCCTGTCAGGGCCGTCAGAGTCCGCCATGAGGACATCGACGACATGCAGAAAGAGTTGAAAGAGACCATGTCAGAGACCAGCACACGAGGACCGACTCCAGGAGTTGCGCCTGTAAAGAGCGAGCACCAGGTGGAAGATGATGACAAACTATTATCCCCAGAGATGGGCTTGCAACAAGGGCAAGGCACCGAGCTTCACAATAAGCTTCACAACCTGCATCTCGAGAGTGCGAACGAGTCGCCAGAGTCTCACGAGGAGTCGAAAAGACTTCAGCAGGACCATGCTCATCTTCACAAAAAGCTTTTGAGGATCAACAATCAACCAGGCAAATTCATGTTTTTCCAACTTCCAGCTGCACTGCCTGATTTCGAAGTGCCCGAGGCTCCACGAGATGCAATGGAGGTCGAACCTGAAACTTTAGAGGAACCTGCTGAGCCTGCTGATTCCGCTGACAAGACTGAAGCTAAGAAAAGTGAGGAGAAGTCTAAATCCTCCGAAAACGTGACTTCCTCCAATCCTCCCAAACAAAACGGCAGTAAAAAGGCAGATACCACAGAACCTACAAAGCTTCTTACTGGAAACATTGGCTCTTTACGGGTTCACAAATCGGGCAAGTTGTCTGTCAAGATTGGCAATGTTGTAATGAACATTAACAGGGGTGCTGAAAATACATTTCTGCAAGAAGTCATTGCACTGGACGAACGCGAGGACGAGCGAACAGTTGAACTCTTGGGCCAGATAGCCGGGAAAGCGGTCGTGACGCCAATGTTTTGAGCCAGCTCAAAGGAACACACGTAAAAAAATCAACAAAGATCCAACCGTATAGGGTACTTCCTAAGGTTTTGTGTCCATATATTGCATTCATGTACATTAATAAAAACAGCTGACAGGGCCTATAGACTCAGGCCGTTAGCATCTATTCTATACAGTGCCATATATCGTTGGCAACTTCACAGCTTTCACGATCATACAATACGGCACTGTCGTCAAATATCAACAGTATAAAGACAGTATAACTGAAAGCCTTCGAGATCACAAGTCGCACGTAAATGCCATACAATGCCTGCTAGCTAGTTCGTGGGAAGGCTTTCTGATATTGACGGGCGCCCTTAATTTGTTCTGTAACAACCTGGTCAGGTTGTCCACGAGCAAGAAATCCGGCCACACAATTCTTAGAGTTACAGAAGCCCAGGGACTAAATCATAACGGAAAAATAGCAACGAGCTGGTCAAGCTAAGTAAGAATAGTTCAATCGGTGACTTTAGGAAATGTTAGAAATGTACCTCTTTACGAAAGCCTTGAAATTCCAAGTAATATAGACCGACAGATTGTCATCTATCATATTAAAAATAGGGTACAAACACCTAAATCAAAATAGTATCTTACATGTCCCATCTCAGCATCGATGGATAGTTCAGGCTCAAAATACAATGGTGGAGAGCGTAACACGTTTTTGTCGCGAGTTTTTGGACCACATTCGACGGTTGGAAATTCAATGGGCAACACTGAAATGACACAAATATCACAGGTAAGTGAGCGCTCATCGCTACACAATGACGATTTGAGAATTATAGAGTCAGACCAGGGAAGCTCTTCAGATGAGGATGTTGATTCCGAGCACTACCATGGACGCATACGGCCGTTCGATGGCATCGAAAGCGTAGTTTTAGATCCGGATTCGGACCTTGAAGAATCTAGCAATCACAGCAGCTCGATAGCGTCGATACCGAAAGTCGGACAAGGTGGTGAGAGTGATGATAGCGAATTCCAGGAGTCTTCCGTGGCAGGAGGAGAGGGCAATGTTGATGATTCCAGTCAACACAAGAACGGCCCCAACAGCCCGCCTTTGTCCAATCAATATTTACAAACCAAGAAGCTCGGGGGCGAGCCTAGAAACTCAAATCAACGCTCTCCAGAAATTCATGGGAGCAGTTCAAATGATCGCATGTTCTCTAAGGCTTTTCCTAATGGCAGAAGGACATTCTTGAAGTTCAATGAGAACAGAGCAGCAGATCAGGAGGAAAGTTTTTTATTCCGCAAGGGATCAGTGTGGGATGAGGAGAGCCAGGGGCGCCATAAGGGGCAGCCAAAAGCTCCCGGGCTCTTTCATAACTTTGCGAACATTAAGCAGACGCCAAAAAATCGGTTAAGCACTTTGAGCCCTCGTGAAAGAGCGCTGTGGAAGTGGGCAAACGTGGAGAATCTGGATATTTTTCTGCAAGAAGTTTACGACTACTACTTGGGCAATGGCTTTTACTGCATTTGCATTGAAAAAGCTCTAAATATTGCGACGCTTCTGTTTGTCGTCTTCATATCCACCTATCTGGGGTGTTGCATAGACTTCTCGAAACTGCCTACTAGTCACAAACTATCAGAAGTCCAGATTGACAAATGTTATAGTACCCAGATAACAGGTACGACAAAAGCGCTGCTTTGGGGCTTCTACATATTCGTTTCGCTGAAGTTGGTTCAGTTATACTTCGATATCAAAGCTTTAAGGGACATTCACCAGTTTTACACTTATTTACTTGGTATCTCAGACAAAGAATTGCAGACAATTGCATGGCAAAATGTGATTAGGCAAATCATGCTTTTAAAAGATCAAAATGCTGTAACTGCTAACGTGGTTGAGGTGAAGGCAAAGAATAGGATAGATGCTCATGATGTTGCTAATCGAATAATGAGAAAAGAGAACTATCTTATTGCTTTATTTAACAACGATGTTTTGGATCTCTCACTTCCCATTCCATTGTACAGAACTAGTACGTTAACGAAAACTTTAGAGTGGAACTTGAACCTGTGTATTATAGGGTTTGCTTTCAACGAATCAGGATACCTCAAACAAAGTTTTCTGAAAACATCCCAAAGAAGCTACTTGGAGGAAGAATTGCGCAAGAGGTTCATGCTGGCAGGCTTTCTAAATATCATTCTCTCTCCATTTCTGGTTGCATACTTTGTGTTACTGTACTTCTTCCGCTATTTTAATGAATACAAGACAAGTCCAAGTGCCATAAGCTCCCGGCAATATACTCCAATAGCCGAATGGAAGTTCAGAGAGTACAACGAACTTTATCATCTCTTTCAGAAGCGGTTGGGATTGAGTGTCGAAGCTGCTAATCAATATATCGACCAATTCCCAAAGGAAAAAACTAATTTGATAATGAAGTTTGTGGCATTTATTTCAGGATCCTTTGTTGCGGTTTTGGGGCTTTTGGCAATCTTTGACCCGGAGAATTTCTTGAATTTCGAGTTAACAAGTGAAAGGTCAGTACTATTTTACATTAGTATTTTCGGAACAATCTGGGCGGTTTGCCGTAATTCAGTTTCCGGGGAATACAAAGTGTTTGATCCCGAGGCTACATTAAAAGAAGTGGTCGAGTGTTTGCACTTCGATCCAAAAGACTGGAGGGACAGGTATCACACCGAGGAAGTCAAAAATGAATTTTGCAAACTATTCAATTTGAGGATAATATTGCTTTTTAGGGAGCTGGCGAGCCTCATTATGACGCCCTTCATTTTATGGTTTTCATTACCTAGATCATCAGGGAAGATCATCGATTTCATGAGAGACGTTTCGGTGTATGTCGATGGATTGGGATACGTTTGCAAATTTGCTACATTTGACATCCCTAACGATGCACACGATCAATTACCTAAGCGTCGGGTTTCCCACCGTGCAACTCGAGTCGAACAAGACGAAGACGTCTCTGGAACCTCAAATATCGAAGAAACTTCAGAATCGGACAGCGAAATGAGCGATAAAAGTGTTGACAAGATGGTACGGTCATACATGTATTTTCTGGATAGCTACCAGAATAACGACAATGCTGTTGGGAAACACCAGCTGCCAAAAAACTATCATGCGGGTAAGGTTGCCGGACAGTCAACGTGGCTTAACACAAACTATTCATGGAAAAGGCAGTTTCAGCCGGGTCAACGGCCAGAGAATGTACGGTTAGGGTTTGGTGATGACGCTCACCCCGTATCTATGGAGCAAAACACATCAACGAACGATCAACTGAAATCTCGTTCAAAGGGTCAGCGATCCCAGCGCAAAAAACTCAGGCACAATATTGATAGCACACTAGGTGAATCGTTTATAAATTCAATTCCCGTTGGTGACTACGCCGCTTTTGAGGGTGCCGATGAAACGACTGGGAAGAGTGGCGTGTTGGGTTTACTAAATCAGTATTACAAAAAGTCGGATGTAGGTAGATAATTTACATGTTTAGCGCAACCTTCGAAAACCGTGCTGTTTTGTCTAATGCATATAGATCAATTCAATAATTCTATTTCTTGCTACTGCGCAACCTCTTTTCCCTCTCGTACTTACTCTTTTCAGCACCCTCCTCAGTACTGATTTGATTGACAATCCGTGCCATCTTGGCGTGGTAGTCAGAATAATCATTCTTCTTCTGGTCGATTTGTTGTCTAGCTTCAAACCTGGTATCTTTCCTGATTTCCTTCATGGTGAATTTACGGTCTTTCTTTAATTGAGCCTTCATCTTGTTTAGCTCATTTCTTGTTCTGTCTGGATCATAGGATTTTTTGTCAGGATTGAAGTTTTCTTCAAACTTTGGTGTGTGAGTTGGTATACTGAGGGGTCGATGGTTTTGCAATGACAGAGGGTAGTGCTTATTAAGCTTATTCAACCTTTCAATTTTATCAAGGATGGCTCTTGGCATTTGAAAGTCTGGATAGATTACAGTGTATTCCATGAGGATCTGACGAAAACTACAAGTTAGCTCTGCAAAACATGTCAACTCCCTCCATACTTTTGAGATTGTTTCATCTAATGAGGATAAGATATTACAAAGCAGAGCGATTTTTTCATCGTCTTCGATGGAACGGTCAGCGCGACAGATTTGACGAAGGTTTAGTTGATAATTTTCCAGAGGGTTTGCTGGTATTTTCGATGGAGCATTCAAATTGCTGGCATCGCGTTTGTAATTTCCTAGGTTTCTCCCGGCCAGTTCGGTCTCACTCAAAGGTAACAGCGTGACCAACGCTCGCTCGAAGAAATAGCCTAATTCTGGCACTATCCTCTTGCTTATTCTCTGGTAAGAAAGAGAGATTCTTGCCAAGATTGCGCAGAAAATAATGTTCTGAAAGCTGTTGAGTTTGATTTGCTCTAAGAATTCGCCCATGAGAACGTTGCATGGGGTAACAACCAGATGATAATGGTCAGAAGTGGAAAAAATGAAACCAACCAGCGTAAAAAACACCAAATCTGCGGCGGAAAGACCATGGGACCTTTGCGCTTTGAACCTTGCTTGCATCTCAATGATTATATCTCTGCATGCTAGAGATAGTGGCTCGTTATACTTTTGAGCCAAAGACTTTAAAACGGCAATCAGGCCATTTTGCATTTCCTTAAACGCTTCGACATCATCACTGGCATAGGACTCTGAAATGGATAGAATGTGCCTCATCAGAACGCCAGTAAAGATTCCTAGCTTTTCTTTATTACCTGCAGCCAAGCGTGGCTGAAAGGACCGCACAATACCCTTGACTAACTGGACGTGATCACCAGCACTGTGGTTTTCCAAAAACGCATTGAGCTCTTCCAGTGTTTGGGGACACGATAAAAGTGATACGGTTTCGGAAATTTTAAACTGATTGTCTTCAGAGTCACTTCCCAGTTCGATATCTTCTTGTTGAGTGGAGTCAGGCGCATACTCATCGAATTCATCTTGAGAGTCTCCTCCCTGCCAAAAGTCATCACCTAGATCTTCGACACCACGATCCTCGTCCTCAAGCATGCCATTCATTCTATCAATCCTTGCTTGTTCGAGCTTAGAGCGTTTTTCATCATTTTCTTTCCTTATTTCCTCTTCGGTCTTAGTACGGTCGGCAGGTTCAGCTCTTCTTTCTAGGCCCAACTCCCTAACTTTTGTATCATATTGCTTGTCGGAATCATCAGCGACTTTGACTTCAGCTTGAGCCTTACGCTTAGGAAGCGAATTCAATTCAGACATGATGTCGTCAAACTCTTCATCGACATCCTGGATATCGTCTTGCAGCTTCTCCTGCGCCTTTTGCCGTTCTTGTTTATAGAATTTCGATTTGGCAATAACTTCCTTCATGACCTCGGCTTTGGTTTTCTTACGCTTAGGATCTTGAAGTTCGGAGCTCTCTCCAGCCGCCATACTCTCTTGGAGACCCAGGTCGCCATCTTCAAATTCATCCTCTAAAGCGAGAGACTTTCCGTAATGCGTCAAATTACCTCCGTATAGGTCACCCGAGTTACCTCCAAACGCATCATCTTCATCCTGATCATCGTCTAGATTGAAGATCGAAGTCTTTGAAGAAGATTGAGCTTGTCGTTCGCGTGTGAAACGTTCCAACATTTTCTCTTCCTGGGTCATGTTTTTGTCTCTTTCACCAAATCTGCGGTCAAATACACCACCAAGCTTATTTTTACGGCTCTGGCGTGCCTCATGTGCTTGCAACCGTTGCTGCTCGCCGATTTGCTTGGAGATACCCGGCTTGCCTACTGTTTTTTGAGCGTGTTTCTGCGAGCCCTGCGGAGCTCGCTTGTCGCGGTTGACCTTCATGTCAAATGGATTGAACTGCTCGCGGATTTTGGCAATTTGCTGGGCCCGCTCATCTCTGTCATACTCCCTCGCTTGTCTCTTGTTACCTTTTGTGGAGCCCTTGACGTTGGCTTGACCTGTGAAGCCTTGTTCTTTTAAGGTCCTTTTCAAGTTCTTCAACTGCGAACCTGCCATGGCAAACACAAGCTGATCTTAGGAAGCAGTTATAACGAAGAGGAATTGTCTCGATGTTGTCAAAAACCCTGCTTGCAGTGATACAAGCTCATCTCATCGCATCGCCATCTTCGGACGTGCTGATTGCATGTCATGAAATTTTTCAGTCTCACACCGTTAAACATGATATTGAAACCACCTTCGCGAATCTCAACCAGCTGAAGCATACCAGTTTGCCAAGGCCCAAGGATATAGCACTTTTGAGGCATTCGCAAGTCTCAGCACAAGGTTAGCGTGGAACTGCATTTTTGACAGTTTCGAGCTCGAAAATTCACGGCTTGTTTCGCCGACGGCGGCTATTTCCATTCACTCGTACGAACCCACCGACTAGGCTTCCAGAAGCTTACGACGAAGATAGCGAGTTGCACAGACTATTTTCTCATCGTGTTTTTGACGACTGGGACCATGCACTGAGAATTGCAGGAAGTCGCGAACACAAAAACCCCTGCAATTAATTGACCTCTTGAAACACGCTTACACGATTGATTTGCCGGACTCGGCTAACAGGCACACAAAGCGATCGCCATAGGCTATCTGAAAAGGTGACCAAGCAACTGCCTCCAGGAGTCGAACTACGAAGCTGTGCTTAAGTGCTGTTCAAACTGCCTAAAGTACTGAAAAGTGATTAATGAGTTTTTGATCAATTTCGTCTGCTGTGACTCAACGAAGCAAGTGGCAAAGGTTAGGTTAACGGTAACTTGAGAAGCAGTCATGTTAAAACGTACTATAAACAGAGCTATTTAGACCACATCAGACTAATTGAAAAGCCCAATCATGTCTAGAGACGCTCCTATGAAGGCTGACAAGGACTACACGTCCATTTTACAGGAAGAACTTCCCAAGATCGAAGTTTTGGCGAAAAACGATGTACAGGGTGCTTTGGACCAATTGCTGGTCCTGGAGAAGAAAGTTCGGCAGTCGTCGGATCTGGAATCATCGAAGAAGGTTCTAAAAGAAGTAGTCGATTTGCTTGCATCCAGAAACCAGTGGGAATCGCTAAATGAACAACTAGCACTGCTTGCAAAGAAGCATGGTCAACTCAAGTTGTCTGTGCAATTTATGATACAACAGATCATGGAGAAATTGGAAGGGGTGACAGACTTGGACACAAAAATTGAAATTATTGAGGCAATCAGAACCGTTACTGAGAACAAAATCTTTGTTGAAGTGGAAAGAGCCCGCGTTACGAGGATTCTGACGCAGATTCGTAGGGAAGAAGGCAAAATCGATGAGGCAACAGACCTCTTGTGCTCTTTGCAGGTCGAAACGTTTGGATCGATGGAGATGCACGAGAAGATCGAATTCATTCTAGAACAAATGGAACTCAGCATTGTCAGAGGGGACTTTTCACAGGCCACCATTCTTTCCAGAAAGATCCTGAGAAGAACGCTCAAGAACCCCAAGTATGAGACCTTGAAGCTGGAATACTTCAGTCTTTTGATAAAAATAGGGCTCAACAAGAGCGACTATTTGCAAGTTGCCCAGTACTATCAGGAAATTTATAACACTGAGTCAATCCGTGCCGAGGAGTCCAAATGGCGCTATGCTTTGACGCATGTGGTGATGTTTCTAGTTCTAACGCCTTACGACAATTTGCAAAGTGACTTGATTCACAAGATACAATTGGATAATAACCTGAAAAAGCTAGAAAAGCCCGAGTCTTTGGTTAAATTGTTCACCACGCCAGAATTGATGCGCTGGCCCATTGTAAAGGACACTTACGAGAATTTTTTGAATGCGGACGATGTCGCTTTCGGTTCCAGGCAGAATCATTGGGACGATCTTCGCAAAAGAGTAATTGAACATAATCTGAGGGTCGTTTCTAAATATTACACTCGCATTACTTTATCGCGGTTGAATAAATTATTGGACCTCACTGAAGCTGAGACGGAAAGATTTATCAGTGATTTAGTTAATCAAGGTGTCATATACGCGAAGATCAACAGGCCCGCCAAGATTGTTAATTTTGGTAAACCCAAAACTTCAAGCTCGCTTCTCAATGAATGGTCTTCCAACGTTGACCAATTGCTCGAACAGATCGAAACCATTGGTCATCTCATAACCAAAGAGGAAATTTTGCATGGTTTGAAAGCCAAATAAGCGTTTGATTAAATAAGTTGTGCAATGACGTAGTAGTACTGACGAACAAGGTTGGATATACACGGAGAAACAGGGATGGTAATTTGACAGCTTACGAGACTATTCGTGCTGTTGGTTGCGTTTCTGTCTGGCACTTTCGACCAAGCTGTCCCAGCGCTCTTTGAGTTTATTGATCTGCATGGTCAACTGTTTGTTTTCCTTGCATAACTGCTCAATTTTGGCCGTATAGTCTTTGGATTTTTGCTGTTCTTTCAAAGCTAATTCTTGCAACAATGATGTGACCTCTTTTGAGATGCTTCTTTCGATATCGAAGGACGAAATCCCGGGTTTTAATTCCGTTTTCGTCTTTACCAAATTCAAGATATTGGTATGAAAACTGTGGAGACCGTTGTAAAGCACTGGTTCGTTGATTACACTTCTGGCATCATCAGAGTTTACAATGTTTCTGCGTAAGTCTAGTCGCTCCACTTCCGCAATCTTGTTCTGAATCTCTTTCCGGACCATTCCGAGAGCCAAATGCACGTCCTCTAATTGCCCTACCGCGTGGTTCGAATCCAAGTCTTCGATGGCCCGCAAGCTCTGTTTGTAAATCTTAATGGACTCTTTGTAGTTTTCCCGCCTCAAACTCAACTCTGCACTTCCAATTAGCGAGTAGATCTGAAGGCATACTGTTAGTTTAACATTCAGTGTTCAAAAGTAAGATAAATAGTACCTGATATAATCCGTACCTGTTCTAAATCGACCATTTCGATAAGCTCACCTCGAAATTCTTTGATCCATCACAGTCCCATCAGACGCAGTCCGCAGGCTTTGTTGTTGGGTGAACGAATTTAAATCATGATGCCTTCTGCGGCCTCTCATATATAAAGTTTCGTAATTATCACTAAATTGAAAGTCCACGTCCAAGCAGATAACGCTCATAATCCAACCCTGGAACACTGTCATTCGTTTGCCTAGATGGCGTCTGTATCGTCACGATCAGATCATGAAGATGAAGAGGCTTTTGAGGGACCTGCTGTTGCTGGGTTTTGGGAAGATATGGAAGACTTGTTAGACGTTTCCGATCTATCCGGTGAGGCCGCAGTTAACACGGCTATAGTCAAATATATCAAGACAGCTACAGACCATTACCAGGAGTATGTGAAGACTGATCAAGGAATGTATCGTCTAGGCCTAACTTTTACTGAGTCCCTGTTCTTCCGGCAAAACAAGGAATTCTCTTTGAGCAAGCTGCTGTCATTACTTAGCGTGGACCTATTGGATTGTAATTTAAGGTTTATTATCAGCTTCATCATCCTATGCGCTTCCAAGGGTGACCTGTCAGTTCTAGAGCTAATACTAGAATTCCAAGGTTTTACTGTAATATACAACACGCTGTACAACACATTTGCGTACCTTAATCGTTACGGAGAGGACAGAGTTCTCAGAGCAAGCACTACTGGCAGTAGAAGTGATACAGCATCCACTAATACAGAAATTGAATGGGATATTATCAATGGCTTGAAACAAACTTCCACCATACTAATGGATATTCTATTTCAAATATTCAAGTACTGCAAATGTGACATCTCAAATCTCGCAATTGTGGACGACTTTTTTGTGTACTATATGATAAACACCATACAGTCGGAGAGCACTGATGACATTTTCAACAACGCGAAGTTCAAGTTGCTATTGGCGTTGAATGAACAGTATATGATATTCTCATATCAGTATGAACTTGAAAATCGAGTGTACAAATATTTGGCAGACCATCACATATCCAAGAATTTCGTGGAGCTTCTTCTCTTGAAGTTCAATAGGGTGACTAATCGATCTTTACAGATCATGCTGTGCAAAATAGTATATCTGATATTGACTATGGATAGGAATTCCGCAGAAACCTTTTTCTATCAAAACGATTTGCACGTTTTCGTTGATGTTTTGATCAGAGAACTGAAAAATATACCCGATGATGAAGAGCTAATAAGGAACACTTTTCTCCGCGTGTTGTTTCCTCTGCTGAGCAACACCGAGCTGACGAAGACCAAATACCGTAGATCGGATTTGATTAATGTACTGGAATACTTGTCGTCACTCGATCACATCTGCTCAGGTGAGGTGAAGCCGGTGCATAAAACGACGGTCCGGCTCGCACAAAAATGTCTGCGCCAAGTGGGTTGGCTTAAAGCCGACGAAGAGTATGAACCATTAGCTAAAGTTGATAGCAAAGATTCTAGGAGGTCTAGTACAAGTGTGAGTTCAGCTTCTTCAAATCGTGCCCTCGGGATAGAGCGGTGGCCACAACATCTTTATGCTAATTCGTATGCTGCATTATCGGCAGAATCCATAACCAAACGTCATAATCCACCTCCACCTCCGCCAGCGAGAAAAGGTCCGACCTGTAATCAAAGTGGAGGCCAAAAGATAGCACAGTTTAGACCAAGATAGAGTATAGGCGATTATTCAGAGATAGTAGGTTCTGGGCGTAAATAAGAGCAAAACCAAAGCATCTTTCATATGATGTTGTCTCCATCCGCGTCCAAGCCATCAATATCACCGACCATGTTTTCATCCTCAATTAGGACGTCATCTAAGAACGATTCTTGCTCAGCTGCGAAATATTCATCGATACAGGACTGTACAACTTCTCTAGACTCCACGAACTCATCCACTCCATTTTGAAACATTCTCCCGTTTTGATACATGTGTAGGAATGCGCCCCTTTTGAAAAGAACATCAAAGCTGGAGCATGCACCTTGCAACAAAGAATTGACTGAACTTGTATTAGCCAGCATCATCCCACTAACTCTGTCAGAGTCTGGAGTAGCATTATATACAGATTTCTTGCCAACATTGACATGGAGTGCTGTAGGCGACCATGCCGGAAACTTGATGCGTTGCTGTGATTTTAGAATGGCCCTTGTTATATCTGTTTGGTCTACTGGTCCCAAAATAGAGTCATAAATACTCAAATAAGTCGGAGTATCGTTGTTGCGCAGCACCATGCCATTATTTTTATCGAATAAGTCAAGCACAACGTCATACGCAGAGCTTCTCTTGAAGTCTCTAACCTCAGGGATAAAATCAGCAGTGAAAGGTGTAAAACTGGGCACCAGAAAATGCAAATCAGCTGTAGGCACTAGAGTAGAAAAAATGCTTGGCAATGAATTGTACATATAGCTGGGGAACCTGAGACTGTTAGTCACGGACGACAACACACTTGAAATGAGCTGATTGGTTTGCTCATAACTAGTATTACGATCTCTGAAGACCTTCGTTGCCAGGTTGAGCAAAGCATCATTGTCGAAAACAACTGAAGCATCGCTATTCTCGATTAATCGTCTCAGAGTTAAAATAGTGTTGTAAGGCTGAATGACTACTTCTGATTCACTACTGGGGAATACTGAGTACGTTGTCACAATTTTTTTATGATATCTGTCAGAAAGAGCTTCGAGAAAGTTTGATCCTAACCCAGAACCGGTACCTCCCGCGACAGAGTGCAGTAGCTGAAACCCCTCAAAGTTCTCCGTAGCATCCATTTCCTTGTCAATCATATTTATAAATTCCTCTTGATTTTCCAGCCCGTAGTCATAGCCTCTGGACCATGTATTTCCAGCACCAAGCTCGTCTCTAGATACCCATATATTTCTTTCATTGAATAGACCGGGAAACGCGTTCTGGACACTTGCTATGGCACTGGGCTCCAAGTCAAACATTAAAGCCCTAGGAGTGAACCTGCTGTGGTCATTCTGACGAAAAAAAATTGTAGGGTCATCCTCCCTTACATCTTGGCTATCGTTGGCTTGTTGAACTGTGCTTTGACCGTCTTTATCGATTCCATGTTCTCTGGTTAATTGAGACCAAAAATGCTTCCCTACTTGGTTGCCACATTGTCCAATCTGAAGAGTAATAATTTCTCCAGTCATCTTGATAGAATAGCGCGAATCCTTTGTGTGTTATTTTTGGGAATAGGCAGCCCTCCTGGTGCTGCCCCGATGTTGTCTTAATTATGTTTACATCTCAAGCCTAAATTAAGTACAAACTAATTTGATATAGTAGAGTTCGACGCCAAACGATAAATTGGAAAACTTACAGCTAATGAGGGCTGTTGGGTTTATTTTATTCAAATTCTATTTAACAGTAGAAGAGAAATGGGTATTTAAACTTTTTGGTTTGGCTGCTTTCCACGTCGTTGCCGCAGCTCAAATAATGATACTTTGAACTTCGAATTCAAAGTAAAATTCTAAGGCCCGAAGCTGGAGCACCAATCTTGGACAAACCTGCAATAGTGTCAGTTCTACCTTTTTGCGATACGTGATACTTGGTTCCAGTCAAGGGATCGGTTACCGCAGGAGTGTCTTTGTAAATTGGCGTGAACGTCGAGGCACAAATAGTAAATTCCGCATAAGGATCGAAATCAACCTCAATAGCATCATGTGCCATTAGGTCAGCCCTGTCTTTTATTTTATGTGCCTGGTCAAAGCGTGGGCCCGTGGTTACGATTTTGAGGAACTCTCCGGCAAAGTAGGAAGCTTGAATAAAATTTTTATGCTTGAATGATTGTGACATAGCGACTTGCAAGGCCGTGCTTCTATGTGGAGGAAGCAGTTTTGCGGTTGTAAAGTAAGACGCTAGCTCCAGGTTTCGTTTCACATCTTCGACTTGTAACGCACGCCTGGCTAGCTCAATAGAGATACCAAGGATGTACTCACGGGCTTTCGTTAAGGTCTTTCGCGCGAGAGCCTCGTCCTCCTCGTTACTCACCGCTAAGAGTGTAATTGTGTATATAACGTCACGGAAAACCTCAATGGCAAGTTCGAGCTTGTTTGCCTTGAACAATTTGAAACCTTCGTTCATCTTGCCTGTCACCACATCGATGCCAGCAACGAATGGTAAAAGTTTTCCACGCTCTTCCTCGTCAGCACTCGCACGAATTAACCCGATAATGCTAGGCAGTTCGATTGGGGTGGCCGCCATGTAAGTTCTGCAACTTTCGAAAATTTCATGGAAACGAGGTCTCAAAGGTTCGAAGTTAACCACACCGGCTTGTTTGTTCAATGCTTGAGCGGCAGCTTCGAAAGCGCCACAAGCAATGAGAACGTATGGGAGTTTAGAGTTCTTAGACCACTGGGTGAGTTCGCTCTCCTCCGTCCCAGATTTAGCGTTAACCCCCTCACCGGGTACAGATTCTGGCTCTACGAATTCTTCTTCTTCCAAGCCCAAGTCTTCCTCGCCCATGTCCCAGCCACCATCATCAACGACTTGTTCTTCATCCGAAAATGTAGCTTCTTCTTCGGCCATTGAGGCTGAACCCACATCTAATTCCCGATCTTGGGACTTTTCGTCCACACTCAAGTTTTCAATTCCGCCGGCCAAAGCCTTTTCGAAGAAAGAGGGTTCTGCAGCTTCCAACGGCCATTGCAAGATCGGATCTGCAATCATCGGGGCTTTATAATGCGCTGAAGAGGAAATGTAATCGGGAAGGGCGATATCTTGTTCATCAATTCCAGCCTTCTCTAAAATTTGAGAAGCCGCTATGTCATCCTTATTGGACTTAGCAATTGCATAGGCTAGTGGCAAAGATCCTGCATCAGCAAAGACCGCTCGTCTCTTGTCAGCAGAGTTACTGTAAAAAGTGTTGAGAATCAAGCTTGAAAGATCACCTCTATGTTCGGCAATTGCTTCCATTTTAGACAGCTTCGACAGATCACCAGTGACCAAGTAAAGAAATGAGAGTTTGTCGAAGCTCTTTTGTGTTTGGTACACAACCTCTACCAGTTGGAAATTACCTTGTTGTAAAGCAGCTTTACCTAGCTGTTCCCAGGCGGCATCAGTATCAAGTTTTTGAGCCTCTTCCAAAGCAACAGTGAGGTCTCCGTGCTCGAGGGCAAGATCAAATCTCGTTTGTGGCTCCTGAACAAATTGAAGAGCAATGTCCGGGAATCCTGCCTTCTGTAAATAAGATATAATATTTTGTCCAACCAAATTAGAGTTCTGAATGAGACGCAATACTTCAGGGAAATTACGATTGACCAATGCCTTCTTGAATCTGTACTCGGTGGGATCAATAGTTACAATTTCTATCTCTCCTTCGCGATTAAGAGCATAAACAAATTTTCCCTGGACTTTGTTGATGTAAAGAGTCTTTTCCAGAGTTTTGATAATCCCATTGTCTCCATTGAGAAGAGTGTACTTGATGTGGTTTAATGTCGAGTAAATCAACACTCCACTCTCGTCCCACGATGCGCTTTTGACCCGAATTGTTTCATGCATTGAAGTGATGATTTCAAGGTTCTTCGTAACGATTGTGATGGTGTGCTTACTCATAAGAGCAATGTATTGACCGTCCACGGACCAGGTTACGTACTTCACATTTTTGAGAGAGACATCTGCCAGTGTCTTGCCCTGTTGAACATCAAATAGGACAACTGACTTCGATTTCAAAATCAGCACTGATCCAGGCCCACCATATACGACGTTCCTTACAGAACCTTCACCTGTAATCTTGATAGACTTCGTGACCTTGTTGTCCAAGCCGCGCACTTCAAGCGCCGAGCTAGAACTGTTGTAAACCACAAACCTGTTACGAGCGACGAACGTGGCAAAAGAACCAGAGTCCTCTAGAATATTGGTGGGCTCAATGGCACCTGTAGGCTGTTTAGGTAGAGTGCATAAAGCAAATTTGTCGCTTTGATTGTCTGAGCAGTTGACCAGAATAGAATGTTGGGAGGGGTTATAGGATATACTTCTAAAGGCATTCCAAGTATGGCCAATTTTCTTTAAGGACACGTATGGCAAAGACGCGATTTTCTTATGGTAGTCAAAAGTCTGGACTTGCTTTTCCTTGTTGACAAATAGTAATTGATTTTGATTGAGTACACTACATGGCCGTTCACGATCCAACTTGAATACCATAATACCCGAATCATGAGCGGCGCCAAAAAGGTTGATATTAGGATGAGCTCTAACAAGCCAGAACCGATCGTTTTCTCTCTTGAACTGCTTTACAGGTGTTCTCTTGTCGAGGTCCCAAACACGAATGGTCTTATCTTCGCCCACAGATATAATTAGATTTTGATGAGGGTGAAATATGACACTATCGACATTATTTGTGTGGCCCCTACAAGTATCAACCTCCCATGCCTTTGTAGAGCTCATTCTCCATAGCTTAACCTGGCGATCATCCCCACCTGACACAATCAATGGGAGAGTTGGGTGGAAGCTAGCCCAATTGACCCCTCTGGAGTGACCTTCCAGGATGAATTTCACCACGCAGTCTCCAAAACCTCCCTCGATTAGGTTCTGCTGTGCGGCCATCTGATCTTCCAACGAGTAAGTGCTGGGGGCAGAATGCCTTTTGCGTAGACCAGAGATATCCCAGACTCTGACAGTTTCGTCCAGCGACGCCGAAACCACCAGGTCCTCTGTCGGATGGAAATCAGCACACATAACAAAATGACTGTGTCCCGCTAGGCATGCAATCTCTTTGCGGTTTTGCCAGTTCCAGATACGAATAGTATTGTCGTCGGAGGCTGAAATGATCCATGGTAATTCGCGGTGGAAAAACACCGTTCTTACGTAGTCCAGATGTCCATTGAGTGTGAACAGGCATTTCTTGGTGTCTAGAGACCATACTTTGATAGTGTAGTCATCTCCTGCTGATACAAACAATGGCTGGGTAGGATGAAAATCGATACCTCTTACAGGGCCCTCGTGGTCCTCGAATTTGTGCAGCAACGTACCCATGCGATAATCCCACAGTTGGATGGACGACGAGAATAGTGCCACAAGAGCCCAAGGTCTAGACGGATGGAAAGCCAGCCCTTTTGCCCTAGTGGACTTCGATTCAAACTTTGTCAGCATCTTCATCTTGTCTGAATTGTAACAAGTCTTGTGCCTGGATAAACAAAGATCAGACACTCAATTGGCCCTCTAGAAAGTTGTAGCAACTGTCAGCGACTTTGAATGCTGCCACTTGGTTCAATTTGTCAGAAACAATGCCTCTCAAATGCTCCTTGAAAGCGGGACGATGGTCTGTTGATCCAGTGGTAAAGGGGATTAACATGTAAACTTACTAGTGAGTTTATGATAAAAACTTTTTTAAACACGTAGTTACTAACTTTGTACGGAGCACATACAAAATGACAGCGACAACCGTTGCAAACAAAGCGAACAAGAATGGCAGCTGAAGCTGGCTCCTATGCTAGTAGCTCCACCAGAATCTTTAAAAGCTTCAGAAATAATATAGATTAATTTTCAGCGCTTCTCGATCGGCCCTCTGCAGAAAAAGTTATCACTACATTTGTGTTAGGTAAACAATGTAGAGAAGGAAATATCGATGTGGCTTCAACGACTCCAGTTCTGTCCCTACAATACCCAGCTTAGTAACTTAAAAATCAAGCTTTGCTTCCGTAGCACTATGGCGGAGTTCTCCTGTCGAGTGGCACTAAGTTTTGAGGTATAGGCACTAGTGACAATTTGTGTGACGCTGCTAACCGTGGTATAACTACTGGGTCTGGTGGAATATAGGGTGGATAGTAATGACACAGAAGGTACTGAAGCGCTGTTGGTGTGAAGTTCTTGCTGGGCGAAAGTCATGAGGCTCGTTATGCGGACGCACCCGTCGCATTCAGGGTCGTAGAAATAATAGAAAACATCCTCGCTGGGAAACCTGGATTCAGCTGGTTCCAAATGCTGCACATATGCATTCACATAAGGCGTTATCTTAACACTCTTGACAATCATCTCAAATCGGCCTTTTTCCACAATATCTGCAGAGTTCTTCCAGTCGATCAATCCACCTGCCCACATCACCGTGCCGAGGTCGTTTCCCTCCAGCCCGCCAGGCCATATAGCAAGCTCCAGTCGCATCGGCGTGGATGGATATTTGTATACTCTGTTCACGGGATCGAAGGTTTCGCCTCGGTACAAGGTCCGCACTATGGAACCGTCGATCCACCACTGAATTCGATCCTCATCCCAATCGAGTTCGTACACATGGTACTTTCTATCACTATCAGGATTGATGGGGGTCTTGAGCATACGGGTGTGGATGAGCTCTCCACGATAATAGTAGTTCGATTGGGCGTTGTTCACTTCACCGCCCAAAAACTCATAGTCTATTTCATCTTTCACAGCAGACATTAACACAAAAGCCGTAATGACTCCAACTCCGGGTGCTGTTTTCATTTCTACAGCTACTCTTCCGTACAAGAATGATTTGGTGGACGATAACAGGCTCCCCGTCGTTCCGGGAGGCATTGCCAAAACCAATGCAGGATCGGACTCAATTTCCTTAATCTCTAAATGGCCGCTGTAAGTAAAGTCGTAGTCATCGATATTGATAGTATTGTCTGACGCCTCCGAATAATGAAGCAAGCCGTGTCCACTGAGGGCCATATTTTCAACTACAGAATGATCTTGCAGAGCGACTTTCCCACTTAATTTGGCAAACGACAAAGCCAAGGCCGGGGTCATATCACCCATTCGCAAGTGCGCAGCTTGTACCTCATTTGTATTGTACTGAAACCCCATTATTGGAAACATGGCTGGAATTACAGCGCAACTATTGAAACTGTAGGAGGATCGGGGATCACAACCACCCATGCACAGCGGACCACGTCCACATTGCCCATACTGTGAACAGCAAGGCCAGTTGTCAGGGCAATGATGATTAGTTGAACACAAAATTATAGGATCTGGCTTGTATGATTCCCGAGTGGCATAGATCGTCGTAGCGCCCACTAGAGCTGCTAGTATAAAGTTGAATGCATTCATTGGCAACGGTTTGAATGCCCAAAGTTGTTTGCATGAAGTAGTTCCATAATGTAGATTAGTTCTATACGTAAGACGGGCCTTTAACCTGCTTTTGACATATCGACGTCACAAAAACTTAGGAGGTATACAAAAACGTTCCAGTAGCGTTAGCAGACTCAGACAAATCATTGAACTTTAAAAACAGTTTCAATTGTCACACAGTTGGAGGTACGCCTGAGTTACTCCGGTAAATTACTCTACGACCTTGGCAATATCCATGATCTCTTCATCAAAGCGGACAATGCCCTTGCTCTCTTTAATCTTACCCTGTAAAATTGTCATCAAATGGTAGAGCACGCTCAAAGTAGGTGCAGGAACACCATTCCTTTCGGCCACCTTGAGGGGGTTTCCCAAGATGACCTCAAGTTCCATTAGTTGGCCCTTTTCGTAGTCAACACACATTGATGGCTTGTGCATCATACTCTTTGTGATATCCAAAAAGAAATCCATCTCTTTGGGATCAATAGTGACGCCCTCACTTGCAGCAATTGCAATGATTTCCATCATTCCAGGTCGCCAGATGCAGTTTTCGGTGCTCATTCCGCCGTTGGAAAATTTTAAGCACCGCGTAGCATCAAGCTGGGCCAAAGCTGCGGTCGGGTTCACCACTGCATTATAAAGCAATTTCCTCCACCTCGTATACTTCACGTTGGGTTCGCAATCCACGAGGTTATGACCCTTGTTGCTATATAGCGTGATGAACAGTTTGGCGCGTTCCACACCCTTGACATCTGTGTTATCGAACGGCGCAACACTTAGTCTATCTTGACCCTTCTGAACAATCTTGCCTGCGCCAAGTTTTGTCGATCCGATCAGTTGCACACCGGAAAGAATTGACAGGTTGTACTCGTTGGGGTCAAAGTGTTCCAAAAGTTCTTTTTCAATATCCAGGCCATTTTGAATGAGCAGCACGCTGGTAGTGCGAGTAGGGTCCAAGGCATGGTTCGAATCCACCACGGGCCGCACGATCTCGTGAACAGTACTATCTTTTGGCCCATCTGGAATGTTTTTCACAGTAACTACTATAAAGTCAAAAAACTGTCCGGAGGCAGACGCGGCTTCCGCGGTCTTGTAAAGACGGTGTGGCTTCCAATTCTCTATAGTTCCGTAGTCGCATGAATCAATGGAGTACCCCTGTTTTACGACGTGGTCGTAATCCGAACGCACCACCATAGACACCTCGCTACGATCGGCCCTGAAAAGGGAATAGGCAGCAATTACACCAACACCACCGGCACCGATAACAAGGCAAGATGGTTTCGAGCTTTCAGCGGACATGCTAGTATTCAGTGATTTTGGCAGCTAAACTTGCGTGAGCCTGGTAGAGTGAGGTCTCAGGGTGTGTGATGACAGTTTTTTTCTCAACGTGTACACCACTTAATTCCCAGCCAACCTTCAAATTAGCTGAGACACAGGCAAACTGCCAACAGACTAAACGCTAATGCCAAAACTGTCGCTTTACCCATGCTGTACACGGGCCACTACTCGTCGTCCGCACATACCGCTAGCTCACTCACTTCAGCCGGTGCTCCCATGGTGCGCCACGTTCCGTTCTGCTTCATGTCACTTTGTCCTCTTCTGACGCCGTGCCAACGAAACGTTGGAGCTATAAAATAGAACCAATATATCTGAGAGTGCCGGCCAGCTGAGGGGTCTTCCCGCTCAAATTGTAGAAGAGCCGGGCCCGTCTAAAACACGAGGAAAAGAGAGCGAAAACCAAAATCAGCCAGTCTAATCTGGTTCCGTGCGTCGGCAATAGCAGTCCATTCCACAAACTCTCACCTCACTCCCACTAGTGATTCCTAGCTCGCAAACCAGCCCAAAACTAGTGAGCGTTGGCCCCCATTGTCGTCGCTCTCTATATATACATATATCCCTTTGTACGACCGTGGACTGTCAATCCATCAGTCCAAAATAGCATGGCCTGCTTGTGCCTGATATATAACCCAAAAGCCTCGGCTGCTATCCAGTTTGCCCTAGCTCCCGGAGACTCGCCATCCTACAAATTCTGAGCGTTGGTCTACCTTGTTTATCTTCCGTTATTGGGTGTGTGATTCGATTGTTCGGTCCAAACGTTGGAAAAAAATGCTCAGGGCCCTGTACTGTACAGATTTTGACGAAAAAGTGCTCAAGTAGAGAGAGCTTTTATCCAGAAGAGCATTTATTTATAAGAGTTCACGATCTTAAGAAAGGTATTTGTAGGGCAGTGATGTCCATATTTCAAAGATAATATATTATCTAGCATTCGGCAGGTGGATTTTTATTGAGGTGTACTTTAACTCCGGCCTTTGAGCAGAGCATGAGATTTCACAATGTGGGCATCTTGTTGTGGGCCGTTCTATCCAATGTGTGCTACAGTTTAGTGCTGGTAGATTCTTCGCTGGCTTCTGCGTGTCTATATTATGACAAAATGTTCGAGTGGGGATGTGGTTCGCACGGAATGGGTATGAAAGCCTACAAGTGTCGATGTGGCAATATTAATTGGCTGGGTACTGTCACTAATTGTATTGCCAGTAACACGGAAAGTAAGAGACTCAGAGAACACGCATTCAGACATGTTGCTAAGAGGTGCTACCAGAAGGGTGATTTCCATTACAGTTTGCAGGACATGTACGGATTTTGGGAAAATGGCACGCAGTATCTCCGGGACCCTACCGAGGCAGATCTCACCAGTCCTGTGAACACGGCGATTGGCTTCGACCAGGAGGAATTTGACTGGTACTACCGCAAATTCAAAGACTTCACATTCCAGGCGCAGAGAAGCCAATGGTTTGGGTGGGGCGTTGTTTTCTACTGGGCCGCAGTGATGGTGGTTTTCACGGCGTACAACGTGAATTGCAAATACTTTGGATTTAGGGTTCCAGGAAAGCCGTGGTTCACGCGGACGCTGGTAATTCCTTCCGTTTTTCAAGCTTTTTGGCAACGTTCGCCGGGGATGCGAGCCCTAATGCCGGGACCACATCCCAATCGGTTGCAGGGGTTTATCGTGACGATCTTCGTCATCCAAGTCATGATCAGCACCGGCGTGGGCTACCAAATGGAACTTCCCAACCCTTATCTTACCACCAGATGGTTTATGAATCTCGATCTGGTCAGCTACAGAACAGACTTGATGTCTATGTCGCTATTCCCACTGATTTACTTCTTCGGGATTCGCAACAACCCCTTTATCGCGCTCACTGGTATGTCTTACACCGCATTCTCATTTTTCCACAAGTGGTGTGCCTATGTCGCTACGGCCTTGGCTTTTATTCACTCCATCATTTGGACGGTGTACGCCATCCAAACAGATGGCTACCAAGTCTGGGCTATGGATGCATATTGGCAATACGGCGTGGCTGCGATGGTTCTGATGGCGCTTTTAGTTATTCACAGCGCCAAGGTACTGAGAGACCTTATGTACGAGCTCTTTCTTTTCGCCCACCAATTGCTCAACGTTTTCTTCATTGTTGGGATGTACTACCATTGCAAGGACTTGGGATGGCTGGGATGGATATGGTCGATGGCCGGGATATTGGTCTTTGACAGGGTGCTCCGGCTTGGGCGCATTGCTATGAGCGGGGGACCTCAGACGTCAACTCTGACTGACTGTGGTGGTGGAATAATCAAATTGACTCTTCACAAACCCAAATACCTGGCGTACCGTCCCGGATCGTTTGCCTATATCTATTTCTTTGGCTGGAACGACCCCTGGTACTACCAGTGGCAATCGCACCCGTTCACACTGCTCAGCTTAGCGAATGAAGTTGGAAGCCATGGAGAAAATTTGGTAGTATACTTCAAGGCTCACAAAGGTGTCACTGGACAAATGTTGCAGCGACTTCTAAAGTCTGGCAAAGATTCTATCCAGGTAACGGTCATGATTGAAGGCCCTTATGGTGACGTTCTTCCACAAACCGCAAAAGTCGAGCAGAATTTGGTAGCAGTGGGGGCAGGGCTAGGTATAACTGCAATCTATGCACAACTAGATCATCTGATGAGAGCACAACCTTCCGAATTCAGTCGCAAGTTGTTCTGGGTTATCAATGACGTCAACCGTATAGCGTGGTTCTCAGACCACTTGAAGTTCCTGTTGTCAAAAGGTTGCGAAGTTACCATTTTGTGCACGAATCCCAAGGAGCTGGAATGTGGGAATTTATCGCCATGTTTTGACGACAAAGTACTGGAAAAGATTGAGGTAAAAAATTTATTCTCGAGGCCTGATTTGAATTCCCTGATCACTCTCGAGATTCAGGAGTCTTCCTATCAATCCAGGAACGTCAAATTCATAACCTGTGGGCCATCGACCTTTAATGTTGATTTTAGAGCTACCCTCGCTGCAGCTTTGGATAATCAGCTAACTATTGACGTTGCGCTCCAAGAAGAAAGTTTTGTGTGGTAAGATATCTCAAGTTTATACCGCATACCTCCTGTACATATCATGCAATCACTTTAATACTAAAATACGTCTTGGCAGCTAATCATCTTCACTCTCGCTGGAGCCTTCTGCTTGCTGCAACTTCATTAATTCAGACCACTTTTCTGCTAGCTCCTTGATTGCATTGGGATTGGTTGCAGCATCGGCAACATCTTTGGGAACGTAATTTTCAGAATGTTCCTTTGCAGCGAACCTGGCTACATTGTTTTCAGTGACCAATCGAAGCTCATAATCGAATTCCGCGTCACCGTCAATATCGAGCGTGATTAATTCATTCCAGGAAAACATCAGTGGATCGGTCTTTCTAGCAAAGGGGTTGAAGTCGATCAACCAGACCTTGTCGAAGGGCCGCGGAATATACACGTCGCAGATGTATGAAGAGTCTGGAAACTTGGTACTCACCGTCTCCTCGATAAACTCGTCAATGACATCTTTAAGGCGGTCCACCAGCGGTATCAGATAGTCGTAGTAGTTGAGGTCTCGTTGAGAAACTGCAACGACTCTGGCCTGCTTAACAAACACTCGAAACTCCAGCGCTGGATTAATATCAAACCACTTCCGTAAAACAAGCTCATGTGAAAACTTAGTAGAGTCTATACTGTCTACATCATAGCATCCGTCAAAGGCACGTTCTAGATCATGCACTATGTAGTTCGAGGCCTTCATCAGCAGGTATAGATCGTTGACCTCGTAACATTTCATAGAGTTATTCGCAAGGATCCAGGTAGCATCCTTAGGGCTGGACCAGGTTAACTTCGGGGTCAGAGGCCCTAGCTCGTTGAACGTCCGCTTCAATGTCTCGTGAAGTTCCGGGAACAAAGCTGTGGCATCTCTACTATCCACATGTTGTTCAGGAATATCTTCCTTCTCGTCTTCCCAGTCGCTGTATTCATTTTCCTCCGTCTTTTCTATATCTTGATAGTAGGATGATCTGCTGAAGTTGCTATCGTTCGGCAATTTGATGCCATCTTGTTCCAAGTATCTCATAAACCCCGACGGCACAGGCTTGATAATGACAGCATGCGGGGTTTGGTTCCGAAACTTCGGATACCATTCAGAAAAAGCACAGTTTTTCACTTGCTTGATGCTAACCGGTAGCTCACTGAGTTCAGCGTAATCACTCATCAATGTCTCGTCAGCCTACTTACAGCCGAGAACGTCGCTACTGTGCTCATCTCATGTAAACTTCTTATTAGATAATTATCGAGTCGTCTATCTACTCGTTTAGCTATCCACATTTTTGGTCGTTTCTCTATCTGTTTCTCGAGTCTTTTCTTCAGTCATTTATTGAATTGCGAGTCACTTTATACGTGAGCTTGGAAATTTAGGATCTGAAAAATTTGCCACTTTAACACTGTTTAGACAAGATCAACCTACAACAATCGCAGCAGTATTTCAATCAGTTTACGAGCCAATTGACTTTCTACCTTGCACTACCAGCTGAGTAATTTGTTCTCGAAATGCCTCCTAAAAGTACCCCCAATTCCACTTTCAAGAATCGGGAAAAACCGCAGGAAGTGCGCAAGGCCAATATCATCGCGGCCCGAGCTGTTGCGGATGCGATCCGTACTTCTTTGGGTCCCAAGGGTATGGACAAGATGATAAAAACGGCGCGCGGAGAAGTTATCATTTCCAATGATGGGCATACAATTCTTAAACAGATGGCAATTCTACACCCTGTGGCCAAAATGCTGGTAGAAGTTTCTGCGGCACAAGACACTGAGGCGGGTGACGGTACAACATCGGTAGTCATCCTAACAGGTGCTCTTTTGGGCGCTGCAGAAAAGCTTCTGAACAAAGGTGTTCATCCAACAATTATCGCAGAATCGTTCCAAAGAGCCGCCGAACGGTGCGTTGAGATATTGCTAGATATGTCCCAAAAAATCTCGCTCAATGACAAACAAGCTCTAGTGCGCGCAGCTGCCACGTCGCTAAGCTCCAAGATAGTGTCGCAACACTCGTCATTCTTGGCTCCTCTGGCTGTAGACTGTGTTTTGAACATCATCAACGAGGACAGCAGAAACGTTGATCTCTCCGATATACGCTTGATCAAGAAGGTCGGCGGTACGATCGATGATACAGAGATGGTAGACGGTGTGGTATTAACTCAAAACGTGGTGAAAACTGCCGGCGGTCCCACCAGAATTGAAAAGGCCCGTATTGGCTTGATTCAGTTTCAAATATCTCCCCCTAAACCAGACACGGAAAATAACATTGTAGTAAATGACTACAGACAGATGGATAAGATTCTGAAGGAGGAGCGCGCGTACCTACTGAATATTTGCAAAAAGGTCAAGAAAGCCAAATGTAATGTACTTCTAATCCAAAAGTCCATTCTAAGAGACGCAGTTAACGACTTGGCTCTACACTTTTTGTCTAAGTTGGGGATCATGGTCATAAAAGATGTCGAAAGGGATGAGGTCGAATTTTTGTCCAAGAGCTTGAATTGCAAACCCATTTCAGATCCAGAATTTTTCACGGAAGATCGCCTAGGGTCTGCTGATCTCATTGAAGAGATAGATAGTGATGGGTCAAAGATTGTGAAGATTACTGGTGTGAAATCAAGCACTGCTAGTCCAACTGTTTCCGTTATTATTCGCGGTGCTAATAACGTCATTTTAGATGAAACAGAAAGATCTCTACATGATGCACTTTGTGTGATCCGCTGTCTGGTCAAAGAAAGAGCTTTGATTGCTGGTGGTGGTGCTCCCGAAATCGAGGCATCTCGCACGCTAACCAAAGAGGCAAGAAGCCTACAAGGCGTTGAATCTTTTGTGTGGCAAGAATTTGCATCTGCGCTCGAGGTCATTCCAACCACTTTGGCCGAAAATGCCGGACTTTATAGTATAAAAGTGGTCACTGAGCTACGTACCCTGCATGAAAATGGTGAGAAGAACGCCGGGATCTCAATTCGCAGGTCGGGTACTACAAACACTTTCGATGAGCACGTTCTACAGCCAGTTTTGGTGAGTACTAGCGCCATCACTCTAGCATCGGAATGTGTGAAATCAATCTTGAGAATTGATGACATCACGTTTAGTCGTTAAAAGCCGAGAGATGTGGTCACTGAGTTTTGAAGTTAGATGTACATAAATAAAAAATCTCCCTGATTTAAGCCCCGGGATTAGGTATGATGAATGAATGCTACAGATGCTAAGTGGCCCGTTAGGGATGCGTTAATTTTTTCTGAAATGTCTAAAACTGAACAGTCTGTAATACTGCTCTCTTATTCGGCCCGACAAACTTTGCGTACTTATTTCAATTTGTTGAGGTACTTCACAGCGTTTCTGCTGAAAATGTAGGAAGCCCCGCTCAACCCGGTGGTGACACCCACCAGATACCCAAAGTATTCAAAAGCTACTTGGTTCAGGTTCCGCGAATCGCCATCGATATCATTTTTATCAGCGGTATATGAATGAGCTATCATGTGAGCCACGGCCCATCCGAGATAAATCATCTGGAGAAAAGTGTTCCACTTGGAAATTTGCGTGGGTCTCACCTCCGCACTGGGGAATCTGAACACATCCCAGAACGAACTCCACGTAACTTGCCCATACGCATGTTTCAGCGAAGCGATTCGGAAGTATATTGCACTGAGTCCCAGCATAACGTCGCGGCCAATAATCATACCAGCTAGTGAAGCTGGTATGATCTGCGGTCCACCAGGAAATGCCAAGGATGCCGTGGTGACTAGCATCAAAATTTTATCGGCCATCGGATCCAGCACTGTCCCTGCGACGGACTTCATGTTGTATCGCCTGGCCATGTAGCCGTCCAGAAAATCTGTTAAGCACGAATATGTGAAAAGAGCCAACGCCGGAACGAGATTATTCGATATTATGCAATGCCCTATCAGCGGTGCAGCTGCTATTCTGCTAATTGTAAGCAGATTTGGAACTGTATAGATCGAACTTAAGATCGATGGTATGCTTTTTGCTCTCCGAGATGGTGTGGATAGCATGCGACGCATTAACGTAAATTTTGTATATCTAAGCGTTTGGGGTCTCAGAAAAACGTTATGATTTGTCATGGCAGGTAAAAGTTTTATCATGTTCAAAGAACATTGGTGTTTGGTCATGGTAGCTGGTCTGCTTGTCGATTCCTCAATCTTGGCCTATTGATTGATGAGCTTAATTAATTATGGTTGGTCTAATTTTCACTTATTAAACAGGCACTCCTACATACTGCTGAAATCACGAATCAATTGAGACTTGCAAGGCTCTGCATTTGAGGTGCTGGAATTGCATAGACACTTTTCGTCCAGCAACGTGAGCCGGGTCATTTTTTGTGCACGAAGCGCATTCCCTCAAAGCCTTCTCTGAGAATATACAATTGCTGTCCATTGCAGCAACGATACTACATCAAAAAGAAAGTGAACGCAGAAACAAAAGAAGATAGGATGAACGTACTTGTTTATAATGGCGCTGGTGCCTCTCCAGACTCTGTTAAACATACCGTTTCGACACTTAGACGACTTTTGGAACCCTTATATGCTGTGTGCACGGTTAATGCCAAAGTACTTCAGACGGAGCCTTGGGAGGGAAAAACGTCGGCCGTGGTCTTCCCTGGCGGAGCTGACCTTCCTTATGTCAAAGAATGTGCTTCAGTGATTCCCCAATTAAAAAAATATGTGTCTAAACAAGGTGGCTCGTTCATCGGGTTTTGTGCTGGTGGGTACTTTGCGACTGATTTCGTGGAATTTGCCGTTGGTGATCCATTGTTGGAGGTTTTCGGGAAGCGCGATCTCAAGTTCTATCCTGGTATTGGCCGTGGTCCCGCTTTCCATGGTTTCAAGTATAATAGCGAGGCAGGCGCTCGGGCAGTTACCCTAAGACTGCCCAATGGGGATGAATTCAAGACGTACTACAACGGTGGTGGTGTTTTTGCGAACGCTGATAGATACGAGAATGTTGAGGTGCTCGCCCATTACGCGGAGCCTTTGGACGTTCCACATTCCGAAAAGGCCCAAACGCCGGGTGCTGCGGTGGTTCTCTGCAAGGTGGGCAAGGGCCGAGCTCTATTGACTGGACCGCATCCTGAATATGTTCCCCGTCTGCTTCAAAGGATGCATGACCATGAGTACAATGAGTCAATGGTGAACATTTTAGGTGAGCACGAAGTGGCCAGATTGAAATTCCTCAAAGATGCACTTACTAGAGTAGGATTGCACTGCAACAGCAATTTTGCCGACAGAATAGCTCCAAGTTTAACGCCTTTACTTCTGATGTCCCCCAGTAAGCCTCAGTTGCTATCAGAGTTCGAACGAAACTTGGAAGGGGCAGATGTCTGCATCAAGGAGGATATAGTCACATTAAAGGGCAATACTGACAATTTCCAGATATACAAAGGATATGCCAACTATGAAGCTGCGAGTTCTGAGCTGCTGGATCAAGAGCCTGACGAAGCTTCCAAGTCCATCATAATCTCAACAAGTGATGAGCCTTATGCACCACGCACACTGACTCCAAACTTCGATACCAAGAAATATTACAAGTATTTGAACCCCCAGACATCGGTAGGGTCATTGCTTATGTACGGAGAAGTCATAACTTCTTCTAGTGCGTTATTGAACAATAATAGAAAACTGTTGTCCCTTTTCCCAGATACGTCCATGCTGCACGTAGGTACTATACAGGTTTCTGGCCGAGGACGCGGCGGCAATACTTGGATCAATCCAAAAGGCATTTCTGCGTCCACTGCTTGTGTTAATGTTCCACTGGCTTCTCCGCGGACAGGGCGACCTATCTCGATTGTGTTCGTCCAGTACATTGCTATGCTTGCATATTGTAAAGCAATTCTCGGGTATGCACCAGGTTTTGAGGATCTCCCTGTCAGAATCAAATGGCCTAATGATCTATACGCGTTGAGGCCCGATTACTATTTCTCGAAGAATATCACTTTAACAGGTAAAGGACTGAGCGGATATACTGTGCCTCTCGATGAACTTGAGCCGGCTTTCGTCAAGATATCTGGTCTTCTGGTTAATACCAGTTTTTTCAACAACAAGTATTCGCTGCTTCTTGGGTGTGGTCTCAACGTCTCCCATGACGGGCCTACAACCTCTTTGAATACTTGGGTTAAGCTTTTGAATGCTGAGAGAGAAAAATGTAATATGCCATTGCTACCTGAAGTTGAGGTAGAAAAGCTGCAAGCGCTTTACATGAACAACTTGGATTTTATTCTCAAAGAATTTGTGGACAATGGCGTCGATCGAATGCTTCCCGAATACTACAATCTATGGCTGCATACGAATCAAATCGTCACTCTTACTGATCATCAAAATATTCGCGCCAAATTAGTCGGAATAACGAAGGATTATGGATTGCTTATCGCCAAAGAGCTTGTTCCGGGCACTAACACCCAGTTTACGGGCAATGTATACGAATTGCAACCAGATGGTAATAGTTTTGACATTTTCAAGGGTTTAATCTCCAAAAAGGTGACATAGTATTTGTTTGTGGCCGACTTGAAAGCTCACCAAGAGGTAATCTCAGAAACATTAAAATATTTACATATAGATACAATAGCATTACTGTCATTGAAATGGAATCTTTCCGATTACTCTTGTCAAGATTTTTACGGCCAAAGCATCTCGTTACCGCACATTTTAGTGCAAAAGCAAGCGCTTCATCTCCAATTGTTGAGTCATAGACGACAGTCTCAGTAAGAATTGTTATTCTTGTCACCATCCTCTCTCTTTGGAGAATTTGGGGAATAAGAAGGCGACCCTGGGCTGTAGCTAGGCGAGGTAGGGGAATAAGATGGTGAAGTGGGTGAATATGAGGGCGACGTTGGGCTATAGCTTGGTGATGTAGGTGAGTACGATGGCGACGTCGGGCTGTAGCTAGGAGATGTCGGCGAGTACGATGGAGAAGTTGGGCTATAGCTTGGTGAGGTCGGAGAATAGGATGGGGAGGTTGGGCTATAGCTGGGTGACGTTGGAGAGTAAGATGGTGATGTTGGAGAGTAAGATGGTGATGTAGGGCTGTAGCTTGGCGATGTTGGGGAGTACGATGGGGAAGTCGGACTGTAACTTGGTGATGTTGGTGAATATGAGGGCGAGGTTGGTGAATACGACGGGGATGTGGGGCTGTAGCTTGGTGATGTTGGAGAGTATGAAGGTGAAGTAGGGCTATAGCTGGGTGATGTTGGAGAGTAAGATGGTGATGTAGGGCTGTAACTTGGAGATGTTGGCGAATAAGCTGGTGAGGTAGGGGAGAATCCAGGTGATGCAACCCCTCCAAACCCAGGAGAAGAAGAACCATCTCCGTACCCACTGAAAGGAGATGATGCACTACCATAGTCGGCACCACCGTAAGCGGTGAATCCGCCTGACATTGCATCAGTCGCACCAGAATCGACCAGTGGCGAGAACATAAGCTCATCTTTAACGTCGATTTCGGCGTTAACGAGGCCACTCTCACTATTGTACGGCGTCCTGGATCCGTCTTGACCGTCAACAACCTCACTGACTTTTTGCTCGGGCATAAATTTAACCAAAGACTCTTCATCAATCATTACATCAAACGCACCTGTACCTATAGGTGCGACTTGACCCAAAAGAACATTCTCAGACACACCGCGGCAATCGTCGAGTTCGGCAGCTGCGCCAGCTTCAAACAGGATTTCTACAGTCTCTTCGAAAGAACATCTCATCAAAGCTCCTGTATCAGATCTGTTGAATCCGTGACGGGTAACCGACATTAAAAACCCTTGAGATGTCATAACGTCCACGAGTAGAGCCATATGACGATAGTTAACGTAAGAACCGTCAGAGGCAATGACATTGTAGACCTCTTTATACAATGCAGCACGACCCGCTTCTATACCAAGCACATTCATGATATCAATGAACGAATTTGTATAGATCCGAGCAGAGTCCACGCCAGGAACGCACATAACCTCTGCCAAATTGACACCATCAGTTTCCAAAACCCATTCTGGAACTTTATGGTACTCACCAGTTAAACTTGGGATTTTGCGGTCATATTTCATCATAACTACACGAGTAATGTCTTCGACACCCCGCAAAGTAATACTCTCCAGCATAGTGTTCTCGATCCTTTTCAACATGTGGTCTTCCTCAGCTTCCGCTTCAGCGTCAAGAGTCTTGGGATCACGGACCACGCGGCACCGAATCACCAGTTTCTCGGCATTGTCTTCGGACCAAATTACGAATAAGTCATTTTTGAAGGTCTCTTTTATTTTTTCACCGACCTGACCCATAGTTAAATCTTTGTCATTCATTGCAGCACGATCAAGTTCCAAGCGCAATAGCCAAGGTGACTGATGGTCTAGCGATTGTTCGGTTTCCTCGTCCATCAAAGAGAAATGAAGTTGTATGATTTCTTCGTCATCGTCGATCACCGTCGCACGAGGATCGGGGTCGTAATAGATCTCCGAAGCTACCGTGATACTCTTCAAAGTGGTATGCTCAATGGCAGATCTGATCAATTTGGCCTTCTCCTGGTCGGCCGCATGGTCTTGGTCTAAATATACCGTTAAGGATGGTGTTTTCATGTTCTTAGCCACGTTAAGAATTTCCTTCAAACGAGGGACACCAGAGGTTACTTTTTTAGAGGCCACACCGGCAAAATGAAAGGTGTTCAAAGTCATTTGAGTGGCCGGTTCACCGATAGATTGGGCAGCAAGAACCCCAACCATCTCACCCGGGTGGACAATTGATCTCAAAAACTGAGCTTCAATATTATTCATGACCCAGTCGAATGTTTGCTTTGTCAATCTGTACTCTTGAATAACGCGACGAGTAGCCAAACGAGAGCGCAGTAGGCAGGAAAACAGAGTAACGGCATTTTGTTGAGCCTCTTGCAATAACTTACTTTTGCCTCTAATGACTAGGAGCTTTTCTTGTAAGTCTTTTACTCCAAAAATAACATCGCGGATCGTCAAATCAGTTGGCTTTGAGTGCTCTATGCGGAAAGTTTGTTGGGCATTTTGAATGATACGCCTGATGTTGACAGGAAGTGGCCAATTTTGTTCTCCGTCGGAAAATATGCCGCGCAAAAAGGCGCGGTCGGCGAGAAGTTGCTTATACTCTTCATCCAGCAAAGCCTGCAGTTTCAAGTCGCCAATAACTTCCGAGCCAGATTCTAGCAAAGATGGATCCAATGCATGTTTAGGATTTAATAAATCAATTCTGAATCTCCGCTCGAAAGCTGCATCGGAGGCAGCAATGGTATCAATGGACTGTTTCTCAATATGAGCTGCATCCATACCATCCTCCCCGTAGACAAACTGAATAACATTACCTAGAGAGTTTCTGGTTGTACCATCATAATGGACCATAATATCTTCAAGGGCTTTAACCAAACGACGTTGAATGTAACCAGTTTCGGCTGTCTTCACGGCGGTATCAATCAGACCTTCACGACCACCCATCGCATGAAAAAAGAACTCCTGCGGAGTCAGCCCTCTCAAATACGAGTTCTCCACGAAACCCTTTGATTCAGGAGAATAATCATCCTTTGAAAAATGAGGCAGTGTGCGGTCAGCAAAACCAAAAGCTATACGTTTACCCTCAACAGATTGTTGACCAACACAAGCCGACATCTGTGCAATATTAATAAACGAACCTTTAGATCCGGCACTGACCATTTGTTTAACATTGTTCAAGTCTTTTAAATTAACCTCAGCGGAACGACCAGCCTTATCTCTAGCTTCGTTCAAATAACGTACAACGTTATCCTCAAACGATTCACGTAAAGTCATACCATGCTTTGCAGTTAAGAGGTTTGCTTGGGCTTCTTTAGTGACTTCTTCGACCTTTTTCTTCGCGACCATGATTGCATCGGTGATTTCTCTCATAGATTGTTCGTCCGCAATTGTATCACCTATTCCAATCGAAAACCCGTTGTGCAGCAACCAGAAGTTAACCACCTTTTGAAGGTTGCTAAATAGCCGAGCACACACCTTGGGTCCCTTTTCTCTCGTAACCACGTGAATCAAACCACCGCTTGAAGACCCTACAGTTTTCTTGTCCACCACACCGAAGACAATTTGACCATCAATGATTAACATGCCGTTATCCTTTGGAGAGAGTAACGTTGTTCCCTCGTCAAATCGCTGTAAGTGAATACCACTGGGGATAGCTATTGACAATATCTGCTTACCGGACCACAACGGCTTTGGCTTCAGGATTGTTGGCGTAGGAATGACACCATCCCAGTCAGGAATCCAATAGAGCATGTTGAGAACTTGATCACGCTCAATAAACGTATCTTTCAAAGTCATTTTACGAATACCACATAAAGTGTCTTGAACAATACCCATACAAGGTTTATTCGATTGGGCAGATACGATTTGCTGAGGAACAGCGCAAAGCTGCGATAATTCTGCTCTAGTTTCCTCAGATTGTGGAACATGCAAGTTCATTTCATCACCATCGAAATCAGCATTGTAAGGGGAAGTGACAGACAAGTTTAGTCTAAAGGTGGAATATGGCATAACCTTAACTCTGTGAGCCATCATGGACATTTTATGTAAGGAAGGCTGACGGTTGAAAAGCACAGGGTCATCATCTATAATATGACGCTCAACTTTCCACCCATACTGCAATTGAATGTCACCGGCTCTCTTACTGTATCTAAGGTCGATTCTGTCACCGTTGTCACGAATAACATACTTGGCACCCGGATGCTCATTAGGACCATTGCGCACTAACTGTGTCAAACGATCAATGTTGTATGGTGTGACGACTTCAGGATACGTCAAAGTCCTTGCAATAGATTTTGGGACACCGACTTGGTCTAGATCTAAATTAGGATCACCTGAAATAACAGTACGTGCCGAGAAGTCCACACGTTTACCCATCAAGTTACCTCTGATACGTCCCTCCTTACCCTTCAAACGAGCTCTTATCGACTTGATAGGACGCCCCGACTTTTGAAGAGCTTGAGGTTGTCCAGCAATATCATTGTCCATATATGTTGCAACGTGAAATTGTAGGAGAGACTCTGACTCCTGTATTACATGCTGTGGTGAACCGTTAATTTCAAGTCTTTGGACATTGATGTTAGCTTTTAAGATATCTCCCAGCTTATATGTTAAATCATCCTCACCTCTTTGAGTTTCGTTGAATGAAATCGAAGGACGAACTGGAGGTGGTGGGACGGGCAAAACCGTTAGAATCATCCATTCTGGGCGTGCAAAGTCCTCATTGAATCCTAGTCGAGTTGAGTCCTCTGGTGAAATGTGTTTGAAAACATTCAAAACTTCATCAGCAGTAATGATACGCTTCTCCGGTTGGTCAGCATCATCGGCACCTTTGTCTTTCTTCCAAGTCCCGACAAGCGAAAGACCATCCTTTCTAATACTTGGCTGTGTATTACCACAACCACCTCTCGATACATATTGGGTGGGGTCATCATCAGAGGGAACCTCTGTGTCACAAACCATCTTGGCCTTACACAAGGACCACACAGCGTTAAATCTCCTCTTGGGATCTTTAATCCTTATGGCCTGTCTCATAAGTTCGTTATGTTCGTCCAGCAACAGCTTTCCGCAGTGCATGCAGACACACTCAGCGACCTTCTTGATTTTGGCAATATAACCAATATGGAAAACTGGTTTAGCGAGCTCGATGTGTCCAAAGTGACCAGGGCAGTCATTCATTCCTTCACCACAGGTTTGACACTTATAATTACGATCGATAGAACCAAGACGTGGATCATTTAAACCACCAATCTTGGCCCTCATTTGAGTTTCGTCCATAGTTTCAGGAAATTCCACTTTGGCCACACTTATGGCGCGAACTTCTTCAGGTGAAAACATGCCGAACTGCACTTCTTTCACAGTGCGCAAAGGAGCACTTGAATAAGGGAACTCGACCATGGTGGTGTAGTTTGTTGTGCTAATTTGGGAAAGAGAGTTAAGTTGGGAACAAGTGTTTGTTTTTGGGTTTTTTCAAATGGTTTTTTTTTTGAGTTATAGTTGATCCGATAAATGAATATCTGGATGCTTTTTATGCAAATACGGAGCGGGTCCTGGTCTTATTACCTTTAGATGAAATTCTATTCTATCTTCTCTTGAATATAGGCCTCACGTAGGCTAGAGCTTGGTATTCTGTAACCTGTTTCTATATGTGCTGTGACAATGCACTCCCACAATTACTGGCTTCAGAAGAGTTGAACCCTATCCTTTAGGAAACGCTAGGCTTGTTTGGTCTATCCCAATGGCGTCGAGTAAAGATTGCACGTCCTACTCAGTCCTGAGTTCTGCAAACACGAAAACGACGGATGCTCACCCACAAAACGAATTGCCAAAGCTTCTTTTCACAATGGGATGTTTTCTCGAAACCTGTCGATGTAACGGATCCCGGAGAGAAGTCTGTCAAAAGAGTACAGTAGACAATAGCCAGCTGACTCGAATGATATGAACAAAAGAAAAAGACCTGCCCTCAATTAACGTTAGCTAATGGAGTTCCTAGCCCAGGCCTGGAGTGTGCAATGCTTTATTAAGTATCGTGTTTAGGTTTATCCAACCAACCTTCGTTAATCTTTCAATTGTTTGCCACCATAAAATTTTTCGACACATCGTGACATGTGAGGGTAACCATTAACTAGCCAAAACACTATGGAGAAGCTACAAACAGATGTATAACATATTCGAGCGGCGCAGGTTTTGGTCAGGCCCATTGAGATTCATGTTTAGTTGCCCAATTACATTCTAAGCGAACATCTTAGAGAGGGATTTTTTCTGCTTCGCCGCTTCGTCCTTTTTCAATCTCTTGGCATCAGCAATGGCCTTGGAGATGGCTGCGTCGTTTTGCTGGTATGTAGCGGCAAACTCTAGATCTGTGATGGCCATTTCGGGATCTTTGAGACCGTGGTAAGCTAGCCCACGACGGTATAGAGCTTTAGCCTTGCTTTTGTCGTCAGCAGTGGAATCGTGGACCACCTCAGTTGCAGCCTTGAGAACCTTTTGATATTCGCGAGATTTCAGAGCTGACAGTGCAACATTCAAAAAGAGAGACACCTTTAGCTGTTCGACAGCCTGCAATTTTTCCGGAGCAAGGTCTTCAGGGAAGTACTGCTTGAGCATAGCTGAAGCCTTTTCATACTTATTTAGAGCATTTTTGTAGTCCTGGGTCTTGAAAAGCTTAGTACCGATATCTTTTACAGCGTTAACAGCGGCCAGGACAGAATCGACATCGGCCGTGTCAACTTTCGAGTCATCCGCCAGGGACTCCTCGTAATTGTCACCAAATCGGTCGGTTGGAGACTGTTCTGCGTCTGCCGGAACAACGTAATCCGCAGGCAAGACCCCACAGTTCTCGATCTTTACATCCTTCTCAGGCTTATCTCCAGAGTCTGTCGCAAGGTTTTCAATAGAACGCGCTATCCTTTTGCCTTGGATCAACTCTCCGAACACGACGTGCTTGCCATCCAAGTGGGGAGTCGGCACACATGTGAGAAACGCTTGCGAGCCATTGGTGTTGGGGCCGGCATTCGCCATGGAAAGTAGAAAAGGGCGATCATGTTTCAGCGCAAAATTTTCGTCCTCGAACTTTTCGCCGTAGATGGATTCTCCTCCAGTGCCATTAAAATTGGTAAAATCCCCGAATTGTAACATAAAGCCCTTGATTACACGGTGGAACAGGGAGCCCTTGTAGCTCAAAGGCACGTCCGCTTTGCTTTTACAGAATCCGTCTTTGCCCTCGCACAACTTGTAGAAATTCTCCGCAGTCTTGGGTACTACATCGTTGTATAACTCAAAGACCATCCGTCCTCTGGCTTCACCGCCAATTGAGACATCGAGAAACACTTTTGAATTGACCATATTATGTACAAAGCTGGCTTGTTGTGTCAGTTCTGGGAGCCCGGCCGCTGTCTGAAACCTTTGAACTTGACACCACTTTAAATATTTTTCAGATCCGGCTGTGGTGTGTGGTCCTAGAAAATGCCAGAAAACAATCCAAAAAGACAAGTTACCTGACACGAGAGGCTATCTAAGAACATCAATTAACGTTAGTAAATGGTTGGGCGTCATCCTGGAAGTTGGTGCTAGTACCATTCTTTGCGTCTGTGTAATCCTCCTCGTCGTAGTCGTCTTCGTCTGGTTCCTCTTGCCATATGTCAGTGCTGGCTTTGTCGACGTCGATGAGATCACTTAGGACGCTAACGTAGTTATCCAAACGGGCGTTGGGAGCACCGCCAGCGCCTAGGCCCCGAATATGGCCGTTGTCTTCCAAAATCTCGCCGCTTTTTAGATCCAGAAGGTCGCCTTGATCCTCGATAGACTCATATTTCTGAATCAGCTGGTTCCAGGCGCGCTTCATGTTCTCGTCTGCACGTTTGTGACGCTCCATGACCTCTTCCTCCGTGAGTTTCGGTATCAACTGCGCTTCTTTGGACATTATGTACACGATATTCTCGCGGTTGTAATGTTTTGCACATTGCTGGGTTTCTTTTGGCTGCTTGTTCCGGTCCTGGCCCGGCGAGATATGATCTGGGACTGTGGATGGCTCATTTTGCGCTGGCCGTGGGTCAGCGACTCTCGTCTGATTGTTGAGAAGCCCCTTCAAAGCCCCTCGGAGACTTTTCAGGGTTTTTTGCTTGCCCTTCTTCTTGGTGACGCCGCTCATCCTCCATCACTCATAGTAGGATAATGTTGGACAGCTCGCCATGCCAATAACCGATGAATATTAAACCACACATATATTATATATATATATATAATAAATATATTGAAAATGCCACACCCTACTGAAAAACACATAGCACGGTAAGCAGCCGTGGCCTTTTCTATTCCCTATCAAGTGTGGCGACACGGCCCTTGTTGCCCTTGGCGTCCCAACAGGTCCGAAACTTTGCCATCTCACCCAGACACTGTCTCCAGTCGTTCGTCTCTGCGTGACAGAGTTGTAGCGCCATGTTCTCCACATAGCAGCCAGTCTTATCTATCCTGGTATCCCAGACGTCCTCGTCACCCTTGCGCATGTCTTGGTACTCCTGTAGGGCCTGCTGGTAGTATTTAGAGTCGGTATTTTGGGTCATGATCGCATAAATCGCTCTCGAAAAGGTTAGTAGTAGGGGAAAGTCTGACTATGGGATATCAAATTTTAACATTGACAAAAACACAGCCAAAACCAGTTCTCCCAGGTCTGGCCTACATTTTTGCACCGCCCAAATACGGTAGAGAACGTGCCGCAGCTACTGTTCCGACACGAAGATGTAAAGGCAAAGCCCAAATGAACAGAAGAGAGAAAGGAAAGCAAATCAATCTATACATTCCAGGTCGTCCTCTCAAAGGGTTCCTGCAGCGTAGTCAAGTAGTAGGGCCAGCTCTGATATCTTTTTCCTATACATTGACTTTAGTCATTATATGAAGGTGTTCCGCAAGGGCTGGCAATCATCAAAGGGAAACCCAAAATTTTAAACCACAGCGTGCGATCAAAAATAAGCCCTCTTATGCTAAAGCGAAGACCGCTTTTGGAGAAAAACGCAGAACCGTGCTCCAAAGCGACCCGTTCCACCTAACCGACCCCACACCGATGTATGGCGTGGGAGTAAAACTTTTGTCAAGACACTTCCCACTTAGTTCAGAGGTACTTAGAGTGAATGCAAGGCTCTCTTGGCCCTCACGGAACCCGAGATGTCCGAGATGTCGGAAGTGGCAGGTGTAGACTTGTCTGAATCACTTTGTACTAATTTTGTCAGGATAACTGAAATTTAACATCAGCGGTTAAAACTCTACAAGCTAGAAACTCAGAATTAGAATAAACACTGTGACAGCCACGTAACCAAGTGCTTCAGAATCAAGCCGTTGATTGCACTTTATTGGAAGCAAAGCTTGGGGCAGAAATGAGGGACATATAGCAGGATATTGGTGTTTTTTCTTTCTCCGAAAAAGCCATCCTCTCTCCGTGCAAAACTCTGTAAGACGTACACCGAAGGCTTAGAGATTCACTCGAGATGGTAATTGAGAGTGTTCAGAGGGACTCGATGGAATACATGCCAGCCATTAGTTATCCTAAGAGCTCTGATGAGTACGCGAATGATAGATGGGATTTTGTACTCACGTGCTCGCGTACTCGAGATCGCTGAGTTCCCCTTTAAAAATTCTTCCTCACGGGCAACTACACTAAACTTTGATTATGTGTTAACAAACAGTAACCAACCAGACAAAAGTTGAACCGTAGAGTGATAATAATTGCATATGGTGAAGCTTGCGGAGTATCCTAGAACTGCGACTTTCGCATGGTCTCACCATCGGTCCCCTTTATTGGCGACTGGGACAGCCTCGGGCACAATTGACGCGGATTTTTCGAGTGAATCGAAACTGGAGATCTGGTCGCTCTTGGCACCAGACGTTTCCACCCCACAAGCGTCTGTGGCAGCTGAAGCCAAATTCAATGACTTGGACTGGTCTCACGATAACCGTATCGTGGCAGGAGCGCTGGATAACGGGGTCGTCGAGTTCTTCTCGCCTAGCGAGCTCAAATCTGTCGCGAAACTTTCACACCACACGACGCCGGTGAAAACCCTTCGTTTCAATTCCAAGCAGCACAATGTGATGTGTTCTGGTGGTGCCAATCGGGAGATCTTTATTTGGGATGTTTCGAAGATAGGACAAGCCGGCTACGTGCCTCTCACACCAGGAACGGCCATGACGCCCATGGACGAGATCTACTCGTTGGCCTGGAACCAGAATCAATCGCACGTCTTCGCATCGGCCGGATCGTCCGGGTTTGCTTCCATCTGGGACTTGAAGGCCAAGAAGGAAGTTTTGCACTTGAGCCACACTTCCCAAATCACCGGCCAAAAAAACCAGCTCTCTATAGTCGAATGGCATCCTACCAACTCCACACGGATTGCCACCGCTAGTGGCACTGATACAGACCCTTCGATTCTGATCTGGGATCTGAGAAATGCCAACGTTCCTCTAAGTGTGCTTGCAGGATGTCACAGCCGTGGGGTTCTCTCGCTCGACTGGTGCAAAGAAGATTCCTCGCTACTTCTATCCAGCGGGCGTGATAATACGTGCGTATTGTGGAACCCAGAAGAGGCAGAGAGCCTGACTCAATATCCCACCAGGGGTAATTGGTGTTTCAAATCGAAATTTGCACCCCAGGCTCCTGATCTGTTCGCTTCCGCCTCTTTTGACAATAAGATCGAGGTTCAGACTCTACAAAATTTGGCTTGTTCCTTAGACATTGACGCAACAGCGAACAAGCAACAGGAATCAGAGGCTGAGTTTTGGAATAATGTCTCTGAGCAAGATATCGGCGAAAAACCGATCGTAAACAAAGTGCAAGCTCCGCTTTGGTATGGAAACAAATCACCAGCTGCTCAATGGGCATTCGGTGGAAAGTTAGTTTATATCACTAATGATAAAAAAGGTGTTAACATTGTCAAGCCTACCATACCGGGTGTGGAGAAAAATGTTATGCTGGATGAGGCTCTCCAGTCTAAGGACTTTAAACCCATCATCAACAAAAGACTGGTTCAAAGCATTGATGAGACTAACGAAGAAGATTGGACTATGCTGGAAAAACTTTCTCTAGATGGTAAAGAGAGTTTCCTGAAGGAGGCCCTTGCATTTGAAGATGAGGATTCTGACGAAGCCTCTGAGAGTGAGCCATCTGCAGACGATGGCGGAGATGACTTTTTCAGCAGTCTCAATGAAAAGTACGTTCCTGAGGGGCAGTTCCAATTGGAGACCGCTGGCAAAACCGATGACGTGATTAGGAGTCTTGTGCAAGGAGACAAGAAGAAAGCAGTTTCTCAAGCTCTAGGGCAAGATTTACTTCTAGAGTCTCTGATCATCGCTTTAGACAGCGATGATCAGGTTTTGAAAAAGAAGGTTAAAAATGTATTTTTTGCAAAACATGGTCAATCGTCCCCTCTCGCCAGGATCATGCACAGTATCTCGAAGAACGATGTTCATGACTTGGTTGAAAGTTTAGATGTCTCGCAGTGGAGATATGCTGTCAAGGCAATTTATGCGTATACTTCTGATCTTGCCATCAGAAATACTCTTTTAGTTCAATTAGGTGATAGAGTTTCAGACTCGGGAAACAGGCAAGACGCACTCCTGTTGTATTTGGGCGCGCAATCTTTGGATAAGGTGGCTGAAATATGGCTGAAGGAGTCTATGACTTTGGAAAGCAAATTAAAGTCTAAAAAAGACACCATATATGAAGCACACTTAGAATGTTTGACGGAGTTTGTCGAACGTTTCATTGTCTTTATTAGTCTAATCAGTGACGATCAGCATCAAAGAATCACCAACGAGGGCCTGATTTCTAAATTCTTGGAATTTGTTAACTTGACGTCAGCTAACGGTGATTTTGACTTGGCTCTCAAGTTCTTGAGCATTTTACCAAGTGATAACGAGGAAGTCACAACTGAGAAACAACGAGTGTTGATTGCATCTAACAAAGAAATAACGAACGGTCTTGCCGTGAACAGCAAATCCAAGATCCAGAAACCGCGTTACGCTGCTACTAACTCTTTTGGTGCACCTTCTGTTGTGGGACTTGGTGTTGCCCAACCAAACGCCCCCGCTCCACCATTTTCGGGTGCTACTCTCCCACCAACTCAAGCGGACACCGCAGGTTACCAGCAATCGGCTCCTTTGGTGTCTCGAGCTGCGTCTATTGCGCCGGTGCAAACTGCTCTGAAGACTGGGGTTTATGCCCCTACATCAGGTACACACGCATCATCTACAAATAAGTACGCGCCACTAAACGAAGCAGTATCCCCAGGTGGCATTACACGCGTTCCAACGGCCTCTGTGCCACTGGCCCCATTGGCGGCAAATGCGTACGCACCTGCCGCTAATCAGGCCCCTGTGATGAACGCGCCCTCAAACCCATACTCAAACCGTTATGGCGTCGCCTCTACTCAGCCTACCTATACACAGCCCTTCAAACCTGTCGCTACTGTCATTGGAAGCGGACCATCTGGATTTAGTGGCGCAGCCCAACCGGTAGCACCTCCCCCAATCAATGGTGCATCAGGTCAAACTCCGCACTTGAACAAAAAGGCTAACGATGGATGGAATGATTTACCTTTGAAAAAGGTCGCGGACAAACCCACTCGTGCCAAAGCTGTCTCGGTAGCTCCCGCTAGTCTGGCTACTTCTCCAGGTGCCGTCGGGCCACAATCAACTTTTGGCACCATCCCACCACCTCCCATGTCGAGAGTTACCTCTTCGGCATCCATTCAAACACCCGTACCTCAAAGAAAGCCATCAAAGGCATATGCCCCATCAACTGGTAGTGCCTCGCCTTCAATAGTTAGTGCACCCGCTCCAGGACCAGCTCCTACAGCTGGATTCGCGCCTCCAGCCAACCCTTACGCCCCTCCACCTGCCACAACTTTACCTTCCAATCCGTATGCCCCACCTTCCAGTGGATTGAGGCACGGGCAAACGAGTTATGCGCCCCCAGCGAGTTTACCTTATGCCGGTACCAACCCTTTGAACGGTCAGAGTCTACCTCCACCCACCACGCAGAAGCCTCCTGTAGGTCCTCCCCCAAAGAACGTGAAAAGAAAAGCACATGCCTCCGGTGACGTTGATTCGGCGAATGCCTTGCTAGAATCTGTTCAAAGAAAAGCAGAGACACCATTGCCTGCTCCTACGGCCGTTCCAGCCCCAGCTCCTGCTTCGTCTTCTAGTGCAGCTCTACCTGTAACTGATGGCTACAGTCAAAGCCATTCGCCGGCAACTGTGGCCCCTGCTGCTACATTGGATAGCAACTTACAAGAAGTTCCATCGGATCAGCAGCCGATTGTGGATTTTCTGACCAGTGAGCTGGCTCGCGTCACTCCGTTGATACCACAGGAGTACACCAAGCAACTAAAAGACTGCCATAAAAGGTTGCATATTCTTTTTGGTCACTTAAAAAGACAAGATTTACTAACACAGCCAACCATTGAGAGGTTGCATCAAATCGTGGCCCTGATGCAAGAACAGCGCTACGCGGAGGCCATGCAAGTTCATGTAGATATCGCAACTAATTATGCTCAAGACGCTGGAAACTGGTTGACTGGGGTGAAAAGACTAATAGGTATCGCGGAGGTCACCTCTAGCTAAGCAAAATCTGTGTATTTTCAAATATAATACATTACTGTTGTCTAATACGGCCGAACGCCGTGTTACTGATATGTTTTCAGCACTTCTTGTTGAGGTCGCAATTTTAAGTTAAACTTCAAAGATGGTCTCAAAACAATAAAATAATAATAAACTAACACTTCACAAAAATCTAGGCATAAGCAGAGAGGCATTTCAACACCCCTCTAAATTATTTCTTCGATTCCTTGAGCTTTTTATTATATAGTGGCCTCACAGAGAGAGAACCCTCGACTTTATTTTAATTAATCTTGACAGTTGTGAATCATTTGCAGAACGGTAACCACAGAGGTCTTAGTCTCGAGACAATACAAAAAAAATACTCATTGATGCTTCCACGAAGATTGTAAAGAGGCGTCTTAGTAGTAAGCTGAAAGAAGTAGGATTTTTTGTATTAAAGCACTATAATTACTACACTTGATTCCATTATGAGGAAGCTCTATTAAAAACACCCAACGTAAACCTGTTGTGTAAATAGCATCCGAGTTATACGACTCTATAATCCGGGCGGTGTTTACAACCTTTTGGGGCAGCTTACTGACTTTTGGCGCCATTCCAGAACTCAGGTACGCATGTGATACGAAATATGTGTAATATCATCAAAGTGTCAATAGTATAATGAGCATCATGCCATCATGTCAAGCGATCTCACAACTATATCGAGCAGATACGGAAAGTTGAAGGTAACAAAGTAGGTCAAATATTGGGGGACTTATCAGAGAGAGAGAGAGAGATAGAGAGAGAGAGAGAGAGATACCTCAAGGAAGTCCCTTCAGCTGGTCCACCACGATCAATGAATGGGTCAGATCGAAATTTGGCTTCTAGAGGAGAAAACGAGGTCTGTAAAGCGAGTACGGCCAGCTTTTTGGACGATGCAGTTAGGGGTCTTAACCGGAAGCTTGCGTTTCGATGGAGGCGGAAAATTGTTTATGATGAAAAACCGTTCAAGGAATCGGAGCCAGCAAGTCCAGATGCAGTTTATGAAATGTATTACGAGAATGCGGAGACTCATCTAAATTTGACAAAGTTTAACTCCACTGCATTTCTCCAGCCAGCTCGTGAGCAATCAGGCATCATGTCAATCTTGGTTGGCGTCTTCGTTGCAGTAGGCGGCTTCTTATACGGTTACGACACTGGTCTCATCAATAACGTTTCTGAAATGCAGTACGTCAAGGCTCACTTCGCGCAAAACCACGAACAATTTACGGCTAGAGAAATGTCCATACTGGTGTCCTTTCTGTCTTTGGGCACATTCGTAGGCGCGCTGGTCGCGCCTGTAACCTCTGATGCTTACGGCCGCAAGACAACCGTGATTTTCAGTACATTCTTCATCTTCATGGTTGGCAATTCATTGCAAGTTGCTGCTAGCGGGATGACTCTTTTGGTTCTGGGTAGAGTCTTTTCGGGGGTCGGGGTAGGATTTATATCTGCTGTGGTTCCGTTATATCAAAGTGAAGCTGCCCAAAAACAAATAAGGGGAGCCATCATCTGTACATATCAATGGGCAATCACTTGGGGTCTTTTAGTGTCCAGTGCCGTTTCTCAGGCGACACATAATCGAAATGATGCTTCGTCTTACAGAATTCCAATAGGGCTCCAGTACCTGTGGTCCTGCATATTGGGACTCGGGATGATTTTTTTGCCAGAAAGCCCACGGTACTACGTTCTTAAAGATCAGCTCGACCTCGCTGCTAAGTCCTTGTCTTTCCTACGGGGCGTTCCGGAGGATGATACTGGCCTTCTCGAAGAATTAGTCGAAATCAAAGCAAACTATGATTACGAGATGTCTTTTGGCTCCTTCACATATTTAGACTGCTTTCGGTCTAGCAAAGGGAGAACTAAACAAACCTTGAGGATGTTTACTGGAATATCGATACAGGCATTTCAGCAGTTTTCAGGTATAAACTTCATTTTTTACTATGGCGTGAATTTCTTTAGTAAAACGGGGATTGAAAAGAGTTACTTGGTGTCTCTGATAACATATGCCGTGAATGTAGGTTTCAATGTTCCAGGACTCTTTTTGGTCGAGTATATGGGTAGACGCAAAGTTCTACTGCTTGGCGGGACCCTTATGACAATAGCCAACTTTATAATTGCCATCGTTGGTTGCGTTGAAAAATCAGTTGTTGCCGATAAAGTTTTGATAGCTTTTGTTTGTCTCTTCATTGCATCATTCTCAGCTACATGGGGCGGTTGTGTTTGGGCAATTTCAGCCGAACTTTACCCACTAGGGATCCGATCCAAAAGCACTGCAATTTGTGCCGCGGCCAACTGGCTAGTGAATTTTATCTGTGCGCTCATAACACCGTATTTGGTAGACACGGGAGCACATACTTCTTCCCTAGGAACCAAAATTTTTTTCATCTGGGGAAGTTTGAATGCAGTTGCCGTGGTTATTGTATATCTGACGGTTTATGAGACTCGCGGCTTGACTTTGGAGGAGATCGATCTTTTGTACCGACTCTCTCCTAATAGCGTGGCGTCTCCTGCTTGGAATAGCAAGATAAGAAATTCGCCTGGATCGATCCGGGAGATCAGAATCAGTCGCCAGAGGGATGGGCGACATGAGCACGAGCCACATGTCTCGCAACCTAGTCGTTCCGATTCCAGTTACGAAGACCCTAGCCCGTTGAAGCGCGTCGAAAGCGCAAACAACAACTACGTCGATCTAGGCAATGGGCTAGGCCTGAATTCTTACAACAGGGGTCCACCCTCTGTATTGATGAACTCGTCATCTTCCGAGGAGAGCGCGTGCGAAGGAGAGGAGCACGACGCTGCACATGAGGATCTTAATGATCATAATAATTATAGTGAGCAAAGCACATCGGTGGGTTCGTCCCGTTCCCACCAATATAGTATGGATGCCACTAGTAACATCAATGACTACATGGCCCAATGGATGCACATCCATGGCCAGAACAGCGCGGGCCGCAGTTAAACATAACTATGTAAGTTTCAAGCACCTTACGTGATAATCCATTTAGAGACGACTTAGCAAGATGGAAAATGCATTGGGACAAGTTGAGATGGTGCGATACAATGTAAAACGTTCTCAGTACACAGCCTTGCTCTATTGGAGCTCGAAACGGCCGAAGCCATTGAACTTATAGCGATCTCCCATATCGTATAGAGGTACGTACCTTGACGTGAACTCTTCATTATATTACCTTCATGCTCCAACACATACCACCCTGGTCTTTAGGATAGCCGGTAGGCGCGAAGTAACTAGACCAGGATCCTCTTTACAACTATTCGGCGATTTAAGCTACGAGGAATCGCCCACAATGACCAAAATACATTCGGCTGTGATGAAAGATCATGACGGGAATTGGAGGAAAGATCAACGAGATCGGCAGCGGGTTCCAGCAATTACCAATGGCCGTACCAATCCAGCCAAACCAAGTATAAACAAGGTCAAGAATTCGATAGAATCGATGGCTTTGAGCCCGCCAGATAGCGACGTGGTGAAAAAAAAGTTGGAACAAAATCAAATGAAGGGCATTTGGAGCCAAAGTGGCGGGAACATCGAGTATCTGTTCTGTAAGGTTCTCCTAGGGGTGCTATTCGCATTATATGCTGGTATTCGCTATGTTCAATATGAATTCAACCGTATCAAAATTTTGGTTTTGAACTTAGCCTACAATCCGTCGAACTCTCCACAGTTGATACGCCAGGACGTGATGAAACTAGAGAAATTGCCGAGGCGCCTGGCGGCCATCTTGGAAAAAAAGCGTGAGGGAGATGTAGGTGGCGGTGTTAGTGGTATTCTCAACGACGGCAGCGAGCTGGTTGCGTGGTCCGTGTCAGCGGGAATCAAGCACCTGTCGTTATACGACTACGATGGCCACCTCAAGCGTAATGTCGACGACTTTCGCGATAATGTTTTCCATAAGCTTTCCAAATTTTATGACCCAAAGAACGTGCCCAAATTTGCCGTACGCATCCCACAGTGGAATAAGGTGTACTTCAACTCACCCGGAAGTGAAGCCAGTGAGAGTAAGAAGGTCCTAATAGAAATTTCGTTACTCTCTAATCGAGACGGGCGCGAGACCATCATTGATCTAACGAAGGCTATGGCAGAGCTGTGTGCCAAAAACGAGATGAAGCTGTCCGATATCACCATGAAACTAATCGACACCGAACTCATCCAGCTTGTAGGCCATGAACCCGATCTGCTCCTCTATTTTGGACCCAGCCTGGACCTACAAGGGTTTCCGCCATGGCACATACGACTAACCGAGCTCTATTGGGAGCAGGACAATGATCAAGTCACTTATTCTGTTTTCATTCGCGGGCTAAAGAAATTCGCTGATTGTAAGATGAATGTGGGAAAATAATAAGGGAGTCTTATGCTAATTGCTTCTACAAGTAGTCCCGTTCAAACCCCGTTCTCTCAACTGGTCATCAATTAATTATCACCAACGATGTCATTATAATGATCATGACATGTTCTATCATCATTAACCCTTTTGCATATTCACAAGATCTGAACTAAGATCCGTCTCAACTCGCATCTGCTCTCAACCATCATATGCTATCAAATAGATCCCAAGTAGCTACATAATAGATAAATGGCTAGCACTAGTCATCGGATTTTACCTCCGGAGGCACATACTGTCATAAGAAAGTAATCTTGGACGACAGAAGCCACCCGTATCATTAAAAAACACAGGTGGATAACTAATCTGAGTTTCGTGTCAACACCTTACCAGAGGATAAACAAAGGACAGAGACAATTTAGAATCCTAGTTTTGAACTACTGAAGCACGCATTATCACTCATAGTAGTATGTACGCATTTGATGAGAAAAAAGGGCTGCTACATCAAGACAAGAGCGACGCGTCCTAGCGATAACCCACGAGATAGTATCGGTTGCGATCTAATGATTTACTAACCACGTCTGAACAGAGGAAAAGTCACAATGGGTATCTATATTTCCAAGCTTTTCAACAGTTTGGTGGGCTCCAAGGAGATGCGTATTTTGATGGTGGGTCTAGATGGTGCCGGTAAGACGACTGTTTTGTACAAATTGAAGCTGGGTGAAGTTGTGACCACAATCCCAACCATTGGATTCAACGTCGAAACCGTGGAGTACAAGAACATCTCCTTCACTGTGTGGGACGTCGGTGGACAGGACAAGATCAGACCATTGTGGAGACACTACTTCAGAAACACCGAAGGTATCATTTTCGTGGTAGACTCGAACGACAGATCGCGTATTTCCGAGGCCAGAGAGGTTCTACAAAGAATGTTGAACGAGGACGAGATTAGGAATGCCACGTTGCTCGTTTTTGCCAACAAGCAAGATTTGCCCGAAGCAATGTCGGCTGCGGAAATCACCGAGAAGCTAGGCCTGCACTCGATCAGACAACGTCCATGGTTTATCCAGGCTACTTGTGCTACTTCCGGTGAAGGTTTGTACGAAGGATTGGAATGGTTGAGCAACAGTTTGAAAAACCAAAACTAGGTGCACGGGAAAGGACCACGCGGCTAACCCCAAAAGAAAACTGTGAAAGAGAAAACTTAAGACAAAAGTCTGAGACAGGCCCTGCCTGTTTTGAACGCTCCCGAATCTGGCATTCAATTTTTTTAATATAAAGGCAAGTTTTGTTGTCATGTATATACGAAGATCGCTACAAGTATCAAAGAAGGTCTTTCAGTCATCAACAAAATATAATATTCGAGAGTACCTACGCGGAACTCTCCAGTAGCGGCCTCGTCCTTTTGAATCACTTGGCGAACATAGAATTGGTCCAAATGTTCAGCGTACTTCGTACAAACTGATCTGTTGATCTAAGTTTTGAGGGCGGATTGTCTCCTAATATATTCAGGAAAAATTTGATAGCCAAGTGCCTCTGTTAAGATCCGATACGGAACACCTTACCTGTACAAACCAAGCAAAACTAGTATGTGATGAGGGATGAATAGCTATATCGATTCAACTAAAGGCGGTAGACCGGGATTGAATTCTCTGCTGGGTTTTTACTGAATTTGCGGACTTTCTTTGGTCTAATTTTAAGCAAGTTTTTGTATTGTTGGGGGTTGGGATCGAGCGGTGACCTTCCGGTCTCTACGGGACCACCCACCGATTTCAGAAGCGTTAGCTTGCAAGTAAATCACGTCGCCTACACTCGTCGCCACATAGGGGTTTTAACTCAGAGGATGGCTTCCATGGTACCGTTGTTTTGAGGATTATGGCGTGGTGCCTTTTCTTGTGCCCGAACCAGTACTAACCATGAAACACAGCAAATATGGGTTCTTCATTTTCTAAGCTGTTTAGCAGCCTTTTTGGCCACAAGGAGATGCGTATCTTGATGGTGGGTCTAGATGGTGCCGGTAAGACGACTGTTTTGTACAAATTGAAGCTGGGTGAAGTTGTGACCACAATCCCAACCATTGGATTCAACGTCGAAACCGTGGAGTACAAGAACATCTCCTTCACTGTGTGGGACGTCGGTGGACAGGACAAGATCAGACCATTGTGGAGACACTACTTCAGAAACACCGAAGGTATCATTTTCGTGGTAGACTCGAACGACAGATCGCGTATTTCCGAGGCCAGAGAGGTTCTTCAAAGAATGTTGAACGAAGATGAAATTAGAAACGCGGTCCTGTTGGTGTTCGCTAACAAGCAGGATTTGCCAGAAGCAATGTCGGCCGCCGAGATCACCGAGAAGTTAGGCCTACACTCGATCAGACAACGTCCATGGTTTATCCAGGCTACTTGTGCTACTTCTGGTGAAGGTTTGTACGAAGGATTGGAGTGGTTGAGCAACAACTTGAAAAATCAAGCTTGAGTTTAATGATTTGAGTAGACAGGAGCAAAATGAAGCAAAACCGTGCGTGCTGAAACGCGACTCACTCAAGGTACAGGTGCCGTGTGAATGTATTGGTTCAATGTATTGCAAATTTACTTAGCACGTAGATGAAATAGCGAACCTTTTTATATCAAAGTCCGGGGTTTTGCTCCGTGGAGCACCTCTGAGAGCTTCGGATCTTGCATGCTTGCGCAATGCTACAGACCGTCGTCTGGATCACGTAGATGGTAAATAGTTGGATGGGTATATTCACCAAAAGATCTGTGGCATTGGCAACATTTCGTCAGCATTCACACTTATCATCAAATGTTTGTGGTAGCCGTCCAGTCCCGGTAGGGCTCAGGCTGGGCTCAAAGAGGGCTCGAAAGCGGTCTACGTTCGTTTGGTCCATCCGCCTTTATCCAATAGCTCTCGATGCCCATTACATTATCACTATCAACGCAAGGCTGGGACCGGATTGATTTGTCTACACTGCTTGGTGGGGCCCTATCGGGAAACAAGTGGTTCTGGAAACAAACGGGAAACAAACGGGAAACAAAACCGAAATTGCCTAAAGGACGGCCTGATAACAGGAGTAAGCTTTCCCTATGGTCTCGACCTGTCACGGTATTGTGTGCCACTCGCTTGCAGCAGCTGTCTAGAGCTTTTCTGCGCCAATGTTAACACCAGCCGCCCTCATTGCAGTTGGAGAACGCTAGCGTGTGAATTTATGGCTTATATAGGCTTCTACGACATGGGACTGATCTCTGATTCGAGCCACGTACACTACCTCCTTGTACTACTTCCTCGTACTACATCCTTCCCGCCTTATCCCACCGTCCTTCACAATCTTAACTGACACCCGCTGTCACATGACATCCACCGCGCCTTCCATTTGACTGTCAATATCCAGCACCCATACCTTTTTAAAATGAGTTCAAAATAAAAACTTTCGAAAAAAACTAGACTGCTCCGCAAATTGTTTTGACCACCGCAAAGTTGGGTGAATGACGCTGATTTTCCGCATTTTTCAGCGTTTGAGAGATCACTTTGTACTAAATGGAATATTTCGATGAAGTTCAGGTATTTGCTTCCATCACTAAGTACGTAGTAGCGCAATGTGCTAGCACCATGGTCGTGCTGAACTTGAAAAAAAACTCTTCTCTACAAGGACTCCATAATCTAGTTATCATAGCTTTCGACTAAAATCTTAGCAAGAGTAAAGACAAAATGGTATGTTTGAGACGGCTGTCAGTGGCCCAACCGCTTCCCTGAGGGTACAGATGGGAAAGGGAGCTCCTAGAGGCTTGGAGAACCGGACATCAGCTGCGAAGAGCAGCCTGTTGCAGAACAGCTAGAGAACACCAGGCTTGCGACGGCCAGAAAAGGTGGATATGCGAAGACTGGACATTTGTGGGTGTGCTTTGGCTTCGTGCTGCTGCCATGTTTCCACGGAGGGCTTATCAAACTAGCACGCTAGCACACCACAGCATTCACGCCTGGTTGTGGGGTGTGATCGTGTTAATGTCATCCAGCAGTCTGTGAAAAAGCTGGTTTTCTACTAGCATCCAGTGAGCATCCCCCCTCTCCGGCCTTCCACAAACCGCAGCTCAATCAACATTACTAACTCATTTTATTAGGCCGGTGTTAAATCTTACGTACTAAGAACCAAGTCTAAGGAGCAATTGGAATCCCAATTGGTTGACTTGAAGAAGGAGTTGGCTTCTTTGAAGGTCCAAAAGTTGTCCAGACCTTCTTTGCCAAAGATCCACACTGTCAGAAAGGACATTGCTCGTGTCTTGACCATCATCAACGAAAACCAAAGACAAGCTGTCAGAGAGTTGTACAAGGGTGCCAAGTACCAGCCAAAGGACATGAGAGCTAAGAAGACCAGAGCTTTGAGAAGAGCTTTGACCAAGTTCGAAGCTTCTCGTGTCACTCCTAAGCAAAAGAAGAAGCAAATCGCTTTCCCACAAAGAAAGTTCGCTATCAAGGCTTAAATGAGCGCGTGGTTTGCCTATATAAATTGGAAAAGTCTTTAGTCTCATCTCTCTCCGTGTCATACGAATTCGTGGAGTTTTTTGTCTGCATATATAAAGACTTCAACATGGAACTTTGTTAATTAACTTGGCTATTATTAGAGCTTTTCTATACACACACGGCACTGGTTACGCGTGGTTTACCCGCGATCCATTCTTTTCTTATGCCTGAACAGATGAATTTCATGTCTCAAGTCATCGTTGGGAATCACGTCTTCTAACTTCAATGGCATCCGGTTGAACGGGTCAGTAGAATCACTTAGGAGATGCGCTTTTATCGTGCTACGGTCAATCGTCACTCTTGAAGCTGGCAAAATGACGGGATCTTTCATTATGGTGAACATCAACGGATCTAAGTATTCATCGGGCGCCTCGCCCATCTCAAGGTCTTCCTCTTCTTCGGCGATCTTCTGGTCCTGTGCATCCCGTGCGAACTGCAATAACTTAACACAAAACTCATCATTCACAAGACCAGTCTTGGTGCCCAGGATATGAACTGACCTATCAAACATTTCTTTGCTGAAAGATCTACCATCTCGGGCAACTGCAGATATGAATTCGGGTTGTTCAGAAAGATTAATGTAAACGGTGCTCAAAGATTTTAGTAATGTCTTGGCATCAAAAGAGTATTTTCTTGGGTCTTTAACCTTTAATTCCCGACACTTTGGCCCAACCAACGATGCCAGATTGTAATCCAACATTCCAGCCAATCTATCTACGATTTCTGGTGTACAGAAAGCACCTGGGATGTCTTTAGAAAAGATGTTGAACAAAGTAATTGACTTTTCCGCCAGGCCGCAGGACGATTTCGCTTGTCTTTCTGAAGAGGCCAATTTGGATTGCAGTTCTTCATCATTTTCCTCTCTTGTAGGGGCCACACCTCGCGCCCTATTTTCCATTTCACGTTGAATGTTATGCACTTCCGCCAAGCTACTTAGGCCCTCGTCCAATAAAAATGTAAGGTCGTTTAGCATACGGGCCACAAACCTCACGAAGAAGTCTGCATTGTTCTTGGATTGCCAAATAATTTTTTGAGAATACTTTGGAATTTTGTAGAGCTCTTCAAGCAAAATAGAGATGCTGTATCTGCTGTTGAACTTATCATAAAATTGAGACGACGACCCAGTTTTTTCGACTATAACATAGAAGTCCAGTAAGGCATATAACAAATTATCACTTACTAAATCGTTGTTCTCAAGACAACTCATCATAAAGCCAGGAGTGTCGTCGCGCATTGGCATTGCACCCAGGCTCAGAACCTGAACTAGTTTACCTTTGAGATGTGGGTTAGAAACAAGTTCAGGACATCTCAATATAACGGTCGCCATCTCGATAAATGAATGTAAGCGAGGATTATTGAAAAGGGGTGACATCACAAACTTGGAAATATGCTGGGTGTAATTGATGATTCCCTCAACGACGAATTCTGGGTAGTACTTGAAAGGAACTGGAGCATTTGCCCTCAGATAATCGGCATTGTCAACATTCTCCACACCCACTTGATCGGGTATGAGTGGCAGATGTATCTGCTTGAAGGGAAACTGATGAAATGGATCTATCACTCTCACCAAAAAGGTAGATGCACCGCTTATAAAATCGAAGACTTCAAGTTGCAGATTTTTATGGGAAAAGAAACCTTGTAAAGCTTCCTTTATAGACTGCATTGTCTGAAGCGACCTTTCTAAAGATGGTAGTTGCATAGCGGCAAATCTAGCGAAAACATCCTGGGATTCTGTAGCCCTCTTGATTCGTTCAATCTCTTCCCTCATCCGCTTAACCTGTGGTGTAACTTTTTCCTCGTAGAGAATAGCTCCTCCAATACCATAGTGCAAATATGCTAGAGTGAGGAAAAAGCAATCAGATATGAAATTCGGTTTATGTTCCGCGCTCTTCTTGTTCTTATCATAAAATTCATCAGCTTCCTTGAAGTCTGAGTTCATGCGGGTTTCACTCGATAAGTCTAGAATTAAGTTCAGGTTGTTAAAATAGTTGACATCGATTTTGTCGATTTTTTTGAATGAAACATCGAGGAACGGCTGCGAAAACCGTACGAGCAGGAGGGCAATATTGGTAACAAAAGCGTTAGACGCCAACTTGTTAGCATTTGCATGATCTCCCCTTCTTAGATGGTTTTTATTGATAATCTGCGCGAAATACGACAGCAAATCCGTGCGAGATTCGTTCGACCCTCTGATGATCCTGTCAATGATAAAAAATAGACGATCTAAGATCATTTTGTGTTCGGTCTGTAGCGATTCGTGAATTATATTAGTCTGTTGTTGAGTGCGTTCGAGATTGTCACCATAGTTGTGTAATGCAACGCTCGCATTTAATGGCGAGAGCGTCAATATAGGCCCAAGTAAAGTGACCTTCTCGAATAGATTAGGCTTAACATCGTACTCTGCAAAAAAGCCACTCACTTTTGTTATTACTGCGGCTACTGGCTTGAACGATACGAATAATTCAAACAAGGTCAAAACCGCAGAGGAGGCATGGGATTCGTTGAGATTGAAAAGCTTTAGAGAGTCGATGAACTTTTTTAGCGAAGTAAAAAAGCTTTCTATGAACTCAAGCAACGAATCTTCCTGTATCGCACGCTGGATCATCTGTGACAGGAAATCCGTATACTCGTCAGCTCTAGAGATGATCTGCTCTATGTAGCGCAAGAAATTATCTTCGCCAGGGCAAAACTCCTCTAGTTGAAACAATACCAGCCCGTACCCGGTAACGAGTCTCTCAATTTCTAAAAGGGCGCTTGAATCTGCTTGCTGTGACTTCTTAGCAATCCTTTTTTGTACCTGTACACGCTGGAAACAATCCCTGAGATAGGTGAATTGCCGCGGGGCCAGGCTCGAATTCTCAGTGAGCTGGTAGAGTAATATAGCGTCCACTTGATTCATGTCAAGGGGCTCTACAAACTCATCGGGCAGAACATGATAATCTCTGGGGGTGTCGCGATGGTTAGAAACCCGCAGAACATCTTCCAAAATACCCATCTCTTGATTTCGTACTCCTGTTTTATATTCTAAAGATTGGGCCGCCCGTAAAACCTTGACGCTTTTGGGCTTGAAAATTCACAAAAAGAGGGCAGTGAAGCTGAGACAAGTTAGTGACGGCAAGGTGTTTAGTATTCACTCAAAATAAACACCTTTCCTTTCTGAGATACCGCTGTCCAGCTGTTTTGTTCAAATCGAATTTGCTTTATCTCCCGGGTTCATTAGACATTCACTTGTATTTACGTATATTGCATATCTATATATATAATAATCATACTAATAAAATCATAATACCAACATCGGAGAAAGGGATCGTTGGCTGATCATCGGTAAAAGCCGAAACTGGTGGTTTCAGAAGCCCAACCAGTACTGACTCGCTGTATGATGGATCATGGCAAATTATCGAGAGCAATGGCGATTGCCCTTTTTGAAAGAGCCTACGATAGACGATTTGTCATAGAGTTAGAAGATTCGATGATCTCGTTCATGGATTCGGGCCTAACATCATATCAACTCGAGTCAATGAACTCCTATTTTAGGCTACTGGCCCATCAGGTTGCCGAATATCACGGTCTTAGACATGAACTAGCTAAAAACAATGATTCGTGCGTGGTGGTTTTTAAGGGAGAGTCGTTTGTGCGGGACGTGAACAAAGTGCCGTTGCAGAAACTTGATCCTTCGGAGGCAAAATGTGATAATTGGTCGCAGGCCTCGAGCGATTCCGAAGGGGGTGAAATTGGACAATGGAAGGGCCCCAATAAATGGAAGCCAAAAGTTCCTCACCACCATCGAGTCAAAGATCAAGTTCTAGCCTCGCAGAACGGCCTCCCAACAACTCCTAAGAAATCTACTGTGGTAGATGATGACTCCCCCCAACCACATCAGTTCGAAACGTCGAGATATAGGTTCAGACGCCAACAGCAAGCTTCTCCGGCACAGGGGCCCCGGAGGAGAAAATCTTACAAAAACACAAACACTTATATGGGGCCCCAAATGTTTTACCAAGCACCTCCCATTATTCCTCCAAATTTTGCGATGCCTTATATGCTATACAATTCCTATCCAATGATTTACATGCCACCGGAAAATCAATATTCACAATACCCTCAGGGGCCTCTCTCGATGCCAGCAGGCCAATTTAACTATGGTCCATTACCAGAAGGACCATTGGCTGACTCTTCGAAAGGTGGCAGCACCTTATTTACCGGGAATAAGCTCGACATCGAGATAAACGCACCCAGTGAATCCACTAGTGTTGGTGGGGAGGAAGCTTTCAATGAGAGACCTAGAAGCTCTTACTCGCCTTTCAATTAAAGCCAATTAAGACCAGTTGTACCCTGGGGCCTTATCGGACATAGATTTGAGGAGTTGGTTGTTATCCTAATATGCATGTCGCAAGTTTAATGAAGTTTAAAGAAGAGCTCACCTATCTCCGCAACTATATAACATTATGTTTCCATGGCTTATAAAGTGGCTAAATCAAACGCGAATAATCGTCCTCTAGTACTTCAACCTTTCTTGAATGCATAGGAGTGCTGAGGCACCTATTTTTTGACAATTTCGACCCCCCAATTCAGAGTCAAATGGTTAGTTTTGTCATCATCAATAAACTTAGAAACAGCGCTGTAGCTGCCTCTAGCAAAAAACCCACTAGGGGCTTCGCTTTCGGGTAGTTCGACTTCGTAGAATGGTTTTGTTGTGGTGTTTGGTGCATAAGAACCGAGGTGGTCGTCGATCTTATCAACAGCAATACCTGCCTTCTTGACGTATTGAACATACCTGAGCCCCGTAATAATCTCATGCTGCACTTTGAACGTAATTTTCAATTTGAACGCTGAGCTTTCCTTGATCTTGTGGCGCACGGTGGCCAGTTCCTTGATCGTTTTTTCGTTCGTGAGATCAAAGGTGACTGGGTTTTGTTCAGTGTTGACCAGCAGCTGAATTTTGAGAATCATAACCTTGCGCTGATCACCTGGAAATTCTAGAGGCAAAGTATTTGCACTTAGACCTAGACTTTCTTTCCATTTGGCTAGGGATTCATCTTCTGCGTCTAAATTTTGATATTCTGCGAGTGTCTTTTTAGCGGCGACTTTGTATCCGTGATCATTATCATCTTGGAAGTCTTTGAATTCGCTTTCCTCGCTCATCGTGAATTAAGCAGGCGTTCAACTAAGTGGTCTGGTAAGAATCGTACTGAGAAAGTCTGGCCTCAGGCTATCAGATTTCTTGATCTCTGTTTTTTGCACTTGGTACGAAGTGTCGGGCCAATCCGGCTTATAAGTTCTGTAGATAACCTGCAAGAGAAGACTAAATATATAAAACGATTAGATATTAGGCAATGACAAGAATGAGCAACACTAACAAAAACTGTCAACTTGTTGGCTTTTCACCTTTGGGTTGAGCTTATTACGATTATTGTTTTTTTTGCCGTGTAGACCGCTGTGCTATGAGCTTCCCAAGCTTCGCGGACTTCAAGAATGGTAATCTTGACCTGCAACTGCAGCTGCTGGAACTATTGTTTGAACGAAGCTCGTCACTAGAATCAATTACGTTAAAAAACCCTGACTTCATGAATCATATAGGATCCGATTATGCGTCATTTGTGGAAAAAGTTCGGACTGGGCTTCACTCTCTCTGTCACCGAGCGATCAGGGGCGATCCAGAGGCCAAGAATCATCTAAGCAATATAATCGCTGCCCATCCAAAATTGGGACAGCCCAAACAGAAGCTGTCTGCGCATTCAGCGCATGAACAGCGCAACTTAGGAAACTCCGATTCGAAAGAAATACTAGAAACACTCAATGTTTTAAATACCCGGTACGAGGCCAGATACCCTGGTCTTAGATTTGTTGTGTTCGTCAATGGACGGCCGAGACCTGAAATCATCCAAGTTCTGCAACAAAGGATTGAATCCGGCAATTCGTGGTCAGAGGAGGCTCGGGTAGCTTGCAATGAAATGTGCGACATTGCCTTGGACAGGATCCATAAAACGCAAATACCACCATCTACACATAAGCTATAAGTAGAGCGTTACAGTAACTATTGCGTATGTTGTATAGTTGTATATTATCAAACAGATACAGAGCGAGAATTACAGTAACAGTAGTACTTATTTCAGGTCCAGGAAAATTTTGGCGATTGGGGCACCATATGAAGAGGTGACAAGCATTGCATATTCTTAAATTGCGGCGATCTGCATGCTTGGGCCCGTAGATATAGTTGATCTACTTTTTCCGGTCCCGGTGACATTCCAAACTGTTTCACTCGCTTTATTTCACCGCTCTTTGAAATCCTCGTTGCCTTACCAGTTGTGTACATTCATAAGAAGTAGTCAGGGGTTTTCCTACTTACCGTGGGCTCACCCGGTCTCATGGATGGGTCATATTGTAAGAATTGACGGTTGTGATTTTCGTCAAATTCCATGATAGCAGCTTGATTACCACACCTATAGCAATAGTTGGGTGCGCTAAAAATTGTGACAACGCTTTGCTGATGGGACCAGGCGTACCCCTCCATGACCAGCTGATGTGCTCTTGCGATGAGTGACAGGTCGTTTGTATGATTAAACTGTTCGCTGATGTCTTGGCCAAAAGTGAAACCGGCTCCTCTTGGACTGATACCCCATCCGCCTCTATCGTCTGGATCAGACCAAAGTAGATCGCACATGGGACCCTCGTGTGGTACTTCCTGTATTCTATTTAGTTCGCGAACTTGATCTACAGTCTCGATCATCGGTGATAACCCCCCGTGTAGACAGAATACTTTGTTGTCCACTAATGCAGTAATAGGAAAATAATCGAATAAATCAGTGAACATCTTCCAAACATTTGCGCTTCCATACTTGCGCAGACACTCGTCGTAGAAGCCATAAACTTGAGTAATTTGACGTGACTCGTGGTTCCCTCTGAGAATGGTGATTCTTTTTGGATATCTTACCTTCATGGCAACCAAATATGATACAGTTTCGACCGAGTAGTAGCCTCTGTCTACATAGTCACCCATAAACAGGTAATTGGTGTCCGGACAGGGGCCACCTATTTTAAACAGCTCCATCAAGTCGTGAAATTGCCCATGAACATCGCCACATATTGTTACTGGCACATTTACAGGCTGCACATTACTTTCGAATTGCAAAACATCGACAGCCATTTTACAGAGTCTTCCGACATCTTCTTCTGAGAGCACCTGGCAGGAGCCCAGGTGCTCTATCCACCGATCTAATTGTCCGATGTTGCCGTCGTCTAGTTGAAGTGGTTTCGAGGCCTTATGATCTGCGATACCAGAAGATCCCGGGCCTTCACGGGTCTGCACACCGTCCTGGTGCTCCGTGCCGGCATCTTCATCCAATGTTGGGTCCAAAGGCTCCTCAGCCGCATCTTGCATCGCCACGTCGTTATCTATCTCCATCTTCGAAAGTTGAGCGCTCGAATGAAATTGAGAATAGAATGAACCTTATAAAGCCCAAATAATGTCTTGGTTAATTCGGTCAAACCAACACCTTTGAGGTTCGCGCTATTAATAAAACCAACGATAAAACAAGCTAAAAAACCCTTTACAGTTTCAGCTTGCGTTTCTGCACACCCAATTGGTTCTTAACCGTCTTATGACTATTCGATATAAAGACTCTATCTGTGTTCAACAGATCAAAAGCGACTTGTCCGGCAAAGGGGTTTTGTATTGTCTAACGCTATGTTCGTTAACTCCTAAGTTGGTTTGACTTGAAATTTTTCTCCCTTTGGGAAAACCTAATTCGTTCAGGGTAACAAATATGACGATGAATTCGAAATTGCCCATCTCCTACTAATTCGAGTTGAAATAGAGGTTACAGCTAAAGATATAGTAAAATGAGGGGCCTCGGCAGGTTAAAAGTGACCATTTTAGTACCCTATGGCTTTTTTCCGGGAAATTTTACTATAAAATGAGACTTCCAGGCTAAATCTGTCAACGTAAATGGACTGAGGAGTTCGAAGACATGCGAACTAATCTCAATGCGGATTTGACGGCTAAATCACTAGCTATATTTATTCAAGATGGTCTATGGAAGCATGCACACGGTTTGCTAGTGTAGCACGTGATCGTCATCTTCAAGAGCATCGAAGTGTGCCCAGATGGCGGTGCCAAAAACGTATCTACCGGTATAAGTGGGCTATAATCGCTTTTAAGTAGCGGCTGATCTTCCGTTTTTTCGGCACCTTGTTGTTGAGTTTCACCATCGGAGCGTTAGCGGGGGCTCGATGCAGGAAACCAAACAACCAAATGAACTTGGAGGTTGGGCTCCCGAAAAGCGGCAGAAAGTTAGAGCTGTTAGAATTTGTTGTCTTTGTTAAAAGAGGTGGTTGATATTGTTTGATAGATTACGGTAATTTCGGTGACGCCAATATGGTATAAAGTGATGTCTCCATCTCTGTCATCCCATCGCAGAGATGTGGTCTAAGATCGAAGCACAGTTGGATTCGGCTAGGTCGTGGTTCCCTCCCTCATATGAATTTTCTTGATCATTCATATGTGCTTTGAATTTATCAAGCGAAGACTTCCGGAAGGAAGTGGGCCGGCACTGACGCTGACACGGACACAGACACCTGTCCCAGGGAAACACAAGTAACCCAACAATTGGAAAAAAAACGATACTTAGTCCTTAACAGCCTTATTAAACTTTCGATACAGCATTATTCAACTAATCTAAGCTCTCTGCAGTATCACCAGTTTTTCTGAAGGTTGCGACAATGGATGGTGGTGGTATATTCGAAAGGCCGGTTACGCAAGACTTTCTGGGGTATGATTTGGAGCAGCCTGAATACACGCAAAGGGCACACACTCTACCAGCAAATAGCTCCGGCGTTCGTCAACTGGTAATCAAGAAACAAAATGGCCGTGTGATTGCCGCGAGAAGTCGGCTGGTGGATCGCATGGAGGATGCTTTAGTGCGCTGGCGTCCCCCTGCATCATGCCATAATGGTTCAACGGCAGCGATAGAAGGCAAGCATCCTTACCAGCTTGAAATAAATTCGAATTCACTATGCGATGAGCACGGTTTGAGCTCAATGAAAACTATCCGACAACGTTTCGAAAGTTTGAGTAATGCAGTGATAAAATCTAGAGGCAACGAAGCTGATCAAGCTAGTAAGCGTAATTCTGGGAGCGTTTTGCAGTCGATAAATTTAGAAGATTCTGAAAATACTTCGCATTCTTCCTCAGCAAGTGGCTTGCTGCAGGAAATTCGAGAAAGTTTACAGAGTCCGGCAGCCCTTAGAAGCACTCCGACCGCGGTTTTATGTGAGACTGTCCCAGAAGAACGTCCAGTGGATCCCATATCCTACAGTTTTCCTATTCCTACCTTTTACCTGCCAGCTCAGGATGTCAGACCGGTGGGAGAATCTACTAGAGATTTAGATGACGAGAACGAAACTGGGGGCTACTGGACACAGTTACGCCAATTTTGGGGGGAGCTTTGCCGTGACCTTAAAGCAATGTGTATATATGGCTGACACAGAAATGCTCCCGCGACGAGCGACGCGCTCTAGACTACCCAAGAGGTGGTAATAACTGAGAGAGAGAAAACATAATGGTTGAACTACCTGAATTTAGCAATAATAAGATAGTTAATTATTCAAAATTTGTTAATTCTCTGTTCCGTGATACCTGAAAGGTATCATAAGCAGCCCATTTACTATGCAAGGACTACAAGATTTACATTTCACACCCTTCTCAAAGAACTTCATTTCTGAAGCTTCACGACGATAGTTAGGAATGGAAACTTCAACACGTACGGAATAATCATTTTGGTTCCTCTCCAAGTTTATCTAGTAAAAGAAGTGTAGTGTTCGTCCATCGTCCAAACGGGTGTCGGTTTGGTACATAGTGACAAGTGGTTGAGGATTACAGAACGACTGAGGCGATGATCGAGGCTGCGCCAATCCCCACCTGATGGCACTGCTTCTTAGCTCTGCTATGTAGTCAGCTGGGAATAGTAGCCAGTTAGCGAGGTATATTAGCCAGATTTGACTCGCAAAACAAAAGAATATGCAAGAGCTGGTTAATCAGAAGGTATATAAAAGAACATACTAAAATCACCTATTAAGGATATCACTGCCACCCAGTGCAGGTGTCAAGTACACCTACGTCTACCATGGTTATGCAAATAATGTTCGTCGTTGTGTACGAGTGGTTCATCGAACATCCCAAGAGCGCTTTTGGCTTACGACACGTCTCTAGCAGCTTTATGAGCCTCTAAATGCCTCTGAAGGTGGCCATGAGCATAGGGCAAGGTTTTGCAAGGTAGAAACGTCTGTCATAATCCAACGTCTCTGTTCCGGGTAATCGTATTCTTTCAATTTTCGTTTATCATAACCAGGGGCCAAATTTATGGTCCTCGACCCTATTCAAACCAACGTCCATCAAGATAACACTTCTAAGTGAAGCAAAGATCGCCACACACTAGGCTTCATCAACGCTCATAGTTTGCCGCTACTTTAAACAAATTACGAGCTTACTTTGTACACTTTTCAAGCAGATTCCGCCAAGAAAGTCACCAAACAGACTTTTTTCTGGGAACTAGGACAGAAGGGACAAGTAGTAAAGTTATTGACAGAGACCGTTGTTTAGGCCCTACAGTTGGAAGATCTTTTAGCAACATGGCAGGTGCTATGGAAAATGCGCGCAAAGAGATCCAACGCATTTCGTTGGAAGACCATGCGGAGTCCGAATATGGGTCCATCTATTCCGTATCCGGTCCAGTCGTTGTGGCCGAAAATATGATTGGTTGTGCTATGTACGAGCTGGTCAAGGTAGGTCACGACAATTTGGTTGGTGAGGTTATTCGTATTGAAGCGGACAAGGCCACCATTCAGGTTTACGAGGAAACTGCCGGTGTAACTGTCGGAGATCCAGTTTTGCGTACTGGTAAGCCTTTGTCAGTGGAACTCGGGCCCGGCCTTATGGAAACCATTTATGATGGTATTCAGAGACCCTTGAAGGCGATCAAAGACAAGGCTCAATCGATTTATATTCCAAGAGGTATCAACGCCCCTGCCCTATCGCGTGACGTGAAATGGCAGTTTAAGCCGGCTAAAGACAAGAAGGTCGGCGACCACATCGCAGGCGGTGATATTTTCGGTTCTATCTTCGAGAACTCATTGTTGGAAGACCACAAGATTTTATTGCCTCCAAGAGCCAGGGGTACGATTACATGGATCGCTTCGGAAGGTGACTACACTGTTGACGAAAAAGTTCTGGAAGTCGAATTTGATGGTGTCAAATATGACTATACCATGTACCATACATGGCCAGTTCGTGTTCCTCGCCCTGTTACCGAGAAATTGTCCGCTGACTACCCACTTTTGACAGGACAAAGAGTCCTAGATGCTCTGTTCCCATGTGTACAAGGTGGAACAACTTGTATTCCAGGTGCTTTCGGTTGTGGTAAGACAGTCATCTCCCAATCTTTGTCTAAATATTCCAATTCTGATGCCATTATTTATGTCGGGTGTTTCGCAAAGGACACCGAAGTTTTGATGGCCGACGCTTCTGTGAAGTCGATTCAAGACATTGAAATCGGTGACCACGTCATGGGTCAAGACGGATCTGCTCGCGAAGTCACTGCTTTGCCCAGAGGACGTGATACCATGTACGACGTTGTCGAACACAACGAGAGCATTGACGGCGCGGGTCGCGATGAGGTCTCCAAGTTTGTCGATTACACCTGTAACGCTTCCCATCAATTAGTGGTCAGAACTCCTAGAGCTGTCAACTTTGCTTCCCGCTTATTGGAAGGAACTTGGTACAACGAAGTCACCAGCCTTGAGCTGAAGAACCACATCACTTCTGATGGTAGACTCATTCAGCTAGTTCAACCAGTTGCCAACAGATATCCTGCAAGTGAAGGAACGCAAAAGGCTACAGAATTGGTTGCCGCTTACAACAAAAGCTCCACAAAGGACTATATCGAATGGGCCATCGAGGCGAGAGACCTTGAAAAATTGGACGCCGGTATTCGTGAAGCTACTTATCAAGTTGCTGCTCCAATCTTCTATGAAAGTGATTTCTTGGCAAACTATGTGAAGGAGAGCAGCTACGAAACTCAAAGCAACGAGAGCCACGCAGTTCTTGCTTACTTACTTGGTTTATGGATCGGTGGTGGTATGACGCGCAGAGCTGCATTTTCTGTTCACCCCGAAGATGACTCCTTGATGAAACGTATCGAAAAATGTGCAGAAATCTTGGGTCTATGTGCTGAGTACAATGAGAACACCACTAGTAGAGCTAAGGCCGTCAATCTTTACAATAAGGCTGCTAGAAGGGAATCTTCTCGTCAAAACGTGAATACTGCTAACTTGTTGTGGGACGCTATTGTCGAATTAGGATTTTCGAAGGAGAACGGTAAGTCCATTCCATCTTTCTTGTCCTCAGATGCCATTGCTGTCCGTGAGGTATTTTTGGCCGGGTTGGTTGATTCTAATGGCTCTGTGGCCGAAAAGGAAGAGATCACCGCTACAGTGAAGACTGCTACCTCTCCTCTTAAAGAGGGGGTTGTCCGCGTTGCTCGCTCTTTGGGTTTGGATGTTTCGGTCAGCACAGATGTTTCTAAGACTGAGTTGGAAAGCTCATCGTATGCTGTCACTCTTTCTGGGGGAAATGTCTTGCGTTCTGTTTTGTCGAAATGTGCTAACTCCCAAAACTTTAGACCTATCACGGAATCGGTTGTTCGCGAGTCTAAGAAAGTCTATTTTTCTGTGAAGCAACTCGAATCAGAAGATAATTACTATGGTATCACTCTACCGCAAAACTCTGACCACCAGTTTATGCTAGCTTCTCAGGCCGTGGTTCACAACTGTGGTGAACGTGGTAATGAAATGGCCGAAGTTTTGATGGAATTCCCTGAGTTATTTACTGAAAGAAACGGAAAGAAGGAGCCTATCATGAAACGTACGACATTGGTCGCCAATACTTCTAACATGCCTGTGGCCGCCAGAGAAGCCTCGATCTACACTGGTATCACACTAGCTGAATACTTCAGAGATCAAGGTAAGGACGTTTCGATGATTGCGGATTCTTCATCCAGATGGGCAGAAGCGTTGAGAGAAATCTCAGGTCGTCTTGGTGAGATGCCTGCTGACCAGGGTTTCCCAGCCTACCTGGGTGCCAAGTTGGCCTCTTTCTACGAGAGAGCTGGTAAGGCTGTGGCGCTTGGTTCTCCAAACCGTGTTGGTTCTGTGTCTATCGTGGCTGCTGTCTCCCCTGCCGGTGGTGATTTTTCTGATCCTGTTACTACGTCCACCTTGGGTATCACCCAGGTTTTCTGGGGTCTGGACAAAAAACTGGCCCAAAGAAAGCACTTCCCATCGATCAACACATCGGTTTCCTACTCAAAGTACACCAACGTTTTGAACAAGTACTACGATGGCAACTACCCAGAGTTTCCTGGTCTAAGAGACCGTATGCGTGAGATTATATCGAACGCTGAGGAATTGGAACAAGTCGTTCAATTGGTTGGTAAGTCCGCTCTGTCCGACAGCGACAAGATTACTCTGGACGTTGCCACGTTGATCAAGGAAGACTTCTTGCAACAAAACGGGTACTCCACGTACGATGCCTTCTGTCCTATCTGGAAGACCTTTGACATGATGAAGGCGTTTGTCTCGTACCACGACGAAGCTCAGAAGAGTGTGTCCAACGGAGCGATCTGGTCCAAATTGGCCGAATCCACCAGCGACGTCAAGCACGCTGTTTCGTCCTCCAAGTTCTTCGAACCAAGCAGAGGCGAGGAGGAAGTGCACGGCGAGTTTGAAAAGTTGTTCGCCAACATTCAAGACAGATTTGCCGAATCTACCGATTGAGGGGCGTTAGGTGCAATTGCTTGCGCACCGGGCTTGCCCGGGCATGGAATACGTAACTCAAAGATAGAAAAGAACCGTATATAATTTCGAATCAAAAGACCACCCAGAGTGTTGTATTCCGGTCCTGCGTGTCCAAACGCATTCGCCATGGCCAATTCCCCCGACCGGTCTACAACACCCATCTACAACACCCTGTCGAAACCGTCGCCACCCCTATCCACACACACACAGTCTTTTTAGCTGAAATCGTCCATTGACTATATAGCGAAAACGCCTAGATACATATAAATGGGTCAAGAATTTCCCCCACACAGCCAATGGCTAGAGATCGCCAAGGTAGAGATAATAGTACGCCTGAGGAACAAGGTGTACAACAGCTACGCCACTGACCCAAGCTCAACACGCAAAACTACCGATCCGCTTATTTGGATCTAGCTCTCACCTTCCGTCTCTTTCTCTTAAGTCTTCTAACTCTCTTCTTTCTCCACTTAGCACGCATTTCGAGTTAGTGAAATATGTGTTATAGTGTTCTGGGGAAAGGAATAAAAGGGAAGAAGAACAAGATGTAATGTGAAGACCAGGGTAGATATACTATTTCAACTCTTTTCAAATCCTTTCCTCCGCCGTGGGATGTCCAGAGTGTGAGTCGGGTTCCCAGCCCTGTGTGGTGAGGGTAACCTTTTTCATTTTTGCGAACAGAATCAGCTAGGGTTTTAAACCAGGCAAGTCACTGCGTCCACAACGTGCGTTTCTGAGACGCCACCTTTGTTCAACGTGAGCTGACGATGACAGGGAATAAATACATGCTACGAGAATATCGGGCGCTATTGGCCGGAAAAACCGCAGTATCGCCAAATTACGGGCGTAGATCTGGTGCTTTTAATTGGTACCATAACCAAGACTATGGCCATGCTGAGTGTAATCATATGCCTCAGCTTAGCTCTTGGCAGCTGTACGTTAAATGGAGCTCGGCGAGAGCCTTGGAGATCGCTTTGCACTAATGTGACGCAGGTGACAGTTTTGACTAATCGGGAAATTAGTAACTGCGTCTGTGGTTTTGATTTTTCAGCCCTTTTTGCACAATGGATAAATAGTTGTATATTGGTGTGTGGGTGTGTGGACTGAGCAGTCAAATGCTGGTTACGGTCTCTCTACCGACAGCGCCAGCGCCAGTGAGAACTGAAGATGACACACTGCTGATTCGAGCGCACTGTTGGGCAGGAAGGGTAGTCTGACTTGGTGGCTACTACCCCCCGGTAGTGAGTTTTCTCGTAGACAGGGCGTTCTGAGGGCAGCAAGCTGTAAAAAGTGGCAAGCAGTGGACAATGGACGCAGCTCGGAGCCGGTGCCGCCACAGACGCAGACAAACCCTCAGGATAGCGGGAACAGAGCTGCTTCAGTGGCCTGGACCAGCCTTTTTTATAGCCTTCACTTTCATATCTATTATTTATATTGTGTCAGGTCTCCCCAGAGCTTTATATTTATGTCGCCACACCGAGCTTTTACAATGAAAGGAGCAAATAGCCCAGAGTAAAAGGCAAAAAGAGTCCTTCTTGGTAAACGTCTACATACTTTTCATTTTATCTAGGTTGTCTCATTACGCTCTTCTGACGGGCCCTCGAGTCTCCGGCGCTCCTGCTGTAGTGCCTTGCGCAAGGAGCTGCGCATTTCGTGGATTTCCAAGGTGTCCAGTACCCTCTCCAGGTCATTTTCGGTCAGCACCAGACGCTCTGCAGCACCACCTGTGCTCCGCTGAGCTAGCAAATCCGAGTACTGTGGCAGGTTTGTATACAACAGTTTGTGGCTCTTATGCTCCACCAGTGATTTCAAATGCTTGGCCCCGCAGTACGCCTTGAAATTCCGGTATGCTCTGTACAGGAGGTAAAACCCTGGCACGTTTGGCACCACGGGCACCAGCACCAGTGGCAAGGTCAAGGGTATACCGAGAAGGCTCAACCAAGTCTGTTTTTTGTGGTACTGCAGCCCCTGCATCCACAGCGACTGCAATTGCTGGCGAACCGTATCTGGAGAGCAAACGCTTTCCGGGTAGTACAGGTGAATTGGCCTAACGTTTAAGGTGCTAGCATCCTTGAGCCATTCCTCCAGCGTCAGCAGCCGTTCGTCCTCGTTTTCCTTGACCCGTTTCATAATGTAGTTTTCAGACGGTATGGTATTGAGCGAGTCCTCCGTCCACGGTGTTTTGTCCAGCATCAAGTTGACGAACCCGACAACCTTTTGGTTAAGCTTGCCCTGCGATTTCTCCAGCTTTGCCCATATCTTGGCAGCTTTTTGCAGAGCCCTGGCCTCGTATTTCACCAGCCTTGAGCCCACATTTAGGACCCTAGGCATGTGTTTATGATATACAAACAGCTTGTGGGTGGTTATAGGAATAGCTATCAATTTGACTGGATCGGTGACATAGTGCTGCACGCTCGCCCCTAAGATACTTTGGTTCGCAACTGAGCCAGAGCTTAGCCATCGCGTTCGCACATGCGAACAGGCTTTCCAACTCATCTAGTTCTGCTTTCTCAAGCGGCTGAACCAGAAATCACTTGCTCTGTGGTTTAGAGCAGCATTGCCCTTTTTTGTTCTTATATTAGAATGACCATCATTAGCAATATCAGAGGCTTCACTATCACGACAGCGTCACACTCAAAGAATAAGACAATTTTAGTACTACAATGGCATCTATATAGCTTTTGATCATTTAAAGAGGACTTCAAAATAGAGCAGAAAGATTTGGCCGCATTCTAACAAGGTTTCTCCATCATTCAATCGAATTTTAATAGATCGGGGCCCTGGGAAATTAACAATCTGTCATTGCTAATTTTGTACCTTTAGAGCCACCTTAAAGCTAAAAGCGAAATACAAAAGACACTAGATCGAGTTACGAGATGGTAAGCACGAGCCGTAGCCGATCTCAAGACAATGGAGAAGATACGACGATTCATAACTGCGACTCGCGCGATTCTGGCGCGCACGCAAATCACTTGAGGCCCTGTAAATCGAAAGTGTCCCACGAGCAATATTCCAGTGGATCTAGCAGCCACGACCAAATGGGACAGAGCTCGAAGACCAGGCTCTTAAACCCCTACGGACTCACAGCGTCGACTATTCCACCCTTTGCGCTAAGTGAGCAAGCCAAAACCCAAGAGCCACAGAGTGTACAAAGCCGAAACGGCACTGGCCGTGTTGAGAAGACGAGGGAGGTGGAGCAGCAATTGGTACGCACGTACAAGGATCCTTTTCTGGTGTCTCACAATGAGAATTGGGACCGGTTCGTCGAGAATGTCGGTTCTAACGTTGCTTATCTGCACAAGGCAGCACAGGAACCAGAGTCGAGTATTAGCGTCGACGAAGGGGTAGACCACCCTTTCAAGGAGGTATTGAAAGAGGAGAGCTCGTCGTCTAGTGACGAACTGAAGAACGAAAAAGAGGCATCAGGGCCAGCAGTACCTCCTGCAGGACCAGCATTCACGGCCACTGCAAACACTTCCGCGTCTCACAATATCTTTGCCGATCTTAGCGATTCTTGGGGCGGCAGTGAGAGACTGAATGCCATTTTCAACGGGCCCATGCTTGATAGCCGCCAGTTCACTAATGATCAGGATCGCCAGGATTGGGCTAACCATTTGGAATCAATCAAGGCCTTTTTCTACAGCGAGGGAGCAAATGATAGAGATCTTGAGGCTGGTTTGCAAGGTGACGGAGCTAACGATACAGGACGCGACGCTGATAATAACAGGCTACAAGCATTTTTAGAAAAACAAAGATCTGAGTTCAAAGAGAAACGGAAGCATTGGAGACGTTTGGAGCGCCAGAAGAAACAGAAGTGGCTACCCACCTTGCAGAGGATTTTGCTTGGTAATCAATACCTGCCTCTTGGATTTAGAACGTTCATTGTCATAATTTGCATCATTAGTTTGGGGTTGGCGATACGAATCTTTCAAAATTCCCACTCGCATGTGGAGGAATTGGATTCTTCCGTCCCGCAACAGCCGAGCACGATTATGGCCATCTGCGTAAACACTGTGGCCGTAGTGTACCTGTTCTACATCTCATACGACGAGTTTTCGGGCAAACCTCTCGGGCTCCGAAACCCATTTGGAAAACTGAAGCTAATTTTGATGGATCTGTTATTCATTATATTCTCGAGTGCCAATCTGGCGTTAACTTTCAACACGCTTTACGACAAACAGTGGGTCTGCACCGCTGGGCAGTCCAACCAACAAGATAACTTACCCAAGATTGACTACATTTGCAGGAAACAGAGAGCCCTGGCGGCTTTTTTATTTGTTGTTTTGTTTATGTGGGTAGTGACTTTTTCAATAAGTATCCTTAGGGTGGTGGAGAAAATGAGCTCGAACAATTCTAGATAAAGTTGACACGGGACACACAGGCCCCCGAGACTCAGTTTTCCGAAGGATCATCTTGAGCTTAGTAGGGCCCAGTTGATTAATTGTATTGGACATTTCCCACTATCAATTTATGTAGCATTAGAGACGGTAATACGCTTGCATTTGTTGAGAAAGCTAATAGCTAACGACTGCTCGAATCAATCGACATTCAAGGCTAGGGCCATTAGCGACGAACAGCTGACAGCTTTACTCATCCGAATATGACTGAATTTAAAATTTCATTATACGACCAGGTACAGGGTTCCCTTTGAATTTCTAGACCTCCGCGGCTAAACATAGAGTTTCGCGATTGTAGATCTCTATCATTGACCGAATTGCTTCTCAAAGCAGTGGTATATGATTTAAAAGAGCTTTGATGAACAGCAAGTATTGTTTACATCTACTCCAGGACAACCAGGGGCTTCTGGGTAGATTGGCGCACCATGGAGGTACCGATGGAAGGGCTAATATCTGGCCCCAGCCAAACTTAGGGATAGGAGCTTTCTAGATCTTTTCGAATAGATTCGAAGATTATGTTAAAGTACTCTCCAAGAGAGGAGTGGTTGAATCGAAAATTACTGATAGCTCCAAGGTTTGGTGAACCAACATAATCATTCGCTAGAAGAATGAGGGTCTTTGTAAGTACTCACAAGACAATACTTTACCTACTACATTAATTGACCTAATATATTTTTTAAAACCGAAGCAAGGAGGCTTGAAAAGAGCAGTTTGGTGCCTGAACTGTTGTCGATCGTCATATTTTCCAAATACTTGGTAAGAACTAAAGGGCGCTCAGCTAAAAATGTGAGATCAAAATTGCACCCAACCTAAAGATTGATCGAGTCGCTAGAGGTAGAAAAGTTTCAAGCAGCCCAGACTGCTATCAGGCTTCAAATTTCAAGACGAAGAGGTATGCCACTGGTGTCTCTTAAAACTACATCATTGTACACGCAAGGGAATTATTTGAAGCATTCCCTGTATTAATGAATGTTACAGAGGTATGAATAACCTACCAGCATAAAGACCTTTTCCGAGGTCCAATACCCCGTGAAAACCAGCAAAAAGCGGCATGACTGATACTCTTCCAAGGCCGGATGATTTAGAGGCTACTTGGAATTTTGTAGAGCCTGGCATTCATCAAATATTGGGTCGAGATGGTACTGCATCTTCAACACTGAAAAGAGTAGACAAGGTTCTTTCCCCTACCATGTATATGGAAGTTTACACCGCAATTTATAACTATTGTGTGAACAAGTCAAGCTCTGCCGGCCAATTCAATGCAGACAACAGCAGGCAAAATCAGTCCTCTCTTTTGATTGGCGGCGAGATCTACCATAAGCTGCAAAACTGCTTGCAAGAGTATCTTTCAAAATTAGAGCGAGGTGAAAATGAAGCATTCTTACACTTTTATGTGAGACGCTGGAAACGTTTTACAGTGGGCGCGATATTTCTGAACCACGCTTTCGACTACATGAATCGTTACTGGGTTCAGAAGGAGCGTAGTGACGGGAAGAGGCACATTTTCGACATTAACACACTGTGTCTTATGACATGGAAAGAGGTGATGTTTGACCAAAATGTGAGCCAATTGGTAGACGAAGTGCTGAAGGTCATCACTTTGCAGAGAGATGGGTGTGCAATCTCTCACACTGATACCAACGCCGCAATCAGGTCGTTCGTTGCTTTGGGAATAGACCCGCAAGATTTGAAGAAGCTCAACTTGAATGTTTATATACAGCATTTCGAGAAACCCTTTTTGGAATCCACTCGCGCGTATTATAAGAGGTTCTCAGACGAATATCTGGAGAATAACTCGGTCGCTGAGTACATTTTCGTTGCTCAGGACAAGATTAAGGATGAGGAAACAAGAATAGTTCTATACCTTGATGATCATACCAAAAAGCTTTTGTCTGAAGCACTTAACCAAGTCTTGATCACCGATCATTCTGAAGTACTTGAAGGTGAGTTTGTGTCTCTACTAGACTCAAGAGATGAGAATAAAATTTCTACCCTACACGATCTAATGCAAAGAGATATTCTGCTTCTCCCAAAATTGGCTCAAGCATACGAGGAGTACGTGAAGCGGACAGGTGAACAAGAAATTTCGCTTTTGGTTGCGGAACACAGAGCGAGACTAAACGATGCTACTGAGGAGCCATCACTTCAAAAACGTACTACTGCTAATTCTTCTATTCCTCCCAACGAATACGTTAAAAAACTGATCGAAGTTTACCAAACTTTCATCAAAATCACTAGAGACTGTTTTCAAAATGGACCTCTGTTCACGAAGGCTCTCGATAATGCTTGTCGTGCTTTCATCAATGTCAACGAACTTGCCATCCCTCCTGGGTCGCCCAAGCTTGCAACGTCTAAAACCCCCGAGATGCTGGCTAAGTATAGTGATCAACTACTCAAGAGATCAAGCAAAGCTCCAGGTTCCAATACTGAACTTTCTGCCGATGCTATAATGACAATTTTCAAATTCCTGACCGATAAAGATGCATTTGAAACACATTACAGACGGCTGTTTGCGAAGCGTTTGATCCATGGCACTTCAACTACCGAAGAGGATGAGGAGGCCGTGATTCAACGTCTGCAGAGCGAGAATAGTATGGAGTACACAGGTAAAATTACCAAAATGCTACAAGATATCAGGCTCTCGAAACAGCTCGAGAAAGAGTTCGAAAGTGCAGTTAGAATAGCCCCGGATTACAACAGAGTCAGGTATCCCGAATTTCAGCCGTTTGTGCTCGCTGAGACCATGTGGCCATTTTCATACCAGGACGTTGAGTTCACCTTGCCCAAGGAGCTGGTCCCCACACACAGCGGGCTGGAGAAGCTGTACACCAACAAACATAATGGTCGGATTCTCAAGTGGCTATGGCCCTTGTGTCGCGGTGAAATAACGGCAGACATTGGTAAGCCGGGCAGACCGCCGTTTATTTTCACGGTGACATTGTTCCAGATGACTATTCTTCTACAGTTCAATGACCGGTCATCTCTGACCCTTGAAGAAATACAAGAAGGTACAAACCTCAGCACGTCTAATATCGTATCATCCATGATACCTTTCATCAGATGGAAACTGATTCAGCAGTCTCCACCAGGACTGGAGGCGCTATCCAAGCCCGATACCGAATTTAAGCTATCGACGCCTTACAAGGCACTCAAGACAAAAATCAACTTTGCAGCAGGTGTGAAGAGCGAGGTTCCAGGTCTTGTCTCAGGAAGCACCAATAATGGAGAACTTTCCGAGGTCCAAAAGATAGAAAAGGAGTTAAACACAGAGCGTCAGATATTTTTAGAGGCCTGTATCGTCAGAATAATGAAGGCAAGACGAAAACTTCCTCACGCCACCCTAGTCAATGAGTGCATCGCCCAATCCCACCAGCGATTCAACGCCAAGGTTTCACTCATCAAAAGGGCCATTGACAATCTCATCGCTAAAGAATACTTACAAAGATGCGATGACGGAGAATCCTACGAATACCTTGCTTAGAGCGAAAGGCTTGTTCAATTATAAGGGCGACTCACAACCCAATTCTTTAAGCCGCTGCAAAAATGTGGCTCACACAACATATAGCCGCTAAAGTCCAACGATGCACCCAGTCACGGCGATCGTTACCTAGTGCAACGTGCATCTCAGCCTAGTTGTCTGTTACTCACTTATTTTTTTGTTGACCATAGTGATCATCAAGCTAAAAAAATTTTCAATTCCGGCCCTCGCCAAATTACCGGGGGAATTAGTCACAGGGCAACCTAAGGTCAGGAAAGCTGACCTCTGACTAACTGAGAGTGACTAAAATGCTGCAGGATTCGGAATTTTGAAAATTAAGTTATTTTTCAATTTTGCCATACTTTAAGGCTAGGTTTAAAAATCCAAGGTTGTGAAAGTTGCTGAAGTTGTGAAGTTGTCATTGATCTCCTTCAGTTCGAAATTAAGCCCAAGATGAGCAATTCTGACTTCCAGCAAGTAACTGAAACCGCTACCAAGCCCACTCAGGCTAATCCATATGGCCCTAATCCTGCAGACTATCTATCTAACGTCAACAGCTTCCAGCTGATAGACTCTACGCTGCGGGAAGGTGAGCAATTTGCTAACGCATTCTTTGACACCGAAAAGAAAATTGAGATTGCCAAAGCGCTGGATGATTTTGGTGTTGACTACATCGAACTTACCTCGCCTGTGGCTTCAGAGCAGAGTCGTAGCGATTGTGAAGCGATCTGCAAGTTAGGATTGAAAGCTAAGATATTAACCCATATCCGCTGTCATATGGACGATGCAAAGGTTGCTGTCGAAACTGGTGTGGATGGTGTGGACGTGGTTATTGGTACCTCTAAATTCCTAAGGCAATACTCTCACGGCAAGGACATGAACTACATTGCTAAGAGTGCTATTGAGGTGATCGAGTTTGTCAAGTCCAAGGGTATTGAGATCAGATTTTCGTCTGAGGACTCTTTTAGATCAGACCTTGTTGACTTGCTAAACATTTACAAGACCGTGGACAAGATCGGTGTCAATAGAGTAGGTATTGCTGACACTGTGGGTTGTGCCAACCCTAGACAGGTATACGAGCTTATGAGAACCTTGAAAACAGTGGTATCTTGCGATGTGGAGTGCCATTTCCACAATGACACTGGCTGCGCTATCGCTAACGCCTACACGGCTTTGGAAGGTGGTGCCAAGCTTATCGATGTTGCAGTGTTAGGTATCGGTGAGAGAAATGGTATTACACCACTGGGTGGACTGATGGCCAGAATGATTGTTGCTGCCCCAGAATACGTCAAGTCCAAATACAAGCTGCATAAGATCCGTGACATCGAAAATCTTGTGGCAGAGGCCGTCGAGGTTAACATCCCATTCAACAATCCAATCACCGGGTTTTGTGCTTTCACTCACAAGGCTGGTATTCACGCTAAGGCTATATTAGCCAACCCATCCACTTACGAAATTCTGAACCCTCATGATTTCGGTTTGAAGAGATACATTCATTTTGCCAACAGACTGACCGGGTGGAACGCCATCAAATCGAGAGTTGACCAACTGAATCTCTGTATGACTGACGACCAAATCAAGGATGTCACCATCAAAATCAAGAAATTGGGTGACATTAGACCACTAAATATTGACGATGTGGATTCTATCATTAAAGATTTCCACACTGAAGTTACCACACCTCTATTGAAGGGATTGAAGGACGGCAAGGACGAAGACGTCAATGCCATCGATATCGAGGAACCTGTTTCCAAAAAGTCCAAGACTGCCTAAATGTTATTATTTTGGATGCGTCATTGCAGGCATTTTATCATACAGATTTATCACTATACATCTCTAGATTCTAACATTCAAAACTTTCATCGATTTTAATACTCGTAGAACGGCAGTTACATCATGGCACGCCTTACATCTTGTAGAGATACAGCGATCCATTTTCAGAAGCCATGATGGCTCTTTGTGATTGCTCGTCAAAATCCATGTCGATAACGCTAACCTCTGTCGGTATAGACGCAGTGTAATCGATAAGCAGTTCCTGGGATGTGACATCGAACAAGCAGCCGCGCGCCATGACTAGTTTGTCCTGCTTGATAAATTTATTTCTCAGTAGAAACTTGTTAGGATTGTCACCAACGTTGGCGTCTATTACACCTAGAGTTCTAGAGTCTCTCATTGGCCTCATCTTGGCATCATCAATGTGAATTTCGTTGTCGAATGCTAAACTGCACATCATGCGATTAGATGAGATATCAATTGACGTGATAGATTCGCTTCGATGGCCCTGCCAGCTGAAAAGCTCTTGCCCACTATTTTGCCGTAAATCGTAAGCCCTTACCACGGGCTCCAGTCCAGAAACGTAGACCACATGGTCTGCTTGAGAGGGCACAGCCGCAGTGAAGAATGGAAAGTCGGTGGAGACTTCCCAAACAGGTCTTTTCTGTTTTGAGTCCCATAGTTTCGCACTCCCATCGTCACTCACAGAAATGAATTGATTCTTGGAAAGTGCACGCACTTGATTTATAGCCCTCTTGTGACCGGAGTACCGTCGCAGACTTTGCCCTGTTTCGATATCTATCAAAAAAATTTGAGAGCTAGCTGATCCAGCAGCGACAAAAGGACCGTCGACGACATCAAGGGCCGTGACAGCTGACTGGTTTCGATCTATTTCAACCACGTAGTTGGCGGATCTATCTAAGTCCCATATACAGAGATGTGCATCCAGTCCTGAGGAAACGACGGTAGATCCACCGTTCAGGATTTTACAAGCCAACACAGCACCCGAGTGGCCATTTGCTAATTCCAGTAAGGGAGTTTCCGGCGCTTGAATGATCGACATTGAATCTACTAGCCTATGTGCAAGTCATGTCTTTAGGTTTAGTACTGCTATACACATTATAGTCTCAAAACTCACGTGAAAATCAGCAGACCCGAATGAAAGGCGATAACGTTGGACGGCCGTGACAATAACGATAAAAGAAGCTCAGTCTTGATGCAAACTCGACCGCTATCTCAGCAGGATACCGATGATGGTTTCTGCTATCGTAGGTGGCTCTTAGCTACTCCAATAAGGGCTTTTGTCCATTATTCAATAACGTTAGTAGTGATACTCACATTTACACATATATTTTCCATTTTATTGGCTCCCCTTAGGTAGCGAGAAACTGTCATATTACGGAATTCAAAGCATAGCTTAAGACTTTAGCACAAAACTTGTCATCAACCAACCTTGAAAGCAAGGAATCTACAAAGCTACACTAAAGAAAATGCTAGGCCCAACTTCTCGCACTGCTGTGAGACAATCTCTAAAACTACGTTCCGGTTTGGGAGCAAGATTTATGTCGGAGGGATCAACAGGAGCTCCAAGAGGTGGAAGTGCAGATGATGCTTTTGTGAAGAGAGAACGCGCTCAAGAAGACTATTATGTCAGACAACATGAAAAGGAGCAATTGGCCAAGTTGAGACAGAAGGTCAAGGAACAAGAGAAGAAGATTGAGCAGTTGGAAGACAAGGTCAACGGAACCAAATAGAGTGTGGAAACTGTCCAGTGACAACCTCAGGCTCGGCCTGAATATACAGCTAAAAAAGAAAAAAAGTGGTTTAAAGTTCACGGGTAGTGTACCCGTCACCGTGCGCCACCAAGGTCGAACCCCAACCATTGCAATCCACATATATCAGTATATATGTTAACATACAAATATATTCTTTTCAACCGTTTAAGTCCACGCAAGGACTGGAGAACCTGCTGGAGTCAGCCAAAGAAATGGTTCTTGTCCAGCTAGCCGAGTGAGCGCAATTGGGCGCAAAGTGGTTTCTACGGTCACTGCCAATTTGAATCACGTGCCACGAGCCTCGCTTCATCAGAAACCTTTCTTACTCTCTCTTCAAAGGAATGAGAATGAGAGGCGCTAGGCCAGAGTTGAGAGTTGCTCCTGTTCGTCTCAAGCGCCGGTCCCTCGGTGTTAACAGCTTCCATGTCGTTCTGCAGCTCCCAGGTATAGTCATTTAACACGAGCACCAGCAAGCCACCTGGCTTATTAACTTGTGCGCATCTGAAGAACAGTTCTCTTTTCAACTTAGCCAAGACGGAACAATGCCTGATCCATGCAAGCCCCAGGCCTGTGCCATTCAAGGTATGCACATAACCGAGGTACCGACGATCTTTTACTGCGCATACTAACTTTAAATTCGCTGCAGCCTGTCTAAACCGCACGGGCTACGATGAAAGTAAATGCACTCAGCTGATAGACCAGCTCTACGAGTGTTGCACCAAGTTTTACCAGGAACAAGGAGCTGAAGCCCGCAGTCCCTGCTGCCCGATTCCAAAGCTCCTGAACTTGAAACTGCAGCAACGCCGTAAGGAACAGCTTGATGCTAAACTACTCTGAAGGAGTACGGTTTTGGTAGCATTGCCCCAAAGGTGCGAATAACCAGATAGTCTCACTACCACAACTACAGAATTTATTTGTAAGAAAAATGTACATTTAGAACCGCGTAGCCTGCCCACTTGAAACCCGAGGGTCCCGAGCACAGACACGACATTAAAAGGTTGGTCAAAACGCGATGGTCCCATGAAACCCATCATTTTAATTTCTGTAAGACTACCGCGAGCACGAAGATACAGGCCTTGGAGCATCCTGTATGCGTAACATTCATAGAGAAAATCGAACGTACCGTGACTCTGGGTGTCTAGTAAAAGACATTGTATTGGTTTTTTAAAAAGTAAGAGAAGACCAGAAGTAAAGATATTAGACCCGTCATATATATTTTTCAATATATAGTCAAGATTGATAGTCGAAAGCTGGGTAACGGTCATCAGAGTGATATCCAGGGCTCACAGTCGTGGAAAGGTGACTGTGATAGTTCGTTTATTTGAGCGTTGGTGGGTGATGCTCCAGGGTTTTGTTAAATATGAGTAATGCATTCGTCTTTTTTTGTGTATCGAAGTCCTCCATTCACCTTTAATTGAGTTTCGTGGCGCACTGGCTCACAAGGCTCTCCTTCCATTGTAGCGGGCGATGCTCTGGACTGCCCAATGCCAGTCACATCGCCCGATGCGCGAGACGAAAAGTAAATTTTGAAACTGCCGTCTTTCCTTCATTTTCTACCATCATATTCGCGAATGTCAGAAATATAGGCTTTGGATTCACTATCGCTGGTCAGCCATAGCCGGGTGCCGCTAACGTTGGAAACACTGTTTTCCATCCTTACATTTTTTTCAAACTCCTGCAACACTTGGGCAATCGCAACGGGCTCTATACCAGCGTCTGTCAGCTGTTTCCGTAGCATTGCAACATGCAAGACCGCTTTCATATCGCGTGTTTGTATCAATTTGCGTTCGTTCAAAATCTGAAGCTCTCTCTTCTTGCGATGAGCATTGGCCTGTTGAGCTAGCGACTCCTGAGCCTCCTTGAAACGTACCGCGTTCTCCTCCATCTTCAACTCCAGGGTCAACCGAGATCGATAATTGTCAATGGCAAAAAAAGACAACGCTATCACCGACAGGACGGTAGCCAGCTCCAGAAGAGGTTTCCGCACGGCCTCTTTTGGCGGATTCGCTACCTTCAACTGAGGGTGCGGTGAAGACGAAGTCGATGTTCGCGGACCAAAGTAGGTTGGCGGGGGTAGAGAGCTATAAGTTCGTACTCTGGTAAGGACTCGGCCCGAGTGAGCCGCCGGACTCAGCATATTGGTATTACAGGAAGGGCACCCAGGCAAGACCCGGTTCTGGATGGTTGGGAATATTTAACTAACAAATCTTACACTTCTCGGCTTTCGTATAGATCACTTCATACCATCGCGACGCAGCTCGCGTCTCGCCAATCTACACGACCCGTTCACTCACTGCCTCATCCATGACGTGCCCGGGGACAGCACAGTCCCTTCCAAACAGCGGCCCAAACGCAGCTTAAGTTACAAAATTGTATTATTTATATGAATACGTTGTTTATGGATCCAAATGAGATTCTTCTGTCCAAGTTGGTGGTGCAAACTAAACAATCAATATGCCAACTAGAAAATCAGTGACGACGAGAGGCGGTGATGATGTCGTTCATCTCCTCAACCTTAGCCTTGGCTCTGCCGAAGGTACCCAATCTCTTCTTGGCCACCTTTCTGGCTCTCTTTTCACCAGCGTTTCTGATCAAGTCGATCAATCTTCTTTCGTATGGGGCCAAACCGGCAACCTCCTTGACCAAGGATCTGACGAACTTGGTTCTGTTGGAAGAAGCACCCTTTCTGTAGGAGATCTTTGGGGTTGGGGTCATGGCGTTGACCTTCTTACCCTTGTTCAAACCAGTAGCGATACCTGTAAGATGAGTTAGTAAAACGAAGCTGTGAATGCGGCAAGCCCGCCACCAAACGGGTTCTAGAAAGGAAGCTGACAGACAATGAACCATAACATTTTCACACCACCGCGAGATCTAGTCACTTGAGTATGCCGAAGACCACGGCTGCCAAGACGGCGTACATGAGCGTGCTCCCAGCATCATTAGCCGGTCCATCTAACCTTCGGTAGACGCTGCGATAATTGCCAACGGACACTCGTTCATCCCACGATTCAAATTGCACCCTCCCAAACTTCTCCTGCGTTGTGCACATAATAAGCACTCTTTGCTGCGGGATCGACTCAACATCCTTGTCTGCCACTTCGCCCTCGTTATCTCATTCCACACATACCAGACTTAACGGCCATTGTTACTATATTGTCAGTGCTTGGATTTTAATGGCTATCTGCAAGAGTAACTGATAGTTAAGCCAGTTATTAGTTTTATTCAACCCGGCAGAATCCAATTCCAACGCTGTTCCTGGGACCCGAGTGAATGGTGAAAATTTTCCAGTCTGGGCACGGCCCACGAGATTCCTCAGGACGCTAATGGAAATCACATGTAGTGAAGTACGTAGTGGCCTAGGTCCAGCCTAGGATGAGCCTGGCCGTCCTTGCAGCGCTAGACGGAGCACGACTGGGCCCAGCGTGCGAGCTAGGCAGAGCATGGTGTCTGGGGAGCAGGGCTCCCGCCTGGAACTCGACCGAGGAGAAGGAGGAGTCCCGGCAGGATCGCAGCCTGCCGGCTATCGCGCCTTGTGTTGCGACTACCGACGCAGAAACCCTAAATGACGCAAGTTGAAAAATTTCATTCGTACAGAAAAATAAAACATGTATGGGTGTTGAGCAGTCACAAGCCAAATATTCGTAGTCTATGACTGATGTTTCCAGATGTTTCTCATAGGTTTCCAGCGAGACGGTGTTTCCCGTTTGCCAATTTTCAGAAAAAAGGTGGTGGGGGCGAGCTGAAGGGAAGAAAAAGGGCAGACGATGCGATGCGTGCGGGACGAGAGGGAGCAGGCGTCACCACCGTATCTGTCTTGTCTCTGTCCGTAGAGTGAAGTGATTGATTGATGATGCCTGAACGGAAAGAAATTAAGCCGGGGTGACATTTGGTCGTAGCATCACGTGCTTCGCGCGTGACATGGACGGTACTCGCGAATACGCATCTTCCTTCAAGCATGTTGTATGGGGTGTTCCGTTCGCTGGGTGGCTGAACGATATAGTATGTACAGGTGCCTTGTCTATTTACATCTTGGTTACATCTTGGCGCGCCTCTCTACTCATCAGCTTCTTAAATATTCACGGCTTTCAAATCAAAACCGTACTTGTGCAAAGTCTCCAAAACCTTGGGGAAGTCGGCACCAGCGTATAAATCCAAAAATTCTTTGTACGTCAGGTTCTTTCCGTCGGCACGGTGCTCTAGTTTCTCTAGTGGATACAGGAACTGCATCAGCTTCCGACGGCCACAGGTAATGCGCACATTTTGCCCACCTACAGAGCCCTCGAAATAAACGCGCTTCTGGAGGCCCTCGGGGGTCTCTACCAGTGGCGCATCTTTGTGAGGAGGGTTGGCCTTGAGCTCTTGTCGTTGCAAGACACGGTAACGCAACCTCCATCCTGTAGGCCCTAATTCCTTGATTCTGGCGGATTTGTCCTTGGTGAGATAGTGGTCGATGCCGCCTTCTTTGGTGATGGTCCTGAGTACTTTGGCAGTCATCCTTATACTGATGTTGCGGTCCAGCGTCTCGCTCCACAGACCCTTTCTGACCACGTTGGGAAGCCATCTTCTTCTCGTCTTGGTTTTCGATTCTGCGATGTTATTGCCGTACTGTACGAAGGAGGCCCCGTACAGGCCCTTGTTGCTCTGTTTAAAAATGGCGGACTCCCCGAACTGATAGTCTGGAAATTGTTTGCGACCCTTTGGAATGTATGCTGGCTTTTTGTCGCCTACTTTATACTCAGGCTGTTTGGCAACGCTTCTGGTTTCAACAAGTCTCCATTCCCGGAAAAAAGAGGAAAAGGTGGAAAATCCCCTTCTCAAAGTTAGTCCTTGGAATGCCATCGCTTGCCAGAAAGGTACGCCTCGAGGATTCCTTGACTTCGACTTCTATGGACATTACTTACTTTCTTCGATCAGTGCTTTAATCTCAATAAAATTGCAGAACTTTAGCATCTCGGACGAAATGCACTTGAAGATTTCATTTGGCCAGTGTTTGGTCTTTAATGAACTCACCTCCACACCTTGCGCAGATGATTCCAATTTCCTGCTTTGCTTGTAGACCTGTCACCAGAAACGCCGTGTTTTAAGTCGTACATTTTGTGCTCAAGCCGGGCCACCGTCTCTTGCAATTCTTGATTGGCGTTCATAACCTCTAGATTGCGCGCCATTGTTTCCTCTAAATCGGCACGTAAATCCGTTGGGATTTCGGAATCGGGGTTAGGCAACGACTGTTTCCGTATTTCTTCCTTTAATTGGGCTCGCAGCTGTGTCAGTTCAGATTTAAGATCCTTATTTTGGTCGTGGAGCACCTCGTTTGCCAATCGAGCTTCAATCAATTCGTTGGCAATGCTTACATGCTCCCGATTTAGGTCTGTGTGGTCTCTCTCCAGGCGACGAACCTCGTTGTAAAGTTGTTTATTTTTGATTCTGAGAGATTCTAACTGGGCTTCTTTCTGCGATTCTAGTAAATGAATTTCTTCGTATTCTGCCACGTATCTTCTTAGAGAAATCGGAGTAATGTTTACCTCATTCATGGCGTCTTGAATGAAAACATCGACGGCATACGAGATCTCGGGAATTTCACTTTCAGAGCCAGGGTCTTCATTTGAGGGTATTCTTTTGCTAAGTATGGAACTTGCGGGACCCACCTCACTCTTGGAAGCTGTTGGTTGCTCTGCCATTTTGATTGGACCCTTGAGGTAGTATGCAAAAAGCCCATCTTTAAGAAAGTTTAACAGTTGATCAAATTCAAGTAAAAGTAGTGTGCTTTCATTTTTGATCATGAGCACTGTTGCAAATTTAAGTAGAGCTTCGAAACCTTCCACAAAAACGACATCAAGTATGCGAAGCACAAAGCACAGTGGAAATCTATAAGCAAAACATGTCAAAAACCATTGGGTTGCATACATCGATGAGCGTATACCTTGCCTTACCAAGTGGTTGTACAATGACGGCGAGTTTTCTTCGATTAGTCTATCAAATTGATACAACTTGAGGTGCAAACCAGGCATGTTCGGCAAAAATAGTTCGCGTAAGCCGTAACCTTTCATCAGACTTACCAGGAGTCCAAATGACTCTGATTCCGTCTCTGTGTTCAAGAGCAGCGCGGTAGTAATGAACCCCATCCCTTGAGTGTACCCTACTTCGGTATCATGCAACGAATATGCTTTGAGAACTTCGTATAAAGACGGCTTTTTATCATCTGGTAGAAATTTAGTCCTAGATATATCTCGTTCGATGGCTTTCTCATGGGGCGATTCGACAGTGTTCAAACTTTCATAAACCTGGTCAAATTCTTTCGACTTTGCCGATGCCAGTAGCTGCCATATGATGCCACGGACCTGGGGAGGTATGCCCCGAGCAACTTCTTGTTCAAGTTTGACAGAGTCCTTTTTAGCGACATCTGCGTAGTTACTAACGAGACGTGTCCAGAACCGCCAATCAGTAGTCACTAGTTCTCGATGTTCTTCCGAGTGCTGTGAGGTATCTAAGCTAGGATCGAAGCTTTCTAAAACTGCACTATAGCTTGACTTTAGAAGCCGCGCACCTTCTAGTATGTTTTCCTGTGTTGTGTCATCTTTTGATTTGTACTCATCTTCGTTGTCTTGAAGTCGATTTATCACCAAGTCAAAGTCAGCACTAGCTGACCGCTTGTGGTCCGACCTCGCAGGAAGAGGCGGGGGCTCTTCGGGATTAGTCCTGAGGGCAGCTAAGTTTTTCTGGAAAGTTCGCGTTTTAAGCTCTTCCGACAGCGGTGGGGGAACAGCATGGATTGTAGTATTTCGTTCTGTAGCCTGCGCATGAAGATCTTTGGAATGTCTCTTAGGTAATGGTGGTGGGGCCACGAGCCCAACATGGCCTGTAGGCTCCCTTGCATTGGGGGGCTGTTGATTCGCTTCGCCAACTTCTTGATGATCACTCACAGATAGTTTATCGGAATTCAAACCCTCCATTCCTTCATACGCAGATACGTTAATAGCCGATTCGCATTCGCTATTGTTGACATCTGGAGTTTCTATTGATTTGTCCGCAACCGGGGAAGCAGCATTCCCAGGATGGGATACTGTAATTTGTTCCAGTATCTCGCCCTCGCTCTCAATCGCTGCATCATCTGCTGAGGTTTTTATTTTAGATTCCGGATCACTATTTTCGCTAAGCGCTTCTGTGCCACCAACCCTAAACATGACACTATCCCTGTCTTCTTTCTCATTGTCTAGTCCATCTATTCCTACAGATTTTAAACCTTCCGGAATTGCTTCGAATTGAGTTGCTTGTGCATCGAGACTGGTGCTACCGATAACGGGATCAGTATTTCCGGAATGTGGCTCAAGGGAAGTGTTCAATTCTTGTGCGTTGCCATCATTACAATCTCCGAGGTCTCTATCATGCATTCGCGTTTCTGTGTCATCAGCCATAATTCTTCAAATCGCGAGCGTCTATTGGTGTTGAATGAAGGTCTCACGGACTTATATCGCTGGTTTTAGGTAGTTTTAATTAAGTGTTCTTTTAAGGAAGAACTTCTTAGGTGGTTTGAAATGTCAATGGGACTAATTACCAACCTCAAATTCTTACGTTCCAAGACAATGATAGACATATGAAGAGAAGACATAAGCAATATTTGCCTAATCTCCCCGCATCGCACTGTATTGATCGCACTCCAATCTGAAATTGCCGATGGTTACTCTGGGGAGGTTTGTCTAATAGTTTTCGCGATATACTCAAAGTAGCCTTAAACCAAAACATCTCTGGATCAGCAACTGAATACCATTGATGATCGTACCCAGCTGCGATAGATTTTTAAAAAGGCATTCTTAAGAAACTCTGTGGAACACCATTGGCGTCGCATTCACAAAAAATGACATATAACTTTGCTAAAGCCCATCGGGCAATTCTTCTTAGCTCTACATATATGAATCGAATATAAACCTTTCCCAATGCTCTGACGAGCTACTTCTTGCAGACCACTGCAAGCACCGTTGAATTCTCTTAACCGTAGGATGACAGAAGCGAGAAACCTGAATACTGAGATGCTGACAATGACGGAGATGAGAGTACCGGAGCAAATTCTCCCCCGGGGTTCTGTTCCACATCTTCGCGTGGGATCACATAGCTCCCATGCCTTTCATTCAGATAACCTTGCGAACCAGAGTGACGCTCCGCAGGTAGAACGAGACCCAGCGTCAGCCCCAGGTCTCGCATCAACATCTCTGCTTCGTAAGTGGTAATGTTCGGAAATCGAACACGCACAGAGCGCTTGTCGAACTCTAAAGGCAACGCACCATAATGCTCATAGATAGTTCTAACACTTTCTTCAATTGTTCGAATTTTAATGTTGTAAGCCGCGAGCTCTTCGTGCCACATGTCAAGAGCCTCATCAGAAGCAAACACCATGGATGGCATGGCTGCCATTTCGAGACATGGCATTTGAAATTCCACCACGCATCCCATCTCCTCCCCAGGTTTGAAATTGTCGTAGCCTAGCTCTTGCTTGTGATCTTCGATCATTCGACACAATTCCTTGGTGCGTAGAAGAGATACACCTTTGGGGCTCAGGTTCCCATTGTTGACAAAGTTTGAAACACGAGATTTTAGTTTCGTCTTATCATCAAGCCCATTACCTAAAAGATAGTCGTCCCAAAGATTATAAAAGCAACGTAGCGATATTGCCATATTCTGAACAGCGTCGTGAGTGATTCTGATGGCGGACGTCGAATACGCTCTCCCATTGGTAAATCGAGCGGTATTCATATTCCAATTTGTAAAGAGACCGCGAGGAGTCCCCTTGGGGGCTCTATACGTGCTGTTGAAACTGGCCAAAAGCGTATTTCCACCGCATGAGGTGAATCTGGGAGATTGATTTCTAAACGGCGGTGAGGCATGTGGAGGATTAACACCACCTTTTGCAGACGTGTGAACAAATCTGTTCCCATGTCTAAACGGTGGTCTACGGTTAACGGCAACTGGTAGCCTTACCAACGACCTCTGGGGTTTAGGGATATTCTTTTCTAGAAAACCTTGCAACTCATCGTCAAGGCTCTGCCGCAGCTGTTTTGCTTGTTTCCGAGCTACCTTCAGCCATTGTCGCAAAGTATTTGCAGACATTATTGAAAGGTAGTTCGTCAGTTTCCAGTCTTAATCGGATAGGGAAGAAGTTTGCATATTCATGGGGCAGGGATGAGAATGTTCATTAATAAATATCTATAATCATTTTGTACTGAAATGACGTCGCCAGGACCCATTTTTAATAGTTTATCATAGAAGAGGCTTGACAAACAATCATACTCATTGGGTAAGGAGCTGGCTAGCAGTATATTAAGAATGTACATGCAGATCATTAGAGTCCAAGGACCACATAGGGATCGCACCATCATAGCCAATCGAGGCCAATTGGCAATGTGACATTGTAGTTATGCCATAATACACGAATCAGATTGATTGCTTCTGACTCATTTGTTACAGTCTTTCACTGAACTTCGTCATTGAAAATGTATTTGAGGATGTCATCCATTGTTGTCGTGTTGAATCCATTAGTATTGGCGCTGGTATTGAAGGTCCCTGTGGAGTTGGTGTTAAGGTAAGTCTGGACACTTTGGTCGTTCCAGTTAGGGAACATGGTAACATCTGGTAAATTTGGGGCAGTCGAAGGAGTTTCGAGAGCAAGCGAACTTCCTTCCTGTGGCATGTTCAAACCGGCTAACAGTTTAGAATTGAAAGCGGTTGGTTGGGGGAGTGATCTGATCAACTCCGTGAGGCTATTTGACGAGTTGACAGTGGGTATATCGCGGTTGCTTTGCACTGACTGGGTAAGAGGTGTGTGTCCTGTTTCTTCGCCAGCTGATTTGCCGCAGGCATTATCTATAATTTTCAGAAACTTTTCCGCTGTGGCGTTACTAGGTGCAAGTTTCTCAAGGCAGACTCTGGCTCGAATCAAGGATCCTTTCAGCGCTGTACCTTCAATGACGGTCGCCCCTGTACATAGGCCGACCAGGGCTACTATCGCAGCACTTGTTATATAAAAAGTCGCATACCATGCATCGACTGTCGTCATTTCATATTGTGAGAAAAAGTTAGAGATCGAGTCAATGATGTCTCTTGCTGCCTCATAGCACATGGTTAAACATGTCTCTGGCTCAGGTTCACCCAAATCAGGGGTCGATTGATTTACCAGTTTGATCAAATGAGGCTGGCATACCGATATCGTCATATTTCGACACATCCAGTATAGCTGGTACCTGCGTAAGGGCATCCAATCGTTTCTGGACTCGGCAAATTTTTGCCATTTCTCAAATTCTATCTTGAAAGGGCTTGAGAGAGTATTGATATATGCATTGAGTTCCTTTTGAAAACCTGCAAGCTCGGTCAAGTTAAGCGAATTAGCTTTGGTAGCTGAAAATATTTTTCTGAATGTCTTCTTTGACATTTTCACCACCTTTGCTTCCTCAGCGACGAAGGAGTATACTACCGCGTCACTAAACCCATTGCCATGCGAAGGAGCACCTGAAGGAAATAGTATATCTATATTTGCATCTGTCGGAACCTGACATGGCCGACCGAAAGACAAAGAAGTATGGAAGTCATAAATGTATAGCACCCACCATATTCTCCTTCTAATTTCAGAAGCATGATCATTGCTGACAGTGCCACTGATCTCCCTATTCAGTCCAAGTGAAAGGGCCATACTAAGTGCCAAGCCCAAATAGTTCCAGCAAGCGTTGGGCTTATTACGTATCTGGGAATATCGAGAAAGTAACGCCAAGGAAATAAGAAGAAAGTATGAACCTGTTTCCAACACCGTGCTGTTAACATAGGACTTTGCACTTCTGTAAAAGTGGACATCGATATCTGACAGTTCTCCATTAACACACCAAGACCCCAGCGCCAAAACTATATTCAATAGAATTTGCCAAGCACCTTTTGATGGAGGGTCCGCTTGATTTGAAAAACATAGGCGAAAGGAGTTTTCATGCAGTATTGGAAAAGTCGGATGAAATTTTTTGAAATAGGCCTCCACATATGCCTCTGTTAACTGTGCTGACGTAAGAGGTACAGTTTCGTTTGTACTTAGCAAACGCCCGGAAGTATCAATACTAGCATCTCCTATTGACAGCGTTCTCAACAATATAGACCTAGAGCCCGCTCCAAAAAAGCCTGTATTGTCGATTTCTAGATTCAACGTCCCCATGCCATCATTCTTAAAGACATCCTTCTCGGTAGATTCATCCCACTCAAATCCAGTGATGAGGTCAATCGGCAGCTGCTTGGTAATGGGTTGCTGCGAAAGGGGAGACGACATTGCGACCGACAGATCCGCTTCAGTTCGTGTTTCGCTCTTGTTGCAGCGAGAAATAAGACGTTGTAGCTTGGATGGTCGTGGGTCGCGGAGAACTTCTTCCAAATTCGAGTCCGGAAATAGTTCGTAAAGTAGTCGTTCGACTTGGGACAGTCGATCTTCGACGGCTGTCAAATGTGCCCTTGTTAGCGGTGACCTCGTCTGCCTTGGTGAGTAGTGACAGTTCCAATTATATCGGAGACACTTGGAACACGCCGGTAGTTCTCTCGAGCATTTCATTTTCTTTTTACGGCAAGAATCGCAGGCCAATTCCGCCAACTCCACCATTTTGATAATTGTCTAGCCAGCTTATAAGCTTGCTGCAACCAAGGGAGTGATCCAGCTGTAAACCCTGGAACTAAGACCTTTCTATTTCTCTATTGTAAATTAATCATTAATGTAGCTTGAGGGCCGTAATCGTCAAGCGGTTCCCAGCTTTATAGTACAATGTCACCAATCGAGAAGTGCAAAGCTTAAACTTCCTCCTTAAATTATTGATGCCACTTTTATCGACAGTTGGGAAGCTTTAGAACAGAACCTAATCACCAAGACTTTGTTTATACCTGTCAAGTTTAGATTCCTAAGCTTTACGTGGTAGACATACCTACCCTTCAATAATTATATGTATGTTATTTTGGACGACAATGGCCATCGTCAAAGATGTAAACAGACGCGGGCATCGATCATATATTAACTAAGACATGTCTTTTCGAGGCGTATGGCTCGCTGGACGCCAGAATGCAAGACAATCTCAAAGCCCAGCTTACATGGCTGAAACGAGATAAACCATATGAGCCTAACCGCAACCTCTTAGAGCGCATTTTGAGAGCAGAGACCGCGGATAAAAGACAAAAACTTTGGGGGCGGTCCGAGGAGGTGATAGGTTCTCAGCAAGCTGTAGTCGAACTCACGGCAGATCTCAAGAAAAGAACACAGGTGGCAGCTTCTAAGGCTGGGGCCGTCACGTACCAAAGTGGTGGCGTAAGTACAGGTTCCAGTACAGTTGAAGAAAACGGCACACAGCGGCCCGGAATCTCACTCTCCCATCCAAGCGCCATTCGCTCATCCCACAGAGTGTCAGTATCCACACAACTATCACAGAAACCAACCTCACTTCCCGCGACATCATATGTTGATTCGGGAAGTCTCAGTATGCATCAAGCTTCAGACGAAGTGCGGGGCAGAATACGAAGAACTTCGAATCAGAGCTCTAACTCTGGCGACATGTTATCTTTACAAGACAATATTATCCGCCTTTTGCAAAATCAAGCCAGTCTACTGAACAAAAAATGCTCCATCATTGAATCTACATCACTGTCGGCCGACTCTAAAAGCTTGCAGCTCAAATCAGAGGTTAATCCTCACTTAGAGCAGTTAGAGAAACGACTTCAAGACTTAGGGTCTTTGCTAGAGTCGTTGAAAAAAGAATCATCAGCTACGCATGATACTTCACACAAAGTTCAGCCTTCATCTCTACCAAGGGCACTCGCGAACAGTTCTTCTGTAGAGGTGACTGTAAACAAAATCAACGCTCCGAGAACACTTCATGGAAATTCTGTACAAACAAATTTCACTGAACAAGATCTCATAACCGTGTTAGACGAGGATGAAGAGGAGGAAGATCTTCAGGTATTGGCGCAATTGAGTAACCAAGTGTTACAAACTTCCTCGCGCAAAACTGGGCGCGTGCGAACATTACGGAAGCATCGCGATGTTAATTACAGAATCCCAGAATTAGATGACAGTTTGAACTACAACATGAGGAGAGTTTCTCAAAGCCAACAATCGAACAATGATGCCCATGACACAACGATGGAGGCCGAACCGGAAGACTCACAGTATCTGCTGACCGCTGAAGAGGATAATGATGAGGTAAGGTCCAGTGATCGGGAATTTGTAGAGGATGGAATTGATAACTTTTTGGAGGAAAGTGATGACGATGACTATCAAGGGACTATAAACGCAAGAAAGGACATTGCATCCGAAGCTGACGGCCACAGAGGGCCATCCCATCCAATTCACGATGTTGTTGACCTACCTAATATTGAAGTTATTGGTTCCTCGCCCATTAATCATATGCCGGATGTATCTTCTAGAATTCACTCACCGCCGACCCCGGAGGTCGATTTACTGGAAACACATTCTCAAGAAGTACCCGAATTTGATACAATAAGTGAAAGTATTCAACAAACGTTTCCGAATGACTTTCACAAAGATGCCCCTCGGCAGGCGCTAGGTGGATCACAGCAGCAGCAGAAATGTTACGATGAAACATTCACACATAGTGATTCGGAGGATTTTGATGATTTTGATGCTGAAAGAGAATATTTAACTCAGGGAGCCGATTTAAGGGAGCTGGACGATGATCTAAAGATTATCTCGGAACAAAAACTAGACAACTCACACGGTGCACTTTTCCAGGTCAAGGAAGAAGCCATAAGCATCGACTTGATCGGTGGAAATGATGAAGGAAATTTTCATTCTGAACGCAATGTTAATGTACCGGCCTCAACCGGGCCCGAAGGCATCGAAACAACGGGACCCCGATATGAATGGTCGAAGGAAGTTCATCATAGACTCAAACACGTCTTTGAATTGCCGGGATTTCGTCCTAACCAACTGGAGGCTATCAATGCGACCTTGGCGGGGAAGGATGTGTTCGTTTTGATGCCAACTGGAGGTGGCAAGTCTCTGTGCTACCAACTGCCTGCAGTGGTTAAGTCAGGTACTACCTGCGGCACGACGGTTGTCATATCCCCTCTGATATCTTTGATGCAAGATCAGGTTGCACATTTATTGGCAAAAAATATCAAAGCTTGCATGTTTAGCTCGAAAGGAACAGCGGACCAAAGGCGCCAGACGTTCAATTTGTTCACCAACGGGTTGCTAGACCTAATTTACATATCTCCAGAAATGATTAGTGCTTCTGAACAATGCAAAAGAGCAATAAACAAGCTTTATAACGATGGTAAGTTGGCTCGCATCGTAGTGGATGAAGCGCACTGCGTTTCTAACTGGGGACACGACTTTAGGCCGGACTATAAACAATTGAAGTATTTCAAGGACCAGTATCCCGATATTCCAATGATTGCGTTGACTGCGACTGCTAGTGAGCAGGTGCGGCTTGATGTAGTTCACAACTTGCGTTTAGACAAACCTGTGTTTCTGAAGCAGAGTTTCAATAGGACAAACTTGTTTTACCAAGTCCTCAAAAAAGGCAAGAATGCGGTTTTTGAAATGTGCGATTCTGTGAAAACTCGCTTCAAGAATCAAACAGGTATAATATACTGTCATTCTAAGAACTCGTGTGAGCAAACTGCCTCGCTCATGCAGAAAGCTGGTGTTAATTGTGCGTATTATCATGCAGGGATGGAACCAGATGAAAGAAATCAAGTCCAGCAGGCGTGGCAAAACGATAATATCCGCGTTATCTGTGCAACAGTGGCTTTCGGCATGGGCATAGACAAGCCAGATGTCCGATTTGTGTACCACCTTACGGTTCCTAGAACCTTAGAAGGGTACTATCAAGAAACGGGACGTGCTGGTAGAGATGGGAAATACTCTTATTGCATTATGTACTACACCTTTCGAGACGTTCGCACAATTCAAACGATGATTCAAAAGGATAAGAATCTTGATCGAGACAACAAAGATAAGCATCTAACAAAACTTCAGCAGGTCATGCAGTACTGTGAAAATGCAACTGATTGTCGAAGGCAACTTGTTTTATCATATTTTAACGAGGAGTTCAAATCTACTCTATGCCAGAGTAATTGTGACAATTGTCGAAACAGTGCCAATACCACAACGGAGGAGAGAGACATTACTGTCGATGCTATCGATATAATAAAGCTGGTTAACTCGATCCAAGATGATAAAGTTACCCTTATACATTGCCAGGATGTCTACAAAGGTTCTCGTAACTCGAAAATCGTTCAAGCGAATCACGATAAACTACCATTCCATGGCCTCGGAAAGAACATGTCAAAGTCCGAGATTGAGAGGATCTTTTTCCGACTTGTCACAACTCAAGTACTCCAAGAGTATTCAGTTATGACAGGTAAAGGGTTTGCTTCTAATTACGTTAAGGCGGGTCCCAAGTCCCGACAGGTACTGAGCGGTAGATTAAAGGTTTCAATGCAGTTTGTTACATCAACTATCGATGCATCAAGGAACTCCCCAGCACCGCCGATTTTGAATAATCTACAAACCGTTTCAAAAGACTCAACCGACAGGAGAAGGGCAATTTCAATCGAAACCGCCAAGATTTCGATGAATGGAACGCCGGTGTTGAAGCAATTTGCTTACGAACATACAAATCCCCGAGCGAGATCCCCATCTGAGCACACTGCCATCATATTAGATGATAATATTAGCAATCTATCTCCTCAAGAGCAGCTCTGCATTACAAATGCCTATCAAGAGCTTAAGCAGAGAGCCATTGAGTTGGCCAGAAATCAAAATTACCCCAGTTACACTAGCATCATATCTGAGCAAGCTCTAAAGAGAGCAGCATTTTCCGTACCACAAAATGAGAATGACTTTGTCATCCTTCCCAACTTAGGAGACTCTCAAAAGCGCAACTACCATCACTTCAAAGACCTATTTGAAATTTTGAGGTTACAACGGGATTCATTACTAAGAAAAGCATCACATCTTCCTTCCGAGACTACAAATGTATCTCCTTGGTTTCAGACCCCCAATTTTGAAGAAACGCCCGAAACTCAACAGCGCGACGAAGAGATTTTAAGGCAAATCAGAAGCTCAACTACTGCGGAAGCTTATTCAGGTGTCTTGTCCCAAAAGCCCAAGAATAGTCAAACAAAGCCCAAGCGGGGCAAAAAGGCCAAGTGGCCACCTAAAAACTGGGCAAGAAGATGAGCCCCGCCTTTTTGAGGCAAGCATCGACTCTGCACCCTAATAGTAGGCAAAAAGTACATGAATTATTGGATGGGATAGTTTATCTGGAAATATTAAGGTTTATAGATTAACGATTAATTATTTAGGCAGCCTGTTTGTCTTCAGCTGTTTCGCCCTTCTTTGAGTTGTACACAACAATGCCATTTGCCCGCGCGTTTTGTCTTTCCTCACGCTTGTAAAGCCATAGTACTAGAATAGTCCATAGCGACAGACAAAATGCAGAGACTGCAGTCCAGGTGTAACCCTTCAAGAATCTGGGTGCTTCAACGGTCTTAAACACCAAGACGGACATGAATGCTGTGGTGGTTTGGGCAAGCATGTTCATCACCACTAAAATAACAGATCTAGCTTGAGCATCGCGACGACAGATGTCGTTTTGCCAAGAATATAATACTGGAGCCATTGCCCACCCAAAGTATTGTAGCATAAACGCAAACCATTTAGCACTCTGAGGGACATTCCACGCAGCCAGAATAACATTACCAATGAAATTGAACACTTGCGTCACGACAATTGCTCCCCACCTGCTATGAAGCTTATCTGCAAACAAACTTGTACCGAACAAGTATATCATACCCAATGCCGGGGTGATCATAGCCAACTTGTTGACTTCTGGAATGGAATATTTCTGCAACGATTTCAGCCACAATAGATAAGCACCCGAGCTACCATTGTTGTTGTTCCAGCAGAAAATATTCCAGAGAGTCAACACATAGATCTTCCAATCTGAGAAAATGCGAATCCACACTTTTTTGTCGAAAACCTTGGAAGAGAAGTCTGATTTCTCAGTGTTGTTCTCTCTCAATCTCTTACGAGCTAGCCTGATCTCGTCGTCCGTTAGGAAAATAGAGTAGCAGTTGTAAGGGTCGCCTGGCAAAGCGTAAACACCGATAACACCAACCACGAACGAAATTAGTCCATCGATGATGAAGTTCCACCTCCATCCAGACAGGCCGCGCTTCCCGTTGAATGCAGAGTAAACAGCCGATTGAATACCACCAGCCGACAAGATTCCAGCATACTGGCCCAAGTAGTAGAAAGCAGAACGGCGGACCATCTCGTCATGTTTATAAAACGATCCAAACAAATACTGGTAGGCCAGGTATGCAGGGGCCTCAAAAGCACCGATGAAGAAGCGGATTGCCTTCAAGTGTGGAACACTATCAACCTTAGCCGCACCAATGGTCAAGATGGACCAACAAATGTCCAGTGCAGGAAGAACAAAGTTCAAAGGAACCTTGTTAAGGAAGAATAGAAATGGAATTTGGAAAATAATGTTGCCAACTGTGAACATCACCTGGGTTTCTACCAGCTGGTTACCTTGGAAGTTAAGTTCCTCACGCATACCCGAGACGTAGGCGTTGTTCAGGTTAGTAGAATCCAGAAACTTGACCCAATAGGCCAAACACGAGTAAAAAGCCAGTAAGATGTCCAGCTTCAAAAGCAGTTTTTTTTCCTGAGACGACACATTGCCAAACCATTGGTACCATTTGGCCTTGCTGGCTTTTTTCACTCTATATTCTTGTTCGTTGAAGAATGACCACCAATGACGATCAGCTTCGTCTCGGTACTCCAAGTGCGACAAAGACGCCGTTTCTGAAAGGCCCTGCTCCACAGATACATCCTGGCTCTTTTCGGCGCGATACTTCTGTTCTTCCGCGTCCGAATCCACCTCCGATTCAGATTTGTTCTCTGAAACTGCATCATCGTCCACTATTCTTCTGGTTGGTATGAACCCCCACTTGAGCCTCTTGAATGGGTCCGTGACCCATTCGGTTGCTACCGCTTGCGTTCCTTTGAGTATACCCATCGTTACGATTTGAATACGGAATGTAACAAAAAAGTTTCCAACGTTCGCCAACAATGGTATTTTACATCTCAGCTCTTTATATAGCTCGTGGTGTTGGGCATCTTAACGGTAGCAGATGCCCGCCGATGCCCGCCTTCATTATCAGTCGCAGTCATCAAAGTCTTGATGACAATGAAATGCCACACTTTAACCGTACTAAGTCCATTGTTATAACGAAAAGCCACAGCTCACCGATTGTGGCGTTGATCACTTTGTATTATTTTGACGCCATCTGGAGATAATGCCATTGTTTGGTCAAGCAGGGACAACTACCCTGGATCACAAAGAAAGTGCGAGGAAGGAGGATGTGGCGGACGCACTTTTTTTCCCCTCCTGCTTGTGCCTGCGAGTTTTTCTAAATATAAGAAGAGGTCGCGCTATATCCGCCTATCTCGAAAACACAAGTGAAGGGTGTCCAACGCTAAAAAAACCAACTCGACCCAAGTCGCACGTCTGAACAATTTTCACTACCGCCATTACCTCTGCAATTTGGTCAGAAGCGTAACATTCATTGTCCCGTATGGCACACATTTGTGTGGACTAGTTTCTGCTTCTGTTTTCTAACCCCGCCCAACTGTGGCACAACAAGGTTTATTAATTAATGTATCCCATCTTGCTATGCATCATTGTTCTAAATTCGGCTAAATAGTATACATCGATTTATTACTGCTTCTCGGCTCCATTGTCCAACCTCCGCTAATCCTGCGAGGCAACGGTTTCTTCCACGGATGGACAGGTACATATCAGGTTCAAGTCACCGTAGGTGTCGTCCAACCTGGCCACCGGAGGCCAGAACTTGTTGTATTTAAGGTATGGCAACGGGTAGGCGGCTTGCTCTCGGGTGTAGCCCCGGGAGTCCCAGTCAGAACTGGTGATCAAATCCTCCAAAGAGTGAGGAGCGTTCTTGAGCACTGATCCCCGAGAGTCGCCAGCGACGTAGAGGTCGATCTCGCTCCTGATAGCGATCATCGCATCCACAAACCTATCCAATTCTTCCAAGTTTTCGGATTCCGTGGGTTCCACCATCAAAGTACCAGGAACAGGGAAGGCCAAAGTGGGAGCGTGAAAACCGTAATCTTGCAGACGCTTGGCAATGTCGATTGCCTCCACACCCTTTGCCTTGTACTGTCTGAGATCGATGATAAATTCGTGGCCACAGTGCTTGATAGTCGACCTCTCGTTCACAAACATGATTTCGTAATGAGACTTCAAACGGGTCATCATGTAGTTGGCATTAACCATCGCCACCACGGACGAGAAAGGCAAACCCTTGGATCCCATCATCTTGATGTAAGCATACGAGATTGGCAAGATCGAGGCACTCCCATAAGGTGCACTGGAAACCGAAGAAATACGATCTTTCTTCGGAGCTCCTGTCATCATTTCAACCAGGTCATGGCCGGGCAAGTAAGGACCCAGGTGTGCTTTTACACAAATAGGTCCAACACCAGGACCACCGCCTCCGTGAGGAATCGAGAACGTCTTGTGCAAGTTTAAGTGGCATACGTCGGCACCCAGGTCACCTGGCGAGGTCAATCCAACTTGGGCATTCATGTTGGCACCATCCAAGTAGACCTGGCCACCATGACCATGCACGATGTCAATAGCTTGTCTTATGCCAGGTCCAAACAATCCGTACGTCGATGGGTAGGTAATCATGATAGCAGCCAGGTCATCCTTGTGTTTCTCAGCCTTAGCCTCTAGATCGGTGAGGTCAAGAGACCCGTCTGGCAAGCAGTTGACAGGGACGACCTTCATACCACACATAACTGCAGAGGCTGGATTAGTACCATGAGCAGATACGGGAATCAAGCAAACCTTGCGATGCGATTGACCCTGCGACTCCAAGTACGCATTGATCACTCTTAAACCAGCATATTCCCCTTGAGCCCCCGAATTAGGTTGCAGCGACACCGCGTCGAAGCCTGTGATGTCGGCCAGGTCGGACTCTAAAGATTTTATCAACTCCCGGTACCCTTCGGCCTGCTCCACAGGCTGAAATGGGTGCATGTTGGCAAACTGAGGCCACGTAACGGGCATCATCTCTACGGTGGAGTTCAACTTCATTGTGCACGATCCTAAAGGAATCATGGAATTTGCTAGCGATAAATCGCGACTTTGTAAACGATGCAAATATCTGAGCATGGCAGTTTCACTGTGGTGCTGGTTGAACACAACGTTCGAAAGAATGTCATCCGTTCTCAGCAGTTCTGATGGGAACTGCGGTAACCCTTCTGGAAGCGCTGTAGAAGTGTTGAAGAGTTGACACAATGCTAATAAGTCCTCTTTCGTTATAGTTTCATCAAGGGACAGTGAAACAGTATGAGCGTCAACAGCATAAATGTTAATGGAATACCTTTCTAGAGCTTCTTTCAAAAATTCTTGGGAGGAGATTCCGTCTCCAAGTTTGACCGTTAGGGTATCAAACCAGGTCTTGTTCACCAAGGTGTGATTGGATTCGTTGGATATCTTTTTGGCCAAAACGCTAGTGAAACCATATACTCTACCAGCGATGGCTTTCAAACCTTCGGGACCGTGGTAAACACAGTAGTTGGCAGCAATATTGGCCAAAAGAGCTTGTGCAGTGCAAATATTGGAAGTTGCTTTATCACGTTTGATATGCTGCTCTCTGGTTTGTAGAGCTAGACGCAAAGCAGGGTTGCCCAAACGATCTTTGGAAACACCAACGATTCTACCTGGGATCTTACGGTTTAGCTTATCGACTACAGCTAAGAAGGCAGCGTGAGGGCCACCAAATCCAAATGGAACCCCAAGTCTCTGAGAGGAGCCAAACACAACGTCGGCGCCAAATTCAGATGGAGGTTTCAAGAGGGTCAAAGCTAGCAAGTCAGAAGCAACCAACAGAAGACCCTTATTGCTATGCAAAATGTCCGCAAAAGATTTTAGGGTCTCTCCGGGAATGATTGAACCATCGGTGGCAGGGTATTGGATCAACCCTCCAAATGTGTTTTTGTCACTCAAAATCGCCTTGGACTGTTCGACGTCAAGCGGGTCAATTTCTACAATTTCTATACCGAAGGGTTCGGCTCGGGTGTGCAGAACAGACTTGGTCTGAGGATGTGTTCTAGAATCCAACACAAACCTGGTCTTTTTCCTTTTGGCCGCACTGAACGCCAGCAACATAGACTCGCCTGCCGCCGTTCCCTCATCTAAAAGCGAGGCGTTAGCAACGGGCAAGCCAGTGAGGTCGGTTATCACAGTTTGGAAGTTCAATAGCGACTCCAGCCGCCCCTGCGAGATTTCAGGCTGGTATGGTGTGTAGGACGTGTACCATTCCGGGCATTCTAGAAGATTGCGCTGAATGACAGGAGGTAGAATGGTACCGTAGTAACCCTTACCTATAAGGTTTTTAACCTGATGCCGATTTTTGTCTGCGATCGTCTTCAAGTGCTCAAGCATTTGCTGCTCGGTGAAGCCATCCGCAGGAGCCTCTAATTCGAGTGGCCGTTTCTGCAGCACCTGGTGTGGGACCAAGTCTGTCACAAAGTTATCCAAATCCTTATAACCGATGATCTTCAGCATATCCTGCACGTTTTTGGGACTAGGGCCCAAATGACGCCTCTGAAAAGTATCCAGTGGTTCGTAAGAGCCTTGCGCCCGCTCATAAATCTGTTGATACTGTGTGGATGAGACATTGGCGACCTTGGCTGCTTGCTGTAGCCAAACACCCTTGCCGCTGTGCAATGATCTCCCGATGAGTTTCGATCCGGCCAACGCCCGGAATCTCAGCATGACAAATACACCGTTTTATTCTTCCGAAAACCACAGGTTCAAGTACTACACTCTAAATGCATCAAAGGAATCCAACAAAGATCCTGTGCTCTTCTTATACTCGCGATGAGGCTCCCAATCCGTACACTGAACACCTGTAAATTTCCTACTAAAAAACCTGATAGACAGCACAATCACGGCAGATAGAAAACTTATCGGCAATTGCAGCAGTTGTGGCGGAATAATTCCCAACCTAGTTAACACTCTGGGCCCGTTTAACTGACCCACGAACGCGCTGGGGAACGGCATCATCATTGAGATTAATTTATTATCATTGGATCGGTCTTATCACAGGTTATTGACTCTGGAAACAGGGGTGAAGGAGTCAAAAAATATTTCAAAGGAGTCAGATGTTATTTTCGTGTGTAGTGATTTCTTGTCCTGTACTCGTGCCAGAAAACAGTTGTACTCGTGGAGATGTCAGTGTCAGTGTCAGTGGCAGTGGCAGTGTCGATGTATGTCAGCTTGATGTAAGTCTGGCAACAATACAGGTAGCACGGAGCGCGTGAAGCGATTTGGGTGCATCCCGTGGATTGAACCCACCACCTAATGGTAAATTTGTCTTTTTTTGTTGCTTTTTATTCTCATGGGTAGTAGAATTGGGTATGAGGCTGGATGTTGTTTGCCGCATGGACACTACATCCGTCACCGTCGGCTGCCCACGGTTAATTTTGGCAGCTAATACCTAAACTCTGACGCTTTGGAATTGGCGTCCCATGTTGCATCCTAACCAGTCACCCTGTGGCTGCCATACTATATTGTTCACCTCGTAGCGAGATTCGTTGTAGGCCTGCTGTGGCGAGTCAACACAAAGCGCCGCTTTGCCGTTGTTCCACTTAGAAGACGCATTTGTCGCTGCCGCGGACGTCGTCAGCTGTGTATTGAGGTCCCATATCAGGACCTGACAGTCGTCGCTGCACGAAGCAAGCACGTTGCGTCGCGAGGGGTGCCACTGGATTTGGTTCACGGCCCCCGAGTGGGCCTCCAGCGTCAACACTGGGGCCCCAGGATACCGCATATCTAGCACTAGCACGCTTGTGGAGTCGTGGGCAAAGGTGGCCACTACGTTGGGATCGAACGGTGAGGGTTCTAGTCTTAGCAACGCATGGCTACCGGCGTTGGAGCTGGTGGCAGACCCGGACGCAGAGCCGGAAGCAGCAGATCCTGGCCCTGCCTTCGAGCCTGAGCTGTTTCGGGCACTTCCCGAGCCGTCATGAGCCCCGGTGTTGGTGCTGGGCTCGTAGATGATGGTGCTGTGGGCCAATGACCGCAAATCAAAGACCCTCACACTGCCGTCCCCGCCACAACTGGCGAACAGCTGTGTAGATTGCGTCAAAAACTTAACATCGTATACTTCGCTGTCGTGGGCAATCAACTGCGTTTTGACGTAATTGTTGGCCTGCAGGTCCCAAACCGTACACGTAGTATCAATGGAACTGGATATTATCAAGTTGGGGTCAATCGCGTTCCAATGAAATGAAGACACCGGTGGTAATTGTCCAAGACTGGAAACAGAACCGGACGCTCCGCTGGTCTTATTGTACCGATGCAGCGACAGGTTCAACTGCTCCTGGAGCGAAAAGTCCGCGAATCTCCACAGCCGCAGTGAGTCTGAGCACGTCGCTAGCTGCTGCGATCCACCGGTTGGGCACCACTGCACCCGCGAAACGGGCAAAGCGCAGTTTTCCTCACCAATCTTTTCCCACGTCATCACATCCGAAGAGTGTAGAATCTGTAGTTTGTTGAAAGTGTCCTCCTTGTAAGAACCCACTGCCACATAGTCCTCACTGCTCCAGTCAAGTGCGAACAGAGGAAAAGCCGCCTCATACCGACACGGATAAAAAGCCACCGCTGCTTGCTGCGCTGGAGGTCGTTCCACCGAGTAAACATGTCTTGGACCATACGAAGACAGGTCGCTCTGGTTGTAATTCACCATGGGCCTCTGGTAGCTCCCAAAGGAGATGGAACTACGCTTTCCACCCCGGTAACTATCCATTTTCGCCCGTTTTTTCGGCCAACTCGAATGTTTGCTAAACCCCTTCACACTGTAAATAGTATAAGAAGACTCCAAATTCAGTACCTAAACGTTAATAGATACTTTCTAGAGCGAATAAGGTCCAAAAATTCGATTCAGACACTCTAAAAGTTCGAATTCCAACTCTAAACTGGCCCAATTGGTGATTTCTCGGATGGCTCCACGTGATGTTGGTGTTGTAAGCTTAAATTAAGTTTAGTTAAAACATCGAAAATTTTAGTAGAGACTGGAGTGATGAGTTGGAAAATCAACTGTCAAAGGACTGGCTAACTGGCAGATTATACTGGTAGTCAAAACAAACTTGTGTTAGACTGTACATAAAATTTGGTGACTCTAGATGGCTCGTCAAAATTTCGTGGGGCTTGTGGTCTCGCAGGGGAAAATGCACAAGACTGTGAAAGTGCGCGTAGAGACCAAGGTGTTCAACAAAAGAATCAACAAGGAACTATTCAGCAGGAAAGATTACTTGGTACACGATGAGGGTGAAGTTTCCCGTGAGGGCGATTTGGTGCGTATCGAAGCCACTAGACCGCTGTCGAAACGCAAGTTTTTCAGTGTTGCGGAGATTTTGAAAAACAAAGGTCAACAGTTCGCGCTCTTCGAGTCGCAGGCCAAGATCCAGGTGTCACAGGAAGAGGCGGAAAAGACCCGAGGTTTCCTTGAGAGACGCAAGGCTCTGGAATCCAACAACGGCGTTCTTCTCAGAGACATTCATACAATTCAAAAGGCGTTAAGCGATGGGCAGGATCCTCAGAGTCTGATTGAGATCAAGGCCCGGTACGGAATTGAGCATTTCACTCCTGATAGTCTGAGACGACTGTTGCAGCTGGACGTGTCGGCTTTGGAGCAAGAGGTAGTTGCCCAGAAATCCAAGATCGACACCGTGCAGGCACGCGTGCATGAGCTTCTACAAGACGGCCAGGAGTGCGACCTATGGCTGGCAGAACGTGGTGTAGAGAGTCCACAGATGCTCAAGCCCAACATCAAGCGGAATCTGCTCAGAAAATACGTTTTGCAAGAGTTGTGATGGCGATAGAACTTTTAGCACACACGACTAGCACATGGCAGCCGCATAACGAACAAAAACCGACAAAATAAAACGACGAACAAATTCAGCTACCAGTCATTTTCCCTGTATATATATATATGTGTGTTTGTGTGTGTTTGTGTGTGTGTGTGTGTGTATGTGTTTATACGTCTAGTATCATGGATAAAAGTGCTCGGCAAAATTGCTGGTAAAGGTAAATTTTGGCCAGCTCACACTCCCAAAGGACGGCCTTCGCCTTGAAAAGCGCTGTTGGATGTCGTCGTATCAGAGTGCAGGGGCAAGATGCTCTCTTCGCCGAAAAACGAAGAGTACGACTCCTGTCTATTGGCATCAACCTCTCTGTAAAATTTGACCCCAAATGGGATCATGGCGATAGCGCGGTCTAGCTTGGACTCAATTTTTTGGATTATCCAACTTGGTGGTGCCAACCTAGCGGCGTAAACCTCCTTGGACCCCAAGGCGTAGCCCCAGCACAGACCGATCAAATGGCCCCAGAAACTCGATCCCGGGAAAAATATGGTGACAAACACTAGTGCCACTACCGGGATATACCTGGTAGGAAGATAGTAGTTGTTAAAAATCTGTTGCTGCGGGCGAAGGATGGATTCCTTCAAACTAAAGTAACCCAACAGTGAGAAACACCATCCGCTGCTCCCGATAACCTCAGTCTCAGAAAAGAAAACCGACCCCAAAAGACAGTATGGAATCGCAGTAAACACAGCCAGCAAATTCAGTATGACCCCGGTATGAACGGTTCCGTGGCTTCTCTCAAACGCCGTCAGAGGTCCATAGATTGAGATACAATTCATCAGCAGATGCACGATCGACAAGTGTCCCAGTGGGTACATCGAAATACGATTCACTTCACGAATTGCAGGTTAGTATCCTTGATATTCCCCGGTCTAATCAGCAACATATCATTAACATACAGTCCAAGCTAAACAAAGCACCTGGTGTTAGGCTTATGTGCCTATTGATATCGAAAACAAAGTTAATTATGAATAACATTGTCATGAAGACAACAAGCCCTGTGCTCAAAGCAGCAGGCGGTGACCCGTTAGGGAGCTTCAGTTCCAAAGATCTCAGATCAGTCATAGTGTCGAGCTCTTCAGCCTTGCGCTTTGTGTTGTCCGCAATTCTATTCTATGGGCATCGCGACTCAATTGCAGATTACTCTGTCTAACCCTTGGCAAAAAAATGTATCACGTGGTGCTATATATACATCGTTAGTATTGTAGGGAAAGTTGGATGGCCGTGTCACTAGCTACATCTCGAGCAGACTTTTAACCTGTAGGAGGCATTAAACTCGCTGAGATTGTAATGCGCTCGAGGATACCGATTACACAGCAACAAGATCTCAGCATACCAAGCAAAACAGTATTCATGTGTCATTGTGTACGAGTGTGTCTGTCCCGAAGCATGCCGGCTAACCAGCCGAATACCTCGATTGTGGATCTTAATACCGCCAGTCAACCACTTTATACCGGAGGTTTCAAATTCTGCGTTGTCTCTCTTTTCTTAGGAGTACATTTTCTATAAAAAATCCTATGTCTATCATCGTTATTTCGTGTCGCGCGGGGTGTCATGTCAATCAGACTTCTCTCTCACAGCTGTCTGACGTTTGAGAGCCGCCTCACCGGTAATCCCACCAAACACTATAAATATGCCCAGCCATTGCAGCTTAGTGACGTGGTGGCTATACACTGCTATGCTCAGAATTAACGAAACCATCTTTCGTGTCACCGTCACCATCACTAGAACCAGCGAGCCGTAGTTTTGCAATGTGTAGAAAATACAGATTTGGCCCAGTGCGCCACATGCCGCGTAGGTCAGCAGATACGCAGCGACATGCGGATCCTGGGCAATCAGCGCCTTTGCCCCACGAATCTGCTGCCGGTCGCATACCGCCAAATACAAGAGATTCCATAGCACAATACAAATATTGAGCCCCAGCATCAAATGGCCGCCCGTGATGGGCTTGCTGCCCTGTTGGGCCCTATTGCGTTTCAGCATTGTGTCCTGGGTCGCATTGGTGAAACCGTCTAGTAGCAGGCTCAGGGCCAGAGGGAGAAATCCGTAGATCAAGCTCACACTGTCCCCTCGGCTAACTTTGGCTGCTGGGCCTGCCGAGCCCACGTTGAAAATCACGACGCCGACGGTGACAGCCACAGCCACTATTTTTTTGTCCCTTGCGATTTCGGTGCGGTACAACATGAGATGCACCACTAGAATAGGAATCAGTTTGCAGCTCTTGGCCAGCATGTAGGTCAGGAAGTCCACGTACCCCAGCGCGTAGGTGGCCAAGGGACTCGAGACGCTCTGCGTAAAGGAGATCGCCAGCAGATCTTTGTAGCTACCCCTCCAGAATTCTCGCATGCTGTATCCAGTTTTTGCGTGCCGCAAGTACAGGGCTCCGGCCGTGGCAGCGACGGCGGCCTGAACTAGGCCCATCACACAAGGTGCCTGGAACCTAGCTTGTGAATTAGGCCATTCTCGAGTTGTAAGTGGCTCATGTACCAGTGACCAGGTCAAAAATGTAGCGTAGATCCCAGTAACACACGCAGCAAGCTTCAACTGCGCACCCATTTGGCCAACTTTCCTTGGAACCAGAGGAATATAATGTGTCTCGAATTTGGCAGCTATTAAACCACTTTTTTTTGTAATTTTTTTTTACTATTCCCAAACCTCTATTTTCTGTTCATACGATTGGGCCTAATAGAGCGGTTTGGTGGCTACGGCGCACTATGGCCTTCTGTTTCGATAGCGTAGAGTAAAGTTGTCTTTAATTGACACTTTCCAGAGGTCGTAACATCAATCATGCCGTTTATGATGATGTTCGAATGTGTGGAAAATTTTAAGAACAACAACGAGAGTCAAGTAAAAGCTCGCAAGCTCTGAAGAGCCTTAAAGGGTCTAGCGAGCATCTGCATCTGTATCTATATCTATACCAGTATTTGATAATGGCAGGTGGATCTAAGAGCCATTACTCACCCTTAGGGGCAACGTACGGAGTCAGAATTGAACAATTTGTGGAGACGGCAGAGGATTTTCAAAAGTATCATGGAAAATTGAATCGGAAGCTGCAGAAGTTGAGACACCATTGCCAATTGACCACCAAGGACACCAAGCGGTATTCGTCTAAGGAAAGGTATTCTAAACTTACACACGAGGACTACGACTCCAAAAATAAGCTTGTAGGGACGTTGATGCTACTGCATGCCGAAAGAGACTTGGCTCTGGCGGAGACCTTGCGGCTCAAGGCGCGCCAAAGAGGCCACATCAAGAAGTCCGAGGGCAAAGTAGTGGCCACGCGGCTGAAAAAAGCATGCGGGACATGCCAACGGCTCCTGGAGGTGACAAAGAACGAACAGGACCCTGTTACGCGTGCCGAGTACCTCATTTACCAGAAGCTGGTGACGGTCAGTTACCTTAACTTCAAAAACTCATTGAAGTCCCGCTCTGCTGTTTCGGTGGCCGATACGGTGGCACAGGAACTCAGTTTGGTCGTCTCTGCCCTTCAGTTCCTGCATTCCACGGGGAAGCTGGGTGCTGAAGTGGCTGAGTCTATAACGGCTCAATTTGACTACATTTTGAGACAAAGCGCCAGCCGCGAGGCTTCTACATCGAGGGAGCTTCGTAATTTTGTCACCAGGAACGTGCAGGAGAATTCTAGCGAACCTCTTATATCGCTTTTGTTGCAGGATGGCTTCGAAATGCCCGTTATAGTGGAAGACGAGAATTCCTCTGCTACCGCTGCTGCCACTATCCACTGGAGAAGATTTTCTGCTCAGGTCAATGACTCCAAGGTAGCAGAGGTCATTTCAGAGGCTCAGAACATCGGGACTGACGAGCTGTCTCAATTCTCAGAAAAAATGGCGAAGTGGCAGCAGGCTTTGGACTTACAAAGAGCAGTTGTAGAGCAAAAGCACAACAATGACCACGACGAAACGACCGGCGAGGATGATGAAATTTTAATGACTTACATCCAGTACAATTTGCATTTCACGACCATTCAACGTGACGACATCCTTTTCAACAGACTATGGACGTACTGGGCCAAATCCTCTGATAAGTCGAAAAACTTGAAACTCACCAAGTACAAGGAGATTGAACGTATTGTCCACAATTTAACCACTTATTTGCAGGACGTCATGGACCTTCCTGGTGTCTACTCGGATGACACCTTGATGGCGAACCTCAAGTTGGCCACTGTGTACTATCAGTTACACTTAACAGCAGGCTGTTTGGCGTCGTTCTATCAGGGTGAACAAAAACATCTGGAAGCTCTTGCGCTCTACATTGATGCCCAAAAAATTTTGAGTTCCGCACTCGAAGACTCCTCCTTCGAAGAAGCCTTACCAGGAGACATTATCAACTCTGAAAGGCTTGAGAACCTACAGGAGTACCTTAAGACTGCTGTTAATAGTGTGATCTTCCTTGCCGAGTACGAAAAGCTTTCTTCTTCGTCTAAATTGTCGGCGTTCGAACCTTCATTATTGGAGAAGCTAAACAGACGCATTACACCTCAGGATGTTGTTTTGAAAAATTTGGTACCGCTGAGGCCAGTGATCCGTCCCGTAGGAGCCAAACCAACCTTGTTCGATTTGGCATTCAACTACATATCTTACGACAACCAACCGGAGGAACATTTCACTATCAATGAGCAGGATGTCCAATCTGAATCGGAAAGCATGATTCAAGACCAAGAACAAGTATCGAAGAAGAAAGGGCTTTTCGGGCTCTTTGGCTTGTGAAATTTGTTCGCTTTCGAGAATAGAACTGTAAATAATAAAAACTTTATACTCTGGGCATAATAATGCTTCACAATTTCACTAATGTTCTGCAATAATTGATCTTTCAATAATTTACTACTATTCATATTATTGAAGTTGACCACTTAACATAGTGTTGGTTCCTTTGGACCTTTCAGCGTTGGTTTATTTCTATTGGCTTCACACAAAACTTGTCTTTGCCAGTAGCTGGTTATCGTATGGCCCCTATGATCAACATGGTGGAACGAGACAGTAAATGCTGGATATGTTTATCATCCGGTGACGAGTATCCTCCGATGGGTACACTGAAAGATGCTCGTGACTGGGTTTACCCGTGTAGCTGCTCGCTGGTAGCTCATCGGAAATGTCTTCTGGAATGGGTCTCACGGAACAATCTAGAATACAAGAATGAGGTTCTTAGCGAACTCAACAGTGACGGCTCTACCATCGGATTTGAGTCATTAAATGTGTCCGATGCATATTCTTCAGTTCATTCCAGGATAGGATCCTTCAATCCTTTGAACTGGCTCGGTATTCGACGTTCAAGCTCGCTGGACGGGCGTTTGTCATTCAACCCCGCAGAGATAAGTAAAGTACTTTCCAGCGTGGCTAATGACGCGATCGTAAGAAACGTAACAGATGCAATGACGGCCGGTGCACAAGAACCGCTACCTATTGGGCCCTCACTGCGAGGTTCCCGAAAGTTGGTGATCAATACCGTGTGCCCACAATGTAACTCACCTATTTTACTAAAAACCAGCGGTGGCCTAACAATACCACTTTCAATCATTACGTCAAAAGCATTCACCTGGTTTGCCAAAGCTTCTACACAAACAACTATAATCGGGACGATAGGAGGGTCGATACTGTTTAGCTGTGGGTGTCTCCTCACCTCTTGGGGTTTACGAGTATTGACAACGCTGGCCCCGGAGAGTACATTACTCAAGCTGTTGGATCTGCCCAAAGCATCTAATTTGTATCAAGCCCTGCAAAAAAACCAAGTAGGCTTCAAGCAGGTACTATTGATGGGACTGGCGCCGATCTTTCTACTAAGTTTTAGATTCGAAAATAAATTTCTTGGCTGGCCCAAACGCCTCTACCCTATTTTGTTCTTGAGGCCAGGCGAAAGCTTGCATATGAATGTGAAACGTTTCCTTCTATTGCTATACCCATTGTCCATCTTGAATGACTTTATTCAGCTCGTTGTCTACAATCCATTATACTTCAAGTGGGTGCACCGCGTGAAGCCTTATTTTCTTTGTGATAGGATGTCTTTGGAACAATTGAGGCTTTATGAAGCGGAGCAGGAATACATTGAAACGAAACGAGAAGCTGAAAGAATCAGTCCTCCTCCCAATGGCTTCCTGTCCAAATTTTTGAGTTTTTTCAGAAGGAAAACCACCGAAGAACCGTTAATACAAGGCATCAATACACGTCGCTTCCTCATGGCTACCACATTCGACTATTCGCAGGCCCTTGTTGAGACTTCACCTTGGGAGAAAATTACTTCGACCATGCTGTGGCCCGTATCCGGAAAGCTTTTCCATACCTTCATTCTCTCTAAATTTTCCTGGTTTAGATCTACAACCGCACAACAAACAGCCACGCCAGATGATGCATTGTTTTTGGGAAATTTGATAGGATGCTGTGCGGTTGCCATTTTGAAAGACCTTGTGCACCTCTTTGTTACATGGCGTCGAGTGAAGCAGCTACAAAGTATGGAGGTTATTGAACGTATGTCACCAGAATGGGAGTATACTCTGAATAGAAAAACCGGCCAGGTACTTTCTCAACTGGGTTTGTTAACAGAAGACGAGGAATCGTCCGCGATCTTAGAAGAGCACATCAATACTATGCTCCCGAAGCTGTATCAAGAACAGTGGGTCAATGTTTCAAGCAGCATCCCAACAATGGCTGGAAAAGTGAATTTTTTCAGATATTTGGTTATGAAAATGAGCATCGAAAGATCAGCTACCTATCAACTATCTAGAAGATGATCGATGTACTATTCACAAAATAATAAGTGGGTAATATAAAAAAATCTATCAGTGACGTATCCAATAGCCACTGCGGAGACTCTTGTTTTGTTTATCTATACGGTATGTTCCCTTTATTAATATTGTTTTGTTTATACATGTCGACTTTTGGACTTACTAAGTAAACAAATTTAGTAGTTAGAGTTCAGTAGCGAGGGGCCTTCTAATAAAGGAAGTCGCGATAATTTCCAAAAGTCGAGTCAAATCGAATTCCACAGAATTATCGAATAATTTTAATCTGGTTGCTTCATCTTTAGCTAGCATGTCCAACATGGTCGAGAATTTAAGGTTATCACTAGCTGTCATGCCCTTTCCAAGGCCATGTTTTCTCGCATCAATGAGTTCAATTGCAAAACACTCTCCATCGGAAGTTGCAATTTTGAAGTTAACGTCAGGAAATTTAGGTCCGCTCGATCCAAAAAAGGTAACATCAGCTTGCCCAAGGTTTTCGCCCTCCAGTTTCAACAAAGCACCCATTTCACACAAGCGACGGGTTGTCCATTCGAGAGTCAGACAATTCTTCCCGTCAGTGCCCTTCTGATTGACCTTATTGTACACATCTTTCAATTTACGACTGATACCATGTTTTTTTATAGGAACATAGGAGTTTGAGGCCTGTATTTTCTTTAGCGCGCGCTTTTGTGAGATATCCAATTCTTGAGATTTCTTCTGCAAATGCGAGTTTGTCCTTTTTATTTCTTGTAAAGTTCTTTCGGCTGTCCGTATCTCCCTCTCAGTAGATTCTACCACGTATTCTCGAGACTTGATTGTATTCGCGATGTCATTCAAGAGGCTTTGAAGGTTATCTTCAACTCCTAAGCCATCCATCTGCTTGAGCTCATAGGCGCGCTCCAGAATATGTTGCTTCAAGCTAAAATAACTCATAGGTTTGAGATTTTTTAGCAGGGGGTCAGATTTGATAGCTGCCGTACCGCTGACGAGCTGCTTAAAAACGGGCTCGTCCTCTTGGATGATCGAGGAAGTCATTAAATCGTAGAGGTTTGTATCTACCTCTTCTACTTGCATCATGTAGACAAGTCCGCGTTTGATTTCGTTATAGATGGCGGTCAGCCTGTCGTCACTAGACGACAAGTGATAGGCGCTTGGATTCAACTTTAGCTCCACAACTGCGACAGAAGTTAACCTTAAGAGTTCAGTTTCACTTTTTACGTTCCTCAACAAACTAGCCATCGGGTCATCGTGAGGAAAAGCATCATTGTGGTGATCCAGTTTGGCGACAATTTCGAGTAAGTAAGGTTTCGAGATGCTGAGTGTTGAGCGGCTATCTTGACGCATGTCAATATATATAAGCTCATCACAATGAGCCTCGAATGAAGGAGTAATTAGCATTTTCTTCAATGAAAAGGCCAGATCGTCATTAATTTCCTCCACATATTGGTTCAAAGGAGCGAGGTAGCCTTCAAATTTTGAGAATGAGAACACTGTGGCAACTACATCGAGAAGAACAGATATTTTTCTTTCCACTTCGTTGGTCACAGATGGAAGCCCAAATTTGGAGGGAGATTGCAAAAAGGGAAAGAGCACCAATTCCACAAGTATTTTTGATATAGCCACTAACGCATCGCATTCATAGGGGCTCCGGTCTGCAACTGCTCTGTAAGCAGTAGTACATAGGAACTTCACGTCATTTGGGATACGGTGTACATTTTTCAAAAGGGCCTCGCTGACCATTTCAGTAGCTTTCCATAAACTGGTCAGGTTATCGATGAAGTGCTCCTTCGTGACTTCGTCTTCAATTGCCTCGTTGGAGGAACGTTCCACATCATAAGGATTTAGTTTCTTGTATATCAGCGCTGGAACAGACTCAAAGTCGACAGTGTGAGACGAAACATAATTGAGCAAGGGAGAAAACAACTCAACAAGCAAATCAGGAATTTGACGATGGACATAGAAGCACACCAAAAATTTCCAGAATGATTGGCTACCATCGTCTAAAAATTGATGAACGTCTTTGAAACCTTCAATACTGGAAGCCAGAAAGTTCGCAGTGAGTCTCACAAAGAATGCATTCTCCCTTGGCTCCATGGAACCATTTGCAGAAACAAAGGTTTTGGGAAGATGCTTGACAACAAATCCCGGATCAAGACGATAAAGGGTTTTCCAGTAAAACGAGTCGGTTTGCAACAGGTAAAACAGCTTTTCATAGCCTGGAAAGGAAGTCATTCCAGCTAGAGGATGCGGGTCGAAAGAGTTGCTTGTATTCACAAAGATGTTGTAGTTAGTCAAAAAGTTGGTTTTTCTCCCAAGAAGCTCCAGTTGCTCCTGTATTTTGTCACGATTTTTATTCGCTTGATCTATTTGAGACTTTACTGATTCAAGTTTGCTCCGAGATTCGTCGTTTGCATGTATGGTGTTCAATAAGGAAACAAATTTCCGTACAGCCCATAAGCTCGGATTAGCGGCGGACATAAATTCTAAATATGCCTTTCTCAATTGATATCTTCTGATTTCTGATTGGATTTTAATCACTTCAGATATGGACTGTTCATAATATATTCTTCGCGCTCTGTTGGAATTTCTAACGAGGCTGCTCCGTGCCAATGACTGCACCAGGACAAGGTTGTTGTCTTCAACAATGTCTGCGATTAGCTCCAGTGTAAAACGTACCAAAACTCCTTTGGCAAGACCCTGCAGAGATACAACTGGATCTTTGCTATCGCGTACTGCCGTTGCGAGAGATTTAATACCTGATCGTTGAAATGATCCTCTCATCAGGGCTGCAATATAAGCAATCGTATCATTCTGGCATTCAAGCTCACAGTGCACTTTTTTTAGTGACCGACGTATAAGTACGCCTTTTGAGATGGCTTGAGCGGTGCTAAGACTTGTGGATTGGTCACTTAAAGAGAAGTAAATCGACTTTTTCATTTTCCGCAGATTCTGGGAGCGCAAGAGGCTCTGTAACCCTATTATGTGAGGAACATGCTTCGCCAGGTTATCAAGCTGCGCCTTGTACATATGACGTTGCACACCACCCTTGATTATAGCCTGAAGCAAGGCCAAAGTGGGATTTACCGCTTCGTCTCTGGCAAGCGCACTTGCACAGCGCCTTCTTAGAAGGTTAGAGTAGCAGATGTTCTGAAACTGCGAAATTCGCTGCTCAAGGGTTAGTAATTTTAGGCGAAGTGAGAAGACCTCTTTGCGCACAGCGTCTGCTTTGACCAAGGACTGAAATTGGTCGAGTCCGGTAGTTTGCATCAATAGGATGTCTGTGCTCCGTTTTTTTTCCAACTGTCGCCTTTTTAAAAGTGCTCTACAACGCGCCTGCAGAAGCGCAATATTCCCAATAACGATGTCGACTTTGCGATTCAAGATTGTGACTTCAAACCTGGTATTAACACCGCGGCATACCGCCTGAAGGTAGCTGATGGAATCCAAAAATTCGATCTCAGTCATGCGCTTTCTGCGTACTGGAGAATACTCTGGAGTCTTGTATTTCAAAACATCATACTGATCAAAGCCGAACGAATGGTCCGAAAGCCTGCGACTAGAAAATAATCTCGAGTCAGCTCTGTATGATAGGTGCCTGTATATCCGAGGTGAATAGTAGGAATGCGATTTGGCAGGGCTGCTGCTTAGGTCGAAATCCAAAATTGGTGTATTGTTTGCTAGGACGTTGGCCGCCTTTAACTTCAAATCTGGTGACTTCTCGGTATAACTGGAAGTGACCGAAAACTTAGGCGACTCGAGGTGGTTAGTCACTTCTGGTAATTTTTCTGGCGTCCTTGGCAATGCGGGTGATTTGGGGATTTTATCCACTTGAGTTTCTGAATCAGTGGTCGAGAGCATCCCAAGCCCGGTACGATCCTTGGAGCTAGAAGAGTCTTCATGCAGGTCGTTAGACGCAAAGGGCCTAAAATTGTGTACGTTCGGAACTTTGCGCTGACACAGCTTTATCTCCTCTTCAGTGAAAGATGCAGTACCACTGAGGTTTTTGATTTGAGGCAATTTTCCTGGCCATTTGTTGTTGATCACACTGATAAGAGCATGCAATGTCTCAAAAACCTTAGGGATGTCTTTCTTTTCATAAAGATCCGTGAGCTCAAATCGGAACAGGTCAGGAACTCCGACTTTCTCCACGATCTTGAAAAAAGCGTTGATGTTTTGGGTATGAGTAAATTGAAGGGTCGTTCCAGCTGGAACGACTTTTTTGACCAAGCTAGGATCAATGATTTTCGTGAGTTGAGCCAAATAGACCCCATTACGCAAGCTATCCCCGCTGGCGAGATCCAGCTCTGAAGGGAGTTTTTCGGATAACACAGCTTCGAGCCATTCTTTCGCCTCTCTCACGCGACATAAAAATTCGTAATACTTTGCGTCCCGACCGGACCACTTGTTGAAGTCTACCGATTGACTTTGTTTGTCTTTATTTTTCGTGGGCGACCCGTTCAGTTTTGACGGAGAAAGTGTTCGTAAGGGGCTGCCCTGATTAAGCTTTCCTGAAAATTCCACTTTTTGGCTTTTTGGGGTAGAGTAGTTCTCTTTATCATCGTGCTGGTGGCTCGAGAATCTCCACTTGGCTGGGGAGATCCTCCCGGAGGCGTTTGGGAAAAGGCCACCAGCTGCAGAATTAGACACCTCGCTGCTATTGTCACCTAGGCTTGCCATGTAGCGGTCAATAAAAGGGCTTCTTCCCTTGATGGGCGAGCCCGTTACAGACGCCATTCTGGTTGCAGCTGATTCAGTTTTCCTGTAGATTGATGTCCAGAGTATAACTTAGATCCAGTTCTGATAATAGATAGCAACTAGTCCAATTGATCTTTTTCTTCCTCGACTGAGGAAATAACGCTCAAACCATACAGCTGGCTAATATTTCCCGTCTTGTTCGAATTCTCGAGTAAGTCGATTCCAATAGCTTTTGTTTGGATACTTCCATTTCCGGTCGTTCATCAACAATAGAAAAAATACTATCGTCACCGCGTATCACATGATACCCACCTCGGCGGCTAAAGTATTATTGCCCAGTGGACCATTAAGACCTCCGAAGCTCGCCCTTAAGTCTCTGTGTATCAAATGAGTATGTTTCAAAAGGCACAAAATGGTATGACTTTTGGTATTCTTCTCCAAGTTTTCCAATGCTACTGAAATCTTGGACGGCGACGGCAGCCGTCTGCATATCAGTATGGAACTGACAATCGCGGCACTCTTCCAATATAATGGTCTGCGGTACAGTAGACCCAAGGCGTGTGATGTACACTTTACAATTGTAGAGCTTGAACAGACGAATCTGAACGTCGGAACTCGCCTGTAGCTGAAACGCGATAACACAGTCCCTTGCATTCTCGACGTAAACGCTGCCATGGTCAAAATGTAGGCCCTTGAAGTTCACTACACTTTTATTCAGATCACGCAGATGTAATGAGGAAGAGTTCCCATTCATCTCCCCTGAAAGATCATTCCTTATGTCGTACGTCAATGAAGTGTCCCGCAGACCTTGGTAGAGGGTTTGCTTTCCATCGCACACCAATGTTTTCCCGGTGCTCGTTGGTAGTTCAGTAGCTGAAGCAGTAGTACTGACGGAGTCTGGCGAGTGACGGGGTGTTGATCTGTCAGAAAGTGGCTTACTCTTGAACTTAAACTTTCGCGGTTGAGGTGCTGTATTTTCCGATGCTTTCTGCAATAAATGATCCAGTTTAACTCTGAGCTTTTCTAAGTCATACATGGGGATCAAATGGGACACCGATCGTAGTTCAAGAAGAAGATTATTTATCTCTTTCTTCAACTCTAGTTCTTGGCCGCTGTCGCCCAATTTACGGTCGATCGCTGTCTACGTTAGTATTTAGCAGCAGAGAAGTACTAGGAGCCGCCATATTACGTACCATCGTAGGAGGCGTTGAACTGCCTCAAAGTGTTCGTCAGGTTAAAGTGTTGCGGACTCATTTCAGTTTGTTGTGCCAGTGCAAATATTAACCAAAGATTATCAAGCATTGTGCACTTTGGATAGACAAAAAATAGATGCCATTTCGTGTTCAATTATATGTGCCACAGAGGATCTAAAATTCTGTATCGGTGCATTCACCTAATCTTCTCTTCAACTGCTCCGTTAGTTGAGTTTAGTGTGCTGTTTTGCCACGTTAATTATCTCATCACCTAATTGCCCATTGCTGTGAATCAATCATTTGCACAGATCCCTGACACCACTACTAACAAGACTTTAATTTGTGTGGCAAAACTCGGCCGGCCTGGTTCCATAAACAGACGTAATCCTTTAATTTGAATGCTTTATACAATTATTTTCTACATGAGTAAAAAGGCGTGATACGTTAGCGATTAGTTAACTTAATCAACTTCCTCCATTTCAGTTTCAGCGGTGACTTCTTCGACTGGAGCCTCGGTAGCGGCTTCTGGAGCAGCTTCCTCTTCTTCATCCTCATCGATATTCAAACCCAAAGAAATCAACCTGTTGATTCTGGTGGCAAAAGAAGCTGGCTCTTCCAAGGTGAAACCAGAGGTCAATAGGGCAGTTTCGTACAATAGGGTGGTCAAGTCCTTGACAGTCTTGTCCTGGGCACCATTTTCTTCGACTCTCTTCTTCAATTCCTTGATGATTGGCGATTTTGGAGAAATTTCGAAGATCTTCTTGGAAGACATGTAAGAAGACATGGAGGAATCTCTCAAAGCTTGAGCCTTCATAATTCTTTCCATGTTAGCGGACCAGCCGAATTGACCGGTTCTAATGGCTGCTGGGGCATCGATCAACTTGTGGGAAACAACAACCTTTTCAACCTGTTCACCCAAGACTTCCTTTAGGGCGGTGGCCAACTGTTCGTATTGCTTGGCTTCTTCTTCTCTTTGGGCCTTTTCTTCTTCGGTTTCTTCCAACTCGAAGTCCTTGGTAATGTCAACCAATTGCTTACCTTCGAATTCCTTCAATTGAGTGAAAGCGTATTCGTCAATTGGGTCGACCAAAAACAAAACTTCGAAGTTCTTGGCCTTCAAAGCATCCAAGAATGGGGACTTTTCAACAGCCTTCATGGATTCACCAGTGATGAAGTAGATGTTCTTTTGGTGTTCTGGCATTCTGGTGATGTAGTCGGTTAGAGAGGTTAGTTCGTCAACAGACTTGGTAGAGTTGTAACGCAATAGCTTAGCCAAAGCGGTTCTGTTTTGGGTGTCTTCGTGGATACCAAGCTTCAAGTTCTTGGCGAAAGCGGAGTAGAACTTGTCGAATTGTTCAGAGTCTTCAGCAATTTCGTTGAAAGTTTCGATCAATTTCTTAACGATGTTCTTTCTGATAACCTTCATGATCTTGTTTTGTTGCAACATTTCTCTGGACAAGTTCAATGGCAAGTCCTCAGAGTCGACCACACCCTTAACGAAGCTCAACCATTCTGGGATCAATTCTTCAGCTTCGTCTGTGATGAAAACACGGCGCACGTACAACTTGATGTTGTTCTTCTTCTTCTTAGACTCGAACACGTCGAAAGGAGCTCTCTTAGGGACGAACAAGATTGCTCTGAATTCTAGTTGACCTTCAACAGAGAAGTGCTTGACGGCCAATGGGTCTTCCCAGTCGTTAGAGATGGACTTGTAGAAAGCATTGTACTCTTCCTGAGAAACGTCAGATGGGTTTCTAGTCCACAAAGGCTTGGTTTTGTTTAGTTCTTCAAGCTCTTGGACGTTTTCCTTGATCTTTTTAGTCTCCTCCTTCTTTTCGGAGTCTTCTTCTTCATCGACTTCTTCAAGCTTTGGCTTCTTGTCGTCGGCGTCGGCCTCTTCTTCTTTCTTTTCTTCCTCGGCAACAGGGACGTCCTTTTCAACCTCCTTGGTGACCAACAATTGGATTGGGTAGGCAACGAACTCGGAGTGTCTCTTGACAACTTCCTTGATTCTCTTTTCCTCCAAGTACTCAAGTTGGTCTTCCTTCAAGAAAAGTCTCAAGACGGAACCTCTTCCGAGTCTTTCATTTTGTTCGTCTAGAGTAACGGTAAAGGAGCCACCAGCATTGGATTCCCAGATGTATTGCTCGTCGTCGTTGTGCTTGGAAATGACTTGAACTTTGTCGGCAACCAAAAATAGCGAGTAGAAACCAACACCGAATTGACCGATCATCGACACATCGGCACCAGCGGAAAGGGCTTCCATGAAGGCTTTGGTACCAGACTTAGCGATCGTACCCAAGTTGTTGATCAAGTCAGCTTTAGTCATACCAATACCGGAATCTCTGATTTCTAGCACCTTTTCTTCTGGTCTAGGCGTGATTCTGACGAACAACTCAGGCTCACTTTCTAGCTGCTTGGGTTCAGACAAAGCATGGTATCTAATTTTGTCCAAAGCATCGGAAGCATTCGAGATCAATTCTCTCAAAAAGATTTCTTTGTTGGAGTACACAGTGTTGATGATCAAACTCATCAACTGAGTGATCTCAGCTTGAAATTCAAAAGTTTCCTGAGACATTGTGTAGGAAGATGATGGGGCGTGTTTTCGGGAAAATGAAATCTAACCTTTTGCAATTGAATTGATTTGCAATATTACTGCTGAAGCCATTAAATCTCGTGTCCTTTAAATACTCCAAATTCCGGGAGAGTTTGTGGAAATTTGTATTGACAGCGAACTTTCTAGAAAAAACCATTCTCACTGTTGTCAGTATAGTACAAAGTGACAAAAATATCTAAACCTTTCTGGTAAATTCTCTAAGGCTTGAGGCTCTAGTAAGTTAATGTAAGCCACCGTTGGCATTGGAATAGAAGTCCCAAAGTTGTCGTGCTGTTGTTAATGGTAAGATAGCTCGTGTATTTCTGTTTTCATGCTTTCGATGGATTGTAGCAGTGCATCAGCTTGCTCGTAGACTAAATAGTCCGGGTCAGTAGACTTAACGTGATTCAATAAACCGAGCAGCTGTGAAATGGATAGGGTCGCAGGGAGTAATTCAGCCCCACCATGCTGCAGAAGATCTTTAAGAAGGTGTATAGCGCTACGTCTCAGCAATTTAGAGGTGTCTTCAGTTATTTTGATGCCTTCGTACTGCGTCGACTGATGCAATTCTGGAGTTCTCTCCAATCGGAGTATCCCAACGGCACAGTCTAAAATATCAGAAATATCGTTGCGGATCCCCAGAGCGTTGACTTCGACGCAGACACCCAAAATTGACATAGCAGACATCCGCACGCGGTCGTCGAGCTTTTTGTACTGTCGCACCTTATCCACACACCTTGCGACAATCTGGTGGGCCAACTTCCCACCGAACAACTCATTCTGATTTCTTATATAGGTCACCAAAACCTCTCCGATCTTTAGTAGGTCGTCCAAAGACAGAGCACTTTTAGATTCGGGATTTTCGTTGCCGTAAAGTTCCGCCAAATACCCCACTGTTTCTTCTGGTTCGAGCTCGCACAGCGCAGATAGGCCCTTGATTGCATTAAGATAAACAAAGGGTTCTTTGTCGCGCAATTGGCGTACATGAAGCTCAACTACACGTTGCAACTCGATCACAGGGGACTTACGCTCGATCAACTGTCGTAATTCGTAGAGACCATGAGCCCGAATTGGAACCAAAGCGTCATTCATATTAGCAAGGGCTTTCTGCAGAAACTCGTAATCCTTGTCCAGCTCATCAAAGGAACGATGCATCTCGAGAGTTGCCTTCTTGACGTTACCACTTTCCAATATGTTCTCGATTTTGCGAGCAAGTAACTGTGCCTCACTGTCGTTCGATCGTTTTTCCAAGGATAGTTTGACTGAGTTCAAGACATCCTGGCATTGATGCAATTCCCGGGACGAAGTTGTGGTTAGAATGGCGGATAGCAATTTGAGAAGAGTGAGGTAGACGCTCGTGGTGCCAGGGTTGTAGAAAAGTTCGTCCCGATTGCCACGGCTAGCGTCTGCCTTTTCATCATTATCGCCATCATCATCATCATCATCATCATCATCATCATCATCATCCGAATCATGCACTATCTCCTCTCCCTGATCTTCTTTTACATCAGGAAGTTGGAATAAATCGTCTATCATAGCCAGGATATCGCGGGGCTTTCTTATAATATCGCTTTTGAATGTATCATCTAATTTTTCCATCAGCTTAAGGTCTACTAAGACTAGTAGGCTATTTTGAATGTCTTCTCCCACTGCCGACAAGCCACCCTCATTAGCCTTCTTGGTACTCGCAACCCAACGGCTGAGCACTGACAGAAAGACATTTTTGATCACTTCGGGTTCGTTCAGTAGTTTTAAGAGCTCCACAAAGTGTTCTATAGCTAGATCGATGTCTAGAAATACTTGTTGAACATTTTGTAGCTTTTTTGCGTCATCAACCTGTAGAGTCTTCAACTCTTGTTCAATATCGGGATGATTTAGAAGCTTGACGTAAGGTAGCTGAGTCTCCAGATCAATGCCATATCCCCATTTTTCATGATCAAAATTGACCAAGTTTGCAACAATCATATTCAATGCAGCATAATCAGAGTTAATCGTTAAGTAAGTCCTCAACAGAGACAGAACTACCATGCAATACTGACTACTGGGAGGGCCCGTCTTATTCTGCGGTGGCAGTTTCTGATTTTTCTTCAAAAACAAACTGTAAATCCACAACGTAAGGTAGAAATTGTGTGTCCCAAAATGGGCAAGGTCATGAGTCAGCTCGATGCCTGGATTCTTAGAGAGCGATATCAAAACGTTGAAGGTGTTGTTCAATTCTTTTGCGGAAATTTCTTGCAAATCTTCGTTATAGATAACTCTGGCGATCCTCTTGAACAAAAAGTCGTGAACTATTCTTTTATTTCTGAAATAGAATTCATTCAGCACATGGCTCAGACAGCTTACCAGAATAGGTTTGTTGATATATGTGAGCCCGTCGTAGATCTGGCCGAACAGCTTGGTAAAATATTCCACACTGGTCATGGATTTGGGCTTGGCAACCAAAATTTGACTGACACGATTGTACTTGCTCGAGTCAATCTCTTCGTCCTCGCGTACCCCAACGACAAAATCCACCAGACTTATGACCCCGTTTTCTCTTCTAACTGGCAGCGTCGAGAGCTTAGAAAGTACAAATTCACGCATGGGCTGGTCACTAGTTGTATGTACCAGCAATGAATAAAGAGAGAACAGCTGGTAGGTCTCTTGCAACCCTTCCATCTTATCAAACATAGCAGAATAGCGAAGATGCTCCGGCAGGCTCTGGCAGCAGAGCACCACAAGTGCGGTGACCAAGTCTGTGTAACCTGCACCTTTCAGGAGCAGGCTCCCTACGACATTCTCCTTTAGCGGTGCACAGCTCAGCACCCTGCAAAGGCATTCAACCACGAGTCGCAGGTTACCGAGCCTCTCCGCAACTCCGTCTCCTCCACCGTTGCAGGCCACATACTTTTTGTCAGCCTTCCGAAAACTGTCAATCCGTCGCTGGTTCAACGGAATTCCGACTCCAGCGGGAAGATTCGCGTAAACCCCATGGATCACAATCATGTTTACCAGGACGTCAAAGTATTTCATGTCGTGCAGCGAGATTGGTACTAGTTTCGCCGCGTTTTCTGTCTGCTTGGCGGACTGCAGGACCACGCCATTCAAAAGCTCCAGTCTTCGCAGGAGTTCACTAACAAACTCTCCGTTCGACGCAAAACCGGCCTCTGCATACACTGAGACTGTAAGGTCTTCGGAAATCTTAGCGATGATCTCGGCTTGGAATTCGTCGAAAAATCGATCCAATGGCGTGTCGTTCGTGAAATCTGGCTTCCGATCCAAGAAATTAGGGACATTCGTATCAGTCATCTTATCTAAGCCGTGTAAAGACTGCTAACTCACAGACGACAACTCTTTACCAAGGATGGTACCAGTTTGCCGCCTTTGTTTAATTAATATACGTATTGAATATATAGATTTTAAACGTCACTCATAACGACCATACATACTCTTCAAATTTTCCAATATTTGAGCCAACTAGCTCATCGCACACCATCGCATCCTCCAACACAGAAGCTAATGGGCCTCCACACCGAACCACTAGATCAAGAAGACCAAGACGCGATCATCCTGGACGCGAGAAGTGGGGACTTGGAGTCTCTCCGGGACATTTTCAGCAACCTGGTGGATCCTAAGTTGATCTTGACCTGCAAGGATGCCGACACCAAAAGCACGCCATTGCACATGGCGGCTGCCAACGGCCACGTAGAAGTGGTAGAGTATCTCGCGTCGCTAGTGAGCGATGTTAGCGAGCGCACAAAGTGGGTGAATGCAACAAACGAGACCGGCAACACCGCGCTGCACTGGGCGTCGCTCAACGGGAAACTGGAGTGCGTGCAGCTGCTGTGCGACAAGCTGGGGGCCGATCCGTTCTTGAGAAACTCGTTTGACCACGATGCGATCTTCGAGGCTGAGCGCGGGTCGCACGACGCCGTCGAGACGTTCTACCTGCAGAAATACGACGTCGAGCCGGAAGCACAGGGTTCGGACGGGCCTGTGGAGGACACAGTGCAGTACAGCGAGGGAACGGAGGTCGAGCAGGTCACCAAAGATGCCACAGAAGCGCTCAGACTGGAAACTCAGAAGCTGAGTCTCGAGAAAGAGGGAGGGAAGTAAAATCACCGTGAAAGAACACCCACAAGCGAAAGGATGGGCTAGGCGTACCGAAGACGACGATCCCGATGCAGAATGCCATTGTGGACCCTCCTGCCAGCATCGAGCCACCGAATGGCTCGTTAGATCCGCGGTTCTTCCACGGTTACCCGGCCTCACTGCGAATGTCCTGTTGTACGAAGGACTAGCCGTTTTTTCACCTAAGAAAATTTTTGGAAGAAAATACAGACAAATCAAAGAATTATAGCTTTAATAGAGAATTAGACACTTGAACCGCAAGCTACTGCACTTGAATTTTCGTTTGTCGTCGACGGAGTAGCACAGGATGTCAGATCTAGCAAACGAATTGGGTTTTGATCCCAGCTTGAAAAAGAAGAAGAAGGTCAAGAAGGCAGTGAGCCCTGAGGACGTAAACGGTGCAGAGACACCCACATCGGAAGCCGGTGCGGATGACCTGTTTTCTGGGCTAAAAAAGAAGAAGAAGAAATCCAAGGAGGCAGTCAAGGACGCCAGCGATGTACAGGAAGCTGTGGACGAGGTTGATGCGGCTTTGGGCGAGTTGAAACTGAAGAAAAAGAAGAAGAAGTCCAAGGAAAGCAGTCTGGATGATTTCGAAAAACAATTGGCGAAGGCCGGTGTTTCGACGCCAGGCGAGGGTGCTGACAGCAATCTCAGCAGCAGGGAGGCCTCACTTGTACCGGGCGAGGATTCTGCTCTACAACAAGACGCCGGTTTGCCATACCAGGACCTGCTATCGAGGTTTTTCCAAACATTGAGGACAAACAATCCAGAGCTAGCGGGCGACAGAAGTGGGCCCAAGTTCAGGATTCCTCCTCCGGTGTGTCAGCGTGACGGTAAGAAGACCATCTTCTGCAACATCCAAGAGATCTCCGAAAAGCTGCAGCGAAACCCAGAACATCTTATCCAGTATCTGTTTGCGGAATTGGGTACGTCTGGTTCCGTGGACGGTCAGAAGCGGCTGGTCATGAAGGGTAAGTTTATGCCCAAGCAAATGGAAAATGTCCTGAGACGCTACATCTTGGAATACGTTACGTGCAAGACCTGTAAGAGCATCAATACCGATCTACGCAAGGAACAATCCAACAGATTGTTTTTCTTGGTATGCAAGAGCTGTGGTTCCACGAGATCGGTCTCTTCCATCAAGACCGGTTTCCAGGCCATTGTGGGTAAGAGAAAGAAAATGTAGAATGGTTTCACAAAGTCATAAAACAAGGAATACAATAGCAGCCAAAGGAAAAACAACAGTAGCGCCAGTAGAATTTTCCATCCAACGTTTCTGTACAGAATTATTCACATGCGCTCCCATTTTTACCGTTTGCACATCATTTTTAATTAGATATCAAGAATTGACTTTCTTTCGCAGGCAACACCAGCGTGGATCTCATACGAGGGTTCCCTCGTTGTTTTTCTGCAAAACAAGCGAGAAGAAGCCTGCCTACCTACTCTATGTAAACGCTGAGTCCACGAAACGCTGCATTTTATTATTTATTTCAAGTTAGCCACAATTTTCCGCAGCGACGGAATCCATGTGCTTGTTGACGTATCCGCCATCATCCAGTCTGCAAGTAATTTGTATACTTTTTCTTTATCCTGCAGTGACGCTAAGGCTTGGCCCATAAGTTGTCGCCCGTGTTCCTGATCCAAGGTCTTGTCGACTCCTGCCAGAAGTTTATTTTTATAGTATAGAAATTCAGCAGGTGATAGTTTGGTGTCCCGTGCCAAAACCGCGTCCAGTTCATGCCATATCTCAGATTTTGGTTTGCAGGGTTCTGGTGACGTCGAGGCACCCTCAGACAAAGTGATTCCGTGGCTGGTTACTCGTCTTCTCATTATTGGCGGGGGAGCTGTCGCAACTTTGGTACTACCAAACGTATCTATCTGGCTATTGGATGCTGCCTTCTTCATGCCCGTCCCAGTATGCCTCCTTGACGGAATTATGAAATTTGGACAGTCGTTGTAGCCGGGCACATCTGTCTCTCTACAATTTTGGAAACTCTGGGTACGATTGAGCATCTGCTTGATCTGTGATCAAGCTTCCGCGCTCGAGGCCATGAGCTCGAAGATCTACACATGTGGATTCAATATGAGAATGTCAAGAAAGTGCAATCACGTGTCACGAAACTAACTCGCCCTGCAGATCCATCAGTTCGGCCAAAACCTCATCCACGGAGAGGCGTTCCCCGGGATTTATATTCAGACACTTTTGGATTATATCCAGAAGCCTCTGATTGCGATGAGTATCCCTTGGTATCGTGTAGTGTCCTGTTGTAATAGCATATCTCATAGAAGCACCACTTATCTGCTCCTCGCGCTCAAAAGGTGAGATACCAAAGCACATGGAGTAAATAATGCAGCCTAGCGACCATATATCGCACTTTTCGGTGATGACAGACTTTAGTTGCACATCTAGGATTTCTGGCGCTGTGAAGGCAGGCGAACAATGTTCGGAGCGCCACTCCTGAAACTGTAAAAGAGTTTGCCGCGAGCCGATCTCCAACCGAGCTCTTGAGCACGACCCTAGATCGCTTATGACAGGCATTCCCTCCGACGATATCATCACGGTCGAGGGCTTGAAATCGTGATGAGCATACGCTTGTGGTGATTCACCAAACGTGTCCAGCTCCAGATCGTTTAGCAACGACGTTTCCTCGTTATATGGAGCAGATAATATAGAGTATGCGACATCAGAATCGTCGTTGGAGCTGGCCTCGTGAATGCACAAGAGCCCACGCGCCATGCCAATGGCCAGCCGCACCACCTCTAGTTCTTCCATCTCCGTGCAGTTCAGCAAGTGCCTGTTGATCTCATCTTGCAGCGAGCCCCTGAAGAAAAACGGCAGCAGAACATATACAGTTTTGGAACCGTCCTTCTCCTGGCATACTTGCGAATCCACGATCTGTGCGATGTAAGGGCTGTGGAACCTTTTATAGTTATTGACCTCTTTCATCGCGGGCGACAGGGATGCGATGCTCCCGAACGGACACCTCGTCTTCTTCAAAGCTAAGGACTCGCCTCCTTGCGACGTCACCATGTATAAAAATGAGTACGAGCTCTCCCCGAGCAACCTCTTCAGTTCATATCGCTGGCCATTAATTGTCACATAAGAGGCTCCTGGGCGACCCCAACAGCAGCAAAACGCCGAATACAGTGACATTAACCAGTGTTACTAGGCGCTGGGTACCAGATCGTTGTTCTTCGGTTCCCAGTCAACTGTTTCGTGTAACTTTGAGGGCCACTAGCCATTGGCCTTGGGCCTTCCTCATAGCCCAAGGTGGATTTAACGTACAAAATGACCAGTATATTGAATTGGCCAACATTAGGCTGCCAGAAGGATTAGACTGTTATAAGAAAGATTGGTTTTGGCTCAATCTTTAGCCAGAAGTAGGACATTGACAAGGACGGTTGATACCAAGTGTTTCCGATAACTTGATGACGAAAAAGGATTTTACAAGCACCTGTGGGTATCACGAGCGACGAAAATTAGATTTTACAAACAGTAAGGAAAAAGTGGTCAAATGAGTATGCCACTCTTTGGACAGACCTGGTTTCCGTCAGTACCAGTGGAACATCTTCGTTCTTTACTAAAATGTCAATCCAAACCAGTGACTCCAGCTCCAGTGACTACAGTAAAGCGCTATCGCTGATCGCTGCTCATTCGCACATATCAGGCTTGGGCTTGGATGAACACTTGCAACCCAAGGCTTCATCGCAAGGTATGGTGGGACAGTCACAAGCTCGCAGAGCTGCCGGTATTATTCTGAAGATGGTGCAGAATGGTACGATTGCCGGCCGTGCCGTCTTGATCGCCGGTCCTCCATCGACCGGTAAGACAGCTTTGGCGATGGGGCTGTCGCAGTCGCTGGGCCAAGATGTGCCATTCACAGCCATTGCCGGGTCGGAAATCTTCTCCCTAGAGCTGAGCAAAACCGAAGCTCTCACACAGGCGTTCCGCAAGTCGATCGGCGTCAAAATCAAAGAAGAAACCGAGATGATTGAGGGTGAAGTGGTGGAGATTCAAATTGACAAATCGATCACTGGTGGCCACAAACAGGGCAAGTTGACGATCAAAACTACAGACATGGAGACCATCTACGAGCTCGGCAGCAAGATGATCGAGGGGCTCACCAAGGAGAAGGTGTTGGCCGGTGACGTTATCTCGATCGACAAAGCCAGCGGGAAGATCACCAAGTTGGGTAGGTCTTTCGCTAGATCCAGAGACTACGATGCCATGGGTGCAGAGACCCGTTTTGTACAGTGTCCAGAGGGTGAACTACAGAAACGGAAATCCGTTGTGCACACAGTGTCGCTACACGAAATCGACGTGATCAATTCCAGAACTCAGGGCTTTTTGGCATTATTTACCGGTGACACCGGCGAGATCAGATCCGAAGTGAGAGACCAGATCAACACTAAAGTAGCAGAATGGAAGGAAGAAGGCAAAGCCGACATCGTACCAGGGGTGTTGTTTATCGACGAAGTGCACATGCTTGACATCGAATGTTTCTCCTTCATCAACCGTGCTTTGGAAGACGAATTCGCTCCAATTGTCGTAATGGCTACGAACAGAGGTATTTCCAAGACGAGAGGGACCAACTACAAGTCGCCACATGGTGTGCCTTTGGATCTACTTGACAGATCTATCATCATCACTACTCAAAACTACAACGAACAAGAGATCAAGACTATTTTGTCTATTAGGGCCCAGGAGGAAGAGGTGGAAATTGCATCGGATGGGTTGGACCTGATGACTAAGATTGGCACAGAAACAAGTCTTCGCTACGCTAGTAACCTGATTTCCGTCTCACAACAAATCGCTCAAAAACGTAAGAGTAATACTGTCGAAGTCGTCGATATCAAGAGGGCTTACTTACTATTTTTGGACAGCTCAAGATCCGTGAAGTTTGTACAGGAACATCAACCAAACTACATTGATGACCGTGGATATGTTCAAATTGGTGGTAACGGATTGAACAGCGTTGATGTAATGGATACGGCAGCTTGAATAGAATCATTTCATTAGAAAGAATATAAAAAAAGTACTTCGTAAGCACATTTGAAGGCCGTGTCGAAAAGTAAGGAGAGTGAACCCGATTAGATTAGAGTTTCATAAGTATTGATTGGTTTTGATTGCGCTTCTGATTTTGATATCATTTTAAAGTTCTGTATATAGCTCTAAGCGTCAAACTATGGAGTCGGCATTTTGGTTCTTATCACGTACGTTCAACCGGAGCTTCTGGTGTTGAGAATGAGCGCGATAATCATACCGTAAAGACCCAGCACTTCGGCAAAAATCAAAACCAACACGATACCCACGAAGAGCCTGGGCTGATGCATGAACTTACGCACACCGACATCTCCAACAATTCCAATGGCATAGCCACTGCTCAAACACGCGAAACCAACGCACAGCCCGCAACTCATGTGCATGAACCCGTTGAAAAGTGTGTACTCTTCAGTGGGGGACAAACCTCCTGCAATCAAGACGGCCACCACCAACCCGTAAACAGCTAGAATACCACTCATTACCACTGGTATAAGAGATTTCATGATAAGTTCAGGCTTGAAAGTACCGATACCGGCGATCCCAATCCCAGACTTGGCAGTCCCTATAGCTGCTCCCATACACGACAAAATCATGGCAAACGCACATCCTGCGAAACCGAAGAACGGCGCAAATAGAGGGGAATAGTCATCGCTGGCCAATACCTGAGACATTTCAAACGGGTGGAATCTCTAAGGGTGTGGCTATCGCTATCTTTTCAACCCTGAGTATTTAGTGTATTCAGTTAGAAGAGGGTCGAAATTATTAGGACTTTAACATCATGTATGACGAACGGGTGACAGAATACCATCTTTAGTAAAAACAAGGTACAGACGTAGACACTTTTCCCAAGTTTCTGACACCTCTTCTCTTATACAGCATTATTCCTGCTTTTGTTGAGCCCGTGTGCTTTATTTTTGATCAAATTACTACGCTGACAGCAATCGAACCATATAAGTAGCATCCCAATGCAAACCTCTCTCACAGGCCGGATCCTAAGAAGACTCTACTCCCAAACTTTTGCAAGACTAGGAGGCCAGGACTAGCAGGTGTGCTTTCTAATGCTCAACTTTTTGATGTTATTGAAAATTTCGGGGATCATCGTTGGAATTATTATGCCAAACCTTGAGCACTTGAAGCAGCTAACAAAAGTTTTAGATCTCAATGCCCTGCTCCAAAGGTAAAGGCACCGGGCCCCTAGAAGCTTTTGAGCAACTGGTCCTCAGTCTACTGACGGAAGTCAGTCAAAGTGTTCGACAATCACATATCACTGTCAACGTCATGGCTGTGTTTAGACCGCATTAATATCAAACGTCTAACCTAGTTACTGGAACCAATGGGCACACATAGACAAGCAGAGCTCGGAGCTATCGTCATTCAAAGCCCGCGCTCGATAGAGAGGCCCACGGCGTACACAACTCAGCCCTGTCAGCGCAGAGGACTCCACCGTGAAGATGTCAACCCAGCCTTCCAAGCTAGATGTCACTTCGGAACAGCTTCGATCACTCTACACACAATTTCAAACTATACTAGACGAGAAAGTGGCTCTGCATTTACCCCAGGAGCAGGACTCCGTCAAAGGCGAGGTTTTGCTGCAGTTGCAGAAATATTTAGTTGAGGCGATGGAAGCGGCCTCCGGCTCCTTGCGTGTAGTGAATGTGAAAGAAAGCGCTTCCATGGCCGACATTTTGGCACGTTCACAAGAACAATTTGTGGAGCCGTTTGATTTGGCTCTTAATGAACAAGTTCGACAGAAGTACCAGGAGTGGGAGGACCAAACGGTGAAAGTTGCACAGCTTCGCCGCGAAGCTCCCCGTAAGCTGTGTGAGTCTTACAAGTCTGAGGCCCAGGAGGTTTTAAAGATTGCAGACCGTCTCATAGAGGGACTTCCGAACGATAGTGACCTGGGAGAAAGCATCGAAGAAGAAGGGCCGGCTCTGACCACCGTTCCTGAATTTCGAGAGGACTATATGGAAGCTCTTACCAACTTGGCGGAAGTCAAGGAGCAACTGCCGCGTAATAGAGCCAATTTACAAAAACTTGGGCAATTGGTCAACTTTCTGGAGGGGGAACTGGATTCCGGATAATGCAAGGATTGTTCTCACGGGTAGCAATAAAATCTAAAAAAACGACATTAACATCGGGCAATGTCATCGAAGGACTGATATACAGTCCGATCAAGCATTTTGGAGCTGTGCAACGCCGCGAGAAGCATTGTTATGAGCGCTAGACCTACTGTCATGCCAAGACGCGTTCGCTACGGAGGTTGCTTCTGCAGTTTGTCGGGGCCATTTGCCGGGGTCGCCATTTGCGCTGAGTTGGGACACTACAATTCCACTTTATCAGCTCTGCCATAGTTGATGTTCTAGACGAAGGTACCTGAAATGTGCTCACGGACGTCATTAGCAGTACTGCCCAGGACCACCTATTGATACCATCGAGCGGGAACCCACTCAATTCAGGAAATTGACACGAAGAAACATCGAACACCTCTAAGACAGGGACTGCATTGAATATCGAAATTAGGATGGTTGAGAACCTCAAGAACTGCCTTTAATTTCTGCCTTAGATTGATAAATGTGGAGAGGGCACAGCTCTGTAAGAGGCAGATGAACTGGTAGCAGCTATGCGGTTAGGCATTGTTATTCTGAGATGCAGTTCGTACATAGGGATATACGTCTTTAAAAATATACCTAATTGTCGAGACCATCGTTTGGCCAACCACAAATAAACCAACTGTCGTGGACCAGCCACTCTCGAAAAACAAGTAAACGCAGCAAGGCGACCATAGATTGAATCATTTGGCAGTGAACTATCATCAATTCTTCAGAAGAAATGAGCTACAACAATCCGTACCAGCAAAGTAATCCTTACGCGGAAACTTATGACATGCAAGAAAATGTTAACGCTGGCCAACATAATGGAGGTGACTTTCTAACATTCATGAATGGTATCAACCAAATTAACTTGGAACTGGACCAGTACTCTGATCTAATTGACCAAATCGATTCTAGTCAGAGAAGGCTGCTCACCGAGGTGAACGAGGACCAGGAACTGGCTGTAAGACAGCATCTGGACGGCCTTGTTTCCAGAGCTTCCGATTTGCAATATCAACTCAAGAACAAGATAAAATCGTCACAACAGCAAGGTCTATCAGACTCTAGCAAACAAGCCCAGGCGGAAAACTCAAGACAACGATTCTTGAAACTCATCCAGGACTACCGCATCATTGAGGCCAATTACAAGGAACAGAATAAAGACCAGGCCAAAAGACAGTATCAGATCATTCAGCCAGAGGCAACTGAGGACGAGGTCGAGGCTGCCATCAGTGATGTTGGTGGACAACAGATTTTCTCTCAAGCGCTATTGAACGCCAATCGTCGCGGTGAGGCCAAAACTGCTTTGGCCGAGGTACAGGCTAGACATCAAGAGTTATTGAAACTTGAGAAGACTATGGCCGAACTCACTCAATTGTTCAACGACATGGAGCAGTTGGTTATAGAACAGCAGGAAAACATTGAGGTCATCGACAAGAACGTCGAGGACGCCCAACAAGACGTGGAACAGGGTGTTGGCCACACGAACAAGGCTGTTAAGAGCGCCAGAAGGGCTCGCAGAAACAAGATCAGATGCATTTTGATTTTGGTGGTGATTTTGATCATTATCATTGTCGTTGCTGTGGCCGTCCCATTGGCTACCAGACACTGAGTCCAACGTTATCTTGGCGCCCTGCAAGCTAGCCTTTGTGGGGAAATAGAGAGGATAGAGCTCCTTTAGATTTTTAGAGTAGGTTCTCGCATAGACGAGGCCTTTATAACATGTCGTGTAATATAAAAATTATCGATTTTAGGAAACGACCTGCGGGGCGCCGCTCACAATTTCACAGAGCTGCCACATCACACTGTGACATACCGTCTGCTCGCCCAAGCAAGCGCGATTTCAAGTCTACGCGATAAATGTCACCCCAATATTTTAGTCCCGACCAGTAATTATGAAGGTATTCGCGGAGAACACATTCCTACAGTTCAGGGTGGAAAAAGGGTATGTAGATTTTCCAGTTAACCAGTTTTCTATGTACCGTGGGGTTGCAGCTCCACAGGTTTAGTCGCAACTAAGGTTGTGGAGCTCAAATAGAGTTTCTGAAAACTCCCAGCACACAGAAAGGCTTTTGATAGTTTCTGGAAGTGTTATTTTCAAGAGAGAACAAACGAGTTCCATACGACGTTGACAATACAAGGATGGCCTGCTAAGCTGACAAGTTGCAAGACTTACCCCTGTAAGCCTTATACTCATAGGCAAAGCCAACCCAATCCAGTGTCGATGTACCAAAACATCACGGCTGCAGTGAAAGGAAGACGAATGGGAAGTACTTTGCCAGATGTGTTTGAAAACTTTTGTGCTTTTATACTTTTATATGTCCTCTGTCCTGTGTGGCATCACGTGCAGCGAAAGCAAGATCGTTACACACGGAGATTATTCGATAGTTAAGGTAGGGCCTGTAAGTTCGACGAGCCGGCCTTGGGCTATGGACAGGGGTCCGAGGATCGTTGGCGCCCGAGGATCGATGGCGTTTTCCCCTTTTCACGGTCGCGGTGTGTGCGTCGGTATCGATGACTAGCGAACCTGTAGACACGATAGGTTGTGCCCGCCCGGGAAACAAACAAGGCCCAACGTGGTGGCTGCACTCCTCAAACAGAGTGAACCCTGGCTTTCTCAGGCCCCTTGCTCGACCCCCCCTTCTCCAAGCACAGGATCGACGACGTACCGACCACCACGCCAGTTGCGTTTCACGTCCATCTGTATCACTTCATACAATAATGGCGCTGGTTGACGTACCTACGGAATTGGAAGTTGACACCCTCGAACAGAGGGTGGTGGAAAAATACTAGCCTGTTGGGCCTACTCCGACGGTCGCCTGCACGCCCCATCCGACGGTCGCCTGCACGCCCCATCCGACATCTCATTTTAAATCCTCCCGCGCATGTGTGCTACGTACAAAGAACCCATCAGAAAAAAAAGCACTCTCCCCGGGAAAATGTCTTATTGACGCCCACTCTCCACGCCCACTCTCCACACCCACTCTGTCTTTCGTCTCGGCCAGTGCAGACATCCCTCGTGTGAAAACTGCGGAAAACGCGAAAGGCTCGTAAGGACAACCCGTAACCTGTAAGAAATAATTTTACCCGACCACGCTAAACTTCTAACATCCCCCACCAACTCCACGCTACACCTCCGGCCAGCTTAGAGCCACGAATGCCGTCGTCGTTTGTTTCGTTGGACCACTTCTCGAGCATAATCACTCTAAACGGAAGGCTTCCCAACGGAAATGCCTATTGTTTTGCCCAGCCCAACAAAATACAATATCAACAATTTTCAAGCACTTGCCGGTGCATATATAAATAAGGGCGATGATGAGCAGCTGAAAACAATAACGGTGGTCAGACTTTTGCTTGAACTCTTGGAAAGTCAGTTGTTTTCGTGACTAAACCACCCCCCTTACCATCTGCGAAAATCTGTCAAGGATGGTTATGAAACCTGAAGTTGAGCAAGAATTGGCTCATGTCCTATTGACAGAACTGTTGGCGTACCAATTCGCGTCTCCCGTGAGATGGATTGAGACGCAAGATGTTTTCCTGAAGGACTTCAACACTGAAAGAGTGGTGGAAATTGGACCTTCGCCTACCCTGGCTGGTATGGCGCAAAGAACCATCAAGAACAAGTACGAGTCGTACGACGCGGCTCTTTCGTTGCAAAGAGACGTGTTGTGCTACTCCAAAGACGCCAGGGAGATCTACTACACTCCAGACCCAGCTGATTTGGCCGCCAAGGAAGAAGCGGGCGAACCAGCTGCCGCTGCCGCTGCGTCGAGTGCCCCAGCAGCTGTGGCTGCGCCAGCTGGAGCACCAGCCGCCGCAGCCCCAGCTGCGGCACCAGCAGGTCCTGTTGCTGAGATTCCGGACGAGGCTGTCAAGGCCGGTCTGTTGTTGCACGTTCTCGTCGCTCACAAGCTCAAGAAGACGCTTGACCAAATTCCTTTGAGCAAGACCATCAAGGACTTGGTTGGCGGTAAATCCACTGTTCAAAATGAAATCTTGGGTGATCTCGGCAAGGAATTCGGAACCACTCCAGAAAAGCCCGAAGAGACTCCTTTGGAAGAGCTGGCGGAGTCTTTCCAGGACACGTTCAGTGGTCAATTGGGCAAGCAATCCACGTCTCTCATCGGTAGACTGATGTCGTCCAAAATGCCTGGTGGGTTCACTATCACTACTGCTAGAAAGTATCTGCAGACCCGCTGGGGGTTGGGTCCTGGAAGACAGGATTCGGTCTTGTTGATCGCCCTCACACAGGAACCTGCTTCTCGTCTGGCTGCTGAGGGTGATGCTAAGCAATATTTAGACGCAGCTGCACAGAAGTATGCTTCCAGTAATGGTATCGATCTTTCTGCTGCTAGCGCCGCGTCCTCCGGCGGCTCATCCGGTGGCGCTGGTGGTGCAACCATTGATGCTGCTGCGTTCGACGAGTTGACCAAGGACCAGAGAGTGTTGGCCAGACAACAATTAGAGGTTTTGGCTCGGTACCTCAAGATGGACTTGAAGAGCGGAGAAAAGAAGTTCCTGCAAGAAAAGGATACTACCGAACAACTACAAGCTCAATTGGACTTTTTGAATAACGAATTGGGCGAGTATTTCGTTCAAGGTATTTCCACGTCCTTTTCTAGAAAGAAGGCCAGAGTTTTTGATTCTTCTTGGAATTGGGCTAAACAGTCTTTGTTATCTCTATATTTCGAGATCATCCACGGTGTGTTGAAGAATGTCGATAGAGAGTTGGTTGCTGAAGCTATCAATATCATGAACAGATCCAACGAAACCTTGATTAAGTTTATGGAATACCACATTTCTCACACTAAGGTCGAGGAGGGTGACAACTACAAATTAGCCAAGACTCTGGGTGAACAGCTTATTGAGAACTGTAAGCAAGTTTTGGATTTGGATCCAGTTTACAAGGACGTCACCAAGCCAACTGCCCCACACACTCTCGTTGATAAGAACGGTAACATCACTTACAATGAAGTTCCTAGAACTGCCGTCAGAAAGCTATCTCAGTACGTCGAAGAGATGGCTTTGGGTGGCCCATTAACTAAGGTCAAGCAACCAACTTTGCAAGAAGATCTGACGCGCGTCTACCAAGCCATCAATGCTCAGGCCGCAGAACACGACATTTCTGACTCTACAAAGCTACAGTTTGAAAAGCTTTACGGCGAGCTATTGCAATTTTTGGAATCATCTAATGAAATCGATGCTTCGGCGTCTACTAGACTAGCTGGCGTTGTTGACGATGCACTAGATAAGGATGCTACTAAGGAAGTTGCCTCTTTGCCTAACAAATCCCAGTTATCAAGCCAAGTCTCCTCCACTATTCCAAGAGAGACCGTCCCCTTCTTGCACTTAAAGAAGAAGTTGACCAGCGGAGACTGGGTCTACGACCGTCAACTATCGTCCCTCTTCCTCAATGGCTTAGAAAGTGCTGCGGTCAATGGTGTTACCTTCAAGGGTAAGTATGTCTTGATTACAGGTGCGGGCGAGGGCTCCATCGGTGCTGAGGTTTTACAAGGACTGGTCCAAGGTGGTGCTAAGGTTATCGTCACCACTTCTCGTTTCTCGAAGAAGGTAACCGATTACTATCAAAGCATCTATGCCAAGTATGGTGCCAAGGGATCTACCCTCGTGGTCGTTCCCTTCAACCAAGGTTCCAAACAAGACGTTGAAGAGCTGATTGGGTACATTTACGACGAAGAAAAGAACGGAGGTTTGGGTTGGGACTTGGATGCCATAATTCCATTTGCTGCCATTCCAGAAAACGGCATCGAACTGGAAAACATCGACTCCAAGTCTGAATTTGCCCATAGAATTATGTTAACCAATATTCTAAGAATGTTGGGTAACGTCAAAAAGCAAAAGTCTGCGCAGGGTATTGAAACCAGACCTGCCCAGGTTATTTTGCCAATGTCTCCTAACCATGGTACTTTTGGTGGCGATGGTATGTATGCCGAATCCAAGTTGTCCTTAGAAACACTTTTCAACAGATGGCACTCCGAGTCTTGGTCTAACCAGTTGACTATTTGCGGTGCTATCATTGGATGGACGAGAGGTACCGGTTTGATGTCTGCCAACAACATTATTGCCGAGGGCATTGAGAAATTAGGAGTTCGTACCTTTTCTCAAAAGGAAATGGCTTTCAACTTGCTCGGTCTGTTGATTCCAGAAGTTGTTCAACTATGTCAGACTTCTCCAGTCATGGCTGATTTGAATGGTGGTTTCCAATTTTTGCCTGACTTGAAGGAGTTTACTGCCAAGCTACGTAGGGAACTGACCGAAACTTCCGAAGTTAGAAAGGCCGTTTCAATTGAAACTGCCTTAGAACACAAGATAGTCAATGGCAGTAACGCTGATGCCGCCTACGCTAAAGCCGAAGTTCAACCAAGAGCCAACATCCAGTTAGACTTCCCAACCTTGAAGCCTTACGAGCAAATCAAGAAGCTTGCCCCTACAGAACTTCAGGGAATGCTAGATTTGGAGAGAGTCATTGTCGTTACCGGTTTCTCTGAAGTAGGCCCATGGGGTTCTGCTAGAACAAGATGGGAAATGGAAGCTTTTGGCGAATTTTCTTTGGAAGGTTGCGTTGAGATGGCCTGGATCATGGGTCTCATTAAGTATCACAATGGTAACTTGAAGGGCCGTCCTTACACAGGTTGGGTTGATGCCAAAACCAACGATCCTGTCGATGACAAGGACATCAAGGGTAAGTACGAGGGTAAAATTCTAGACCACTCTGGTATCAGGTTGATTGAGCCAGAACTGTTCAATGGCTACGACCCTAAGAAGAAGCAAATGATCCAGGAAGTTGTTATCGGTGAGGACTTGGAACCATTCGAGGCTTCCAAAGAAACGGCTTTACAATTCCAACATGAACATGGCGATAAGGTTGAAATTTTCGAGATTCCGGATTCTGGCGAATACACGGTGAGATTATTGAAGGGTGCTACTCTATACATTCCAAAGGCTCTTAAATTCGATCGCTTGGTTGCAGGACAGATTCCAACAGGCTGGAACGCAAAGACTTACGGTATCTCGGATGATACCATTTCCCAAGTTGATCCTATCACGCTGTTTGTTCTCGTTTCCGTCGTGGAAGCGTTCATTTCTTCCGGTATCACTGACCCATATGAAATGTACCAATACGTGCACGTCTCTGAGGTAGGAAACTGTTCTGGTTCTGGTATGGGTGGTGTTTCGGCCTTACGTGGTATGTTCAAGGATCGTTACAAAGACCAGCCAGTTCAAAACGACATTCTCCAAGAATCCTTCATCAATACCATGTCTGCTTGGGTTAATATGTTGTTGATCTCTTCTTCTGGTCCTATCAAGACTCCAGTCGGTGCATGTGCCACCTCTGTTGAATCTCTGGACGTTGGTGTTGAAACCATCTTGTCAGGTAAGGCTAAGATTTGTATCGTTGGTGGTTATGATGATTTCCAAGAAGAAGGTTCTTACGAGTTCGGTAATATGGGTGCTACATCTAACTCACTAGATGAGTTCGCTCATGGCCGCACTCCTGCTGAAATGTCTAGACCTACGACCACCACCCGTAACGGGTTCATGGAGTCACAAGGTTCTGGTATGCAAGTCATTATGGGTGCCGATTTGGCCTTAAAGATGGGTGTTCCAATTTACGGTATCCTTGCCATGACTGCCACTGCCACCGACAAGATTGGTAGATCTGTTCCCGCTCCAGGTAAGGGTATCTTGACTACCGCCAGAGAACATCAAGGTAGCTTGAAGTTCTCCAGTCCTCTGATGAACATCAAGTATAGAAAGCGCCAGCTTGACAACCGTGTTTCTCAAATTAAGGAATGGGCTGAAAATGAGATCGAACTCTTACATTACGAAGCCGAGGACATTCCCCAAGCCGACCACGCTGCGTTCTATGCTGAACGTACTGAGGAGCTACACCGCGAAGCCGAAAGGCAATTGAAGGCTGCTCAAGTTCAATGGGGTAACGAGTTTTACAAGAACGACCCACGTATTGCCCCATTGAGAGGCGCTTTGGCCACTTTTGGTTTGACAATTGATGATTTGGGCGTTGCTTCTTTCCACGGTACCTCTACTAAGGCTAATGACAAGAACGAGTCTGCTACCATCAACAAGATGCTGAAGCACTTGGGCAGATCCGAGGGTAACCCAGTTCTGGGTGTTTTCCAAAAGTACCTGACCGGTCATCCAAAGGGTGCTGCTGGTGCTTGGATGATGAATGGTGCTTTGCAAATTTTGAACTCTGGTGTTGTTCCTGGTAATCGCAATGCTGACAATGTTGATAAGGTTTTAGAGCAATTTGAATACATCTTGTATCCTTCGAGAACTCTCAAGACCGATGGTATCAAGGCTGTTTCGGTTACTTCGTTCGGTTTCGGTCAAAAGGGCGCCCAAGCCATTGCTGTTCATCCCGATTACTTGTATGCTGCCGTAGATGAATCCACCTACCGCGCTTACGCCGCTAAGGTGTCGGCTAGAGAGCAGGCTGCTCACAAGTACTTCCACAACGGTATGATCTACAACACGTTGTTCGTTGCCAAGGAGCACTCTCCATATGTCGACGAGCTTGAGCAACCAGTGTACTTGGACCCATTGGCCCGTGTTAGTGCTGACAAGAAGACTGGGACCTTGGCATTTGACAAGAAGACCTTGAGTGGTCCATCCAACTATGTTTCGGAAGCTAATCTTAAAACATCACAAGTTGTAAGCAAGCTTGCTCAAGAGGCGTCAGCTGATGGAAATATTGGTGTGGGCGTAGATGTGGAGCTAATCAAGGCCGTGAATGTCGACAACGATACCTTTATTGAGCGTAACTTCTCTGCTTCCGAGATTGCGTACTGCAAGAGCCAGCCTTGTGTTCAAAGCTCTTTCGCCGGTACTTGGTCTGCCAAGGAGGCTGTCTTCAAGTCTCTGGGAGTCAAGTCGCACGGAGGTGGTGCTTCCTTGAAAGACATTGAGATCGTTCGCAAGAGTGGCTCCGCACCACAAGTCGCGCTTCACGGCACTGCTGCTTCTGCTGCGGCAAGTGCAGGTGTCAAAAGTGTCTCTGTTTCCATTTCTCACGACGATTTCCAGTCGGTAGCGGTCGCTTATTCCCAGAAATAGGAACTTGTAGTGGTTTAGTATGTAACCTAATATACTATATTCAATTGCGATACAATTTTCATTATAAATCGTCTTCAACATTCGAACATCACAGCTTTGTGGAGCACATTCAACATCATTTGGCAAGCGTCAAGATTCAACGACCTCCACATCGAACCATGTCCAGTTAGTTAAGTTACTCAGGTCTCATAAGTTCGAAATCATGAGTAACGTGGGAGTTTATTTATTAAAGTGCTTATCGATAATAATCTACGAAATATGCTAATATGATATGTGAGGGGGTTCATTAAGATTCTCAGCTAACAGCTCATAACCCGAAAGAAACACAGCTAACCAGAGAGTCTTTCCTATTACAATTTTCAACTTAACAGCCTTCAACATACCACTGTAAACAGTTACAGTATAGCTGGTGAAAATAAGAAGTATAAGCTTCAAGCAATCATAATCATTGTTCACCTTGTGTGTTTCAAGAATAACAACTGAATGTCATATTTGACGCCTCCAATCACAGTCGCGGGGCTCAATCAGGGCGCAGGTGGCCAAAACTTTATCCTAGACACACCTACGTCGCAGCTTCCCCCGGCTGAGGGAATTGAGATGTCGTTAAAGAAAAAGAACAACATTTGCAAGTCTTTCGAGGACGATTTATTTTTCTGTCCTCGAGGGCTTTTGTCATCTCAAGAGCTCTCGACCTGCCAGAAGATGGATTTGTTTTTTCTGGATCAGATGCGGGAAGTAAATGGAGGCAACTCACAAGGGACCAACTTGTTGAATAGCTTGGACGCACAGCCTAAGAAATTTAACCCTTATACCTCACAGAGCTTCAGTCCTGCCCCACCTCCCTTTGAACATCAGTCGCATCTGCAAGACGCCAATGGGATCTAGGGGTTTTTTGTTTTCGGACGAGGATATGGGGGTTTTACACAGGAGTTTGTACATAACTATTTTTAAGAAATATCAATTGATAATATATTACCATTTGGTTTGTAGCAGACGAATACTTCAGCGTCTTTTGGGGCCATGAGTTTCATAGAATCGGATATCAAATAGCACCGCTAGGCTTCGCGTCTAATTATTACACGAATTTTGCTGGCGGTACGTTGCAAAATTGACCAAAAAACCGCCTTAGGTGTATGGAAATGATAATAGTCAAGAGGAAAGTGATCTCCTTTGGTTGTTTTGCGATCTATTGTTATTTTTTGACTTCAAACTTCGTGCTTTTTATAAGATAGTACAGATCCACTATTGTATATGAATACACGAAGGGGTAGTTTAAAGTGTGCTGGAACTTGAGTGCGGTTATACTGCTGGTTTCTTAGTTATTGGGAATGTCACATTTGTTAACGAGAGGGCACTTTTGTTGGTTCGTCAACTTGAAGAGCGTAATTCCTAGCAAGAGATGCCAGAGTTCAGAAAGGACTCGTAATCATAAAAGAGCTTTGCCCAGTGAAATTATTGTTCTCAGAAAGCTTTTGATGCTGAAGTTGCACCGGTTATGTCGCCTCAAAAGTCTCGAGCCTCCAACATACTTTATCGTTATTTATTAATATGGCACATAATTGTGACAGCAGTGGATGGCCAGTCGCACAAAATTGATTGTTGAGGATTTCACATCTAGCATCAAAAGTGAAGACGATGTCTGAGTAAGTTTCACCACTGCAATTTTGATAACATAAGGTACAACTCTCAAGGGGGCCGACGAACAAGTGCGCTACGATTTTCACCTTTTCGGGTACCTCCAATTATAGCTGATTTGGTTGGATCGGCTTGTATTGAAAATGGTAATGAAAGACCAATGTACTCAGTTAATTCCTATTAATATACGCGTCCAGGTGCTGTTTCGTTTCTCAGTCTGTTGTGAACGGTTAACTATCCAAGAGCCCTATCGGCCACCCACATTATAACGTCTTGGTTGCAGGTGTCTGGAAGAATTTTTCGTCTAACAAACCAAGTAGTATCGGAGGATAGTCTTGGTTATCAATAGGAAGGTAAAAGTGAAATATGTCGACCTCATTCTCGAGTAGAACGATCAATTCCTCGGATACCGATTTGGTTTAGGACCTTTTTTCCTCGTCCAAGATAAAGAGGGAATAGTAGCTCTTTTTTAAACGAAAGGGGCACCACAACCATTTGTGGGGAATACTATAGCTTTGCGTAACTTGAAAAGGATGTCCTTACATCAAGCTTAGTTTTCGTAGGTACCCTGGTATCTGATATTAAGCTGTAATCATGCAAGTCTCATAGTATACAATGAGCCAATTTTCTTGAAACTCAAGAATAGGAGGAAAAACGATTGACTGGAACTGTGGATGGACTGATGATGCATACCAGGTATTGAACCTGAAGCAGTAAGAGTATCGGCCAAACTTGATGCCTTACTGGCTATCGTCGTATAAAGTGCCAATACCACGAATGATCATCAACCTTCGTAAAACTGTCCAATCGAGGTATGGCAAATAGGTTCTATAAGACGATCCAATGAGCAATTCAAAGCCGAACTTTAACCGTGGTCTTTCACTGGATGACCTTGTCAATCACGATGATGGTTCTAGCTCAAATGGCGGGAGAAAGAATTCACAAACACTGAATCCTATTCCAGCTGAAGAGATTAAGAAAAGACTGAGCGTGGATGGATCTGCGGCTGAGACGGGGAACGGAAATGTGGTACATCCAGAGGGCGGAAAAAGTGCTGAAAATAATTCGAGATTAGGATCAGGAAACGATGAAGAAACTGACACCGACGATGAAGTGGGCTCTGGTGATATCGTTTTCGAAACAGGGGACTTCAAATTCGACTATGAGAAACAAGAAAAAGATGGAGCGGTCAGCGACAAAGCGTCCAAGGCCACTTCACAGCCGAAAATGGAAAATGCCACACAAGCTAAAACATCTTTGAAAACGGCTCAGAATTCAATTAAGGACACCACCCAACCTGACGCTCTTCGTGACGATTCAAAGTTATCCAGAAAAATCAAAGACGGCCAAGACTCAGAGATGAAAGATATATTTCAAGAGAAGTCGTCATTGCAATCGAAAAGAAATGCCATCAAGAAGGATTTAAATGTCTTGAACGAAATAGCAGCTACTGCTAAGCCAAGTAGATATAATGTGGCACCCGTTTGGGCTCAGAAGTGGAAACCAACTGTCAAGGCCCTCGAAAGCATCGACACAAAAGACCTTAACATTGATGCCTCGTTCACAAACATAATACCAGATGACGACCTGACAAAGTCAGTACAGGATTGGGTCTATGCTACACTGGTTTCTATACCGCCTGACCAAAGACAGTATGTGGAAATGGAAATGAAATTTGGGCTCATCGTAGAGGGTAGAGACACTAATAGAGTAAATGCTCCGGTGTCTTCTCAGACTGTGTACACAGATATGGAAGCACATTTAACACCTGATGTTGATGAGCGAGTTTTCGTGGAGGTTAACAAGTACATGAGAGGTATCTCCGAGTTGAGCGAGTATACGGGAAAGTTCAACATAATTGAGTCCCATACAACGGACTCCTTATACAGAGTAGGTGTGTCGACTCAAAGACCACGGTTTTTGAGAATGAGCCGAGATGTCAAGACGGGCCGTGTAGGAGAGTTTATCGAAAAAAGACATGTAAGCCAGTTGTTACTTCTCTCACCGAAAGACAGCTATGACGTTAAAATATCGATCAATTTGGAATTGCCAGTGCCAGAAAATGATCCTCCAGAGAAATACAAGAATAACACTCCTGTGAATATAAGAACGAAGCAGAGGGTTAGTTATATTCATAATGATTCTTGCACACGAATGGATATCACAAAAGTCGCGAGTCATAACCAAGGTGTGAAGCAAAAACACACAGAAGAAACGCACGAAATTGAACTTGAAGTTAACACTGCTGCTCTGTTAAGTGCTTTCGAGAACATAACACAGAACAGTAAAGAATATGCGGCTATCTTAAGAACTTTCTTGAATAATGGTACTATTATAAGACGGAAGTTGACGGCTTTATCTTTCGAAATCTTTGAAGGTCAGAAAAAGGTATAATAAGAAACAAGAAGCACGCTGCTTATTAGTTGCGTTGTATATAAGATTGCATTTTGCTAATTTGTTTAATGGAACCTTGAGATGCAAAGGTCAGTGTCCGGCCTAACATTCGCTTGAGTCACTGTATATACCGAATAGGTAAGCCAATCTAATGACCACCAAGTCTTTTGCCATGTTGATGCTATCCCTTGCCAAGTCCATTTTGGACCCGTCGACCTCATGCCAGGAAATGGCGACTTCCTTGACAGGTATGCGCTTTCTCAACGCAAGAATCAAGATCTCTACATCGAAGATCCAACCTTCGGTATGCAAATATGGAAAGATAGCGGCAATGGCGGGTCTAGTGAACAATTTAAAACCACACTGTGTGTCCTTGATGGGTCTGATCCCAAATATGAAAACCAACGTATGCAGGCCGTACATTAAAAAGTTTCGGATGAAAGAGCGTTTGACCACGGCGTCCGTATTAACCATGTGCGCCCGAGAACCGATCGCAACGGCGCTGTGACCTTTTTTCCGGAATTCTTTGATGGATGCCAAGAGTTTTTCGACGTCTGCAAACTTACTCGCGCCGTCAGCGTCTGCAAAAAGCCCATACTCGCCTCTAATGTACATCATTCCGTGCCTCACAGCACCACCTTTACCGCGGTTTTTCTGCAGTTTCACCACTCTTAGCTGCCCAGGCTGGAGCTTAAACGTGTTTTGAGCCAAGTCCAGGCAGTATTCAGACGTTCCATCCTGTGACCCGTCATCCACAACCAGTAGCTCCCATTTGTTCTCCAGCTTCTTCTGCAAGAATTCGATGGTATCCGTCAGCATGACTAAAATACGCCCAATTTCGTTATAGCTGGGAATAACAACCGAAAGCTCTATCCCTTCGGCATTCTCCACACCCGAGTCTTTCACAGATACCAATTGACCGCTTACGATCTTGCCATGGAGTCCATTGGTTTTATAAGTTAGCTCCTCCGGGAGCGGTTTTCTTGGCGAATGTGACAGCAGGAGCACCAGCGCATAGAGTGTTGTAAGAGTCGCCACCCCAATTGATACCACCACCAATCCAAGCTCTCGTACATTTGAGCAGTATAGTGGCCACATCATTCGTGCTTAATTCGTGAAGTTCCCCTGCGCACCGTGTGTGCTAAAACACGGTGTTTAGTACACCATACAAAAGTTCTTTCTTTGACCGGCAAGTTATATCACGTGCCATAGAACGACAGCGTTTCGAGTGTGACAGTTAGCCAATAGAGGTAAAGTAGGACCAAATGGTCCAGCTACGGTTCGATACTTCTTTCTTAAGATTTAAATACGCTAAGCAAACTCTCTTTCGAGTTAAGAGCAGGCTTGGAAGAAATCGAACCCAAAAAAAGCGACCTTTCCACAATTTTTGAAGTGCTTGGGCAGGTGCTACTCTGGCACTGTCCGAGCGAGTATTAACTAGAACGCTCTCACCTTACTCAGATATTTCCGTTTACAATGTAGTGTTGAGAGATACTTGATCACTTATTTATGAGAGAAAGTTTGAGGAGTTTGTGGGGGCTAGCAATGGACCCTTTTGGAATGGGCATTCCTACTTGCCATGTTATCAAAACACTTTGGTATTTGCCGGGGCTTGTGATGTGGCGATTTTCGTTCCGTGTATTACCTTACCTTACCTTTATAAATGCTGAATATGTGAGAATTGCCGATTAGTGATCACCGGTGCGTCATGATCATGTTTTGTGTTTTCGCCGTCGCTGGATCTATATTGTGTTGCGGGTGTCGAGTCCATGTCGCCACCATCCGGTCCTTGTTGAATTGAAAACTCCTCGTTTTGGAGCGTATGATCGTGGGGCAGGACCCCGTCTCCTTCCACTCCTTGGTATTGAAACATTGAAGTTGGAGACGATGGTATAGCCCTGCGCTTTCTGCGAGTTTCCTGCATATACGTATTCACGTAGTCTTCGTCATCAATAGGTGGCGAAGAGACGGGCGCCCGTCTTTTTGTGCCCGCGTTGGCAGAGTCGTGACTGGCCTTTGGCGACGTCGAAAAATTCAGCACCGACGTGGCGTCGTCCTCTCGGTCGTGGCCTTGGGCTTCGATGTGAGATCTTGAGAGCAATGGCAATCTTCGCAGTTGATCCTTACAGGAAAGAACCGCTTTATTAGTCAAAACCTGCTTGCGTTGCCCTAGTTCATACAGAGGCATGGAGAGTGTATCCATCGGGGAAGTCCTGTCGATATCGCTGGTCGGTGGCTTGGTGGCTTCATCATCTTCGTCAATTGGTATAGTATTACAAGTCAGGGGATCCTTGGTGGGAGTAACTGCTTTTTGGCTGAGGATAGGAGAGCCGAAAAGGTCATTGAACCATTCCATCGGATCGTCACTTTTTGGATTGCTGAGCGCCTTTTCGATATCGCTCGGCGTTCTTGAAGACGGGAAGTCCATACCAATTAAGTCTTCGAAGCGGGAGGCGACGGGTGTCATGCGGGGAGGAACATTCTCTTTATTGTCAGTCTCATCATGTTTCTCCGATCTTTCGGCCTCGAAAAAGTCTAGGGGTTTCCCCTTTTGTTTCCCCAGCAGCTGTTGGACCAGATCATCATCGCTCAGCAGCTTGAATTCGTCGACTTCATCGCTTTTGTTGCTGGCTGATATGCTGCTTGTAATTGGCGTGCTCGTATTCGGTACACTATCCTTCCGCCCTTTCTTGGTGGTGCTCGACTTGGACTTGGAAACTGGTTTCTTGATGCTTGGTTTGCCCATCTTGCTTTTCTTTTTGGTAATGAAATCGAACCGCTTGCTCACGGAATCGTCAATTTTCGTCTTTTGTACCGTATTGTCTTGTTGTAGACTGCTTATTTGGTAAACAGGTTTTTTGTCCTGGTCTGATCGCAGGTGCAGGTCAGATTCTTTAGCCGCACGGTCAGCCAGGTATATCTTATGAGCAATTGAGTTCGCTGGCAATGCAAATTGGTTATTCTTATTCTGGTTCCAAATCGGCAGAGACTGGGCTCTTACTGCTTTTGGAGCCGGCTTGGGATTCGTTTGCCGTTTCACCATGACAGGGGCGGCCGTTTCGTTGGGTTTCCCAAGTTCGGTGGCTTTTGTCGGCCTCCTGCCCACGGTACCGCTAGTGCTCGCGGATGACGTTTTCTTGATCATTGGAACCGCCGAGGAGTTACCGGAAATGCTAGATCTTCGCGACGAGTTGGCTGTTGCAACCTGTGAGAATCGCAGTTTGACTTCAAGCGTTTGTTGAAGTTGGTTTTGAGAGGCCGAGTTATCCGTGTTTTGGAAGCGGAGCATCGCCGAGAAATTTGAGCAAACCCGTCCCATGACTAGATGCCAGTTTGCGTCTGGCGCCGCATTCGATGCGCTGGCTGTTGGTTGCGAGTCTTCTCGCAGTCTCGACAAAAGGCCGTAACTGACCAGCGGTTCGTCAATCTCACATATATCTCGGCAGTACACGTTGTAATCGATGCTGGTGTCGGCTCCAGGACTGAACAGTTCGGGCGAAGAAGCGCAGATTTCGTCCAGAACATCGCTCAGCACCACCACGCCGACCTTTATTTGAGATCCATCGTTGCTGGGACTGGCAATTTGTTCGACTCGCACCTCTACGGGAGCCTTGCTGCGGGTCAGATAGGGGCTGGCTTCTTTATCCACGGTGTAGAGCACCTTGAGCGACATCGGGGTGGTCATAGAAGCCCGTTGTCTGTCTGTCTGTCTGTATCCTGTGTGCGAGTGACCAGCCTTGGATGGGTGCTCTCTCTTGAGTTGTGGTGAGCGAAGGCTAAAGGCTTTTAGTCTGCAATCTTCAATTCTCAATGCGCACGCTGAGTGAAAGCTCAACCAAGCGTCGTGCGCGTTGAACGCGCCAAAATGGTTGACTTGGAAGCTTGGTTATAGACGCGCGACGCGTAAATGTTTTATCCCATTTGACACGCGATTTTCGCGTTTCAAACGAAAAAGACGCGTAAACGTCCTGTACCACGTTCACTACGAGACTTGCTCCGTCCAACACCAACAACGAGGTTGGTTTGCCCTCGCCTGCCGCTAAATGACGCTGGTCCAATCTAGGAAGTCTAGTTGGTTCTTGGACGGGACGACTATGAGTGCCACTTTGCTCTGTAATTGATCTGCGAGTCTGGCGCTGCGCCCAGAGGAGAACGGAAAACGTTAGCAGGTACAGAGATCGACAATCAAAGGCCCACCGATCCCGTTAGTCTTGCTGGTGATGCTTTCTGGTCAACTTGTTGTCTTAAGGATTTCCTGAGGCTATGTCGTGTGAAATGCTGCGATGAGTATAGAAAAATTTTCGAAAAGTCATCTCACCTATCTCATCGCATCTCATCTCACAGTGTTCGACTCACACGATCATCCATCAAATCCCACAGTGGTAGGCCCGTGTTAGACCGAAGAGACATTCTCTGTGAATTTGTAGCGCAAGTAAACACTCCATTGTATTTGCAAGTGAGATATGCCTCCCAAGAAGTTCAGATCGCTCGAGGACGTGATCGAAGACCAAACTCCGAAGGCCAACCAGGTGGCGTCTCCATTTGGGGGCTACTACACCAAGGCCGCCGCGAACAATAAGGGCTTCAACCAGAAGTCATCGTACCAAGCGAAGCGGGACTGGAATGAAGGCAGCCAGTACAAAAACTACCAGCACGGCCAGCAGCAACAGCCTATGCATAACTACCAGGACCAACAGAGCTACCAGAACTACCAGGGCCAGCAAAGAGGATACCAGTCGCCTGCGTATTCTGTCAATTCAACGCCGGCAACGAGCAGCACCCCAACCCCTAGCACATCTACTGCATCTCTGACGTCGCTAGCTACCTCACTCAACAACCTCGGTCTCACGCCCATCTCCGGCATTCTTTCCGGCCTTCCTCAATGCGCGTCTCTGGCAGACTGCAAACAACAAATCCAACTCGCCGTAGCAGAATTCAATAAAGACGGCAACTCCGCACAGGAAGTGGTAACGTGGGATGTCCCGACCATCATTTCAAAGTTGACCAAGCCCAAGAATGCAGTCTTGGTCCAGGAGTCGGCCATGGTCTTTATTTCCCAGTTATCAAACAACTTCGCCGGAAAGTCGCCACAGGAAGCTTTCCTGTTGCCTCTTTTGCCGTCAGCTTTGGACACTGTGGCTAGCAAGGAAAACTCTGTGAAGAGGGCAGCACAACACGCGATCGACTCTATCTTTGGCCTTTTCCCCATCGAGGCTCAGACTAGTGTTGTGCTTCCCAAATTATTTGAGTACTTGAGCTCTGGTGTTAAATGGCAGTGTAAAGCGGCGGCTTTGAAAGTGATCGACCGCATAAGAGAAGAATCTCCCAACGATCTATTAGAACTTACTTTCAAAAACGCCGTGCCTGTCTTGACTGACGTCGCCACCGACTTCAAGCCAGAGTTGGCCAAGCAGGGTTATAAAACTCTACTGGAGTATGTTTCTATTTTGGACAACCTTGATCTCTCTCCTCGTTTTCAACTTATCGTCGATACCTTGCAAGACCCTACAAAAGTTCCAGCCTCCGTCAAATCGCTCTCAAGTGTAACTTTTGTTGCTGAAGTGACAGAGCCTGCTTTGAGTATATTGGTACCAATTCTAAGCAGATCTTTGAATCTCTCATCTTCATCTCAGGAACAGTTAAGACAAACTGTTGTTGTTATCGAAAATTTGACTAGGCTTGTTAATAACAGGTCCGAAATTCAGCACTTCATTCCTCAATTGATGCCAGGGGTGCAAAAAGTGTTGCAAACTGCCTCGTTACCTGAAGTTCGTGAGCTTGCTCAGAAGGCGTTGACAGTTCTAATAGACGACTCCGAAGATGACGGAAAGTTTCCCGGCAAAATCACCCTCGACCAAGGTCTCCAGTTCTTGACTGAAAGAGTCCACCATTTGACCAGCGATTCCTTGAAGGGGAAAGACGACGAGCCTTTGAAGTACTTGTCGAAACTGTTAACCGCGGATGCAAACGTAAATGACTGGAAGAGGCTAAAGGAATATCTGGTACTTGTCTTTGGCGCAGAAAAAGACGAGGTTATTGACCAACACATTATTCATGAATTGCGACAGATGTTCCATCAGGAAAAGACTGTCTATGACGAAGATGAGGGTGTTGAGATCGTAAATGCCGATTTTTCTTTAGCTTACGGATCTAGAATGCTTTTGAACAAGACGACCTTGCGTTTACTAAAAGGACATCGTTACGGTCTTTGTGGTAGAAATGGTGCCGGTAAGTCTACGCTTATGAGGTCTATTGCCAATGGGCAATTAGAAGGATTTCCTGACAAGGAAACTTTGAGAACTTGTTTCGTGGAGCATAAACTTCAAGGTGAAGAAGGTAACCTTGACCTGGCTTCATTCATTGCTCTAGATCCAATTTTGAAAGATGTATCTCGTGAGGAAATCTCCAATGCATTGGCGACAGTTGGCTTTGATGAAGATAGAAGAGCTCAAACTGTAGGATCTCTCTCAGGTGGGTGGAAGATGAAACTGGAATTGGCTAGAGCTATGCTACAAAAGGCAGACGTTTTGTTGTTGGACGAACCTACTAACCACTTGGACGTTGCCAATGTTAAATGGTTGCAAGACTACTTGTTGGAGCACACTGAAATCACATCTTTGATTGTGTCTCACGACTCAGGCTTTCTTGACGCCGTGTGTACCGATATCATCCATTATGAGAACAAAAAGCTAGCTTACTACAAGGGAAATTTGGCTGCTTTTGTGGAGCAAAAGCCTGAAGCAAAGTCCTATTATACGCTATCAGACACTAATGCTCAGATGCGCTTCCCACCTCCGGGCATTCTGACGGGTGTTAAATCAAACACCAGGGCGGTGGCCAAGATGAGCGACGTTACTTTTGCATACCCAGGTGCTCCTAAGCCATCTTTGAGCAACGCTTCATGCGCTCTTTCCTTGAGTTCGAGAGTTGCTGTATTGGGTCCCAACGGTGCTGGTAAGTCTACCTTGATTAAAATTCTTACAGGCGAACTGGTGCCCCAGAAGGGTAAGGTAGAAAAGCACCCTAATCTTCGTATCGGTTACATTGCACAACATGCCTTGCAACACGTTAATCTGCATAAGGAAAAGACTGCTAACCAATATCTTCAATGGCGTTACCAGTTTGGTGATGACAGAGAAGTTTTGTTGAAGGAATCAAGAAAGATTTCTGAGCAAGAAAAGGACATGATGGAGAAAGAAATCGACGTTGGTGACGGCAGAGGTAAACGTGCCATTGAAGCGATTGTGGGTAGATCAAAGTTGAGAAAATCTTTCCAATACGAGGTGAAGTGGAAATTCTGGTTGCCCAAGTATAACTCCTGGGTGCCTAAAGAAGTATTGTTAGAGAATGGGTTTGATAAATTGGTCCAAAAATTCGATGATCATGAAGCATCTAGGGAAGGTCTAGGTTATCGTGAGTTGACCCCTGCCGTGATCACAAAGCATTTTGAAGATGTCGGATTGGATGCGGAAATTGCCAACCATACTCCATTAGGTTCCCTTTCCGGTGGCCAGCTGGTCAAAGTCGTCATTGCCGGTGCAATGTGGAACAACCCACATCTGTTGGTCTTGGATGAACCCACCAACTATTTGGATAGAGATTCTCTGGGTGCCTTAGCAGTTGCAATTCGTGACTGGACGGGTGGTGTAGTAATGATTTCTCACAACAATGAATTTGTCGGTGCGCTGTGCCCTGAACAATGGATAGTTGAAAATGGTAAGATGGTCCAGAAGGGTGTCAACAAAATTGATCAAACTAGATTTGAGGATGGGGGCAACGCCAATGCTGTTGGTCTAAATGTCAAGGCTTCGCCGTCGGTGGTAGACGACGATTCACCTGCCAACATCAAAGTCAAGCAAAGAAAGAAGAGGTTGACCAGAAATGAGAAAAAACTGCAGGTCGAAAGACGCCGTTTGCGCTACATCGAATGGTTGAACTCTCCCAAAGGCACTCCAAAACCTGTTGATACCGATGATGAAGAAGAGTAGTTTTCAAGGCAAGCCGCTAGCTCATTTACAAAGTGTATATTAAAGTAAAGTTATAAATATCTTGAGCAGTGCTGTGGTTCTAACACCCTAAAGCGATGTGAACAGCTTTCCTTTGGGTCGTGTGCAAGGCCAGCAGACGTCGCTAAGGCTATTGTCCTGGGTCAAAAACGACAAGAGTGGTGAGCGGTTCGCCCTGAAGAGGAAAAAGATGTGGTTTATACCTCCTTCATCTAAGACTGAAATCATCTGTTGTCAGAATATTTCTCCTCCATTTCTGCCGTAATCGTGGAGCCATCCAATTCCCGGAGGGTTTCCTTCACAAGCTCTTTGAGGAAAATTGAATGTTCGCTCAAACCTAGGATACTAACGGTATTGAATCCCAAACCATAGTGTGGGTAAGACCCTATTTTTATTTCTGAAGAAATCTCCACGCAACGAGCCTGAAGTTGTCGCAAGAAAGCGGCTATCTCAGACTCGGACTTTTTAGTCTTGACAAAATACCGTTCGTACAAGTGCGGGTCCTGCTCGGTTATGTGATATGCCTGTTTTAGAGTGGGCACAAATGCTGTCAGCAGCCTTTCGAAAAGCTGTGGAATTCCAGGAAGTATGTGGACTTTTTGACTAATGGAGACGATGGGAACCCACAATTCGTCCACAACATAGTGGTTTCGAACTTCAGCGCCCTTGGGTAATGTTGCCATACGGTAAAACGCCTTGAGCGCCTCTGGGTCGTAGCGTTGCTCTGGCTTTGATATTCTTGTCATTCGACCCTGACATTCCAGATCCAAGCTGCAATGCAAGCCAAATGCAGCAGCGACCGACTCGTAAGTGATATCATCGTGCGTGGATCCAATTCCACCCGAGGTGACAATGAAATCATTTTCTGCACTGAGCCTGGTAATGGTCGCACAGATCTGGTCTTTTTGGTCCCCTATTGTAACGATTTCACGTAGTTGGATCCCTAATCCGTAGCAGTACTTGGCAAAAAATCGGGAGTTAGTATCTGTGATCTTGCCGTTGAGGACTTCATCCCCGATGATCAAGCAAGCTGCTTTAACTAATGGCATCTTGGTGCTGTAGCTTGCCCTTGAAATAAGAGCACCCCACTTAGATAACATTTGCGATGGATTGACTTTTATACATCGGATACACAGCAAACTTGAAAGGTCATCAAGAAATCTACCACAATTTCGTGAGAAATGTTACGGTATTGCCAGCAGTTTTAGCCTGCCCACGAAGTACTATCTTGGCGAAATCGTTTGTCTTAGTATCTCCAAGCTTCGAGCGACTCGAGTTCGTCGTGCAAACATCAAGAACAAACTACCAGCTTTGCGAACTGGGCTCGAGCGAAAAATGATCAAAGGCTGACAGTTTTTCGAATGATCCAAAGTCCAATGAGCTATCTCAGGAGTAATTAGATCGTTGGGGGGCGTTCTTGAGCTGTTGTTTTTGAACAAGATGGTATTTTGGTTTGGTCGCAAACTAGCACACAGTTCCGTCAATATATGTAGAAAGGACAAAGATACAAGTTGCAATATAGCTCTAATTGGTGGAATTCAGCTGACAGTGCGGCAATGTCGAAAACCACTCTCCCGACCTCTGCGCCAGGTCTTGAGTATGGAGATGAGCATGCTTAATCCGTACAATGAGATATTGACAAATGCCACTGTCATTCAATTATTAAACAAGTGAGCGAGCAGACAGAGGGTGCTATACGACAGCCAGGGATTAAGGTTGTTAGTGTTGAGGCCCTTATTATTCCTCCCCTCTTAGTCTCATGAATCAAGTCTGTTTTTGGCTTGGCAAGTGGGCTGTAACTCTGATGCTTGTTCTGAACAACATTCATTATAGCCGCCCCCCCCCCCTCCCAGAAAAATGGACTAGAAGTTCATAATCGCCGTGATTTAGAGTAGTTTGCGCAGTGGCTAGCTGATGATAATCTGGATTTGTCACAACTTATGGCAAATTGCCCGGGTGGAATTAAAGGTGCCAGAATAGTACAAAGTGATCTTTATGGATGTGCTGTATACCGCCGGGCACCGATCCATCAAACTTGACCAAATGATCTTAGCACGTACTCGCAGATAAACGCTTCTTCTCTAAGGACTCTCGCTGTATTCAAATCCTTTAGAAAAATCAAAGGACGACTTGGACCAAGCGTGTTCTTGACCCATCCAAGCTGGACCATCTTGTAGCACGTGACCATATGAGAAAATTGTCGAACAGTTCTGGAGAGTCCTGGACTAGTTCTCGATGAGTAGAACTTAGACCATATTATCGAGGTCTCCACATATAAAGCTTTCATTTGTTCTTCAAAGAGCACAGGAGTCATATCGATTTTTGACATTTGTATTAACTGAGTTCAGAAAATAGCCCTTCTCTCGCCACCATGTCTCTTCCTTCTTCGTTTAATCCAGAAACTGCTCAAAATTTAGAGGACATGGAGAAACAGTTCGCTGTTGTCGCCGTGGAGCAAGCTGAAACCTACTGGAACCTTATAACAAAAGTTGCGGGCTCCAAACTACGTTTAACCAAATACGACGATGAAATCTACGAGAAATTTCAGGAACACTTCCCGGAATACAAAGATCTGCAACGTCTAGGCAAGTTTACCGAGGACGAGCTAAAAACCAAAGAAGCTAAGGAGAGATGGAGAAATTTCATCAAGCTATTCGAAGAAAAAGTTGCCGATTTCAACTTCGGCACCCTCCTGAGAACAGACGCCTCTGCCGAGTACGGCCAGTTCACTGCCTGCTTTGTGGTCAGATTACAATTCTACGCTTTTGAAATTGCTAGAAATAAAAACAAGTTAAACGACTGGGCTGTCGGCCACCAGTGAATTGTTGCTTCTCATCATTACTAGTTTCATTGCGCGTATATATTATTCGTCAAGCCACCAAGAAGTGTATTTATGCGTCTATATATTGGAAGCTGTATCTGTCATCTTTTCACTCTTATTAGTGCTTATGGGTATGATGGTCATCAAGCAAGCTACCAAAGTGCGAATGCGTGTGTCGGCCGGCCGATGCGTTCATGTTTTTACTGGTTTCTGTCTTTGGAAGCGGCGGGGCATCCATTTGTTCTTGTGATGCGAATTCTTTTGATTGCTCCGGACTAGTGGCAGGGCGTTCTTCGATATATTCGGCATCCACTTCCAGAAGACTGGGAATGTTAGCCCTCAAGGAACTGCGAACATGCTCTGTGACATTTTCAAACTCTTTGGTGGTCAAGACATTCTCCCACCTCTGTCTAGGAACTTCGAGTACCATTTTGGCATGTACATTGGGGCCCGAAGCCATTACAATCAAGTTATTCAAATGATAAGGCCTGCCAGAATTGTTGTTTGATACCATCTTGCTCAAGATTTCCAAACAATTTCTCTCTACCTCAATATAACGCGTGTCGTCTTTCGAAACCGCCTTATCAATCAGTTCTTTCATCGCTTCGAATAAGCCATCTGCACCTGCCTTTACAACAAGGCCTGACACGACCAGTCCACCTACAGCATCTAAAGATTGGATGTTGAAAAAATATCCAGAAGAAATTGTAATGAAGGCTACCAGCGAGGTTAGAGAGTCCACCCTATGGTGCCAGGCATTGGCCAAGAGCACATTGGAATTGGTCTCCTTGGCGACTTTTTTGGTCGCCCTAAAGATCCATTCTTTCACCACAATCGATCCCGCGGCAATCCATGCTGCATTAACGTCAGTGACATCCTCGGCAACACCATGGGAGTGAGAATGGGAGTGGGACAGAATATTCATCATGGCCTGAGGGAGCCATGGCCCCACAATCGCGCATAGGGAACTCCATCCAATGGTCAGCCCAGCAGTAGCCAGTATCGCTGACACTGCCAACGAACCAAGTGTTTGCACTTTACCAAATCCAAATGGATAGTGTTGGGTAGGGGTTTTGGAAGATAACTTTATTGCAAACAAGGTTAGAAAATCTGAGACTAAATCTGAGACCGCATGAACTGCGTCCGCTATCAGTGCTTGGGAATGGAAGACTATGCCACCTACAAATTTACCTGCAGCCATTCCAACGTTGATCATGAGGCCTATCCACGTTATTCTGACACCAGGGTTCTTTTGGAATTCTTTTTTGTTCAAGACAAGCAGTGGCGTTGATTGGGAATGTGAATGTGTGTGCGACCGAATTTGATCTATACTGCGATGCAGCGAGGCCCCCAACTGGTAAGAATCGTTTTCCTCAGTTTCTGACTGTTTTAAGTGACGTTCTTTGAACGTCTCTGACATTTTTTGGAATTCTGGATTTCGCTCAAGTCGTTGTTCAGATGTTGTAGCTTGACCTGGGGCGCGCAATGGACTATCACCCTGTGCATTTCGCCATAATTGTTGTGACCTGTGTATTGAACGTCGTTGAAAAGCAAAACTTCGCTTGACTACAATAAAGTTAAAACCTAAATTGGGAATCCTCGGGATCTTGTCCCCTACCACAATCCTTAGCTTCATTTTAGCTTTTGCAAATATTGGTGTGTTCTGTAGCGACTTCCTTTGAGCCTTTGAGCTGATAATATTTATATTAAAGCTCTTGTAAAAGAGCACCCAGGAATTTAAAACCTGTAACTCATTTGGTGTATAGGGGCTTAAATGCTACGTAAGGCAGTTTGGAAAGGACTCTGATGGCTACTACCCTCGGAGCATTTATTGCTGCATTGTCGACTTTGTGTTCGCTGATTCTATGTATATATGTACATGTATGATATGCTCTTTTCCTCTCAAAAAGCGCAAGTAAGAAATAGCTACTTAAAGTTCGAGAGGCGTAAGCGGCTTGGTAGCTGAAGCTTCTCGAGCACTTGTGCGTTCTTCCTCGCAGATAGGTGTGCCTCCGCTCGTTGCTTCGACCTCTTTCTTTATCTCAGGTGTGGCACTGGCAGTCTTAGAATTTGGCGCCAAATCATTCTCTTCGAAGCCTGTCACAACATTGATTTTCCGTTCCGAAAATCCTTCCAGCGTGCGGATGTCCGAAGATCGACATGCATTTTGAAGGACCTTCTGTTCCTCTCCCAGCTTAACTCCGCTACCGATGATCTTTCGCAGGAAAAACTTCATTTGAGTCAAAGAGACGGCCGGACTCAAACTTCCATCATCGAGAAAGCATTTTTGCCGCAGTAATCTTTTGAAGACTGTGGCAATTTTAAAGGCCTCAAATATTTGGTTGAAGAGCTGGCGATCGGGGATCACTTTGAGCTTGCACGAATCAAGAATTAGTTTTTGGAGTTCTCCATACTCAACACTAATAGCTGCAGGAAGCTCGTGGTCACAGCAGATTGGGCACACAAATACATTGTTGTCATTTCCACCAAGTGTCCACTTTCCTTTGTTTACACATGCCATGTGGTACCATTCTCCGCATATTTCGCATGCAACCATGGTGCCGCCCAGATCTACCCGGCGACAAAAGCAATAGGCAGTGTTTTCGCCACTTGTGTTAGATGAAGGTGGCCATGAGTCGATTTCTTTTTGAAAACATTGCTCTGTAGCAGGTAAAATACGAGCCCATAGGTGTCTTTTAGGAACAAGCTTGTTTAGAGACTGTAGCCAGGTTTTGCAAATCTTGACATGTTTGGTAAAAACTGACTTATTAGGGACTTCGGCAAGGGTAAGCCGATGGTCACCCTCAGAACCATCGAATTTATTTATTAGCTGCAAGTCATATAGCGTTTCTCCAGAGGCGTGACTGGGCAACAATCTCAAGTAAGGATCGTTAACTTGCAACTTGCTCAGAGAAGACGCTATAGTTTCTTTGCTCTTCTCAAAGGCCTCTAGCATTGCTTTCAACGATTTCATCAACCGTGGGTCAACCAAAGAGTGATGTTGGTCGCCCAATTGGACGATTTCTTCAAGCTTTGTTACCGAGATTTTACTATTCCTTTTCTTGACCAAACTCTTAAGCTCCGAAAGGATCTTCTGAGAGAGTAATACCACTCTTTGAACTTCGTCGAACTTAGTTTTGTGTTCTTCTCCTCGTACATGTCTAAGCCCAAATCTTAGAAAAAGAGTTAAATCGGGTATAGAGTAAGCTTTTTCATGAACACCGGCGAAAGCATATTCATATGCTGATAGCCACAATTTTTCACAAATTTCCCTTGCTATTGACGCCAAGTACTTGGAATATAGTCCTAACTCCAGGCCCTTAATATAGGTCTCTTGAAGCAGTTGAAGCTCATTCTTTTCTAAAGCTTTTCGTGCACTAACCTGGAATTTGCGCGCAGCTTGGCTGAGCTCAGAGATCCGCTGCATTTCTGGAAATTCGACCGGCAAATGACAGAGTTCCTTCTGTAAATAGAAGAGGTTGTTTGTTGTAAATTGAAAACAATGGGCTGGTAGTTCGTGGCCAACAAACTCTTGAGTAAAGTCTGGGATCTCTACTTCTTCTTTATCTTTAGTAACCCCTTCAAGCATTCGAACGCATTTCACTTTCAATTCTTTTGCTACGACGACGGTCTCTCGTACTTCCTCTGATAATGGCATTGTAACCCGGGTGAATAACCCCAGCTTGTCGAGGGACACCCGTTGACCCTTGTGGCCCTTGATCAGTGTGTCGAACGAATCAGAATCTACAAAACTATCCATGCCATTGACTTTGGCATCAGTAGAACAGGCTATCGACAGAGAACGATCGTCCTGAACCAAAGACTCTAAAAATTCATTTGAGTAAAACAGGTGTAGGGCCACATTAACCTTATGACTCTGGATGTCATAACCAAGAACGTGCAATCTCTGATCTTTCCAAGAGACGTTCGAGATAAACTCTGTCAAAGACATTGTAAAACAATCATTCTCGGTGCTCAATACAACCTTCGAAATACCTGTTGGTTCTAACGAAAGGTCTGAAATAAAATCGAATGTATTGATATGGAATATCGCTCTATGCCCCATTATTTCTTGATATCTGTATCGAGATTTCAATTCTTTCGTGATCCTTTTACCTAGTATACTGTGTGCCTTGGAAACTAATGCCTGATCTTTGGATTTTGAAGTGATATCATGCAGCAATTGAATACAATGTATACCGGGCAGTATGCCGTGCCTTGAAAGCCATCTCTCACTCTCTAACGCCACATCCAACCAGGAGGAAGGTGCAAAATAAGTACACTCAGAAATACTAAATCCTGATTGCAGGTTCATAGAATACGTCTTAGGAAACCTTAAGAGATATGAATTAGGGTTCTGAATTACTCTGTAATATCTGATGTTGTGCTCTTTCAAGAAGTCTGGATCAACTAACAAATCTGGTTCCTCGCTATCAACCGTGATTTGCTCGGAAAGTTTGTTCTGACAGATTGAATGTGTATTGATTCTCGAAGGACCTATTGCGATACTGTGATCTGGAGTTGTATCTTGGAAGTATTGAAAAAATTCTGATTTAATAAACGACCTATCTGACGTTGCGTCCTGACTGTGCGGTATGGGTGAGTAAACTTGGGACTTAGCTGCGGCCTTCAACTTCTCAAATTTCTCGAACTCACTGGAGGGTATGATATACCATAGCTTAGAAGATCCTAGGTGGTGATAATCTAAAGCAGGTAAAAAGTTATCTCCAGTGGACCATCCTTTGACAGAGAACAACATTCCAACATCCAGATGGGTCTTCACTTGATCGCCATAGTCTGCATCAAGGTAACAGAGCGCTGATCTCTTCGAGAGTGCAACATTGTTAAGGTTCCAGGGTTGTGTCGCTTCGGGGATGTCCCCGCCATTAGATAGAGTTGGAAACCCACTACCGTGTACACGAGATGGAAGGTCAATTGCACTATCAATATCGCAAGGTATTCCAATATCTGACAACGATTGGAAAAACATCTTTTCGAATTTGCTGATGTCCATGTTTTCCGAAAGATCGGCCGCATGAGGTAACCTGCGATTGCATTGATCAAGGACAAACTTAGCATGAGCTTGAGCTTTTTCGTAGTAATGCTGTAAGTTGTAAAAAGGAGAGTCTTTCGATTCATATGCTGATTTATCATAATTTTCAGACGTACTCTGCCACAGTGAAAAATCGTAGCCGGGCAGCGTGGATGTTGAAGGTTTTGTAATATGCTTTTTATGATCTGTTAACGCCTCGAAGTTTGTCGAAAAACCTTTGTATCTCAAAACGTCTCTTAGTCTCCTAGGTTCTACGGAAGAACCTGATATGTCATATACTTTGGGTTTGAGAGACTTTAGTCTCTTAACGTCATTAAGGTGCGTTTTTGAATCGCCTGATCTGTTTCTTTTCCTACAGCCTGGAACTGGGTTTGGCTCAGAGGACGGAAGTACATATTTCACCTTTGCCGGTACTTCGGTCTCTAGCGCATTACCAGCAACGCTACTGTGTGGGTTTTCTTTGTCGAAATCTGCCAAAATTTTTGTATATGCGCCGCGGAGCGAATTCAAAACTGAGTTCGTCGGAGTGCCTGGGTAGCCCAGCTCTCTGGCAATGTGATCCCAAAGTTTTTTGGTGCAAACGGCCTGGAAGCCGCCGCGTAATTGTACGCACTGGTGCAATCGGTACAAATCTAGAGGCCTTCTATCGATGTGCGGGAGTTTAAGCGGCGTAGTGTTTATATTGCCGTTCCTATGCTTTAAATGATAATGATAGAGCTTGTAGTGGAAATCTAGTTTCCTTCTTTTTTCAATTGTATGAGGTCGCAGAGATTGTTTCCTTGCCCTGAAACGAAAATTCTCGGGCTCAAGCGCAAACATGCAGCCCGGCCTTCGGTATTTTGAAGCTGTTGTTTCGAGAGATCCGGTCGCTTCAGAAGCAACGGTGTTTGGATCGTCGAGAATGTCTATTATAACTGCGCCGTAGTGGGACCCAACACTTTCGACTTGTTCGTAAAAATCGACCGGGTCTGGAAGCTGTGATTTCGATATTTGAAATTTTGGAATGGAGCCTTCCTGAAGCACATACTTCAGTCCTGATTCCGTTTCAAGAGTTCGCGCTGGTGAGATATCTTCGCCGAGCCTCAGCTGGCGCGTTTGAATATTTCTTAAGTCAAAGGCCACTTCGGGTTTCAGTTTGGTATAGCGCTTTATCGAAGCTTGCATGTCACCTAATTTTTTAGGTCGGCTAGTGGCTGGCGCCGTAGTTGTAGAGTCCACCGCAACATTGGGGGCCTGCACTTTCCACTTACCCAAAGGTGGTAGTTTTAGTTCTTCGCAGCCATTTTGGGACGGGAGTGTGGGTTTGGGGGCCGAATCCGAGGGTATATCAAGCGTCATGGCCAAAGGAGGTTTTTATAAGCCCTGGGCGTGTAGCTGGATGCCTTGCTGGCTGAGATTTGAATCGGTGGTTTCTCAAATTTCAATTAGATATTAATTACCATCATCCAATATAGCCCAATATAAAATGTAGAATGTATACCAAGCCAACTGAGAAGGCGCTAAGTAGAGGTCACCAACCGAGGCACGAATAGGATATCCGTAACAGCTCATACACGGATCAAATGCAACCGTCAGACCTCAAATATCGACGGTCTGTTCACACTTAACCCGCGAGGCACAGATCAAAAAGATGTGACACATTTGTACAAAACGATGTCAGGAAAATGTAGAAGCTTATGCAACAGCTTAACAAACCCGCCCAACGTCGCGCCGCTCATCTCACTACAGTCAGCGCATTGGTGGCCATCTAATATAAAGCCAGAAAACTTCGTGAACTATACCATAAATCATCAATTCGTTACTTCCCTTAAACCAAATTTACATATGAACATCTGCTGTAGAGCTTCAATCGCTACTTAGAAAAAATGTAGCTTCTTACAAGTAGCGCTGCTGGTACTCATCGGCGTAGTTTTCCATACGGCTGCCCTCTTTACGACGCGTTCCTCTGCCTTCAACGTCGGCGTCGCCCTCGTCCCAGGCGTCGTCACTGACACCTTGGCCACTGATCATAGGACCAGGCATCTGCTGTGCAGGATGGCTGCGGTTACTAGTGAATCCGCCCGTGTTTCCGCCTAAATCGCGCTCTTGTTGCTCGTAGCCTCCATGTTTGCTCTGCATCTTGTGGCCCGACGTCGTTTCCGTATCACCTAAATGCTGCGAGGGCATTGGCATACCGCTCTTACCCTGCGTATCGCGCATTGAGCGCTGCTCGTAGCTTAAATTATTTCCTTGGTCGTCCCGCTCCTCATCGTGATGGCCGTGACCAGTAAGTTTTTCAGACATTTTGTGGATGATGTTAGACATTTTTGTTGTTTGTTACTATTGTTTTTTAGAGATGGTGTTAGGAAGGTAAACGTCTAGACAGATATCAAGTTGGCATTACGAGTGGTGTTATATATGAGTTTCACAAGATCCTAAAGCAAATAGTTCAATGTAGCCTTGCTACTTGTAACTTAGGGGAGCCCCACGTTAAGTTGCCATGTGTGGGGAATACGTTGTAAGCAATGCGCATCATTGCAAATGTGGATGCTCTTGGTAAAGTTGTTGAATCCGTGATTTTTGCCTCCACTGCGGGGCTCGGGGTAGCTTCCACACCTTCCCTCACAAGGAATCGTCACCAGTCACATGCGTGCTCAACAGCTGACACAAAAGCAAACGTAATGAAGGTAGGGCACACGAAGGGCGTCGCAGCTGGGGCCAGGTGTACCACGCTCACCCGGTGGCTCATATCACCACGACTACCCTTGCTATTGTTCTGATCACTGCCAAGCCTTCCTTTACAATCATCATTACATAGACTTGGCTTCGGCCTTCGCGACGGGCAAAGTCTGGCCATCATCAGTGACGCTTGTGCACCTACAACAGTATTCGCAAGAGTGAAACAGACGCTTGGGGACAATTATGTCAAATGGAAAGGCACCCTTACGTAGCTGGCTTTGCCACAGAAGCCGGACCCCAGTGTCTAGAATTAGCACGAACTCAAGGGGGCGTCACGGGTCAGGAGTTCTGACGAACAAGATACGCTGGCATATCTGGCCATTCCCAAGATGGCTGACCAGAATAAATCCTGGCCATACGGAGCTTGGGGGCGGATTGGGTCGGCACGTGACGGAGCGTGACACTGGATGTTGGTCCGGCGGCCTCCCCCCATCCTGTGGAGCCAGCGTCAGAGCTTGGCAGAAGGTCTTGTCTTGAGAAATAATGCTCACCGCTCTCAGCATACTCGTGCTGTCACACATGTGTGACAGCACGGTAGGAAGTGATCTTGGGCCCAGATGTCCAACCGGTTCAAACGGACGTAGTCGCAGACAGTGCGCATTTTTGAAGCGCAGGCTGGATTAGAACGATATATCAACACAACAACTCTGTTGAGGCTGTCCACCTGTGTGAGCGCGACCCTGTTTAATAAGGTAATATTAAGCCATGGCATACAAATTACCAAAGAACTTGACAGAGTACTAAAAAAAAATCACAAATGCTCCAGGGGAGGTTCGAACTCTCGACCTTCAGATTATGAGACTGACGCTCTTCCGACTGAGCTACTGAAGCAACATGTGAAATTTTTGCAGAGGCGCGATCCACACCCTATAGAGCTTTCCAGGTGACTGACTCACGTTCCTTTTGAATTCAATTTGACCGTCGTTGGCTCGGCCATGATACTCACCAAAGCAGACAAGACACACTGCACACTGCAAATTAATCGCCTTTGGCATATCATTCGTGAGCATTTGTTGCCAAATATTGACATCCCACTAGGACTGGGTTTCAACTGCTCCCCATGGTCGCGTTTCATCTCCTACTCCTAGGCGTACTGGCAGCGCGCTTGGTCTACTCTGACCAATTTAAGGCAGGCCAGTTTCCTTGGCTTGAAATACACAAGGATAAGACTGGCCTGTATTATGTGAATGCATCTATTGGGACCCCCGCACAAACTCAGATGCTTCGTGTGGACATTTCACAACCGTACATGTGGGTTTTTTCGCCCCAGTTGAAGGCTTCGCGCGATTCCGCCGGGCAGAACTCGTCTGTCTTCACTATATTCGATGCTGATGAGAGCTCTACGTCTCAAAGTCTGTCTGGCGACGACGATTTCAACATCCAGTACAACGATCGTATTTCGTTCAATGGATCCACCTACATGGACACCGTTGAGTTCAAGGTGAGCTCAAGTCAGACAGCGAACTCGCACAACTTGCTTGGCAACTTTTCCAAGCACGCACTCAGTTGGCGGTCTAACTCTAGCACTTTGACACTTCCAGACTCAGCTTTTTTCTATGCCGATTCTGCTGCGCTACTGGTGCAGCTTGGAGCATTGGGCCTAGGTTCGAAGATCTATTCCCCCGACTCTCAATCGAACTCATCGAATTTCAATGAATCTTTCTACTTTTTGGATCGTCTAACATCCAACGGTTTCTTGAACTCGCCCTCTTATTCGATGTGGCTTGGAGGTGACACCGTTGATAGTCTAGATTCATTAGTTGCCGAGGATGACGTTGGGGTGCTTATTCTTGGAGGGGTTGACCGGTCTCTGTACACTGGTGACTTCATGAAGTTTGATACATTGCCGTTCTATGATCCTGCTACGCAGCAAACTTCCAACGGTTATCCCATTGTACCCTTAAGCAAGGTGAACGTTAAATCGAAGTCGGGGCAAAGCTTGAACCTGACTAATGACTTCTTTGCGGAGCCCGTCCTACTAGATTCTCGCTACCGTTACAACTATCTGCCCTTAGATTTGATTGTCCGCATCGCGTTACAGGCAGATGCGTATTATGTGCCGTCATTGGATCGCTGGTTGTTGGCCTGCGACGTAGGCCGGATAGGCGCATCCATAACCTTCGAATTTGGCAAACTGGTAATTGATGTGCCCTTGAGCGATTTGATGGGCTCCACATATGATGCATCCACCAATGACACTCTGCATTTTTCCGATTCACGCGCAGCCTGCGAACTAAAATTCCTTCCGAATACGAATATTGGAGGGCTCAATATTCTCGGGGGCCCATTCATCAAAAACACATACTTTGCTGCAGAGCTCGCAAGCAATCAGGTTGCTATGGCTCAAGCTGTCAGAGTGTCAGCCTCCTCATCAACCAGCACAATCGAGATATCTCTTGACACCGCCACTGAAACGCACATCGGTAACGTTCAGACCTCTAAGAGCGCTAATCTCAAGGCTATTGAAAACTCCTCCGCAATTAGATCAGGTACGATCCCTTTTGCAACGAGTGAGAATGGTACGTTAACGGAGTCTTTGGTCCTTTCCCCCTCTACTGCAGCGGTGTCCAACAGTGATGCCGACGTTTTCAACCAGTTTACAGCATCCGTCTCTGCTAATGGTGTCATTAACACCGGTAGGTCATTCTACAATACAAGTTACAGCACTTTACCAACCACCACTGGCACGAAAAGTGGGAAGCAGTCAAATATTGGGATTAAACCTAGTCCCCTGGGTTCAAGCCTCCCGCAAAAATTTCAGGCATTTGTCCTTTTACTTCCCTTGGCTCTGACGGTCGCCTTATCAACTTCTGTTTGAATCACAGGACCATTGAGGCAGAATTGAAATAGATACGGGCCTTTGTTACAAGCCCGAGCGGAAGATGATGAGAAACAATAACTTAATAATTTCAGTGTTAGAGGCAGGAGTACTACATTTATAGATATGTTGCATTCACAAGTTTTAAAGATCCAAAGCGGTGGTTCAGAACTACCGCTAACCGGGCACTGACCTCCGTCCCAGGTGATAGTCTGTGTGTCATTAAAATTGCCTCTCTTCAAGCTAGTCCATCGTAAACATAGCTGAAGAATAACACAGGGCACTGGTGATGCAGGAGCTCAATCGTAGCTTCTCTAGTTTATCGGTACATCAAGAAGCTCAATCGAGCTCAGGAATAAAAAAAAGTCGGAGGCCGAATAGAGCTTTTCATACATTTGAAACTAGTAATGCAAGCTTGCCGAATTTGAGCGGTTCTCAGTCAAATTTACCCACAGCTGGGCCATACGCACAGCAGACACAGCAGACGCAACCTTCTGCATTCAATTATTCAACGCCAAATCTGACTAGTAATGGCTCGTTTCAAGCACCCGAAGCATCAAGTCCGATTACGTCCCATTACGTTTCCAAACAAAGACTTGATGACCAAGAGTCTTTTATCACCAATCATTTCGTGACATCACATAACTCTGTTCCACCATCTGGTACCAGCCAGTTCTACTGCGTGGATCAGAATTCGAGTGACCCGCGTAAAATGGGTCTCACTATGTATAATGTTCCAAAGAACGAGCAGGTCAGATCAGCGGCAAAACTTCCTATGGGAGCAATCATACAACCATTTGCTCATTCTAGTCCTGATGATGAAGTCCCTTCGGTGCCCGATTCCAAATCAGGAGGTCCTTTGAGGTGCAGGAGGTGTAGAGCGTATGTGAACCCTGCATTCTCTTTTACTTTCGACTCGAAGGCGTGTTGCAATTTTTGCGGAGTTAACACCCAATTGGCAGATGAGTATTCTGTACCTCTAAATCCTAATGGTATGAGATCAGACCTTTATGAAAGGCCCGAACTTTTCAAAGGAACTGTTGATTTTATGGTCCCAGAAACGTACAATATTAAACCAGGCCAAGCAAATCTCCCTCTTCACTACGTATTCCTGATTGATATCTCCACCCTTTCCAATGAAAACAAATCCTCTTTGGCCATGATCGAAGGGGTTAGAACATGTATCGAACACATTGCGGCCAAACAACCAAATTGTAAAATTGCTATCATGGCTTTTGACAAGCAAGTCAGGTTTTTCAACCTAAGAAAAGAACTTCATCAGGCCCAGGAGTTTGTGATAACGGATTTGCAGGATGTCTTCCTACCACTGTACAATGGTCTCTTTTCGAGGCCCGATGAATCGATGCATGTTATCCAAGACACTTTGTGCAAGATTATCTCATACATTGACGACAACAAGTTTTCGCATCGTTTCGAAGCTTGTTATGGGTCTGCCTTGATGGCAGCCAAGATTGCGATCGAAACGATTACCGGTGGTCAAGGTGGGAAGATCTTGGCAAGTTTGAGCACCAAGCCAACCTATGGCCAAGGCAATCTACGGCTAAGAAACGAAGATGCTCTCAAAAAGACGCTCAAATGTGAAAATGATTTTTATTTGAAGTTGGGTCGGGATTTCTTAGAGTCTAACATTTCACTGGATTTGTTTTGCACGGGATCTGCTTTCGTGGACCTGGTTTCTGTTGCTCAGCCCGTGAAAGCAACCTCAGGCTTTCTCAAGTATTATCCCAATTTCGTGTTAGAAAAGGACGAATTTACTTTTGTGAATGACATCTTGCACAGCGTGGCCAACACGGTGGGTTATGGTGCGCAATTAAAAGTCCGCTGCTCCTCGGGGCTTTCCATATACAACTATTACTCGGATGCAGTCGACAACACAAACCGTGATCCGGTTATACCTGTTCTGCATCAAGACACCACCTTGAATGTTCTTTTCAAGTATGACGGTCAGCTTCCCAGCTCCGCCGATGTTCATTTTCAGTGCGCCGTCCTATACACTGATATAGATGGCGTGAGGAAAGTGAGGTCTTTAAATGTTTCCGGCGCCGTGAGCGAGAACGTTAACGAAGTGTTCAAGTTTGTCAACCAAGACGCCGTCGTTAGCATTATCGTGCACGACATGTTAACCACGCTGGCCGACTGTGATTTCGCGCAGAAACGGAAGACGATAGACGATAAGTTGGTGGATATTCTCACGCAGTACCGCGGTCTGGTTTCGGGTTCATCCTCGACCCAACTGGTGTTACCAGACTCGTTGAAGACACTCGCAGCTTATCTCCTGTCTTTCGAGAAAACCGAGCTCATGAAAAACAACTCTAAGTCGGCAAATGGCAATGCGCGGGTCTACGACATGTTCCAGTGGTACACGTTGAACCTAGCCCAAATGTTGTTCAAGCTGTACCCGCAGATTTTGCCACTGCACGAACTCCTGCAGGAGAGCGACTACACATTCTACGACCAGAATGAGATACTACTTCAGGCCACCCCATCGGAAGCCTTGAGCGTGCGTGCCGGTCGCCGCGAGCTGGTCGACGGTGGGTGCTACCTTATTTTTGACGGGACTTCGGTGTACCTGTGGTTCAACGAGAACACAAACTCCCATCTGCTGAAAGACTTGCTGGACGTTGACACCGCCACCACCAAGCACCACGAAATTAGCTTGCCGGGGAATACGCTTCCCGTGGTGGACAGCAGCATCAACGGAAAGGCGCGCAATTTGGTTAAAAACTGGTCCCAACTTGTTGGCCGCTCCTTCGCTCCGGTAATCCCGTTGAGACCCCACATCGACAGCCACTACGCCCACACTATGGCCTCGCTGCTATGCGAGGACAAGTCCATCGAAATGATTGAAAGCTACGATAATTACCTCGTGCTGCTGCACAAGCGAATCAAAGAAAAGATGAAAAACGACGACTACACCAAGCTGTCGCACGGGAAAGACCACGAGCACATCGGCCAGAAATTCATCCAGTTTTAGACTTTTGACAAGCATCGTCTACAAGCGCATTTTTCTTGCAAAACGCGGCGTATCTGCCAACCAATGCCTCGCCCAGGCTGAAAACAACGACCAGGGCTTGCGCAATGCCACCGCTGCCCGCTAAGCAGTCCGCTCGCTCCTGCTCGCGCCTGCTCTCTTCCTCACCTCGTACATAGCGATCCGTACCTAATCCCATACAAAATTTTCGAACGCGATTTAGCTTACCTTAGTAACCTGATCAACTACTACCTATCCACATCCACGTACACGCCCGCGGGTTCTCAAACCACGGCTTACAGACAGCGGCCCAATTGCACGCACTCAGAGTCCACCACGCCGTTGGAAACCACCGGCAGCGGATTTTTCCACATTAACATCGCTCCAGCAGTGAGTGGCGGCTCCATTTAAGCGCCCAGAGAAAATAGTAAGCTAGCGCCCAATGATGCGCACTAGTAGTACCGACCAAGGCCAGGGCCATCAGGCCCGCCGCCTATCGTCCAACAATCCGTTCCGCCAAGACGCGGTTCTACATCAACAACAAGTACACCAAAGTGACAGAGAATTCCAGGAGTGGGTATCGTCGAACGCGATGTACAGTCCCTACGGGTCCCGGCCCGCAACCCACAAGAGCACTTCACTGCTGAGCTTTTCCAACAGCATTGAGGAACAGCCGCACGAAGAGGAGCTGTTAGCACCTCACGGCTCACCGGCGATCGGCTCACCACACAGTGCGGTGGACCCGAAGACCATTATGCGCAGAAGGTATGTGTTTTTCTAGTTGTATTTGCAGTTGCAGATACTGGCAAGAGAGGAGAAGAGAGATTACGTGGTACATAAGAGGGGTCAGCTCTCTAGGCGCAATTCCGCATTCCATCCGCACGCGCAATAGTTAAGTTTTTGGCAGAAATTTATTCTTGACACCAAACAATAAACAAACGCAGGCGTGACATGTGTTTGTCCGCTTTGTGTGTGTTGTGCGCGTGTGGGTGGGCCGCGTTACCCGGATTTGGGTAGCGTTTAGCGTGGATCTGCGACAGAGGCGGGTTTCAAGATTTTGTCCATGAGTTTCGCAAAGGGGTGTGAGCAAGCGGCGAATTTCCGCGTGCAAGTTCTTGAACAGAATGTTGGACTGGAGTTAGTGCTTTCGAACAGAAAAACGCACCAAGTTAGCGGCAAACAGAGCGTTCTCTAATAAGCTGTTGATTCGAAACAAGAGCTCGCCAGTGCACCGACTTCGCCTCCCCCAGTTCCAGTTCGGCGTCGTGCAAGCACCTGCCCCTATACAGTTACTAACTTAAGCCTGTCACAGCATGACGCCTCCACAACGACCAGCGTCGAAAAACCCGTTTTTGGTGGACATCAGCCCGCAGTCGGCCAGCGACGTGGAGTCTGCCACGTCTTCGTCGCCGCAGGCGCCTGCGGCGACGACAACGCACCCAACAGCACAGGAGGAGAAAGAGCGGCTGAGACGGCGGTATTTGGAGCAGACTCCACTGTCGGACTCTCCCTCGGGCGAGGACCTACCTCCCTCTTACGAGGAAGTGGCCGGTCCCAAGAAGAATAGTTCTCGCCCTCGTGAAAAGTCGTCTTCGTCGCGCCACAACGGCACAGCTTCATCCTCCTCCCGTTCTCACAGGCATCGCAGCAGTCGCGAGTCGTCCTCGAGCCAAAAGCACTCGTCTGGCCACCGTCGCTCCTCGAAGGACAAAAAGGGCTCGTCCTCCTCGGCCTCGTCCAAACCTTTGGCCAAAAATGTCGATACCATTGATAAACTGGATGTGACGGGGCTTTTCGGCGGTGCATTCCATCATGACGGGCCTTTCGATGCGTGCACGCCTCACCGCAACAGAAACAATAAAGTAGCACCTGTGATGGCCTTCCCCAAAGACGGGCCAAATTCGTCGATCGCAGGCGCTGCGAACAGCAAATCACCCATGAAGGAGGTATTTGGTCAAGATTCAGTCGACGACGATGATACTTACCTGTACAAGAACAAGGTTTACAGCAAAGTGGCCAACTCCTCTTCAACCAACACCGTGGACGCCATCAAACCCAACTCCCGGACGATAGGAGCTTTTGATGCGAAAGGCAAAACCCAACTGGTCCACGGACCCACCACCGAGGGATTGGGTTCTACAACCTTCCTCGATGGCGCGCCTGCTACTGGAGCTCAAGCCACTTACAACCGACTACACCCCAATCACAGACAAGAGCCACTACATCTCACTAGGAGTCATTCAGGCCACTTGGAGTATGAAAATGTGGACCCAGATGAGGATGTGTACCTGGGGGGGCGCATGGATCCGAGTGAGAAGAAAAGTGGCTCTGGAAATAAATTTATGAGGAGAGTGAAGAGTCTGAAAGTTGGAAGGAAGGCATGAGAAACTCAGGTGGTCAATACTTCTGAGAACCCCTACTCTGGCCGAACCAAATTAGGGTGAGAGTCAAGGGCCAGTGCCTAATGCACAAGAGGCAGGACTCGGCGAAATTGCCACGGCTGTGCTAATTATCAATCGACCCGAATCGAGAGAGGCTAAAGGAAGTTCTAAAAAGCATCGATATATCTGAATTGTCTACTTTTATGTACAGGAAATGAAGGATTTTTGTTAAAACGTGATTAAGTTAGCTGGTAGTTGGGTGCTCTGGCAGGTAAACGCTGCTCTACTATGTTCCACTCGATGGACTCCCACACTCTCTCTAAATATGCTTCTTTGCCGAAGACACCGTAGTCTGTCAGCCAAGCTTTGGGTGATGCGTCAACAGCCAGAAGAGGGACATATGTGGTGGATTTGTAGGACTCCGAGTCTCTAGCTTCTTGAACAGACTTTACTTGCAGAGGATTAGACTCGATATCTGCTTGAGCTTCCTCGTCGACAGGTTTAAGCTTTGATAACTGCTTTTTCAGATCGCTCATGTGTCCCACTTTGTTGAAGTTGAAAGGTGAGCCGGCATTGTAAGTATTTAAAACGTACAGCCAGTCGAACTCGACATTTCCAGAAACAAGGGATTCTCTTTGAGACGTGTTGACCTTTCTAGCCACAAGCCAGGTGTATCCGTCGCCGGATATGGCTTTGTTAGAGTTTAGAAGTAGGGACCTGAATTCGATCAATGACCCAAAAGAGGAAGCAATAGCTGAGCTCAGCCGCTCGTTACCAGTTTGCCTGGGGTCATTCTTATAATTGAGTTCCAGCTCTGGGGTCTTCAAAAGAGACTGTGGGCCTGGCTTTGTCGTTATGGTGGGTTGGTCGTTGCCATACAGACAAGACATGGCAAATTTCAAATTGTAAAGCTGTGAGGCCTGGTTGAAAATGTCGCGTTTCGAAGCAGACTTGGCATTTTCATGGATAATGCTTTCCAAAGGTTTCTCCTCGCTCTGGCTGAGATACTTGTTGAGGTTCTCGGTGTAAAGCTCAGCTCTGTCGAACCAAGCAGTTTTGAGCCCTTTTTCAGAGAACACACCACTCAATCCGGTACCTCTCTTTAGGTGTTCGAGTGACGGTGTGATGTAAGCCCGAGCAAAATTCCTCGGAGCTAGATTGGTCCTGAACATGACACAATGCCGCTGAGATGGTTTGTTTAAGCTGGGTACTCAGGTATTTCGTCACTGACAGCGTTAAAATTTTCTATAGTTTTTCAGATCACTACAAGTGTATGCTGTCTCCACATAGACAAACCACAATCGGTTGGCAGAATGAAGACGGACGACGAGGCTTCGTGAGCTTCTGCGAGCCCCCAGTAGAACAAGTTTCAATTACGGTTGAAGAACACGCCTCTTCGCATCTCAACAGGCGTGCTCCGGCTTCCGAGACAAGTAAAGAAAAAAAACACAGGATAGAGCGTTCGAGGTAGGAATACGGCTTTCGGATTGTAGGCGTTGCTTGTAGACACACAGTTTTCCCCTAAGAACATAGTTGTAGATTTTATCTGGTTCAGAACTACCACATTGCGTCCCTTCCAGGTGTTCCAACAACGAGATACGGGCTAGTGGCCATAAAAATGCAGTTTCGTGAAATATTCCAATACAATCATCCTTACTTGGGGGCTGTTGTTGCATACGTTGGCACCGGAGGTAGGTTTCTCGCGTTTTGTATTTGACTGAAATATATCATGATTTCTGCGGTGCTCTCAGTCACTCACTGCAAGAGTGGCACTGCTCGACACGTAAATTTACGAATTTATCTCACCTTTCAGCGTCAGGTTTTGCTGCTGCTACGATTGACGGCTATCCAACGCTTTTCAAGTAAGTGTGCAGCTGCAGCAGTACTAAACAGACTGACGACACTGGTATCGCTAAAGTCAGCGACAGGGTAGTACGCCAGTATCATATAACTAGGTGGGAATCCCGGGCCCTGTCATCTAATAGGCAGCTATAGAAGCTCACATAATATGCTAGCACATTGCAACTACAGCCACTGGCTGTCATTCCACCTGTCGGTACATGCACACACCCACTCACAGAACGATGGGAATAGCACTGTCACATGGCTATTTGTTCAGGTGGTGTGTCGATTCTGAGCCGAACTCACAACAACAACATCCGCGATAGTTTAGTGGCTAGAATTCGGGCTTGTCGCGCCCGGGACCGGGGTTCAATTCCCCGTCGCGGAGTAAATTATTTTTTTGGTTTTGCCTCTGTTAGCTCTGAGCTCCTCTTCCAGAACTGGATCGTTTCTTGAGTGCAAACAATGCTATAAGCACCTGAGAAATAGCTGGAGCTGGCCTCTATTTCATTTGTGGGCATCATAACGTCTGAAGGTGCTCTTCCAGCTGGAGGATCTCGAAATAGTTTGTGTGATAATCGTGAACGACCACTCCACTCAATGAAGGGAAAAAATAGACGAAAACCTACAAAAGTAAACTCATCTCTCCTTGTTCAGGCAGTAGTAACATCAGTTGTTCTGGCAAGTACACACGGCTAATAGAAGGCTAAGTGCATCGGAACTTTGTAACAGACTTGCACGCCAAATAATCTTTATTTCGAGGTGCGTTTGGTTTGACATTCTGTGATTTGGGGAATTAGCTTTTGTGACACAAAACCCTGGCGAACTTCTAACTACCAATTTCAACCTCTATTGCTTAGCACAATGCTTAAATGGATTCAGGGCGGTATTTCCGCTGTTACCGGGCTTGCTGAGCCTGAGTACGGTGAAGAATGCATTCATCCCATCACCGACAAAGTAAAGGGTCTGCAGCCCTTCCATCAAACCACAAGGGAAGACTTCCACTGGCAAAGCCCTAGCCACACCAATGTCGAGACCGTGACTTTCTACTTCTCGGATATCAAGCAGGGCTACACTGGTTTTGCCCAAGTAATCCACTCCAACATCGTTGGATTGCACACCACTGCTCAGCTGACCTTCAGGATCTACAACGTAAACTCGCCTGAGTTCAATATATGGACCTCAACCAAGCTGGAAAACTTCCGTCTCGACGGGCCCAACTTCTATGCCGATGGTCTCTCCATCGAAATGAATGAAGAGGGTTCCCAGGTCAGATTCCAAGCGTCTGTATCTGCTGACACAACCATCGATTTGACCGTCGACCGTGCGGTGCCGGGCGTTAAGGTGGGAGAAAATGCCACCACTTACTACGGTGACGACTTGGAGCAGCCTTGGGGTACCATGAGACACGTTTTCTGGCCCAGAAACTTGTGTCACGGATCGGTGAAAATTGACGTCAGCGTTGGCACGGAGGAGCCTTCTTACCAAGAAGTGACTTTCTCTAAAGAGACTCCAGCCAACTCGATGTTCGTGATGGCGCTACAGGGTATGAAGCCAAACCACGCCGCCAAATCATGGAACTTCATTAACTTCCAATCTGAAACGCATTCCGCTGTGCTCATGGAATTCACTACGCCCAAATCGTACGCAAACACCAAAGTGTCCATCGGTATACTGTGCGACACCGAAAACGTGATCGCCGTTACCATAGATAACCAGGTGAACCACTTGGACGCTCAGGTCGATTCTGTGGGCTGGCCCGTGCCGCAAAAGATCGAAGCTAATCTCGACGGTGTTGCTGCGACCGTCAGTGACAGCGAGGTTGCGACCGCCAAGCATGTTACTGCCTCTATTGTGGGTTCTCTATCGCAACTGGTTGAAAGGGTTGACGTTATGAAGGAAATTCCCACCTTCATTAAGAACATCGTTTCCGGCGTTGCTGGTGCCAAGCCTTACATCTACCAATATGCCAATAGCTTCAATTTGAATGTTGGAGAGAACGAAAGTGCCGAAGGTTTGGGATGGTGCGAAGTCACTTTCATCTCCGAGGCGGAGGACGAACCACCTAAGGATGAGAATGCGTGAAGACCGTGAGAAATTGTGTTTGGGCATCATATTTGGTCATAGTTAACCCTGGCTAATTTTATACTAATAGAAATCACAACAAGTAATGATAATGTATTTTGAATTGTTTGCTAAAAATGCTGGAAATAAAACATGGAGAGGGACACTATATTAGTGTAAATTGGAAAACTTTAATCAAGAGATAAACATTAACATAAGAGGTACATTGGAAAATAGATAGAGCTAAGCAGATACGGTAGTGTTTTCAGGTGGACTGCTGGAACTTCCTCCTAAGGTAAATAAAGAGGGCGGGAATAACATCAGTCAAACTGGCCAGCAGATGTGAGGGGTGAAAACAACTCAAGGTAAGTTTCAAGTTACCTCATATTCTTAGGAGAAGCATGCGTTTGATACAAGAAGCGCCAGCCACACCAGATAAAATATGCTATGACCAACCAAATAGCTAGATCGCCGGTGTAGTGTCAGCATACTGCGTTCTCCGATACTCGTTAGAGACGACGGCGATTGTAATTAGCCGCCATTGTGAATACGTTCTGGTAGCATGTCCAATTTAGCGCTCGCTCGCGACTACTATTCCGAAAACGAACCAGGGAGCAACAGAACATACTTAGTTGAATCAAGAAAGGCAAGAAAGGCGTCCCCTTGGCTTGAAATTTCAAAATATGCACCCGCCACTACGTTCACCTGAATCGACTTCTATTGGGATCGTACATAGAATACTATGGGTTAAGAGGGAGCAGAGAAATTTCACCGGGGTCTCCACCGGAGAGATTTGGTACCAGAGAACAGCTAAAAACTAGCGCAGATCGGGACACACATTTCCAATGACAGTGGGGTTAATAACCTGTCGTCCTTGAAGCGGTACCAAGTCTGTGCCGCTGGAAACTTGATTTTCGTCAACACGTCTTGCTTAACACATTGTACCATGTTTAACCCAACAGTCGTGATGATACCTCATTGCGTCAGTACTGAACCTCATTGTTTGCTGGATGACGGGTCGGTGGGCTAGTTTTCGCAATGATTTAGCAAGCGATATAGTCTACCGTGTTCTCGCATAAACCACGCTTCAGAGATTATCCGCGCCTGCGGCACTTCTGAGCAAACCTTCTATGATTCGGAAAAACTCTGGGAAAAAGTTTTTCCGTCCACATGCTTTTCTGGGTATACTTTTGGGAAAGGGTTTCTCAGGAGCGCTAAAAGAAAAAAGTCTGCTATCAGAATAGTCTATGACGAGTAGGCCGGGCGGCAACGTCCTGGAACTAGCCTAGAGCAAGTAAGTGCATCTGGTACCAAAGAAACAGACAAGATTTCGGGCTACTGGAGAAGCCGGTCGTCTAAGCTTCCTATGGACTAAAGAAGTTCACTTCCTGATGACACTTTATCCATATCGCCGTTGAAACTGCCACCTTGTTTTTCTCTACTTCCGCCGCACCTGCTCTCGTTTGTTTTGATTTTTTGACTGTCATTTGACCCTCTGCATATCGGAAAAACTTTTTTCCGGATGCTACCGGGAACACAACTTCCTCCCGGTCCGACTCAGCTAAGCCGGAAAATCTTGCTGCATTTTGCATTTAAAATATGACGTTGTTTATCCAGGAAGCTGGGACACAGGCCACGCAAACGGGCAGCGGAATTAACGAGTGTGATGATGATGATGATGATGGTGAAGGCGGTGGAGTAAAAGCAGTAGGTTCAACAGCTTAGCAAAACGGCATTTTGACTAGAAACGGCAGTACGGAGCCACCCAGCAGTATGAGGGTGGTCTGAGCATGCCAAACAAACAGCGTGAGAGATCCAAGCTTTACACTTTACAAAGCACAGACAGAGACGAACGAGAAATGGAAATGACTCGAAAAAGCACCGGGGTACATGGTTTGCGAAATATGAGGAGAGAGCGCCGCCCGCAGCGAGAAAAAAAATTGCGGGATAGTAAACAGAGGCTCCAGAAATTTTGTATATAAGTGGGGAGGAAGGATAATGCCACGACAGTGTGGAAACTGCTTGGGGTATTGGATAGTGTGTTAAAACCAAAGGATCTCGACAGACACATTTAGGATTAACCTCCTCACACATAGTATCTCGAGTTATCTCTAAGCATACCACACGCAAACTTAATATGAGCAGTGCGTCGCCTGAAGTAGGTCCCTCGCAGGACATTTTCACATCCAAGAGTGTGTCCGAGGACCAAAACTCCCAAAGCTCGAGGGTAATGAATGCGCCTGAGCCCAAGGCTAACAGAGTCGACTCTCACGACGAGATTGACGAACTTAAGAAAGAAGCTGAAGAACAATTGGCTAGCAAAGGCCGTGGTGATTTCTTATTTGTTTCTATCTGCTGTGTCATGGTTGCTTTCGGCGGTTTCGTTTTTGGATGGGATACCGGTACCATTTCCGGTTTTGTCCAGCAAACCGACTTTAAGAACAGATTTGGTCAGATCAACAGCAGCGGTGAACGCTACTTGTCTAACGTCAGAACTGGTCTAATGGTTTCTATCTTCAACATCGGTTGTGCCATTGGTGGTATTGTACTCGGTAAGGTTGGTGAAGTCTACGGTCGTCGTTTGGGTCTGACGATTGTTGTCATCATCTACGCTGTAGGTATTGTCATTCAAATTGCCTCCATTGACAAATGGTACCAATACTTCATTGGTAGAATTATTTCTGGTCTTGGTGTCGGTGCCATCACCATTTTGTCTCCCATGTTGATTTCTGAGGTCGCCCCTAAGCACTTGAGAGGTACCTTGGTGTCTTGCTACCAATTCATGGTTACTGGTGGTATCTTTTTGGGTTACTGTACTAACTTTGGTACCAAAAACTACAATAACTCCGTCCAATGGAGAGTTCCTTTGGGTCTATGTTTTGCCTGGGCTCTTTTCATGATCGCTGGTATGAGTTTTGTTCCCGAATCTCCCCGTTACCTGGTGGAGGCCGGCAAACTTGAAGAAGCCAGACGCTCGCTAGCTCGCGCCAACAAAGCCCAATTGGAAGACGCCGTCGTTACATTGGAATTGGAATCAATCGAAGCCAATGTCGAAGCTGAGAAAATGGCTGGAAAGGCTGGATGGAAAGAATTGATTGTCGGTAAGCCTCAAATGCTCAAGCGTACTTTGAACGGTATTGTTGTCATGTCTTTGCAACAACTGACTGGTGACAACTACTTTTTCTACTACGGTACTACCATTTTCAAGGCTGTTGGTTTGACTGATTCTTTTGAAACGTCCATTGTTCTTGGTGTCGTCAACTTTTTCTCTACTTCTCTCTCATTGTACACTGTTGACAGATTTGGTCGTCGTAACTGTTTGATTTACGGTGCCATGGGTATGGTTGCATGTTACGTCGTGTATGCCTCCGTCGGTGTAACCAGACTGTATCCTGAAGGTGCCGACCACCCAGATGTTTCCTCCAAGGGTGCTGGTAATGTTTTGATTGTGTTCGCTTGTTTCTACATTTTCTGTTTTGCTACCACCTGGGCTCCTATTGCTTACGTCTTGATCTCAGAAACCTACCCATTGAGAGTAAAGGGTAAGGCTATGTCTATTGCTTCCGCATCTAACTGGATGTGGGGTTTCTTGATCTCTTTCTTCACTCCATTCATTACCAGTGCTATCAACTTCTACTACGGTTATGTGTTCATGGGCTGCATGATTTTCGCCATCTTCTATGTCTTTTTCATGGTCCCAGAAACCAAGGGTTTGACGCTAGAGGAAGTTAACGAAATGTACCAAGAGGGCGTCTTGCCATGGAGATCTACTGCTTGGGTTCCAGCTTCTAGAAGAGGAGCTGACTACCATGCTGAGGATTTACAAAATGACGACCAGAATTTGCCATTTTACAAGAGATACTTCTAAGCTTATCTATTAGAAAGTCTACTGCGACAATGGTAACACACTAAAACTAAAAGAACACACACATACACAGGGCATTTGTGTTAGAGGTAAGATGGCATGTTTTCTTCACACCATATTATTCTTCAACACCTATTATTCGGCATTTCTCACTCTACTCGGGTGTATTCAGTTAGTTACATCCAATTTAATTTTCATAGACATACTATTGAATGAATACTTTACGATTTGAACTGAGCACGAATCATCGTTTCTTTGAAATGGCAGGGTTCTGAAACGTGATTATTGATGATATGCTTGTGTCATTTCAATTACGGGGCATGTTTTTTGACATGCATGAGCTTAAATACATTATTTTAACTGGCATTCAGGATCGAAGCACCTAACCTAGGCTTCTATTTCTGCTGGTCCTGTCGTGGACAAAAATAAGCTACTATTCTCAAACTGGTTGGTCGGTAAACAACTTAGTTTGAGACGGTTGTCATTTTATCAGTTGCTAGCAGCTTCACATCATGATACCTTCACCTATCTTCAAAGACCCTGAGCATAGGTTGCAATCCGCTCGAGTGGACATACATTCGCTATGTCACGAAAATCGATTCTCAAAAAGACCCGATCTATTCTGTAGTAGAATCAATAGTTGGCTACACTTCGCATTACAGTTAGATGTGCCTTCATTTTGATTTTAAGGAAATTAGGTGCCACAACGTATCACCAGCTTTCTCGAGTCCCTAATAATAGTCACGCCAGGTAGAAACAACTCTTACATTGCGGTTTATTAATATATTTACATTTCATTTATGATTTGGCAAGACCAAAGTCCTCCAGAGTACTTTCGAACGCCTTTCTACATTCTGTCGACAGGAGTCAAACCCAACAATGTCATACCATTGTATAGTACTTGTCTAGCGGAGGCATATAGGGCTAGACGAGCGGCAGCTAGTTCTTGAGTTTGACCAGCAACCCATAGGACATCGTAACAAGAGGAAACCTGGTGGGTCAGCTTAAACAGATACGTGACGACTGTAGCAGGCTCATGAGTCTTTGCTGCGTTTCTCAAAACATCTGGGTACTGACCCAACAAGCGGATCAAAATCTCTGCAACAGGCTCTTTTAGTAGAGACAAATCGGCATTGATCATCATTTCTTCGGTAATTTCGGAAGCATTTCTCTCCACAGATCTCAACCTCGAGTGAGCATATTGCAAGTAAGGACCAGTGTCACCTTCAAAAGAGGTCATTCTTTCCCATTTGAACTCGTAGTTGTTGATACGCTTAGCTTGCATATCCTGGATCATGACAGCAGAAATACCAACCAAGTCTGCAACCTCATCAGGGTTCTCAATTTGAGCATACTTCGTTTCATTGGTTTTCATCACATCGTGCATTTTGTCCCTAGTTTCTTCTAGGATATTGTCCAAAAACACAACGGTGCCCTTTCTGGTAGACATACCCTGGACCATACCAAAGTTGATATGCAACAGATCTTTGGCCCATTCGTAACCCATTTGTTTCAACACTTCGAACAATTGAGCTGCATACAAGTCTTGCTGACAAGCGATGACGTAGATCATTTTGTCGAAGTGATACTTTTCATAACGGTCCATAGCGGTTCCTACATCTCTGGTCAAGTACAGAGTAGTACCGTCAGACTTTTGAACGATTGTCTTACCTAACTTTTTGTTGAATTTGGTCAAGTCAATGAGGGTAGCTCCTCTGTCTTCGTGGGTCAAGCCCTTCTCGGCGAACATCTTGAGAGCTTTGGCCATGGACTCCTTGGAGGCCTGAGACTCACCGGAGTAGGAGTCGTAGTGGATGTTCAAACGTGCGTAGGTCTCGATATATTTGTCAATAGACAATTCACGGAAACGCTTCCAGATGGCCAAAGCAGCTGCGTCCCCATCTTCCATTTTTTTGAAGTAAGCACGAGCTTGGCCATCAGTTGACTCACTTTCCGACAAAGAGTCTCCCTCGGCCTCAATGTCTTTGTTGACACGAACGTAGACATCGTACAAATGCTTGATTGGGTCCTTTTGTAGAGCCTCTTCAGAACCGTATCTTTCAAAACCGACAGCCAAGACACCGAACTGCTTACCCCAGTCACCTAAGTAATTCAATCTGACAACTTCCCAACCCAACTTTTCGTACAAGTTGGACAAGAAGCCCCCAATAATGGTCGACCTCAGGTGACCGGCATGGAATGGCTTGGCGATGTTTGGAGAAGAAAACTCAATGACTACCTTCTTGTTTTCGACCAACGGAGCTGAGCCGTACTTTTCTCTTCTGACCAAAATATTTGGAAGAACAACCTTGAATAGAAAATCCGGTCTAAAGAAGAACTGCACGAACGGTCCGTTGGCTTCAACCTTGGACAGAAAATCACCCAATGGGAATTTTTCGGCCCACTCAACGGCCAATTCTTTTGGATTAGCGCCCTTGATACGAAGTCTTGGAACAGGAATCAAAAGGTCACCTCTGTCAAGAGTGTTGGTCCATTCCAAAGCCTCGTAAATCAATTTGACATCGACGCCTGAAATTTTGGATAGTTCTTGACTGACGTAGTTTCTCATTAGATCTACGACATTGTATTTTGGGAACGAGCCCTCCATGGTTGCAGGCTCTTGGATCGACATCGCCTGTAATTGCGATGTGATGGAAGTTGTCGACATATTTCTCTTTTGGAAATCTAGTTGCTGGACCGTGCCTTGGGGACTTTTTAGATGTATAAGTACGGGCGCTATTCTTATATTCGATAAGCGATGAGCTAGATTTACAGGACGTAATGCTCTCCTCAGCATAAAAGATTCAAAAGAACAGACTAATAGCTAAGTTGGCCAAGATGAGTTCAATTTTCATTTTTCACTTGATAAAAATTTTTAATGAATCATAAGACAGGCAGATTTCAACAATGTACTCAACGGCCAGGTGTACACATAACTCTATGTTCGCCAATTAGGTTCAAGGCTCGCTCTGCAGCTATCAGATACACCATGGACTTATTTGAAGAGGAATTTCATTACAAAGATTTTGGCACTGTAATAATTTGAAATGTCACACTCGTCTAAAATGTTATACTCGTGAACCGAATCACATTCAGTGACATCTTCATTGAGCATTCAAGAGGTGTGCTTATCCGCTGAGCACTGAAGCTCTCACACTTTCATGGATATGCTGGTCAGTTGATGCTCGTGGAGTTTGTGAGTTTCGAGAATAATTCATTTCATATACGCGTTAACCGACCCTTTTCTCGGGTAAGATTTCGTGACTTGACAGTTTATATCCATAAAGAGTATGGTGTATCATTGTCATCATAAATTCCAAATTTAAATTGTGTCCCAATCAGCCTATAATAAGACTGAGTTTTATGTGAAACGTAACCTTACTTAGCAACAGCTGGCAGATACTCTCTCGTCCAGTCCGCGTCTGTCAGTTAATGAAATGCAAATAAAGCTGCGGTGCCTGTCAATATAGTATAATCTATGTTTCAAATAACCACACTACCGTTACCTATCAGTGATCTTTCTTTACTGTGGCCATTTCATTGAGTTTTTTTTGAACGCCAACCTAGAGAAATTATCGATGAATATAGACTATATGCCATAGGATCTGCAAGAAACGTACTGACTCCATCCCGTTGTAATTTTAGCGGCATTATCGGGGGCCAAACTAGGACAATAGTAGTTTGTGCGCAAAAAAATAGAACGCCTATCACCTATGATGCTTATTGTACCGACCTCAAGCTCGGGCCTCCGTATGTATAGTTAATTGTGTTCACTTTGACGACTCATTATAGCTCCGTCGCGCGTCACAAAAAACCTTGCGATGTCCGATATTTTATATTTGCTTGCTAAATGTGTAGGTGGGCGTTCTCTTCTTGCTTCACCTTTTAAGTAGCTCGAGCAAATACTAAACTTGTGTGGAGCATATCAAGTAACGCCAAGTTTTGACAAAATGGCATCGGGCGCGGATGATTTGCATGCTCACGGGTTTGTAAACAAAATCATCAGTTCGTGGAACCAATTGAATACGATGAAACGTAATAGTGTTTTTGAGACTGAAAACGACATCAACTATTGTGCAATTCCGGTTCGTACCGCCCCCACACTGATATCTTCAAACACTTTGAGAAGAGCTGAACGGGTTAAACGCTCACTAAAAAGAGCAGGGTGCTTGCTGGACGTAAAAGTTAGGTCCCCTAGTAAGCCTTCGCTTAATGAGGCGAGCAGGGCTGATGAACGCTCGAGATTATTTCCTTCTTTGAGTGGGCAGTGGACTGACTCATTGAAAGAAATCAGTAGTCCGAGAGAAAATAATGCCAGGGGCAAACAAAAGTATACTGCTGCAATTGAGCAGCCCAAAGACATAGTAAGCTCAAGACAGCCTCTAAAAAATTTGGTAATTGATCCTAGAGATTATTTATCTCCAGAAGAAATGGAGAATGGGGGTTTTTACATCTCTTTAAGCGCGGAGTCTAGTCCCCGGACAATATCTCACCATATCAGAACTGTTTCTCAGGTGGCTTTGAAGGAAATGATCATGGGAAATGAGGAGATGATAGGGAGCATCGGAGGATCTTTGAAGGATGGGAATTTTTTTCATTCGAAAGTGAAATGGACCTGCTACATCAACTAGTCGATCTCCAGATATTATTGAGATATCAGTCTGCCTTTCTAGAAGAAGTTTACAGAGCATATGACGAGTTACGTCAAGAAAAAGCTGCCTAGGGCTGTGGCTAGAACTACTGAGCTGTTTATTTGGAGATTAATATTCTATTTTATGTATATAGTGTATCGTAAAAATAATAGAGTATTCAACAGTACTTGTCATAACGTCATTAACGGTTAGGCCAGAATCGCATTCTTGACCACTACCTGCATTTTGTGCAAAGAGTGAGAGAGGTCTCGGATCTCAATTTTTTGTGGAGGTTGCTGTAATTGTAATTAGAGCATCCTCTTGTACCATGGCTTCTCGTCATGCATCAACTCCTCGTTGTTGTAGTCGACGCCTCTTCTAGATGGAGGCAACCAGGAAGCAGACTTCCAAGGCAAGACACCTTCTTCCCACAATTCTTGAACTTCTTCCAAGGTCAAACCCTTGGTTTCTGGAACAAAGAAGAAAACGTAGAAGAACGCGAAGACCAGACAGCCCATGAACACGTAACCGTAGTAGAAGTGGATGGCAGTGGTGATAAAAGGGGTAAAGAAGGCAATCAAGAAGCCCCATAGCCAGTTTGAAGCGGTTGCCACGGCCATACACTTGGACTTGACTCTCAATGGGTAGGATTCTGCAACCACAACGTAAGCCATTGGAGCCCAGGTGGTAGCAAAGCAGAAAATGTAGAAACAAGTGAAGACAATCATACAGTTACCAGCGCCAGTGGAGGAAATTTCAGGGTGGTTAGCACCTTCTGGCCATAATCTGGTGACACCGACAGAAGCGTAAACGACAAAGCAGGCGACCATAGAGGCAGCACCCCATAGTAGACACTTACGACGACCGAACTTTTCAACGGTGTAAATACCGACAAAAGTGGAAGCAAAGTTAACGATACCAATAACAATAGAGGTTTGGAAAGAATCAGTCAACCCAACAGCCTTGAAAATGGTGGTACCGTAGTAGAAGAAGTAGTTGTCACCAGTCAGTTGTTGTAAAGATTGGATCATAATACCCATGATCAAACGTTGGAATACTTTGGTTTTGGTAGAGAAGATTTCGCCCCAAGAAGCATTCCCGGCCATTTTTTCAGCCTCGACACCAGCGGAGATCAAGTCAACTTCTAACTGAATTGCTGGGTCGTCAATGCTAATTTTATTGGATCTAGCAAGAGAACGTCTGGCCTCTTCGACCTTACCTTTTTCAATCAAGTAACGAGGAGACTCAGGAACAAAACTCATACCGGCGATCATGAACAGAGCCCAGGCGAAGCATAGTCCCAAAGGAACTCTCCATTGAACAGAGTTGGTGTAGTTCTTAACACCGTAGTTGGCGCAGTAGCCTAAGAAAATACCACATGTAATCATCAATTGGAAGCACGCAATCAAAGTTCCTCTCAAGTGCTTAGGGGCAACCTCAGAAATCAACATTGGCGACAAAACGGCAATACCACCGATTCCAAGACCAGAGATAATTCTGCCAATGAAATATTGGTACCATTTGTCGATAGACGCAATTTGGATAACAATTCCCACAACGTAGACAACAACCACGGTCATCAAACCAATACGACGTCCGTACATGTCACCGACCTTCGATAATATAATACCACCAAAAGCACAACCGATGTTGAGAATAGCCACAATCAAACCGGTTCTGACATTTGACATGTAATACTCGCCCTCACTGTTAAGTTGGCCAAATCTGCGCTTGAAGTCACTTTGATTCACAAACCCACCAATGGTACCGGTATCCCAACCGAAAACAAAACCACCGAAGGCCACACATAGACACAACAAAACGACCGTGATGTAGGCCGAGGCGGGCTTCTTAGGAATAGCCACCTCCTGGTCCTCTGTGCCATCTGGGAAACGGACGTCCTTGAGGTCGTCACGAGACGCCTTGTTGGAAGGCGTCGAGAGTTGTGAGCCATTACTCACAGTAGAGTGTAAGTCCACGGGCGTAGCCGTAGCTGCCGATCCTGGCTGGTAAGCGTCGGACATAATTTATTTCCTTTTTTTTGTTTTGGAAGAAGTAAAGCTTGAACTGAAGCGATGAGTTGGTAGCAGATAAAGAAAGATTAATGTGAGCCAAATCGTCCAAACTGGCTCAAATACCTGATCTTTATATACATTTTTTGGGGACTTGCAGTTTGGCCAAGCAACGAGTGGAGGCTGGGCATTTCTTGGTGTTTTCTCATGGTACTGGGCGTCAGATTGGAAGATTTACCACCCGCACCGTTCCGACGCTGCCTGGGGAAATTATCTGCATCCGTGCGCAATCTTCTAAGATATCTCCAGATCTATTTTTCCAGTGGCTCAGTCCTTCCCGCAGTCCGGAAAAACTTGCGGGGACGGAACATTTTTATTTTTCCGCTCGGTCGCGTTAACAGAAATAGGCGCAGAGAGTATTTCCCGTAATGCTTTCCATAAGCTTTTCTGGGCAAGCCTTTGCGGGGGCGGGGAAACCTCCAGGCTCCTGCCGGAAAAATTTATCCGGGACAAAAAAAACCTGCGCGCGGTACTTTCTGAGAGCCGGAAGAGAATTTTTCCGGGGAGCGCGCACAAACACAAAAAACAGGCCCTACATCAAAAGGGCACGCCACAAAAGTACACGGCCTAGTTCAACAACAGGTATCCCGGCTTTTTCCGTGCCCACAAGCACTACATTCCCAGTGTCAGAATGTAGACAGCTAAGAGCAGAAGTGGTGTTACACTTCAGGGCCTAGTTGTTTGATAATTTTGCCATGCACAGCATGAAGAACCGGTTGTTGTGGTCTTCATGAATCAAATATTGCTATTTTACTTGTGGCAAGAGATTTGGGCATTCTAGGTGTGAGTGATAAAGGGATAGTACCACTTGATGGTATTAAGCTGTTAGTTGTTCCCTTGGCCACTCACGTAATGGAAAAAAATGTGGGTCACACGCCTAATGCAAGACGGAGTTGTCACATGCAAACCCGGACTTGTATGTCGGGCCACTTGGCAGTAAATGCATGAATGGACGTGACGGTTGAAAAGATGGGTAGCAGGAGACGTCAGAAAGGGATCTCACGACATGAAATGTACGGGGTAGAAGGACCACAATCAGGGAGGTGAAGGACACGTCGATATTAATGTGTTAGTATGGTGGGGAGCCGCAAAGCTGTCGTAGGAGCCGTAATGCCAGGCATCGCGCGGCGGCCCATTTTGCGATGTACGAATTATAGAAGTGTCTCTAACTAAATATCACCTAGTTGAACATATAGACTGGATGAGGATCTGACTCGAAAAGCAAATTGGACACTTGCAACGATGTAGAAAGTCCAGACTCTTTTGTTTGTATTTTTGTGGGTCTAGCTCAAGGTGCTATGTCAAAATAAGCCAAAATTTACGTTAAGCACCACAAACATAAATAAACAGATATCCGAGGAGACTCATTTCGTTGATAACTACGACCTGTTTAGAACCTGCTCTTTAGTATACCGGAACAACTCGTTCTGCACTTCTAATCGTTGGGATAACAATGTTGGGAATAATGTGAGTAAACTGTGTGCGCCTAATCGCATAATCAGCGTCAGTAAATATGTGACACAGTGGTACAGAATGATAGTACACAACAGTGGCCATACAAGTCGACTTAACAGCTAAGACAAACCGAAGAGAACAATTGTTGTCCAATGGGATTGGCTATTGGTAAGTTATCAGCAGTGTACGGCATTGAAGCCGTAAACCATGGACAATAGAACTCCCTAGATCCAAGTTACTCATCTTACAATGACTATGTCCGACTTACAAGACAAATTTAGTAAGCTTTCTACTGATGAATCAGATCCGCCTCAATAATAATAAAGCTGTGCCTCGCGGCAACATCGATTGGGGAGCATGATCACCATTTCACTGGCTGGACAGGAGGACGATCTCATGAATGAGACAAGTAGTTCACTTGCTGAACAGTTGGTTCAAACATTTGATAGATATTGGTATTATGTAGGATCTCCTGAAGGCGTGATGAGGACCCTAGAAAATATAGTGACCTCTGGGACTGTGAATTTACTTCATCAAGGAGACGAACATCAGGTATTGGGACGGCAATCAAGCAGTGTACATTTATAGCCAGATAATTAACACGACTGGCGCGTCATTTATGTGGTTGCATGTTTCTATGGATTCCGAAGGTTGATTGCTGACCTAGCGCACATTTTCATTGTACTGGCGCCACGAATATCACTTCGTACTATTCTGACACTATTTGAAGTTCACTGTTATGTGACTCGACGCTACCAGAGTGATACTAGATTACTACCAGCTGGTAGTTCTAAGTTATAAAGCGTCCTAGCTTTGACTTGACTCCAACTGTAGTCTATCAGGGATCAAAGCCCCAAAGCTTTCCTCCAGAAGCCAGGTCGTCAAGCAAGGGGCCCATCTCCTCAAAAAGAAACAAGTGCAAGCTTCTCTTTGTGAGTCCAAGCCAGCTAGAGACAGCAACTAATATACTTGGTCCGCCAACACCGGCTTATTGAGTGTTTTTTACCCTGACACGAATACTCGGGCATTCTACTGATATCGAGAGTGTGGCACCAAGGAGCAGAAGGACCCCTTGGTATGGGGCCCTGACCAAAATCACAATCCAGGAAGCTCAAATACCTAAGAAATACACCGAGAGTAGTTTCAATGTCGATGTATCATCCCATTGAGAAGCGCGCGCCAGGGGTCAAGTAACAACCCCTTTAGTTGTTTTCAAAGTTAGTTTTTTTGAACATCAACTCAATTACCAATTGACGAACGTCCCACCCCGCCTTAATGATTGAATAGTGTGTCTTAAACAGTGAGAGGGCTGTGCCCTTGGAAGAAATCCATAAATCTCACCTTAATTTGCATTTCTATAGATTAAATTATATGAAATTGTTATCGGAATTATAGTTTATATTGTCCAAAGCCAACATGCCTGATGGCCAAAGGTCAAAGGAGCAAAAGATCGGCTTATAGTCATAATGGATGTAAGCAATGCAAACAAAGGAAGGTAAAAGTATGCTCACTGAATTGAAAGAGACATAATTGCAAGAACTAACACCACCATTTAGTGCGACGAACGCCGACCGCGATGCTGGCAATGCGAACGATTGAATAAGGAGTGTGGGTATTTGGCAGACCGCAACTCTCGCATGGAAGGAAATAATGGCAGAAGGTCAGCAGATAGCGGAGAACCGTCGACTCAGGGTAGTCGCTCTTTCCTATCAAACAACGAAAATACCTCAGACTTCGCGACGATGGACCACACAAACGTGCCATTAGACTCAGCAGATACTGCAAATGACTCCGGCCGACTGGACTCTCTATCTCTATTTTCGGTAGCAGAAGATTTAAGTGAAATCGTCAACCTCAGGCTGGAGGAAATGGTCGAAGTGCCTAACTTGACTGACGATTTGGATAAATATTTAGAGGGTGATACTATCGAAAACATATCTGGGATTCCATCTGTGCCTCTGATCCAAGATGTTCCTATAAGCCATCTCAATGTTCAGGGACACGACACAATTTATTTGCATCAGTTCTATCATCATTTCGCAGATATTTTGTTGCCCTTTCAAGTCACAATTGATGGTAAGAAAGGTAATCCACTCAGGGATTTACTGATGATATATGCTCGAGAAACTCCATATCTTTTATGTGCTATACTCGCTTGTGGAGCTAGGCTGTCGCACCGTAAAACCGCTCTTTTAGAAGATCAACAAAATTATAAATTTTATCTGCAGAGCTGCCTCCAGTTTCTCACGTCGGCAATGGCAAATAACTTGGCTTCACAAACAGAACACATCCTTCTCACTGTTTTAACAATGACTTGTGATGGCGCAATGGGTCCTACGCAGAATTGGAGATTTCATCTGAAAGGAGCAAAGGGATTACTGGTAAACATTTCGAAGTTTGACTTTGAAAATGACTCTCCTGCATTGATTGTGTGTAAGTTGTGGTTTTCCTCCATCGAGATTTTGGCTGGTTTAACTTCTCCATTGGGCGGCACGCTGGCAACAGACGAAGAATTTAACCTTCTTCTGTCCCTGACAGACAAGCAGAAAAGAATACTTTACCAAGCCAATTTCATTCACTCAAATGATTTCATTCTCTTTCATGGATTCACCGTTGATCTCATGGCTTGTCTCAAAGATGTCATTAAGGTCTTACAAGACAAACGTGATTCGAAGCAAAATCTGGAGCTAGTAATTGATTTACTAGCCGCATTGAAAAAAGAAGCAAGTTCTGGTCCTGCCCTGGTGAACTGGTCAGAATCAAATATCTTTCCATGCCACTACGTTGCCAGACATGCCCAAGAGCTCCCTACAAGGGATATGCAGGGTGTGATTTTCTTCAAAGCAGGCGAGGCGTCCTTCGACTGGCCAGAAGTCTGTCAGCAGGCCTACATATTTGCCGCTATGATATTGATATTGACAAGTGTATTAGAGACTAGTAAAGACTCCGAGGTAGTCCAACAACTGGTGTCAGATTTGCTTGTTTTTGCCGACCTTATCAGCGGATCAGGCGACCCACCCAAGTATACGTGCTTGTTTTCTCTTCAATGGCCCATGTATATTGCTGGATTGAATAGTACTCGAGCTGCTGATCGCCTCAAGGCAGAAAAGTTCTTCCGGCTTCTCGCCGAGATTTATTCTGGGTCGGCGTGTGCTCTGCTGGAAAAGCTTAAGAGGTCATGGTATGGCAAAAATGAGGACAAGCAAAATCACCCTGATTATAATCTAGATGTGGTTGCTTACTAAATGCCACCAAGACAGCTATGGCCCACCTAATATACCATTAATATAATTGAGGTTACATGTAAATATTGATGCTTGTTTATGATGTTGGACAACGGAGCGGTTCGGGCAAAGACTGAAATGCCATTTTTCTGCCATGAGGGGAAATGTAGCCGAGGAGTTTTATATCGTATGTAGTTGATGGGGAGCTACCAGTGGCGACAGTTAAACAACCTTAAATATCTCCCGCTTCTTAAAATATGTAGTATATACAGTACCTTAACACAATGAATTAAAAACGCCCAGAGGACTTACAAATCGCCACTCTCTAATCTTTTCAGCACACTGACTAAATCATCGATTAAATCATCGATGTGTTCAACCCCAACAGAAAGTCGAACTAATTTTTTATCAATATGACTATCGCTCATAGCCCGCCATTCAATTAAGGATTCCACACCACCAAGGGAAGTTGCATGCTGGAAAAGTTTGACGTTTTTCACCAATTTAACACACTGATCGGGAGAGTTCAATATTATACTGAACAAAGGGCCAAAACCGCCTGTCATTTGCTTTTTGACGAATTCTTCTTGTTGTAGACTACCATGGTGAATGTGCTTCAATACAGAACCGAATTCCGCTTTGTGGTCATTCAAATACTTAACAAGGGCGGTACAATTCTCAGCCTGTCTTCTGACCCTCAATTCCATTGTTCTCAGAGACCTTAACATTAAGAAGCTTTCAAGACTTGCAGGAATAGTTCCAAGAACTAGTCTCTCGTTTCTCATCAATCTAGCAGTTTCGACATCCTTGACGGCAATGATTCCGCACAAAAGATCCGAATGTCCCCCGAAGTACTTCGTTCCAGAATGCATTACAATATCGGCTCCAAGGTCCCACGGATTGCTGAGCGGCGGTGGAGCAAGAGTCGCGTCCAACAACAACTTTGCTCCTACTTTGTGCGCTCTCTCAGCGTAATGAGAAACGTCCACACACTCACCGTACGGATTAAGAGGGCTTTCAATGTGGATCAAATCGCCCGGACCACACTCGGCATCGATATCGTCCAAAGTGTAAACCTTAAGGCCACCAATGCGGGACAGGATCTCAGCAGCCTCAACGCAGGAATGATAACAAGCAGCTTGGAACAGCTTTTTGGGCTTGAAGCGGATAAGGGCTGCAAAATAGGCCGATAGACCTGATGAATAAACAACAGAAGGAGCCCCTAACAGCTTGGAAATGACATGTTCAAGACGCACAGCATTTGGATGACTTTCCCTGGCGTAAACCAGTTGCTCGTCCACCCCGATAGAAGGGTCTAGTTCTGCCGCCGTAACCAGATTGTCATTATCGAAGCGATAGGTTGTAGAAACATTTATAGGAGGAGCAACATCAGGAACTCGGTTGCACTCATCGTCTCCATGGATACTTTGGGTAGCAAATGACATTTTTGATAGACGGTTGGAGGTTGAAAAGTTGTTTTCCAATGAGCAAACGGGAGGGGATATCTTACCTCGAAAGCTCGTCTTTATATAATATTTGTGTGTGAAAGAAGTTCATCCACGGCTAGGAACGCATTGGCGACCCGCACATAGTAGTCCTTGGCACTTCCGTTGAAAGTCTCTTGATAAGGCTGTATAGCATGATAGAATTTCCGATCGGAATATTGATTCTCATATCTGCCAGATATTCCGAGCAATTTCCTACATATTCGATAAATCACGTGCTTTATATTATGTATAATTCCGACGACACTAGTAGGGAAAAAGTCGATGGAACCTTTCCGGTGGGTGTATGGTCGACGACGTGAAAATGCAACGCGATGTTGATTAGCACAAGAGGCGCAACTGTACTTGCAATCTGCTATAGTATGATATACCTTCATCTTCGAGTGATCCTATTCTACACCGCTACGTAGGCTATTACAATTTCTGCCGTTTATTCTGTCCAGATATTTTTACAAACCACATGAGAAACGTCTTTTAAATATCCTATTTTTTATGGCACGCACATTGGCCGGGCCCTTGAGTTGGCAAGCTGTATGCGATGCTACACATGACTCTATCCATTTTTGTTCGGTGAGAGCCAAGAAGACTCAGCTTGTGACAGTAAAATTCTCGCTGTCATTTTTGTCGTCCCTATATTGCAGTTCATCTTCATCTTGCCCAGCACTTCTTAGCCACCTGAATCTAGAGTACCATATTAGATGCGATGCAAAAATTCCAGCCTCCAAACCTGCAATGACTGCATAGAGTATTATGCCCATGGTGTCCATATTGCCGAGAATGACGCTTGCTATCGATAACCAGGCGCCGAGCGAATCGATAATTAGAAACCAGAAATTTATGCCAACCACACGACCCTGACGTTTTGCGAGCTCGAAGTAAGGAGGCAAAAGCCCCAGGCCTAGCAGTACTGACGCCATGATCCCAAAAACCAACGCAGGCCAGTGGATCCCTTTGGAGTAAAGTGGCCTCAGCCACAAGGTGAACCCAGCTTCTACACCAACATCAATCACAATCAGAACTACTAGAATGCATATTATCTTGGCGCGAGGGAATTTCACGGGTGGATAAAAGAGGCATTGTATGTAGCTGATTGCTGAAAAGAACATAAATAGATGGGCTTGAACCTGCAGAATAATATTGGCTCTTGTTACCATAAAGTACACAGCAAATGGGATGCCTGATATGACCCATAAGAACATCATTATTGGCGGCATCCCCTCGCAATTCTTCCTTTTGTAGTTGGAAATTATTTGTGGAATCAACTGAATGCACCAACAAATCGTCCCTACCGTTGCCAAGGCCGTTGCAGCTTTTTCAGAAATCATGTCACAACAGTTTAGAGCGCTTTTTCCTTTGGCATGATTTTTGGTCGTGGCAGCATGAAGTGGTTTATATAAATAATTTTGATGAGTGTTTCTATTCACCACCAACAAAAGAAAATAGAATAACCCGACTTGGGTTGCTTCGAGACTAAGCTACAGGCGCATGAGATTGGTTACTGAAACCACACCTCCTGCTCGGAACTTGTCTACTTTGCCAGGACGATCCCTCGGAAAAATTATAAAATTTCCGAGGAAAGTTGAAGACTGATTAAGAAACGAGGGTCACGGACCTGTCTTGGAAATACTGACGCCAAGAAATATTTCCAAGACAGTTTTGAGTTGTAGACTGAGGAGAGCGAACCGATTTGTGGACGTCATGGTATCTGCAAGAACAAATCATTTTGAACAGAAGTAGAGTACCTGGAGAAGTATACTTGTAAATAATTACTCCATGACTGAACAAGAAGATAAATTGTGCTGAAAAATCAGACATATATCCTGCAAAGTAAAAGCTGCAAGTAGGAATTTAAAAACGCTGTTTTTGAAATTTTTAACTCTAAATTTGTGAATCAATATTTGACTCTAGCTGGTGAGTCTAGGCCCAGATGACACTGATCCTGTTGCAAAAGACAACGTCGTCTGAGTACGAAATGTGGGTATTCTCTGCGACAGAAATGATGCTGTCGGTAAGAGTGTTTGAGTTTTAAGGTGAGAATTACCGAAGGGGACGAGAAGTAAACGGACGTGGTGATAAACGCTTTTTTCTGCCACCAGGATTTGGCTACCACCGGGTAGATAACAAGGACAGACTTAATTTTGCAAAGTTCTACTATTTTGGAAAGCGTTGGCGAAAACGCGGACCTCGTTCACACTTACACTCGTGCTGCAAATAACAAAGAACACTCAATGCAAGATTGGTGGGGCTATTTTTTCGACACCATCAATAACGAAAAACCTTGGGCCTGATTTTGATGACAGTGTGTTGGCTTACAAGAATCTCTTTTCGATCTTTTAAGAAAAGAACAATTAACGTCATGAATAAATGTCCTCTTGAAATTGTCAGGGCAGATGAGACGTCAAGCTTCAGTTAAGTCTCTTTGGTTAAACATAACGGTGTGTCGTTATCTAAGAATAATGGGGCAAATGTCAAAAATTCGCACTTTCAATACTGCACAAGCAATAGAAGCTGACACATTTAAAGATTGTCAGTACACAATGTTTTGGGTCAGGATTCTCAGAAAGTGCTTTCCACTGGCGAGGGACGCGGGACGACCGTCAGCAATCCCGCGGAATTGTAGTCTACCAATAACGTTCAAGCCAAAGTGTCTCAAAAATACTAGACGGGAGGAATCGCAAAATAGGACTGCTTGAACAGTGTCAAGTCACAATAGCAAATGTTAGTCTGTAGCACAACAACAGCACGAATTGATAATAACGACGCAATAAAATCAAAATGGACGAGGTTAATAATCGAGGGATGGAAGAGCTAAGTAAGAGCGGTTCAGGAAATTATAAACCTTTACATCAACATTTACATCATTTGACGGATATAATCATTGAACCAACTAACCATAAATGCTCTAAGGTCATTCCTTCTCCTCACAAAAGTTTGTATAAATACAGACTCTGTGCCACATGAATGAATCAAAATATATAATCCAAGCAATCACAAGGATATCATTAGTGGGCATCTCACAAGCTACAGACATACCATCAGGAACTCAGATTGTAAATTATATTCTCTATCAATGCTTTGAATGACAAGGTTGACAAATAACTGACACTTACCCATTCGAATAAATTATCATGGTACGGTGATCAACTCATTGTGGAATAGTACTCTTTTATTTTATGTTGTGGTTAGATGCAGAGAGTGAGTGTATAGTGAAACGTCAATGGAATAATGGAGGTAATGGTAGACAAAGCCGCCCTTTCGGGAGTTATCAGTGCAAGTAGAAGTTAACCAGATTCAAAAATTCAAAGAATTCAGTAGCTATAATCTTCATATAATGAGTTAGAATGGAACGGAATTTCGCCAAGAGCCTTGAGACTATCACAAAGAATGTGTCTCGAGCTAGGTAAGAAAATCGATAACATACCGATTTGACAATAATTTTGATAAGTAGCCCATTAACCTAGCGCGTGCCTATGCTCTTTACTGACTGAGATGGTGCAGAAAGTCAGGAATAATGATTATGATACGTCATGAAACCCGTAAGCCAATTAAGCGTTTCTCAAAATTAAGCTAGAGTGACGGAAAACAAAAAACGCACGGCCTGTGGATTAGGATAAGTGACGAGAATGGTGTAAAAAGAAGTGAGGGGGAGGGTCAATAGTAACAAAAGTAAGTAAACCCTGACTTTGAAGCATAATTTAATTTAAAGTGAAACTCTTTGTGGTGCTCACTCAAGATGATGAGCGCTCCACTGCGCCTGAAGTAGTGCCTTTGGAAGATTAAGTTTCCAACCAAGTCGTCCCAGTGGCCGAGTGGTTAAGGCGATGCCCTGCTATTCGACTTATCGAAGGCAAGTTAGGCATTGGGTTTTACCTGCGCAGGTTCGAATCCTGTCTGTGACGCTTATTTTTTGCACCAAAATGTAAGTATGCCGGTGGTAGCTGTCCATCAAGGATATTAATAGGTGTAGACAGGCTTTATCCTGGCTATTAAGAAATAATGGTTAAACTAATGGTTAAAACTAATGGTTGATCTCATGTTGCCCGCTTTAGCTTATAGACCCTACAGTAAGATATACGTTATGGGTATCTGATGGCTGAAGGCATTTTGATCCTTATGTATTTATTTGGTTGTGATTATGGTGGCTCTCACTAATTATGATGGCTAGGCCAGCTTCCCGAACACACATAGTTGAGGCAAGCAAGAACGAAAATGTTTTGACGTTAATTAGCTTTGAAGCGTTTCCCCTTCGTTTTAAACTTACGGTAAGATTTGAAATGGAACAACAAGTAATGAAGTTATTCTCGCAGATGGATGCTCACTATGTGTGAAGTCGAGAATTAACAAGTGCTACCTTGATCAGTACAGTAAATGTGAATCACTATTTACAGATATGCTGGGAACTGCACAATTTCTATGAATGTTCAAGCCTCCGAACAAAATATATTAGCGACGTGCGCTGTTCGCCCCAGGTAGCAAACCAAACGCGGCAGGAAGTTGTTTAGAGTGCTGCGAAGCTAAGTTTGCTTAACTGACACAGTTTACAATGGTTTAAGCCATCTCGTAGACAATGACACATAAATTTTTCAGTGGCCCATGAAGGTAAAGTAAAGTGTGAGATGCGATGAGATGAGGAAGATTTCGATTATTTCAGTTCTCAAGCCTCTAGATATCAGAAAGACTTGTAACTTCCTTCGAGGTTTTGTTATTATAACCTGGCGATCAAGATATATTCCCATTATTGCTAAAATCACATACGAGCATTATGGGTAAGGCTAAGAAGACAAGAAAGTTCGGACTCGTCAAAAGGACTTTGAATGCCAAGAAAGATGTCCGACTAAAAGCTAATCAGGACAAGAATAACAAGAGCAGTGAAGATCCAGAACTAACGAAACATGTCCCTCAGGTGTCAAGTGCTCTATTTTTCCAGTATAACCAGGCAATCAAACCTCCATACCAAGTGCTCATAGATACTAATTTTATCAACTTTTCCATACAGAAGAAGATCGATCTTGTGAGAGGCATGATGGACGCTTTGCTTGCAAAATGCATACCACTCATTACCGACTGTGTAATGGCAGAATTAGAAAAGCTTGGCCCGAAATATAGAATCGCACTGAAGCTCGCCCGGGATTCACGCATTCAGAGGCTGAAGTGCACTCACAAAGGTACTTACGCCGATGATTGCATTGTAAATCGAGTCCTGCAACACAAGTGTTACATTGTAGCGACAAATGATGCGGGGCTGAAGCAGAGGGTGCGTAAAGTACCAGGGATTCCGCTGATGAGCGTTGGTGGTCATGCGTACGTAGTTGAGAAACTTCCGGACGTTTTTTGAAGGGCAATGGGTTAAGAGCATCACATATTTGTATACACATATGTACATATTTTGTACGCATTTTATTAGGAGGTGTGGCTAACAGATTTTTCTTCCCATTAGGCCAAAGCTGGGGCTCTTGCAGAAGTTGAACCAGCAGATGGCACTGGCGATTTGAGAGGCACGTCGACTTGATGATATCTGTTTTTCAAATGTCTTTCCAATACCAAGACATTGCGCGAGTTGGCCTTATAGCAGATCGATACAAAATCACCCACAAAAGGTATCAAACCAAGCCCGAAGTCAAGCGCAATGTTGCTCAGCATTTGGGCTGACACGGTGGAAGGCAGGCCACCTGCTACCTTCATCGCTTCTTTGTAAACCAACAACGACAGCCAGAGCACCAGGAAATCACCAACGACGGGGAGTATGCCTATGACACCCAGCCATCCAAACCTGATGCCCCCGATGTTGAACAGCATATCTAAGCGATATGCTCTCTTACGCACGCGTCGTAGAACTTTGCCATCGCTTTCTGGTATACTTTGAGGGATACTTTTATCCCTACGTTTTTTTACCATTTTGGTACTTCCCGACCAAAACGAGCGCTTTTCGAACTCCACTTCTTCAAAAAATGGATCTTCAAATGCGCTCCCAATCTCATATTCTCCGAACACCTTTTTCGCAGCATATTTTATCGGAAACGTTAGCAGGCCCATCACAGACTCTTATTTTGTAGACTGGTAGCGGGACTTGCTCTATTTCCAATGCATTTTCTAACGAAGACCCCCACAATCGGCAGGGTCTTTATATAGCACGATTGCAGGGATGCTAGCAACTTGCTAAAAGCGTAATTCTTCAAGGTTGCCCTACAACAGATTTTGCTAACAGTCTGCACATGATGCGAATTGGGTAAAAAAGACCAGAAAATTAGAGCAGTCTGGTGGTAACGACCAATAGGGGGGATCTGCCAAGAAGGCTTATAATCGCTAGTGGCTACCAAATTGTTATTATGGACTTTATTATCGTGGCTACTTCGGGGCTAATTTATAATGACGCCGGTCAAATAATCCTGAGGTTTCTCGAAGTGGGCACAACTTACATGTGAAAGGTGAAGGATCAAGCTGGCCCAACATTGGAGTTCGTAACGAAATTCGCTCAGTGTGTTTGGCATCCGCGATGCCCTCGTCGCTTAATCAGGTTCATGATGGTCTAGCGACACAATAGTACGAAGTGATTATATTCTTTCGGCATCGCACGTTAGCAACGTGAAGCGACGAGAAGCGTCCTAGTGGTTGGAACTCTTCTCTCAGCGTCTTGGTATCATTCTGTATGTATTAAAAGCGTCTTTTTTTTCACCAATCGAACCTTTCAATTCGTTTAGAAAACGGGCAGGAGGCAATCCTAGCCCAGCTAAGAAAACCTTTGCCACAAAAATCCCCCAACTTTCGGGGTGTGCTGTTCAGATGTGCTTCAGTTGTGCTTCAGTTGTGCTTCAGTTTTGGCTTTTCTCAACTGTTGGCGTTGTAGGCCACTGCCAACTCTATGGGCACCTTTTCCCTTGAGCACGAGACCTCGAGCATTTATATGTCATGCCAAGCCGATTACCAAGACATAACCAATACACACGACATCGGCGGGCAGCTACTTTTCACTATCAATCGAGAAGGAAGCTCACGCAATTCTGGTGCCTCAGCATGTATTTGGAAACAGGAAGTACAGGTGGCTTTTGCGCGAAGTGATATGATCCGTAGGAATCAGTGGAAACTCGGCATCTACTTTAATGCTACCAAGGTGGCAGAGCGACTGAAGCTCGTGCTACAGTTGAAAAATACTTTAAGAAACTTTGCGATGAGATCATCGCCAGAGACCCTGGGCTAGATGAAGCCAAGTGGGATGATATCGCTTATATCATGAATGAGTACCTCTTAGGCGAGGGATCATGGCATACCGCGTATTGTTATAACGGGGTCAGCTGTCGTCAGACTTTCAGACGACTGACTTCAACTACTAGCGAGGGCTCGGAGGGAAAGGGACTTGTTGGCTCCACCTCGTACCATAGAGCAATAGCTGCTAATCGGGACGGCTCTAACAAGAGTAGTCATAGTTTTACCCTTCAAAACTGCACGCAACACTCCCCAAGGCAACCCACTGGAACAAACATATTTGGCCCCTCAGAGGTTCGGTTAAGGACTCGCAAAACTTGACTACTGCAGCACTATTCATTGCATATTACATTTCAGAGGCAGGGCCCCATCGTTGGCTGAGATTTATTGGTATTTTCGTGGGACTCTTTAGGTATGTAATGCCCCACCGCGACGCCAAGCGGCAGGCCCTTGAGGTTAAAAGCCTCATTATGCTCTTAAACTCCATCATTTCTTCGGCCAATTGGGACCATATAGCGAGCTATGTGAATGAGCATCTTCTCGAGCAACGCCAGTGGTATGAGGGAGGGTACTTTTTCGATCCCCATGATTGCAGAGCGTTTTGGCGCTTTAGGTTAACTCAGTTGGCCAGCCCCGATAACAAAAAGTTGCAACAAACTGCGTTGAGCTGCGAGAGTGCGTTAAAGAGACATTCGAAATAATAGAATCCAGAGGGGAATGTTGAATTTCAGGCAGGATGAGCTCCGACGTCATGACATGCTACAATTAAAAAGTCAATAAACTAACAACAGGTGGATAAAGATCATTTTCCCAAGCATATACTGTAATTAAGAATCGGGAATTACAGAGCAAGCAATTCGAAGGATGACCATAGAGAGTGCTAGTTTGGCTAGTGAAATAAACGTATTGGACCATACTATCATCTTGTACGCAATTCTGGTATAGTAATGACAAATTGAGATGAATATCATGGGCCCATGATCATTCAACGGATCTGTACAAATACCGATCTTCCTCAGCCGACAGGGAGCTTTAATGGATCCAAGTTCTGCTCTAGAGCAGACTACGCTCGACATATCAAACTTGCAGTCTGAGTTCAAGTACCTCTTGGATGAGATTGCCGGCGCAGACTTGAAGATATATGATCATCGCAAGAAATACATTCAACTGGACTCCCAAGTACAGAAATTCTACAAGCAGCATGGTTCATTGACGGAAAATCCGCGTGAAGTGGAACTGTCAGGAAAAATATATGGTGAGATACAGACTTGTCGAGACTTGCAACAGAACAAATGCGTACTAGCCAATACAGCGTTATTTCTGGTAACCAAGCATCTGAATAAACTTTCGGAGACAATAAAGACACTAGAGGAGGAAGGATCATTGGCTCCACTTGAAAACGAGGAAAAGGAAGCAGAAAGCGGAGGTGAATCGCGAGAGGGCTCAGTTCTTTCAGGATCTGGCGAAGGGCGCCGTAGAAAAAATGCCACACCTGGACCGGGTTCCAGTGCAACGAGGCGAAAGCGTAGGGGGGAAGGCACTCCTCAGGGCCGCAACAAGGACTCTACACCTCTTGGAAGTGGATCTGCAGACCCTAACTTCGACCTACAAGACTACAACGATGACTTGTTCTCAGGCTACAATCAAGCGGAGGAGGATGACAAGCAGCTTTATTGTTTTTGTCAGAGCGTTTCATATGGTGAAATGGTTGCTTGCGACGGCCCACATTGCAAGTTTGAATGGTTCCACTACACTTGCGTCAATCTGAAAGAACCTCCGAAGGGCTCCTGGTATTGTCCCGATTGCAGGCAAGAGCTTGCCAATAGCCGGTTGAAGAAACGCAAGCTGTAGCATCTCTTGCGCTACTAGATACTGTATTTAATGATTTAACGATGTGGAGATTTTCACGGTGCTATCTGTCATGCATCACGTCGTTCGGGCCCATAATCTTGTAGAAGCGGCATAATTCCAAATACAAGATAAGTAGACCAGAGGACTTCTTGTGCAGGGCTGGACCGTAAGCTTTCGACTATCTCCCTACTGTGTGTTTAAACATGGCGAATATCCTTTCCAAGGGCCTGGCTCAATTGCACCCCAAACTGCGCACCAATGGTATGGGCATCGGGAACAACCACCGGAGAATATCGCTTGGCTTTCTTCAGCCGAGCAAGAGAAACCCTTTGGTAAGAAAGTATAATCGCAGAAGAAGGAATGCCCCAGATCAGCAAAGTTTTCGATCGTTAGGGGAAGATTTCGGTAGCACCATTGCCCGAGAGGATCACCTGGATGTGGTTGACGAGGAAGGAGGTGAATTGGAACTGGAGGATGGCGGTGAGCTCAGCAGAACAGTTTCTCTACCTTCAAGGGTTAGTGAGACGCCGGATGTACATTCAGAGGTCGATTGGATTCTTGAGGAGCATGAGAGAAGGTATTCTTCAGCTCAGCACAGTGACGACGAAGATATACAGCATGATCAATATGAGTTTCAAGATCGTCGATATAGTTACGGCGAACAGGAGCAGCCCGACTTGCTAGAGTATGGTGACTTCATGCGGCGAGTCAGGCGACAACTAGATCAGGACGTTAATCGACGTCAACCGCGACCATCGTTTGTCTCAGTGACGAGCCGTGGATCTGTACCAAATATCTACGCATCAACGAAGGACAAGGAAGATTACAAACATGAAGTGGTAACTTTCAAGAGTGAGGCCAAAGTTCTGGCTTCATACTCTATTCCTTTGATATTAACTTTCCTTCTGGAGCAGATGTTCCCTCTCATATGCTCCCTTACAGTTGGTCACTTGGGTAAAAATGAGTTAGCTGCGGTTTCCTTGGCCTCTATGACTACAAACATTACCTTAGCAGTCTTCGAAGGCATATCAACGAGCCTGGACACCCTTTGTCCTCAAGCGTTTGGAGCAGGAAATTATAAAGGCGTCGGGATCCACTTACAGCGATGCATTGCGTTCTCCATGGTTGTTTTTATGCCATTCGCCTTGATTTGGTATTATTCTGAGTACTTTCTTGGGTTCATTGTTCAGGATCAAATCCTGACCCATCTGACTGCCAAGTTCTTGCGGATAGCTATATTGGGAGCGCCTGCCTATATTGTGTTCGAAAATTTAAAAAGGTTTCTTCAAGCCCAAGGAATTTTTGATGCCGGTATCTACGTCCTTTTAGTTTGTGCTCCCCTTAATGTGCTAACGAGTTATACGTTGGTGTGGAACTCTAAGATCGGCATGGGTTATATTGGGGCTCCTATTGCCATGGTCCTGAATTTTTGGCTAATGCTCATCCTATTGCTGCTGTATATCCTGTATGTGGACGGTCTTCAATGCTGGGGTGGGTTCAGCAAGAAGGCCTTTACGCACTGGAAGGCGCTGTCGGAGCTGGCCGTTCCTGGAATTATTATGTTAGAAGCTGAAGATTTGTCGTACGAGATACTAACGTTATTCAGCTCTTACTTTGGGATAAGCTATTTGGCTGCTCAGTCAGCTGTTTCTACAACTGTGACACTCACCTATATGATCCCGTTTGCTGTGGGGATCTCGTCTTCAACTAGAATTGCGAACTTCGTGGGAGCTCGCAGACCTGAATGCGCCAAGATCGCTTCGGAGGTCAGCATATCGTGCTCATTTTTCGTGGGACTATTCAACTGTTCTGTGCTGATCGGCTGCCGTAACCTAATTGCAAATATCTACTCCAAGGACGCCGAGGTAGTCCACCTAATCACCGAACTGATGCCACTTGTCGGAGTCGCCGAGATCTTTGACTCTCTGAACGCTATTGCAGGGTCCTGCTTGCGTGGACAAGGCATGCAGTCTATCGGGGGCATTGTAAACCTGGTTGTCTACTACCTTTTGGCGATCCCCTTGGGAATGGTTCTGGGCTGGACATTTGACATGAAATTATTTGGTCTGTGGATCGGCATAGGCACAGGCATGTTTTTGATCGGGACGATAGAAGGCTACCTTGTACTTTTTCCTAACTGGAACAGGATTCTGGAGCGTGCAGAGATGCGTAAGGAAGCAGAAGAGGCTGACGACGATCTTTCTGACGAATATTTTTCGAGTAGCGACTCGGATGACGAAGAAGAACCTACAGAGAGGACGCTGCTACTTCACAGATAGAAAAAAAAGCACTACAAATTCCAGGCGTATGCATAACACTAAAACACTCTTGCCAACCCGACATCAATGGCGTTTTAGCTTACTCCAGATTCGCTGACATCGCTAACATGTTGCACGTGACTAGATGCTGACAACAATATCTGATGATTAAGTGTGTGTGGCTCCTAAGCACGAACGCCGCAGCATCACAACAGCCTAAGTGGGCGATCCAAGAACTCGAACTCAATGGGTGTTACTCATCACAATTGGTAGACCGAAAGATGATGAGTCCGAGATTAAGGTCTGTGGCAAGATGGTCAAGCCCAATTTTGAAAGATGGTTTTCATCAATTGGCTACGCTAAGGTCAAGGTCTTCGAACCCTGCGATGGAATTCCCATGCTTGGATAAAATGGATCAGTTGTCGGCTCAACTAAGAAACAAACCAGCCAGCTGCTCAAGTGGAGATGCTACATCTTCACCCAGTAATGAACCAGTTTATGGAAAAGTACGATCAGGCTTTAAGGTTTTCAAGTCAAATGAGCCGTTGTTCCTGGATTACGGAGGGGTGTTGCCCAAATTCCAAATTGCTTACGAGACCTGGGGTACCTTGAATAGCGACAGATCAAATGCAATACTGATACATACGGGTTTAAGTGCGTCGTCGCATGCAAAGTCCTCCTCGGATAACCCTCAGCCCGGATGGTGGGAAAAGTTCATCGGTCCTGGCAACATCATGCTAGATACCAACAAGTTTTTTGTCATTTGCACCAATGTTCTTGGTGGATGCTATGGCTCTACAGGGCCCTCGTCCCCGGATCCTGCAGATGGCTCTCCTTATGCCACCCGGTTCCCCATGCTCAGCATTCAAGATATTATTAGGGGCCAGCAGAGACTGGTGAAGGAGCATCTTGGCATTCATGCACTTTATGCATCCGTGGGTTGTTCGATGGGTGGTATGCAATCGCTGGCGTATGCGCAACAGTTTCCAGAGTTGGTTGAGAAAGTCGTCACAGTGTCTGCGTGCGCGAGGTCACACCCTTCGAGCATTGCCATGAGACATGCTCAACGCCAGGTCCTGATGGCCGACCAACACTGGGCGCGCGGTTTTTATTATCCCAATGCTCAAGATCCACACAAGATACTTCCACATGTTGGCATGAAACTCGCACGAGAGATCGCTACCGTCACATATCGATCCGGTCCCGAGTGGGAATCACGTTTTGGCACAGAGCGGCTCAATGACGAAAGGTCTCCCGTTTTATGTCCCGATTTCTTGATCGAAACGTATTTGGATCATCAAGGCGAAAAGTTCTCCTTGGAGTATGACGCGAACTCCTTCCTATACCTCTCGAAAACGATGGATTTGTTCGATCTATCTCAAAGTCATCAAAACAGAAGCGAGCGCAAAAGGGCTGAAGCGATGCGCATGTATGAGAGGAAAGATTTGCACGACCAGCCTGCCAAGCTCTGCGATGAACCTTACGAGCCCACCAAGAAAAGGAGGTCCACAACAGTAGAACAAGCACGCGAAGATTTAAAGAAAGGCATGGAACCTATTAAAGGGAAAGATATTCTAGTGGTTGGTGTCAAATCTGATGGTCTTTTCCCATATTGGCAACAAAGGGAAATCGCGGACCTTCTGGACAATGGTGAACAAGTCAAACACGTTGAGTTAGATGAGTCACAGTCTTTATTTGGGCATGACACTTTCCTGCTCGATTTGGAGAATGTCGGCGGCAGCATAGGTAAATTTCTAAACAAAGACCTTTAAAATGGGCACTGTGCACACTTGTTATATTGCAACGTTATTATATACATGAGTAACCTCTATGTGGTTTGGTTGTTACCGTCCAAATTTTGTTTGTCATTAAATCTGAGCTCTTCTAGCAGATCTCTTCTGCTTACGGAGATCTCTACGTTTCTTATCAGCTACCTTTTTAGAATCCTTGATGAGGATGCGGTCGCCGAAGAACTTGTAGTCCTGCATGTAGCGTCTATCCATGTTGAACTCACTTACCACTGAATTATCACTTAAACCTAGCTTTTGAATCGTCCAGAAATATTTTTCAGGCTTGTCCCTTTTTAGGTACCTCAATATCTTTTGCCTTTGTTGTACCAACATTCTGAGTATCCTGGTGTTCTTCTGATCGTTTTTGTTTTCTTGGACGTGCTTCGCCAAATTTTGAATACGGACAGTCATTATCGCGGCCTGCACCTCACTGGAACCAGTGTCACCTTCAAACCTCTGAAATTCCTCCCTAGCCTGACGCACTACAAGCTTCATGGCATCTTTGTTGCTAGCATTCCTCATGCTTAGTATTCTCAAGATCGATTCTCGCTTGGATTCTAAGCTTTCTAAAGATGCCAAATCACTCTTCGAGTCCAATGAAGAGTTATTGAAACCTGCAAGTTCCAGTTGTTCCTTTCTAGCCGCTTCAACGGAGGCTAAAAGTTTTTCCACCTCTTGAGCCTGGAAACCTTGGGCTAGTACCTTGGGTTCTTTCAATTCCGCAAGCGTACGAATGACAAAAGGGGTATTGCTGCGACCAAAAACAGGATCAACGGTATCCAAAGCAGTTTGTAGCTTCAATTGTTTGGCCTCATTAAGTTGTCTTTTCCTCTGAGCTTTCAAAAACTTCACTGCCTTAGGTCCCTGGATCGAATTGGTCTGAGAGAATTGCCTTATCTGCCCCAGCTGTAAGATCTGCAAGCGAACTGGTGGATTAGCAAGTAAGAACCTCATTGAAGAGTTTCAAGCTTGATCTTTCTATCTATCCTTTCGCGATGGCTAGGTACTCTTCTAAAATTTTTCAATTTTCATTAGGTACCAGCATTTTGTCAGTTAGGGAAAAAGTGATCATAATAAAAAGTTGGCGATTTCACTGAGAGTGAGGTACTGTGAGCTTAGCTGCTGATCTGGCCGCTTTAGATTGATTCTTGTTTGGCTTGACCGATGCCTTTAAGTGGTTGAGATCATGTATAGTTTCCATGTTGTGTTGATCTCTAGGGCCGGTATTGGGATACTTTTCATTGCTTACTATTGCAAGAGGACTAGTTGCGTTATGGTCCAGAATGAGAAGCGCGCGCTTCGCGATCCGAGATAAAAATCTTGTATCATATGAGAGCCCAGAAGTTGAAACAATGATAATATCATTTCTGTGAGATAAATTTTGATCCAAGCTCCCGATGCTTCCCGGTGCTGCCAAACTCTTTAGCGAGGAGCTCTGTAAACAGCTTTGTAGTTCCGTATCCACCGCGTGCTTTTGGTATGGAGAGATTGTCAAGATGCTAATCAAATTTGAAGGGTACCCCATTTTTCGCAGCAGGAAATACAAGAAAACGCAATATTCAGCTTCGTCCCAATTCACGCCATTAGGTCCTATGCCAATGCCTGGGGATTTAACAACTTGGAAGGGATGTTGAAGGCCGGTAACTTGCGACCCCTGGATGACAAAATCCGGAAAGCGAAGCTTCAAAATTTCCAAGTTGGTATCAAATACTTTTGATAACCGGGGCTCTGGGTTCCATTTTACAGCAAATTGCTGAAGCACATACGGAATTGGCCGACTCAGATAGTCACCTGTGATTACCAGCTTCTGCCACTGAGTTTGCATGCTCAATGCTAGCCATATTTCCGAAGGTTGAAACCACTCGGCATTACAAATTATCAGGTTATGCATTGAGTCCGTTTCAAAAAGTGCCTTAGCATATGGCTTCGCTAGCTGACTTTTGCTCAACAGGATTAAATCGCTACAAATCCATAACGCCTTGGAGTTATTCCCAGGAAGAAAAAGGGCGCTCCACCTGTCAAGCTGCTCAAAAAGATTTCCTAGCTCGAAGCATATCGCCTGGATTTTCTGATCCAAATCTGCGTTGCCTTCGACGCAGCTTTCTAAGCTCAAAATGGGACAATGAGAGAGGTCTTCGTCAGAATTACCTATCATAGTTTCTTGGAGAAGAGGATACAAGAAATGTTGAAAAAAGGATTGTGCAGCTTTTATAGTTGAAGAGTGATCTCCTGGAATATTCAACTTAACAGCCACTTCTTGAACTTGGGCGAGCAGTCCACTAATTTGAGCCTTTTTTGCATCCCTCATAGCAATAACATTATCCGAACATTGGACAATCGATGTTTTCGGTATATGGTTCAAAAGACCTTGCAGTTTCGTGCAAGTTTCTTCCGTATCGCAGACTATAATTGTCCGACTTCTTAAGTCATCATAACGGGCATTCACATAAATATTATCTACGATGTTTGCCACGATGGTTGACTTTCCTGTACCAACATCACCATCAATAAAACTGACGCTTTCCCTCAGTGCCCGTAGGATGTACTCAATTTGCTCCGTTGTGAAATTTCGGTGTCCCGAGGTTCTGAATGCATCGGCCAACGACCATTTGCCACTGAAATTTACTTTTATTGCGCATGTTAGATTATCCAAATGTCTCTTCTTTCGCGCATGCTCAGTATTGTGTTGCTTCGTTTGTATAACATTTTCAACCTGATCTACCGTTTGGAACACGTCGACGCATAGAACCTCATCCACTTCTGATTTTGTAATCATGTTCGACATTTGTGTGCCTGACCACAGATGCTCGTTGTCTAGGGCCCTGTTTAGTATATCGTTCAAAAATAGCATTTTCTCGTCTAGTCTTGAGTTTAAAACAGAAGCGATGACGAAATCCTCTTTAGAGAACGATCCTTCGACTTGAATCTGAACAACAATGAAATTGGGCTCTTTAGTGACCTTCTTAATTTCAGAAGACAAGCACGACCCGTCTCTCATTATCATCAACAGCATTCGTCCTTGAAGGCTGTTCCATTGCGTGTTTGACTCTCCTGGTTTTTGTATTGCCGCTTTTGGAATTTTGATATTGGCCAACTTGCGTTCTTCATCTACAGAACAATGAAATTCCCCTGTGGCGTATTTGCTGGTGCCTTCCATTTGTCCACCAGCGTCCGTGAATCTGGACCTCACCAAGTCGGAAAATGACCGGATTTCAGACTCAAAATGGGTGAACTCATGGAGGAAGACCTTGAGAGCATGAAGATACATGTTCCGAGAAGGGCTTATCCACATTTCTCCTCGATTAAGACGGTCGCAGAACAGATGCGGCCAGAATTGGTCAGGATTTTTGGGAGGCGTAGTGAAGTACTTTATTATTTGACTGGGAGATTTGTTTTTGAACATTGTCGATGGCACTATTAAACATTCAATAATATTCTCATGTGAAGCCAACGAAGGTAATGGCAGAAGACGTGGAAATTCAAAGACATTACAATATTGTAAATTTTTGAAAAGGTCCTGCGAGCGCAACGTCCCTTGAAGAGCCTCGATTTGGGAGGAGAAAACCGCCCTGAAAGTGGGAAAGAAAATAAGTTCCAGAAAATCAAGTTTCTTGTACAAAACCAGATTATCTCGCAGCCACCAAAATATTCCGGAGCAGTACAATTTCTTAAATAGTTTTTCTGCATTGCACTGAGAGAGCCACGGGTGCGTCAATGCCAAGAAAGCGAAGTCTACCAATGTCATTGCGTTCTCGGGAAATGTTGCAGAAACTTCGAGGAACGTAAGATCACCTAAAAAGAGAGCAAGGTCAACTGTCCCTTCCGCAATTGCAAGCACAGAGTTTAGAGTGCATAAACAGACATTAATCGCGTGCGAATCATTCGCTGTTTTTAAGATGGTGTCAATGGCTGCCCTAAAGATTGCATCAGACGCAACGCCACTAGCTTTCTTCAGCATAGGCCCGAAGCTCAATGCACTCAAAGCTATCAGGCGTTTCTCCACAATAGTTGAAGTCAAACAGTCCTCCAACATTTGAATTTCCTCTAGAACTGTCGGGTTGCTCACAATTGCGTGTATTTGGCTCCGATCCTGTTTTAGGCAGGACCAGAGCCCTTCATATAGTTTTGAGTTGTCTCCCGTTATTTCATTCTCCTTGAGAATAGAAAGGACATCCATCAGGACTGGCAATGCTGACCAGTAGTACCAACTATTCGAGATGTTCGTTCAGGTGGGCATCGGTCTTATGATACTACATATCACATTTCGTGAACAGTGATGTATAAACCTTAGAAATCAAACATATGTAACTTGGGTCTTCGCTCACTGGCATGGATCTAGGCGCAGCCAGCCGGCTTTCAGCAATCTGGATGAGTCCTCTCGAACCCTCAACATATCACAGGCTCAAAAGGTGTACTGATGCCATTAATCATACGGAGTTCTTGACATTGAATTGCTAGTAGCTCGCATAATTCTGACACATTTTTCTCGTATTACAAGTATAACATGCCGGCAATCAGCATTTTATCTTTAGGCGTTACACTTTATAGTGTCGCCGTTTCCTTGCAAATCACTTTTTTCCATCGTGGCACACCAGCTCGGCCATTGTGCCAGAGGATCTTGTTTCTTGTGTGGGTACATCAAAAGAGCTGATTTCTGCTCGCTTAGAACTATTTGCTGATCAGCAAGCATCACCTACTCCCTCCACTTATACCTGAAATCAATTTTAGACTAATTCCGTGGACTTCTCATCAAACACAACTTTTGGCCCAATACTGAAAATTTCCTGTCTTTTCAACATTTTATTCGTCAATACGGTAACGATCATAATCTCTTGTGGTTTTTCACACGCGCGTCTTGTACTCAATAGTCTAATGCCTTTTGGAAATCTGGCTTATCCCCGAAGTGCTGACCCAACACAACTACAGATTGCAGCGAGCAAAAGAACACAAGAGCAAATGCTTCCTTCCAAGTATCAACAAAAGTCCTGTATAGTTTGAGCGTGGCTCTTTGAGTACACGAAGCCGATTTATTTTCAAGATTATTGAATTTGTCTAACATCATGCCCAGGACGTCATCATCAGAGATATCAAGACAGGAAACACATGCCCTTTCCACCAAAGTAGGGAGACTAAGCGGGGAGTTTGAACCATGCCCAATTGGCTACAAGATATGCAAATACCTTAACGTTACAAAAGACCATACCACGAGCCTTGAGTATTTAGACAATTGGCATTTTTTTTACAAAGTCTGTCCCTGACCCCTGACCGTATATCATGAATTGCAGAGGAGTCAATAGCCTATTTAACACCATCTTAGGCCTCACAGGTGGTAACAGAGCAAAGAAAAGCTCAATGACAGCGTTCTTAACATGTAATTCATGGAATATCATTGGATACGAGCCATTGCCATCGAACCCTGCAGATAAGCCTGAAATGGAAGCAGCTCAATTCACACAGTCCAGTATCAGCATCAGCTTCATATCGTCAACTTTCTGCTCAGGTCAATCGTTCACCTTGTTATATGTATCACCTATTTGTTGATGATAATTATCTACGTTTCGTCAGAAAAATTACAGACATACTAAAAAATTTTCAAAGCTCATCTCTTTCAACCATGTCTCGATGAGCTTCAAGACAAGTCACACCTTCGAATCATCGAATAGAAGCTTTTGACATTGTTCGTTCTCATCAGTACAAAACAGTCAGTTTTGTTGGATTGGATTGAAATATTTGGCTTTTATTTTAAATTTCGTCCAGAGGCTGTTATTTTAGCATGAGTTTTAGAGGAGGTAACAGAGGAGGCCGCGGTGGATTTGGTGGTGGCCGTGGCGGCCGTGGTGGCTTCGGAAGACCTGTGCAACAGGGACCTCCGGACCAGGTTCTCGAAATGGGTAGTTATGAGCATTCTTGTGAAGACGAAATCGTGTGTCGTTCGATCAATACCAAGATTCCATATTTTAACGCACCCATCTACTTGGAAAACAAGAGCCAAGTCGGTAAGGTTGACGAGATTCTAGGGCCTTTGAACGAAGTGTTCTTCACGGTCAAGTGCTCCGAGGGTGTTCAAGCGTCCAGCTTTAAGAAAGGCGACAAATTCTACATTGCTCCAGACAAACTGCTGCCCATTGAAAGATTTTTGCCCAAGCCTAAAGTCGCTGGCCCACCAAAACCAAAGAAGAAGAGAGCACCTGGCGCTCCAGGGGGACGTGGAGGCCGCGGTGGTAGCCGTGGGGGCTTTGGCGGTGGTCGCGGCGGAGCCCGTGGTGGCTTCGGTGGTGGCCGCGGTGGAAGCCGTGGTGGATTTGGCGGTGGACGCGGAGGTGGTCGCGGTGGATTTGGCGGTGGCCGCGGTGGAGGCCGTGGGGGGTTCAGTCGCGGTGGGGGACGCGGCGGAAGATTCTGATCATCGAATAAAAAAAGAAGAAAGACATTTCAAAACGAATCAACTTTACAACCTGTACTGCATCTTTCCATTTCAAGTTTAACTCACTGTATAATAAAGCGCCTATGTAATAGAGAATTCAAAGAATTGAAGCAAACTTCACGTGGTCCTGTTGCGTGTTTAAAGGTCATCTCAACTTCAAGGGCCTCACGCCTGGTTTTAAACCACAGCTTTCTAGAATGGCAGCCCGAAGCCTATCGATTCCAAGCCTCTTTGGAAATTTCGAAGTTGATATTGAATTTACGAACAACATTTGGGGCATTGTCGGCAGCTCCAAGACACCGCTTTCTTGGATCATATTATGTAATTCATCAATTCTTTTAACCTTGTCTAGTTTGGTAAAAACAACCTCGAATGGGATACCAAACTTCATCAAAAAGTCCACTATTTGAGAGTCCGTGGCGGCAAAGCCCTGCTCCGCTGACACTATCAGAAAAGTCCTTTTGAGCTCTCTCCTTTTCCTCAAGTACTGCATAATAACCTCGCCTTGTTGTTGGGTACCTTTAATACCGTAGCCTGGGGTGTCGATCAATCTGAACCTCTTGCCTACATTGAAACAGTTGATGGTTTTAGTGAAACCAGCCTTACTCGATGATTTAGCATAGTTGTTCAGCCTCAGGGTCGAAAACTCTGTTGTAAGGTTGTTTAGCAATGTTGACTTACCCGAGTTACAGCGCCCAAGAAATACAACTTCGGGCAAGCCATTTAACAGCTCAAAAGGGACGCCATCAGTTTTACCTGGAAATTTACGGGCAGCCTGAGCATGCTGATTGTCCTCTACTTCGCCCGAAAGCGAATTTTTTAGCGTCTGAAGTTCCATTTTCTCTCTCAGTTTTTCTCCTGGAATATCCATGAAGGAGGATGCGCTCCATTCGTAAGATACCTTAGCAGCGTTAAAGAAGTGATTAACAGAACTCAGCGTAGATTTTGCTATTTTCAAATAGCCAGAATTGTAGTGTTCAAAAAGCCTTGAGGCCAAATCATTGATGTTGCGGTCTGGTGGCCTAATCTCAGATGTGTTCTTGATGATACCTGCATCATCAGCTGTTACGATGGGTTCAAGAGCTCTAGGCACTGCTTGCGTACGCAGCACGATATCTTTAGCACTCGCTGTGGAAGACTTCTTACCATAATACCGAATTAAATAACCAAGGTCAATCTTCTTGATCGCTCTCATGCCTTAGTCATTTTGCGAACGGTTTTCAGGTGTAGCACTTCATTTGAAATATTCATTTAGTAACGACTAAATTATGAACTAGGTACATAGACACACATGTTTATATACATGTATATATGTTATATGCATGGACACAATGAATGCGCCCGATCTGCCTGTGCTCCTGGCAATTGTGGTAGAAAATTAGCGAAGAGGAATCCCATAAGCCCTTGATCCTTGAGTGCAGTTTGAAGGACCTTAGATTTCTTAGACAGATTCTTTCATGACTGGAAAAGAGATCCAAAGGCAGCATCTTCGGTATTTGGATCATCTAGTAAATCTTTTTGCTCCTTGTTGGGCTTGATAAGTCTCTCGTTTGCACGTTCCAAAATAATCTGTCTTTTCTCCTGCCTCTTTTTGTCATCTTCGTCACGCTCATCGTGACCTTGACCGTTCACAGTCTTGATCCAATCGACGAACTCTACCATTAACGCCCGCTGGTTTTTGTAGCTTTCAACGCTTCTGACGCTCTCATATAGAGTCTCCACATCAAAACCATTGGAAAGCTGACAGAGATAGTCTCTAGAACTCTTGTATTCTTTACAAAGAGTCAAAAAGATCACGGTAAAAACGTAAAGTCCTTCATAGAGTGAATCCTTGAAGGCATTTTGAGTGAGCACATTCAGCAGAAGATTGGGCATAATTTCTGTAGTGAAAAATTGATCTGTAGATTCGTTTTTAATCAAGGTATCAACTAGGCAGCTCTTCATTACTAGAATAGCATTGAAGGAACATTTACTATCACGGAACGACATCAAGTGGTTCAGAAGTCTCAAAAATGAATTCATGACTTCTGTATTGCCGAAAATGATCTTTCTTAGTTCGATTTGATGAGAGTTCAGTTTCATCTTCGAGGCCTGGGAGTTAGTGCCAACTTGGCCAACACAGTCGATCAAAAGCCGAACCACCACTGTAGTCAGTTGCCTTAAAAGGTTTTCCTCAAGAATTTCTTCCGTCATTTCATCGTCGTCTGTAGGCGAGGGGTTAACATCAATGTCTTTCATGTACACAGACCATTTTTGACACAAAAGAACATCCAGAGTGTTGAATAATTTGGGCAGGAAGGCAGTCATAAACTTTTGCAATGACTGAGGGGGACAGTTTTTTAGCAACGGGCGTATCGCAACATTTATGATATGCTTCCAACCATGAGTGCTTACTCCGGGGCTGATTTCTCCTACCGATGGATTGTATATAGCGATGGAATCCATCAACATTTGGGGAAGTTCGTCAATGTCATAGAATATGCTACCTAGACTTGACATGGCACTAATAACCAATAGCACGTATTCTCTGGTGTAGCGGACAATATGGCCGACTGAATCGGCGAAATCACGTAAAGTTTGCATGGCCTTCATGTGCTCGTCAATGAATTCATCTTTGGATTTATTGGAAGCACCAGCTTCCCAAAAGCGCTCAATTGTAGAGCATTTGACAAAGGACTGAACGACCACAGGGAGCTCTTTCCAGTTGTCGGGGTCGTGGTAAGATTGTAGTTGGTAGAGGAGACGCATAATGTAAGGTAGAATGGGGACAACTCGTGGCCTCCAAAGGTTTTGCAGCATTTCAAGCTCCGCGTCATTCTTGATGCTTTGCATCGAATAATGGACAAACATCCTCGTTGCTCTTACTGGAAACAGCGATTGCCAGCGTTTGGAAAGATGTGTCTTCAATTGTTTGCCTTCCTCGTCAACAGGAATGGACAGGAGATCATCGTTACTATTAATCGCCCTTTTTTGAAAGTATTCCGATATTTGGACAATTCCAAGCCTTTCCATGAACCACGGAAGGTCGGTCAATCCCACAACGGTCTCTTTTTCGGACCAAGCTGTCAGCTCAGGATCGACAATGAGGGCAAATCTCTCCTCTTTTTCCCCTAAAGATGATTTTAATACAATAGTCAACAAGAAAGACTTGAAAGAAATCTTCTCATGATAAGAAAGCCTCGGCATTATACCCGCCACCACATTTTGCAACTCCGTAAAAATCTTGCTAAGCGAATCCGGCATCAAGATGGCCATCCTATTGAGCTCAATTCCGCAAGCATATCTGAGATCTCGCACTGCATCGGATTGTTCAGTTTTTTCGTCCAAGTCAAGATTGGGATAATCCAAAGTTGCACTTGTGATGATCTTTTCTAGCAATTTGAGAAGAACATTGTCTTTTAGCATAGTCAAAAAAAGAGCAAAATTTTGGATCTGTTTCTTGAGTAAGAGAGGTTCGCTCAGAGTGAGTGCAATTAGCTGGTCGGAAAGCGTCTCTATCTTCACCAAAATATCGTTCAGCTTGTCATTGTATGCCGGACTGTCAGGATACCAGATCTTCCATCGTATACAGCCATTGATGAAGCATTCGACGATCATCAGTTGTGATAGAGCACTTAGGTATGGTTCGCTCTTGTGGTCTAGAAACTGTGAGCTCAAAACCTCCTGGCCAAAGGGTGAACTGAAAAATGTATTGAGTCTCGCATTCAGCCAGTCGTATGCAAAGTCTAGCTTGACGCAAGAGATCAGCCGAATAATATCTCGAATCCTTTTTCTATAAGTGGAGCAGAAAGATTGAAATTCAGACGTAGACTGGAAGTCTACGTCTGCAAACTGTTTCGAAACATGTCCATCTATTTGCTCATAGTATATGAGAGCGTCTGCTGAAAATTGAAGAAGCTCGGGTATTATGGTTTTCTCTAATGCAGGCAAGAATTCATCGTTCCGCAAACATGAACACCACAAATCTAGAGTCAGTCCACTAACAATTAAGCTTGGGTTGAAAGTAGTCCTCAAAACGAGCCTCAAATACTTTTCAACAATTTCTTCGTCTTCATCAATTTTGAAGACACATGTGTAGAGGCAACTTACCATGTCCACGAATTTTTTAACAATCGGGTATTTTAGCTCGTCAATGTCATTGGGATCAAATTGCAATCCATCGTAGACTTTATTAAGCAGGTCCATACTGCTAAAGACTTTGTTGATTACCGCCTGGTAGTGGGCATCGTCATTATAAGGACGAGTCAACAAAATATGCAAAGAATCCAAAGCCATAGACTGTGCTTTGGGAATATTACTCAGAAGACATTCTAACAATAAACCACAGGCGTCGTTCCGTATCATAATTTCGCTCAATGGCCAATTCAAGCATGTCTTAATAGTCTCTAAGAGCCTTGTGACGTAAACTGTATTTTCAGTACCGAGGGATTGTCTGAGCTCAGTGGCCCAAATTTCAAACCACCCGTTTCCACTACTCTTAAAAAGGTTCCATTTCTCGGTGAATCTGTACCTTGCAGCAAAAACGTCCGTCGGGCTTATGATCATAACACACAGCGGCTGGATAACTGAAATACGTTTCAATACAGTCAAGTCTTCAAGTAGGAAGACATCTTCAAATAAAATACGGAAAATGACGAGAGTCAACTCTCGAGCCGATTCGTTTAGGTGCCATAACTCTGAGAGGTTGTTGTCCATATCGACCCAGGACTCTTGCAACTGCTCATCGGATGGGTTTTCTTCTCTCAAAGCTTCTCCCCATACGCGCTTGGCAACCTCTACCCAAAGAAACGCGAGTTTTTCCTTGATGTAGCGAGGATCCGAGTCTTGCACGCAACAATTCAGCTCTACTATCCATTTCCGTACAGCAATCTTTTTGTCTTGCGAGTAGTCAGCCCACTTCCTCTGCACTGCATATGCTAGCAGACCTAATCCAAAGTGCTTCAGGATAGAATTCCCCGGATTATTCAACGCGATTTCATATCCCCACAAAGGTGATTCTTCCCGCATTTTCACCTCATCCAGAAACTTTTGGGCCTCCAAACGTCTTGCATTATCAGATTTCGTAGAGTATATCGCTTCAAGAGCTCCAATGATCTGTGAAGCGCCATTCTCATCCATGATTCAGTGCAGTAGTCTTTGCTAAAACCAGTAGCAGTTAGAAGTAAGACGAGAGAATAGTTATAAACTTCTAAAACTATGCAAGACAGCTGGCTTGAGGACTGTAGTTGCAATTAAGCCAACAGACTGCTCCCAGTGGATTCAATAGTGACAATTGTGTTTCTATTAGGTGTGCCACTCATTCTGCACTCACTAATTGTACTTAGTTTTTTTGCTTAAAGGGGAAGAGGAGATTAGATATATCCTTTTACACGAACGCCTTTGAGTTACCCATAAACCACCAACTACAGCTCAACCGTCAAGACCGGATTAAGATCACGTAGCTGTGAGAAACGGAGTGGTTTCGACACGCTTTAGTGCTAATCTTCATACGCGAAAAGTAGATCTTTGTTGTGTGGAATTTGGAAGAAATACCCGCCCTGGACCAACATAATGCGCGGACATTTGATGCCATCACAAATTCTGTTGGAGGCTGAGAATAAGAAACCTCGAGAGTTTCAATACCATGGCCCCGAATACTAAGCTAAGCGGTTCGGTAGAAGTGCTTTCGGTCGCACGCTCCGTCTAACCGAGGAGTTGAAACTTAAAAACCTTGACGCAAAAACTCTTCCAGAGTTTCGAAATTATGAGAATTTGCAAAGTCCATTCAACATACGGATAGAAATTTTGCCAGCCATATTTGTAAGCCATTGGCGACTTCACAGATAGAATTTTTTCTTCTCTTTGTCCATGTCTGCAGAGTGCTCCCACTCCGTTTCTTCCTTGATGCCATGCTGCAGACGTTGAAGTTTCAACGTAAATTGAGGCCCCAATTCTTGAAGACCCACCTTTTCTTCATTGCGGAACACATACCGGTGCCTGCGAAAGAAAATATAGTCTCTTTGATTATGCAGCGTGATGACTTGCCTACCTTCAAAATCAGGGTTTTGCGGAAATATTGACTGGAACAGTTTACCTACCGTCTTACCAAGTCTTGTGTTGAAGTTGTTCAAAATGAGCTCTGGAATATGGCTCGTGGGCCTCCCATGCCCCACAATTTTCTGTACCTCAACATATGAGCTGATTTTGAAGTAGAAAGTTGGACCCTCTGGTAAATGGATGAACGTCAAACCTGTTACCTTTTTCTTATCCTCGTTGATGATCACCAGATCGGTATAATTTCTATTGTTGCAAAACTCCACAATTTCCTTCAATTTGTAACCGAACTTCCGCTTGACAAAGGTAACATTTGGAAGTATTTCAATCAGTACGTTTGCAAATTCGTAAGCTTTCTTTTTAGCGTTCACGTTGGTTGTAAGCAAAATCTTAGGAGGTTCCCCACCACTGTTGAAGAAACGGGCAAAATCAGCCTCCTCACCCTCCACAGCCCCGTTATACGTTTCGTCATAGACACGTAGACTATCAATAGTGTTGGTGACATTTTCTTTCAGTCTCTTTTCCTTAAGCTCTGGGTTTTCTCGTTCTTCTTTAGCCCTCGTCTGGCGCATTTGATGGCGCTCTTTATTCTTCTGGTCCTTGAGCTGAGCAAACAGCTCCTGCCGCTTGAGCTTATTACCAATCCTTAATTCCTCAGGAGCCATCGCGATAGAATCTGTCGATTTTGTATAAGTTGATGCGTTTTCTCCGAGAATGAACCTAGAAGTAGAGCGATGAGCATCTACCTCATCGTTAAAATATTTTGCCTGTTGGTCATTCTATACGTATTTACGAACACCAACACCACCCGTCCAAGGATTGAGGTTTTATGGTTGGTAGTCCCACTGCTTGTGCCTGTGCGAAATTGCTGAAATACGAACAAAAATTGTGCTCGGATCTTCCGCCTAATCTGCGGATTCAAGATAGTTACACATCTTTAGTTCAGGTAGTTATAATGTACATCGTATTTACATGGCCCAATTAATTAAAAGGCTGATTCTTCTTGATCATTTTTCGACAAGCTTTTGAGCTTCGGTCTTCCTTTCATCGGCAACTCTATTTCTCTTCTTAGGAACTCTCGCCAACCAGTAAATAAATACCGCCATTGCAAAGTTAAAGAAAATGTAAACCAAGAAAATGCCGTAGTTTCTCCACCTACGAGAATAGCTGGAGCTGACGGCACTTAGATAGTCGTTGGTGGTTGATACTGAGCAGAACCTGCATTCGTCTGTGGCACTAGGATCAGACAGGTAACCAGTACCTACCAATTTGATGTAAGGCTCCATGTACTCGCCACAAGTCATACCGTTGGCAGGCTTGAACTTAACCAATTCGTAATCCGAGCACTGGACCTTTCCATTGGCGATACCAGTTGACAAGGTACCGTCCACGAAATAAGTCAATGGAGAAACACGGTACATGAATTTCCAAAATCCAGGCATACTGGAAGGACCAACCAAAACACCACAGAACGAAAGGGAGAGGGTGAACAATAAGGACGCCATTTGGCCAGCAGGTTCCGCGACTTCTTGGCCCGCAATACAGAGTTGAGCCATCGAACCGGTAAAAACATAATATGCCGTCGCATATAACCAAAACAATGCCCCCCTTTCGTGCAGCTGGCCAGCTTTAGATGCAGTTGAATACAATCCAACTGGGTAGTAGTACACCAGAAAGCCAATAGTACCCGCAATTATGTTCCATGGGATCTCAACAGTGATTTGAGAAAGAATAAAGGCTACCCAGGAGAAAGTTCTGGAAGGACGTTCTCTAGCTTCATATAAGTCTCTCTGTGCCACAAACGTAGGCAAGTATTGCTGCAACGTTGGGTTGAAGATAACGGAAAACATGAAAATGGACAACATTTGGTTTTGTAACCCTTGCATCGAATTGTCAGCCTTGAAGAAGGTAAACCCAATGAAAATTTGAGAAATGATGGTCAGTCCGATCTTAGACCACAAATAAGAGGGAGTTCTCCAGTATTGCTCGACTAACCGTTTCGTTACCAGCGTATACTGATAAACAAGGGAAGTGGCAAATTCAGTTTGCTCACTAGAGTTATCAAATGGTCTCTTGGGAAGTTCCTTTTCCATCCATTCCAATTCTTCTTGAACAGCTTTATATTCGGAAGAGTTCCTCCAGACTTCACTATAGTTTTGGTTGGCATGAGAACCTGGGGCGGCGCCGATAACCTCTAACATCCATTCAGCTGGGTTAGCACCAGCCGGGCAAGGATGAGCGCCATTCTTTTCAAAGTAATCAATCATGGTTTGGCAACCTTTGCCCAAATCGCCGAAGTAAACAGTTTTACCACCACGCTGCAAAAATAGCAATCTGTCAAATTCTTGCATCAGCAGAGCTGAGGGTTGGTGAATGGTGCATAGAATTGCCTGCCCGTGGTTAGCCAGCTTTCTCATCAATTGGCAAATGGACCAAGCGGTCTGAGAATCTAAACCAGACGTGGGCTCATCCAAAAATAACAACAATTTAGGTTTGGCAGCAAGTTCGACACCAATTGTCAATCTCTTACGCTGTTCAACATTCAAACCTTCACCAGCGACACCCACAACAGCGTCAGCATAAGTCTCCATCTCCAAAATCTTGATAACATCTTCGACATATTTCTCCTTTTCAGATTTAGACACAGAAGAAGGTTGGCGTAAATAGGCAGAAAACCTCAAGGATTCTCTCACAGTAGCAGTCTGTAAATGTAGATCTTGTTGCTGACAGTACCCGATCGATCTCGCAAAAGAAGCATCACGCAAAAACCCGTTAATGAACATGTCACCAGTGATAGTACCTGTCGTCACTCTTGAGGCTAAACAATCCAGAAGAGTGGTTTTACCGGCACCGGAGGCGCCCATCAATGCCGTCAAAGTTCCAGGCTTGACCCAACCGTCCACGTTGTCCAAAATTCTTCTTGTTTCTTTCTTGATGGGAACTTCGAAACAAACATTCTTCCAGTGGAAGGTAGCTTCCGAACTGGAAAGCTTAACATCTCCCATCGAAGATGACGAAGCGACAGAGTTACTACTTTCTTCTAACATTTTCTTTTCGTTGAGAGTGGCAACACCAGCTGTATTTTCGATATCTGATCCATTTGCATTTGTCCCTGCTCTGAGTTTCCTCTGCTTTTTCATACGTCTCATCACCGCTTGAGGGAAAACAAGAATTTCACCACGCTGCTTAGCACTTTCGTTTAGCTCAGTGACGGCCAAATAAACACCGAGGAAGAAAATGGCATAAGCCAAACCGATACCTAACCCACGCCATTTGTGGGAGTGATAGTAATTGTAAGCCACATTAATGTAACGTTCACCGCTGACATAATCTTCTCCAGGCAAAGCACCCACCGCAGAACACACCCGCTGTGTGCCGCTTACATTCTCATAGCCAGGCCCCGCGGGTACAAATTGGGAGCATTTAAATTGACGACCGTGGAATTCGTTTACCATTAAAGACTCAAAAATGTAGGACAGGGGATTAATATACCAAATCCACTTAGCCCATCCCAATATTTTTGTCTTAGGGATTGCGAAACCAGTATAGATTGCTAGAGCCAACAATAAGAGCGATGCCGGTACCATGGATTCAGCGTATGTTTTCGTAGACGCACCCAGACATCTGAAGATGTGGGACATTGCGAAAGTTCCTACCATCGTCATCAGAAAATAAAAGAAGAAAGCACCCGCCTCCCTCTTGAAATTGCACAAAAAGTACATCGCAAGGTTGAACGTGAGGGATGTGAGAAGTTTGGCAGGAATTTCAGAGATAACAGATGCCATGGCGTCAGCAGAGGGGTGGTAAAGCGAGTAACGTTTGTGCTTCTCTGAGATAGGTCTAGCTTCGTAAAGGGCTAAAATTTCCAACATACAAGAGAAAGCATTGAAAAGCACTGCAAAAAACAGAGCACCAGCTCTCGAGTAAAAGCCTGCAGTGTCATCGTGTTTCAAGGCCTTGTAAAACATAGAACCCAAAATAAACGACATACCACCATTACCAATGACTTGAAATAATGTAATTCCCATGTTGTTGCGAATTCTTTGCATGTTTCTGATCAGCAAGTATTTCACTTGAAGGCCATAGCTAACAGTGTAAGGAGATTGGGCCCTAGCCTTCTTTGATTGTTTTGCAACATGAGCTTCCTTGAGCTGCTGTCTATTGTTGGCTTGATCGTGTGTGGAATAATAGTCAATCTCTTGTAACAGGCCCTTGTAAGCCTCAGATTGCTTCCAGTGGGCCTCCATCTCCGCTGCAGTTAGAGGGATCTTCTTTCCGGCTTTCACCATATCCTCATTGAGGATTCTTTCCGCAGGGTTGGTAACCGCAGTGAGGAAGTCTGCAGTTGTTTGTCTATCAGGGCATACGTATCCCATATCTTGGAAATACTGTTTTGCCTCTTTGGCCCGGCCGAAATAGATTTGGTAACCTTCGTGTAGAACTGAGACTTTATCAAAAAGATCGTAGGCGTCTTGAGAACACTGGTATATGGCAATGACTGCAGAGCTGCGGGTCATTTTGGCCTGAGTGCGCAATGCCCTGATGAACTCCAAAGCTGTGGCGGAATCCAACCCACGCGTGGCATTATCCCAACACTGGAACTTGGAACCACAGATGGACACCTCTGCGATGGAAACTCTCTTACGTTCACCACCAGAAACACCTCTAACCAGCTCGTTACCAACTTTGGTGTTACGAGTGTGAGACAGACCGTAAGTGGCCATCGCCACCTCCGTGATGTGGGTTGCAAATGTTTCACGGTCTACCCCTTGGATTCTATTGGTGGGGCAAGCCAGACGAGCCACGGTCTTCAGCGTGTCGAACACGCTCAAATGAGGGAAGTGTACATCCGCCTCAGCGTTGTACACAACTTCACCACGGTAGTGGCGAGAGATTTCCTTTGGCGATAGGCCGTCATATGAAATTTCGGACTCTTTGTCGATGTGGAAACCGTGAGTGTTGGAAGAGATGGACTTCAAAAGCGTCGAGCAACCAGAACCTGGTCTACCGAGGACCACCAAAAGCTCGCCGGGCTTTACCATCCCATCCATAGGCTTCAAAATGTCGAAAGTGTCTTCGGGACGCGCCTTGCGCGCAGCACGATAGACATATTCCACCAACTGAAGAGGTAAGTTTACCACGGTCGACTGATAGGCCACGTCCGTGGAGTTTCCGTACGCACGCAGGTTTCTCCAGCTGCACCCGAGCGAGTAGGGTTTGTAGTGGTCTGGATTGCTGCTCACCAACTGGCTGAGATTTTGCACCCAGAGCGACGACGAGAACTCGTCCGAGTTGGGATCCAGTCTTGGGTCGTAGGAGGGCGATTCTACGGTAGAAAACACCGGGTTGATGGTGTTCCAGTCCGCAGCCATCGATACTGCGTCGCCACTGCGGTTGGTGAGCGATCTGGCCAGATTTCTCACCGACTGCTGCGCTCCGGATTCGAACCCGCGATACACCCCGGGCGATGACGCCTGCTCGCTTATGTCATCAGCGGCCATTTCATTGCCAATGTTATTGTTTTGATAAGAAGCTCCGTTTGGAGCGACGTTGTCCACCATTTGAAAATCGGAAACGTGTGTTTGTAGTGGGCAAGCACAAAAAAGCGACACCAGCTATTTGTCTCCACGGTTTTGCTGGTTACTGGTGGTACTAGTAGTAGTAGTAGCAGCAGTAGCTCTCTCTCTCTCTCTGACCTTTGACAGATTTTTCTTGCTTGCTATCTCGTCTTCGCCGGTTGTAAAGCTTTTTGGCCACTGACAGTCTATATTCTATCTTTCAGTGTACTGGGCTCCACCGTCAACTGGCTAGACTTCTTCCTCCTTGTCTGTATTCGCAGTCTATTAACCTTGTCTTTTCTAACACGTAGTCTGTGTGGATCTGAAGCGACTTTCTGTTCCAAGAGTCTTGGGCGATAGAACCGGTCCTTTATATAGCGAGAAGGACGATTGAATACGGGGTGGCGTAACACGAAGAATCTAATGATGTGCAGAAGATTTCCGCTGAGAAACACCTGTTGCAGTTCTCTGCTATCAAGATTTTGATTCCTCGGCCGTGGAGCTTCTCAATTTTTCTTATTTATCCTGCCATACACGGCCATGGGGTCCTCTCACGTCTCGTTCCGGGGCCAGGAGGACTTATTCCGCGGAACAACCCAACTGCACGTGAGCGGAATGGGAGAGGCCTGCCTCCGCGGAACTCAGACAGTTTTCCCGCGTCCACGGGATGTACTCGTCATTCCGTACGTAGGGTGTTGTTTCTCTGGGCGTCCCAAGCTATCTGCCCTCTGCACTCTACGCGATGTAGTTCGTGGACAGATCTATGGAATTCGCAGCCGCGGAGAAACCGGAAACACATTCGAAACAACCCACGTGGCCAGGCACCACTGTCATGTGATCACAAGTGTGATTGTCACATGGACCTGCACAAAGCGGCCCTCGTGATCAGGAACGTGATTATCACATGTAAGAATACTCACGTGATCGTGAGACATTGTCGTGTGATCAGAAACCGTTGTCATGTGATCTCAAGCGTGATTACGATCTCAAACGTGATTAACACATGGGACAGCCGGACAACCACTTTTGGGCAAAGACAAGAGCCTCTATGGCCCTGCCTTGTTGAATTCTCGCCAAGGTATATGCTCCAGAGCGACGTCTTTTGGGCCTGCACTGGTGTAGGTGGTTGGTTTGTTTGTGATTTTTTGACACGACCTAGCCATTGAAGGTCGCACCACGATAGGTCATCTGAGGGCCCGGGCCCGTTGGTGTCAAGCACAGTGCTCCTCCGTGGGTGTTGAAGCTATCCTGATGAACATTTTGACCGAAGTGACGGTAACTTTATGCTTTGCGTGCGCAGCTCCTCGGTACGACGCCCCTCTGCGAACTGCCATCATCACTTGACAGTGACTGCCACTCAAATACACCCAATAAACCACATCCCGACTCAAAACCACATCCTGACTCAAAACCTCAGTTGAACCATACCATAGATTGTGGCTAGTGTGATACAAGTGAACATGCTAGGCCAATGACCCTTTATACATTGACGGTGGTTCTTACCGCCGACGCCAGAATCCCATCACAAGCGTAGGAGGACGGAAAATACTTAACCACCTGCCTAAAAGTGCACTTGTGACATTTCGGTGGTGACATATTATTGCCTGAGTTGCGTCAGCGTCACAGTCGTACACGGTTATTTCAAATCCCTGTGCAGCACAAAACGACAATTTCCGGCACCTATGAACCTACTAGCCCGGTGCTTCCTTTGTATTCCTTTCATGATCCTTCAAGCCATGCTTGAGTCTCCGGTTTTGGCACCTTTGGTGAGCACGGAGCTTGATTCACTGGGGTCCAATGTTACTAGCCCGGTCCAATTTATAAGGGAATATATCGAGAAGACGCTCAATACTCCTCCAGGGTTTCCAATCAGTGTGGCTGCAGAGCATTACAAGCGCCAGCGACTGATAGAAGAGATTTTGGAATCAGAAATTGAGTATGTGCAAATGCTTAAGATACTGCAGAATTGTTTCCTGGACGTGTTGACCATCAACGACTACATCCCGATGGAATCGTTGAACAACGTCGTTACCCACCTTCTCCCTCAACATGAAGCTTTCCGCGACTCGCTGAATAACCTCGTTGATGGTAGCATTAAGCGCTTTGACGAATCCACAGAGTTGAACTGGTCTGATCTGTCACTGACATCTTGGGATCACCTGGAGCTTTGTGAGTGTGTTTCTAAGCTGTTGGCGACAAAAGCAGTACAAGTGGAGGCATATCGAAAATATGTTCAATACTACAACCAGGTAAGCCATTTATTGACCAGCATGGGCCAGGAAAGTCAGGACCGTCTGTTATTTGCCGTCTTGTTCCGCATTGAGTTATGTTTGCCAAAATATTACTCCAGAACCTCAGAACAAGGCTATAAGAGAGATTTTTCTTTCCGGGCTATGATACAAATGCCTATCAATAGAATTTCAAAGTACAAGCTGTTTCTAGAATCACTTGTATTGCTCACCGAAAACCCTTCCATCACAGACGTGAAACGTCTGGACGATCTTGAATGTTTTAAACTTGTGAAGAGTATCAAAACCAACCTCCAAGAGATATACAACGCCCTTGCACATATTAATGAGCCAGATACGGGTGGCACAAAAAGCGCTGTTCTAAGACTTATCCAGAACCGCTTGGCATTCGATTTACCAGAAGAGCGAATCCCAATTGAGGCCATGGGCCCTTGTCACTTGAAGGGCTGCTTAGCCGTTGCTTGGCCATCGATGGACGAGACGTCGTATACATTGGGGTCCTACAGAAGAAGTCGTTATTTTAGTCGAACCAAAAGGACGTTTAAGATTGAGAGTGACCAGCTGGGGGTCTTTTTATTCCGAGCATATTTGGTGTTTGCCGAAATTCCAGCTTTGAGTGGCAGATCACCAGCGTTTGAGTGGCCCGTCAAGTTTGCCCTAAGATTATCCAATTGTAGGCTAGTTGACCTGGAACACAAGGAAGGAACGGCCACTGAAGGTATTGGGATGGTCTCTCGTTACATGGACACGATCAAGATACAATTTGACTATGATTTCAAACTGTGGGAGCTTCTGATCTTTTGTAGAAACAATAGTGAGTATCAAAGCTGGAGCCACCAACTAGCCCTGTTCATCGATGATCCAAATGATACAGGACCTCCTGTTGACAGGCGGGACTGCCGAAATGGCAACTTCAGAGGAGACTGTGTTTCTCAGTCAACATTGGAGAGCACGCTCCATTTCAGCGACTCTACCACTTTTCCGGACAATATGATACCATTTATCAGCTACAATGAAAGCTTATCGGGCAGATTCGATCGTGCCAAGTCTTTCAAGCGCCGTGTAAATAACTGGGCAGGACAATGCTACCATGGTGAGACGGCTAAAATTGACGTCGAATTTCGGGACACCCTGATGGAAATTTCCCCGTCTTCAACCAGGTTTATACGGCCTTCTTCGAGCTGGACTGATGTGAGGCCGGACAGTAGCAAGAGCACCATCGTCGGCGGGGCCGCTGTGGCCCCGGAACGGGCCCTGACGTCTAAAAGTAGCGTCGGTTGCGGCATTGAGGTGGATCCCTGGGCATACAACGTTGTGTTCACAAACTGGAAACGGCTACAGGTGGAAATAGGAATGGGCGAAGTGTGGAGCTCACATCTCGAGCGGCTGAGCGCCGGAGATGCAGACCCTGCCGACGTGCGTCACGAAAAAAACACCGACACCCCATCTTCTCCGCCTGACACTATGCCCGCCCGTTCTGGGCTGCTTGTTCGAGCAGCCTCCGACAACTTGCTGCCCACCGAGCCAAAGAGCGCTCCCGTGAGAGCCTCCACGTTCCGGGCCACCCGCTGGTCCATCAAACGAGTTTTTTCCCGTCGTCGCGCCAGAAAAAGTTTGGCAGCTGGGTGATCTCCCGAGGCCAAAACGGTCGCGGCCACCGAGCCACCGTTTCCACCATCTAATGAATATTTTTGATATCTATTGGTCGTTACTTATCGCGTTAAAATGTTGAGCATGCTAATATATGTAGTTTGTGGCGATGAAATGCCTGCCACCTGCTTTCTGTCGAAAAATGCTAACCAGCCTTTTGAGATGCGAAATTCAAATTCGCCTCGCTTATTTCTCGTCCTTGGGTCTCACGTCGGCCTTGGCGTTGACAGAACCTCCTTGCAAAATCTTGGCAATGGCCTCTTCAACCTTGATTTTCTTGCCGAACTCGTTTTCCACTTGGGCCTTGGAGGCCTCGCCAAGCTCACCTTCGGCACCTTCGCCTTGTTGGTTGGTGAAGATCTTGAACACGCCGACCGCCTCGGTTAGCTTGCCCATCGTTGGTTCTTGCACATATTGTTCAGCCAATTCCTGAGATTCAACGAAAACAACAAAGTCGGTTTCTTGACCTTTGTAGAAGTACTTAACTGGAGCCATTTTTTCTTGGTGTTGTGTGTGATATTATTTTCAGTAGAGAGAACAGTGGTGATTAAACTTTGTTCGATGTGGATATAAAACAAGACCTACTAACAACAGTTTCTTACTCACTGTCGAATATACTGCTTTTATACCTTTCAAGACCACCCTAACTAGCGTAAAACCGTTGCGATTGCGAAAAGTCCACTTTGCGAACGTTAAACCTTCTTGGAAGCCTGTGGAGCCTTGGTGCCCTGCTGAACCCAATAATGCCCTCCAGTTCCCATGGGACACCGCCTTCCTATTACGAAACCTCACGCTGTCCCTGACTTCCGCACAGCAATTGACTACCGTCAGTGCTCTCACCACTAGGCAAAAGACATAGGGCTTCTTTACGTACGAGACTTGTTACGTTTGGCCCTTTAGCAAAACCGAAGCCCACAAAAAACCGGGAAAAAATTACGTGGCGCGAAGGATTTGGCGAGCCGGGCGAAAAAAAAAAAACAAAAACGGAAAGCGGAAAGCGTGACCTCGAGTCCGGGTAGCGCATGCCGTTTGTGTCACGTGTGTGGTGTGTGGGTGGTGGGTGGGTGGGTGGCTGGGTGTGGTTACAATGGTCTTATAGTCATTACAGTCGTTATACAGCTCGCTAAGTGTGGGCTCAGTCGTAGTAGCACCCGTTCGCAATGAAGCGGATCATGTACTCCTCGACGTGGTTGGTGCCCTCGTATTCGTCCTCGCCGTCGGCGGCCCCGTCGTCTTTCTCCACGGCGGATCGGACTTCCTGGAAATCCTCGTTGTCGACCTCTACTTCCCTCATGGCAGATTTTGCGGCCTTGACATCGTCGGCATCTTCGGCCTGGGCCAACAGGCGCTCCAAGCGGCGCGGATCCTTCGTGGCGACGTCCTCGTCCATCAATAGTGGTTTGTCACTGACGGGAAGTTCGCTTAGGTCAGCGCCGACCAGGTCCTTGACAGACAGCTTGGTGAAGTAGTCGGTGGTGAAGTCACCGCGCTGGATGACAACGTTGTCCAGGTGCCTCTTCTGGTTGGCCTTTTTGAGAATGTTGCTTTCGATGGTATGGTCGCTCACGAAGCGATAGATATGCACGTCCCTGGTCTGCCCAATTCTGTGGCACCGGTCCTGGCATTGCTTGTCCATGGCGGGGTTCCAGTCGGAGTCGTAGAAAATAACAGTGTCGGCGCCGGTTAAGTTGATGCCCAGCCCGCCTGACCGACTGGAAAGGATGAAGGCCGTAATCCTGGTGTCGGTGTTGAATCGTTCCGTCAGAACTTGCCGATCCTCGATCTTCGTGGCACCGTCCAGCCTCATGTACAGGTACCCGTGGTAGTTCAGAAACTGCTCCAAGATATCCAGTACCTTGGTCATTTGAGTGAAAATCAAAGCCCGATGGCCACCATCCTTGAGGTCCCGCAGCAGCGTGGCCAGCTTCTGTAGCTTGCCGCAGTCGTACTGCAATAGGGACTTATCCGGAAACGCGATTGCAAGTTTCGTTTGAAGCTTGTGCAGAGGATTGGTGGTGTTCCTTAGAGCCAGCTGCATGCTCATTTTAGCAGTTGGAGGCAGTAAACTGTCTGCATTCAATCCCAAAGCCAAGTTGCGGGCGTCGAGCGTCACGGCGTTGGGAGTCACTACCGCAAATTTTTCGATTGTCGCATCATTATCCAGAATTTTCGTTTGCAATGGTTTCAACAGCTCCTCAACGCATCCATCCCTTTCAGAGCTTGCTATGCTCAACGCTTTTATCAAATTGGCACCATAAACAGGACGTTTGGCACACCTCAGACCGTTTATATACCCCAGGTACTGCAGACGGCTAACCATGTCTTCAGTCTTTTTCGCTGCATAGCCCTGATAAAACTGATTGATGTCTTGGAAGTTGAATGGAGACCCTTGAAGTTCTGTATTCGATTGTTGTTCGGCCCTTTCGCGTAATTTTGCCACCTCTTCGGTAAAGTGTCGAATACACTGACTGTTACGTATACTTGCGGCATGATAGGTTGTTAAACCCGAATCATTTGACGAAAAATTCAAATTCAGTGTGTTAACATTTATGTTACTAGTGTCCTTCATTCGCAGTCTTTTTGTGACAAAATTGTTAATGGTTCCATAATCATGCGAAACGCTTTTATCCATGCAAAATGATGTCAAAATGGGTCTGACCTCGAATAAGTCGGGATGGTTGCACACCTTTCTCAATTGCATCAGGCAGTTGATGATCGACATAAAATTCCCACTAGACAGTGTTTCTTTAGTTTGGGCCCGCGACATGAAATCATCGTAGAGAAACCTCTGTCTCTTGGATAGTCTGCAGTAGACAACGTGCTCGTGCTTGGCCGGCATCTGTTTTTCCACATCAGCCTTTAACCTTCTTAATAAATATGGACGCAGGACCTGATGCAGTTTATCAACAGTTTTTTTGGTTTCTGAGTCCTGTTGGTAACCTTCTCCAGTTTGAATAATCTTGTCTACTGGCCTTCCAAACCACTGCTGAAACGCTTCTAAATCCGCAAATCCTTGTATCCCTCCATTGTTTCCCACAGCCGTTTGGGGCATGAGGAAGTACAACAAAGACCATAGCTCAGCCAAGTTGTTCTGCAACGGTGTACCAGTGAGCAATAACCGACGCTCTGTGTTAAAATTGAGGAGAGCTTGCCAACGTGTAGATCTAAAGTTCTTGATGTTATGGGCCTCATCTAATATCATATACTGCCATTTTTTTCTTTTGAATGAATGTTGGTCGTGCACCACCAATTGATACGACGTTATGCATATATGGAATGCGTCAGGCCTGTTCCACCCTTTTCTCTTCTCCTTTCGCTGTTGTGGCGAGCCATAATAAGTCAAAACTTTAAAGCCGGGAGCAAATCGCTTCAACTCCATCTCCCAATTAAGCAGGACAGAAGTCGGAACAACGATAAGGTGAGGGCCCCAATTCTCTTTTTCACATGCTAAGTAAGCCAGCAGAGATATAGTCTGAATTGTTTTCCCCAGCCCCATTTCGTCAGCAAGGATGCCGTTAGTCTTGTTATTGTACAAAGACGCTAGCCAGTTTAGCCCTTGTTTTTGATAAATTCTGAGATTTCCGCGTAATAGTGAAGGAACTGGAACATCTACAACGGCCAAAGGATCACTCATTATCTCACCCTTTTCTGTAGTTCTCTCTTCAGATACTTGATTATTCAACGCGGGTTCGCTTTCGGCACTCGAGCTTTCTTCAGGTTCAAGCTCTGACATCGTCTCACTTTCCGGATGACCGCTTTCATTTTCGTCAGGAGAGGCAAAGTCAGGTTCGCCGTCTGACTCCCCATCCGAAAACTCGTTAAACAGAGAAATTAGCCCACCCTGCTTCTGATCATCCATGTCTGCTTCCTCGTCACCACTCTCATCCAAACCAGAAGTCATTGACGTATCTGATTCCGGTCCAGAGACATCACTATCATTTTCATCAAGTATCTTCAAGGATGTGTCTTGCTGTGCTTTTTCCAACTCATTTTTTTCTTTCTCGGACAGCTCTTCTTCATGGTAAGAATCAGAAGTATCAGCTCCACCGTTAGTAGCTTGTTTCGTGAAAGAACTATCAGACTCATTGTCGTCGCCTGGCACATCTTTCAAATGAGCATACTTCGCCCTTAGCTGTTCGAGAGAAAGCTTGGCGTCATTGCCGTCGTCCCCTATTTCCGCCGAAGGATCTTCCTCGTCCGAGGAGGTGAGAGATTCGTTGTCGCTCTCACTGATGCTGTCATTGACGTCGCTTATGGTAGCAGACGCATTGGTGTCACTTTGCTCTTCGTCTTCCTCATTCTGTGTGAAACGCTTAAGCTGCGCTCCAAGAAGCTGAGTGCTCTGTTCAAGCATTTTACTCAAATGTTCCTTACCCTGAATTTTCTTAAGCTGATCCTCTTCATCTTTTTTAAGAACTCTGTAAGCCTTTTCAGCAACAACCCATCTCCTTTTGACAGCTTGGACAGCAGTACGAGCCAAAGTCTTAAGCCGCCTCTCCTCTTCTTTTTGCCGACGTTCCTCGGCGCCTGCTATATGTCTGAAATGTTGCTCGATCATTTGAGTAATTTTACGTGTATTTGCGATTCTGGCCTTACGGCTTTCTTGGAAAAGCCTGGTCATAAACACACCATGATTAATGAGGTGATCCTGAAATGTGTATTGTTGCTGTTCCTTGTAAAGGTACGTTATAGGTTCAGGTTTGTGTGTCTGTACCCCAGCAGCATCTTTCAAAGTTATTGCGTGAATGGAATCTGTATCGTAGTCATATCGCAGCACACCCCTTTCCAAGCCTTTTTTAATCTTTGAAGCCAAGGATTTCTGTCCTTGAACAAAATCTCTATATTCTTCCACTGACATATCCTCATCTAGTGCCCTAAAAGACGCCAAAAAATCACCCAACGTTTTGAATTGAGGTTGTGATACATGTAACGGGTTCGTAACAGTTTGTTTGGGTGGATTTACAGTGATTTTGATCCGCGGTAGTTTTCTCTTTTTCGTTCTCGCATCCCATTCGTCCTCAGAAGAAGAACTTGAATAGAACGAACTGTCACAGGCCGGATCGTCCATAATTTTTAGGTTTGAAAGTTCTTGACTTGGCTTGGATGGAGCAACGCCCTCGGCATCCTCCTTTTTGACTGTGGATTTGCTCTCGCTAGGCACAGCCTTTATGTCTAGTTTCTGTTTTTTAGGGACCTCCGGTTCCCTCTTCATCAGCCGCTGGCGCTTGTAGGGCTTATTCTCCATACGGCTCTCTAACTCGTTGTATCGTTCGTTCACAAGAAATTCGACATCCGGATCGAAACTGGCGCTCGCAGAAATCGGTGGCTCGCTTCTGGTCTGGCGCCTTCGTACTCTGCGTGCCGCATTTCCGTCTTCCGCTGCATCCTGGGGATCGCTTTTCAGAAGCGCCAAGTTGCTGGACTGGACAAAATGCTCAAAACTCTCTGACGCATTTCGGAAACACGGGTCGTATTCAACCAGCGACGTGTATTCCTTCAAATGGTATAGTTCATTTATCAGGAGGTCGTATTTGAACTTCAATTCCGCGATGTGTTCTTCATTGTCGTCAACTCCTGTCATTGTTGAATGTTTTGGTTAGCGAAAAATAATCTACAAAACGACGCTTTTAAGGCATTTAGAACAGCTTTGGTTCTGAAACACTTCCACTGTAGCAAATCTCCTGTTGAGATTTTACTGGATTCGCGGTCTTTAGGTCGCTAGCGCTAAATTTAATACCACTTTTGTCCTGATTAAGTGGATGTTCTCCGGGTTGGGGGAGTTCCAAATTTAAAGGTGGCGACGAAAGTTTATTATACGTTGATCGCCAAAAATTTTTAATCCAGTAACATTTCGTATCGTGGGATGTGAAACTGGCGTGGATGATGGATGCCAGAGGATTAGAATAAAGCGATGATGGAGGTTTAGATTCACATCCTTTATCAGAGTGCCGACCAATTTGAATGATCCAGCAGGAATGCTTAAAGTTCAATTTTGGCCTGTTTTTTGGGAAGGGGAGCTGCGACAACCGTGTCATCAGTTGAGTGAGTCAGCTCGCAGAAGTCCACTAGATGCAAGGGAGTAAATGGTGCATGTGGTTTCTTTTGGAGGTCACTTTTGAGATTGCTCATTGTTCAGTGGTGGCTATATCTTGACAACAGTAGTTCGACAGATTATATGTTTTCCGACGATTGCATACCATTAGGTTCTGTAACGTGTAAGAAACTCAAAATGTGAACAGATTCGCTTATGAGATAAACAGTGAATAAAAAAACTTTAGCATCAGATTAAAATCTGTAACCTATCGTTCATCTAGCAATGTTAGAACCACTGGATGAGAGTAATTCAATGCTGCTTGAAAAAAGAGTCGGGTTGCATCACTGGCAAAATCGACAAAGTGTCATAATAATACAGAGTGACATGATACTCTGTTGATACAAAATTGTTCAAGGCGAACAATCCGCATTTGGATCTGGAGAAACAGTTATTACACGGGAATGGCCTAGCCAGCCAATAGCACTGTCTAAATCCAGTCTTTTCCGAAATCCAGTCCACTTTCACCAGAATTCTGTATAAATACCAGCTGTACGTCACCAAAATGGAGAGTATTCATAATCCCATTGATCACGAAGGGAACCATACGTCGTGTATCATAAAATTAAGGCCTATGATTCAGGTTTAAGCTCATAGTGTTATTGATATAGGATCCCGAGGTGACAATAAAGGTAAGTCATTCGTTGCAGAAGGTGTTTTAAGGAGAATTAGGACAATTTAAGATTTAGCCTTGAGGCAAAGTTCGAACAGATCAGAAAAATCACTACGTGCGAGAGGAAGTAAACGTAGTTTGGTCTGCAAGTTGTATGTATATATTAAGCCAGATTTTCGTGAACCTAATAGAAAAATGACAATGGCAGGTCATGATCCAGGAACTACCTTGAAAATTTATGTATTGATGAAGTACTCATAAGATATCACGAGTCAGTCTAAATTATTGGAGGTCATAACTTGTAGCTCGCACTTCAATATGACATTCCTCGACAGTTTTATGTTGTCGGGAAATAAATAAAAAGAGACGAGTCGATCAGGGCAAATTGGAGACATCATACCGAAGAAAGCAGTTCAATAATGAAAACCGACGAATTTCATCAGTATAGTCAACTCAGTTGTTTATATTCTCTAAATTGAAGAGTGGTGGTGACCGACCATATATCACATGCATTGACTAAGGCTATAGGTACTAGCTGAGAATCCTCCTACTTAACAAAATCCGCGATAGTTTAGTGGCTAGAATTCGGGCTTGTCGCGCCCGGGACCGGGGTTCAATTCCCCGTCGCGGAGAATTTTTTTGGATTCCAAAATGTCATTAGTGAAGTCAAGGGAACGAAGTAATTACATCTAGGTTGCCCCGCTTCGCTAGCTGTTATGTCGGCCAATGTGGACAGTCTCAAAATATTAAGCTGCAAATTTATTATCGATTTGAACATAGTAATATAAGTAAAGAGCCTATTAGAATGGATCTTGAACATTGAAAGTTTCCTGGCTAGCTATCGAGTGGGCCGCGGTCTAAGTAGAGAGGTCCGCCGTTCTCCACCAATTAAATGAACCATAATATATTCTGGTGCAAAGATGTCGTTAAGCACATGGCGATTACGATCGCTTGAGACAGTGAAAAGTCGTTTTTTTAGTACAGTAACAAAGCATACTGAGGAGTATGTCCTTAAGCGAATATAAAACCGTTGCTGCCCTTTTCTAACCTGTCTAGGGACTCTGACTTGCTTTTCACGTAGACTTCATTCCCTTGCACAAGAAATTTTGGATGAGAAGCGATTCCGTACTCCCTAGCGTCAACCGATTGATCGCTTACCTGCGTTGTCGATTGAGAATTCGAGTAGGTGGGGGTGTACGTGAATGGACTCGCGACGGAGCCTGCATCTGTCGGGACCCCTACGTAGTCCAAATTACCGAGGCCAGCCAGTAGTGAGGTTGATGACCCCGTTACCGAATCGCTCAATGCGCTTGACGCAGTGGCCGCACCTGTTGACATATACCCCCCACCAAGTGAGTTCCATGTACTGGAGTAGCCGTATGACGATGCCATGACTGGTTGTCGTTCGTACGGAAAGTTAGAAAAAGCTAATTGGGCCTGTTCTTGCTGCTGTTTATGAAACAGTTGCTGCTGTTGCTGTTGTTGCTGTTGTTGCTGCTGTTGCTGCTGCTGCTGTTGCTGCTGTTGCTGCTGTTGCTGTTGCTGTTGCTGCACGGCAGTCACAAATGCCTGCTGCATGATAACAGCTTGCTTAGCACTTCTCCCCCAAGAAAGTCTAATTCTTGAGTTTCCAATAGGAAAACCTTGCATTTTTGCAATAGCCGTCTCAGCAGCAAGTCTATCAACATACTGAACAAAACCACAGCCCTTACCAATTGGAATTTTTACATACACGATAGATCCAAACGGCTGGAAATAGGCGCGCAGTTCTTCTTCAGTAACTAAGGCCGACAAACCTCCAATGAAAACCGTAGTATTATTTGGGTCAGTAAATTGGGTCAAGGAAGGCTGTTGCTGAACAGGATAAATGAACTGAGACTGTATTTGATTTTTATTCGCTTGCGCAAGGTTGAATTGCTGTGAGGTAGACGGTTGATTCTGCAAATGTGTTTGTTGTATAATAGAATGAGCATTTGGTAGGTTCTGACCTTGAGGTTGTTGCTGCGCCTGTTGTTGGCGCTGCGGAGCATACTTGACCCTGTTTTTAGAGGTCGTGCTAACTCTAATGGCTCTTCCATTCAAAAAAACGCCTTGCATATCGACCAGAGCTCTTTGCTGTTCTGCCTCCTGTCCAAACTTGACAAAACCGTATCCCTTTGATACCCCTGTTACTTGGTCGAAAACAATTTTGGCATTCAAAGTTGACGCGTAACGCGAGATGAAAAGTTCAAAGAGTTCTGCCTCGCTGACATTGGGGGCTAAGTCACCTACAAATACGGAATGCTCATTGCCAGGAGTAGTCGCAAATGTAGCCCAATTCAGTTTGAGAAACTTATTTGTGGTGTTAGGAATTAAAAGCCCGTTTTTCAACAGCGCGTTTGACGCATTCAAATGCGAGGAAAACTCAATAAAACAATAACCAGAGTTCCCACTTAGAGGCCCCGAACTTCTGATCAACTTGATTTGAACATTTGGCTCCCCAAGGGCGGCCCAAATTCTACGAATTGAATTTTCATCCCAGCTGGGGTCAAGATCCCCCATGTACAGGGAATTTGGCTTTAAGGACAGGGAGTCCGTCGAAGCATGATGTATGTGTGCCGCGGGGAGTTGGTGAGTGTAGTCGCTCCCCCCACCATTACTGTTGTTGAAGTGAGGGCCAGGCTGGTGGAAGGAACTTGAGGACGAACTGAAAGACATTTGTACCTGCAAATGTTAAAAAAGCTCAAACAATTACCAAAATAAAAAAACACAGACAACTGGGCGCTCTTAAAGGACGTTTGAAGAAGTTCGCTCAGAAGGAGATTATGGAATCCAATGGCGTGAGTCAATAGGAAACCAACAGAGAATTAATTGCAATAAGGAAAATGGAAGAAAGGTGCAACGTAATGCCCTAAACTAAAATGAAACTCAAAAATCAACAATATCAAATAGGAAAAATGGCGAACTTTGTCGTTTCCACGCCAGGTTCGATTATAGGAAAGTATAGCACACGCGGGGTGTCTCAATCGGGTCAGGCCGGATAGCAGGTGAGAACTAGGTTTGGAGTATGAAGGCTATCAAAGCGCACGTTTCGGCAGCAAATTGAGCGATAGTTGATCAAGCGGAAGTAGCCACAGTGGGACGCAATCAGCTATTGTGGAGCACCACTGCTTAGAGTTTTAAGCAGGTGACTGCAGTACAGCGTTAGTGAACCCCAGACTACTACCACAGACACGGGAAGCTTCAAGCTTTTGGGATTTCCTGCTTGTTTTATATATTCAGAACTTCCAACTCTAGTGTTTATTGATATACAAAATTGATCAGGGGCGTCACAGATATCATTAAACGACCAACGTGGATATCTATAGCATTAAACACGATAAAGATAACTACATCAGCACAATATCAAAACAAGCAGTAAGTGAAGAACTGAGGGTATACCTGTACTTTCCACCCAATAGAGTTGAGTAATACTGTGTTTAGGTGGAGAAGGGCCCAAGCTTGTCCCTTTGTTGGCCACTTTGTTGTGTAGTTTCATCAGAACAGCTTTGGTCGCGATGAGTAGTCGCGAAGGCCACCGTTAGTCCAGTTTCTATCAATGTTTAGATACTCTATCTATCCCCCAGCGACCGGTCAACCCATAAAAATCTCACCGAAGGACTCGAGAAACGGGTAGAAAATCGCCTAAACATCCGAGTAGATGACGCGAGGTCACGTGCATTTGGATGACAGGACTATTCGACCAGACGCAGAGACTCATGCACAGACCGGTGAAAAACAGAGATGAGGGAGCTCTCGAAGAGAGTTTTGGGAGGGTTGACCTTCCGGTCGAAGCGCAGTTCAAACCATGCGTCTTGTGACCTCGAGGCCTTGGTACTCGTACAGGGAAGAACAAAGAATATCAACGAAATCTCGGATTCTTGTCGACAAAATGGTGCCATTTTCTTGCGAAATTCGAATATCCGAATGCTTGGAATTCAACGAGCAGGAACGTCCCACCCCTAGCAAGAGCACATTTGACTAGTTGAGATTATGGCGCCTTCTTTTGTTCCGAACTACGATTCATGCAACTGCTTGATGGTGTGCAGGGTGTCTTGCAAAGAGTTTGCAACTTTTCCGCTGTCTCCGCCATCAGCTATCAAACTTGATGTGTTCTGCAGCATGGGTTCCAAAAAATGCTCAACCAGGACCTCACGCCTTGCAGGATAATCTTGCAGCGAGACATTCGCGAGTTCGTCAAGCTTGGATCCTTTCCCCGCCTTTTCATTCTTCAGTTCCTTGACAAAAAGTTTTAGATGCTGGAATGGTTGAGGCACATTCGGGATAATGTACTTATCGAACGCAGAGGGCGCCTGTTGCGATTCAAGGGTAGCATCGGGCGTCGGCTCAATACATCCACACTGAACGAAATCTAGTAGCGTTTCGAGGTTGACTTTTTGGGCCCTCTTGGCCTTAGCACTATTCATACTGACTACACTGGCACTCTTCACACCCATGCTGACACTGTTATTGGTTCTGGAGACGTCGACGGCCCACCCCAGAACCCCAAAAAGCCCCTTCAGCATCTTCACCCACGAATTGCGCACCAACTCGTCCCCGCAGTAGCGGACTGCGCACTTCAAAAACTTTCCTGAGTCGCGCTGAACTGCCGGAACAATGTGTGTCATTCCGCTGTTAATAAACAGTACCAAGGCTCGACTGTGCAACCGCAAAACATTCTGGTCATGCTGCCCTATCTCATCAAAAAGTTCCAACAAAGCATTTCTCACTTGTGCGTCGTCGTCGCATATCAACGGCAGACAACTGTTTAACATCGGAGTGATACATTTCGTATTGATAATCTTCGGTACCGCTTGTTTGAAATATACCAAGGTTTCCTTCCTTGTCGTCGCACTGTGGTGCTTACAGAGCGAAAGCCGTTTCAAAATATCCGCTTCCATCCGCTGACTGCCATTGTCCGAAGTATTATTGCTCAACCCAGGTGTCTTGATTTTTGGCTGGTTCGGCAGCGATATCATCCGTGCCGTGAAAGAGGTATCGGTTGCATTGCTTGCAGCTTGCTTGGGCTTACCAACTTTGAGCTTTTTCTTCTGGAAGTCCTGCTGCTTAAGAGTCTTCTTTTTAGCCATTGTGGTTTGATTAGTGTAGCTATGAGCTTAATAGATGACCGAAATCTCACACAAAATATCAATCCAGGGAATCCACTAAGATACGTTGTGATTAAATTGCTTGGAAGTGATTCTGGGCTATAGCAGTCTAAACTGGTTCTCTGGATCTTCAAGTGTTGGGATTTTGTAGAGTTTTTAGGATTTTGAATGTGCACCAGGAGGCGATGAGCTGAAATTTTTCATAACATTAAATATAAGATTAAGCAATAGTAAAGTGAGAATAGTGCATCAATAACCATGCTCAAATCCAAGAATTCTGATCCATCATGAGCTCCCGAGCGCTGAGAAGACTTCAGAAAAATAGTTTAGAGGACACACTGGCCACTTTAGCTCCTGGTGCTGATGAAGAGGAGACTGACGTTGATTATAATGCTGTTAGGACAAAGACACCAGTGAACATGTTCGCCCTCATGGGAGAAGGTGACGATGAAGATGATGATGAACAGGAGAAGGAAAGTAGCGATAATGGTCAAACTAATGAAGCCTTTGGTACTCATGTGCCTGCTACCACCGCCATTCCAGATTCAAAGCAGTCTGCAGGGAAGACACAGAGCAAAAAGACGTCGAGGAATAAGAAGAAAAAGAAGAGAGCTAATAAGAACACCAAAAAACACCCGGAGAAGCACACCGATTTGAGAGAGGGGAGCGGCACGGACGAAGAACTCGACCAAATCATCAAGCAATTCCAAAAACGAGACTTGGAGGACAAGGAAAAATCGGCAGATGTGCACGTTGGACACTCTAGCGGGTCAGACTTTGACTATGACACTGCAAATGAAGAAGAAGAAGAAGAAGAACAATTCACATACCGACAGAAGGGGAGAGTAACAATGGTTACAGATCCAGGGTTCACGCATTTTAGGTCTTATTCAGAGCTTTCTCGTATTTTTGGTTCCATTGACATGAAAAAGCTAAACCCAGATTACGAGTATAAACTTTTATTTGGAGACCTATCAGCTGAATCTCTGGCTGATGTGGACTCCATGACGTCCACTCATGTTTCGCCGCAGGTCATGAGGCAAATAGATAAGCTCAAGAGCATGGTTCGTAATTGGGGTGGTAAGGATCACAAAACTGTGCCCAACGGGTCGACCGTTAGACGTCTTGCCTTCACAAAAATTCGCAATGATTGGATCCCTACTGCTCGCGGAGAGTTCACAATCTGCCAGCTATCGCAGGAAGAAGTTAGAGAGTGGAATGCATGGCAAAGGCCCCAGGACTGGATGGACGAGATTGAGACTACCTGTAGGAAGTTGGAGAAAGTAGGGATAAATTTCTACAAGTTCGAGCCATCCAATGCGGATCTCAATCGGAAAGCTATGACCGAATTCTACATGAGTGTCGTGCTACATCCTGACCACGAGGCTTTAATCAATCTCATTTCAACCAAATTCCCCTATCATGTACCCTCCCTTCTTCAAGTCGCTTTGATCTTCGTCAGACAGGGTGAGAAGACCAACAGTAACGGGCTGGTAGAAAGGGCCCTCTTTGTATTTGATCGCGCATTGAGAGCTCACATCACTTTTAATGGGACGGCCTGTCAGCTTCCATTCATTTATTTTTACAACAGACAGTTCTATTCAGCCATTTTCCGTTATATTCAAATTCTTTCCCAGAGAGGTGCTGTCTCTACTGCAAGTGAATGGTGCAAAGTGTTGTGGTCACTGTCTCCGCTAGAGGATCCTCTCGGCTGCAGGTATTTCATCGATCACTATTTGCTAATGAATAAAGAGTACGGCTACATGATTAAACTCGCAAACTCAGCTCTTATCAACACTTATAAGGAATGGTATACTTTGGGAATGTCTCTCGGATTCGTTCTTTCATACCTGAAACTTGATAGGATAGATGAAGCTAAGTTAGAGATCAAGAAAGCTTTTCAACAATACCCAGAATCACTCACATCTATATTTGTTCAGGGAGCATTGGGCGATAGCTCGTACTTGAATGGACTACAACTTCCAGAAGAGTCGCCCAACTCTGCTTTGGAAGTGAAGGCGTATTTGATCAGAATGAAAGTTTTGTGGGGAGGAACGGAGTTGAAATTCTTGGGCGATCAAATAAAGGTGGTTATTGACGAATACAAAGCGGGAGCGATCCAAGTGTCGGCAGCAAACAATGTAAAATCCGAGAACCCCTTTTTCTTGGGAGGATATATGGTTAACTTATTGCGATTTGCCGTTTTATCACAAGAGTCTCCATTGATGGCTTGCATTCCTGAGGAAATCTGGTCGGAGCGCGAAGTTTACGAATTCGACGTTCTGCCGCCAGAACCTCATGGGCGGGAAACTGAGGAGTTAATTGAATCTGCTAAATCATTCATCAGCGAAAATGACCTCAATATGACAAGACTTGAAATGATGCAAGATGAAAACCTTATCAATCAAATCACGCAAATGTCGCTCGAGCAGTTTCTTCAAGAAAATCCCAACGCTGGCATTGATGAGTAACGCGAAATAAGATATTAATGATACATACGCTAACTAAAGCAACCTGAATTCTATACCAATGCTAGTGATCAATGTTCATCTTTACAAATGGTCACTGACCTAAGAAGGCCTTTTCGTCTTCATCCTTAGTCAGTCCACTCTTTAAATTATCGCAAGTCGTTTCAGCTTGCTTTCGACCGCTTGTGCTTTTTGTTTTGATGTCATTCATGTCATTTACCTCTACCGAACCCAATTCGGATGGTCTTATAGAGCTACTTCCTGCAACAGCACTGACACCATCCTTACTGGCAAGGCGATGGTTCAAGTTAGCTAACAGTGAAGCCTGCTGGGCGTTTTTAAAACGAGGTCTTTGATTAGGTGCTTTTGAGGAAGGCTTATGAACCATACCAGATTTATTGAAATAGAGATTTGAAGCAGAGTTTGGCATTTGCATGTTTATAGAACTTCCCTGGGGAGCTGACGTTGCTTGAATGGAAGGAAATCCCCTGAGGTAGCCATGTACATTACCCCAGCGCTGGAAACTGGGAGACGATTGATAATAGGGATTCATGGGATAGCTCTTTGTAGAAGGAGGAACCACATGCTTACTTCCAAATTGGCCGACGCTTACGAATGGTGTGGCTGAAGCAATAGGTGTCAACCGATAGCCTGGCGTGTAAGGCTTACTTGATGGTGGGACGTACGACCCCGTAGGGTAAGCTTCATATAGCGCAGCGTTATCGGATAGATAATCTTCAGCACTGTAACTCCTTGTCATATGAGGGTCAAGCGTTCCTGGTGACATTTCCATAGAAGGGTAAACATATCTCGGATGATACAAGCCATTATGAGTCCTACTATCCAAACCGGGCCTATGGTATGCATGGCCCAGTTTTAAGCCTTTGCTGAGCCCCAAGAACTCCTCGTTGTCATATTTTTCTCGATCCGGCCCAGGAGACAAATTATCAGCCAAACGTTCTTCTTGATCCCTTGCATACGATGCGTAGTAGTCTCCATTAGTCACAAACTGGGAATGTGCAGCGGTCATTGGAGGAGGTATTTGAAACGTAAGATGGGCTGCCGAAGCTAAGGGCGCCGCTCCAAACGAAACCTCTTCAGGGAAATACGAATTCTCGAAAAATCCAGCTGAGACAGGAGGAATAGCGGAGAGAGGTACATATGCAGCATCAAAATCATTATCAAAGTACATTGAACTCATACCTGATTTGAGGGGCTGTTGTCCGGGGTATTCGACTTCAACTGGGAAGTAGTCTAATGGGAAATCATCCTCGTCATCATTATCCTTTGTGAAGCCGTTGGCTTCTGGTGTTACATCCAAGTTCAACGCGTCGGGCGAGGCGTGTGCTGGATCTAGTACTAAACTTTGAGTAACATATTTGGATGACAGATCATTCACAGGATCTTGCTCAAGGTCTACATTCTCGTCTTTGATGTGTTCCGAGCGTTCTACCACGGTATCAGTGGTCGCTGCTTCGACATCAGCAAAATTAATTGATTGTTTGGGAGAATCTGCAGATGTGGTCGCAAGGATGTTGGAATAAGGCGAGGAATCAACTGTTGAGTGGTTGCTAAAATTGTTTCGCTGGCCATCCATGTGTTTAAGGAGCTGATCATAGAGTGATAAACCTGACTTATCGTCATATGCAAAGGAGAGGGCCGGTTCACGCACTGCTCTCGTGGTAGGGAGTTGGCTTGCGACTTGTCTCTTCAAATCTCGTTCAAGAGCATCCGCAAACAGTTTGTCGTGCGGAACACTAAACCAGAAGAACACCTTCTGCTTTTTCTGTGTCTTCAAGCACATATTCTTGAAAAGAAAAGATAAAAATTCAGACTTTGGAACCTCTAGAGTGGCGTCTACTCCACATTTGAGGTGCCGAAGATCGGAAAATATACCTTCCTCGAATTTTTTACGATCTAGTACCTCGCGGCCGAACTTTTGCATGCGGTACACACAACATTTGACAATGTCGGTACCTGTAATATAGTATAGATTATTCCAGAAGACGCAAGAGACAAAGCCTTGATCGTTGTTCAGATAATATCGGCGAATTATTTGGTTTTCTTGCCAATTGGCAGGTGCCGTGGCCAGGAAGAACTTAATGTCTTCAATTAGCCTCAAAGTCTCTTCCACATCATCATGAGCAGTTGTGTGTTGTAGCTGACCGTTCTTGTGCGTCTTGATTACCTCTTCTTGAGCATGGGAGGTCTGCATTACAGGCATCTCATTAGTCGAGGGAACTATTAAGGTTCCCTGTACCGTTTGGAGAATAAAACACTGTTAAGGTATGCGAACGATCTAAAAGCCCGTTGAAGGATTGACTTTCCACTCACTGCTTCCTGTCAACTCAAGGGCTCAATGAGAATAAGTGATTTGAAATGGTCTGGTATTGGGCTATCAGTTTCTCTCTCGTAACCCACTTACTGCGGATTTCACACACAGATGAAATTGGGATTTGTTAGATGGGAAACCAGTGCCGCAGACTCTCCTTCCCAAATGTCCTTCGAGAATGTTTTCGGTGAGTTTCCGACCTTCCAGACTTTTATAAAACTTCCGGGGATATGTCAAAAGTCTCCGACTGCTAACAGATGTTTTGGATTGAAACAGACAGATTTTAAGGGCCCACAAGCAGTCAGAAACCTCTCAACCGTTTGACTGTTGCAAAGGGTGTTTCCACAATTTGAGGTTAATGGTTGCTGAAATTCGAGACCTGAGATCTAGCATTATGGACGAGTTTCATACAAGATGGAACTTATGTCTGACAGAAATAAAGTGAAGGCCCTGGTGTTTACCAATACCCGACCTGTCTCAGAGCCAGAAAAAGGGTATTTTACCTGTTTCAGAAGCGCTCACTTAGACTGTTTTTTATGGGAATCCCAATTGCCGTTTCGAGACCACTGTTGCTGCCACATACGGGCATGGCTCTTTGGTTGTATGTTGTCACAACTGTGCGTTAAGCAAGGGTTCCAGGTATGCAGCAAGGGCACTACTTATAGCGCGAGATCGTTCTTCTGGAATGATCAACTAATATGGGACACTGTTCGTGTAAAAATTGTGCCAGCGAGGCGGGCTCGGGCAAGTGCAACAAGCAATGAACGTAGCTTGCAAGTTTGAGATCTAGATACGATGGGTCTGAGGCGTCTCTGAAAAACTTAAATTTTCCCAAAAGGTCTTGAAACTGAATGAGCGTCTGCTGACAGTTTTCCTGCCGGCGTCCAACGATCAACTGGAAATTGGACGAACGTTGACTAATGTCTAAGTAGCGGGCAGGCACAGTAGCATTTTCTCTGTGGCGTAAAGCAAACCCGTTGCGTTTGCTTAGTTCTTCACATAATGTATGGTAAACAAACGGATCGACCGCTTTCGAGCAATGACCCGCGTACAGCGACAAAAACTGCGAAACCTTCAGTTCGTACAAAACTTTGGTCATATAGCAGTCATAGACTATCGAATCTAGCAGTAGCACGTACATGAGCTCTTCGCTTGTAGAGAGTCGCGAGTTCAAAATCTGGTAAATGCTCGAGCTGGACCGTACATTGCGTGTGGTGTGCCCTTCGATCAGAATGGGCAAAAAGCCATCGTTTGAAGCCAGCGGTGAGACTTCAAATACGGAATGTGGCAGATATGATCCTGAACTGGTTTTCTGATCACTCATGTTGTTTCCTTTAGTGTTCAGCTTTAGATCATTCTTTTTGCAAAGTGAGAGCTGTGTAAACAAACACCACGGATCTGAAGCCAAGTAGCAGTTGCTGATTGAGTCATACCTAACTTGATAAACACCTAGCTGGAAAGTATCATTCGCAGATTTTTGAGCGGCTTGAGGACCTTGAAAATCATAAGTCCTCGAACGCAACTCATATTCTAAAGCATCGTCTCTCTTATCTACAGGGTCATACTGTTGGAGTGGGAGTTTGTCAAAAAGCGATTTCACTGGTCCTGGCACTTGTAAAATACTACGCATAGTAGCAATGGTCGATGGGAATATTTTCTCTTGCTTGATGAGGCCTTTTGACTACGAGTTATGTGTTTAAATTGGCCAACTTTTTCGCCTTAATAACGCGACCGCTTGCTTGTCGAAGATACAAATTATGAACAACGGACCAGAGGCTTATAAGTTCGACTCGATAATATTGAAAATGCTTACTTTATAATCTATATGCCATTATTTTACAGAGGGAATTGAGTGGGAAGATTGGAGCCAAGCTAGTCGCAAATAAAATGTTCGATGCCTCGCCCTTGGTAACACCATCAACATATTTCTCTACATCAGATGCCGAAAGCTTGTCTGACCACTTAGAGTCTTCTTTGAAAAGAACCTTTTTTATCTTATTCTTCAAAAGTCCTTTTTGTTTGGGTGATGCTGGTGTGGATCTCCATGGAGCAAACTTCGAAAAATTACGGGTTCGTGGCCCCGGCGGGGATATAAGTTCCTCAATTAGCTTTTCGACAGCAGTAATAACAACAGCTAGGTCTGTTGACGCCTTTACGGCCCGAGACCTGAATTTCATCCCAAGCTCATCGCGAATTTGGTACGGTAACTCTGAGTACAACTTCAGGGTGTAGATACAATCGTTATCCTTTCGCTTTTGACCCTTTTCAAAGATTTTGTAAATACGCAAATGATGACCATTATCCAGTGACATGGCCCAAGCGTCTTTGGCAAATCGAACCCAAGGGAATGAGGAGTCATTTATGTATTTGATTTCCTTGGCAAGGGCGGACTTCCAAATGGGTGCATCATAGTTCTGATATGCCGCAGTCTGCTTGTGAAAAGATATGAAATCTTCGAACGTGGTAAGGCTCAAATCGAATGCGTTGGCATTTCTCAAAATCTCCTGGAACTTCTGATGGGCTAGTTTCTCATCCTTCATACGCTGGTTATGTTCAGATTCTGCTGCCTGCTCCTTTAGAGCTAGATCCTCCTTAATTGCGGCCAAATCTTGCATTGTCGCCTCGTCTAGGTCAATTTTGCCAGCGTCGAGCCCTGCAAGAGTTGGAAACGACACGACGCCTACGCTTGAAGCCCCAACAAAATCCACTATGTGACAGTAGTCCTTAGAGTGATGCAAGCGCAGCCCACGTCCGATCATCTGTACTAACAGAGAACGAGATCGAGTTGGCCTACAGAGCAGTATACTGTCCACGTTCGGCAGATCGGTCCCCTCCGTGAAAATACCACAATTCAGTAGAACCTGTATGCGTCCGGCTTTGAAATCTTCAACAATTGAGTCTCTTTCCAGTTGACGAGTCTTCGCCGTAACGAACTCCGCATTGATACCATTGTTTTGGAACAACGCTTGCAAGGTGGCAACATGTTGGACGTCACATCCAAATAAAAGCGTAGATCGAAGGTTGTGTTGTTGCTGTTTCTGTTGATAGGTTCGGAGTACAATATTGTTGACTTCTTGGGTGTTGACCACCTGAGACAACCCATCGATCTGGAAATCCGAGCCTGAGATAGAAACATCAGAAAGATCGATATTCACATCCACTGTCGTGAAGCGGCCCTCACATAGCCATTTGTCGTCGATCATCTCCAAAATGCCCCGATGAAAGACGATCTTGTCCATGACGGCAGAGAGCGCCTTGTTATCAGCCCGTTCAAATGTTGCACTGAAACCAACCACGGGGATTGGACTATCCTTGCAATCAGCCCCGAAATGTTTGAGTACTTGTAGGTATGACTTGGCAGCTGCGTGGTGTGCCTCATCGATGATGATCAGGTCAATATCACCGGGACTGTATCTGTCCAAACGGCGGATCAGCGTCTGCACAGAGGCAACCACCACGTCTGACGAGGGCACATCACAATTTAAGGATCCCATTTCCACCTGGACGTTAAGTTGCGGGAAAAAAGTACCTAGCACGTTGCAGGCCTGTTGGGCCAGTTCTCGTCTGTGAACTAGTACCAGCGCCCTATGGTGTTTTCCACCACATAGCCCACGCAGTCGGTCTATCAAGTGCGAGAAAATCACTGTTTTACCGCCTCCAGTAGCTATAGAGACTCCGATTCGCATCTGACCCTGTTGGATGGCCATCACACACTTCTCGATGCATTCAAGCTGGTAGGGCCTCAGAACTTGCAAGCTGTAAGACCTACATGCTAGCGGCAATCGATGGCCCTCCGACTTGAATAATCGCTGCCGTACTAGTAATCTCCATCCTAGCAAACGGATCATCATCTCATGAACATTGTGTGCACAGGCTCTCAACCTTCGTATGTTTACAACTAGGTTACACCAAATCACAAAACACGGCCACCGAGGTACGCCTCACATCTTCGATCCTGAGCTCCCTGATTCGTACGTGACCTACCCATCGGGCCACGATAAGGATCGTTAATGCTGCCTGCTCAAAATTAGTGGTCTATTCCCTTCCCCTCCACCACTTTCGTTTACATCCCTGCTGATTTTCATTCTGTGATTGCCCCTTGCTTCTCCCATGTGAGTCAGAGTCTCTTTTTTGCTGATCTTATCATTCCCACTTCCCACAAATCTTGAGATGTACACGACTGTGTCTTCATTGTCTTCTGACCGATTTGATTGAATCGTATCTACTAAAAAAGGTTTACACACCCTAGATCTCTAGAAAAGTCACATTCAGCCGGAATTCATTCGAGATAACTCTTATACATCTGCCGCAAACTGTACCAATCGCAGTAAAGTAACCTTAAGGCACAGCTGAGCCAGAGAAACTGAAAAGAGTCTGATTTTATGGCTACAGACTTTTTGGAGGTAACTTCAAAGCTTCTAGTTTTGATTTATCAAAGTCAATATATTCAACTAATAAAATCAAAAATAAGAGAAGCTTAGAGCATAGAAGTCGGCAGCTGAGACTATTGACGAAAACGAGCTCAGAGAGGTAGGTAGGCACTCAACCTCTGAAACTAGCTTGAAGAAAAAGCATTCAAGACAATCAAGATTTGAAAGTGTGTGTGTTATTGTTTTTTGTCCTTTAGCTCTTCCTTATCTTCCATCCCACTTCTTTCCTTGGTCCACAGCGTGTGATCAGCAGTTTTTGCAGTAGCGGCACATTGGGTTTCCGGCAGCTGAAGAAATTGTCAAGAAGAGGAGCTGTTGACGAGCACTTGACTTTCGTTCGGAGGTTTTTTTATTTTTTAGTTTTGGGTTAGACGTGGCACTCGTTGTGTGCGGGATCAAACGCCGGCAGTAATCTATTGCAAAAGAACGATAAGTGTGCTCTTTAGGCCGAATTCTCAAATTTGTTATGCCAGACGATTACGAGGTGTACAAGGAGGGTGGCCTACTGCGCGGGCGGTATAAGAAGGTGGACGACATCAGCGAGGGCTCCTATGGGTACGTTTCACTTGCCAACGATACGCAAACGAAGAAGCTAGTAGCTGTCAAGTATATCTTCAAGAATGAAAGTGAATCTGGCGGTGCACGTTGTGAGTCTCAAGTGGACAGAGAGGTGGAGAACGAGGAAAAGCTGCAAGAACAGCAACTTCACAAGCATCACAGATCGCAGATCTCTGAAAAAGTTCGCTCCCGGCTGTCCAAAAACATATGTTTCGAGGCCCTATTTGAGGTCGACATCCATACGAAAATTGGCAAGCACAAAAACATAACGGAGCTTTTCGATTTTTTCGACTCGTTTATTATCATGGAATACTGCTCTGGGGGCGACCTCTATGAGGCCATCAGAGCGGACCTGGTTCCTAAGAAGACAAAGCTGATCACTCATATAGCCTCCCAAATTATGGATTCAATCGAGTTTGTTCATCAAAAGGGCATCTACCACAGAGACGTGAAACCTGAGAATATTTTGATCGGGGGGTCTGATTGGACCATTAAACTTACTGACTGGGGGTTGGCCACCTTGGATAAGACCTCCATGGACAGAAGTGTTGGGAGTGAGAGGTACATGGCACCAGAGCTATTTGAGGACAATTTGGATCGCGACGAAAGAAATGAGCCTTACGACTGTAGCAAAGTCGATTTATGGGCAATTGGAATTGTGTTGCTCAATATTGTTTTTCACAAGAATCCATTTAGCGTTGCAAATCCAAGCGATAAAGCCTTCTGCTATTTCGCCGCTAATAGGGAAGCTCTATTCGATATTTTCTCTACGATGTCCTTCGATTTTTTCCAAGTTTTAAGACACAGTTTGACCATGGATCCCTCCAATCGAGACTTAGCTAGCATGAAAAGGGAGCTTGCACAGCTTGGTGAATATACGTTAGACGATGAATATTTCAATTCATTGGCGGACGACGGATACTCACCTGCCAAGACCATTGAAGATAGTCCCTTACCTTTATCACCTTCAGAAACCCCAACTGTCCCCGAGGGCCTTATGGGAGAAGCAGTTCCCAAAATTTCTGTGCAAGATATCACCCCTGTATCCACCAAGGAAAAGTCGAAAGAAAAGGATCCCATTCCTCGTTTCAGATTCAGAAAGCGTAGCCACCCTCAACATGACATTTCTTACAGGAACGCAAAACCTATTAAAATCGATGAATCAAAGGTCCTAAAGAACAGTCGCAAGCCTTTAGCCATTCCAACTCCTAATACCCACATTAACAACTTTTTCCAAGATTACCATGCCAACGACCAAGAGAGCTTCAATACTAGGGACTTTTTTACACCACCCAGTGTCCACAATAGATATATGGAAGGCATTTTCAACAACAAGTTTAGCAAGCATCGAGGGAACAGGAGGAGAAGGCCCAGCTCCTCTGGAAACTCAAAGCTCAACCAGAAGCCAAATAACAATAATTTGTCTACATCTTATGGGAGACGTGGGTCCAATTTGTCTCAAAACTCCAACGTATCTCAAAGTTCTCCGTCAGGCAAGTACATTCCCCCTCATTCTCGCCCTAACAGTATACTGAGTGGATCCCCTAATATTCCAACGATCAACTCTGTCTTAGATGGCATTCATGATGGTCCCAGCACCTTGACTACAAATACTTTTCACGAATTACACGCAATCTCCAATGAGAATAATGAAAACGATCTAGATGATGTATTGTTTACATTAGAGGAGAACGACATTGACAGTTTTGCAAACGACATTGATGGATTATCAATAAATGATGAACCCTTCCAGAAACCTCACGTGCCCATCGATATTACGCAAGACTCGGCACTTCCAGGCTCCAATGAACTTCCTGAGATTCTCAAATCACCTGAGCCCAAACCTTACAAGCTAAATGAAGTTAGTAAAAACACATTCACCGAACAGCTTGCTCAGATGGAGCCCGTAGCAGGTTCTACATTTAAGGCCAAACCGGGCGTGTATATTCCACCCCACCACAGAAAGAGCATGAACTCAGCAATTCTTGGCCACCAACAGATGTCCCCACAAGGCGCTGAAACAACGTTATCAGTAGGTAATAACTCAATTAGCTTTGGAAGTTTTGATACTAGACGGAAAAGCTCAAATGTTGGGCGTTCAACAGGCACACCAAAATCTTTCATTGCGAGTAACCATGGCCAAGCGACTACAGTATTGCAAAATAGCGATATATTTGCCGATTCAAATGCTGTCGCGTTTGAAGATGATGAGATCAGCCCTTCATTTGCTGCTAATCAGACCACTACATATGCTTCAGCGAGAGATATCAAGAGCGGTAGAAAGTCCAGCTCAATTCAAGACGAATTGATTGGGTCCTTAGAGCAATATAAAAACAATTGGTTGATGCTACAGCAACAACAAGATTGAGATTTTAGATCTCAGATACTGCATTTTTCAGGGAATGATATATTGGTCATATCTTTATCACCCTTAAAGTCATATTTTACAAAGTAACATAGTCTTTGCTTTAAAGTAATTGCATAATTTTTGTCTTTCTTGAGATATTTGACCACAGACCAAGGCCTTATTTGATATGGCTTCGTTGGACTACTACTACATATTAAATAAGCAACTTCTAACTAACATCGTAGAAGTTTGTCATGCGAAGGTTGGATTGTTTTCGTAGCTGCATTCCACCTATCACGATAACGAGAGAAGTCAGAACAAACATGGCGGATTGCTTACTAGACCAACCGTTATCCCTACTTTTGTTAAATTTCAGTGTGCTTTCTACTGGGTTATCTAACACAGTGTGCCCTATAGGTGAAGCATTTGTTTCTTCCAGAACAATCTTTCGACTCTTCTCTATTGCCAAATTCAAAACATGTTCGACGTAGTCTTCTTTTTCTCCATCTGTCACCAAGGCGTTAAAGTCGTCGACAGAATCGGTGTCATCCCGAATAATATGTTTTAGGCTCCCAAAAAAATCAGTGACCAGCACTTCTGATGGGTCTCTCTGGAAAAGGTCAGACTTGACACCAACATGAGAATGAACCTTTTCAAATGTGTATGACTCAAACAAGTCATTCAATGTCAGGGATGAGTTTTTTCCGATGTTTTCCATAAACTCCAGGGTATAGTAAGTGAAACGATCGATAACAGCAACACCTACCTCCACATCAGAATGATGGGAGTAAGAGCTTTCATCTAATCTACTAGACCCCACAGCCAAAACGTTAGGAGAATAAAATTGTGAATACATGGTGTTGGCCTGACAAGTATCTATCATGAAAAAAATTTCGTTGTAGCGCTTTTTCTCATGCATTTGGGCGAAAGCGTCAGCGATATCATGAGAGGAGATCTCTTCAGCATCTTGAAACTTCAAGAAATCAGCGCCGCCATGACCGGTCATGTAAATGAAGATATTAGAATTCTCATCAGTTAATAGCCTCTTCGACTTCGGCTGCTCTTCACTCCAGCGATCCGTTAATAGACGAATGAAGTTTTCTACTGTTACTTCATAGCCCTTATAGTCCACTTCCACAGACTCACCATACAGATCCAGAGCTCGATCCGCATTGTTGAAAACACTGCCGGGAAAAAGGTTTCTCGAATTGCATGCAACATCGTCACTCAACATCAGAATAATTTGCGAGTCCGGAATACCGAGCCTTTTAACGGTTCTGTACATGCTCAGTACATTGGCCATGTGTCTATAATTGAACCAAAACCGAGATGTACAAACTAATACAGCCCAGTTATTGGTATGTCCAGAGTTAGCTTCCACATAACAGAGTGAACAGATAGCCACTGCTACCGATAGCAGGTTGATTAGTCTCATGAATGACGCCTTACAAAACGGTTTACGTTAGGCAGGGCCAGTATGCGGACGTTAAATTTCATGTCAACTTTAAAAGGATGAGTCCGAAAATACTCGCGAACACATAGACAATGCCAAGAAGATAGTGTCACCTAGCTAAAGCATTCTTAGCCTTGGCGTTGACGAATGCTGATTGCCGTAGCATAAGGTCGTTAGAAAGCAGCTGTTGAACTAGTTTGGAACCAAAAAGTGGAAATTACACTAGTCTGGATGCGCTACAGCTCACATGCTCAGATGCTTACATTAGAGCACGTTATAGTACAAGACTTCATAGAATACGCATCGCCTACTGGTTAGCTCCCGCTTCATCTTCAAGTTGTTATTCACTGATTATTATTCACCGACCATTATTCATTCTGATATAAGTTCAAGTAAAAGTGAGCTATTTTTTAAGCCAGCGTCACTGATTGTCTCGTCTAGCTTATCGAGGAGGTTCTCCCTTGCGTGATCGCTCAATGTGAAGTACTGAGAGCCAAGTCCATCGACTTCACTTTTTAACACCTCAAATATGGTACGTACTGTATCTTCCATGGCATTAAATCTTCTTACCAGCCTCCGACCATCGCCTATCCGAATTTGAATTCTCGTTGTTACACCGAGCTGATTTGACGGCTCGGGATGCTGAAGAGGCAAAATTGAATTGAAAAGAGGTACATGCGGATCCTCAGTTGGTCCTTGAACGCTTGCATGCTGGTCGTTGCTCTTCAAAAGTTCGGTGTCCGCAGGCTCACCGGTATCCACGGTTGGACCTGCAGTTCTGTCGCGATTCAAAGATTCCTGAATCGCTAATTCCATTTGTTGCTCCTCAGAGAGCAAGGTAGGATCCAGTTTTGGTGTTGGCTCCCTTACAGTAGGGTTTGTCGAGCCTGGATGCAGTGAAAATTGTGATAAGAAGACAGTCACTTCTTCGATAAATGAATGCAAATTTGGAACATCATGATTCCATTGTTTGACTCTCTCACCCGTGATGGGATCAAGAATGGCAATATGAGGCAGCTCTTCCTTGTCATGCGGACCGTAAAACTGAATATAAGGCTGTGCATTTTGAGAATCAAACTGGTACTGCAGAAAAATGAAGTTTTCTTTAACCAGCTTTTTCACATCTTTGTGTGCCCAAATGTCTCGATTGATTGCCTGGCACTGGAAAATATCCACAGCTTGAATGTTGATCATTATCCATTTCTGCCTCTCTCGTCCACGAATTTTCGCTCCATCTAAATCAACCTTGGCCATCATGTCAAAAGGTGGCTTGAAAAGCATAGCAAGCCTTTGTTCTTTGGTTACTGCGCGCGGCTTCCGGACAAGCTTTCTGTGTTCGCGTATTGCGCCATCTTCATCTATTTCCATAACTGTCTCCTCCTCGTAAACATGGTCGGATTCATAATTCTCTTCTTCTGAAAACTCGGAATCCTCGTCGCCCTCTTCTATGTTCAGTTGCTGATTGAAAATACCTTGTGGCCTAGTTTCGTCAAACATCCCTCTAACATGGCGCAAGGGTTCGAAGCGCCCTCCGACACCACCAAAAGTTGAGGAGAATACATGTGTGTCAACTAGAGCCTCATGGCGAGCTGGGTCCGGTGCCCTGTAACCGTCGTCATTCGGCTGTTCATCAAACTGCGAGTTCCCAGCAGGCAATATGCTGCTAGTGTTTGAGTTCCGATTGTTCAATTGGGCATTTCCGCCGTGTTCAAAAAAGAGAGAAATTGCTGTCTCCAAATTTCCGCCAGCCATCTCCAGGAAATGTTGAGCAAGTTCGCTGCTTTCAGCGCTGGTGATGGCCATAAAGGTGTCGATAGTGTCTTGTGACATTGCGAAGGGTCAGTTAGCGGGGTTGCTGTGAATACCAGTGATTATGTATTACCAATGTAGTAGGCAGTATGTCGATTATGAGGAACGCGCAATCGGCAGAATAGATGCTAATGTTGGGTGGCAAGACGTATTTCTTTCAACCATGTATTAATTCAGTTACCTTGTTGTAAGCGAAACGCAAGGTAACACAACACGAACACCACTATTTTATACCTAATATACACTGCTTAGCCTAATAGCCCCATTTTTCATCAGTTCGTAGCCTTTTTAGAAACCTTGCCTTGCTTTTTGGAACTGTTTGGTATTGTGCTCTCCGGTTGGGGAGCCTCTTTGCTCTCTTTTGGCTCGTCCGAGAATTTTGTGTGCTTTCCTTGGAAGTGGACTTTACTAATGGCAGGTGCGGAAGACCTGCCATCCAGAGCTGAACGAATCATATTCTTCGCCCGTTTCTGACTTTCTTCTTCCGCCTTTTCGCGATTAACTTCTTTTTGGTCAAGTTGACGAGCTAAGTCCATGTACTTCTTGACACGGCCTAACTCCTGCTTCACAGGGCCTAGGTCTTTAACATCATGTAACTTCAGGTATGCAAAGAGAAGAGATGACAAAACATAAGCGTACCGATTGGAAAGGTCTAGCTTGGCGCGATCATCTTTCAGCAACAGAAGCTGCTCATCGAGTGATTTTTCTGTAAACTTAGCAATTTCTGGACGTAGCTTCGCAAGTTGAGCATCTAAGTGCGCAATGTACGGTTTGATCTTGCCACTGTCATCCATTTAGTGTTGCTTGGAGGTCCCCTCGAGTTTGAATTATCGCTGCGATGAGCTTCCGTGCACTGAACTTGTGTTAAATTTTTAGGCATTCAATAAAAAAACTGCCAGTAGAGGAGGACAAGACAGAAAACAAAGAAGAGGGAGAAGAGAGAGAAAGAGAAGAGAGTGGATGTATCACAAGCTTAGCCAATAGCTGCATAGAAAAGTATATAAGTCCTCCGGAATATTCAGGCATGTGTGACTTGTCTCTTGTACAACGTCACCAAAACATGTGCTGCTCGTCACCGGCGATATTAGCAGATGGTTGACTATTCTAGCCTTGGGTTATTGAATGTATGGTGGCCAATGCTGGAGAGCGGATATCGTTTAATTTTCTCAATCTACAAAGTGTCTCGAAGTGGGGTCGCATTGCTCGATGGAACCTCATAAAGTGTAGCTGCGGGAGGTATTTTCTCTGATCAATCCTAAATACGTAGCTTTTCGCAGGCCATCTAAAGTCAGGAACTGCATTCCATACTTGTTTTTATTTGTACTTTTCTACCCTTTACGGTATCTCTGGATCGTATTTATGTTTAAATTGCAGACAGTAGAAGTGTGCTCTAAAGTGTTTGAGTTCGCAGCCTACATTTCGAGCGAAACATCCATTTGAAATTTGCTCCGGCAACCAGGGGGCGATCAGAGGATCTGTGTCCTATAGTTCTTAGCCTTCTGTTGTCCTATCACGCTTTAAGAATGGCAGGCTGCCCAATTAATATATAATGACATAAACATATAGATCATCATCGTTAGACGAGAGACAATTGCAGTTGAAACAAAAGAGCTGGTGGTAACCAAAAACGGCCGAGACACCAGTTGATTCTCAGTAACGACCATATCCAACGTCATTTCCTGTGAAGTCAAGACCATATCCCTATTTTATTCGAAAAATCTCCGTTCATTCACCGTGGTGCCCCTCTTCTTTACCCAGCCGTAAGCTCATAAATCCAGAATGACCAACCGTTCGCTTTGGCAAAGGCATAAGAACAAAGTGCTTTTCTCATCAGCCACTCTGGCTTTTATATTCAGTACAGGTGCGGTCTCTCTATACTTGATTAAAAAGTGGCTGTGGAGGCAGCAATTGAAACTCAACGAGCAGCAATTCGTCAAGGAACAAATCAAGCGCAGATTCAACCAAACACAACAAGATGCCCTATACACGATCTATGAGTTGGTGCCAGTGCTGTCACTCGTTTTGACGAAGGATCTGGATGTCGAGGAAATCGTGGCGTCTTTAAAGGGCAAGAAGCTGTCCAGGAGACTGTCACACGGGGCCAAGGGTACAGAGCACGATGGGCTCTCTTCAGGAATGAGCACGAGCATATCAGAGGCCGTCAAATCATCGGGGGACCCCTCTCACTCCGAGGACAAGAAAACTAAAGCTGAATTGTGGAACGACTTGAAGCTCAAGTCCCTTACAAAGCTTTGCACTGTAATTTATAGTGTTTCTTCTCTCTTGTTATTGACGAGATTGCAGCTGAACATACTCGCAAGGCGGGAATATTTGGAAACAGCGGTTAAAACTGCAGTCGAAAAGGAGTCTGCTGTACAAACCTCCCTTACATCTTGGATAACTAGTTTTTGGCAACATGAATCCCAAGCCCCCACTTTTAGCCAAGGTGTTGATAATAACAGCATCCATATATCGGAGGATGCACGCAAAGCTCGGAGATCCAGCTATATCAATGAGCAGGCATTTTTGTCTTTTTCCTGGTGGCTCCTCAACAGAGGATGGCTCCAGTACAAGGCATTAGCCGAGAAATTGGTTTTGCGCGAGTTCGGGCAACTCAATCCTCGCGACACTCTCACGGTCGAGGAGTTTGGAGAGAGGCTATCGCGAGTTCTACACGCTATTAATCAAGAAGTTCTTTCACATGCTGCGCCCCAAAGTGCTTCGACGGCAGGCAAACAGCCTTTGCAACAAATCCTGCTGCCAGAGTCTAACCTTCAGCAATTTGTCTTGCAGCAAACGCTCGATTCAGATGCTTTAAAACTGTTGTATGACGACAATGCCGTGCTGCATCAACTTTTGAACGAAACGAGTAACTGTGTTGAATCCACAGCGTCCTTGATTGTCTTAGAAAGCTTAATCAATGATGCATTTCAGTTTACCATGCTCCACGTCGAGGAAAACGTTTCCAAAAAGAATAAATCTAAGAGCTCAGCCGAAGCCTCCTCTTCAGAAAACGCAACCGCTCCTGCTGCGCCCTTAGCAGATGAAACTAAACATCAGATGGCCTTATTTTCGGTTTCCTGTAAAAATTGCTGTGATGAAATGTTGAAAAGTGGTGTTGTATCTATGAATAACGTGTTTTTGCAGAGGCTAGATTCAATCCCAGAGCTTGATGACCTCAGTGCGAGCGTTTACAGTAATTTTGGTTTCTAGGCGCCTCGTAAGGAAAGACCCTTAATTTGGCTAAAATAGTGTAATGGTTGAACAAATAAAGTAGTATAGTCATTTGCACAATCGACACGCCAACAAAGTATCAAGTGTCTGATAATATTGCTTGACCAACAACTAGAGACTGCATAATGAGCAAGGACAAAAAGCAGACCGTGGTTTTGGTTTCCGTTGAGGGGGAAAAGTTTACTGTGGAGCGAAAGATCGCAGAGAGGTCGCTTTTATTAAAGAACTACTTGAACGACATGCAGGACAGTGGGCTTCAAAGTGAGGGTAGTGACTCCGAGGAAGGAGAGGAGGACGATGAAGATGATGAAATTGTAATGCCCGTTCCCAACGTCAGGTCCTCGGTTTTACAAAAGGTGATTGAGTGGGCCGAGCATCACAAAGACTCTAATTTTCCTGACGAGAACGACGACGATGCCCGCAAGACTGCTCCTGCGGATCCTTGGGATCGGGAGTTTTTAAAAGTAGATCAGGAAATGCTGTACGAAATCATGCAGGCTGCCAATTACCTAAATATCAAGCCTCTTTTGGACGCAGGGTGCAAGGTTGTCGCGGAAATGATCCGCGGCAGAACTCCCGAGGAAATCAGGCGAACTTTTAACATCGTCAACGATTTTACGCCAGAAGAAGAAGCCGCCATTCGGCGCGAGAACGAATGGGCAGAGGATCGTTGAACTTGGTAAAGATGCTCGGATTCGAGATGTTTGTCAATTGCTTTCCTATGAGTAGAAAACACCGGTCCACTATTGACCTTCTCTTTGATCTTCGCACGTTAAAAGGTAGTCTACGCTGCTGCCTTCGTCGCAGCCGAATAAATACAGGAAAGTTACTCGAGTTTATATAAAGGCCGTATACCTAGAGAGAAAAACGAAGGAGGCATTCTTCGTCAAACTTTAAAATGGAACCGATTCGATTAGCTGGCAACCGCTCTAAAACAAGTTCGATATATGAGTAAACCAGGGTATAACGAAACGTGTACCATGACACTTGATGATTGCCCTCTTTGTTTGTTTGTGTCAACTTTATCGGGTTAATTTATGAGCTCTCTATATCATGAGCAGCAACTTTGAGTGATCTTTCAAGTAAGTTCATTAGCAAGTATTCGCCCAATTATCAAAATTGCGGTACTTCGTTTCCAGCATACGTTTTTTAGTGCCAAAGAACTGCCTGTCTCCAAGATTTCAAGTGTGTCTATCCAGCTCGAACTCTCACAACCAAACTAGTGAGCAAAAACTTAGTTGCTGGCCAGGGAATTCGTTGTATGCACCCCCTAGCTGCGAGCTTCTAGAAAGTGGACACCATACTGCTAGAAATTTGAGATGGCAGGACTGAATTTCTTTCGCAGAAAGAAAACGAAATCAGACGCTAAAAAAGGGAAAGTAACCGACAAGCAGCATGGGGTATCATCAGAAAGCGCCGGGAGGCACGGCGTAGCACGGAGGACAGTTAGGGATCGATCAGTGTCCAATCTGCAGGCGGAGCGCGACACAGGTGGGGTTTCCAAGCCTTCTAAAAATCCTTCAAACCGTAGTTTCAAGAATTACTCGGAAAAAAAACGACGAAGTCCCCCGTCTGAGAAACTGAAGCATCGTACATCTGAGATTGTAAAGTCCAAACTAGGTCATTTAAACTCCAGTCTTGATAGTTCCAAGGAAGGTAGCGAAAATAATAAAGCAAAGGGCGAATCTCCAAATAACTCTTACACCAATTTGGCATTTCATCCAGCAAGTTCTCAAACAGTCGACGGACAAACCATTACAAATCCTGAATCTGGAGCTAGCGGTCTCGGAGGTCAACAGGAAGACTCTGGTGGTTTTTTCACTAGCATCTTTTCCGCTGCACATTCAGCAGCGAATCATCTTCTAAACAAATCCAGTGGAAAGCTGTCATCTTCGGAGCCCGAAGTTAAAACCATACCCGAGAACCAACTGGATCTGAAACAGGAATCTCAAGAACAAAACCCCAACTCATCATTTTTGCAACATTTGGACTTTTTGCTATCTCCGGGACCTGTGAGCCAAAACCCCGATTCTAGTACCTTCTTGTCACCCAGTTCTAATTTGAACACACAGACAAAGTCTTCACTTGGAATTTCTTTAAGTAGACAATATTCTGGCATATCTGGTACCGCGAGTATTGCTGCAGGTGAGAATGATGGCACGTCGGTTGCTGAGACAGATTTGATATCTTCGGCGGAGGGAATTCATTTCCGTTCGCGTAAGGGAGAGTCTACCATAGCTACTCTGGGTAGGGGTAATTTGACATTGGATGCCCTCGCGGGCGCGAACTCTGATGATACTCCGCTGGATGCGGGTTCATCGAGGGAGAGTAGTGCCGCAGAACAAGTGTCACCTGCTCAGCACGGCAATTCCGTTAATGATCAAAGACAGAGAGGAAAAACACTTAATGCAATTGATCTTGGCGGAGTGCCTTTAAATGGTCCAAATTTCACGGTGGCACTTTCACCTGCCGTCAGTGATCCTGGTGGGCATGGAAATAAGTCGAAGGTTGTTCGGGGTGTTGAACCTCCTCAAGTTGATGCTATGAGCCAGCGCAACAACGATGTGTTAGAGAACGATCGCAGTTTTGTAAGACCCCAAAATGTTAACCAATTGACGCTGAGAACTATTCCTTCTAAAGGTATCAGAAATTCTATGCAAAGGATGAGGTCTCTGAGTTTGGGAGGCGAGCGCCAAATTCCATCTCCTTCCGTTTCTTCTGATGAGGAGCTGTCAAAGTCGGGTGAGAAAAATAAGAGGAATCGGCGCCTTTCAGCTCACATCTCTGAAAGGAAGATGGATGAATTTCATACCTTGTTTAGGGAGTCAGGTGTTACTCAAGGTGAGAAATTACTGGCCGACTACAGTTGCGCGCTTTCGCGAGATATTTTGCTGCAGGGCCGAATGTACATTTCGGCAGAACATGTTTGCTTTAATTCTAGCATTTTGGGATGGGTTACAAATGTTGTCATTCCATTCAAGGAAATAGTGCAAATTGAAAAAAGATCTACAGCGGGTATATTTCCTAACGGGATAATATTTCAAACCCTGCACTCGAAGTATATATTTGCATCGCTACTCTCTCGAGATGCAACATTTGACTACATCACGAACATATGGAATGAAACGGTTTCGGGCACAGGACGCAACAAGTCTTCGAACAGTTATCTTGAGAGCTCTTCTCTAAGGTCTAGCAATATTGGTTTGGACTCCAGCTTCGATAGTAAAATTCAACAGGATCACCAAACAATATCAGATCAATTTTCTAGCGATGAAGAAACATCAGAGGAGGAATACACAGAAGAAACGTCCGCTGCGGAGAGCGATTTGGGTGATTCTTCTTCTGAGATCGCCAATGGAGAATTTCGGATTGGCAAAAAATCGAAGATTTCTACCCTGGGGCCAACACAGCATGCACCCACTTCAGAAAATCTTCCAACTGCTAATGATGAGAGAGTTGTTGCCGAAACTGTCCTCGAAGCGCCTTTAGGTAAGGTGGTCAATATTTTGTTTGGCGACGATGTTTCTTTCATTAGAAGAATCTTACAAGCTCAAAAGAACTATGAGATTTCAAAAATTCCTGGCCTCATATCTTCTAAGGAAAGGACGTTCTCGTACACAAAACCATTAGGTGGTTCGATCGGACCGAGTAAAACCAGTTGTGAAATAACAGAAACGCTTGAACATTACGATTTAGACGATTATGTTAAAGCTGTTCAAGTATCCAAAACACCGGACGTACCCTCTGGAAATGCCTTTGTCGTCAAATCTACACTATATTTGTCATGGGCGCCTCGAAATTGCACAAAACTAATCGTTCTCGTGGCGGTAGATTGGGTAGGCAAGAGTTGGCTCAAGACTGCGATTGAGAAGGGCACCTTTGACGGTGTTACTGGCACCACAAAGATAATGATCGAAGAAATAAATAAGATAATCCACAAGGAAGAGGGAAGTTCAACGACTAGTCCAACAACTGGAGGGGAAAGCGAAGGCTGGAATTTACCGTCAAAAGGGCCCCAGGAACATGACAAGACAGAGCCAGGTTACACTAAGGAGGATGGAGATGTTGTTATTAATGACGCTGTAACCGTACCAGCCCCTCTAGGAACTGTGTTCCAGCTGCTGTTCGGCGATGATGTATCTTACCTGGAAAAAATTCTTGAAGCCCAAGGCAACTTCGATATATCAAGCATTCCAAAATTCAAGAATGACGTTAGAGAGTATCAATTTACCAAGCCTCTGAGTGGCCCAGTGGGCCCGAAGAAAACCAAATGTTTCATAGAGGAGAAAATAGTGTTCAACGATTTCGAGGACCAAATAGTCGTCAAACAAACGACAAGGACTCCTGACGTTCCTTCTGGATCTTCCTTTTCCGTCGAGACTAGGTTTTATCTGCATTGGGGCGCAAATAATTGCACTCGCATATTTGTAGTCTCTAATGTGATATGGACCTCTAAAAGCTGGATCAAAGGTGCTGTGGAAAAGGGTTCGATAGATGGTCAGAAAGCCTCTATCAGAGTCATGCAACAAGAGCTTAAAAACATCATTGCAAATGCTGGCAGAGTTAAGAAGACGCCAAATAAGAAGGCGACCAAAGCGAAGATAACGAGAGCAAAAGCATCAAACGAAAAGCCTGGGCCCGAAAGCCCTAAAGGATTTAATCCAAAGACTATTTTCAATTGGATATCGTCTCTATCGTTGACGTACCAAATATTGGGCGTTATCATTTTGTTTTTGGGGCTAGTTGCGCTTTTCACACATTCGACCAATAGAGAGACCAATAATTTCCGTATCATAGGGCCTGGGCAGATTGCCATTGGAGGCGAGACCTACAATTACGCACCAACTCTCAATACCCTATATGGTGCCTACGAACAACAGGCTCGCTCTGCTCGTCGCACTTCTCAAGCCCAGAACATTGTGCTCAACTCCGAGGGTCAGCTGTGGGAGTGGATACAAGATCGCGGAACTATCTTACAGGACAACCGCTCCCAGCACTATTCGAAAAAGTGGCTGACGACTCACAAACGCCAGGACGTGCAGGAAGCGATTCGATTGGCCGAATCTAAACTCAGAGAGCTAAAGCTGCTTTTGGAAGATTCAGAATAATGATCTCTATACAGAAGCAACTGAAGATTGGCTGACGATTAACACTTGGTCGTAGATGCTTAACACTGCTAGCGTCCAGTCCCTCGAATGGGAATTGGTATCGTAATATACGTACTATACAATTTAATTCGAATAACTTTAGTGCAATGGCGGCTAAGTGTTGACTTGAGCGTACAATCAACAATTGATAATCGGGGCCCTGAAACTCAATCTTAGCAACTTTACCTGGAGATCAATGAACAATACCACCTCAGCAAGAACAACGAAACTGGATGCTGAGCTGAGTCGACTTCAGGGTGAACATAATGAATTGCAGAGAAGGTTTCACGAATTGAGCAGGATGCTTAATATGTATGCAGCAACTGGATTTAAGCCATGGGAGAAATGATGCTAACTTAAACCTCTAGTGATTCAACTCCGGAACTTGTTATGAAGAAACATATCACAGATCTCAAGAAGTACAACGAATTGAGGGACACAGGTTTAGGGCTAACCCAGATCATCGCAAATGAGAAAAAGTGCAAAATCAAAGAAGTTTTTGAAGAAATGGGCTACGACATGCAAGACCGGCCTTGATCCGTGTTGCAAAGTATTGCTTTGCATAGCACGGTGGGATATTATTGCTGAAGAGATTCAAAAAATACAAAGCTCAAGCAATTTAAGGCTGCAATTAGCTGGCGAGTTGTGGTACACTAGTTTTAGGACTTTTTATTTTGTTATGAATAAGGATGCTGGGCGGTCAAACACTGAAACCATTGATTCAAACATGACCGGAGAATGAGGATTGGGCATTTAGCACCAGACAAGCCTAATTACGGCGTGGGCATTAACAACCTTGAGGGCCCGAGCCAGACATCACACTGTCCGGGTTTGGTTGAATGCATTGGTTAGCAAAATCCGTTGAGGTGGTTAGGCGCAGAAATCGATCAGCAAACAAAGATAAGAGAGAAAAGCCAAAAAGAGAATAGAATATGCTTAAAAATTGGATAACATCCCCTGATATGACCAAGACTATCCCGGCTACAGCGAGCCGGATACAGGATTCCGCTGAAGCTACTAATTGTATATCACTACTAACGTAAGTAGTGTACTTTGTTGATAATTGATTAAAGATCTGGAGAACGAAGGAACTTTTGAAGAACAGAAGACGGTTCGTCATTCAGTCAGTCACATTCACTTTCGTGGAACAGATTCGGGGAGATTAGATGCATCTTTAGGCTTGAGATTTGTGGACTGGTCAACGATTTTTTATAAAGCTTTTGATTTCCTATAATCTGCTGTAGTGGTTTTTATCAGCTAGGTTGCGAAACTCCGAGCATGAAACGGCCGAAAGGCGTGAAGTTGCCATTCATTTTCCTATGGGTATCAATATTGTGTACTCAGTATGCTTTGGCTGGGTGGTTTGAGTGGGGTCAGGGTAGGACTGCTGTTTCGAGCGAGACAAAAACTCTAGTTGTTGACACCGTCCACCCTGAAGTCCACACTGCCAAACCTATTGTCTTTAGAAAGCAAAAACCCGGCCGAGATGCGACCAACACAATCACAACAAGTGTGAATGGAGCAAAAGAGACGCCTTATCAGTCATACAGTAGCTTGCGCGGCGTACAAGGAATATCCCATTCTTCGTCATCGAAGACTGGTGTTTCACTGCTCTTAAATGAGAGGAGCACCGATATGCTTGAACTGATGGATGTATTAATTGCTACAGACTTAGACGGAGGTATTCATGCCTTGAATAGAAATACGGGAAAAATTATATGGTCTACCACAAATGCCACTCATCCTGTGATATCGGTATTGGAACCCCCAGGTGTGAAAAATGAAACACTAATCGTGGAGCCATATGGTGATGGTAACATTTATTATTACAATATTTTCCAGGGCCTTCAAAAGCTTCCTATTTCCATCAAGCACCTCGTTGATGTCTCCCCACTGGATTTAAAAACAAAAATTGTCGTTGATGAGGAAGGTACCTTAGTAGATGACGAAAAAATTTACGCTGGTGCGCGCCAATCTGCGGTTTATAGCTTCGACTTGAAGACAGGACAAAAGATATCTGAATATGGACCCGGTACAAACAATAAAATATATGACGAGTCCAAGAGCTCTTGCACCAGTGACTATCTGAATAATTCAGATTGCGATGATGTTTTTGTTATTGGAATATCAACTTATCAATTGAGCATCTATAATAGACAAGGCATGGTTTACAATGTGACCTATGGAGCGTGGCAACATAATGCAGCAGACACTAAACTCGCTTCCGAATACAAACGCCCATCAGATGGAATTTCAATTGCTCCTTTCGATGAAAAATCATTGTTAGCTGTTGAATCGGATCTCAATTACGCGAAATGGATCTCACCACCATTACCCAATACAATCAACAACATATTTGATTTATTCGTGGACAAGATAACGAATGAAAAGATTATTTTACCACATCCCCTGGGCCATCATTCAAGGCATCGCGGAGGAAACAAAGTTTTGTTGGGACTGTCATCTCAAAATTGTCTCTTTGCGATGTCCGACGTATTTTATCCATCTTTGGTGGATTCTTCATCACCTTCAGTTCATCTCAAAGGCAATCCTAAGGAAAGGATATCGTCATCCTCTCCCGATTTCGTTCCAGACTCGATCCTGGGTGTCCATGAGCTTTCGAGCCTTCAATTTGAGGAAATAATCAAAGACCAACCATCATCTGCCCAGAAATCTCTCCCGGGCAATTCAATGTTCCTGCTAGATGGGCCAAAAAGGTCACCCAAAGACGTAAAAGGTCTCATTACCGAAGAACGGCCTCCAAACTCCCTTGAAAGATACATATCCAGGGAAGAGCTTCTGTCTTTGAGATTAGAGGCCCAGGAAAAATTAGCGGAAGAGCTACTTCACAACCACCAAAAATCATTCACCTACAGAATTGCCAATTTTATCTACAGGGTAGTGGAAGGGGGACTAATGCTGGTATTTTCTTTTTTTGTCCTAGGGCTAATGGCCAAATTTAAGATGGTAGCGCCTTTACACCATTTTCTGGAGCGCAGTGGATTTTTGAAAGGTGCAGACTTGAAGGAAAGTAAAATAAAAATTGGCGAGGGCTCCGGCTCAGGTTCTCGAGAACCTTCTACTCTAGAAGATTCACCTGGTAAGCATGTGAAGGTCATTGAGGCTACCGAAGATGTCGACTTCCTTCATAAGGAGAACTCTTCAGATACAAAGAAACGTAAGAGGGGATCCCGAGGTGGTAGAAAACAAAAGAAGCAAACCAGTACAGATGCAGTAGAAGAATTAGGAAGGGCAGAAGACTTCGAAAGTCAAACCAATTTGAAGCATTTAACCGTATCGAACAAAATCCTTGGGTACGGATCTTCTGGAACAATTGTTTTTCAAGGGACATTTCAACACAGACCGGTAGCTGTCAAAAGGATGCTTATCGATTTTTTTGATATTGGGACGCAAGAGATTAAGTTACTTACAGAAAGTGATCATCATCCCAATGTTGTACGATATTACTGTTCGGAGTCTTCCGGCAGATTTCTCTATATTGCGCTAGAGCTTTGCATGTCCACTTTAGAAGATGTGGTGGAAGGAAGAGAGATCAACTCAAAGGTTCTTGAGGCCCGTAAGTCGCTAGATCCGCTCAATGTTTTGTCACAAATTGCTCAAGGTGTTGCACATTTGCACTCAATGAATATAGTTCACAGAGACTTGAAACCTCAAAATATTTTGGTTGCCCCAACGCGAAAATATTTGCAACATCTGGATCACAAATTGTCTTCAATGCGCGTGCTGATATCAGATTTTGGGTTGTGCAAGCGATTGGAAACGGATCAATCATCGTTCCACACTAAGAACGGTAATGCTTCCGGAACAAGTGGATGGAAAGCACCTGAGCTTTTAGATGGACGTGGTGGGCAGGACAGCGAGTTTTATTCGAAGGATCAAGATCTTTCCATCTGTGATCCCCTGGATGGCAAGCGTTTGACGACAGCTATTGACGTGTTCTCAATGGGATGTATATTTTATTATGTGCTCTCCAAGGGCGGGCATCCTTTTGGGGATAAATATTCTCGAGATGCAAGTATTTTGAAGGGACAGTATTCGATTGATGGGATAAAAAAAACTCTCAAAGATAGATTTGCGATAGTTGAAGCTAATGATCTATTGACACAAATGCTGTCAACCAAGGCGAGTAGGAGGCCGCCGGCGGCTGAGGTCCTGAAACATCCCCTCTTCTGGCCGCTTTCCAAAAAGCTGGAATTTCTTCTCAAGGTGAGTGACCGTTTTGAAATTGAGAGGCGGGTACCTCCAAGTGACCTTTTGCTCGAACTTGAGGCAGTTTCTGAACGTGTAATACCCAATCGTGATTGGGCAAGCAAGTTTGATCCTGTTTTCATGGAAAACCTAGGAAAATACAGAAAATACAACGGGGATAAACTAATGGATCTACTGAGGGCTTTTCGTAACAAATACCACCACTTTATGGATCTGCCACCAGAGCTTGCTGAGGTCATGAGCCCCATACCGGACGGTTTCTATCTCTACTTTGCTAGGAGGTTTCCTCGCTTACTGATAGAAATATACTTTGTTGTACAGGAGCATTTGAGGGACGACCAGATCCTAGGCATTTACTTTTAAGGGACCTGAGCGCTTCAAGGTATTGAAGCACGCAACCCTGCATCATACTAGCATATCATTATTAATAGAACGAAACTAATTTGTTTAACGGGCATCGCCTTATTTTATCAAGGCAGCACATCACCTATGCATATTCATTCCTCTCATTGTTGTCATCATAGTCAGCATCTTCTGATTGCGTATAGATAGAGGAATCATCCTGACCGGCAGCGTTATCATCTGGCAGAATGAAGCTGACAAGTCGACTGCTCTTTTCAAGATCTGAATTAAATTCAGATGCTGTATTTTCGCTCCTCTTTCTTTTCCTATTAGGCAATATTTCCGACGTTCCTGACGTTCCTGACGTTTCTAGTGTTAAGCCAATTTCTTCAGGCATGGCTGTATTTGCTTCTTGTTCAGGAACAAGAGCAGCGTCCTTCAAGAGATCCTGTGAAACTGCCCTCGACGTTCCTTGGGCAGGCTCATGATGAGTGGTGCTCCCATTGTCGCTCGAAAATCGATCATCAATCTCATCATCCGAGTGATGCTTCTCCTGATCTCCTCTAGTTTTCATAAAATCTGTCAAAGAAGCTAAAAATTTTGTAATAGAGTTTCGGGACGAAGAGTCAATGTCGTCATTGTCCAAGATATCTTCCAAAACTTCAGAAGCTTCTTTCCACTTCGCCATATCGCTACCATTAAAGCCAAATCTGTTTATATTAGTCAGTATCATTTTCTTGACATCTTTCCGTTCCAGTTTATAATACATCTTCAGAACTGCTACCAGGAAATCCAATTGAGAATCTTCAGTCTCATTTATATTTTCTGTTTGATTCACAACCTTATTTGGGTCTGTCCAATCGATGAGTTCCTGAAAAATCAGACTTGGCTTCAACATGGTGGGCGTGACTATAGTATCGTCTGTATTTGTCTGAACCTCATCCCATAGAACGGAAAGTCTCAAAAGAACGTCGCCTGCGACTCGAACCATTCGTTTCTGGTGTTGAATGTGAGAAAAACAATACACTGGGAGGCAGAATGCGAAAGCCTGTACCAAGGCTTCGTTTTGGGAATTAGCCGGCGAAAAATAAGATAGTACAAGTGTCTCAAAGAGGTCATCGTCAGTAAAAACGTCTCCCAGAAAAAGCTTACACAGACCTTCCGCGACAATCGCTTGGCATTCAGGAATCTTACAATTCTTTAAAGTCTTGTAAAATATTTTGTGTAACGATATGGAGTCGACTTTTCCCTCTCCGTCAACAACTTTGAGGCCATGTATCGAGAAAATATCAAATATGACTTGTAGTGCAATATTCTTCAAGCTTGCGTCACCTTTCGATACACACATCCCAAAGAGATATAAACTTTCAGTTGCAAGCTTAACGTCCATCAGACAACATAGCCCTAGATTGCGAACACCTAGCTCCCTTACTTCTGCCTGAGTGTTTCTTACAGCAGGCGTTATGAGGGTTTCAATCAAAGACGTTACCATAATGTTGTCCTCTATTGGAGACAAGACCAATTCGAGCATGCATTGGGACATAGTAAGACATGCAATTAGCGCCTTGGAGCTCGCTTCTCGTTCAGTGGCGAGCAAACGAGCACCCTGGTCTGGTACTGTATTTCCGTTCACCAAGTCATCTACGGCAGAGTGAAATGATTCCATCTCTTCATCGTCTTGTTCGTCTTGAGCTTCTACAGCCAAAGACTTTTTGTTCGTTTCTTGAATTTCTTGTTTTTCGATGTCCTCATCGCGAATATCGGTGATGATCTCAACAGTCATGGCTATAAAATCACGCTCATTGATGGACAGAACCTCCAAAACTTTCAGTGAAGTTTTTACTAAGGTGGGGCTGAGTTGATGTTTTGCTAAGGAATTACGAATCACTATCAGCATCGCCCGTCTTCCAACCTCATCGCTATAATCATACCTGACAGCCACCGTGAGTACCTGCTCAATGATAAATTCCAGGCAATGAACGTCATGTGCAGATAGATCAACTTTTGTGAAGCGAGTATCAAGATACTTTTGCAAGTATGCTGACAGTTTTGAGGCTTCTGGGAAATTGGCATCCACAACATCGTCCAACTTGTACTGCAAACAGTGAGAGTGAAAGGCTTTGATCAAAAACGATACTTCGGCGGTTAGGTCTTGCCAGATGTCTTCTGGTAGTTTAATCTTGGAAACCGTATCATCTCGATAACTAAAGATTGCATCCATAACTTTTGCACAGACGGTATTTCTAGTCACGTCCAATTCAACCAATAATTTAATGATGTCTCCGTTCATTATGTTCAGCCAGTCAAGCGCTACTAACCGAGAGCACGCATTCCGAACATTTTCCTCACGGTCCTCCAGACCATAAGTTATAAGCTTCCCAATAACCGCAATATCGAGCTTCTGAAATACACTAGCTCCCATGTTTTTCAGAACCCTAGAATACACTATTCGTCGATTTATGGGATTAACGTCCCGAGCTCTTTCCATGATCAATTCTTGTGTCCTGTCCGTGCTGACCAGATTCAGCATCGCAGCACGCCTAACTTCTGCACTCGGATCATTTTGGATTGCGTGCATCAATTTTCCTGTGGCATCATCTACTGTGTCCGAAGTGCTTTCCTCGTCTTGAAATTTCGTTAAGCAAAAGATGGACTGAATGCGCACGAATGGTTCCTTGTCGTAGACTCTTTTCTGAAATGACCACATAATCAAATTGTAAAGATCTTCGTCAATTTCACCTATGTTGTCCATGATAACAGCCAGAAGCTGTGTTACTCTGTAGCGAACGTTTTTATCTCGAGATTCGATCCCACGTAAGATATGCCTTACAAACTGGTTCACAAACCTGGAGAAGACCTCATCTTGTTTACTGTGTTCTTCCCTACTTTCCTTTTGAGTCTCTAAATCGTTTTCCAGGCTGGCCACAAACCCGGCCACAAGTCTCACAATTCGATCCCCAACGATTTCAGTCCTCTTAAGTGGCAAGACTAAAGTAACCATCTTATTGAACCAGTAATTGAATATTTCCTCATACCCTTTCTGCACTGCCTTCGCTTGGATCCGCTTCAAGACCGCGATATGCCTCCTGTGTCCTGCATACGTTGATTGGGCTGTTTGGAAAACGTCCGCAATGGCTCGCAAAATTTTAGTGTTTGTTGAATCTTGTGATTCTAAACCATTAATACTACTATCCGATACATTAGACATCGGTTGAAACTGTAGTTTAGAAGATTAGCGAGGTTGGGCCATTGTATGTTTGGTGAGACCACAACACATCATCGATCTCATTTATCGTGACTTTCGTGGTTAATGCTCAGAGTCGCCGTAATATTCAAACAAACTGACATCAAGCACAAAAAGTGCTTCGATTGTCATGAACCAGGGATTTTCGAGCCCCAGGACCCGTGGATTTGTGTGTAGAAGTTTAAATAAACTTCGGTCAGGTTTTTGGCCTTTCATTTGGTTAAATGTCGGAAAACTGCCAGCACGGCTCAGAAGGGAAACATATCTTCGACGCAAGGAACCTCATAGCCACGCGCAGAGTCTACAACTGTTTCTGATCGAGCAAGGAGACGAAACCCCTCAAATGGTAGAAATTTGCCTCAACCCTCGAGATGACTGGCGCTCCCTTAGATATGCTGTAAAAAGTGATTTGTGCTTAAGCATTGCGCAACTCTCAAAGGCTCAAGCAAAGCACAGTCAAACGTTATAGACAGAGCACAGAATTAGAGCTGTACTCGTAATGGCAGAGAACCTAAATGGTTGTTACTTGACTAGGTCATTTTGTTATCATGTTTTTCCAAAGTGACGCGAAGTATTAGAAAATTTTTCAAAACAGTTAAAGTTCATCTGCAGCTGCATCTCATCTCACTTGAAGCTCATCGCGAACAAGAAGTCGAGGTCCCTACAAGAGTTAAAATGACTCAAGGCAAAGCTAGTATGCTTGTACATAGAGCCCGTTTTGTGGATTTCAACGGTGCCAATATCACGGCCCTTGCATTTTCTGAAGTGTCCAAACTAGAGAAGCGAACTCCATCCGACCTGAGATTGGCACTTGGCCGATCCAATGGAGACATTGAAATTTGGAATCCGCGCAATGGTTGGTGCCAGGAGCTTGTGATACAAGGTGGTAGCGATCGTACTATAGAAGGACTCGCCTGGAGTAATGTACCGGGAGAACCGCTGCGTCTTTTTTCCATCGGTGGGTCCACGGTGGTGACAGAATGGGATTTGAAAACCGGTCTTCCTTTGATGAATTACGACTGCAATGGTGGCGTGATTTGGTCTATAGCACTCAGTGCGTCACAAACAAAGCTAGCTGTTGGGTGTGACAATGGGTGCGTAGTTATAATTGACATATCTGGAGGTGCTGGTGTGATGGAACACGAGACTGTTTTACAAAGACAAGATTCCCGTGTCCTTTCTGTGGCCTGGAAGGAAGATGACTCTGTTATTGGCGGCTGTGCAGATGGGAGAATACGAGTGTGGAAGGTAGCGAAGCAAGAAGAAATTAGGGGCCGTATTGTCCAAACCATGAAAGTCGACAAATCAAAAAAAGAATCTACGCTCGTATGGTCCGTGATATATTTACCTAAAATAAACCAAGTTGTCTCGGGCGACTCGACGGGGTCCGTTAAATTTTGGGACTTTCAGTACGGCACCCTCAGTCAAACGTTCAAAGCGCATGCAGCAGACGTGCTCTGTCTTACTTGCGATGAATCTCATGAAAAGGTTTTCAGCGCTGGAGTGGACCGCAAGATATATCAATATGCTCTCAGCCCCTCCACCTCAACAAAAAAAAGTTCAAAATGGGTTGTAGCGTCTAATAGATTGTTGCATTCAAACGACGTTAGAGCATTGGCCTCATATCAATCAAAGGGTGCTGATTTTCTGGCTTCCGGCGGTGTCGAGAAAAACTTGATAATCAGTTCTGTTTCGTCGTTTTCGGACGGCAGCTACAAAAAAGTATCTTACGCCACACCTTTTCACAAGAGGGTGTTGATCAACGCAGAGCAGCGTTTATGTGTGGCGTGGCAGCAATCTACTGTCAAGGTATGGATTGTAGGTGCCGGACCAGAGGAGGAAAGGACTTATAAACTGGTCTGCAAGCTGACTTTGAAGGACGAGCAGAACATCTCCACTTGCGCAATGTCTCCAGACGGCCAGGTTCTTGTGGTAGGCCGACCAAATACTACAAAGTTGTTCCACTTACAACCTTTCAACGGAAAATTGAAGGTCACTAAGCTAGACAATGAATTTCTTCTAAAAACTGGTATCAAACAAGCCAAATTCATTGATAACTCCAGTCTTGTTCTAGTCTCGGCTAAAGACGAGGTTTTGTCATTGAACCTGGAAGACGACGAAGCTGACGAGGAGCCCACAGAGTTTGTGGTTCCCGAGCTACCAGAAACCAAATCTGCGATGAAACTCCCTCACATAACTGCCATCAATCATTTGGACATTCGCGGTTCATTTGCAGTGGTATCTCGTATCTGTGGCGAAGTCTATATGATTGACCTCAAAGATAACTCTGTTGTGACTGTTGCCCGTATCATGAATTTCATCACCGCTCTTCATATCACGAACAAATGTACAGTCGTTATCACAACCGCAGAAAACAGAATTCTTGAATTCTCGCTCAAAGAATCAGAGGAGTCAGGTATTGGGGCAATGTCTGACTGGTGTAAAAAGAACAAAGACCACTTACCTAAAGAGTTGGAAAACGCGAAATCGAAATTCTTAGGGATTTTTAGCTCAGAGGAGCGGATATGGCTATGGGGGTATAACTGTCTGGCAAGCTTTGACTTAACGCAGGATCTACCAGTCAGTAACAGGAAGAGACCCAAGAAGCATAAGATAGATGGAAATACTGTGACTGACAAGAGCAACTACATAGATGCCAATGGTGAAGAGGAAGAAGATGACGAGGAAGAAGCCGAAGACACACAATCGTTTATGAGAGACAGGTCAGCAGATACAACTGAAGGGAATAGGTTTACGAAGGACAGCAAAGCCTATTTTTTCACGGAAAACTACAAATCGGTCTTATTGGCAAATGTTTTTGCTGAGAAGGAGATCGTCATTATGGAGGCCCCCTTCACCTCCAAAAAGGCTTCGCTGGCCGCTTTTGACTTGCCTAAATTAGTCTTCTAGCTAGCACAATGCATTTATCTACAAATACTTATTAATCATGAGTAATGATTTGTAGCCCTGTTCTCTGCGACCCTTATACCCACGAAAGTAAGTAATGAGCTTACTGCAAACATTTTGTCAAACCATACATCAAGTATTACGTTGGGAACGCCAAAACTTGCACCAAGCATTCGATTTAGACGTTCATTCACATCCATAGGCAAATTGGAACGAATCATTAAAATGGTCGCGAGGACATAAATTCCGGTGAGCTCAGATATAAGCAGGTTTTTGATAACAGATGGGTTTCTCAATCTTCTGAGCGAATCTTTGTTTGATTTAGGAAGCACGACCTCTGAAGCATCTTTGGTCATAGTTCTCAGTGCCAAAATTTGAATTCTGTGCGGCAGAAGCGTTGTTAAGTACGACACTGTGGTCACGACTGTTGAAACGGAGCAGCCAAACAGGGAAACTGACAGGATCATCGAAATTTGTTTGACAAGAAAATCCTGTCCTTCTTGGTGTTTGAAGCGAAAAAACAGGAAGTTCAAAATTTTTGACAGTGTTACCGCCAACGGATCGGCAACTTTTGTTGAGCCATCGGCGGAACCGCCAAAGTGTCTGTAGTCATAGTCGTTCGGGTAATAGTATGTGTGGGCAACCATCGCAGGAATTTTGATTAACGCGGTCGATAGCAGTTTGTAGACACAGTATACCAGAAACGAAAGCTGAACTCCCTGCTTCAGTAAACGTACGAACTTCGGATCTCTGGAACTTTGTTCTAGCTTTGCTAAGTCTAATTGAAGTGTGCTAATCTGGTCAACGAGTTGCTGCCTTACAACAGAGTTTGTTCCCCCGGGTTCTCGTTCCACCTTGCGCAAGAGAATTAGATTCTCCTGGATCTTTTGATCACACTCCCTCTTTTTCTCCATCAACACAACCTCGTCCAGTAACAAAACGCGAATGTTGTTGGGCGCGGTATTAGAGACTACCCCAGTTCGCTTTTGCCAAAAAAACTGCACCACGTAATACGGTGTCGACAGGGAGGCCACTCCAGAGAGCGTTGCCATGATACTAACCCCAATAACAGATACTTTGGTCAGAAGGCTAGTTGACGCACCAAAGGGCCCCCAATTGAGTCCTGTCAAACAATATATCCAAGTTAGGATCAATGCACAGGAAACCATTGTTAAATAATCAACACCCATTCTATCACCATAAAACTTATTGAGCATCGTTAACAAGATCAAAAATGGTTGCACCAAAATTAGAATCAGGCCAAGTGCTACCGAATCAATCAGCCATACAAAAGCCCCAATTCCAGCACTGTTAAAATTGCTATCTTCGGCCACTAAAATTTGCCACAATGTCAGTTCCACAGCGACCAAACACAGGGCAAATGTCGAAGCAAACAGAACTCTTACAAACTTTCCCATGTTGCGTGATGAAATTGAGAAATGGCTGTAGAACTTGGATATAAAGCCGGCCTTATGGCCCTGAACTATACTCATGTCCATCATTTCGCTAATTACACCTGGACCACCAATGTCAAAGACCTCTTGAGCCCTGAACCATAAAAAAGTATAGCAAACTCTGGAGCATACTCCAAATGATATGGCCAATATTATAGTAAGAGCTAGGTCATTGGAATTCATCAGCACTTTGCATATCGTTGCCTTCACTTTTGGTATATTTATCCATATATTTATATAACTAAATTCAATATCCCAAGTCAACTAACAAGAAGCAGATTTAAGCTCAACACAAATTTGAGGCATGCTGGGCTCAATATGGATATAATCGAAGGGCCACGGTTTTTGGGTGGATTTGAAAGTGAGAATGACGTAGGAAATGTTTGTCCAGTATGTAATGAAGTCTCTAAAGACCTGTTGCAGTTGAACATCCATTTAGATGTAGTTCATGGGTTTTCGGAACAGAGCTCAGATACTGGAGGGTTAAATACCCCCATTTGGGATGGTAATAAAGCAGTTGATCAAAAGAGGTCTACCAAAAAGCCCAAATTTGTCCTGCAAAGGTCCCACTGGGCCAAAATGAATAAGGGCCAAAGCCGATGCTCAGAATGTAACGTAAAACTACACACTTCTACTGGGATCATAAACTGTCGCCATTGTGGACAGCTATTTTGCTTCAAACACTGCCAGAATGCCATGAGACTCAATGAACAAGCAGCGTATGACATCGAGAGGGGTGAGTGGTGTAGGTGCTGCCGCAATTGCTCCTTGAAAAAGCTTGGCCGTAACAGTTTTGGCGCTGTGGAGAGTAAAACCGATGTATTTCTGAAGCTCAGACGCTCGAAAGTAGAAGATAAACAACTATTGCTTCTGCAGCTTGAAAATAGGTTTGTGAGATTGATTAACGGGATCACACACGTCAATTTGAAGCACCGAGACAGTATTCTGGGTTCCGTCAGGAAAGCTGCAGAAATTTCGCGCCTCGAAAAGAGTATTGTTCCCTGGGTTCCAGATCAATTTGCTCTAGCTTGCAGTTTATGTTTCAAGGGTTTTGGGGTAACGTTGCGTAAGCACCACTGCAGGCTCTGTGGGAAGGTAGTTTGCGATGATGGTGCAACGAATTGCTCGAACCAAATTCCCATTACCAACATGATTAATGCGGCAGCAGACCTCCCCATTCGACTTCCACCTGAGTTGGAAATCTCTGAATTAAGCACGCAAATACGGGTATGTTCGATGTGCTCTCAGTTTCTCTTTAAAAATCGTAAATTTGACGCTGAACTTGCTATGCCTTTGTCTACCATCTTTCAGCTCTACGAAAGGATGCATGGCACCGCAGCCATTATTATTTCGGCTACTCAGAGTCTCAAAGAGGCCACGACCGAACAATCATATGAAGACGCCAAATCACCAAATGCGAGTGATGTCGCTAAACTTTCTAGAGCTCGACGCAGGTTGCTAGATTCCTTCGCGGGATACGACAGAATCACCAAACAAATTTTAAACAGCCATGCCAGAAACCCAACTGAGGCGCGGATCCAATCATCTATTGTATCACAGGCCTCTCTATTTATACAGCAGAACATGCTACCGTTGAAAAATTTAACATCTCACCTAGCATCACAAATCGAGTCATCACAGGAACCTTCACCAGAAGCTACATCTAATGCAATCAGTGGGCGGTCGAGCAACAACCTCACTATCCAGGAAGTGAAGGAATATCGCACCCAACTGATGGTCCTGAACGAACAGAAGTACTTGGTTGAAAATATGATTGCTAATGCCACGAAGCAACGTAAGTTTGAAGAAGCTACGACCTTAAGCAAGAATCTCGAGGAGCTCAAATTGCAGGCTGGGGAATTAAGTAACCTCCTGGGAGACGAAGGATTCAGTTGAAGATTTGACTAAACAAACGCTATATAATAGTTGCAGCACTGATGACAGCTGAAATTGTTGGTAGAGAGTTTGCTCAAGGGGTCAATGAGATGGTTACTCTCCTTGGCGGTACGAGGGAAAATTCTTTTTCAATTGCAACTTCGGTGGACTATAAACCTCCGATCCTCAAGAGTATCCTTCTCCGTTTGTGACTAAACACATAGCAAGTATTTGATATGGGAAATTCGAATAGAAAACAAACCCCTTCTGTTCTGTATTGTAATATCTATCTAACTACCTTGTTCATAATCTTCTGAGCCAGAGTCAGTTCATTACCTTTAACAAGTGCTCTTTACTTGCGACATCGGAAAGTAGGGCGAGTCTAATGCTCCCCGCTACTAAAGTTGATGAGCCAAGCAACTATGATAAGGTTTCAAGAGTGAGAGATTTGTAACATAATTGTATCATTCAGCATAGCAGTGAATTCTATGATGTGTCGTTACCACCATGCGCAAGGTTTTAACATGAATTTGAAGCTTGTCTTGGGCTGCATTGGTTATAAGTGTATGTAACAAGAAGGCCAGTTTGGTGATTGAATTCAAGTACACAAAAGTGTGCGAGATGATCCACTATATCTTTGAGTGCGCGATGATGCGGCTTCAATCCAGTATCCTAGGAAGCTGTCATCATACACTAAGGCTAGAATAATTTAAATGAATAATATTGAAGAGAGCACCAGTTTAAGTAAAGCTACAATAACCTAGAAAACTGCAGCATAGTGAATTTTGACACTAAGCTATGAATGTAAGTTAGGAAGCGAGCCATGAAAGCTTGATAGTTTTGTCTTAAATACGAAACTAACGATTGTATTTAATTATGAGTAGGATGAAAGGAGCCAGAAGTTATTGGAGCTAAACAACAAAGCATGGGATGGTGAGTTAAATTTACCACAAGCAGGAAAGAAACTTGACTCAAGTATAAAGAGAAATACTGGGTTCATCCGGAAACTGAAATTGGGTATTTCCAAAGATTCCAAAACATCACTCTTGAAAGATATAGAAGAAGTATCGCTTGAGAAATACTTATCCGAACTAGTGGTTGTGGCAAATGAGGGTCTTGGTAAATTTTCTGGAAAAAGCGATGATATCGAGGCGTGCGTAGAGGTCATGAGTTCTCTACATCAGCGTTTTGGATATAGCTTTACACCCCCATTGATGGAACTCTTCCTACACAACTTTACAACACTGTCAATTGAATGTGACTCAGAGAAAGAAGAGCAGTTAAAAATATCCAGACTGCGAGCCCATATGAGGCTTTTCACGGAACTTTATCTTGTGGGGCTTTTCAATAGTTTGGATCGATTATCAAAGGATAACTTGCCGCCATTCATAGCAAAGAAATTGGGGAGAAAAGAGCCAATTTTATTTACTATTCTCAAGGAGGTCTTGAACTATCGCTTTAAAACTGGCTTGACTACTACTGTGGCTACTACGTTTGTTGTCAAATATAGTCAGTTTTTTAGCAGCGAGCCGCAGCATGAGCCGAGTTTAGTTGACCAGGACACCAGCAAAGTCTTGGTGTCACTTTTCAAAGCATTCACAGAAGCAGCTATTTCTCAAATAATGGAGATTAACAAATCTTTGAATAAGCTTTTGAAAGAACATCAGAAGGCTCAAATAAGAACGGGAAAAAGTACAGATGAATATATCGAGGAGTACAACGCTTTGTTGCCCATTTTTGAGAGGTTCGAAACGGCAGTAGCTATTTTGAGTAACGCTCTACACTTAGAGGCACCAAAACTAGAAAGGCACACAGAGGAGTCGTCTTCCAGTACTACTTCAATGATCACTAATCAACAAAAGACAAGCTCGGAAAGGGTTTGGGAAAATGAAGAGACACGAAAATTTTATGAAGTGCTTCCGGACTTAGCAGAAGTGGTGAAAGAAGTTGAGGAGAAGGAGCCAGCCGATCCTGAAAAACTCAACGATTTTTTTGTCAATTTGGAATTGGCTGATACAAAGGAAGCCATTGATGATCTCTCATTTAGACTGTGGACAGATTGCCTAAATAAAAAGGCCACAAAAAGAAGACTTTTAAAAGTTTTCATGGAAACTACAGATTGGAGTAAGCTAAGGATTTACGCTCGATTCGTTGCGAGTAATGCAGAAAGTTTAAGCGATGTGAAAGATGAACTAATCCAACATTTGGATAACGGATTCAGAAATCAATTGCGTTCGAATAAAATCAATGTTAGAAACGTCATTTTTTTCAGCGAGATGGTGAAATTCATGCTTGTTCCTTCGTATCTTATTTTTCACAAAATAAGAACTTTGATAATGAATATTCAGATTCCCAACAACATTGAGATTTTAACGATTCTGTTTGAAAACTTTGGTAAATTTCTCATCAACAATCCGAGCCATAAGGAACAAATGGAAAAGATGGTAGACCTTGTACAGCAAAAAAAGAAGGAACACGATCTCACCGTTAGCAATAAGTGTGCACTTGAAAACCTTATTATTCTAATTTACCCGCCGTCACTGAGTAAGTTGAATGCTGAGTCGACTGAATTAACTCCAGAGCAAAAGTTCTATCGTATACTCATACGAAAGGAGCTTCATACTTTACAGCCTGAGAAAATCGTGAAACTTTTGCGGCGGGCGCACTGGAAAGATGCCAATTTGCACAAGACAATGGTTTCCTTATTCTCTAAGCCAGAGAAGGTGAGTTACCAAAACATTGATCTTCTAGCTAAAGTATTGGATGGCCTCTTTCCGTATTACCGCAATTTTGTGATTTTAATCGTTGATACCATTGTGGAAAAAGTAGAGCGCGGGTCAGAGGTCAACGAGTTCAATTTGAATATGATAAGAATTGCTCAAGTGAAATTTTTGGCGGCTCTATGCAACAACAACCTAGTCAAATTTGAGGTTGTTTTAGAAGTACTCTACAAAATTATCAGGTTTGGCTATCCTGGGGGTAAACCAACTCCATTTATGATAAACGAATTTGATATGCCGGACAGTTATTTCCGCATTCATTTAGTGACAACCACTTTATTAACCATTCGTGACATCCCCCCAAGCAAAAAGAAGCAAATCTCAACCTTTATGAGATTCTTTGAATATTACGTTCTAACGAAAGAACAACCTTTGCCGAAAGAGACTCAGTTCAAAGTTACCGAATGCTTCAACGCACTCACCGCAGGATTGGAATTCGAAAGGTGTTACGATTTGATAGCATGTGCCAACGAATTGTCTAGTTGCCTCAAAATTCCCATGGCTGGAGGGACGGTGGAGGGCGGCGCTGAAATCGAGAATGATATGGACGACGATGATGAGGAAGAAGAAGACGATGACGAAGAGGACGAAGCCGAGGATGAGGACGACAAGGACAATGAAAGGGAAAGCGTAAATGATTTAGATAGCGATGACGGAACCGAAGCGAATTTGTCTACGGGGTCCTATTATCAAGATAGCAGTGATTCTGGGGATGATGAAGATTCACTGGAAGATGACGATGTAGGCGGGGACGACGACGAAAATGAGGATTCAGATGAAGATGAGTTAGAACAAAGAAGAGCTCAAGAAGCTCATATGTCAAAGCTGAGATCAGAAGAAGAGCTGAAAGCGGAGGAAGAAATGGAGAAGCAGTTTCAGTTACTTGTGCAAGAGTCTTTGGAGAGCCGAAAAAATGAAAAAGCTTTTTCTAACAACATGCCTATGATTTCATCTGGTATCAATTTGGATTCAGAAAGAGAAAGCAGATCCATGCCCCAAGCTCAAGATACACCATCAAAGAAGGTTGCTTTCACATTTTTAAGCAAGTCTGGCAAGAAAAGTCAGACGCGTACTCTGGGTCTGCCGAGAAATGTGAAATTCGTGTCGGGTATTTTACAAGAGGAACAGAAGTTAAAGGCAGAGCGTGAAAAGATTAAAAATATCGTTATGAGCCAAAGCTTCGAGTAAATAGAGCATCAATATGTAATCGTAGCAAAGTGGCCAGTGCATGCATAAAAAGCAGACACACACTAAAAATAAGTAACACTTTATTCTACTTTAACAACTACTACAGTTATGTCGTCCTCTTTGCCACCAAGATAACGTTTTCCTGTAAGCCTCGACATCTCCTGTGAAAATACGCTAGGAAAGTTGGTGTCCTTGCTGAGTTGGACCACTTGATTTACAAATTTTTGGCTAATGTGTTGAAGATCTTCGCCACTGGCACTGTTGCTCAAGAACAGCTCCATGTCGCCCGTGGCAATGTTGTCTGTGACCCCATCAGTTGCCAGCATTATCACGTCATTTTTCTTGAGTTGGAATTGATACTCGTCTGCATCGCTCGGACTGTTTTGAATATAAGAACTACCCTTCTTCGCCGCTTCCCGAACCAACTGTTCCGGGATGATGGCCAGCTGGTAAGGAGCGTTAAATCCCACAGTTTGAAATTTGGTTTGAAAAACCAGCTTGTTGTTGCGGAAGACCCCACACCACGAATCCCCCAGATTTGCAATCTTAAGCGTTCCGTTGGGTGGGAAATGTGCCACAATGGCCGTCGTCCCACCAACTTGAACGGATCCGTCATTTTTGATCTTCCTGTATGCCGCGTCTATTAATTGTTTGGGTGACAAGGACTTGCTTTGCGCTGTTGACATGTCCAGCATTGACCCACACAGCTCGCGGCTGATGGCACTCGAATCAAATCCGAGGTCCACCCACCCACCTACACCGTCTGCCACGCCTGCAAATACGTCGTGTTCACTTCTGGCGCCCACAAAGTAGTTGTCTTCTCCAGTGGGCGAGTCTAGCTTTGACAATCCCGCGTACACACCATCTGATCGGTCTTTGGCCTGGTACGCTACCGCATACTTGTAGCTATATCCGGAGGAGCCCCCGGTATGCTGAGAAGTACCTGCCGATCCCGAGAAAAATCCCCGCTGGCTCCAATATCGCCACTGGTAAGCTCCTGGTTCCGTTAGTAATCGTGCCACCACCAGAGCCAATAATACCACACAAAGATACATACTCCTACCACGATACAACCCACGAAAACCAGCTCGACTACTAGCTACAAACATATGGCACAAATTTTACGGTAAAAAGTGCTATTATATAGGCCAGTTAGGAGAATCAATTGACCATTGACACTTTAAGTGACCTTATCTTTATTTTTGAATTCTAGCACACTGTGTAGATCGAATTATCAACAACATATTTCAAGTTCCGGTAATTATTTCAATTTTATCAAATTTTCATGAAGCGGACAAACAAATTCACTAACTTCACTCGAAGACGATAAAAGGTAAATAACCAGCTCAATTGGCTAGAAATTTAGCTTGTGAACTCGTTTTCTGATCTATTCAGCCAACTAAGACCTTTCCAAGCGTTTTTCCCCCGTAATTCAAGCATCTTTTTGAGAACCATGTCTACGCTAAACGTTTTGAGATATTCTGCGGTTGCGTTGGGTATTGCCGTCGGATTGAAGACTGACTTAGGTTTGAAGTCTGAAGCTGCCAGAAAGTCCGAACAAAAAGCCTATTCTGATAAGTTGCAATTGATCGAACAAGCCAAGGCCGAGTACGCAAAGTTGCACGCTCCTAAGAAAGAAGCGTCGTCGGGCTCTGTGGCTAAGTTCGACTTGGAAGATCCAAACTTGGACTACGCCAAGGTTATTCTTGGAGCTGTCGACTCCTTGAAGCAGTAGAGAAATTGGAATCCGTCTTTGTTGCGGCGTACTTCATACGCAGGAGCTTGCACGTATCTATACATATATTCGAATTAATATATAGACACACACCACACTACACATGAGCAATATACGCAAATTATCCTTTGAGTCTATGTACAAGAAATATTTGGAGGCCCTGTTTTTTGTTGGTCTCGTTACCTTCATTTTTTTGTCGGTCTCATTTCCTTCTTCTCTGCAGCTTCCTTGTGAATCGTTTGACCTGTTCAGTGGTTTATCTACACTCTTCTCACCCGGTGGAAAACACGGCCCTCTGGAAGTCCGTATTTGGTTCTTATGTTGCTCACGTTGCTATCCCACTCGCTTCTCCATACATGTGCGCCAACAGGCTCTAGTTTGTGGTCATTGACAAATTGGCGAATATCAAAGTTGTCTCTTTCGACAGAAGTCTGAGAAACAGGGTAAGAAGCCTTCTGCCTAAAGACCCAAACCGCAAACCTCTGCGTTCCGGCGTTCTTTTCCGGCACTGGTGGAAGGTATGAGGCTAGCACGTTTTCATCGGTGAACTTCCGCGCGTCGACAACGTTGTCATTGTAGGAAACTTTTAAGTTCGACAGTCCGTACTGAAGTGTGGTCTTGAATGAGTCAGAACGCAAGTCTGGTTCATCTGGATTCACAATAAGCACCGTGTACAACTGTGTCTCAGAATCCACGTCTTCGTACTCTTGTATCTTGACCGCAGGAGCCATGCTAGTGACGTTTGAGGACAAGTGCTCGCCAGGCTCAATCCATTTGTTCAAACCGGTTGAGAAGGGAAACTTTATATTGACCTCCGATTTCGGAACTAGCGTCGCCATAGTATCTGGAATCACAGCTAGCGTCTCTAGTCTTTGCATAAGCAACATTTGTCCGTACGATTCCCAGTGCTGACGACCCAAATGTCTGTACACCGGCAGTTGGTAGTCGATAAACTGAGGGTCGTTTTCCAACTTCGTATGAAACTGGAAATTGTACTGCACCTCGGGATTATTTATTTCCGCTGCTACAGCCAACTCCGTACGCTTGGCGGGATCCTGTTCTTTGGCCAATTCGGCATATTTGGATGCAGCTCGTTCTTCCATGAAATTGTAGCAAGTCTTGAAAACATCATCTATTTTTTCCGGAGACTGGTATTTCACCTTATTGGCTCTTCTTCTGATGGAGGGTGGACTCTTTTTCAGCGTATCGTTCAGGACATAATCCTTTATCCGGTCATTACGAATCGATAATGCTGCTGACCTTGCTGAGAAGTCAGACCAGACTTTAGCTCCAGATTTCTTGGCTACACTACTATGCAAGGTTCTGCGTAGCATCATGCAACTTTTTAACACCCGCTAGTCGCTTTAACTGTAACTCAGATGTTACTCTTCGCCAGCTTTTCCGATGACTTTTCAATTGGACAGACAACTTTCGAAAATTTTGATAGATTATTGGCATTTAATATACAAACTGGCAGTGGTCAAACAAAGACTATAGCCGCACCCAGTACAGGTTTAAAGCCCAGGAAATGCACTTACAATTACAAGGGAAGTTTTGATATTATCCAGAGATTGCTTGTGATAAAATTGGCGGAGAACTAGAAAGTGTGTGTTACGGAAGCTCTTCGATACTTGAATAATTTGAATTGTGACGAAATTCAAATCAGGCATACTTCTATCTATACAAACTGAACCTCAGAAGGCTCACGCAACGATCGATTTTTACCGTCGGCCAAAGCTTGTTATACTTAATAAAGCTTGTATTTATAGGGCTAAAAAAGCTGTTGAGTACAATTGACTACGGCAAAAACAAACGTAAAGATGTCAACGTCAAATCAAATATTGCCTACGCACTTCAAACCTCTGCACTATTCGCTTAAAGTGAATTGCTTGAAAATCCAGGAAGGGGTTTTTAGCGGGGAGTGCTCAATAGATTTCCTGGTGAATAAAGCATCTAACAAAGTATGCTTGAATACTAGAGATATCACTGTTCTGCGAGCTGCGGCAAGACTCGGTAATGGCCACTTAGTCAATTTGACTCTGCAACACTATGATGACACGTCGGAGGTGCTCGTGCTAACTTTCGAGGAAGAGTTGAGCGATGACTTCACGCTCGAAATGCGATATGAGGGTGCCATACAAACGAACATGACAGGATTCTATCGGTCCCAGTACCCAGATCTGTCAACGGGTGTGATCAAGTCCATGTATTCGACGCAATTCCAGGCGACAGATGCAAGAAGAGCATATCCTTGTTTAGATGAACCGATGTTGAAAGCCACCTTCGACATCACTATCGTCGCGTCTTCCGATTTGACTGTACTCTCGAATATGCCGCTCAAACAGGCCAAAGTGCAACAGGATGGTGCTCAAACAACTCACATCTTTCACACTTCGCCCAAGATGTCACCCTATTTGTTGGCGTGGGCGATCGGCGAATTTGAATATATTGAAACCCACACGGAAAAGTGCATTTACCCCAGTATCGAGGATTCTTCCCCTTTACAAAATCTCCCCATCAGAGTATACACGGCCCGTGGTAAGAGCCAGCAGGGACAGTTTGCATTGGATCTGGCGAGCAAGGTAATTGACTATTATTCTGACTTGTTTGAAATTCCATACCCCATTCCAAAACTCGATTTACTGTGCGTAGAATCGTACTCACATAACGCGATGGAGAATTTCTCCTTGATCACTTTTAGGCCAACCGCTTTGCTTCTGGATGGTTTGGTCGAAAATAACAGCTTGCATGCTTTGCAAAAGATTGCGTACGTTGTTTGTCATGAGATAGCCCATCAATGGTTTGGGAACCTGGTGACTATGAAATGGTGGGATGAACTGTGGCTAAACGAAGGGTTCGCAACATGGATCGGGTACTACGCCGTGAATTGGATGTTTCCTGAGTGGGACGTGCCATCGTTAGTAATGTGGAAGTCTCACGAGGTGGCCATGGAACTGGACTCTTTGAAGGAGTCGCATGCTGTCAAGGTTGAGGTGAAGAATGCCAAGGACATTGATCAAGTTTTTGATACCATTTCGTACTTAAAAGGCTGTTCAATTCTGGAAATGTTAGGTGGATATCTCGGGACAGAGAACTTCATCAAAGGTGTTGCACTGTACTTGAAGCGCAACGCTTTCTCGAATGCAACAATGAATGACCTTTTAGACAGCGTGGGTGAAGTATGTAACATTGACGTCCTTTCTCGTGTCCAAGATTGGATCATAAACATTGGCTACCCCATACTAAAAGTAGAATCCTTTGAAAGAAAGCCGGGCTGGTATAAGTTGAGCCAAAAAAGATACTTATCAGGTTCTCAAACTGACTGCACTGGCCCTAAGTGGTGGGTTCCGCTTATGCTGTTCGGAGATGAATCAAACTCAGAGTTGTACCTTTGGGATCAGTCTAATGAATTTGAGTTGAGAGCTGACAGATTGGTACATCTGAACACTAATGGCTACGGTTTTTATCGCGTCGCATATGGGGACGAGAAACTGCTTGATGACATTTGTGAGAATATAGCACATCTATCTTCTCGAGGTAAAATCGGTCTCATATCAGATGTGGAATCGACTGCGAATGCTCAACAGTTTCTCCACGTATTATCTTGCTTTTTGAAGCATCAAAATCCGTATGATTATTATGTCTGGGCGGTGATTTTTCAGGCCACCTCAAGATTGCTCTCGCTGTTCGATGATTTAAATGCACTTGAGTTTCATGTGAAGGTCATTAATTTTATCAATTCAGCTATTTCGAGGCAAATTGATGGTGCTTTGAGTTATTTGCACGATCCTGACTCAGTTTTATTGAACTTCAAGGATAGCCGTCGTCACTTAAAAGCATTATTTTACGAAGAAGTATTGCTAGTCGCGGGGAAGATTTCGGAGGCAAAAACGGTTGGTGAATGTGAGGCGTTGTTCACTACTCAATCTATATCTTCGGCAAATCGGTTAGTTATTTTGACCACGGTACTGTCCCAGGCTCATACCTCCGAAAAAACCTTGAATATTGTGGTGAGCGAATTGAAAACTGCAACGTTGGCTCATAAAGAATGCTTATTGACGGCCTTGGGCAATGTTCGAAACCCTGTGCTTTTTCCCAAGGTATTCGAGCTTATCTTCCAAATTGAAACCATGGACGTTCAATTTTTAGCTGAGGCACTGGGCGCAAATCCACTCATTCGCATGCCTTTATGGGGTTTCATCAAGAAAAACTATGGGCGTATTTATCATCGCATTGGTTCCAATCCAACTGTGATTGAAAGATTCGTTAGATTTACCACTCAAAATTTTGTAGGCCCTACTTTGAAAGCTGAGGTTCGGCAATTTTTTGCTGAAAAGGATGTGAGTTCCTTCGACCGGGCGTTGAACCAAGCCTTGGAAAAGATTGACAGGAATACTATTTATGTAGACAATAATACCTCCAAAGGGTAAGTCGGACTGAGGAAAATCAGCGACTACTTCTTGCAAAGCTCTACGCATAGAACAGCAGATTTTATAGTTTACACAATTTAGAACACCATCCAAATAGATCCACCAAGGAGAATGGCAAGTACAACAGCTGTTAGCACGGCAGCTCCCACTCTATCTTTGTGGGTAATTTTCAAATCACTTTGCAGCACGTTGGTGGTTGTCTTATTCAAACCTGCACTCGAGTCTCCGACAGAAGTGCCACCATCGGAGTCTGTATAAGGCGCGGGTCTCTGATCGAACAACAAGCTCTGTATCACCTCTAACGCAGACGCTTGTTCCCCCAATCCATACATTCCATCCCATGATCCTTTCTCCCAGTTGATTCCGCAGGTATGACCGTCCGTACCACCAGAGCATGATTTGGCTGCTCCTTCAGCAGAGGCAGTCAGCAGAGGATCTATCTTTTCGGCAGTGAAAGGAGCCAGAATTTTGGTTAAGGATAGCATGCGAGAAAAAATACTCTTAAAAGACCGCTGATCGTTATTACAGGAGTTGGAATCCTGGCATGTTGCTTCATACATGATTTTATTCCTGAAAAAGTATTTTGTAGATCCTCCTACAAGCTGACTCAGCTTCGTTTCCCAGGTCGATGAACCGTTTGTAGCGTTGTACATATACGCAGCACCGCCCAACACAATACCCTGGTTATACGACCATTCCAGTTTTGTGATGTCGGTACAGTTTTCGTCTATGGTAGCACCATCGTATACGTTGGCCGTATCGCTCAATACAATGTATCCAACATCCACCATCCAATCGAAGACTTTCTCGGCCACATCCAAATATGTGTCATTGCCTGTATAACGTCCCAATCTAGCAGCTAACTGGAACAAACATCCATTGGATACTGTGTTCTTGTAGTTGTAACCTGAGTTCCAGGTGAAAATCTGCCACCTGAGCCCTCCTCCGCAATGTTGATCATCCCACCGCGAATACATTAAATTGAAAACACCCTGGACCATAGCCAGCCATCCAGGGGCGCCTTTGGTGGATGGATTGGTGAAGTTTCTTTCCACGGCACCCATTACCGTGATTCCCCACACACCTTGATCATCGTTACCCTCCACCATCGACTGGTTCGACGGCATGAAGTCGTAGTCTGGACCAGCCTGTGCAATCATAGAATCATAGATCACCTGCTCGTATGTGTCGTTTTGGCACAAAAACCAGTTTTCCAGCATTCCACCGAAAACCGCACCGGCCTCCCACCAATAATAGGGTTCCTGAAACGTACCTACGGTACCCCCGTACTGGGATCCAGCATAATAGTCCATAATACCGCCCTGAATGAGGTCAGTTGCATCACAAATGGAATCCTTAGAGGTAGTATCCAGATCTAGCGCTCTCACTGGCAGTACCATCAACTGCCAAAGAAGACCCGTCAAGGCCCAGAACTCGGCGAATGAGACCCTCATGGTCTTTACTGTTATACCAAAGATATGAATAACACCAGTTTGGCTTTAATCAGGTGAGTTCAGAAGGTCAACACGCGCTAGGTGGATCTTCGAGTAACTACTATTCTATATATACATTCGATTTGGTATAGTGGCTTAAAGGATATCATACATATAATTATATTTCTGTATCATTATTGACGCTAATCTTGCAGTTGTGAAAGAACGACTAGAGGTTTGAGTCAGTAGTTAACTCGCTGTCGCCTATATTTACGTGACGCCACGAAGGAGAACGCTCCGCCGTTCACCTGCGCAAAATTCACGTCGTGCATTTGCTCAGCTGTTATAAATTAACTGGATGGCATTGCAACCAGTTAGGAAGAGATTTGTGCGCTGTTGCACGAAATCCTCAATCGTATACTTTTGTCTTTGCGTTAGAAAAAACCTCAACGCGTTGGCGTCCAAACCATGGCAGGGCTCAAAACACTCAATGCGTCCGAATGATGGTAGGGCTCATACCACTCTTTACTTATCGTAGCCGTCGTGCGTGAAGTGAGAAAAAAAATCTAACAAGTTATCCTCGACCAACTGCGCGACGGACTCAGGGTAGCGTGCGCGGATTTCGTTGGACAGCTTAGTAATGCCGATATCTTGGACAATATGGGCCAGGGTGTCCAGCTGTAGAACGGAGAATTCACAGTACCAGCGATGATTCCAGCAGCACAATTTGACACATAGATCGATCAGTTTGTTGTCGATATCAACCGCAGCGGCCATGGCCTGAGAAGAGGGTAGTTCTCGGTTGGCTTTCACCTGGCTGCGCTCCGAGAGGAGTATGCGAAGCATGCGGCGGCAAGACTCTGCAGAGAAACGCTGGTCTAGGCCCTTTGAGAAAGCGCTCGCCGCTTCGTCGCGATGGCCCAGGCGCCACGCACAAAGTCCCAGAAGCTCCCATTCTGCGGTTGACTTTTGATAACGGGTGTTTTGGGCTTCAAAATGCAGTTGCTCAGCTTGCCAGAGAGTATACGTCTTGAGGTCCTCATAAAGGACCATGAATAGGCTGTCCAACCAACGCTCACACAGTCTTTTCCCTCGGATCACGTCTTTTGACCCAGCCTCGGGCTCCGAAGGTGGAGAGGCGGCCACCAAATACTCTTCCTCCATCACAAACAGCTTAGATCGATACTTGAGCAGGGTTTCCCACCCCGTTTTCAATGCAATCTCGGTGAGGTAGTGGTACCTAGTCCTTGCGTTCCCTTTTAGAGTTGGCGCGGGCAGGTTTACTAAAGTTGGATTCAACGCTCTGTGTTCCATTGTTACTTCAGTAGAGCTTAGACTAGTAACGTCCTCCAAGATGACGTCTATAGGTAAAGGTAAATGCAAATTAGAAGAGTCCTGGCCCAGACTCACGACTCGCTTGAAGCCATATTGTTCTCTGTGTGGCGTAATAGGGCACCCATTCAGGGCCGATAGGGCGTTCTCGACATCGTTCAGTCCGATGTATGACTCAACCAAGAGATGCCAGGGTCTGAATTCACTGGGCGCGGAATCAACAGCGCTTTGGGCCAGCTTTTGAGCGGTGAAGTAGTCACGTTTGTCGGTCAGCAGGAACTTTGCCTGGATGCACAACAGTTCCGACCTATAACCCTTGATGGAAGAGTCCTTTTTGAGCAGTTCTTCGTGCAAAAGAGCAATGCCATCAATCTTTAGATCAGCTGCGATGAGAACTCGTGCCAATAAAACCACGCATTCTGGGTACTGGTCCATTAATGCCGTGAGCATTTCCCGACATCTGGCGAAATTCTGTGTCAGTTTCGTAACGCGCAACAGGGTTTCGCATAAATGATTGTTAGTACGAGAAGGCGTAGCCACGTCACAAGGTGCTCCTAGGTGTGGCCCTTGGGTGTAAACTAGAGGGAAAACGTCAATAAAGCGGTCGGAAACATCGCCTAATTCACCTGCCATTAAGGGGTTCAGGATGCGGGTTTCCACTACATTGTTAACCTCGCCCTCTTCAAAATTGTTGGTCATGACAGAGACAGCGCGTACAACGCCAGATACAAAAGTTTCGGCCCACAAGGCCTCGCGTTCTTTCTGTGATACCTCGATGACCTTGCCCTGTGTGTTCAACATATAGGACTGGACCGCACCTGGGATATGCACTACGACCTGCACATCACACTTGCGGAACGCATTCCAGGTGCAATATGTGATTCGAGCAACTTTGTAGTGCTTCTGCTTGCCAAACCAATTTTGAGGCTTGTCGGATATTAAATCAGCCAAGTTCTTCAAATACACCGCAATAGACGTCGGATCGGAGGTGTCCACGCCAGCGCAATATAAGAAAGTTCCTATTTGGCCTTTAAGTTTATCATTGGCGTGTAAGTCTTGCGGGTCAATGCTTGTGGATGTGGGTTCCACCTGCATCGACCGATTTTTAGAGTTCTGAGACCCCGAGTTGGAAGACTGCGCATATTTCACAAGTGAAATTAGATCGGGCGGCCCCAAGTCTTGAAAGTTGTACGACTTGGACTTACGTTCTTCAATAGCCAACCCGATTTCATCTTCTTGAACCCTAAAGGTACCGAAGTTAGTTTGAGTTCATAACAAAGGTGGACCCGCTTGGAAAAGCCCAAAAAGCGCTTTGTGCACTCCACGTGCGCCTGAGGAAAACATACTCTGGAATTGAGGCCTGGGATAGCATCTTCGGCTTGTTGAGACCTTGAAGTTTATGTCGGATAGGTCGTTCTTAAATACCAAGTAATTTCAAATTTAGGAGGATACACCGAGTGTTCCTTTGTACGTAAAAACTTAGCAGAGCCATCAGGCTCGAGGAAACTATACAAGGACACGCGAATGAAGCCATCGGAGTGTCTGCCTGGGTATTGTCTGGTTGAAAAATCTCCCAATCGTGGCTGTCGCTTATTTTAGAGGTCAGAAAATATGCACGATGCGACTCGGTATCGGCCTGTGTTGTCCAGGCTAAGGAGAGGCCATTCTGGCGCAAGCTAGAGCTGCGCAACCTACTGTTCTTACCTCACTCTGTTCCTCCGGGCCTGCTTTGGCTTTCCTGGTTCTTTAGTCGGGCGAAACTTCGTGGAGTGGTCTAAGAACCGATTTTGTTCCCATTTTCGTCGACTTCGTCATCCAAGCGCCATTCTTTTCCTGTCAAACAGTACTTCTCGGGGGGCAAACGAGTGCCCCACATGTTTACAACCTGTGGTAGGGCCTTTTTGTTGCGTTCTGACGCCAACTGCAGCAGCAGTTCCTTGGGGGCGGTGGGCTTGAACTGGTAGTGCGTACGCGCGGCAATCGCCAATCGTATGTCTTCGACGGAAAGCTCTGTGTTTGTGTCGTTGGAGGCGTAGTCCCCGTAAACCATTGCGTCCTTCAGCACGCCCCGGGTGTAGCGATGGGCAAAATCCATCAGTTGCAGAGGGACCTGGTCTTCGTATTGCTGGATGGCCTGCGAAGCTAGAAGCAGGTGTAACAGCCGCACATCTCTTGGAACCTCTTCCTGGGCCTCGTCAGTCATCGTGCCAAGCGTGGTTGAGTACGAAGCGGGAGCCGGTGTGCTGTGTGCCTTGCGGAAGCCATCCATGTACGTGGAGAGCCTGCTGGAGTATTTCACAAGCGAGTGTCTTCGTATGTGGTGATATTCCGTCCACCACTCCCGATATCCCAGTAGTCACATCTAGACGCGACACCACCCCCACTGGCGAGCTCAGCAAAGCCTCCGAGCTCCCCGACGTGCGCTGTCGACCTTGACCTCCGGTGATCCAAGCGCTACCCACGGTCCACCTCTCGCCACACGTGACATATTCAAGCACATGACTTTTTTTCTCACTTTTCTCCGTGTAAAGTGACACCTCTCTTGGTGTTACCCGGCATTTCCGTATCTCTATGTACGGCAAGTGCGGGTAACGCGTTTTTGGAAATCGGGCATCACCAGCGACGAGTTTGGAACTTTTTTTTTCACTCGGCCTTGTCCAATGGACTGGGAAACTCGCTGCTGATGATGGTTCTTTCACCTTGGTCTTTCGTCTCAGAGAGTGTACCGTGTTTCTGAAGCCTTTTCCCTCACAACAATCACTAAGCAATGTCTGACGCTGTTATCTCGTACGCTACTTTGATCTTGGCTGATGCCGGTTTGGACATCACCGCCGACAGCTTGACCACCTTGGCCAAGTCTGCCGGTGCCTCCGTCGACTCCGTATGTTATAGTTGAACCTCTCGAGCACGCAACGAACAGGAGAAGCAGCAGAGGAGAGAGCATAGGGCTCTGCGCAACTAGAGGGTCGGGTCCCTCACGTTTTCCCGCAAGCTCTTTTTCGCTCGCTGGTTCTCCTGGCTCGAACGCTTATTTTTATCCGCGTACTAACCTTATTACTCCAGATCTGGGCTGAGACTTTCGCCACCGCTTTGGAAGGCAAAGACCTAAAGGAAATCCTGTCTGGTTTCCACGCCGCCGGCTCTGGTGCCGCTGGTGCCGCTGGTGCTGCCTCTGGCGCTGCTGCTGGTGAAGCCGCCGCCGAGGAAGAAGCCCCAGAAGAAGAGGCCGAGGAGTCTGACGACGACATGGGTTTCGGTTTGTTCGATTAAGCCACAGTTTTTAATATGAAAGCCGTTTAATACAAAATACAATACTCGATTCGAATTCCAGTTCCACTGCTACCATAAATCTGCATTCGGTCCGCTCGTGCACTGCGCGGTGCGATATCGACCAACGCAACCCCGGTTGTCCTTGAAATCTTGCTAATTACTTAATAATACAATCTTGACTCGCGCTGCCAGGAGCCTAGGCCACTGCTCAAACACCCTTCCCATTTGACGCAACGATCCGGTCCCGGCTATAGTGTTAATGGTTGTGTCCCACCTTCTGTTCGTTGCGCATCGCAAAGTACAGGAAAATGGAGGCTTGAATGAGCGTTGGATACTTGAGTTTGTGCTTTTGAGTAGAATATCTACGTCTTGATTAGATCGGCCCTGAATTCAGGCTGGTGCTACCTCCTGGCCCACTTTACCTTGAGTGTCTTACTGAATATATGTATGTATAATAATAATATTTATTAATGATCGGATCGATGACTTACTTTCAGAGGCCATCCCGAAAACAATCAGAACGGAAATAACTCAGTTGCGATCCTTTTCCGCTTCATCCATCATAAAGCAAACTCTGCATTTTACAGTTACCAAGTGGTTTCAACTCTCAAGTATCGACTGCGTCTGTTTGGAACACTGACACAGCTCATCGCTAAAGTCTACAAAGCAGCGATCTACCCCTACAAGCTCTAACGCTAGTTTTGTGATCTCTGCGGACGTCCGGCAATCCATAACTCCGAGTCTCGGCTTCAAGAGACCTTTGGCTGCTAGCTTGCGACCCAATCTTCGTACTTGTTCGTCGATCAATCCATATCCATCCACATTTGCCCAAATTTTTGCTTTCCACTTAGTTGGATGTTAGTACAGTTCAGAGTGGAGCCTTGAGTCCTTACTTTTGTTTTTCATGCCCGGAATTAAGCCCGTCACCCACTCAGGACTGCAGACGATCACTCCCGAGGAGCCCAACGCTCGCAAACGCATACTCAGCTCGCCTTGTTCACCAGCAGAACGGTCGCCGTGGGTTAACCACTCTCCACTGGAGTCTCCTCCATCGCTGCAAAATACCCGAGATCTTGAACGGTCTATTGCCGAAACACTTCACGAGCTGCAGCACCACAGGGACTCGCCTCCGGACCTACCGAAGTTGGTGTCTGTACTGAACCAATCTCTCACCGCAATTTCACATTGGTCCTTACAGGCACAACTCTCCAAGTTAGAAAACCGGTCCGCGCGCGACGACCGTTTGGCGGTGGAAAATAATCTCATCAAGAAAGAAGTTGAGTATTTCCGCAACCGATGTATGACTGCCTCTCGCGGTACACACGGTTCTACCTGCGAGTGCCACTCACAAGAGAAACTCCTGCCCCCGCTCGGCGATGAAAGCAGCATAAATCCAGAGTCAAGTCATCAACGATCAGCCAATGCAGTTACTTCCCTTGCAGAAACGCCCAGGCGGGTCACAAAAGTTCCTCGCAAATCGACTGCATCGAAGCGCCGGTCATCGCAGTCACAACAACCTCAAAACTCATCTCTAATGCGACTTGTGGAAAACCACAAATCGCATCCACGCATGCGAAGGACAAGTGATAATCCGTCTGCCAATAATTTTGTTCGTGTTTTTCATCTCGAGAAACTTTAACTGCCACAGCACACCCACGGCACTGTAACCACTATCACGCTTCACGCACATTGTAACACTACAGGGAACTATCGATTGCGGTGCTCTGGCTCCTTGCCAGAACCACTCAACTCGCAAATAGACTATTAACGCAGGACATATAAGTATATACTTTGTAACATTGGAAAGAATATTAAAGGATACCAAGTTTAAGGCAGAGTCTCAAGCATGGTTTATGTGGTAGGTTAAAGCACTGCATTCGAATGTGATTGTGGTCGCTACTTAGCGTTTCTTTCGGTTTCCCAGATCACAGCTAATTTCTGACACTTCCCATTTTTCATTCGGATACTCAACCTTGGACCACAGTGGACCAAACCTGATAGTTAGAGTCCCGGCCCAGGATGTCGCGAATAAGCTATGTGGCCCCATACTTCATGCCACTGCTGTGCTCCAGCAAGCTTTGGATCAAGCTAATCCTTCTGCTGAATGTTTTAGCCTTGTTTGGACTGGCGTTCAGTGGCTCCAAACTGCTGATATCTGAGTATAAAGACGACAGCATGTTCAAACCCAATGGACAAGACTATTTCAGAACTTCGCTTCTGGGGTTTTTTTCGCCGCTAGCGCTCCATTTTCTGCGAGACTTTGTTCTCATGGTAAGTCCGAGAGCGGTACTTATCAACCTACTTGTCGACTTCCCGTTCAACGTATGGTTCTCCCTTTTGATTGTGTTTTGCTTAGCCTATCCGCAGATACAGACAGCACAGATCATGGGCAAAATGGACGACACGGTGTGGCACATCATACCGAGACAAGCGGCGATTTTTGGTACGTCGTGGGCGCTGTCCGAATTTTTGACCTGCGTTGTCCAAAACTTGCAACGTTATGAAGAGGTGCCTTCTCCGGAGTCTGCCAAGCGCCAGCTGGAGTACCAGCTTTTACAAGAAGAGCAGGACAACTCCCGCAAGAATATTACGCTTTCGAGATGCATAGAGGTCAAACGCAAGTCATCGTTGATCTCTGAGAATGTGTACACCCACGAATATCAAACGCCGCCTGCAACGAACCCCGAACACGACCTCTCGGAAGCGGTCTACGTGAGTTTCAACGACAGTTCGATGTCGCTTCTAAGAGATCCTGAGGCTGGCCACAGCTCTAACGACGGCTCTGGCGAAAGGCGTCCACGCATGTATGATGGAACCGTCACCTACTTTGCCGAGATCTCTTCTAAAAGACGCTTTTTACGGCAGTTGCTACTTTTCAACCTCCTGGTGTTCGACAGTGTACTGCTAGAGGTAGGACACGCTTTCATCGTTTCTATCTACTTCATTTACGTGCCAGGACACGAAGAATTATTCACCAGAGCGGTCACGTATTTTGGAATCCGCACTTTTGGTTACTTCACTCTGAGTGTCATTCTACCGCTATCTATACTGGGCTTCATCATCAGCATCTTTTTGTTTGTGTGGAATGGAAACACGCGCGCCTTATCCTCTGAAAGCACTTACGACACCAACAGCAACTCCGATCTGCACATACATGCTTCTCAGCCCCAGAGCCTGCAGTATATTTCGTCAGATCAACTCTTTGTGATGAATTCGATTTACACTCAAGACATGATGCCCACAGGTGATACGGAACTTCCAATACTCCACTTTTTCCGCACCATAGTAACCAAATGGCAAATACTCGCTGGCCACCGTAGTTTTCCCATTGTTGGGTTCACCATATGGTCCCTTATAATGGCTGCTGTCGGAACCCTGGCTGCTGTCGAACAATAATTTTGCGAGTAATCAGACGGCCGGAGAAGCAGGCTGAAAAGCTACTCTTAAATTTCTCTACAAACAAAATTCAATCTTTTTCAATAGAATCTACTTCAGCATCAAACTAGAGACTCAATAGGCTCGGACCTATCCCGCGGTACTTATTCTGTCATTGTCTATTCGCAGTGACGCTGAGCAATTCATATTGGAAGAAATTTGCCAAGGGCGCAATAAAAATATAATCTCAGCTCATCGCTTGAGTAAAACAAGAAAGTAAGACCTCAAGTAGAAAAGAAGCCTCAGGTGTGTCATTAAGTCAGTGATAACATTGGCATAGATCTTAAAGATCTACACTCAACTTTTTCTCTAAATCTTTTTGCTGTTTAGTAGTTTGTGTTAACAAACACACAACAGCTGGCATCAGGAGCAATAACCATGAACTCAAACACGCCTCTTTTGCCTGAAGGTTTGAGATCGAAGAACATGTCAATGATGCAAGCCATGTGGCGTGATACTTGTATGGTTTTCCAGTCTTCTCCGGTCAACTACCTTGTAGTCTTCGTGCCAATTGGCTTGATCTTTGGGTATGGGGATCTCTCTGTTACTTGGACGTTTATCATGAACTTCGTGGCCATCATTCCACTCGCGGCAATCTTGGCGTTTGCCACTGAAGAACTGGCAGCCAAAGCCGGTTCCACACTGGGCGGGTTGTTGAACGCTACCTTGGGTAATGCTGTTGAGCTTATTGTGTCCGTCATCGCCCTTTACAATGGACAGGTGACAATCGTGCAGGCCTCGATGCTGGGAAGCATTTTGTCGAACCTGTTGCTGGTTCTCGGGTTCTGTTTCTTGTTCGGGGGCTACAACAGAGGAGAGCAAAACTTCAACCAGACGGCCGCCCAAACAATGTCTTCATTGATGGCTATATCCTGCGCTTCTCTATTGATCCCTGCTGCGTTTCGCGCGTCGCTGCCCGATAACAACAAGAACCAAGACTTGTTGATCAACGCCAAGATTTTGAGCCTGTCCAGATCCACCTCGATCGTCCTTCTAGCCGTGTACGTCTGTTTTCTCATTTTCCAGTTGGGCACTCACCACCATCTTTTCGAACAACAGGAGGAGGAAACCGAAGAAACCCTGGACCAACACTCCAACGCCCATACGTTGTCTGTGAAATCGTCGCTCTTGTTCCTGCTCGTCACCACTGTGCTGGTGTCCATCTGTGCAGACTTCCTGGTTGGTAGCATTGACCACGTTGTTGAGACCTCGGGTTTGTCCAAGACTTTCATCGGTTTAATTGTCATCCCCATAGTTGGCAACGCCGCCGAACATGTCACCTCTGTGATTGTGGCCACGAAAAACAAGATGGACTTGGCGCTGAGCGTTGCAATCGGATCCTCGCTGCAGATTGCGTTGTTCGTGACTCCCTTCATGGTTCTAGTGGGCTGGGCCATCGGTGTTCCAATGACCCTGAATTTCTCAACTTTTGAGACCGCAACCCTCTTCATCGCGGTCTTCCTGTCTAATTACTTGATTCTAGATGGGCTGTCCAACTACCTCGAGGGTATCATGTCCATTGCGATGTACGTATTGATTGCAATTGCGTTTTTCTATTATCCAGATGAACAAGTTATGGGCACGCTTTGAAGGGCCCGCTTCAAAAGGCACCTCAAAATCCAACTGTTCCGACTCCCACGGCGGTCGAATCGTATATTTATAACTATAAGTATCTTATATCCGCTATGCTATTCCGAGAGTCGTCTCGGCTCGTTGACTCCACTTGACTACTCTCCTGCGCCAGCTAGTCAATCTTCTATTTATTTTTCTACTCGGTCTGATATGCCAACTCGAAATTTCAAAAGCTTGCTTACCTACGCACCGCCCAAAATAGCGTTTCTCTTCACCGCAGTGTCTGGACAATTATCGAATCACTTTGATGCTGTCAGCTCACTTTTCCCGCTCTTCTAGTCGCTGTTTGTCACCCACCCTTTTGCGTTGGTTTTTCGCATTTTCACCATATATGGAAAATGGCTGGTTTATAGAATAATCCGCATTCCACCAAAATTTGGCGAACCTAGCGAACACAACAACCAGGCCATTTTTCGGCCACGAAAAATAGGTGATGTGATAGTGTAGTTTTTGGTAGTGTAGTTGAGAGAATTGAACGCTGGTCGCGCGAAAATTCGGCGCTGAAGTACCACTAGAGCGTAGGCTGGTCGATCTAGATTGGCACATGGGCAGGCCATTGCAAGAAGCGAAAGGTGGATCAGCAAGCTAGCGGTAAATATAATGTAGAGGCCTTGTGGATATTTGGTAGAGAATATTTTATATAGTGAGTGGTTTTTATAAGAGCACTGAGTTGTTAGGCCCATCGCCCAGATCGGTTGCACTTGGACTATTGACAGCGATATAAAACTAAGAATGTCAGACTTGGAAGCTCTCCTGCTTTTCAACCGCAAACGAGTGTCTTCGGAAATGCTGGAATTTCTGGCCTCGACCACAAACTCGGTTATACAAGTGCCGGAAGACCAGGGCAAATCAGCAGCACCGGCGCTGGTGGAATTTATTCGCGGGCTCGTGGTCCAGTCTAACGTGCAAACACCCACGTTGATGTCGACCACGGTGTATTTAACAAAGCTAAGGTCTATCATTCCAGCAAACGTGCACGGCATCGAAACTACCCGTCACCGTATATTCCTGGGATGTCTGATTGTGGCCGCCAAAAACCTGAACGACTCCAGCCCGCTGAACCGTCACTGGGCGTCCTACACCAATGGGTTGCTGGATACTCGGGAAGTGAATACTCTGGAGCGCGAGTTGCTGGAATATTTCGATTGGAACCTCAGGTTTACCACGCAAGATTTGGTAATGAGCCTGGCGCCGTTCCTGGCACCCATTAAGGCTCAACTGTTGGCCCAAAAGCAAGAATTGTTGTACTTCAACCTACCGACTTTGCAGCAGTCCAAAGCGTCGAGTTACCGCAACGATGTACACTCCCGTTCCTCGAGCAATTTTTCGCTTCCTTCGCTGGTGTCCAGCAACACGATGTCCACCATCTCTACAAAAGACTCGCGGGATTCTAGGAAAACGCCCCTCTTGCCGGAATCACGATCCAGGCAGATGAACCGCATTGACGAAGACTCAAGCTATACGCACACCCAGTATCAAATTAAGACCACGACGCCTAGGTCTGAGAAAAGCCGCATGACAAGGCCTATTATCATCAAGACTGGTTTACAAACACCGGTAGAGCAATCCTCACAGCCAAGACGGTTTGGTATTAGGTCGGACTGGGCGTCTATCTTCAGGTAGCATAGCATTTTACGTGGGTTGATAAGGGTATCTTGAATCTCGCAGGTTAATAAGATATTGCGGGACAATATGATCAACAGCATCAAGATAAGAGACTCTTGATTTTAAGAACACTTTCACTAGTATTGGGCCGTCCGTGCTCTCTTCCGGATATAATTAGGGAACTCTACGAGAATGGCCCGGGAACTTCTCACTGGTAGCCCAAATATACGTAACAGGTTCATAGGTTTAAGACAACTGGGATTTCATAGTAGTATTTGCTAAATTTATTTCATTAAACACCATCATTCAGATAATGGAAAGCGCTATTTTAACTGTACAAATCATCATCTTCCTCTGCACCGTCACCAAATGCGGCACCAGCATTTTCTGGATTTCCACCGGGCTGTGTGGCGCTCGGAGCGTCATCGAAGCTAAAGTTGCTGTATTGGCCTCTTGAAGATTTCATTTGCTGGGAATAAGCTTCGTAACGGCGCAACTCGGCGTCGGAGACGGACCGCTTGGCCGTCTTCATAGCCTCTGCAAAGTGCTCTTTAGTGATGTATGGAACAGTGTCCTCGATATCTTCTTCAGCGGCTGGCGCGGGAGCCTCGGCACCATCGCCCATCTCCACGTCTTCGGTCTTTACGTTGCTTTGGCGCTCTGCCTCTGCGCTCTTTTGAGCTTCAATTGAGTCCTTGATGGCAAACTTCGCAGCTCTTTGGGCGATGTATGACAAATCAGCACCCGAGAATCCTTGCGTGGCCTTGGCAATCGTGCTCAATTCCAAGCCGGGCTCTAGAGGTGCTTTTCTGAGTTGAGCCTTCAAAATGGACAACCTTGCCATCTCATCTGGTAGAGGAACGTATATTAGCTGATCTAATCTCCCCGGTCTTAAAATAGCAGGATCGATTTGATCCGGTCTATTGGTGGCACCAATAACAAACACGTTCTTCTTAGCATTCATACCATCCATTTCCGTTAGCAATTGGTTCACCACTCTGTCAGAAGCACCACCAGCATCGCCTACGGAACCACCTCTGGCTTTGGCAATGGAGTCCAGTTCATCCAAAAATACAACCGTAGGAGCAGCAGCTCTAGCTTTGTCGAAAATGTCACGAATGTTGGATTCGGATTCACCGTACCACATACTCAAGAGCTCCGGACCCTTTACGGAAATAAAGTTGGCGGAAACCTCGGTGGCCACAGCTTTTGCCAAAAGTGTCTTACCAGTACCAGGCGGTCCGTAAAACAAAACACCCTTGGAAGGAGCCAATCCGAATTTTGTGTATTGATCTGGGTGAAGAACTGGGTATTCAACGGTTTCTTTTAATTCTTCCTTAATCTCATCCAAACCACCAATGTCATCCCACGTAACATTGACACTTTCAACGACAGTCTCACGCAATGCAGATGGGTTCGAGTTACCAAGAGAGAACCTGAAGTTATCCATTGTAACGCCTAATGAGTCTAGGACTTCTGCTGCGATTTCGTCTTCGTCAAGGTCAATCATATCCATCTTTTCACGGATTTGTTGCATGGCAGCCTCGGAGCACAAAGACGCTATATCGGCACCAACGTAACCGTGAGTCTCGGCAGCGAGGGCTTCCAAGTCGACATCGTCAGCCAGCTTCATGTTTTTAGTGTGAATGCGCAGCACCTCCAATCTACCAGTGGCATCTGGGATTCCGATATCAACTTCGCGATCAAATCTGCCAAATCTTCTCAAGGCAGGGTCGATGGAGTTTGGTCTGTTGGTGGCGGCAATAACGACAACGTTGGATCTTGCCTTCATACCATCCATCAAGGTCAATAATTGAGAAACCACTCTTCTTTCAACCTCACCGTTAGTCTTGTCACGTTTAGGGGCAATGGAATCGATTTCATCAATGAAAATAATAGCTGGCGCATTCTTTTCTGCCTCTTCAAATGCTTTTCTCAAGTTGGACTCCGACTCTCCTGCCATCTTTGACATGACTTCTGGACCGTTGATCAGAAAGAAGAAAGCACCTGTTTCATTGGCAACAGCTCTAGCCATCAACGTCTTACCAGTACCGGGGGGGCCGTACATCAAAATACCTCTTGGAGGCTTGATACCGATGGCTTTGAATAGTTGTGGGTGCCTGAGAGGTAACTCGACCAGTTCACGAATCTGCGCCATTTGCTTGCGGCAACCACCAATGTCATCGTAGCCGACCTCATTCATGTTGTTTTCTTCGTCTTCACGATTAATGGGTTCACCTTCGGAGTGTATCACGGTGTCCTGAGCAACCACGGCGTATTCCTCTGGCTCCACATCTACGACCTTGAATTCGACTTGACGCATTCCGCCTCTCACGACAAAGTGGTCACCTTTACGAACAGGACGGTACGCTTCGACAAAGTACGGCTTGAGGTAAACGTCGAATAGGCTGCCTGTAAGGCCCTCTACGGTGTCGGCGATAGGCAAAACAGAGATTCGCGAAGCGTATTTGATGTCAGGACAAGCGTGAATCGTCACCAAGTCTCCCAGGCGAATACGCAAGTTGTTTCTAACAACACGGTTCACACGGCAGACACCATTTTCCAACTCGTCGTCAATCAAGACGATCAAAACAGTGTCCTTCCGTTTTTTGCCCTTGACCAACACTGTATCACCCCTGAACAATTGAAGAACGTCCATGGTGTTGGAATTGATGGCAATCACAGAATTGTCATCATTGACAGCGTCATCGACCATGAGCATGTTGTCCTTCTTCTTACGTCTTAAAATGGCAGTTGCAGTAGCGTCATCACTGTGGGCTTCACCGCCCGAAGCATCCAAAAGAGGCTTCTTTTCGTCAACCATAGTGCGATTGAGTGCTGAAGACTTAAAAAGTGTACCTGAAACTAAGTCTCTTGCGAGTCAAAGTAATCGATCTAGGTTAAAAGGGTGGTTTGCCAAGTAGAGAGCCCTTTTGCCACCGGGAGTTTTCTATATATTGAAGGTCGCTTTATACGTTCTAGCTATATAACACTTACCGACTTGCTGGCCACCCAGCTGGAGTACAGCAGGAAGCTTGGAGCCCTACGAGGATACTTTGAAAACTGCGTGCTAATTATTCGAAGCTTCAAGAGCTTCTCAGATTTCAATTTGGCAGATTTTGGGCCAAGTTAGAATTTTATGCACGCATGTCATACATGTGTGATGCACTTAGTGGACGCACGTAACGCCACAGGCGTGAATATAGCTAGGTGGTTACTGGTATATTATTTTACGGTTTGACGGCCGCTGTCCGGCTTCCTGCCTACACATTGTGTTTTTTTAGAGAGTCTAGAGTTCACAGAAACCCGCATCGAAGCGGTCGAGTGCAGCGGTTGGAAAGTCTGTGCTGATAAGCGAAGTAGTGGCCTAAAAAGAAGTGATCGGGTTTTCTTGAGATCTTCTTTTTGAAAGTTATATATACGAGGAGGAGGTAAAACGGAATACATGCCTGGCACCAGACCCACGCGTAGCGTTGCTTCAAATTTCCAACCGAACCTCATCAATATGCCGTGCGCCACTCTCTCGTCAAACACTTTTCTGTGGATCCCAGGACCAATGTCACTAGTCCTAACCACATTTACGAAAAACTAAAATAAAGAAGAACCTGATCTACACACAACTCCTGCTTATTTTGCACCCTCCAGCTTGGCCAGTAGCTCCTTATGTAGTTTGCCAAGCTTGTCGAAGTCGCTGTCCACACTTGGCCATCCTACGATGAGTCCGGTCTTGTCATCTCTCTTGGGTATCAAATGGAAGTGTACATGATCCACAACTTGGTGTGCAATTCTCCCGTTGTTCTGTAAAATGTTGTAACCCACGCCTTCGGGAGACTCGTTGGTCAGATCAAGCGCAATCGCCAGTTTTTTGGCAACAGGCAAAATATCCGCCAAATATTCGTCGGGCAATTGATGCATCTTAGCAGAGTGATGTTTGGGAATCACCAGGACATGGGCATCTGCTGTTGGTTGGATGTCTAGAAACGAGAATGAGTGTTTGGTCTCAATAAGCTTGAAGGAGGGGATTTCACCTGTTAAAGGGTACTTGGTTAGAAATTCATAGCAAGGAGACGAAAAAGCGTTCACCCGCGGTGCTCAAAAAGTCATACCTTTGATAATTTTGCAGAAGATACAAGCTGTGTCAAGGACAGCAGCGGTGGACATCTCGTAATTGTTTATGGATTAGTTACGCTAAGATGGATTGTTGAGTGGCTTCTCACTTAGCCGGTGCCATTGATTAAGACACATTCATTCGTAATGTATGACTTATTGGTAAAGCTCAGCTTGAGGACTTTAGTCTCCGAACCTTTCTTGAGGGTGACTTCTTTACTGCTTTGGTGGGAGGCTTGAATAGTTGGTACCATTAGGGATGTATGAGCTGTGATAGCAGTAAGGTCTATCCCTTTTCAACCTCAGACACTGCAGTTGCCCCACCCATCATGATTCATCGCATCATTTTGTACTATTCTGACGAGCGATCATCTTATTAGAGAAGGCAACGCAGATGCGCAACAGCATAGTTTTGGGATGTTACTGACATTTTAACGCTTGGAATCTGGCATCTAGAGCGTGACCGTTTGGCTGGCCAATCTATCTTGAGAAGGCTTTCCGGTGTGCACGAGGACTGAAAATGGACGTACACGGACGAATAAGGTTTACCAGCGTATTACACCACACCATATCAAATTTCTTGATCAAGGCGTGGCAGGATTCTCATATACACGAAAAACACAAGAAGGGCGCTTCTTGCTAGACTTTGAATTTTTTTTTTTTTTAACACCTATAAACACTTCTCTCAACGGGTCTCATAGAGCGGCTTCTGCACTATCTACAGAGCAACCTCAAACCTTATACTTTGTGAGTAATGCGACTAAGAATTTACAGTAGTTGAGTCACTTAAAAGCTCGTTAACTTCGTGGATAGATACGGTGTCTTGGTATTCTGAAGTTTAAGTAAAAGATATAAAATTTATGAAGCCAGCTGGAGAAACCTGGGAGCAATTGGGGCAATTTCATCCAACACTCCATTTCAACAAACGGTTCAATTGGCTGTTGCATCATTGGTATGGTTGGTTAGAACACGTCTCTCAACTCGCTCTTCAGCCGAACCTTGTCAATTGATTTTCATCTTGCACATTTTTGTTTTACTGGAGTGGCAAGTATCACTTCGTCCTGTGCCGACATTGAATCGATATCTACTGTTTCGCAACTCGGAGCCACTAAAATAGTGCTAAACTGCGTAGTCCTTAATCGCTAACTCACTTCCTCACTGTACCGTTGAATCCCATATTGGTCATTTCATGAGTTGAAGGGTATCTCTTTTAATGTCTTTTTCCCAATCTGTGACATTGGCAAAGATTCACATTACTTACAACAGCTCACTCACACTCATATGGATGATGCTAACAGCCCAGTAATCCAACTTTCGACTAGTATACGCGCGGAAGCTTGGTAGGAAGTCAAGTATATATACATAATCACCCAGGAAAGCCACACAAACTGCCTTTGGTTAAGTTTAAGACAATTGAATTCTAAATTCGCCTGAGGTAGCCAGTATTTAAAGTTGAATACAAAGCTCCAGGACTCTCATTCTCGAGGCTTATTTGGGTTAACCTCTGTAGAGTCTCACATATAGATCAGAATTTAGCTCGGATCTCATCATGTGAAATTAGCTTTAATTAAAGCCATCGAACCAATACTGAAAAAATTCACTTTACTTGATGTCGAAGATGGGTCATTTCACATTCGCAAGCTGGACAGGGTCCACCTACATTGGCGTAGAATATCCACATGTTGAGATTCAGCATTCAAAGATCTGCAAGAGCTGTCTTCAGAGCTGGGGCTAGCTCTGGTGCGTTATTGCCAAGAAGCTTCGCTCCATCGCTAACCAGTGCAATGCGCATACCCAATAGCTTACAGTACTCCACAAAATTACCCCCAAAGTTGACTTCCGAGTCGTACCCTAATATCGAACGTCTAGCTTCGTTCAAAAAACTAGCTGCGGACGACATGACCTTTTTCCGGTCAATTCTTTCGGAAAGTGAGATTTTGCTGGCCACCGAAGATGAGGATCTGGCGCTGTTCAATGAGGACTGGATGCGTAAGTACAAAGGTCAATCTAAAGTGGTTTTGAGGCCCAAGAAAGTGGAACAGGTCGCACAAATCCTTAAATACTGTAACGAACAAAAACTGGCAGTCGTTCCCCAAGGTGGAAACACTGGTCTTGTGGGTGGATCGGTACCCGTTTTCGACGAAATCGTTTTAAGCTTAACCCAGCTCAATAAGATCCGTGAATTCGATCCTGTGAGTGGTATTTTGAAGTGCGACGCGGGTGTCATCTTGGAAAACGCGGACTCTTTCCTTGCTCAACACGGATATGTCTTTCCATTGGACTTGGGAGCCAAAGGATCATGTCACGTAGGCGGTGTAGTGGCCACCAATGCCGGAGGGTTGAGGCTGTTGCGTTATGGATCGCTACACGGGACCGTTTTGGGGCTCGAGGTCGTTTTACCCAATGGTGAAATATTGAACTCCATGAACGCTTTGAGAAAGGACAATACAGGGTACGATTTGAAACAGTTATTCATCGGGTCGGAAGGTACCATTGGTGTCATCACGGGTGTTTCTATTTTGACACCTCCTCGTCCAAAAGCCATTAACGTCAGCTTCCTCGGCGTTGACAGTTACGAGGCGGTGCAAAAAGTCTTCGTACAAGCCAAACAAGAACTCTCGGAAATTTTGTCTGCTTTTGAGTTCATGGACCTAAATTCTCAGAACTTGGCTAGGAAACACCTGAAGGATGTACCTCACCCGCTCGAGGACGAATATCCATTCTACATCCTCATAGAAACCTCAGGCTCGAACAAAGAACACGACGATACCAAACTTGAAGCTTTCCTGGAGAAGGCCATGGAAGACGGCACTGTTCTGGACGGTGTTGTGGCACAAGACGAAACAGAATTGCGCAACCTTTGGGAATGGAGAGAGTCGATCCCCGAGTCCAGTCAAGCTGGCGGTGGTGTTTACAAGTATGACGTTTCATTACCACTCAAGGACCTTTATTCTCTAGTTGAGGCCGCAAACGAAAAGTTAAACGAACAGGGTCTTTTGAGCGAGACTGACGCTGCGAAGCCCGTGATCAGCGCTGTGGGTTATGGCCACGTTGGTGACGGAAACTTGCACTTGAACGTGGCCGTCAGAGAATATACCAAAGATGTAGAAAAGGCCCTGGAACCTTTTGTCTACGAGTTTATCTCCTCCAAGAACGGCTCCATCAGCGCAGAACATGGATTAGGATTCCAGAAGAGGAACTATATTGGCTACTCAAAGAACGACCAAGAGATCAAGATGATCAAGCAGCTGAAGAGCTTGTATGACCCTAACGCCATTTTGAACCCATACAAGTATGTTTAAAAGTGCGTTCTAATTTCGACTGTTACTGTACATAATATCATATATATATATATTCTACGTGGTTGAAAGATTGCACCAAAATGAGGGCTCGACAAGCGACAAGCGTCCGTGCTAGTATAACGAACACCCGCTTTTACGGGAGATGACCTGCGTTTTTAAGACTTTCAACCGCTGCTGCTGATATATACCTAAATCTCGAGCTGCCTAAAGGCGTTCCACCGTACCACCTTGTCACTACGACTATAACATTTACTATGTTGCTTCGCTCCAATAATGCAAGTAATCGTTGTCCTGCCCCAGACTCGCCGCAGTCGTTAAAGCCTTGTTTTAAGTTTCTCACTTGCCGGTTTGCTGGCCGGCTTCTATGTCCATTTTTTTGAGGGCAGATAGTGCGTGAGTTCTCCACAAGTATCGGTTGCCCAGTTCGCCAGGCGTAAATGTGCGAATGAGTCGCTCTACTGACTGATTTGTTTGAAGTCAATAGATTCGCTAATAAGTGTTGTATTTCATCTTGACTATTTAAACCACAACACCTGCCTTGAAACTTAGATTTCTTTTCAACGACCAAGCTGGACTCGCTCCAAGTACCAATAGCTCTGGCACTTCTCAAAACCAACATTCTGGGAACTGTCATGGTAAGAATCAAGCTAACTGTGATGTTTTAGGCTTGTTCAAGGTGAAGCAGTTTGTTTCAATATCAATCCACCTTAACAGGGTAAAACTCCGAGAAGACACATAAGAGACTCAAAATAAAGCCTATTAAGGTCGGAGTTTCACCAATATAAACGTTTACCAAGCCGGGCAATGCTTCAGTTCGCGGTTTCTTTGGAAGGGAACGACAGTGCTGCTGACTTCCGCATTGTGGAGTACGAGAATGGGAAATTGAACATAAAGAAGATGTATATCCAGCCAAACCATGCTACGGGAGGTCAAACCACTGTACTATGCTACTTACGGCCGAGAGGCCAATGGTCCTATGATCCTGTCGATAGCAAGCGAGAGACATTTTTCGATCACTCTGACTACTTGCTGATCAGTCATGGACATGGCTTTATTGCTGTACATGACAAAGTATCGTCCAAGATAGCGGGCAAGGAAGTTTTACGGGCTAGCTGGTATCTATCGTGCGGAACTTCACCTGGGAATGCCGACGTACAGTCGCGTATAATCTCGATGGAGTATCAAGACGGAATTTTGTACTGCTTGATGGACAACAGCACGGTGTGCCTTTTCATTTTGAACCTGCCTCCAGGTTATGTGAAAACGGACGATATCATTTCCAGCCAAGGTGCAGAAAAGTGGGAACACTGGCAACACTTTGCTCGACCAAACCCCGAAGATCTTACCGAAGAAAATCGCCAGTTCTTCAAAGAAGTGTCCTACATCGGAAGAGATGCATCGACCCATATATTCAGCTTTCTAGCTCCAGCACACTGGTGTTATCGCCAACTACTTCATGATCGCTACGGGGGTGAAGAGGGCGTCGCTTGCTTCCAGCCTTCCTTCACAGTGGATCTTGCAGAGGGGGTCGGGAAACTTCGTATAAATCCCATAGACCCTTTGAGCTTCATAGTTGCTGAGTCTGGTACCCAACTTACGATCCAAAGAATTATCATTAGCCGCAGCTTCCTTCTCTATCTAAGTATTCTGAAGGCAATAATAGAGGATCGAGCATCGACCAGAGAAGCCGATCTCTGGTGTTTGTGCAGCATGGAAGAGAACGAAGAGTTAAAAATCGTTAGTGAACCTGACCACCTGCATTACATACTTGACGAGCTATATTACGACTCGGGGGGCCCAATGAGCAATGGCGAGGCGCAAAGGTGGGATCTTCGACAGAGGGGCGGGGTTCCTAAACTTCTAAGTGTACAATGTTGGCGCCAAAAACGACAACTCCAGTCGGAAGTTCAAGCAAACATGTTGCTTTCGTCGGCAGATCAAATTCTCTACTGTCCAGATCGTCCTGTTCTCAAGAGAAGGCGGGCTATCAAAGTTAAGCAAAGGCAGCGGCGCGTTGGTAAACTCCAGCACAATCTCGCAAAATCTACGGCGGAGCGCTTTATCAAAAACATAAAATTTCCTAAACATTCGAGTTGCCGGGGTAGACATCAGGCTTTGGCCATCGACAAGACCGTGGTAGATTTTCGAGTTGCACACTCGAAAACTAAGCGGCTCAACATGATAAGCGATGTAAGCCGGCCATTGCCTTTTCTGTCAGATTTCTACCCTAATTTAAGCATTATGTCAATCGACAGGCGTCTTACCCTTGAGGGTTTTCGTCCAAGCTTTAGTCAGAGGCCATTCCTTCAGTATGATGCAACCGCCAACAAGGCCTTTCGATACGTGCACAACTCGCTCACAAAAGGCTCTGAATACCTATCTTGCAGTAACCCATTGGAACGACTGTATGTGCTCAATGAAAATTTGAGTCTTCTTTTGAATCCAAATGGTTTGCTGCTTTTTATCTTGCCTCCAACACAAACCGGTTACAGTGATAAGGTTTGGCTACTTTCCAAGAAGGTCCTACCATTTTCACTTGGAATAATTCACAATGCTGTTTTGATTTTGAAGTATATTAAATCTTGCACAGGTTGTAAAAAATGCCGAGGTGACACTTCTGTTGAACTTGAAATCGTTGCCAGTTCGACGGACCAGATCTTCCTTCTTGGTGTGCGTTTCAAACTGCATAGTAATATCGGTTCTGTCACATTACTGGATTGCTTGAGTTTGACTTTACAAGAAAGAGCATTGGGCAGTATAACCTTCATGGGCTCCTCCGATGCAACTCAAATGTTGCCCATTTGATATGACCGACAGAGCGCCCTATCATCGCCTCATATCGTCTCACTTTTCTTTCTGCGTTCGGCTCCCTGTCGATTCGCTCTTCATCACCACAAGACATGGCTAATACCGATAGTTGCTAGGGGCCCCTCAAACGAAATTGGCGAACCCCGGTGGTTGAGAAAAACCTGTTGCTCGGCTGGACCGAGTGAAATAAGCGATCGTACATCTGGTCAAAGGAAAAAGCTCTGTTTCCGCAAGCTAGCCACCTAAGTATATTGAATTTTTCAAAGCAACCTTTTATAGAGTTCATCACCTTCGTGCCACTTTATAGTCTTGATGAATCATCAGATGCTTCTTAGTCTTCATGATATTGTATAGGTTATTGTTTCCAGCGGCCAGCTTGCAAACTAGTACTCAAATCGTTGATGATGTGGTTTGGAAGAGCGAGGAAAGTCTAATGGATTACGGGTATGTTTTGGTGGTACAACGCCTCTTGAAGATGGCCTGGGAGCCGGTTTGGATTTCTGGTATGGAGGTGGATAAAAATTCGAATTTACACCACCTTTCGAAGAATGTGAACCTAACCTCTTATTGTCTCCTTCGTTCTTTCGGCTCCTCTTCTTAGACCTCTTGGAATGTGAACTGGACAACGAGCCATCGTCATACAAGGAACTATCTGTCTTATCCGAGTACCCGCCGTATTTCTTATTCGTCTGGCTTCTGTACTCATCAAAACTCACCTCTGGTAGAAAGTCAGCATGGTATCTTTCCAAGTGAGTGTAGTAGTCCTGCTTGACTTGTTTTGGTAGATTTTCTCCAGAAAATGCACTTCCGTCCTCGTTCGGCACCCTGGAAGACCGGTCATGGTAACAATCATCGCCAAAATGACCCTTCTCACCGCAGTTATAGCAGTAAATTTTGTGGATTGCCAATGCTCGCCGCCTGTTGCCTTGTAAAAGATAATAGCTTCTCCAGATGCTAGGACAACGGTCCCGCGAGTGTCTTTTGCTGTTGCACAAGGTACAAAAGATCCGCCTCCACTTATGCGGACACTGACTGCGATAGTGGCCTTCTCCATTGCAGTTTGCGCACCGAATAGCCTTTGGACAATGTTGGGAATAATGGTCGTCCATCAAACCACAGTACGAGCAAATGACGTGCGGGCAGTCTCTCTTGAAGTGACCACGTTGAGAGCAGTTATTACACTTGGGCTCTGCATCAGCAATAAACTCAGATGGGTCAGAGTCTCCAAAATACCGGCCTTTACCACGAAGCGTTCGCAGCTCTTCTGGATTTGAGTCCACTTCATCGATGGACGGAGCTAAAATGCGCTCATTCGATTCAAACGACGGAGTTGCGTCCTTAACAAACGGCAGAGTATCCTGAGGCTCTGTTTCAGTGAGTAGGGAAGCCATTAGGGAACAATCGAGTCTATCCAGTTGTTTTGTTTGCAAGCGAAATTTCATGAGATGAGATGAGATTTTTCAGTCATAGTAAATTAGATACATAATACGGAAACCAATCGTGTCGTTCACCAAAACAGATCCAGTATACTTACAAATTGTTGGAGATAGAGAGCGTGGCGCTGGGTTTTATTTTTATTGGAAGAGAATAAATTATGCTCGCGAAGGTCCGGGGGTTCTAGGGCACTCCTACGACTCTAGTGATATAATATAGATAAAACAAGCTTGCAAAGAATTCAGGAACTGTGGGCTGCTAGACTTAATTTAGCTGCTTGTTTTGGGCTAGAAACGTCTGCTTACCATTTTCTTAAGTATGCCAAGCATTTTCGGCTCAATTGGGCTTGGTTCCCGGTTTACAGTGTATAAGAATTCAACCGGAGATCTATAAAATGCGATAAAATTGGTCAGATAGTCCTCTCGGGAAACCGTGCCTCTTTTTCGTAACGTCAGAGCTAGAGGACGAGTCAATAGCTTGAGTTTGTTGAGCGTGGCCCAAGATCATTTTCCACCACTGTGTCGTCAAGTGCTTGCTAAGCGCTGGACTAACAGAGATCGGTACGATGCCCTGCGAGGCGCAAGGTGTGTCCAACAAACTCCGAGCCTGAAATATATGTTTTAGACAGGGTGTTAAAGCAGTAATACCTGGGCCAAAACCCTCGCCGAGCGGACCACTTTCGGAAGAAACCAAAAGTCGCAAAAAAAAAAGACAATAAAAAACAGACGACGGCGGTCAAACCCGATGCGCCACAGGTCGATGTCAACCGCAGCTTTTTCCCGCTCGAAATAAGCTTTTGCCAAACGGCCTTATTTTTTTTATCCCTTGGGAAATACCGTAGATACCTGTGGCCTGGACGTCTGTTGTCTGCGTGCCTGACTTGTAAAAACTAGTGGGCCATTCTCCGTGAATGGTAAGTTACGCATTTACTGCGCCGCTATACTCTTCTTTATGTTCTGCCCAAGTCACGAATAAAGTAATGCCACTCGCTCGAAATCATCCGTTCTTTACTTTGGCTTCGTGATGTCAGGTTCCTTCACTGATTATATTTCACACACAGAGAACACAGTGGCCAAAGTTTGGTCTAAAAGATACTCATCTTCAGACCCACGCATAGATTTCTCGAGATTGCGAAGCACACCGATCCAGCCAGCATCATCATAGATGAATAAACGATGAAGTAATCATAGTTCTGGATCGTGCCTTCTCCAATGATGGCTCCCCCTATGGGTATAACAGGGATCGTCATGATGGCCACTAAGAGGTAAGCAGATGCGTACCGCTTGCCAAAATCAGATGTCTTTGAAATTTGACCAAGACAGACAGGTATGAGGGATTGTACAGACCCCGTAGAGAAACCATACAAGATCGAATAAGCCCAGAGAACGCGAGTACTACTTCCAAACGGTAGCCACAGCACCAAATTGAAAACAGCAGCCATCGAGGTGGTGACGATGACCGTATTGAAGCGTCCTGAATATTTGTCTGCCAAATATGCCGGCACATAACGCCCCAGAACGCCAATAGCGTTGGTTGTGGCAATCAGCGAATAGGAGAACTTCTCTGTGTTGCCCTGAGCCAAAGCGTAAGATGCCAAGTACGTCGAAGACGCGGTGAGCGAGTTTTCAGCAAGACTCATTCCTAGGGCAGCGAACAGAAACTTCCACTCCAGAAAATATCGCCAACTCAAAACTGAGCCCCAGTACCATCTAAACGCTTCAGTATTGCTCCTAAACGGTTCCACGGTTGGCTTTTCACTCTCAATGGCAAAATAAATGGAACATGCCAAACAACACAGACACACCAGCGCCAGGATACGCAGGGCCCACTGGAAACCTACGGTCGAGTACAGCGACCGAAGCATCAGTGGCAGCACGACTCCACCCACAGAGCCACCAATCGTCGCCAGACTCGATGCAATCGCCCGCTTCTTGATAAACCATGTGGCAATGCAACTCACCAGCGGCGTGGTCAAAATGCCTGACGCAATGCCTCCCAGAAGCGAAAACGCCAGCACAAACTGCCAGACCGCCGTGCAGTTTGCAGTTATCAAAATCGCAGATACAAACAGCGCCGTTCCGAGACACAATGGCCCTCTTCCGCCGTTTCGGTCAAAGTAGCTTCCCGTAAAGATGCAGCTTAGGAACGTCGTGGACAGATATATCGAAAAAATCCATGAAACGACCGACGACGACTCGTGGATCAGCTGGTTCCGCGATATGTACGACTCCACCGCGCCCAAAGAGTTCATGAGCCCGAAAACCGGGAACAGGCCCATGAAAGATCCAAATACCACCAGCCACGCCTTGCGTCCCCCTTCAGGAAGCTCCAAAACCTCAAACTCTGGCTCTTGCTCTGGCCCATTGGCCAGCTCCTGCACGTTGGTTCCCTCGGAACCGCCACCTACTCCATTCACCCAAGTTTCCTGCTCCACCTGGAAGCCCGAGCTCACGGGTATACCTTCACTTTCCCTGGGCGAAAACGGCTCCTCACGTTTCGAACCATTTGCAAGCATCACTACCTTTCAAAACTCATCCGTTAACACTAATGCCCGTCCTTCCAAGTCTACCCAATGGCCTCTTATACGCCAGCGATGAGTCAATCGATGAGCTTCAAATTGTCAGTTCAACATCGAGAACTTGACTAACTTGATTAACTATCATGTGGAACGAAAAACCTAAAATTTTTCGATTTAAAGCTTAAAGAAGTTATTGATCTCAAAAATGAGTCAACTGTTAAGTCAGGCTCCAGATCTATCCAACTCAATCGGTGCTTCACAAGTTCGCTTGATTGCTTCGCAAAAGTTCCCAAAGGATGAGCGTCAACGAAGCCGTGCACAAGGTCGAAGACAAGGTCAAAAACCTTGTCTTGAACAACAAGAGCGAAGAACAGAAGAACGTCGAGAAAAGTGAGAAAAACAACACTCAAAAGAAGGCCAAGGGCAACAATGGCAAGCAGTCAGCTCTATATTTGAACCCAGAACCCGAATTTATCGAGGAAAGAAACGCCATGTTCGACAGGTTGCAACTATCGTACGCGGAGAGCGTGGCCCAAAAGCCTCGCGCGGTGTTGAAAGTGGTGTTGAAAGATGGGTCGGAAAAAGAAGCCACTGCGTGGGAGACGAGTCCCATGGACATTGCCAAGCAAATTGCCAAGTCGTTCCCCGACAAGCAGTGCATCTCGAAAGTCAATGGGGAGCTGTGGGACCTAGACAGACCCTTGGAAGGTAGTGAGGGCGAAACCATCAAGCTAGAGTTTTTCGACTTCGAGTCCGAAGAGGGCAAGCGGGTGTTCTGGCACTCGTCTGCGCACGTCCTGGGAGAGGCTTGTGAGTGCAACCTCGGAGCCCACATCTGTCTGGGACCCCCAACGGACGACGGGTTCTTTTATGAGTTTGCCATCAAAAACGGCGCTGGCGTTCCTGCTGACACTCCAGAGAGGACTGTGTCACAAGCAGACTTCCCCAACTTGGAGAGTGTGGCCAAGAATGTCATCAAGGAAAAACAAAAGTTCGAAAGACTTGTTATGTCCAAGGAGGATCTGCTCAAGATGTTCCATTACTCCAAATACAAGACGTATCTAGTGCAGACCAAGATCCCAGACGGTGGTGCGACCACTGTGTACCGTTGCGGTAAGTTGATCGATCTGTGTGTTGGTCCTCATATCCCCCACACGGGCCGTATCAAGGCTTTCAAACTTTTAAAGAACTCCTCGTGTTACTTCTTGGGTGAAGCCACTAATGACTCTTTGCAAAGAATCTACGGTGTTTCTTTCCCCGACAAGAAATTGATGGATGCTCACTTGAAGTTCTTGGCCGAGGCCTCCATGCGCGATCACAGAAAGATCGGTAGGGAACAAGAACTGTTTTATTTCAATGAAATGTCCCCGGGCTCTTGTTTCTGGCTACCTCATGGCACTAGAATCTACAACACGCTGGTTGAAATGTTGAGAACTGAATATCGTAAGAGGGGTTACGACGAAGTCATTACTCCTAACATGTACAATGCCAAACTATGGCACACCTCGGGTCACTGGGCCAACTACAAAGAAAACATGTTTACGTTTGATGTGGAGAAGGAACAGTTTGGCTTGAAACCTATGAACTGTCCTGGCCATTGTATTATGTTCAAGTCCAGAGAGCGTTCCTATAGAGAGTTACCATGGAGAGTTGCAGACTTTGGTGTCATTCACAGAAATGAATTCTCTGGTGCTTTGTCGGGTTTAACGCGTGTGAGAAGATTCCAACAAGATGACGCTCACATTTTCTGCGCTCAGAGTCAGATCGAACAAGAAATCGAAAACATTTTCGACTTTTTGAAATATGCTTACGGGGTTTTCGGCTTCGAGTTCAAGATGGAGCTATCCACTCGTCCCGAGAAGTACTTGGGTGATTTAGAGACTTGGAACAATGCCGAAGCCAAGTTGGAAGGCGCTTTGAGGAAATGGGGTGGTAAATGGGAATTGAATCCTGGTGACGGTGCTTTTTACGGTCCAAAGATCGATATCATGATCTCGGACGCTCTTAGAAGATGGTTTCAATGTGCCACCATCCAGCTGGATTTCCAACTGCCAACCAGATTCGAGTTAGAGTTCAAGTCGCAAGAAGGTGATGGTTACGAAAGACCCGTTATGATCCACCGTGCTGTGTTGGGTTCTGTGGAAAGAATGACGGCCATTTTGACAGAGCATTTCGCTGGGAAGTGGCCCTTCTGGTTGTCTCCTCGCCAAGTCCTTGTGGTGCCAGTTGGTGTGAAATACCAGGACTATGCCAAGGAAGTTCGTGACATGTTGGTGGAACAAGAATTTTACGCAGATGTCGATTTGAGTGGTAATACTCTACAAAAGAAGGTGAGAAATGGCCAATTGTTGAAATACAACTTTATCTTCATTGTCGGTGAGCAAGAGATGTCCGAGAGATCTGTGAATATTAGAAACAGGGATGTGATGGAGATGCAAGGCAAGAACGCCACTATTGACTTGGAAACGGTTTTCAAACAGTTGCAAGCGTTGAAGCGGACCAAGAGTTTAGAAAATGTCTTGGGCGATAATTGAAAACAGTTGTCCTTACATATCATTATCATCGTGCTGTCATATATAATGTCATAATTTTACCATTAGCAGTACCTCGAGGTGTTCTTTGTCAGGTTTCGTAGATACAGCAGCCCGCGTTGTCGCAAAATTTCAAATGGTGTCTTCGCCACGCCTCTCGCGCTCCATCAATTCGTTAAATTCGTCAGTATCGTCAGCATCGTCAGCATCCGGGCCGTCCTGTGGTCGCATTCGAAGCTGGTCCCACCCACTACCACTGTTGCTGCTATTTACCCCGCTCTGGACGCGCACCTTATCCCACGAGGACCGGGACTCCCCCAAATCCGTCGGTTCACGATGTGGTGTTATACCCTCTTTCTTGTCATGGCCAGGACCCGAGTATAGCCCCATGGGATCACGCTGGTTCAAAAACGGCGACACTTGTGGCTGCTGTTCGCCGCTTTGCATTTTTTTCAGCAGTGTGCTCGGGTTGGGCAATCGACGCTCCGGGTTTGTGTACGTGGAGTAGAAATAGTGGCCCCAACGGGGTGCCATCCCGTACCCAAGCAATTTAAGCATCTCGTACTGTCTCGTCTCTCGGCTCTGTGGCGCCGCGGGCTGTTCCACTTCGTTGTCCCATTCGGATGTTTGTGCTAGCGGAGCCAGCCGCGCCACCTGCGCATTGTACCGGACCCGTCCACAGCCATGTGCGCTCAGAGCCATTGCTACCAGCCCAAGGACGAAGTTGCGAGGCACTTTGACGCCTTTGATCGCGCCTGTTCGGTGCCATTGGTAGCCAAATGGCCCTCCAAAAACCACCGCGAAACCGACCCACCCGCCCCAGAGCTGAGCCCTGGAGATTCCCACATACATCTTCGATAGCTCCAATCTATCCTTTGGATCCAGGGCTTCGTCTTTCGCGTAAAAGTCCTTCGCCATCTGGTAAGCCTGTTGAAACCACGGTTTATCCATAAAACGTCCGTTTTTTGCGCTCTGAGGCTCTTTCTGGTTGGAAATTTCCCCGTTCATCATTATAGAGCTACTGGAACCAAGTGTGCAAGCTCTTAGTCGTCCTTAGACAACGACCAACTATCTATTAGCTTTGGTTGGTTCCAGGAAGCTTCCCTTTAACTATGTCCTGTTATATAAATTGACCAATATTCGTATATGAAGACATCAACACAATTCCTTATTAGAAGATTGGGCTATGGCTTCGAGATCCCAACGCCAGTCCCGTTCCAGATCAACTCACATCAAACCTAGCACTCAATGGATCTGTTTGCCGTCAAGCAGCAATACTACACGGGGAATTACAAAGAAGCGCTTTCCAGGGCCGCCCAAAACGCTTCGGAGTCGTCAGAAACTGTGGAGTTCTACCGGACCAAGTGCCAGCAGGCGCTGGGCCAATTGGACGTCCCCAACAGTGCCACGCCGTTGGGTGCAGTATTTACAGAGTACTTCGCGAGCGCCAAGGGCGGAGACCTTTCCAAGCTGGAAAAAGCGGTCGCTGAGGCGCCATCGTCGTTGTTCGTGGTCAACGTGTGGGCAACGGCACAGGCGCGTGCCGGGGAGCTGGAGAAGGCGCTAAAAACATGTACCGACGCGCTGGAAGATGCCACGGGGCCCGGGGCCGTGGAGCTCGCGTTACTGGCGGTGCAAATCGCGGTTGTGGCCGGACAGAAGGTTGGCAGTGGCACCGCCGGGAGCACCGGCAGCAGCGCTGGGGCGCGGATCCTACAAAACTTCCTGGCCGCCAACGACGAGTATCCAAACGAGGACGAGATCGTGGTGAACATGGCTGACTCGTACGTGAACTTCGCGCTGGGCCGCGAGACGTCCGGGTCGAACTTCTATTTTTACGAGGAACTGTGCCAGACATTGCCGTGCTGGAAGTCGCAGCTCGGGCTGTTGAGTCTGCACCTACAGCAGCAGAACCTACCGGAGGCGCAAGCGGTGGTCGAGCTGCTGGAATCCGAATTTTACCAAAATCAATCTGAGTCTGCCGCTCTATACACGCCGGAGCTACTGGCCAATAAGGTTACACTTGCGGCTATGCACGGCGAGCACCCGGATGCCATCAGAGCCGAATTGCTCGATGTGAAGCCAGAGCACCCTCTAAGTGAAAATTACCGTGTGAACGATGCCAAATTCGACGAGATCGTTGCAAAATATGGAGCATGATTTTGATTCAAACCACAATCAACGACGCACTCCTCTCCATCCACCGGCGCGAATGCCCTATACATACATCTTAAGTAGTCAGGTTATCATCCATGGCTGGTTGTGCCCAATCACGACACCGGTGAAAAAGTAGTAGCACCTTAGCCCGGGACCACCACGCCTGAACTAACAAACCAAGACAAACCCGAACTGTTCCTACTCATCTAGCAACTCTGTGATGTCAGAAACTACTGAATCAGAAAAGAGACGCCTTCTGCGCGAAAGAAGACAGCAGAAGTTTGGCAATGGCCAAGCTTCGTCCAGACTGGCCAAGATCACGGGTCAGTCTGACAAGAGTTTCTTGTCGACGGAGTCGCCACTGGACTCTCGCAACTCGAGTCCCAGTCCCGAATGGTCTGGATCCGCGGCGTCTACCGGGTCGCCGACCAACAACCAGGACTCCACGAAACAGATGGATGAGCTTCTGGCGCAACTCGCGCAGAAAGGACCCAAAAAGCCCACCACTGCTCCCACAGCGACGCCTGAGCCTACGCGCAATCCGGAGCTCGACCTGTTTGCCCAGCTCGCCAAGATGCAGCAGGAAACCTCCTCCACGCCTGGGAACGGGACACCCGATACACCGGACATTTTCGCCCAGTTGATGAAGTCGGTACAAATGGACCAGCAGGCACAACAATCGGCAGAAAAGGCGTTTGCTGGCGTTGGGGGGCCACCTATTGATGCCGCGGTTTTAGAGGCCCACAACGCCTCGGTTAACAAGCTGAAATCCTACACAATTCTGATCAAGTGGGTATTCTTCATTTTACCGTATATTTACTACGTTACACACACCTCGCGCGAGATTTTCCAACTCAACTCCATGAACCACCTCACCCAACCCGCGAACTTCTTCACCGTCTTCACTACATTTGAAATTGTTACTTTGTCGGTGTATTACCAATTGCTACTCTCTGCTGAAAAGTCGCACAAGATCAACACTCTCAACAGCAACAGCAAGGTCATGAAGCTTCTGTCGATGGTCCCACCGGGACTTATCCCGATATCTAATCTTACAGGCAAGGTTTCCCAGGCCCTTCAATACTGGGACGTCATATCCATGTATCTCACAGACTTGGCATTTGCGATCTTGCTCATCGGTATTTTCCAGTATTACCATGCCATTTAGTAACTTCTGTTCTGCATTTCGAGGCTGAACCACATTAAATTATTTAATATAAAAGATGTGTCTATGTGTATACGTTTTAGCACTACTTCTGATCTTCGCCCACTATTTGCATCCAGGTTTTTCCCTCCTTCTTCAATTGCTCCGTGACACCGTCTTTGATCTTGGCCACAAGGCCGGGGCCCTTGTAGGCAAACGCAGTGTAGAGCTGCACGAAATTGGCGCCGGCTCTGCCGAACTCCAACGCGTCTTCTGCAGAAGAAATACCACCGCAACCGACTAGAACCAAGTCTGAATCACGAGTGTACTGGTAAATTGTCCGCAGAGCCTTCAAAGAAAACTCTTTCAAAGGTTTACCGGATAGACCCCCAACTTGGTGTGTTAGGGTTTCATCTTCAGTAATGAGTGTACCAGGTCTCTTGATCGTGGTATTGGACACAATGATACCGTCCACTTTGGATTTTTTGGCAGCTTCAGCGATGGATTGTAACTCTGGGGCCGTCAAATCGGGGGCTATCTTGACCAAAATGGGTGGCCTGTGAGAAGTTGCACCCAAGGCGTTGCCGGCACAGACGAGGGAGTTTCTCTTGTCTACAACCTGGCTCAAAAGATCTGTCAATTTAGACTCATTTTGCAAATCTCTTAAACCCGGCGTGTTTGGCGATGAGACATTTATCACCAAGACGTCGGCTAGCGACTGGAACTTCTCCACACCTTTCAGATAATCTTTGACCTCGTCGCCATTCTTGTTTTTACCCAGATTGATAGCCAGCAGCTTGTTTTGATATAGAGACAGTTTGTCGATACTGGCATTCTTTGAGAAGTACGAGTATAGATAATCGGAAACGCGCGCGGCAACGTTGGCAAAAACGTGTTCGTGGCCGTCGGAGTTGAAGCCATATCTGTTTATCACTGCGCCATCACGAGGCAATCTGAAGAACCTAGGTCTAGGGTTACCTGGCTGCGGCAGTGGAGTTATAGACCCGATTTCGTGGTACGCAAATCCTCCTTGTAAAATCCCATCAATGGCTTCCCCGTTTTTATCAAGGCCAGCTGCGCATCCGATTGGGTTGCTCATCGTTGTGCCAAACACATTGACCTTTAAAACCTCGTCGTCTTTGTCGAAGAGCAGCTTTGGCGTAAGTCCCCACTTCAACAAAAAGATTCCCAACTTGTGCCCGTTTTCCGCATCGGGCGTCATAAACCGCACCAGAGGACACAGTACGTATTCGTGAATCGCCGATCTGGAGTTGATTAGGTACAAACCGGCAAACCCTCCGCCAATCATCCCAGCAGTGTACAGGATGAACTTTGCCCCATTGAACCCAGATTTTAGCGGATATCTGCTGTTCCGCAAAAAGTAATTTGGCTTCTTCAAAAGTCCTTGGAGAACCACCCGAGATGGCATTTCAACTAATGCCAATTGGATCTGTGAGGAGCGGTAGTGGAAGATGCCAATTCTTGGTTTTTGGACGTACCATTCACTGGTCAATTTTTTCATTATATTAACCGAACTCCACAGGCTACAAAACAACGACAGATAAACAAATAGACATGTAACCAAGAGCATCATCGAAAGAGCCGCTGCTCGAACTTTCTAGTGCTCAAGGTTTGAGTCTTTTACATTCGCTCGTGTAAATTAGGTACCTCCACAGTTAGCACTTTATAATAGCGAGCAGGACCTCACTCAAGAACCCTGTGAATGCAGAAACGCTTTTACAAAGCACCAGAGCCCCTATGTGGAGACTTTGAGTGCTCTGGAAGGTGGGAAGAGCTATGGGGGTGCTTTGTAAACCCAAATTTAAGGAAATGTCCGGCACAATAGAAGGCTACTATAAGTCATGATATACGTGTGTGACGCAGGATTGTCAGTCAAGCATTTTGATAATTCAGAGGCTCCAAAGATTTCGAGCCGACAGGGTGTGCAATATTTAAGAGGGCTACAAGCGTTAGCTTCACTTTTCTAGGGATTGTAAAGTTTTATCCTTGTTTTCTTGAATTTCTCAAGATTTGTAGGTTCGTAAACCGGGAGTCAAAAAAAGCATGGCTTCTAGCCTCTTAATGCATCAAGCCTCTACCATGAGCTGTCAGCGAGCACAATAGTGTCTCTGTAAGCCTCTAGCAAGGCTCCGTTGTGGAGTCGGGTGGAATGTCGCAAGGCCGATATTGAAGCTCGATATCACATGACTGAAAATTTTCGAAGTGATGCGATGAGATGCGATGAGCTACGGAAACAACTGCGACCAAAACTATCACAGAAACCATCTCAAGCTCCCCGGTTTAGGTGTCCAGGAAATTTTGTTGTATTTCCAGTAGCTTTTGAGAGATACTTCCGAAGCTTGGGGGAAAATGGACAAGTTCGATCGCACCAAGTTTGGGTCCAAGAAGCAAAATGGCTTCAGCAACAAGACTAAAGATAAAAAACTGAAGGCGGGTCTCAAGAGGATCGACGAACAATACAAAGATGCAGTTTCTTCGGCAGCAGCGACCGAGTATTTGTTGCCGGAATCTGCAGGTTTCTTGGAGGCAGAAAACGAACTGGAGAAAACATTTCGAGTTAAACAGGATGAAATCCGCAGCGCCGTGGACGTCAGTACGGCCAACAAAGCTTTAGACCTGAAACTTCGAGATTTTGGACCTTATTCCATCAACTACTCCCGTAACGGGACCCACTTGCTGATTTGCGGTCGCAAGGGCCATGTGGCATCTATGGACTGGCGCAAGGGCCAACTGCGCGCAGAGCTAAATCTCAACGAAACATGTCAGGCTGCCACCTATCTACAGAATGAGCAGTACTTTGCAGTGGCCCAAAAGAAATACACTTTCATTTACGATCACGAAGGCGTGGAATTACATCGCCTCAAACAGCACATTGAGGTTAAGCATATGCAATTTTTGCCCTACCACTATCTGCTCGCCACTGCTGGGCAGACAGGGTGGCTTAAATATCAGGACGTCAGTACCGGTCAGCTGCAAGCAGAGATTCGGACAAAACTGGGACCCACGTCTGCTATGGCCCAGAATCCATGGAATGCGGTGATCCATTTAGGACATAGTAATGGTACCGTTACGCTTTGGGCACCTAACATGCCAACCCCATTGGCAAGGTTGCTATCAGCCCGTGGTCCAATCACAAGTGTAGCGGTAGACAGACAAGGTCGCTACATGGTTACCACCGGAGCCGACAAATCCATGAAGATCTGGGATATTAGAAATTTCCGCGAATTACATACGGTCGAAAACCTACCTACTCCTGGTTCAAATGTGGAAATTTCGGATTCTGGTTTACTGGCTCTTTCTAGAGGCCCCCACGTCACTCTTTGGAAGGACGCATTTAAGTCCAATAAATCATCGAGGCCATATTTCGGCTCCAGTGGCTTTAAAGATCGTAATACACCTTATATGTCCAGCATGTTTCCTGGGAGTAAGGTAACTAACACGCAGTTCGTACCATTCGAAGATTTACTTGGGGTTGGTCACCAGGATGGTGTACGCAATCTGATAATACCCGGTGCTGGTGAAGCAAATTACGATGCTTTGGAGATTAATCCATTCGAGACGGCCAAACAGAGGCAAGAACAAGAAGTCAGGACGTTGTTGAACAAGCTACCTGCAGACTCTATTGCTTTGGATCCAAATGTTATCGGTACTGTGGATAAGAGAGCCACAACCACTAGATTAAACGCCAAGGAACTGGCTGAGCTTACCAATGAGAAGGCTAATGAGGCGAAGAACAACAAAGATGTTCCTCAAGTGATGCCAACTGTAAAAGGCAAAAATTCTGGTCTACGATCGTTTTTGCGCAAAAAGACTGAAAATGTTATCGATGAGAGGAAATTGAGAGTAAATGCACAATTAGAGAAAGAAAAGGCCGCACGTCAACGCAACGAACTGATCAGAAAGGGTGAAATCAAGGAGGGACAGAAGGATTTGGTGAGTGAAGCCTTGAACAGATTTGGCTGAAAAGTGGGCTTACTATCATAATACATCCAAAAAGCTTTATATAATGTGCACAGATTAAAGTCAACCTTATGTACAAATTATGCAGAAAGTACTTTGTCTACAAGAACCACGATGATTCAAATGCTGTAAGTTCATTTTACACTAAACCCTATTTATTTGACCGTCTCGCGTATCTATGAAAGCTTCGAAAACTCTAGCTCGTCCTCTACTTTGAAAGGCGTTGGAAGAGGCGCATCGACGTCCTTTTTCTGTTTCGTCGTTTTTATCAGTTCGACAGGTTCCTTTGGGCTCTTATCGATTACAACGACCACACCGTTGCTACCTTTAAATTTGCGCACAGGTACAAATCTATCTTCCTTAGAGAAGGCAATGTACTTCAGTTGTTGTGGAACAACCCGACATGCGTTTTCAATTTGATATGGTTTGTTGACGTACTTAAGTTTGTAAGGTGCGTCGTCCTTTGCCTCGTCCTCAGGTTTTTTGGCTTCCTCTTTGACCTCTGGTTTGAGCTCGGTCTTCGATTCTCTTTTTGTTTGAGAATCACCGCCTTCTTTTGTGTCTTTACGAGTCTTCTTAGCTCTTGCCTTTGCTTTCGCCGTGGTGGACAAGACTGCGGTGGCCACTTTTTCAACGTTCTTACCAATATCCTCCTCAAACAATGGGGGGTAGTCGAAAACATCTGGTCTTGTGTGGCAGTTGAATTGGAAAGTAGGAATGCTTAGATCCTGACCCCGAACTCCGATGACACTTGTAGGAGTGAAGGACAGAGACAAGAAGTGGGTCATGGGAAACCAATACCAAAATTGAGAAAACATTACCAGCCCTATTACTGCCTTAGTGTCTAAAGTTCCCATCTCCACATTCTCGAGTTGTACTGTAACATTGCGCCCGCCTGCATTCATTATGCCTTGGGCGACACAAGCACCAAACTTGGCGAGACCTTCTTGGTGTTTGTTAGAGATGACACTGAGAAACAACTCGTTGACTTCTTTGACTTTACCGTTGGTTTTCTCTGTCTGTTGAATCAAAATCAAGGACAAGGAGATCATAGCAGCTTGGCGCACAAAATCGACCGGGTCTTTAGTCAATGGCAATAGAAGATCCACGGCGGCTTGTAGTCCTCGTCCAGCACACGAAATACCGAGAGCAAAAGCGGTACCGCAACGGACGTGAGCATTGTGAGATTCTGCTAATAATTCTACGAGCCTTGGCACTGTGGTGTAATCACGGATTAGAACAAAACCTAGGGCAATAACTGCTGCTCTTCTGACATCATCATTAGAGTCTGATACAGCAATATGGAGTAATTTTTTGATCGCCTTGTTGTTACCAGTACCTGCATAGGCGAGAGCAATTGTATAAGCACCACCATAACGTAACAAGCCATTTTCGTGCTCTACCAAATCCTTGATCAGACCGTCTGCCAACTCTTTCCGACCATAACTAATTACGGCCAAACCCATAGCCAGACCACGCGATATATTCCCATGTTGGGTTTCTTGAGCGTAAGCAAACATGTCCTGAATAGCGCTAGAGTCACCACTTCCAAGCATGATGAGACCCATACCCAGTGCCGAGGCCTCCCCCGAGTTGGCGGAATCATTATATAGCACTTCTTTTAAGGCTTCATAAAGTTCGCTATTAGATGATCCCATACCCGCAAGACCAATACCCAAAGAGGCACCATGCAGTAATACATCAACATCCTCATCGCCCACCGAAGAGCTATTTTCAACAACGTGAGACTTCAAGTAGTCAAGAATCTCCCTCCCATAACCAGCATATATCAGTCCTAAACCATAAAGGGAGCCACCTTTAATGTAGCGAGAAGCTGCTCTACTGCCTGGTAGATAAGGCTCCATAATCTTCTTACCGTCCAAAAGATTGCCCTTGTGGATTACGCCGAGAGAAGCAGTTGCAGTGAACTTGGCCCAATTCTGGGCCTTTCCTAGCCATGGAAGGTTAGATCTGATGAAAGAATCATCAGTCGTCCCCGCGTGCATAAATCCATTCGCCACACTGACTGCCGTGTGAAACAGGGAAAACTTTCCGTCCATCGAAGACTTTGTCTTATTCAAGAGGCTCAGGTCAATATTTTTGTTTCTGGATAGAAACGTGTTATAGTAGTCACAAGTCGGTATACCAGAGAGAATCTCAAGGACTTTTGAATCGTATTGTTCGTTTTTAAGAGTCATAGCTAGCCCGTCAAGCAGCCCTTGGGATGCAGACGACACCAAATCAAAGGCAATTTGATAGGCAATTTCGGGGTTTTCTTCTTGGGAAAGTTTGTCAAATAGAATTTTAGCGAGTTTGAGGTCATTCAGAGTGACGATAATCTTTAAGATTGTGAAATAATCGGGAGTCTTCATGGACATAAGGATGCCAAATAGTTTGTGGTAGATATCTGCTCTGAACGGAGTGCTCGATATAGTGGTAGAAGCGGCTGCCAGGACGTAGGTGATTAGTTTTAGAGCATTGTTATCTGAATCCTCCGAAACACGCATTTTCAAGACTTCCTCAACGACGTCGGACCTGTAGCTTTCTAAAGCAATTCCTAAAGCTAGCTTGTACTCGCCTGATAAAGTACATTTTTTTAACATCCTTTCAAATACGGCAGTCAGTTGAGGGTCGATAGATCTAGGAGTGTTTGCATTTTCAAAATTATAGGAAGAGGCACGCATGTACATGTCAATGCTATGTGAGACTATCGTCTCAACAAATTGTGATCTCTCATTCACGTCAAAGTGCTCATCAGCGGCAAGTGCAAATTTGACGGCAGATTCATACTCTCCCAAGTTATAATATACTTTAGCAGCCACTAAAGCAGCAAGCTTCCGACTTTTAAAAGAGTTGTCATCGTAAAGAGCCTCTATTTGCGTAATTTCATTCGAAATTTCTGACCATAGTTGGTCTACAACCCCATTGATGGATTCTAAGGCATATGTTTGCGCAACTTGGTCATCCTCCTTCAATAGGGCTAAAAGTGGTGCAGCTGTTGCCACCGACATTTCCAGTTGTAAGATGAAGCCTCTCTAGGAACCCAATGGCTATCAAACTGGTTCTCTCGGTTTAACCAATGTGTTTTAATGTGGTAAAGATTGATCGGATTACCCTAGTTATTTTGCCACCGTCTTTCATAGACCGGTGCTCGTGTAAAGAGATCTGTAAATTCAATTTAACCACGCCAGCGTCAGTAAATCAGTAGCGAAAGTGAATAAAAAGTGAGGTCAGGCATTCCTTCCAGTCCACAACTTAAGTTTCATTTATCTTTTCTGACTTTGTTGATGCTTTACAGGTCGATACCTTTTTTTGAGCTAGAACGTAAAAATCATGTATATAATTTGCTTAGTACAACAATCTGATGGAGATCTTGTATTCGGTAGCATTCAGTTGATCGTAGATTTCCTTGATACCGCTTTGATCTACGGAGGAAATGTCTGCCATCAAGTAGGCAATGTCACCTTGAGAGTCAGAGAACTGTTTTTCGATGTTATGGTTGGACAAAATATTGTTCACGGTCCGCAAGACACCAGGAACATTGTGGTGAATATACAAGACACGGACCACATTTTCTTGATCCAGATCTAGGCCCCTGAGGGAGACTTCGGGGAAGTTGACAGAACCAACGGAGCAACCTTCGTTGATGTATTTTGTCAAACCAGTGGCCACTTCAATCCCGATGGCACTTTGAGCTTCTTCAGTAGAGCCACCAATGTGTGGAGTCAGGATGACATTGGGCAACGAGGTCAGTTCTGAAACCCAATCGTTCAGATCGTCATTGAAGGCGCCGGCACCATTCTTGGCGGGTTCGTGAGGGTAAACGTCCAACGCAGTACCAGCTATCTTCCCTACCTTGATAGCCTGCACAAGGGCTGGAATGTCGATCACGGTACCTCTAGAGGCATTGATGACGTAGGAACCGTCCTTCATGGCGGCAAATTGAGGAGCAGACAACAAATTCTTTGTTTCCGCGGTTGCCGGCACATGGCAGGTCACGAAATCCGATTTGCCCAACAGTTCATCCAAGGTCGAGACCTGCTTAGCAGTACCTAGAGCCATGATGGTAACAACATCGTAGTAGAGCACATGCATACCAAACGCTTCCGCCAGCACGGACAATTGGGCCCCAATGTGACCGTATCCGATGATCCCTAGCGTTTTGCCTCTGACCTCCCAGCACTTGTTGGACACCTTGTTCCAGGTTCCGGTGTGCATTTCAATGGATCTGTCGCCAAGTTGTCTGGCGAGAGTGACGATTTCGGCGATCACAAGCTCGGCCACAGACCTGGAGTTCGAGAATGGAGAGTTGAAAACGGCCACACCCATTTTGGCGGCAAAGTCGAGGTCCACTTGGTTAGTACCGATGCAGAAACACCCGATTACAACAAGACTCTTTGCGTGTTTCAGGACTCTCTCGCTTAATTTTGTCTTGGATCTGATACCGATGGCGTGTACATCCCTGATTTTCTCAATGAGCTCATCTTCAGGAAGAGAAGCCTTATAGTATTCGACCTGGTAGCCCTGGCCGTTAAATATCTCTACGGCTGTTTGATTAACGTTTTCCAGCAGCAGTATTTTGATGTCGCCTGTGGAAAAGGGCTTCAACGCCTTAGTCTGCTTCGAGACACTCATACGGCGAGGAATCGAGCTCATGAAAGATTGAGTTGGTGAGGTAGACACCTGGCCGGGAGATCCGCTCAAGTTCACTGCCCTTTGGAACGAATTCTGCAAGCTATTAATCTGCTGTGGAGAGGCCATTTTGTCAGTTGATGTAAGGTGAGACGCACGGGGAATTGGAAAAGCTTAACACACAACCGCTTGCTTATAATACAAGTAGAACACACAAGTGATACAATTGCCAAGCAAACTAGTGTTTATCGACCTTGCGCTTACTTATAGTCATCATCAAAATGCTCTTAATATAATTAAAAAAGTGACTACTCATTTAATTTTTCAGCTACACCGGCCAAACCGGTCAGGAAGAATTAAAGCCAATCAGTCATGCTGTGGTGGCAGCGGAGCCACCAATCAGCGGGAAAATTTTTCAACAGCATGTGATATGACTTTCTCAAGCAACTTGTTATTCTTCATGTGCCGGGCCGATTTTGATTGACATTAAGTGGGCCTGAAGTGTGACATTCGAAGGGTGCTACTGTTTACCAGGCCTGACGCTCGAGTTGGCGATGGCTACCAGATTTTTCAATAAATATGGGGTAGTGCAGAATACGAATAATATAGCTGTCTTTTACCTTCTGCGTTCACATCACCATCCGCACAGCTCTGAGCTGAACTGTAAAACATAGGTGGACATGTATGTCCGTTTGGTAGATAAGATCTGCCGCGCGTCTAAAAAGAGATCTGTCATATACACGGAGGTGGAGATACATGTCCGCCTCGAAATTTTTTACGTGTTAAGCGACTAATCCAAAAATTTGGGGTCTTTTTGTACGTAATGACTCCTGTCTGAGCTCTGTCTGCTAAGAAGGAGGAGTCACCCAGAGGTTCGCAGCGAAAACTGGTCATTTAGTACAGTTCTGTCATCCTCTACTTGACGATCTGTTTGCACACTCGAGAATTGCAGAATAAAGTGCTCAAGACTGTAACGGCGACGACTGTCCCTTTTTCTTGCTATGAATGATATTAAATGATTATTGTTGCTTGATAGTGTAGTCCCCTTGAGGGTCCTTGACCAAAATGCCTGCCTTCAGCAGGTTGTCAAACATGTCCTGGGGAATCCACCCCTGGGTCGCGGCAAAAGGACTTTGGATTAGCTTTTCATGGAAGGCGTTCAAATCCGCAGCATGCTTCTCGACTTGCTCCTCGGAGAATTCAAGTGGAAACTTGGCGCTGCTGACCAGTTTGTTCTTGGCAAAAACTTCCCAAACCTCACGCAGCTGAATCAAACTTTCGTCGATGAGCAAGTATTCGGCATCACTTTTGCGTTCCACGCAAGTAACATAGGGGGTTCTCAGAAGCTTGATAGGAGGTGCAACTGCGGAAATTAGAGTCTTGCAATTTTTGTTCAATGCAGACTCCCACAGGTGCTGGTTCCGCGTACGCTTGTACATAAATTGGTACTGGACCTTCTCGGCCTCTGATAGTTCCGTGTAGTTCTCGACGTCTTCCTCCAAGTTATAGATTTTGGGACCGTCGTAGGCAACAAACTGGGGGGCATTTTGCAAAATGAAAGGCTTAATGCTCGTGTTTTCAAAGTCCAAGAGAAAGGAGGTGCTACCTTCTTGGTCAGTAACCAAGACATTCATGGGATCTAAGTCAGGGTGGTGCAAGCGAGGTTTCAAGAGCTCGGCCATATTTGGTACCACGTTGGAGTTAACATTATAAAGCAGGCCAGATATTTTCGCAACATTCTCAAATGCCCGAGCTTGCTCTCTCAATACACTTTCGTCAACTGGGGTAGGTGAAGCATCAGCCTGTTGCAACGCCAGTCTGGCTCTGGCATTATCTGCTTCTAGCTTGGCCAAGTCCTTGACCATAGCCATTGGTTGGTCTCTGGGCCATGGGCCGGTGAACTTCTTCACCTGCTCTAGGGGCAATGCGGATTTTTGTCTCCAAAAACACCGTTCCGTGGAAGGTCCGATACGCCATCTGTGTGCGAGCGACTTATTTGCTTCACCGTCGTAGGCAAGATCTGTGACCTCAGGAACATCTTTAGCGAAATACAAGCTTCCGAACTGGTTGAAGGGCACACTTAGCATTTTGGCCTGGAATTGGGACAATGGGTCGATAACTTTATTCAACTTGTCCAAATGAGTAGTTTTATCTGCACTGTCGTCCTCCAACGGGGTCCAGTCACGCATCAAGAGTCGCCCTTCAATATATTCTTGCAATATAAAAGGTTGCCTAACGGGGTTCAAAGCGTTGGCGCCATAGCAATATACCGTAGGGACCTTCAGTCCTAATTTGAGGTCGGCAAAATCGATGGTCGCAACCTCACTTTTCAATCTATAGGAAATAGCCGACTCATTAATAGTTGCATATGGAATTCTCAGTACAAAGGACTTTCCAGCGTTTGTATCCACTTTGTAGATTCTGTGGTGTCTACCTTCGTGAATGCTCGCCATCGCAGTCACCTTCAAGGCTTCGTTAGGTTTCAATGATCCTAACTTGCTCTTTACCAAGTTATGGGGGAGTGAAACTGTCAAATTTTGATTGTATGATGGTCCTGGGATGTCATCTGTGGTGTTATTCGCCTTAGCCGCGGCCGTTGATTGAGCATACAAGTTTGAGATAACATCGGTTAATCCCTCTATCGAAAACTTCGTTGTTCTCTTCTCCTTCTCAGCATGATCATTTTTGATCCATGAACCCCAAGAGTATCTAAAAAATGCATCTCTTTGAGGGTCGTTTTCATCGGAAAGCTTGGTGAAAACTTCTTTTGGGCTGTCAGAGATGTGACGGACACTAGAGATTATCGGAAAACGAGCTGGACATAGCGCAGCCGCTGACCTCCTCGTCTGAGCTTTCAGACTTGATCTCAGTTGAAGCATGGCCTTGATGGAACTTTTAGTGTTGGCTCAGAGGCAAAGCCAATTACGTAAATGTTAACTTTACTAAAGTTTTTAAGTTGAAATCCGAAATTTCAGGCTAGCCAAAAATCAACTCAGCTGAGATATTACCACAGAATATACTTGACGCACAAAATATGTCATTAGTAGATTGCTAAATAAAGTACTGTTTGTGACACTTCTCAAAATGACCTCGTCAACTTGTTTGCTGCGCTAAAATCGTGCCTTAAACACTGCAGATATCCGCCAAGGTAAATACATGTCTACCTATAATTTTTGATGTCATTTGCTCCAAATCGAAGGTACGCCTTGATTCACCTCCACTGGGACAGATACTGGGGGTAGGCTTTTAACGTCGCCCAAGTACGAAAAATCATCGCCAGTCGTACTCCGGTTACTGCCTGCGTCGTTGCTCATAGTCTCCAAAATTGATCTGGGACCACGTTGGAACTCAGAGGTGTTTCTAAGGCTGTCTGGCTCATTGTCTTCATTACGATCTGGTAGTGACTCCGCTGAAGAGCTGTATTGCAAATTTTCGGACTTATAGTTAAGGAGCCTCATCTTTTCTCTTAATGTCATTGGTGCATTAAGCGCAAGATCCGGACTCTGCATAACACCCAACTCCTCGGAATGCAATGATCTGGGCTTGGGTTGCACTAAGTGGTTGGTTGTATTCATCTGTTGCTTAGAATGTACTTTGGGTTTCGGTCCGCTGGTGGACATAGAGTTTAGCAAATTCAAGGAGTACTGCGGGATCCCATAGCGATGGACTTTCCTGCCCTCTACACCGTCTTTGGTGGCAACCATAGAGAGTGATGATGTTGCTGAAGATCTAGACATTGGCCTAGAAATACCAGAGCCCAGGTGGTCCTCCGAGGGATCGTAGTCAAGAACAGCTTTCATCGAGATCTCTTCCCCCACTGGCATATTATACAAAGAAACAGTAGAAGAGACGTCCTGAGAGCTATGCGAAAAAATAGAAGAGTCCTCCATTCCTATGATCTGTCCTGGTGGAAGTAGAGCTGGTCCGTAAGTGTTCATGGAAGGTTGGGATCGGTACATTAGATTAGATATGGGGAAATCTGCAAAATTAGGGCGGGGGTCCTGTGTCACGTTGTACGTATGTGTCGCTCTATGTTGAAGAACAACAAGCTGAATCCAGCAAACATAAAGACACCTCACGGCTTCCGAAATAGATGGCTGCTGTATTTCTCACATACATGGACCCGCTTTTGGCTACCTAGTCTCTTCCTAAATACGTTGTGGGCAAGTTCTAACTGGCAAACAGGTTCCTACGCCGTAATGGTGCTATCACGCTTTCTGAACTTTTGGTTTTAGAACAGGACCCAATTTGTACTGGTCGAATTTGTGCTAAGAAATTCCCACCTTGTTTTTTTTTGTTGCCTATAAAATGTTGTTTGTATGGCCACACATCTCTTTCTACTACTTCAAATCCAACACTTCTGGCCCGAGTCGTGAAGGAAAGTATAGCACTAAGGCATTCGTTCGCTTGAAAACTCTTCAACATCTCATTTTTCATCACCAAGTGTTTTTTCTTGATAGCCAACACCCGATGATCCCGCTTAACTCCTGAACTGTCCAAAGTTTGAAATGTAGAGACCAGCAAGTGTCACCAACAATGGTTCGTATGATTCTTGCGGCGTTCTTAGAACTAACGTTTTTTGAAGCTGCTATGAAGCTAAATACTCTGTTTGCAAATGTTGTAAACACATTGTCAAGCTATGTAGTGCACACATTTTTGATCGGGATAAACACATCCAATGTTAGTCTGAATCAAATTCATGGAAACGGCGTTTCGGCTGCGCTAGTCCAAATACATTCTTGTCCGTCCCGTCATAGGAATAGATATAGTTGGTAAATTCCCAAATATTTTTGATCCGAAGAAATAATTGCTTAGTATATATGAAAGCTCGGCGGCTAATTTACTATAAAAGTCAAGAGTTTACTTTCCATCTCGATAACTTCTACAACACACAACTTATTAACATTCTCTACATCAGGAAGGCATATCTTTCAGATCAAAGGCAGTATCTTTCAAAAATATGACCACTATCCAACAAACCAAACCAAAGACAGTCTCAACTACGTCGACTAGAATAACCTGCGAACAGTCTCAGAAACTCGTCCAAACAATGTTGACAATGTCGTTTGGGTGTCTCTCATTCCTAAGGGGTCTGTTTCCTGACGACAACTTTGTTGATCAACGCTTCGTGCCTGAAAAGGTCAACAAGGACTATACGAAGGACAGGAGTGGCACACAGTCCAACTCTATCAAAATCAAGACCCTTGTACGTGGAAAAACCCTTGAAGCAGATATGTTTTTAGATTGGCTAGAGAAAGGTGTATTTCAATCCATTAAGCTGAAATACCTGAAAGGATTGAGTCTGGGCATTTTCGCGGACGAAAATTCACCCACAGAGCTTCTGGAAAACTATGTCTTTGGCTTCAACTACGGTCCCGAAGGTCAAATATCAGTAAGCGTTAACGATGGAGACGAGTCTGTCTCCCTTTTGGATTCTCGGAAAGTCGTGCAACAACTAATGCGTAGATTTATCATAATTACGCAGTCACTCGAGCCTCTTCCTGACAAACGCTTTCTCTCAATGCGCCTTCTGTTCAACGATAGTGCCCCGTCAGATTACCAGCCGCAGCTATTTAAAGACGCCACTCATGACAGTCCAGCCACTGTTAAGGTTCCGGCATCCACAGATCTCGACACTTATTCTGTAGGGTCAGTGGACACCAAGTTTCACAGGTATGTTCCCCTTACCACCCTACTTTCTTCTGAACCGTTACTAACCAATGTTATAGAGTCTTTCTCAAAGTGTTGTCTGTTGTTGAGTCAAACGACGGTGACGATCGCCCAACGAGAGATATAGATCCATTTGATCTTATTGAGGAATCCAAAGATATGAATAACAACAGTGTCTTATTCAGCCAATTATCCCGAATGTCTCCTGAAGCCATGGCCAGTCAAACCACACATTACCTACAAGACTTACTGGCCTCTCCAAATGGTGAAGTGGCACAGACGCAACACCTCGATGAGAACACCATTTACGATTGCCAGTGCCGAACACCTTGTCCAATGTCCACATCTAGGACCCTGAACTGCTCTTCTTGTAAGAGAAAACTGCACAAGCTATGCTACGGCAATCGTCATCATAATACGGTCCCTAAATGTCTATCCTGCTTGGCACATGGCTCCAATGTTGATTTTTCTAGCGCACCATTCAAAGTCTTGATGATGCTGAGGAGAGTATTCAGATTCATGATTAAGAAGCCGCAGATTCCCAGTAAACTGACAGGGTTTTACCATGTGCTGGTGGGGCCCCAACCGGAACCAGGTGTCGTTGATCATATCAACATGGCACTATCAATAATGTTTTTGGATGAAACCTTTATCCTTGAGAAAGAAAGAAGAACACAGGTCAAAAAATCGCTCTACTTGCGGTCATCCAATTATGTTGAAATCGATAACGCCGGAGTGATAGTTCGGGATATTGGTGAGCTTCTAAAAGATACAAAACACGTTTGGACTTTTGTGGCTAACTCATCAAAAGCGCAGGAAGGTTATACCTCCGTAACTATTGATACCCTAGACTCCTTTGAGAGTGCTCTGCACTCTGTCAAGATATCGATGTCCAATGTCGTGACCGCCTCGCAGGTGCCCCCTCCGTCTGATGCCGAAATATCCCCGGGCTCATCGTTGGATATGTATTCTCTGAGAATTGAAGACGACACCCAAAATACTTTGGAAACGGGTAAAAGAACATACCCTAAGTTAGGGGATTATCTGCACGGTAAAAGTCAATCACTTGATGATACTCTGGACGTACAGGCTTTGCCTCCACAAAAGATAAGAAAAATCAGCGCTTCTAAAAAGACTCTCAAGAGTATTTGGTGAAAGTCTTTGTCAAACCACCTTCCCCAGGTGCGTCGTCTGTATGTCACCAAAGTGCCGCCGAGTCTTTTTTGCACGCACTACATTAAAGTGAATATGATGAAAAATAATGGTTGCGCATTAACATTCGCAGCACTTCCTCCTAAAATAAACCGTCGCTGGTAAGAGAGTGATTCCTATTTCTGGTACTTTCTTGTGCACAGATCGCTTTAGAGGCTTCTACTATGTTTAAAGCGGTGCAGTTGGTCGCCCGTGGCCGTACTTTAGGTACCTCCCTCTATAAGCGCTCCATCAATACAATAGCGTCACGCCAAGCCAATGGCCAACGTCTCGACCGTCAAAAACCAAATTTCACTGCTGGTCAGCCTCTATTTGAGACCAGGCCTGAGCTATTAAAGGCTGGTGAACTTACTCCAGGTATCACAGCATTAGAATATTTCGAGCGGAGAGTCAAGTTAGCAAGTCGACTTCCGCCAAAAAGTTGTGCCGTTATCGCTGGGGCCCAGATCAAGTATGCTTCGGGTCCTGTTTTTTATCCGTTCCAGCAAAATAATGATCTTTTCTATCTTACTGGCTGGAATGAGCCTGATTCAGTAATGATACTCGAAAAACCTACCGAAAACACTGACGACGTAATTTTCCACCTGATAGTCCCACCTAAGGATGCTTTTTCTGAGCAATGGGAAGGTGAGCGTACAGGTACAGAGGGGGCCTGTGAAATTTTCAATGCAGATGAATCCACCGATACACGGCAGTCGTCGATGTATATCACGAAGATCATTAATCGAAACGACTACATTTATTTTGACCGGCCACAAGATAAGGTTGATTCCAGTGCGGAAGCATTCTTTAGATCCTTTTTCTCTGTTTCTCATTCTCCCGACACAGCTGATACCATAACTGAGGTAATAAGAAGCTCTGGAAAGAAGCACGTACGTAAATTAAAGTCTATCATTGCCGAGATGAGATCGATGAAGTCGCCCGCGGAAATCAGAGTAATGCGGCGAGCTGGCCAAATATCAGGCAGAGCATATAATCAAGCTTATGCCAATAGATTTCGCAACGAACGAACTTTGCGGTCCTTTCTGGAATACAAGTTCGTCTCGGGGGGATGCGACAAATCTGCCTATGTGCCAGTTGTAGCAACTGGTGCCAATTCGCTTTGCATTCACTACACGAGAAATGACGACGTGATGTACGATGATGAAATGGTTCTGGTAGACGCTGGGGGTTCGTTGGGAGGATACTGTGCAGACATCTCCAGGACATGGCCCGTAAGTGGTCAGTTTTCACCAGTTCAGAGAGACTTATATGAGGCAGTTTTGAATGTACAAAGGAAGTGCATACAACTTTGCAAGGCTTCGAATCTCTATTCTTTAAATGACATTCACGAGAAGAGTGTTTCTTTCTTCAAGGAGGAACTGAAAAACGTTGGACTGCCTGCGTTCAGTAATTCGGACGTCACAAAATTATATCCACACTACATCGGGCACCATTTAGGCTTAGATGTTCACGACGTTCCTCAAGTTTCACGTTATGCACCACTCCAAGCAGGGCACGTAATAACTATCGAACCAGGTCTCTATATTCCTGACGACCTCGCGTATCCACCCCACTTTAGAAATATTGGTATCAGAATTGAGGATGATATTGCGCTGGGCCTCGATAATTATGTGAACTTGACCGTTGAGGCCGCAAAGGAAATTGTCGACATTGAGAGTATAGCGAAAAACGGAGTCACCAGCTCAGTTGAAGAAGACGTGGCGGCTCCTCTCAAAGATATCACTTGAGTTGTTCACCAAACGTGTCTGGAGTCTAGCGTGGATTCTTAACCGTGGGAAGTTTCATCCATTCTCTTCGTCCGGGCTGGAATCATTCATATCCGCTATCTGCTGCATACTGTTCGCTATGATTGAGCGCTGTACTTGACACCGAAGGGAGTCGTTATGCTCTTTGATTATGTCGAATTTTTCGCACAATAGTTGATTCGATTTCAGCAAGTCCTCGGCTAACTCTGAATTGTCATATCTACTTCTGTAGTTTACAATGAGCCCATCGAACTCAAAATTCAGCTTTAATTCTCGGATGAGTTTGTGTATTTCTTCAAACACCACGTCTTGTTCAATACGCAAGGTCTTAGACAAGTAAGATATTTCAACATTGGCAGAGACCCTAAGGTAGAAGAAGTATATTTTATCTCGCATTGTCTTTTGGGCATCTCTCCAACTCTTCGCAACAAACATGTTTTGGCTATATTCCGTATTCCACTGATTCCATTCTTGCAGGAAATCGCGATAGCTGGTTTTAATCAATTGGGACAACCATTTTGACAGCGGTTGCGCAATTCGGAGAAAAGGCTCCAGTTCTTCCAAGTTCATAAATTCCTCATAATTATCCAGAGGAATTGATACCACTGCTGATATGGAGATCATTGCTATCAGTTCCTCGTGTGTACATATCAAATATTGAGATTGGCCTCCGAAAAACCCTACCACGGATGGGTCTTCTTCCAATGCTTGCAGGAACAGTCGGAGACACTCTAGATAATTTCCCTGTGAATAGTTTGCCACAGATAAGAGAAGTCTGATGTTGGTAAGTGAGCTCCTGTCGCTCCTCTCAAGCCCCCCGCTTTTTGCCTTTGCGTAGGATGAAGTTCGGTGCTCAATGTCATCAATAGGCTTCCAGTTTTGGCTCAAAATCAACACCTGGATCATAGCCTGTAGCTTCGGTAAATAACCGAAGTTTCTGTCTTTCTCGAGCATTGCAATCGCATCCGAATAATTATGCGAAATAATCCTGTTACGCAACACATCACTTTCGGAAGATATTGTCGACTTCTTGAACAAGCTGCGCAGTGTTTCCTCAGGTGCGACATAAGACGAATTCAGCAGAATGTGTAAATTTGGATATTCGCTAAGATTTATGGAAGCCAAATAGTCAATTGCCCTTTTAACTAAGTATTCGTCTTTTGGATTGAAAGCAGCCCTTTCAACAAGAGCAGGCCCGTCATAAGGAGAAAAAAAGCTCATGAGTGACCCAGTCACAAAGAATTCAGCTCGTGGTGATCCACCGTCGGCCCTTTCGGTTCAATTAAATGGTGTCTTTTCATCTACTCGGCAACTTCCACAGTGCCTTATATCTAATGAAATGTCAATTTTTATGCACGACAAGCTCATCGCTAGTGTAAAATAAGATCGATGTATGTGAAATAGTGTACAAATCACACAGATATGATACGAGCCGGGCTTGCCAATATGTTTAGGAAGCTGCATACTACAATCCGATTAAATGGTACTCAGGTCAAAGAAAAACTACATCATTTTGAGAAGAGTTACCAGGTTTTGAAGAAGTCGAGGAAAGAGCTTGAAAGAGGTGCTGAGAAACAACGAATCCAACGTAAGACGCTGAATAAAACTCCTTACACTAAGCAACACGCACAACATGTTTTGAAAAGCAGACACGACGTTCCAGACGGAATGCTGCAGTCAGTCATGCTTGGACCCACCAGCAATTCCGATCTACGCTTTCTAAAGTTGACTCGCGATAAAAGGCTCATGTATACCATCTTGGGAGTCACTGGCGAGCAAATGCGCGACTCTAAACTAGTTGCCGAGGATGTCCGCAAATTTCTCGCCCGTAATCAGTTGGAAAAAGCGGTGCTTTTGGCCCGGCTGGCAAAAGGTCGCGGAATTGTGGGTATGAATAAGATTATAGAGCACTTCTGTCAAGAGTCGCAGGATGCAAAGTCTGCTATAGATCTGTACAACTGGAGAAAAAAATGGGGTATTCCGCTAAACGAGTTCACGAATACGATCTTATTCCATGGGCTCGCCAAGTTGCGAGACCCGCTGACCGAGAAACAGTCCCAAAGAGTATTAAAGATTGCCTCACAGCTGATCGAAAAGGGAGCTATGAATCAGACCGAGTTCAATGCTGCCCTAAGTTCCCTGGTAAATGGGGGAGATATGGATTTAGTGTTTCAACTGTTTGATGCGAGGCCCAAGTTAATCAAAGGAGATAAAATAACGTACACGCTCCTCCTCAGAGCCGCAGCAAAGCTTTCGGACGATGCACGCTGTATGTCCAGGATCGATTCAATCATGGCCATGCTTCCTAAAGACTGCTTGGATAGTAGAACGATGTACGAATATTGCCGCGCTTGGCACCAACGCAGAGATACGAATTTGTCCGCAGTGGCTTCCATAGCCATTGGAAAGTTCTTCGAGCTCGAGTCTGCTTTTGATGGACTCGACCTTCCAGCTGGCGTCAATTTACCCGACTTACAGTACTGGGGCATTGAGAAACGCTTCCGGCCAGATGTTCACTTGGTTGATTTACTCTTTGAGAACTTAGAAAAGAATAAGCTTCATGATCTGGCCTGGGGATTTTATCAGAAGCTGAATATTGAGAGCCCGAGCTTAATGAGATTATCAATATATGAACGATTGATAAGGATTGTGACTTCTGCATATCCTACTAGATGCGCAGAGATGGCGATTAGTATATTTCACGATCTAGACACACGACATAAGGTCAACAAGAACAGCATGATTCTTGTCTACAAGGCTTTTGAAAAGCAGGCCATTAGAAAGTTTATAAATGACTCTTCCTCGCAAATTGACACTTTGCTGGAGAGATTATTCAGCTTTGCTGGAGAGCTTGAAGGAGAACGGGCTGGCGATCTGCGTAATAAGCCCTTGAACTGGAAGGCGTGGATTTTTTGCTGGAATGTTGTCAATAAGAGTAACGAACGAAGAAAACTAAGCCTCAGAAGGGCAAGTTGGGTGTTGGATCAGTATCTATCAACTCTATTGACTGGCCAAACTAACGTTCAAAATTTAAATCCCCAAGACCACTCTGGGATGAGGCATGTGGGAATCGAGGCGGTCCGCTTCTTAACTTATTTTTTGAACTTTTTCAAGCTGCCAGAACAAGTTAATCTTGAAGCCATCAGCGGTGTTGAAAGAGAAGCGTTTCTGTATCGAAGGCTAATATTGAGACTCAAAGAGAGAATTCTGCAGAAGGTTGAAGTTATAGAGGGTAAACCAGGTAACGTCGAGAGCATAGAAGAGTCGCTAAAACATACCGCTCAGAAATTGAAGAAAACCAAAATTCCGTTTGAACAGCAAAGGACCAGTTAAGGGAATCTGTATCCACAGACCAACAACAGCTGGTAAGAGAATATCTTAACAAAGGCATATTTGATACAGCTATATACAGGCAGATTACAAGGGCATAAATATTAGTTAAAGAAGGATTTCATGTTTTTCAACCAGGCAATGTATTCCTTGTTCTCTTTGAATTCCGAGTAAGTACCAATGAAGGTGGCCAGTTCCTCGTTGATGCCTCTGCTTTCCAAGTAAACTTCTAATGATTCTTGTAATTCTTCATCCAAATTAGAAAATGGAGGGCCATGGTATACAAGTTCACGGCTAACCTCGGCTTCGGCAGATTCTTCTAGAGCCGCTTGAGCATTGGCATATGGAGTAGCGCTGTCAACAAAGAACGTACCCTCCTGCAAATTCATGAGCAACTCAAATGAAACAGCAGATTGATCGGATTTTTTAACGATCACCACATTCACGTTGGCAAAGTTGTCAGCTACGCCATCAAGATCTTCATCTTCAGCAGCGGAGGGCATTTCATTTTCCATACTAGCAGCTTCCAAAGGTAGATTAGAGACCTGCGCGACATCAAAGAAGACATGAACAGTCTCGCCTCTAGCAGTCTGATTGACGAGTTCTGCCATGTTCTTGCCTGGGCTCGCCACGGCGGAGAAGCCAGTTTTGTCAAAGAATGCTTGGACTGACGAAGGAAGCACGGACGAGTCTTCCTCTAGCTCCAGAGCAACTTCCCCATCGAGGACTTGAGCTACTTTCTGGCAATGCTTGTTAAAAGTGATGGCAGCACCACTAAATGTTCTGAAGTTGTTCCTCGTAGCCGGGATGCGCAGCAACGATGGGCGACACCGAGACTGACGAGCTGTAATGGAGCTGAAGCGAATCAAAGAGCGAGAAAGCATTGTTCTTAGATATTCGAGCAGAAAAGCTAATAATTGATGATCTGCTGAACTGGACGGAGGTGATGAAGAGAGAGCTTACTACTATGGTTGAAATAAAATATCCCAAAAAAAAGCACGTGACGTTATTCTTTGGTCCGGGTAGTACGAAGAGCGCTCTTCCTACTTTTGTCCCTTTGTAGTGTGGTGGTATGAGCTCTTTGTTTTCTGTAGTTCGAATCTGGTCAAGGGTCTTTAGACGTAAATCTACCCGCCAAAACAATTGAAACCTGGCCCTTAGAAAAGTTAAACTCAACTTCTAGCCAGCGCCTGCAAAACTTTAACGGCAAATCAAACCATTCATAGGAGAACTCATACATAATACTGAGAGGACGCGGCGACGCTTACCATTAAGTAGGGCATCCACGTTTTTCGCCATAATGAAGGGGTTGTTCACGGCTGATCGTCCGAGGAGAGTTGCTATGTGTGCAGGGGATAAGTCCAGGAACCTTTCGAAGCGGTCATTACATAGAACCAAAGAATCAGCTTTCCTTTTTTAGCTAGGTTCACATCAGCGTGTAGTTACTGAGCAATGATGCAAGGGTCCTCGCTCCTACTTTTTACAGGTTTCGAAGGAGGATATCTGGGCCCACAAGATCAAAAGGGGTAGATAACGTCGGCAATGGATTGAGCTTCCGACCGAGGAGGCAGTTAAGAGGGAAAAGCTGTGACACAGGGCACCTAAAGAGCTTCGGGTGGGCCGCGCGATCTAGGCGGCTATTATGTGGGTGAATTGATAATATCATTCGTATTCGTTCTCCATGATTAACACCAAAAGCGTAATCACGTGATTGTGTTTTCACGAGTTGCATGCATTCTACCTCTGTTAAGAGCCGACATTACCTCCACGGCAAGTGTCGGGGCGCTAAGAGGTTGCTAGGAAAACGGATGTTCGTTAAAGTGGTCTCTTGGCTGCGACAGTCGTGTCGATTCTGCGTTCCGACTCGACGTTGACTAGCAGATGTTGCCTCAGGTCATTTCTGCTCCCCGTGCTAGCCAGTTGTGACTATATTGGCCGGTTGGTCCACGTTCCAAAGAAGAAGAAATAACAGCAAAAGCAGGCCGATGGTGCAGCTTAATCGTGAGTCCGCTCAACTCCCCTATTGTGCCGTATCGGCGACAGGATTCAGCAATGCAAGTTGTTTGCGCAGGCGTCTTAATCAACGCATGCAAAGGTTGGAAAAAAATAGTTGCTGAGGGTCACCGCCATTATCATGCCCAGCCATTTTTCACACCAAAAAATAACGATTTTATAGCGCAAACGCTACGACCGCGCGGACCCTATCAAGGATCTTCGATCATGTCTCACCTGGTGATCGCGCGTGCTTTCTCGGATTTTCTGCATCTTTCTCCAAGCTACATCATTTCATGTTACTCGAGAAATAGCAACTCGCATGGGAAGCTATCTTTAATCACATGAGTAAGTGATGTTCAGCAGAGAAAAGCTCGTTAAACAAATAAAAAGTCATCACCATTGCCAGGTGTAGAAAGTTTAGTGCTCAGGAGAAAACTAAACCTGCTTTAGCTAGTTGAAGTGTGGCCACCGCCCCATCTAGCAAACTCTTGACAAACTTGAAGGTTGTTTTACAGTTGTCTACGACTCAGAACTTTGAACTGTGAGTGCGCTCCACAGTAGTTTGTTCGCGACGGAACTTCGTTTTTTTGGCCAAAGCGATTGACAAACGCAATCAGACTTCTCAAAAAAAGGTGTGGCAGCTACTAGAATAAGTGTCTCAGAGCTCTGTAATGGGTGCCAGTTGGGGAAGTAGAACAGTGGAGGCAGCGGACAAGGTTTCCCATGGTAGCTCCGCGATTTCGTCGTCGCCACCTCGAATCTTCAAAAGCGAGGCACCTGGACAGGTTGGCTCTGTCAAAGTGATACAGCCCCATAGAAGAGCGGTCTCCGCTTTAACAATAGATTACCAGAATGGAGCAAGTATGGCGAGCAGTCAGGGCTCCCAGGCGACCGTTGTGTCTCCAAGCGCCCCAAGATCCAGTTCTCTTCCATTCTTAATGCGATCGAATAGTAATCCGTCTCTGCCGTCTTTCAAACCCAAGGAAACGCGCTTGCCACGTCCTGACGGTACAAGTTCCATATCTGCGAATGAGTTTCGCACGTTGTTGCAAACAGAGCCAACGGAGAACCTTATTATCATGGATGTTCGCCCTTTTGTCGAGTATTCGCGCTCGACTCTAAAAAATGCTCTCCACGTATGTCTCCCGTCGACACTACTGCGACGCAAGACGTTCACACTCGAACGTCTAGTGGAGAACTTACCTGACGACGTACGAAGCGTTTTAGAAGCAAAGGTTTTAGAGCCATCTGATTGTTCGTCTTTGAAAATAGTCATATTCGACAATGCATCTCAAGCCCCTTCAAATAGTTCAGTCAGCATAGCATGTCATGGAATGGCTTCTAAGTTCGCCAACAGCGACAGATGGTCGACTCCTAGTTGCAGACCCACTGTTTTTATATTACATCCAGGGTTCCCTGCAGTAAAGGAGCTAGACAGCTCTTTAGCATTCACTGCAGCAGGGACATGCTTACCCGCTCCATCAGACGTTCCGCAATCTCCGAGGCATCTAGACACTACTTCTTATGCTTCTCCAAATCCTAAACATTTGCATCATTCCAACTCTATCTCCTCGCCTAGTTCCTTATCAGACTATCCGTTGTCATCGTCCTCTCCACTCTCTGCATTGCTCAAATTTCAGTTGCCTTCCACAACTGGTACTCCTCCTCCATTCAAACTTCCACGGCATGAAGAGGTATCCAACTTAGAATCATATTTGAGCGCGGTAAACTTAGGTGAACGACAGCGTAGTGTAGGAGGTAGCTCCATTTCACCATCGGAAAAGCAGGAATTGCCTACAGCTCGCCTCGACAACGCCTTTAAATTTCCTGCCGCATCGACGAAGGACAACATCCACCCGCAAAGGAATGATGACATCTCAACTTCTACTAAATTGAAGTTCCAGAAATCATTTCTCCATATGCAACAGGGCTACGGTGATGAAATGATAAATTCTGTTATACCAAAGTGGTTTCAGGACTTAGCCAACGGTCCAAAATTAGATATGGTTGTTCAATTTCAAAAGATCGACCTGCTCGAGAAAAGCAGGCTGAGCTATTGTTTAGCAAATTCTGGCCTTTCTCCTGATCACTCAACAACGTCTTCCAGCTCCCAATTAACAAGTGTCGACCCTATCTTCGTCGATACTGAGCAGTGCCCTGCTAAATGGTTGGACGAATACGATTCTGATGAGGAAGATCAGAGCATTTGCATCTCTTCAGGTGTTGAACTGGGGAGCAAAAACAGATATAAGGATATTTTCCCGTATGAGCATACAAGAGTAATACTTCAAAAAGATGATACAACCTTCGAAAGCGCTGCCTCGGAGGATATCACAGAAACTTATATTAATGCCAACTATCTGGTTAATCCTTTTATCCAGCTTCAGGGTTCTTTGAAGAGCACTTGTAAGAACGTCCGTTACATTGCTACACAAGCTCCGCTAGCCGCGACAACTTATGACTTTTATACATGCATTCTGAACAACAATGTGCCGCTCATTTTGTCGTTGACGGATGAGTTTGAAAACGGGGTTGAAAAATGTTTTAAATTTTGGGCCGAAGGCGATTACGATGGGATACAAATCAGACTTTTAGCAGAACAAGAAGTCCAAACTTCAGAACTTGAATCTGGAGCGGGATCGGTAACCATAAGGCGAATCCAAATAAGACAGCCTGGGGGCAGGGTCTTTGAAACGCTGCAAGCACAGATTAAAAACTGGCCGGATTTGGGGGTCATGGTCAACCCCCGGCAGATTTTAGAGTTGATCTGCCTGAAGAACGTGGTGGTTAATGAGCTATTTGAAAAACAAGTCTACGCAAATGGTTATTTACCAACCATTTTGGTGCATTGCTCTGCAGGCTGCGGTCGCACTGGTACATTATGTGCATTAGACAGCGTGCTCAACAATGCCTCAAAAATCGATGGTCTAAAACAAGAGTGGGCCGAAAGGAGATCCGCGACTGAAGTTAATCCGTGGTCACCACGCCGCAATAGTTGTCTTGACAATTCTATCTTTGACCCGGTGATTATCACCATCAATAAATTTCGCAAGCAGAGGATATCGATGGTGCAGAACGTCAATCAGTATTTATTCATCTATGACTGTTTGACCTCATACTTCGATCTCTGCATGAAGGCTAAAATGACATCATTAGATTCATCGCCAATTTACTGTAAATCAATCAAGAAATTGGGAATTGTTCAGAGCTTTCTTGACAGAAAAGTAAGTGAACCATAGTGAGCCTAAATTTTTGGCACATATAATGATCCAGGTTGACACATATCTGACATAAGGAGTTCAGATTAAAAATTGCGCCATGTATGGGGTGTGAACCACGGTAATCGCATATGCATTTGACGTTGATAATATAGTATTAATAAGTTTTGTGTAAATCGCTAATGAATTTTCTGTAAATGCCGTCCTGATGAGTGTGGTGTGATGTGATGGATATAGTCTATTGGCATAGTAAAACCTAACCCAACAATAGCTCATAAACAATAACGAGTATGTTTATTCCAATTAAGGGTACTTTTTTGGTTTTAGGGTTAGTATTGAAGGCTCGATTCATAGGGTCTGAAAGTGAAGGAGTGTGCTGTAAGGCTTATTCCACATACTTCTGAGAAGTGTCTGAATAGAACTTATCAATTGAATGACTTTTGACTTTGTGCTGTGCTCTTGTTGTCCGAAAACCGGCGCTTGATTGGAGTTGGATCCCAGTCCAACTGTGTTTGTGAGGCTCTAGTTAGTAGGCAAGGTTCTTGTATTACTTACCATTGTGGTTTCTCACTTACTTCTTCTGAGAAATCTCTCCTCGCTCAAGACCGCAACCGCATTGATGAGTAGTAGAAAGACGTAGAACAATCTACCCAGTCCAAATATCATGGTAGGTCGTTGATCCCTGCTGCGAATCGTTGTTGTCTCGGTGTTGCCAGCTCATTTATGTAAATGTCAAAAATCGTCAGCATCAAATACGAAGGCGATAGCAGTCTAGTCAACATGTTGACACGTAATATGGCCCTACACCATAGCGCTTCTGGAAGCCCCTCATTCCTTCAAATCGTATTCGTTAACAAATGTGGATGATTTTTGGTTATATTAAAACACAATATAAGAAAGTACTTAGAAGTTTTTGTATTAGAAGTAATGCCGAGTTTTTCAAAGTTTGAACTTGGATTCCTCTAATCAGCGTTACGACGAGCAACCTTCTTGGCCAATCTCTTACCGGTACCGAAGATCTTCTTGTCTCTGTTCTTCTTTTGCTTTCTTTGTTGTCTGGAAGCCTTTTCGACTCTCTCAGCCAAGCCGTATCTGACCAATCTGTAGGTTGGTTCGAATTTCTTAGCGTCAGCAACAGAGTTGTAGACTAGACCGAAACCAACGGACTTGCCACCACCGAATTGAGTTCTGAAACCGAAGACAGAGACGGCGTCCTTGTCGGCCTTGTAAGCCTCAGCGATTCTTTCACGCATTTCATCCTTGGAGACGTTGGCTCTGTTTGGGTGCAAGACGTCCACGACAAATTGCTTTCTAGCCAACAATGGGTTAGTGATGACCTTTCTGGTGCGGATAGTGATAGCGTCAGACTGTGAGAAAAATGGCTGTTAGTAATGTGAAAAGACTTGGCTTCATCCACCAGAGCCTGTTTAAAGCATACGACAGGTATTGACATGAGGCCTTCCAGGACCACAGCAGCGGGGAGTACACAACTGGAATATCAAACTAATTTTCCCCGGTGCTTGGGAACATCCCACGTTCCCTTGACTGCTCACGGATGCGCTGCCCAAATCCGCTACCTTCAACAGATCTCTTGTGCAGTCGTAGGTCCACTTAAACTATATTGTGCAAGCCCCTGCTGTCTCCTCAGGCAATTGGAAAACAATGGTTTTTATCAACAAGCGTTTCGAACCCACACGCTAACCGTTCTCTGTCTTACCCCGTATGTTCAGCTCCAGTCTCTTGGAAACGCTATTCTGCGCGTAGCTACACATACCATTCTGTATACCCTCTGTAGTACCGTTAAAGCTTCGACTAGATTATGAATTAAATCAATTTCACCTATCTTTCAACCAGCGCCAGGTGGTCGATCGATTGAGATGGGAGAGTATTGGGAAACGCTCCTCGGTGAGAGCCCACTGGCATGCGAGAAGGATCTGGCGTGCGCTGTAGGCAGAGAGTCTGCGTCCTAGGCAGAGAGTCCACCAACACTGGCCTGCCTGGGCAGGCTGGAGACAGAAGCCGCTAGGCAGAACACCAGCTGGATCCTGCCCAGGGCCCTGCCCACGTTCATTCATCCCAAACAGGGCCACGCAATTATGTTTCTTTAATATTTTTGAAATTTTTCATCTTTTTTTTCTCTTTTCGATTTTACTAACCATATAGCATCAGATGGTGTTTGGGTGTTGGTAGCAGTCACAGGTCAAGAGCAGAAAGACACTATCTCATGGCGGCCTGTCATTGACAACACTGTCACATAGATAGCTCTGCGACTGATTGGCCCGCGATGTCCGCTATCTTGGAGAATACTCGGCAAGAGAATGGCTCAGTCAGTAGTTTTGCATGTATGCACGGAGGTCATGATCGAAGCGTATGGAGGTTTTCACTGCGCTTTTCAGTCTAACAAGGAACAAGTACAGTCAAGGGAGCGGAGGGGTATATAATTGTGTTGGGATTGCCGAGTGGCAGTAATGTAGTACTGTTTGAAGGGGATGGAGTTGTCTATTGGTAAATCATCCAGCTAGTGTCATAATAGTATAAAGTGATGATGGCGACGTCAGTAAAATACAAGTGTACAAAGTGAACAATCTATTAATCAGATCCAAAGAAGCAGCGGTAACACAGAAACGACCCAGTCTTCCATGTCAGCTGATAAACCTTAACTGATCTCAGATTATTCTTATCTGCGTTTTGTAGAATTGCCGGCCATAGGTCCCAGATATGGACCAGATTTATAGCACAAATAATCACGGAGCGACAGCCAGCGGTCGCTTTACAGACTCCAGATTTAGTATTCAATACTCTGGAATCTATACGCAATGTCTATCTACAAATTGAACGAACAGTTACGCGAATCAACTACTGCCGGCACTTACGTCGAACGTTACGAGGGCCGAAATTCACTAACTCTGACAAAAACTTACAAAATTAATGTATGTAGGAATAAATGCGTCAACGGTGGGCCAAGGCAATTCTCCAATTTGATATATATGCTTATAAGCAATGCCACCAATATCTAGTTCATGTAGGTTCTTTTCTTTTTTCAGCATATCGCGCGTTAACGGTCAACACAGTCAATAGACATGCGCACAGCCTTCACTTGGGTATAATTGTCCATAGCTTCCGCTCCCATTTCTCGGCCAATACCACTTTGTCCATAACCCCCAAATGGGACATTTTGATGGAAGTCGTTATACGTGTTGATCCAGATAGTACCGGCCTTGATACGATTAGAGACGTCAATGGCTTTGTTGACATCCTTGGTGTGGATGCCTGCCGCTAGGCCATATTCACTGTCGTTGGACATCTCAATGACTTCATTGACCGTAGAGAATTTAGAGATGGTAACAACAGGACCGAATATCTCTTCCTTCACGATACGCATGTCCTCTGTGACGTCTGCAAAGATAGTTGGCTTAACGAAGTAACCTTTATCGCCCAATCGTTCACCCCCTGTGACAATCCGGGCGCCTTCACTTTGTCCTATTTGAACATAGTCTAAGATCTTGTCGATTTGCATTTGAGAGGTCTGAGATCCCTGGAAGACGTCTTTCTCGAAGGGGTCTCCCACTTTCAAGGACTCGGCATACTCCTTGAACTTTTGTAACACTTCCTCATAAACGGTGTCTTGGACGTAAACACGAGAGCCCGCACAACACACTTCGCCAGAATTGTAAAATATACCAAATGCGATCGTGCGCACCGCCTTTTCCAAGTCAGCATCCGCGAACACGATATTTGGCGACTTCCCGCCTAGTTCCAACGTAACTTTTTTAATACCATCGGCGGCAGTGCGCATAATGTGGCGGCCGGTGGCAGTGGAACCAGTAAATGCAACTTTTTTAACGTCCTTGTGAGTACATAGTCGTTCACCGATTAGTTTACCGAATCCTGGCAAAATGTTTACCACGCCAGCTGGGATGCCAGCCTCTTGTACTAATTGCGAAGCGTACAAAGCGGACAAAGGTGTGGCTTCTGCAGGCTTCAAAACCATCGTGTTTCCGGTAGCTAATGCGGGCCCGAGTTTCCATGACCACATCAGCAATGGGAAGTTCCAAGGTATAATCTGAGCGCACACGCCAAGTGGTTCCCGACGTGTGTACGAAAAATGGGTGGATCCAGTTTCTATGGTACGTCCATAAAGTTTATCCGCCCAACCAGCACAGGAGCGCAGGTATCTGGAAACTAAGGCCACATCTCCGCGGGCACAAAGGAGTGACTTACCATTGTCAAGTGATTCAATGCCTGCCAGTATTTCTGAATGCTCTTCTACCAGATCCGCTAGCTTATACAGACACCTAGATCTAAATTCAGGATCCGCAGTACTCCAGGAGCCATCAAACGCTTTCTTGGCTGCAGCAATTGCGTGATCTACGTCGTCCACGCGTGCTTCGTAAATGTGTGTGATTTCTTGCTCGGTTGAAGGGTTGATAACCTCAAAAGTTTTGTGTTGGCGAGAAGGAACAAACTGCCCGTCTATAAAAAGACCCGTTGGTTGCTCGTAGGTGATTCCTGAGGGTAGTGTGATAGGAACCCTTAGCGGCAAGGTGGAATATGCGCGCAATGCAAGTTTCGAACCCGTAGCAGTCAATGCTGCTCTGCTGATAAAATTACACTTCATCATTCTGGTTGCCAATGTGTATCCAATGCGTTTACTGTCGAAACTTCGCTGACAGCAAGACATTCGTTCCCATTACGTGGATCCCCAAGCCAGACTTGCCAGCTTCGTCAATTTATACTCACAATATCTGCCTCTACGATCTTGAAAACATTTGGCGAGTTCTGCACAAAGCGGGGCAAACAAGCTTACTCATTACAAGGAACATGGAACTTCGCTAACTCAACCATTTCCGCCCATCTTGTTTCCTCTCGTCTCAGTCCCCTCCTCCCCCGCTCGGCTGATGGCTATTCATCATTTTCCTCGAGCATGCTCTTAACACCGAGAATTATGTCATCATGCATAGACATTTCTTGGTAACCAAACGAGTTTCACAAAGCTTTACGATGGGGCGGAGGAAACTGGAAGCCTTCCTGGCTATCATTACGAACCTTTTGGATAATCCACCCTGTACTCATTACTTAATACTTTTGTTGGGAACCTTCTGCTGTAAAACCTGTGAATGTGTGAAGTCTTTCCTCTAACACTGCAAGAATACGACTAACGGCTGTCGAAATGGACGGCAAAAAAGTCAAGACCGGGCATGGCTCGTAATGCATGTGAGTTCCTCTAAGTGAGCCGCGTTCCGTGTATTCCGTTTGTGGCATGCGGAGTGGAGAAACAAAGAGCGGGTGGTAATGAGAAAAAGCGCCTAAATCCGCACTGAAGTCCACCACCGGGTGTTAGTCTGCCCTACTCCGTAGATTGGGATGTGCTTGGTGGGGCGGGTGGATTTTACAAGCGTCAATCATACTTCAAAGCATACCGTCGGCGAAATCCGGTGGGTTAAGTTGAACTGAAAATTTTGGGAAAACTCTAAAAAATTAAATGTATTCTCCGATACCGGGAATCGAACCCGGGTTTCCACGGTGAGAGCGTGATGTGATAGCCCCTACACTATATCGGACAATTGGTTAATTTGGAGGGTTTTGTTCTAGTGCTATCATTGGAAGCGCATCATCTCCCTGTCTCGTGAGTAAGTACCACACATTCAGCATATCAAGGTTATTGACTTTCCGGTACACCAATGGACCCCGTAGTATTCACTATTGGGTTTCTTCCTTCTGTATGTAGTCCTGTTTTTAGTCTGATCCACCAGACTCTTCTTCCTATGTTTTCCTTCGCCCTGACGCAACCGTGAGGATTGTCGTACTGACGCACAGGCCCCGAGTCATGTTGTTCTCTCTAGCAAGGCTCATGTGGATGGACCCAAGCTGTTTGGTTGGTGTCTCATGGCCACGTGAACTCGTTTGGTATCCTCTGGCTCATAGCTCGTCTTCATGGTCTTTTTTTGTCACTAGTACTATTCCTGTCGTTCCACCCCGGCGTGGTTATCGATTTGTCGGCCCAAAACCCTGCGTCTTTCCAGCTCAAAGTGCACAGAAAAATAAACTTACACCAAGAGTGGCTCGTTAGCAAGCTCTCATCTCAAGCTTGGAAAAGCTTTCTGGAAGGACGAGCCCGGCCATATGACAAACTTCAAATTTTCATTATTATGTACTTCTCTGACAGGAGATATGTATTATAGGCCCTGGCCTGTGATGCTCGCGCGGGTTCTATCCGCATACGACTCGCTCACGTGTACTTCAATCTCAATATGAAGTTAACCACAACGGAGATGAGCAGAAAGAAACACAGCATGGTGGGTCCCAAGCGGTCATCGTAAGGGCCCGAGCCCCTGCGTCTGATGGCAGATGCCCTCCAGTGGTAGGTCACCAACGCATACACCATCGTACCCATGGCCACCAGAGTGAACAACCCAGCACTCACTTGGCCCACCTTGTCACCGAAGTTCAGCAGCCCGACGCCAAGACCCCCTAGCATCACTGTGAAGTTTAGCCACGACAAGAAAGTACGTTCGTTGGCGAAGAACACTTTAGGCTCGACTCTGGTTGGAAGGGCGATTTTCTTGCCCGGGGCTTTCTGCAATAAGGGAGCGGACGACATCTTGAAATCTGGAATACAACCACTGCAACAACGATGGAAGCTCTATTACACAGACTTACGGTGCTAGAGATGACTGCTACTCAAACTTGGATAGCTTTCCACAGACGATCGAGGTGTGTACGATAGTTGTTACTTAGAGTTTCACGGATGCGAAGCTTATTATATGCAAATTATATATATATACTCAATAACTCCCGTTTCATTTTTTTCTATCTCTCTACACGTGGAAACCCAATTTAAAAATGCGCAGAGATTGGACCCATGCTTGGTGGCTTATGTAAGCAATAAACACACGTGATACCAGTCCGCTGGGATCACGTGCTGAGCACGTGTTAAAAATCTCATTTACGTTTAACATGATGATGATTGGATCGTGATGTACGGAAGTGGAACATGTGGAATACACGTGATGGTTTGTGTCATGATTCACGATGTGGTGTCCCGTGCTCACACTTCGTGTCTCCAGTAGACCCCAAGACCAGAGTACACTAAGACACTTGTTCGATCTACCACAGACTAGCCATTCGCAGCTGTCGTTTGGATGACTCCAAGCCCTATGCCAAATTCCTACATATAATCCGCTATTTGAAGTGACTCGTTGGAAGCGATTGGCGCATTAACCTATTTACAGATCGGACTATCTATGTAGTTTCCGGCCACGACGATCTCCAGCACCGCCACTTGCAAAGAAGCCTGTACTGGTTCCATACTTGCCAGCTTCTTCCGCACCTTGATGACCAGCGTACAAGTCACCTCCACACCATCCTCGGATGAGTTTCCAGTGGCCCCGGAAAAGCTCATTGCCATTACGGAAACGAGTCTAAAGGATACTAGCAACGACCCGGAAGCAGGCACAGCGTCGATCTTGGCTGAACTCGGCAAGGCTTCCTCGGTTCACAAGTTTGTTGTGTCGGTCACGAGAGTGGATGCCTCGAGAGGCTCGGATTTCGATCTCGACATTGACTCGCACGTTGGTGGCTCCTGGAACAAGGCCAAAGATGGCATGTTTTCGCACAGCATCGAGTCGTCAGCGGGGGTGCATTACTTGGTTACTGTCGTGTGGATATCCATATAAAGGGGGGGAGTTGTTATTTGTTATGTCATTTTAAAACGGCTGATAAACGTGGCTTGTAAATCTGAGTTTCTTTGCTGATTGTTTCGCTGCGCGCTTAGCGTCATCCGCTGGGCTGTGGCCGTTATTTGTTTTAGTTTAGAGGAATCAACATCCTTCCGACACCGCATAATGGCCGACAGGAAAGCGACGGGACAATCCCAGTAGATCTCTATGCATTGGGCCCAAACCTCCGTTATTCCGTCTACTGGCCCGCATGCAAAGTCCATGAAGAACTCCATTAGCTTGAATTTGTCGTCTATGATCTCCTTTTCATCATCGGGCACAAACTGTACAAACAGCTTGTAGAAAGCTTCAAAATCGCGTTTCATGCATGCCAAAAATTTGTTGTTCTTGTTCTTTAAAGAGTGTTCATACTGCAGACATTGGACGAACTCTAAAATCGTTTCCTCTACCACACTCTCAACCAAAGTCGAGTAAACAAATGGATTCATTTCACCTCTAATATCGCTCAAATATTCGTATAGTGTATCAGATATTTGTTGTGCCTGATTTCCCGAATACCAATGCTTGCCAAAAATCTGAGTATACGGTTTCCTGAGATCATCGAATATCAATTTGATTAGGCCCGTGCTACTACACTTCGCGACTTCCGCGAAACCATCCAGTGTATACTCGATATTGTTGGTAATGGCCTTTTCGTGGACTTTGGATACAATGGATCCATATTTTTGTGAGATGGCCACCGCATAGTCGGCAGCTCTCATTTGATCATTAGCCAGGGAGATTAAGTACTCCACCAACCCACCTGGAAATTCATCCTTAGCCTCTGCTTCTTCGTCTGCTTTATGGTTGTACTCTATGCATTTTTTAACCTCGGAGGAGACGGTACTCATCCACGTTTTTTGTCTGGCGGCAAGCAGGTCGCAGAGCCTTTCTACTACGCCAACCAAAATCTTGGCTTGACCGGAACCCGCAGCCACCTCTACTTGTTGGGAAAACATTTGGAAGCACGTCTTTGTTCCATCCAAGAAAAGCAAACCCTCTGAGTCCGTATGTGGTGGTGTTTTCCTCTCCACAAAAATTTTGAGCTCTGCATCTCCTAAGTTCTTGAACCACTCCTCAGACTTGGTAACAATCAAGTTCAGGTAGTCGCTCAGTAGTAGTTCTTTTTCTTTCTCCCCTATTACACTTTGGACCGTCTCTTTCGTAAATCCAAAGTCTTTCTTCAAGGTTTTCTGAAAATTCTTATCATAGTCCAGAATCTCTAAAATAATGAGGGTCTCTGGTTCAGCGTTGACCAGCTCCGTGATCAAGTTATTGAGCTCGGCATAGTAATAGTCATAATACTTTTTGAATAGCTGCCAATGACCCGGGCATAATTTTGAGACATGTTCCCTGACAACCATCAGCTCGTTAAAAACCCAGTCCAAGTTCTCCAGCACCTCAAACCGCTTTTCTCCCTGATACTCCGCCCTGACCTCCACAAACATATCACTGATGCTTTTTTTTATAGTGTTAAAAGTAAACGTCTTGTAGCTTCGTGGAAGCAGTCTTGAACCGATCATTCCGGTAGCAATTTCTCTTGCCAATGCGGCTGGAGAAGGATACTGATGTTGGGTAGTTTCTTTCAAACCGCTGATCTGGTGGAAAGAATTGGGCAATTTTTTAATTTTACGAGCCTCTGATTCTCGTTCTTTGGTCTCTATAATATTTCTAGTGGCAACAATTTTGATGTCTTCCCTGTCCTCGACGTCAATAATCTTAAAAAGCCTTATGAGAAGTGACTGATTCTCTGTTCTCACGGCCTCTACAATGTCGTATATGACCGATTCCAATAATTTGTCAAATTTCTCAATCAGACCCGGCAGGCGTAAGAAAACGCGTTGCATAGTCATCTGTACGTCATCGGTTGAAATCTGAGCTAGTACAACACATTGCTCCTGGAAGTCTCGCGCCATGGTCAACATGTAATGAATCTGCAGAAGATTCGGGACCCCACTTTCCAGGGCATCTGCACGAAGCTCCTCCTCCAGTAAGTCATCAATGCGGCTCTGCAGATCATTGAAACCAACAATTTTATCGTACGTTGATGCTGTTTTCTCGATCACTTCGTGGATGGTCGTGGCCTCGTTGATGATTTCGTATCTATCGATTGAGGATTTGTTTTCCCGACTTAGAGAACTGACCTCACCTAATTTATTTCGGAGATTTCTTACATTCTTTCGTGTCAATTGGATCCTTTCTAAATTTGAGGTAACGTTATCTAAACACCTTTTGGATTCTTTGTTCAATTGATATTCAATGGTAGATTTCTCCTTCAGCAGCTGATTTCTGCTCTCTCGAGTTCGTTCCAGAGTCGCATCATCTTTAAGTAGCTCGGAAACCCTCTGGAGAGCGTACGCGGACATCAATTTCTCTAGCCTAACGACAGCTGTAGATGCAACGGTCTGGTGCGAGCGATTTGACTTATCGACCCTCTATTATATATCATTAAGTACGTAACAATACAGTGACACTAGAGAGCAGTGGTGTCAGAACCATTCATGAAATTACAAATTGCCGGAGACGAGGGCTACGTCCATCCTTCTTGTGTTGCTTTAAACTAACTTTATTGAATCCTTATTTTGGACACGTCGCTTAACTGATGCTAGTTTGTTAGCATCGGAATTTTACCTTACTAAAGAGTGTCACGCAATTAAGCCTTCACCACACAACATCAAAAAGTGCACCTATAGAGTTTGCCGTTTTTTAAGTAAATTCGAGGACGTTGAGAATCAGTCCACCTCATCAAACTGTAAGTTCCGATTCCCTTTAATTTGAAAAAGCACAATGCCTAAAGTTTGTGTATAAAACAAAGGTCGTGATGCGTATTTAGCTGCGTTCTTACGATACACCTGGCTGAGGTTCATGAAAAATACCCTGTGGCCATTCAAGAACCGCAGCATTCGTGTAATCACCATGTTGAGATTCGGGTGACTCTTGGGAGGCCCTCGCAACCCTGAGATATAGATTAACAGATCCGCCTGATACTATCGATTTGTTGACCCAATCGCCCAAACTAGAATCTTCCTTCATGAGCAACGCTAAGTCTACGGTTGTATTCTTGCCAACGTAGTGCTCTATATCATTTATGAGCAGAGAGTAAGCGTTCAGTTGTTCAGTTTCCGTTCGGCTTGCATTCAAAAGCCTCCATGATATTGAAGTTGGTAACTCTTTCGAATGAAAAAATAGTGGTGGCTTCCATGAGTCGCCTGCTTCTCCTCTCAACAATGCACCCCTAGTTTCGACAATACTCGCAAAATCCCATCTGCTAACACCCGATAAAACAAGTCCAATGAGAATACCCTGAAAGAGATATGCTGGTGTGCCTCTGGTGGCACATCCTGGAACTAGTAGTATACCTAGGATATAGTGATGGATTCTCAATGACAATCCAGGGAGTATCCCAAGGATAAAAAGGCCCGCAATGAGTGTTAGGTAAATGCATAAAAATTTTCTAAAGCGTCCAGATTTCCAAAGTGAATACGCTTGGACCACTGCGCATGAAATAATGGTTGTAATGATCGATCCCACCGCGAGAAGCGCTCCGGCTTGTTCCTTGAGATCAGTTATTGTCAGCCTGTCAACCGGAAGTCTATCAAATGTGATATTGTTCATTACCCCCAGCCAAAATGTTGGAAACCAACATAGGATTTTAGTAACTGGGGATCCGTGATCAAGAGTTCGCCGCACAGAGCACTTCCAAAGAACATAAAGTACAAATCCGAGTGGCAAAAAGCGCTGGAATGCAAGACTCATCAATCGATAAAACCCCTCATTGTCGTAGGGATCCACGTTCAATGGAGGATCCAAGAAAAATACTAATGTCACATAGCCAGCAACAGTAAGGATCCAATAACCGTAGACACCGTCGTAGAGATAAAACACTGGTAAGCTCATTGCAATGTTGAGGATTAGCACAGGAATTCGAGGATCGTAACATCTCGAAGTGTATCCGTTGGCAAGCTGTTTGAAGCTGAAGGAGGAAGGAAAAAAAGAACTGAACCCCACGGACATACCAGTGTTGTAGCGTCCTTCTTTTGGCGGAAACGTATTTTGATAACCACTCATGGCTACACGCGCACAGCCTCCTGTAAAGGGGGAGATTGCTCCGGCATGTACAGCTGCTCCACAGGCAAACGAATCACCCCTGTACGGATAAGAAAGTATATCGTCCTTCTCATTGCGTTCACCGCCGCCAATCTGATAGCCGCGATACTTAACCCTTTCTTCTCCTACATTAATGGCGGAATAAGTCCAAGCTCCACGGTCGCATAATGCAGGGCAGCGAACGTAAACTTCATCTTGATCGAATGGTAAACAAAGAGAACCTCCAGTTCCACACGCATTGTTCTTACCCTTCCAGAATAAGGAAGATTGACATGTCATTGTCCTGATTGGAACCCGTTCTCCATTGTCCCTGTAGAACGTGGGTGGCATAACATAGTGATAGTGAATAAAGGCGTAAATAAGAGCACACCAGAAACAGCAGTAGATAGCCAAGAAACTGAAGCGAATGCTATTGCTTGGAAATCTTTTTCGAAAACCAGTGTCTGGAAAGCACTCCAATCGCTTCGTTAGGCTCCATCGCTGGGGAAAAGTTGGTGATAAATCCTCAGGAACTTCAGGGCCATTCCAAAACTTTAGAAAAAACCTTTTAAGTTTATGAGAGTCTTTGAGGTATAGCCACTCTTCCCTTTCGTCAATGTCCCTGTCTGATTGCCCGTCCTCGTAAAAACTCTGTTCCACCGTCTGCATCTCAAATTCGTCTGCATCTTGACTACCCACCGCTGTTCCAGCACTATCTAGTCGTTCGTCTGCATTAGTTGGTGTACCTGGTCCGTTGAAAGGTGGGTAAGATCGCCGCTTTTGTTCCATATTTTGGCGGTATGAAGATATTCAATTAGTCTGGTAATTTTAAAGGCGCCAGCACTTTATAATCCATTGATATGCGACGAAGTCAAAAACACCTCACTATACTGTGGTGACGTCCGTGAAAAAGTGTACATTTAGTTTCTAAACATGATCTAGAATGAACGAGAACCTAACGTCCTCGGTGTATATAGTAACCCAAAATTAAAACAGTGATACCCCCAGCGCTGATTAAGCAAAAATCTAACAAATAAAATCTACTCTGCAATTTCAATTAGCCTGAGCACATCTCGCAAGCCCCAGGATTGTCAATAGCACAGGCAACAACTTTGGAATTATAGATGTCAAATTGTTCTGCTTCAGACTGATCAGGTTTGGTATTGGAGTCAGATTTATTCTCGGAAACATTCTCAGGTGTAACCGGCGTACTGTTTTCTATCTTGAGAGAAGCAACACTGTTGGCTAGAGAAGACTCCGCGGAAGGTGTAGGAGATGATTGAGTTTCCCTGATGGCCTCCACATGTTTGATCTTAGCAGCACCCTCGCTGAAGTTCATCTTGCGAGGGACATACTCTGGCCTATTCAAGTTAGAGAGATCCGCAACTCTATTTCCAGCCTGCGAGGCAACAGACTTATCAATTGTGAACTGAATAGCAGCAGAAGCGGCTTGAGTTCTAAGGTAGTACATACCCGTTTTCAATCCTCTCTTCCAGCCGTAGAAATGCATACTTGTTAGTTTACCCATCGTAGGAGCACGGATGTGGATGTTGAGCGACTGAGATTGGTCGATGAAACAAGCACGGTCGGCAGCCATCTCGATGATAGCCTTCTGAGACAACTCCCAAACTGTTTTGTACAAGTCCTTTAGCTCTTGTGGTATGTTGGGCAGGTTTTGAACCGATCCATTGTCAGAGATGATATGAGACTTCATAGCTTCGTCCCAAATACCGAGATCCACGAGATCGCGCAACAGGTAGGGATTGACAATCTGGAACTCACCTGACAAAACACGACGAGAATACATGTTCGAGGTGTAAGGCTCAAAGCATTCATTATTACCCAAAATTTGAGAAGTTGAGGCAGTGGGCATTGGTGCCACAAGCAAAGAGTTTCTTAGACCATCCTTCTTGATGTTGGCCTTTAATGTTTGCCAATCCCACAAGTCGGTTGGTTCTTTGTTCCACATATCAAACTGTAAGACACCTTGAGATGCTGGTGACCCAGCGAAAGACTGGTAGGATCCCTCTTCCTTGGCTAATTCGTTAGAGGCCTCTAAAGCTGCATGATACATGGTTTCAAAAATTTGAACGTTCAATTGTTTAGCCTTTTGAGAGTCGAATGGAATACGTAGAATCATAAAGGCATCAGCTAATCCTTGGACCCCGAGAGCAATAGGTCTATGTCTCATGTTGGAGTTTCTAGCCGTTTCGACTGGATAGTAGTTACGGTCAATGATTTGGTTCAAGTTACGAGTAACAACCTTGGAAATCTCATGCAGCTTTTCAAAATTGTACCATTGCGTCTTGCCATCTTCAGAGGTCTCGACAAAAGCGGGTAAAGATACCGACGCCAAATTACAAACAGCAGTTTCATCTGGTGCAGAGTATTCGACAATTTCGCAACACAAATTAGAGGACTTAATAGTACCCAAATTCTTTTGGTTGGATTTTTTGTTACAAGCGTCCTTGTATAGCATAAAGGGAGTCCCGGTTTCAGTCTGGGCCTCCAAGATTGCATACCAAAGCTTCTGGGCCTTGATAGTCTTTCTACCACGACCTTCTTGAACGTACCTTTCGTAGAGGGCCTCGAACTCTTCGCCATAAACATCGGAAAGTCCTGGAGCCTCACTTGGGGAGAATAACGTCCAGTCACCGTTTTGTTCGACTCTTTTCATGAAAAGGTCAGGAATCCAAAGAGCGGGGAACAAATCCCTAGCACGAATTTCTTCTTTACCATGATTTTTCCGAATATCAACGAAATCGAAAATGTCCGAGTGCCATGGTTCCAAGTAAAGAGCAAAAGCGCCTGGTCTTTTGTTCCCACCTTGGTCGACATAACGAGCTGTGTTGTTAAACACACGGATCATAGGGATTAAACCGTTGGAGGTACCATTCGTACCTGCAATGTACGATCCTGTGGAACGAATGTTGTGAATGTGCAATCCGATACCGCCAGCAGTTTTGGAGATCATAGCACATTCTTTCAAAGTGTCGTAGATACCATCGATGGAGTCGTCCTTCATAGCCACCAAGAAGCACGAAGACATTTGTGGGTGTGGAGTACCAGCATTGAACAACGTTGGGGATGCATGTGTGAAGTATCTCAAAGACATCAAGTTGTAGGTCTCTAATACTTTCTGAATGTTGTTACCATGAATACCGACAGCCACACGCATGATCAAGTGCTGTGGTCTTTCTGCCACTTGGCCATTGATTCTTAGCAGATACGAGCGCTCTAAAGTCTTGAAACCGAAGTAGTTGTACTGGAAATCACGGTCGTAGACGATAGAAGAGTTAAGCTCGTCCTTGTTTTCCTGTATAATGTCGTACACTTCCTGTGAGATCATGGGCGAATGGACGCCGTTCTTGGGGTTCACGTAATGGTACAGATTGCTCACCACTTGCGAGAACTGCTTGACCGTCTGTTTGTGCAGGTTGGAAATAGCAATTCTGGCCGCCAAAGTCGCGTAATCCGGGTGGATGGTGGTCATGTATGCGCATGTTTCTGCCGCCAAATTATCCAGCTCCACCGTGGTCACACCTTCGTAGACACCCGATATAATCCGCTGTGTGATTTTGACAGCATCGATGTGCTTTGGGTCTAAACCGTAGCATAACCGCGAGATACGTGCGGTGATCTTGTCAAATTTGACTGGTTCTTGACGACCGTCTCTTTTGTATACGAACATTACCGTATGTGTAACTCCTTACCGACAAATGTTTCCCAACAACAGCCAGACAAGATCTGTTTGGTTGAGACTTTGGTTTGATCCTGTGTTAACCTAGTACAAGATAGACGAGAGAGAGAAGAGCGACACGTAAAATTCGCAATTTTCTTGCTCCTACTTATACTTCAAAAAATTCCCAGGATTTACGCGTTTGTCATCAAAATATAAAAGACGCGAAACGCGTAAATATTTACAATATTTTGAATAACGCGAAGACCAGATACGAAGCAGAGAATCTGCCTATAAACAAAAGGTGCGCTCGCGTCGTGCGGGTGTTTGACAGTGAGTTGGATGGAGGGTGCCCCGATGGGCAGCAAGTGAGTGTCAGATGAGTGTCAATGAGCGTCGAGATCACCAATATACAGTCTTTTGGCGAACAAGAGACAGATAAACGATGTCAAAAGGCTCAGCCGATGGTCAACAAGAGAGTTCAAGGGTAGCTGCCCACTCAGGATGGAGATACTATGGATTGTGGGATCGTTCTATACGGAGTGGGATAGAGTGGTTGGTGGGACCTCACGCACCGGATAGACCGCTGTGAGTGTGGACAAGTTGATTGCTACGTGAGCAAGTAGGCTGGTTTACGGTTCAGGGCGGCGTGTTGCCCGTTCGATCCCAATAGTAAAGGACAACAGATTAGTACAAAGTGATGTAGTCGGCACGATGCGGACAAGGCTCGTCTGCGTCTTTATCTGTCTGTTGATGTCCTGTGGCCTGTACTTGGTTAGTTAACTCTGTTTTAGAACTCTATTTTAGAACTCTGTTTTAGAACTCTGTTTTAGAACTCTGTTTGAGAACTCTGTTTGAGAACTCTGTTTTAGAACTCTGGTATAGTACTTCTGGTTACAGACTGCACTGAAGCTCAATGTGTAGCACGTCTCGCAACAAGATACAAATAGCGAAGCGCAGAGTTCACAAAAGGCACATGGACTATTGGTGATATGATACTGTGCCAAGGTAGGATAGATGCGTGGTACTCCAAATATGCCAATAGTTTGAATATATGTGGTGCTCTACTTAAGTGCCATGTATGTGAATACGTATTAGTCACTGTGTGGGCGCATTATCGAAACGAATCCAGCGGCTGGGAATGCTGGCGTGTGACCGTTTCCCAGTATGTTCCGAAATGCAAGTTGGGCCATCGCAATAAAAATTGTCTGATGAGTTTTCAAGCTCGCGATCACGGGCATCACGGCCAAACAACCCTTTTTTCTGTCAACGGTAACCTCACGATCCTCCGGGATTTTCTTCTTAACGTTTCTTTCTGAACATGAAGCTGGCGAGAGTAGCAGCTACGGCAACGCACCCACTAGCAATGGCGATACCCTTCAAGCTCTCTCGCTGAATCTTATTCTCCACCATGGTTTGCAAGGCAAGAGCCTGTTTGTTATCTGGTTCGTGGGAAAGTAGAGCATCGGAATATCGTCTCGCCGTGGAAAACTCCCCCAGTTTGTAGCATCCAATAGTCAGATAATACAGGCACTCTCGTCTACGCATCGAAGACTCCTTGTATATGTCGGTGAGTAGCTTGACTCCCAGCCTTTGATCGTCTTGTTCTTGTGACTTGATCAACCCCCAGGCGTAGTTAAACCTTGACTGTATCGATGCAACCTCCCCACCTTCGGAAAGCACTTGTTGTCGCAAAATCTCGAGTTGTTCTGCTGATAATGCACCGTAAGCATCTTCGAGAGTAGGCAAGAAGCTTATTTTGGCCATGTTAGGATTAGAATTAGCGCTGCTTTCCTTGTCTTTATGTGTATTTTACAGTGTGAAGGGAATAGAAGAAGACATGATAGAAAATTCAATTAAACTTAAAGACAGTCCCGTATTGGATATACAGAAAATAATCAACTTACAGAGTTGTTGTAGGCTATGGAGGATACGTCGAAGTTAAATACGTCGAAGCTCGGGACAAAAAAATACTGGGATGATTTTTATACTGTGGAGAAATCAAACTTCGAGGAAAACCCAGAGGATACCGGTGAATGCTGGTTCGACGATAGCAACGCTGAAGACCGGATGATCGAGTTTCTCCAAGACCATTTGGGCGAGTATTCTATCGCCCAGGATGCTTCGATGATAGATCTAGGAACAGGAAACGGGCATTTACTGTTTCAACTGCACGAGGAAGGATTTCGCGGGAAGATGGTGGGCGTTGATTATTCCGAAAAGTCCATTGAGTTTGCCCGTGAGATCATGAATTCCAGGTTTGAGGAAGATAGTTCTCTTGAGTTTTCTGCTGCGGACATCTTTGATCCAAGCTGGGATATATCTCAATTCGACGTTGTCCTCGACAAAGGCACCTTAGATGCCATAGCCTTGAGTGGACTCACATCACCAAATGGGAAACCCATAACTTCTGCGTACCCAAAGGTGGTCGAAAAATTGATGAAGAAGAATAGTGTTTTTCTCATCACCTCTTGTAATTTCACGGAAACGGAGCTAAAGAAAATGATAGAAAGTCCGGTTTTACAAGCGTGGGAGACCATACAATACCCTGCTTTCAAATTTGGGGGCCAAGTGGGGTCGGCGATCTGTAGTATAGCGTTTGTAAAAAAATGATGGGCCTAATAACCTGCGACTGAGCCATGACAAAAAATCAACTGTCTTTCCTAATATTACAAAATGCACGAGAGTATTGTAAACGCTAAGTACCGCTAGACTAAGAGGGAATTAGCTTGACAATATGGTCATAAAGTTCGGTGGCGGTTTCCGCTTTGGCAGTCTTCAGCGCGTATTGGACTGGCGTTTTTTCGTGATCGACCGCTACAATACGTATGAATTTCTCGCCGTTTAAAGATGCCGGAAATCCCCTATGAACCGCAACACCTTTTATTAGCGAAAGATTGAGAATAACTTTCAAAATACCACGAGATCGCATGACGACACGGCCCTTGCCACTCTTACGGTCGACATTAACGTGGAGAGCGCCTACACCCCTTTCCTTCCAACCTTCTTTCAGGTCACTCAGTTGGTACAGCTTAGCATTGACCTGATAGTTAGACTGTTCAGATTCTTCTCCCGACTTCACCTCTTGTTTGGTGAGCTTTACTATGCCCTCGCCCTCTATGTTACCTTTTTTTTCATCAAGGCTGGCACTACTTGCGGTCGAGCTTGAACTCTTGGCCCTCTCCACTTTTTCGGCCTTTTCAGACTCGTTTTCGAACACTTTGGTGTTCGAAGTGGTTTTATTCTTGTTCAAAGCGCAGAAACCGGCGCCAAATGCGAACCCGGAACCAAAAGCAGCAGGCTTGTTGGCCGGTTTAGCTTCTGGTAGTGGTGTCCCATTCTCGCTCTGACCCTCGGAGCTTAGCGCCGATTCAGGTCTCTTCGTCGCGACACCAAACCCAGCGCTGAAATTAGATGAGGAACCAAAAGCGAATTTCGGTTTCGCGGGCACCTCCTTAACACTGTCTCCCGGATTTTCGTTATTTTTATCTAGCTCCTTGACGATATCCTTTTCAGGTTCTCTTGCAAGCTCGCCTTGGTCATCCGCCTTGGTAGGCGCTACATCCTTCGTCACACTTTTGTGTGTTGAGTCCGGCTTGCTCGCACCTCCCTGTTCACTTTCTTGAGATTCGTTCGCTTCCCTATTATCACCATCGCTACTAGCAGTTTTCAAAGCTGCTCTGGGCTTTTTGGAGCTAGGCTTGTGCTCTGTAGCTTCAACGTCTTTGACGCCATCGCTGTCCTCCAAGCTCCGTGTGCGCTTTGCTGAAACTTCTTCCGTCTCAGTACTTTTCGTCTCGATATCGGGACGTCCGCTTTCGGGTTGCGAAGTGTCTACCCCGCTGCTCATCGCTACTATCCGTCCAACTTGCCGTTTTAAAGGTATACTATACATTGGAACATCACGATGGCTAACATTACACTAAATTTCCTATATAGTAGATTGTGATCGCTGTTGACGAAACGGTATGTGAATAAATGGGTTATCGACCTTGAGGACGGTGCGCAAGCTCCCGCTGGGACCCATGGTTAGCCTTCACTCATTCTTTGAGGAGAAAGGAGTATTCTCTATAGCTTTTTTAAACTGTGTTTCTATCGGACAAGTAACGCACTACAGGTGCAACTCCTAGGTGTTGGGTTACCTTTTCAAACCAGGAGAGCAATGTTCCACCTTGTTTCTGGCCCTCCGGGCAGCTCATCCCCTTGTAGAGATACTTTATCAGCACATCAGTCTGCGAAGAAGAAAGCTGTTTGACCAAAGTTGAGATTTCCGCCTGACGCACTTGAGTCAGCACACTCAAAACTGCTGCAAAATACCTCTCTTTGATTGCCTGATCGGCACTGTACGGAGGATCACTAGTCACCAATGTTAACGCTGTGGAAAAATCGCCGCTGGTGGCTGCTGAACGCAGTTGCGAGATCTTGGAATCAATCTCCGCTTGACCCACAGCGACTGGATAAGGAGGCTTCAAATCTTCCTTAGTGAGCCTCCCGCTGTCCGGATCAAATGCATCAATATCTATTCTTCTCCAGTCCTCCATGCCGTTCTCGGTTGAACTCTCACTCGCCTAGTTACAATCAGACATGCACTATCCCTTTCCTAAAGCTATGAAATTGAGTATAAATGAGCTGTGTAACAAGTTACGACGCTGACGTTTGGTCAAGGAAAGACGAGAGTGGCCATGATGGACCTAGTGTCATTAAGAGCCTGGCGTCTCTGGTGCCAAAAATTCCAAAAGCAAGCCTTCTGAGGCGCAGAAAGTGTGTGCTCTAGCCACGAGCCGAGGCAAGCTCTTTTTCGTTGTTTTTTTGGTAAAAATCCAAGCAATGGCCTTTCAGGCACGGTTGACGTGAAGGCAAGCTATGTTGACGCTGCCGATTAAGACCATTCGATTGCTAGCTCGACAGTGTGGTTCCACAGGGCCTACCATTTGGAGGAAAAAAAAGTAGTGCTGTGATTTGAGCCAATATCGAGATCCAGTGCACAGAGAAAAGTAGACAAAAATAGGAACAAATAGAAACACCTCTGTCCTTGTTTATACTTCACCGGCACCTGGCAGCCTATACCATACAGCAACGTGGCTAGACAGGATGAAATTATTATTTTTAGAGACTATTAAGTACATTATGAAAATTCAACGTAGTGAGATGACACTTGCGCGGCGGTGAAGAATAACTTGTTACGCATATCAGGACGCCCATTTGCAGTAGAAACTGAAAAGCGTAGACAATAGCAAGAACGCGCAAACTAGGGGAGGGCCCAGCTTATCTTGGTAGTCGACCGCACGCTTCAAGCGGATATTAACGACTCTGTTGCAATACACGTACGCATTGTAAATGATGGTCAGTAGCGCTGTGCAAAAGAAACCAACCGAAGCTACCATTGTAGCATCAGTGCCGTAGTTCAGCATAGATATGGCTACGGCGTTCAAGGTCAGACCGATAGACATCCACGATAAAAACGTTCTTTCGGTAGCAAAGTAAACTTTAGGCTCAACGCGTACCGGAACACATAGAACCTTTCCTGGAGGTGCACGGACTTCGGTATCGAAAACAGTACCTTCAGGAACCTTGGTGATCTGGTCTCCATGCAGATAGTGATCGAGCGACGCGTACAGCTTATGGTAGAGCTGAACAACTGGGTTTGAAGAGGTTCTGTTTCTTTGGCCGCTGGTCTGATTATACTCGCCTTCCCCGCTTGATTGATGTGCCTGGCCTTCTATAGCACCGTATCCAACGCGCTCCTCCGGGTCCATTAAATTGCCCGCGGGATGGGATTGATTGGTGTACAAATCATCCTCGCTTTCGTTGTCACTTCTTCCTGGCCTGCTGATGTTGATATGAGTAGGGATGGCAGGCTTTCTGATATCCACGCCCATCTGTGGAAGCCAAAAGGGAATCGACTCAGTCTTGTCGGGTAATAATGTGGCTACACCATGGATGAACTTGGAAAACTTTGGAACAGGCTCCACCAGGTGAGAACCTACCAGTTCTCGAACCCATTCCGGAGGTTCCTGGCCCAATTGAGTTTGGAGTTTGACTTCCAAAACGGCATATGGAAAGCGACAAACATCTTTCTCGGGAAGTTGCTTGAACGGCCAATCGACGCCAATATCCATTCTTCTCCAGTTTTTGTTGGTTCTATCATTGCCGTCAAAATTATCTTCCCTGACCATCGTTAATTCGGTATCTAACGAGATACGCACTCTAGCGTCACCTGGTAGTTGAAAGGCAGTTCTATTATAAAACGAGCGAACAACAGGCCTTAATTTCTTCTTGAGCATGGTGTACTGAACTTCGGTGGCTAAAGCTTCCAAATTTTCGATCTCCTTCAAGCTCTTCTTACCATCTTTGCGCATCTTTTGGAAAGCTTGTTCTACTGTGTATCTGCCGTGCAAAAAATCGTTGACTAAGCGTTCCTTCAAGGCAAATCTTGCTTTAACAGACTTTTCACCAGTCCAGTCTTCTCTGTGGGTCTTTCTCTCAACGAAAATGGTATCCGAGTTCATACCACCATACCATCTCAAACGATGAGCTTCTGCACCCTCGTCCTTTCTCAAACGACCATAGTACAAGTCCAAGTCTTCGTTATCATAGTAAATCGAGGTAATTGCAGAGTCCTCCTGCTCAAACTCTTTGTTAGAGTTGAACACTAAGACAGGCAAATGCTTCAAGATAATGAGCTTCAATTCAGTGATGTTATCGGGATGGACCCAGTACTTGGTAGTTTGTCTAACAAAATTTTGCTGTTTGCCTCCCGAGGAAGAATCACCACGAATGGGATTACCACGGGTTCTAACTAGATCATAAGATTGAGAAATCTTTACCACGAGGTCATCGTAGTTCTCTTTGAAAAAAGGTTTTGAATTCAAACGTACCTGGAAGACTGGTCTGAGTATAAACTTTGTTTTCTTGTCATGTTTTTTGATAATTTTCTGAAAACCAGTGTAGTTTAACCTGGAGAACTTGGCAAGATCGTGAACGTCTGCAATAATATCGGAAAGTTCTTCTTCCAAAATTTCGAAATCCAGCTCCGAAGGGGGGGTGTTTGAATCCAGAGCGCGAACTGTGGTTTGCACTTGTTCTTGGGCTTCCTTGACTCTTCTGACTACCTCGTTATGCTTGACCTTACAAAAGGTGTACACCTTGTCTAACTCGACCTCCAAAGATTCTAAAAACTGTGTCTCTAGGCTTTCGCTCCAATTGCCTTGGTTAGCTTCCAGGTTTTCTTCGAGCTCAGTTTTCAAGTCATCGTAACAAATGTAGTAATAGCTGTACTCTCTAATAAGAGAACGGCCCAGTTGTTCGCCAAATTTCATCTTCGAAAGCTTTCGAGATTACAAAATACTCTCCACGTTTTACAGTAAATTGGGCCAGAAAGTCTCCGAGTTTGAAAACAAGGGTAAAACTATCAAGCACCTGAAAGACAGATGATACCAGAAACTTCGCTCCTAATAACGTTGGCCCTCAAAAGCAGCTTCGTTGATTCGGCGAGATGCAAACTACGTTGAATTATTGTACCGTGGAAACAATTCCCAATTCTTGTAGATTACTTCCTTTATATACATGTGCCTTTTTTCAGCCTATCAACAAATTAGCTGCTAATGTTCCACGTGTAGTAACTTCAGACGGCAACGAACATGTTGAGAACCTCCAGTCAATCGTTTGGCCTGTGAGTCTTCGAGACAGGTAGGTAAGGCATTGGGTTTATTTTAGCTACTGCTATTTCATTGTCTTGAAGCTTTCGCCATTATTTTGTGAATTATCTTTCCCATAAATGGGTAGCGGAGGGGCAAATCGAAAACATTTATAAACCGGCCAGAAAATTCGTAATATTCGAATAAGAACAAACCTTAAAGCGTAGAAACTCACCTTCCGCAAATTGCAGCTTGTATCGCGTTTCGACAAATAACCTTCTGCCAAGTTGTTCCATTTCTGGGCATCTGCACCACCATGCACGGTCATGTGCTTTTGTTAATTAACGATTATTTCTGAGGCGACGGATTCGGGGACCCTGACTGAACACAAAATAGGCGATGGAAGTTCTTTTATTGCAGAAAAACAATCTTTGCCTCTGGCCCACCGAATTGCTTTAGTGTTGCTGTTCCATGGCCCGATTTTGAAATATTCCAGAGCGCGATAGCGAGTAAAAATCGGTATCATTTCCGACATTAGTCGTACAAAAACGCCCGCTACATATAATGACTGGACATGATTTTCTGTAGGTAGAGAGAAAGCACATTGGTTGGGTGCAGATCAGGGCAAGACTTGTTTTCTGTTTTCATATTTCGTCATAGCCTACCCAGCATCTTAGCTAGCCTACTGAGACTGCCTGTCACATCGTCAGACGTTTTGAACGGCTTCCACAATCTGTGCCGTCTGGTCTTCGGTGAAGCGGGAATCACACTCTTCTACGATAGCGTACAAGTGGACCAAATTCGTAGGCAGTTGATTAACAATTTGTAACTTCTCGGCTTTGAACAGAGAAAACTCATTGAGCTTGTTCATTAGTTCCGAGAATTTCTGATCGTTAAGCTTTGTGAGAGGCGACCTCACTTTGGTATCGCCATCGCCCTCGGGATTCTCAGCGTCTACCACCCCTTTAGGCTCGGATAGATACCTTATTGTGTCTCTGGTAATGGCTTGCAGTTCTGGATGGTTGTAAGGTCTTCTTTTCCGTTTCTTGTCTTTTCCGGTCATATCCACATCTTCGTCCATAGTCCATTCATGCCTGCGTTCCAAATGCGACAAAAACTGTAGCACCTCATAATCACTTAAAAATGCATCACGCACTGAGTCAATCTTCATGCTTAACGTACAGATGAGAGAATAGATGGACTTGACAGCTCAACCTCTTTCGCGATAACAAATTCGATTGATCTCGACATGAGATGACCTGAGATGAGTCCAAAATTTTAGACAGAAGTACGTTGTCATGTGACTGCAGAAGGGCTTCAACACTATCACGCCGACCTTCTTATATCAACTAATTAAGAGCCTTGTTGGCGCAATCGGTAGCGCGTATGACTCTTAATCATAAGGTTAGGGGTTCGAGCCCCCTACAGGGCTTTTATTTTTATATATAGTGGCTGTTTATTAGTTAGCCAAGTTGTCAATTTGCAGCTTGAGCGTAAAAACACTACCGCTAGATGTGTAGTGCCCTGTCCTGTTTTGAATTTTAGACAGCCATTTCTCATGTCTTAGTATCACAATCATCGGACTAATTTTCGTTCCTTGTAAAGCTGCGTGGTAGTGATTAATATACAGTATGTCGGTTATATGCAAAGTTGTTTAAAGCAGGAAGGCAAAAATAGCCACAAGGGACGAAAGACTCATATGCAACGCATTGGCAGCATTGTTTTGATCAAGACTGACACTGTGAGAGGTGGAGCTTCCTGTGGATGAGGTCATGGACGTGACCAAGGTTGAAGATGCGATGTTAGAAGTAGTTTGAGAGCTTGAAGTAGCACCCTCAGAGCCACTTGGAGAACTACCGGACAACGTAGAAGCAGATGAGTTGGGAGCAATGGAGCTAGAGACACTGGAGCTAGAAGCAGAGTTAGAGGAACTTGAGCTCGAGCCAGACGATTGGGATGCGCTAGATGCGCTAGATGTGCTAGAGCTAGAAGCACTGGAGCTAGAAGCACTGGAGCTGGAAGCACTGGAGCTGGAAGCACTGGAGCTGGAAGCACTGGAGCTGGAAGCACTGGAGCTGGAAGCACTGGAGCTGGAAGCACTGGAGCTAGAAGTACTGGAGCTAGAAGTACTGGAGCTTGCACTCGACGAGGAGCTCAGGGTTTGGCCGCCAGCTAAAGCAGAAAACTCGGACTGCGCCTTGTTGTATCTTCCGTAAACTTCACCGTCCTTAGCTTCAATTGAGTCCCACGTTCCAGATTGACCGTTGTAGGAATACTGTTCTCCTGAGGAGTAGTCCGTAACGATGACACGCTTCACGTTCATGGTGAAAGGCGCCTTGGTGTAATCAGTCTCACCACCGGCCCACTCGATGGTTCCGGCTGCGTTGTCAGGGTCACCGCCAGCCCAGCATCCCATCATCACATACATGGGGCTTTGTGGGTAACCCTGGCTAGAGTCGTTCGTCAGCGTTCTAACTGCTGAATCGTCCAAATACCACACCGTCTTGTCCATCGCCCAGTCTATAGTATAGTTGTGATATTTATCCTGAGGAGCGTCCACGCCGTGGAATGCACCCCGATCGTACGTCGAAGTGTTGCCCTTGGAAAAATAGTTGGACTGAAACTGCGTGGTGTCGCCACCAGTCCACTCCAAATCGATTTCGTCCAGATCGTCACTTTGCAGGTAGAACGACGAAACTATACCTTGTCCCGAGGCCGCCTTGAATTCCACCTCCACTTTTCCGAACATCAGGTAGAAATCCGACTTGAGACTCGGGTTGTCATACCGTTTATTGATGGTCATCGCCATACCCTCATCCGTATAATTAATTTGGCCCGTCGCGTATTCCAGCTTATGGAAATGGTCGGACTCCTCGTCAAAAGGTTCCATAAAAGAAGATCCGAGAGCCGTATCTGGTGAACAGCCCGTTGTCTTAAGTGGATTGCAACTCGATCCAGAAGACGTGGCACTTGAGACACTGGTGTCGGCGAAGGCGGTGGCCGCACTTGCTGCGATGAGTATTTTTTTTAGTAGCGTCATTTGAGCGTTGAATTGGAAACACCTATAAAGAAGGGCACCTCAGTGGAACTACCACCTAGCCAATAACTCCCTCGTCCTGGCGCCTGCTACCGACCTTATATACAACTGCCACCACCTCTGTGATCCCATCACCGTCCGATACCAAGCACGAAAATTTTCGCAGAGAACGTACGCGAACCTTACGGTAGAGGCTGCGGACTTTGAGAAATAAGATTTGAGGCTGGTGTTCCCACTTTAATTATAGAAACCATCTTCACTTAAAGCGCCCCTACGTGTTCTACCTGTGCGTCACAGAGGTATCAAGATTTATTCGCGATGGTGCCGAAATTATCCAACCAGCCATCATATTTCTATACGAGGCAAGCCCACATCGCCAAAATTGGATCAGCCGTGGCAAATTGCCCGGTTTGGACAGTTTTTCGTGAAGCGGGACACTTGAGGTCCGGTAGTCATGTGATCGGTTGGAAGTGATGGTTTTTGGTATGGATACAACGGTAGAGCCACCGGTGGCCGATCCTGTTCGATTCTGTTCGATTCTGTTTCGCGAGAGATGGCTATTTATTGACTGGATCGGGTATAGTCGTGCCTCTTTGGTATGTTCGCCTACTCGAAGTATGCTGGCACGTGGAAAGTATCACTCTGTACAATACTGACACGATTGCCGCGATGGAAGGCTGCCCGAAACAACGAGAACAACGACACAATGCTGTAGCCCGAAGGTCGGTGGCTATTTTAGAGCACACGGGCCCTGGTCAATGGCTATAGTTCAAGGCTTTGGTTCTGGGCTTCACGAGCCCAATGCCGGCTAAGTCCCTAGCGGTAGGCACAGTGCTTTGAGTGAGAGTGTCACTCGTGCCGTATGCGACAGCGTATTGGTAGGTGCGGCCCATTATTCCATTATCGTGAGCCGATTTGTCCTTTTCAAGTTTCCCCCCTCTTATGTTAAGTAAAGAAGTAGCAAAAAGTCCAAGCTCAACACCCTCAGGTCTCACCATCCGCAAGCCTTTTGCCCATCATCGCATCGATCATATGATGAGGATATCGGCTCTAGCTAGCAGAGCACTCAAACGTCTTAAAGTGCGCAAAGTCCGGTAATGGTCCGTTTCTTGCATCCTTTCACCTTAGCAATACTCAATGTGCGTAGAGACACGCCGGAGTCAGGCTCCCATTGAACGCGCTTTTCGCAACTTCCTCTTTACCACCCTGTTGCCACTTCTATCTCTCATCCTCGCAATATTCCACTGATGAAAGCGAGTGGACAACTTGGGAGATCGCCCTAAGTGGGAAATTACATTTATATACATCACTGCTTGTTGTAATTTCGGAGTTCCTATATCTCATTATCTTAGCTATGGAACAGATAATATTATCTTTCTAGCTATGTCAAATTCGGCAAGTGTACGGAAACGCTTACGTCGAGCAGGCAACTCCAAAACAAATCAGAAGGCGGAGGGGCTTTTTATGTTATGTACTAAAATACGTTTTTTAGATACAGCTATGCCCCAGGCACATACTGTAAATAGCCTCAAACCCGACTATTGCCAATTTTCTGGGATAAAAAACGTCGTCTGTTGAATGCCAACTTCAGGTAGCGCTAGCCCCATAAAATTGGCGTGTGGAATCAACTCGGAAAAACTCCCCGAGAATCCCTCGGTATGCTAGTTCATGCAGTCAACTTGAAACCGAGAATTCCCATTGGTCATGCTCTGCGATGTGTCTTTGCGTTCCTTCGTGATTGGGGTGGACGATAGAAACCTAATCAACCTCTTAGAAATCCATTCGTTGCAACTAACCTATACAGGTTCACTTCTTGTTTTCATTCTCGATCGACCTGCGAAGTGGAGCCGTTTGAAATATCTATTACCTTGGTGGCCAGTTTTTCGGTAAAATACCTGTCGTGAGTCGAGGCGACTATAATGCCAGGAAAATTTAGTAATGCGTCTTCGATCACCTCCAAACTGGGGAAATCGATATGGTTAGTCGGTTCATCTAAAATGAGAATAGAGCACTTTCTCATGATAAGCTGAGAAAGCTGCGCTTTGCGCCGACATCCTACACTCAAAGACTTCAATGGCGTCTTGAGGTCGTGCCATTTGTAGATCCCAAAGTTTTGCAAATTGCTGATGGCCTTCTGCTTGGTCGCATTTATCGATGGATCGTCCTCCAGTAGCCCTATTGCGGATTTTTCCAGAGGTAGGTTTTCTTGCTCTTGATCAAGATAACCCACAACAGCATTGCCACTTATAGAAACCGAGCCAGTGTCTGGTTCTATCAGACCCAGTATTATTCGATTTAGTGTAGTTTTACCCGAACCATTGGGCCCCTGGATTATCAACCTGTCACCTTTCGTAAGAGTGAAAGACACATTGTTTAGAACTGGCTTTTCATAAGACTTTGATACCTGCGAGACGGTGAGCGCCAGCATAGAACTAAAGGCAGGAAGATCATCGAAGTCAAAGGTCACCTGTGACCGTTCGGGGATGACCTCCACTAAACTGTTATTGAGGTTTTCGACTTTGTCGGAGAGCTGGTTCACTAGACCTGTGGTACTCTTTTGAGCTCTCTGTTCTTTATTATTGTAGCTCAATTTATCTCTGTCCGCACCAGATCTGACAATGCGAGCTTTGACCTTAGATTGTGCTTGGACAGCCTTAGCCTTCAATTTTTTCAGTTCCTTATCTTGAAACTGCCTCTCATCGGCAAGTCTCTTTCGCAGCTTCTCCTCTTCCTCTAAGTAATGTTTGTAACCTCCTTTGAAATGCTTGAATTTCTTGGTGTACGGTGACAGTTCAGAGATAAAGGTGGATACCGTATTAATCAAACTCCGATCGTGGGTCACCATAATGACCCCTCCTGTGTGCCTCTTCAAGAAAGATTCCAGCCATTGGACTCCCCTATTGTCTAAATGGTTCGTTGGTTCATCGAGCAAAATGAAATCGGGTTCTAAAATGCTGAGAGCGCAAAGTAGAGTCTTGGTCTTCTCACCGCCGCTCAGGCGCTTGAAAGGTTGTTTCAATACTGCCTCCGATAAGCCTATTAGAGAGCACTGTCGAAATATCTCATGACCTCCTAGGGTATTGAGTTCTTGCAGCCATTCTGATGAGAAAGGCTCGCCCGACGTCTGTAAGAATTCGTCAATGTCCTCGTCGTAGAGGGACCTGAGCAGGACTTTAATAGCCAACTCGTTGCCGTCGACTTCCTCGAAATGCTGAGGCAGGAATCCAATGCTTCCCTCAATCTCGATTGTGCCCGAGTATGGTAGTGAGTCAGACCCACATAGCAGTCTCAAAAAGGTAGTCTTCCCACACCCGTTCTCTCCAACTATCGTGACCTTGTCACCGTAACTCATTGAAAAGTCAAGGTCAGTGAATAGCGTTTTCTTGTCTAGCGTGAGATCAAGGTCACTGACTTCTATGGCCTGCGGTTTGCCCGTCACCATGGTGCGATAGTATATTCCATTTTCATAAAGCTGCGATGGTGGTTCGTCCAAACTCCCTGATTGTCCAGTTAGCATGATAAGTTGGAATTCTTGCTGGATGATATAATTATAGGCCGTCCTGGATAGAGACCTCAATCCCGAAAGTGTCCCAGTATTTATAACCAGGAAACGGTGACAGCACGGCCGGACCTACGTAAGCTGACAGGCTCCTTCTACTAGTGGGCCTCATTTGGTACGTGCGTATTTCTACACCATAGGTGACAGAATGCCATCGGCTCGGCCTTCTACCCCAGAAGTCTGTAAAACCCTAGCACGAAGCACATTAATCCGAGACTGAATTGGTGGCTTTGTATGCGAAAGTACAATTAGCAGTTTTCTCTTAGTCGATCTCCACGCTCTTTAGCGAGGCTTCACCAAGTGGCCTTGGTGCATTAAAGCGCTTCGGCCGACCATCTGGTAACAATTTAAAATGTAGTATACCTAACCTATTAATGGCACAGCGATGAAAAAATCAAAAGCTGACCAAAACAATAGACCTTTTTCGAAACTTTGAGCTGCAGAATTTCATTCCACGCCAACCACTTCTTGAAGACGGTGTAGAACGTGTTTTGCACGCGGACGAACCCACGTCATTGCGGGCGACCCACTATTTCTACTCAACGCTCGGTATGAGACTAAAAGGCCGGTTTCGTATCAGCTTCCTTAGCGTTGAATTAATTTCAAGTGCGTCGCCCTTTGACAAAGCGCTTCATGGTAACTGTCTGCGGTTTAACATGGAACATCTTGCGTAAATCCTAACGAGTTTACGACATTCTGAGTCACGTGCAGCATAATGATTCAAGCTTTGAATAAAAATAAAAATGAAACGGACAGGAATTGAACCTGCAACCCTTCGATTGCAATTGTTTCCTAATAAACCAGGATTTAACTGGAGTCGAAAGCTCTACCATTGAGCCACCGCTTCATTTCTAAGAGAGATTCTTAAGAACGTGGTACCTATAGTGCTATATAGTCATGTGACTGGCGTTCTAGTGTGACCACCGGAAGTCGTCAGGACATCACGCTAGGTGTGCGTGTGCTCAGGTGTTTGCTATTCTAGGTGATGATTTCGCTGAGCTCATTTCCTTTGCTGGGGGAGCATAGACTTCTGGCAATCGTTTATGCTGACATAAATTCCGTCACAGAATATACATACTGTGCCCAAATCGACAAATGGTACAGTCCAATGGAAGGGGTCCGCTCGCAATAAGGGAGCATATTTCTGCCCAAAAAAGATACGCTTCTTGTGGAGGATATCCATTTTATGCTATTCTGTCGTCGTCCCCGGTTCCATGGTATCGACCCTTTTCTTACCAATTATTTTGAAGTCTTATCGCCTAAATATCGAGCGACAATCGAATTGCCTTCCCATTGGCAAGTCCTATCTGATTTTCCTTTGTTTTGGTTTTTTGAATTCATCAACTTTGATGTTTTTCTCTTTCCCGAGCATTTTAAGTATGATCCGATTAAATCCTTGGACTATTCTTCGTCTAACAATTTAGATATAAATAAAACCGTTCCTCACAAGAGCTTGGGCATGAGTAAAAATGGTGTTTAAATTCTGGCATTAGTCTCCAGTCCTCATATTTCAATGCTTAGCAAACTAGTTACCGTGCACTTTCCTACTAAAGGATCCCTTGACTTTTTTACTCAAGCAATTGGTGAGTAGATCTGCAGATAAAACTCATCAAATTGGAACCGGTCTTCAGATCTACTTCAGATCCATGCTACAGTTGTTTTGATTGAGAGCTTCGATCCTCCTGTTAACGGACCTAATCTTTTACTCGTAATGTGCACCCAACGCCAAGATTTCTTCCTCTCTAAAATACCTGTAGTATTCCAGGCAACAACAAATCTGAATGGGCGGAGAAGCGAACGATTGCAAATCTGTCATTTTCCAAGTGTCACTAAATTCGTTTGTTTTATCTAACGTTAAACGATGCTTACAAAATTGGAAGGTTCATAAATTAGATCATTTGTCTACCCGCCAAGAAACAGCTGCTGAGGCGTTAGGACGAGTTCGAGGTATGGTTCCACCTTTGATCTACAAAGCTGGCTCACGGGGCCTCAATAAGGGCCTTTTCCGAACCCTCGCTGTTAGCTTTGGGCCGTCCCCAAGTGTCACTATTGAAGCTTCTGACGACGGCCATTCAGAACCCTTGAAAGTCCGTGCACTCATGCAACAGCTTTCAGATCAGACTAGAAAATACGAAAGTAGGGCGCTGGCCGCTCGGGAACTTTCAAATTATATTAATGTGCTTTCCACAGAATCAGTGTTAAGTTCCTGGAATGGTGCAAACGACCTTTTGCAGCCTGGAATTCCCCCAACCGCACGGCACGCAGCACTTCTTTTTTTGCATGCTTGTTTGAAACGTTTATCGCCCAGTATGAATGATACGCTTCGATTGGCTTTTTACTTTAGCCTTATGGATAATACTGGGATGGACTGCGAGAAGAGCCCTAGGATGGAACCTGAGCTGGACACATTCATTGCGTGTCTTTCTGCCATTACAGATGGTGGCGTGAGTTTTGCGTCTATACTTGAGCCACAGGGTGAAATTTACGGCCTTGGCGAATTTTTGCACAACACATTGATCCACCTGGCAGACGATGAGGAGCGTAACGTGGCCGCGTCCACTATAAAAGCAACCCTCACCTACCTTTTAAGCTGTGTTGATAATGGCTTGCAGCTGAGCGAAGATTCTTTGCCGCATATAATTGATATTGCAAACTTGTGGGAGGATGACGATGACATACGACGAGTGTCGTTAGAAATCCTGGTCCGACATATTGTGATTTTACCTCATATATCAGAATCGGCATTGAGTGGAACACTCATCCTCTTCATCAGAATGCAAAATATAAATGCCCACTTGAATTGCGAACCTAACGGAATGTTGTGTCAGCTATTCGCTGGAAAGAGTGGCAACAATTTGTTCAGATTGTTCCTTGATCTAGAAATTAAAGATGAGCAGTGCTCGAGGTATTTTATGATATTGATAAATCTCTTAACACAGAAAGAATTCACTACACGCTGGCAGGAGCCGAGCACATCTCCAAAATACTTGGGCACGCTACTTACGAGGCTCTTTCTTGAAGTATACAAAGGTTCAGAACCTCACGAGGTTGTACAGTGCCTTATTTTGACTTCTTTTACGAAAATGTTAGGATGTCGAGAGTTCCTTAACTATATGAAAACCTATCCTCAATTTTGGCAGACAGCGGGGACCAACCAATCCTCTACAACTGTTTTTCAATTATTGGGAGAAATTCTCCAGAAGGAACAGTTAAACAGTCCAATAAAGCACAGAATACAGTCAGTTTTTGGCTATATCATACATCTATCGTTAACTGAAAAATACAGTCTGATTGGCTGTGATGATCTCAGCACCATTATTCCGATCCTTCTACCATGCGGCAAGTTCTTGGACTCCAAGATGATTTCCCAGGTGTTCCAATTGCTGAACAAGAATGCGCAGGTATGCTACACTTGGCTAAACGAGATAATTACTAATTTTTATGAAATCGATGGACCCTCAACAACGCGGTGTTACTCTGTCGATCTAATTATCAAAATTATCAAAGAGGCACCGAATGTTGAACTTCGTACAAGTAACTTCTTACTGGGAGCCATGAAGAGACTTCTTTGCAACATGTCTACCGAAGTAGACGGCGAAGTAGTAAGCAGGCTAGCGGATCTTTATTCGGAAGGCTGCCGAAGTCTATCGAAAGAACTTGTTGAGGGAATCAATAACGATGTCATAACCCCTATGTTCACGACAGATGCCAAGCGGGGACGGTCGGCCCGCGCACATCTGGGCTTTACCTCTTCTTTACTCTCCAATCCAGATAATAAGCGTTCAATTGCAGAAAACTGTGCTTCACTTGCTGTATGGAGTATAACCCATAGAGAAGGAGAAATCTTTTCATCGTTTTACTGCCTCCTGATTCAGATTGTAAAATACGCCCAGCAAGTATCCCATGTCGAGCTTTGTCTAACAGCCGCAAAGGTATTAACCAAGATACATTGTCGCGATTCTGACGAGGTTGTAATAATGGAGACTAATGACGTTGAAGGCATATCAACGGCATTGCACAAAAATTCAAAAGTCAAAACAGCATACACGGGATCTAAATGGTCATTTCCAGAGGAGATACCCCATCTGAAAGAAGCACAAAGGATAGCTTTTAGTGGCTCCTGCCGTTTACCAACATTCGGAGAAAATGTGACAGTTCGGGCGCTCCCCACAATTGATATCCGCTTATGGGTATCAGTTGCAATATCCATTCTCGAGGAGCCCTACGATTGGGAAGTCTACTCGTATCTTCTCACATATATGTGCCCTCAATTTGCGAGTTTAGTGTCACTCAGGACCATTGATGATCTGATAATTAAATACTTAGACGTCATTTGTCGGCACTTAAAACAGGGAACTAGTTTGACTCTGAATCTTCCTGGAGACATTTCCACTGATGATTTATACATTGCCCACATCAGGTGCCTGTCATCCATTTTGGGCTATCACAGTTATCTGCCCAAGAGCTTTTCGGACGTTATTGTGGATTCATTACTCCATGGGATACAATCATCTGAAAAAGCCATGATACCTGTTTTGCACTTGTTGACCATCTGTTCTCAAGAAGTTCCATCTTCCGTAAAGAGATACCTAACACCCATTCTTGTCCAGCTTCAGACCAGGATAACTACTTCCTTTACAACGCCTGCAATATTAGAGTTTCTGTTAGCACTATCAGATTCGCCGCTGATAATTTCGCACTTGACGCCTGATGAATTGAAGAGAGTACTAGCTATAGCTTTCAAATTAATTCAAAGCTCAAAGGACCTGAAAAGAATGGCTACAATACAGAATATTGTCCAAAATATCTCTTACACAGAGCAAGACGCTGACTTCACCCCATCAACCCAGTCGTTCACCATTAGCCCTTCTATTGCACATTTCTTTTTGACACTATCATACATCGTCATTTCGAGTTGGTTTTTACGGATGCGAATTCCTAGTCGCACAGAACTGGCTCCATTTGTGGTGAAGAATCTTATTGCGATAGCATCTGATGAATATGGCGATGAAGACTTTGATGCTCGCTCCTACCTTGAAGCTATATCAAGATTTACAACATCAAGAGACGATACTGCATCTTTTTACAAAATTTTGGAAGACAGACCTCATGAGGGTGACGAAAAGTTTAGTTTTGGAAGATGGGCGCTACCTGACAAGATTGTCAGCATTGAGACACAAAAATCAACCGGTGCGTCTAGGATAGTGGTGAGGAGCTGTTGCAATGTGGATGTTTTGAGTCTGCAGATGGCTGATAAGTGCCTTCCTGAGACCCATGACATTTTTTCATTGAACAAACAAGACTCTGAACCTGCCAAGCCCTCTGGCGCGAAACCATTATATACATCGAGCTACATGTTCATGCGTTTAGGATCTTTTGGAAAGATGGCCTTGAATGTTACTGGTAATCGAACGATCGCTAAATCAGTCCAGCTTCTTGACAAAATTCCTTTTACAAAATTTCACAAAATCGGTTTGCTCTATATCGGTCCAAAACAGTTCACAGAAACAGAAATTTTGTCGAACACTGATGGCTCCCGTCAATACACCAAGTTTTTGTCCCAATTAGGCCAGGTCATCCAACTGGCTAAGTCAGACAATTCTTATGTAGGGGGTTTGGAAGCGGACAGCGATGGACAGTACGCGTTGACTTGGAGAGACGAGAAAACACAGGTTGTGTTTCACACGGTGACTTTAATGCCAAATAATGTTAATGACCCACAATGCTCTTTGAAAAAAAGGCATGTTGGGAACGACTTTGTGAGCATCTTTTATGATGAATCCGGCTCGCCTGACTTCGACTTCAATTTAATCAAGAGCCAGTTCAACTTCATAAACATTGTGATAAAACCGTTGGGTTCCGGAAATTGTGAAAACTTCAAAGTCCGAATGTACAGAAAGTCAGGAGTTCCCGCATTCTTCTCCACTTCACATTTCAAAATACTGAGCTCCGAAAATCTGGCTAAGTACGTTCGGCAGGTTTCCGTGGTAGCAGACACCTTCGCCGCGAGCTGGTTTGCTAGTTCTGCTCCTGACATGTGTACGACCTGGGCCAGAAGAGCGAAATATCTGAAGGAGATGTATGACAAAGCGTTAAAGATGACTGACGGAGAAGCAGACGGGACAAACCCACTAGATTTCACCACAGTTATCTAAGAGTGATGCCCCCCCTTTCCTCCATCTCCAATGAAAGTATGGATAACTCGTCTCGACGCTCACGGTTACTTTAAATTCAGGCCTGTTCTTTAAATGTTCATGTCCTGTCACTGTGACGCTAATCACGTGAATCACGTGAACATTGATATCTAGTTATTCTGTAATTTTAGTTTTTCATCTAACTGAAAAAATTTTCCCATGATCGAGCTTCTGAGCTACCACTGAGTTTCGATACTTGAGGTTATTCAAGCTACAGGACAGTTCGTGCCCGGTTCATTTCAGTCAAAAGCACACGTTTCACATACACAGTTGAAATTTCGCTTCAAAGTCCGGATAAGTTGTCTCAAAGATTTTATAATTGAACCATGTCAACGTCTAACTGCCGTTTCTACGAAAATAAATACCCAGAGGTTGACGATGTGGTGATGGTCAACGTGCAGCAAATTGCTGAAATGGGAGCATACGTCAAGCTGCTGGAATATGACAACATAGAAGGTATGGTGCTGCTGAGCGAATTGTCCAGAAGACGTATCAGATCGATCCAAAAGTTGATTCGTGTGGGAAGAAACGAAGTGGTGGTGGTGTTGCGTGTGGACAAGGAAAAGGGATATATTGATTTGTCGAAGCGTCGTGTGTCTTCGGAAGATATCATCAAGTGTGAAGAACGCTACCAAAAGTCCAAGGCCGTGCACTCGATCGTCAGACACTGCGCAGAGAAATTCAATTTTCCGTTGGAAGAGCTGTACAAGACGGTGGCCTGGCCATTGAGTCGAAAGTACGGCCATGCGTACGATGCCTTCAAGCTGTCCATCGTCGACGAAACGGTGTTCGAAGGCTTGGAACCGCCCAGCCAGGAGATTTTCCAAGAGTTGCGCTCGTACATTTCGCGCAGATTGACTCCCCAAGCGGTCAAGATCAGAGCTGACATTGAAGTGTCGTGTTTCAGTTACGAGGGAATAGATGCCATCAAGGCTGCTCTTCAAGCTGCCGAGGACTTGTCGACCGAGCAAATGCAAATCAAGGCCAAGCTAGTTGCGGCTCCACTGTACGTCCTGACCACGCAGGCTTTGGAGAAGCAGCATGGTATCGAGCTTCTTGAGAAAGCCATTGAGAAGATCACTGAGGTTATTACCACCCACGACGGTTTCTGCAACATAACCATGGCTCCAAAGGCCGTCACAGCCACCGAAGACGCCGAGCTGCAAGCTCTCTTGGAAAACAAGGCCCTAGAAAATGGTTCGGATTCCGAAGAAGAGGATTCTGATTACGAATAAGCACGATTATTACTATCTACAACTATCTGGAAGACCGAAATAGCATTTTGATCTGGACTTCTCAGCCTTATTTGCTTGTTACTCGCTTGCTAGCCAGCTGTTTATTGGCCTAGTAGCTCTTAGGTGCATGCTTTCACCTCTTATTGTCACCGAATTAGGTGACTTTACAGGTCGTAAGCTTTGATCCATCTTTTAAAGAATTAGAGCCTGCTGCTATAAGAAATTGTACATAGAATTTAAGGCTAGGTACTTTAAGGGATAACTATCATAACAGTTACACGGAGTAAGAACGTAAAACTTACAGTCCTCTAACGATTGCATTCAAATTATCTTCATACCATTATTTCGATGAGTACCCGTCCGGCTTCGCACAGTGGTTCTTGGTATAGTTCAAGTTCAAGCAAGTTATCAACCCAGCTTTTGCAATTTCTGAGCCCTCATGCGGTAGTGAGCGGAGCTCGCATCATTGTGTCTCCACATGCTGGTTATACTTATTGCGGAGCTACAATGGGAAAAGCTTATGCTGCCTTGGACTTTACTGGCGTAAAACGAATCTTCGTTTTGGGACCATCTCACCACATTTATTTCAAGAACAAAGCGTTAGTTACCGGTTTCGACAGGCTGGAGACTCCATTAGGATCTCTACCTGTGGATACCGAACTTGTGGGCAAATTATTACAAGATGAGGGGTTTGACCAAATGGATCCGGATACGGACGGCGATGAGCATTCGTTAGAGATGCAATTTCCAATGCTCTATGCTGCCCTGAATCTCCGCCAGATTGACCCGCAATCTGTAACCGTCGTCCCCATTATGGTGTCGCACAATTCTACGCGCAATGATTACCACCTCGGCAAGATTCTAAGCGAATACGTGAAGAATCCGAGCAATGCATTTGTCTTGAGCTCTGACTTCTGTCATTGGGGCAGAAGATTCAATTTTACCGGATACGTGGGTGACAACAAGGAGGTTCAAGAGGCAATCGCCGAGGACACCGAAATCGAGTCACTCACTGCGAGAAGCAAGCTGTCGCATCACCAGGTGCCAATTTGGAAGAGTATAGAGATCTTGGACAGGTATGCGATGTCAATTCTGAGCCAAGCGGATCAACACGACAAATATGAGCCTTGGAAACACTATTTAGAGGTTACGGGAAACACCATTTGTGGAGAGAAGGCAATAAGTGTGATGCTTTGCGCTTTGAGCTACTTGTCGGAAGACTTTGAGTTCAAATGGGTCGGTTATTCTCAATCCAGCAAGGTCACCAACGTCATGGACTCGAGCGTGAGCTACGGTGCGGGCTATTGCAAAGTTTAGGATTCATGGCGGCGGACTGCCACGGCTTCTACTCCAACAGCTCACTTAAGCGAACCCTTTTAAATATCAAAATTACTACCGTCAATGACAATAATTCATTAAAAGTTGTTACTTAGTCTCATTATAGAAATCATGATTCAGGGTGCTAAAACCTTAAGCCTTGGTAACGTGTTCAACCAAGTCGACAACTCTGGTGGAGTAACCGAATTCGTTGTCGTACCAGGACACCAACTTGACGAACTTTGGAGACAATTGGATACCGGCAGCGGCGTCGAAGATGGAGGAGTGAGAGTCACCCAAGAAGTCGGTGGAGACAACGTCTTCGTCAGTGTAACCCAAGACACCCTTCAAAGAACCTTCGGAAGCCTTCTTGATGACAGCCTTGATTTCGTCGTAAGTGGTTTCCTTGGCCAACTTGACGGTCAAGTCCACAACGGAAACGTCGACGGTTGGGACTCTGAAAGCCATACCGGTCAACTTACCTTGCAAGACTGGCAAGACCTTACCGACGGCCTTGGCGGCACCGGTGGAGGATGGGATGATGTTACCGGAAGCGGTTCTACCACCTCTCCAGTCCTTTTGGGATGGACCGTCGACGGTCTTTTGAGTGGCAGTCAAAGAGTGGACGGTGGTCATCAAACCTTCTTCGATACCGAAGTTGTCGTTGATGACCTTGGCCAATGGGGCCAAACAGTTGGTGGTGCACGAAGCGTTGGAAACAATGGTTTGACCGTCGTATTCGTGGTCGTTGACACCGACAACGAACATTGGGGCGGTGGAGGAAGGAGCAGTGATGACAACCTTCTTGGCACCAGCGTCGATGTGCTTTTGAGCAGAGTCCAACTCCTTGAAGACACCAGTGGAGTCGATGGCGACGTCCACGCCTAGCTTACCCCATGGCAATTGAGCTGGGTCTCTTTCTTGGTAGACGGCGATCTTGTGGCCACCGATAACCAAGCTGTTTTCCTCGTACGAGACCTCACCGTCGTATCTACCGTGGGTGGAGTCGTACTTGAACATGTAAGCAGCGTAGTCGACCGAGATGAAAGGATCGTTGACGGCAACGACCTTCAAGTCCTTTCTAGCCAAGGCGATTCTCAAAACGATTCTACCGATTCTACCGAAACCGTTAATAGCAACTGTGGTAACCATGTTGTTGTAAAGATAAGTGTTGGTTGACGAATAATAATTATTCTGGAGATAGAAGCCAGGAACAAATAAAAATCTCACAAACCCAGGTTGATCCTACCTTGCACATCCTAGGCCCATGCCTTTTATAGCTTTTCCAACAATTTTTCTGCCTTTTGGCCTTGCCCACCAAATCGATGGAACCATGTCGAAAATTCTTGGGATCCTATCGTCATCACCAAAATTGTGTGATATTATCAATCCGCAGTGTGCTTGCTGACCTTATTACCACAACGACTGCGCTGCCACTGCACTGCCATCAGTGGTTGTGTTGGACGTGTGATCTTTGGGTGTTCTGGCAGGTGGTTGGTTGGTGGTGCTAGATAGTCGAGTTTGTGGTAGTTCATCATGAGGGACGCGGCTGCGCCTAATTGATTACGCAAGCAGCCAAAATAAGAAGCCGCGAAGCTGGCATTCTGGCCGGGCTGCCAAGACATGCATGGAATAGGAAGCTGAGAGGTTACACAAAAACGTAGAAAAAGGAAGTCGAAGGAAGCCGGGACGCGACTTCCGGATCGGGAGCAGTGGCTGCCTCTTTGGGAAGAGGGTGTGGTGTCCGGATGTCGGTGGAAATTCCACTAAGCACTATACACGAAAGGAGCACGGGCCCGTATATACTGATATCATATCATTGTGTACAATAATGTCGTCAAACAGCGATCATCAACCAAAGGGCCCGCAACGCCCACCTCGCCCGCCCGCTTTTCTGGTCCCACATGCCACCACTTCGTCCGTCCGACAACCGTGGACAAGGCAGAGTCCATACGAGCGCAACCAGGCCCTCCGGTGCTTTTGTGGCGTTCCTAGGAAATCAGTCCCCAGGCTTGCGGGAGCGCCTGCCTGAGCACACGGGCACCTCCGACTTTTTTGCCCTGGCGGTCTGACTGTCGTTGATATCCTCGCTGCCCGCGATATAGCCCGCTGTAAAGCTGACTTCATGGTTCACCGTCGCCGTCGCCGTCGTCTGGCACTCCAAGAAGGTCACGTGCCGATGGATATGTCTTTATAATAAGAGCACATGACGTGGTTCGAGAAAGTAGCCGAGGTGGACAGCCACAATGCGCTATCCCAGTGCCATGGGACGCTTGCTTAGACAGCTACCAAAGTGTATATATATTGGTGGGTCTCATTCAACCAACGTCTCTTGAGGTGGGCTAATGTATCTGTTGTTTTGTGTCCCATAGGCTGATTCACACACACATCCAATATTTAACCAGCAATGCCCGCTCCACACGGTGGTGAACTAAAAGACCTGATCGCTCGCGATGCTTCCATCAAGTCGAAATTGCTCCACGAGGCCTCTGAGTCGTCGCTCAAATGGAACTTGACGGGCAGACAGATCTGCGATTTGGAATTGATCCAAAATGGTGGATTCTCACCTTTATCCGGGTTCTTAAATCAAAAGGATTACGAAAGCGTCCTTCACAACTCGAGGCTGACTAGCGGGCTGGTTTGGACAATCCCTATTACTTTGGATGTCACGGAGAAATTTGCTGCTCAACTGAAGCCAAAGGCGAGGGTCACTCTGTTGCAGGATGATCAAATTCCGGTTGCCATTTTGACTGTCACTGACGTTTACAAGCCCGACAAGAAGGTTGAGGCCAAGCAAGCTTTCAGAGGTGATCCGGAACATCCAGCAGTTAGCTATCTGTACAACACTGCAGGAGACTACTACGTCGGCGGTGAAATCCAAGCTATCCAATTGCCGGTCCACTACGACTACCCAGGTTTGCGTAAGACTCCTGCTCAATTGAGATTGGAATTTGAATCCAAACAATGGGATCGTATCGTGGCTTTTCAAACACGTAACCCCATGCACAGAGCCCACAGAGAACTCACCGTAAGAGCCGCGAGAGAGCAAAATGCAAAGGTCTTGATTCACCCCGTTGTCGGGTTAACGAAACCGGGCGACATCGACCATCACACTCGTGTCAGAGTTTACCAAGAGATTATCAAGAGATACCCAAACGGCATGGCACAGCTCTCGTTACTTCCTTTGGCTATGCGTATGGGTGGCGATCGTGAGGCTGTGTGGCATGCCATTATCAGGAAAAACTACGGTGCTACTCACTTCATTGTTGGGAGAGACCACGCAGGCCCTGGAAAGAACAGTGCCGGCGTCGATTTCTACGGTGCATATGATGCTCAAGAGCTTGTAGAGTCCTACAAGAATGAACTAGACATTGAAGTCGTTCCCTTCAGAATGGTAACTTATTTGCCAGATGAAGATAGATACGCTCCAATTGATCAAATCGACCTTTCTAATACTTCCACTTTGAACATCAGTGGGACTGAACTGAGAAACCGTTTGAGATCTGGTGGTGCCATTCCAGAATGGTTCTCTTATCCAGAAGTGGTCAAGATTTTGAGAGAATCCAACCCACCAAGGCCCAAACAAGGCTTTGCCATCGTTTTATCCAAAGAATTGACCGACAACCAACAATTGTCGATTGCATTATTGTCGACATTTTTGCAATTTGGCGGAGGCAGACATTTTAAAGTGCTGGAGCACGACGATGACTCCAAGGTTTTAGAACTAGTGCCAGATTTCATCAGAAGCGGTTCTGGTTTAATCCTTACCGAGTCTAAGGATGTCGCAGGTGTGACCAATGCTTACCTCGTTGGTGCAGGTGAGGGGGCGGACATCAAGCTCGACTCAAGTGACGAAAGTGTTTTGCATGTTGTGCAAAAAGTAGTTTTGTTTTTGGAAGACAATGGCTTTTTCACATTCTGAGTTCAGGAAGCTCGTGTATCTACAGACTTGTCGATAGAGAATAGTTAATTTTAAAGAATATACAAACGTTTTTATTAGTTTTCGGGAGAGGTTTCCAAGTCTCTGACGTAGTCAACAAACCTTTGGGCCTTAATGTTTGCATCGCCAAATTTGTCACTTACGGTAACCTTCAAATCAACCAAATACTCATTGGACTGCTCAACTTGAAGGTTAGTATCCACTTTGGTCGACAAATTGGAAGGACCAGCCAAAAGATCGAAGATGTCGTCGTGCTGCTGAGGGGTTAGGTCCCGTACTGATGTTGGGATCAAATCATAGGAAACTTGAAACCTTGGTTGTGTAGGTTCTGGAGTAATTAACTCTTCGAAAAGATGATCGTAGTGATCAGAATGAGAATTGGCGACTGGCTGATCGTGAGACAAATACTTTGCCTCATTGATGTAGGCTCTGAGGGACTTGGCAAATTGCTCTAGAGATACATTTTGTGCCGTCTTTAAGTAGAGTTGTTCCGATAGAACGACAGGTTGAGGCTTTACAGGTCCCGGGGCCTCGCTCTTGATCGCTTGCTTAGGTTCAGGAGCTTTCAACTCGATATTGGACAAGTCCAGCTTTTCAAACTTTTTAATATACTGAGTGAGTTTGCTCGCTGCGTCCTGAGACACTTTACCCACGTACGAAAGAACGTCACCTTTGAGAATCCTGCCGTTGGGACCAGAAGCTGGAATCTTTTGAATAGCGTCCTCAGCGGAAATGTTGTTTTCGTGAAGTAAAATTTGCACAGAAGGTAACAAGACTTGAGACGGATTGGCCTGTTCCGAGGCCCTGGTGCCACTAGAAGAGCTGGCTGCTGGCTTTTTGGTGGAAGGTACAGCTTTAGGGGCTGGCTCGGCAGCCGTCTCCTTCTTGTTGGTATTTTCCTCCTTCTTCGACGAAGCCTCTTTCTTGCTGGATGAGTCTGGACTTGGGAGCTCCAAAGAAGCTAGATCATCTTCCGGTTCGGCTAGATATGCAATGACCTCTCCTACGTTCACATCTTTGGCCCCGTTGTCCACGATGATCTTCGCCATTTTCCCATCGTCCTGTGCTTCCACGTCAATCTGTGACTTATCGGTCTCCACCTCCAGCAGAACATCGCCAGCAGAGAACGACTCGCCAACTTTAAACTTCCATTCCACGATTCCTCCCTTTTCCATTGTGGGGGACATCGCTGGCATGGCAAACACCTGCGCTTTTAATAGTTGTTGTCCTGCATGCAAACCCCTCACCGAGGTCAATCGGCCCACTGGTACCTTCAAAATACTACGGAAAGGCATTCCAGAGTACGAAAGCTAGTTCAAATAGTATTTAACAGGTTGTTGTTTTTCTGTTGAAATCGATATCTCGTCAAGGTCAAGCTCACTTTACTACAATTTTTTCCTTTACCAATTAGAATTGACAAGACAAAGGAGAGAGATAGACATCATCAACGGATTAAATTCCGTTTAGCGTGGCATAGAATGTGCAGGCCAATATCTGGCTCTTCATTCATTCTCTCTGGCCTAATTATAGGTTAAATGTAGTAGGGTGTAGAGTGGCCAAGTTTCCACGCAAAAAGAGACCAAACTCGTCGTTTTTGAGGCATCTTCAACAGCCATGGTGACAATAAAATTCCTAGAATTTTGCCATGTAGTATATTCAAGTTTGTGTATAAATGAGGCATTGATGCCATCGTTTTATAAATCATAAACTTTCCTCTTGGTTTGTATTTACAAAGTATGCTCTCCAAGGACAGTAGTCGTGCGTCACTGAAATATAATAACTTCTCGTAGCTCCCTTTCACAATGTCTTTTCTAGTTCACTGAGCGCATGTATTTTATTGTTGTAGTGCATCCAGTCCCGTTCGCTGGTTAGCCTCAAGGATTGAACATCAGTATCCCACCTGAACTTGCGATTGAGAAATTGATCAAATGCGGCGCTGGTGAGCTTTTCGTAGTAGAGGTGGGACCAGAGAGCCCGGTAACATCCTCCAAGGGCACATGAATTGGGGGTTTCAAGGCGATAGTTCCCTTCCGTGGCCCCCAACACACGCGCAAAACGTTCCACAATAGCATCGTTCTTGGATGCTCCTCCTACGAAAAATGCTTTTCTGGGACGCTTTGTATACTCGGAAAGGGGGAAATTATCGCAGTCGAAGTGGACAGTAGAGTCGCTCATCTTACAGTTAGTATCCTCACAGTCCTTAGAAAGCAGCGGGCTTATCCTCACTCGACAGCTCAGAGCCTGAGATTCGACGATGTTTTTCGCGTCATGGGCCACACTTTCAAAGGACTCAACCAATTTAAGTGCCACATTATTTCCGTCTGCAGAGCGGGTGAACTTAGCACGACGGTATGAGCTTGGAACACTCGGAACGATTTCCCCCAGCGGGAAGTAGCACGCTATTTCATCGTCGTTGTCGAGCGCATCAGAAGCCACTGCTTCATTGAAAGGCTCCCAATCGTGATTAGCGTTCATTTCGTCCCGAATTCTTTCTCTTGCTAGTGCACCATTGCAGTAGCATATCATTCCCATATAGTGCTTTGGTATGGTTGGATGCAGGAACAAGTGGTAGTTCGGAGAAGGATGGTACTGGTCGGTGACAAGAAGGATTGTCGTGCTAGTTCCCAAAGACACAAGTACATCATTTGGTTGAAGGGGAAGTGAGCAAATGGTCGCCAAATTGTCACCTGTAAATGGGAATATCTGACACTGGGAATTGAGCCCATATTTTATCGAGAAATAGCTTGATAGCGTACCCACAGGCCTGGGTTCTTCGGCTGGTATAGGAGAACCGCCCAATTTCTCCCTCAAGCTGTCAGTGTCAGTGTCCACGTTCCGCATAAGGTTCTCGTTGTAGTCACGTTTCGCAACATCGTAGAGGTTCATGCCACAAGCATCGGCTTCTTCGAGCGGTGTGAACTGGCCGGATAGAATAGACGCTAGGAATGAGGACACAAGGGAGATTTTGTGCGTCTTGGCATATGTCTCCGGCTCCTTTTTCGCTATCTTCATCATCTGCGGACCGGTAAACCTGTGGTGAGCACGAGAGCCCGTTATATGGGCCAGCTGCGCCGGGCCGCCGCAGCTGTCTTCGAACTTCCGACACTCCTGGCTGGTGCTATGATCCTGCCAATTGGGAGCTACGTTTCTGGAAAATCCCTCGGGGAACAACTGATCCTTCAAACATCCATTTGCATCGAGCACAGGCAGCAGTTTTGGACCCTTTTCGGTCCAGTATACCGACCCGTGTTGCTGACAAGAGCCACTCATGGCCTTCACCAATCCTAGGTCTATGTGCTTGTGCTTCTGCATCCGATGGAACACCAGGTCTATCGCCTCGAGCCACATTGCCACTGGGCACTCTACAGTGCCATCGTCATGCAGATAAACGCCTTTGTGAGTCTTATAATGGCTCAGATCTTTGTCGAACTCAATGCTCTCAGAGTGCAGGAGCTGCAAGTTTTGGTCTATAACAAGGCATTTCAATTGTTGGGTGGAAAGATCAAACCCAAGGTACAAGGCTCCAGGCTCTCTAGTCATTGGTGTTTAGTTGCAGAGTGGGGGAAAACAGATCTTTGGCCGACGCCAATCGCACAAGCGCATCCCGTTTATATATCTCGAGGGTCGTTGCCGGTCCTCTTATAGCCTTGTCATTTGCTGACGTATCGTCACGAGATGTTTGCGATAGCGAGTAGTCAATGAATGAGCGACAGAGTTCTCCTCCATCGATCGGCAAGGTGTTAAGTACTTTGGTGGTCATTTACATACTTTGATTCACTAACTGCTTTGCAAATCTACCAGACATTTGGCGCTAGCGTAATGGGTAGGGCCAAGCCAAGCTTGCCGAGCCGCAACAAGGCCTCCACAAAATTTGGAGCTAAACACGAATTCTTGGCTTAACCCATTCAGGACGCTGTTTGTTGAATGCGGGATAGCTTGGAAGCACAGCTATCAGGCACAGAGTAAAGCTGACGCCAAAACATGTCAATAAGTTGAACATCGATTGAGTGACAAATCCAATCAAACAAGCCGCTGATGTTCCGAAAAATAATATCCGGTATACCAATCTCTCCACCTGGCGTTGACTGACGAAATCAATAGGGAAGACCAGCTTCTTTTGAATCTCATGGAGGAGTTCCGACATTTCGCGTGCGTTCATAAAATGGTTGGTAGTAGACTTGGTGTTCGATATAATTCTCGTGATTTATGATGGGACAACGAATGCCCAGCACGGCTGAGTTGGAAGTAGGCATAAGGCGCAAGCCCCGCATCTGACCAGCATTTGAAGATATTGATAGCGAAAAGCGAACTTCAAGGATTCCGAATCTTTTTTAAGCAAACTTCAAGCATTAATTTTGACTGTTTTAGCTGGGAATGTATGTTGGCCATGTTCTGCGCATCCCACGCCCCCGTAATGCTACGTTTGTACCTCAGAGTATAGACATGCTCGAAAGATGGGTGACTCCACCAAGTCTGGATGCAGCGTCCTGTACTGTTCCAGTTTTTCACGAAATTGTGTATCTGCCTTCAGGGCAGTACTTACAGACGAATGCAGAGCACCTACTTGACGGGCCCATGGCTGAAGGAGATCAGTGTTCAGCTCGTGCTCAAGAATCTGCGATTGTAGCTTGGATATTTGGTATTGCTGCTGAACTGGAAGTTTTCTGATAAAGTGATAGATTTGAACAAAGCCAAGAATGCAATTGCGCAGCTGTATGGTCAATTTTTCCAGTACAAATCGTTTTGCTTGCGCCCTCTTGTCGTCATTTTCTTCTTTGTTCTTCTGCTGCTCGCTTTGTAAGATCTTGGTTACCTCGTCGCTGACACCGTTGGAACACTGCCAGATTCCGCGCACGAATAGGCCGGAAACCAGAGTTTTCAGCTCTGTGCGACTCAGCTCCCCACAATTAGCGTTATCAAGGCGCTCGTACAATTGGGAAATGTGATTAAATTTCTCATTCCGTGTTTCCTTGAGCGTACTTTGTTTTAGTTGGTGCTGGGCGTCAGGCAAATGAAAATACACGTAGTAGGCCGTATTGACAAGCGCTATCAGATACCGCTTTAGGACCACTGTGTACTCCTTTAATCCACTGTCGAGGTCGACAGCATTGTCTCTGGCTTCAAGAACCATGGCTATTGATGAAAAAGTGGGTGAGATGAGCGCGTTTTTTGGCCAATTCGATACTTGATCGGGTCTGCGAGATACGGAGGTACAAGAAGAAGCTTTGGCGCCAAATATGGCTCAGGATTAACCTCTATGAGCTTTGGTTTAACTGCTGAAAAATTTCGACCATGACCTAAGTCTATCAATGAATTTCCAGCTATAATATATAGCATTCGAATTATCGTTGGAACAAGATCTCAAAAAGCCAGGGCTTCCAATGGCTGGCACTACCAATGATACGAGCGTTACAATACCAAATGAGACATACTCTCGGTTAATGGGTTTCGTCTCCGGTATGTTTTCTGGATTTGCCAAAAATGCCGTTGGCCATCCATTTGACACCATCAAAGTCCGATTGCAAACCTCTCAGGAGACAGGGCGCTTCAAGGGACCCCTGGATTGTGTTTACCAGACGATGAGGCAACAAGGCGTTCGAGGATTTTACCTGGGTTTCACTCCTCCACTGGTGGGATGGATCATGATGGATTCTGTAATGCTGGGATGCCTTCACAATTACAGAATGTTGTTGAAAAAATATGTCTACACCCATGAAGATAAACTGCCATTATCAGGGTGTATATTGAGTGGTGTTATGGCGGGCTGGTCTGTCAGTTTTATTGCCGCCCCGGTTGAATTGGCCAAGGCCAAACTCCAGGTCCAATATGATGCGACGACTACAAAATACAAAGGGCCAGTCGACGTTATTCGTAAAGTATACGCCCTGGATGGCATCCGAGGGCTTTACAAGGGCTTGATAAGTACCCTCATTTTCAGAACTCACTTTGTGTATTGGTGGGGGTCCTACGAGTTGCTGACTCGCTGGTTCAAGAAAAATACCAATATGAGTGATACCGCCATTAATTTCTGGGCTGGTGGGTTCAGTGCATCTTTTGGTTTCTGGACTACCGCTTACCCCAGCGATGTGATCAAGCAAGTAGTGTTGTGCAGCGACCGATACGACGGCAGTTTTAAATCTTGGAGACTGGCGGCATCCGACATATGGCGTGCTAAAGGTATTCGTGGGTTTTTCAAAGGATTTGTGCCAAGCTTTTTGAGAAGCTTCCCAGCCAATGCCGCAGCGCTCGCTGCTTTCGAGTTTATTTTGCGTGCTAGTGGAGCCAAATGATGCATCTACAATATGTAAATAGAAGTAATGGAAAAACAACAACTACAACTGATAAATGATATTATTCAGCTAAACGTACCAATTATCTCGAAGGCGACTCTGCGGATCTGTAACGCCTGAATGGTAGGATTGTTAAATGCGATGAACCTTGATATGTCCCCGATATGCTATTTATATTAAAAAATGTGAAACACGATAGGCAAACGCCATTTTAAACTTGTTAGACCGATTTGCCAGGCCCTATACTCTCATCTATGCCCCCCAAAAATTGTTCCAATTGTAATTCGAACTCAGTATCCAATGAATACAGTTGCGATATATGTTCCGAGCTGGCGGCTCTTGAGACTTGTTCTTCCTCTACTACTTCAGGTACAGAAGGGATGTCTTCGGAAGGTCCGTTATCGACTTCCAAATCAAGTTTCTTCCCTTCTTCCCAAGGTTTAGCTCGTGGCTTCATACTTGCATCTTTACTAAGGGAAGCATCTAATGTGACATTGGGGATGTGCAAAATGTTGGGTACTGCTTTGCCGTTAACAATGTGATCGACTAGCTCATCATAACTTAGCGGACGATCGCTCATTGTTCCCTAGAGATGTTTATACATGTGTTTACCAGTGTATGGTACTTACCCTTTGACAACGTTCATTTTGTATACCTTCAATATTTAACTATTAGTTTATTGATCTTCACAGTTCTTTACGCTGTAAACCCATAACTCGCGAACTCTAGGCTTCAGGGAAGCCGATTGAAACGCTTGCGCTATTGCCTTAGTCTCCCTAGTCATGATGCTAAGTTTTGATATCGCAGGACTTTTCGTTGTGGCAATGGGTCTCAGAATTGGGTTCTTCCTGTATGGCATGTACCAAGACGCATACCTGGACGTTAAATACACGGATATCGATTATTTTGTTTTCCACGATGCGGCAGGGTATGTTTCCCAAGGAATGTCTCCGTTTTTGAGAGATACTTACAGATACACACCACTTCTAAGCTGGCTGTTAGTTCCAAATCATCGGCTACCGTGGATCCACTTTGGAAAGCTCATATTTGTGATCTTCGATCTGTTAACAGGAGTCTTGATTCTGAAGCTCCTGGAAACCAATACAAGGCGTAAGAGACTACTTCTTGCCTCGTTATGGCTTTTAAATTTCATGGTAATAACCATCAGCACGCGCGGCAATGCTGAAAGCGTGCTATGTTTTTTGATTATGCTTGCACTTTACTGTTTGAGGTTCAGATACTACGTCCTCTTCGGTCTAGTATTCGGGCTGGCAATACACACCAAGATATATCCCATAATTTACAGCATTCCGATAGCCGCATACCTCTTTTTCCAGCAAAGAACCGGGGTCTTGTGTTTATTGCGAATTGGAATTGCAACACTGACCTCTTTGGGGGCTACATGCTACTGGATGTATCGACTCTACGGACCACTTTTCCTAGAGCAGGCCTACTTCTACCACATGTATCGTACGGACCATCGCCACAATTTCTCGGTATTCCATATGCTCTTGTACTTCGAATCAGCGCAGTCCGGAACCACTTATGGCGCGCAATGGGCTTTTTTGCCGCAAACCATAGTCATTTTAGCAATTGTGTTGCTCATTTCCCGTGATAGTAGCTTTCAAAACCTACTCAGCGTCCTGTTCGTTCAAACCTATGCCTTCGTAACCTTCAATAAGGTGTGCACCTCGCAATACTTCATTTGGTACCTAATATTTTTGCCTTTTTACCTAGCGAGATCCGAAATTTCAATAAAGAAAGGACTCTTCATGGCTGTAGTATGGGTGACTACGCAAGCTCTGTGGCTGCTACAGGGCTATTTACTTGAGTTCAGAGGCCAAAATGTCTTTGTTCCTGGCTTATTTCTCTCCAGCTTGTTGTTTTTCATCGCAAATGTCTGGATTTTGGGCCAATTCATCCAGGATATGAACAAGAACGCTTCTAGACTTAAAGGTAAGAAGTTTCAATGAGAAAAAGGTTTAACTACAACATGACTTTCAATGGTATCCAAATAATTGGTGATTATTGATCTCACTTTTCAAGAGTTCCATATAATTAACTACTAGATTTTTCAGCATTAAAAAATAGACAACCAAGTTGTCAAAAGAAAGCTACCACATAAAGCGAAGGCAAATAAGCTTGACTTAGCAGACCAAGATATGTCTAGGCTGGAAATATACTCACCAGAAGGCTTAAGAGTTGATGGACGTCGCTGGAATGAGCTTCGCCGCCTTGAGTGCTCTATTAATACACATACAAGTGCGTCCGATGGGTCATCGTATCTGGAACAGGGCAATAACAAAATTATCACTTTGGTTAATGGGCCCCAGGAGCCAAAATTGCGCTCACAGATGAGCATACAGAAGGCCACGATATCAGTTGCCATCAACATTACTAGATTTTCCAAAATGGAAAGAAGTAAGACAAGCCATAGAAACGAGAGAAGGGTTTTGGAAATGCAAACGGCCCTGGTGCGTACATTCGAGAAAAACGTCCAACTACATCTCTACCCTCGTACTCAGATTGACATTCAAATCCACGTACTACAGCAGGATGGGGGCCTCATGGGAAGTTTGATAAATGGGATCACATTGGCGTTGATCGACGCGGGTATCGCTATGTATGACTATATCAGTGGAGTCTCTGTGGGCCTTTACGATACGACACCGCTTCTGGATCTAAACTCGGTTGAAGAAAGCTCTATGAGTAGCGTAACGCTTGGGGTGGTGGGAAAATCTGAAAAGCTATCACTGCTCCTAGTGGAAGACAAAATTCCACTAGACCGGATGGAGAGCGTACTTGCGATTGGTATCGCGGGGTCGCATCGCATTAGAGAACTCATGGACCGAGAATTGAGGAAACATGGACGAAAGAGGCTCTCCAATGTGTCGTCCAACAATTGACTTTGGGTAGCCACAACGTTATATAATATTAGGAAATGGTCGCTTCGTAACGATCTTATTTACAACACAGCATTCCTTACATAGTTGCAATTATCACAATATTTAAAATCTGGACAATGGAGAAGGTTACGCCTTTTTTTTACCAATGGACGAAAACAGTCCTTTGGATTTCTCCTTCATAGACTGAGAAAACATTTTCCGTTTCAAATGCGATACGTTTTGATTCACATTAGCTACGGTGTTGCTTACGCTTACCTTTTTGCTGAGTTCATCAGCGTGTGCATAGGCGTCCCTCACATGCTTACTTACCTTGTAGTCCTGAAAGATGTAGTCTTTTTCGGACGCCGAAGACTTCAGAGCGTAGTTAATCCAAGTTTGCAATCCACTGTCAAAGCCTTGAAGTTCACTAGAATAGCCCTCTAATTCTCTTAATTTCACAGAATGCAACTTTTTGTTCATTTGTAACAAGGAATTCAAATCCATTCGAGGAACAGCCTTTCCATCCAACTGTGCTATTTCTGTCGAGTCTGGTGCATGTACTGAAAAATCTTCTTTCAAATTCGAAGTATGTTGCCGCTTTTCCCCATTCAAGTGCTTGAGGATCGAATCGGAATCTGTAATAAGATTGGTTTGACCTGAGTACACTGCAGAAATATCATGAGGTAGTGGAGGTAACGAATCCGTATTAGTCGCAATTCCCGGGACGTTGTAAATAGTCTGATTATCGTAAATGGTCTTGGTGTCATATATTGTGTCGAGATCTCCTTGAGTATCGCCGCCAGAAGCGGGAAAGGCATTCCATGTGCTCTCGGCATCCGTGTATGTCGACAAAGCTCTCATATTCCTCATACCAGAGGGATTGAGGTCTATCTTTTGCCCATCTCTATCGATAACATATCCCTCAGGTGCTGTTGGCACATCACCCAAAAACCCGGCGCGCGTTGCATTTGTATCAGGCTGCCATTTACCTAAATTGATGGATTGCCTGGAGTTGAAATCCTTAGTCTCGTCGCTACTTCTTGGGGACGCCTCCTCAGCTTTCTCACGGGCAGCAACATCGACATTAAATGTTCTAGAGGACGCTATTGACAATTGGCGATCCTCTTGATCCGTAGATTGGCCAAAATCACTGATACTTTTAGTAATGGATCCAGTTTCTGTACTAATTTCGTCGCTATCCTCAATACTGTTGTGCTCGTCAGTATTATCATTACCTTGAGCAACGACATCCTGGGAATACTCATTCATGACCTTGGCGTAATACCCATCTTTCGGTATCCTCAAGACACTCTCATTATCTTCATCACTATCAGAGGAAGAGCTATCCACTATAGAGTCTCGTATACGCTCCTTGAATTTGAAACTCTCAATGTCATCTGAAGAGTTTAAATTTTCATCTGAGTGGTTCAAAACGGTTCTGGATGTTTGTCTAATTTTCAAAGGAGAAGAATCATGCAACTTTGAGGGGCTCCCGCTATCGTTGATTGCAGGTGACGATTGAGTACTGTTGGTACCGTAGTGATTGAGAAACGAGGAATTTTCCTCATAGAGGTCGTCCGAGGAAGAACTAGCGCTAGAAGATCGACTATGGCGACTTAGTGAATTCTCCGTTGGTGCAGTAGTAGCAATCTGACTTGACGTTTGAGCCCCGGTGGTTGGAGAAGATAGGGATCGAGTACCCGCTTCACCAGAGCTCGTGCTTTCAACTTCAGACTGAGAGTACGCTTTATCGTCTTTATTGGACGAGCTGGAGACACCCGACCCCACCGAAGGCAGCAGCGAGGTCACCTTGACTTCCTCGTGTATTTCAGCTTCGCCATTGTGCTCGGTAAATATCTCTGCTTCCTCGTGTGCTTCAGGCCCGCCAATATGCTCGGTAGACATCCCCGCCTCTGGCTGATCAAGCCCAATTGATTCCTGTGATCCTGGTGACCCTTGGGTATCTTCCTCGGTGTTGTCACTTGAAGTACTTTCCTGCGTGCCATCTTGCGTAAAATCGTTTTCCAGCGTCACTGGTTTATGCACGATGCTTTCATCCTGGGCAATATTATCCATCTGGTCACCTTGATCATCTGCTATCGACATCGTACCCTGTAATTTTCCATCGACAACACCCTGTCGTAGATCATTTTCGGATCCGGCAGAAGTTTCGCTGGCCTCTTGGTGGTTTACTTCTGGCGTAGCGGTATCACCCCTTATATTCGCAAAATACCCACTTTTAGGAACCCTACACTCTTCATCTGATTCAGAGTATGCAAAACCAGAGTGTACCAAGCTGGAACGCCGGCTAGTTGTAGCTGACGCTTCCGACGCACTCATCTCGGTCACGTCCAAATTTTCGCGCACCGGATTTGTTTCTGTGTCATCCGCAACATCCGCCGCATCCTTCCCGTAGCTTAGCTTTGGTAGCGGTGGGAGCTTTCTAACAGTTGTATTGCGGGCCAAACCATCATCCTGTACCTCACCAGCCTCCATTTCATCTTCACTGCTATCCCAATCTTGACCGCCGTAATTTCCCTTTGAAACACTCACCCACCGTTGGGATTTTTTCCTACCAACATTTTCACTCATGGCTGAGAATTAGCTCCCTCCAAATATGCGTAAGAACCTTCCAAGGTAATACCCTAGCTTACGAGCGAGCATAGATCTTCTACCTTAAGACTTCAGATTTAAGCCTTCATTAATCAAAGTACGTACCAAACGATATCATTTAATTAAACAAATTCGACCAGTCACTCAGCGATGCGATCTGTTAACAATCGTTGCAGCTCAGAGTGTCTTGAGCGTCCATTCCATCGTCATCCACAACCGGTCACCGATAAAAAATGTCTCTTAGAAATGTTATCTATTGTGGCATATGTTCTTATCCTCCTGAATACTGCGAGTTTTCGGGTAAGTTGAAGCGTTGCAAAGTCTGGCTTTCAGAAAACCACCCCGATAGATTCGCCCAGGAATACGGCAGTGCGGAGACCGACGAGACTGCTGCAAAGCTCGCCGCAAGCTCTATTGGTGATGAACGTGAGGAAAAACTTGAGAAAGATCTCTTGAAGTTGCAATCCAAGCAGGAAAACCGAGAACAGCGGGAACTGGCCAAGAAGCTTTCTTCCAAGGTTGTCATCAGACGCGAAGCTCGTACTAAGCGCAAGTGTATGGTCGCTATTAGTGGTCTGGAAGTGTTTGAGATAGACATGAAAAAACTGGCCAAGACCTTCGCTTCGAAATTCGCTACAGGCTGTTCGGTCTCCAAGAATGCCGAAAAGAAGGAGGAAATCGTCATCCAGGGAGATCTTGCCGACGAAGCCGAGGCATACATTCACAAACTGCTAGAGGAAAAGGGCATGAAAGACGTCAAGGTCGAGCAGATTGATACCAAAAAGAAAAAGAAACCCACGACTGACGCGGATGCTTCCGAGAACTGAGCACTGAAGCTACTTAAAAGATAGCGTTGTAACAAAATAGCGCTAGGTGCGGTAGCCAACCTCACTAACACACGTTTATAATGATACGATTTTATAATGGCCAATAGTAAGTAAATAATGGAAGAGAGCATGAAGTATCAACCCAATATTCGTGTACGCTAAAGGAGCTCAGTCGTTGCTTAAAAACCCTCGCTGCGATGACTTGCGAAACAGAAGAGGCCAAAACTGCCCTATTGTGCAGAATGCTAGGAGCTGGAACGTTCGATTGCCCCGACGTGCAGTTAAAGGCCCTTCTGAGCTTGCAATACCGGACTCATTATCATGTCTTTGGAGGGATTGCTATGAAAGAAAGCGCGTTGCGAATATTGAATGAGGAATTGATGAAAGTGGGCTACGAAAGTGCTTCTGATCCCCTCAAATTGAAAATTGGGCTGAATTTGAGCGGAATTCTCAACTATCATTTGTCTAACGGTGACCTAGCACACGAGAGCTTTCACCGTGCGGGTACCATAAAATTAACCGCTGTACCCAGCTTTTCCATGCTGCTCGAGCTTGAAGCACTTTATTACACAGGCTTGTTGCAACCAGAGACTGAGGTGTCTCAGTATTACGCTGCGCATTTGCTGGAAACAACTTCGCGTCTTCCCAAAGAATCAGAAGCATTGAGCTTTCACTATCTTGACCTGATTATAGCTCGTATGAATTTGAAGTGGGATCAAATTTTCAAGGAGTTGACCGCCAGTAGTGTCACCTACTATACTGCTGTTAAATCGGATCCCGAGAATCACGATCAGCAACTGTTAAAAATCGGAATGGGAATCTTGAAAAATGCAAGCTTTCCTACTGCAGACGAATCAAACGACACTAAATTAGAGCAATTCCATATTGTTCTACAATATTATCTTCTAAACTCGCATTCTCCTAAATCCCAGGAGTGGCATACCTTTATTATACAATCTATGGGCAAGACTTTTCAAAGTATGCAGGTTTCAAAAACTGCTATGATATACTTTGGTTGCGAGAACCAGTTGCGGGAATCGACCTTAAACTTCGTTAACTTCTTGAACTACAATAAAAATTACAAAGAACTCAATAATGGTCAATGGTTGGATGTTGTTTCGCTCATTGAAGGCTACAGGTTTGTTGCTGGTCAGCGTGGATTATCTGATATTCCAAAAATTTTCAGTTTCACCGATTTCTTGCAAGAGTTTGAAGGCTTGCTAACGCAATTTTACGACAATCTATCTTTGCCCTTATTAGGAAAAGAGAAGTCAATGGACATCGCTTCCCATGGCACAAAGTTGTTTTTACCACAAAAGCTTTCGACTACTCTCTCCCGGTCTTGGAATGCTTTATATGAACAAAACCGCGAGAGCCTCAATTCCCTGTTACAAGATTCTAATTCATACTACTTAGCCAATGCATTCTCTGCCGATCCAACCTGTGACCAAATCAACTTCAATTATGGATATACGCTGGCGCAGAAGAGAGAAATTGGACAGGCTATAAAATTTATCAAAGGTTTTATTCTTGAAAATGAACCGGAGAACTACAGGGCATGGCATTTACTCGCACTATGCGAATCTACAAAAGAAGATAAAAACGTATCATTCAGAATTGTGTGCTCCGTCTTGCAGGCCCTACAGCAGGCTATTCAGGAAGGATCGACAATTCAAGTGGCGGATAGATGGCAACTTATCAGCCTCAAAATGACCCAGTTAAGTATTACGAAGGATATGTTCGGTGCTGAGGATGCATTAGAGCTTTTACCAGAGCTCTTTGAACTTCTAAGTGTAGCGTTCCCTTCTCAATTGAAAAATTGTGACCTGGGTCCCGACTCCAACAAGAGCGTAGAGTATCTACGTCAAAGTGTTTGGTTGTATGCAGTAAAACTGTACATGGCGAGCGATTTATTTGGAGACGCAAAGGAGGCATTAGCCGAGTCCCGGGCTCAGACATCGAAGTTTCAAAATCTGAACAACGTTATTGCTGAAGGTTACATGTCGTTGAAAGACGACAATATGCGCGCTTTGCAATCATTTGAAAAAGTGCTGTATCACGACCCGCTGAACACTGACGCCATTGTAGGTTTTGCAAGGTGTCTGATACCCGATCCAGTGGTCGAAGAACATCATAAACTGGATACAAATATGTTGCACAAACCCAAAGCATCAGATGCGCCAGATGCGTTCTCCGGTGAAAAAGACAGATCTGCTGCTCTAGCGAGACTAAAGCTGCTGCTGGAAGAGTCTGTTGAGAAATCCATCGAAGCATGCCATTCCCCAGAGATATGGTGGTGCATGTCACAAGTTTATGAAAAGTATGGGGATGTAGAAAGGGCAGAATTATCTCTTTGGAACACCGTAAAGTTTCAAGAACTTCAGCCCATCAGAGATTTTAGGATGTGCAACTTTTAGAAAGGACGACTCGATTACGTCCATACTTGTAATATTTGTCAAGCGAAAAACAAGAAGCTCAACGGTATGCTTTACAGTTGGTTAGCAATTTGATCTATTTCATGTGTATAGTGTGATTGGGGTAGTATATATTATTATATCATTCATTATTTGGGTCGATTCATTTACACGAAAAATTGTTCCTCTACAGCTAAAATCAGTTATCTAAGTAAAGCACTTTCTTTGGATAGTGTAGCGTTGAGCTCATTACCAGCTGCTGATTGAAAATGCCCACTTCTGGCTTTCTGCCAAAGAGTTCTGAGCTTAATCTGCGAGAACGTCGTAAGAATTTCAAGGATGACCTGGGAAATGATGGCCCATTCGATGAAGCTAGCAGTGACGAGGCCTCAACTCCGAAAGAAGCACTTGATCCTGTGAGCAACTATAATTCAACCTTTAAGTATTTAGGTCTCGGCGCTTTAACAGCTCTTTCCTTTTATGTGCGATTCCATAAAATCGATTCTAACGACTCCGTGGTTTGGGATGAAGCTCACTTTGGTAAGTTCGGTTCCTATTACATCAAAAACGAATTTTATCACGACGTTCACCCACCACTTGGCAAAATGCTGATTGCCCTCAGTGAATACCTAGCTGGATTCGACGGTAATTTTGGGTTTGATTCGGGGGAACCTTACCCCGATGGTGTGAATTTCAAGTTCATGCGGCAGTTCAACGCAATTTTTGGCGCTCTATGTGCTCCATTAATGACGCTCTCAGCACGAAATGTGGGATTTGGTAATCACTGCTCTATGCTGTTGGGTTTGATGGTAGCTTTGGAACTATCATACGTTGCTCTTTCGAAATTCATTCTTTTGGATTCAATTCTCCTCTTCTTCACAGCAACCACATATTATTGTATTACAAAGGTGCATAGTTTGCGCCAAGAACAGTTTACTAGGAAGTGGTCTATGTGGATGCTTCTTTTGGGCCTATCAATTGGATGTGTTTGTTCTGTCAAGTGGGTTGGTCTCTTCATCACCCTCGTGGCCGGTGCTTACACAATTGCCGATCTTTTCACAAGCCACCACAACAAAACTCTCCCCCGCTCTATCTACTATAGGCATTGGGTTATCCGCATCATCAATTTGATCATCATTCCGTTTATGATTTACCTATTCTGCTTCAAAATTCACTTCACCATTTTGCACAAATCCGGTACTGGGGATGCATCTACGAATACACTATTCCAAGTAAACTTGGACAATAACAAGATAGAAATTGGGCCTAGAGACTTAGCTTATGGTTCCGAAGTGACTATCAGGTCTCATGGACTCAGTCCCAACCTACTTCATTCACACGTTCAGTTATATCCATTCGGCTCTGGACAGCATCAAGTAACCGGGTATGGACATTCCGACGACAATAATAACTGGATAATAAATTTCCCAAGACAGTCTGGCATGGAAATAAGTGAGTTCTCACCAGGGGGCGATGAGTCCTTGAAATTGATCGATGGATCTGAGCTCCGTCTAGTGCACAGGAACACAAAAGCCAATCTTCACTCTCACGAAATACCTGCTCATGTCTCCAAAAACTGTTACGAGGTGTCAGGCTATGGTGATAAGAATATTGGTGATGTCAAGGATGACTGGATCATTGAAGTTGTCCAACAGCTCGCTTCTTCAAATGCCACCTTCCCCAACGAAGATTCGAATAAAATTCATCCAATTTCAACGAGTTTTAGACTAAGGCATAAAGAACTGGGCTGCTATCTAGCTACTACGGGCCTGGCTTATCCAGCGTGGGGCTTCAAGCAGGCAGAGATTGTGTGTAAAACTTCCTGGACTAAACGCGACAAATCCACATGGTGGAATGTGGAGGACCATTGGAATGCTAATTTTGAGAAATCTGAAGGATATGTTCCTCCGAAGTCGAAATTTTGGGCCGATTTCATTCTTATAAATTTTGCCATGGCTTCGTCAAACAATGCTTTGGTGCCCGACGAAGACAAGTTTGACGCGTTGGCTACGAAGGCCTGGGAGTGGCCAACACTTCATACCGGACTAAGAATGTGCGGCTGGGGTAGTACGACTGTCAAGTATTATTTGCTCGGGTCACCCTTCCAAACTTGGTTGTCAACCGCTGCGTTAGTGTTTTTCTGCTGCTACGTAGTAATGTTTGCCTTAAGGTGGAGAAGACAAACTGTTTCTTTGACCCAAGGCGATCTGTCTGTACTGGGAATGCAAGGTGTATTACCATTTCTGGCTTGGTTGCTCCATTATCTACCATTCGTTTTCATGGGAAGAGTAACATATGTGCACCACTATGTTCCAGCGTTGTACTTTGCCATCTTAGTATTTGGCTTTGTGCTGGAAACAGTGTTACCCAAAAGGGTTTTGTTGAATGTTGTAATCTACTCGACGCTCTATGCAGGATGCATTTACACCTACATGTACTTTGCTCCGATCGCACAGGGAATGGACGGTCCCGCCATGAACTATCAGTATTTGGATTGGGTTAATACATGGACAATTTCAACCTAGAGACGCTACAAGAAAAATATTTAGTGGAAGTTGACGTTATCTAGACAGCTCCTCCACGAAACTTAGGTCTATAGAATATATACGAGCCGAATGATCAGCACTTACCGATGCTAGGTTAAGTTTGCACCCATCGTGCACAGGAGACCATCTTAGTCTGTTTATTCTATCCGCTGGAGTGATTTTATCGTCCAGCCTTGTAATTCTGCAGAACTGCTCCCCGTAGATGAAAATCTCGATCGCCCCGCTTTCTAGTCCTAAAGCTAGTAAAATTTTGCCGTTAAAAAGCTCTGGGTAAATCGATAGAGCTGTTACGGGCTCACCGAGCTTGAAAAGTCCATCTTCAACGTAATCACTTACACTGGAGGAAAACCTCCAAGCTTTGACGCTCTTATCTCTTGACGCGGTGACGAAGAGCTGACCGTATTCGAGAGGCGCCCAATCACCGTCCCAGATAATTCTAGTATGAGCCCTCTCATTTTTGTATGCCAGATGAAATTCGTTCGATGTCAAATCTCTTCTCCAAATTGCCCATTGTCTGTCGCGGCTGACACTCAACAGCGAGGTGTTGTCATTGGAAAACTTTAGCCTTGTTATAGTTAAAGCGTGAAGTTGTTCGGCAGGCTTTAGCTGCAGCCAAGTACGTGTATCAAAAAAGCGAATGACAGCGTGTTGCGTGTTGTTCGATTTACAGGCAGAAGCAACAACATTAGAGTCTGCACTTATATCAAGGCAGGATATTTCGTACCCGTGACCATAAAGCTTTTCAATTTCAGGCCAAAGAGTATGCCTTTGAAGTTGATCTTCAATGGGTGGAGTGGTCAAAGACGAGACAACGTCAAAAGAGATGTTTTTGGTTTCGTTGGTTTCTCTGGCATCGGGATCCTCCTCTTCCTCGTCTTCTGTATCTGCGACCGCCTTACTTGACAAACCGAGGGCAGGCAGAGCCGCAGAGTCAGGCATGACATCTGGATGCTCGATGTGTATGCCGGCAAACTTTTCTAGAATTTGTGCAACTCCTTTAGGCTCGTCGAAAGATCTCAATATTTTCTCATCTCCACCGCTGATGAATCTAGTTTTTGAAAGGGGTTCGACACACATCATATCGTAGCCATGAATCTGGGGCCTCGCGAATTCAAACCACGATCCAGCTTTTTCATCACGGTCGTCTGTTCTCCTATATTTTGATAGTAACCGAGTAGTTTGATCCAAAGACGTAACTAGCAAATAGGTACCATCAGGAGACCATGCAGCATCTGTCGCAGCTTTTGCAGGGCCTGTGATCGCCAAGTGTTGATGCCATATTCCCATCTCACCCGAGCCCCACATTCTCCACGATCCTGTTTTGCCGTTGGTTAAGATATAGTCCCTTCCCTCATGAAATAGCCAATTACAAGACCAAAATCCTCCAGCTGATCCAGTGGCCGTAGACGCGCCCTTTGATGATAGTTCTCCCAGACGAGAAGCACAAATCCACACTCCAGAATCCTCATCAGGTTCCCAAATCATTACGGCTGTATCGGCTGTAGAAGCCATTAACTGTAAACGATCTTTGTGCCATTGCAAACAGGAGATCCAATCGTCGTGGCCAACAATCAGAGCTTCAAAATTAATTGCAACTTTTAAATTTGCATTTGCCATGAATTTCGATTGTTTGTTCGATAGAAGTTTCAATTTGGAATCATCCTCATCTGAATTATCAATAAGTTCGTTAGTTCGTATTCTCCAGAGTCTTATGTAGCGATCTTGTGACCCAGTTGCAAGGAGGATGTTTCCCTTCGACTCCTCATAGAAATCCATTGCCTTGATCCAATCTTCATGACCTTCAAGCACAGCCGCTTGTTGAAAATTTGACATCTCTTGAGCCCTCCACTCAAAAGAATAAATGAATACGTTGGGGTTCGTTCCACCAACAGCCAATAGCATGCTGTTATCTTGCATGCTTTTTAGGGCCAAACATAGCGGGAAAGTATTTGTTTTGGGCTCAAAGGAATGCGCCAACTGTGCCTTTCCACTGGCCAAGCTCCAAATGGAAACTGATCCATCCGCGCACCCTACCGCAAAAATATCGTGCAGCACTGCAATCGCAGTGATTGTGTGCTTGTGATGGTTTAGTGTCTGAATATTTTCGAACGTATCGTTTGAATGTTCCCATATCTTTATCTGAAAATCTTCTGAGGCCGTTATCATCAAATCTGAATCTTTCACAAATCTGACGCAAGTGACTTCGGCTTTGTGGCCCTTGAGAGTAACATAGACACCACGCGCGGCCGATTCTAACGGTTTCCACAGCGCAATAGTTTTACCAGCACCGAAAGCAGCGACTTTCCATTTGGAGCTGTAATCACTGACTTGTGTTTGTCTGTTGCACCCAATAAATACGCCCTCAGACAGAACCATTGTCGGTGTAGGGGGGCTAGAAATTGCTGGCTTCCTGGCAATGGAGAGATGAGATGCGCTGCATTAAAGTGAACAATTTTGTCTTGTAGATCGTGCATTTCACACGAAAGCATGGTGACAGTAAAATAGTAATGTCAGTTTATTCAACTTGGTAGACGATAAACTCCGACCAGCGAATGGCGCTGCTATGCGATAATCGAGATACAAAAATAATACGCTTCAGTTGTATTTCAATTCTCTTAGATTTCTAAGAGTTCAACAAAAAAGCAGGGTCGTTTCTCTTTCCCTTTGAACCATCATATATATAAGGCACGAGTACGTGTGTCTAGCTTACCGATAGTGGATAAAGCACCTAGAGAAGTTTTATTATTCGTCAAATGAGCCTTAGAACAAGTTAGGAGACGGATGGATGGCTGAGTGGCGTTAATGTTTGAGTTTGGATTATTTGAAGATCTATCATTGTTTATAAACCATCCATTCAATGGACTAAGTTAAATTAAGTTGCTGCTACATCAAGTGGCTTTCAATAAATATTAGAGTCTTTCAGATTTCATTCTGCAAGTTTCTGTGAAACAATGTGTTATTGGTCAAGTCCAAAAAGTGCAGTTACCTTTTAAGCATCAGTCACACAGCCGAGAGAAGCGTTAGAAACCAATTTGCTATATCTGGCAAGGGTGCCTCTTGTATAACGAGGGGCGGGGGCAGTCCACTCGGCCCTACGTTGGGCCATTTCTTCTTCCGAAGCGTCAACATCGATCCTGTTGTTGTTGGCGTCGATGGTGATAATGTCACCGTCCCTCACCAAACCGATTGGACCGCCCTCAGCAGCTTCTGGAACGATGTGGCCAATCAAGAAGCCATGAGAACCACCTGAGAATCTACCGTCGGTCAACAGAGCGACATCCTTACCCAGACCGTAGCCCATTAGAGCGGATGAAGGTTTCAACATTTCAGGCATACCTGGGCCACCTTTTGGACCCTCGTATCTGATAACGACAACTGTCTTCTCACCTTGCTTGATCTCTCCGTTCTCCAATGCGCGAATGAAGCCTGCTTCTTCGTCAAAGACACGGGCTTTTCCTTGGAAATAAGTCCCTTCTTTACCGGTGATTTTACCCACGGAACCACCTGGGGCAAGCGACCCATACAAGATCTGCAAATGCCCTTGGGGTTTTATAGGGGAAGATAATGGTCTCATGGCATCTTGGCCTTCTGGTAGGCCAACGGCCTTCGCAGCACGTTCTCCCAGTGTTTCACCAGTGACAGTAATGGTGTCACCATTCAACAAACCCTGTTCGTACATGTATTTGATCACAGCCTGGGTACCACCAAGTTTGTAAAGGTCAGCCATCATGTACTTGCCTGATGGTTTAAAGTCACCTAACAATGGAGTGCTGTCACTGAGACGTTGGAAGTCATCGGGAGTAATCTTAACGCCAGCAGAGTGCGCAATGGCAACCAAGTGAAGGACAGCGTTCGTAGAGCCACCAGTTGCAACCACATATCTGATAGCATTTTCAAAAGATTCTTTGGTCATGATGTCACGAGGAAGAATACCAAGTTCCATGGTCTTCTTGATAGCTTCACCAATGTTATCGCACTCGGCCATTTTTTCCTTGGAGACAGCGGGGAACGAGGAAGTGTTTGGCAAAGTTAAACCCAACACCTCGGCAACCGACGCCATTGTATTGGCTGTATACATACCACCGCAAGAACCTGGACCTGGACAAGCGTGCTGTACAACATCTAAGCGTTCTTCTTCGGTGAAATCCTTGGACAAATATTGACCGTAGGATTGGAAAGCCGAAACGACGTCGATATTCTTGGGAATATTGCTGGAACCACAAGTGGGGTTTCCGGGCATGATGGTACCACCATACACCATGATGGAGGGCCTGTTGTGTCTACCAAACGCCATCATAACGCCGGGCATGTTCTTGTCGCACGAAGGGATGGCGATGTTGGCATCGTAATGTTGGGCCATCATGATGGTCTCGAAAGAGTCAGCGATAATTTCTCTACTCTGCAAAGAGTAACGCATACCCTTAGTACCCATGGAAATACCATCCGACACACCAATTGTATTGAATTGCATACCTTTCAAACCTGCTTTGTTCACAGATGCAGTAATGCGGTGGTTAAAGTCCAACAGATGCATGTTGCAAGGGTTACCAGACCACCAACATGAACCCACACCAACTTGGGCTTTCTCAAAATCTTCCTGATTGAATCCAGTAGCGTACAACATAGCCTGCGAGGCACCCTGATCCTTGGGTTCGGTGATGATGTTTGAATATCTGTTCAACTTCTTGCACACACTTTGCGAGCCAGAAAAATGCCTTTTGGCATCGGTACTCGACAATCTACTTAGAAAGGTCATCCTGAAATATTCAGTCTTATGAAAGTTGAGCTCGAATTTGAGACGCAAGAATGTCAATCAGACCGAAGATCAGTGAACTCCAGTATGATCCACACGATTGCATTATTATACTGAAATATTGTATGGCTCATAGTTAAAAAATTTTGTCACTTGTCATGACGAATCACGTGACAAATTTCTTAGTTCGGGCCGGTACCGGCACAACAAAGGCAACCGACGCAGAGCGTCAGATCGCATTTTAGGTAGCGGACGCTTCAAGAGTCGTCCGAATCACTGGAGTTCGGATTCGTCGTTGACGCTGAGTCTCGACTTCTAATATCGGGGTCCTCCTCTTGAGAGTTCGGATCGTTTACGTTCTCGTGAGCTTCGTCTTTTGAGCCTTCATGGCCCATGTCACCATAGATACGGGCAAATTCAGTAGCTGGCGACGACCCTCTAATCGTCTTTGGCGGTTGATGTTGGCCTGCCAGTTTGGTGTACACCTTCTTACCCAAGGTTTTGCGTAGCAACATCTCGCGCACCTCCACGTATAAATCTTTGGAAGCGTGATTGATTGAGTCGTGTCCCTTTTTGAAATACGAGCGAAAATCCTGGATGTGTTTCTTGAAGTCTAGCTCGTTCTTTTTGAGCCAGGAGACGTTCAGTTCGCGCCTCGTTGCACCGCGCGCGAAATTGCGCATCAGGTACTTGTCGTAATCGCGAATGATGCGCGTAATGATATCGCTGGTGGAGATTCCGTCCGTACGCTGCGTGGCCACAAACTTGCCCATTTGCTTGATCGGAAGGTATATATCATCGCAGTCTACCGCTGCGTACGGCAGATCGTCGTGTGCCACATAATCAATATGATGTTCAGCTAGAAACTCGAGTGTGAGAGTCCATGGCGCATCTTCGATCACCTCGTCCACCCACTTGCATTGCCTTACACTTTCGTACCTTTGAACGTCGGTTAACACGGTCAAACCCTTCAATTTATGCGTCACCCGATCAGATGGAACCCCACAGATCAGCGTCACATTGGGCATGCATTTCTTACACTGTTCCAGCTGCTTCATGTGGCCTAAATGGAACAGATCGAAGACTCCGTCCGCGTAGACGCGCACGGGCCGATCCTTAGGGGGCAGATTCAGCCCAAATCCGCGGGGCCTGTAAGCACGCAGCTCCTCTGGTAAAGCCTCATCTAGCGCCCGCTCTTTGGCCTCGAAAGCTTCGCGTTCCGCCATGGAAAGCGTCCGTCTCTTTTTGATAGGCTTCCCTACACGTGTCTCCTCCTCTTCTTCCTCCTCCCCATGGTTTTCATCATCCCTTTCCTCGTCTCCTTCTTCAAAATAGCTTGTATTTTCTTCGTTTTCAGAACCATCGGACCGCGATTGGGCCACTGATTCTGATTCATCGTCGCTGTCCCTTCTGCGTTTACGGTTTAATTTGAACAAATTTGTGAGCGATCCACTACTCAACCGAGACTTGAGTGGAGCAGAGTCGGAGCCCCTGGCCATTTTCAAAAGTAGAGTTAGTTGAAAGGAGGACCCAAAAACCAATTCTTGAGCGTAAGACTTTGTGTATCCGAAATATGTGGTACACAATTTTAAAGGATGTGTTTGTTAAGCTTACTTTAATTAGGTGTTATTTGTTGACAACATTGTATACGAAGAATAACAGACATTTGTTGACTGTCTAAAACCAAGCGCAAGGGTCGGCTCTACTGTTACCAGTCTTCAGCTATATGTCGATCGGCTAGTTAGAATGGATCTGCGCTTGCTCATTGTGGTTTTGACAGCGGCCGCTTTGTTGCTGGTGTGTTTTTTCTAGCCTCAAGGCTTTAAATATTCCGACGCTTGCAAGTGACCCATGTGTCTCTGGGATGCTCAAAAAGTAGTAAAGTATCGAAAAAAGGAGCATGGAATCTCGGTCCTTAACGGCTATCAAGTATTTAGATGCTCAGGAGCTTTTTCGCTGGCTTCAATGTGGGTTCTCCGCGTCGCACGAGCCGTTTCAAGTGGTAGACGTCCGAGGAAGCGACTACATCGGGGGGCATATCAAAGATGGCTGGAACTACCCTTACCGCCAACTGCGTGACGATGTAGAAAAGTGTAACGAGCTACGTGCTCGTTTGGATGAAAAAAGGGGCCTTGGAGTCATCAATTGTGTTTTCCATTGTGCGCTATCCCAACAGCGGGGCCCATCGGCCGCCATGAAGTTCCTCCGGACTTTGGAGGACGAAGATTTGGCACATATCCGCATCTATGTGCTGCGCGGGGGCTTCAACCACTGGCAGAGTTTGTACGGGGAGAACAGCGAGGTTACAGAGTCATACAAGGCAGATCTTTGGAGGTGACCCACTTTGGTTTACGTAGTTCGCATATATACGAATAATGACCGGCGTGAGAGCCCGCACCGTGCACAATTCACTCCATACTGTAACGTATTCAAGCCACACGTTTGATGATATGTACGCCGCTTGCGGTTTCCACAGGCTTGGACACCTGGCCCACCTTCAAGCCAAATGCTGCCTTTTCAAAGGGCGGTTGCATGTCGCCGCTGGCAAAAAATCCCAAGTCACCACCCCGTTTGAACGACGAGCAATCACTGCGGAATTTGGCCAATTCTTCGAATTTCTCGCCTTGTTCAATCTTGTGTTGGTATACGGACAGTTCCTCGAGCGCCTCGTCTTTAGAAATGGTGATTGGATCACACCGGTGAGAGGCTGGTCTTTTGGAGTCTTTGTGTTTGATGAGGAGGTGTAAACACCTAACTCTCAAGGGATGATCCACTAAATACTGTTTGAGGGCAGCGTGGTCAGTGCCTTCGGGCTCCTCCCATTGTGATTCTTTGGTTTGGGGATTAAAAAAATACTGTCTACTTTTGGACTTGCTGTAGCGCACCGTCCATGGCTCGGGCAATCCACTGGAAGACATGGACTATGAGTGGCCGAGGTATGGGGTTTGGGCAGGATTTTGGTCTACTGATCATAGCGACTGACTATTTGTGATATATGCTTGGCAATTGAACATGTACCATAGTACGAGGATATGGAAAGCGACACCAAAATGTAAGGCTGCTGAGTCTTTGATTGAAAGTTTGTGAGGTGTAATACCGACCGCAGTACCAGTGCTGGCTTCTTGCTGAGTTGTTATGGAGGAAGTCTTCGATTGAGGTAACTGAAAGTATTTGAAAGACCCTTTAGCCTCGAATTGAGCTGAGAGAAATCGTGATCGCGCGAGTCCTGACAGGCCACTGCATGACCATAATGGAGCCAACTCTGCTGAGTTTTCAATCTCAGAAGAGGGGAGATGAGAAAAAGGGTTCGTGCTCCTTAGGACGACATACTGGTACAAAGTGACATTGGGTCTATGTGCCCACGGTCTACTTGTGGAGTTGCACATTAGACGCCACGGATATATCCAGGAGGTCATCCCGAGGGCTCCAGCAGGAGATACCCTGATGCGATCGTTTCCCTTTTTTGGACGATCTTCGAATCGGTTGAAAGTGTTCAGACTGCCAAGGTCGTATAGACAGTTCACCCAAAAGCTTCCCTATGAGCACAAACATAGGCCTCTTTTAAGTTATTAAGCTCACTGGCCAATACGTGCTTATCATGGTACTTCTGCGGGCAAAGTGGACTCACATCGCGGCACTTGCTGCTTCGAGAAATTTGAAGCTCACCGAATGTTGGGTTGGGCGATTTTGCGGAGCACCCGACTCTTTGGTGCGCTTTATCACCATACAGAAGACAATCAGGCTCCTCCAAAAATCAAAGCTACGCAATTTATTACCTTAGAATACCTAACATCTCAGACCTGCCACCCCATCCTTCACCCTGTCGATGGTAGTGTCCCTCTACTCAGAGAGAATAAAATACGCCTGAAACCACAATCTATGTGTGCGTGCATATAGCCCCATGCATCAAACAGCTGATATTACTTGTGAGGTGTCGACTACCCAAGTCTTTTCCCTCCACCACCCGTGGTGCTTGTCCTTGTAAACCGCCGGACCTTTTTCCAGCTCAGCCAAAAAGCGCAAGTTTGTTCATGTCAAGGCCGCTTTTCGATTGCACAGGTTTGTATAACCATTAGGTGTTATCTCCTGCGCAGAATAAATAATTATTATTTAATTGTCCGTCCACCAAAGTAATCTAATCTATTATTTTAACTCATTCCAACGATTGATCGGTGTACGGACAAGACACCCCGGAGCCAGTCTCTAGACGGTCATACCAGACTCCAGTATACCCGCATCCAATCTTTCTCCTCCAAGATCATCACAATGGCCTATAGAATTTGTGAGGGTCTTCTTTTCTCACCTACTCGTTACTCACTCTTTAATTCGATATATCTAGTTTCTGTCTGTACATATCACAGCTTCCGAAAGGTTTCGCTTCTGAGGTTCGTGCTCTGAGTACCTCGACCCAAGTACATTTCGTTGCACATCTCATCCGTTCACATGGACGAACATCACACTGTGGCATATCCGTGTTCGTTTGGCCGTACTTGGGCCCGAGTCAGGAATTGGTGATATAAGGCCGATCAATCAATAGCATGGGAAAGATATGTATAAAAGAGTGACGAAGAGGGATAAACAAATACGGCTTGAGCTTCCGAGCGCTGTTTCAGTAACTAAGGTTCTAACGTCACATTTTCCGAATGGTGGCTCTTTTGATCGACGGCAAGGCAATTGCCAAAACTATCCGCGATGAGATTGCCCAGGAAATAGGCAGCCTGAACGCTGAGAGCCAGCCCGCAACTTTTAAACCAAGTCTAGCGATTTTCCAAGTTGGCAGTCGTCCAGACTCTTCGACTTATGTGAGAATGAAACGCAAGGCTGCAGAAGAAGCCGGAATTCATGTCGAATTTGTCCATCTGGATGAGAACATCGCCGAGGCCGAGCTTTTGGCTCACGTTCAAGAGAAGAACGTGGACAGCAACATTCACGGCATTTTGGTGCAACTGCCGCTACCAAAGCACATCGATGAGGATAAAATCACTTCTGCAGTGGAAGCTCGTAAAGACGTGGACGGTTTTGGCCCTCACAACATCGGGGAACTCAACAAGAGAAACGGAAAGCCCTTTTTTCATCCGTGTACCCCTCAAGGCATTATTGAGCTCCTGGAAAGGTCCAATGTTGCTATTTCTGGTGCTAAAGCCCTAGTGATCGGAAGATCTGACATTGTGGGTGCTCCGGTGGCAGAACTTCTCAAATCGAAAGACGCCACTGTCACAGTGGTCCATTCGAAATCTAAAGATATTTCCTCATACGTGGCCACCGCTAATATTGTCGTTGTTGCTATTGGTCAACCAGAGTTTGTAAAAGGTGAGTGGTTCAAGGGTAATGACCAGTGTGTTGTTATCGACGTCGGGACGAATTATGTGGACGATTCTTCGAAGAAGAGCGGTTACAGATGCGTCGGCGACGTTGAATTTGACGCTACTCGCCAGTATGTCAAATTGCTTACTCCTGTCCCCGGTGGTGTCGGGCCCATGACCGTAGCAATGCTGATGAAAAACGTTTTTATTGCTGCAAAGCGCTTTCTTGGTACTGACGACACAGTAGCTTTCGAACCATTGCCTTTGAGTTTACAGAAACCAGTTCCATCCGATTTCGAAATTTCAAGAGCCCAAAAGCCAAAGGAAATCACTCAAGTTGCATCTGAGGCTGGCATCTTGCCTACCGAACTGGAACCTTACGGGTCAACCAAAGCCAAAGTCAAGTTGGATATTCTTGACCGTTTGGCCTCAAGAAAAAATGGTAAGTATATTTTGGTGGCGGGCATCACACCGACGCCCTTGGGGGAAGGTAAGTCCACGACTACAGTTGGTTTGGCCCAAGCTCTTGGTGCTCATTTAAAGAAAACCGTTTTTGCCAATGTCCGTCAACCATCAATGGGTCCAACATTTGGTATAAAGGGAGGTGCTGCTGGTGGTGGTTATTCTCAGGTTATTCCTATGGACGAGTTCAACTTGCATGTCACTGGTGACATTCACGCTATTTCTATGGCTAACAACCTGTTGGCAGCTGCAATTGACACACGAATGTTCCACGAACAAACTCAAAAGGATGCTGCTCTTTACAAAAGACTAGTACCAAGTAAGCGTGGTGTTAGAAAATTTTCTCCCACTATGTTAAGGAGATTGAAGAAACTTGGTATTCACAAGGACGATCCAAATGATTTGACGCCAGAGGAAATCACAAACTTTGCCCGCTTGGACATTGACCCGGAAACTATTACTTGGAGAAGAGTCGTAGATTGCAACGACAGATTTTTGAGAGGCATCACCATTGGTGAGGCGCCAACAGAGCGTGGCTTCACCAGAAACACCGGTTTCGATATCTCCGTGGCTTCAGAATGTATGGCTGTCCTTGCCTTGGCCAATTCATTGTCCGATATGAGAGAACGGCTGGGCCGCATCGTTATTGGTGCCTCAAGGGCCGGTGTCCCCATAACGTGTGAAGATATTGGTTGCGCCGGTGCAATGACAGCTTTGCTGAAGGATGCCATTAAACCAAATATCATGCAAACGTTGGAGGGCACCCCAGTGTTTGTGCATGCTGGTCCATTTGCTAACATTTCGATTGGCGCAAACTCCGCTATAGCTGATAAAATTGCTTTAAAACTTGCAGGCGTCGAGCCTGGCGCTTCTGAGGAGATCGCAAAGGAGAAACAAGGTTATGTAGTTACCGAAGCCGGTTTCGATTTCACAATGGGCGGTGAACGTTTCTTGAATATCAAGTGTCGTTCATCAGGTTTGGTTCCAGATGCTGTAGTTATCGTTGCTACTATCCGGGCGTTGAAAGTTCATGGTGGCGGTCCTGACGTGAAGGCAGGTGCTCCACTGCCCGCTGAATACTTGAATGAAAATACCGAGCTTCTCAGAAAGGGATGTGCCAACCTCGCCAAACACATTTCCAATGTAAGGGCCTACAATCTTCCAGTGGTTATTGCTATCAACAGAATGTCTTCAGACACTGACCGCGAACATGAAATTGTTAAGGAGGAGGCTTTGAAGGCAGGTGCCCTTGACGCTATTGTTTCAAACCATTGGGAGGAAGGTGGCAGAGGTGCGGTTACTCTTGCGGAAGGTGTCGTAAAGGCCTGTGAGCAACCAAATGACGACTTCACATTTCTTTACGAGACGGAGGGTTTATCTGTGGAAAACAAAATTGGGGCCATCGCCAAGCAAATGTATGGCGCAGGCTCTGTAGAATTCTCACCTGAAGCACAGAGGAAGATCGATTTGTACACCAAGCAAGGATTTGGAAATTTGCCAATCTGTATCGCGAAAACCCAATATTCGTTGTCTCACGACGCAAACTTAAAGGGGGTCCCTACTGGGTTCTCTTTCCCAATCCGTGACGTCCGTGCGTCCGTCGGTGCTGGTTACTTGTACGCGCTAGCCGCCGAAATTCAAACCATCCCAGGGTTGCCAACCCACTGTGGATTCATGAACGTAGAAGTCAACGACAATGGTGAAATCGAAGGTATGTTTTAAAAAACAAAACATGTATATTGAATAATAAATAAGCGAGCCAGGAAACAATGGCCCAATAGTTGGGGCCCTCAAAACCTAGCTCGAATAGAAGATGGATTTTCGTAAACGACAAGTCCTTCCTGTGACACTGAAGCCACTGGACTTCTATCAAGGTCATAATATTCCCCACGCATAATATGTTTGTTTTCGTTTGATATGGGGTTGGTTAGTCTTTGAGCCAGCCAGGCTTTGGTGTTTGGCCGCTTATGAAAATGGATAGTATGATCTAGCGAAACACTAAATTTGTGGCAGTAAAGTGGAAGCAGATGGAAATAAGTTAAGCAGAGCACAAAGTAGGTATCCGACAGATACGTGAACTCAACATAGGAAAACCTTGGGTCACGTGCTTCTAAAGTCTGACACTCCACTCCTGTGACAGACTCCTCGGCAGCGTGCTGTCTTACTCGTTGATAGTAGTCCAAATGTGGTAGATGTTTCACCTTAGTTGTATCGTGGAAATCTGCTGGGATGAATAGGTCAGGAGGGAAACGATATTCTATGGGTCCGCCTTCGAACCGCTGTACAAATGGATCCAAAGCGGATGAGTCGGCCCAAGGACGAATGATCTTCTGGTATCTTTTTAAATTTCCAATAACCTCTGACTGAAAAAGCTGTGTAGCTGGGACCAACTTGGACAATACGGGAAAATTGTCAGGTCTGTTTGAATAGTTCACCGTCTCAATTTCCGACAAGGCACTGCTGTCGTTTGTGGTGCCGACATACTTCAGCATAACCGTCGCCAAAAATATAACTTCCTTATGCTGGAGGGCCCGGACTTGGCGATGGGCAAAGCTCCGGCCATCTCTTAAGCTCTCCACCTCGTACGTGATGCGCTCCTTTACATCCCCGGCCTTCAAAAAGTAGCAGTGGAGGGACGATGGTTCAAACGCCTCGTCAGTTGTCCTGATCGCAGCCCATAGCGATTGTGCCATCAAGGTTCCACCAGAAGTGGCATTACGTCCGGGTTGTGCTTTCCCTGGTATTGTAGAAACGAATTTTGTTGGCGAAAGACGAGTTAAGGCAAGCGAGCTTTGCAGCATTTTCCGAAAAATTGTGATATAAAAAGGTGTTCCAGTCACACAGACAGTGTAAGATTGGACGAATCGAAATGTTTTAGAGAGTGGAAGTTGGATTAAACCTTTCTTCTCCGATCTCGAACCGTTTATTTGAAAGAATCGAAGTTCCCAGCTGCCCCCACATTTTTTTTCCAGACCATATTACCATCGTTTCTCATTTGTCATGCCCTCCGTAGCCCAAGCAGCAGCCCCATTTATTCTCAAATACTACGATAAGCAAGTGCTTTACCATTCGACAACTGCGGAGGGTCAATTTCCGCTTGTGGTTTACGTTTCAGGACCACAAGGATCCGGCAAAACTTATTCCTCTAGAGCAATCAGGAAAAGTTTACTATCTTCCAGGCCCAACCTGAGGATTGTAGTTGTATCAATTGATGATTTTTATCTGACCCATAAAGATCAGCTGCTGCTATCAGAGCGATTTGCGGGCAATGCCTTGTTACAGGGCCGAGGGCTGCCAGGCACCCACGACCTCGCGCTGATTGATGAATTTCTGCACAAGCTCAGGTCCCCTGGAACTGTGGGTATTCCTGCATATGATAAGTCTCGGTTTGGGGGTGAAGGCGACAGGGTGAGTCCTTCAGAAGAATTTGAACCGCCCATTGACATTCTTGTCGTCGAAGGTTGGTTTTTGGGTTTTCAAGGGCTTTCTGAAGACACCATTTGTTCTATGCGACAGGAGAAGAATAGTAAGCGCGGTCAACTTCTGCGCGAGCATTCTTTAGAAAATCTTCTTCAAATCAATTCTTACTTGAGCCGCTACTCTCAATTACTTTGGGGCAATGCTTCTTTTCCGTCTTTGGGCATTGTGATTGCTGCAGACACTGAAAATATTTACACCTGGCGGCAGGAACAGGAAACAGAATTGATTGCGAAGAGCGGACAGGGTATGAACAGTGCGCAAGTGAAAGCATTTGTTTCAAGGTACATGCCTTGCTATGAGATCTACTATCCACCTCTTAAGGCAACTGGTAAGCTTGGTAATTGCGCAACACTTGTCGTTGATATCGATCATGAACGCAATGTGACAGGGTCCAAGGTACAAGAGTAAAAATTGGAAAAGGAGGTTGCTATCGATGTCTGTTACTTCGAAAACAAGTTAATGGTTGGCGGCCAGGAGGCTAATGAAGCCCGATCGAACTACGCACTATAACTCTGATGAAAGTAATGTTTCGGAATCGGAAATCTCATCCCACGGAATTATCCAACGTGTTGCAAGTGTGGTCTGGGCCCTCCTGTGGCGCGTTTGTTCTTTGGAACAAGTTGGAGAAACGGGTTTAGTAACTTTGGAGTCATGCGCATTTGAAGATATAATTTCTTTTCTGTTGATGCAGTTCCCGCGTAAATTGGCTATGTCGGCTTTCAGACTGCATACTTGCTGTTCCAAATGTAATTGTCGCTGCGATACTCGCATTGTTTCTGTCGACATCGATGACAAAACTTGGGTTAAACCTGCGGATTGCCTAACCAAATTGACTAGTTCATTGTGAACTTCTTTCACAGCCTTTTCGAAATGCGCAGAATGGGATTCAGCGAAGCTCCCCATTTTAGCGTCTAGTCGGGATTCCATGTCTTTGAAAACACCTGCACTCTCGGCAAGGGCTTTTGTGAGGGTTGAAGTACCTACCGACGTAAACTCCTCGAGGCGTTCTTCAAACTTAGCTTCAAGTTTCCCAAAACTTCCGATGATTTCCTTTTGCGCTCGTACAACATCTAGCGAGTACGACTTTGAAAAGCCTTGCAGTACACCCTCAATTTGTTTTTCAAGCTTTTTGACACCTGCCGTACGACTGCTTTGTTCTTTTCCTGCCTTCTGAACTGCGCTTTTCATCTGCTGGAGCTTTTCGTGAACTTCTAGAGTGGTGTGTTAGAAATCGCGTGCTTTGGTTTTTTGCCAAAAACAAAATGGGTCGCTTTTGTCTTACAAACCTTTCAGATCTTTGAGCCCACCAGTCACCTCATTCAGTTTCTCAAAGGAGGTCTTCAAAACTTTTGAATTGCCCTCGAGAAGATGTATGAGCTTCTCAGACTTGTCCCTCAAGTCTACAGATTCGAGTTCCAACTTCCCAGCCCATTTCAAGATTTGCTGATCCGTATATTCTTCTGCATATCTTTTAGGCGAGGAGCAGTCAGTCGAGACATCACTTTCAGTCATCAGTGACTTGTTTAACAACGTTTTGCGATGTTCTTGGTTTTGCTGGCGGAGGGTGGGCGGTTAGTTCTCCAGATACAATCAAAACAAATATGTACTAATTAAATTCACGAGCCTTGACAGTCACTTGGTACGAGAATAGACGAGGAATTTAATCAGTCAGTCAGTGTGAAGACTGGCAATCAACCATCCACTTGAATTGAGATAGCATCTCCATGTCGCCATTGTTGAAGGACTTCCTCAACAAACGCATCGTGGTGGTCACCACGGAAGGCCAATGCGTTTGTGCTACTCTGGAAGGATTTGATAAGAGCACAAACTTGCTTCTTTCCGAAGCACAAGACCGAATTAGTGGAAGTCACTTAGCAAGTTCTTACATGGTTCGTGGTAGCCAAATAGTTTGTTGTGGACTATTAGAAGATGGAGCGGCAGCCCTCGGTTCAGAAGAAACGGGAGCGGGTGTAACTGCTCTCAAAGATACTAGGAATATCGTGGAAGACGAACATCTTGTCTGGAAGCGAGTGTGGGCCAGCAGGAAGCAATGAGCAGCGGGGACTTTGCCTTGAGCGATTTTATACCTTGTTTTATACCAGTTTACCCACTTATGTACATTAAAAGGAAATCGAGTTTTGCTAAGGCGGATTTGAGAAACGTTCATGAGGGCCCCGTTGCTTCCTAGGTGCCTATCTTAGGAATTTACTTTCCTCCCCTATGCCACAGTCGGGAGGTATTCCGAGTTGGCGCATTTTACAAGCCAATTCCATCAAGTAATCGATAGCTTCGTTGAAAACTTTGGCCTTATCGACTGTGGGGCCCCAAACGTAGATTCCATGCCTTCTAACAATAACAGCCGTGGCATTGGGATATGCCAGTAGAGCTTCCTGTAGTCCATCGGTCAAGTCTTCCTCATGTGCCGTGTTGTCGATAATAGGTATCACCAAAGTGTCAAAAAATGACAAGTTGAGATCTTTGCCCCTTAGTGGATCTTTTTTGCCACTCGGGATCGCCTTGATCTGCTCAATGTTGGCGATTCTGAACTCCTTGTCAAAGATCAATGAGCACATAACAGCATGCTGTGAATGCGTGTGGATAACGGCGCCAGCATTGCGCTGGGAATAGCATGATAGAAACAGAGGTGTACATGCGCTGGGTTTGTATAGTTGAGGAGTACGGATGTAAGCGCCCGAAGCACGGTCCATCACGAACATGTGCTCCGGTTGCAGTTGTTCTTTTTGAACCCCTGAGGGCGCAATGTAGATGTGGCCCGTTTCCGGATGCTTAATAGAGATGCCGCCACCGGTCCCAGTAACCCAATTGTTGTAGTAAAAGAGCTTGCAAAGTGAGCAAATAAGGTTTGCTGGATGCCGAGGATCCGAGGATTTGACTAGGGGATCAGAAGCCTGGCTTTCCATGCTTCTGGCGGGCTCTCTTGACAATTCAATTGGAGTATCTCCCTCTTTACAGAAGCAAGAGCTCATTTCAAAGCGCCACTGCCGTTTTCTCTGGTTTAGCTTTCATGACTTCGCACTAAGTAATAACGTCACTATATTTTTATTAGTGCGTATACAACAAATACAACGAGCGAGGTGCCAAAACCACTCGGGAAGAGGGGTCGATGTTATTAACCCCCAACATGGCTTAAGAGTAAATTGGCATTAATTATATATTTCGTGCCTTGCTAGTCACAAATGGATGGATCTAAGCGTCATTAAAACCCGTTATCATTGGCCAAGGCAGTACATGTACATCATTTCTTAGTCTCTTGGGGCCGAGAAAAGTTTTCCGTTCCGCAGTTTTTGCAAATTCTGTGTTCTATGCTACTGTCAAACTTGAGAATCCCTTCCTTAACCTGAGAGCCCAAATCCAACATCTGGAATTCAAATTGGCACACTACCGCGTGGCAGTTAGAACAATACCACCTTAGCATATCGTGTTTTCCCTCAGGCCTGTCTTGTTCCACAACAATCCCAACGGTATTGGCGTATCGGACAGGATTATGTGGCACGTTGGCGGGCAGCAAGTACGAATCACCTTCCTGGATGGTGACATCTTTGAACCTTTGGGGTCCTTCTAGGGAATCATCAACTACCCGTAACGTCATATGTCCTTTCTTCTGGTGGAACCATTCAGGCGTAGGATTTACGTGATAGTCAGTGCGCTCGTTAGGGCCACCCACAATCATAACTGTAAAACCTCCTCTGTGAAGACAATAATTGTTCACTGGAGGCTGCAACAAATGACCATTTTCCTTCAGCCATTTTTCGATATTAATCGGGGACGTATTTAGCATTATTTGAGAGTGGTTATATATTGCAGAGACGAGGGCTATACAAGACTGACGGACGAGGTGCTGTCATACTTGTTTGTCGTTTACGGCTGAATTTATAAGAAGAGACGACGATATAATTGTATCACTAAATACGTGAACGGTCTGAAAGATGTATAATGATACTTAAGCAATGCTTAGTCAAGGATGCTGACAACCATTCACTCTGGTTTCGTAACGCAGCTGATCTCTTCAACTACGCTGGGCGATTTAGTCATGAAAAGTAGTCCCTTTTGAGATCAGAGCCATGTGAACCACTGGTCACTTCTAAGGTTTTAGCTCGTGTATTGCTTCTTGTTGAATTCACATATCGATATGTGACTCCGTGGAAAAATGGCCCTAAGGCAAGCTTGCCAATCCGATGGTTATGACTTGTCATTGGCCCTTGGTTTGTGTGTTGTTGATTATCGTAAAACAGTGAATAGCGAACAGTGCAGACCCCGTGATAAGACCCTGACCCTAATAATACAAAGTCTCGACCACCAAGGAAAACCGTCAAACTCGGAATTAACACCCGCCTCCAGATACAGAGTGCCTGGCGTTGGTGGTAATGGCCCTCACTGCAGAAGAGCTTCTTCTCCAGGTACCCTTGCGTAATGGCATGGAACAGGATTTATTTCAGCCGGTCCGTAAACTAGAGTTTTCCCCGGTGACGTTGCCTGCAGGGGCTCCAGCCCAGCAGCATCTAAAAGCGTGGATATTTGAATGCGAACAGCTGCAACAGGCGATCGATGAGCGTCGTAAAAGAACCGAGAAGTTTGACGTTTGGTTTGCCGAAACTTGCTTGTCGAAACGTCCTCCAGGAATGACCTCTGGAGGAGTACTTTCGCCAGCGAGACGCTCAGAAAAACGTTAGCACAACGGTACATTTGTACCAGTAAAAGTCGAGGATTCCAGGCCATTGTAGGATCTGAACCCAACTTCTTTCCGTCTCGTAGAATTCGTCTATTGTTTGTGGGATATATACATCTAGATAGCCTTGTTAGCTTTCAACTTTTCAATGAGTTCATCTACCGATGCAACCTTGATCCCTGCGGACCTCGTGGCTGGTTCTTCCACCTTAAGAACCTCCAGTCTTGGGTCAGTAGGAACGTCGGCAAAATCGGACAGTGAAAGTTTCTCCATCGGCTTTTTCTTGGCCTTCATCAAATTTGGCAATGTGGCGTAACGAGGTTGGTTCAAACGCAAGTCAGTCGAGATGACAAGCGGAAGCGGAGCGCTGACGGTCTCTTCGCCACCATCAATTTCTCTCGTAACTCTGACGATCATGGAAGATGCATCTACTTCCACTTTTGCAGCGTTGGTGGCCTGTGGCCAGTTTAGTAGACCAGCCAACATTTGGCCCGTGTTGTTGCAATCGTCGTCAATACTTTGCTTACCGAGAATTACCAAGTTGGCATTCTGCTTGGCAACCACCTGTTTTAAAATTTTGGCCACAGCCAATGGTTCTAACTCCTTTTCTTTGGCATCGATCAACGTACATGTATCGGCACCTTTGGCCAAAGCAGTTCTCAAAATATCTTGAGCTTTTGCAGGGCCAATAGATACTGCGTGAATAGTTTCAACCATTTTCTTGTGTGTTTCCTTGATACGAACCGCTTCTTCAACTGCAATATCATCGAATGGGTTCATGCTGAACTTGACACCAGTTTTCTCGACACCCGTACCGGCTTTGTTGACTCGAGGCTTAATAGCATAGTCAATGACTCTCTTAACGGGTACTAAAATACGCAGCGATTTAGACATTATGCGACACAGCCTTGGTGAATGTGGTGGTTAGCGAGAACAAGTTACCTGAAGTCGAGCGCCAAGTACAAAAAGAATTCTCCAAGTTGACCGGAGGGTGAATCTAACAAATGAAAAGAGAATTCTGCTGAATTGTTATTTGAGCTTGCTTCTTAGCTTCAGACTGGCTTTCGACGTCTCTAGATATGCACTCTAATGATTCTTGACAGGTGTGATTCCTCAATTTAATTCACTAGCTTGAAGGTTTTTTTCCATTAACTAGTAGACAAGTCAAAAATGTTAAACATTATTCGAGGCGTAAGCACAGTTGGCGTAAAACAAAGCGAATTTTGTGGTGAACATGGAGACTAAAATAATTGTCACTGTCATTGGGCATTGTAACTCTTTGAGTGAGGATTTCAAGGAGGAATTTGTATCCTTTTTGAAGTCTATACCAGAGGTTCAAGTCGAGTCCAAAATTGAATTGGCAACCCGGGCTCAAGATTATTTCCTAGATTCGACCCTGGACGTTGCATCTCTGCGGCAGAAGGTTGCCCTATTTAACTGTCAAGCCGTGGATATTGTGGTTCAAGAAAACACCAAGTTTCGCAAACAAAAGGGACTTGTCGTTTTTGATATGGACTCGACGCTAATCTACCAGGAGGTCATCGAACTTATCGCAGCCTATGCGCAGGTAGAAGATCTCGTGGCTGAGATTACGGAGCGTGCGATGAACAACGAGCTAGATTTTAAGCAATCGCTTGCAGAACGTGTCAAGCTGCTGAAGGGCATCAAGACGGCCACGTTGTATGACGACATCAAGTCCAAGTTGCGGGTCACCGAGGGCGTCCCAGAGTTATGTCGTGGTCTCAAGAAAAGTGGATGTAAGCTAGCCGTGCTAAGTGGTGGGTTCGCGCCCTTCGCCAACCACATGCGGGACACCTTGGAGTTGGATTACTCGCGGGCCAACGTGCTGGCCACGGAAAATGACCCCCAATCGGGGCTGGAGGTGCTGAGCGGCAGGACTGTGGGCGACATTGTAGATGGGGAATGTAAGGCCGAGACACTGCTGGCCCTGGCCAAGCAATACGATGTTCCAGTCGAGTCTACCGTTATGGTTGGCGATGGAGGAAACGACTTGCCCGCTATGGCGGTTGCTGGGCTCGGAATCGCCTGGAACGCCAAACCCAAAGTGCAGAAGGCGGCTTCCTCCAAGCTTAACACCAAGTCGCTTCGCGACGCTTTTTATATATTTGGTTACACCGATGCTGAGATTGCCGAGCTCTTGGTATAAACACAATGCCTTAATTCGCAACCTTGTAATAAATTTGATTTGATAGAGTGTGCATACATACGTAACTAAACATCGCTATGAGAATTCATCTGCGCAGGACGCTGTTTAAGCGTTAGCGGCGATCTTTTGTTTGATTAGCGCAGGGTTGGCACCAACGACCTTGTCAACGACTTGGCCGGCCTTGAACAAAACGATGGTTGGCATCGCAGAGACTTCGGTTTTCTGGGCAACTTCTGGGACCTCATCAACATCTAGTTTGTAGAAGTCAGCGGACGAGTATTCGGCGGCGAACTTCTCCAACATTGGGGCAATCATTTTGCAAGGGCCACACCACGTAGCGAAAAAGTCTACGACAACCAATTTGTCGGCCTGGATGGCTTTGTCGAAGTCAGCAGCAGAAGCAAGTTGAGTAACCATTGTGATTGTTATGGGGATCTTATTAGTGGGTGAATTTTTATGTAGAATGTTAAGCAATCTGCCGAAGTGCTGGACTTCTTTTCCAAGGGACTTTTTTCACTGCCTTTTATACTTCAATTTGAGAAAAATGTGGTTATATAAGTCGAGATCATATGAGAGCCAGAATCCTAACTTTTACTAAGCGTCAGCTTTTTAATGACAGAATCATGAGAAGACGGATATGTCATAAAGGAAGGCTTTCCAGAATTAGGTAGAATTATGGGCTTGAGCGCCGATGAATAGTTATGGATGAGTAAGGCGTTACGTTGGTTGGTATTTCACATTTTTGTTTTCCTGCTGGGTATGGCAAGCAGACTTCACCAAGAGTTGCCTGCACTGTTTCGTAGCTGTGGTTTTTATGTAGAAAATTCTAGAGCGCTTGTGGTAAGGCGATGTGACAAAAGGACGGACCTCAACAACCAAGTATCGACAAAAATCGGAGTAGGTTGGACTTTGTTGCACCCGCCAGGAAGAAGTGGACGACGATCAGGTGTAAAGAGAGGTATGCGGATGCCGTTACTACGATAGCGACCGCATATTAAAGATCCAAAAAAAGGAAATAACGACAACTGCAGGATTCGAACCTGCGCGGGCAGAGCCCAAAAGATTTCTAATCTTACGCCTTAACCACTCGGCCAAATTGCCCTATTTCGTTAGTAATCATACACGGAGAGGTATACCACTACAGAGTCTGGTCATGTTATTTCCGATCACTACGGCCCTAAACTAAAGAGATGAACGTGATTATAGGCTGCTGAACTTGGAGACCTCGGTAATATTTTCTATGCATTTGAACTCTTCTTTATTCAGTGCTTATCTGTTCTTTTCCGCCAAGCTCTTTCTTGATGTTTTTCGTAGATGCCACTCGACGCTCGTGCGTTAACATGACGCTCCCAGAGCGTTGGATCATCTTGCTGTCTCCAGCGGAGCTAATGTGAATCGCATCAGTCATAGCGATAACGGTCTTTGACTAGCCTCTGACTTAAAGCATGTCATTATTACTATTCCAGTCGTTCCACGACACACTGTCGTAATACGATCGGGCTTAATGTATAAATATAATAAATAGATCAAAACACGCTTGGTTCTCTCTACCTACGACTAGCTATCAACCATCAAAGAGTTTCCATTAGCTCTACCTATACATGAGGCTAAGTCTCATGTGTCCTTGAAACACAATCCGAAATAAATTATTGACCTTATCCTGACATCTTGAGGTTTCCTATCTTAGTACGCCAAACACAACTCAGTCAGCCATCAAGACAACTTTAACAAAGAACAAATGATTTTTACAACAGCAACTAAATAAGATAATTCTATTACTAACCATACAGGCTTAGCCCCTTTATACTCATTCTCGTTTATTTACTCATCCCTAGGCTTCCCTTCAAAAGTGTTTTCCCAAGTTGACTCAAGACTGAGAGGGACATTTTTGACGCAGAAAGTTCCGCTAGATTTCATACCATAAGGAAAACCGGTGCAACTTGCCACATGCCTTTTTACCGGCGCCCCATAATTTACTGGGCCCTTCAAACGGTATACATGTGAGGATGACAATGCTCACCCCTCTATGACAGGAAAGCAATATTCACAAAACTAGAATACCAGAAAATATGACGTTATGGTATAAAGTTTTCAAGTTTGTTTACCATGCTTTCGTTCACTCATTTGCTTATTTTTCTGTCTTTGAGAGTTTTAATAGTCCAAAGTAGCTGCCAAGATATAAAACTTAAATTATTGGAATGATGTCACAATAGAATTTAATAAATAAGTCAGATCTGACGTTATAAGATACTCTCTGTTCAACTTCTAACGTCGTGCCCAAAATTCCGAAATGTTTTGAGTCTCGCTAACGCAACGCTAATTGATGAAAGGAGATGATGAAACGAGGAAATACTCTACAACTGGTATTAGAGGGAAATTACAAGCAACAAGCTGCCCTATAGTTGAGGCGAGTAATCGTAACGCTAAGCTGCTTGAGAATCGGTGTCTTTTGGTCCCATTAATCACTGCAGAGCTTACCATTGTTTCAATCACTTCGTACTAAGACACTCACCCCTTTCTTATTCATAAGTTTCATTAGTTACTAGTGCACTATCCGTCATGTTATAAATCGCTAAACATAAACAGTTTTGCGTGAGTCGAGAACTAGCTTGTCAAACTCGAAACTCCATGGCTACAGTTGCGTTTCGAACTCCGCTTTCTCCACAGGAACAGGATGTTTTTAAAAAGGAATTTAAGAAGCTTGATCCAGAAGATTTAGGCATTGTTACCGGGGAAGCCGTCAAGCCCTTGTTTAATCAATCAGGTCTTAGTGCTCAGATTCTCTCACAAATTTGGGCAGTTTGTGACACCGGAAACCAGGGCTTTCTCAATCTTTCCCAATTTAGTGCAGCTATGAGACTAATGGGTCACTTGCAATCGAACCCTTCGTTACCGATAACGTCTGACCTTTACCAAAATCCAGCTTCCAGTGCTTTAGGGTCAAGTGCTACACAAGCAAATTTGTCTAGTATCAGCACCGGGGCATCTAATCCCAGTTTGATTCCGGCTATCACTCCTTATGACGCTTCTAAGTTTTCGCAGCTATTCGATCGGTCGACAAATGGGGCACCTGTATTGGCGGGTGACAAGGCAAAGGACATTTTCCTGAAAGCTAAGCTTCCAATGCCTACTTTAGGTTCAATTTGGAATCTTTGTGACAGAAATAATTCCGGAACCCTCAGCAAACAGGAGTTCATTATGGCGATGCATCTTATTCAGCTAGCCATGGCAAACAATCCAGCGTTAGCTTCATTACCTGAAGCACTTCCTGACTACGTTTGGGACTCTGTGAATGTCTCAGCACCACCTGGACCTATTCTTAGCGCAAACTCCACCGGACTATCGCAAAACTCGAACCAACCTTCTTCAACTAGAATTTCTTCGAATACTTTCTCCAATGCTGCCCCCGATTGGACTTTGTCTTATGAGAAGAAGCAACAGTTCGACGCCATATTCGATTCCCTGGACAAAAACAAGGCTGGTAGTCTGAGCTCTGATGTGCTGGTCCCGTTCTTTCTCTCTTCGAGATTGAGTCAGGAGATCCTTGCCACTGTCTGGGACTTGGCTGACATCCACAACAATGCTGAGTTTTCCAAATTAGAGTTTGCAATCGCCATGTTTTTACTCCAAAAGAAAAAGAGTGGGGTGGAATTACCAGACGTGGTTCCAAATCAAATATTGCAATCCCCAGCCTTGGGGCTTTACTCTACAGACAATTCGCAACATTCACATCACCCTGTAGGTGAAATGCCATCGATTCCATCGAGAGATACTAAACCGATGTTCGCGAACGCGCAAGCTACGGAACAAAGGACCCCCAGCGCATTGGGGGATTTATTAGCCCTTAATGATTCTTTCTCATCACCAAAACCAGAACCATCGCGTTTGGCTTCTACCACAACTATGAGCTCCGGGCAATCCGTGCAGTCTCCAAAGTTCTCAGGCGTAGGAATCAAGAAATTTCAGCCGTCATCTACCTTTGGACAGAATATCATACAAGAGGAAAGTGCTAGCTCATCCGAAGCTTTTAATACCAGACAACCAGCCAATAACTTCACACCACCAAGTGGATACCAGCAGCCTCAACAATCGATCCAACAGCCTTCGCCAGCTTTCGAACCACATGTTTCATCTGTTCCTGCACCCGGGGGGCACAATACTCTTGGAGAAAATGTAGGACCAATAAACCGGAATGCCTCCCAGGGTGGTGCCTCTTCTGTTCCTCGAGAAGCATTCCCGCTTCCGGAGCAGCCATCACAGGCATCTTCCCTCCCTAGCGTTCCAAACTTTCTCTCACCCGTTACGCCTCAAAGCTCCCGTTATGCGGGTACTTCGGCTGATGGTGATGCCTCTTTACAGCTTTCTCAAGCTACAACAGAGCTAGCTAATCTGTCTAACCAGGTAGGTTCCTTAACAAATCAAGCAACCTTGGTTAGTGAGCGGAAAGCAAAGGCTCAACAAGAGCTCAAACGTATGAATGATCTCAAAGCTTCCATCGAAGCCAGAATGACAACTTTGCGTAGTTCCTACGAACGGGAACTAGCTGAAACAGAGCAAATTCAGTCTCAGCTAGAGCCTTCACGTCTAGAATCCGAAGAATTGAAGAAACAGTTGGCTGTTGCGGAAGCCAATTTCCACGCGGCTCAAGGGTCCCTGTCAAGTCTCCAACATCAACTTCAAGAGTCCCAACAACAAAATTCGAAGCTGAAAGAAAGTATCGGAAATTTGAACTCGCTGGCAACCTCCTTACAAACAGACTTAAATGAAAAACAGCTGCAGGTTAAACAAGAACGTTCCATGGTCGATGTTAACAACAAGCAGTTAGAAGTCAGTGAAATGACTGTTGCCAACCTGAAAAATGAAATGGAGGGCCTAGATCACCATTTGGGTCTTTTCATGCAAAAACACAAAGAGTTGAGTGACTATCGGTCTACTCTTGAGACTCAACATGGGGAGCTACAATCCAAACACCAACTTTTGGAAGCCCAACATAATGACTTAAGTAAACGTGAGAGGGAATTGGATTCGAGAAATAGGGAAATTCAAACTCAGGAGCAGGTTTATCATCAAGAAATTGCCAAGCTACAGGATATGTTTAGAGACCTAAATCTGCAGCGCGAGAATTTTGCAAAAGCAGACGAAGAGCTCCAGAATCAACAGTTACAGTATGCTCAAAAGGTGCAGGAGCTTTCGGAAAGACAGATGAAGCTTGCCATGGGTGAACTTCCGGAGAATACTAATGACATTGTTAAAAGGCAGCACGAATTTTCTTCAAATGATGATCATATTGCCAAATTTGTGGAGGAAAGTGTTACAAATTCCAGATTAGGTGGTCAGGACGATGATGACAACAAGCAGGAATCTGATGTATTCGATAAAGACTTGCCTACGGTTGGATCTCAAACCGAGATAGATGACGATGATGGAAATGCTCACGACGATCTAACGGCCGCCCACGCCCTTGCAGATAGGTTTGATGGTGATTTGAATGAGTATGGAATTCCACGGACTGAATCAGTCACATCCTCTGTCTTAAATAACCCACCGCAATCTGTTTATGATTATCCAGCTGGTGATGTACAGACGGCTATACCTGTTGTTGGAAATGGTCACAAATCTTCGTTGGACGAGCAATTGGCCAAAGGTAACGTCGAAAATACGATTCCTGGTGGCTGGTCGGATGCACAAAGCAACAAAGTCGATGAAGAAAATAAAGCAAGCGTAACAGACCAGGGCTTTTCCAGTGACCAAAGGGCAGAGGTTGAAACTCTAAAAAAGCGGGCAGATGAGGCACCTCTACCTAATTCTCCAACCACAACAGATCACAAAAGAGAAGAGGAATTCCCGCCACTTGAGGAATTGGAAATTGAGGAAAGTGACAGCTCTGAGGAAGATGATGATAGTTTCGAAGATTCTAAAGATGTGTTGAGGAGCGAACCCCCCCAATCTGGAGGGATTCTTTCCGCACCAGCGCCCGCCCCAGAGCCCGTAGCTGCACCTGTAACAATTACCGAAAGTCCTCGTGCCACCGCAGAGACTCTTTTGAACAACAGCGAAGAGGCTTCTGTTAATAAAAAGGATGCAGAATTTGATGATGAGTTTGCCGGTTTGGAGCAGGCTGCGCCAGAGGAAGAATATGTCGATGAATCAAATGGTAATGACTTTCAAGAGGATTTCGAGCAGATTGAACACAAGGATCTGGACGATGAACTTAATCAAGGTGGGTTTACAGGCGCAATTGCCCCACAAGCAAGTGATGTCGATACCGATCCTGCTGCGGTAGGTGCAGATGAGTGGGATGAGATTTTCGCTGGATTTGGAAATTCTCAACAGGGCTCCGTTCCTGTGACTCACCCGGAGCCTATGCCTATAAAAGAGCCTGTTCCCACCAGAGCGACTGCTGAGCTCAGCCAAGCACCGGTCCGTCGTGGAATTGCTACTACTCCAAAGTCTTTGGCCGTAGAAGAGCTTGGAAGCATGGGATTTTCGGTCGAAGAAGCCACAAAGGCGCTCGAAGCCTGCAACTGGGATCTCGGAGCAGCTACAAACTACCTACTGGACAGCTCTTGAGGCATTAGTACTGACCAATAAACTTTTTAGTATATAGAATCACTTTTTACTTGTACATGTCATTTTGTTTAAACAGGAAAGACGACGAAACTCTACTAGAACAACACGCTTCAAGCCTCTTATCCTTCACGCAGCTCTAAAAGCATATCGCGCCAACCTTGTTCTAGAACTTCGTCATAGGAGTTGGTTTCTTGACCTAGACATCTGTCGTACATATCATCTAGCTGCGTTACTTCCAGTTGCAACGTTTCTTGCAGCTGCCGCAGTTCATCTTCCAAGGTGTTATTGACATCGGTCACTTTTGACAACCGATCGTCTAGCTGGTCCAGCAGCTTTAAACGAGAGTCATGTATATTACCACTAATCAATTGCTTTGGGGAAAGTTTGTCAATGCAAGCCATACTATCATGTCCGGGCTTGAAGGTTGAGTGGGTCGCCTTAGCGTCGGAAATCAGGTCATCAAGATCATTCAACTTGTTTTCAATGTCCCGCTCGCTAAAGATCTCTTCGAATTCTCGCTTAGAAAGTTCCATCCAAAAATCAACCACTTGCTTTTGGCACGTACTGATATTTTTAGCCCCAGGTTCTAATCTGCTATACTCCGGAAAACATGATGCTAACTTGTCCCAATTTTGAACTTTGTTCACCGCTTGTTGTAGAGCTTTTCTACACACTTGATTCAAACGTGTATATCGTATCCTGACACCCTCAGTCATTGCTTAAGACGCGATGATGCTGAGGTTTATGTTTTTTCTTTTGACAATGGCCAGAAGTACCGATGATGTTAGTTTTTTGTAAACAAACTTCGATCCGACAACAAATTACAGAATTTCCACATACACCAGTATTAAACATGGTTTAGGTGTGTAAAAGGCTATTTAAGTGTTTGGTATTCATGGATCTTAGCTTTCACAAATTACTTCATTGATGCTGGAGTGTTCCCCGTGGCCTAGACAAAGAAGAATTCAAGCTAGTTCGCATCATCCATTGAGCAAAATAGCGGTGTCGATATAGATAAATAATATTCTTCGGTCGTTTCGATCTTCGAACGAGTTCCAAGGCATCCGAGAGGTTGAGTGAGGAAAAGCTTAGTAAGGATATCTCTAGGTATCTATTTCCCAGCATGCCACCTTACGACAGAAGACTTGACAAGGCGAAGCCGTCGGGCGCAAGAAAAGGTGCAACGCGACAAGGCCAAATACTGAAAAGATATTATATACAAACTGGGGTAGACATCTTCCTGCATCCACGCCTATCGTCTTTTGACCTACAACACCAACATGACTCATCGTCGAAGCTTGTAGCCAAATATGACAAGAGGATCCAGAACAAGCTTCCGATAAAAAAACCGCTCAGATGAGCTAAAGACTGCAGTTTCCGCTTTCGATCCTGCAGTTTTTGAAGCCTTCCACGCTCTATTTGAACTGTATGTTAAAACTGTTAGTGAGACCACCGGAAACCAACTAACTGTAGCACCCGAATGCGCTAGAAAGAAACAGGCAATTGGATCCTGTATTCCAGGACTACCAGATGGAAGTGGTCTAGTTTTGACAAAGTTGGGTTGCACTATAATGAGCGTCAATATGGTGTCTTAATATTACAAAGTGATATTCGCGACTACAGTAAACCAAGAAGGTAAAAGGCGAATAACGAACCAATGGAATCCAGAGGAGTAGCGGGTTGTATGTATATATCGTAGACAGTCACTCAAGCCAACCACCAATTCAAAGATCCACCCTTGGAGTGGAATTCTTTGATGATAAAGCCCCCACTTGAACCCAAATCATTTCCGTCAAAATTTTGTTTAAGCCGTATGCTCCAGATATGGACAATATTTGCAGCCCAAGTATTCATGGCGAGACTGCCGGAAGCCGCTTTAAGTAGCTCAGATTGTTTATCGAGTACTCATGATGTAATGAGCGATTTCCGTCAGACGAAATCGCCAGACGTTTGAACAAACAGTTAAGCACGTTGAATACTACTGACGCAAGCTCGCTCCTAGGATAACATTGAACTTTTGGTGCTCTTCACAGATATTAGGATTTCCATTTTACCGTCGTCAATACACAACACGTGACCATGATCAATTATTGCAAATCTCAAATTATACGGCAGCAAGTTGAGTGAACTCCTCAATGATTTTGTATTCTCTACCCTAAACGCATCTATCTCGACAGACCGCGTTATATCAGCCACCATCTTTCAGTAACATCAGGAGTATCGATAATGGATGAGGAATACGACGTTATCGTTCTGGGAACAGGTTTGACCGAATGTATTTTATCAGGCTTGCTGTCCGTAGATGGCAAAAAAGTGCTTCACATCGACAAACAGGATCATTACGGAGGTGAGAGCGCATCAGTTGCGCTGTCGCAACTTTACCAGAAGTTCAAGCAAAACCCGGTCAGCAAGGATGAAATTGAGACCAAATTCGGCAGAGACCGCGACTGGAGCGTGGATTTGATTCCAAAGTTTTTAATGGCGGATGGTGAACTGACCAAAATTCTGGTGCATACGGACGTAACTCGTTATATCGATTTCAAGCAGGTTGCGGGGTCTTATGTGTACAATAAGGGCAAGATATACAAGGTGCCCGCGAACGAGCTCGAGGCCATCTCGTCTCCTCTGATGGGAATTTTCGAGAAGAGACGCATGAAGCGTTTCTTGGAATGGATTGGAGAGTATCAGGAGGACAATTTGAGAACGCACCAAGGTCTGGACCTGGACAAGAACACCATGGATGAGGTATACTATAAATTTGGACTTGGGGCCTCTACCAAGGACTTTATCGGCCATTCTATGGCTCTTTGGACCAACGACGACTACTTGCAGCAGCCTGCGAGATCGTCTTTTGAGAGGATTGTGCTGTACCTACAAAGTGTAGCTCGCTACGGCAAATCGCCATATTTATACCCATTGTATGGGTTGGGTGAGCTACCTCAGGGTTTTGCACGTTTATCTGCTATTTATGGCGGAACGTATATGTTGAACACTCCCGTAGAGAAAGTTCTTTATGGAGAAGACGGAAAGTTCGAAGGTGTCACCACTAAGGAAGGTACTGCGAGGGCCCCTGTGGTAATTGCCGACCCCACCTACTTTCCAGAAAAGTGCAAATCTACTGGCCAGAAGGTTATCAGAGCCATTTGTGTGTTGAAGCACCCAGTGCCCAATACGGGCAATGCAGACTCCGTACAGCTTATCATTCCCCAATCGCAGGTTGGCAGACAAAACGACATCTACGTCGCAGTGATGTCTGATTCTCATAATGTCGTTGCAAAGGGGCATTATCTTGCTATTGTTTCTACCATCATTGAAACCGATAAACCTCACATCGAATTGGAGCCAGCCTTCAAACTATTAGGGTCCATTGAAGAAAGATTCATGGGAATTGCAGAATTATTTGAGCCCAAGGAAAGCGGTGCTGCCGACAATGTTTATCTATCAAGATCTTACGATTCATCTTCCCACTTTGAATCCATGACTGATGATGTCAAGGATATCTACTTCAGGGTCACGGGCCATCCATTAGTCTTGAAGAAGAGATCACAGGAGGATGAGGAAGACGAATAAGTATGATTATATAACTCGAATAAGTATGACTTATTATCTCGAATATGTTTAAGCTATATTGCGATATTGAAGCTTCTTTCAAAAGTCGTTGAACGAGGTTTCTCGGGGCAGCTCTTACTGGTCATAGGGTTCAAACTGATGAACTAGACGAATATCAAGTCGATGCACGCTCGTGTTTAATGAGCAAGTTCGATAAATTTATATATCATTATGCAACTTGAGCAACTGTACAGCCAACAATGAGTTCCTTGAAGCCATAGAAGTCCTAAGGTCCAATGCTCTTTTTCTCGTTTTTTAAGACTTTGGTAGACCAAGAGGTTACAGTCGAGGTACGTTAGAAAGGCACTTGCATGTGGGAATGAAGGAACGCGACATTTCGAGTACTAACCATTGCAGCTTAAAAATGACATAGAATTGAAGGGCACCTTGAAGTCTGTGGATCAATTCTTGAACCTGAAACTGGATAACATAGAGTGCTCAGATGCCAGCAAATATCCTCATCTATCGTCCGTGAGGAATATTTTCATTAGAGGTTCGACAGTCAGATACGTGTATCTCAACAAGAACATGGTAGACACCAATTTGCTGCAGGACGCTGCCAGAAGGGAGGCGATGAGCTCCAAAAACTGAGCTGAACCGAAGAAGCATTTGGGCGGAATGCGTGTATGTACAGTATAGGAACCAACACAGCTAAGCAGAAAACTTAATAACGACGGAAGACGTCAACAAATGCCGGAGAGGCTGATTTAGCACAAACTCAAACGACTATCGCGATCGACGTATCGGGGCCAGTTACGGTTTGGGTGCGAGTTTTCTCTTCTCGCAATGTGCGCGGGTGTGGCCCTGTGTGTTACAAAACGAGCACGACAGCTTGCTCTTCTTTTTCTTCTTGGAAGACCCAAACGTGGACTTTGCGTCCCCAGCTGGACCTTGCGGCAGACCAGCACCTGGCGACAAAGGCAGAAGCACGTATTGGCCCCCGTCGCGCTCGAGAGTGGTCAGCCCTTGCTGCAGCTCAGAATCGAGCCGTGCTACGTCGAGGCTCATCTTTGGACCAGTCTTCCCGTCGATGTTGTGCTGCGCGAGCAGCAGTGCATCAAACTGCTGTTTGAAGAACTCCAGCTTCCGTAGACGCTCCGGCTTGTCTTTGTGCGTCTGGATACGTTGTGCCAGGATCGATCGAGCCAATGCATCTACGGCCTGCGAAACCTGCGCCGGATCTGGTTGGGCCTCCATGCTAGACACTCGAAGGAACGCCAAATACTACTCTCACCACTCTTCTGGACCAGTCAGTCGCCAGTGTGCGTGCGTCCTCTGCCATATATCCACAGCCGTCACAGCCAAGGTACAGCGATGAGCACGAATCCACCACCGTGCACAGTGATCCTCCAGTTCCCGAGTCTCAATAGCCCTCCTTCCCTCGCCAAACGTCCGATTCCGATGAATAGGCGCGTGTATAGAGTCTCAAAACAAGCCGGGGGCTGCAGGAGTCGTCGCCCGCCAGCTTCACCCTTCCTCAGCTACTGCTTCTAACCTACCGTCTTCCCCGTCATCTGACTTTCCAGCACCTTGGGTACCCTAAGAACAACTCATTTTCTCACTGTTACGGTCGGTAGCGGAACTGTGGATCCCGGAGTTTTCGACCTGGGTTCGAACCCTACGGTCGGACGTGTCTGCACCAAGAGCATGTGATCTTTGGTCATGTGCTTGTAGCACGACTTGGCATCAGCCACAAACGAGTCGACGTGCCCCGGCATTCAATCGATCCTTGCGGGCTGTCGGGGGCAAGATGTGAGAAGTCCGTCTTGTGCCCTGTTACGGCAATGGTAGAAGTGGGTACTCTTACAGGGTTAACCCTTCTCACGTGCTTCAAACAGCTGAAGGGGAGTTTAATCCAGCACAGCAGGAGCAACCCGTGATGGAGGCGGCTGGGATTACACCTGTCCTCGGCGAAGCGTCTTAGGGCGCTTTAGTGTGGTGGGCCTTGACTCTATTCCATTGGAAAGTGGATCTTCTGGAACCGTACCATTCTTTTTGGCTGAAGGATGACTCGATGTGTTTTTGGAGACGTCTGGCCGAAGGAAGGCGTCTCTACGTAGCGACTGTGTCTATGGGTGATTCACCTCGTTTCTTGTTTTACTGACGTTGCTGGCATCACTTTGTACTATTCTGACACGCTGCTGATGGTTGCTAGTATGCAGCTCCCCACCCTGTCAAACAGCACCAGACCACGACCACCATCTGTTGGGTTTTGGTTTCCAGCGTATATGTGATTAAACGGCCGGACGAATCCTAGGGGCCCTGGCAAAACTTGCAGTTTTTTTTTCGGATTAACTCGAACAAAGCAGGTAGTCGCCCGTAGCTCGCACAGACCCAGCCCCCTCCCCCTCTGTAATGGTATTCGTGGGCTTACTGGAGAACTCCACCGCTCGCCAGATGCTTCGAAGGTGCCGGGTCCATAGGATATCACTTTGGACGAATGCTGGGTCTGGGAACAACTGTATATATTACCTCTGGCGTTTGACATCTCGATATTGCACCAGTTCACGCTGGTCTCAAAGAGGCATCGGCAATGGATCGGTCGATCTACGAGGCATGCAGTGATTTGGTCGAGCATTTTGGCCGCAAGGTGAGCGCTGACGAGATCCTGTCTCAGAAGGTCAACAACCTGGTTCCCATTCCTTTCAAGTCCAGGGAAGACTTGGAATTAGCCGCCAGCGCCGATAAGCGGGACGGCGTCTACACTGGCGATCTCATGCCCCAGATAGATCTGAAGGTGCTACATTACTATGCGACTCAGCTGGTGGTGCAAAAATATCCGCACCTGATCAACTGTTTTGACGAAACGGCGCTAGTCACTTTGGGGCTTTTGGTGGAAGAGTGGGTCTGTGACTATCTGAAGCAACGGGATCCGGCCCACTCCAGCCCGGTGGAATCGATATCGAAAAAGACTGACTACAGACACTCTCCTTCCGACATTTAACAAGAAAATAGGTAAAAGGACCAGAAAAACCAGCTTTTTCTTTGTGTTGCCGACTCGCATACTACTGGTTGATGGAACCATACGCGGTGATTAGTGTGGCTGGTGGCCCACACCTTAGAGTCGTACTTAGAGTCGTCATTATCTGACACTCATTCTGGATCCGGAATCAGCACTCTTGTTGTAGTCACATGACTCTTAGATTCGGCGGGAACCGTAAAATTTTATTCTGCTGCCACACAGTGAAGCACCTCATCGCATAACATCTCACCAGGATAACTGCCGTCGACCAGGTTTTCTGCACACCCAGCTTCGCAAAAATGGCAAGGAAGAGAAACTTCAAGAAGGGCAATAAGAAGACGTTTGGAGCCAGAGATGACTCAAACGCCCAAAAAAACTGGACCGAACTTCAGAAGGAAAACGAAAAATGGGAGAAATACTACAAAGACCTTGGCGTGATACCAGATGCGGAATGGGATGAATTCAAGAAAACTTGCCAGGCGCAGCTTCCTTTGACCTTCAGAATCACCGGGTCCAGGAAGCATGCCCATGAGGTCTTGTCTATGTTTGAAGAGCATCACCTGCCTTACTTAACTGGCTGCGAGTTTGAAGGAGAGGCCATTGCGCCTCCCAAAAAGCTACCTTGGTACCCAGAAAACTTGGCCTGGCAATTGGATGTTTCCAAACAGGTTATTCGGAAGAACGAACAGTTTTCGAAGGTACAGAGATTTCTGGTAGCGGAAAATGCCGTAGGTAACATATCGAGACAAGAGGCAGTTTCCATGATCCCGCCACTTGTCCTGGACGTGAAGCCTGAACATACCGTCTTAGACATGTGCGCTGCCCCCGGATCTAAAACTGCTCAGTTAATTGAAGCCCTTCACGCCAATTGCGACGAACCCACTGGATACGTGGTGGCTAACGACGCTGACCACAGGAGGTCGCATATGTTGGTCCATCAACTTAAGAGACTCAACAGCGCTAACTTGATGGTTGTGAACCATGACGCTCAGTTTTTTCCCAGAATCAAGACCGACAAAGACTCTAACCAATTTCTCAAATTCGATAGAGTACTATGTGATGTACCTTGTTCCGGCGATGGCACCATGCGCAAAAACGTCAACGTTTGGAGAGACTGGGGAACTGGCTCGGGTTTGGGCCTACACACCGTTCAGCTAAATATTCTAAAAAGAGGTCTTAACTTATTGAAACAGGGCGGTAGACTTGTTTATTCAACTTGTTCTATGAATCCAATTGAAAACGAAGCTGTCGTTGCGGCGGCTCTAAGGCATTGGGGGGTTAAGATCAAGCTTGTTGACTGCGCGGAGCTACTGCCCGGACTTGTTAGAAGCAAAGGTATCGACAACTGGCCTGTGATTGATAAGAATTACATCAAGAGGGAGAAAGGAGACGAGGGTACGCATGAGACTTGGTTCCCCCCAACCTCCGAAGAATCCGCTGCTTTCAATCTCGATCGCTGTATCAGGGTGTACCCTCATCAGCAAAACACTGGTGGTTTTTTCATTACTGTTTTCGAAAAGGTCAATTCAGAGTCTAACGAAGTTTCCAAGCGTGCTACTACTGAGGAACCTAAAGAAGAGTCGGTCGTTGAAAAGAAACAGAAGACCGAGGGTGGTGTCGCAGCTACTGCGACCGTAACCGAACCGGTTTCTGTGAAGAAAGAAAAACTTCCACGGGATGCTAATGAAGAGCCTTTCGTCTTTTTAAGCCCTGACCATCCAGAACTGAAAAAGTGTTGGTCATTCTACGGTATTGATGACAAATTTGATAAGTCCTGCTGCTTGGTAAGAAACGCAACCGGAGAGCCAACACGTGTAATATACTACGTGAGCCCATGCTTGAAAGATGTGATCGAAGCTAATGAGGACCGCTTGAAGTTCATTTATTCTGGTGTCAAACTGTTCGTGTCACAGAGATCGGACATTGAGTGTTCTTGGAGAATTCAAAACGAGTCCTTGCAAATCATGAAGCACCACATGAATAGTAATAGGGTTGTTGACGTTAACATCGATTGTTTTAAATTGCTTTTGACGGAATCATTCCCCAAGTTTGAGGACCTCGAAAAGAGTCACATTGATGACAACTTCTTGAACAAGATGAAATCCTTATCGGCTGGTTGTGCTTTTGTTAGTGTGGACAGAGGTGAGGAGAAAGAAGAACTCTTTTTGCCTATGTGGAACGGAAGTAAGTGTGCCAACCTAATGGTTTCTAAAGAAAGCACTCAAGAGTTACTTCATCGTCTATTTGGTGATGAGGTGGCAGTCCAACAGGCTGCTGCTGCTGCTGAAAGAAAAGCGGCCGCAAACTTGGCAGCAGCCGAATCTAAGACCGAAGAAGGAGAGAGTTCATCAGTTAACGAGGTACCAAAGGAACCAGCAACCTCTGACGATCAAAATATGTAATCTTTTGAAACTTTTGAAGTAGTCTAAATCTGTATCATAGAATGAACTTCAAGTTACACACCATTATTATACATGCCACCTTAGTTTTGGCCTAGAGTGTACAAAGCAAATGACCTTTGCAACTGCCTCCGAACACTAATTTTTTGAGCTCCAACAAAACTATCGACCGTCACTTTAATGGCCCTGTCCAGATCCCATGACGAGACGAACTCAGAGAGCCTCATCTTGGCGAACGATTCCGCTATTCTCAAGATTGACTCTAAATGACGTACAGTTATGGGGAAAGAACCAGTCGTGATACTCTCACGCCTTAAGTCTGCATAGACTCTACTCACCTTGTCCATGTCCATTTGATGCAACTTGGGGAAAACTTTCGTTCTTGCATACTGGATGTACTTCATTAAAGTTTCTTGTGATATGGGCGATATTTCGCCTTCTCTTTGCTTCTCTCTTTGTAAACGCCTCTGTCTTGCGGATACAATTTCGTCGTCTCCTTCTACTTCCATTTGATTAGCACCATTACCTGCATGATTTTCCTCGCTAGTAATGTCGTCCAAAGGATGTGACCTAACGTGAGAATCCACAACAAATCGTGCAAGTCGTTCATCTTTCTCTTCGTCAACTAAATCCCGTACAACGCATAGGATATCAAAACGGGAAAGAATGGGTTCTGTTAAATCTACATTTTGTGCTAAGGGCAGTGCAGAATTGTACCGTCCTCCATTAGGGTTAGCTGCTGCAATAATAGCACATCTTGCCTGCAAAGTTGTCACTATACCTGCTTTGGATATCGAGATGTTCTGTTGCTCCATTGCTTCATGAATGGAGGTTCGATCTTGATCGTTCATTTTGTCGAATTCATCAATCAAGCATACACCTTTATCAGCCAGCACCAAAGCGCCTCCCTCTAGGGTCCATTCCTTTGTAATCGGGTCTTTCCGAACAGACGCCGTCAGACCTACAGCAGAAGCACCTTGTCCGGTAGCGAAAACTGCTCTATGAGCAGTCTTCTCAACATATTTTAAAATTTGAGATTTAGCTGTACCAGGGTCACCGAGAAGCAGAACATTAATATCCCCACGAATTGAGTGCTTGCCATTAACATTTTTTGGTACGCCTGCAAATAGCGAACATGCCACCGCTGTCTTTATGTCTTTGTGACCATATATTGAAGGGGCGATGGAAGAAATGATCTTATCGATAATAGCCCGATCTCTTGACATACGCCTGAACTCTCGTTCTTCTTCTTCCGTCCAGCCAAATGTATCTAGACCCTCTTCGTCATCTCCACTCCTGTGCCCTCCATCTCTTCTTTTTACAGAATTGGCTTCGATAACGGTGGCAAAAACAGGAAAACCATTTCTCGCATTTAAATTTCCATCATAAGTATTCTTGTAAACACCTGTGACCTCGATCTCTCCACCGGGTTTGGCAATATCAACAAGGTCCCATAACAGGATCACCTCTCTATGCCTTGGCAATCTCCCCGCAGGAACCGTTCCAGGCGCTTCTTGTAATGTAATGCGCTGGTAGTTACGGTATAAAGTTTTTTCAACATTAGTTCTAAATGGGCCTCTAGATCTGCAATTGGTGCAAAAGGATATCCTGATTTCCTCGTTGGAATCTTGAAAGTAAGGTCCCAAAACTGCTCCACATTTTAGGCAATTAAACTTCACATATTTCAATTGAGGAAATACGCCGGTCCTTCTAGTAACAACACCACTTACACGCACCAGCGAGTTCAAGTTTGATTCTCTCAGTTCTCGAAGAGTCAAGACGGTGGGGAAGTCTGAAATTCTTACGTGTATTTCGGAATGGATTCTAGCGTAGTCGGGGTAGTGCAGCTGGATTGCATCCATGGCAACGATATCAAAGATTTTGAGCATTTCTTCGGGACATTTGGCCAGAAAAAGCGCCAAGATGGCCTTGGAATCTGCCAAATGCCTGTAGTTCACTTCTAAAGACTCCGAGTTCAATTCACCTAAAGTTCTGATTCTAGCACCATAGACAGATCTACCCCACTCATCCGTATATTCGAGCAGAAAGGATTTCAATTCCCTGGCAATCGTGCGAGCGACATTCGCTTGAGTGATCCATTCGGTGTAGCTAGCTGCTTTCACATCACTGAGTGACTCCAAAGTTAATTCTTCTGCCAATGGGTCGATGTCGATATCTGAAAGAAGGTCGTCATCGTCCTCATATTGCCGCCTCCGGCGACGTCTCTGTACAGGAAGACCCATGTCATCGACCTGTGCATTGGCAATATCATCATCGTCATCCATATACACTTCATTTCGCAGGAGTCTATCCCGCTCGTTCAACTGGTAATCAATTCTGCGCCTCGCAGCGATATCCAGTTCTCTTTGTTCACGGTTATCCACCCCAGCGTCTTCGTATGTATCGCGACGGGCGTCCGAGCCATAGTCCTGGTACATATCATCACCCATCAAATCCACCTCGTCCAGTTGTTCTTCCATTTCATCCAAATCACCATCTTGCCCAATCTCTTCGCCGTCTGGGTTTTCGAAATCTATCGCTTCCGGCGATCCTAGTGGAGACGATCTACCTACGTGGGAGGGTCCTTGAGGTGAAGAGGGAGGGATTGCACGTTCATCTTCACTGATACCCTCATCGGCTTCGTCATCTCTTCTTCTTCTGCGTTCCATAGTTGATCTATGAGTCTCGAGCTACCAACCAGTGGTTGGTGGTGATAGTGTCGACTTGTAAATCGAGATGGATTACCATATCTGGCAAAGTAAACTATGCACGTGACCAACTGAAGTAGACTCGATTCTGTAGTCCTGGGCGATCGAAAGGTTGTGAGCGTTCCAAACCAACCCATGATCATAAACACAGACATTGCCTTATAATTCGGACTGTTCTCCATTCGCTTATTTCAAAGGTGGCCCTATATGTTGCGATTTTCCCATAACACGTCTATTGTGTGATCGTGTCCTGCTGACACTGGGTAAGTTATGATCAAAATTGTCCAGTGCAGCAGGGGCAAATCTAGCACCCTGTTTATTATCCACTCCTACTTTTCACTGCTACAACATTAATGCAAAGATCGAAATTGCAATAGCTTGTCTTCTCATTCGCGCGTTGAACAGAAGCCATATGTTAGGAAATGAAGCAAAGCACTACTGGGATTGGCTCACAGAGCAAATTTGAGATTACCCTTGTTGCTTCTTGAAACATCAAATCTCATCCCCACTATAACTGTCTTGCGACGTTGTAGCCGCGATGTTGTATAAAAATAAATGACCTCAATAAGCTATTGATTATCGCAACCTCCGCAATTCAGATAGAACCAGGCTTACCAGGTAATGATTCCATTTGGAAAGTCATTTCTCACTTTTAAAGGTCATTAAGTCAACATTCGTGTTGCAGGGGATTCCTTGAAAGGAACCGCTTGTGATAATAAAACCGGCATCAGTCCTAAAGAGGGCTCGATAACTCTGAGCACAGGTCCGGGGAGTCAGTATCTCTTCAGAAAGAGAGTATGGCTTCTGATAGCTTATACAGAGGGAGATAATCCTCATCCTGCTTATGTGTCGCTTTATTCGTGTTTAATTTATTATTATATAGATCACTGAAAGTAAATAAAGGTGCCAAACTTGATGGTTTGAGCATTCTCTGTCGGTCAAAGATCACACTCTATTGCTGAAAATCGCTTTCCTATCATTGTCCAATGTCTGATCTGAGCGCTTCTGAGTACATAAGCCAGCAAAATGCCTTGGAAGCAGAAGCTCGTGAACTAATGCCATGGAATCCCAACCACTGCACATATGTAGACGGCGACCTTCGACAATCATTGTTCGCATGCTTGGATTGCAATAACATAGGTTTATGTTATTCATGCTCCATACAGTGCCACGCCCAATGCAATTTGGTGGAGCTATTTACGAAACGAGGCTTTACGTGCGATTGTGGGACCGAAAGGCAATCTCAGCGAAGACAAGGCAACAGCGATTACTGGTGTCAATTGCGCCAAAATGTCTCGCGCGACATTCCTGGTTTGTCTAACGTCTATGGCCACAATTTCGAGGGCCGCTTCTGTGATTGTAACACGAAGTACGATCCCGAACACGACAGCACGATGATTCAATGCGTGCTAGGTCTGGAATGCAATGAAGATTGGTTCCACTGTGCATGTATTCTTGAGACGCAAACAGTGGCTGTCAAGGGCGAGAGCAACGATAGCAGGCTCAACCTCCAATCAGATGAAGAATTACCCAGAAACTTCCCAAAACTGGAGTCCTTCGACGCTTTTGTGTGCTGGAAATGCATTTCGCGCTACTCTTCGATTTTCCGTGACTTGCTGGCACATGCACGCTCTCAAGAAGTTGTTGCCCATAAAGTGTCGCACTTGAATAGCTTACAGAAATTCTCAGGTGCTGCTAAGATGGAGATAGATGCAAAGAAGCGCAAATTGGATGATCTTGACGATACAGAAGGCGAGAACCCCCCGTTTTCAATTATGTTCAAAGAGGGTTATAAGGACGTTTTGCATTCGATCAAAAACGAACTGGATAAGACTAGCAAGCTTTCCGTGTTTCTGGAAGAGGTGGCGCCTTTTCTGACCGGTGACGACCCAGTTTACGAGCCCCCTGATGACCTAGATGATGATGCGTCCACTTTCGAAATGGGAGCACAGGCGTTGTGCTCATCTGTTGATAGGGATGTTGCCGTCGCTGGCATAAAAGCCATGGATGACATCAAACAAAAGCTCAGCGAGTTCCTGAGGCCATTCGCTGACTCTGGCCTAGTAGTCAAAGAGGAAGACATCAGAAGCTTTTTCCAGAAACACAAGGAAGAATCGCAAAGATAACTAGAAGATCTGGTTTGCTTGAGAGGCAAGCTTGTAATCGATAGTGGCTATAAGTGCTTACTTAAGGCTCCAAAACTATATTTTTGAGCGCGGTGTAATTGCCAAAGTCAGGATAACATGCTTCAGGAAATCTTAAGTCTTGTTCCTCGATTGCAGTTGAGTTGATACCAAGTGTTGTGGCATTCAGTTTCCTGGTCATGCTTAAGATTGACCTTATATCGGTAGCGTAAAGATAGCATACACTGTCAGATCCAGCTGACTCCATATAATCAAGAGTCTCGTCAAGGCTTCGGAATTTTGACACCGGTACAATAGGGGCACAATTCTCGGTGTGAACTATGTTCATTGTGTCGTCGACGTTACTCAAAACAGTGGGCCGATAGAAGTTAGGCCCCATGCTGCTTGCCCGAACTCCACCTCTCAACACGATTGCGCCCTTTTTTCTTGCATCTTGTATCAAGTTAGCAACCATGTTAAGCTCGTCCCCATTTATCAACGGACCATACGTTGCGTTAGGATCAAATCCATCGCCTAGGCAAACCTCGGAATCAATCATTGAGATCAATCTAGAGTTAAACTCGTCATATAAAGACTCGTGCACGAAAACCCTTCCGATAAAAGATCCTTTCTCGAGAAATTGTCCAAATCTGCAGGCGACCAAAGCTCTCAGCGCTTTCTCGATATCAGCATCTTTGCAAACAATGAAGGACCCTTTTCCATAGGGTCTGGAAACAATTTTTTCGGAGCAAATCTTAGTGGAACATCGTTGGAGAACAGCATGGCGAAGTGTTGTGCGGGTTTCAAGGATCGTTTTCTTCACAAAACGCGATTCACACAGATATCTTGCCACATTTTCGGGTTGGGATGTTGGCAAGATATTTAAAACCCCCTCTTGAACACCAGCTTGGGTGCAAACATATCCTAGAGCAAGAGCAGTCATTGGCGTCTCTTTTGGGGGTTGAAATATGCATGTGTTACCTGTAGCGATCACCGCCGCCAAGTTTCGCAAAGCTCTTGTAGAAAGAGCCCAGTCAGTAACAATCCCGAGAACTCCCAAGGGCTGCTTCTCATATATGATCCATCGTTGAGACAAATTTGCAGTGCTAGGGATGGGTGAATGTGTGTTTAGCCTTGAGGCTTCCTCAGCAAAAACACGGAAACAAGTCTCAATAGTTTCAACTTCTCTCAAAGAGCTCCAGATGGGTTTTCCGCTTTCCACAGTTATAAGCCGAGCCAAATCTGCTCGGTATTCTTGGATCAATTCGTGAACATTATAAAGCAATTGTGACCTTTCTGTTGAGGAAGTGTGTCTAAATGTCTTGAAAGCTAAATGGGCAGCTTCTATCGCCTTTCTGTACTCAGGGACGCCACAGTCGGTAACTTTGGAAAACACCTCTGTCGTTGAGGGATTTGTGACGGGAAATCGACTTCCTCCCCTTAACCATTCACCATTCACCAAAGCATTGGTCCTCAAGAGAGCAACGCTGTCGAATGACGATGAAATGTATCTTTTGAACACCTTCATGGTTAGCGATTCGATTAGTGAGCTGGTTGCAGGCGACTCTTCCTCTAGATTGTAGACACGAGAGGACAATTTACTGACGCCAGCAAAATATTACGAGACACATGTTTCCCCCAGCAACTGAAGATCAACACTAACGACCCAGTCACTACAACATGCCAATAAAAAACTTCATAATTGAAATCTTAATATTAAATTATTTACAGAATATGCCGATCAATCTTTTGCCTTGACCTCCGCAGCGTCGATCTTTGCGAATTCTGGTTTCCAGACACTGTTTCCCGTTTCGAGAGAGACGTCAGAAAAAAGTTTATCGAAAATCTGGTCATACCAATCTGCAGCCAAGGGTTCAAGCCCTTCTTTGACGTGATCTGGAAGTTCTGCCCAATCACTCAGATTGTCCTTAGGGAATATAATTGTCGTAGCACCCGATCTTTTTGCAGCAACGGCCTTTTCTCGTAATCCACCGATTCGTAGCACCTTACCTGTTAAAGTCAGCTCACCGGTCATGGCAACAGTTGGATTTAAAGATTTGCCCAAAGCTAATGACAAGAACGATGATGCCATTGTTACGCCTGCTGATGGGCCATCTTTAGGCGTAGCACCTTCAGGGCAGTGTAAATGAACGGCCGCCCTCTCAAAAAAGCGGTTTTCCGGAAACTTCTTAGTGAGGAACATTCTAGCAAAAGAATAGGCAAGACGAGAAGATTCCTTCATGACATCGCCCAATTGTCCGGTGCGCTCCAAAGAAGCGTGCGATTTGTCACTGAGAGGTTGCTCAAGGACAGACTCGACATACATAGCGCACCCACCCATACTTGTCCAAGCAAGCCCCATAACAACACCAGGCGGTGTTATTTCGTAAAGCCTATCAGATGTATACACTGGCGGACCAACGTAGTCTTTCAAATTACCAGAATCGATCTGAATTTGTATACTATCGGGTACCACTATGGCTTGCTTGCGATCGTGAGTCTTTTGGACCTCAGGCTTACTACCATCCTTAGGCGGCTGATCATTTATACCCTCTGCAGATCGCGGAGACTCGGCCTTTTCAGCACTTGTGTCAACTTCTGGTTCAGTTGACTTTTCGTCTATACTCATTTGCTTGACAACATTTAGAGCAGCTTTCCTGTAAACCTTTTCAATATGTTTTTTGAGATTTCTAACACCACTTTCTCTGCAGTAAAGTTTCATTAATGAAACGACCGCACCCTCAGACAAGTTCACGTGCGCATTTTCCAGTCCAGCATCGCGTTTGGCACTGGGTGACAGGTACTGCTCTGCGATTTTTATCTTTTCTTCAGCCACGTATCCAGTCAATTCGATGACTTCCATCCTGTCTAAAAGGGGCCTGGGTATGGTGTCCAATGAATTTGCAGTGCAGACAAATAGAACCTTTGATAGATCCATAGGGATATCGAGGTAGTTATCCAGAAAGGAGTTGTTTTGTTCAGGATCCAAGAGCTCTAATAACGCTGCGGCAGGATCTCCATGGATTCCCCCGTGCCCGATCTTATCAATTTCATCAATAAGAATCAAAGGGTTTTGAGTCTCGCACTTCTTCAGTGCTTGAATTACTCTGCCCGGTAGGGCACCGATGTAAGTCCTCCTATGACCTTTAATTTCGGCTACGTCGGTCATACCACCCACTGAAAATCTGAAAAACTGGCGATTGAGTGAGCGTGCGATGGATTTACCTATCGATGTTTTTCCCACCCCAGGGGGGCCAACGAAGCAGATTATCTTACCATCGACTTTCCCTAAAAGCTTTCCAACAGCGATAAACTCCAGAATTCTGTCCTTGACATCCTGTAAACCATAGTGATCTTCATCCAATATTTGTTTTGCAACAGGTATAGAATATTGTTCCTTAGAAGTGACTCCCCAAGGAAGTGTTGTGATCCAGTCTAAATAGTTGCGAATGACCCCAAATTCTGACATAGAAGTCTCCAAAGTGGCCAGTTTGTTGACTTCATCGTCAAAGATTTTTTGAACGTTTTCTGGTAATTGGAGTTTTTCTACTCTTTTTTTGAACGTCTCGATTAACTTATCTCTACCATCATCAATCCCAAGCTCCCGTTTTATACCCTTGAGTTGTTCCATTAGATAGTATTCCCGTTGACGCTTTTGAATTTTAGTTTCAACATCCTTTGAAATTTTGTTCTGAAGTTCGGCGTTCATCAACTCTTTCTTCAACACAACTAACGATTTTTCTAGCCTCTGTTCTATGTCTAACGATTGTAGAATTTCTTGCAACTCCTCCTCCTCTCCGGCTGAAACAGCAGCAGCGAAATCAGCCAAGCGTGCAGGTTCCTCGAAAATATTGGTAGTTGCCGATTGTATTGATGCTGAAAAAGTGGCGATTTGTTCTCTAAACATTGTGTTTAGTTGTGAAATCTCCTTGAAGACTTTTAAAATTTCTGAAGTCAGGGCATTAATAACAGGGGATTTTCTATCAAATTCCTTGTCCTCTAAGTTTGAGACATTGACGAGTGAAATGTCATACTCCTTCAAAAACTCTGTGGGATTCAGTTCATCGTCAAACTCTTCCCCATCTTCTACTTTTTGCTTCCTTACCTCTGAAATTTGTTTCTCGGGCTTCGACTCTTCCTGGCGTGTCTGGGTGCTGGACACAGGTTCAGCTGTCGAGGCGTCTTTTGTCTGAGAACCAGCCCTGTTCCCCATGGGCGACAGTAATTCATCGATCTTGATTCTTCTATGTGGATACAATAGTGCAGTCATGGTTTCAGCGCCCGTTTTTTCATCTTTGCTGGGAAAAGCACTGGTAATTTGGGCAAAAACACCCACGTCGTAAACTTCCTTAGTATCTTGAATGACATCCGTGTCAATGTTTGAATCCTTGAGGAGAAACGCTCCGATGTACGGCTGCTGGCGTTCAAGCATCTCCTTAACGGCCTTCATGACTCGTTCATCAGAGATGACAACTGCCTTATAAAATCCGGGAAACAATGGCCGCCTGGAAATAGGAAGCGCTAACATCTGAGGATATACTTCAGGAAGCTTTGGTTTTCGGGTAGCTGATGACTTCAAGTCAGATGTTCCCTCTGATCCGTCCTCGCCGTTTCCACTGCCGTTTCCACTGCCGTCATTTCCGGGCGGTGCATTTGCATTCCCAGAGCCCGATACAGAGCCGGGCCCCGACGCGTTTTCCTTCTGAAGGCCATCAGACTCATTTTCCACATCACTGCGGTCAGATTTCCCAGTGTCGTCATTACGATCTATTTCTCCTTCTTCGGAATCTTCGCTTTTTGGTGTTTTAGGACTTGCAGGGGAGTCATCTTTCAACTGATCTTTGAGGGTGATTTGCTTGAGCCACAGAGCCTCTAGGTCTTTAAGCTCCTGATTGAGCTCATTATTACTGATTTGTTGTTGGTAAACTTGCCAATGCCCTTTTCCTGCAGGTGTCGAATCTGGGACATTTTGGAAGCCGTGGAAAGCTAAAGAGCTGGCAGGCCTTGTGCAAGGCCGGACAGAGCGAGCAATTCCCTTCCTAAAAGCTGCCAAGCACCTCCTGCTAAGCATAATCAATAAGGAGAGTGGCCTTTGGATGCTTTATTTGTATGGGTGGCAATTGGCTACCGACCTTAATATATGGTTTAACTTTTTCCTGGTAGGAAAACTGACAAATTATGCTTCCGGTGAGTCTCGAATGAAGGAATATCAGTATCGCTGATCAGAGGTACAATTGGCTATCAGGCTCAATATACTCGTTTTCATTTGTTTGCTCGGCCTCGGTATTATTCTCAACGGTGGGAAGTGACTGATTTTCGAGTTCTGGAGGCTGTCCGCCTTCAGTGTTGCCAGCGGTCTCGCTCATGCCTCCTTCGTCGGGCGACCCGCCCTCTCCTTCATCAGACACGCCATCACGCCGCATGTAAGTCATCTGGTTCTTAAGAGCTTGCTGCTGGCGATATTTTGCCAGATAAATCTTCAGCACCTCGGCGTAATTTTCAAAACCAAGCGCGTTCAACGAAGTGAGGATATCTTCACCGTTGATAGTTTTGCGCTTGTCCTGGCTGCATCTATCGTTAGCTTCGCTTGTGACAAAAGAGATGAACTCGGAAACGCACTCTTGCATGCACTCTTTGGCATCCTTCGAAACTTTGGCTGACGCTGGCAGCGTGCTCTTCATAAGTCTTCCAACATTGTTGATCGGTAGCCATCGGTCCTGCTCGTGCAACTCTGCGACAAACTGGTTGTGCAAAGCTTGTTTCTCGGCCTCTTTATCCATATTGTAGAGCGGCGTTGAGTCAGAGGAGATTTATTGTAGTATCGAGGTCTGTACTAGGAATTCGATGAGGATGGGTTCTACGTAGATGAAATTGAACAATTAATATACACTTCATGTGAAATAACACTGGATACAACATAGTGACCATAACATCCACTTGAGCGAGGGAGCAATGGAAAAACATGGGGATGGTACGCAGGACCAGAGCATCCTCCAGAAATCTACCCGAGGCGTCACCTTCTTGATGTTCAGTCAACTTTTTGCCAAAATTGTGACCTTTTTACTGAACACCTTGTTGGTCAGGTATTTGTCCCCCAAAGTGTTCGGTATCAATGCCTTCCTGGAGTTTCTGCTTTCTACTGTTCTCTTCTTCAGCCGAGAAGCAATTAGAATGTCCACACTAAGAATAAAGGCACCCGTTTCGCCCGCGTCACACGACGAGTTCCGCAACGCAGACGACTCAGAGACGTTTGTTCTGCAGTCCGTCATCAATTTCGCATATATCCCAATATTTATTGGGCTTCCACTGTCACTAGTGCTCGTAGGATGGCAGTACAGCAATTTGAATGAGTACTTCATCTCTCTACCCTACTTTCAGTTATCGATCGCGACAATATGGATAAGTATTGTTTTCGAACTTCTCAGTGAGCCATTCTTCATAGTTAACCAATTCATGTTGAACTACAAGGTGCGAAGCCAGTTTGAGAGTATAGCTGTTGTCGCGTCTTGTATTGCCAACTTTTCCATTGTTTATGTTTACGAAAACAAGATCAATGGAACTGGCCTAGGCTCTCACGATGCGGCCAAACAGGAAGGCATTGCGATCTTGGCGTTCTCGGTTAGCAAGTTTGCACATTCGCTAGCCCTCTTGTGTTGCTACTATTTTGACTATGTTTCCCGATTATCCCGGGAAAACAACTTCAGTATGCGCCTCACGAAACTTCGCGCGTCGGAACGCACTCTACCTTACTACTTCCAAAGCGATATCCTGCAGCACTTCAAGAAGGTTTATCTGCAGTTGTGTTTCAAGCATTTGCTCACGGAGGGTGATAAACTGATAATAAACTCCATGTGCACGGTGGAAGAACAGGGTATTTACTCACTGCTGTCTAATTATGGGTCTTTACTCACCAGGTTAATATTCGCGCCCATAGAGGAGTCGTTAAGATTGTTTTTGGCGAGGCTACTGTCCGTTACCTCGGCAACAAACGTTAAGCTGTCTATGGACGTTCTAGTGAACCTTACAAAGTTTTACCTGTACTTGTCACTGCTAATAGTGGTTTTCGGTCCTGTTAATTCGCCTTTCCTATTACAATTCCTTATTGGAAGTAAATGGTCCAGCACCACTGTCTTGGACACTATCCGGGTTTACTGTTTGTACTTACCATTCTTATCAATCAACGGGGTGTTTGAAGCATTTTTCCAAAGTGTAGCTTCAGGAGAGCATATTTTAAGGCATTCCTATTTTATGATGGCATTTTCTGGCGTTTTCTTGGGCTCCTGCTGGCTAATGATTGGCAAGTACAAGATGTCTCTAGAGGGACTGATACTGAGTAACATTATCAATATGATTTTGAGAATAGCATTCTGTGGATGGTTTATTGGTGATTTTTACAAGAATCTTTACTCGGACACTCAGGCCAAAGACACCTCATTTTTGTTGAACTTCCGTAACTTCAAGATCGTATCCTTTGCCGCATTCATTATCGCAGCATCTAACTTTTATCTCTTTGGAGTCGTGAAGAGTTTCCCACAATTCTTCACTAACGTCGCATTCGCCGTCTTACTGTTGGCTCTGATCATATACAAAGAAAAAGATGTGCTTAGAATTTACGTTCAGAACAAAAACGATGCAAAGATCGTGTAGATAAAAATGTATGGTAGCACCGTTTAATAAGATAGATGGCCCAGATTCCAGATAAAAACGTTGAGGAAGTACGGTTCCTGACTTTCAATGTCAATGGGTTGCGGACATTTTTCCACTATCACCCGTTCAATAACATGAACAATTCACTGGCAAAAGTATTCGACCACTTTAAGTCAGACATTATTACATTTCAAGAGCTGAAAACTGATCTCCCGGCCCTTACACGATGGGGGAAGGTCAAAGGTTACTACTCATTTATATCTATTCCCGTCAGTAGGCGAGGTTACTCGGGCGTAGGGTGTTGGATTCGAATTCCGGATCCTGAGGATCCTCTTTTTAAGCTGCTGGAAGTGGTCAAGGCAGAAGAGGGGATTACTGGTTTTCTAGACGTTAAGTTCAACAAATCACGGTGTAGGTATCGTGATAATGAAATGTTGGGCATCGGCGGATACGAGTCGCTTGGCATCGAAGATGCTCATGAAGCCTTGGCCTTAGATTCCGAAGGTAGATGCGTCATGGTGGAGCTACAATTCAATGTGGTGGTGATCAACGTTTATTGCCCTGCTAATTCTATGGATACAGACCAGGGGGAGGAGTTCAGGCTTAAGTTCCTTAAAGTTTTGTTTCGACGCATTCGAAATCTTCGAGCAGCAGGCAAGACAATAGTTCTCATGGGTGATATAAATGTTTGCCGTGACCTTATAGACCAATCTGCATCCCTGAAAGTAAACGGCATCACCGTAACTTCATTGACGAAAGGCACGGCTGTTGAGGCCGAGAACCCGCGGGCCGTGAAGAATTTCATATATGCACCAGCCAGACCAGCAAGAAGGCTACTTAATGAAATGTTAGCCGACTCAGTACTTCCACATCTTGCAACGACAGGTACCTTGATTGATACCACCAGGGAAGTTCAAGGACGGGATAGAATGCAAATGTACACCGTTTGGAATACCTTGAAAAATATGAGACCCATTAACTACGGCTCTAGGGTCGACTACATACTAGTTTCTAAGGAGTCTAGGGATATGATCCGAAAATCCGATATCTGGCCGCATATCATGGGCTCGGATCATTGTCCTGTTTTTGCAGATCTACGGTTGAATACGGGATTGCGCCCTGGCGAGTCTGATCGAAAGGTTTCTAGTGTCGTACCCTTTGAGGCAAAGTATAAGTATGGCTTAAACCACATGGACATCACAAGTATGTTTTCGAGGGTAGCGAAACCTGCCGCCACTACCAATACATCTATCAAAGATCAAAAGCGCATTCACAAGCCGACAATTGCTACGGTCAAAGAGCGGAACCTGGCCCCATTCCAAAATCTTCAAAATTCACCATCGCCACACGATGTTATGAGATCGAGCGAAGATATTTCAACTAGAGTAACGCCTGCCCCTCTTGTCCCGGCAAATCGATCCGAATCTTTTTTTACTATGCTAAATGGAATGCTCGAAAAGCCCCCTCAATGCAAGCACAATGAAAATGCCATTATGAGAACTTCTAAAACAAGTGCTAACCCTGGCAAAAAATTCTGGGTGTGCGCTAGGCCAAATGGGGCACCGGCGGATAGTGAGGCGTCATGCGGATTTTTCCAATGGAAGACTTAATTGAGAGTTCAAGCCGGTACCTCGTCTTCGCAGTCTTCAGAGATGGCCCTCTTGTGCCAGAGCCGATCATCTTCCTCTACCTCTAGTTCACGAACGGCTCTAGTAATTTGGCGTATCAGTAGGATCATTGGTACGCCTACTAATTCACTGGTGGAAATGAATGTTGACAAAGCTGAGGAGAAGATATCAGTATCTTTCCAGAAAACCTTGACGTATGCCAAGTGCTTGTGTTGATGGACTAAATAGTACTCGCAGCCTTCTCCAAATACTCCATGAGATTTTTTAAGCGCGTTGTTCAAGAATTGTCGCCAAGTTATTTCATCAATCACTAGTTCCTGATCTACTTTCAGGTCTTGAGAAGTCCTGCAAGCCATACGGCTGAATGTTAGTATTTCTAGCAAGGTAGACCCACCAAAGTATACAGCGTAAATACTTACAATTGCAATTTGTAGTAAGTCCAGTCTCTAGAGTGCTTGCAGCACTGCTCTGTAGCAGGCATCGATGCTGTTTTGTGCCGATGGTCGTCAATATTGAACGGTGATGAGTATAGAAGAACTTCTTACCTGCACTAACTAACGGTATGCACGTGATACGAATGTTGGCAAGACCTTGAGTACAAGTTGTTGTGGATGCTTCACCGTTATACCCGGCAATTTATCGAATTATATGTACATAACAATGGCCTGGAAGATGGCTTCTGATTCTTAGTCAGCGATATACTTTTGATCATTCGTCGGCTTCTCCTTCATGATTCTCATGTTGATCCTGAAGTTCGTCAACATGATCAGAGTATGGCCCTTGTACCCCGTTGTCTAGGTCCTCTTCGGCAGATATGTCAAAGTTGTCTTCGTTTTCGAGAAAACTTGCCAAATCATTGGCATCTTCGTCATGGCCAGCTAATAGTTCATCGGCTTCATCTAAAAACTGGTCATGGTTGAGAGAGGAGTAGGTGGGACCCGAATGACGGCCTGAAAACTTCGTTTGTACACCATGCCAGGCGTTTTGAATGCCGCGTTTTGTGAGCTGTCTGGCCGTAACAAGTCCTGAAAAGCCCATAACTCCGAATTTCACGATCGAGTTGACCAGCTGATCGATTCTATTTTCCTCTATCAGCTCTTCATCACCTAACCTTATCTCTCCAAATCGGGAGAAACCACCGTTTCTCCTAACTCCACGGTCGTACACAAACCATGTTGCGCCGATAAATATTAGGAGCGGAATAGCAATGACTACGGCTAACCTCTTTCTACTGAAGCCGTGTCGCTTTTGAAATTCCTCTTCATAACCAGGGCATGGGCGGGGACGGGTACCCTTATCTAATAGCAAGCCGCCCTCGCATGTAGATAACGGTATCTTCCTGTACCCCGTTGACTCGAAGTACTCGACTAAGCCGGCGTTCTTCTCGCACTGGTCACTTCCAGTTAAAGGTGTAGTTCCTTCAACAAGTTTGCAAGTTCCGTCACTAGCTTTATAGTAGTTGTAGTCACATTCGTAGTCAGTCCTGATGCAAGGACAGTTCCTGACAATCTTCTCTGCATCCTCCAGTGGAGCGGCACCATTGTAGCATTCATCATTAACCTTTACCAGATATTCAGCTTGATGCCCAAAAAGACAGTTCCCAAAACTGTGATAAATGTAGTCATCACTATTCAGGTTGCATTGGCGTTTGAAAGATTGGGTAAAGTCCACCGCAAAAGTTTTTGTTTGTTTACCGCTAACTTTAATCGAGCTTCCGATGACCAAAAACCGCATTGCAGAGTCCTGTGGCGTGGTAATGATATCTTCTACCATAACCTCTTCGTTAGAAAACTTATAATCCTTCCACGTTTTTCCGGAATCTATAGAATAGGTGAATGAGTCGGTCTTGGTTCCATCTTTAACAAGCACGATGACACTCCCTCGATCACCGTATTCCCACTGATAAGCTCCCTTTTTAATTTCTTTCCATGTAAAGCCACCGTCAACGCTCATGAATGTCGAGCACTGGTCGACAGGCAACAGATTTTCCCCCACATTCCCCACCCCAATCAAATAACCCAAGGCAGAGCCTGAAGAGTAAGTGTCTCGCTGATCTTTACGTTCAGTGTATCCGTGGAGATTGAGTGAACATTTTTCTTTGTTCTTAGCATTACAGCTGTAACTTTTACCTTCGGAATCACGCTCCGGTGGCTGGAGGTACGACCAATCCGAACCATCGTTAAAGGATATCTTGGACTTTAACTTCTTTTCGCTATCAGTGCCTGCCCTCAAATCTTCCGCATTGGAAACGACGTTTATCACCAATATTCCCTCTAGCCCCTCAAGTTTCTCGAAATCGACATATCCTGAGGAACCGCGATTCACCGCGCGCTCCAGTGTAACAAATGACGTTCCATTAGAGTTTGACTTCATCAAAGCCCCGAATTCTTGGCCGCTGGTTGTATGGGTTGTTAGATGGAAAAATATGGCACCTTCTTGTGAACCAAGCACTGTGTAAGCTTCCTGTTTCTTAGTGTTCAAATCTGCTGGAAATTTTGCTTCGGCAAACTCATGACCATCAATGGTCGCAAACGATCTGAGCTCCTGGTTCTCATGAGGGACCGCAAAAACTGTATACTCGCCGACAGAAACATAGCCAATCACATTTTCAAAAACCACAATCTCTTCTTCTTGAAAATAGTCTGTGCTGGTCACTATTGAGCGGCTTCTACTTCCCTTCTCTTTAACGAGGCAAAGAATCATCTCAGGATCCCAAGGATGTTCGTACATAGATCCAACAAAATCGCAGCTCAAAGCACCCTGTTTCAACTCTTTGAATGTATTTCCACCATCTCTGGTGATATAGGCAACGGCATGACAATTAGGATTCAAAAAGCTGTCACAGTTCTTACCGCCGTAGAAAATAAATGTGTCAGCATCCGTGGCATGGAAAGAAAGTGGAAACCCAAGCTGCTTTGCTTCTGGTAAATCCACTGTTTCGAAAGATCTGGCTCGATCATTTGTGATGTGAAGTTTATTATCTGATCCGAAAACATACGCGCTGGTGTTGAAGTAAGGGTTGAAAACAACCTCAGTCACTTTCTCAGCCAGTCTCTTTAGTGAGATGCCGCTATCGTATGACAAATAAACTTCTTTTTTACCGTTTGTGAACAAAACGGTTTCATCTTCTTTGGTATTGAAATATTGATAGGACTTCAGCTCAAAATCGAAGGTGTTCTCAAAGACACGAATCGCGTCCTTGTTGTCATCGCCACTCATGCCAGTACAATCAACGCTAGTAGTTGGGATTTCCAGATGATCGTTACAAATATTTCCCCTTTCAAGTTGCACGGTTGGCAGGGTCAATTGCTCACCTTTCTCAGCTGCCTTACAGCTTCCCGTCGATTCAAGAAGCCTAAAATCAAGTTGACAGGTTCCATCGTCTGCACGATAAAACTCCGGTGTACACTCGTAGTCTAAGTCCGTGCATTTGCAAATTTCCAGCTCGGGATCAAGATCCTTGTATGGTTCGTTGATCAGACACTTAGCGTCTGCCTTTCGTCTCTGATACTTGTGCTGGGCGCCTCGGATGCATCCACCGGAATTTGCATACCATTCCTCCATGTCATCCTCTAAACATTTCTGCCCCTCAAAAGCGTCCGAGAAATCAATCGAATAGAGCCAGGAATGACCCCTTGAAGACATGTCACCACCACGCATCAAAAATTTCGATCCTGAGCCATCTCGTGTGGTTGAAGCAAAGGCAACGAGAACTACAGATTGGTCCAACTGATACTCTGTCCAAGTACCTCCTTGATCTAACGAGTAGTAAAATTCCATGGCTTCATCACCGTCAGATTCAGGAGAATAGGGAAACGCTACCATAATATTTCCATGATCACCGTATTGTACAGCTGCCGGGAAATCCAAAATTTTTCGCCAACTCTGACCGCCATCTCTAGTAGCAAAGGTCTGCAACTTTGGTCTCTCCTCACCTTCAGCCATGAGGTCGCCAACAAATCCGACTATAAATGAAACACCTGGAGTAGCCGGTTCATTGCCATCTAACATTGACGTCGACAGAAAAAAACTATTGATTGAGCATGCTTCAGATTTTTGGGGATCGCATGAAAATTCACCGGAAGGGTCATCTAAACGCAACCTAGACCAAGTTTTGCCATCATCGAACGAAATTTTGGAAATGAGCTGGGGTGAACTTGGAGAGATCCCATCAAAAGAACAAATTGATACACCCTCTAACCCGGCTAAGCTGGAAACCATGTAATATCCAGGCTCATCAGATCCAAATGACGAAACGGGAGCAAATCTAAGTCCATCAGAACCAGAGAGCATGAGGCCAGTTCCTTTTTGACCATTTTGATGCAAATCTTGCAATAACAGCTTCTTCGAAGACGCTGAAAGTTCTGAGATAAAATACGGACCCCTCACATTTGTGGGCAATACCGCCTTTTCGTAGGTTTGGCCATCTTGTGATATCCAAAGTTGCTCCACGGATTGCTCATTGAATTTATCTTCAGCGGTTGCAACAACTGCGTATTCGCTGGTAAGAATCAGATAGCGAACATTATAATCCTTGAACTGTTCGAGATATTGGAACGATTTTCCACCGTCATCAGAAAGATATAAGCTCACTTTGGGAGGTAAATGGGGGGGTTCAAACCCTGGCCCACCGTGCCTGGCTTCGCAAATGATGTTGTTTTTCCCTTTTTCATTGAACTGAAGGCCCAAGAAACGACAGTCGGGTGTCAGGTGGTCATCACCTGGCATTTCGAGGGGACGGAAGTCCTTTGCATTATTCGATAGGTAGGTATGTCTAGTGCAATGAAATACGCCCTCGGATTCTGAGCACACGTCCACATTCGCCAATAAATCCTTTTCGTCAAGGGGGTTGGAAGTCACAGTGAGTGAAACTATCTCAGATGACTTAGTCATTGAGTCTTTCAAGGGCAAGTTCATTTGAGACCAGTTCTCTCCTTTGTCCGTAGTCTCGAAAATCAGACCTTTTTTAAAGTCATAGGCAAAAGCCCGATTTCCGGGGAAATTATAGTCAATTTCGAAGTACTTGATGTTGCCTTGAAGAGACTTAACCTTGTCCCAGTTTTCTCCACTATTTTTGGAAATCTGAAGAGAGTCTTTTTGAATGGCCAACATAACTTCAGAGTCGTCAAACGATTCGAACATCGAAAATTGTGAAGCCTTCACAGCTTTCACGCGAGGTTTCCATTCTGCCACAACCCAATTGATCCATAGCAAAAGCAATATACTCCGCAAGATCATACTGGTGAGAATTAGCTCCCTTTGCGTGAAGGCGTTTATATGGTCATATTAAGCTCATCGATTCTCCTTTTATCGTTACATTCGTAGCTCGCGACAATAATCCTCACTATATTCAAGAATAGCCACGCAACGACACTAAACTACTGGAATATCTTTTATTCTTCCAGAAGACCAACCTACATATTGACTAGTCCAGGGCCTTTCTGCTTGAATAAGGATTTCTAAGCTCACTGCTGTTCATCAGTGAAGTGACTGAACCATCCGTATGTGAAGGTAAAGATCAAGAACGACACTCGGCGGAAGGCACCGCTTACGTTCGAAGGCTGAATGATAGTCCAAAAATGTTATACTATCAGCACGCGCAACAAATGAGCATGTGCTTTCTATTGTACCTTGGCCATGAATCGATATGTGAAACTTAGAATCGCAGCTTCAAGAGTTGGGGTTTGGGTCTACGTTGTGATAGAGTCCATAGCTTACTTGGCCAGCAGTGGGTGAAGATCTATCATCTCAAAAATACTCAGGCGATGGTCTGATTTTTGTTCTGGTCGCTGTGAAACGTGCTGCTACTCACATTCATCTCTGAACTGCCGAAATCACCGCTGCAAAATTTCCGTGCACGCCGTGCGATTCCTAACGAGGCTAAAGGGTGGTTCACATTTCAAGCGTGGTTTTGCATCTGCTGGGCTCATCTCGCCCTTTAACAGTTATGAAACGTATTGACGCACTATCGGTTTGAGGTTGGCTTCTGCAGAACCCTTTCTTCACGTGTGTGCCTCAAGAGAAGATTCTACATAAAACAGACGTGAATATCGTCTCTCCATCACCAAAACGCTGCGGCTCGTATTGCTGGCTGTCAGTAACACCAGAGCATGGGTAAGAAAATCGTGTTCAACATCTCTGCGGAATTCCAGCTCCAGCAACTGCTGGGTGAAGGAGCGTATGGTATCGTGTGTAGCGCACGACATCTGCCCACGGGTCAGATGGTGGCCATCAAGAAGATTGAGCCCTTCGAGAGGACTCTTTTCTGTTTGCGGACGTTAAGGGAGATCAAGCTGCTGCGCTGTTTCCACCACGAAAACATAATATCAATTTTCGACATCCAACGGCCAGCTTCTTTTGAGTCCTTCAACGAGGTGTACATTATCCAAGAGTTGATGGACACGGACCTGCACCGAGTGATCGCCACGCAGGCCTTGACGGACGACCACATCCAATATTTTGTGTACCAGATACTGCGCGGGCTGAAATGCTTGCACGCGGCTGACGTAATCCACCGGGACTTGAAGCCTTCGAACTTGCTGGTGAACGCCAACTGCGACGTCAAATTGTGCGACTTTGGCCTCGCAAGGTGCGCGGGCGTTTCCGTCGCTGCAGGTGGCAAGGACACCGGTCATATGACGGAGTACGTGGCGACCAGGTGGTACAGAGCTCCGGAGGTCATGTTGACGGCAGCTGAGTATACGTTTGCCATGGATGTATGGTCGTGTGGGTGCATTTTGGCGGAGCTACTGATGCAAAGACCCCTTTTTCCCGGCAAGGATTACCGGCACCAATTGCTGTTGATATTCCAGGTGATAGGATCCCCCACAGCACAAGATCTGGAGTGTGTACGCTCAAAACGGGCCTTACAGTACTTGAGCTCTCTGCCCTGCTATCCTAAAAATCACGGCTTACGCGGCCGGTTGCCCAACGCCAATCCAGACGGTATCGATTTGCTGGAAAAAATGCTCGTATTCGACCCACAACGCCGCATCACAGCCGAGCAGGCCCTGGAACACCCGTACCTCAGAGCATACCACGACCCACACGACGAGCCTGCCACTACCAAAGTCGACCCGGCCCTGTTCAACTTTGACGAGCGTAAGGACCGCCTGGGCGCGGCTGATCTGAAAAGACTACTGTGGGATGAGATCTTTGGACTGCGCACCCGATGAACATCCGTCGCGCCAGTACTGTATAAAGTTATATCACTGTGGACGGGTGTGTCTTCGCCTGCTGTTTTTGTATACTTTCCTGCCGAGCCGCCCTGAGGAGCTTCCGCAGGAGGTACCCGCTGTATCGGCCGCAAATTTAAATAGACGTCCAATAGAACACATGCCTTCCTTCTCAGCTTGTACTGTGTCGACCGCCTAGTGCTTTTCCCTACGAAAACGACCTACCATCTATCTTCCTGTCAATAAACTCCGAGGTCACTGGAGACGTATATTGCCTGATGTTCGCTTTTCGCCGGCTCGCGCCCGTTTCCCCGGATCAATTTCCTCACCGAGGGTTCTTTCTGTACCGGAGCCGGGCCCATCCCTCGAGCCTGGACATAACCCTGAGCCTGGTCATACTTTCAGCTATCCGGAGCCCTTGTACACTACTTTTCGTGACTATCAAAGGCAATGGTGGAAAACAGAACCAACATCCGCGCGGTTTTCAGAATTGGCCCTGGTCGAGCCCTGATCGTTGCGGGAAAAATGTCGCCACCAATTAGGCTTTGCGCATAGCATTATACCGGCCAGTTCAGCTCGCAATAGTGGACGATAGGGAAACACATGCATAACGGCTACACGACATTGTAAATTGCAGGTATATAAAGACGAGATTTAGGAGCTACAGATAATGTGTCGACGGGGAAGACGTGAAACAAACTTCAAAAAGCTGGTTGCGAGGAGTACAAGCGAAACGTTGTACACACGGCTAGTCGTAGTTCCCAATCTCCTGTTAAAGATATTGTACGGGTTATACATCAAAACTCGTATATATTATATAAGGGGAAAGTTTTTCGGGCAGAGACCGCAATAACACATCCACTACACATACCCTAAAGGTAAGCACTACCCTGGCTTGCGCTCTACAACAGAGAATCAAGTCATCACGCAGGCTCTGAAACACCTCAATCCCAGAGGTGCGTGTCAGTGGATAAACGGAGATACAGAAGGCCGTTGCAAGCGGTTGTTTTGACCGTGTTTGAAGCTCCGGCGGCTATCGTGAAGCGACGGAAAGAGCGAGCGCTTTGGGACTCGACTGAGGCTTCGAGGGAGAGTGCCAGCAGCAGGATTATCGGAGTGCGTGGCCGAAAGCCCCCACCCCCTGAATCGAACGTTCCGTTGGAATTTCTATACACACCCATACACCCAACACCCACACACATCTGAGTGGCATGCTGAAGCAGCGTGTGAGATACGCCCCGTATCTGCAGCGGGTCAAAACCGCGGCAGACGTGGTGCCAATGTTCCGTACCGGCCAGTCGCTGGGTTGGTCCGGCTTTACCGGCGTGGGCGCCCCGAAAGTGGTACCGCAGGCGCTTGCAGACCATGTGCAGCGCGAAAACTTGCAGGGCAAGCTGCGGTTCGATTTGTTTGTCGGCGCCAGTGCCGGGCCCGAAGAGAGTCGGTGGGCTGAGCTCGACATGATTGCACGTCGGTCGCCACACCAGGTGGGCAAGCCGATCGCCAACGCCATCAACGACGGAAGGATCCAGTTTTTCGACAAACACTTGTCCATGTTCCCCCAGGACCTGACGTACGGCTTTTACTCTCGCCACAAGCCACGCGATGCGCCAATCCTGGACTTTGCCATCATCGAAGCCACTGCGATCAAGGAAGACGGTTCTATCGTTCCCGGAGCCTCCGTAGGGGCCTCGCCAGAGTTTGTTGCAGTGGCTGAGAAGGTTATTATTGAGGTCAACACCGCTACGCACTCCTTCGAAGGTATCCACGACATTGACATGCCGATAAATCCACCCCACAGGCCGCCTTACCCTTATACGACCGTAGATCAGCGGTGCGGTGTGAATGCCATCCCGGTGGACCCTGCCAAAGTTGTGGCGATTGTCGAATCTGACCAGCGGGATAAGGTACCTCCCAATCACCCCGCAGATACCACTTCGAGGGCCATCGCTTCTCATTTAGTCGAGTTTCTCGAGCACGAAGTCACATGGGGACGGATGCCTAAAAGTCTGCATCCCTTGCAGTCCGGCATTGGCAACATTGCTAACGCCGTTATTGAAGGTCTCACCTCATCATCTTTCAAAAACCTGACAGTTTGGACTGAGGTTCTACAGGATTCCTTCTTAGACCTCTTCCAGAACGGTTCCCTCGATTATGCCACAGCCACTTCTATTCGTCTCACTGAGCCTGGCTTCAAAAGATTCTTCGATCACTGGGACGAATTCGCGAGTAAGCTATGCTTGAGATCCCAGGTGGTGTCGAACAGTCCTGAACTTATACGTCGTCTCGGCGTCATTGCCATGAATACCCCGGTTGAAGTGGATATATATGCACACGCCAACTCCACCAACGTGTCGGGTTCTCGGATGCTAAATGGATTAGGTGGCTCTGCGGATTTCTTGAGGAATGCCAAGCTATCCATCATGCATGCACCTTGTTCAAGGCCGACAAAGACCGATCCAACGGGCATTTCCACGATTGTCCCCATGGCTTCCCACGTCGACCAAACCGAGCATGACCTGGACGTGGTTGTAACAGACCAAGGTTTGGCGGATTTGAGAGGACTTTCCCCAACAGAACGAGCCCGTGAAATTATTCAGCACTGTGCACACCCTGAATACCAGCCCATTTTGAATGATTATTTGGAAAGGTCTGAATTCTATGCGCGAAAGAATAAATGCATGCACGAGCCTCACATGTTGAAGCATGCTCACCAGTTCCACATTAATCTGGCAGAGAAAGGCACCATGAAAGTCAAGTCTTGGGACTAGCAAGACCTTAGGTTATTCCTCAGCCAAAACCACGTATTTTATTCACAGTAACTTGCATCCCTACACCTTTATGTATAGGTATAATGAATTTACGACATTATGTCCACTACTTGTTGTTAGAGGTGCCTCCATACAAAAATTTACAAGCGCGGCATCATTATTTAATTGCCGGTTGCAAAAATGGTCTCTAGCGGGATCGAACCGCTGATCCCCGCGTTATTAGCACGGTGCCTTAACCAACTGGGCCAAGAGACCAACTTAATAATTTTGTTTTTCACCTATTACAACATATATGGATGTAAGAAGAGAAGAGTTTCTCGTGATTCGATATCACAACCTCTCAACAGAATGTCTCTTGTTTGCTAGCTCTTTTGGCCTATTCTCTATTTTGCTACTTCCATGATTAGTCTGATCTCTTTAATTATTCTGGTGTTCTCCTTTTATATGTATTCCGTCATCCTACCCCGAAGTTGAGGAACGGCATCTTGACGCAGTTAGTTCGCGCCCATCTGCTCTTTCCAGTAAGGCTGGTGTATATTGACTCATGCAGTTTTATAAAATGCACTACATATTCGGTATTTATAAGGATTGAAGAGGCAGGCATGTTGTGTGGCAGACGACGATACACGACACGATATTCTAGAAATTATTACAGTAAGTTAGAGCTCAGTAAGAAAGCTCAACTCATGAAACGCTTAGAGAGGGGTAACCTGTTGGGTAGGAAACTTCTGGATTGATGTCGATGGTGATGTCCACTATTGCCTACTGCAATTTAGACAGGTAAACTATTGTGCTTATCTATTGGAAACCGTTAGCACCTCTTAATTACCGGCCGGTTCATGACTTTCTGGAGTTTCTCTGTCTCCTCATCACTACAACATCCCAAAGTCGAATTGTAATTTCCCATGGCTCCTCGGGTAGTACTATGACCGTAAGTTGGTCATGGCCCCATTTCCTTAAATCCAATAAAACTTGTTGAGCGTGCGAGTTGACCACTTTTTGTTGTTACCAGGGTCCAGAAACTCGCTAGAACTGCTATTTAGATCATTGTCAAATACTGCTCATTTAAGAGAGTAATAAACCAAATAGAAATACTGTAGCTCTCTCAACATTCCTAGAGCGTTCGAACAGAATTCCCCGTGTATATCAAAACTTAGTGACTATCTAGCTAGCTGCGCCTTTTAGTCCGCAGACCAGGTTGGTTTCGATCAGTAAAGTGGCTCTCGATGTCATGTGATGTGCTCTTGAAATCGCTGTTGTATTGTAATTGGTACAACCATAGACATCCACCAGGCAAATTCGAACCTTTCATGGTCAAATCAGCGATGTCATATCCCGAAGTAGCAGCATTCGATTTGGACTACACAGTGTGGCCATGCTTCTGTGATACACACTTGAATCCGCCATTCAAACCGATGCCAAGCAAAAATGGCGAAGTTCGCACCTTAATAGACTCGTATGGTTACGAGCTATCATTCTACAAAGACGTTCCACGCATTCTTGAAGATCTGAAGACGCATGATGTCAAGATAATATCTGCCTCCAGAACCTGGGCCCCTGAAATAGCTCGTGAACTGTTAAGAGCTTTCAAAGTGGAATACAAAGGTGAGATCGTGCCGTTGATCACCCTATTCGACTCCTTACAATGGGGCGAAAAGAGTAAAGTTAACCATATTCGTCTGGGGATACAAGAGATCTTTGGCGCAAAAGCTGATATAAGGGATTATAAGTCGTGCTTGTTTGACGACGAAAGCAGAAACAGAGATGTTGAAAAGTACGGTGTCAAGTACGTTTACGTAAGAGATCCGGAGAGTGGCACTACTTGGGATTTATACCAAAAATACCTGAATGGCAACTAGCTGTTATTGTTTTTAATTTGTAAATGAAACCCTCAGGCATTATATTAGAAGAACTGCAAAGTTGATATAGTCTAACTCTCCTGTACCTTGCTATAGCATTTAATGGATCGCCATTTTGAAAGAATTTGGAGAACCAAGTAAAACCTTGTTGTCGCCGGCCACCGCACCTGCGGCAGATCGAGCTAATTTCTAAATTGTCAGTACAGTGCACCAGATAGAAGATAAAACCAAAGTTCTTGAGTGCTATGAGTCAGTGAGGAAGCTATCAGAAGTAAACGATCATTAGCATAACGCAGCATCCGCTAAACCAAGTACTGCTCGTGACAAGGGTCCACAAGGGTTACGTAGATGGAAGGACGTGCCAAATAGCTCTTGATAGAAAGAAGCAGCATTCGACAAAATGAGAGCAGCATATGTAGGGGTGGAAAGAGGCACTCCGCAAGTGAATCTGTAACTTGCGACACTTAAATCCAGAACATACACTGCGCTGAGTGTCATGAAATGACTAGATACGAATCTTATATTAAAAGTAACGAAGCCACTCGATCTGAGATAAGATCAGCGACAGGAATATCAGTGTCAGGGATTCAAGGGAGCGATGACACCCGATGAGCTCACTGCAGAACGACATATAAAAGAGGACCTTATTGGCCATGCTAATGTCATTCATAGTATTGAAGAGACCAAGTAGAAACTAATAAGTAAACAGTAGTCAAGAATTGAACCATTATTATACCCGTCTGGTATAATAGAAGTTATCGCTAAGTTCTACTTCGGATTGATTATGCCGGACCGTAGCATAACCATGAGTTAATTATTCTTGGGCGTGTGGTCTAGTGGTATGATTCTCGCTTTGGGCGAAATTGGGGTAAACCCTAATTGCATACGCTAAACTTGTGAGAGGCCCTGGGTTCAATTCCCAGCTCGCCCCGTTTATTTTTGATTTATTTTTGTCCAAGGCTAAGAAGACATTGGGTTGACGATCGTCATATGGTTTCTAACTGAATTAGTAGAATGAAGGGTTCAAATCAACTAGTTCTCTCTTGCTGTGGAACAACAGTACTGACAGGATTATGAAAAATAGCAGGATATGGACCAGTCATAAGCAGGGCAACCTCATAAACAGAGACCAGTGGATCAGAACGAATAGGAAGACTACTAAGAGAGAAGCAATTCAATATTTTAATGATATCTACACGTTTTAAGAGCAGTTAGCTTATTCATTCATTCTTCCCTTTGACATTGTCAAAATTGTTGACGACATCTCCAAATTGAATTCATGTAAAATAGCAAAAAATGCCATTTCCTAGAATCGAACCAGGGTTTCATCGGCCACAACGATGTGTACTAACCACTATACTAAAATGGCGATAATATTTACAAGTGTATCGGCTTAGTGGTCCTCATGGAGTGGGTCCTCGACGCGAAAAGGCGTGTGACTCTAGTGAAGCGGCAGGAACTTTAATGAGAAAATATGAGTTTGAAGATATTTGGCAGTTCCACTCAGCTTTGAGATACTGGTAACAAGACCATGAGCCAGTCTGTAGTAACTTAGCGGGATAAAATAAGATAACTTGTAGCACACGCGTCAACTTCGAACTCCTTGACGTTGATGGGAATAAGGCAAACCCATAGAGAAGAAGCTCCAGGCTCTGCTCAAATACCAGATTATATGGAGAAAGAATTAACCCTGGAGGGAATACTAGCCATAACTGTTTAGTCTCGCATTTTAACAAGATTCAATTCTTGGGTAAAGGTCATGTTAGTGCGCTATCGCCTATCATGTGATATTTCTCTTTTGATATAAATAATTAACAATCTTCTCACTTTCAAATAGGGCGTGTGGTCTAGTGGTATGATTCTCGCTTTGGGCGAAGTTCGAGCCATAACTCGATCTAAATAACCACAAGCATGCGAGAGGCCCTGGGTTCAATTCCCAGCTCGCCCCATTTTTTGGATTCTCTTACAACTTACTATTGGTAAACATGGAGAGGTTTCAATAGAGAATATCATAATCACAATAATCAAGGACGCATTGCTGCCACGGGCTCTCATGTTACTCATGTTACTAGTTAATCATAAGTTTTGAGAATAACCCTACCGCTGGTTATAAGAAAGATTAATGTTAAAGTTTAAAGTGTTATTTATATGTACTGTACAGAACGTCATTAGAAACTGGGCATGAAGCGATGAGTTTAATCAACTTCTTCAACAGTTGGACCGTCAGCTTCAGGAGCTGGGGCGGATCCACCTGGGAAGCCACCTGGAGCAGCACCGCCTGGGGCAGCACCACCTTGTTGGTACAACTTGCTCATGATTGGGTTAGAGACATCTTGCAATTCCTTCAATTGGTCGTTGTACTCTTCAGTGGTGGCAGTGGTGTTACTGTCCAACCAGGAAACAACCTCTTCGCATTTCTTGTTCAAAGTTTCCTTATCAGCTTCTTCTAGCTTGTCGCCAGACTCGGAAACAGTGTTCTTTAGAGAGAAGGCCATAGATTCCAATTGGTTCTTGGCACCAATTCTGGCAGCCTCCTTTTCATCTTCCTCCTTGAACTTTTCGGCCTCGGAAACCATTCTTTCAATGTCTTCCTTGGTCAATCTACCCTTGTCGTTGGTGATGGTGATCTTTTCGGACTTACCAGTACCCTTTTCGACAGCGGACACGTTCAAGATACCGTTGGCATCGACATCGAAGGTAACTTCGATTTGTGGGACACCTCTTGGGGCTGGTGGAATTCCACTTAGGTCAAACTTACCCAACAAGTTGTTGTCCTTGGTTCTGGCTCTCTCACCTTCAAAGACTTGAATCAACACACCTGGTTGGTTGTCGGCGTAGGTGGAGAAAGTCTCGGACTTCTTGGTTGGGATAGTAGAGTTTCTTGGAATCAATTTGGTCATGACACCACCAGCAGTCTCAATACCCAAAGACAATGGAGCAACATCCAACAACAATAGATCTTGAGTCTTGGAAGATTCGTCACCGGTCAAGATAGCGGCTTGGACAGCAGCACCATAGGCGACAGCTTCATCTGGGTTGATGGATCTGTTTGGTTCCTTACCGTTGAAGTAGTCAGAGACCAACTTCTGAACCTTTGGAATTCTGGTGGAACCACCAACCAAGACGATTTCGTGAACTTGAGACTTGTCCAACTTGGCGTCTCTCAAAACCTTTTCGACAGGGTCGACGGTGGATCTGAACAAGTCAGCACACAATTCCTCGAATCTGGCTCTGGTGATAGAAGTGTACAAATCGATACCTTCGAACAAAGAGTCAATTTCGATCGAGGTTTGGGCGGAAGAGGACAAAGTTCTCTTGGCTCTTTCACATGCAGTTCTCAAGCGTCTCAAAGCTCTTTGGTTGGTGGTCAAGTCCTTCTTGTTCTTGCGCTTGAATTCTTGGACAAAGTGGTTGACCAATCTGTTGTCGAAATCTTCACCACCCAAGTGAGTGTCACCAGCAGTGGCCTTAACTTCGAAGATACCGTCTTCGATGGACAATAGAGAAACATCGAAAGTACCACCACCAAGATCGAAGATCAAAACGTTCTTTTCACCTTCGTCCTTCTTGTCCAAACCGTAAGCAATAGCGGCAGCGGTTGGTTCGTTGATGATACGTAGGACGTTCAAACCAGCAATGGTACCGGCGTCCTTGGTAGCTTGTCTTTGAGAGTCGTTGAAGTAGGCAGGGACGGTGACAACAGCGTCGTTGACCTTGCAGCCCAAGTAGCTCTCGGAAGTCTCCTTCATCTTGGTCAAGATCATAGAGGAGATTTCTTCTGGAGTGAACACCTTGGTTTCACCCTTGAATTCGACTTGGATTTGAGGCTTACCGCTGACATCCACAACCTTGAAAGGGAAGTGCTTAGCGTCACCTTGCACCTCAGCGTCGGAGAAGTTTCTACCGATTAGACGCTTGGCGTCGAAAACGGTGTTCGATGGGTTCATGGCAGCTTGGTTCTTGGCGGCATCACCGATCAATCTTTCGGAGTCAGTGAAGGCAACGAAAGATGGAGTGGTTCTGTTACCTTGGTCGTTGGCCAAGATTTCCACACGGTCGTTCGAGAAGTGAGCGACACACGAGTAAGTGGTACCCAAATCAATACCAACTGCTTTAGACATATCCTTGTTATTAGTTGTCTTCTATTATAGCTACTTTATCAATCGGGATTTATTGAACTTTTATCAGTGTAAGTCGTTCAATAGCCTAATCAATAACGTTTTGCTGATTGTATAAAATGTAACAGATTCAAAGCTGATATTCTCTCCTTCATTCCTCGAAATAGTGCTCCTTATATACCTACTCGAGCCAGGCATGCTAGATCTACGATTGTGGGCGTGGCGCTAATTTTCTGAGGTTTCTCTGATATTCTCGAAAGTTCCACGAGAAAAATAGAGATTCCGAGATTTTGCTGGAAAAGTGACGAACTAATTGCCCATTCGTAAAATGGAACAAAGATAAACGTCACATAGCAAAAATGGTCCTGGAGTTGACCAACCCGATTGACAGAGGCATAGTCACTAGCAAGATGTTTCTCTAAAGTGACACCACCGTGTTGCCAGGGACCCATGGACTAACTCAGGCAAACGAGGTGCATACATGTCTCTTAGTACGGGGATGGGTTTGCGTTCGTCCCTTCGAATTTGGTGTCTAAACACACTGGAAGAGCCTGCGTACAGGAATGGGCTCGGTCGCGTTGTAGATGAACGGATTAGGCTTTGTTGGGATCCGAGGTTATAGACCAAAATGCAGTAGCTTTAGTTAGTCGTTATATACGGGTGTTGATGGGGTCTATGTGAGCAGTGGATGGAGGCTATTTCCTGGCAGGTGTGGACCAATCGAGCCCGACATTTGCATATGAGAAGATGATAGCCAGATTGGACGCCGGTAAGAACCGTGAACATGGCTTGGGTGCGCAATGGACCCTGGGAGGTCAAATGGGACACCCGCCTAGGTCTACTTGGGATAGCGTGTCTTGTAAAGTCAGCAGCATCATGCTTACATGTGCTTGGCAGGTGGGGTGCCAGACAAATTGTACTTTCGTAGCTCCCGAACGTTGTTCTTGAAATGAACGTAGGCATTCTTGACGGTGGCTGGTATGCCCGGATGGCTCATCAGGCCATCGAGACGGACTTCCCAACGCTTGATCCCGCTGCGTGTGTAGGGGGACGTTTCGTAGCGTATTTTGATGAAAATGCTGAAGACGAAGGCAACAATCCAGGATCTTGGGAACCACAGCAAAGCACGGATTAGCACAACCAAAACGCACACGAGCTCGCTGAAACTTGACCACACCATGGAGCGGTCATTGTTCTCGCGGATGAACTTGTCAATAGCAGCCGAAATTCTCGAGTCGGGCCCAATATCGAAGACTTGAGGTAACAAGACCGACTTCACATATGTGAGGAAATGGAAAAACGAAAACACCACATACGGAACCATGGTCACCGTCAGTCTGGGCGTCAAGAACCACATCACCGCAATGGCCACGTACATAGAGTTATCGTCCCGCAACAACAGTTGCAAGATGGTGGGAGAAGGGCCAGCAGCTCCAGCTGTACCATTCGCACCAGAACGATGTCTAAAGTGCTGTTGATAGATGATGATACCAAAGGATTCAATAACACCCAGGTATAAAACACGGTAGAGCGTGTTGTGCAATCCTGAAGCACCGCCGCGGAAAGTGAGGAAATAGAGCAAAGCGCACGTCAAAACCACCACATGGCCCACAAACCATGCGAATTGGGAGGTTTTCAGAATCTCCAGAAATTTGGAAACCTGGAAGTGGCGAGGAACACCCTGCGAAGCTACCATTTGTGTTGAAATCTAAAAGACTGGAACCGTTTCCAAATTTTTGGACTCACCAAGAGGCCAAGATAAGGTCAAGCTTCCCTTGAAAGGATCAAAAAATTGTTTCGGGCCACTCTTTCGTTCTCAGTGACTCTTGACGCCGGGGCTGAAGCCATTTCATTTCTTAGGCTTCTTGGCGTGCTCGTTCTCGGTAACATCCGGCTGCTTGGGTTTGCGCTTCTTGACCATAGACGTCAAATCGTTTACTGGTGCAGTTCCGCTAAGGACGCTTTTGATTTGCGCCATGCTTTGTTGTTTGATGGTCTCCAGCGATTCTTCGGTCAGCTTTAATTCTTTGAACTTCAGCTTAAGTTCTTCCAGAAGCCCTTGGTCATCTTTTTCTGCCTTGCCGTCCTTGATGCGTAGCTCCAATAGGGCAATTGCCTTTTCCAGCTCTTGCTGACACTGGGTGCTTTCTGAAGGATCAAACTCGAGTGCCAATGAAAGTTTGTAGTGGGACTCGATAATGAGCCTGTGAGCTGGATCCTCACCTGCATATGCTTTGAGACGCAGCTCAAGGCTTTTGGCAAAATCTTGTTTGGCTTGCGGGAAATTTTCAGTCTCAAGCGAAATTTCTCCTAGGATGTCGTATGTCTCGGAAAGCTTTTCGATGGTAGCTGGACCTTCTGACTGCTTCTCATACAAGGAGCGCGCCAGTTCCAGTAGTTCCCATGCACTTTCAAAATCTGACGTCTGGGCCATCTCTGGTTGTTCGTCGTCGTCCTCCTGTTCCTTTAGTGCATCCTGAGCTCCCTCGTCTTGCCCCGGCTCTTCCGAGGGCTGCAAATCCGCATCTTCACCTTCAGCCACAGCTGCGCTGAACTGGTACAGTTCTTTCTTTTTAGAGTCATGGCCCTCATCGTCGGCATCTTCACCTTCTTCTTCGTCTTGTTCGCCGCCGAAAACATCAGACTGGCTCAGTGCTAGCTGGTAGAGTGACTTACCATACAAAAACAGGTAATCTGCATTGCTCTCACCTTTCAACGCATCGTGCAACGCGTTAACTTCGGAGTACAGATTCGTGGACTTTTCATAATCTTTGGCCGCGTAAAACTTTGCAGCCTCGCCTAGAAGTCTTTTAACCTCTGAATTACCGGACATTGCAGTTTATGAAGCGTAACAGTCCTGATTTCCTCCAATGGTTTGCTTTTTGAGATGCCTTCCTTCATCTCAGTTACCTTGGTTCGTGTAGCATCAAATTGTCACATCCAAGACATCACCTCGAACGTATGAGTTGGATAAATCCATCACTTCTGACTTCACTTTAGAGCCAATACAATGGAGTGAAGTGACCCACTCAGTTCGATGCGCTCTCTCGAACTGAGCGTCATGCCTGACTGCTTTCCTTCCTAACTTGAATTCAAGCTTCCGTTAGAAATAAGAGATTGCAAGCCTCGGCGGCTACGGTGTGGTATCCCTACCCACTGGTACAAAAAAGGCCACAACGTGGGTATACTCCTTGGAAAACAGCGACTCAGGTCGGCTACAATTGTTTTGGCTATTTCGGTACTGGACCGGGAATGCGATTTCTAGCTGAGACATAAAACTCAGGGACGCTAGAGAAGCTCGAGAAGCCGGAGGGTCCTAGAAATTCGTGACTGTATCATTTTTACTACGGTCAGACTTTAAACCTATATCAATCAATAAAAAGTGTTTGGAACATCGCTGAAGGTCGCTCAGGCAGCGCGGGGAGTCCTCGTTTCAATTCAATCGCGCGGTTCCTAATAAATGTCAAAAAATGTTAGAATTGAAGACGTCACTCCCGACTTCTTTCTGTACACAGCTAATACTAGCAGTGTCTACGTGTTCAGATATAAGGATTGCCATACTACATTTCGCCAAGTTCAGATGCACCTTATAGCCGGGCTACAGTTCGAAAATTGCTATTTTCGGGCCTCCGCACCAAGAGCAGGCTACGCCCCTAAGATTAAATTACACCGTTCTAGGTTTGGAAGATCAGACACATGGGCCATCTTTCCGTTTGGAACAGTACGCCGAATGCCAGAAAATCACCAGCTGGTCCTATCGGTTTGACGATACAGACGAATCTTGTTTACGGTGAGTCAAGCTCGACCAATTAACAGCGGAAAAGCACGAAGCTACTATAGGTTAACAAGCCTGGCACAAAGCTGTGAACGTCTGTGTCCAGCTTCAAATAAGTTCATCTCTGTGCTACTATCGTAGCAAGTGCTCATCGTGATCTCCAGCCTTCGCGTTTGGCAATAAGCTGCTGGAAAAAACATGGTTACGTGAAATTCTTGGAAGAATTAACATTGTTTAGCAGCACTCTTAAGATTCAGATCCGAAGATAAACACAAACGCCAAAATGCAATCAGAAATGTCGGCTGAGAATCTAACAGCTCCTTCCGCAGGTGGCAAGGACGCTGTTGAAAATGGGAATGGTATCAAGCTCGAAGGCTCACCAACAATTGAGCAAGAGCCACAGATCCATTCTAATGGACATGACATGGCCGGATCAGATTTTTTGGCAGAGCCAGAGCATGAGTCACAATCGCGCGGACAAGTACTACCCAAACAACCGGAACTCAAGGTACAGCGCCACAGAATCAATGGGTACGTAGGGTTCGCGAATTTGCCCAAGCAATGGCACAGAAAGTCAATCAGGCGCGGGTTCAGTCTGAACTTGTTGTGTGTAGGTCAAAGAGGTCTCGGAAAATCGACCCTTATCAACACGCTGTTCAACCAGTCGCTTTATGATCTGACTTCAACCGCAGTAGATGGGCTGGCTACACTGAAGCTGGAAGAGACGGCCCAAAATTCGCCGGACGGAGGCGAGGAGCCCTTGTCCCAGCAGGGCGAGCAAGACGAACATGGAAAAACCGGTGTCAGCATTAAGACGCTTTCAACTAAAATTGAGGAGAACGGAGTGGCTCTTACGTTGAACGTTGTTGACGCGCCGGGATTTGGTGACGCTATCGACAACACCGACGCCTGGAAGCCAATTGTGCGCGAGATCGATCACCGTTTCGACCAATACCTGGACGCAGAGAATAGACTGGACCGTGCTGTTATTCGGGATGATAGAATTCATGCGTGCTTGTACTTCATCGAGCCCACTGGCCATTCGCTTACGGCTTTGGACCTTGAATTTTGCAAGGCAGTTCACCAAAAATGTAACCTCATCCCAGTCATTGCTAAATCCGATATTCTCACTGATGAGGAGATCGAGAAGTTCAAGCTCACGATCAGGGGCCAGTTCGAAGAAGAGGGAATCACTTTGTTTGAGCCTCCACAATATGCACTAGACGATAAGGAGGCTATGGCACGCTCTACAGACCTGCACGCCAGAATGCCATTTGCGATTGTCGGTTCCACGGCCGTGGTAGCCACCTCAGACGGAAGAAATGTGAGAGGGCGTGCTTATCCATGGGGTGTTATCGAGGTCGACAATGAAGCCCATTCTGATTTCGTTCATTTGCGCGATTTGCTTGTTAAAGTTTACTTGATGGAGTTGCGTGAAAAGACCGAGAAAGTGCTTTACGAGAAATACAGATCTGAGAAACTGAATCTGTTAAACATCAAGCAGGACAACTCCGTTTTCAAAGAGTACGACCCTGAACTCAAACAAAAGGAGGAAAAACAACTACACGAAGCAAAACTCGCAAAACTAGAGACGGAGATGAAGGCCGTGTTTCAACAAAAAGTGAACGAGAAAGAGAAGAAGCTCCAGAAATCTGAGGCCGAATTATTTGCAAGGCACAAGGAGATGAAGGAGAAACTCACCAAACAGCTCAAGGCCCTGGAGGACAAAAAGCATCAATTGGAAATGTCTTTGGCCAATCAGTCTGCAAACTCTCCTGTGCAGACTAAAAAAAAGGGCTTTTTACGTTAAGCAAGCTGTAAGTAATCTGTAGTTCTCACCTTCTGGTGAACGCTGGTAAGATTTTGAGGGAAATAACAACCTTATAGGTTGCTTGAAGCCCACTGACTATTCGACTCAGGGTTTAGTCACCAGATCAAAAAAATACTCTCATGGTCTATTGGTCATTTTCTTGACCAGATTTCTTTGATTGTTCCCCGGCCATTATCAGCGAATATTTGTCTAATCAGCATTAAAGTCGCATCCGCCCTTATATAAAGTCAGAATCCAAAGTAGATGCTCTATGTGTAAGATGTGTTGGCAGTTCGTTGATTCTACATCACGATGAGCATTATGAATTTAATTATTCATCTTAATAACCTTCATTGTGGCAATTGTGAGAATTACGTTTTCGAACTATTATCACAACATTTTGAATGGAAATTCCAACGAGGCGAAACTGGCCACGATCCTGAGCTGGGTGATACTATCAAGCCATTATCTAGAGGGAGAAACTCCAAAAATTCCAGACTTCACGGACGTATACTAGCTAATGACCTCGATTTCGACCTTAAAAGTGGCCTCATCTCCATAGGAATAAGCGACGCAAACGTTACGACGGACGATAAATCTAACCGCTCTGAACCACCTTACGCTGACAACTCGCTGGCTCAGAGTTTCATAAAGAAAGACCTTGAAAATGCCGGATTCCTAGTTCGCGATATATACATTGAGACTCCACACCCCCCGGGGGTGCATGTTGTTGAAGACCAGAAAACACCGTATAAACCAAGGAGTCTATTCAAATCTCTGAACATGCAGTTGAACAGACGTAAATGGGAGAAAAGACATATTCAGCATTGTGGAAAGTGTCAATATTCATACAAACAGAGGCGTGATGGTACAGCGATGACAGAACAAGCGCGCAGTGAGGCTCAGTTCAGAGCCGTTTTTGCCATTGGTGGAATGACTTGCTCTAATTGTGCAGGAATAGTTGAACGATCCATCAAAGAGGTCGTGCGGAACTCTGTACCAGATAATGAAAGCACAGTTCTGGTGAGTGCGGTAAACCATACGGCCACTGTCTTCATCCCAAACAAACAAACTGTACAGCAGATTATTGAGACTGTTAAAGAAACAGGATATACAGCCCAATTGCTTGAGGTATTGCCACTGACATGCGAGCTTCGTTATAAGCTAACTGCTGCCATTGAGGGGATGACTTGCGCTGCTTGCGCTTCGGCTATCACGAACGCTGTTGAAAATTTGGTCTTTGTGGATGAAGTGGCAGTGAACGTCATATCCAAGTCAGCTACCTTCATTCTGAGCACTGCGGAAAGTAATTCTCTTCGCGAACTTCAGGATACGGTCGAAGACTGTGGGTTCCGGTTTCAGATCCTTGGAGGACTCGAACATGTGGATATCTCTCTTGTTCAGAAGCCCGCACGAACAGTCAAGTTGAGAATTAGTGGGATGTTTTGTCCACGATGTCCGGAGCGAGTAAACGAGGTGCTTTCCAAAATTGAGAGTACAGAGGTGATCGCACGAGACCAGGTCTCCATGCAGACCGCATTCATCAAGTTCAAGTATTTTCCAAATGTGGAAAAAGGTGTGACCATAAGAGCGATTATTGATGCCTTAGCAAAAGGGCTTTCTGAAGGAAGCGACTCTAATATCAATATTTCTATCGTGAAAAAGGTTTCAATTGAAGAACATTTAAGGATACTTTCCGTTCGTGAAACTTACGGAATTGCTCTTCGACTCGTCCTAGCTGCCATCTTTGCAATCCCCACCTTTATCTTTGGGGTCATTGGGGCCTCCTTGTTGCACAGTCAAAACAATTTTAGAAAATGGTTAGAGGATCCAATTTGGGCTGGTAATGCATCGAGGATGACATGGATTTTGTTTATTCTTGCTACTCCTGTTTACTTTTTTGTGGATAGCGTCTTCCATACAAAAGCTCTTCTTGAAGTGAGAGCACTCTGGAGGCAGAAAAATGATTGGCAGAGAAGAGTATTTAGGTTTGGTAGTATGAATCTGCTGATCTCCTTAGGTACCACTGTTGCCTACTTCGCCAGTATAGCATTGCTTGCTCTCTCTGCAGTCACCACTAGAGAAAGTGGCCAAATGGGATTCACCACCACCTATTTTGATTCGGTAGTATTTCTGACGCTCTTTCTTCTAACTGGCCGACTTCTCGAGAGTTTCTCTAAAAGTCGAACTGCCCTAGTAATCAGCAGGCTCAGTTTACTGAAGCAACGTGAGGCAACGTTAGTTGAGCAACAAAGCGAAACACGTTTTGTGAACGATAAAAGAATGGACGTAGACCATTTAGAATTTGGAGATTTCATCAGAATTGCCCCAGGGGAGTCACCCCCAGTCGATTGCATAATTGTCCAAGGTCATTCGGGCTTTGATGAGAGCGCATTAACAGGCGAATCAGCCCCTATCGAACATTCGATCGGGGAGCAAGTATATGCTGGAACTGTAAATGTTGGGTCTCATTCACTGGTTGGTAAATTATGCGCGCTTGAAGGTCAGTCACTTTTAGATCAAATAGTGAAGACAGTTCGTGATGGGCAATTGAGGAAAGCTCCTGTGGAAAAATTGGCCGACTCTTTGACATCTTACTTCGTTCCTCTGATTGTTTTGCTAGCAATTGTTACATGGGTAGTTTGGGTTTCTTTAGGATGTAGTGGACTTTTGCCTGGCCACTATCTCGATATCGACTTGGGCGGATGGACTGTATGGTCCTTAGAGTTTGCAACCTCCGTCTTCGTTGTGGCTTGTCCTTGCGGAATTGGTCTTGCAGCACCTACTGCATTGTTTGTGGGCTCCGGTTTAGCTGCGAAACATGGTATATTGGCGAGAGGTGGGGGCGCGGCTTTTCAGGAGGGCTCGAAGGTATCAGTGGTATGTTTTGATAAAACGGGAACGCTCACTTTGGGCGGGAAGCCTAAAGTGACGAATTTTGCTTTCCACGGCAACCAAGTGATGAGGTCTATTGTTGTTCAAACCGTCAAGGACCTCGAAAACGCTTCCTCGCATCCAATCGCTACAGGGATCAAAGATTTTATTAACAACACTTTTGGCGATATGTTAGGGAACGTTAAAATACCAAAAGTTGAGGAAATTGCGGGAAGGGGCCTCAAAGGATCGTACGTTTTGGAAGGCACATCGGAGAAGTCACCTTGGAATCTCATGGCACCCGAGAGCGCAATTCTTGGTAACGAAAAGTTCATGATGGAGAACAACTGCCAGCTAACCTCGTCACACCTGAGAATGTTAGCTGACTGGAAATTAGAAGGTAAAAGCGTTGCGATATTGGCCATTAAGTGTTCCAACTTTTTCAAAAGTGAGGAATTTTTCCCCGTTTCGCTTCTTGCAGTGAGAGACGAAATCAGGCCCGAAGCCAGGGGAGTTATCGAGTCCCTGCAACGCGAAGGTATAGAATGTTGGATGTTGTCCGGTGACAACGAACTAACCGCTGGCGCTGTTGCCAAGGAGCTCAATATCCACAATGTTGTGGCTGAAATATCGCCCGATGAGAAAGCAACCAAGCTCAACTGGATCAGGGGAACTCATCTAGTGAATGGGCGGCCGCCCGTCGTTGCTTTTGTTGGGGACGGTATTAATGATGGCCCTGCACTAGCTGCAGCGGACGTAGGGGTCGCTCTGGCAAGTGGCACAGACCTTGCAATGAATGCATGCGATTTTGCTCTTTTGTCAAGCACCAATACTTTATGTTCGTTGCTCACACTATTTCAAATTTCTCGTAAAGTCTTTCGAAGAGTTCGCTTCAACTTTGTATGGGCCCTGATCTACAACATGATTGGTATACCAATTGCAGCGGGTGTTATCTATCCTTATAAAAACTCGAGACTGTCCCCAGTCTGGGCAAGTGCGGCTATGGCCGCCTCTTCCGTGAGCGTCGTTACAAGCAGCTTAGCTTTGCGGCTATACAAACCTACAGAAGTAGCAAAAGACGAACAAGAGAAACTTAACTTTGAGAAATCTATGCCTATTGAACAAAAGTTTCCTTAGATATGCAAAACCCCCATCAACAAGTAGAGAGCTGTAATTGAAGATTTATTGTTTTTAATGGATTTTAAACATTTGGCTTTATCTTTTTTCTTAACAATCTAATCAGCACCACTACCAACATAAACAATCACCGCTTTATGAAAGCTTTAACTGCCACTGCCGAAAAGACTAGATAAAAACTAATTAGAGACAAGACCAGAAAAAGACTAATACTCTATGCACTCTTTACTAGATTCAATTTTTTTAGTAAGATGAACTTTTGAGAGGTAACAGGACTTCTCAGGAATGGGTGCAACTATACTGTGTTTTGGGATCTAATGTTATGCATTACTTTTTGATGCTCTCATGTACTTTCCAACCTTCGCAAACTTACAAGGAATGATATATGTTAGTGGTGGTACACTGGCATTCATGAAAGGATATCGCCGAAAACTTCGAGAAAAAAAGATGTCATTAATATATGTAGGCGGAATACAAAGTGATCATAATTAATAATTATCAGTGCATTGACGTACACTAACCGTAGTCTTCAAACTATCATGAGCCTAGACCCACCCACCACGTTTATGTCGTATGTCTACTATGTGAACACAACCAACTAGAGCATATGATCGGTAGACGAATAAAAGGCATTTTGGTTTGAACAAGGGGGGGAGTTAACTATAATATTCTCAAACTTTAAGTCTTTTCTTTAGTTAGATAGTGTGGTCTTGGCGTTGTCAAGTGGCGTGGTCGTGAATTGCACTTGTGCCAGTGTAGTAAGAAATGATATGAACAAGGTCAGTCCAACAGGAAGGTCTTTAAGTCATGACTACTTACCACTAGGATCAAGAGAGGCAGGATATGCATATACGAGTTTTCAAGTCACTTTAATTAATTAAGCAGTAAAGCTTCGTAGGTAAGAAATTATTGAGCCACCGTCCCGTAATTCTGTTCAGGGATATCGTCATGAAAATTTGTATTAGTGCTGGCCTCGTCTCCCATAGAATGGGTCATAATCCCAGAATTTTTCATCACGTAGAGATGACTAAGAGCCCTCGTATAGCTCCAAGGATAGTATGCGAGGCTCAAGATTTTATCGTAATACAGATTACAAATTTGAAGGAGTATCTTAGGAGTTCAGCAGATGCTAACGGTGGCATCCAATAGTTAAAAACCTACTACAGATTTTGAGCATAGAAATTGTTGTTTTCGATTGTCAGAATATATGTTGCGCACTTAAATTGCTGGGATGGGGAAAGCCAAGAAAACACTTGAGAAACAGGGACTAAATCTGGACAATCGAGGGTTCATATAGATGAGGGTAGGGATAGTTCATTTAGAGGAGGTCAGCTAGTCTAGGAGCTTATAAATAGTTTCGATTGCTGGCCTTGAAGTTGTGGTGATTACCCAAGACAGAGCCTGGCGGAAATGCCAAGGTAGATACTTCTGGTGGCGATCAGTCCTTTGTTATGCTACGGTCCCGGATAATCAATCCGAAGTAGAAGTGGGACTTAGCGATAACTTCTATTATACCAGACGGGTATAATAATGGTTCAATTCTTGATTACTGTTTACTTATTAGTTTCTACTTGATCTCTTCAATACTATGAATGACATTAGCATGGCCAATAAGGTCCTCTTTTATATGTCGTTCTGCAGTGAGCTCATCGGGTGTCAACGCAATCCTGAAGTGAGCTCATCGCGTGTCATCGCTCCCTTGAATCCCTGACACTGATATTCCTGTCGCTGATCTTATCTCAGATCGAGTGGTTTCGTTACTTTTAGTGTAAGATTCGTATCTAGTCATTTCATGACTACCTTCAGTAGTAGCGGATTTAGCTCAGTTGGGAGAGCGCCAGACTGAAGACAAACTTCGGTCGCTGATATCTGGAGGTCCTGTGTTCGATCCACAGAATTCGCACAATATTTTTAATTTTTAATTTATAAAAGATCTTCTCTCTAAAACTGGCAGACGCTAGGCTTTTCCATCACGACTTCATGATCCTCTACTATCTGAAGTCTCTTATAGCAGTTTCTCCTGCATCAAGATAAATGCACTGTTCAGAATTATGTCACTCCCAGGAAAGCCTTGGTTGAGATAGCTAATCGTCTCTCAGAAATGAAGTGCCGTGAACAGTAATCACAACGTCAGCTCAAAAAGTAAAAGCTACTGGAAACCTACAGGAATAACTAGACCTTCTTCGTTCGCCCTTTCTACTTATGACTAGCTGCCTACTTTTGAGGGTTTTCCATTAGCTCTACTATTCCATGAACTCCCTGTTGAGGCTAATCCTCAACTGTCCTTGAAACACCATCTGAAGGCGATTACTGAAATTATCCTTACCGCTTGAGAATTCCCAGCGTCATACGACATATTCCTGTCGTTCTACGACATGAAGCAGGGCTTCCCATGTGCTTCGGGTAGTAAAAGTTCGTTCCGCTCCTTCGTTAGTAGGGCGTGTGGTCTAGAGGTATGATTTCCGCTTAGGGTGCGGGAGGTCCCGGGTTCGAGTCCCGGCTCGCCCCATAAAATTTTTTGGCGGAGTGTGCTTGACTAGTATTAAAACACAGTACAAAGATGTCAGGTCTGAATCGCAACGTATGCGCTCGTCAAGCTAATTTCAGTTTATCGTGACACTGTTTCACTTGTAGCGTACATTTCAAGTGTTGGCTGAGTGGTTCATCACTAAAGACGAACATGTTTATATTAATGTGACGCGTCTTGAAAAATGTCAAGAGTTCGCACGGTTAGCATCAGAGTATACTTTTTCAAAGCGAGAGTCGTACAGCGTCGAGCTTAAGTTCACTGCACTCGCAATTTGGACTTACTGTCAGTCTTCAGCGAGGGTTGGGACTTTCAGTGTTATAATCACACCACCGTAAATAATGGCTGCGAGTAAGGCAGATCTCAGCGAGGACCAGAGGCGGCTGGTGTATACCTATTACCGCGAGCTCCGTGATTTCTTTCAAATTACCGGGGCCAAACATGACCGCTCAGGCTCAGCTAGGGCTCAAAAAGCGAGGTCCAAGCTTTTAAAGCTATATCCTTCGCAATTTTTTGAGCTCAGCACAGATGTCCACGATGAGCTGCAAAGGCGTATAGATGAAAATCAAATGCAGCCCGATCACCTTCTGCCACGAGAATCATTCCATGTCAAGCGCAACCAGGCGCGTCAGAAGCTTGCGAATTTATCAGAGTCGAGGTTTAACGATCTAGTTGACGACATTTTGTATGAAATCCAGAGGCGGGACTACCACGAGCTTCCACCGTTGAACAACGTCACAGAAGATAGCCACAATAGCGCAAAGCCTAATCTAAGTCTTTCGCCACCACAACCTTCGACTGCCGGGTCAAGTCGAGGTTACGACGTAAATCAGAGCCCAGGGCGTGATGAAAAGGACCTGTCCGCCGTAGTACCCAATGCAACAATTCAACAATCGCGTGTGAGCCCCAAAAAGGCTTCAATTGAATGGAGTTCTGATGAGGAAGATGACCAAGATGGCCCAGGCGTTGCGCGGCAAAGCGACCCCAGAGAGGGCGTAACTACGGAAATTGGTACACATGACCACCGCCTTACAGCAACGCCTAGAAACAACAGACTCTCACAAGACAGTTTCAACAGCTCACCTGCCAAGAAGGATTATGGTGCTGAAGATTTCTCTAAAAGAGCAGAGATATTACAGAGTGCGAGTGATAGTGATTCTGATACCTCGACTGACAAGAAGGTGCATGCAACCGACAAATCGAACCTTGACATGAATGGTCATGAGCAAAAGCCGATGAATGTACATGATCCTGCTCTATACAACGGGAGCACTGCCCCGCTTGCGGTAACACGGCCAATTAGTCCAACGCTAGCCTATGCGGAAAGAGATGAGGGCACGCCTGAACGGGAGAGGCACAAGAGAGGACCAAAGATCCCAACAAAAGTAGTAAAGCCATCCGAAAGCATACATGGCGTACAGGGGGACGACTCGAATATCAATTCAGAGCAAGGTTCGCCCACTCGGGGTCTCAGAGGTCAGAGGGATATACTCAAAAGTACCAGCGAGGAACAGTCTTTGGAAATCAGCCCGACGGCTGCGGGAAATGTTGACCCTTTACCTTCGCAGCCTTCTGCTCTCACTAATAAACTGGTTGACGAAGGTGCAAATTTCCAGCTGGTCGACTCTACTCCTCAAGTAACTGCCAAAAATAACGGGGTTGGTCATTGGGGGTCACTGAAAAGAGCTTCTTTAGAGCACGAGAATTCTAAGCGTGAGGTCGAAGTTTTGATAAAGGAAGGGGAGAAGATGGACGAGAAAATAACAGAGTTAGAAAAAGCCAATACATTTTTGTCCTCTTCAAAAAGTGAGCTGGAGACAGACTTGCGTAACTTGAAACATGAGAATACCGATCTGAAAGGGCAAATCGATGATCTCAATAGCCAACTGGTGAATGTGAGCACTGAGGTCCTCCAATTGAAAAAGAGTCAGAGCACACAGGCCGATACGTCTGCCGTTCAGAATAATCAACAGAAATTTACCGAACTTACTCAGCAGATCAACTCTCTTTCCATTGAGAATGAGAAGCTTAAACAAACTTCTGCGGAGCTAGAACTCAAGCTGAAATTATTCAGATCCAGTGATCAACAAGGAGTTAGTGGTAATCGTTCCATTGGAGATTCTATTAAAACAGGTCCAAAGGAAAGGTCACATCTCAAGCTCTCAATGCAGTATTTATCGCCGGATGGTCAAATACCCCAAGCTTTGTTCACGTCGTTCTCAAGTCACGTTGAGTCGATTTTCGTCCAATTTCAAGAGGACAGGTTCAGTGAAACCTTTGGGAACGATCTTTTTGAAACTTTAGCACACATGGTTGAATGCACTTACAAGATCATAGCTCTGGTTGACTCGTCTACCAATCAAGAGTTCATTATGATCATTAAGGCGTCATTATCTCATGCAATCACCTCAGTTAGATATTTTGCGCTCTATCATGAGATACTGCCTCTTGTAACGGTAGAGAGCGCGATATCTGAGGTATGCTTCTCACTATGCCGTTTGGTCGAAAGGGTAAAAATTACAGACTCCGCTAATAGATTAGACGAAGACGACAGGCCTAAAACTCCCATGATTTCAGTCACTAAAGAGTCCAGGAATTTTTCATCAACATTGGAAGGATTTCAGGATCCTCAAAGCAGCTTGTATGAAAAATTCGATAATTCTGGGACCATGTCTCCCGTTAAGCCTTTGAAGATCACTCAAAAGGTAGTGAAAAACGCAACGTCGCCAAAGAGCACACATGCCAGTAGAAAGCCTTCGAGCACATTGTTCGCCTCGATTGTGAATCCAACGTCAGCCAGTGAAGAATCTCTAGGAAGCGCGCAGTTCCGAAGGGCCAATTTTTCCCCACCCAGTGATAGGCAGAAGAGCTCACATTTACCTGTTGATCATGACGTGCGACAACTAGTATCTGTTGCTGGGCGCGAACGCGTGCTTCAGCCATCCTCTCCTTCTGAGCGAGACCTCAAGTTAGCCGAACTTGAGAAATGCCCAGCGAGCTTGGCCCTGAACGAGAATGGTAAGTCTCCAGAAGTTTCAGCGTCGGTGGTTCACACTGAACAGCACAGTGAAATGTCACCAGAAGAAAAAGAGCCGATAAACGCTACAAAATCGATTGATACTGCTGCTAGGGCCGGTCCAGAAGTCAAGAATAGAAATTTCGGACATCTTCGCGATCAATTGAGCTCAAAAGAAACGGATCAGACAATTTCATCGGATGAAGAAACAATGGATGAGGGACACACCCACAGGAATGATGATAGTAATTTGACTAGCGATGATGATTTAACATATCAATTGTTGAAGGAGAATATGCGAAAAAAGCAACAAACAGATGATACGCTTGGGTATAGCCAACATTCAAGTCCTCACAAGAGTGAAGCTGACAGTTTGCCAGTCGAAAAAGCGGCGCTACAAGAATCTGTAGCTATCTTTCCAGAACAGGCCAAGGAAGCTATTTCTGTCGATGCTAACGTAACTTCTGGACTAAACAATCACCTCGGTGGCAGAAAGGTGAATGAAGATATTGGATCACAAAATCAACGCGCCAATGGAAGCCCTTTCTTGAAAATATCCGGGCCCAAGATCGACGCGGAAACATCGCAGCTCGAGGGTACTGGAGGTCAGCTCTCTTTCAGTCCAGAAGTAGAGAAAAAGCCCATAGGCCTAAAACAGGTGGGGCACGCAAATATTTCACCCCATAGTCACAGTGTTGGCCACAATCACGATGCGACCATGGCTAACGTTGTGCCATCGACCCTGACGAACGAGAATGATTTCTCCCAGGTAAAATTGAAGGAGTCTCCAACAGAAAGCATTTCTGCACAAAAGGACCTCAAGACAGTTGAAAAGGGTGCTACCCAGGCCAAGTCTTCAGACCATGGTCCTGGAACAATTGATGTGGAAGAAGGGAAGCCAAGTAAGCCAAGCGACATGGACCATAAAAGAACGCCAATGACAGGTGTCTCTCATGCCGAAACCATTGGATCGAGTGAGAAGCGCGTAGAACCGCTAGTGAAACAGGAGGAATTTGTGATACCTCAGCAAGGTGATGAATCTGGCATGGTGAGAAGAACAACGTCAGAAACTTCTCAAAAGTTTAATGTGGAAACTGGGCAAAGAGAATCCAGTGACGAATCCGATTTTGATATTGACGCGTTTGAAATTGACAACCCTGACAATACACTTTCAGAGCTTTTATTGTACTTGGAGCACCGTACTATTGAAGTCATAAGTACAATCCAGTCGCTTCTGACTTCAATTAAACAGCCACAGATATCGAAAGGAGAACTATGCAAAGGATCATCTGCAATTAACCAAGTGATTGTGCAAATGGTCGAAGCCACCGATGTTTCCATGGCTCAATCACGTAACGCAGCTTTGAAAGAGCACGGAAATTGGGTGGTTCAAAGTTTGAAGGACTGCAAAAGGAGAATGAAATCGCTCTGTCACTTGCACGACGACGGAACTATCAAAGCTGACCAAAGTGATAGCGACTATGCTGACAAACATTTCAAACAACGCCTGGCTGGTGTAGCTTTTGATGTGGCCAAGTGTACGAAAGAATTGGTTAAAACTGTAGAGGAAGCCAGCTTGAAGGAGGAGATCGAGTACCTCAACTCAAAACTAGCGCATTGATGTCATTTATCAAGCAAAATGTATTATATATTTACTATAATAAACGAGTAAATTAAGCAGTATAAAGGATAACATGAGATAAGTTGGTTTTGGTTCCACCATGCTAAGCCGTGATAACAGCGGAGCATTTGTGTGAAGTGTTTTTATATACAGGGTGATAGCACTCATACCTTTTTCTTGCTATGATCTCATTCACTTCTCACTGGGAGAAAAAACTAGCGGTCTACTTGCATTTGAATGGATGTCATCGGCCCACACAATATTATGAAAGAAACTTAGTCGTAGGATCAATTGTGCGACTATTGCTATTCCAGTATTCATACCATGGAGTCGGTGATGCGTATCAGAGAGGCCTCTTTAGAAGGGTTCAAAAACTCATTTTGAATATATTCAGATGTCTTTTCAGGACCATTTGTGATTAATATGCCGCCAATGAAAGCATTTAAGACACTGGATAAAACAGTGGCCTCCCCATTATAGACCTCATTTTGCAGTGGATCCCTTTTTTTCCAAAAAATCAAAGAATCCAATTGCCTTTTCCTGATGACTTCGGCCGTTGCTTTTTTAGAAATGAGAAGTTTTGAGCCCTGAGATCCGAGGTTTGTAAAATTGAGCCCATTAATTGGTTTCTGTTCATTTTGAGCCGAGGCAGACGAGCTGCTTTTCAGCGAGTGCACCGAGGCACGATACTTGAGGTACTGAGCCCCAAGTAGTGCCAATTTCTCATTATATGGCTTACCACCGTGGGCAAATGATTTGTGTGTCAGGCATTGTAAGATCAGGTCATCTGAAAGCGTAATATCATTGCTCTTTAGGTTCAACTGTGAGCGTACAGCCTCTTGGTATGTTTGGGGTTCGACTTCGGTATATAAAAGGCCACTGGGAAGCCTCAAGTACTCGCTAGGGTCCCTCTTCAGACCCCGGACTCTGTTTCCACTGTGCAGATATGTGACGGTTCTGCGCCCCACTGGGCTTCGAAGACAAGCCAATTTCCCCCAAAGACCAGACATACTCGCGATCCGGCTCCAATTCTATAATACAAGTATCCGTTGAGGGCCGTTCAGCGAATGATAGAGTCTGTTTCCGCAGCTGTTTTTGAGTTTCTATTTCAATTCTATTCAATATTGGAAAATTTTCCCACCAGTAGTAGTTCGCTAATTTATAGCATCCGACACGATTCGGCAGAGATGCCGATACCACACACACTACTGGCCAAACCGGTGTGGATTGCTTGGTTGTGGCTCTGCAACCTTGTGAACTTTTCGGTCTTCTTATCATCACATTCGAAGCTTTTCACGTAGGCGCTTGTATCTCGGCGAATTTGGACAAAGATCACTCAAGTCCGTGCAATCCGCAATTCCTGCTCATCTCCTTGGAGTTGGCGTACCTTGTGCCTAAAACGTAGATAGCATAATTTCATGATAGCGTTCATTTCCGAAAGCAAAGTTTGCTGGTAGCATAGTTTTCCGAACGCATGATTTGCTGGTAGGATGTTGTGTTCACAGGTGCTGAAAATGGTCATCGGCTCCAGTATTCCAGCCCCACCAAATGGTCGTGACCTGCACGCCACCAGTAAACTCGGGCTCGACAACTGTTGTGCCCAAGAACCAATATTGTACACAGCTTGCATATTGAGTGGGGTGGAGGACTTATCAAAGGAAGCAGTCCATTGATTATGTCCATCAAACCGAGCTCTTTGGCTATTCGAACCTGTTTCGGCTTGAAGCTCAATCTACTAGTTGTGGGTATACTATAAAGGTTCCTTCATATATGGTTCATTTTCTTACACCAATATAGAAATTTATTTAGCCGCCGAGCCAAATAGAAGCTTATATAACTTTTACCAATAACTCAACTAAAATGAAGAGAGTTTTGGAGCTTAAACAATCAGCTATAGTCAATATCGTCTGTTATACTTCTGCCATTTGGGCTATGTTTGCTTATCCCAGTTGTCCAGATGAGGACACTGGTATCATACACCAAGAATGATTCAAGGGGGTAAGCTTCCCGATAAATTATTGACACTCGATACTCTACTAACTCGGGTACTTAAAGACAGTTCACATTGCATGGCCATTCCTGAAAAGTTGCTAGGCATATTGTGGGTAGTTGTCTGAGGGAGCTGATTGATACATCCTCGCAAACACGCAGTCAAAAGCTCGTTAGTCATATCAACTGCATTTTTTGGAGCTTAGAGGACTCTCGACACCAGTCGGGGCTTCAAAGTGTTCCAAATGTGTCTTTGTAGAGCAATCACTGCGGCCCACCAAGTGAACAGTAATGGCAGACCCTCAAATAAAGCACGGGAGATCAAGAGAGCCAGACATCACTTATTTGCCCAGCTTATAAGCCAAAACGCAGTAAAAACCTCTGTGGTGTCTCTATAAACAACTTAGAAGCGTCTGCTTGGGCAAGGTGCTTTTTCGAAAGCCGTGGCAATCCAGACAAGTTGAAAGGCTCTTGACTCCCATTAAAAGTACCATCTGAAAAAATAAAGCTGCTCTTACTCAAAATTACTGTTCTCTTTACACAATAGTGGATGACTTAGTCAATATGCTATTCCTAGATTGGCGTTTCACGTATTAAGCTTGGGAGCATGGCCTTAGTGATGATCGATCACTTTATCGATGACAGACGTTCCACGTAGTTTGAAATTTTTGAAAAATTTAGTAAGGCTCCATAAAACTGCGATGAGCTCAAGAACGAATTTCAAGGACTTGTTATCCAGCTTACCTTGAAGACTCTTTCGGAGATCAACCTGATAAAGATCTCGTGGATAGAGGAACTGTTCCGAATTTTGCGAAAATCCTCCTTACGATTGACGTCCACAGCCTACAATAATCACAACTGAATCATGGATATCTTTCAAGTTTTAACCAGAGGCGCTAATGTCAAGAAAAGCAACCGTTCAGGCGTCAACGCTGATTTCAGCAAGAGCAAGACCGATCAAAATGTCACATTTTTGCCGGGAAGTACCAGAAAACAAGATACCGATCAACAGCTAACAAAGGAACTAGACTTTTTTCGCAACAAGAGAACAGTCCTCAAAGCCGAAAAAGAGCACCAGGCTACTGAGGATAGTCTCACCACTAGCCCCGAAAAACTTTCCAACACTCCGGTAGATGATCGCGCAACGCTCAGGATATCTAATGCCGAGGAAGCCGCTCAGCTCAGAAAATCTTACGGTGGAAATGTTACAGGAGAAGATTTACCGCTACCAATCGGTTCATTTGAAGATCTTGTTACTCGCTTTAAATTCGACAAGCGTCTCTTATCCAATTTAATCGATTCGCACTTCACAGAACCTACTCCCATTCAGTGCGAAGGTATTCCAATGGCGCTCCAGGGCAGAGACATCCTAGCCAGTGCTCCCACTGGATCGGGTAAAACTCTATCCTTCGTACTACCTTTACTGCAACAAGCTATCAATTCGCGAAAAACTGAGGGCCTTAAAGGGCTAATTATTTCGCCCACGAAGGAATTAGCGAATCAGATATACTTAGAGTGCGTTAAGCTGAGCAATAAGATTTTCCTTGACAAGAAGCGTCCTCTTGCTATCGCATTGCTCAGCAAGTCACTCAGTGCCAAACTGAAAAACAAAATCATCAGCGAAAAGAAATATGACATCATAATCTCCACACCTTTACGTCTGATCGATGTGGTTAAGCAAGAAGCGTTAGATCTCTCTACCGTTAAACAGCTGGTTTTTGACGAAGCTGATAAGTTATTCGATCAGACTTTCGTAGAACAGGCAGACAGCATTCTAGCGTCCTGCCGGGACCCGCAACTCCGTAAAACAATGGTTTCTGCAACGATGCCCTCCGGATTAGAAGAGATCGCACAGAGCATCATGATGGATCCAGTGAGAATTATTATCGGACGTAAGGAAGCTGCCAATTCCAACATTGAACAAAAGCTCGTCTACTGCGGGAATGAAGAGGGTAAGTTAGTAGCCATCAGGCAAATGGTCCAGGAAGGTGCGTTCAAGCCACCAGTTATCATTTTTTTGGAATCGATTACTAGAGCAAAGGCCTTATTCCACGAATTACTTTATGATAATTTGAATGTCGATGTTATACACGCAGAAAGAACGCAGATCCAGAGGGATAAGATTATAGAAAGATTTAAAACTGGCGAGATATGGTGTTTGATCTGTACAGATGTCTTAGCTCGGGGTGTTGATTTTAAGGGGGTAAATTTGGTCATCAACTATGATGTACCCAGATCTGCCCAAGCATATGTGCATAGAATCGGTAGAACCGGTCGGGGTGGTCGTAGCGGTACTGCTGTGACGTTTTATACCAAGCTTGATGATATCGCCGTTAAGCCCATTATTAACGTAATGAAGCAGAGTGGGACTGAGGTAGCTGAATGGCTCGACAAGTTCTCGAAAATGACGAAGAAAGAGAAGGAAGCTTTGAAAAAAGGTAAGAAATCCGGCGACAGAAGTCAAATAAGTACAGTACCAAAAGTGGTAAAGCAGAAGAAACGCCAACGAAAAGAAATGGTTGAGGCTTCAAAAAAACGCAAGCGGCTGGAAGAGTAAGGTCACCGTCACGTCCAGTAGGAACTTGATGCGATTCAACATAAGTATCTGAACTAAATAGTATTCTTATAGAGTGGGACCAGGCCATTTACCGAAAGCAAATGAGGCAATGCACTTGACTGTCGTACAACTCACTGTGAGAAGCTTCTAATAATCTAGAATATATCATTATGCAAAGTTAAAAAGTGAGAAAGATGAAGAGAGGATTTTTAGCCACAATCAACCCCGAAGTGGACCAACAACCCACACCCTGGGGGGTGAACAACTTTTGGGAGTATAAATTTTCAGAGGTAATCCAATACTGCATTATATCAGCGTATCTTTTGATCTTAATTGCGTCGCGTCATCATCCGAACACAAGTTGGGGCGCGTGCGCTTCAATCATTCACCACTCAGTGGTGAGCCCCGTAGTTGGTGTAGCCCACAACCTTTCTTCTTCCAATGACCTCACCGAGCGAGTACAAGCCGGCCAATTGAATCCCGTAGGCACCGTACTTGACCACGTCGTCCTTCTGGACGTTTTTGATGAATCCTAAGGATTGCTTGGGCTTCAGGGCTGCACTTACGGCCTGTTTGTACAGTTTTGTGTAGACACTTTGAAAGTCGGCAATTGAAGGAGGTTGTAGCCCTTCCTTGAGGTACACTTGCTTGGAAAGCTCACCCACAACTTTCGAATAGTAGATAGACTTTGTAGCGTAGCCTTGAGCTTTAGAAACCGTACGTGTAGCAAATCCCTGAATTCTTGCCAACATTTTGTATTGATAGGGGAATCGCCGCAGTGATTTACAAGATTTCTCGTGTGTATAAGCGACCTTTCGAAGCGATTTTTCAACTCTGTTAGCATCCAAATTCAAATATAGTGATAAAATTTTTATCAAGTTTTTTGGGCCCTTTGGCCAATCACATTTGGCAACTTTAAAATATCACATGATAATCACATGGTTAGTACTTCGGCTGACAAGTTGGCGTCGAAGACAAGCTAACCTGGCTTTGTGTCAGTCAAGCCCAGTATACTCGAGGGACTGGACTACTTAGAGCTTAGGCAACGTAGAAGTGTTGGTAATGTAGGTTTAAATGCTGCCCGTCGCTGGACAATATGCAATGACTTTTCTCTTAGAATTAACAAAACAACACATTTTATAAGTTGTGTCGATTTCTTGAAGTCGTGGTTTTCCGTTGTAGAGGTTCTTGAGTAGGTACGCTGTCCGCTGACAAAATAAATCTGTCGCTAAAAAGAGTGGGTAAAGCCCGAACTGAGGGCTGTAACAACACGAATACTATAGTTTTTTGAAGTGCCACACTGCTTAATTAACGGGATGTGTAGAATATGGCCATGGAAGAAAAAAATTCTGTTGGCCACATACTCTTCGGCCGTCTTTCTGGAAGTGATGATCCCAATTATGTAGTTGATGTACATTGGTATCTACCACCAAAAAAATAAAACTGCTAAATGGGTAATGGTTGGCCTCATGCACAGTCTATCTTTCAGATCCGACCATTGAGACGGATGGAGCGTCTCACGCCTTCTCCTAACACAATGACTTTGTCCTCTTGTTGCAAGCGAACTAGAACGTCTGAGATATCTGTGGCATCAACCTTATCCTGCGACTGTTCGTTGATACTCCGAACCAACTCATTGTAGGTCACAGTATGGTTAGGACGGCCCGCTATGACGGCCAAAACCTCGCGTGCCAAATCCTCTTGCATTTTACGCTGCACGACGGATTTACCCGTTTGTACAAGACTCATGTCTATCTTCCCCGTTTTAGGATCCGTGGCGTAGTCCTTGATGGCGGATTTTATTAATCTCACAGCTTCTTGTACATCTTGAAGTTCAACCTCTCGAGATAATCGCATCTTTGCATGTGCTTCTGAGAGTCTGATCATACTCTCGAGCTGCCTTGTCGTGGCAGTAATTCTTTTTTCATCTGACCTAGAGTCGTCACCCATCTTCCGCATGGTAACGTAAGCTCTAACAAGCTCCGTTTTCGCTTGCTCACCAATGACCGGGGAATATTGCTGCTTCGCATAGTTGAGGTACGTGGTCAAAAATTCGACTGGCAAAATATCCTCAGCGTTTTCGTGATCAGGAGCATCTTCTAGATACAAATTAGTGAGGTGCTTCGCAAGTTCCCTATCCGTTGCCTCATCAACCTTGTCAAGGACGAGATATACAAGGTCAAATCTTGATAGCAGTGGAGGAGGTAAATCAATATTTTCCGTGACAGGCAGATTTGGATTATACCGCGACCCTATTGGGTTAGCACTAGCTAAAATGGATGTCCGTGCGTTTAGCGTAGTGATAATCCCGGCTTTGGCAATCGAAATAGTTTGCTGTTCCATTACCTCATGTAAAACGGATCTTGTCGAATCACTCATTTTGTCGAACTCGTCAATACAACAGACACCACCATCAGATAAGACCAGAGCACCGCTTTCTAGCACCAATTGTTTTGTGTCAACATCTCTCGTGATATATGCAGTTAAACCTACCGCAGAAGAACCTTTACCAGATGTGTAGATACCACGAGGAGCGATTTTGTGAACGTACTGTAAAATCTGAGACTTCGACGTTGATGGATCGCCACACAATAACACATTAATGTCACCTCTGTACCTACCACCTTTCGTAAACGTTTTATTAGTACCACCGAATAACTGTAACAGTATTCCTTTCTTAACGTCGTCCAACTCGTAGATACTCGGAGCCAGCGAACGAGCTAAAACATCATATACGTCGCCTCTCGAAGCAACTGCATGTATCTTGCGTATCTGTTCGTCGGTTATCTTAGTAACCTCACGTATGTCGGTATGGTTTATCTCGTTTTGCAAAATTTCCTGCTCAACGGTCGAAGTATCAGCTCCCATTCGATCGCGGGTCACTTTTTTAACATGAACAACATCAAGGTAAGTCTTGTATAGAGCCTTCAGAGCTCTTTGTCTAGAGCTGGCTCTAATGGGGATCGAGCGAAATATTCCGGTGACTTCTATCCTGTCACCCGCTCTACACGAATCGACCAGTTCATCGTACACACAGAGAGACACCGAGTGTGGAGTTTGGCCATCCGGCACTGTATCAGGAGTTTCTTGGAGTTTAATGACTTGCTTATCAGCAAAGGAGCAACGGTTATGGATTAAGGACATCGAGTTTGGCTGGTTACACGCAACACGCGGACATCTGGAGGGTTCTTGGATCAGACCTCTGTCAATTTCTACTACCATTGTATGGTCACATACATTACACTTAAAAAATGCCACTTTCATGTCCGGAATGATAGGCGTTGACCGCAGAACTAGACCCTTGACACTTATAAGCTTATCGATGTCGTTCGGGTTCAACTCTCGCATGCCTTTCTTGGTTTCTATGTTGTAAGGTCTGACTTTGTAAAACTTGGACTCTACTTCATCCAAACTTGACCCCAGATTATTATCAATCACCAATGATACCATACAGTCCTTGATGGTCTGGTCCATGATGGACACAATTTCTTGAGGATAACTCATCAGTTGATAATAAAGCTTTTCTGTAGGCTTGAAACTTAGCAGGTTTCTAGCATCCAAATTCAAATTGAGAGAGCCTATTTCGCGCATTTGATTTAAACGTTCAACGTAATACAATTCTTCATCCTCATCTTCAGTTATTAAATCCTCGTTTCCGTCCAGCGTTTTGCGAAATTTATACTTGAATGACATTAGAAAATTGCGGAAGTTTGTTGCACACTCCTGAATACTCACATTGGTACCCCAGATGATACGCAACGGTTCACCTGCTTCTGACACAGGGTCAGAGGAAGAGTTAGGTGCAGGCTGTGAGTCCAAATCGACCATTCTTCGTGGGGAAGAAAGATCAGACGCATGTAAATCACTGCGACGTTGAGAAGCACGCTGTGAAATGCGCCCTGAAAGCGATGATGATAGCAGATCTGGCTCGCTGGATTGATCTGTGAAGCGGCCCGAGTCGGGTCCACCTCTCCTCTGAGCTCTGCGTTGAGAACTGAAAGTATCAGAAGAAACCCCTCCTCGAAATTCAGAGGACCTTTGTGGGCGAAAAGGAGAAGAGCCTACCGTCCTCTGTCTCTGTTGGCTCTCGTACGTGTCCGGCTGGGATGATGACGACGGGTTGTAAAACAGAGGCGGGGATGACCCTCCGAGAGAAGAAGGAGGGGCAGCCATTGGAGAAGATGCAGCATCTCTGACCGGTGAGCTGCGATTGTCTGACATCTTCTTTATTGTACAATTCGCGTTGACGTTATGACACGTTATGACACGTTACAGTGGTAACGTATCGTTTTGATATTAATTATTTTCGATGAATTTCAAATTGGGTAATTTGCCTGTAGTCGGGTAACCACTGATTAAGACCAAATGCTCAATCTCACTGCCAAATCGCTTAACGTCAGTGATGGACTTCTTTGGAATCTGGTTTAGAGGTTTCAATATTCTGCTTGAGGCCATTCCATTTCTCCATATCTTTTACAAGCCAAATCCGTGAGCTTCCTGCTTTGGCCACAGGCCTAGTCGTATATTCTTTGATCGTGTCACGTATAGCGACCTTTGAATGCTTCGAAAGCTGCTTTTGAAGTATCTCAGTAACTGTTCCTAGCGAGAAAGTGCTTTCGTGAACCTCCGCAAAAATTTTCAGAAGAGAATCTGGATCGGATATTATAGACCTGGCTTTTTTTGCGCGAGTTGGAGACGCTTGAGAAGAGCCTTGTTCAGCAGAAGATGACAAATTATCGATTGAGCTACTCTTGGGATGTTCAGGCTTGACATCAAGCTCTGCTGCAGTTCTTTTGTTGATGGCACCTGCTTTTGGAGACATATGAGTTGGGTCTATGGAAAAGGGTCCCTGATGAAGAAGACAGGTGACACTAATCATGCGAAAATAATTCCGATCCTCGTCATCTAATCCCGCGAGGTTGGTGCGCATCCTCACAACAGGTATTAGGGGCCCCAAAAATTTCTTGCCGTCTCGTGGATCTTGAGATTCCTCATGATCCAAGAACCCCTCGAACTCACCCTCTGTTCCATCTTCCACCTCTTCTTCCTCGTCCTCTTCATCTCCATCTTCAAGATCGTCCACCTCTCCGCCTTCTTCCTCTTCTTCATTGATCCAATCCCAGTCCGAATCATAATCGTAATCAAAACCGGTTTCTTGGACGGAGAAAGGGTCGTGACATGGTAGTTTAAAGTCCTTTGAGTAAGTGCCAATGTAAGGTGGCCGTACGTTTTCATAAAATTTGATGAATTTTTGGGGAATCTCTCGCAGTCGATCCTCTAGCTCCTGATTTGTCTTGTCCTTGCTGGTCATTAACTGGACCAACTCAACTGCGGTTTTTCTCACAGTATAGCCTCTGATCTGTTTGTAAGATGACATCCAGAGTACGGTATCTTCTTGAGAGCCTCTAGTTTGAAGCTTGGCGTCAATGTCAGACTTTGAAGCTTTCAGCATGTCTGGGGAAAGTGCGAAGCTTTTGCCCATTACAGTTCCATCTTTCACGTAAAAAGGAAGAAAGTGTCTTTCGAAATCGGTCTTTGTTGAGACAAAACTTTTCGAAGTGTTTGATTTTTTGAAGAAACTACCGATCTTGCTTTGATTTTGGCCTGATGGGTCCTCTTTCTGCCTCTTCTCCTCTTCGCGTTTGGCTTTTTCCTCGAGCTTCCTTTGTTTGTCTTCCTCCTTGCGCCGCTCTCGTTCCTGTTTTTCTTGTTCACGTTTGACTTCTTTAGCGCGCTTCTCTTCCTCTTTCCTCAGCTCGCGCTCCCTTCTCTCATCTTCTTTACGCTTTTTGTCTTCGAGCTTTTTTTGTTCCTTCTCTCGTCTTTCCAGCTCCCGTTTGAACTCGCGATCTCTCTTTTCCTGCTCCTTTTTGAGCTCCCTCTGAATTTTCTGCTGCTGCTTCAGCTCTTCTCGAGATTTCTTGGCTTCTTCCTTCGGCAACTTAGATGTTTGACAGCTGTCCTTTTGTGATCGACTAGCAGTATATGCTTGATCTTCTTGACGCTCATCATTTGTTATTTCAACCTTCTCTGAGTCCTTGGCTTGTGGGGAAGGTATCACTTCGTGGCTATTCCGAGACTCTAGATTCAAATTCACAATTTCTTGTTCCATCTTCCCATTAAAAATGAACGCAGTCTCTGAAGGCTTCGCGGAGTTGCAGACCCTTTTATCAGATATTAATGGGTGGTCTATCGTCATTTTGATGAACTCCAAATCCAAAACTTTTGGCGTTTGGGTTGACCAAATTACATTCATTATTCACGTCAATTTCGTAAGAAACGTTCCGTATTCATCATCGAGCTTAAAATTGGCAAAGATATACGAGAGATTACTAGAACCATCTCCTACCTCAGTTTGATCATTAAGACGATTCTAAGCTCACCTTTTCACTTCTCTCGTGCTCCCAATTTCAAATAAAATGTCCCATTATAGGTGCTATATGTCGTTATGACTAGGGAACCATGTTCCACACTGCAATATGCTGCGCACTATCACTACGATAAATTTTATACCCTTGAATTTCAGGTCGACAGTGTATTCTATGGACGTCTTATCCCGATTACATATATGCCAGCTATGTAGAACTTCTATCTTTTTCACGGAGATGTCAAGCCTACGACTTGGTGGTAAAGCAGTCGGGCATTGCCTATTCTTTATTAACCTCCAAATTCGGACATGTTGGTACCTGTAGATCGTGAGATCTCTTGGTCGAGGGAATCGCCAAAAAACTCAGCGAAATACGCCTGTAATGAATCGTAATCGTTCTCTTCAGTTTCTTGAGCAGCTCTCGCAAACGGCGTCAATCGCGCCGACACCCCCTGCTCTTCGCCGATGGTGAAGTGTCGATCAGACGTTATTGTGGAAAGCAGATGTTCGTCAAAGCCGATGGGAATGAATTCCAACTGGTCACGATGGTATCTTGGTCGAGAGTCCTCAGTGTCATGCGCCGATTCACTATTATGTGCTGTCACTTTAGAAATTCTGCACGGTTCTTTTGGAAGTACTTCAAGAGACATTTGAGGTTTTTCAATGGCTCTCTTAGGCGTTGTGGAATATTTTTCCCACGGTTTACCCGATGACTTAACTTCGAAAAATGGAGCTGGAGGCAGTACGGGCGGTTTGGAAGGATATTCTGGGTGACTTACTGGTTTTCCCGCAATTAATGCAGAAGACTGCGGAAATTTCTTGAGCGAGAGGTGCGTTGGTGAGCCCTCGTATTTCTGTTGCCGAGCGCCTGTCCCAGAAGGTTCTGACCACTGGCTTAGAATCTGATGCTTTGGGTCGTTGTCACAATTTGGGCTTTTTCCCTGAGAACCAGAGTATCGACCAAACAAGTTTTCCAGCCCAGACGAGACCTTCCTATTTTCTAGTTCTCTATTTAGTACCGCGACGCACTGTTGTTGGAAATGATTGATGCCATCTAAAATCTCGATCATCGACCTCACTTTGGCTGTTCCTGTACACTTGCCATTTTTGAAGGCATCCAGCTTGTGTTGTAAAATCGGCGTGTCGTCTCCGAAAACGTCGCTATGCTGGAACGTATCTATGCTCTTTTGGAGAAAAGGTATCACTGAACTTTTGAAGAACTTCTTGTTGCGATGCAGTCCAACGACAGATGAACTGGCGTGCGAATCTGCGTCTTGCTGGATATTCTCACTGTTGCTTTTATATGGTGACCCCGAGAAATGAGTAGCTATTTCGTAATCCACTAGCGAAGAGTGCTGTGCTGAAGCCAGAGACTCGCTTGCCTGCATACGTCCATCTTCGTGCTCAATCACGTTCTCCTTCCCGGCCGGATATGGCAAGGGCGGGAGTGTCGACTTGACCACTGGCCATTCAAGAGTATTGGCTTCCGCTTGCACCTCGAGCTTCTTAATTCTCTGTAAGAGTAGGTCGAGCTCCTGGCGCTGCTGTGTAAGCTCCAATTTTAGATGGTAGTTTTCATTTTTCAAGTCCGCCAAGGGTTTGTGCGACGTTCGGGTTTGGAGCCCTGAGAGGACCTGTTTATTGGAGTGCTGCTCAACATCTAAAAATTCTCTGGCCATAACGTCTGCTGTTGGATTATTGAACTCGCAAGAACCTGATTTTATGCTGTTTCTGACACTGTTTTTGTGCTCTAGATTCGGCGGCCTCAGCGTTAGGCAACCGATCCCATGTGATAGGCGAGAATAGTCAGCATCCTCTGCCCCCATTCTCTCGCCCATATCGATAAATGTCCTATCCTCCGCAATACTTCAACGGTGACACTGCGTATTGGCTTACTTCCCGAAGGCCGTACGCGTGTTTTGTATCGGTGATAAACTGTCCTAAGCACCCGGTCTAGTTTCCTAAAATCCACAGGGGAATCTTGAAGTAAAACCCAGTCGCAATTTTGGCTTCAAGTTACCAAGCTTTAGTGCCCAGCAGGAAGATATTCAGAAGTTTATAATGAGCATCGTCTTTTCCTGACACAAAGTTAATTACTGGCGTCACTAAACTGGCAACGAAGGAAATTGACCAAAGTAAGGGAGACATGACTGGTCCAGTTGCCAACGACTAGCAAAAAAGCTTGAATCACCCAGTCTCATGCCCAAAATGATCGTAGATAGAAGTATCCGATTCTAAGTACAATTTAAAAGGAGTGGCATGAGACCTGCCACGGACATTTGATTATTATTTTGACAAGCTTAATTAACGTGAAAAAATGGGACGTGGAAATACACAATTGGAAAGAGAAGGGCTCGTAATTCGAAATAGTGACCTATCTAGATGGTGAAACTCAGCTGCCCGTTTCCCGGATGCCAATCAAGTATTGTCGGTTTCGAGGCTGATCACAGCACGGTATTGCCCGTAGATGTTTACAAGAAATTTAAGATCATGCTTCCTTCTGAAAACACGACCGTTGATGGACAGTTTTCGGTATATGGAGACATCTGGGATTTCGACAATGTAGGAGTCTCCAGAGCGGTTCCAGACAGTGTTTTGGGTTCTGACAATGAGCAAGCGGCCTCAAAGTGGGTGTTTACGTGGAAGGAAAACTCCTACATGTTGGGAAAACTAACAAAGTACTTGATATGTGCAGATTGCGACCGCGGGCCCCTGGGGATGGTTTGCGAGACTATGAGAGATGGGCAGTCCGTCACACTGAACTTTTTAAGCCTGGCAAGCGTCAGAAGGGTCGAAGAACCTTGACGTGAAGCAGCGAGCTGCATTGACGAACGACAAAGTCATTTCCATCCTTCCGAACCGAACCCAGGACTGAGGACATTGGCTTTCGTCGTTGTTCGCAATCTTCGGACGGCTGGCAACCTATCCTCGAGCTTCGAAGCAGGAAGAAAGTTCCAAAAAAAACTACGGTGTGTCTCTCCCTCCGGCAACATGCTTGCTACACAAGCGTGTGAAAAGATCGTCCCCACCGCCGTGAGAGCCTATTTCGATTGCGCAGGACACGAGCAGGGCCACTAACGCTCCGATGCCATCGAGTACGTCGGCCGAAGTATTCGCCTTTGGTCACTTCTAACGCAATTGGTGTCGCTGTAGTTATAAAAATTTTCCAGATATTAAAGCTCATCTCGGATCCAAGAGGAGAGTTGCTGCAATCTCCTCAAGAGACCGATAAGTCTAGCATTTGTGTGGTATTGAATCGCGTTTGTTACCATCAATCTACTGCCTATACCAATACTGTCATCCACTTTCTCATTTTTTGCTCAGTAGCTCAATAATATTCCGAGATGGCAAGCAGAACCCAATTCGAAAATTCCAATGAGGTTGGTGTATTCTCCAAACTAACCAACTCGTATTGTTTGGTCACCGTAGGTGGGTCGGAGAATTTTTACTCGGCTTTCGAAGCTGAGTTGGGCGACGCCATCCCCATCGTGCACACTACGATCGCGGGAACCCGTATCGTGGGCAGAATGTGTGCTGGTAACCGCAGGGGTCTACTGGTGCCCACTCAGACCACAGACCAAGAATTGCATCATCTCAGAAACAGCTTGCCCGACAGCGTGAAGATCCAAAGAGTCGAAGAACGTCTGTCCGCGCTCGGCAACGTGATCTGCTGCAACGACTACGTTGCGTTGGTCCACCCGGACATCGACCGTGAAACAGAAGAACTGATTGCAGACGTGCTAGGTGTTGAAGTGTTCCGTCAGACCATTTCCGGCAACGTGCTGGTGGGCTCCTACTGCGCGCTCAGCAACCAGGGCGGGATAGTACACCCTCAGACTACCATCCAAGACCAAGAAGAACTTTCGTCGCTGCTGCAGGTGCCGCTGGTAGCTGGTACCGTGAACCGTGGGTCGGCCGTCGTCGGAGCGGGAATGGTGGTGAACGACTACCTGGCCGTCGCAGGTCTCGACACCACAGCTCCAGAGCTCAGTGTCATCGAAAGCATTTTCCGTCTGCAGGATGCCCAGCCAGATTCCATCTCTGGCAACCTGCGCGACACCTTAATCGAAACCTACTCTTAAGATTTGGTGACATTTGTACAATGGGGGAAAAAATACATGTGTGTGTATTGTGTAGCATAGCATAAATGTAATAAAAAATTGACTAGGCAATCGCCATAGAAGGCTTTTTTTCTGCAGGAAAAAGTCCTCAAGCTCTCCTTTCCATACCAAATTCACGAAATTCACAAGTAGTTAATATGTATCCTTTTTGACCCGAACCTAGCGCTTCGAACCTTTTGTAGCAATTTTTCGAACAATTCTGTCTACACCATTTTCCGCTCGCTGTGTGTCCCAATGTTGTGTATTCCGCTGCTATGAATTCTAGATATGTCCTATCTGCCCGCACACTGCTGAATTATCTCCAGGACTTCCAATCTTGCGTCCGAAAAGCCCTAGAGTACCGTGTGACTAGCCCTAGAAAAATTTCACTATCACTGCCATAGGATACTGAGAATTTCCCACGCAGCAGGAGCAAGGCGTGGCCATCTCGAACGGTATGAGCCACGAACCGTAGAATTTCGAGATCATGACTGACACGGAAGAGTAGCGGGATTTGCTCTTACAGCCTTTTTTTTTCCTTGTTATGTAGCGCATCGAATTCTTGATGCGAGTGGCAACTGCCTGCTGGATAACAGTAGGTGCATTCCCTTGAAGATTTTAGGATTGTTAATTGTGGTCCCACTTGATTGTACGGTGTGTTGCCTGCTGGTGAAAGAATCTAGACGATCCAAGGTCGGGACATAAACGGTGGAATTATGTAATGGGGCGTCGGTAGGATCGCGCAATTTGCACAGTTCGCTGCCAAGGGAAGTAAGGTAGGACCAGCTGGGCTGTAAGCCAACGCTAAAAAAAATTCAATGTTCGGACGTATAGGGTCTCAGTAGGCGGAGTATAATGTAGTGGTGCGATTAGACACTAAAATCCTAAAATCAGCAAAGTGCCGTTTGAGTATGATCTATATATATGCGGAAGCATACAAGTGAGAGGGAAACGTCAGTGCAAGATTATATACCACTCTACACATATTATATATATATATTCACACATATATATATATCCTGGCAAGAGGTTGAGTGTTGTTGGGTGGGATACACGGAGAACAAGGAGCGAGGTCGTAAACGGTCGAGCTTGTTCCCAGCTGCGAGAGCTTAGAGCTCGAGTGTGTGAGGTGTACGAATGGATGTCATTGCCGAAAAAGAGCGTTCAAGAACAAACACGGGATAACGAGCAAGCAAGCGACAACAATGGCGCGGCCAAGGGTGCACGAACGTTATCGGAGATTTTGCGGGAGGTCAAGAAGCCGGAGATTCGGCCTGTTCTGCAGTTCCAGAAGCCCTCTGTAGCAGAAATAGGCCAGCATCATTCGCAGCTGCCCGGAGGCGGGATGGCCAGAGACAGTGGGCCGGTGCGGACAGCGGTGATGAATAATACGTCGCGACCGCCGAGCGCAACACACCATGAATGTTTCATCTGTAGAAAGACGTTTTCGCGGCCCAGTGCGCTCAACACACATGTGCTGATCCACACAGGCCACCAGCCTTACATCTGCGACGTGGCCGGGTGTGGCAAGCGTTTCAACGTCAAGAGCAACCTGATGAGGCATAAGAAAATACATAAGAAGTCGCAGCAGCAGCAGCAGCAGGAGCGACAGGACCCGCACGGTGAGTAGAGTCCCTGGCAAAGCGACGCTGCGTCCCGAAAATCATAGCATCAGCCACCCAGCATTTCCCGAAGTTAAACGCTTAGGGCATAGAGTTTAGAGTTTAGAGTTTTGAGTTTAGTTTGAACATATAATCGAGAAATTAAAACGTCGAGTTTAGAGTTTGGAGTTTGGAGTTTAGTTTGAACATATAGTCGGGAAATTAAAACGTCGAGTTTAGAGTTTACCACAGATATCTGAAGTTTGCAATTTGGAATCTGAAACCTGAGCGTTTTCTAAGGCGGACTAGGTTCTAGGGCTCAAAAGTTGGATTTTGAAGTTCCATAGATAGTAACGCCGAAAGCGGGAAACTTGAAAGGTGCACAGCTTCTCAGAGGAATCAGAGCCAGAAGTATTCAACCAAGCTAGGGCCGTTGTCCAGGCCTGTCCTAGGCTCAAAATGTGCTGTACCAAATCTGCGATGAAAACTGTATCTCGTAAATAACGAGGCCCTTGCTGCACAAAGAACCCATGCTGGTTCGGGTGGAATGCAACTAGCCTCTTCTGCGCAGTTGGAGACCTACTGGTTCACGCACCTCTGCCTACCAGCTGTCTACCAAACCCCTCTTCCTCTGCACTTGCCCCACCTTCTCGGGGTTTTGTTTCCTTCTTCAGCTCACCACTTCCTATGCAACCCACCATCCGTCCCGTCAACACACACGCCGCGGGCTCCCGGTGCCGAATCGAATCTTCCATTTCAATATTCTGACGCCTATGGTTACGCTTTTACACCGTAAGTCTAGTTTCGCGGACCGTTCAGTCACTGTTCTCAAGCAAGTTAAAACCGCACGGCACCCTTAGCGACCGATCTGCTCAGAAGTTTTCTTCTTCCAACAACTACGTGCTAGGTACGGTGGCAACTACTAGTGACCGTCCACCAACACGACGATCCACCTACAAAAACGTACATCAACTTCCTCGAGCGTCTCGAAACGCACGTGTGCGATCTGACGAATAGTTGTTCTTCTGTGCATGTTCCTGCATCTAGCAAAATGCAAGTCTATTCTTTACGTATTTGGTGATCTGCATGCCAATCCGACGGAGACAAAACGGGTGTTGCATTATAGCCGGAAACGGGCTCTCTGACGCTATGAACGGCAGCTGAAGACTTGGTCTTGGAGGAACGGGGCTCGCCAGTGGTTCATTGAGCTACGATGGTACGTCGTTCTTCTGGCTCGCCAGTGGTTCATTGAGCTACGATGGTACGTCGTTCTTCTGTCTGGGCTTTGTGGTAGAGAAACCTCGGGCGACGGATCCGCGTGGAATTCGGCAACGACGTCGTTGCCTTTTTTTGGGGTTCCTCGGGTTAGCTACGGCAAACAGCCCTCCCGTCCGCTTGTGGATGTGCGTGTGACAAGCTGTTATCGTTGTGTGTCAAGATATTAGCCTGTCTTTCAACAAGTACGAGAGTTTGGCCGAGTGGTTAAGGCGTCAGATTTAGGCTTAGCTTTCATAATAAGTCAGATTCTCTGATATCTTCGGATGCGCGGGTTCGAATCCCGTAGCTCTCATTTATTTTTTTATTCAGGATGATTCAGCCTTGTGGGCAGGTAATTAATGTTTTGGGCCGCGCCAGCTACAATCAGCAGCAAGAAAGTGTTTATAACCGGGGCAATAACCTGCCACACTATAAACAACGATAAACATCACAAACTAAAACACCGCTGCAATTTTCTTGACACTATCAAGCGTTAAATGCTTTCTTACTCTATCTACCAGCACCCGCTGATGATCACGTCGAGGTGTCAAACAAACCGTCAGTCAGGACTAAGCCTCACAGTCACGTGTGAATGATATACCATAAATCCGACCTTTTGCGTACCACTATCAAGGGAACTGGACTGACGAAGCCACCGTAGAATATTCCACGTCAGCTTTTTGTTACCTAGTGCCTAAGGCTCGCCGCATCGCAGAAGTTTTTGTAGTGGTGGTTCCATGAAGTTTTTCGAGTTCCATCTACTCTCTAATTCTGCGCCTCTTTTGAAAAGAGCCTTGCTACAGACCAGCCTGAAAGCCTCCGGCCGTTCCAACAAGCTACGCCTAAACTGAGCTCCATCTCCCAAACCGAATTTCGGGACGAACAACAATCGGGCGCAGAGGCTTCAAGATCACAGGATACGAGAAGCAAAACAAATTTCGCTCGAAATATCAAGCGTTTGACAGCGCATAGGTTCACCACTGTGTAATATTTAGCGTAAACTCACAAGCAACAACGTTGAGACGGTAAGGCTAATTCCAACGCTAGGTTAGCCAATCAATCGCCATGGAGAAACCCAAGGCGTCCCAGAAACATGGGCTGACGCAAATTCCCGAAGCCACTGATCCAGGAATCACCTTGCCAATATATGAGGACGACCTTAGTGGCGGAGACCCCAACCAGCCCCAGAAATTAGGGTCTTACCGGGTCAGGGCCGGGAAGTTCTCTAACACACTGAGTAACCTGCTGCCCACAATCAGTGCTAAATTGCACCACTCGCGCAAGGCCTCCGGTACACCTAAGCATCCGCCGGAAACAGTTCTGAGTGGGTCGTCCAGCGAGAACACCAGCCAATCCCAGGTGAGCCTCTCAGGCCAAATCACGCCTCCAGAGCCTACGCAGGCTTTCGCTGACGATTTTGCCGGTCAGCATGAGGACGCGCTTTTCGGCCCAACCGCCCCACCAGGCCGGAATTCCGGAGAGTCGTTTTCCTTTAACCTCAACGGCCATGCTTTACACCCATCATCCTCCAACACCGTATCTCGCACCAGGAACAACACCGTTTCATCTCAGGTTACCTCGTTCTCCGCTGTTCCCTCGGCGTCTGGTAACCTGTGGTCCAACAACAACCCTTCGCATAACGACATGCATACCAACTCTGGACTTCCTGCTGGTCCCTTTGCCGCAACAGTCAGTCCGCTTAACGATTATTCATCCAATGCATATTTTGAGATGGCCAAATCCGGAGGTGCTCACCCCACCAACCATCAAAATTCCAGCAATTTAACGGTGCCGGGAATGGGAGCCGGAAATGCTCCAGGAGCTTCAGCTGGTACAGCTGGTATCTGGAACTCTCGCCAGAGATCACACTCCAATGCTTCCAGTATTTACACCGACGCTCCAATCTACGAAAATTTGACACAAAACCGCTCTCGTGCTTCCACTTTTGGCGTAGGTCTGGAACCGGCACCTGCTGTTTCCAACACCATACCGCCTACCATCCAACACATACAATCGGGCCCCACTGTAATAGACGATGTAGACCCAAGATCCATCAATTGGGTGACAACGGACCCCTCTGTTCCTGCTATAAATCAGATTTCTAACCTTCTCCCAACCAACACTGTGTCCATATCCAACGTTTACTCATTACAGCAGCAACAACCACAACTGTCCAATGCGATCAATTTGACAAGTACCAGTTTAGCAACACTCTGTCTGAGATTTGGGAATGTAACTTCCGCGAGAACCTTAAAACGTATAAATATGGCCATTGTTGAATTTGACTCTGTCGAATCAGCTATGCGGGCAAAAGATGCACTCCACGGCAAAGAAGTGTCCTTGGTTGGTGCCCCCAGCTTTGTCTCTTTTGCTAAAGTGCTACCAATGCATCAGCAAGCTATGTCGTCCTCTCATTCGTTGAACAGTGGGTCAACCGTTGGACCACAGTCACTACTTCAAGAGCAGCTTTACAATGGTTCTGTCACATTTCAGCAGCAGGGGAATGTCTCCATTCCAGTACTAAACGGACCTGCCCAACAGCAAGCCTTGAATCAATCCCATTCGCAGACTCAACAACCACAATTACAGGCACAGCAACAACAACAACATCGGTCATCAAGCTCGAATGCAAATTCGAATCACCATCCTGGCTCCTCTCACGGTAATTCAGAGAAAGAGCCCTGTCCATTTCCTTTACCCCCCCCTGGGATTGCCGAATACATTCATGCCCTGGAGGACACAATAAGCTCTTTTGGCACCAGCCACGACTCGGCCCAGACCAGAAAAGTTGTTAAGAACGCTATCGTGAACCGTAGGACTGCCGATACCGCCGATTTTGGCCCACTACCAGATCCATTGCCTAATAGAGAATTCGACGCCCCCAAACTACGGGAAATTCGCAAGGCTATTGATCTCAATTCTATGAGTGACATAGAGATCGAGCAACTGGTCATTGCAATGCTAGACGAATTGCCCGAATTGTGCTCAGATTACTTAGGTAATACCATTGTGCAAAAGTTGTTTGAGCACTCTTCTGTGGTTGTCAAAGATATTATGTTGAGACAAACAAACAAATACCTGACCTCTATGGGTGTTCATAAAAATGGTACTTGGGCCTGCCAAAAGATAATCACCATGGCCAATACTCCAAGGCAAAAAATGCTAGTGGTAAAAGGTGTTGAAAAGTACTGCACTCCCTTATTCAACGATCAATTCGGTAATTACGTGACCCAATGCGTTCTAAAATTCGGGTTTCCATGGAATAATTTCATCTTCGAGCATATAATTTCCAATTTCTGGACTATTGCTCAAAATAGATATGGCGCGAGAGCTGTCCGTGCGTGCCTAGAGGCTCACGATTTGATAACACGGGAACAATTGCTTGTGTTGAGTGGTATGATCGTGCTCTACACAGAATATCTAGCAACGAATAGCAACGGCGCTCTATTGGTGACTTGGTTTTTGGATACATGCACTCTTCCTCACAGGCACTCCTTACTAGCCCCTAAGCTTGCTACTAATATCGTGGAACTGTGTTGCCACAAACTTGCTTCGCTCACTGTGTTAAAGGTGTTGAACTACAGGGGCGATGACCGGGCTAAGAGGCTTATCTTGGATACAATATTTGGTAAGAAGGAATCTGACGTGCCATCACCTCACCTAGGCCAGATTTTGAGTGATACAAATTACGGACCAACATTCTTGTACAAAGTTCTTACAATGTCGCTGCTAGAAGGAGATGTCAGGGTGCACGTCGTCCAGCAACTCCGCCGCGCGTTACTAGAGATTAATCCGACGTCCCAGCATCGCCGCTTGATGGAGGAGGTTGGTCTCGGCGGGACCGCCGTAGTGCCATCCACGGCCCCTTCGGTTTCCATGCCATCGAAACACCGTCCAAGTATGTCGCATGTTTTCAGCCCGGAAGGAGTTGGTCATATGCGTAATATGTCAGTGGGCAGTAATTTGAGCTCTGGTTCTCGTCCTCGGGCGCTGTCGAATAGTGCGCTAGGTGCAATACCGGCCACTGCCGGATTACAAAACGTGGGCAACCCAGGCTCTGCGGCAACAAATCCCATAGCGCAAAACCAGAAATTAGGCATTCCTGGCGGATTCTACAACTATCCAGGGGGGTTTCCTGTATCCGGAGGCAACAGTCGTGGAGGGTTGCCAATTGTTGGCGATGACCTTACATCTCAATTCGACATGCTCAGCCTACAGAACACAACTCAAATTTCGCTACCACAACTCAGTATGAGTAACAGTGGCGGGACATACAATACCAACAACAATAGTATCAGCAACGGCTCTTCCAGTAATGGAAATGGCAACGGCAACAATTATCTTAAGCCCGGGAACAGCAACAGCGGCAACATGTACGGCATGTTTGGATCTTAAGGTACACATTGGTTCGTTACCGACCGTACGACACATGAAAAACTAAACAAGTAACAACTACTATTATACAGCGAACCGCAGCAAACAGAAAGGTTTACAATTCTCTGCTCGTGGCTTTCGTTTTTTAATGAATAATGACATTGATTTCTCCATGAGACCTTTCGAATGATCTGGTAGTGGCCGGGCACTGACATCCGGGCCAGCATCATTCTCGTTTATAATGACAACTGCATATGGCGATTGTCCCACAAAAATGGTGTAATTAGTCGTAATGATTAGAATAAGTACGATTCCGAAAACCCACCACCTGCCGATCAAAGGATAGCGGTCCAAGAGGTATATCGACATAATTATACAGGGCCCCTAAAGGATTCTAGTGGCTGTGTTTTGTCTTTCATTCCCTTTGCGCTTTTCCAGATTATTAATTGTCTGTTTTTGTTCGGTTTCGGAGTGCATACCTCTAAGTGTAGGTAGCAGAAGACTTGAACATCGCCCTGTGGAAAGTTCTGGTGATTCCATCATTTTTCTGAGCTGATTACATTTGCTTAGATAATGAGTAGTGGGCTTCCTGCAAGCTGGTTCACATCTGAAATTCCCACAAGAGGTGAAACAGATCAGCGAGAGCGTGATCGACAGAGTCAGGAACACCGAGAGCGCGTCTTACAGATATCAAGAGCCTCACAAAACGAAATGGCTTTAAGGAATACTTTTCGACTCGGAAATGACGGCAGTTCGTCTGTTCTCACAAGACCTTTGCTTACTGCTGACTCACAAAGCCCAATTAGAGAAAGAGACTCAGGTCCAATCACGATGGAGCCAGCTGTTCGGCTGGAATTGAAGGATAGTGGTACGGACGAAGATGTCGTGATGGCGGAAAGTGGTGATGTAGTCAACACAGCGCTCATTCAGCGGTTCGAAGAGCAGGCTCACGACAAACTGAATGAATGCATCAAGCTGATAGAAGGAAGGCGGGACGTTCTACTACAGTCGTTCGAATCTGATAATGTTCTTTTACAACAGTTACAACGGGATAGTGGGCGCGAGAGCTCGGATCCCGAATTCATATCCGGCATGAACCGCCTTCAGCGCGTTAGATTGCGTGCTATCGAGATGGAAACACTACAACTTCAGCGGGTAAGGCTTTATTTCAAGAATAGGATGTCAGAGTTCAGAAGTCTAGTTCGTAATTACCTAATGGCACAGGCGAGGGGCGAGTATGCCGAAAATCCTTTGACAATTTCAAGAAACATGTTCAGTGGCCTCGACCCATATTTGGCAACGGGAATGAAGCTGGCATTAGCTGGAAAGGAGGAAGTTGCAAGTCAGATTGAGACTACGGGCCTCAGAGAGCGACTGCTGTATCCATTACAGGAGCCTCCTGTCAAGAGAAAGTTCCCGCTTAAGCAGCTACCTGCCGAAATCTTGAGTCTAGTGCTCGATAGACTGTCTCAGAGGGCAGAGGTTGTCAAACTGCTGTCTGTATGCAAGTTCTGGGCCGAAATTATAGTAAAATTGCTTTACTACAGACCCCACATCAATAAAAAGTCCCAGCTCGATTTATTTATGACTACAATGCAAAAGCCATCATCCCAGACTACTTTCGATTACAGAGCTATGGTGAAAAGACTGAACTTTTCATTTGTGGGAGATTATATGACAGACGAACAGCTTATACAATTTGTGGGCTGTCCTAACCTGGAAAGATTAACTCTGGTGTTTTGCAAGCATATTACAAGCTCCTCGATAGCTCGTGTACTTCAAGGTTGCAAATTTTTACAAAGCGTTGACATCACGGGTATCAAAGAGGTTTCCGATAGCATTTTCAACACTTTGGCTTATCAGTGCCAGCGCGTACAGGGTTTCTATGTTCCGCAAGCCAGAGATGTTTCATTTACTGCATTGCATACGTTTATTACGCATGTTCCGTTACTAAAGAGGGTCAAGATTACTTCTAATGCCAATATGAATGACAACCTCGTTACTTTACTAGCATCGTTGTGTCCGCTTCTTGTAGAGGTCGACATCACCCTATCACCTAATGTTCACGACCAGAGCCTTGTCTCCCTATTCTGTCAATTGAGTCAGTTACGAGAATTTCGAATAACTCATAACTCAAACATCACCGACAAATTTCTCAAGGAACTTTCTTTGAAAGTTGACCACCTACCCGCGTTGAGATTAATCGACCTTTGTGACTGCGAAAATATTACAGACAAAAGTGTTGAAAGGCTTGTCGCTCTCGCGCCCAAATTGCGTAATGTGTTTTTTGGCAAATGTAGTAGACTCACAGACACTTCCTTAATTCACTTAGCACGTTTGGGAAAGAATTTGCAAACTATACATTTTGGGCACTGCTTCAATCTGACCGATAATGGGGTGAGAGTACTCATTCAGTCTTGTCCCCGGGTTCAGTACGTTGATTTCGCCTGCTGCACTAACTTGACTAATCGGACCCTGTATGAGTTGGCGGAGCTCACAAAATTGAAGCGGATTGGTTTAGTCAAATGCTCTCAGATGACGGATGAGGGTTTGCTAAATATGATGGCTCTTCGAGGAAGAAACGACACCTTAGAAAGGGTCCATCTGTCATATTGCTCGAATTTGACAATCTATCCAATTTACGAACTTTTAATGGCTTGTCCAAAATTATCACATCTCTCTCTTACTGCCGTTCCTTCTTTTTTGAGGTCAGACATTACCGCGTTTTGCCGAGCTGCACCTCCAGATTTCAGTGACAATCAGAGGCAGATTTTCTGTGTTTTTTCAGGGAAAGGTGTTCATAAGCTAAGACATTACTTGATGAGTTTAACCGCCCCAACCAACGGACCTCAAACAAATGTTCGTGAAGTGCTGACCAATTTCATTGTTCTCAAGAGTCTCATTAAGGATGGTGAAGATCTAGAAGCTGGAATGCGGAGGGTTGCTAGCGAACTCAATCAAGAGACTCCGGCAATACTAGCTGCGACACATAGCCTTACACCACTTAACGCTATGAATAATAACGATTTCGCATTTCAGAACATAAACTTTGAGAGACTCGAAGATGTCTTCTTTGCATTACATCATTTCCCACAAGATAGAATACTGGATGAAAACGACGTTGATAGACTCTTTCCCCTGATCGATGAAGAGTTTTGTGAAGATCCAGATGCCGAACAATTTGAGGGTGTCGATGGTTGCGTGGCACCAGAAGCGTCAGCAGATTTGAACAGCGAGCTTGCACAAATGGTAAGGAAATTTCATGACTTGCAAGAGCGCGTGTGTGATTTCGAAGTTAACGTGGCAAGCATGGTACGGGTTCAATTTCAGTTCGCAGGTGCATTGTTGAATGAAATGACTCAAATATATTTTCAAATGGTTGACCTCAACCGTTGTATTTCCCAAATACAGTCCAGGGTTTACGAAATGGGAGACGAAAAGAATCTAAAGGGATTAACCATCTGGCGTATCATATGGCAAGAAAAGTTTGATCATATGTTGGAAAAATATGAGCTCACAACTGTTGTTCTCAGGCTTTACTTGAGGGATAATGTTGCTGCTTTGACACGCCAAAGAGAGCTATTTCTCGCTCGTCAGCGAATACCAGCCGATCTGCAACCTAGGGTAGATGGCGATGAAGCCTCTCCTCCTTCTGAGGTAAATCCTTGGAACTCTGACCAGAGTGATGGAAGCAACCGTTGGAGAAGATTTGAGATGCGGAATGAGATGCGTATGGTACAGTTTGGTCTGCGTGGACTTCCTGGCCCACCAGGTGGGCTTCCTCCCATGCAGACCTTTTTTCCGACTAACATGGCACCAACTGATACTTCGCAGGATGAAGATGAATATTTAGAAGACGCATGAAAATAGTTTATGTTTTAGTACACACAAGTTCTATTCTATGGAAACACGTTTTCTGGAATCAAACGTTTTCTTATTTTTCCGTCGTCGGTATATTATAAAGCTCCGCTAGTTTGAGAATAGCGTCGTCATTGTCTAACTCAAGGAAGAAATTCTTGGCTTCTGTAAACTGTTGCTCTATGGTCGCAATTTTAATCTGATAGTCTCTGTTAAATTCTTCTCTGAGCTCCATTTTCTTCATGTCAATCCACGCTGCAAAGGTAAGCTTCTTTTCCACCTCAGGCATATGATGGACGAAGAAACTCAAGTCTCCATCTTTTTCGTTATCCAGTGTAGCGTCATTTACATTGATATAATGGAGCAGCTTGCGAAAATAATTAGCAAGAAGGCCACGGCTTTCGTCAACTTTGTGTAGAGAATCGCGTACTTTCGCACTGTCAGTAAAAAGTTCACGAGGTCCCGTTGAATTTTGCGAAGGCCCATTTGGAGTGGACATGCCAGTTTGTGGCTGTAGAGCAGCATAACTTGATTGCTTTGCTGAGCTGTTTCCTTTTGTATCACTAGATGGTTGCGATATCTTTTTGCTGATCGTTGGTTCTCCATAATCTGTGACCACTAGCCCGCCAGGGGTACCAGTTCCCAAACGGGTCTTGCTGTCCTCTGTCAATTTTTTCGCTAATGCAATCGGAGAATGGTTGGGATCGAGAACGATGCCATGCAAGCTGTGCTCTGGGAGGACAAGGTGATTTTTGGCGGGTTCACTTATCGATGCTTGATTCGAGCGATCAGTTATAGGATATTTGCTCAAATTTCCAGTACTTTCTCGTCCGAAATTCTCTACGGGGTCTAAAGACCGTATCTGTCTAGGAGTAGCATCTCCACCGTTTACTTCTGAAGATGAAGCTTCTTCTTCGGAGTCGTCGCTAATGTCAACGTTTAGGTCAATGTTGTCAAGAACTCGCGCTGGTAAACTGTCACTCTTTGAGCCAGAGGATAAATTCCTTTCTGTAATGGAAGAACCATCGCTTTGGTGATCCCCAGCATCGGATGTAGCTTTTTGTCTTGAATTTGGTAAATTTTGCTCTTTCGCTCTCAGCTTTGATTGAAAGACGCTGTCTGGAATAACAAACTCACTGTTGCCGTGTGCACTAAAGCTGAAGGCATCAAAACTATCATCAATAATAGGATTACGAGTTTTTGGAGGGCCCGACGGAGATCTGTTATTAAAGTTCAGTACAATACTTTTGGTAGAATTCTCATCACCTTCAAAAAGCTCTGAATCGTCAGCCATGCTGAGTTTTTGGTTTTGTTTGATTCTAATCCTGCGCTTCGGCGAGGCCAAAACCCCACTTTCTATCCCAGTCGGCACAGGCTCGGGATTTAACAGTGCCGTATCAATATTAGACTCACTCGCAGATTGTGTGGCACGGCTTGGTATCGGCGATGCTGAGTCTGACCGTATTGTATCAAAATCGGCCGCAATTGAGGGAACTATGTTCGTTTCGTTTAAGCCTGTTGTATTAGAATTAGAGGAAAATGGAGGGGATTCTCTGCTCAGTTTCCCATCTTGCTTCACAGATGAGGTCGCATCTTTACGAGGTCTTCCTCTCGGACGTTTTGGCTTCTCTGCCATCATTGTGTTAACCTTCTTTGGGCGGCCGCGCTTACGTTTGACAATTTGCACTTCACCAGATCCAGCCCCTATATCTATTCTCTCTTCCAAACTTCCATTCTCGTCCTCAATACGCTTTTCTTTGCGCGGACGTCCACGCTTACGTGGTTCACTAGGTGGTCCATTAATTTCGCGAGATTTTGGCCGACCTCGTTTGATCTGAGACTCTTCAATTGACGTCTGATCTTCAAATTTCTTCAGCTGCGTACCAAATGTCTCATAGTAGTCTAAAGATGGAAATATATTCTCGTCATTGTTTAGGCCTTGCTCGACGTGCTGTGCTCTAAGTCGCCGAACAACATCATTATCGATCATTGTCTCGAAGAAAAGGCACTGTCCCCCATTTGAACATACGTAATGTTCCCATAAAGGAATATCGGAAGGCTCCCAAGAGCCTATTATTTTACTGCAATAGATGCAATAGGTGGCATCGGGATGTTCTTCTTGTAGTTCAGGAGATGCCAGCCCGAGGTCATAGCGCAAAAGTCCTGCTTTTGCCATTGATTCAATCGATAGGTTCTCCTCATTGTCATGAATCCAGCCCTCTTGATAGGTCCAGCGTCGTAGGCCGAACATTTCTTTACTGTGTGGTGATCCTAAGAGAGGGTGCTCTGACCATATGATTTGCTCACCTTTCCAAAGGGACATTATAAGCGTCAACTTAAGAGCAGAATGCAGACAACTACTATTTGACTGTAGATGTTTTGCCAAAACTTTGCATAAAGTTCCAGCTAGTGGTTTGACTCTGCAGTCATGAAAATCATCTGTTTCTGAGCCACAGAAACTACAATATACACAATCCCGACTCAGGATTTCACCTTTGAATATAGGTCTGAACTCAAATCCCATTTGAGCTACTGCCTTTGTTGGAATAACTCGATATGGCCATGAACAACGCTTTCCTCGCATATTGTACGTTTGGCAGAACGTATTGTACCGATCCTGGTACCGCTTGAATTCCGTAGCCATCGTTAGCAAGTGAAGGAGATGCAATACACCATTGGGTGGCTTGCTTAGTACTTTATGCGGAAGTAATGCTTAATTTTGAAGGTATATAATGAGATTGGTTATGGTTTGTTTTTAAGTTGAAGGGTTCACGAAAACAAATATCACTCGACAAACATTACTCGACAAACATTGCTCGACAAACTCTGGCTCGTAGGTAACCTAAGGCTTTGGTGCTATGTACAAATAAACTACTGGCTTGTTTATATTATATTCGAATTCTGACACTATTGATATCTGTTAGCGAAACGCTCTTACTCTGATTCGTCATCCTCATCTTCAGATTCGGCGGTCTGCAACCATGTAATGAAGGGCTTGGCCGCTCTACGCACTTTCTTCGAGACATCCTTTGGTACAAACTTCTTAGAGCATTTGGTACCAAAGTTGACAATTACTTCTTCGGAGACAACTTCGTTGTTGTATAGCTGTACCAAAATTTTAGGCAATGCAGGTATCAAAGCTTTGTGTTCCAGACCCAAAAATCTTTCAATACCGCCCAAAAACTGATTCTCAAATTCTTCAGAGACAAAGAGTTTTTTGAAGAAAGCAGAGTGCTCAGAAATTTCTTCCACTATGTCCTCATCGAATAGAGCTTGGGCAAGCACGCAAGCAATTTTTGGATCCTGCAGTAGGTCAAGCTCAGAGGCTTTCTTGTATAAATCAACATCCGATGGTGATTCATCTTGTTTCAAGATCCATTCACCGTATTCTTCCAAGGAAGTCAGTTCTTGGTCCTCACCGTTCGCAGCACGTAGTTCTTTAGCACGGGCTCTAATAGCTTCCTCAGACATGTCAACTGCCCAGTCATCGTTGTTCACTTCAATTTCTTGTAAGCTAGAAGCAGCAGCGTTGATCTGACGAGCTAGTTCGTCATCGTCCGAGTCACCTGCCGTCTCAGCATCAGCTTGGGCAGAGGACTGCGATTTTCCTTGAGCAATGTCACTGATAGAAACACCACCACCACGAATATTGGCAGAGGCGGTGGCAGCCTTCTTTTTGTTCTTACCTTCCATGGATTCTGGTGGGTTCTTCAGGATGAAGGAAGACAACTTATGTCTCAGATCCATTGGTGTTCTTTTACCGCAAGCCTTACAGTTTCTTATCAAATCACTGTTCTTGGTAATCACAATTTCGGTCTCTGGGTTTTTGCAGCTTCCACAGAGAATGAAACTGGCAATGAACTTGTCCAACACGTCTTGCAATTTGGCGGGCTCATGGGAACCGTTCACCAAGTATCTGTCTTTGTCGACAGAAATACTCGTTTGCGCACCTAATTCAAAACCAAAATATTTCACAATGTAGGGAGATGGTCTGTTCAAGGCGCGAGCAACGTCTGCAACGTTTAAAACTGCAGTCTTGATACCGTTACCTCTACCTTCCACTTTAGCCTGTAGAGGAGGCATTTTATAACGGTAGAAAGGGTCATTATTGTCTCTGCAAATATTGATTGACATGGTTGTGGTTCAACTTAGTGATGGAAGCTCCTCCTATATCTCAAAAGGTGGCGATGGTTTGCTCTATCTTGGATCCGCATAGTGCTACAATATATAAAATTTTCAAGCTTTTATTAGTACACAGTGATATCAAGAGTTCTTGATTCAAGTTCTTGTCACTTTCGCTGCTGAGATCAAGCGTCTTAAGATGGCGAAGTTGACCCAATGTCTAGCGAACTTCACCCATGAGTCCATAATTTGAAGTTTAAACGAGCTTCGAATTCGGTATTGAGAGCCACCGGTGCAAAAAGAGATTAAGTGACATCTACTGGAGAAAGGTGAAATATCCTTTCGTCTTACGATTTATGATGTGCGGCATCACCTATCTAGGAATGAACCGAGATTGTTGTACTCGAGATGTGCACACGGTCCCGAAAGACGGACTTCTCAAAAAGAAAGTACACTGATAGCGCAAAACACGATAGTACAATTGCTAATATAGCTCCAAAGGGCTCAGCAAATAATGCGCCCTGAATTAGAGGCCATTCTTTCTACTTGTGAAGCTCAAAGATTAATCATTTTTCCCTTTGGGTAGGAAACTTACAACAACACCGTGAAATAAATAAGAGCGGCAGTTTTGGCCAAACCACATGTCTGGACGATAAACCAGAGAATCACTACTGAAGTTTTAGGACTAACATGATCCGAAATACTGTGGATTTCGATGGCCCTTTTTTCCCCGAAGGGTGTCCCCGCAAAATTTTGAATTAGACCTCAAATAAAAGAAGTCCCACCCAGTTGACATTTAGTATTATCACACCCGCATCATATATTGTGTGCTATCCCAATGTTGTAGCCATTGTCCTCGTCGCCAGAGCTCCATGTTTGGAGGCCAGTACTCGACAAACTAGCGTTCCACAAGGTTAATCTCGCATGATAAAAGTAAGAGAGAAAGAGTTTAAACGTAAAGAACTAACGTAGAAATATCCACATAATATGGGTTCATGTTGGGATCTACTGCAACTATCAGGACTCTAATCGCCGGCACTATATAGATCACCAAATACGTGTACTTCAGCTAGACTAAGGAATAGGTTAGGTGCTCAGTCCAGACGACTGGCAAAAATGTACGATACCACTAGTGTTGACCACAGCCGGCATGGACTTACTGAAATCTCGCTATCTGACGCTCCAGTCCACCAAACATTACACTCGCCTTTCTGCCGAGGAAATAGTCACATTATGGTCCCAACTCAAGGCCTTTCTTGGGGCCGGAGAAGGTAGCCTTAGTGAAAGCGAGTACATGTCTCTAACGCATATGTTGTTTGATCTTTCGATATATGTCGACAAGGACATTGAGGCAGAGACTATATACAAGAGTTTTAGAGACCGCTTCGGGTCTAACTCGCCATATTTGTTTGTGATGCGAGCCACTATCATGCAGGTGAACGAAAGCGATAAAGAGGCTGAAGAGTACCTGGAGAGACTTTTGAGCGAGTATCTGGAGGATGAAACGGATATTATTGGCTATTCGCTAGTAAGCAAGAAGCTACTATCTTTGCAACGTAAATCGCTTTCGAAGGAACAGTACGTTTCAAAGCTTTTGGAATTGTCCGAAAAGTTTCCCTTAGATGCAGAAATATGGTACGCGCTTACCCAGGAGTATACTTCCCTAAATCTCTTGGAACAGGCTGCTTACTGCCTAGAAGAGGTGTTATGTATAACCCCTTTCAACTATATTGCATTTGCGGAGCTCAGTGAACTGTTGTATTACAGAGCGCTGAACGAAGGTAAAAAAAATGAGGCCCTACTACAGCAGTCGCTTAACAATGCTCTGAGAAGCGTTGAACTCTCCGAAAATCTTGTAAAGGGCTGGGCTTTTACTGCAGTAACGTCGAAACTGTTGAAAAAATCGAGCCTACTTGAACTGTCTAAGGTAAAGCTAAAGCAAATAGCAGATTCAGGCAACGGGAACGATGTGGCCGTGGCTAAAAAAATGTTAGAAAACCTGTAGTATTTTAAATTCGCATCCAATGATATTTAATGGTAGTATCTTTTCAGATTAGCCAGCACATTACAACTGTATAGTTTCGCATTCTCGCCTTAGTAGTGGCAGCTGCTGTACCACCCAGTTACTATCACGAAGGATGGCTTTAGGATCCTTGCTAGGGCCTGAGTTTTGCCTACCCAGAACGGTTTTATAGTCTGTTTCGTGTTCCTTATATTCTCTCAACACTTTGCTTTCATTGAACTCCACATAAACTCGAGTGTCATAGACTCTGAACAGTACGCCATCCACTCTGAGAAAGAATCGACTGAGTACTAATGCTCTTTCGTTCATAACACGAACTTTCACATTTATCATACTTATCCCATTATCCGCTAGTTCGTCCTCAAATAAAATCATATCGTCATAGAACAATATAGGGTCAGGACGTGTTAATTTGTCAATAGGTAGTTCTAGAGAGTCGTCTTGAATGAAGTGTTTATCACAATTGCCATTCCGGACCGTGCCCTTGTAATTAGTTGTGTACGTCCAGTCATAGTGCTGCCCAATTTGAAGAGAATTCTCGTCGAGCTCCGATGTTCGTTGCTGCTCCCTCTTGGAGTTGATCCACTTATTGGCGTATGATACACGAATACCCGAATCTTCCATTTTGACGGCCTTCAGGGCATCCAGTGCATTGAAATCTAAGCTCCAACCAGTTTTCTCATTTTCGATTCTAACAAAACTGTTTCCAAATATCATTTCCGGCAAAGTGAGTCCACCTAATATCACCTCCCAATCTTCCAGTTCTTTGGAATTCAGGATCGGCTTCTTCCGAGTGCTAACTTTCCAATCTGCAATGCTTATCGATGGTGTATCCTCTGCTGGCAGTGTAGCTTTCGGAGCAGGTATGATCACCGCAGAGCAATGCGGACAGGAGGGATTCTTGGGGTTGTTACATTTGTGTCTTGGCGGACTAGGTGGGACACGGGGGATAATATCGTTGCTTATTGGTGCTGCAGTGGCTTGGTGTCGTGGATTCGATGCAATTCGCGGGTCTCTAGCCCTAGCTGTTTGTGCGAAAGCTTCGCGTGCTTGGTTTACTTGAATCATACTAATCCCATGTTTAGGAATTCTTCTGTTGTCCATCCTTTCCAGAGTCGTTTTAGGAAGTTATAGTGAGCGTGAAGGGTAATGTAGCTAAGGTTCCAATTTTCCATATATTAAGTTAGTTGAATACGTTCATCGACTTTTGAATACAATTCTGCGCTGTGTAATATGACAAACACCCATGAATATGATTCACAAGCAGCGATGGATTAGCATATTGGCCGCTGTTTCGATAATCGGCCTTTGGGTTTTCTTTTCCTCGAATAAGCTGTCATACACCACACCTAACGATATGGATGTAAATTTGGTAACCAGCCAAAGGTCCGAGGGCCAGGAATCTATCCAAGCGCAGGGCAAATTGTTGAGTGACGACAAAATGAATTCGATTATGCCTTCGATGCCGGACCAGAAGGCCAAAGAAGAGCTAGGCAGAGCTTCATGGAAATACTTCCACACTGTGTTGGCAAGGTTTCCAGATGAGCCAACGTCCGAAGAGCGCGCCAAACTGGGCCAATTTGTGCAGTTGTATGCGGAACTATATCCGTGCGGTGAGTGTTCGCACCACTTCGTACAAATGCTGAAGAAATGGCCACCACAGACATCAAGTCGCACAGCAGCTGCCCTGTGGGGATGCCATGTGCACAATCGGGTTAATGAGCATTTAAAGAAGGAGCAATTTGATTGTTCGCGGATCTTAGAAGATTACGACTGTGGTTGCGGCGATGAAGATGGTCAGATTCGCCAAGACTTGAAATTGAACATGGTATCGCTACAGAAAGAAGGTAAGCAAGCTGGTTGAGTCAGAAATTTACTATAAAGCAGCGATGTGTACGTAGAGAAGTAAAGAGCAGTAGTTCTAAGCGAAAGGGTCTTCTATGGTGCCGCAATCACATAATTATACAGCAGATGCCGTCAGCTCCACTCCCTCTTACTTGAGCTCGTCTATTTGAACTAGAGCCATGCATCGTGTGGGGGTTGGATCCAGGCGCAGGATACCCCCATATTTCTGGCAATGTGTAGTCTGTGTGGGAAGTGGCATAATCTATAATTGATAAGCACGCGTTGGAAGCGGTAATCCGTTCGCGCGCCAGTTCTTGTTTCAATCTTTGATTGAGTTCTTTGATACGCTTGAGTTTCAGATACTGGATCTTCAATGGTACATTTTGATCATCCATGCTGCAGTGACACTAGCACAAGCAAAGTTCAGAATGACCCCGGGCATTGAGAAGATTGGCTAAAAGAAGAACATAATTTATGATTCAAGAAATCTTGCAAAATGCCTGAATACTGGTCTCCTGACTATGTGACGAATGATGATTTGTCCTAGGTGCGTTGCAGTTGGAATAATATTTTCTAAAAGGATCAAACCTCAAAACAAGCAAAGGGTGGACGATCGGCAAAACCAACTACCTATTTCGAAAAATTGATAGAAGTGCATGAAAGCAAAGACGCTTGGGCACACGATGGGGACCCCCACGGAGATGCAAATTGTCGAATACCATGTTCCTTAAAATCCAGCGACACATACGTATAATATGACACTAGAATTCTCATGTAACAATAGGTTACTTCGAGGGTTTACGGAGGTGATGAAATGTGGAGCCGCTTCTAGTGGGACTGATGAAGGTTGATCAGTGGATTGAGAGTTCGCGCACCTAATGTTCATAACCTCTCTGAAGTAATCATAAAGTCAGATAATACCCCCACGGGAAAGAAGAGTACCCTTGTAACAAGCGCAAGCTAATAGATACACTCTAGATTGGGTTGAATTATCAACGCGCTTTCCGTCCCAGTGGCGATCAACATATCGACAGATGCCGTCTCATTTATCACTTAACACGTAAATCTTTGGCTTTCCTCCATAAATGAACAAGCTGACCTTGGCCCCAGTATTCAAGATCTTTTCATAATCGACACTAAGTAGCGATTGAATTGTGGAATATGGAACATCCTGCTTATACGCTAGCCGCTTTGACCACCTTGGGTGGTACCATGGGTTTTTTGCGCAAAGGATCGAAGCCCTCGCTTGTTGCCGGATTGGTGTTCGGAGGTGTCTACGGATATGCCGGTTACTTGCTGAGCAAAAACGCGGACAACGGCTTGGAACTGGCGCTCGGGGCCAGTTCATTGATGTTGGTCACTGGTCTTGCCAGAGGTATCCCTTCACGTTTCAGCAAGCCTGTCCCATTGGTGTTGACGGTCCTGGGAGGGCTGGGGTCTGCTTACTACGGCAAGAAATACAAGGAATTTTACTGACTTTCGTGATTCGGACACATACTCCGCCCTTCTATCGGCCCCGACAGTTAGTCGACTGCCGCTTTTCTCATGTATCTAGAGCTACAATCATTTCAAATGTGTAAACGTCAAAATTAAAATCAAATCTCAATATACTCTACAAACGAAGATTCATAACGCGGAATCCCCCGCGGGGCTACTTCTCAAAGCCGCCTGCGATCCTCAAAAAGGTGACCCCCCTCCAAATGCCAATGCTTGGAAAACGAAAGCAAGGCAACCGCTTCAGTTTTTCTGGACAGCTACAGTGCTGTTAGCTCTGCTGGTAGGAGGAGACACTGGGGAAACGCTGGCAATAACGAAAGGAGCAGAGATTTCGGAAGTCAAAACTAGAAAGGCCATTGTGATATGTTTGTGTGGATTGGTGTATGGATTTTTCACGAAGTGTTTTGTGTGATAAACGATGGAAGATTCCTAAAGTTTGGTGCTGTGATAATTGTCCAAATGCTGAGTCGATAATCGTAGCAGAAATCTTCCCCGCTTATATACTTGCCTCCCCGGCCTTGAATGGCCCTCTTGAAGGTCATGAAGTTTTGCTTGCGTATTCAAAGCCATCATTACTCAGTAAATCTTCATGACCTGCTCCACTGCATGACTGCTGACCCACGCGGATGTTAAGCGCTGTATTCCGTACTTTAGCCACCTTTGTAATGTGGGTACCATATTAGGTCACCGTTTTTTCGAGGTGCATGCTCGATACATCTGGTCATTCGCTTTGCTTCGCTCATCGGTCATGACAAACATCTTCGGATATCAAAATGCGGGCGGACATAAACATCCGCGGGCCCGAAAGGCGGAGATTAATCAGCGTGCCTGGGCACGTGATAATACACGTGAGTAAGATAAGATCATCATGGACGTAAAGTGGGCGACTCCGGGGCCTGTCAATCAGTGGTGGTCAGCCTTGGGAAGGCATTGGTCTTGCTCACCACTAGGGCGCGGTTGGAATGCGATAGGTAACCCTTGATGTAGCCTTTACTGATCAGATTGGCAAGCACGCATTCGGTGCTGTCCAATCTTTCTTCCGAAACCGTCTTGACACCCGTCTTCGTCTCACTCTTGACCAGGCCGGCCGCTATGTAGCGTAGAGACACAATGGAGCCTGAGCCACTGTGTTTGCAGACAATCTTGATAAGCTTCAGAAGAACCAGTTCCCGAATCATGGCTATCGGCACGTACAGGTTTTGGCGGAGCAACAGGGGCTCGTGGCTCTCTATCCATTCGGCGAACGTCCACAGATCACCATTTCGAAGGCATTCTATTGCGGGTGCGTAAATCTGCGCGACAGCCGGATACTCGGTTTTGAAAATATGGAGATCGGGGTATCTTTTGCGTGCCAGTATCGCAAATGGTACCAAAAGTAAACAAATCATGTTCTCTTGGGTGCCGGCGTCGGCTCTGGACGCCAGCCATGCTTTCCTAGCAAACTCAAACCCACGATCAAAGTTGGCCTCATGACACCCGTAGTATTCGGCCATGTAATAATAATAAGTGACAAGCTGCGCACGGTGCTTCGTACCCAGGGCTTGTTCCGGGGTTGGTAGTTCGGACGTGCGACTTTCCATCACTTTAACCAAATTCCGCACCATGTCCCGATTGTGCAAAAGCTTGTAGATTCGCAGTTCCAAATTTGTGAACATGTAAACCCCCCATTTCTTATTCTCATGTGTGTTTGGGTTTCTATCATTTAGACACAGCTTGAAACTGGTGTGGACAGTTCTCACACACTTCTCCATATATTTCTCTTGTTCTAGATCTCCCTTGATAATCTGTTTATCGTTGCTTGCAGCCATTGGATCAGCAGCCATCTGATCCAGCTTCCGGCTAATGTCGAAGAGCTGTTTGGCGCCAACATACAATGGTTCTGCAATCCACACACTTTCTCCATCCGCTAAGCGATTGAGAAGCTTCACTTGCTCGTTGCTCAACTCAAACAATCGAGCAGTTACCTTTGTGCCTGAGCAATTGCTCAAGTACTCTTCTTTCATACATAGCGTCACTTGAATTAACTGCTTCAGCTTTTCGTTGTAGACATCATTGAGGTCCACAACTCCATGTGTTGACACAGGAGCGTTGTATCTTAAAAATTCCTCTAAAATATCATTATGGAAACCTCGCTGAAAGCATTGTATAACCACATTCATTGCTTAGGTTGTGAGTGTGCCGATACTTTCTGGGCGTTACAGTATGTTTTATCAATTAAATTTAATATATAATAAACGAAGCTACTACTAGATCAAAAGCTGATCAAGTTTTACTTTCTTCGCAGCATACATTAATATTAGACATCAGTATGTCAAAACAGCGCGTTATCAGCGAGTCTACGGGCCTTTACAGACTATCAATTGTCAACAAACAGAAGGACTCTCCAGGCTCAAGTCAGGAAGACGAATCTAGATCAAATCAAGAATCACCCAAGAAGGGCCTTTTGATATCCTCTCCCGTCAAATCTCGATTAAGGATGGACACTGATGGAGTAGCAAGCCCTGAGACAGACTCGAAAGAATCGCATAAATTTTCAGAGCGTCTTTTATATGATTTAGCGGCAAAAAGAAGACAAGTGGTGGAACTTAAACAAGAACTCATAAGAGCAGAAAAAGAACTCGACGTTTTGCAGCGCGAATGCGAGGATTTTGGCAAAATGGATACGTCAACACTTATATCGCCCGAAAAGTTCCAGATGCTGACTTCCAAGCTCCAACAAACCATCGAGGATGTGAATTGCAGTCCCAAGGTGATAAAGAGTAAACAAAGTATCAGTAATTTCTTTCAGCAGAGGAGCAATCCAAATGGTACAGATAATAAAGGTCTTACTGAAAAACCATCACGATTGCGTCTCACCGCAAATAAGTTCCAAAACCTGAGCAGGAAGTCGCCAACACAGTCACCCTTCCTAGATAAGCTTATCAATAAGTGGCAAGATTTCAGCGTAAGCGAACAGGACGAAGAAAAGTTTGACACAGAACGACCTACTGATAATTTTTACATCAAGAGCAAGTTCGACTACGATGAGGATGAAGAGATATCAAGTGAAACTGAATCGGACTCGGGCTCCAAGATGAGTGACTTAGGCAACGACCCAGTTCTGTCCACATTTAAGAGGAACTCCGAAACAGTATAGCGGGTAGGTGGCAAAGAACTAGGATTTAGAACATTTGTATTGCATTCTTATAGAAATTTTTTTGGTTTTGGAGATTAGACCCTTGCTATATCAAAAATAGTTGACTTTTATCTGCTGAACGTATGGGCAACAAACGCCTGGGTTGCTTTTAGTGCTTCGTATTTGACTTTCGAATCTGAGTGGTTGAGCAGCTCCATGATCAACACTTTGCCGTTGAGCTCAGAAAGTACATCCACACTTTCTGGCAAGAGCTCGACAACATGTGTGATATCGCTTAGAGCCACTTGAATCGCGGTCTTTGTTGCAGGTTCATTGTTGGGGCAGGTCAAAATAGAGACAAGCTTCTTGAATAGTTTCCAGTTGTCTTCTTTGAATTTATCGATGTTCTCTGACCAGAAACCGTTATCAATGTGCGGTGGTGACCATACAAGAAGTTTAGAGTTGACTTCTGCTTCATACTCATCAAAGGATGTTAGTTCCTGGTAAGTTTCTTCAAGCAGTTCCTTCAAAGTGTTAAGGTCCTGACGAAGCTCATCATCAGAGTATTTTCTCTCACTGAGGGATTGCAAAATTGGAAGTGCGTTTCCTAGCAACAGTAATTGACGAATAGTCAACTTTTGACCCTTGACATGAGGAGCAACGCAGTTCAGGATAGTAGCGATACATAGCCTTGATACTTTTTCCTTGATTGTGATTTTTACTAACTTCAACAGGTTCAAGAAATCGTTGAGATATTTGGTCACGAACTGCGAAGCAATTTGGTGGTCAAATGTAAGTAGCCATAAGGTCAAAAGGGAGTAATACTGAACCTGGACGCCTAGGTTGTTGGTGTTTGTAGGCACCACCCTTGTTGCCGAATTAGCCTCCAACGACTTACTGACAATTCCCAAGAGAGTGGGCATAAAAGCACCGTGTACTGACCAGACGATTGTTCTGTATTCCTGCACAGCAGAAAGTTCCTGCAAGAGTCTGAGACAGACGTAGCTGGTATCCATGTGGTCAGTGTTTTGAAGCACGGCAATGAAGCGCTTATCCTCCAACAGCAAAGCCGCCAGGTCTGAGTTGCGCAGGCCGGGTTGGGTCAACAAAGAGACCAAATTGAAGCTGGAGAGCAGGATTGTTTGGTCGTCGCCGGTTAATGACGCGCTGAAGAGGTCGTTCACTGCCGTCGGGTTTTTAGTAAAATAGTCAAACGCAGCATCGGCATACTGTTCCGAGGTCAAAAGTTCTGCCAATAAGTTGTGTACAAACTTTTTGACTTCAGTGTTGTTGATAGTTTCTATAACGTGGATGGCCGAAGGAATGCATTCAGAAAGCCCAAGTTGTACGTCAGTATGCTTAATCAAAGCACTTTCAAGCTTTTTAGCAGCCGTGGCATCTTTCTCATTGATTTCTGCCGATCTGGCCAGCGCATCCCATGCAATGGACCTCGATCCTACAGTGCTGCGAATATCGCTAAAATGAGTGCTATCCAGTAGCAATTTTGTATGTTTAGAAACCGTCATTGAAACACCTTAAAACTTAACTTGCAGCTCAGTGAACCCCAGACCTCGATGGTTCCCAATCTTATAAGCTGCTACACTGAGTTAGTCTACCAGCTATCGTATCGATAGCTATCTTACACCACCCTTATGAGAATGCAAATTTTGAACGGGTCCGAGAGGGTAATTTAAAATGGGAAAATGAACTAAGTCACTATCTACAATAATGTCATGTCTACCAGTTGTTCATTGATAGCGGCTGGTCCATCGTCTCAATTGTGGCCATGCCAGTGGAATGGTTACCGATTAACATGCTCTTGAATGAAGGGGACCTCGCTCTCAAGGGTCGTCGTGTTTGAAGAGTTAATCAACAATTTGCACAATATCATGTTCTCAAGCCATTCCAGATAGTTTGTGGGGCCCTAACTTTGATGCGAATGTATGACCTTGGGCTGATGGCCGTATATGATCCGAATAAAACTCTCGCTTGCTTTGCGAAATTTCTGTTGGATGGTTTTGGGGCCCTATAGTATGCTCAACGCAAGAATGAATGAGATGTGCCGGGCCCAGAGATTCATAACTCTAAATAACTGGATATTGACCCACGCTAAGTACATGTGGGCAAGAAGAATGCAAGTACTATATTTAACGGCATCTCGTCATCAAGGTTCTTTTCAAAATCTTGACGAATTGGGAAGTGTGTAGGTTGGTCGAATGTTTTTACGTTACCAGTTGTGTGGGAAACACACTCACTTCCTAGAATTAAGGATAACCGCTCAAGGAAATGTACATTAGAGCATTCTATATGCAGTTCTATTTTCTCTGCATGGGGCTAGGAATAATTGTTTGTGAATAATATTGACAGCCTTTGTCGAAGAAAACCTGAACACTATAGTACTATCCAAGGTGGATCGGTTACTAACCAAAATTAGACAGCCCAATTCTTATCAGCGCATTCTATCATGATATTCATTTCACCGCCTGGCATCTCTAACGCCCAGGAAGATGCAAGTATCGCTACTTTGATAATTCTATGTAAATAAACGAGATCTCCAGGATCCTAATATACAACGAAGGAAGACCGTACTTGGCATAAATTAGTCACTTTCTCTTTCGAATTCCTTGGTCATGTCGGCGTCGGCAATAGCGCCACAAACAGTCTCACAAATGATACCGGTGACCAAGTAAGGGTCGATGTTGGAGGCAGGTCTTCTGTCCTCGAAGTATCCGTAGCCTTCCTTGGCGACGGATCTTGGGATTCTTACAGAAGCACCACGGTTAGCAACACCGTAGGAGAAGCTGGTGGCAGAAGCAGTCTCGTGACGACCAGTTAGACGTAGATCGTTGTCGGCACCATATAGCTTGATGTGTTCGATATGTCTCTTACCTAGCTTGTCAATGGCATCTTCGATGTATTTCATACCACCTGGGACACGCATCTCCTTGGTGGAAACGTTGGTGTGGCAACCAGCGCCGTTCCAGTCACCTTGTAGAGGCTTAGGGTGTAGAGAAATCTTGACACCGAACTCTTCGGCCACACGTGTCAGTAGGTAACGACCCATCCACAATTGGTCACCCATTTCGATACCGGTGCATGGACCCACCTGGAATTCCCATTGGGATGGCATCACCTCGGCGTTGATACCGGAAATCGTGATGTTAGCGTACAGACAGGCGCGGTAGTGAGCCTCGATCACGTCACGTGCGTACACTTTGCCAGTACCCACACCACAGTAGTAAGGTCCTTGAGGAGCTGGGAAACCATTTTGTGGCCAGCCGTAGACTTTGCCGCTCTCGTCGAACAGCGTGTATTCCTGTTCGAGACCGAACCAGATCTCGGAGCTCTTGTGAGCCTCGAAAAGCTTGGCTGCTTCGTGACGATGGTTGAACTTGTTTGGAGTACCGTCGTTGTTCCAACACTCAGCAAGCACCAAGATGTTGTCTCCCTTACGGAAAGGGTCTGGGTAGAAGCTCACGGGTCTCAAGTACACGTCGGAGTCGTGACCTGGCGCCTGGCCAGTCGACGAACCGTCAAAGTTCCATTCTGGTAGCTCATCAACGCTGCTGATCTTCTTGGACAATGTACGTCCTTTGGAACGCATCTCACCAGAGCCATCAATCCACACGTATTCGGCGATAATAGCGCCACGTTGGTCTAGGTCCAGATATTTGGATAGGATCGCAGTTTTCTCGATAGTGGCAGAGGCCATGATATGCACAGGGTTTTTGCGGGAAAAAAATCAAACGTGGAGGAGACAAAGGAAGAAGCTCAAGCTGATAGCTGGATGCTGGACAGTTGTGAGTAGTAGTAGTACTTCTGAAACTTCCTGGAAATTTGAAATATCCAAGGCAAAAAACAGCCCAAGAACCCTTTCTGAACTTTGCTTCCGTGTTCTGCCCTTATATATTCCTGCTCCGTGCTCGCTTATCCGCCACTATCTCGCTGCGATATGCCGCTTGCTCTAACCACCAATTTCATTTCCTGCTCGTCTTCTGCTTTGGGAACGCTTTTACTGATAGCGCTGTTTACATGCGTGATGCAAACACTCCTATACCATGAAATCCACATCATTTGGCCATGTGGCCAAAGAAAATGCCGTGGGAGAACCAACAGTGGATCGGGGCAACAGTAGGCATCATCTGGAACGTTTTGAGTTGAGGCTTTTCCTGAGCATCACGACACACGGTAGGTTAACTTCACTCAGTAAACGACCCAGAACCTGGTACGACTATTTTGATCATCATGCTATCTGGAACTGCAGCATGTGTGAGCCCACAACACTGATAACACTGTGTAAATAGTGAAAACACACACAAACACCACGACGATAAGAAGCAGTCCCAACGCACGGAGTCAAAGCGCACCGTGTGGGCAAATGGAAAATGGAGCACGCGACTATGGCCCTGGGTGGGAGAGCCGGCGTAAAACCCAGGAAGCACACACACACACACGCGCACAATACGCCAAAAGGGAGAGAGCTTCACCGCCATGGATCGCCTGCGATGATAGGTGGACGCCACGACAATCCACACCTCGTATATCATGTGGAAGGGTCACGTGACTATCACGTGACCGTTCCACAAGACCACCTGTCACGTGGGACCACATCCTTCCGCGAAGGAACGTTTCCCGCTGGCGCTGTGAAAGCAGGCCCAAGGCGCGGGGGACCTTACCTGGGCGCTGTGTGTGGCTGGATGGGCGATTGATCTGTAGTGGTACAGCTCCTGTAGTTCAGACTGCCACCTGTAAGCCTTGTCAAACTCTCGGACCTATGGTTTGAAGAGATAGATTGCTCGCTATGGAAAGAGTGCTGCTCTATGCGTCTACTGGTTGCAAAGCACCCGATGGGTGTTTGGTGTGCGGAACTAAACATTTGAATTATCCCGAAGCGTGTAATCAGTCCCAAACTTAGGCGTCCAGCAAAATATTCTGCTCATTCGGGCTCAAGGTCTGGCGCCGGGCTGCTTGTCTGGGCGCAGGGGCCATAACCGGCCTTGGGTGGGTTGCTTAGAATCCCAGGACTCAGAGCTAGAGCCATACTCAAGAGGCCCGTTAGCAGTTAGCCGCCTAGTGGATCGGACCACAATTAGCGTCACGCTGACAATATACTTTCCCACACGAGGCAAAAACATCGAAACGTGCGCCGCAAGAGCATAAGTCTGCCTTTAAGAGTAGCTGTCCACGCAGACGTAGATATACACCTTAAAGGAGCTTCTACTAGTAGCTTAAATTAGCTTGATTTCTTTCAAATGTAGCACACACATTATCTGTATATGAGGTCTCTCGCGAAAAAAAGGACCCAGGCGTAAAGCCAAAGTTTTGAAGCCATGCAGAGCGCTTCGCTCAGCTTCTCTCTGCAGCACTGTAGACCACCCGGCGTCTCTCCAGTAGTAGACCGTGTGTTGGGTTTTGGAAGTAGGGCGCCTGCTGGTTGAAACGAAGCTCAGCACTCAGAAGTCTGACATCTGGCAACACCGCCTGCTAAACCCAAAAACAAATAATACTCGAACCCCTCTACAAATCACATAATTAAGGCTACACTCGAACACAGCAGTATGCAAGACATATCTTGATATGCATGGCCAAACTAATTGGACCCGCTATTGACAGACATTCAAAAAGACGCGGCGTCTCACGCCCAGCGTATCTAAGCTTGCTCTTACTCCTTTTGCGTGGTGTTCGCGGACGCCAGTGTGAATTCCCTGGGTCGAGGCCTGCCAAGATATAAGATCATATCTGACGTCTTTCTTGGCGCGAAACATCGGAGTTTTGGCTCTGCACCCCACCGGAGTTGGTGAGACATAAACAACAAAGGGAAACAGCCCTTGCTCAACGCCTGCAAAATGAAAATAGGTAGACCAACGTAGAATGAGCTGCTGTACAAACCTGTAAGGACGGCCACTGCCCCGGAAAGACCTTTTTGGAGGTGCCGAAACCCTAACGTATATACTGAACCACGAATTCTACTGCATACCACACCTTTGACCGCTGGAGGCTACTTCATACATACCCAAATCACCACGGTTTTTCCCGAAGCCATCAGCGACCATTATCGAATGAGCATCAAGAGCTATTTGCGGGCAACATATACATACCCAACTTTCCCAGAAGCATTGCTACCGAGTTGAGGTTCTAGCAGCTGAAAACTTTACTCTCCGGACAAACACAAACATAGCTCGCCGGAACTGTCTCCCTCCTCTCCTTTTCGTGAAGCACGGTGCGGCTCGCTACGTGCGTCGTCAGATTCGAGGATTATTCGACATCTGCCGACGGATTATTACACGCGTATAACGTGATCAAGAAATGAGCTTTAGGGGAGCGGCTGTGGGAATCACCAGTATATAAGGACCACCTGGTAAACAACCCTTCGTTTGACAAACGACAACACGTTCATCGGGTAAATGGGCGCAGTAGGCTTGGGAATGAACTGCAAGAGAGCAGTCTAGCTCAGACGCTTGTATGGTGGTGTATACCTCTTAGATCTACGAAATGCAGCAAGCATACTGACATTACAGTGAATCACGGAGTTCGGTAGATTTGGCCCATTCACCGACAAAGGGGCCGCGCATGCAGCGTTCGGAAAGGTTTTAGTCGCTGATTGGACCTGTTCTCCTGTTCAGTACTCTCCACTGTTGTGGGGCTGTGAACTGCCTCGATTGCTGCTGAGAAGCGAGCTGCCCCTTCGTCGGGATGACCATTGCAGCTGCGCGGCTATGGTCGAACAATCTAATCGCAGGCTGTCTTGTCCCCCACTGTAAAGCCCGGCTCAATTTAATTAATCGATCTGCAGGCCACTCAGGGGTGATTTTACCCGGACCTCGATATATCACCACAAACGGAAAAATTCTGGCCAGCTCTTTGGGTGTACGGGTGTTCAGGGCTTGTCCACGTGAGGATCCTGCGGGTCTCGCCGTCTTTGACCCCAACTTCACAGCGTGGTGTTTTTTTCATGTAACATCGTGTTCCAGGTCTTCTGCGGCGTTTCTTTTTTGATTTTTCCATCGTTATTCCAGCCCAATTTGGGCCTTTTCCGGCGTCCGCTTTTCTCTCTCACCTTCTCCGGCTCCTTCGTCGTCGACGCCCCTTTGCGCCGTTTGCGCGCTGGCGGTACTGACACCATAGACTGCCAAGTGCTCTGCCTCCCCTGGTGTTTTGTCAGTTTGCACATTCGGATGTAAGGATAGGGACAACGGACCCATAATCCGAGGAGTTTACCCATTCTCTTGCACGAGTTCCACGGACATGCGCTTCCACTTCTTTTCGTGCTTAAACTTTGCTTTTCTTTTCTTACCCGGGCGATTCGGGCTGCACCGTTACTGATTGACGATAGAGCTGGCTCTTGATGCAATAGTTTCGAACCCCGTTACGTTGCTTCTAACTTCGGGCACTTACTTAGCACCTTGAGCACTCAACAACCGTTTGTCAACGCACATTCTGTTGACAGTGTTTGAAGCATACTCCAGTGGCCTCGCAAAACGTTACAAGCAAGGCGGCCGGTCCTGAAGCTTTGATTGACCACCTCTTCCAAGCTCACAGATTCCAGCTCAAAAACCGGGGCTGATCTGCTGTTGTTTGGTACTCCATCGAGGAAACCTTGCCCAAGTTAGACTCTACTCAGATCACACAGGTGAGCGAACACCGGTTCTACTTGCGTGGAAGGAAAAGCGTTAGAGTCGGTCTCAAGCTGTCTGCCCACACAATTTGCACTATTCCAGACAAACCGTCAGCTGCATCTGTCTAGGTATAGACAAGTACACCAGTGTAATGTCTAAGCTCTTCGCGGTCAACAGTCCGGATCTAAGCCCGGAGCTGTTGTTGCACTGCAAAAAGTACGAAATCGTCCATATCCCGACTGCGACAGAACTTCTTAAGCGTCTTTATCGCGACAGGCTGTCGGATGCCAACAATTTTGAACGGGATTTCTCTGTTGTTGTTTATCAGGAACCTTCGTCAGCCGCTTCCTCCCTCGATCATCCAGAATCGCTTGACAACATCTCTGCCGCTGCTTTGTCCGAACTTGTTCAGAAGCAGTTTCTATGCTTTAGTCTGAGTGTAACCACGCCTTCGGATGCATTGAAGGCGGTACAGCATCTCAATGCCCTACAACCTTCATACTCTACCCGTTTGACAAGAGTTGCGAGCTGGATGTATAATGATTGCAAGTATGAAGACCAAGATAACCAATGTGCGAACACTAATGATCACCACAGCCACAGACACAATCAAGATCATAGCGAACACCCTTCCTCTACGTGTTCCGCAAATGTCTATACGATGCTTGCGCACTTGACCGAGGTTCGTGCGCGCAGTAGGGCACAACCTCGCAAACGTTATTACTCGTTGATTTGTCCTGCGATAGATCTTCGAAAATTGATCTACATACCGCCGGGCAATTCTGATCAGTATTATTGGGATCTTGTTTCCACATGGAATTTTTGTGCCATTAGTCTCTCGACCAGTGAGCTGGTGTGGTGCAGCTTTTTGGTACTAAAGAAGCTGGCGTCTGATGCTAAGTTCAAAATCGCAGACAATCAACTATTTCTTTTATTGTTGACCCTAGAAACCTCTTATCACCAGGGAAATAAGTTTCACAATTTCAGGCATGCCGTGGACGTTATGCAAGCGACGTGGCAGTTATGTCAAAAGCTCAAGGCGTACATCAAAGACAACTCTTTCACGCTGCTAGTTTGTCTTGCCGCGTTGGGTCACGATGTAGGTCATCCGGGAACAAATAACGCCTTGATGTGCGACCCGCTATCACCGGTAGCACAAATTTACCACAAGCAATCTGTACTAGAGCGCTTTCATGCGGAAATATTCTGCGATATTCTAATGGACCACTGGCCTGAAGCTTTGGACAACCAGACTGTCATTCCAGATACAATAAGAGCCACGGATATGGCCTTACATTCACAATATGTCGACCTTATGAGTTCATCACTTTCGGAGCAGCAAACAATATTTTCTTTGGTCATCAAGGCAGCAGATATTTCAAATGTAACTCGGCCCTTGCACATATCTACTAAATGGGCCGTTTTAATAACTTGCGAATTCAACGAGTGTACGGCTTTACAAAGGCTGTTACAGGGCGATGAAAATCTCGAGACCTATATACCTGAATCTGATGAGCCGTTGCCAGATTCTCTGGAAGATATTCTGACCAAGTATCCTTCGATTCCCAAGGGTCAATTGTTCTTCATTAATGCCTTCGCCGAACGTCTATTCGCCGGTCTAGCAGAGTGTTTTGAAGAGCTTGGGTTTCTGCTTCAAAATGTCGAAGCTAACAAGAAGTTTTGGGAAAGCAGGTAGGTGACGCACTTTGCCCATCTTCTGTAGTACATTATGTATATTAATGGTGATGTAAATGTATAATAGTAATAGTTTTAAATTCCCCAAGACTCGGCCAAAGATCTAAGATATAGTACTAAATGCAACTGGGCCCTTGGTATATTCTATATACTACTAGCATGCACCAGAATCAATCAATCCACGCTCCCTGTGGTCCCTGACCACCGCAAACGCTTTCAAGAGCTTTCTTCTAGCACCCAAGGCCGACACACCTAGTGCCTCTAAAGAGTCGTCACCAAGGTATATCAACTCCGTCCATGGCTTCCCATTTAGTGCATCAGAATATTTGTGAAGTCTCAAAGATTTTAACCAAGCCGGAATGTTATTCAAGAGCTTCGGATCTGTTAGTGTCTTTGGGTTCATGGAGGATGAAGCCGACGAGCCGGTTGACCCTGTAGGAGAGCTCATTCCATTTGTTGGATGGAATTTGGATTGAGGAGATGACTTTTTTTGGGGCGGCTTTCCCGGGGTCCCAAACTTTTTCCTGAGCTGAGGATCAGCCGAGCGCGGCCTGTTAGAGAGGTCATTGATGTAATCATAAATCGGCTGACTATTTGAATGATTTTGAGAAATTGGAGACCATTGACGGTTCATACTGTGGCCAATATTGTTGTTTAAAAGAGAATCCAACGTCAGAGGCTGGGGTGTGGGGCCCCGGTCAGGGATGGGTGCCAAAACCTGTGGAGACCTCACACTTGGCGACATATAACCTGAGCTCACCAGACTGTCTAACTTCAACTTAGTATTTTGTAAAACTTCCTCGTTCAACGAAGATAGAAGATTATCCATAACAGAGTTCTGCTGAGCTGACGATAACATTGACATCCACGAGCATAATTGATTGAGATCATGCGTGAAATTAACCATATTTGTAGGAGGGGGTGCGGGAACTGACGTTTGCAATGCAGCCATGCTACTTGCAGGTCTTGAAAATGAGTCCAGAAACATGGAAGAGCTTGGCTGTAACAGTGGAGATACGACAGCAGGTCCGGCTGCTGTACGTTGTGAATCAACGAGCATGGTTTGATGTTGCTGTTGCTGCTGTTGTTGCTGGTCTAACAGGTCGTTGAGTGAGAGATGCTGAGAGGAAAGCTGCGGACTAAGCGGCAGATGTTGCGAGTGATTCCCATTTTCGCCCGCTCCGCTGTGGGAATTTGCCATCGACGACGACTGCGGGGTCAAAAGCACGGCTCCTGGGTGTGCTCTTCTGGGCATGCTTACCGGAGAGTGCACTCTAGTGGGGAAACCCATACTCTCTTGCTGGAACATCGGGAAAGCCAAAGAGTCCAATGCTGGTCTGGAAAATTAGCACACGATGGGTAACAAGAACGACAGACTATAGGCAAAGCCAGACTACCTATATTGGCGAGCAACAAAGGTTACTGGAAAACCCGGGACAAAAATGAACAGATGCCGGCCGCTCGCTTCTACCAGTAGAAGTCCTTTCGAGCGCGATGCTGAGATAAAATACAGTGGCAAACCCTTGTGCTAACCAAAGGCTTCCTTTTCCTCGTTCTATCAGTACACTTGCGTACTTTCGTTGTGAGTTCCGATTTTGACGTTTACAAGATTGATGTGTGTGTAAACCACAAACTGCCACCTTAATTTGACTGCACTTTAGATCCAAAGCGTATCTCAAAGTTCCAGAATTGTCCTGGTAGTGGGAACTGGGGTGTTAAAGTAGTCTTAAATATGGACAGTGATTAAATAGACGATGTGTTTTAAAACTTGACCAGTTCATAGAAAATTTTTTTGGCTCTACTAATTGTACTCGAGTACTGACTGACAAGTATAGCTTGGATATACAACATATAGACACTCAAACCATCGGGATAAGGTTTAGCAGTGAGCCATGGTTAATTGGGATGCTAAGATCTTGAAATCTAATATTCTATATAGCTGTATCGCAGTCGTTGGAGAGGAATTTGTTCTAATGCTGGCCCGCGCCAGGACTGACATTGCGCATCGCTGTTGAGCGAGTGAACGCTCAAGATAATGCATACACCTCTTGGGGTTGTAATCGCTGCACGCTCTTTTCAGTAGAATTTTGCGAGAATTGACTCACATTGCTCCTTAACGGTTTCGTCCTCGTCAAGCATGGCCCTCAATATGTTCTCGATAAAGGCCTTTACTGGGGGCCTGAACATAATCATAAATTTGAGTGATTGAAATCCTAGGGAGCTCCGAAGTGGGTCAAGGCACAAGGATTTGATTCTGTCAATGTGGTGCTGCGTCAGACGAGGTACTTCACTCACCAGCCTGATGAACTGACGCCTGTGCGAAGGCTCTAACACAGGGATTAGAGCATCCAAAACTTTCAGCGACCATTCGTCGTAAACAGGCGAGCTCTTGTTTTCCAGCGACTCATAGTACCACTCCTCGCTCAACCATTCGATGACCACGTCGATGCGGCTCCCAAAATCTTCAAGAAAAAACTCGTAGATTGTGTTCCTCGCCTTGTTGCTCATTTCCGCGTTTCGGCTGACACCTCTAGTAGCTAAACGAATTAGCAAAGTTAGCCATGATGTCTTGTTGTCCCATCTCAGCAGCCTTACCTTGTGCAGTATATTATCGTGTGTCTCGTCGTGGGTGCTTGCCTCTTCCTCCAGGTTTCTCACTGACATTATGTGTGCCAGAACCCGCGAGAAGTGGGCCTCCTTCTCGTCGGAAGACATCGGCGTTGGAAGGCCCAAAGTGAATTCCTGTTTGTCCTCCTCCTCCGAGACGTCGTCGTCCTCTGGTAAAGGGGCAACCTCCTGCTTCTTTGCCACATGCTGGCCGCTGGGTTCGTCTTCTTGAGAACGTTTTCGAGGAACAGCAGACTGGGACGCTTTATTCATCAGGTCAGTATAGCGAGATGCAACTATAGAAAGGCCCGAAATAATCTTGTTAGTGTCGGTTTGATACAGAGACTCTGTACAGACCTTAGCCATAACGCTTGGTGACAGCTTTGAAACGTCATGCTCAGAGTGCTTGCTGTTCATGAGCGAATACACCGATGCATATGTGTTATCAATGGCGACAGGAGAATTATTGAAGAATCCAGAAGTAGACGACTTGGACATCGCATACTTCTGCAGCTCATGAAGAATTTGCATATCTGGTGAAAGTCGTGGCTGCTGAGCCTCCGACTTAGCAACTGGTTGCTGGCTGGCTGTAGCTTTCTGGAGAGCGATGAACTTGGATCTGTCACGCGGAGGCATCTTGCGTTCCACTTGCTTAGTGTCGAAGTTTAGAATACCCTTTGACTTCGTTTCTTCACCTATTACATGCAATGTCTGGGATATTTTGGAAAGTTTTGCATGGTACTGAGCAGAGCTGCCCGAATTCTTGATAAGCTGAGATTTCAGGCCGTATTGAACAAAGACTTTATAGCAACGCTCTACAAACCTTTTCGCCAAACGATAGTGCAGAGCAGACTCCGAGTTCTGCTGATACTTATTGTCGACGTTGAATCTCAAGATGCCATTTAGAATACGGTTCGTGGCTTGAGGTCTTTGCTTCATAATAAAACTCAAGCAGTTTAAGATACCCATGAACAACGAGGACACCATCATGGGTTCGTCTGATAAATAGCTCAACAGATAATCTAATAACTTTTTAGCCCCGGATTCTAGCTGGGTCTTTGACTTGATAACAGGATGGCTGTCGGGAACCGACGCGATACTGATGCCTGTAGATCCCTGTGTATGCACAATAATCACGGTGCACATAAAGCGCACAGTTGCCAGCTTGACGCCCAACGACCTTCCGTGATCTTCCAACGGGTCTTCAGACGGCGTAAGTGGATACACACTCTTCCACTTCGACAAGATAAATTCCTTGAGCTGGCACATCGTGTCCCACAGTTCTTTATTGGAAGTCTTAGCCACCAGATCAAAAAGTGAATCGTAACATTTACTGAAAGCCAGGATGCTATCCCGCACGATAGAATGGTCCTGATACGAGCGACAAAGCTGCGATAATGCCACCAAGTTTTGCGATGCGATGAACGGCTTTTCACTGGCAGGAACTTCCTCATGGTTTAGAACGTCTGTGAACAACCGTGCACATATTCTTCCCAGCTCCACGGATGGGCCCTTTGTTGATTGGTAGAGCGAAAGAGCTGTCTCCAAAACTTTAGGAAGCATTTCTTCAGGCTTCGTGGTCATTGCCAGAGCCCTGGCTTGGGCTAATTGGACAACTTCGCTAGACATTGGTGAGCAAGCGGATGCCTTTAGGCAAGCTACGTGACGAGATGGACAAGTTTGGCTTTTTTCGACAGTCGTTGGAAACTTGGTCAAATTAAACAATTAAAATGATTGATCGTTATTAGGCTGGATACATTGACACCACGACAGTTTCAAATTTAAGACTAACACCGTAGGATAAATGTCGAATGCCTTGAAAAAAGCTAGATAATCAAGGCGTATGAAAGCTAGTGTTGCGTGGGCTTCTTGTCGCTATATAGTACGTGTAATGAATCAATAAAATAAGTATACTGATCGCATTGAATGGCGTAAGGGCTCTGAAATTAATGCATCCTCAAAGTTGAAGGCGTTGGATCCGGTGAGGGTATTGTCCATATTCTTTTTCAATATGCCACGTTTCTACTTACACGAAATGTTACGAGACTAGGATAAAGTAACACCCCGCGCCGTAAGGTATTGTTCAACATAGTGGATGTTCTGGCTTAATCTGCTTTTATAAGTCTTTAAAAAAGGTCAGGTCAGGTCCTGGTGACCACCAGGTCGTTATTCCGCGCCGCGTGGAACGATGTCAATCAGAAAATCAAACATGTCACTCTTCAAAAGCGCCTGCGCGACGTCACTTTTCTGCAGCGTTCTCCGTTTGTGTTCCTCTGCGACGCACCAGGCACGCAGTGTGAGCTCGGTGATGAATATTTCGCACGCCTTAGCAAACAGAATCGGAGCCTCTGCGCTGATCATCCGCACGTCCTCGTCCGTTTTCATTACTTTCTTGATACGCGCGAGCGGTAAGGAATGTGATTTGAAGTCGTCCTGGTGTTCGCTGCCTGGTTCATTGGTCATTTCAATCTCGTTGATTAGTTCTTGCCAGTATTGTATTGTTATCTCGAGATAACTGCCAACTAAACCTTGGGCCACATTTCGAAACACGTCAATCTCTTCTTCCTCCGACCCTTGATCCATCACCGCTGATACCGTGCGGCTGTGTTACTTGTATCTGTTACAAGGTGTAGTATGTGATGAGTGCGAATTTGTTGTCGAAATTATAGGTTTGCAAGATAATATCCCGTAAAGTGAAAACTGTAACTCAAACGACAAGCCTGGAAGGCTATTTCGAAGCCGTGTAATGAGAAAATTTCAGTCTTTCAGTACAAGTGTAGAATCGAGTCTCTTGCAACCTCATAAACCGCCGACTTCCAATGAGATATACGCCGAGCCCGAGAACTTCCTAGAAATCGAAGTTGCCAACCCTAGAACCCACTTCCCGCACTCCGAGCAGCGGGGCATGTACACAGACTACGAGATAATATGTCGAACCAATTTGCCCTCCTTTAGCGGGAGAAATAGCAATGTCAGAAGACGGTATTCCGAATTTGAGTTGTTCCGCAAGTGTCTGCTCAAGGAGCTGTCGCTTTCAAGCCACCCCAAAGTCGTTGTGCCTCACTTGCCCGGAAAGATCATTCTGGGAAACCGGTTTAGTGACGAGGCTATTGAGGAGCGCAAGCAGGAGCTGAACAAGTGGATGGTGACCGTTGCTGGCCATCCCCTTTTGCAGAGTGGGTCCAAAGTCCTGGTACGATTTATCGAAAACGAAGAGTTTATGGGATAGAAATATGCTGTGTTTATGGCGAGACTCTCTAAGGACCAGTTAGAAATGCTCTCATTGGATTCTCGCTTGCATCCTTTCACACCCTGATATCATCAGTAATGGGATGTTGCCCAGGTGGGGCCAACGGCCATAACACAAGAGCTACGAATGTGAAGAAAATTACTGCGTGGAACTTCAGGCAAATCGTTAGCCACTCATAATCACTCTAGAGATTTTACATAGCGCTTTTACGTACTGTTTTTCTAGATTCTGGTCGTGGTTGAATACTAACTGAAAAATTTGGATCGTTAATCTTAACGGAACGTCCCAACACCGAACCTTGTATTGAGCGATTACAAGCATCAAGCATGAAGAAATCAACACTCCTGTCAATTGATGCGTTTGCTAAAACTGAGGAGGATGTGCGCATCAGAACCAGGACCGGAGGTATCATTACATTATCTTGTGTGGTGGTGACAATTTTGTTGTTACTCAGCGAGTGGACACAACTACAACAGGTTGTCACTAGACCACAGCTTGTAGTAGATAGAGATCGCCATTTGAAACTGGATTTGAATATGGATATTACTTTTCCACATATCCCATGCTATCTGCTGGATCTGGACATTTTGGATAGCGCTGGAGAGCTGCAATTAGATATGCTGGAGAGTGGCTGGAGTAAGACGCGCCTGGACTCTTCAGGCCAGAATCTAGGGACCGAGAAGTTTAAGCTCGGCGATGATGTCACATCAACGGGGCAAGATGATGAAAATTATTGCGGTCCCTGCTACGGTGCTAAAGACCAGTCTCAAAACGACCAGAAGCCGAGGGAGGAGCGTATATGTTGCCAAACATGCGAAGACGTTCGTCAGGCATATGTCGATGCTCAGTGGGCATTTTTTGACGGCAAAAATATCGAGCAATGCGAACGCGAAGGCTACGTTGAAAAAGTGAACAAGCATATAAACGAGGGATGTCGGATCAAGGGCATGGCCAAACTGAATAGAATCGAGGGCAACCTCCATTTCGCTCCGGGGAAAGCCTTCCGCAACCGACAGGGCCACTTCCACGACACGTCCTTGTACGATAGGACTCCAAGTTTAAACTTCAACCACATAATTCACCATTTAAGTTTCGGGAAGCCAATCCAAGGCTCTCCATCCAGTCCCATCTCAACGGCTCCTTTAGACGGCAAGGAAGTGAAACCTGAATTTGATACACATGCGCACCAGTTTTCGTATTTTGCCAAAATCGTTCCTACCCGCTTTGAGTATCTAAACGGCGAGAAGATAGAAACCACTCAGTTCAGTACCACCTTCCACTCCCGCCCCGTTCGTGGAGGGCCTGACTCTGATCACCCCAATACCCTACACAGTCGTGGTGGGTTCCCAAGTCTTTACTTTTACTTCGAGATGTCTCCACTAAAGGTCATCAACAAAGAACAATACGCTCAATCATGGTCTGGATTCCTGCTCAACTGCATAACAAGCATCGGGGGAATTCTTGCAGTAGGCACTGTTGTCGATAAGATTACTTACAAGGCACAGAGAACGATCTGGGGAAAGAAGAGCACTTGATGCGATATATCCCATACAACCCCAAAAGAGGAACAGAATTTGATAAATTAAAAAAAGCTAATGTGCGTCTTCTTCCACCAAGATATTAAAGAACTCTAAGGTTGCCAGCGGGTTCTCTGGCTCTCCGGAGTAGGTCGACTTGTATATAAATATTGTCCAAAAAACGCAGACAGAAAAAACATATATTCATCATAAGGCCAATTGTTCTATACAGAAAGTTTCAAACAAGGATACATGATGATGGGCTAGGAGCTAATCGGATTTCCCTTTGGAATAGCACCGACGACAGCGTGAATGTCGACCATGCTACTTTGAATAGTAGCACCAGACGTAAGATGTGATTAGATTTTGAAGGCTCGTAATTCTTGTTTGGATGTTTTGGCCGTTACCGAATGTAAAGGAAATGCCATGCCAGAGTTGGTAGACTCAGATTTGACTTTTGCCCCGAGAATGGCATACCCCTCACAGTCGAATGTATCTTTGCCAACCTCGGTGACACAATCGACCCAAAGCCTGTTGAACAGACGCGTTTCTACCGAGGATTCATTATACCATATATGTTTGACCATAAGGAGACGACTGGAGCTCCTGCCTCAGATAAGGCCCTATATCAACCTTGCACACGCTAGCAGTGAACTTTTGAGCGAGCGTCAGGCCCTTTTGCTCTCGCAGAAGCAACAGTTAAGCCAACAGCATCGCAGCGTGGGATCTAGCATCAGCGGTACCTCGGGCGGGCACAGCGCGAAACATATCTATGACAGACGGATAAGTGGGGCATCGAGTAACAGCTATGCCGATGATACCGAAGCTTCGAGTCTCAGTGTGGAAGAGACAGTATTAACTTTCAGCATGGGCATTCTGCCGATTTCCATGGATTGCGACCCAGTCACTCAGCTGTCACATCTTTTTCAACAGGGCTCTCCGCTATGCATAATATTCAATGCTGTGAAACCACAGTTCAAGCTTCCCGTGGTTTCGTCGGATGACTTAAAGATTTGCAAGAAGTCCATCTATGATTTTATTTTAGCGTGCAAAAATTACTTCACTTTCAGCGATGAGGAACTTTTCACCATTTCAGACGTGTTTTCGAATGCCACAGACGACTTCATCAAGGTTCTTGATGTGGTGACCACACTTCTCGATGCGGCACCACAGGTTTTTCCACCAGTGCAGGTCGAGGATGTCAAGTGGTCCAATACAGAACATGGTAAAATAGTACGGGAATTTGTGGAAACAGAACGCAAATACGTGTGCGATTTAGAAGTTTTGAACCAGTATCGCAACCAGCTTCTACAATGTGGAATTATAAGCTCTGACGAACTTTACATGCTTTTTCCAAACCTTAACGACATCATTGACTTTCAAAGACGCTTTTTGATATCATTGGAGATCAATGGTCAGGTTGAACCCTATAAACAGAGAATAGGTGCTTTATTCATGCACTCAAAGCATTTTTTTAAGCTTTATGAGCCGTGGTCAATCGGCCAAAATGCAGCCATAGATTTCATATCCTCGAGTTTCGACAAGATGCAAGGATCGGATTTTGTTATTGCGAACAAGTTAGAGCTTCAATCATTTTTACTGAAACCTGTACAGAGGTTATGCAAATACCCGCTGTTGTTAAAAGAACTAATTCAGCAATCGGCTGGAAGTACTAATTACAAAGAACTGGAGATGGCATGGGAGATCTCAAAGAGTACAACTCGCAGTATAAACGAAAACCAAAGAAGAACTGAAAATCATGAGGTAGTCAAAAAACTCTATGGCCGTGTAGTAAATTGGAAGGGCTACCGGATAGCTAAATTTGGCGAGCTGCGGTACTACGACAAGGTATTTATCTCCACGGGAAACCCTAATGAGGCTGAACATGAATTTGAGGTGTACCTTTTCGAGAAAATCATCATTCTTTTTAGCGAGTTGACGCAGAAGAAGCCAAATAGTATATCCTTGAAAAAGAAGTCAAGTACCAACTCGGCGTCTACCTTGCATCTCAGCGGTATGAATAGTGCTACATCAACATCCGGTGCCAATCCCACAGAAGCGAAGCTGGATCTCCGGGGCCGAATCATGATTGTAAACTTGAATAAAATCAATCCAATGGATAATCGTGGTCTAAACATTACCTGGGAATCTCCGAAAGAACAAGGAAACTTTGTGCTCAAGTTCAAGAACGAAGAAACCCGAGACAATTGGCATAGCTGCCTTCAAACACTCCTGCGACAAATTCGGAATGAGTCACTGAAAAGCAACAATAGCAATAGCGATCGCTCGTCATTTTCATCTAGCACCTACTATCCGCACAACAGTATAACTTCTCTCAGCGGCATTCAAAGTAGGAGGGTATCGGATGTGCTACCGAAACATCATGGGTATCAGTCATTTGAAAACGAGTACCGATCAATATCTGAGAACTACAGAGCCTCGATACCTGAGACAACTCTGTTGATCCGGATCTCTTTTCAAAACGATTTCTATACAGTTTTAGTTGAGATTGGCTCAGGAGTCGAAAACCTCCTACAGATGGTCAGACGAAAACTGACACACGCAGGTAATATTACTAAAGTAAAATATCAAGACGAAGATGGTGACTACGTTATGCTCGAAAGTGAGGAAGATTGGAATGTGGTAAAGGACATGCTCAAGGAAAGCAATGAGCGCATCTTGAATGTATGGGCGTTTGCTTAGTGCTCTTTTCATTACTTATGTGCAACGCAACCAACTAGGTGTTTGAAGGCCCCGCACGGATTCGAGAGGCTTATGAGAGCGTTTTTCTTACGAGATTAAGTTCCGCGGCACGAACCACACATCCAGCTTAGCAGGGTTTGCAATCACTTGCTAGCTGGCACTTAACATGTATTACAGATAAATTTCCATTTTCATTGTCACTTAGAGGACGTTTCAGTGGAGAGGAGGGATGCTCTTCATCCGTTCTTGACATGATAATAACAGACACACAATTTGCAGTGGATGATCATACTTCAGATTAAGCATTTCATTAGGTGTGAGGATCTCGACCCATTATGATCCAATGTATTCTAAAACCCCGAATTGTTGAACGTGAATTCCTGCATGGGCTCAACATAAATAAATAGATAGATACAACTTTTCTCGTTACGTTAATGTGTATTTTGGCCCATCGCCACCCTCTGGCACAACCCAGTTAATGTCTTGCGTAGGAACTTTGATATCACAAGTCTTACAGTGGATGCAGTTTTGTCCGTTAATTTGGAATTTCACACCGAGAGGAGAGCCTTCATCCTCAACGTATTCATAGACTCCTGCTGGGCAAAAACGCGACTCAATTCCTTGCCAGTTTGGAAAGGCTTTTTGAGCGTGTTGATCGAGATCTTGGTCAGGAACCCTCAAATGGCACTGTTCATCTTCATCGTGATAAGTTCCCGTGCGCGACACGGACGTCAGTATATCAAATGAAATCTTGCCATCTGGCTTGGGGTAGTCTATGGGCTCGTATTTTTCAGCCGTGTCTGTGACAGCCGCGTCAGATTGGTGGTGTTGGAATGTCCAAGCAACTTGACCCTTCAACAGTAGAGAATCCAGTCCAGAATAGGCCATCCCACCTAGTCTACCGAGCAAAGGATGACCGAAGGAGGGTCTTATGTTGCGTACTTCATAAAGCTCTTCGTGTACCCACGATTGCTTAAACTTTTCGTCATATAATTTTAAGTCAATTGGAGACGTTAGAACTTCTTCAATGCCACGTTCCTCCAAGGATTCAATAGAAGGCAATTTTGAGATGATGTTGAACATACATTCAGCAGCAATCATACCCGTTTTCATGGCTGTATGCGTACCTTTAATCTTAGGAACATTCATGAAACCCGCCGATGCACCAACCAGGACACCACCGGGGAAGTTTAGTTTCGGAACAGATTGAAGGCCTCCTTCATTCAAAGCGCGAGCACCGTATTCGATACATTTACCACCTGAGAGAACCTTCGCATAATAAGGATGGTGCTTCATCTTCTGGAACTCTTGATAGGGTGAGATATAAGGATTTCTGTAGTCCAGACCGGCTACTAGCCCCACAGTTACCAAACCCTCGCCAAAGTGATACATGAAGCCGCCTCCGTAGACATCATTGGACAAAGGGTATCCCATGGTGTGCGTTGCGAAACCCTTTTTGAAGTTCTCCGGTTTGACTTCCCACACTTCTTTAATACCAAGACCATAAGTTTGATTACATTTACCTTTTCTCAGATCAAATTTGTTGATAACCTGTTTGCTCAGGGAACCATGGCATCCTTCGGCCAGCACGGTCTGTCTGGCGTGGAATTCCATACCCCTTTCAAAAGATGATTTCGGCCTGCCTTCTTTGGAAACACCCATATCTTTGGTGGCGACACCTGTGACCGTCTTTCCGTCGCCACTATATAAAATTTCTGACACGGCGACGCCAGGATATATCTCGACGCCAACTTCTTCAGCTTTTTCGGCAAGGTGTCTTACAACTTGGCTTAGCGATCCAATATAATTGCCCTCGTTCGACATCTGTGGTGGTTCGGGGACAGGTAGATCTAGATCTCCTATCAGGTAGCGTAATTCACCAGAGGCCACCGGTGTGACTAGATCTGGTGGAAGTGGTATGCCATTGCCATTTTCGTCATAGTATTCGCTTTCTGGAAAAAGTTCCCTGAGAGCTCTAGGCTCCATTATCACTCCTGAAACCATATGCGAGCCCATGTCTGGCGCTTTTTCGAGCACTACAACTCGCAAATCTCCTGTGCCTTGTTTGTTGTCCAATTGTTTAAATCGGATTGCAGATGCCAGACCGGCAGGTCCACCACCTACGATACACACATCCACCTTATCCACAGCCCGTTCCTCAGTCATCACCGCTTGTTCCTCCTTGCTGAGCTTGTCAAAAGGAACTTCTGAGGAAGTCCTGGTTACAAACCCCGTGGACAAGGGACGACGACAGGCGATAATCCGGGTTGCTTTTTGACGTGAGCATAGCGATGCCAAGCATCTTGAGTTGACGCTCTTAGTCCCAAAGTTTCGATTGGCCAGCTTGAGAACCATGGAGCATGGTGCTTTCGGCAGAACCCTACCAATCATTGGTCTGTGCAAAGGAAGTGTCTGTCAAATTCTAAAGCAATAACAAGCTGCTACGGCCAAGTATACAATCTCAGGACCCAACAGCTATTTTAGTAAAGAACGTGCGACTCAATTGACTGGCTTTTATGGACATATTCAGATTTTCATAATTGCGTGATGACTTACAATTTAGCGTCAATTTACACATATTGACAGAGGGAAGAGTCCATTTTTCGCCACATTTAGTGAAGTGTGATCTCAGGTGCAATCTCACAATCAACACTGCACAATTAAACAATGGGCCCAGTTATTGCTAGATCAAAGCAAGTTTGGGAGCTTCCGATGAGGCTTCCGCTTTTAATTACAATAGTGTTACAAACTTTTTGTCTACGAAATACATATATTTATATATATGTGATTTGTATGTAGTCAGATCGAGCAACTCCGAGATCCTGATGGTGTTGCGAAAAAAAAGATTAATGATAGTCTGGTTCCGTGCGTTAGTCCTTGCCGTCGTGGTTTGCTTCCCCTTGCTGAGATTTGCCTCTGTAGTTTTTACAATCCCAAAATTTCTTTAGCTCATTTGAAAAAGCCTTCAAAGTCTTCGACGGAAAGAGCCTCGGGAGAGTCTATTTCTTCCAGTAGAAAGCCTGAACGAACAGTCTGAAGCCATGAGCCGCACGTGAGCCCTGTTGAGCATCCATTCGCAAAGCTGCTGTTTGACTTGGTCAAAGTGGATTCCACCGGCTTGTGAGTGACGATGAATTTTTGAATGCTAGCCACTGCAGCATTGGCAGCTTCTTGGGCTCCTACGCTTTTCCTCGGCGTCGATTTGTTTAGACGCGGAGCAGCAGCAGCGGCCGTAACGTAGGGCATCGAGGCTGCAACAACTGGCTGTGAGTCTGATGATGTCTTTTGTTTTTTCGTAGCTGGCTCATTAGTAGCTGGCTCATTAGAAGCCGGCATAGGCTGAGCATCTTTGGCAGGTTCCCCTGAATGGGATAGCATGCCGGGAGCAAGCCTCATGGTCACTGGTGATGCAGCATAGGGGATATTAAAATCGCTTCCAAAAGAACTCACCGCAAAGCTACTGCTGATTGCGAAAGGACGGCCGTTTTGATTCGCACTCTTAGCGTCGGTAGATGCAGCTTCTAAGTTGGGCTCGTTAGCAGCGGCCGCACTATTTTGACTCTTCTTAGAGCTGCCATTAGATTTTCCCACCTTAGTTTTCGACTCCTGTCTCTGCATTAGCATGGACTGCGTGTGTGATTTGTAGTCTGGGGCCAGTATGCCACGATAAACGTAAACCATTCTACGAGGCGAACCCTCCGACCACTGTCTTGATAAAGCGTACTTCAATGTCTTTTCCCCTTTTTCAACTTTCTTCACATATGCATTGAGCTTGGCGGAAATGAGATTAGAAAGCTTCGTCGAGGCACCAGCCATGTCGGGATGCTTTTCGGCGACATAGTCACAGAGCTGTTTGACAGTAACACCCTTTTGTCGTGGATCCTTTTCGAAAAGAATAACGAAAATTGCCAATAAAACGTCATCATCCATAGAAAGGTCCTTCTTATTAGGTTTGGGCCGTTGTCCTGTCACCGGAACCATACTAGAAAGCTCGGAAACAGCACCCGAAACAGTTCCAGTGCCAGCGCCAGAACTAGTAAATTGCACTGGAGATGCGGTTGCAGAACGCTTTAGCGACAAAAGGTCCTTTCTAGACATTGGAGTATCCGAAGCTCCATGGTCACTACTGCCCTCAGATGTAAGGCTAGAGTTGCTTCGTTCTGCCAGACTTTCGAATGATGTGCTTTTAGAGGAGTTACTGAGCGAGCTTGGTTGGAAGACTGGTGACGATGAGTTATGCAAATTTTCGCTTTCCAGTGCAGGGATCTGTAAGGGCCTTGAATTCGTGAGGGCCATTGCTGTCACAGTACCAAATCGTCTTAAATATGGGCTCTTGAATGCTTAGAAGCCCTAATACCCGATTTTCAGCGAAGTACTTTGCCCAGCTGGTTGACGTTCCTAACCCGCTTCAACTTTTTTGTTCTTTGATGCAGATGACAGTCCCACTTATCTTGACATGTATCGCTCAATTCAGGATATTGGGTTCCTCTTTCAAGAAAAAGGAGTGGCTTGGAGTTTTGACCTGTATTCACCCAAATTCGGCGGCTGCTTAAGCGAATCTGTAAACTTAAGTTCTGTTCCGCTATTATCCAAGATAAATGGTTAGTTCCTTTTAACCCAACCAAAAAAAAAAAAAAGGGAACTTAGGCACCACTCACCAGAATAACGCTATCCCGCTGTAAAGTGTGGAGAAAGATATCAAAATCGGTGGAGTACTTTGGGTCTACAACTTGAACCTGGATCTAAGGTAGAGCTGGGGTAGAATTGATATTGAGAAGATTTGATTATCACTCCAAACGCAAGTGAAAAATTATTGGAAAAGATAGATATGATTTCAAAAGTTGTTGTACGGCCATTTCTGACTTTAAGCAAGGGTCAAACCAAAATCAGTTAAAGTCAGCATTAGAACATGTTAAAGATACATTTGGCGCGTAGCTTCAGTGTTGCATATCTAAAGTTAACAGGTGGTAATTTCATTGCCGAAATATGTCTTAGCATGATTCTGATCGCGACACACGATTAAGACAGCGTAGGAAACATCGTGACTAATTGGCTTGGAAGTAACCAGCCACCGATGGATAGCATGGCTATAGAGAACCACATATCAATGGGGTCACCTATAAAGCTGTTTTTTATCTTCGTTTAGTAATCTCAACCTGTTCTGCTCCAAATCACTTTCGTGGCTTCTATTGATATAACGGCAGTCAAAGGCTAAATTACGGACATCAAGCCCTAAAGAGAAGCCCTAAGGGCAACTGAAATCACTTCAGGGTCCATTTCTCGAAGCTCTCACAGCAGTCATGGTCCTTTCGTAGTCAAGAGACCAGTAGTTATCCTTGTTGGGGTACAAATTGTCGGTGGTGGTACCATTGGGGGGCGCAAACCAGTAGTTCACGGCCACATGAATTTGATCTTCCAGTGTGGAGCTGCCTTGCTTGCCAAAGGATGTTACTTCGTGGAACCAGCCTGTGGGCAAATAAAGCATTTCACCAGGCCCCAAATCAACCGCAATTCGGTTCGCCTTGAAAAATAAGGGCCAATGCTCAACCGCCTTATTGTATATGTTATCTCTCACCAGCCCATCTTCTATTTTGTCCAAGTGTATGATGGCAGGAACTATACTGGAAAAAGATGGTGGGTCTAGTTTGCCTTGTTCATATGCTGCATCGATCTGACGTTCGTCCTGGTCGACTATCTTTTGCAAGCGCTCTTTATCCGCATCCGCTAAAGAAGGGTTATTTTGCAGCTCGAAGTGGGCAACTTCCGCTACTATGGCGCCATCATCTCTCAAGTTTCGCCAAAAAGGGGATTTTTCACATCGAGCGTAGTCTATAACCCCAGAATTGTATACTTTGCGAATTACACCCCGCGTGTACATCTTACCAGCATCTTTTGGCGAAAACAGAGTAAACCTCTTGTGACCACTAATTGGTATGTAGATGTTATCCGCATGGTCGTGGTGTAAGCCAGAAGAAGAGCCGCCGCCGGGAACAAATCTGCCCAAACCCAAGTTCGTCGCGGTTGGGTCGAAATTAGAGAGAAAGCTCTTATCATCGCTTTGCTGGTTTCCAGCAGTTGACCCTATCCATAGATTGATTTGTTGGGGTATCAAGCCGCCTACAAAACTAGGAGTTTCCGGTAAGATATTAATAATACTATTCATCGGGGGTTGATACAGTTCTTTTACCCTCTGATTAGCCTCGGTGGCTCGAAGTGCCCCTGACGGCAGTTCTGCAATGATTGTCTCCCCCTGCTTTTCCTCTTCTTCTGCGTCGGTATCGCTTTCCTGTGCTTCTTCGTATTGTCCTGATGAAAACACTTCATCGAAATCATCATGGGCATCATCCATGATGAAAGATTCTGTGTCTGAGAAATCAGCAGCTTTAGAAAAGGCTTGTTCTGAACCCAACTCTTCCGCAGTAGAGTCCTCCTCTTCACCTTCATTTTCATCGTCATGGTCAACGTCCGAATTCTCATGGTCGCCGCCGTATTGGGTTGTTAAGTACAGCTCACTTTCCCCCATCTTGAGACGGCCCATGAACTCTTGAAAAGTCATCCGGAGCCGTTTTTCCCCACTTCCAAATCCTCCTTCGACTTTTCTTTCCACTTGTAAGATATCATGGGATGGAAATTTATCGCAAATGTTGTTTACTCCAAGTTCGTTGATAATTGAGCCTTGTGATTCCACACCAATTATTTTGCAAGGTTTACGCTCCAAAACATAGTTTTTCAAGAATGCATCGATCTCGTCTTGGTTTTCAGGCAGGGCGATGGTGTCCACAGCGTCAAGATTGTGGGTGGGACAATATTTGGTATATTCATTTGAAATACTATCCTCTAAGGACTCAAATTTTTTAGCCGCGTTTCCGACATAAGTAGAGTTTGATCGTTTCCCCATTGCTGAAATGCTGCGTTCATTAGACATCGAGCTGGATATGGCCAATGCTCATTACGTTCGTTGGCTTTTTCGACATTGGTCATTAGTAACGACTTACATGGTAGATCGTGATCTGACTTATTTAAATACATAGATGTAATAAATGGATCAATCACGCTTCTCCCTCTAGATCTATGAATTGATAGCGACTAAGAAAAAGTTTCCGGTAGTTCTCCGTATAATAGAGCCACCTCTTGAGTCTCAACCTCAACTCCACCGAAGAACCATCTGGAATCGATCACTGGCATTACTCTGTCATCTTGACCTTTCCTATCTTTGAACGACAGGTATGAAATGGACGACAGTAAAGACTGAAGTGATCCATTGCGAAGTCCGAGCATAGCTAACAATGAGGATTAAGGGAAGTCATTTGACACATTTATGCATGATGAAAAGTGAATCCACTAAGCAGGTTTGGCAGGGCCCATTGATTTCGAGCGAGCATTTGCGTGTATTTTCTTTTTACATGGAATTACTTAACAAATGCTACAAGGGTTGTATTTAACTTTACGCTTGGATTAGAAGTATGAAATGCATTTGATATTTGAGATAGGCTTTTAAAGATGGTAAGGGAACTAAGCATGCAAATAAGGGGAACATTAGGCGGAGGGACTTAAACTCCGGGCGACATTCACAGAATGCAAAAGAGATTTGGTTTGTGAGAACGTAGAAGCAAAAGACGATTTCATCTGTAGCAAAAATGGACTTCTTGCCGTTCCATGGCGACGTTCTCTACAACCCTGGCTTTACTTTGACAAGGTTGACATGACGGTTTAAATTTTTTGGTAGATTTTCGTAAGGGTGGTCATTAAAAAAAAGATTCATTAGCCACACAGCCGTGTCAATCATGGGCGAGGACAATAGCAGTATTAACACTCAAAGCTTCATGTCCGTGGCCCCGACCCTTGTTACCTTGACCTTTTACAGGGAAATTCGGTGAATTCAAAGTAATCCATATCCATACAAGCGGACTTCCGTTTTGACTCAGATCTCTTGACCATAGCTGGCCGAGAAATGTTCGACTTCACAGATTGAGACGAATAGCCGTCTGCAATGTACTTTGATGGATCTTCTGACAAAGCTGCGGATTGGGGTGTGTCTATTCCAGGTCCAGCTTTGACGTTGATCTTCATTCCCATGGACAACGGAGTACTGGGCGTAGGTGGTATACGGCCGCGTGGGGATCTGAATGGATGCATAGAAGGATACTCATTCTTATTGTTGCCAAAGGCAGGGCTGACATTGACAGAGTTACCTTCGCCTTGTTGAGACGCTGGCGATAGCAAAGTACTATTGACTGTGATAGGCGGAGCTTGAGTTTGAGCAATCATTAGATCATACTCTATCAAACTCTTCAGAATTGGATTTGATTCTACAGTGTTTTGACCCAAGTATTTTAACTTGAAACTTGAGGGGAAGCTACGAGAGCGAAGTCTTTTCAAAATTAAATCGCAAACGCGCTGTAAGTTGGCATCTTTGAGCATGACTCCATAGTGCATGAACTTATTGTCGACAGAGAGCCTGAGGGCGTGAGTGGCAACTGTAACAGCAGCAAGGGCCACGGCACTCGCATTACAATCAAAAGCTAAAACATGGTCGAAACAAGCCAACTCGCATAATACGCAGCTAGCATATTTTAAGTCGTTGATATTCAGCCCCTTATAGCTCAAGGAGCTGATTTTATTTTTCAAAAGGATATCAACAAAAACGTCATGAGAAGGGGCGTTACATGGAGTCCAATTAAGGGCCTTTAATATGTGAAGCTCCATTTCGAGGAATTGGGAGCGGGAATATTGGTTACAGCACAGGCTTTGAAGGGCACGCAAGCTCGGCACCCGCGGTTTTTTATCGGTGTACTTGGATGCTAGCCAAAGACTGCAAAGCGCGACAAGTTGATAAGTAGAGCTCTTCACAATGATGCGGCTGCAGTAGCGATCAATAATGCTGAAACACAAAAACAAGGTGGAAGACGAGAGGGCCAGCCTTGTGTGGCAACACATGGTGAAGTCAAAGATCAAGGAGCGCATGTGAGTGTTTATTTCCGGTTGAGCTTGAAAGCTCGCAAGGCACGGACGGCTCTCTTGTTCAATGTCGATAAGATGTCGAAGGATATCAACGCTATAATCCTGGCAAGCCAGCTGATGTGCCAACAATTCCATCTGGACCACCTTTGGATGGGCAGCGCGCGAATTCCAAACAGAGCGCCGAATGGACGCCATGTCCGACAGGTGGGAAGTAGCCATTTGGGCTGACAGATGCAAAAAAGGATGAAATTCGAGAAAATAGGATTTATCAGATAATCCTATTATTGTACGTCTGGCCTTTAATTTTTTTTCGAAGGGCCAGATAGTTTCAATATGCTGTTGATGAGAGATCACCTTGGTTAGGGGTCAAAAAGTGTAACGGAGTTGTAACAGAAGTGTGAGAAGAAGGACCGGGCTGTACTGTATGGTCTCGGTTTACTGATGGCGTCTGAAGTAAACCCTTCAAAAGCTGAATATCAGAGTTATATCAAACACAGGTGAGGATGAACAGGGGATTGTAGGCCGTACAAACGGAATGGGGTAGAGGCTTAAAAGCAGCTGCAAAAGAAAAACAACGAATTGCAGTCCTTCTTTACCGCTCGCCACCACTTCGCGAAACTTTTGATCCAGAAGACAACACCAGGAGTTCTTCAAAACGATACGCGGCTAAGGATCTTCTGAACACGCCTTAAAATCGATTTGAGGATGTTGTCCTAAGCTCGGAAGAAAAGGAATAGAGGCAAAAGCGAACACTGAATAGGTTACTTCCTCCCTCACTTTCTCCGATAATGAAGTAAAAAGACCCAAGCAACAACAGACGCTTTTTTCTGAGAACGACAGATGAGGTTTGCCGTAATTTGGGACTACCGCAAATTAACTAGATCTGGGGGCTCCGAATTATGCTGCAGATTATGCCGGCTGCTGAGGCAACTGTATCAAGTGTTGGGAGATTGCCTGGTGACTGAGACTCGCGTTTTCTTTCTTTCTTGTTCCTGCTCTCTTTTGAGGGCCGAGAATAAGAGTGAAAGGGACTGCCTGATAGGCTGATCTGGAGACCTGGCGTCTCTAGTAATTTATCCCAATCGGGTGAAAAATTCCGTGGGAGATGACGTGAAGTGCTGAAGTCGTCGGCTCGAAGCTCGATGGAGACTGAAATTCGAGGGTTTAGACTTGTATTCACCGCTACTGTGGACGTGGAGTGTCGATAGCTTAGACCTGCTGGCTATTGCACTGTATGCGAAAGAACGTAAGGTGGCAGAGTAGGAATACGCGGAGTCGGAGCCGGGTGGTGGTTTAGTGGGTCGGCAGAGCACGGCTAAGATGCAATTGACCACCACGAATGCAAATGGAGGCGAGGGATAACTCTGGTGGAAGAAAGAAGGCTTTAAGAAATATTGTTGAAAGATGTTTGGGCTCTCTTCCTTTCATATATATATATATATATATATATATGACCCACCCACGCTGGGACCCGCTCACATGCCCTAAATCTAACCAAAAATCTTCAAAATCTGCTATGCCTGTTGCGTCTCGCAGGAACAATCGGGCTGGGATAGAGACACCTACAGAGATTGACAGATACACAGTTCAAAAAAAATTGTCAGGACATCCAAGAGAGTGCTATCGGGGCCATAGGATTTGCTACTGAGTGGCCCGCATACCAAAGCTCCAGAGATTAAGCGGGTGCTTGCCGCGCACCGTGAGAACGGACGGAAAATTACCATTTCGAGAGACATTGGGCCAATAGGGTAATTTTTTTTTTTTCCGGTACTGAACACCTTACTATCAGGCTCTGCCTAATCCGATCTTGGGCCCACCAGCCTACCCTACGGATTCCTCAAGATTTAGCACGGGCACCGTGTGTGGACAGAGCCTGCGGCGGCCAGATCTAAAGATCCCAACAGATGCTAGCGTGAGACTCAAAAAAATCCGGTCGGAGCAGAAAATCATCATTCCATTTAGGTTCCTTCAGCACGGCAGGTCGCTCCTCGCTGAGGCTTTCGCCACATTCTGAGAATGTTGGATCTCATGGACCATATTGGGATTTTTTTCGCACCCAGCCATACAAGTTGTCCGTTCGAACAGAAGAGATCCCAGAAAAAAAAAAAACATGGAGAGAAAAATTCACCGTCCTCGGGAGTTTTTCGAAAATCATTGAGGTATCTCCACTAACAATTTGGTAGATTCTCGCGAGCAGCACCGCTGCAGGACTAGCAAGCTTCGTAACCCTATCCCCCACTTCAACAACATCCTTTTTGGGAAATCACAACTGGGCCATGTGAACGAAGAAAACCAAATGATATGCCCACACAAGGCAACATTTACTAGCCGTGACAATGGCTTAACCTGCTCACCCGATTGCAGCGTGTGGGCGTGTTTGACTAGCCTGCATAGTCCTGTAGAAGGATGCCCGCTCGTATTAATTACTGCAGGACTAACGATAATAAGGCGGAGATTACCGACAAGATTAGGAATGCTGACCTGATAACGGAGGTTAGGCAAACCACTTTAAAAACCGTACCATGGTTCGGTTCGAAAATGGTGATCGGACGAATATACTGCATATTGTTGTACGTACCGTAGGCAGAGAGCTCCTGAGACACCCAGGCATTTTCATCTGCCCGGGTCTCTCATTCATATCTTCACTATTTACGAAACGTGGTGACACCGTGTTTTTGTGTAATTTTCGGAGTTTTTCGAAAAGGTGTGCCTGCATATCACTTTGAACGCAATTACATATTGGCGCTGAGGATGTTTGTCCAACACTAGGCGTTCGGGAACAAATAGGCTTCGGCGCGCGAGTAGATTGTAGGTTAGTTTGAAAAGGGCTGCTGCACTTTTCTGGCTTTGAGAGGCCGAGTTTTGTTGTTGCTCTACGGGATAGACATGACCATGGTCAATCAATGGAGGGATTGACGAATCGCAGCGCCTGATTGTACAGGCCGAAATTTTTGAATCGGTTTCTCAGTAGCATAACTTTCTGGGTGTTGATTCTACCCACACTCCTCTGGTAAACCTTTAGCGTGTGCTCGGTGACATAGAAAATGTTTTCGGTTTCATTGGAGCTAATCTGCGTGTAAAGTAGCGCGACGGCCAGCCTGAATAAATGGGGGTACTTTGCCCGTCGATCATACCACCATTGCAGGATACTGCGACGTGACCTAGACAGTATTTTGGTTTCGTTTTTGTAGTGTGTCCACTCGTCATAGCTGCTGGAAAACACGCCAGTTTCAGAGGGCCCCTCACCAAGCCGCTTGCGTTTACTAGTCTGGTTAGCCATTTGGCCGCCAGATTTGGTAGTGCTGTGATCGTACAGATCGCATTTGGACAAGTACTCCTGTATTGACACCTCCACTTTGCCAATTATGCCGTTCAATTCATCCTCGGAGATGAATTGTCGCAAGTTTTCAAACCGGGACGAAGGATCTAATGCCACAGAAACATAGAACGTAAGATTTTCTGTGACACCATCGAAAAAACCTTTGAACATCTTTTTACTGGCCAACACGGCCTTGAGAACTCGTTGCTTGTGCTCGGGTAGTAGGCTATCGGATCCGTTTAAATACGCAAATTCCTCATTGTGAATGAACTCGCCATTTTGGGCACTTTCACACAGATCGTAAAATTGATTTAATTTATACGAAATGAAGACACCCTCTGGCAAGTAACAAATGCCATCAGTCAACATGGACCCACGTAGTTTATCGAAAACTGAACAACATTCGACGTAGTAGCGAAACAACTCGAGTGCTCGTGTCGTGTGGGAAATGTTTGCGCTCAATTCATTCAGGATCGATGCTTCCGCATCGTGTTCTGCATTGTCTAGCCAATCTTTGAGTTGTTGTTGCACACGCAGAAATTTAGTTACCTGGCGCCAAACGGAACGAGCCTCGTTAACTTGACTGGAAAACCTTGGGGGGGAAACCAACTCGTCTGCAAAACTTTTCAGGCCTGGAATGTTGTTCCACGACTCTGCTAGCTTTTCTATCTTCTGGTACTCGTGCTGGAAATCTTCGTCCCGCAGCAGGTCCTGTGCTACTCTTTCAAACTGGACCTCAAGGCCCGAGTTAATACAGCGGGCTAGGCCAACGTTGCCCAGATACTTCTTCACCACGGAGTCCGGATTGCAATTTAGAGCGTTCATTAAACTGTCATGAATTCCAAGTTTATGACTCAGCTGATCGATGGTCACCAGCGCCACTTTGGACGTAATGTTGTACCTGTCCAGAATTTTCAAAACACCTTCAGCCAAAAGAGGATGGTCGCTAGCTTTGTCGTTGAACTCCACCACATCAAGCAAGTGGCCATTAACGGGATCACCCGTATTATTCAAGAGCAGCTCTGGAGTCTGGATAGTGGAAAGCCGTTCGTGGTCCAAAATGTTGGGGGCAAAAGACACGGACACTGCGAGGTATCGCAAGCCATTTTCCCGCGAGCAGACGTACAATTGCACGCTGAGGAACGTAGAAGACTCTAAGCTAGTCTTTAGAGACTGATTTAGACACTCACGGTAGTAATCGAGTTTTTCTACCACGGCCTTGCGGGTCTCGATCAGCGAAACGTCAGGCACCAGCCCGTTGATGATCTTCCAGCCCATGGACTCCACAACGTAGAGTGGCACCAGCGTCTCGGTAATCAGCACCACCGACGCAAAAGTTCCACTCTCGCGGTTGAGCTCCGATACAAACTTTGGCGAAAGTCGCAGCGAACGTTCTTTGCTTGTTAGCGAAGTCAGGGTGGTGTCCTTGGATGCAGCACGCTCGCGCGACTTGTACTCTGCTGCGTGATTGTTGGTTATATGCTTGGAAAGGTTTCCTGTCGATTCGCCCTCTTTGTATTCCTTTCCGCAGTAGATACAGGAGGCGATCTTAGCGTCCCCGGAGATGGAGATCTTGAAGTACGGCCTAAACCGAGAGCGGTTCATCCACCCATTCGACGAGTACGACCTGGAGGCAGGGTCTGACGAGCTCCGGCTGGAGTCTTGCTGTGTGGCACGAGGCTGATTGAACAACAAGAACTGATGAGAATGTGGCTGCCCCGGCTGTAACTGCTGCTCCTGCTGCTCCTGCTGCTGGAGCTGGTGTGTTTGCAGTTGTTCTTCGTTCTGGAGCTGTTGATGTGCTTGTGCCAGCGATGGCAACCGTTGCTCCGAATGTTCGTCCGGCTCGAATCGCTCACTATGGCCAAAATGCCCACTCTGCACAAAACGGCCCGATGACTCCCGCGAAAAGTCTTCTACATTGTCGTGGGCTACACCGCTGGCCTGAAGTGCTACTGAATCTGCCAATCCATACGCTACCGAGTCCAGCACCGGGTCAAGTGACATTTCCTCAGGGCGCACCTGGTTCCCGTGCTGGCCCGTAAGTACTTCAAAATCAGGATCCAACGCTTGGTCCTGGCCTTTACTTTGCTTGTCCCGCTTCAGTGCATGCAAATCTCCAGTGCCTCGTTGGTGCACTCCGCTGTTGTTGTTCATATTGTTCATGGATCCCATGACGCAATTTGTGGGAGTTCAAGGGACAGATGCCAAATCAGACGACGAGAATGAGGTGTGGGGTGGGCCGGATAATCTCAGCCAAAAAGCCTTCCCAACGGAGACCGTCAATAGTCCTTGCCGTTGCCAATTGCAAGTCGGAGAACCTAAGTGGTGTTGAAATAGTGGAGGAGGAAACCGACATGCGAGTAGATTGGTGCCGGTGTCAAATTTTGTCTGGTGGGATGAGGATGAGAAAATTGTGGTAAGTAAATGAGTATAGTTTGAGTAAAATGACCAGCCAAGAAAGAGGTACAGACTTGAATGAGTCCACAGAGTAGCAGAAAGAAGCGATGGGAGCAGACTGTGAGCAGCTGGAACGGAATGCTAAGGCTGGAGTGGTGACAAAAAAAAAGTGGTCTTTTATGAGTATTTTACAACGATGGAAATACTGTAGAGTATTGTCGAAGTAGAATATGTTCTGTGGTTATACAGGGCGTAAACTAGCTGTAGGCCATCGATTATAACGGTTAGCTTGGTGCGAAGGCTCTTCGCTCAACTGGATCAATGCGGCCGGAGATGGTTTGACGACGGAACGTCGTTAGTGATGTGCGTCCTTCAACGAAGATGGACAAGTTGGAAGGAGATCCAATTCTTGGGCTAGTTGTGGCCGTGCAGACTGGGTTCAGGGCTCCGGTTTGTCGCGTTCATCGACTAGAGCCCATGAGTTTTCGTTAACGAGCCACGCTGAGTTTTTTCGCACTATTTGGCAGTTCCAGAGACTGTCCATGTTATGTAGTTCAAAGTACATCTCGCCAGTCAGCAATGCACTGGCTTGCATCCCATCAATGTTTTTCCTGTCGCTCCGTCACATCCTTAAGTTGTGATCACTTTGTACTCCACTGGCCTCGCCCTGGGAGTTCTGATGTGACGAGTCGGGGTCGTCGGAGTTGGCTATAAACTAAGCTTTTGTGTTTCATTAATTACTATGGCTAAGTTGAAAGCACGTCGTTTGTTGAAGTCTGCCAAACGGGAACTATTCGTGTGTTCGCTGCTTCATGCAAAAGAATCAAGTACTTACAGTTCTTCGAAACGTGACCCTAAGTTATCGGACCGTCCATTCTGCACATGGCAAGCTGTGCTGTCACTGTATAATCTTGGCACAGTTGAGCATTGCTGGGTAAGTCGTACTAATGAACTGTGAAGCGCTTTGTGAGACCTTTGCGAAAGAACGGGCGTAGTATGTTGCTGGCCACATCTGCAGGAGCTTATTAGATAGTATATAAAGTGCTCTTAAGAATACTCAGCATTGTCGCTTGGTAGCATATCATTGAGGGTGGGCAGGTAGACTGATTGGAGACAAGCCGAGACTCTACAAACCCTCGATTTGGATACTAGAGTCAATACTTCTAGATCAACCATACTAAAAGCCAACATGGTCATTTAGGCACCCACGCTAGTCGAAGAAGTACTTTTGCTCAAAGCCCGGTTGCAGATGCCACACTTTTTCTACGCTTCAGATCAGGCTTTTCAACGCGCCCAAACTTTATACTGTTACGTCGATGCAGGTTTACGGTGTATCTACTTCAGAGTGATTATTGGAGCAGATCCGAGATCACAAGCGTTTTTTATAGCTTTCTGGGACCCTTCATAGTGGTTTGAAATACAAAGTTGCAGTACGTTGAGTCCATGGTTTATGGTGCGCGCAATGACCAAATGCCTTTCTCAGTCATTTCGCCAGTAGATCCATTCATATTAGCCTGACGTCTAGGTAACTTAGAACGACTTGTCGAAAGCTCTTGAAAATTTGAATATCTATAAGGCATCATCGGCTATGCACGCCTACAGAGGTAGCGAGTGTACTAGTAACCTATGCAGACCAGTTCCTTCAACACCACAAATATACTGCTAGTACGCAGTCGGTTTGCGGCTCGTTGGAATACTGCTGCTGCAAATGCTGCTCGTAAAGTACATCCTGTCTCTCAATTGAGCATTGAACTCGCTAACGAACTGAAAGCGCATCAGAACTCTCTATCAGCCTTTAATCTTTTCAAAAATAGGCTGTACGAAGTTTCTCAGTCCCTTCAGGATACCCGTTTTACTTTGCAAAGATCCTTTGGGCTCAATTCCGTCCTAGTTCAGCTTTTACAAGCATCTAGGAAGGACCTGAATAATCCCTCTGAAAATGACAGTCAACTGCCTCCTAATCCATATGAAATTCTCTGTCTTATGTGCGAGTACGGGCTGGCGCGTGATTCCCACTTCCAAATCGTCTTCGAACATTTGATCGCCCTAAATGCTCCTCAAGATGTCTTAGGCTTGTGGGTCAAGTACCTCGAAACTCTCGCTGAAAACCCCAAGATGGTGATCTCAACATATGCCAATCATCACGCAAATAACTTGGCGTTAGCTTCTATCGGATATCTAATGCTTCCTGGAAACTCACCCAACTTAGCAGAATTAGCCCAAGTTTTGAACTTGGGCGAAAAAACGGAGCAATTGCCACTTCCAAGGATACGGTACATCATTGACACCTTGAATATGGACTCTGTTACGCGCAAGAACGCCAAAGAGCGCTTTTCTCGCTTGGTACTCGAGTTTTCTCAGACGTGTAAACTCGAATTTGAAAAACAATTGCAAAGACTTGATCAAGTGCAGGATGTGCAAAACCTTTTTCAAGGTTTAAAAACAGCTGCCCAAGCTTCTGGTCAGCAGCTCAGTACGGACACTTTTGCAACCTTCATGAATAAATTTATTGAACTGAACAAACCTCAACAAGCCATAGCTGCCTTCAATACCGCCAAAGAGGCTGGTATTCTCGACATAAGCTTGAAAAACGCCCTTCTCGTCGCCGTGGCGAATATCCCTGTCTATGGGCGTGATGTTAGAGAACAGAAGATCAAGCGGATTGAAGCCGTTTGGAACACTTATATTTTAACATCGTCTGGAGCTATCGGAGTGGACTCTTATATTGCGCTTGTCACAGCTTTAGGTGAAAGTCGTAACTTTCAGCATATGCAACAACTCTGGAACAATGAAATTCCTATCGCACTGAAGTCCGATCAATCCTTGACGGAAGCGTACCTTTTGTTCCAATCTTATCGCAAAAATTTCAGTTTAGAAGGGATTCAAAGTCAACTCCCGGAGAAAATCGGATCCATCAAGCTCGCCAATCAAGTGCTCCTCAAAATGATCGAGGAAAGGCGTCTTGAAGCCGACATCAATCAATTTTATCGCAAGCACTTTTCTGATCCAGATGCCCCACTGAAGGCTGATGATACTACATTAGCTCTGAAGATGTACAGCAATTATACTTACACCAAAGATGCTGAATTTCAATTTATGAGAAGTATCTCAAAAAGTAAAAACGATGTAAGAGCGACTAGTGCAATTTTCAAAAAGTTCTCCGAAATTTGCCCCGACATCGAAGTGACACGCGCACTTTTCAACGAAATACAAACCCCACTTGATGCTAAGAAATATGGGTACATGATTACCGCAGAAAGTAAAGCTGGAAATATCAATGCCTGTGAAGATATTTTCAAAAGGTTTGCACAAGATACAAAAAGCATGAACAACATCACTAGGTCTATTCTGGACCCAATTATTGATGCTGTCTGTGAACAATGTATACAAGATAAATCGGCAGCCAAATTGGAGAAAATCAATATCTACGCCACTTTTGCAAAGCGTGCTCAAAAGTCTCTCTCCTTTGCAGCTGCGTCCAGGATTCTTCATACTTTGGCTATTCTCTCCAAAACGATGCATGGCGGTTTCACTACCCAACAAAACGATATTCTCATGGCACTACTTCAAGATATCCATTCAATGAAGAATTTCACGCCATCTAAAAGGGATATTGACGTGCTCATTCAAAACAAAATTTCCGTCCCCAAAAGTACGCTTTAAATAGACTCCCTGTCTCTGTAAATAGATAAACCATTGATTCGCTAACACATGTTTCTAACTAGATTACAAGTATATATATATATTTATATTCAACACCTTAGAGTCCGATCTGGATTCAAGAATCTGAAGGCCGGCCGACGTACTGCTTTGATTCGTCCTTTATTTACTTCTTCTCGCTCCCGAAATACTCTGAAAGAACAGGTTCTGTCCACCGAGTAAATCTATCCTTCGCACTTGATACGCTATCGAGCGCAGGACGAACGTCAAGATTGAATGTTGGTAGTCCATCTTCATCATCTGGGCCGCTATAAAAGTCAATCACGTAACGAACTTTCTTGTAACCAGGGTGTTCTGTATTGGTTGAGGTTGGATCGGGTCTTAAAACTGTCCAATCGTGTCTGTCAAAGGGCAACTCGTGCGAAAATTGCGACGGAAATAAAGTTCCCAGTATACTGAACCAGCGTGCCCTTGGTGATAGTTGCGAGGGCTTGCCCATGAACTGCAAGAGCTTAGGTTCTATATCGGTAACTTCAGTGTACTTTTTTTCCCAATCGAGGATCTCCTGCCAGCAACCTTCATTCAGGAAGTTGTGCACGAATACCATAGATTCCACAGCGTCTTCGGGAATTTCTTCTCCCGTGTTGGGATCTATCTTGCCCTTGCGGACCATAGCATTATACATCTGCTGTGGAGAAGGATACTCCCAAAAGTCATTGGTCTGAGCGTTACCCTTTGGTATAGAGCTGGTGGTGCGGTCCTTGGGCAAATCTAGTTTCTGCCCCAGTTGTCTCTCGTGCGAGAGATTGGCAGGAATGTGATTCAGAGGGTTAAGCCCCTCTTGGGGCTTAGATCCATGCATAACCGGACATCCCTCTGTTTCTCTTGTCTTTTGGGTTCCTGAGTGGCTAACGGGACATCTAGATGTCTTATCGCTTTCGCTGCTTTTGCAAGTGGGAGCCTGCCAACGTTGTTAGTGTTAGAACGCCAATCGGTGATCAGAAAACTTTCTTCGTTAAACATACTTCAGTCTTACCAGCCCAAAACCATCCCATTTCCCTCGTAGTGTGGATTCACAGTTGCTCAACAGATGTGTTGGGATGCTGGTGAGATAACTCATAACTCACCTCATCGCCTGATAAACTTTTCATTTTCCACTTAACGATTATAAAAAGGACTAGATAATCGACTATAAAAGTCGCTGAAAGGTCTTTAGTGATGGTTTCTAAGCCAATAATGTAAAGTCAGTATAGAGAGCCGGCGTTGGGGCTTCAACTTCAAAAGCTGTTAATGTCAAGGTGAGCCGCAAATTCTTTGTCGCAACCTATGCCTATGCTAATTGAGCAGCCATATGTAGGAGCCACTGGGCATTGAACTTCACCCCAAGGACGTATATCGAATTGCATTATTTATACATACAGTTGGGCTGTGAGTTGTGTCACTTTTTGTGCATCAATGAGTTTGAGATGTGTACTTTGCTTGCTACTTGGCAAGAGGTGACACAACGGAGCCTGAGAAAATTTTAAGGACAGTCATATAAGAGATAAGGCTTCAAGCACTAAGATCATACAGTAGAATCTCCTTTTATTTGAAGTTCTAAAATATAACAGGTAGGTGATACAATTTTAGATTTTGCAAGAAGGTTCATATTAGAATTCAAACACCGTAGTAATAGAAAGTGTCCGGAAACTCCGCTGATCCAAATAGGGGTCTTATAAGTGTGCACCCTTATCCCCCTTTCTAGATAATGGCTAGATAGCTCTTACAGTTCATCTTGATGTGAATTAAAGTTTCCAGATATTGCCGTTCAGGCTAGGCAGTGAAACTCAGTCGAATTTAGAGGATACAGCATACTTGAGGTCTCAGATCCTACAAATACGACTAGTCTTAAGTGGCATCTGTCCAGACCGATTCATGGGGGCTGCCAGTTAGTGTCAAGTTCATTTTAGGAGACAGCCGTCAAGATGGCGTGGTCTTCTCGTCTATAATGCTGAATACTTTTAATTGAAGTTCGAGTACACTGGTGCTCTTGACTATACCACATCACATAGTATCAAACCCGTCTCTCTAGTGAGGATCCCGATTCCTTCTTGCCTGGAATTCAAATTGAAGTCACCATGGATCCCAGAGGTGATAATATTCTCAGTATGAGACAGATGGGTGATGCACGCTCAACCTTGGCACATGTTGCTTCCAAACAACTGTCTCAACAGGATCCAACCATCAAGTTGGTGGATTTGGGGATTGTTTCCCTTACTCAAGAAACTATTGATTTACTACTTCCTGTGGAGAGATTATCTTTGCAAAAGAATCAGCTTACGGGCTTACCTGAATCTTTTAGCAGATTACAAGAATTGCGATATCTAGATGTGCACAGCAATAAACTTGAAGCATTTCCAGAAGTTTTGCTCAAATGTGAGCGTTTGGAAATCCTGGATTTGTCCTCGAACTTTATTGCGAGCCTTCCCGCTGAGTTTCCACCTGTATTCAGCGAGAACCTTAAGGTACTGTCATTAAAAAACAACAACGTGGAATCGATCCGAGACCTTTACTCGGCTATAACCAGTCTGCGAAGCCTCAAGATCCTGGAGATTGAAGGTAATAAAATACCGGTGGAAGAATTGAAACAAATTCAGAACGAAATACCTCTCTCATCTCTCCCAGATAGCGTCTCACCAGAAGAGTACTGGTGCGTCGCTCTGCGAAAACATTTTTCGGATTCGAAAGTCAGTAAGGTTGCAAAGAGGCGTGGTTTTATCAATGTCACTGACGAAGAGCATCGTCGAGAAGAGATATACAGCAACAACAAATACAATGATTATTTCAAACGGCTGTCAGTATTACCAGAAGAAACTGCATCCCAACGGGTGACTCACGATGAACTTTTAATAGCATGTCGAAAACTTCTTTTCAGTTTCACAGAATGTCAGCAGAGTATAAGGAAAGTAACTTCATTTTGTGAAGATAACGCGGTCGCAGTAAATTCAGTGTCTCTTCTGTATAGTGCAAGGTTGCACATTGATAATCTGTTGGAAATATTAGAGCAGGGAGAAAATCCCACATCGTCGAGAAATGATGTGATGGTAAATCCTTGTCTCACCATTATTTCCATTTTCAAACAAATCTTTGCTTTGCTACGCAAGAACTTCAAGGCCTTCTTTCAAGGGAATGACATTTGTTTCGCAAGAATATTTTACATGAACCTATTATGCTCATACACCGAAATGTTCAATGCTTGGAGCTTAATTTCGCCGCAAGATGTTCGTACTCCCGTAAAAAAACGGCCCTCCAGGACGCACTCTTTGAGTGTTTCGCAAGGCTTTAAGCATATTATACCGAGAGCCAGAAGTAACACGCTTCAAAGGTCCGTGACAGGTAACCCGGTGCTTTCCTCTTCCTCATCTATGCCGCAACCAGCGGTAAATCGCCCCACTGGTGCCTCTTTGACCACAACACCACCGCCTCCCCAAAATAATATGGGTTTTGAAAGTCGAATAAATCACGAAGGCTCTCCTAGACCAAAGACAGAACCACTTCACCTTTCACCACAAGCCAATAGGCGAAAAGCTGAAGGAACCTTTTTAGAGGGTGCACCATCGGCCCTGTCTTCGAGTCCGGCAAAGAATGCTATGGAAGAAACTGCAGATCCTGATATTGATGCTCAATTATATCATACACTGGATACGGTTATTTCTATGGTGAACGTGGTATATGCTCAACTGACATCCGCTATTACTAAGAGCGCAATAGCCAGTACCAAGGGGACTGAGATTGCAAGCATAACCAGCAGCATAGCATCTAAGATAAAGGACTTAACTGACATTTGTTTTCAATCAATGGAATTGTCAAAAGTTCTAAAAGAAAGGCTCACAGTTGTTTCCAAAACCAAACCTGAGAATTACACCTCACCCATAGAAAAGGCCAAAACCTGGGAAAGCGTTAACGCTTTTTTGAAATCTATCATTTCTATTTTGGCGAACACAAAAATCATTATGAAAGATTTGCCTATTTTGAACGAGGTGAGGCCAAACTTGGCTTCCCTAGCAAAGATTACTAAGGATGTCACTGTAATTTTAGACTTAAGTTCCTATAGGAGTGTTTCACAGGCGTCTCAGCAGCAACAACAGCCCCAGCAGCAGGCGCCAGATTCGGCTTTACCGAAAGCGCCACATTCACATTCAGCTGCACCAAGCGATGATAGTCAAAACTTTTTGTTGGTAACGCCTTTGTCGACGCCTTCCTTAGTATCAGGACATGCCCCTAACCCGTTCGACCAAATATGAATTGTTGATAATCAACCATTTCCAAAGCCGTTGCTACAAACTCGAACCTATTTTTACATAAAGACAATTCACATATCAGGCACATCTCTCCAGCGTTTCTTCGTAAATTTTGCTTACCTCGAAGTGATAGCCATGAACTCTCTGTTCCTCCAGGAAACGCGGCACGACCATCCGAGTCCTCTCGGCAATTCCAGCGATTCTGACCACTTCGGTGCCTGTCATCTTAGTATTACCTGGCACTAATCCCTCAAGTGAACGAGCAAATATCTTGTCCAAAATCATCAAGAATTTGAATGCCTTGGATAAAACTTTATGCTGCTCCTCTTGACTGAGCGAATTGAGATTGAATCTGGTTAAGTAATCTAAAAAATCGTCTGCCACTCGCAAGAGATAGTGCATTTGCCCAAAGTCAGTTGATTCTGTACTTGAGTATTGTTCGTGCGTTAGCGAGTCTAAATCGACTGCTAAAAGACTTTCTGTAGCTGCTACACCCTCGATCGAATACCACAAAAAGTCCAGTACCGTTTTCAAGTCCTCCAACAAAGGTGCTAGTCCTGTATACCCATTTTCTTCCGCCAGTCCTCTTGATTGAACAAATTTCCTCTGAATATTCATCAGCTTATCATCGCAATACGAAATAAATCTGGATTGTTGCGCCATTGAAAGCCTACGCTGATTGGCCACTGGATTGTCATGGCTTTGGGTAGAAGATTTAGCCTTTGTTATGTCAACCCCGGACGAAAACGGCGATCCCATGTTTACACGCGGCAAAAAGTCAGCCTTTTGGTCGAACCCCTCATCTTGTACAGTATTGAGTTCTGGTGAATTGCTGCGTTTCAACCCCCTATCTTGTTTTTGATGACCTTGCTGTTTGTCGGTGGATATACTCGTTGATTCGCTTCCGCTGTCCAAGTTCAGGCCTTGGACATCAGTGTCGTCTAGTTCGTTAATATCGTCGATATTCAATTCCTCATCTGCCCCAGTATGTTGAGGAGTCTCAGGGGTAAACATTAATGTTAAGTTCTCTGTATTATCACTTTGCTAGGATGGATATCCTTCGCCTTTGCCTGCTTCAATGACTTTTACAGTAATATAATAATTAATATTAATTAGTGTCCGAACTACTGGTATCTTCACATTACATGGTCAAGGCGAAAGGTGAAGTTCAAGACTGTCAACAGATTCTGGGGGCTTTACACTATAAGAAGGATCTGGAGCCATCGGGATGGAATTCAAAACAGTATTTGGAATCTTAGAACCAATTTCCTCTGAAGAAGGAAATCAAGAGAATCATAATGTTTTAGCCGCCGTGCCCATAACCAAGAACAAAGTGATCAAATTGGGTAGGAATGATCGCGAATGTGATATACTTTTGCGTCATCCGTCAGTCTCCAGTGTACACTGTATGGTGTGGGCCATACGGTTTGATGACGACAGTGTTCCAATGTGCTATGTTAAGGATTGCTCGTTGAACGGCATTGTGGTAAATGATCGAGCGTTGAGCCGAGGTCAGACTTACTTGCTTGAAGACAGCGACATAATTACAATTCCAAACGCAGGTTCCTACCGATTCGTTACTAAGATTAAGCTGCTAGCCAGCCACCTGGTCGAACAATTAGGATTTCAGTCGAATGTTGATAATTGGCATATCACGTCCAAGGTAGTGGGAAGTGGCACATTTGGTCATGTTTTAGTAGCCAATCAAAAAGGCAGTCTTGTCGAAGATAGTCATCCAATCAATTACGCTGTTAAGGTTATCAAAATGAAGCCTAACAGATTGGACAAAGAAGCGAAAATACTCCTCAAACTCTCACACGTATGGACGTTGATCACAACCTCTAATAGCTGCATGGCAGTATCATATTTGTTTTCGGGCTTGAATTCCTTAGTAATAGGGTGAGATACTAACGACAACGTTCCCAGCCCAATATCATTAAAGTGCATAAAACTTATGCGGGAGTAAAGGATAACCTCTATATCTTTCAGGACCTCATAGCGGGTGGGGATCTTTTCTCATATTTGGCTAAATCCGATTGTCTCTCCCCTGTGTCTGAGACCGAGGCCCTAGTAATTATCTATCAAATTCTGCAAGCTCTTCGCTACCTTCATTCGCAAGGAATTGTCCATCGTGACTTGAAACTGGATAACATTTTGCTATGCACTCCAGAGCCATGCACCAGAATAGTTCTCGCAGATTTTGGCATTGCCAAAGATTTGTCGTCGTCACGGTCGCGCATGCACACCGTTGTCGGAACTCCAGAATACTGTGCACCAGAAGTGGGATTCAAGGCAAACAGAGCAGCATACAAAGAATTCTCAAGAGCTGCAACTATCGAACAACATGGATATGATGCCAAATGTGACCTGTGGTCGCTTGGGGTGATTGCACATATAATCTTGACCGGAATTTCCCCATTTTATGGTGATGGCTCAGAAACGAGCATCATTCGCAATGCGAAAATGGGTAATCTCAACTTCAGCGCTAAGCAATGGTCAAGCGTGTCAGATAACGCAAAGAGCTTTGTTCGTCGCCTTTTGGAGATAGATGTAAGCAAACGTTTGGATAGTAAAGTAGCGTTCACTCATCTCTGGATTGCAAAGCACAGGGGCCAGCTTGAAAGAATATATCACAAGAAAATTCTCCATTGTGATTACTCGCTGCCCCGTGTCGAAAAGCCTAATTGGAAACGCAAGGTGCCACAAAGTATAAATGTAGCTCCAGCTGCAGTGCCAAGAAAGCTAAGCATGATAGATATGTGAAAACTGCTAACTGCCTTCAGCGCAATGCCCAACACATGATCGCCTACTTTGTCTGCCGCTGACGCATGTATTGAATGTTGCTTTGCATCAAGTTAAGCTCCTTACATAAAGGGCTACTTCTGGAATTACATGGGCCTCAAGATTTTCGCATATTGTATTGTAATTGGTGGTCACGATATACTACCCTTGAGGCTCTCTTGTTGCCTCAATAATATTGGTGCAACTAATAGCTCGCTCTGACATAACTATTGATATTAATTAATTCTGTTTTTCTGCATCATCCTAAAATCAAGCCCACAGATTTTCAATGCTGCCGCGAAAGCCTTCTTCTGGCCCCTTGCAAGCGATAACGGCGAGGATATTGGGTGGGGAAAAACTTGTTCAAGAAGTTGATCGACTTTCACTCAACAAAAGTAAAGTTAATGTCCTATCACAAACTGACGTTTGGTTGAGAGAAGCACTAGTAAAAAGACCTATAAATCGGCGCGATCAAGTTGCATTGCAAAATATTCGTCAACCGGATGCACTTCCAGAGCTTTCTCTAGCCGTAATTTTGAGCTATCTCCGCAAATTAAGACTTAAAAGTAAGTTTGATGAGTATTTTGTTTTGCTTAATCGTCTGCAGTCAAGCCAGATACGGTGGGTGTCAAGGTCAGGTAGTCAGATGTCAGGTGAAAAACCTGTTGAGTTGTATCGAGAATTATCCCATATGCTTCGCCTCAAGAGTATAGCCACTCGAGACCAAGCCGACAATTTTATTTTAGCCAAGTTTGCCATAAACCTTCTCGAGAACTATGCTATAGTATTAGAGAGTAGGGAGAAAATTTCGCCAGATATTTTTTTTTGGAGGAATTGCGCCGACGTTTGTGCTCAGACGAGCTCTATCCGATACTTGCTTCGCTTCAACGAGCTAGTTAAAGACGAGCACTTGATTGTTTACGCAAACTCTGCGTTCTATCTTCGAACCAGCCAACATCCAAATTTATTTACATCAATCAAATCAATTGAGCATTTAAAATCGCCACTAGTTCCTGATCTTTTTGGGCCCATCATTCGCGAAACCCTCTTAACATTTGCGTCTGTAGGTCTCGAAAAAGAGGCTATCCATATTTCCAAAATGTTTTTCGGAGACAGCTACAATCAAACTGCCAATACATTATCCAATGTCTACTTCTCGACGGAAAGAAACGGCGCCTTTGGCCTTCAGCGGGTACTTGACGAGAGAGATCATCAACACCATCAAAACACCAGCCTTCACCGGAAAACCTTCCAAGATGATCATCTATATGAAGACTACATTAGGTTGATAAGTGATATTGGGCTTAATCTTTTTGAAGAAGAGCACCCGCTGGACTTTTTACTCACAAAGCTACCAAATGAACATTTGTCAGTGGAGCAGTGGTGTCAATTCTTCGAAAGGACGAGGCCGCCGAAGACAGCTCCTGCTTCCTTACTAGCGTTTCATTTGAATCTGATCCTGACACATGTTGCGGCGCATAGATCGGCAGGTTTCATAATTCTTCTTTGGCATTGTCTAATAACGGACCATGGTCTTGAGAAAGCTTTTATGGATACCCACCGATTGAAGTTGAGCCAACATCGAAGTGGTTTTCACATATTGATTAGAGCAATCGGTACGTCCTCTTCTACTAAATTAAGTGGTTATGAACTTTTCAGGTTTTTAAAACAAAGCGCGCTTTTAAAATCGGCCAACTCCTGTTTTATTTTTACAGAGACGGACTATAGAAACCTGATGCGCTCTTGTACACAGAAATCCAATCCGATTATAATGAACTACTATTTGTACAACTACTTTGTTGATTTTGGGGGGAAATGCATTAAAGTAGGCCCTGAAGCACTTACGTGGAATTTGAGCGCTTCTTTCAAATCGCTGCTGGAGACTATGCACCTGAGCGGTTATGACGATGGTGCTTTCTTGAATAATATTCGTGCAATTGGCGATTGGTACGTGAACAATTTCCCGCTAGAAACTAAGGGATGTCAAATTTCACAGGACAAGGTGCAGGACATTTTCAATCGTTGTGGAGTGACAGGTTCGGGCCTTGAAAAATTCTTAGAGCAAGAGCAGCCAAATGACCCGTTGGACGGGGAATATTCTCTAATAGCTGATTTAGATACTGTTGAGCGAATGGGAATAACATTGCGGCATCTACAGGCAGCGTCGAACGAGATGTAGGGATCTCAAAAGGGTTTTTGGCACTCATCATCGGACCCCGCTTGTTGTATGTCGCCCAGGCTATCGTATTCATTGAATGCAAGGTGTACGGTTGCCAAGCCCTCATATGCCAGTTGACGCAGGTTTGTCGCCTTGTCTGTGTCATTTTTATATCGGTCGGCCAAGACCTTCAATCGCCTTACAACTTCATCCTTTACAAGCAACCACTCATATGAGCAGTAATTTGAACACGTCACAGCAATGTAGGGCATCAGTTTCACAACCGCCACTTTTAAAGCCGTGTTTTTAATCAAATGAAGGTTGTAAAATTTGGCGAAGGCTTCCCTTATCTTGAAATCGTGGTCTGGGAACACTCCTGACTCAAATGCACGACGCCAAAAGTTGACGCAAACTATGGCGAACTTGATTTCATCCCTTTTTTGACACCCAAGGGTGTTTACATGGGCTGTTGTCTGTTGCCAGCACTGTAGTTGCCTAAAGGAGGGAATAATACGCAGCATAGAGCATAGCAATTCGATTCTGTCGGTCGTTTGGATAGAATTGTAATATTTTATGAAACAATCCATACTGGTACGCATTTGCTGATCTGTAGAGTAGATTGCACCGGCTGAAAAGACAAATCCTTCCAAAAGGGCATCCCCAAGCTCATTTCTATAAATGGAATAAAAACGGAAAATAGCTTCATAGTGATTTGTTTTGGGGGTATACTCAAAACGATATTGTTTAGTCAGTATGCTGAAGGCAGCTTCCCGCAAATCGTTGGTTGGTTCTGCAGCGATACGCGCAAGCTTCTGGTTGGTTCTTTCTTTCATTTCAACGCTGCATCCCATGAAGAGTTCAAACTGGGCTTGAATAAGATCAGTCGTGCACTTTCGCACAAGGCTACCAACGTCGCCTTGGTTGGTGATCGTATAATCGTCTAATAAGTCAACAATAACATCAAGCACTCCTAAACCTTGTGACCTGACGATCCTGACTGACTGACCAAGCAAAGCTCTTATTACGTAACAGCGAGCTTCACAGCTGAGTCGTGGGCATACAGTAGTAAATTCATTCAGAAATTCTGCAGCTGGCATATACGCCATGCCTGCGCAGCACAGTGGATTATTGAATAAGGTGAGTTTCTTGAAGTTGGTTGTAAATTCGTTGAAGAGGGTATGATGGACAAAACAGGCTTCGCTCGAAAGAAGTTTCGCGGCAATTGGTAAGAACATCTTCTCGATCTCAGGGAAGTAAGCGTCAGAAGGTGAGCGAAAGCGAATTATTCTGAGTAGGGTGTCCAAGATGTCCGCGTCTACTTTCTGGGTCGTGAAACCGTCAGACGCGAATACTTTCAGAGCCTTCATGAAAGCAAACACTTTAAACAATTCGTCAGGATTATTCGACCTTTCATTGAGATCCAGTGTAATCGCATGAAAACAAGAGAGAGCACGGTTGCTGACTAAGTCATGGTGGAGAAATGGGCGTTCTGCCGTTAGGAACACCAGCCTGGCATTAGAGGAAGTGGTTTTCCCCGCACATTCAAAAGCGGAAATTACCATTGACAGTAATACTTCTGGCAACTGCTGATCAACCTCACATTGCATTAGTTTGTTGACAGACGCTGAAGACAGCTCAACAACCTTATAATCATTACTTTCCAAAATGTTATGGAAAATCAACCACCTAAGCAAGGGACGAACAAGTTGGGGAGAAGCCCTCGAAAAAATTGCGAATAGCTTAGGAACGTTCTCTTGAAACGATATTTGAAGGCTATGGATTGGAAGTTCTATTATCATCATAGTGCTCGCATCGTCTAACAAGCCTCCACGATATCGACCCAGGCTCTCTTGGAGGGCTGCTGCCGCCGATCTTCTTATGGTGAACTCATGATCAAACATCGAGCACATTAGCAAGTGGAAGAATATTGTTTCAAAATCTGTCGTCACATCACAGTTCCTAACAATTGACCAGCATATAAAGTTGGTTGCGTCTCGAATTTGATGGCCCGTGATCGTACTGATGCGTAGCTGTTGAAACTTGATCGTGACAGGTAGTATGCTGCTAGCAAACTTATGTATAAGATCAGATACTAAAACTCCTAATCTCGCAACTTCGGCGATCACTAAGAGCTCTGAATGCAACTTGTTTGTATCTAAAGCGTTGATGGGTGTGTTATGGATGTCAGTTGTCACATCTGACAGAATATCCTCGACCAAACTAATCGCAGAGTCCACGTCTACTTTTGCCAACACTTGAATGATCTTGGCAAAGCTATGCGCTAATTGAAATCTAAGATCAGTTGACCTGAGTGCCAAATTATTCAATAACCACGACGTAATTTCTTCGATGGGCTCCCACGATTCTTGAGCAGCGTGCAATCGACATAATTTCGGTAAAATTTTGAGTAAAATTGCTGCATCCGTGTCGTTCAGGTCTTCTCTTCTTGCTAGGCAAGTTTTAGTTAATTCAGCGAGACTGGATGAGCCGACAAAGTAACAGGACGGTTTCGAATCGTTCTGGAGTAATACGGCTTTCAAGGTGTGATTGAGCGTCAACAGGTCGACATGTCCACCTATGTGGCACTTCCGAAATAATGCGGCATTCTTGGAAAACAATTCAGAGTGTACTCCCGCTACCAGCGGTTTTAGGACCGGGGACGCCTTGAATTGTGAAGTAAACTCTACAATCTCCTCGTCTGTATCCAGCTTGAATGGACACATTAGTACCATTTTCAACCATGCTAATAACATAAATGCCAGTTTCCACTGGTCGCACTGATCGCTCCTTTGTAGTAGAGCCATGACCTTGGATAATAAAAATATGTCCGTAGGCATATGCTTCATTGTTCTCTTGATCCCGCATACTTTGGAGAGAGAATAAAAGAGGCTGCCAATAATCGACTGGTCGTGTGTGCTTGACGTGAAGAAGTTACCTGTAAGGGTTTCAACAAGCTCCCCTAGTTGAGCAGTGAGTATAGATGAGTCCTGTTGGAAATGATCGATAGCTACCATCACTTCGGGAGTCCCATCAAGAGTGGCAACGCCCGTCTTTATCCTAAGCAGCAGTCCTTCCACATTGTTGGCATTCATAGAGATTGGCGCAGGTGCTCAAGTGACGACCACTCTTGTGTGACAATTTTGGTTTAGCCTTTGTTGGAAGGTTGTTTTCCGCGACAACATTTCGAAGATCATCACATATAATATATAGTGGAAACTCAACCCTGATAAGCGGCTGAAGACGATTCAAGACAACAAAAAACAAATAATCGGTGATGGTACAGTACTAGGCCGTCGTCGATGCGCTGACCTCGTCTTCCAACAATCCGCTCTAGCTGGCTTTCAAACTATACCAAACTGGCCAATGAAGAAAGGCTATATCATTTTATACTATTCTGACGGTGCTGTTTGATGCCCTTCACTACATGCTTCCACAAGTATTTTGAGACTTGGCTATAAAGAGATAGCGGCATTTTTGCATCCAAATCTCATTTTGGGTATCCACGGCCTCCTCTGAAAGTTTTTTGGAATAGACATTGGTGGAGGGACAACATCACTGTCACATTGCGCGTTAGGTCCCGCAACCTAAAAAAGTACAAATTGGAGGGAAGAATGCAGTATTTGAAGTCACACTAGGTCATATGCGTCCTTAATTGTCTCATCTTGGTGCGTTACTTCACATTTTTTGTCTCCTTACTTGACATTAAGATATTATCAATATTCAAAAAACTAACACTAATACCAGCCACATTCTGCAATAATCATGGGACAATCAGACAGTCGCAGAGAACCTCATTAGAAACCTACCTGGAAGACATACAAACATTCCACCTGTAACTTCTCAGCTTGATCATTGATCTCTCAAATTGCATCTTCTGAACCTTGCAAACAATGAATAAATACGATTATAACCGGCAGCTCTCGTTTTTCTAAAGGCCCCTCCAAACAGTTCTGGTTCCAGAGACGCTCACAATACACATTAAACCACAGAATGATATACACCACCAACTAGAATGTCAGGACGAAGAGCATTTTCGTGCCCTCAGGAAGACCATTGTTTACATTTTTAAACGCCACCATGGACGAAAACAACTAGCCGCCCAGCCGTTACTTACCCGCACTATAGCTAGCACGTGATATATTGAGCTTCCCAAATTACAGGAAGTCCAAGCACGTGATTATATTGGAAGCTGGTTGAGCTGCTGGCGTCTTGTTGTTAGGACAGCTATCGGAAGCCGGCGGACGCTCGGTGCACCGATCCGCAGCGTTCTGAGACGTCTATGATTCGCTACTATGGACAATCTTATACTAATGACGACGTCTCAACAAAGATTTAAACACATTTTGACAAGAAAATCCAGCGATAACCGACGTTGGGTGATCCACGTAGAACCGTGTGGATGAAGTGGTCTCATAGAATCAGTGGCGATTAATACTCGGTCTCGTTGAAACTATGAGCGAGCGCGTCCTATCGTGCGTGAAAAAAAAAAAAGGATGCACAGCAGTCCACAAGTGGTGGGTGGTCCCATGAGAGTCTGAACGACGTGACAGTAATGGGTCCGCCTTTTTGAACCCAGTTTTTTCGCCGAGATAATGGCTTTCCAAGTATAAATTCAGAGGGTACAAAGAGCCGTGGTGGGGCCCAGCTATCGAAATTTTGCTCATCTTTTTCGTTTTTGATTCTCCAGTCTATCACAGCTCATAGCTCATCGCATATAACTCAATTTTATCAAACATGGAATCCAGACTAGGATGGTTGTCTAACTTGCAAACCGACACCGGTTCTAACTTGAGAAGAACCTCAATCATCGGTACCATTGGTCCAAAGACCAACAACCCAGAGACCCTCGTGGCTTTGAGAAAGGCTGGTTTGAACATTGTGAGAATGAACTTCTCTCACGGTTCGTACGAATACCACCAATCTGTCATCGACAATGCCAGAAAATCCGAGGAACTATACCCAGGCAGACCACTAGCCATCGCTTTGGACACTAAGGGTCCAGAAATCAGAACTGGTACCACCACTAATGAAGTGGACTACCCAATTCCTCCAAACCACGAAATGACTTTCACCACTGACGACAAGTATGCCAAGGCCAGTGACGACAAAATCATGTACATTGACTACAAGAACATCACCACTGTGATTGAAAAGGGCAGAGTCATCTACGTGGACGACGGTGTTTTGTCTTTCGAGGTGCTCGAAGTCGTTGACGACAAGACCTTGAAGGTCAAGTCTCTAAACGCTGGTAAGGTCTGCTCTCACAAGGGTGTTAACTTGCCAGGCACCGATGTCGATTTGCCAGCTTTGTCCGAAAAGGACAAGGCTGACTTGAGATTCGGTGTCAAGAACGGTGTCCACATGGTGTTCGCCTCTTTCATCAGATCCGCTGACGATGTCAAGACCATCAGAGAAGTTCTAGGTGAAGACGGCAAGGACATCAAGATCATTGTCAAGATTGAAAACCAGCAAGGTGTCAATAACTTCGACGAGATTTTGGCTGTTACTGACGGTGTCATGGTTGCTAGAGGTGACTTGGGTATCGAAATCCCAGCCCCACAAGTTTTGGCTGTCCAAAAGAAATTGATTGCCAAGTGTAACGTCGCTGGTAAGCCAGTTGTCTGTGCCACTCAAATGTTGGAATCGATGACCTACAACCCAAGACCAACCAGAGCCGAAGTTTCCGACGTTGGTAACGCTGTTTTGGATGGTGCTGACTGTGTCATGTTGTCCGGTGAAACTGCCAAGGGTAACTACCCAATCAACGCTGTTAAAATGATGGCTGAGACTTCTTTGATGGCTGAACAAGCCATTCCTTACCTACCAGCTTTCGATGACTTGAGAAACTGTACTCCAAAGCCAACCTCTACCACTGAAACCATTGCCGCTGCTGCCGTGTCTTCTGTGTTTGAACAAAGGGCTAAGGCCATCATCGTGTTGTCTACCACCGGTTCAACTCCAAGATTGGTCTCTAAATACAAGCCTAATGTGCCAATTGTTTTGGTGACTAGAAACCCAAGAACTGCTAGAAGCTCCCACTTGTCCAGAGGTGTGTTCCCATTCGTCTACGAAAAGGATGCCGATGACGACTGGACCAAGGATGTTGATGCCCGTTTGAAGTTCGGTATTGAAAAGGCTAAGGACTTCGGTATGTTGAAAGAGGGTGACACCATCGTTACCATCCAAGGTTTCGCTGCCGGTATCGGTCACTCCAACACCTTGCGTGTTTTGACTGTCTAAAGTACCTTTAATGACCATTTATAAATATATACGTTTAGGAAGAAGTATTCTTAGAAGTTCAAATCTGTTTATGATGATGATGCAAAAGTTCATCAATACGTGGAAAGTAAGGATATTATTATATATCGAAAACCCTGGGGTACTTGGTGCTCGAATTTAAGATGGCAGTCATGCGCCTCAATAAATATTCTTCCCATTCCTGACGGCCACGCTGATTTGACGGGGCGAATGTGGAATGATATTCTAGCCTAGATGACATGAGTTTAGCAATTAGTAGAACTTGATGAGTGCGGTTCTTGCTCGCCAGCTTTTTTAGGTAGTTGTCGAAAAGGTCTAAATCATCTTTGTGAGGGCCAATGCTAACCGTCTGGTCTATCCAAGCGCCTATCAGGGTACAAACTTCACGCGGGCGCGTTAATGTCTGAAAGGTATCGATTTCGTTCAAGGTAGATCTAGTTTCGAGCCAAGGTTTGCGCGTCTCAACGATCTCTTCTTTATGAACAAGGTTCTTCCGAACCGAGCTACGTGTTTTTTTAACAATCGCATGGTCTCGCCTAATTTCCCGTTGAATCTGCGAAGGAAGGTGGCTCATAAAATCCTCATCCAGGCTGCTTGGTAATTTTTGTTCACCTGTACCCTGTTGTTTACCATGAAACCTGTCCCAGTATTCCTTGACAGGTGAAGAGATTTTTCTTTTTCCTGCCGGTGATTGCGGCACTTCGATCCGTCTTTTACTGAGTTCAGCTCGGACATCTTCTTTCAATATTGGCGGTAAGGAATTGAAAGAATCGGGCTTTAGAACGGGCTTCGGAATGGTAGACAGCCCCCCAAACGGGAGCCTTTGTTGATTTATTTGGATCGCCTTCTTCTCCAATTGATTAAGTTGAATGGCCAAACCTCTCAAATCCGCAGGAGGACAAGCCAACATTCGAAAGGAACTTTTAATTTCCGTGGCAATTAGACCCACTTGATCTGTAGGTAAACCGAACCTGCTGCTTCTACTGAAGCTATCACATTCGCCGCATCCTAGATATTTCGCTGGCTCAATAGGTGCGTGTGCACACCGCCTTAATATCTTTAAGGTAACCTGAGGGGTCACTAACCCTAAATCCATAATTTTGGAGCATAAATGATCACAGACGCGAGAGATAAAGTCGTCAATTTCATGGATTGTATCGAACCTGATTGCATAATTGATGTCCACGGATATAGACTTTCGTGCGAAAAAGTCAATAGGATTTCTCAAAATTCGGCAGCTTTCCTCATCGTCCTTGCCCGATAAAAACAGATGCACCTTTCGTCCCGTCCTCACGCCCAGCTTTGAGGTCAAAAGTTGAAGGGATGAATGTGTCTTTAGTTCGCCTATCGTGGGAACTTTCACATATTCGGGCAAAATTTGACGAACAACTTTATCCACAATGGAGGCTCCGATGCCTGGAAGGTCTTTGAGATGAACGCCAGATAAAAAGTCATCAATTTGCGATTGATCCGTCATATTCATCACAATACATTGGCCATCAGGCTTGGCACTTTTCAAAGCAAGCCTGGCACACACTAACGACGCGCCACATCCTATACTAACCGTGCAACCGCCCGTAACCTCAAGTACCCGTTGCCTAATACTTGAAGCAATTTGTTCACATTCAGTCTGCACCTCATCAAAGTGCGGAGAGCTGTGCAATTTCTTGACGCAAATTGCTTCGTCAATTGAAAGGGGCAAGATCATATCAAATGAGCTTGTTTCGTCCAGTATTTGATACAACAGTTTAGAATTAATTTCGTACTGTTCAAAATTGTACGGGATACAGATAAGCTGTGGACAAAGCCTGCGGGCAGATCTGACCCACATTCCGTTTTTGACGCCAAAACTGCGCGCTACATAATTACAGCTTGCAATTTCCGAGGTACTGGTACCATGTGCAACAGCAAGAGCGTCTTTATGGAGATTGTAGCAGTTGTTGCTGAGTGCTGACACCGTGGCGAAAAAACAATCAAAATCTACATGGAAAATGGCGACGTTGTCATCTTCGGAGACTCGTTGCAATTTGCCGTGCTCAACGAACTTGTCGGAAAAGTGAGCACGCAGGTCTGCTTTCCAGGTTGAAAGGTGGTGGAGCCTTGACTTGGCAAAGAAGCTTTCCAGAAAACTGGGATGTTTGCAATCAAGAGTGAAAGTCGCAGCAGAGTCTGAAGGCGGCGAGTCTTTTCTCTGAGGGTTGCCGTTATTGAGGGTCAATTTTGGCTGTGCCTCATCGCCTGTGATCAAAGCGTACTTTTGCCAGGGTAGCCTTTTATCCGCAGCTATTGAGTCCACGATCCAAGCTGGGGTGACGACTTTGTACTTGGCGAATTCCAATTTTTTCTTCGAAGTCAGATTGCTGGCTACAATGTGGGTCACACTGGTCTTTCCCGAGAGAAAATGCATAAACTGTCCGCCATGCAAAATGATTTTTTGGTGCAGTTGGAGGCGATCTGGATCGGTACGCCCGTTGACGTAGATGATGCAGTCCTTGAAGATGGGGGAGAACTCTTGGCCATTGTTGAGGGTGTCTTGGTACAGCCGCTTGACGTAGGCGTCGCGATGTTGCTGTTGATTTTTCTTGTGGGCAAAGTATTCACCGTAGCTGGCGTAGTCGGTGTTGGGAGGAGGGGAGACCGCTGGACCGCTGTCCGCGTCTTCGGGGCTCTGGGGACTGCTTGCAGTGGAGAGTGCGGGGTCCGCGCCGCCAGCCCACCCAACACCACTGTCCGGTTCGTCTCCGAGTATGGGCTGTCTTTCCACGGGTCTGTGGAAGGAGTTGACGAGCTGCAGCAAGGAGTCATCGTCGAGCGTGGATAAAATGCGCTGCTGCTGGGTATGAACTAGCGCGGTGGTGTCGTTGAGCGTGGAATAATGGCTCAGGGGAGACTCCTGCGTGTGGAGGGCCCCATTATCCGGGGATCCGACCGCTTCGGGCGAGGCTGCTTGTCGGCGGGGGGTGTGCGGGAAAGAACTGGGGTTCGTTTCCGAACTGCTTAGAAGCTCTGCCAACTCATCCTCATTCATGTACTAGGATGGCTCAGCTTTGCGCAGCCTGTGTTGGATCAGTGTGGGACGCAGTTGGTATAAGATAGGCGGGGTCGAGATGTAAGTTTTTCGTCCGGGAAGACATCTCAAAAGGTGCCGGAGCTGTTTTGATCCGGCACATGATCCGGAAAGTAATTGCTTAGGAACCAGGTGGAACCCGTTTGAGGACCCGTTATAGTACCCATTTAGGACCGTTAGGATACCCATTTAGGACCCATTTAGGACCCGCTTGGAACCCGCTTGGGACCCGCTTGGGACCCGCTTGGAGTCTGTTTTCCAGCTAATTTTTCGGGCCTGGCATGCGCAGCGCTTCGCTACAGTTTACATTCGGCTGGCCGTTGACCGGGGAAAGGATACGACCAGGCCTTGAGTGCCGATTGAGATGATCCGAAAAAGCTGTCACCTGATATCCGATTTCCACCCGTGTTTTAGAGTTACAACACCTACATAGTATACTCACTGGCAATCTGAATCTACGCTTTGTGGCAGTTCGCGTCAAAACGCCCAGGGAAGAGAGAAACCTGCGAACAGATTAGACCGAAGCTGGCTAAAGTAACTCCACTCTGGCACATGGCCTGTGAGTAGCTCAGCCACAGGACGGCGTCCCAGTGCACCACAGACGCAGTAAGATGGGCCAAGTTATCTAGTATATAGCGACGTATTTGAACTTACAGCGGATGAGACTATCTACAAGCACGAGGGGACGCTTACGGGTGGGGCTACGAGCCATGCAGAAGCCCGCAGCGCCGCCGAATAAGAACCACTCCTAAGCCGGTTCCGTCTTGTGGAGGGAGTGGATAGAAAAACACATAGTATCCCAGAGCTCCACGGGGTGTGGCACGTGGTCGCCCTGAGAGTGAGCCGCAGCTCTGATCACGTTTCTCGAAGGAACGTCGAATGGTGTGTGCCAGGTAGCCACGTGCGCGTCGTGCACCCGCGACTGGAGGACCGACCGGAGGACCGACCGGAGGACCGCGTAGCTGGCGCACCCAGCTCGCACGACCGCCCGCACCCGCTCCCCCTCCCAATCCCAGCCACCCAGCGAGGAGTGCCTTCGTCCTTACGCCTTGCGGGAAATACCCACCAACTTTTTTCCACGTTCGCCCCCTCCACGCACCCACACTTCACCCGCCCGTGCCGCGCCTGTTTTTGTTTGACACCCTGTCGTTCCGGTCCAACCCACTTCTGCTTTCTGCCACCTATTATCTATCGCAAAGGCACCCCCACCGCTCCCACCACTTCCAACAGCCCACCCGGAAAACCGCTACCCGCTCCCCGTGCCGATAGCTTCGGTACATGGGGTCTGCGTGCCCACGCACAGCGCAAGCAAATTGCCCATTTCTGCCCAGAACACACAGCGAAGCACCCGAATAAAGCATCCGTGCAAACGACAACTACATGTGCGAGTGGAATATAGCAGTGATGGTGCGAGTTACTACCAGCCGGTAAGCAAACACCACCACGGTCGCAGCAGTGGTGGTGCCACGGCGAAGGAAAAAAATTCGCCCATGGCGTGGGCGAAAAAAAAAACATTCATGGCCGTTTCTATAAAAGCCAGTGCCAGCAAGCGGTGGGGATAGAATTGCGATTTAGCAGTAGTATGGGTGTATGCGTATAGTTTTCAGTTATATAACTCACAGAGCTGAGCTCTAGGGTACGGTACTGACTTTGTATCTCATCAGCAGCGAGCGTTCGACATATTCTATATCTGTACCTCTTGTTTGTCTCACCAAAGATGAACGGATCGGGAACCATGACCATGATGACCGGAGGCGTGGGCACGACGAACACGGGCGCCGGGTTTGACGAGTGGTTTTTCCCAGATCCCAGCGGCCGAGGCAGTGGCAGTGGCAGCGGCGTTGGCAGCGGCGTTGGCAGCGAAGCGAGCGCGGGTCACGTGCCCAGCACTAGCACCGGCGCCGCCGCCGAGGCCGGGACCGGTCCCGGCTGGGGCCCGGAGATGGGCGGCAGCTGGTACGCGGCCGGCCCCGGCTCCGGAAGCAGAAGCGGTTCCGCGGAGCAGCCCGCGGCGGCGTCGTCGTCTGCCACGACGACGCCTGCGGGCTCGCCATTGGACCAGTTCTCGTCGCTGTTCGATTCCCGCGGCGGCCTCGCGGCCGCGACCGCGATCACCCTCGACGGCAGGGGCTCCGACTCGGACGCGCTGCTGACGGCAAGCGCAAGCGACTCCGGCTCGCCCGCGCGGGTGAAGCGCGAGGACGGCGCTGAGGTCGCGGCATACGGCCGCCAGCCGCCGCTGCTGCCGCTGGCGGAGCTGGACGGGTTTGCAGACCTCGAGGAGGCCGTCGGCCTGGTGCGCGGCTCGTCGGGCCGAGCAGCCGAGCAGCTGCCGCCGCCGCCGCCACCACAGCAGCACCAACAGCAGCAGCAGGAGCAGCAGCAGGAGCAGCACCACGAACCGCACCTGCACCACCAACAACAACGCAAGCGTCGCGCGCCTCGCAAACGGCTCACCGCCCACCAGAAGGAGGCCCATAACAAGATCGAGAAGCGCTACCGCATCAACATCAACACCAAGATCGCCAAGCTCCAGCAGATCATCCCATGGGTGGCCTCCGAGGAAACGGCGTTCGAGGTGGGCAGCAACGGCGCGGCCAAGGCCGCCGCCGCCGCCGCCGCCGCGCCCAATGGCTCCTCGTGCAGCTCGGACACGCCCTACGGCGGGTCGGACTCTGCGCTGGCCGGCAAGATCACCGACGTTTTGGCCACGCCTAAGCTGAACAAGAGCATGATTCTCGAGAAGGCGGTGGACTACATTTTGTATCTGCAAAACAACGAGAGGCTGTTCGAGATGGAGGTGCAGAGACTCAAGAAGGAGCTGGAGCGTTCCAGGCAGCGCGACAGCTAGCATGACCAGATTTTTTCAACGACAACGATATAACGCTACGAACGGCGGGTGCGGGGAGCAGTCCAGCTCGCACCGCTGCATGATGATAGACAAGACACTTTTCGGGTTCTGTTAGGATACCCATTTTATGATGCTTCTTTTTTTTAGAGAAAACGACCGGCGAGTCCCTCGGGACGCTCTGCTCGGCGATTGTGACGACAAATAACGTTTATAGACTAATGAATATGGATGGGGAATACCTGTAGGCTGGACCACCGGTGCAGCGTGGTGTGGTGGGAGCGTTTGGTGTGAATCGGCGCGACGAGGCCATCGCCAGTGCCACGTGACTGATGTCACCCCACGTGAGACCCACGTGCAAGATAAATACCACGTGCTAATTACGTGATGCGCATAGCCCACGTGACCTGTGTCTTTCACGTGCTCAGCACATGATCCGGCGCTTCCTGTAGTTTTTTTTTTTTTGATTTTTTCTAGAGACTTATTATAAGTATAGAAGAAGTATGGTACTGTCCCCAGACATCGGTCTTGCTCCTCTACCCGCCCAGTGTTGGGAGCTCTTATCGTGACTCCAAAACCGGGCTGCCCAGTCAGATTCGCTGCTAGATGTCCTTTCACAACCAGTTCGCCGTGGCGGCCTGTAAAAACCAACTCATACCACAGCAATTGACCAATGATGTCTTCTTCGGGCCTTTGAACTCGCTATCCCAACACAGCTTCCTCCAATCTCACAACATCAAGTTCTTCATAGCGGTGGGTATTCCGACCAAGCGTGTTGCACAGTATTGCAGTGGCATGTCAGCAGAGCACAGTCTGGTGGTTAATTTCGACAGCGCTTTCAATCCCCACACGCCCGCTTCCGCGTCGGAAACTACCACCACGTCGCTGTATTGCCAAACACAGTCAAAGTCTCTGGCCTTGCTGACCGCTAAAGTCAGTGCCGGAATGGAAACTACATACCCCAGCCGCAGTTTGACACCACAGCCAGAACTGGACCAATCACTCTACTTGCCAGCACCAACGTACAACTGTAACGTTGTAACCGCGCAAGGTGTCGACAAATTCAAGATTTTCAATGATCTGCTCACGATTTTCAAACTCTCGAACGCTGGCAATGTCTTGGTGTTTTCGTCCAGCGGCAATGAACGGGATTTAGCTACCGTTTTAATTTCTCATATTCTTCACACAAATCCGTCAACTTCTCTCATGGAGGCCCTCCAATACATCAAGTCGCTGAGGCCCTCTCTCACCCAGTGTCAGCCAGAGTCACTGTTTTGGAGCGAGGGTCTAACGGAATTCAAAGACATACTGAAATCCCGTTCCATTTTCGGCACCGGCCCTATGGCCCCCCCGACCAACGCCGTGTTAAGCCCCAACGCAGTTTGCCTTGCAACCAAGAGGCGGAACGATATTACCTCCGACGATGAGGATGATTATTCGGACTCCACAAACGTGACGACAGGTAGCATTCAAGTGGACAGATCTGCATCTGGAACTCCAAAGGCCCGGAGGATTGCTACTTACCAATCAGGCACTATTGGGTGAGACGAATTGAAACAAAAGCGGTGCCGCACACACATATGGTACACGACAGGTAGGTATGGTACATCAAGTAATGAAATAACGACAAGTCTTAACGATTTCTATTGAAACTTAGCTAAAAACTTATTAAATACAACGAAGCGTGAGTGATATGCAATTTATTGCTCCAAAACGATGACCAAGGTGGCCCGTCCAAAATCTGGAGCTTCATGATGGTGCTGGTGTGGGTTCAACCGACGTCGGGCCCCACAATCATTTCTTGAGGATGGTTACCACATCCTCGTCTTCCAGAACGTGGTTTAACCCAACGTATTGAGGTTGATGCTTCACACTACTACCATAAACAAGAGCATTTCTGAAGTCATCCACCAACGATTTGTGGATTTGGTTACAGAAATCACGAATTGAGCATCTATCTGACCGCAGCACCACCGGATCCGAGAAGTCTGGCATCACACCCTTGGGCTTGGTGTAGACGCGGACTAGATTCAGCCTGTCCCACATGACTTGCAACAGTTCATCCAGATTCCACTCTCTTCCGGACGAGATGGGGACCGCATCGGGAATACGATACAGAAGCTCCAGCTCTTCTATTGACAACGAGTCCACCTTGTTTAGCACGTAAATGGCTGGCATGTATCTTCTGGTAGGCGCTTCCAAAACGTCAATAAGATCGTCTACTGTTGCGTCGCATCTAAACGCAATTTCGGCACTGTTGATTCTGTACTCACTCATAACAGCTCTGATCTCGTCAGGCCCCAGGTGTGTCAGAGGTACTGTATTTGTGATGGAGATACCACCTTTTTCTTTCTTTTTGATCAAAATGTCTGGCGGTTGCTTATTTAAACGGATCCCCACCCCCTCCAGTTCCTTCTCGATGACTTGCTTGTGGTGCAGCGGCTTGTTCACATCCAGAACGATGAACAACAGGTTGCTAGTTCTGGCCACAGCAATGACTTGCTTACCACGACCTCTACCGTCCTTGGCACCGTCAATGATACCCGGCAAATCCAACATCTGAATCCTCGCACCCTTGTAACGAATAACACCTGGAACCGTAACTAAAGTCGTAAACTCGTAGTCTGCAGCTTCGGATTCGGTACCTGTCAGCTTTGACAGCAATGTCGATTTCCCCACCGAAGGAAACCCAACAAAACCAACAGAAGCAACACCGGTTCTGGCAACATCAAAACCCACACCGCCACCACCAGAGCCCTGGGTGGCAGAAGTGACGATTTCTCTTCTTAGTTTAGCCAGTTTCGCCTTCAACTGGCCCAAATGAAACGACGTGGCCTTGTTTTTTTGAGTACGGGCCATCTCATCTTCGATGGCCTTGATCTTCTCCACAGTGGTCGACATGATTGCTGGAAATACTTATGATAACAAAACAAATGGATATTCGAGGACCTTTCGTTAGAATTCCGACAGTAAGTCAACCTTCTCTAGCTGGCATCAAAGTCATTGCATGCTTTAAAAATTTGAATCGAATGTCATCATGAACGGGATATTTGACATTTTTTGAAATTTCATTGGTCATGTGTCACGAATATCACCTGATCGAATCATTTGAAAATTTTTAGTAGAAATCAGGCCCGGAAGCCATTCTAAAACTAGAGCTTGAGCTAGGAGCTTGACCTTTTGCTAACTAGATCCAGGTCTTTTGAGTCTTCATTATTTGTCAATTAAGCGATGGGTAAGAAATCTAAGAAGTCTCAGCAAAACTACTGGGATGAGGAGTTTGAGGAAGACGTCCCGGCCGTGGAGGGTGGGGCCGATGAGCCCGCTGTGGACTCTGCAGTAGACGAGTCAGTTGGTGCCACGCCAGAGCCAGACTCCACTGCTGATGCCGAGGAAGTGGAAGAGGATTTCATGTCTGCTCTGAAGAGCTCGAAGAAGAGGGCTTCCGAGAAGGAGAAAGAACAAGACGAGAAGAAGCCAGTGATCAAGTCCAAGAAGGAGAAGGAAAAGGAGAAGAAAGAGCTGGAAAAGCAGAAGAAGAAGGAGCAAGCCGCAAAGAAGAAGGCCCAGCAACAGGCTCAAAAGGAGAAAACCAAGGAATTGAACAGACAACAGGCCGAAGCCGCCGCCGATGCCAAAAAAGCCAAAAAAAGCGGAGAGGTGAGCACCGACGACAATTCCTCTGAACCTGCCAAGGCTCCCAAGAAGAACGCCAAGAAGGTTCCAGCTGGGCTTGCAGCTTTGAGACGTCAGCTGGAGCTTAAGAAACAGTTGGAAGAACAGGAACGTTTGGAAAGAGAAGAAGAAGAGCGTCTGGAAAGAGAAGAAGAGGAGCGCGAAGCTCAGCAAAAGCTAGCTGAAGAAGAGTCTAAGCGTGAGAAGCGTGAAAAGGACAAGTTGAAGCGTGATAAATTGAAGGCTGAAGGTAAGCTTTTGACGAAAAAACAGAAGGAGGAAAAGAAACTCCAAGAGAAGAGACGTGCTGCTTTGTTGGCTTCTGGGAACATTCATGTCGCTGGTTTGAATAAGACACAAGGGGCCGAATCCGAAAGTAAGCCCAAGAAGGTCGTTTACGGGAAGAAGAAGAAGAAGAGCCAGGAAGAAAAGGAGGCAGAACAAGCCGCTGCTGAGGCCAAAAAAGCCGCTGAAGCTGCCGCAAATGCCGAAGGCGAGGAAGAGGAGGCTCTCATCGATGACTGGGAGAACTTAGCCTTGGAAGATGAAGATGAGCATGCCACGTCTGAAGTGGGAGAGGGCCACGAGGATGGGGAAGAGGAAGAGGGAGAGGAAGAGGGAGAACAGAAACAAGACGAAGGGCACAAATCAAAAGCCACTGCAGTCGAAACTATCCAACGTTCAACTTCTCCAGCCTCAATCGCCAGGGGTTCTCCTTCCCCATCGGCTCCCCAAAAAGATTTGCGTTCCCCAATTTGCTGTATCTTAGGTCATGTTGATACTGGTAAGACCAAACTTTTGGACAAAATCAGACAAACCAACGTCCAAGGTGGTGAGGCTGGTGGTATCACCCAACAGATTGGTGCTACCTACTTTCCCATCGAAGCTGTTAAGACCAAGACACAATCAATGGCCCAATTTGAGAAGCAAACTTTCGATGTACCTGGTTTGCTTGTAATCGATACCCCAGGCCACGAATCGTTTACAAACTTGCGTTCTAGAGGTTCGTCTTTGTGTAACATCGCCATTTTGGTTATCGATATCATGCACGGGCTGGAGCAACAGACAATTGAGTCCATCAGATTATTGAGAGATAGGAAGGCTCCATTTGTGGTTGCATTGAATAAGATCGATAGGCTCTATGACTGGAATGCAGCACCTAACGATTCTTTTAGAAGCACCTTTCAGAAACAGACCAGAGGTGTTAAACAGGAATTTGCCACAAGGTTGGAAGCCATCAAGGTTGCCCTTGCAGAACAAGGTTTGAACTCAGAGCTGTATTTCCAAAATAAAAACATGGCCAAATATGTGTCTATTGTGCCAACGTCCGCAGTTACAGGTGAGGGTGTTCCTGACTTGTTGTGGCTGCTACTTGAATTGACACAAAAAAGGATGTCGAAACAGTTGATGTATTTGTCTCATGTTGCTGCGACCGTATTAGAAGTGAAAGTCGTGGAAGGTTTTGGTACTACTATCGACGTAATTTTGTCCAACGGGTACCTAAGAGAAGGTGATCGTGTTGTATTATGTGGGTTGAATGGTCCTATTGTAACTAACATCAGAGCTCTTCTGACGCCGCAACCTTTGCGCGAACTGCGTTTGAAATCTGAATACGTTCACAACAAAGAAGTTAAAGCAGCTCTTGGTGTGAAAATTGCTGCAAACGATTTAGAAAAGGCCGTGTCTGGGTCCAGATTATTAGTTGTCGGTCCCGATGATGATGAGGAGGAAATGATGGATGATGTTATGGATGATTTGACTGGCCTTCTAGATTCAGTTGATACTTCCGGACGTGGTGTAGTGGTACAGGCATCTACTCTTGGTTCGTTGGAAGCCTTGCTAGATTTTTTGAAAGATATGAAAATTCCTGTCATGTCTATTGGTCTGGGTCCCGTCTACAAGAGAGATGTTATGAAGGCCACAGCAATGTTGGAAAAGGCCAAAGAATATGCCGTCATGCTGTGCTTTGATGTCAAAATTGACAAGGAAGCAGAACATTATGCTGAAGAGCAAGGTGTCAAAATTTTCAATGCCGATATTATCTACCATCTATTCGACGCGTTTACAGCTTACCAAGAAAAGCTGATGGAGCAACGCCGTAAGGATTTCTTACATGAAGCTATCTTCCCATGTGTTTTGAATACTCTTCAGATCATCAACAAGCGTGGTCCGATGATTATCGGTGTAGACGTCATGGAAGGTTCTGTTCGTATTGGAACGCCTATTTGCACTGTGAAAACAGATCCTGCCACTAAGGAAAAGAACATTTTGTTGTTGGGTAAGGTTGTGTCACTGGAGATCAATCATCAAGGCCACAACGAAGTTAAGAAGGGTCAAACTGCCGCCGGTGTCGCCATGCGTTTGGAAGACCCATCCGGACAGCAGCCAATTTGGGGCCGTCATGTTGATGAAAAAGACACGCTCTATTCTTTGATCACCAGAAGATCTATTGACACTTTGAAGGACGCAGCATTCAGAGATCAAGTTGGTAAAGCTGACTGGTTGTTGCTGCGTAAAATGAAAACTGTCTTTGGTATCGAATGATAAATCACGCGATTCATTGTCTGACCACAGATTTTTGGAACTTGTATTTTAGTAACTAAGCATTTAAGTCAAACAGCACTCCCAGGTAGCTTTGAATTATATAAACCGCGCCGCTGGCTTTTGAAAAAAGCAGTTAATATCAAATTGAAGCACTAGAAACTGGGGGCATCATGTCCTGTAGGAGGTAGTTGTTGAATCTGCTCAAGTCTCAATTATTGAGCTTGGAATATTTTTTGTTGCCTGTTTGATGAATCATATAATTTGATCAAGATTTAGTTAAATAATTTACAAGTGTGAATTTTATATGTATATGTTAAGTGTTAATGCGTAGCTGGAACCTTGGCCAAAACATCGAAAGCACCCGTTCCGACATTATTTAGCTTACCCAGAACAATTCTGGCCGAGGGACTCTCCAACGATTCGGATTCGTTATCCAAAACAGCCTTAGTCAAAAATTGGCAAGTCGTTTCGTAAGACATTTTCATCAGAGAGGAAGTGGAAGTCTCCATGCCTTGTCTGTTGAAAGCCAGATAGGTACCCTGTCTAGTCATCATGTCGGCAATTAGATCTAAATGACGGAAGGAAACTGAAATAGCATAACGAGAAAACACGTTATTAATTTCATTCACGATAGTGTTCCTTGCAGCCTCGACACCGTAGGTCTTCAGGACCGAAGCCACGTCATTTGAAGTGATGCCATTTACGTCGATAAAAGTATCCTGGTCCCACATTTCCTGAAAATTTACACCTTCAGTGACCAAAATGCGCTTGCCATTTTCAGGTTCTGGGTGAACACAGCGGTCGATATTTTTCACTTCTCTGATAACAGATTTACGGCAGATGTCTTCCACTATATTCACCATAAGCAGCTTTTCGGTGTCTGCAGCTAGTCCAATAGAAAATTGGCACCATGTTCCTTCATCATCATCAAAATTGTATTTTGTGATAAATCTATGAGATGAGATAATAGCAGACTGTCTATCACGCTGACTTTTAGTCAATTCATTCTTTGGCTTTTCCGCCAGAGTTTTCTCGTCGCTGTCGTCATCTTCGGAATCTGAGGAGGAAGAGTCAGAATCCATCTCCGAATCTAATTCTTCATCTGAAGATTTCTCAGCTTCCCTCATTGTTTCGACTTCTTCGTCATCAGGCTCATCGTAAGATACCGCTTGTTTGGTTCTCTGGCGTGACTCGTGCTCATCATTGTCCTCATCAGCGATCTTGCTGCCTTCACCTGAACCCAAGGCAGTTTGTGATTTTGGTAGCGCCATGCCAATTTCTGAAGAAGCGTTTTTCTTTTGCAATTTAATCTGTTTGACAATTGCAGCTTCCAAAGATTTCAAAAATTTACCAGCAATAACCTCCTGGAGGTCCTCCTTGGAGACATCATATTCTTCCCCGTATTCGTCACTTCCGTAAAATTTCATGTTAATTCTGTAAGAACGAGAACCTTGCGCATCTCCGGCACTTCCAGTCGATTCAACAACTTCAACTTTATCCACTGCTTCCGATAGCATAACCTTAGTGATTGATTTACAAAAGGTGTCAGCTAGGCCATCGGACACGTCCGGCAAGATAGGTAAAGTCATCTGAGGAGTTTTGATCGCAGCAGAGGCTGTCATGATAATTTCTCTCATACGTGGGATACCCAATGTCACATTGGCTGCACCATGACCAGCAAAGTGGAATGTATTCAGAGTCATTTGAGTTGAAGGTTCACCGACAGACTGCGAAGCAATGATACCTACTGCTTCGCCGGGGTTAATCAACGAGCGCATGTATTTCAATTGCATTAAAGCGCGAAATTTCTTTTCATTCACGTTCTCTCCAGTCTTGAAAAATTCGTTTTCTGCAGAAATAAAGCCTTCTAGCTTGTCCTGGAAATTTTCGGAAACTGAACCCAGATACTTTGAAGGGTTATACTTAGAAACAACGGGGTCGTATTTGATTTTTTGAGAATAATGAGGAATTTTAGAATTCTTCTTCCTGTGTTTGGAGGCTTTCTTCGAGTATTTCAAGGCGCTCTCAACGTCGAGATGTTCAATCAAGGCCGATGGATTGTACTTTTTGAGTAAAGCATCATAATTTTCTGCACAGAACTGAAATTGTGCCATATACGATTCTTGAGTCACATCAACGGCATCTCCACCATACAGAAATTGAATTAGAGTGCCATCCGCATCCCTAACAGAGTTATCATAAGAGATGTGAACACCTTCGAGCTGCTTAGTCAAACAACGTTGCAAGTAACCAGATCTTGATGTTTTGACAGCAGTATCAATCAAACCTTCACGACCGGCCATGCAATGGAAGTAATACTCTTGGGGCTTAATACCCGAATAGAAACGGCCTTTGATATAGCCACCTGCCATCGCATCCGTCTCGAATGGTTTGAAGGACGGCAAAGTCTTCCCTGATACCATAACTGGAACTCTTCTTCCCTCTAGGGCCTGTTGCCCCAGCAGACACATAATTTGAGATACGTTGACATTAGATCCCTTAGCACCAGACAAGGCCATTGCCTGCATGGAATTTAGAGGGAATTTTTTCATTGTACCACCTGGCACACATTTAGAGACAACTTGAGAAGTAATGGTGTTGACCTTATTAGAGGTTACGGCATCAAGAATACCTAACTTGTTGTCATCTCTTAAAATCTCCTCCAAACGCTTCAGTAATTCCGACTCGCTTGAACTTACGTCGTTGTCCAAATTAGTAACCTCTGCCGCTGCCACACGACCGACATCGGTTGAGGTTTTCAAAATGTCACTTCTCCATTTGTTACCTTCTGCTGTTAAACGCAAGTCGTCCATACCACAGGTGAAAGCAGTATGTGTGATATAATTGGTAAACAGTCGGCCTAGAACGGATAAGACCTTGGCGGAAACGTCTGGACCGTATACTTCGTGTAAAGCATGGACAACACCATACTTGGAAGCACCGTATTGAGATTTGTCGAGAATACCACAAAGTAGCTCACCGTTCTTGAAAATAACGTCGTTCTCAGATGAGCCCTTGCCCCAATAATCACTTTTGATCTTGTTCTTGGAATTCAAATTGATACCAGGCATATCAGGGGGTGTGACATTAAGTAAGACAGTCGTAATTATCTGTTTACCAGTCCAAAGTGGGACCGGCTTAATTACGGCAGGTGCAACAGTAACTAACTTGGTTCTGGTTGCATGTCCATCTTCAGGGCGAATACATCCATAAATGTATTGCTGGTACTGATCCCTCGTGAAAAAGCTATCTTTACTTGTCAGCCACACACCAGCCGAAATGTGATCTTGGATTAAACCTCTAACAGGAGAACCCGAGGTTGGTGTCAAATATTGGGAATCGGTGTTAGCTAAGTTGAAAGCCTCGGCTCTAGCGTTCTCATTTTGAGGAAAGTGCATGTTCATTTCATCACCATCAAAATCAGCATTGTAAGCACCTGTATTAGCGTAATGTAGTCTCAAAGTTTTTTCACCTGGTAACACTCTAACTTTGTGACCCATCATGGAAGCCTTGTGTAAGGTTGGCTGACGGTTCATGATAACAATATCTCTATTCTTAATGTGACGGTAAACTTTTTTGTTCAGGGAGTGAGTAGAGCTATGCGAAGAGGGCGTCAGCAGCTGGTTGGCAAGCGCCTTACGCTGTTCTAGGGTCATCCCAACGAGCGAGATTAGAGAACCATCCTCATTCTGTATTTGCGTCGCACCAGGCCATTTGTCTGGACCGTTTATAACAGCTTGTCTGAGCTCTGCAATGTTGTAGGACGTGACGGGCTCCGGGTAAGTAAGCTTAGTTGCGAACACAGGTGGAACACCAATTTCATTAGTTTCGATGTTTGGATCCGGGGAAATGACCGATCTAGCAGCATAATTGACACGTTTACCCATCATGTGTTTTCTGAACAAACCTTCTTTCTTTTCTAAAGCTTGTTTGACGCCGGGAACTGGTACCTTGCCGCCCGTGTTCCCTTGAGCTTTGGTGGAGTCAATAAAAGCATTCACATCGTTCTGAATCGTGACAAAAGCATTCATCAATCTGTTGAAAATTATCTTCTTGTCTGAAACAGATACCTTATCCTTTTGGAGCTTTGACATCTCCTCGTTAAGATCCCTAATTAGCAATGCGGTGGTCAAAATCTTCGACAAAAGTTGGTTCTGGGAATTCTCATGGATCTCTTCTCCTAGTTTTGAAGGGAGACGAAAACGTGTTGGGGGTACTAGCACGACTTCCAAGAAAAACATGTCAGCCCTCACTAGCTTCTTGGAAAGGTTTGGTCTTGAATGGAAGACGTATTGCAACACTTCTTGCTCTTTTCTGAAGACACTTCTTAAAATATTGCGCACATCAGTCGAAAGAATATATGTTGAGCCCGTTTTTGGTCTAGGATGATTGTCGGTGGGTATGGCAAAATCCTCGTCCACGTCCATTTGATCTTCAATGGTTCTTCCTTGATCGTTGGCCAACTTTCTACGTTGTTGCTGCTTCTTGACGACATCCGCACGGATCAAACCCTTAACTCTGTTGTTGGTTTGCTGCTTTTCAGTTAAAGCTGTTTCAAAGATCTTTGTGAAACCATCCTTCCTGAATTTCGGAGAAAACATACCACAGTTGTCACACTTGGGCCTGGAAAGTAGCCTTTTGTGGAAATCATGAATCAATTTCTTCCTCTCATCGTTAACAGTGGCAGTGAAAGTGCCCTTGTGAGTGGTGCGGCCCTCTGAGAGCGCGGTGGCAATACAGAGATCCACGAACTCTTTACGCTTTATTCTTAGCTCTCTGATTAATGTTGCGTCAAGCGACGTAGATGGTTTTTCTTCGCCGTCAACTTCCTCTGCCTCCTCCACGGCATTGTCCAAGGTTCCCACTTGTATTTCGTCAAGCAGGTAGCATTCGTCGATGAGCCCGTACTGTAACAGCTTCAGCTTACAGCTGTAGCGGTGAACTTCAGCACCTTTCAACCTGAAAGAGTGACAGTATAGGCACGAGCTTCTCAAGTAAATGTAAAGCTGGCTGAAAAACAACGGGTTGTAACAGGGAACAGGAAGTTCGATATGACCTTGGTGGCCCGGGCAGAATTTCTCATCTAAACCGCAAGTAGCGCATAAATTGCGCAAGAAGGCTCCAAGAGCCAAATCATAAAGACCTCCTGAGATTGGGTGACCTAGGTTGTCCAATACAGTGGGATTGGTGATCTGCATGGCCGACACATTTCTGATGTCCTGCGCGGTCATGACACCGAAATCCACAGAAGTGATTTCAGAGCCAACTGGCTTCGAAATATCCATTTTGTCTATCCTGAAAAGAAAGTTTGTTACAGACTAAGTGTGCTGAAAGGAAATGAGTACACCAGTTCCAACAAGCTCAATCCACCTCCGCACAAGTGTAGTTACACCAATATAAGACAATATAATTGCACACTTTGGTTAGTGAGGTACGTGGTAGACTGGAAGCCAGCTCTATATCTCTTCTATTGGTCGAGTGTCCTGGCAGATGATGCGATGAGATGAGATGAGTTGAGTTTTTTTTCACTGGTCCTTCAATTAGAAAATTTTTTAGATCACAGTGATCGCTTCGAACGACAATGTCGCCGTACTCAATGAGTGTAAATGCCTCTCTGCGTTGGCGGCTAATTCAATGAGCTCATCCAGAAAGAACAGATCTCATCTTCTGATAATACACGAAACTCGAAGCACCTTAGCTTTGAAGACTTTGGACACGGTGTAATGGTTAGGCCGGCTATACTACCTGAAGCATAACACTCTAAAATCTGCTTGCAGCCTCTGGAGATCGAAAATCTACCAGAAAGTATCTTCACTCCGAACAAGCAGACTTGGTGTTTTTCCAATTGTGTCCCAATTCAAGCAATGTTTCCAATCTGATCTAGTGTGGTAGACTGGGTAAATCATAGTATTTGAAATCATAGTATTTGATATCTAGGAACAAGTCAGCGCCAACGAGGGTCAAAATTCTAAAGCTATTTGTTCAATCTTTGGTGGCTGTGGATTATACTCTGGGTATACGGTATTGTCGGGAAGGATAACGCGTATTCTTTTCGACTTTCTGTAAAATATTTGGACATTACATCTTGGTCACGAATGGAGCGCACAGCCGGTATGGTCTCTATACAAAATTGTGGTAAGAATGATTCAGCAAGGCTGAAACTAGTGTCCTACAATTCTACCATTTAGAGAGGATATTTGGGTTTGAGGTGGTTAGAATGGCTGGTCAGAACATTAACGTGTAATCGCTGTACCTCTTAATCCCATTGGATGGTTATTCACCTTGTGCAGCTGTGTTTCGCTAACGTGACCAAATCACTTCGCACTCATTTGACACCTAGATGTTCAGCTTTATAGAACCCTCTGCTGTTCAAACTAACATCTGGGAGTCTACACTATTTGAACGATTATTTGGAGCATTCGGAGCGACACCCTTTGCGAACTTCAAGGGGGTTGGCTTTGTTCACCAGCTTTCAGCTACCTAATGAAAGGACACCTTTCGTGCTATTCAGACGGCCCAAGCTCTGATGCCGAGAAATCCTGTTCACGGCTCTCGTTAAATGGTTAATACTGGAATGCTCACCAAGTGCCACCCGATTCTATTCCCGCTCCTCGGGGTCTACCATGGTCTACATCAGGGTAGTACACATTAACTACAGCTCTACACTGGAGCTCTGCAAGAGGGCGGGAGACATATTGATGAGCTAGACGCGAGATGTAGCTAGGACATTTGCGAGAGCGGCCAATTTGGAATTTGCAGCTCACGAGGCTATCGTGTTTTCGCAGGGGCGCAGGATGATGAGTCCCCGACATTTAGCTGAAAATCATCGTGACGTAGCCACAATCCAGAACTTTGCAGGTTCCACATCGTGGCAAAGAAACTGATTGCGTCGGTTGAGAGCTTCCCACAATTTGCCGTGAGTCGACTTCCCTATTGCAAAAGCACTATAGGGGACGGTCCCGGACGTGCTTAATGATGGTGACGTGCCCGCTTCTTTGCTTCTGTCACCGCAAACCCGGGCTTGGCAAATAGATATAAATGGGTGAAGGTGCTTCCCCATGATCCTGCCTAAAGTCTCACGTTCTACAGGGCCAGTCGTACGTCGCAAAGTTAAATCTATCACAACATTGAATCATGTCGGAAAAGAATGCAGAATCTCATGATAAAGGTAACATGGCAGGTTCCATAACCGGAGCTGTCCTTGGATCTGACGCAGGTAACAAGCTTCACCTTGGAAGAGTTGGAGGAATTGCAAGTAGTGTGTTGGGTTCTGGTCAAGGCAGTAAGTTGGAGGCCAAAATTAAGCAACAAATGGACAAATAATGGCTAGGCTTTCGTACAACAGTGTATAAATTTAATGTTTTCATGTCATCAAATAAAATTCGGACGTTCAATAGGTGCACTTAGGAAGGTTCAAGAAGTTGCTAAGTTCGGACAGGTTTCGATCACGGAGATTTAACCCACGCCGAGTGCTCCCCTCCTTGGTAGCTCTAAATTGTGGAGGTCATAAACAAATATAATGTTTAATCTTGGTCAAGCCTGGTCAAGGCATGGATCCATACAACATTGATGGCTATCTAAATAACGCCTCTCGATCTACAAAAGGGAGACTCTGCAAATGTTGGGAATAATGTGAGAACTGAAGGTGATGTGCGCCTAATCGCATAATCAGCGTCAGGAAATATGTGACACAGCGGTACAGAATGATAGTACACAACAGAGCCATACAAATCGACTTACCATTTAAAACAAGCCAAAGACAACAACTGTTGTCCAATGGGATTGGCGATTGATAAGTTTTCGGGACTGTACGGTATTGAGTCGCAATCCATCGATAATAGAATGATCTAGAACGGGTGGTTTATAATTGTGTTATTCAGAATCACCGGGCGAGAATTGTATAAATACCCGGCATTCGTTCAGGTGACTGAACTGACTCTAATGTCTAAATTAATCACGGAGAGTAAATTGAATTTCCCAGATCTAAGTTACTCATCTCGCAATGACTATGACCGACTTACAAGACAAATTTAGTAAGCTTTCTACTTATGAATCAGATTCGCCTCAGTAGCAAAAACGTACTTAGTCTCGCCCCTTTTGCCAATAGGGTGAATAGCGTTAAGATCTGATAGGGCCATATTCAAATCCATTAGAGAACTTCATCTTAAGCACAATTCTTATTTCTAACAAATTACCATCTTTTTCCTTCCGGGTTGTGGCGCGCTCTCTTTACATCAAGCAGCCTCTGCGTTATAATAGATAGAAAATTTCTGTCAAGATTTCTGTCAATGCCAACATTGGGAGCAAAAAAGGATCTTAAAGCTAAAATGCATCCGGAGAACCAGGCTACTTTGGCTAGGATACTTTAATCAGGTCTTAACAGCTGCCTCTTTATTACCGTACCAGCAGTTTGAAAGCTTGTCCTCAAAGATTCTGTACCTCCCGCCTGGCAAACGTTGAGAAGAGTTGCACAGCGAATGCTGTAAATCATATGAAGTTGGATAGGTATTTTCTGTCTGGTATGAGAGTGATGAGCTAAGTGTCACTATAGTATGAAGTGATGAAAAATTTTATTACACTTCAAATAATATAGTAGATGCTCATCTCATCGATTGGCAAAGGATCAACAAAGAGCGGGCAAACTGGTGCAATCTTGGACATGTCTGGTGTTAAAAGGCCTTCAGAGCAATATAAGGAACTCGATTTTATAAAAAGACATAGAAAGGTCTACAAGAATCCCGTGGACGAGGCCAGCGGTATATCAAAATGCATTGTCCAAGTTCCTGTGTCGATGTATGTTTCCGTTGCACCTACTTACCTAGGCTGTCCAAATAAAGGTATTAAGAAACAGCACTTGAACCCAATGGTGATGAAGTACAGCAGCGATGTTGGGGGTGTGGTGTTGGGTTATGAAAATTTGGAAATCAAAGACGCCAGTGGGGATGACGACGATCAGGACCAAAAACTCGTTAAAATGACGGCTGACACTCCCTTCGGATTCACATGGTGTAGCGTAGATCTGTATGTCTGGCAGCCTCAGGTTGGTGACGTGATCGAGGGTTGGATTTTTATACAATCTCCCTCCCACATTGGGCTACTGATTCATGATGCATTTAACGCAAGCATAAAAAAGACGAGCATCCCAGCCGGGTGGACCTTCATACACAACGAAGATGTTGATAACGTCACTAGTGAAGGTAGCGAAGAAGGTGCTGATAAGTCCCGGTCACTTGGTAACTGGGTAGACGAAAATGGCCAGCAGCTAGATGGGAGATTGAAATTCTCTGTCAGAAACGTTTACACTACGGGCAAGGTGGTCTCCCTAGAAGGCTCTCTACTGGAAGAACAGACGGGCCAGGCTCGTTCCCCTGCCGAAAACTTGCCTGTGGTTTCCAATAAAAAGATTGTGTTTGATGACGAGGTTTCGACTGAGAATAGAGAGAGCCACAAGGATTTGGACCTGTCCAAGCGGGTCAAGGAAGACAATGGCGAAGAGATTGTTTACGAAAGGAACTCTAGTAGTAGCGAGTCTAGCGATAGCGAATAAAAGTTCCCTACTTTAGTTGATAGAGCCTGATTATCACTTGTAAAATAGCGTGTAAAAACCAATATAACTAAAACATTGCATTTAAGAAGCAGTACTGGCGGGCTTGGGATCAGTATTATTGAAATTCAGTGTCATCGCCATCAAGTGTTTTGTAATTATCTTTGAAAACTAGATCGGTTCAAAAAACAAACAAACACGAATTCCGCCCACCGACCGAAATACTACCATAGACTAACGTCAAGCAAAGCACTTGTACGCTGATAATGTCGGCACCTACTATGCGGACTACCCTACTGCTCACCGAGCATTTAGGATACCCACCGATCTCGCTCATTGATGATATCATAAACGCGGTTAACGAATTGATGTACAAGTGTACCCAGGCCATGGAAAAATATCTGTTGGAGCGTCATGAGATTGCTGGGAAGGACTATACAGATGAAATCAAAGTCGGAATCGCGAAGTTGGAGACTTTGTGGGAACACTCTATAGACCGAAGTTTTGACAAACTAGAATTGTATGTCCTGCGAAACGTCTTGCATATTCCTCAAGAGTTAATTGAAAGCGGATCGTTCAGGCTCCGACACCACGACTCCTTGGTTTTGAAGGATCCTGCACAGGAGGAACACCTGGTAGGACAACTTGAAAACAAGATAGAGAGACTTCGTGAGCAACTACTGTTGAGCTCCGAACTGCGTCGACAGATTCGCGCCACCCAAAAAGTGATAGCAAGGGTTAAAAACTACAAGCAATTAGTGGAATCACTGCTGCATAATGAGTCGAGCCTGAGCGAAGAACAGAGAACCATTCTGAAGTCCCTGTCTCCCGTCAACGAGAGCGTCAAGTTCTTAACCACGCAGATGCGCCAACTATACATCGAGTCCAATGACGAGTGCTCCATGGATCGCGTACGAAGTCTTAGAGACCAACAGCGGACCATGAGAACCGATTTTTCGTCACGATCCGCCTACCTGGCGCACACCACCCAACTGGAACTACAAAATTTGGTGACACCCTCGCAAGAAGCTCTCAAAGTTGCGAATGCTTCTAAAGCAACATTACAAGAAAATGAAGCATTACCGCTAGTTCCATTCACTGAGCTCCCTCTTTCAGATCCAGATTGGTCCTCATTGAAAGATAGCACGTGACGGGACGTCGGAAACTGGCAATTGTTTTGAAATATTCTTTTTGGTACTGCTACCACAAGTTGATCATTATTCATTTTGTGTCTAGCTGCTAAAAGAAGTGGAGGCCAACGATCAGGATCGTTAACTTAACTCACTAGTCACTAGACCAAATATCTCGTGGGATCAAATTTCAACAACTTAAGTCAAGATGGAAGGAAGCTCGAAATCAAAAGTTCCCGATGGACATTCAGTGGTAAAAAGATTGCAAAGCGAGCTGGTTCAGTTGATGATGGCGCCATCGCCCGGACTTAGCGCTTTTCCAGAGAGCGAGGAGGACTTGACGAAGTGGTGTGGCATCATTACGGGTCCTGATGGTACGCCATACGAGGGGATGCGGTTCAGAATCGCTTTGGAGTTCGCCCCGACATATCCTTATACTGCGCCAAAAGTACAGTTTGTGAGCCCCATGTGGCACCCAAATGTGGATATGAGTGGAAATATTTGTCTAGACATTTTGAAAGACCAGTGGTCTGCAGTGTACAATGTGCAGACAATTCTTTTGTCGTTACAATCACTGCTGGAGGAGCCAAATAACAGCTCGCCCCTCAACGCGGTGGCAGCTGAACTGTGGGACAATGATATGCATGAATATAAAAAAAATTGAACGCACGTTATGAGGAGATCGAAGATTAAGCTTGGTTACATGATTGACTTTTATTTTAGGTGATGGCGGAGAAGTTGACAAACAAGATGCAGGGGTATTTGACGGCGTCGACCGATCTCCACCTATACTGGCAACTTTACAAGGCAGCAACTCTGCTTGTATATTAGATTGCCATTTTTGCCCGAAATTCAACTAATAACAGCCTAATAATGTATAATATATACGTCAAGCAGTACTTGACCGCACTCAAGTATACGATTAAAAAATATAAATGAAAGTAAAGACAGTTGAAACACCTGTTCAACGATTTGGGATATGTCCCAAAACCCTATTTGTCCATGAAGGTCTGTTACCATTGTCCCCTTGCCATAGTACCCATACCATGGGCTTGAACCCTAATATATTAAATTCACCAAAACTCCCGGCTTCATATTCCAAATTCCACTTTGCCCAAATATACCGTATCCTCCTGAAAGCTACAAAAATCTCGTGAAGTTTTCGTCTTCTAACCAACCGATCTTTTCAAAGGCTGCAAAAAGCCTGGAAGCTTTGTTGACATCAATCCGACACGCTTTTTGAGCATCTGTCCTTCTAAATGGAAGGTTTTGCTTCAAACGATGCATTTTCTCCAGGAAAAGTCTACGTTTCGAGTCCAAGTACAAGTCGCAAGGCAATCTCAATATTTGTGCGAGCTGCAACTCAGCAGAATGCAGATATTCCTTTAAAGGATCGCCGGATAGGTCCATCGATGAGCCCTTCCATTCCACTTTCAAACACTTATTGTTGTCAGGCAAAGAGGACAATGGAGGACTGAAATCTGGCAAACGTTCCCAGCTCATATTTGGAGCGGAAACGGCTGCTGCAGAGGCCAAGGGAGAGGAGACTGATACAGGCTTGCGGTGTCGACTCGACGGGGTGGAGGGCCTTGAAATTGGGGTGTGATCGGGTGAAAACTCGGCTGGCCGAACTGCGCGATGTTGAGCACCCGAGCTTTGAGAATGGCTGTCAACGCGCCCAGTAACCCGTCTGGTACGATACGTCCTTTCAAAATCCGAGTTCGAGTTCCCGCCAGTGGCCGATGAGTACGTGTAATTGCGAGCGGTGGTGCGGCGCAGGCTCTTGTTATGGCCACCATTGTTGCTGTTGTGGCTGAATCGCTTGTTGCGAGCCTGCGAGAGATCAAGGCACCGGTATTGCGACAGAAACCCAACGAGCGCCACGCGGTGGCTCCTAACAGAGGTCTGCGGACTACAGACGGCCTTCACAACCATTGATTCGGACGTCGAGGGTGGCAATTGGAACGGCAAGGTAGGAACTCGCTTTTTAAGCCGGTCCTCAGCTCCTAGCTTGGGCGAAAGCGGCGGCGACGGAATCAGATGCGCCTCACCCGGTTCCAATACGGCCGCGTCAATGCTGCCCACGTCGTGGCCATTTCTCGACCTTGTCGTGGCATTCAACACCTGGTGGTGAAGGGCTGTCAAAAGTCCAGAGGCTGCGGCCTTGGGGTGCACACCAGTGCACCCCAATTGCGCATGCTCTGGGCGTGGGGAGTTTATTTCTAGCATGCGGCAGTAGTCGGTGTTCAAGTACGGTGCTGTGTTGTGCTGTATTGGGGTTTGTGCGTGTATGTGCCTCGCTGTCTAAAACTATTGGTTTTTGTGCAATGGAGAGGCGAGAAAAACCGTTAGATAGCGAATTGCGTGAAGCGTGTTCTTTGCAATTGACCGATAGCGTCTACTGCGAAGTCTTTTCTGTGTGAGTATGCTCTTGTTCTACTCCGTGTTTTGGTCTGGTGAAGATCTTCGTAAGCTCATCGGGCGACCCCCAGCCCATCTCCCAGCTCATCGCATTAGTTTTATAAGCTCCAAATCTAGCAGTCTCTCTTTGCCCTTTCGTATCCCGGCACTCCCATTCCAGCGTCCCTGCGAGCTTTTATGAGGGCTGCTGCGAGTCCGAAACCGCTGCTGCGGTATTTTCTTAAGAGGGCCGCTTTTCTTTTTGCGCAGCGAAGGAAATCGAAACCAAAAAAAGAAAAAAAAAAGAAGTCCCGAAAAGAAAGCGGAGACACACGTGATTGCCACATGACAGTGATTATGTCAGAATGTGTCATGCAAAGACATGCATGGTTCAAGGTGACGTAAGCCAGCGGTTCGACGATATGGCGTGTATAGGCAGGGTGGGTGTACAGAAAGCTTAGAATGCAAAGATACATTCACGCATACACCTATCAGTCACGCGATTCACACCTACGTGTGACCAAGGGCTAGTGGTCAAGACAAGCTGGCCATGGTGTGTGCTCGAGCCCTGAGTTCATTAGGGGACACTTGAGGTTGTTTGCGTCAAAGTTCGGCTGAGCTTCTGGTGTTCACCGGCTGGGAAGGTACAAAAAACGCTATGCGATCGGCGGCTGGGTAACCCTTAGTATTCCCGGCAATGGACTGTCAGGACGGCGTGGGCACGTAGCGCTCGGCGTTTGACGCTTGGCGCCCGGCAGACTCAAGAGCGCGGTTTCGCCACTCACACCGAATGGCTCGAGTTGAAGGTCCAGTTTTCGAACCCAAAGACATGTTTGATCAGATCGTCGATCTCGTCGCTCAAGGAAAAGTCGTAGGTGTACGTTAAACTGTTCAGCTGGTTGAAGAACATGGGGTCCTTGTCCATTTCTAGGTCCGGTTCATCAAGCAGTCTACGGGGCAGGTCGTAGCTGCTGCTGAATTTTTGCAGCACATTTTTGAAGAAATCCAAATCTCTCGCGGATTCGCTTCCAGCGTTCATATTCGAGAGTTTCTGTGAGCACGCCACGGACAACAAACAGCTGTAGAGCTGGTAGATACCTCCCTTCCCAAAGCTGCCAAACCTGGTCTCGAAATTCGAAAGCATGGTTTTCAGTTCGCTCAACACCTCCAGCACCAGTGTCTCGGACTCCCTACAATCCTCCATAAACGGTTTATTGAATGTCAGCAGGACAATGTAGTAGTGGTACCAGAAGTAAGATATCGTAGGATCCGTCGAGCGATCTAAGTTTTCGATCACGCTTTTTGACCACTTCAAGAATTCCGGAAGTGACTGCCGCCATTTGTAAACACGCAAATTAAACTTAGTAAGGTGTTCAATGCGTTGTGCAGTGCTGCTTGGCTCTATAAATATCTTGGCCGTGAAAACCTGTACAATCCTGGACAGGATCAACAGGTTTTTCAGGGGCAACGATACTTGTAAAATATGCTGACTTAGAAATCGAAACTCCTCCGTTCCATTCATTTCGGGTAACTCATCGCTTTCGGGTATGGTTGAGTTTGAAACGCTTAAAGTAGAAGATCTTCCCAGCAGTAAGCAGATGAAATGGTCTGCAATGTAGCACCCCCAATAGATTCTGCTCCTGATTTCCAGCTCGCTTTGAGAAAGCTTGTTGGAACTGGACTCATCTGTGACCCATACTCGAGGATCCAACTGGAATCCCATATCGTATCCCACCCGGATTGCCAGGCCCGAAAAGTACCATGCCATCTGGTTATTTCCATCTCCTAGTTCATAGAAAGCCAGGCATAGGAGTGCCTGTACAGTAGTAATCTTAGCAATACTTTGCTCATCGAAAACAACCTGTAGAAGCTTCTCTTTGGCCTTGTGATAGTAGCTATCCGACAGTGCTCGCATCTCTGGTACTAATCTGGCACCTACAGCAGCAACTGCATGAATTAGTTCTTCAGAACAGTACTGGGAGTTCTCATAATTATCTTCGCTATGGTTGAAGAAACCATAGAGAAAGCTCTCTCGATGAACGAATACGAAATGACCCGGGTACAACCAGATATAGAAGTTGGACAGGCTCCTCAAAATATCCTCATTGGCATTTAAAGCTTCTCCATCCTCATGACTTTTACGCACAATTACTGCCGTCTTCAGATCAGCAATCCGTTGCTTCGGGTTAGACATAGTCTGATCCACTTTCTTTGGCTTATAACTTGCTGGCCCTTCAGGGTATATACTGCCCTTAACAAAGCCCTTCTTACGCAACCCATCGTCATGGTTACTATTAGATGCACTGTAGGTTGATCCTACGAGACTCCCCGCTCTGGCACTGTCCAGATCACGGCTCGAAGCCTTAAGGTTTAGACCGTCCTGAGGGTGACGCAGTTCTAAGTCTACATCCTCAACGCCACTTCCATCCACTAGAGATAGCCGATCTGACAATAACTTGACTTTGGCTTCGAGCAAGGCAACGTGTGATTCCAGCGTTTCAACATAACTCGCAGCGTGCCTTTTCTTCCTCATGTCTTCCACGTTCATAATGCACTCCAGATTCAACCTGACGCAATTTCCACAAGGATGTTCCAGATCACACTTCTTACGCCTCCGTCGACAGTTGGTACACGCAAGCCTCTTACGTCGTGGGGTGCTATCATTGGATGCTAACCGCTGTTCATTGATTGGCGCAGTACCACTATTTAATGAGCATTCCTTTTCATGAGAAGCGCCATCCATAACAACTAATCAAAGTGTCTAACAGCTAGGCCCTCCAACTTGTTGATTGCTATTTCCTAAACTAATGTTGATATCTCTAGTCCGATGAGCTGAGCGTCTTTGAGTATTGAACAACTTTCAAGAAGTTAAGTCACTATTTTCCATTATGTCGCCGTTCTGATACAATGACAAATTTGACAGATTTGGAGCTCACGTATTCTACTGTTTGATGAATTTGAAGCTGTGGGCTAGCTATGCAGTGATTTGTATTTAGATATATATGTACTTAGTTTAGCTGTATGTTATTTCAAAGCCGGTTTTAGGGAAAGGAGGAATGTAATCGTCGAAAAACGCGGTAACTTCTCAAAAAAAAACGCTTTAGTCCCTCCCGTGGTTATGGGATAATTGGGGACATGAAGTAAACCTTCAAGTTCCCTTGCTGATAAACAAGTTGGTAAAGTGAACAGAATCCATCAACATCCTCTCAATACTCATAACTCATCGTGACTTATAGAGGCCATGGTCGACTGAGGAGTCACCTTTTCACTCAGGTATTTTCGTTCATAAATTTCAAGTAATTTGTTAGAAAACTGTTCTTCCACAGGAACTTTTGCAACTAAGCGACCTTTCAAAGTCGATATTGGAAGGCTCGGCTGCATATCATTGATCAAATCCTGATCAAGCTTCCCTAAAAAGTTGATTCCAGCCGAAAGGCGCTGGTAGTGAATGCGAAGCTTGTCTCCAGCATGGTCGTTTCGATATTTTGCGAGGTTCACAATAAATGCTGGTTCAACCGAATGGAATTTCAGGTTGTGCTTTTTGAGAAAGTTTAACCAATAGCCCTCCTTCCAATAGGGTGTTCCACCAGAGTGGTAAGCACGAGGCAAACAAAAGACTGTGTCAAACTCAAAGTTCCAGAGATTCTCCAGGTTATCTAACCTGGCTTCCGGGCCTATGTAGAGTATTTTGTGCACACTCGATGGCAGTAGGAAATCTAATAGCAACACCTTGGCTGCAGAGAGTTCCTGACCTCTAAATCTTTGTGGGCGCAGCCAACGTGGCCAATCGTAGGATAAATATTCAAAGCTAATTTTGCCCTGGATATTCGTTAGAAACGTCAAGAACGGCTTAAAAGCAGAAGTAGGATTTTCCCCCATAAGCAACCAAAATTTTACCTCCTGATTCGGGTTCGATTCTAGTAAATTTGCCACCAAAAGCTTGAAGTTATCTTCATGCTTCTGGCTTTCAATGATGTAGAGTACATTGATCGTGTTAAGGTAATTTGTTCTTGATGGTTGTTTATCGTTGTGTGATTTTTGAAGCTTGACGTATGCTCGCGATGGTGAAAGATCCGTCAGACTCATGACATCAACAGGAACATAATCAGATTTGGCAATCAACGAGAAAGAGCTCACCTCATAATCACTCGAGCAACTCTGAATTTTGTAGCCTCTTCCAAAATTTTTAATTTTAAATTGAGCGTACCCAAATGTTTCCGACGTAAATGTTGTATCAAGCACAACATTGTCACTATCAAGCAACTGAAGGCAGACATTACCTTGTCCTTCTACAAGAGTTTTTGAAGGAACTTCAGATGTTTCAAATGCATTAACCTCCAAGAGCATATAGCTAAAGTCAATGTTCCCATTAGCTTCCAATTCTAGATGCCAGTGTGAAGGGGATTCAATATCAACGTAGTAACTCGATGAACTGTCAGAAACAAAGTCTAAAGGTGTGTCTTGCCATATTCTGTGGATGGGAAAGACCTTCAGGTCCTTTGTGGGTAAAAGATGAATTTGAACATTTACGAAACCTAATCGTGTTAGTTTAGAAGCCAAATTCAAAAGCTTTTGTGTACGTTCCTCCAAAACGTCAATGATCAAAACAACATCCACCTTACGGTCGTCATTAGAAATCTGCAAAGTGTTGTAGGCGTTGACGTCAATGAACTCGCCCAGATTAAGTCTCGAGATAGTACTCTCCGCAGTAAAATCTATTCCGCTGTGCGTATTCTGACCACTGTAAAACATCGCTGCTAAAATTCCTGATACCATTTCTACGAAATCGGGGTTCACATCTGATTTGAGAAACTCGGGAAACACTTCCTGTAAAGCGCGAGCTGCGTCAAAAATTCTCACTGCTTCACGTTGAAGTACCATCTCGTAATCCCCAGACGTGAGAATCTCATCTTTCTCTAGGTGAAAGTATCTGCCATTGAGTGTCACAAAAGAAGTCCTATATTGACTATCGTAAGGAAGTTCTGGTAGCCACTTGTTTATGATCGAATGGTCAACAAGATTGGCAGCGTCATTTAATTTGATCTTGGGCAGAGTTTTTTCGAGCTTAACCATTTCGAACTTTTCCGCCAATGATCTCACCCTTTTCCACTGTTTACTGTCAACACCAGCGTGTATAATTCTAAGTCTTACACCAAGAAGCTCAATTCTTAGAAAGTTGATAAGCCTTTCCAATCCTGTGCGTGTATCGAAGTCATCTACAATAGTGATAGTGTGCAACGGCTTATGACTGTGGCTCTTCATTAACTCTAGCTTGCGCGAGCCAAGGCTTTCAAGAACCCTCACATCAGACGCAAAGTAAGTTGAATCCTCGAAGTAATCCGGTAAAAGCTTCAAATTTCTCTCAGCGAATGATTTTTTGTGTAGAATTTCTCTGGCCGTTAAGGCATCTGCCGAGTTAATCGCACGCAGCTCATCTTTAATGTGTGATACATCTTTTTTTATAACTTTGGCAATCAAATAGTTCCATAAATTGCTTTTGAATGGATAAATCTCACCATTCACAATGATTGAGGTGTCTGAGATTTTTAGTTTTGCTTCCAATATATCCAACACAGGAGGGATTGGACCAAAAGTACAGCCGTGGGGACTTTCAGATTCAGCAATATGCTTAAGATAGCTCGAAACATGCTCAAGGCCATCTCTTTTGGTTTCGTAAATTTTTTGTACCAGCTCCATACCGAAATCGTCAGTGGCGAACGGCAAAAGTCCAATTCTTTGAGGATGCCCGTTACTAACAACTTCAGCTGCACGCAAAAGGCCCTTCAATGCTTCAGAAGTATCCCTCGACTCTAAGTCAGAGAAATTTATTACAAACACTACCTCATTCCAATTCTCTCTGTATGCAGGCAGCTGGCCATATTCAGACTGCTTAAAAAATTCACCAATGTTGTCAGTGAGTCCTTCCTTGTATTGTGGATCATTTTCGATATCATTAAAGTACACAACGCTCTCTGAGAATCCTGCAATGCGGTGTAGATCGTATTTTACTGGCTGAGAATTTTGCAATGTCTTCAAAGAAAGAGATGAAAAGGTGCCTAGTACCTTTTTCGCCAAGTGAATGGAGTCTCTATCACTAACGTTTTCATATTGGCGCAACAATGTACTCAATAAGTGAATTTGCTGAAGTTCCAAAGTGATTGCGCGCGTTACGGATCCCTCATCTAGACTAGACAGTTTGTGGTATTGGCCATTGATGTAAAGTCCCAACATGCTGTGATCAATCCCTTGTTCAGCGGTAAAGTCTGCAGCCTGGGCTAATTGTTCGTATGAACCGGGCAGCCTTGAGAGTTCCTTGGTCAGAACTGGAAAGTTGTTGACAACCTGTCTCATGAAGGTTAAGGTCTTTGTAAAATTATTCGTTCTTGCATGAAAGTCACATATTAGTGCTGTAACCTTCATATCAAGATCACTCAATGAGACTTCGTCCAGCTGGTTTGCGTAGAACACGCCATCTTGACGGGCAAACTCCGGTGGTACATCAAGTGGTAGACTTATAGGAGTATTTCCAGTTGAATCTTTGATCGTCAATGTTATCGCAGTAGGATCGATATTCAGCGGTAGGTTGTTCTGACACGTACTTCTCCACACAAACCTTAACTTCCCGGCTTGCGACTCTACAAGCAGGTTACGGTTGAAGGCCTCCCACTCCGCCACTCTGTCGCACCCGTAAAATTGCACAACCGGGGCGTTACTGTTTTCGCCTATTACGACATCCTCTGGATTCAAAAACGAGTTTCTGGGAATCGAGTTTTGAGCGGATAAATCAGTGCTTTTTAAGTAGAATAAATCGTCCGGGGAGTAAAATCGTTTGCCATTGAGGATAAAATAGTTTTCGTCCGACGTGTCCATGCTGAACCCTGTCTCGAGAGCATAGTGCCATGGGAAGAGGGCAGCTGCATCTGTATCGTGCACTCCCAAGATTGACGTAACTTGGTCAATTAATGAGTCTTCTGACATGGCAGGGTACTGGTCTTCATACTGGTCGTCCACACCCGCAATATGAAAGTACAGTTTCTGGAGTGCGGTCGGATCATCAGTCAACTTCTTTACTGCATTCCAGGCACGCAAACGAGTTCCGCCAGTTGCGTTGGGCATCGTGATGCCCACTGCCCAAACGACATTGGCAAGGAGGATAATGCCGAATAAACGTATCATGGCCAGGCTTCCTTCCAGTCGGGCTACAGTAAGTTTTCACTTCTTCTTAGTTGAAGCTTCCTAAGGCGCTAAACCCATATTATACCGATGAATAACGTTGTACGAGAAAGCGTTTGGAGATGCTAACATGGGCACAAAAACCCCTCCATTTCCAACTGTGGGACCAAACACTTAGTGATACATCTACCATTAGAGCTCACACCTCGTTCTGTCTTTTGGTCTGTCAGTGGGGAAAACGCTTTTGGAAAACATCCTGAGATGCGACAGAGTGTGATAAAGTGATCAAGATGATAGCTCATCACAGACAGCTAGTTGCGTGTGAGTTTTGCCCTGAGAAAGATTTCGAACCTGTATATTCTAGAGTTGATGAGGCGTGTATCCATGTCGTTCGCTTGTTCCTCTAACGTTAGGTTCATATAATCAAGATCCAAGTCTTCAAATTGAAGTCATTAGTGACGGGAATACGAGAGGCCTCTAAATTTTTCGAGATGCGAAAAGTGTATGATGAGACTTCGTTATCTTGCTTAGAGTCATCCTCTTCAGCAGTTTGAACTTGACGTTAGAACATTGTCTCAGACACTTTCTAAAGTGTATTCCAGGTCAGTCTCTAGAAGATTTTCTTATAGTTTTAGAAAAATGACTCTCGGAGATAAGCAGAAGTGGACAGCGGCCAACGTCCGTACCACGTTTCTAGACTACTTCAAAGAGCGGAACCACAAGTTTGTGGCATCATCTCCTGTGATTCCATACGATGACCCAACGTTGCTATTCGCTAACGCTGGTATGAACCAGTACAAGCCCATCTTTTTAGGGACGGTGGACCCATCCTCAGAATTCTACCACCTGAAGAGCGCTGTGAACTCTCAAAAATGTATCAGAGCGGGTGGTAAGCACAATGATTTAGAAGACGTAGGAAGGGACTCTTATCACCACACTTTTTTTGAAATGCTGGGTAATTGGTCCTTCGGCGACTACTTCAAAAAAGAGGCTATTCAGTACGGGTGGGATTTGTTGACGAAGGTGTACGGCATCCCAGCTGACAGACTTTATGTGACTTATTTTGAGGGCGATGCCAAGCAGGGGCTTGATGCAGATGTGGAGGCTCGTGACTTTTGGCTTCAAGTTGGTGTTTTGGAGGATCACATCCTGACTGGCGACGCCAAGGATAACTTCTGGGAAATGGGAGACCAGGGTCCTTGTGGACCTTGCTCAGAGATCCATTATGACCGTATTGGGGGCAGAAACGCGGCTTCTTTGGTGAACATGGACGATCCGGATGTGTTGGAAATCTGGAATATTGTTTTTATGCAATACAATCGTGAGCAAAACGGCAAACTAAGATCTCTTCCTGCAAAACACATCGACACCGGTATGGGTTTTGAACGATTGGTCTCCGTCTTGCAAGATGTTAGATCTAACTACGACACTGACGTATTCCAGCCCTTATTCGCGCGCATTCAAGAGATAACGGGCGTGAGGCATTATACTGGCAAATTCGGCGCTGAGGACGTGGATGGTATCGATACCGCTTACAGAGTCCTTGCGGATCATGTTCGTACATTGATGTTTGCCTTGGCTGATGGCGGAGTGCCCAACAATGAAGGAAGAGGGTATGTTTTAAGACGTATTCTGAGAAGGGGGGCCCGTTATGCTCGTAAATATATGAACTTCCCAATTGGCAAGTTTTTTTCCACCTTGGCACCAACTCTGATTGAACAGACCAAGGAGATGTTCCCAGAAATTGCCAAGGATCCCAGCTACTTATTCGAAATTCTTGACGAAGAAGAACTTTCTTTTGCCAAGACTTTGGACAGAGGTGAAAAGCTCTTCGAAAAATACGCCCAAGTTGCATCCCAAAGTGAAAATAAAACTTTGGATGGTGTACAAGTTTGGAGACTATATGACACCTACGGTTTCCCAGTGGACCTGACCGAACTAATGGCCGAGGAGCAAGGCTTAAAGATCGATGGTCCTGGGTTCGAAAAAGCCAAACAAGAATCTTATGAAGCCTCGAAGAAAGGCGGCAAAAAAGGTGCTTCAGATCTAATAAAGCTAGATGTTCACGAGTTGTCCACCTTGAACTCCGAAAATACTCTCAAGACCAATGACTCGTTCAAGTACGACTCTGACAATCTAGAGGCGGTTGTTTTGAAAATTCATGATGGTGAAAAATTCGTCGACGAAATGACTGAAGTTGGTAAACAATATGGTGTGATACTTGACAGAACTTGCTTTTATGCCGAGCAAGGTGGCCAGGAATATGATATGGGTACTTTGGTTATTGACGGTGTGACTGAATTCAAGGTTGAAAATGTTCAGCTGTACAATGGTTACGTCTTTCATACCGGCTCTCTTGCCGAAGGAAAATTATCAATTGGGGATAATATTATTGCATCCTTCGATGAACTTCGCCGTTTCCCTATCAAAAATAATCACACGGGTACTCATATTTTGAACTTTGCTTTGAAAGAAGTTTTGGGCAACGAGGTTGATCAGAGGGGGTCTCTAGTTGCCCCTGAGAAACTCAGATTCGATTTCTCTCACAAGAAAGGCTTGAGCATAGAAGAACTCCAGGCAATTGAAAATATCTGTCACGAACAAATCAAAGCTAATCTTCCTGTTTACTACAAGAATGTCCCACTCGAATTGGCTCAAAAAATCTCATCCGTACGTGCTGTTTTTGGTGAATCATACCCAGACCCTGTTCGCGTTGTTTCTGTTGGTCAACCGATCGACGACATGCTAGCCAATCCTTCTAGCGAAGAGTGGCAAAAGTACTCCGTTGAGTTCTGCGGTGGTACTCATGTTATCAAGACTGGGGACATCAAAGAATTTGTCATAGTCGAAGAGAGTGGTATCGCTAAGGGTATCCGCAGAGTCGTTGCAGTTTCAGGTGCTGAAGCTCACGAAGTTCAAAGGGTTGCTCTAGGCTTCGATAACGATCTAACAGCAACTGAAAACCTCCCATTCTCGCCTTTGAAGGAAAAAAAGCTAAAGGAATTAGGTGTAAAGCTGGGTCAACTCCAGGTTTCCGTGATTACTAAAAATGAACTCAAAGCCAAGTTTACGAAGATCGAAAAGACGGTTAAGGATGAGATTAGAACTAGAGCGAAGAAGGAGATCAAACAAACTGTGGACGAAGTCAAGAACTTTTTCAACAACAACGAATCTGCTCATTTTTTCGTCAAATATATCGACATTCCAACTAACCCTAAGGCAATCACTGAAGCTGTGACATACATCAAGACATCCGCAAAAGATAAGTCCATTTATCTGCTGAATGGTAGCGAAAAGGTCGCCCATGGATGTTACATTTCTGACTACGCACTTGAAAAGGGCGTAGATGGTGCCCAGCTATTGGAGGCTATCTCTAACAACGTTGGAGGTAAAGCTGGTGGTAAGAAGAATGTTTTTCAAGGTGTTGGTGATAAGCCAGAGGGTATCGCCCAAGCCGTAAACGAAGTTGAAGATATTTTCAGATCCAAGCTCATGATATAAGTAAGCATTAAGTAGTATTCTCTTGAGTTGTTTATCTTGGAAATTACCTCTTTGATTTGTAATCGTGTCAAGCTTGGGTTCCAAGCTATGGCAGTCACAAAAACGTCCGATGCGGAGAGCATGTTTTTTTAATTAACATGGGTAGGTGGTCAAAACGATTTCAAAAACAAAAGCCTACAACATTACCCAGGTCCGGCATTTAGTTGATCACCAATGGTTCGGCTCAAAAGCAGGTACATATTATTTGAGGTTCTTTATCCGGCACCGGATTGCCCGGAGGAGAGACCATTTTCGAACTCACGAAAAGACATTTTAATACGACATCATAGAGCAAGCCCAGCACAAATCAGCCATAAAACCATAATACAAGAGCTGCGAAGGACACTGCAGCATAATTTTGGAGATTATGGTATAGGAAGAGTCAATTCTCTTTTACAGATAAAGTATTTCTCCAATCGCACTTCAACGGGCATCATTCGCTGTAGCCGCGAGGAATACGACCTGGTGCTTATCGCACTTATGTTCATAAACAGGATAGACGACGTTGAAGGCCTTGTGGTTAATCCTACAAAAGTCAGCGGTACCATAAAGCGAGTTGAACAGTACGCCATTCGAAGAAATGAAAGATTACTCGCAGTAATAAAAGGTAAGCAGTGGACAGATGATTTTAACGAATTAAGCGACGATGATGCCCAAGATTAGTGTGTCTAAGTTTATATACCTACGTCCAGCATAGCCTAAAAAAACTAAGTAGCACGGTGCTTTTTTGCAGAACCATCATCGTTCCTCTCCACAGACGGCTGCTCTCTTTCGGCCCCAGTAAACTCTACTGGGCCCTCGCGACTCCGTTTTCCGCTCGATTCGCCGCTGAGAGACTGCAAAGTACTATCGACCATTTCGTTCCCACTCGCGGAATGCATTACATTTGGGCGATAAATGGTATTGATGCCTTCTTGGACGAATAGTGGATTATCGTAAACCCGATTTTCCCCTCCCAGAGCATTCTCGCTCGCAGCTCTTGAAAAAAGTCGGGAATCATACTGAATTCCTGATGTATCGCTTGCCTTCGCAGCTCCTAATATAACTTTGTCTGAAATTTCCCGGTTTTGTTTGGCAGCAAGTGCTCTAAGTCGATCTGCTGTGTTAAGCTTTGAATTTCGCACGTCCTTTTCAAGTTGCCGCCTCTGTTCTCGCTTGGCTGTCTCTTTAGCAAGTGATGCTTCATTGCTCTCCGCGTCCGCCGACCTACTCACCTGACGCCTTCTTTCCTCACGCGCCCTTAATGCAAGTAATCTAAGTTTCTCTTCTTTCTCCCTAGCGTCTTGTTCGGCAAGCATTCTCTTCGCATCTGCCCTCAACATTACCTCTTCTCTGGCCTTCTTTTCTGCCACGTCTAAAGCTTCTGACAGAGATGCAAACTTCTCACTGATATCCTGGTTTCCAGACAAACCCTTGTTGTAGCGACCATCGCTAGCTACTCTCCTGTCCAGCGAGATCGCATAGCCATTTGGATTTTTCCAGTTGGATATTGCAGAGGGAATGTTCCACTGATCGCGAGTTTCTTTGGAAAGCTGTGGGGAGCTATCATCAGTCTTATGAAGGACTGGTGCAAATGGTTCGTCGGGTGGTGGAGCTACCATTTTCTTTAACTTGAATGTTCGTGGTTGTAGAGGGTCAAGTTGCTTATCTACAATTTGAATTGACTTAGTTTTGCCACCACCATGCCCTTGATACTCTATAGTTTTGACATTAGCTTTTTGTTTCGCTCCTTGCGGTATGCTAGTTCCCCGGGGACTGATCTTTTGGCTCAAGACCTTGTCCAAAACAGCTTTAGTCCGTTCATAGGATGTACGAACTTCATGATCAGTCGGCATTGGTAACTCTAAATTTGGATGATGGTTCCTGAGGGGCAAAAAGTTCTCGAATGTCACACCCTTGTTCTCATTCCCTGACAGTTGATCTTCGTCGCTGTGATCATCCGATGTTGCGGTGACATCTACAAGCTTTTGGACTTCATTGCTGATACTAATGTTACTACTCGAGATTTGTGAGTGACGAGGAGGTGGTAGCAATGCACTTATTGATTTAGAAGAACTCATCTTGATAAATGTCCTATATGTTTGTAGATTGTAAGCTACAAGTGTTGAAGCTATATGCTCATCGCCTTGAATAAAACTGGTCTTGTAATACGATTTTTGTCGTTCAAGGTATAAATCCGGTTAACTTCCGATGATAATTTCATATTGAAGCATTGGCGTTCGAGTAGTGTAGCAACTGCTCCAACATTTGTGTAGTATTTGCTGGTGTTTGTTTTGCTTGAAAAGAGACCTTTTATCGAGCGTGTGCCAATTTGAAATTGACCTCTTTACCCGTTGTAAAGTCGACATCAGGTCTTTCAGAGCATCATTCAGCACTGTTCCTCGCCGTTTCGAAGACGTCGGATAATCGCAGAGGCGAATGCCATTCAACCAAAGACTACTCTTCCTATAACATATCCTGTGCCCCTGGTATCTTGAACTATGCATTGACTCAGCGTTAAGCTGGAGTGCCTGCTCCATGATTGCAATAAAATCCAGTCTCCGAGGCTTGGTAATCTCGCCAAAGTTGTTAGATGAGTGAGACCACTTCTTAATTAAATCCATTTTATTGTTTAACTAGGCTGAATGTGAATGTTGCAGCCTTTGACGTTCCAATGATTTCGATGAGACTTCACGTCTGGTGATCAGTGCAACTAGGACGTGAATACACCTTGAGAGCTCGTTTGTGATCATGAAGTAGCTTGTGATTATTTCGATCCATTTCGAGTCCTGTAGAGATGCCACAAATTAGCAGGCAAGGATTAAAAGTGGACAGCCTAGCATACGATCACTACGCCGCTAACCAAGAGTTAATGGAAGATAAATAGTGGCGCAAACAATTTCGGTCGTTGTCAGGCTCGTCAAGTAGAAGTTCTGATGACTTCCCCACTCATAGTAAGAGGAAGAATATCACAGAAGTACCATATAAAAAGCTAGGTTCCAGGCGAGTACTCGACGATGGACGATAATAATACGAAGTAAGAGTTTTCTCTACTGAATGTTTATCTCACTGAGCTACTTGAAAAGGCTATGAGGCCATTATGTAAATAAATTTAGGGCATTTCGTTTCAGAAAGACAGAATCTATAATTATCTAATCAACTTATCTCTCAGCTTGGAAGAAAATTTATAACTTGAGACTGCCGGTGACTCGGTCGCCACAAGGAGAGATGACCTTTTTTGCATCGCATCTGGGTCTTTCTCACGCAGTGTGCTCTGGAACGTTAACCCTTCTTGTCTAAGCCTATACTGGTGAACACCAGATTGAGGGGGAGGAGGTGGGTAATGCAACACCGCTGGCTTCTTATACCATCCTCTTTTCTTTGGCCTGGGGTCTTCGTTTAGAGACATGGGCGGCACGCCGGTAAAGCGAACTTTCTTGACAAACTCTTTGTTTGTCGCAAACTCCTCCTCACTATTTTCATCTTTGGGAGCACAGGCCAACTGATTATCGTTGTCCATTTCAGCAATAGCTCCAACAGTACTTTCGTGCTGCTCAACTGAAGTTTTTGTGTCTATCACTAGTTTTAGCTTCTCTTCATCCAAAACAAGTGAGTCCATGTCAGGAAGTGTGGCGATATCATGCACTTCAGGCAACCTGGCTGTTAAATGATTCTTCTGACGAAGGGGAGAAGGTGAATTTGATTGTATGGGCTTGGAGGAAAAACTTGCAGGAGTTGGCGTCCCATTGGGCTTCGATGAGTTAGGGGTAGGGCTGCTGTTACCCGACGTGCTTCTGGGTTTCTGGTAGAGCTTTTTTCGCAGCACTTCCTGATTCAAAGTAGCCCCAACTTGGAGAGAGTTTGAGCGCTGAGTGTCAGTTTTCGGATCGTTTGACGGTGGAGGTGCCGCCGACTGTAATGAAGCAGAGCGCTTCCTACGAGGAGAAGGCAAAGTTTCGTTAGTGTCGCCATTGATTGGCTTTGGAGAGAGGACTTCCCGTATTGGCTTTCTAGCATTCCCATGAGACTCTGTCACAGAGCCGCGTCGAGAGGCGAGGGGTGACGACAACGTACTGCCGTTCGCATTAAATTTACCTGGATGAATAACCTTTTTATTGTTCAACGATGGCGATCGACTCAATTTGGCAGGTGACAGGGAACCAGGTGATGAAGCACCGCTCGAGATAGGAGAAAGTCTAGATCTTTGTAAGGAAGATCTTCTAAAGATTGTTTTTATTGAACCAGCCTCTGGAGAAGTTATTACTCCATCAGTAGTGTCTTTCCGCTTCTTAGCCGCCGCATCCTTCTTCGTCCTTTCGATATGCTCAAGTTTGTCATTTTCAAACTTTTCGTTGGCTAGCTTTTGCACTTCAGCTTTATCCAATGCATCGAGTGTTTCATCTGACGTGTTATTCTCTTGAATCGCTTTCCACTGCGAAGCCCACGTTTCGATAGTTTGAAAATAGAACCGCAACTTGCGCACAGCTGGAGTTACGTCTTTGCTAAACGATTCAGAGATAATCGTTGGCTGAACCGTGAACGAAGAGTTTCGGCTACTATATTTGTTCAACGACTGGACTAAGAAATCAAGGTCTCCGGAATCCGAACAGATCAGGTCTAGATTATGCAGAAGTTCTCGTAACTCGTAAATATTGGTTGAACGTAGTTGTGTCTGGGGTGCCATAAAGTATTGCTTGTTCGGAAGGTATATCTGCTTGAGAAGTGATTTGGATATGGTAAGAATAAACAGTATCCTTAAGATCAACGCGTATATGCGATGCATTGTATATTGCCAATGCGGTAAGTTCATTATTATTTTCGATTGGCTGATCGAAGATGCTTTTGAAAACCGAAATAAAGATGTGTGATAAGATTTGATCGGACGTAAGGCTTTTTCGTTCATTTGGTCTGTAAACTTTGTCAAGACTTGAAGATTAAGTTTTCGAAACGACGCTTCAGACGTGTCGCTTTGAATATGCTTAATTAAAACGGCAAAGTCCAAAGCCATCGATAGCTCCGTGGGTTGAATAAGCTCATCAAAGGTGGATTCGTCTAATAAGGATGACCTCCCGGAGTGATCAGTAGGTCGGTTGGCATTACGCTCCTTCACACAAAATTTGTATTTGCTTTCAGATAGTTGAAGAGCGGCTTGTATCGTCTTTATCGAGAGCTGCAGCAGTTTTGCCTGTAGTTCTGCGTCGTAAACATGATTTCTGTAACGCGTGGAGTCCAAGTCAACATCTGGAAAGCTCAAACAGAATTCAAGTGATCCAATAGTCGTCGGACCAACCATATCGAGGGCTTTGCAGCATTTGAATTCAGCCAGGTCCGTCAATTTCCCACGTAGCTCCTCAGATAAATTTAGGGTTGAACCACTACACAACGCCAGGATATAGTTCATAAGAGGAATTATAACACGAGTGTCGCTCTTGCGTTTCAACGTAGCCTCCAGTATTTTCATTATTCTCAAAAACTCCGTTAGTCGGAACACGACAGTACGACATTTAATTAGATTCACGTCAAACTGATCGAGCAAAACCCCTCCTTTCGCAGGTGGCTTTGTAGCGGACACAGCAGCTTTAACGTACATTGAGAATCAAAGTTAATTGAGCGACTACTGTGGGCTGCAGATGAGGTCTGGGTATTATCGCGATTTTGGTCCACCTCTGTCCACTAAAGGAAACCCGTATCTTTTCACCTTAATATAAAATTCTGCGTGTAGAGTGATAGAAACTTCGATCGTAGAAAGCGGAATGTCAGCGTCAGTGCCAGCAACTGTATGCCCCCATCAGTCCTCGAGTCGCAGTATATCACATAAAGAGTTAGTAATTTAGTGAGGCCGGTACTTCAATTGTATTCTACCTCTTGCCTTCCACTAGCCATTTCCATATCATGTCCCTTTGCTTGCTGTTACGGACTGGGTAGCTGTTCCCCCTCCAAAACGTACGCAGGGCACTACGCCATCGTTTCATAGCAGTTGGTACTTCTGAATCTATGGCAGCGCCTGCATTTGCTACGTGTTTGGCAGAGCTGTGACCAGAATGATTGTTCATCATGGTCAGTCTCTTCACTGATCGCAAAGCTTTGAAGTTTGTCCAGGTAACTACCAGAGCTGCAAGAACTGAAAATCCGACAATGCTTCCAAATCCCCAAGTGCTTTCTTCGATAAAATTTTTCAAATTCATACCGTAAAAGGCTGGTACCAGTGTTGCAATTGTAAACCCCAAGGTATAGATAGTGACTTTAAGCTCAAAGAGCATAAGTGCATTGCGATTCGCATCAAGTATGATGTTCACAATTTCTTCAGTAGACTTGATGTTTTGTATCAAAGTTTCTGCCTGCTGTACGTATTCATCGCACTGCTTGTAATAAGTTTCCAACAACATTTCTAAATCAGCAAAGTCGTCATGCTCGGTTTTATGAATGCCGAGATACATGCCAGCAAGATCTTCGTCGCTCTCTAGTAGCTCATCCAAAACATCACGTATCAGCAATGATTTTTTGTAGAATGAAGATAAGTTTTTAGACTTGATCAACAAGTCTCGCAGTTTGTCTCTGTTTATCTCATCCTCAAGGTCATCCAGTATAATACCACAGATAGAATAATGCATTTTGTACTCTGTTTCCAAAGATGTCATAACGTTCATTAAAATGCTCTCTAGAGCACGGTGCTCGTATAGCTGTGCCAGGTGGCTGCCAGCCCCGGGGGCAAGCTTAGACTCCAAATCATACATGAGTACACCGAGTTTCATCGCGGCTTCTGAGTTTGAGGTGTCAAAGACATAAACGGAGTCTTTTTGGATCATTGCCTTGATATGCAGCAGGTTAATTAGCATACACGTAGGTTTGACCATAATGCTAGGGATTACGTCCACGGCCGTAGCATCAATTTTTCTAAGATCTCTGGGATACAAGTAGTGATCTTGTAAGAAGGACCACTTAGGAAACTTCCGTGACACCGCTGAAACTGCGCCTTGGTTGTTGAAGACTGTACAACTAACGAACGCATCGTTAGGCGTAATGGGCTTCAAAGTCAAGATTTGAGGGTTCTGCTCAGGCAAAAGTTGGCTATAACATCTTTTCAAGGGGCAAAACAGCTTTACAGGATATCTGAACGACCCATGTAAGCGCAGTATCATGCTCTGTCGGCGAGTGTCGTGTATTGGACTAAACTCACGTTTCGCTAGCGCACATGCAAAAGTATGGTTAGACCAAAGACAATAAAAAAAAAGGCCCGAAAGAATGGTATTAATGACACAACCCGCCAAGACATTGAGTAATCGATTGAACAGCCGCAGCATACCGGGCCACGATGATGGTTCAAGCAAGAGGTGATTTTAATTATATCAGCTGTACATTGTAAGAATGAACAATTGTGTAAGCACATACGTACGTTTGTAACGAAGAGCGAACCTTGATTACTCAATGATTCTTCAGTCAAAAAATTTTCTAGAGTCTGAGATGCCAAAAAGTTCAAGTCTAATGGCTGGAAGAGCTTCTTGATTTAGAATGGTTAGTCTCTCCTCTAGAGTGTTATCGACAACAATTTTACCACTCTCGTCAGAGGCAATGACACCACCAGCGGCATCTTTCTTCAAATACTCAGATGAAATGCTGATGTCCGTCTCTCTGCCCGTTTTATCGGCATACTCTTTCAAAATTTCATCTTTAACAGAATCAACGATGCTTCTGTCTTCTTCACGAACCTTCACCACCACTTTAGGCTCAAGAAGTCTGTAAAGCGACTCCAAAATCACGGCCTTCAAGACTGGCTCATATTTCTTTTTGTTTGATGAGATAGTCTTCAGCTCAGCCTTGGCAGATTCAAAGATGTCGTCCAGCAACTGTTCTCTAGTCGACAGCACCTTGAGACGCATTTTGTTGGCGATAGTCGACTTGGTAATCTGCTGCTTCAATGAGGCTTTCTTGGTCTTGTCTTCCATCGCAGAATCGATGTTGGCCGTCTCGTTACGCACAAGACCAGTCTTCTCTATCTCATATTCTTGGTCCGCCTTTAGCCTGATTTCCTTCGATTTTTCCTCTGCTTCTTTCTTGATGAAAGCTTGCATCTTATTGAGCTCATCGTTGACCTGTGAAGGTGTTAGAGAAGTGATTGCAGCCGACATGACAGCTTCGAGAAAGGATCCAAAAAACTTTTTAGAGCACTTGCCAATTTAACGAGAGGTTATATCCAAAAGAAAAGATTAACCAGCTCAAATACGATCACACACCGCTGATCTCGTTACGGACGCCAGTTGGAGCTTTCGATGAGACTTGAATATCGCTTTATCCGTTATCTACAGCTGTTTAAAGGGGAACAAGATTGAAAGTTGGTCTGAAAATGTTCATGAGAGGTGTATACTTATGTACGAAAACAGAACAGCCTCGGAATCCTCCTAGTGTAAAGTGATGCATAATGATACTGTACTTTAGACCCAGTTTGGATAAGTCTATGACTTCAATGATGATATGCTCGATGATTTTCGGCAAGGATGCTCCTGACAAGATAAATTATGCGAACATCCTCGATTTGTTGGCTCTATTTTTAGGCTTTCGTGCATTGACTACGATGATGATAAAGCAAGTCAGCACCTAACTTTAGCAAGCATCGATAGTAAGTGGTGGAAGCATGCACTTTCTATATTTGAAATTTAATATCTAGTGACCATTGCTAAGAGACTTTCTGGTCTGCAAATAGAGATCGCATTCTACGAATGAACATAATTAACTGCATCATATAGTGTCAATAAACAATGCCATCGGAAGAGCGACGTTGAGAAGCCAACCCCCCATTACCCCGGTCTTGAGCGTCTTTGACTTCTGGATGAGAACTGCGAGGATATCCTTACGCTTTAGGGTATGGCGGAAAGTACGAAGCTACTCCGTGGATGAGAAGCCCAGGATAAATCCTGTAGGTGTGCAACATTTAAGCGAGCATTTACATGCGCAGGTCTTTGGTTCAATCAAGGAAGAGAATGCAAAAACTGATGAGGCGCTTATTCGTTTGTCCCGCCAGTTTTTAAAAAAACATGGCCTTTTAGGTAAGAAAACCGTAGTGTCAAAGCCTATTTCATTTGACTTGCCTGCGCTACAGGGCAAATCTTTAGATGAGCATTTTCAGAGGTTAGGACAGTATGCATCACAGCCATATTTGAATAAGGCCCGCAACAAATTTACTCAACTCCCCCCAAAACCAAAAACCTGGATACGGAAGTCTGGATGGATTCGATATTCTCCGAATGAAAAACCCGAACCTGTTTCTTTTCCTCGTGAGGAGACAATTGTATTTGACGTAGAAACACTCTACAAGATTTCACCCTATCCAACATTAGCGATTGCCGTTTCTGACAAAGCTTGGTATTGTTGGTGTTCTCCATACATTTGTGCTGATTCCGATGACCCCACTCACTTAATCCCACTTGATACGCTAACTAGAACGAGGTTGGTGATTGGTCACAATGTAGGCTATGATCGTGCAAGGGTTTTGGAGGAATACAACTGCCAAGAATCTAAAGCATTTTTCTTGGATACAATGTCTTTACACATTGCTACTTCTGGTATGTGTTCCAGGCAGCGACCACAATGGATGCAGAAGCGAAAGGCACAGGATTTAAAGACTGAGAATGAAGCGGATTTACTCTTGGAAGCAGAAGATGAAGAGCCGTGGACGTCTCTCTCCGCTCTCAACTCCCTTCAAGATGTTGCATTATTGCATTGTGGGATCAAATTGGACAAAGATAAAAGAGACTCTTTTGCTACTCGCAATAAAAATGACATTATAAATGACTTCAAAACAATGGCCGATTATTGTGCCAGAGACGTGGAAGCAACAAGTAGGGTCTTTGATGTTGTCTTCCCAATGTTTTTAAAAAAATGCCCCCATCCTGTATCCTTTGGTGGGCTTAGGCTATTATCAACATCCATCCTTCCGACAAAACGGAATGCGTGGAATGATTACATAGCGCGGTCAGAATCGTTATATCAAAGCAGCAAACAAAATATCGAGCAGAAAATCCTGACTATAGTTCAAGATGTGGTAAAACTCAAAGACAATCCTACAAGCGCTCGAACCGACCCATGGCTGAACCAACTTGACTGGGAATTGAAGCCCCTTCGTCTCACCAAAAAGGGAATACCGGCGAGGGGTCAAAAGCTGCCAGGATTCCCTGAGTGGTACAGACAACTCTTCCCATCGAAAAATACAAAACTTCCTAACATCACGATGAGGAATAGGTTAATTCCTCTTTTCTTCAAACTTTCTTGGGAAGGTGAACCTGTAGTATGGACCTTATCTGATGGATGGTGCTTTGAAGCTCCAGCTGCACGCCTTGACGAGATGAAGGAAAAGAACTACTTTCTCGCCAATTCTGCTGACAATTCAAGACCTGGCTATAAGCTCTTCAAAATTCCACACCCCAATGGTCCTGACTTCAACTGCACGACATTGTTGAGTAAGCAATATATCCAGTATTTTGAAAAGGGCATCTTGACTTCACATTCAGACTTGGCAAAAGAAGCCTTGGGAATTAATTCTTCTTGCTCCTATTGGATTTCTGCTCGCGAACGTGTTATGTCGCAATTTGTTGTGTCCGCCAATGACTTTCCACTTCAATTCAGGGCCTTAGACGGCGACAGAGTGGGAGATGATAACACTAGCATAATTTTACCAGCTGTAATACCTATGGGGACGGTAACGCGTCGTTCTGTTGAGAAAACATGGCTGACCGCATCTAATGCCAAAAAAACTAGAATTGGGTCGGAATTGAAAGCTCAAATCATGGCTCCACCTGGTTATGCTTTTGTTGGCGCTGACGTTGACAGTGAAGAGCTTTGGATTGCTTCTTTGGTGAGCGACTCTGTTTTCAAGATCCACGGAGGCACGCCCATTGGATGGATGTGTCTGGAAGGTTCAAAAAATGAGGGAACTGACTTACATACGAAGACAGCAAAGATACTTCAGTGTTCACGAAATGAAGCCAAGATATTTAACTACGGAAGAATATACGGCGCTGGAGTAAAGTTCGCCACTCGATTGTTGAAGAAATTCAATCCTAATCTCACAGACAGTGAAGCTAAAAATATGGCCGAGAAACTTTATGGCTCGACCAAGGGCTTAGCTAAACACTCGAAAAACTTCAAAAAATTTTGGTATGGTGGTTCAGAATCTATTCTGTTTAATAAGCTGGAGCACATTGCGGAACAAGAGGCTCCTAAAACACCTGTACTGGGTGCTGGTATAACTCATTCTTTAATGAAAGGAAATTTGGGCTCAAACTCTTTTTTGCCCTCGCGCATCAATTGGGCCATCCAGTCCTCGGGTGTTGACTACTTGCATCTTCTATGTTGTTCTATGAATTACTTGATTAAGAAGTATGGTCTTAAAGCCAGACTTTCTATTTCGATCCATGACGAAATTCGATACTTAACCTCTGAGGACGACAAATACAGAACCGCTTTGGCATTGCAAATAAGTAATCTGTGGACGAGAGCAATATTTTGCGAGCAAATGGGAATCAATGAGCTTCCTCAAAACTGTGCCTTCTTCTCAGCTATTGATATTGATCACGTACTAAGAAAGGAGGTTGACATGGATTGTATCACGCCTTCAAATAAGAACCCGATACCTCATGGTGAGAGTCTGGATATAACAAGGCTGCTTGCTCTCCCGGCCAGTGAGTTTAAAGCTCCGACGACTGACATTGACCTTTCTGAGATGCCATATGAGCGAAGGGAAACAGTTTTTTCAATACAAGATAAAAAGCACAACAAAGATTTCTTAGACTCTTTTCTGAGGTTGCAGATTCAGTCAGCAAAATGGAAGGTCGATGAATTGGAGGTAGACTACTTGAGAAAAGTGCATCAAACAAACCACACACAAGATTTGTCCAACATTGTTATGGATTATGTGGATGCTAAAGAGGCAGGCGAATATCACAGACCAAAGCACAAGATTTTAGTCCCTGGCGATTCAAGTCCGTCAGACAATTCTGAGGGCGGCATGGGGGACGATGATGCAATGAGCCACTGCTGTAATGAGGCTGTTACAGATGTTCCCTATGAGGTGGGATACCAAAAAAGTTTGGAACTTCAGCATCAGCTTGCTGGTAACAAAGGTGAAGAAATTTTTCCAACACGGACTAAGGAATTTAAAAAGAACTTTTCGGGTCGTGGTGCAGCTTATAGATTATTCGATGAATGTATCGACATTTCTCGAGGTGCTGCAGAGCGCCGACAAAAAAAATTTGTGGACGAGCGTATCGATATTGACGCTATAGTTGAAAATGTTGTAGGCGGAAAGAAAGCGACAAAGACCAAAGCGAGACGCACGAAGACAAACCTAAGCAACACGCCTAAGAGACGGGGTTCGAAAATTGTATCCCAGTATATGCTTGAAAAAGGGAACCAACATTTTCCACCCCCGATGTCTGACCGTGAACCAGTAACAGAAAAAATGTAATCTTTAAGTCGTTAAGTTAGTCGAATAATACGGGAGGGATATGACAAAATTGTGAACTTAAGCGTTCTGTTGCCTCACACGCTGAGGGGGGGAATTAGCTCTAAGCTAAACCACTTCGGAAATGCGAGGGAGAGGTTAAAAGCCATAGCTTAATATCGAAATGTCAACTCTTGATTCCCACCCTTTCGTGATAGAGCCTTCTCTGACGTTCAATTTCTCCTGCCGACTTTGTGGAAACCAAAAACAGTTCAATGAGCTTTTTGCGGTTATTCTGAGGCAATTGCGACACTTCTTTGTGAAGAGTTTGAAGGCGTTCAGGAACGGAGCTCACATCGTGTTTTGGACCGTTTCCAATATAAACATCATTTCTGTAGAATCCATTAATCCCATAGCTTTTCGTTCGTTTCTTGACGTCTGTTTGCTGATCGTATTCCCTTGGCTCATCAGCCACCTTTTGGTTCATCAACAAAGTCTGCAAGGGCCTTCCTCTAGTCATATCCTGCTTTTCTTGCACTTCTTCCTGACGCGCTGCCTTCGAAGCATCTTCCATCTCCTGTCTCCGATCTTTGTAGCTCTCGGTTAGGTATCTCTCTTGGGGAGTCCCCGATTTTTGAATTTCCATCTCGGCTCTCAGGGACTCATGGTATAATTTATCCAGATTCCTCTGCTCTTTGGCAGCCATGAAGTTTCCTATAAACTTAGAAACGCTAGGCTTTCTCTCCTTGATGACTTCTTTGGGAGCTAAATATAAGTCTCCATTTTCAAATCCTTGATTCGATTCCGGTAAGGAGTGTGAAATTTTCGCCCTTTTCTCTTGAACGTATTGCTTAAAGCCCTGTTCGTCATCGCTTCCATCAGAACTGTCATTACCGCCACCAAATGCTCTCTTTCCTTGCCTTTTCTTCATAGAATTTCTTTACCTACCAAATACTGTCTAATAAGGATCTTCAACTTCAAATAGTGTATTTCATATTCGCATACTAGCGTTCTCTTAAAAACCACACAAAAAATAAGTTAGCTGGCCCCGATAGGTGGTGACTCTTTCGAATTTTGGATTTTAAAATGTCTTTTGATTGGTTAAATGTTCCTGGACTTTCAGGTAGCGATGCTGAACAAACCAATGCGTCGGAACCTCCACCCCCGGTATCTTTCGATTTTGGTCAGTTCGACGATATCAAAAACAATGAATCTACTTCTCATCTGGATATGAACGCTAGTGTTGTTGATTCTAGTTATAATGCCACAGGGGCTGACTACGTTGAGACAAAGGAGGACTTACAAGCGCCGCTGTCACTGACTAGGAGTCAATTGACGAAAGAAGAGCTGAAGACATACCTGAGGTGGTACGGGTATATATCGCGGCGCAAAATCACAAAATTGATTAAGTTGGATGATGTATTTCAATTCATGATCAATTTTCCCATTGCCCCGGTGGTGAAGGACAGACTCAAGCACATTTTCAGTTCTTGCAGAAATGCGCTGAACATTGGGCAGTTCTTTGCCGTTGTCAGGCTGATTTCTCACGCAACTCTGGAAAACCAATTGCCTACAAGGCAGATGATCCTACGAGCAACTCCCATCCCCAGGCCGAAACCGATCTTGGCTGCCGGAAATGAAGAAGTGTACGAGGAGGTGGAAGATACACAGGCTGGACCCGAATCGACAGTTGATTTTGACAGTTTCGCAGCTCTACTACTCACAGGTGAAAAGAAGAAGCGAGTGAGACGTAGAATCACTAACTTTGTCAAAAAGATGAAAAAAGTTCGATTCTCAGAAAACTTGGTCACTTTTCAGGATCAACTACTTCAACCAAGCGAGGATTTTTCTTCGGATGATGAGATTTCTGACTCAAATGCCCCGTTAGATTTGTCGCTGCCGATGGATCAACTGTTAAAAAGTCTGGCTGCTAGAAAGAAAAACTCGGCTCTAGTCTCAAAACCTCCCTCTGAGCAAGTGCCCGAGAGTCAGGAAGAAAAAGAAGTTCTTGAAGATATGAAGGAGTCACTGAATCACTTTCAGCAACTGCACAATGTCGATAGTGTAGCTCAAGGAAGTCTTGCTGGCCAGCACTTTCCGACTCAAGCGAGCAACACTACCTCACCGGAGCCGTTAAAGCCAACTGCGACCGGATCTGCTAATCACCTTTTCCGTTCCAATCAACCTTCATTTAGTCAAGAAACATTAGCACCGCTAAAGCCAACTGCCACGGGCTCAGCCAACTACCTTTTCCGTTCTAGTCAGCCTGCGCCTCCAGCACAACAATCCCTTCAGCCCTTGAAGCCCACCGCTACCGGATCCGCAAATAATCTTTTCCGTTCCCGCCACCAAAGTGATTCTACGCTGAATCAAGACTCTCACGCAGCGGATTCTGACTTTGACAGACCCAATTCCACTTCTGTAGACTTTTCACCCGCTTCTGCAGGAAATGGCTACGGTACTTCCCAACCACCTCATTACCAAACAGCATCAAATTCTCAAAACCATCTGCAGGTTCCAGATCGGTACTCACATTCATACTCCCTTGATGCGGGTACAAACAAACAGCAACACACCGGGCTTAACAGGTCACCCCAGAATACAAGCCAAGATTATTTGACAACTAATTATGGAAATCAGTATCAAACGATAACTTCTGGCTCACCTTCCCCGATGCACATAAATCAATCAATGGACATGTCTAGCTTTAACGATGCAATGCGTCTACAGCAAACAAGAGCTGGCATGTTGGGTCAGAATAGTGGTGGGCCATTTCCTCAAGGTAACCATGTTAATTTTAAACCGCAACCTAGGTCAGCTTACATGCATGCTAATCATACCGGTCCTTCCTCAACTTATCCCAGCGATAAAAATCACTTTTTTCAACCAAGAGAGACACATAGCTTCACTCCATCCCCCGTTCCACAAATGCCATACTATACCCCGGCACAAGTGCAAGGTGGGTTTCAATCAAAAGATATTTTGGGAGATCTCCATGCATTACAGGCGCATGTTGATCAGCTGCAGAATATTTATAAGAGATGAATTTTTGGTAAACCAATTCAGTGCAAGGGCTTAAAACGAAAGATCATAAGCGAGAATTGCATCTTCACGGTTAGAGTGAAGACATACAGGCAAGAAAATACTCAGTGCATATATTTTATAAAGCAAGTACTTTGTTAGTAAACAAATTCAGATTCGTTCAGCGGGGCCATTGGCAATTTTTAGCTCTGGTATCTATCGATAGTCTCAAAGTGTTTTTCTTTATCCTAATGAAACTTGAGAACGATCATGACATGATCGTTCTGTGTTTGCCAGTTGTTCGATTCGGCCTCATGTTAACAGACTTTCGTGTTTCGTGATTGACAATTATAATTTCGGCTACTATATATATACAAACTTGAAGTTTCAGGCCTCCAACTATCTTCAACCAGGGCATCAACATTTGAAATGTCATCCTCAGTACCCTATGATCCATACATTCCTGCCGAAGAGTCGCAATCTCAGACGAAAGCAGCTGCTCTGAAAGCTGTAAGTTACTATCCGAGGAATTGAGGTCCCGTCGTCGGTGTCGGTGTCCAGTGAGTCAAGGATACCCTTTACTAACAATATCGCCTACAGGAAATTGATGATACTGTCGGTATCATGAGAGATAACATCAATAAGGTTGCAGAGCGTGGTGAAAGGCTCACGTCTATTGAAGACAAAGCCGATAACTTGGCCGTTTCCGCGCAGGGCTTCAAAAGAGGCGCAAACAGAGTAAGAAAGCAAATGTGGTGGAAGGACTTGAAAATGAGGCTTTGTCTTGTTCTCGTCGTAATCATCCTTTTGGTGGTTATCATTGTTCCGATCGCCGTCCATTTTAGCTGAATGAGGCTGAAAATGGCCGAGAGTACGTAAAGACTGCTTCGACACAACGGCCTCGATAACTGTATGTACATTAATTTTACCATTATGATTTTTGAATGAAAAGGTAGAAACATGTATGTTGCGCCTTAATTGGCAGGTGATGGTCAACCCTGCGCTTATTTATCCATTGTAGTTATCGATACAAGAACAATTGCCATATTATGGGGCTAAACTTGGAAAGCTTGTGTTCTAAAATTTATATATGTTTGTGTGTATTTGAATTGCAAATTAAACAGTTCTTTGAACTTCCTGCACCGTAACATGTTGAGTGACCAACTCAACAACCCTCCTGGTAACAGGCAAATTCATCCAAGCAGGAATATAAGCTTCAATTTTTCCGAACTTCCTTGTCTCTATCAAATTGAATGGGTCCTCAAAAGGACCACTCTCAACAGTGAGGAAAATATCGCTACTGTGCACTTGAGATTTACCATCTGACGACAGAGATGACTCATTTTTCACCCTATTTGCTACAAAGGTCAAAATCTCTTGCGGAATCGGAATCTCGTAGTCAGCAACTGCGTACTGGGTGATAAGCTTCTGAATTTGGGCAGGCTTCAACGACGAACATATTTCCCAAATGATATCAATATCCTCTAGGTTGGCCTTTTTCAATTGTAGAAGCTTTGAAGCTTGTAGCATATGCTGTAAACAATCGGTACCCTCTGGGATATGATGAGATTTACACCATTCCTCCAATCTAGTAACATTGTAGTTTAATTGGAGACCCCTTTTCCATGATAAAAAGTTCCGCTTCATTATTAGGTCATTAAAGCAAATGGAATCAACATACTTGAGTAAAGTGATGATGACCTCGCGAAACACCTCCTGTTCCACATGATACGTCTTCATGGACCAGTATATGCTATTGAAGAAAGTGAGAATGTCATCCATTTTATAGTAATTCGTCTGAGTGAAGAGTTTACCTAAGAACTGGGTTGACTCATTTGCAATAAAACCAGGTAATGACTGTGACATTACAACAGCAGAAATTGCCTTTTTCTCGAGTTCCTTTTGTAATTTCTTTAGCCAGATATTGTAGATGTTGTAGCTTAGAGATTCGAAGTCATCTTTCAGTTCAGTAACCAAGGTCACGTATTCTTTGTACTCATCGTCGTTCAAGCCACTGTTATAAGAATCATCATTCAAAATACTTTCTTGTGCGAACACCACGAAAGAATACAGCTCTCTGACATTAGTTAGCCAAAAGGCGCCATGACATACCATGTCATCGCCCTTCAAATTGGTGACCAGTTTTTGAATGGTAGACATTGCCTCAGCAAGAAAGCTTTCACTTTGTTTGGTGAGCCCAAGTCTCCACATGTCACTCAACACAATGATCATGATTCTGGCAGGATATAAAACTTCTTTTCTTGTCAATTCAGCAGCAACTCCCGTTTCTGGAATTTTAAATCCTTTTAGCAGACCTTCCACTATTTCGGTGTTCAGGGTTTTTGTGTCTTCGAGTATCTTGTATAGCTCGTCATTAATTTGAGAAAGAGCACTCGCTGTTGATCTGACATCATCCTCCATACCGTTGTTCATAGAAACAACATTGAGCTGTCTTGGAGAAGCACCATCAGCCATGCTGCTGTGACTGCTGAACCTTCTGTTTTTGATAGGTGTATTGACCATCGTGTTACCAGTACTGGCGCCACTACGGATGCTACTCTGTAACCGACTGATTTCGTCTTTCAATGATTTTACTTCATTCTTTAGATCCGAATTCTGAGTTTGAGCATCTGCAACCTCGCCTTGAGCCTTTTGCAGATCTTGTATTTTTGTGCGAACGTCGTTCTTCAACTGCTCTTGTTGCAAAAGTAACTCTTCAACTTCTTTTCTGACAGCATCGATTTCTTCGCGAGCGCTAACTAGTTCTGACGATTTGTCGGCAAGTTCTGCATGATGTGATTCCTCTTTTTCTTTCAAGTCCCGGGTGTGCTCTTCTTTTTGGGCTTGTAAGATCGTCTGAATGTTAGCAGACTCGTTGAGTGACTTCTGCAATTCAGAAATGCGTAAAGTCATTTCCTTATTTTCTTTAACTTTTTCCGCCAGTCCTTCAGTAAGTTGTATGACCTTGTTTTCTAGTTTGTAACTAACCTCCTGTAAGTTTTTGACTGATTTGGCGTCGGCTTTCAACTGTTTCAATTGCCTCTTAGCCAATTTTCTCCTCATTAGAGACTGAACCCGAATCGAAGAGCTTCTGGTTAAATTGAAGCTCTGTCGAGGTCTAAATCCCCTAATCTTTTTCTGGATGTGTACTGCAGCCTCTGCTTCTAGTTTCTGTGAAAGTTGCCTTTGAGCAAGGCTACTTCTAACCAGCGACTGGAGCTTGAGTACGGATAATATGGCGGTTTTACTCTGGCGGCGTTGGTTCACAGCTCTGATCAGACTTTGAAGTGTAATTGCAGCTAGATTTTTGATTTGGAAATCGGCCCTATGACGTGCGGACAAGCCGCTCATGAGTGCCTGTACGTTATGAATAGCGCTTTGAATCTCAACGTATCTCTTGCGGTAGTAGATACCTTTGATCTTCTTCTGTATCAACACGCAAGCATTGTGCATTTTGGTGCTTCTCAACTTTTCCAAATATGCCAGCATGCCCGCCTTAAAGAAAATTTTGGTATTTCCTAGCTGATATTTTTCCTTATCCTCCACCGTTACATCTAAAATTTGCCTGCACATATGTCTGATGTCATCTTCGGAGGCCCCACCTGTAAACATTTTGGTCCAGCTCTCAGAGGGAATCAAAATATGATACCTCAACACAAATTCATTGTATGTCCACCGAGATGGAAAGCCTGCGCACGAAATTCGAATCGTTTCAAGTACACCACAAGCCCGCAGTTGTGATAACACCATGAGATTGTCAAATTTCCAAGCTTCCTTAGCTTCATTAGGCTTTATGCACCGAATGTAGTGAACATTAGTTGAGTTAATAGTACCCATTAACTCAATTAAGGATTGCTTAAACATAGATCCCAGTGTGGGCTTCTTGTTTGCCATCCGCGCTGGTCCTGGCTTTCTACTAGCTTCTTGCTTCTCGGCCAAAGCCGCAGCATGCTTGTCGATCACACCGAGAATAGAAGTCAAAGTGCTGTTGTTCGTTGCTCGCAACACTTCAAGGTGGCCATCTGAGACAGTATCCCTATTTTTCTCTATGAAACCATCGACATCATAGGTGACATCGAGTGCATAATGGGATACCACAAATTTGGTTTGGCCAAATCGTGGCTTGGAAAACACGGAATTAGTAGGAGGTTTATCCAAGGTTTGATAAAGCTTTTGAGTCCAACTCTCGTCTGATCCAGCTGGAAGCCTAGATTCTTCGTCTAGCAAGGACAGTATGCCAAGCTTATTTTCAATCAAGTCAATACATGGTTGATTATCATTAAATTCGATGAAAGACCATTCGATTTGTTCTGCCACATACTCTTCTTGCTCTAGTTTGAAGACGTGTTGGTTGAATTCCTGTTGAAGCTTTTCATTCGCGTAGTTGATGCAAAACTGCTCGAAAGAGTTTGTCTCAAAATGCTCAAAACCATAGATATCCAACACACCAATAAATGAACTGATATGCTTTGTAACGTCAGGGTTGCAAAGAACCGTATTGATATTCTCGACCAACCAATCGAAAAGGGCTGTAAAGATGAATTTAGCAACCGAGTTTCTAGCAACAACAGCCTGATTATAGGAAAGATTTGAAATGATTTTTTCAGAACGAGTTGTTATTTGTTTCTTGGTGATCCACTTTGCAAAAGTGAAGGGATCGACTTCCAGCAAATCGCACGCTATCTGCAGGTTAGGCTCGTCTGAGCTCAAAGATGCGTCATTTCTAGTTTTCTTGATCTCTATGTTACCGATATGAAGCAAAGCGGCCAAAATCTTAAAGAGTTGTTTTTGAGTGCCATCAGAGAAACCAACCATCTTTAATGCATCTACTGTTTCACGATAGTCTGCTGCATCATCAACACCTTTGATCTTGTAGTCGCCGCCCTGGTTCAAGTAGTGGTAGTCCTCTACTTTGGTCAGTTTTAATGCTGATTTTTCATCATCGGAGAGACCTGCCAGAAGTTGGTAAAAAATGTGATAGTTTCTCTCTACTTCCGGCTGGAAAACCAGTCTTGACCGTTCCAATAAATACGTCCTGATTCTAGCACCAATGATGGAAGTGCGAGAATCAAACAGAATCTCGAGATATTTGCCGAATCTAGACGAGTTGTCGTTCCTTGTAGTCTTCGCGTTACCAAATGCTTCCATAATAGGATTCGTGGCGAGAATTCGGCGCTCCGTTTCTGACATCTCGTGGTGTGGATTCTCTGAGATTGCAGTAGAGCTTTGATTTGCCTGTTCAACAGACGCGAAGTAGCGCATAATGTACTTTGCCGATACGGTTTTGCCGGCACCAGACTCACCACTCACCACAATCGTCTGGTTTTCCTTGTCGTTTTTCATTAGCCGGTATGCTTCTTCTGCGATGGCAAATAGGTGCGGCTCAAGTTCGCCTCTGCGACTGCCAGCGTATGCCTGGATCATATCCTGCGAATAGAGCTGATCGACACGATCAAAGGGATTGGTTGCAATAAGCACAATCCCGGAATACGTATATATATTAAGCTGTCCATACCTGGCTTTGATCGCGTGAAGTACGGCAGGCTCGTTCAGGTACGACAAAGACGTCAGGTCTTCGATCGCCTCGAGAATTGGTGGGTTTCTCAAAAGCGGCAGGTTGTCACTTTCGTGCTCGTCCAATGAGGAAGTTTCGATCTCAACGACTTCCCCGTTTTCCAACGCTAAGGTCAAACAATATTTGTTGTCTTCTGGATGTGAAAATTTGGTCACTTCCGATCCCACCCATCCTTCTTGTTTATCTGGATACCAACATCTGGTTCCGACCTCGTATGACATACTTGAGAAGGACCCTAACACGCTAACAAAGCCTTAATGCCTGTAAACTTGCTCAATGAAATTGGGTCCTAAAAAGCTCGAAAACTGCACTAAAGGAATGCTAGAAAATCAATCAATACTCTTAGAAGTCTAATGTACGTTTCTTTACCGTTTCAAATACACTGCTTTAGGCTGAAAGCTGGCAATTTTCGTGTTTTTTTAAGTTTCTAGTAAGAGTGAAAGTCAGATCAGACTTGTCTTTTGTGTTACCCAAATACATTTTTTCTATTAAGAGACACGGTGAACTCGAGTCAAACGAAACGCCAAACTTGAAACAACGCACAACTCGGCAGATAATTATTCGAAAGGATATTATGGTGAGTAGATTGTCTATTCAGCACTAAATATATATGTATATATTTGTGTGTGTGTTTGTATGTGTGTGTCTTGTTCCTTATATTTCAGGACATTATAAGCCGAGGTTCGAAGTGTGGCAAAAACTAATCGCAATCTGTGCGATGGGCAGCTGTCAGCTGTCAACCTATCTTGAGGACACACCATGGCATTTTCTGTCAAGTTTTTTGATGTTTACATAGAGCTAGTATTTTCTGACAGATTAGAGCCTTGCCTTATAGAATCGATCGACTGTTTCAGTCGCTTGTTGAGCTATTTTTGAAAAAACAACAGTAACATGAAATGGAACGGTTTATCGCTACAGCTAAGATTGCAAGATTTTAACATCTGTTAATTTGAGCTGTGTTGAGGCAGTTGCTGTCCATTAAGTATATTGTTCTATCGCGCACCATGGAACGCATAACTCCCACCTCCCATCGATAATTTCCGGCTGAGAAATGCAATGCACTACATGCTTTATCACTGACAGCTCGAGTTTTCTTCTTGTCATGCTTCAAAAGCGATCGCTTGCCCTCGCCCTTGGCACAATTGTCGCCGTAGCATCGCGCTCGAAAGTCCGCATTCAATAAGTATAACAATAATTATTATTATCAGGCATATATCTAAGGACATATGTGTAAGTAGGTGTGTGTGGAATACCACAGGGGAACGAATATCGCTTCATAAATACAAGATGCGAGCAACTCCGCCAACCTCTCCATACGGGCAGGATCTACAGAAGGCGAGATACTCGTATCGTCACGGTGACATTCCGAAGCAATCGTTCCACTATGGACGTGATGCTGAAAGGCACGCAATGAACGGCACCGACTTTACAGCTGCCGCGATGGGCAAATTCAGCGAGTGTTTGTTCCAGAAGAAACAAGCGCACAAGGTGACGAGGCCACTGTCCTCCAAGAGTGATTTTTCGTTACATGTTGAAAAAAATCCGCGGTTTGAATCGTCTTCATCTTTACCGGGCCTGAGTAGCCCCTCCTCCAGCCATTTAGCTAAAAGCGCGCACTCAGCCGGTGCCAGGCCCATAAAATCCCTGCGGTCAGACAGAGATGAAAGCAAAAGACTTGTGAATCAATTTTTAAATCTTGAAGAAGAGTTCCCGGACAAACATGATGTAGAAGCGTTGAACGCTTCCCAGCGATCCTCCATCTCTCTCAATTCCCAGCATGAGAGTTTATCGCAACAGATGTTTTATGACTTGAAGGACACGACAGCCCTGCGTGAACCTTCTTTGCTTTGTCCTCAGTCGACCAATGGATCTCCTCCGACCTTAGCTACTGAGTTATCGAAGTTTGATTGCACTATCAGACACACATTAGCAAATCTGCAGGCCAAAGAGTCTGCTATGGGCCAGACCATGGCTGATTTAGATTGTTTGTATCGCGATGTTCTCAAGACTCAAGAAGCAATGCGGGAGATTTATTCACACGTAGCCGAACATGAATTACAAACCGTACGATCTTCGTTCGACAGCGAAAATGCGAATTCCTTCATTGGAAAATTTACGAAAACTGTTTCTTCTTGCAGCGAGGACCTCGAGGTTTTCGAGAGACATATTGGCAAGTGCAAGGTTGAATTGACTGACCACAAGGCCACGGTGCACAAGCTAGAGACAACTATTAAACTTAACGAAATGCTTCGCGATAGTCAAAGTAGCATGCGTCTTTTAGACCGTCTACGGGAGTACAAAGGCATAATCGTGGACTTTTTGGCATTGGTTCTACTTCTTGCATCGGTGTTTACTCTACGACATGTTTTCACTTGACATCTCCGCCTAGCGTATCCTAATGCCCAAAAGATATCAAACAGCCATCTGGTAGAAACGGCAGCTGGTTCTGACCGCTCATGCTAGCAGTTATTGAAATTTCGAGGTTCCAATGGTTATTTTAGACGGCTGACGTGACATCAATGCTTAATTAAGGTCCCTCTGTAAATAATAACTTTGCCTCGAACATAATCAATTGCAGTGAGAAAGTTTACTCTGCTAAGGCCTTCCAGCAATCTCATCCACTACCAAATTATTAAGGCATTCAAATGGCGCCATGGTACGTTGGGAACATCAGCCTAGCTTTATAACGATGGTTTTCTATATTACTAACCAAGCGTCCAGTCAAGCAATGGTGCAAATAATACCAGGCGTGGTCCTGCCAATTAGGATATTTGTTAACCGCAAGCAAATTGCTAAGAACATTCAAGAGTGTATGTATATAAATTGTGCGGGATCCGGAATTGTTCTTGCTAACTGAGTTATTATCGTCAGCTCAATCGTCGTTTGAAACGCCTTTGTTATCAAATAACTCCATCATCAGATTGAGATCTCCACTTGTGCGACTTTACCTCTCAAACGCCGATTCAAGGAGCCTCTGTCAAGAGATCAGACATGACTTAACGCTCATCTTGTTTGAGCTTACAGCGAGGGAAGTCCATGAGGAAGTAGTGGGGAAGCTCAAGATCGGCAACCTTGTCAAATTCGAAGAAGTTTTTGAAAGAGTGCCAGCACTGAAATCTACGATCGGCCTGGACATCAAGAGCTGTCACTTGCAGACCCTTGAACGTGTTGCCAAATATCAGTACAAACTGCGTTATGATCATAATTGGGGCTTGGACATTTTCATCACAGACATAAGGAAGCTCACAAGAATACGGAACACTCTGTTACTACGCCTGTTATCGTCCCATTCCTGGAGCGAACGCTCTACCGATTTACCTCAAGTGGGTATATCGGGAATGAATTTCCTCAGGCGAATCCGAGAAGAAGTTGTACAGGGTGAACCAGAAGTTCTACAGGAACTTGATGATGATGAGTTTTTGCTAAGTAGCGAAACGCCGGTCGCACCAATTATGTCTGGACCCGAAAAATCCTCTTCTCAAGAGAAAAAACCGCAATTCAAATTTGCTCACCAGCAGCTACAAAGCCTTGGCAATTGTATCGAAATACATGTGCTCAGGAGACCCAAGCGTGTTCGTAGCACTGAAACTTGAAAAGCAGCAGTTTGGTGGATTAAGTCACGCGGTGGGCCCATATTAAGAACGTTAAAAGTTACAAGACAAAGTTTTATGTTCATTAACTTTATTAGGTGAGTAAATGAACTTGAACCAAAAGCAGTTGGGCTGCTAAGGCTATATCGGCTCGGTAACCTCTGCGAGAAATTGTTTAACAATGAACACAGTATCCGAAACTATTGCAAGAAAGGGAAGATTGGCAGGCAACGTCCTCAAAACTATTTCTAATGAAAGTCGATCTAAGCTACTTCTTAAGATCCATGATGGCTTGAAGGCCAATGCAGGTTCCATTCGAGCCGCTAACAAACTAGACTTAGAATTGGCGGAGAAGAGTCAATTGGCGGACTCGCTTTATAAGAGATTAGACCTTTTTAAAGGAGATAAATTCGAAACTATGCTAGTGGGTATCAAAGATGTAGCTGAGCTGGAAGATCCAGTTGGAAAGGTGAAGCTGGCCAGACAACTTGACGAAGGACTGAACCTCTATCAAGTAACTGCGCCTGTCGGAGTTCTTTTGGTAATTTTTGAATCAAGGCCAGAAGTCATTGCTAATATCACTTCGTTGGCTATAAAGTCAGGCAACGCAGCCATTTTGAAAGGTGGTAAGGAGTCTGTCAACACGTTTAGAGAAATATCACGTATCATCAACTCTGTTATCACAGAGAATGAGCTCGCTCTGGGTATTCCCTCCGGTGTAATTCAACTGATTGAAACGCGCCAAGATGTGTCTGACTTGTTACAACAAGACCAGTATATTGACCTGGTAGTTCCAAGAGGTTCGAATGCATTGGTAAGGCAAATCAAGTCGAGCACCAAGATCCCAGTTCTAGGCCATGCTGACGGAATTTGCTCAATCTTTTTAGATCACGAGGCATCGTTGAACGTGGCCAAACGCATAACTCTTGATGCTAAAACGTCTTATCCTGCAGGCTGTAATGCAGTGGAAACAATATTGATTCATCCAGAAATGCCTGAATGGTGGGAGGTTTTGAAAAATCTCTCTAAAGCAGGAAACGTCAAACTGCATGTTACAAAAGATGTTAAAGATGCATATCTGTCTAAACTGAATGAAGACAGTCAATCAAGTGGTTATTTTCAGTCCTTCATTGTCGATATTGACGAGTCAAGTGATTTTGACAAGGAGTTTTTGTCTCTAGATTGTGCTGTAAAATTTGTTGAGTCTACCGAAGAAGCTGTTTCACACATCAACGTGCACTCCTCAAAGCATACCGACGCCATTATTACTGAGAACAAGAAGAACGCGGAATTTTTTCTCAAGGGAGTGGACTCTTCCGGTGTCTACTGGAACGCTTCTACACGATTTGCAGATGGTTTTAGATATGGTTTTGGGACTGAAGTTGGAATTTCCACCAGTAAGATACACGCACGTGGCCCTGTGGGCCTGGATGGACTTGTGAGCTACCAGTATCAGCTAAGAGGTAGCGGACAAGTTGCTAGTGATTACGTTGGCTCAGGGGGCAATAAGGCCTTCATTCATAAAAACCTAGACATAACAGGTATTCAGCTATGACGGGGTAAGTTGATGCCGGTGACATTCGATTTAAATAATTACACGATTCTGTTCAACTCTATGTGTCTCGTTCAATCATGGAATGGGTTCGCAGACGCATCTTGTAGTTCGCCATGAACACCTCTTTTCAGAGTTGTATCGTACATTCTTATTACTTTGTCCTGCCCTCCCACTTCACTTTGGGAAAATGCGAAGCCTCGTTGTTTCTTCATTCTCTGAACTTGTCTTACTCTGCGAATAGCCTTTTGGAACTGTTCAATGCGTGGTCTATGATCACCGATGTTATATTTTTGCATTTCTTGAACAACATGGTAGCTTTCCGGGGTGTAAGTCCGCTTGTAGTATTTCCAGACAAAGTCCCTAAGCAGGGCAAAAAAGGGCAATACTATGCACATTAACCAAAATGTGGCCGACCCATAAACATGTGAAACGATCCCGTAATATTCTTTTGAGACGTTGGCATGGGGAAAGATGCTCGCGTATATTGGGAAAAAAACAAGCCAGAACGCCAGAGAACCTGGAATAGCTAATGCAGTGAATTTAGTCCATTGGTTGGTAACCAAGGCGGCTTTGCCAATCACAATTATCACACTGCAGGTGTAAATTGATACACCCCACGTCCAATGATCTGCTGTCTGGCCGTGAGAATTCAAAACGTTACCGGTTCTATAGATGAGAAAAGATCCTAGGAATGTCACAGCTGAATGGTAAAACCCATTGACCACCCAACCCCAAAAGATGGTCACCGAAAAAAATTGACCCTTTTGCCCCAACTTGTAAAGCTGGGGGTATCGGTCTAGTAACCTGCTACTGACAAACTGATCAAAAACACCCATAACGAAAGGGGGAAGAACGGTAAAAAACACGTTGTAGAACGTCATAGTCCAAGACTCCATGATCGATTGTCCGGAGTAGGCATTGGCAAAAACGTACCAGAACTGAGTCATGTACAATGCAATATTCTTGTAGAAAGAGTACAAGATTGCTTGCGAGATTCTTTGGTATGACCACGATCCGTGCACTAGTAGCAGCTTTTTCAGATACTTGAACTGAGCAATGGCAAAGTCTGCTGACCGCGCGGCCTGCATGCCCTCCATTCCGCTGATACCAACACCGACATGGGCTGCCTGAATCATGCTGACATCGTTTGCACCATCGCCAATCGCAAGTAGCAACGAGTTGGTCTTTCTTTTTACCATTTTTACAACAAGCGCTTTTTGGAGAGGAGAAACCCGGCAACATATAACTGCTTTACAGATCTTTCCAAGCGCAAGGAAGTAATCTTCTAGATCGCTTTCAAGAGCGAATCCTAGAGACTTTCCGTCGATTACCAGAGCCAAGCTATTTATATCTTGCTGAGATATTTGGTGGTCGCCAAGGGCCTTCAGTTTTTCCGTCAAGTTTCTCCTAGTGGATTCCTTATTATCCTCGTTCACAATCAACAAGTTCATGTCCTCGCTTAATAGCCGACAACTCATGCCAATATTGATTGCAGTTTCCTGTCTATCACCGGTCAGAACCCATATCTTAATTCCAGCGTCCTGCAATGTATGTATTGCATCTGGAACTCCATCCTGTAGCTTATCTTCGATGGCTGTGGCACCAATTAGAGTCAAATTCTTTTCAATAAGCTCCGCAGTATTCTCCATTTGTTGCGCTCTATCGTCGAGCGTGGTAGAAGCTGCGTTGTATAATGCCTTCCACTTAACATATTCTGTCTCAGTTATAGTTCTCGTTGCAAGACATAGCGTTCTTAGCCCTTCTGCGGCGTAATCTTCCAGATGGCGCATAGTGGATTCAACGTATGGGTTCTTCTCGGGGCTAAGTCTTTCAAGTATGACGGTGTCGGCACCCTTGCAAAACAACTTGATCTTACCGTCCGGCATTCTAAAAATTCCACTCATTCTCTTTCTCGTAGAATTGAACTCGCATATATCCAACAATTCGTAAATTTGTTCTTCGCCAGTGCTTTCTATTATAATTGACACGGAGCTAGGCTTACGAATGATAAATCTGTAACCCAAGATGGCTGCACCCTCAACCAAAGCACCTTCATCAGGTGATGCCGCTTGATATTTAATGGACCCATCCTCCTGGAACTCGGGAATTACGGTGTGGCAGGTTGCGAGTAAAGTTAAAAATTCATTGATGACTTGCGAATCAGCGTCATTGGTATTCTCAAGTTTGACCTTTAATTCATCAAATTTTCTATACCCAACTTCTATACCATCTTCCATTCTCGCATTATTTTCTTCTGGAATAGCTTCAATGTAGCATTTGCCTGCAATGGAGCAAGATTTGAATTCCATAACATTTCTGGTAAGAGTCCCGGTCTTGTCACTGAATATATATTCAATTTGGCCAAGTTCTTCCACCAAAGAAGATGTACGTACCACGGTTGGCGTATCTGTAGATTCGTCGTATAAATCAAGATCTGATCCTATCATGTATGCCTGGTAGTACTTGATCATTTCGACGGTGACGAACAAAGAAATGGGTACCAAATTAGAAAACAAGATCCAATATGTTAGAATATCTTTGAAAAACAATCCGACCTTATTGGTACCTTGCAAGTAGAGATATGACAAATGCTTAGCATCACTGGTAACCTTGATAACGTTACCTATAGAAGATATCAGCGCCAAAACGATTAAAACTCCAAATAGGGCAAGAATTTGCATGTTGATGACTCGCTCGACAGCGGTTCTCTTAATAGGAGTAGCAGTAGCATTGCGCATAAGCTTGGTTTCATGTCCCGTAAATACGACAAGCCCATAAATCCAAGCTGTGTTTCGAAGCGTTGCACCACGCAATACCAGTTGTTCTGGGGTCAAAGGTAAATCTTTACCATTTAGACTTAACGTCCCCTCGAAGGTGTATAGACTAGAATTTGGTTGTTCCGAGAGAAGCTTTCCCTTTAATCTAGAGAGATGTTCAGTGTCAAGGATTTTTGATGTCTCTACCTTGGCTTGTTTGATTTTAAGATTAGTTTCACCATCTAAATTTGCGGTTTCAATGTAACAAAGCCCTTCGGGCTCCGAAGACGATAGGACTATTATATCAGCAGGAATGGGCTCTTCTGAGTTTACTTTTATGATGTCCCCAACAGAAATATTGACCCATTTGTTGGTGACAAACTGCTTGTGCCTTTCAGAAAAGACCTCTGCCCTCGAGTCGTTCAATTCTCTATCAGATTTCGCTCTCTTCAAATCTTCAACACTTTCTTTAACAGCGGACACAATCAAAACAATCAATAGCGTTCCAATGGTGGTATAGCGGTTAGTTGGTGTGACGTTGGGAACTTGCTGAATAGCCGATGTGAATAGAAAAAATAAGTTAGCATATTTCGAAAATTCTTGGAAGAGAAATTTTGGTAGAAACGTAGCCATATTGTATTTTGTGGTGGAAATATGATTATCACCAAAGCCTTGGGCCGCGGTGCTTTCGTGATCATTGATGAAAATTACGCGAGGGGCGCTTGTGTCACCTTCTTGATCACCACGTCGACGAAGGATATAGCGATTGAAGAGAATTTTTATATCAAACTTGTTTCTCGACCTTGCATATCTATCGTCGTGGCCTGAATCGTCGTAGCTGTGCATTTCAAACCCTTGGTAGGCATTGCTCGCACCCTTACTCTTGAACCCCAGTCCGCTTTTTATATTTTGAACAGCCCTTTTGAAACCATTGGGTTGAGATGGTTGTGCGTGCAGTTGCTGGCTAAGTTCGTAGGTGTGTTCTTCGTTCAAGAATGGGTTCTCCACCACGTCGTTTTCGATGTCGTCTTCCCGCTCCATTCTTGTAAGCGGTTTATCCCAATCCATAGTCTCTTGCCGTACCACCCCATGTCTTAAATCAGCCAGCAAATCAAACTCGGGGTCCACAACTTGCCTATCGACAAAGGGATTGTTGGATTGACCAGCGTTGTTGAGCGGAAACTCATCATCCATGAAATCAATGTCAAACAGCGTATCCTCTGTTGATTTTCGACGATTGCCTGACATTTCAGTATTTCACCAATGTGAGTGTCCTGATAACTATAAGGTGATTTAGAGTTAACGCTATTGAAGGTTTTTGGATACACCAGCCCACCAACCTTCAAAGGTATTATAATTATAATTTTGGAATTTCATATATGAAGATGAGTACTTCAATTGAATGAAATCAGGAAGTACTCACTATAGAGGTCCAGTGTCACATAACATGAGTGTCACATAACATGATAATGAAATTCGTAAAACCTCAAGAAGAGCATTTAGTATAATCGTTGATTATTAGTTGTACTATTTTCGTGACCCTCTGAAGCTACTTGTTGGTTTGGTTTCGATAAAAGAAGGAAAGTTGTTCCATACTCTTATATTTGAGGTCAAGTTGCAACGCATTAGAGTACGAAAAGTTCGGGTCTTTGGCAGATGAAGATTTATACAAGCAATGATTGCGTTGCTTTCTCATGGCTACCTGTGAACGTGTTAATTTCTTGACAATTGTCGTTATTTTTTCAGCAGTCTGCCGCGTGTAGCGCCAAGTTTTCGTTCGGTGCCTAATCTTGGTTCTCTTGCCGAGGAAGCTGCCTTTTCGTCAAATCAAGTTGCAACATCTGTTTTCCAACATTCCACCCATTCGCCTTTGGCCTAATGAAAGTCCTTGTGGAGTCTATATATACATCTGGTTTCAGCGCTAAACAGATATTAATTATGCTATTGATGCGTAGATCCGAGGCGTCAGTGTGCCAATTCACGCTGTACTGGATTCGTTTCTTCCTCGTATTCGATTTCGACTCTGGGACGCTTCTTTCTAGCGGCAGTAGTTTTTCTCTTGCGCTTTTGATCCTTAGTGTCGTCGTCTTCGTCTGAATCGTCACTGCTGTCTTCTTCCGAGTCGTCATCTCCACTGTCCTCATCATGGGAAGCATTAGGATCATCGAGCCATCTTTCTAAGTCTTCAACGTCCATCAACTCTTCGTCATCACCATCGTCCTCAACATATTCGATCTCTGCATCACTTTCCTCATCTTCTTCTTCTTCCAGGTCTTCATCTTCTTGGTCGTCTTCAACATGGCCAAGAACCTTCTTCCAAATCTTTTCGTCTACATTCAAAGGTTTGTCCCCATATGCCCCACTCTTTAGCCTCTCCAGTAACTCCTTTTCGATAGCCTTTTCAATTTTAGCAGCGGCCAGGGCCTTCCGTTCACGATTTTCTTCTCTTCTTTTTACCTTTGGAGCTACCCCCACATAATGTCTTTCCTCCTCTCTCAATTCCATACGTCTTTCAGTAACCGCCACTTGGGTCAACCGTGTCAACCTCTGTTTACATTTATGAATTAGAAATTTGTTCCAATAGAGTAGATGATCGTCGACCTGCTTAAGGGCGTTGGCGTAATTCTTTGAGAGCCTTATCCTTTCCCACATTTTTGCTGGCGTGTGAGCTCTCTCTGCAGTCTTCATGTATAAATACAGTCTGCCATCTACATTCTTAACGGTGGCATACTTCGCGTTAGCCAGCGGACAAGACTGCCGGTTGCACAGCCCTGTGACGTTGTATTCGTTTCTGCAAAAATTCTGACCTTTGTCAGTCTTCAGCTTGTAAGCACAAAAATGCTGATTGATAGTTTGCCAAATAACTTCATCCGACATCTCTTATAAAACACAACAACGAGAGACTAATGAGGATTTCCTTTTGTTCTTGGACTATCTCAGTTTTAGTCGCTCAAATAATGTTAAGTGAGCTCATCTCATCGGATCGCTGCTTTTTAACAAAAATTTTTCAAATTTATGGACGACAGTGAAAAACAAAATGATAAAGTAGAACGATGCGATGAGATGAGATGATGCAAATGTGGAAAACGCGATATTTTATCAGCTGTGAGTCAAGCGGCCAGAATATATTGAGCATTTGAAGTATATTTCAAAACGAGCATATTATGGCTACCAAAACTCTAGGCGACTAACTTCTGATGGCCTCAAGTCGCATATGTGGTGATTAAAGCAAATTTTGCGTAACATGTGCTATTTCATCTTGTGAAAGACAACTTATGTAAACGCATTTGCTTAACAATTCCTCCTCTATCTTGAAGTCATAAAATTTCGACCACTGAGCGCGTTGTATGAAATTTTTGACTATTTGAACGTTTGTTTGGAACTTACTGTAATTCAGCACTTGATCCTGTGATATCCAATTGTTCTTCTCGGAGTTAAGTGTCAAGTCAGAAAGGTACACGACAATGAATGGAACGCAGCCCTTTATAGGATCAATATCATTTAGAAGCATCCGAATGTGATGATAGTTTTTCTCCAAAGACGGAATTTTTTTGAGAGACTCCCAAATTAAAACGTCTCCAGGCTTAATGAGCCTCCATGCGTCTCTAAAACTTTGTACAACTAGGGAGCTCAGGGCGAGTACAATTTGCATCAGAGTATTGTAATTTTGATACTTTTTGCAGTGATCAGCAACGTGAATGAACCTTTGAATAGTATTTCTCCGGAGCCTATTATCGGTAGTCAGGACAATCTCAGAAACAATCCAATCCACCGTTAAGTTAAATCTAGCGATAGCCAAATCAATCCCAGATAGCTCGACATTTTTCAACAACAACTGAAGCCAACTTGTGACAGTTGGACTTTTACGACTCATTTTAAGATCAAGCAAATCTTTCCAATCGATTTCCTTCAAAATTTCCCTCTCTATAAGTGTCAGTTGTTCGGCTATTGATTTGGAGTCGTACATCAAAATGAAAGGGATATGTTGGTCGGCATTTGAGACAAGCAGTCTATTGTCCTGTAACCGGTATTTTTGTAATAATTCTGTAACTTTTACCTCGGTAGCTCTTGAGTCTGCATCGACAGTAACGACATTTGAATGAGCTGGCAGTTCGCTCTTAACCTGTCGCCGCCTTGTGATTAAGAAAGAGTTTCGTTGTTTTGTTGTCAAATCGGATAGCCTCCTGCGACATAATTCTTCTATTTGAACATTTTCTTCTTCTGCTTTGGGTTGTTGACGGTGGAACGTTCCCTCAAGCTTCATTAAGGCCACATTAATGGGATCTCCGTGAAGTGATTCGTCTGTGATCGCGGCGAACTTGTTCATGCGGCTATCCTCACCTTTGTAAGGTGAAACTATCGGTGTTACAGTGCGCCTATGGTGCTCGTTTTCGTGTTTTTCTTGATAAAGTTCGTCTAAATGTTGTTCCTCAAATTGTTCATCAGCTTCGTTGGTTTTCAGCTCGCCATCAGATTGCGTTTGGCTACCCCTAAAGCCGATAAACTTGTTTCTAAGATTATTAACGTTCTTTTCTGGCGAGGCATAGTCCACACTCTCTGAGTCAGGTGAGAAAAGATACTTGTTGGTATCCGGGCCAGCACCATCAGGAGCCGATAGAGATGAATTGTTGATTTGAACGAAATCAAGGCAGCCAGAAGTTCGGCTGACTTTGCCATCTTGTTTATCAAACGTTCCCGCGCTCTGTAAAGACGTAATTGATTCACCGCTAACAATGGAGCGGATGCTCGGAACTGATGACAAGCGAATAACTTTACTTTCAAAAGTTAAGGGTTCCCCGACTTGATTGTCCTTTGCGAGTGTTGTGCGCGGACTTGAGTCCTTAGGTAAGAATAACTTTTCGGTAGGTACCGATGAAACCAACGAAGAGGTAGACTCTCTAAGCTCATTTTGCTCTTCGCTTGCAGTTGCTAGTCGACCAGTCTCTACTTGTAAATTACGGACCTTTTCTTCGTTAAGCAGTAAAACATTTTCTAGCTTTGAATAGGCATCACACTTGACCGTGAAGTTGTGTTGATCGGTTGATGGTGATCTACCATGGCTCCGATTGCTATGCCCCATGATACTAATACGACCACTGCTATTGGTAACGGACCTTTGGCCCATGGAAGATGCAGGAGTAAAGTGCTTGGATTCCTCACGTATGCTGATTTCATCATTGGAGGTGAAAAAGCTAGAAGTATCCTCATCTAAATCACTGCCATCACCCAAATCGTGCGGTCCATTTGAAGCTTGAATGGCATCTTCTCCAGACTGGGGTTCAATTGGACTGGAGAAGATTTCTTTTCTTTCGATGCCCGATTCAGTACTTTCTTCAAAATTGAACTCTCGTAAATTTTGCACGCCCTCCTTCCTCTTGACGATTGGAAAGTCGTCAATAGCAGCAATCTCATGATTGCTATTATCTAAGGTTGGGAATTGATTTTGTTGGGAGAAGGTGTCATCAACCTCAGCAATGCTAGATGATATCCGCATGGGCCGAGATGGTGATATTCGTCTTTCGCTAGAGAAATTGGGGACCATTTGAGCATCAGATATACCTAACCCTGTTATGTTTCGATTGTCTGTGCCAATTTGTGAGCTGGGTTCATTTCTTATCATGGGCCCGTCTCTTCTTGTCTCGTGAAAAACCAGTTTCCGGGGCCGATCTTCGATGTCCACGGGTGACTTTGTATTTGATCGCAGAGGTCCTCCCAAAACTCTCGGGGCAGATTTATCATTTCTGAAGAAACAATCAGTACTGTTCACCAATCGCCTTTCTCTAGCCGCAAAAGACGGTGAAGTGAGCTGATGTTGTTGTGAAGTTTTTGACAGTGAGACAACGGATGAAGCAATGTGACTAACTGTTTTATAAAGATTCAAGTTATCCATAACACTCACACCTTCGACGCTACTCGGCGACCGACTAAAAGGGACTTGCTCTTGAAATGGGGGCCCACCATCGTGCTTACAGACCTTCGAAAGCAGCTCATTTTCGACAGTAATGAAGAATTCTACCTCATCAATGGTCCTCGCACTTAGAATATCAAATTTGGCAGAATCACTGACTACAGGCTTACTCTGTTCTTCTTCCCTGTTTTCGAGAGAGGTTATAGAAAATACTAGCTTGATGAAATTCTCAATTTCAAGGCTAGGTGATTGTTCTTTTAATTTCAAGTTTGCTGACCGAATATTGTGATTTCGCCTCCACTTGGAAAGAAGCCCCATCATCCCGGGAGCTGGGTTGCTGTGTTTGGCAGTGATATTATCTTTTTTTGGGCCCTGTGACGGAAGAAATGAAGACCTAAGAATAAACTCAACATCTTTGGCCGGTGTGGGCGGTATAACTTTGTCCACAGAAGGGGTTGGGGGAACATGCAGATCTTTGATTACGTTCGACACGCTAGTGCTATTGGGTACAACGAGGCCAGTATTCCCGGGTTTTTGATTACCGTCTTCGCCTGAGGCCCTCACTTTTGCTGACAGCAAGTTGTCCTGAGGAAATAGAAACATGCTGGCCGTCCGATCTTTGGTTTTAAAGCCCACCTTAGCATTCATGTTGGTATTTGACTCTGGAAGTTGGAACTTATCTTGGCCAGTGTATAACGACAAAACGCTGCGGTTTCGGAACTCTGGATTTTGTGAGCTCTGTAGAGCGTAGAGGCTAAGTCTTTTGCCGTTATTACCTGCGAAGGTTTCTGACTCAATATTTTGAATTTTAAAATCGAGCCATTCTTCAGCACTTTGTGGGCAATGGCTTTCGGCTACATCTTCCCACATAAGCTTCAGGCAAAACACCCATGATTTTTTTATGTTGACCACAATACCATGAATGAGTTTTGGAGTATTGAGTGATTCATCCCAGCGCAGTGCATTAACTGCTCGAACAAATTGTCGTCTTAAAGGCGCATTTGCCAAAAAATCCTGGGCGAAGTAATTGAGGAGCCAGTGTCTGAGTAGCACAAACGTTCGTACTGACGCCACCTTGCCAATCTTCTGTCGGTCACCATCTGTGCACATGCATTCATTGAAAGCCCACTTAAGTCTGCTCTCTAAGAGCTTTAGTAGGCCCTCCGGAGCTATGAATTTTCTATAGGACAGAAAAAAATCAGACAAAAACGGATAGTCTATAGAATCCACCGGAGATGTTAGCTTAACGATCAGTGCATGCAAGTCTGTGCGGATTATCAGATTATTATTATTTCTTCGTGAATAGCTGATCTTGGATTCACTCGGCATTGGGTAATATTCTGCTTGGCTGAATACATTCATGCTATCTCCTCTTTTATTGGGGCTGGCATGTTGATCCATGTTCAGGATACTAGTTAAAATGGCTGTCGGGCTTTCCTCTCTCTTTCCTCTCTCTCTCTCTATATCTCTCTCTCTCTCTCTCTATATCTCTCTCTCTCTCCCTCGCGCTAAACGCGTATGTATTAAGCAATGTTTGTTTCTTGATCTCGAGCATACTACAACTGTTTACCGCTATACCTTTATCTCTTTACACGTTTAAGCAAGCATCTCGTGCCATAAGTTTAGAACTCAGTGAAGTTCTTCAAATAAGCATCATTCTTCAAAACAATATGGAGCTCCAGGCCATGGTTCAAATTAATTTCGAGTTCTAGTTTTGGTAGATGTGTTTTTCGGATTCAACGCTCAATCGCGGCGCAGTAGGTCTAGTTGTGCCCAGAAAAGGTAGCATGAGCGTTCACTGCGATGAAGAGCAAGTATTCACTGATCATGAGACCTTCTCTGGCATGATTTTACAATCGAGGAATAAATTGTTACCTGTAGATTTGTTCTCGAAGAAGTAAGAAGTGACTTTTCTACGCAGTCCATCAGCCCTTTAAAATTATTGAACTAGACGTAAATGTAGATCAGTAGTAGGCCTCAAAATAATGGACCAGGTATTACGAGAGCACTTCTGCCCCCGGTTTTCTATGCAGACTTCGTCTAAAATGGCAACGGATATGTAATAACCTTTAACCGGAGCCATTTTCTATCAAGTTGACGAGATCAAAGATTGGAAAGAAACCCAACAGCTATCAGTCTGAGCAGCGAAAAAAAAAATGCAGTAACTCATTCATATTATTGCCCAGTTGTGTTTTTTTTTGCTGGTATGAGTACACTCTCGGAGTAACTCTAGTGTTTCAGTCACATAATACCAGGAGCTAATTTGGCCCTCTTAGTTCCACGGCTTAGTTTCTTCCGCTTGAGTTGCTCGCGCAATGACAGATAGTGGCTACAAGAGTCCCAGCTCTACCAGATCCTCGGAACCCGCTCGCAAAGCTAGAAAGACCAGAGTCAGACTATCGTTGGTGTGTCGAAATTGCCGCAGACGCAAAATCAAGTGCGATAGAGTACAGCCTACGTGTGGGACCTGTGCAAAGTTACATGCAGAATGCGTCTACGATTACGCGGATCAATTGGAAAAGAGATATTCAGTCGGCAAGGCATATTCACTGGGTGAACGCTTGGATGAACTCGAGCATAAGTTTAAAGACCTACGTCAGGGTTTGAAAAGTGAGCAGCTCGGGAACAGAGGCTGGCGTAATGATCTTTACAAGCAGCCGGTTAAAGTGAACTTTTTTGATGGTTTACAGCCCAATTCGCTGACAAGCATTTTCAAGTGCGACCACAAACCATTCTCCGACATGGGTATGATCCAGAAGCACAAGAGATTGAATCATTTTTTGAAGTTTGTGACGAAATCTTATAAACCGTTGAACTACGTGGTTGGGAAGATTGTCCAGTCGGTTGGAGATGACATCGATCCGCACTCCGACGAACTAGATTCTGTTGTTCAGGTCTTGTTTCTTGCTCCAGAAATTCGCGAAATACTCAGAAAGAACACCATGAATTCACAGGATCTCTCGCCGGAGGCTGTGGATGCAATTCGGCGCTGTCTCTTAGGCAAAGGCGATGGGGTTAGCAAAAAAGCTTTGTTCGAGCCAATTGACTTGGAATTTCACTCTTCAAAAACCACCCCACAAGAGTTGATTGATGAGATAATCAATATTTTACCTTCGAAGAAGAACATTGATCGTCTACTTTCGTATTACATGGAGAATGTCTATCCCTTAGTGCCTTACATTGATAAGACTCGAGTACTGAGCACTGTTCTACAAAGCATTCAATATTCGCCTTCTGGTGTGGTAGTTGGATTGAACATTGGTGATCATCAAGATTTTGCTCGCAAAACCGGCTGTCTCGCAATTCTTCTGGTCCTCATGCGGATTTCATACACCGCCATGATGCTAGTGAATATAAGCTTTGAAGTTGAGATTTCAAATCACTTTATTAGAATTGCCCAAAAGTGCTTGGCGCATTTGATAACTCTCTCGCACAAAACCAATGAGGATATCTTATCATGCCTTATTCTCATGAGATGGGCTTTGTTATATTTTCCAACCGAGGGAGATGTGATGGCAGGCTCGATAAGAGATATGCTAATGACATTGATTATAAAACATGCATTCAAGATCGGTTTATATCGAGATTGTATAGAGGCCGATCATCATCAGGGAACTGACGAGAGAACCAGATATTTTCTCCACTTCAGAGCAAAGCTTTGGATGGGCACGCTTATTCTACTACGATCCGATATGTATTTACGGGGAAATTTCTTATTCCTTGGTGTGGATTATGCACATATGGCTCCCAAGGAAGAAGACATCGAGAAATACTATGAGGACGATACGGAAATTGAGATTCATAAGGTGCTCCACAAGCAATTGCATATTTTTGGCAAGATGAGCGTGCTTGACAGGCTGTCCCTTCAGTTGAGGGAGGGAAGTGACATTGATGATATATATCCGAAGATTCGATGGCTGGAGTATGAGCTTCAGTCATGTTGCCCACTTTCTGAGGTGAATGGCCTGGTTGGCGCACATGCTGATCGAAAGGTGCTTCAAGGCATGCGTAATGCATTGTATTTCAAAGTGAATGTCATAGCAAGAATCTATTTTCTGGCAATACGGGCATCTGTCGTCTGTAACATAGAAGATCAGATAAGGCTGTCAATAGGGAAATCGGAATGGTTGAGTCTGACATTCAGGAAAGTCACAGAGGAGTGTTTCGAAAGTGCACTTGAATTAGGCGACATATTGCAAACATATATGAGAACAGCTGGTGACAGTAACGAGGGCCGAGTGCTACCCGACCATCGTTATATTATTAATCAACTAGTCCAAAATGGTGTATTCCGAGTTGCTTATTACCTTATCGGGGTGATCCTCACTGTCCTTCGTGTCAAAGAAGAGCTTAAGGGATTCCGATGGCAAACCAAGAATAGGCCCAGTCTTGAAGGGCAGATCGATTACAAAGTCTCTATCATTGACTCTATTTCGTATTCTATTTTCCAATATGTTCAAAAAATGGTCAACCTGGGATCTAACACGCTTTCCAACACGTATTTCACCTCGTTCAAACAGTTTCTCTTCCTCGAATATGCCATGCAGATTATCCGGAATGAAATCAACCCAGGTGTTTCCAGTCGCCTCAATGAAATGATGGATGTGACCGACATCCCCGCTTGTATAGACTATTCCACTGCAGACTGGGAGAAATTTTCTGGTTTCGTGAGCGCGGCTCTCGGCGCTCATGAATCTCAGGGATTTTTCCCTACCACGGGTGACTTTTCAGTCACGAATATGCTGCAGGTCCCGGAAAACCCATTGGACCAGTCCTTAAATCCAATCTTATTGTTTGATGACGACTCAACTATACAGAATATGCTCGATGGAGACTACACATGGACAGACTTTATATAAAGGATCCGCTTACAATTAGACGGATACAGGCGTTTTTCGATCGAGAGGAGGGATCCAAAGATAAACCTCCATGGTATTATCTTCAAGTAAAATTATATATACTTCTCGTGAATGTGACTTGACCCTGAGCGATCTGCAATTGGATCATTATCTACGTTTAATTTCAAGTTCGCAGGAGCTTGAACAATCTGAACTTGATGACCATAACTCATCAGACAGTTGAGATCCTATCTTGGTTTATAAAGGGCCAAAAAGTGCAAGCGACCAGGTCTGGGCATTTATTCAACTGTTGATCCACCAGCAGCTGTAGGTTCTGCAATTTTCGGCTGAAACAGAGATTTGTGAGTCAATGACTTTTTTGAAGAAGAGCCATTTGAGCGATAAGAAATCGACATCCACCTCGTCCAAGGATGTCACGGAAGGTAATGTGAGAAATGAAGGTCTCGTAGAACTTTTAATAGATGTCGAGTCCCCGCCATGTGTACTGTACGGTCCCCCTATGGAATCCACAGGTACGCTACTGAGTGGACTCCTTAAATTGAGAGTTCGACATCCAGATGATGTGATTGCAAACAGCGAACCACTGACACCAGTTAGCTCGCATGGGCATAAGAAAAAGAGTGTGCATAGTTTGAACAGTCTCTCCCAAACTCTTTCGAGTCTGTCTATCAAGAACTCATCAGCGAGCCCATCAGCATCGCCCAAGCTCCCAAGGACACCGCCATCTTTTAAATATTCAGAAATCGCAGTCCAAGGTGTCTCGTTGTCACTAATACAGAGAGTCCAGTATGCTAAGCCATTTGTTGCAGAACTATCTGCGGTTCAGTCGTGCAAGGATTGCTGCTCCAAAGTTACAGAGCTCGCAAGATGGGACGTTGTTGTCAAGGAAACTAAAATTCCAATCGGCGATCATGTTTACCCGTTTTCCCATTTAATCCCGGGATCAGTACCGGTTACTGTATCTCTGGGCTCTGACTCTAAAACAGAAGTAAAATACGAACTAGTTGCCGAAGCTACCTACAAGCCAGTGATTGGCAAGGACAACAATGTAAATTCTAAGAATAGAGCAATTTTGAGGCTCCCAGTGCCTATAACAAGAAGTATACTGCGGGGTCCGGACAGAAACTCCATGAGAATTTTTCCACCAACAGATTTGGTTGTCACAGCTGTTCTCCCCAATATCATCTATCCCAAATCAACTTTCCCATTAGAGCTGAAGCTGGATGGTATCTCCTCCGAGGGAAGAAGATGGAGAATGCGTCGCCTAAATTGGAAACTCGAGGAGAGGGGACGTGTGCGACTCAATACTTGCAATGTCCACAAGTCGAAACTTAAGTCATTGGAGAAGGACGTTGCTGCCTCTCAGACTCGCAAGAATTCCGCGAAAGGCAAGCCTTCAAAGAGGACACATGACGCAGCTCCTCAAGTAACAACCTCGGTATGCACGCTTGAAGAAGCTTTTTCGATTACTCGCGCACCTGAGGATGCTAATGTCCCACAGAATGCGGCTACAAATGAAGAGGAGAGTACCAATGATGCAAACAGTTTGGTTCACCCTAGTGACGATGCTATGCGTCAAGAAATCCTTGCTGAGCAAGAGCGAATGCGCAATGAAATAGTACAACAAGACCTATCTCAAGAAACTGCCCTTTTCACTGAAGAGGTGCGCACTATAGCTCATGGAGAGGTCAAAAGCGGCTGGAAGAGTGACTTTAGTGGTCAAGGCAAGGTTGAGATGGTGACAGAGCTTAATTGTATGGGCCTCAACTCTGGGGTTAGTAACCCTGTAACAAGAGGTTCCAGTCTTCATTCGATGGCCGATCATTCTAAGCAACCTGTAACTGTTGCATGTGATGTTGAAGACTCGCATCTGGGCATTTATGTCCAACATCTCCTTATACTGGAAGTTATTGTTGCTGAAGAGATGCTGCAATATGCTAATGGACAACCTTTACATCCTGGTCATGGTACGGGATCTAACTCTAGTGGACTTACGCCCACTGCTAGCTCTGATCAAAGATTAGCAGAGGTTTCTCCTATTCTTGCTGCACGCAATACACAGTCGATTCCCACAGATTCACAAAATGACGACAACCTAACGCCTGTCGTATCCCAAGGCAACAGTAAGGTTTCTGCTGCTCAGCGTATAGTCGGGTTACCTACTGGTGCCGCTCGAGTCCTGAGGATGCAGTTTAGGCAGGTCATTACAGAAAGGTCTGGACTCGGCATTTCATGGGATGATGAAGTTCCACCCACGTACCAAGATATTCGGTTATTATCACCTCCCAGCTACTCCAAAGCAATGAGTAAAAAGGACACTTCTCTAACTCAGGCAGCCAAAACTGATAATCTGGACGACCTTGAAGATCGAATCGATCGGGTTGACCTTCAAATGCCTCTACCTCCCCCACAAGCTCACTCGCACGGTGACTCCGATCAGCATTTAACGCCTGCCCAATCGCCTCTTCTGAACCATATTGTTAGCATACAAGGAAACGCTGGGCCATCTCACGTTCTTACCCCCATGAACACACAAGAGATTCGCATGCCGGCTTTATCAGAATTACTGGACACCGATAGGATAACTCAGTAGATAGGTTACTTTTCGGTCAATAAAGACAGGTACTGTCTCGACAGACAACTACTTATTTGTCATCCGGCATATTTACGTCTCTAGATTAGTAGAAATGATATAAACTGTAGCCAAAAGTGTGAGTCCGTAGCTCACCTGTACGCCTTTCTCTTAGGCAATTGTCCACGTCTTTAACCAATTCAAGTAAGCGTAGTTACTGGAAGGGCCTTCCATACCAAAGGAGATGGGAGCAAAATAGTAAAACCCATAAATGACTACCGAGGAGTAGACAACGTAAATTGTTGCCCTAGTAATCCTTCCTGTCTTTGTTTTGCTCAGACCCTGTAGACCAGCTTCGAAGAGATAGGATAAGATCAACAATGCGAAGTAAAGAGCAGGAAGATAGTGATGGACATACGTCACTCTGCTCATTATGACAAAAGGCACATAGTGCAAACCCCAGCCTAGGAGAGGGTAGAAACCCCCCATCATGAAAAGGTTGAAGTCATGAGCACTTGATAAATCGGAGTATTGTCTTTGCCACCTGAGAACCAACACTACCACTGACAACATGAATGCCAAAACAGCTGCGGTTGACAGCCAAGTAGATGCAGGAGAACCCATCAAGAAGTACTTAAAAGTATCATCACCCCAACCACATAATCTGATCCCGACATTCAAAGTGGGCCATTGCCAGGCAGAAGATGCCAAGTTGTCTAATTTGTCAGGATCGGGAATCAGAGCATTGTTCGTAGCCATCATTGCTAGATTTAAATGAATGAAGTTTTTCATAAAACCTAACGTTGGATATTGAAAATCAGTTGGCCTTTCTGGTAATTTATCGTTGGTGTGTGTCTCGACGTTCCACCAAGTTCTTTTGTCTCTCTTAAAAGGATTTTTCAAACAGGCCACCTCACTTTGTCTGAACCCCCATTCGGGCAAGTTATTACCTGTCTGGGCCAAGTAACACCCGAGCTCAGCGTTCTTGATACGGAAAGAGGTCGTCAAAGGATGCATACGGGATGCATTTTCTGATCCATGCTGCACGACAGCTTCCAAAATCCAATGATCTTTAGGATCTCCAATAGTTGCTGTACCATAACCAGAAACTTCCCATGCTGCTTTCGACAAAGGTGCGGGGATAGGGTGTGTGTGCAAGTTTTTACCCGTATTTGGGTGAACAATTCTGTATGCAGCGCCCGCCTCTAGAAACTCGATGTCTTTTTCATCGTCAGTCCAAGCAGGTAAAGGTCTAATTCTGTCAAAAATCCAGTGATTGTTGCTGTCCTTATGGCCGTAGCAGGTAACTTGCTGTTGATTAGAGCCTTCCGGGTAGCCCTGAACATGAGAGTGCAGCAATGCACCTCCCAGGGCCTGGTTTTTAATGCTAACGATCGATGATCCCAAAGCAACGTCACGGGGTCCTTCGCCGACATCACTTCCAATCAAACCCGCCTGAAATAGTGATGGCATATTGGCATCACCAGTTCCACTATGGGATAAAAGATCAAAGTGAACTTTGAAGCAAGCCAAAAACACTAAGAATGGAACGATAATTAAGCACAAAATTCTGGAGAGCCAATGGTAGACGTAATTGGCTTTGGAAAGCTGTTTGTCACCGAGCATATTCCATAAGTCAATAACAGTGTAGATACCCACCAAGGTAATGACCAGCAAACCCACCATCTTGACCGATATAGTACATCCGAGTGAGAGGCCAGTAAATAATAACCACTTCCACCATTTTCTAGAAAATGGGACTTTTCTGTTGTTGTGAAACATAACAAAACAATAGATGGAACCAACTGTGAAAAAGAGCAGCATGGAATCTAACAGAATAAATCTACCAAGAGTCGCGTAAGAGTTTTCAAATATCACCAGAATAGTAAACAGCCAAACGGTTGGCAGCGAAAACCCAATGGCCTTCGCGGTAAAATAAGCAACTGGAACACACAGGGCGGAGAAAGTTGCATTGAAGATTCTCATCTTGACATAATCCAAGTACTCTGGATACTCTTCACCCGATGGAAAATCCCACGACCCATTATAATTGGCCAAAAACCCAGATAGGCCAACCAACATCTTACCAAGCGGGGGGTGCACGTCATGGTAGAACTCGTGCCTCAAGTAATAAGACCCAAATTTACCAAAGTGTGCCTCGTCCCATACCACATGGTTGTTCACGCCAATCTTGTACATCCTGGTGAAGAAGGCTAGAGCCGTAAACACAATTGGCATCAACAGGCGTTCTAATTTATTTAATGGGCTTTCCTCTGTCTGAACTTTTTCCCACTTTGACACGTCCTCCAACTCTTTCTCCGCAACTGTAAAGATCGCGTCGGTGGAGCCAATTCGCCGTTTCAAGGCTGCATCCTCCTGGTTCTCTTGAAACCCAGAAGCAGACATATTGGGCTAACGAGTTTGGCACAATAGGTAGGCGTTATGCTCTCAATACCCTTCGTGACCTTGAATTTGATTCCTGAGTAGTTTCTTTAAAGAACACGCTAGGCATAACAGCGAATTCGAAAATTTTGTTCCTCACGTGATTTATGACTGTGTATAAAATAGTGATTATCTTAAACCTAAACGGTCACTTTCATTCTGGCACAATGCAAGAGTGTACAGGCCTCATGCAGCTGCGAAAGATCACTTTAGTCTAGGATCAGTGGCGTTGAGTCTAGCTCTCATTAAATTAATGAAAAGTCGTTTACTACAGTGAGTCGTGACAAATTCAGACACGAAATAAACATTGACAGTAAACACGCGCTATATACACTGCTTTATCTTAAATAATTGCACAAGTTGACCAGGACACTTGGAGGAAAGAGCACAAAAACCCATGATTTTCGACTGCATTCGATGCCCTTGTAGTTATTGGCAAGTGATTTGAGCACTTGCTGTCACATACTCTCTTATGGACGCCCCATTTCAATTGTGCTTACGATATACACAAACACGTAGCTTACTAGACTGCCGCAAGCCAGCCCTGAAGACAGAAAGATGTTCGTGAAACCGCCTGCGGCTTTGCGTTCTTTGTCTGAGCTAAGCTGGGGACTCACCTTCATGAAGCTTATTGAAAGGACATTGCCATTGGTCACCCCAAACAAAAATTGCAGCAAAATGTAGCCAAAATCGGACAGAACCGACCCGGAGGGCTTTCTGCTATCGTTCAAATTAAAACAGAAAAATAAAGGGACAAGTCCGGCCCTAGCAATAGAATACAAGAACGTCTTAAACGGCGTAAAGTTTGCGGATTGAAAAACAGGGTAGTCTGAAATTGCTCTCCCATAAAGGTCTCCCAGATTCCATACTGTGAAGATAAATGGGATGTATTGGGCATTGTGCATTGGTAGTCCCATTACGAACGTGTTGGCAGCAAAAACCGGGAACAGGAGCGTAACGATAAAGGTAGTGAAAATGGACAAAACCAAATACTTTAGCTTTTGGAACAGTACTGCAAACGATACGGTGTTATCCTCGATGTCGTCAGTTTGTTCGTTTAGCAGCAGTTCCCGCTTGTCTGCGCTTCCGATACCACTGATACGATATAGGACAATGCAACTGGCAGAGACAGCAATCGTGGTGCAAAAATACGCGAAAATGCCACCAACGCTTTGATTGCGAGGGTCCCCAATGAAGGAAACTCCGAAGAGTACGAGAGATGGCAGTACACCAGCTACAGCCTGGCCCATCATCACACTTTGACTGAACTGAGGCCCAAAGACGTTGGCCAGAGCCATGGCACCATTTTGGGTCATGGCTGTTCCGCAAGAACTAATTAACACCATTGTCATCAAAAACAAAAAGTTTAGCCAGTCAGGGAAGACCTTACGGACTAAAACAAAAACGGCAAGTAATCCAAACACGACCACTTCCCAAATAAGCCCTCTGACAACTCTTTCCGCATAGCTGTGCTGTCTCTTCGAGAGCCAAAGGTTGAACATAACAGATGATGTAGTAGATATAGTCATCATGGTGCTTATATATGTCCTGGCATAAATAGTGTCATCATGAAAAACATCATGCTGGAAGTAGAGTGAAGCACTCAAAAAACTGTTCCATGGCCACAGCAATGCCACCCCAATCAACATGAAAGTTACATAACTCAGATCTTTCAATTTTTCCAATAATGGCGCATTCTCAAGGTATATTTCTTCACCATGGTGTCGATCATATTCTTCAGAGAGGTTTTGACGATCGACAGAGGCCATACTCCACCTTCAAACCTCTTCAGTATAGCTCTTAAGCCGAAGCGAGTCGACCAGCTATCTTTATGGCCTACCAAAAATATTGAAATAATAGAGATCGTTAATAGTGCCAGCTTTAAATGCCAACCGAAACGAGTATTGAACGTTTTATAGCCTAAATATTGTCTATGATATGGTACAGTGGAGTGATTTCGTGAATTAAACGTGAGAAGCTTTTGAAAGAAGTGTGGTTTTACGCCTTTCTGCTCCCTCCAACCCCCTTGGTGAACTCGAACCGAGTAACAAGCGGAATATGGTCGCTAGGAAACTTGTCATTGGGAAACCCGATAAACTTTGAAGTATATTCCTGGTCTATTTCGCCAAGAACACCACGTACACGCAGAGCTTGCGGGGAATACCATATGTAGTCGATGACGCTGGTGAAAAGTGGTGAAAGGTTAGTAAAAGGAAGCTCGCCAATTACCTCATAACTTGATTTCAAGGGAATGTTATGAGCGAAGTTCTTTTGAGACATGAAGCCAAAGTCTCGGCCCTCAATATCCTGATGGTCGCGCACGGCACCAGTACGTAGCAAGTCGTAAACAGCAGAGTCAAGCGTCGAATTTAAATCACCACAGAGGATCACCGGTACCTTCTTCAGCTCTTGTGTGCTGGTACCGCCGCTATGCTCTTTGATCGTCTTCTCCATGTGATCTAGCAGAACACCAACTTGAAAAGTTTTAACATCATTAAACTGAGGGTCCCAGTGCAAATGCGTGGTTACCGCCCATACATGTTCTCCGCTTTTCTGGTGTTGTAGTTTGACAACTATGGCGATGTTGTCCTTGTTCATGGCACGGTTCAAATAATCCTCCGTCCTCAAAAATTTCTTGTGTTTCATCCATATACTACTGAAATCAATTGTTTCCTTGTACACAATCTTGAAATCCGAATCCCTGTAGAAAAAACAACATCCATCCACCTTCTTAGAATCCTTTGCCTGCATCGTACGTGCCCTGGTTTTGGCGTGGAACATACCAGTATAACCGTGTTCCCGGAGCAGTGGGGCCCAAAACTCCTCGTACGTCTTAGATTCGACCTCTTGCAAACAGATAATGTCAGTATTGTAATTCAAAATTTGCTCCTGAAGCTTTTCGCGCCTAAAATCCCAACTCAAGGCCCAGGATGGCGTAAAACGATACATTTTTGGGGTGGCATAATGCTGGCATAAAGTATTGTACGATAGAACGGTGAAGGATTTCTTCAAAGTCTCTCGGTTGAGGTGTTGTTCGGACTCCTTCAAGGAATTGAACGCATCTGTTGGTTCGCCATCGACGTTAATTTCGATAAATTTCCTTTCTTGGGGTAAGGGTACCTCAGGAGCGTTATCTCTGAGATAAAATATTAAACCTGTGACAGATTTCTCTGTCAGGATCTTTATTAATTGACGATCCATAGGATTACCCTCGAGACCCAAAAACTGGAGGTTATAAAGGTTGCCAAATTCCCAGGGAAGCGTGGATACCATGTTGTCAAATAGGTACAGATACTTCAGCTCGTGACATAAGCCCAATTCTGAAGGAAGCTCTGTCAACTTGTTGTGGGACAAATCCAACACCCTCAAGCTTCTTAACTGCTTGACTGCTTTAGGCAAAGAAGTTAAATTGTTACCATTAAGATATAGCCGCGTTAGAAATTCATATTTGAACAACGAGTTGCTCAAATTGAATAACTGTAAATTTGATAAATCTAGAGCGTGCCAAAGTTGATCATCATATTTGGCACCCGTTGGTGCGCCCATGCGATGTTCTATTTCATCATCTTCGTCAATGTTATACTGCGAAAGTTTCTTGTGCTGTAGAAGCAAAGATGGCGTCGTCGGGTTGACCCCCCCGTTGAGTTCTGCGTTGGGCGTTATTGGTGTAGATATGGCACTAGATGAGGCTACTTGAGCTTTCGTAGCAGATGGATCACTAGCCATATCTAATAACAATTGCTTGGTGTTATCTACGAGCGAGGCAGACATCTCATTGAGCGTGCCAGCACTGGCGGCACCAGTTAGTGGGTTGGTTGCATTAGCTACACCCACCCCTGGGGTACCTTGATTTTTGTTAATCAAGTACTTCCGCATTGCACTCTGGCGGGCATAGACATTAGCTTGGCCCACCGCTTGACGTGAAACAGCGGCAAGTTGGAGTTGTAGCTTCCAGATTGGATTTTGGAGCAGCGAAGGGTCACCTTGGTGAGGATGATAAAGCGGGTTTCCAGCATTTGCTGAAGCACTTGAAGCAGAGCCAGCGGCGTTCTGTGCTCCAATCAATCCTGGTGGTAGCTGTTGTTGCGCCTGGCCGACTGCCTGGCCTTGTACCAATTGGGAATTAGGTCCCAACTGTGAATGAGGTTGTTGCAAATGAAGTTGCTGATGTAGAGAGCCTGGAGTTCCTAAAACAGACGGCATATGCGGCTGAACTGCTCCAGGCTGTCCTGCCAGCCCGGAGTAGCCCATCAGTGGCGCCGAATTGTTCATTTCAACGCTTTGTTTGCGCATTTATCTTGTCGTTTCTTAGTTGTTGTCAAGTTTAAAATTATGAGGAGCCAAAATTTACGTGCGTGAGTACTTCGAGTACAGATCATGTGACATAGCGTCAATCTCAATGAGCCTGACCCTGGCACACATCTTCAGGCTCTCTAGAATGCCAGCCTCAAGCCCGACTAACCGCCTTATTTTAGCCAAAATGGCTTTGAATAGGAGTCCCGTAATCTGAAAGGGCGCAAAATTTTCAGGCATCCCGCTAAGCTTCTGCTATAATTTGAGTAATATTGAATGGAGCCAATGCATATCATTTAACACAACTTAAGCCCCGGTGGCAGTGAGATTTGAAGCTTTACACAGCGGTAAGCTGTGTAAAGCTGAAAACACGACCCATTGTGTCATAGGTAACATTCTTCACAAGATAATTGGCTGATATGCAGCTTCTTTTTTTCAAGTTTTCGGAGACCACAATAGGTGACGAGAATAGGTTATTTGGGGCTCAAGTCGAGGCTGGTGTAAGGTAATCCTCCACATTTGTATGATATAGCACTACGTAGTATTCGAGATAGGAGCACATGACATTATTGTATAAAGTGATATTAGTCGTTCCGTAACAACAGAGGTATAATCATAGAATTGCGCATGAATATTGGCTTGACGCGGAGCAGCACTCTGGAAGTAGTATGATTGCCTTCTTGGCTGCTTTCAGGGTCTTTTGTGATATTACTGGAGCTCCGCCGAAAGCTTTGCTCGTAATTTCACCTTTCTGCGACAACCTGTGATTTTTACAAGTGGTTAATTCAACTTTGCAGCTTCAAATACGACTCCCAACAGGTATCAGATGTTGAAAACTACAGTCGGATTGCCCTTGAACCGCTGAAAAGAATAAATCAATAAGCTACACACTGCTGATGCTGTACCGCAACAATAAAGACATCAGTGCCCTTAGAAACCCATTGTTTTAGCGCATAAAAATTGTTAGATAGCACAGCAGCAGAGGAGAGGAAAAACTTTTGGGTTTCATGTCTACACCAGCTCATTTTCCTTGTTAAATGCCCTAACGCTCATCGATGGAAACTGTTTCTGACGTGTTTAGTGAGTAGAGCTTTTTTGTATAAAATCGAATTGCGAAACAAATTGCAATCTCAGACCTATATGTATAAATAACCAAGGAAACGTTTAAAGAAAAGGACGAGCAAGACTTGAGCCTTCATCGGCCCAAGAGTCTTCACTGCTGGTTTCTCGATACGCGTTTTCTAGAGTAATGATCAAGAAGTCTATACATATTTCCCCTGTGAAACGCCGAAAGACCGATAAAACGGCTTTGGCGTGTACATGAGCTTTGGAAAGGTACTTCTTAACATTTTTTTAGTGTCCACAATCCTGTAGAAGTTTCTTATCTTGACTCTTGACGTTTCAACGTTCATTAAGAACCTAGCCTTTCTACGCATATCCATGATGTTGCGCACCCCCCAAAACAGGTATATATTGCAACATCTGTTGAGTCAACCTTATAGGCCAGGTTGACACCGCTGTTGATGTTGGAGCGATCGTTCACGCCATCTGGTGTAGGAGAGGTTGGCAAGCTGCCACAGTTTCCGTGTTCGCCCCACCCCCAACAAAACACTTGCTTACCTCCGATGCAAACGATACCGTGCTCACTCCCCGTGCTCCACGCGGTCACCGGCCCGTTACAAGAAAAACCTATAATTGCATCCTGTTTCTGGTTAGCCTGTCCATAGAACTGAAACTTCTGGTTCGCATTAAATGTCAGAAGTGATGTCCACATACTCCTGCACTCGAAAGCCGAAAATTGGTCCATCGGAGGCAAATGAGTCTCGGAATTGCTTATTGATCCCTTGAGGCGTATATGGCCGTCGGCCTTTTGATAAAAAACGTAATTTTTGCCGGCGCATGCTTGGGAAACAGAAGCTTCGCAGACATTTACGAGGCTGTCGATAATTCGCTCTTTGGGCTCTCGTATCTGACACTTGGTGTTTGATCCGCAGCCAAGAAGTTGGCCTCCATCAAGAACGTAGGTGTTGTAAAAACAAGCCAAAACCTGCGACTTTAGTGGGTGCCGAATTTGCATGATCGGATTCAGAAAGGGGCTCTCTTTCTTGCTCCCTTGCCCGAGCTCTCCTCTCTCGCCGACGCCACCCGTAACAACGAAATTTTCGACTGTTATTGCGACTATGTGGCTCCATCCACATGCTACATCCCGGTATAATCCAGGGACCCGCCTCCACGTTTTCTTGTCACCATTACACTCCAATTCCAAGGGTAAATCTCCCGCAAGATAAAGCCAGCCATTTTCCAACAATAGAACTGTAAAATTGCCACCTCCTTCTATTTTCACAATCTTGATAGAGCTTTTAAAAGTGGTTTGAGGTACCAACATGTCGTTATCATGTCCGAGGCCTAAGCTGACCACAACCATTGGATCCGAACGCCAAAACCTCGAAACTCATTTTGATACCTACACTATAGATTCTATCAAAATTAGTTTGTTCAGCAGTTCAGCAAAACCAAAGGTAATTCAAATTGACCGTGGTGTGGCGCTAGTTGCTTGGAGTTGATTCAGATGAGTAGATCTGGTTTACTTTCTATCCCAATGATCTAAAATTGACCAAAAAACACGAAAGCAACACAGTCAAGTGAAAGCGGAAGATATTATAGAGTTTTATTATCAAATGCACTACTTCTAAGTGTCTATTGAACTTATTCTATCTGCCTAATTTGTTGTGCATCTCTGAGGTGCTCCTCTGATGCGCAACACGAAAATATTAATTAATTAATTAAAAAAATTCAAGAACGTAAGCAGTTTACTTAGCTTCAACAACTTCCAAGGCTCTGGCTCGCAAGACAGAGTGCTAGCTAATTTCAGTTATGAGCGGTGAAACTCCTAAAAAAGGTGATGATGTTCAAGTGCCCGAGTCTTCACCTGCTGAAGAGACCAAAATCACGTCTTCTTCGCCGCTAAAAAGTGAGAGCACGCAGACGTCGGTTCTGAGAGACAGATTTGTCTTCAAGCCGGCCGAAAAGCCTAGCCTGGGTCACACCGGTGGAGCGGCGGGTGTAAATGGAGATATGAATGCCGAAGTTGCCACCCTCACTGCAGAATATCCTGATTTTTCCGAAACATTGATCAAAGCAGTCTTCAAATCAAACTCATACGACTTGGGGTTAACAAGGGAAAGACTGGAGAAAATCCAGTCACAGAAAAGTTCGCGATCATGGGCTTGGCGCCCCGGTGAGAAAAAACCCACCAGCAGGCTGATGACGCTTGGATCTTCGTCCTCAGCTGGGCTCAACGACAATGAGGCAGCATATACTAGAAGTGCGGGCATTGTGGCTTCACCAGAACGATCATCCAAGGTTACTGTGGAGAAACAAAAGACCTCGATATTTGATAGGTACTCGCATGTTATGAACCAACGCCATAGGCCCACCATGGAGTCTGTTGTCGTTGATCCTTCCACTATTTCCCAAATGGAATCAACGACGCGGAAGAGGCGTAAGCTGGTTCGTGCTGATAACGTTTCCCGAGAGACGCTTGCCGGTGTAAAAAAGAGCTCTGTATCCCTCTCTGATGAAGATGAAGACGAAATAAGCGCTGACGAGCATAACAGTGGAGATGAAAACATCAGTGGGGAAGATTATCAAGAAGCCACGCCAGATGTAAATATTGATGAAGAGATTTTGAAGTTTCTAAATGGTGCAGATGAAAAGGACATAGCTGATCTGGCCGATACTTCCTTTGATAAAGCCAGTATGGTTGTCAAGAATCGTCCTTACAAAAGTTTAGCTTCATTCGCTGAAGCAGATTTTGTCACAGAAGAGGAAATTAAACAGCAGCAGAAAAAGAAGAGCACTAGACGTGGCCAAACAAAAAAGGACGGCGAGAAGCTATTGGACAAGGTCATTCAAACCATGAGAGGTTACAATGCCATTGACTCATTGATCAAAAGGTGTTCTGCATACGGAACTTCCATTGCCTCACAGATTGAAAAATGGGGAGTTAACGTCGAAGATATCCAAAATGGCGAGCTCAATTTTATTGATATTGGCAATGAAGATGAAAGTGCAGCTAGTGAGGACGAATTATCTGGTGAAAACAACGAGTCTGGGATAAGTGGTGATGCTATACCCAAGGCCGGAAAGTCAGAACGGAAAGTCGATGATAGCGACTTTGATGATGATGAAGAGGACTACGAAGAAAGTGAGGATGAAGAATATCGGGCAAGCAGAAGATCTAGAACTCTAGCGCGCGGCAGAGGCAAGCCCAGTCACAAAGAAATCAAATTTTTCAGACAGAAACCGAAGCTTCTATCCCCGGAGGTTACACTCAAGGACTATCAACAGACAGGTATCAACTGGCTGCACCTATTGTATCATAACAACTTATCTTGTATTTTAGCAGATGAAATGGGGCTTGGAAAAACGTGTCAAGTCATTGCATTCTTAGCATATTTGAAGCAAATGAATGAGCCTGGTCCTCATTTAGTGGTGGTACCATCATCGACATTGGAAAATTGGCTGAGAGAGTTTGCCAAATTCTGTCCCGAAATGAAAATTGAACCATATTATGGTTCTCAACAGGAAAGGGCAGAATTACGCGACATTTTGGAGGATAATGAAGGGCATTACGATGTAGTCGTTACGACTTATAATCTCGCGTCGGGCAACAAATATGATGTTTCATTCTTAAAGAATCGAGGTTTCAATGTGGTAGTATATGACGAGGGCCATATGTTAAAAAACTCGCTATCAGAACGCTTTTCTAAACTAATGAAAATTGAAGCAAATTTCAGGCTTTTACTAACCGGGACCCCACTGCAAAATAATCTGAAAGAGTTAATGTCTCTGTTGGAGTTCATAATGCCGTCACTGTTCATTTCGAAAAAGGATGACCTTTCAGCCGTCTTCAGGCAGAGGGCAAGGACATCAGATTCTAACAAAGACTATAACCCACTTTTAGCCCAGGAGGCAATTGCCAGAGCTAAAACTATGATGAAGCCTTTCATCCTAAGAAGGAAGAAGGACCAGGTTTTAAAGCATTTACCTCGCAAGCATTCGAAGATCGAGTATTGTGACATGAACGAAGCTCAACGTTTCATTTACAATCGTGAAATTCAGCTTGTCTTAGAGCATAAGAAAAAAATGGCTGAGTTGAAGGAGGAGGAAGAAAGCTCAAGCCACGTTAAAAACAATGGTAAAAACAATGGGAATCCTGTGAAGACCAAGATGAACATCTCGAAGAACTTAATTATGTCTCTACGGAAAGCTTCTTTGCACCCACTCCTCTTCCGACAAATTTATGACAATGAAGTTTTAGATAAAATGAGCCTTGCCATTTTGAAAGAGCCTGAATATGCCGAGAATGGCAACAAGGAATACATCCAAGAAGACATGAGCTACATGACGGACTTCGAGCTTCATAGGCTGTGTCTCAGATTCCCCAAGACGTTGGGGGAATTTCAACTTAAGAACAACGAATGGATGAATTCTGGTAAGATCGATGCGCTGGGTAAAATTCTTAAAGATATCATTGAGAATAAAAATGAAAAAGTCTTGGTTTTCTCGTTGTTCACACAAATGCTGGATATCTTAGAACTTGCATTAACTACACTGAACATCAATTTTGTGCGACTTGATGGGTCGACTCAGGTCAACGACCGCCAGACCTTAATAGATAAGTTCCACGACGACGACAACATCCCGGTCTTTATTCTTTCAACTAAAGCAGGTGGGTTTGGGATAAACCTGGTGTGTGCAAACCACGTCGTCATTTTCGACCAAAGTTTTAACCCCCACGACGACAAGCAAGCTGCAGACCGTGCGCACCGCGTAGGACAATCGAAAACTGTCCATATCACAACTTTGATTACCCGTAGCTCGATTGAAGAGAAGATTCTTCAGTTAGCGAAGAATAAGCTTGCCCTTGACACACATATCAGTGAAGAAGACACGAAGGCCACTGAAGCCCTCGAGAGTCGGGTCAGTGACATTCTAGAGGATATTATCTACGAGGAAAACCAATAAACTTAACATGGTTGATAACTCGTGAATCAATTGCATCTATTCTAGATGTGATTACCTTGGCTTAAGTTATGGTTGCGACCGTTGTATTTTACCTAAATTGTGCAAAGACTAGTATGCCATCGCTGGCTTTTAAGTAAATTTTAGGGTTTTATTGGATAGTGTAGTATAAGCACCCTAATCGACATCACAATGTCCTCGTTGCAGCCTTCATAGCGGCCCGCCGGTGCTCCATTTGGATTACTTATCTTTTCCGTTTGAAATGACCATTCTTCTTTCATCATATTATAGCTCTGATCCCCATCTGGAAACAGTACTTTAACGCAAAGAAACTTAAATCACTCGTTTCTTGAAAGGTCTATCCTCTCGCTTGGTGGTGGCTAATTTCTGTGGGGGCTCTTTTTATCAAACTTTGAAGGCAGGAATTTTGAAGGAGTCTTTTATTCAGTCCAACACTTGAAAGTATTGAATATCTATTGAGTTCTAGGGAGGGTTCAGCTTGACTGTGAATAAAATCGAGAGGCTTCCTTATTGGTCAAATAGTGAGATCTGGCTGTAGAAAGCTTTCGATAGCGCTCATTGGAACGTTTGGAACCTAATAACAGACAGGAAATTGTAAAGTTACCGTCAAGTATGGACGCTGATTGGAGGTCGACTCTGTCGAACCAGGAACGCTCCAAGTACATCACAGAACTGGCTCAAATTTTAGCTCAGATAAGTCAGGTTAATGGTGGCGATCGTGGTAATTTTAATCTGGAGAAACTGAAGAAGACGGCCGAGCAGTTCGAAAAGAATCTGTATGCGAGCAGCTCATCAAAAGATTTATATTTGGACTCAATGCGTAAGAGAATCGCCGCCATGGATACTGCAAGGAAAAAGGCTATAGCGAATGTGCAGCAAAACTCATCTAATGCCCAAAGCCGCCATGACGTGTCCACCATGACAAATCAGCAGATGCAACAGCAGATGCAAATGCAGCAACGGCAGCAGCAACAGCAGCAACAGCAGGCTCCTCCGAGTCACTATCCTCCAGGTAGCAACAACGTAAACTCGCAAATGTTCTTCAATCAGCAAGCCAAGCTGAGACAGCAGGCTGCCCAGCAACTCCGTGGTGGCATACCTCGTAACGCACCTGTTTCAAATAATGCAGCGAGGCCTCAGCTTACTCCACAACAACAGCAACTAATCAATGAAATGAAAGGCGCTGAAATTCCAAGAGAGTTGTTGCAAAGGATTCCCAACTTACCGCCAGGTGTCAACACTTGGCAGAAAGTAACGGAGCTGGCCCAGCAAAAACGTTTGGGACCAAAAGATCTTCAAATCGCAAAACAAGTTTACCAAATGCATCAACAAATTGTTTTTAAATCAAGGCTTCAACAGGTCAATGCTAACAACCGCGGTCCTCCCCAAGGAAGACCCAACTCTCGAGTTCCAAGTGCGGGTCCCGGATCTCAAGCCCATCAGGGCCAGTCTGCTTTGCAGCAACCTCAGCAGCCGCAGCCGCATCAGCCTCAGCCACAGATGCAACAGCCGCAGATCGTCCAACAGTCACAGCCGCAGCAGATGCCAATGGGACAACCAACGCAAGCCCAAACACAGGAGGTGCCCAATGTACTGAATAGGCTTAACCAAATATTTACTCCAGCTGAACAGAAAGCTCTTTATGAAAATGGGAAAAAGCTGATCGCAGATCTGCAGAGAACGAATAGACTGCCGGCTGTTCTCACTCCACAACAGCAAGCTATTTACATCAAAAAATACATTAATCAAATGGCACTAAAAAAGTTGCAAGCTGCAAGAAACCAAATGGGTACCGCTAACGCTTCGAGTCAGCAAGCCACCGTACCTCCCGTTTCTGGAACTGGAGTGCCCCAGATGAGCCAATTTATGCCTAACAGTGGGGGCTCGCAAGCCAATTTAGCTGCTAGGAGGCCCTACAGTGGGGCAAACTCCAATATTAATGCGTTTAATGAGAACCCTACAGCTTCTGAACTTCAGGGTCCTCCACAAAATATGGAGCAAACTGTGCTATCTCAACCTCAGCCCCAGGGTCAAGTTCCTACACAATCCCAGACTGGTTCTCAAGTACCTGGACAATCTCAACCACCTCCAAAGTTCTCACTTCCTCGACCTACAGAACAAGACCTAATGGTTCTTCGTAGGATCTCTGCTGAGATACAAAAGTCTCATTTAAGGCTGTCAAATATTACCAATCAAATTTCGCAGGAACAGAAACAATCGATAAGGAATAAACTGCAGCTGAATAGACAATTGTTCACAAACGTGGATAGCTTTATTCCCACCTTATACATGATCACACGGAATGAGGAAAACGTTCGCCAGCTACTTCAGATTAGGATGCTTACAAAGGAGATTACAGAACATGCGTCTAGAGGTATTTTTATTGTCCCACCGGAAGTGGTAGACAAGGTCATCTTTCGTTACCAGAAATATTACGAGTTCATCAAAGATCAGGTTCTGAGACGCCATCAGCAGATCATTGCAGCAAGACAGCAACAGCAGCAGCAGCAACAACAACAAACACAACCAACACAACAAACGCAACACGCACCACAAACACAACAGGTGCAACAAGTGCAGCAGCAACAAACACACCCAAGGACGGCAAGCCAACAAGTAGACCCCACATTCAATCAACAACGCATCCAAGGCTCCTTCCAACAAATTCAGCAGCAGATGCAAATGCGGCAGCACCAGCAGCACCAGCAGCAGAAGGCCCAACAGTTTACTTCTCAGATAGATAACTGGCCAAGACCTGCTTCTGCGAAAACTGCTGAGGGCGATCCTGGTTTGATGCCTCATTCTGCGCCGGAGACTTTGCGCGCGACAACGTCGGGGGTAGATTTCCTAAATTCTCCAGAGCTTTTGAACGCAAAGTTATCTCCACAACAAGGTGGCCTTTCGCCGGCTAAGAAACAGGCTCAGATGAGAAAGAAAATGACACTCAAGCAGGCTTCAAATCAAGGTACTCCTTCTGCTGTTATGCCCTCAAGTACGCCCGCACCAGGAACCGGAATGGGACCTGTTGTCTCAAGCCGGACAGGCACTCCTCGTGTTGCTAATGTGGGATTGGCAAGCGTATCTCCCATGGCCACTAAAGCGGTCACTGCGAACCAAAGTCCTTCTCCAAAGTCAATTCCAAACAATGTGGGACCCTCTGGGCCTGTAAGCAACCAATACAAAGAAGACGAAGAGATTTTGAAGAAGATGGTTGTCAGGAAAAACGATGTAATTTCAAGGTTCAAGCGCCGACAAGATATTCTGCGCAACTCTGCCGTAGATTTGTTTCTGTGCTGTTTAGGAGAATCACTGGGAGTTAGTGATGATCAAGTAGAGCTGATAAATTCCATACCTCAGGAAGTCGTGGATCAAGTCAACGGTGCTGGGAAAAAAGTTGCAAACAAGCCAGCTGCGCAGCGTTTGAAAGATCAGGAATATGCCAACGTATCCATCAAAGACAATAGAATTGTCTTTGCAACCAACTCCCCTGTCGGAAACTATAAACCAGATGCAACCTCATTTGGAAATCGCGAAGTTTCCAGTATATTCAGGGATGTATATGGTACAACTGACCTAACTACCTTTTCGTTCGGTAATAGCAACCTAACATCTGGGTCTCGAGGTACTAAGCGGAATGCTCCGGACTCAGAAAACAGCCCAAATATATCTCCCGCTTCGTCAGCAGTCATGAGCGATTCCAAAAAGATCAAATTTGATTCTCCAGAGGATCTTTATTTTTCAGCACCCGCTGAAGAAGTTAAGAAAGAGTTTACAAAGGATGCTCTAGCAGGAAATGCCGAAGACAGCAAAATCTGGGACTGGAGTTTTTGGGACACTTCATAATGGTCTTCTAGATATAATATACTAATTCATTGCTATCATTCAATCATTTAAATTAATGAATCGAACAGCGCCGATAAAATTGGTCCCATTCGACTTTCGAGAGAACCTAGATGTTCCTCCACCAGCCTGGTCACTCGAGCGGAAAGCTTGATGAGAAAACCCACAGTGGTTGCTGAGCTTGTGCGAGGTTTGAACATTTTAATGGAACGGGATTTACCTTCCTAACCAAGCCAAAGACCTTTGCCTTTTAAAAATTGAAATTCGAGCACCTACTCGAGTACCCATCTTCCTATTCCTTGCTCATGAGCTTGTTCTACTCGTAGCCCTAGCGACTATATTTGTAGATTTTCTCAAACTCAACACTGCGATTCTCGGTCAATCGATATCACTTTTGAAAACACTGTAATTAAGGACAATCGGGTCAGTACTGATGACAAACTTGATAACTTCGAGTGAGAATCATCCATAAAAATCGAATATCTGCTTGATTCAAAAGAAATAGCTTCAATCCATGGCAGGCTTACCTCAAACGATCTTCTCGTTCAGGTTTTCAAAAGCTTTTTCTGAGCGAGAGAAATTCAGGCGTGTCAGCGTCATTAGTAGATCACTTGTTGAGTGTATTTTTCAGATTATCAATGGACACTGCAACTAAGATCATAGATGAGGCTCGAGTCATCTCTCCAGGATTCTTTCGACCATAATGTTAGTCCATCTATTGAATCAAATAGTCCGTATATATACAACGATTCAAGCCCGGTACGAGATCTTCGCCAGAGGTTTCATAAAAATATACCATGCATCTTCACGGTTATTGGACCATATTTGGGGCATCTTGCGATTCATTGGACCACTACTTCTTGAAGTTTTATGCTCATTTATCATTTATTTCACTGACATTGTGATTTATCTCTAAAATATTGTCACGATCATTGTCTATGTCGTGGTACCTTAGGGCTTAATATATAAATACGATAATTAGATAAAATCACAATTCGTTCTCTCTATGACTAGCTACCACAAGCGGTTTCCATTAGCTCTATTTATACATTAATTCCCTGTTGAGATCAAACCTCACCTGTCCTGGCAACACCCTCGGAAACTGATTACTGACATTATCCCGACATCTTGAGGTTTTCTCTACCTTAATACAACAATATATGGTTATGCAATTGAGCGCCATAAGATGTCATAGGAAGTACACTTAGGTCGCTCTAACGAAATTAGTTAAATTGGACTACACAGACAAGCTATGATTAGGTGTTACGAACCACGGGTGTGATGATGTAAGCTCCTTTCCTGGTAGGAACTTGTGGTGCGAGATTTTCTTATAATCAAGCAATTAGCTGTTTGGAGTTTCCAAAATCAGTTTTTTATCAGTGACTTTACCTTATAGTCTGATTTTAGGTTCAAAAACCCTCTTTATTCATCCAATCTCAGTTTCAAGCAAATCTGAGATTACTGACACTAGAATTATCGTTGTGTGCAACGCCGTCACAACGATATTCTAGTTTATTACTACTCAACAATTCTCAGTAAAAGTGAGCATAATGACAGTAACTTGAAGGATATCTTTCAGATGCAAAGTGATTCCTGGTCTGGCAGTCATGAAATATATTTAATAAGGCCCTGATAATTTATTTGTAGATGGTAGCGCGTGAGAAAAGAAGCATCTGTACTCAAGGCAACATAGTCCTCACTCAATACAAAAGCCATCTAGGTTGGTTACAAGCCTTTGATTCCTATCGTAGATCGCGGTCTTAGAGCTTCTATCACACGTCAATACTCGTCTTGACAGTATGTAAATGCCAGGCTTCAAGGGTTAAAAAACTATAAGTCTGACAGTAACATAGTTGCAATTCACAAGAAGTTTTGAGGCATACATGGGTGCCCTTATAAATGAGGTTCGGTCTAGAATCACACATGGCGGTCCAAGCGTTCTAGTAAAATTTCAAGTTGTCATCAAATATTTAGATGAAATCTCTAGTCGTCAATTAAAGTTCGAGCCCTATCCCTTCTGTTTGAAATTCGCGTATTGATGAATGAAATGCCAAAACCACTTTTGCGAAGTGTCAGCGAAAACACTGGCGACATGTTTCACGAGCTTAACTGACATGCTTCCCGTTGATAATGCTCGAGAGTGATTAAATCTCGTTAAGATGTTTACTAATCCATGGAAACCAACCATATAGAGGCTGGCAGGATCCATCTTGAGTATCACCCGAAGGTCTCTAAAGCTCAATCAATCTACCTTTGGGATTTTAATCAAAGTGGAAGGTGATGGTCGCACCCTCTGAGGATTATCCTACTTTTCCTCTTTTATCAAAAAATGAAATCAATGGACAACTGATTCCAGAGGTTAGTCACTGGGCTTTGAGCAATGGGCTAGTGATGTACCCGCCAAACTTCAAGACCTCTCAAGGGCTTTTGGCGCCAACTACTCTGTTTCCAACGCCATTCCCTCGCAAAAGCTTCGAGCAGGCAATTTCTGTCCAAACGTTGTACAATGAATTATATGCCAAAGTTTCTCAAGATAAGGACCACTGGCTTGGTAATCTTATTGAAAAATTGGGTCAATTCGATCCCGAGTTCACTGGCAAGCTGTGGAATTTGTATGTGAAAGCAGAAGGATCCGGGATAAGTCAGAAGCTGGCTCTAGGTCTCTTTCGTTCCGACTACTTGCTAGACGCACAGAGCTTGGAAGTTAAGCAAGTTGAATTCAATACCGTTTCCGTTTCTTTTGGCGGACTCTCCACAAAGGTTGGAAAACTTCACAACTTTTTAAACCAGTCAGGCAAATACTCGCTTGACGATGGTCGACCTTTCTACACACAAGAGATACCTGTTTCTGAATCTGCCAGACTCTTGCCTAAGGGCCTGTGGGAAGCAACAAGGAAATATCAAACTAGCGCATCTCATACCATTGTGGCATTCATCGTGCAGCAGGGTGAAAGAAATGTCTTTGATCAACGAATTCTCGAATACATTCTGCTCGAAGAGTATGGCGTCAAATCTGTGAGAATGACCATTCACGAAATTCATACGAAGACAAAGGTAGACGATCAAAGTAAAAGACTGTACTACGAACCCACAGGTGAAGAAATTTCAGTGGTGTATTTCAGAGCTGGTTACTCCCCGCAAGACTTCTTATCAGACCAAGATTGGCAAAATAGGCTACAACTAGAGACTAGTTACGCTATAAAAGCACCAAACTTACTTACCCAATTAGCTGGAGCCAAAAAGATACAACAAATTTTGACTGATGACTCGGTATTAGCCAAATTTTTGGACGATGCGGCGGATCGAAAGAAGCTCAGTGACTCTTTCGTAAAAATATATCCAATGGACTGCTCGGAACAGGGTATTGAAGCTAAGAAAATGGCCTTCGCAACTCCACAGAGGTTTGTTTTAAAGCCTCAAAGAGAGGGTGGAGGCAATAACATCTATAAAGACGACATCCCAACGTTCTTAAAAAGTATACCCGAAGAGGAGTGGAGCGGTTACATATTGATGGAGTTAATCAATCCAGAGCCCACTACACAAAATATCGTAATCAGGGGAGATGTTTTTTCGGAGGAACCAATCTTGAGCGAACTTGGCACATTTGGTTATGTCCTATTTGACGATAAAGAAATTCACCTAAATGAGTATGCTGGGTGGCTGTTAAGATCTAAATCTAGCACTTCCGATGAAGGCGGAGTTGCAGCGGGATTTGGTTGCGTGGATGGCGTAGTTCTATACTAATAGAATTTTGATATAGTTGAAACACCTGGTTATACGTCCTTTTTCAGTTCATTTGATGCCCATAGTGCACCTCCGATAAGGTTACTAGGTATTGTGATGATTGACATAATCGGTATCAACTCTAGAAGACCGGCCGTTATCCCAAATCCAGTGAACTGGCCAAGGTGCTCGTAGAATTTGTCTTTGAGCTGTGTTGGGTTCAAATTCTTCAAAACGTAAAGTCGCCGGCTATATGAAAATCCTCGCTTCGGGCTTAGAATCTGATTCACCAAAGTTGGTCCAATGATAGGAATGAGAGAAACAGCGCTTAAAAGAATAGTTGTAGCAATTTTGAGCTTGAACGAGATTATCTGTCCCGGAAGAAAAACCAGCCAATATTGCGGAGATTTCCAGCTCATCTTCCGCAACGGTGCCACTGGTAATCTCTTAGCGTTGTCCAAAAAGTCTGAATGCCCCAGTCTTTCCAACACTGCATCAAAAATGCTATTCGAAAATACTGGAGTTATCAAGATATTCGTCAGTGTGATAGCCACTGCATTGGATTGAAGGAGCCACTGAATGTGAACAATAACAAACCCAATAGGTCCCAAAGTAGTAACTGCCCAGATCAAAACTACTGGCAGCACAAAAAGGTAGTACAGAGTAGCCACTGTCACAAAGATGCACGCAAAGCAGAATCCCAGAACAAAACTGTACAACCAAAATGAAGGTGTCACTAAAAACTTGAAAAAACCCTGGGCACAGAGAGAGGGAGTACATGTTAGTAAATGTCAGTCGAAAGATTTTATTAAAGGGTTTGCTTGCTACAAGCTTGACGTACCATTACCGGGTAAATATAGGCCTTGTCAGCGAAGAGCTCGGGAATGAAATTGCTCCTAATATACCCTAGTCGACGCTTCAACTTGCCTTGTATAACGGGAATGAAGGTTTCGATGTCGTTTGGCACTGTGAAAAATGCGCTTCTGGATGTGTGTACTCGCTCGGGGGTGGTTCCTTTCATTGTGTCAACGAGGATCTACGTGTTTCCCTCGGAGTTCTTAATTGCTGGCTGCGTGATGTGTACAAAATTAGTGTCGTTGAAATTATTTATTATATGACGGACAATCAAACAAAAACATTAAACATGCTTAATATTTATGTCTCACAAGGAATCATGTTTCGCTTTTGTTGATATAGTGGTTATTATATACTTAGTGTCTGTCGTGAAACATATAAAGAATTTCCGCACTTCTGCAGCTAGTTACGATATTTACAGCTGCAAGGAAGAGCCACCAGCTTCGGAAGGCCACGAGTTGTCCAAAGTCCTCATATTAGCTAATCTTTGTGAATAGTTTCAATTTTTTGCATCTGTAGAGGTCTCTGCATGGTGGGTATGGAGCGGAGTGTTGGTGGCCATCTGTGCCTAACCACATAGTCTTGACAGCAACATCTTCTGAAATACGCAAAGTGAAATCACAAAAAAGCCCAGAGGCGTTCTAATTTAGTGTACCCGTGACGATAGATACGGTAGTTTTCTTTGCTAACGTCTGCAGTCGAAGTCCACCGGAAGGGCGTGCTTGGTGGCCAACTAATGAGGCCCACCACTAGTGCACGAACTGCTTAACGATCGCATAGGTTTTTCACCATCACAACCAGGGCCATAGGTTAGATTTTTCAGTGAGGGCAGCTGGGTACAGATTTCTATGAAATGGAGAGTGGAGCATAGCAATAGTTACACCATACGTGCAAGAGTATTGTGTCGTTTCTGAACGCCAAAGAGAAGTGATACAAATAGTACAGAAAAATGAGTGGCATAAAGATTGAGATCAAGTTAAAAGATATCGGTGTGACCCCCATAAAACCATTTTTGCCCTCAGTAGGCAAGGGGTTCTCTGGCCAACTCTGAGTGCTTGGTCCCGCTAACTGGAGCCTAAGACTAGTACGATGGACCTAAAGCTGAAGGAAATTAAAACTTACTGTCAGTTATGTTAGGCACTAAAATGTTTATCATAAGGACTGGCGATAAGCCCACCATTGAAATTTGGAGAGTAGTAGGAGTTGTATACTTACTAAAAATGTTTGCAACGTTGAACCAACCCCTTTTTGAAACTTCCAAGTGATATAACTGTAGCAGGAAATGTGAACAGTTCTTTATATACTGTCCCCAGCTTTAGCTTATAGTGTCAGCCTCTAAATTTTCGATGCACTTCAGTGTTACAAAAAGCGAAACAAACCGAAGCCCAAGAAGTTAAGTAATGGGAGAGTTATTGAGGCAAATCTGATTCTTTAGTAGAAAGCTTACTAGATTTGTCTTGAAGTCGTCGATAATCATTGCAAGATGAGTAACTTAGATCTAGGGACTATTTTTTCTCCGTGCCTCTTTGTGACACTAGAGCTGGGTCACTTACCTGAACAAACGCCTGGTATATGTACACTTCTCGCTCGGTGACTCTGGATAACACAATTATTAATCATCCGTTCTAGATCATTCTCTTATCGACGGATTGCGGCTCAATGCCGATAACTTATCAATCGTCAATCTCATTGGACACCACTTGTTCTCTTCGGCTTGTCTTAGATGGTAAGTCGCTTTGCATGACCTCTGTGATTACTATCATTCTGTACCACTGTGTCACATATTTCCTGACGCCGATTAGACGCACATCACCATCAGTACCCTAGTAACTCACATTGTTCCCAACAGATGTTTTGGAGACAAAAAAATTCTTGTCGTTACTGTTAGAACTACTGGCTGGCAGTGATCTACTACTGTTTGAATAGCATCTAGTTGCAAAATGGTAACTATTTGCATGTTGTCAATATAGTACAAAGTGATATCAACGGCGTTTGTAAAACAAGAGCGGACAAGGAAAACAATCAATCGATGGGATCTAGACGGGCAGCAGTTACTCAGAGAAGCCTAGGCCGGCCATTTCAATTATCTGGCAGCCCACCAATCCGCTTGTTGGTGGCAATTGTTGGTTCCAGCCCTAATGTACCCAGATTTTGCCATAAATTTATATCATTATGGGATTTAAGGCCCAGATATAAGCCAGTAGAGCCCAAATTGTGACGGAGAGACAACCTCAACTCACTTTATAGGCTCCAAATTTAATTTCAAGAACTCAGAATCCACTCCATCTATCAGCAACTGAACCAATATATCATCAACTTAACTACATATGGCGCTAACTCGCTTCACTACTTTTAGTCTACAGATGGCATGGTGCCTAATCGCCAGCGCTTGACGATTCACAGATTGTTGGCTTAAGATAGAAGCACACATCGTATACAACGAGCGCTTCTAATGTTATCACTAAAAAAGAGGACATGCGGATTCATTTACTGATCGTACCTACCGAAAAGTGTAAAACAGGTCTTCAACGGTTCTTCATTCTCCATACTATCGGTGTTCACAAGCTCCGGTGTGCATCTTATCCAAAGAGAAGCCACAGCTGATCAAGACTAGATCAGGTTTGACTTTTTAATTCAAGTTGAAATTTGACAATACAACCCCAGGAGCTGCAAGAACAAGGTTCATATGCCCTACATTGGCGCGCCACATAATAAAGATAGGTTTGACGCTTTAAAGGAAAAGCTTTGCATGGATAGACCAGAAAAAGTCAGTCAGAACGTAAGTGGGAATGTCGAATCAGCAGCACTCGAAGTCAGGGCGAATCCCAGCAAATTGGCATCTTCCCCACCCGATACCCCACAGGAAGCCGTGAGTCCCAAACAGGAGCCTTGGGGCTCACGCTCAGGTAGTGAACTCGAATCCAAAGAACTTCTTACTTTTCCAAATGAGTCCACTCATGCGTATTCCTATAATCCATTGTCTCCTAATTCTCTAGCAGTCCGACTACGAATTTTGAAGCGATCTCTCGAAATTATGATTCGTAATCCAGCACTGTTACTAGAAAACCACTTAAATCATCATGTTCGCGTCGATACACCTGATGGGACTCAAAAAGACTTCAACCTCTCTACTCACACCGACTTATCTCCAACAAGACGATCTAACCTTTCTCGAAGCTATAGTCAAGATGGGTTGAAACCGCTCTCCACAACTGCTCCTCGGAATGCTTCTTCTGCGGCTCTATCAGCATTGGTTACCAATACTAATAGCCCTTCCGACGCTCGTAAGCCTTTTACAAGGCCAGTTGCGCCATTCCAAATGTCATCCTTTAGCCCAAGACCGCCAGACTCTCGCCATCCCCCAGCTGTAAATGCATCTTCTTTGACGCTGCACGGTGGGATTAAACGTGGTTCTTTGGATTCCGCTGCTCCACCAGCTGAAGAAGCAGATTATACATATAAAAGCGATTTTCACCAAAATATCGAACTTTTGAAAACTAAGAGAGCTGAGCTTGAAAGTTTACTAGTGCTGCTGAACGATGCGCTCGAAAACAATAGCACAGAAAAAGCCTCAGATTTACACATGATATCACTTCTCAACTTCAACAAACTTTCACTGGACGTCGATAAGAGCGATAGTAGTGGTCAAGATTCAGGTCCCCGCATGAAAAACTACGAAAACACCTTGAAAAAGAACCTACTGGAAAGTTTGGCACAACCTTTTTACGAGAATGCAAACGCTGGAGAAGGAATCGACGAAGCAGAAGAGTATTTGTGCTCAGGGATGGATCATTTTTCTCTGGAAAATTCGTCTTTTTCCAACATGAAAAGCTCACCGGTGAGCAATAGGCTCCTGCACACTTTTGTTTCTAGTAAAAACTCATCCCCTCAAGCAATTTTTACTTGTTTGCAGCAGAACCCTTGGCAATTTAAGTCTGCAAACGACCTTGCTTGTCTAACTTTTGGAATATCCAAAAATGCATTGCGAGCTTTAACGTTGCTTGATCTCATTCATACAGACAGTCGAAATTTCGTTTTGAATAAAATTTTGTCAACAGAGGGCCAAGAATTGGTATTTACAGGCGAAATTGTCGCAATCGTTCAACCAGGAGATTCATCTTCCCAATTAGTTTGGTCTTCGATTTGGGCAAAAAGGAGGAACGGCGTAATTTTCTGCGTATTCGAAAAGGTTCCTTGCGATTTTATTGATGTTTTGCTGAGCTTAGATGATTTCTCCGTTGACCACATTTCTGGTGGAACTGGATTGAAGGGGTTTGCAAAAGGTACAGGAAAGAGTGACAAAGTAGCCCTGAAAAGGGACTGTGCGGCTAAAAAATCCGTCCAATTCCCTAATGAAGTCCGTGACGTAGGCGACCTCAGCCATGGCTTAAAAAAGTTAATTACAAGCGTGGAAAGTGGGGACATGCAAGTCAAGGACGGCGATCTTCTACCAATGCCAATCAAAGTTTCTAATGCGATCAATGAGGTTCGCTATTTTACATTAAATCATTTGTCGTTCAATATTCCTTGCGCCATATCTTCTTCAATTTTGGAGAATGAGCTGAAGCTCAAGATTCACAGTCTACCATACCAGGCCGGAATATTTTTCATTGACTCGAAAGACTACAAAATGGTCAGCTTTAATAAGTCAATATCCAAGAACATGTTCGGTATTCATGCGGCTGATCTTTTAAACAAACAAATGACGGCGGTCATTCCCACTTTTGGTGATTTGATAGGGTACGTTAACTTAAAGTATCCCTCATTGGACATAACACTGCCGAAAAACAAGGGCTTGGTCTTGACGGAGCATTTTTTCAGGAAGATTCAAGCCGAAATGAATAATAATGATAATAGTTTCTTTGAGTCTATTGGAATCAATGCCCTACACAGGGATGGTAATATTATCAAGGTTGATATTCAATTACGTGTCATCAGTTCTAGCCATTCTTTGCTCTGGATTACCCATTCGAGAGATGTCGTATTCGAGAATTACAAAACTAACCCATCGCAATTGGTGATGCTAAAGGAAAGTGAGATTGCGGTTGTTACTAGTGGCTCAAGCTCTAGAGGTTCTTTGAAAAATTCTCATGGCAGGCTACCTGTTGACGAACTACCTAATCTCAAAGACAGTCTCAAGCTGGACGGCAGCACTGTAGGTTCATTTGATGGCACCAGTGAACCATCAGAAGAAAATATAGAGGATTCTCCTGAGACCCCGACTGATGAAGGCAATAGTGGAAGAACAAAAAAATTAGGTGTAGAAAAGGTCGATGATGAAATTTCTTCTAATCTAGATGTCACCAGAAATTACGGTCAAGATAAATCTTTGTTTTTGAAGGATAGTGATTTTAAGTTAGATGAAAGACTCATTTTATCTTTAAATTCAAATTCTAACAAAGAACCGAATGGCTCTGACGCTACCAGTGGATTCATGGCAACGCGTGTGGAAGAGAGCCGGCAAAATTTTCTGAGAAAGCCCGTTCCCAACATTGGGAGCCTTAAACATGTACGTAAATTTTCAGATTTTGTGGTTTTACAGAAGATGGGAGAGGGAGCATATGGAAAAGTGGATCTGTGTATGCATAAGGAAGAGAAGTATATTGTGGTGATCAAATTGATTTTCAAGGAAAGAATTCTTGTCGATACTTGGGTGCGAGACCGTAAACTCGGAACAATTCCCTCGGAGATACAGATCATGGCAACTCTCAATACGCAACCGCACGAGAACATTTTAATGTTATTGGACTTTTTTGAGGACGATGATTACTACTACATCGAAACTCCTGTTCATGGTACTGCTGGCTCCATTGATCTGTTCGATTTGATTGAGCTGAAGACGGACATGACAGAACACGAAGCAAAGCTAATATTTAAACAAATTGTCTCGGGCATTAAACATTTACACGATAACGGGATAGTGCATCGTGACATCAAGGACGAAAATGTTATTGTGGATACCAATGGGTTTGTGAAGATTGTGGATTTTGGCTCCGCTGCGTACGTTAAAAGCGGACCGTTTGATGTATTTGTGGGCACTATTGACTATGCTGCCCCCGAGGTGCTAGGAGGAGACCCGTATGAAGGAAAACCACAAGACATTTGGGCAATCGGTGTTTTACTTTACACTATCATTTACAAAGAAAACCCTTTTTACAACATCGATGAGATTTTGGATGCTGATCTAAGAATCAATCCTAGTCATAGGGTTAGCAATGAGTGTGTTGAATTGATCAGAAAAATTTTGAATAGATGTGTGGCTAAAAGACCATCCATCAATGAAATTTACCGTGATAAGTGGCTTAATGTATCATGCTAGGGAAGGCCACAGGGGAAACACGATGCATGTAAAAGTAGATAATGGATTTTTTTTAACATAGCGGAGAAATAAGGAGTTATTTGTAGAGGCCGCCATGCTCAGTTACTGCTCAAAGGGAAACATGCTTCACACCAACGTCAAATGTCAAAGCCTTGGCATGATCATTCTTGGGGAAATAATCATACTCAAATGTGTGCTAAGCTGAAATTCTGCTGTTATATGAATTGGTAACTTATTAGTATATAGTGATTACTATCTAAGTGGGAAGTGACACTGCTTGAAAACACTCTAAGCTGACTCTCTCAAAAGTGCATCGGAGTTTTGTCCTGTCCCTTAGAGCTACCTTTAACTGCTGGCCTGAGGAAACTAGTGGGAGTTGTCTTTTGCTGTATATCATAATTGAAGCAAAGCTCTCGCAATGGAGCAAAGTATCACTCCTAAAACTACCACTACACTTGAAGAATTGCTAGCGGACAAAGACCTTGCATCTTCCGGAGCTAAGACTCAATATGATGAAAATCAAGAGTGCTACTGCAAGTGCCTCAAAGAGTTTTTAATGGGGGATCAAAAAAAATGTTTGGAAGAGATGCTCTCCTGCAACCTGTTGAATCCCCAAACCTTGCACACCGACTTCAAGGTCTGGAAACTATTTGTAAGCGCATGCAGGGATGCTAAGTTGGACGATCTCGGACAGAGCGTGGTAAAAGTTATCAGATCTTCGTTTGCCGATCCCGACTTCTCAACATATGATCGATTATTAGAAATGGAACCGCTGAGCGAGCGTATTGCGGGAAAGCTGGCCTTTTTAGAGTGCTCCTTTAAAGTGAATAAGCTTGATGATACAAGTAGATCGATGGGATTACTGGATCAACATGCCAAGGATCTGATACGCGATAGCTGTGGACTCGTTCAGACGTCAGAGGATGCAAAGCAACTTTACAATTTGGTGGTATTTTATATATTCTACATCAAAGTGCAAGGAATGCGAATGAGAATCTCGCTGTCACTGTACACATCCCTGTGTGACGAAATGCCCCTAGTGAGAGATGTATTGAGGGGAAATCCTGCAGGCCCCGAATACGCACTTCCGCAAGACCCCGATTACACATTCACGATGGAGACTTGTATTTCAAATCAACTTAAAGGCATGGTAGAGAAAAAGAAAGCCAAATATGCAGGTGGCTGTCAAACAAACCGGCGCAAGTCTCAAACTATTAAGAGTTCGCAAACACCACGGCAAGAATTGCCCCTAGCGACAAGCGCGCGACCAAACGAAACATCAAGCAGCTCAAAAAATACTGAGAGCCAGGTCTCGATCCGCTTCACGTTAAGCTGGATCCAGTCCTACTGCTCTAAACTATGGTCACTGATAATGAACGGAAATTTCGCACCAATCGCAGTTTTGGCAGTAATTTTTACCTTAAAATATGCCAAAATGCTTAAAAGATTTAATAAAACTGCACCCAAATTGACTAAACGCCTTTGGACTTTGCTGGACTTCTTGATGAATATCTAAAGATGGCATTCACCTTCGTGCTCCAAATGCGGCCTTCAAGGATCGAACGTGAGTCTTCTAATTATGAGTGTTACCCTCTATCTGTCAATTCTTTTGTGGAAAAAGCTTCCCCTCCCTTTTTATATTTGACCTCTAGGGAAAACTTCCATTTCGAAATAGACGATTCGAAACAGTTCGTATTGGGCGCGTATCCTCCAGTTACACCGATCACTCGACGAGTTCTACCCAAACCAACCCCATACCCAAGTTTTCGCCAAGTCCGCGGTGCTTCAATCTCAAGATTTTTGTTTTCCAGCTGAACGCGAAACTATGAGCGGTGACAAGGATCAAGCACAGCCTGGGATCAACTCTGAGGCTCTCAAAAATAAAGATCAATTAGTAGTCAACAGTTCAAACAATGTCAATTCAAGTGATGAGGAGCTTTACCCATTGGCTCTTTTGATGGACGAGCTGAAACACGACGACATTGGCAATCGCGTTGAAGCCATGAAAAAGCTGGATACTATCGCCTTGGCTTTAGGCCCCCAAAGATCGCGGGATGAGTTGGTTCCGTTTTTGACCGAAGTGGCGCAGGATGACGAAGACGAAGTCTTCACTGTGTTGGCAGAGCAACTGGGAAAATTCGTGCCGTTCATCGGAGGGTCCAAGTTTGCTACTCTGCTGTTACCAGCTCTGGAGATTTTGGCGTCCACAGAAGAAACTCTTGTTCGCGAGAAAGCCGTTGAGTCGCTGAACCATGTTGCCCAGGAGCTTTCTGAGGACCAGCTTTTCCACGATTTCATTCCGCTCATCGAACATCTTGCAACGGCGGATTGGTTTTCTTCAAAAGTCTCTTCTTGTGGCCTATTCAAGTCAGTGCTAGCAAGGGTGAAAGATGACAAGTTCAGGAAAGAACTACTTGCATTGTATCTACAGCTGATCCAAGACGATACCCCCATGGTCAGACGTGCTGCCGGCAAAAACTTGCCAGTGTTGATAGATTTGCTCACCCAAAATCCAGATTTGTCTACTACTGACGATTGGGACTATATCTCTAATATGTTCCAAAAAATCATCGGGGATGCTCAAGATTCAGTTAAATTTTTGGCTGTTGACGTCTTAATCTCCATATTGATGTTTTTTAACAAGAAAGAGGACATCACGCATTCGAAAGACCTGCTTAGATCTGCTATTCAGCTGATTACAGATGAATCCTGGCGAGTTCGCTACATGGCTGCAGAAAGATTCGAAGATTTAGCTTCTCAATTTGAATCCAATCCCCAATACATCGAAGAACTATCTGGTCCATTCCTGTCTCTCTGTGAAGATAATGAGAGTGACGTTCGAAAGGGAGTTGCCAAACAGCTCCCAGGTTTTGCTAAACTATTGAATAACCCTCAGGTTGTTTTGAAGAAGGTTTTGCCGGCGGTACAGAATCTGAGCATGGATGAGAGCGAGCTGGTGAGAGCTTCGTTAGCTTCTGAAATTACCAATTTGGCTCCACTAGTCCCTAAACAAGACGCAATTGATAGCTTGATACCTATACTGCTCAACATGCTAAAAGATGAATATCCTGATGTACGCTTGAACATCATTGCCAAATTGAAGGTTGTAAATGAAGTTGTGGGAATCGATTTGCTATCCGAAAGTCTCTTACCAGCAATAACGGAACTTGCTAAAGATGTCAACTGGAGAGTTCGCATGGCGATTATCGATTATGTCCCATTACTTGCGGAGCAGCTAGGTGTGGAATTTTTTGATCAACAATTAGGTGACTTGTGCTTGTCCTGGCTGTGGGATACGGTTTATTCGATAAGAAGCGCAGCCGTCGTTACTTTGCAAAGTTTGACAAAGATATTCGGATCAGAATGGTCTAGTGAAAAAATAATTTCTCGACTTTTGAAGTCCGATTCACAGTTGCTAGAGAACTTTGTCTACAGAATAACACTTCTTTCTGCATTAACCGAACTGGTACCTGTTGTTTCTGTTGACGTGACGACGCAAAAAATCCTTCCCTTCATAAACCACTTAGCTGACGATGCTGTGCCCAACATAAGATTTAACGTGGCCAAGTCGTACGTGGAGGTAGTCAAAAGCCTAGGCCCAAATAAGAGCCAATACAAGGATTTGATCAATAAGAGTATCATTACTTCGTTGGAAAGACTTCGGGATGACGATGATATGGATGTCAGATATTTCTCCACTCAAAGTTTAAAGCAATGCGAGGCTATTCTAACATAATGTCTGAGCGAACTTGACCCATGTCTGGGGCGTCACATTCAGCTTTTACTTTATAAAAGCGCTACTTACGTATTGCATGAGTTTTTGGTTTCGGTTGAAATGCTTAAGGGATTTTCCAATCGGGAGAAGCCTCAATGGTGTAATCGAAGTGCATTATGTACAATCTTTTTCAGGTAATCAATAATATACAGCTCATGATTGTAATTTCTTATCCTCCTGGTCATCGGTGAGTCTAGTTTTGTTTTCATCCAGTGCCACTTCAAGGTTACCATTTTTATCGATCGTTTCTTTAGCGTCGGTAGCGTCTTCGAGATACTTCATCCACTGTGTAACATTACCACGACTTTTGCGAATGTCTGTGCGGTTTTTCTCGGATTTTAACAGCTTTCGATCCACTGCATTACAAACGTCATTAGCCATGCACAGGTCGCACCTTTTGCCTCTGGGCAGGCAAATCACCTGGCCGAATCCTACCAATACGGGATTGATTTCATACCAAAGGTCATAGGGCAGCCATTCTTCGAGAAGTTTGCGGGTATGTTCTGGAGTCTTCGCTTTATGCGGATCGACCCATTTCCACATTTTACATAGTCTGTCCACATGGACATCAACTCCGATGCCGTCAACTTTGCCCCAGGCCTTCTGAAGAGCAAGATAGCCCATCTTGGGACCAACTCCAGGCAACGAACAGAGTCCAGTTATATCTGGAGGTATATCACCCCCGAAATTGTCTTGTAAAAGCTTCAGAGTTTTCGTGATATAAAGTGCCTTTCTAGTATAAAAACTGACCGGGTATATGAGCTCGGCAATCGTGTTTTGCTCTATTAGAGACATGGATTCTAAAGTGACACCCTGCGGATCTTTCAGAACATCTTTACAATGCTCCATCAAGTTAAACATGGCCTTGGCATTGACTTCATCTTTGGTTTGTGACGACAGCATGAGTGCGATGAGCAACTGAAATCGGTAAGTCCTTGGGGCCATGGTCTCCTTCGTTTTGCCAAATTCACGCCCCACCGTTAGCGGTATCATAGCGCACCCAACTGAGTCCACTGGAGTTGTTATTTTTGAACGCATGAGTCGCACTTTCTGGTAGATCGGAATGAAATTTGCTGGGAAATTTAGCTGGTCATCCAACGGCGCATACGTGATTTCGTCCTTCGTTCTTGCGTCTACCCAATCGTAGTATGTATCTGACTTCATCTTTTTGACCATCTGAACGTCTATGACTTCTCTTGCGGGTGAAGATCGGACTTTTTTGACGTCTTTTTCGTCTTTTTCGTCTTTTTCGTCCTTTTGGAAGTATTTCGATACTTCACCGTCTTCAATCTCAACCTCAACCCTCTCACGCTTAACACTCCTTGTTCTCATCTTGGGAGCAAAACTCAGGATTCTCTTCAGCTTTTCTATACGACTCAGGGATGTCTTGTTCGGCTCATATGTCTTAGATCTGGTGTATATGGCGAACTGGCCTTGCAATTTCCTTAAATTTGGTAATTTAGCTACGCATTTAAAGCATCAATTACTTGCATCTTTGAGGATAATTAAGTCAAAATCCTATCAGACGACCATTTTGACATCTGTTCTTGAGCTGAGAAAGCTCAATTGGTACAATTTGGTCGTACTGACCCTTTTAGCGGATTTTTTACGACCTGTTTTTGGACAGGAGATGTGCACCCGCAAATTGCTCCCGATAGGGAATTCTTTGTTGTCAGGAAGGGCCTTTCAGCCAACTAATAAGGCGTCAATCACATTCATGACATACAACATCTTATCGCCTCACTACATGTGGCCCCAGGTGTATACATATGTCCCTGAAAAATACAAGGATTGGTCCTATCGTCATAAGCTGTTGGAAAGGGAGTTGCTGAATTTATATCGAGCGGATATAATGTGCGTGCAAGAACTGACGGGGAAGGATTATGAGAATTTCTGGAAGCCCCGTTTTCAGCGAAAATTGAATTACGGTAGCAGCTTCATAGCGAAAACGCCGCCCAAATATTGGACTCGATCGCAAGATGAGATGGATGGTGTTGGTATATTCTACAATTTGGCCAAATTTGAGCATATCTCGACGGCGAGCATTTATCTGAACGACTTGGTAGGACTTTTCAACCTGAGTGAGCTAAATTACTTGAAAACTACCCAGATAACGCTCACTGATGGCGCCGGGGAAGTGGTCGGTAAAGACAGTTTGTTAAACGTGCTGCATGGCAGAAATCAGGTGAGTCTGTTTGTCTCGTTAATGCACAAGGAGTCCCGTACTTTGTTTGTGGTTATCAATACACACCTGTACTGGAAATACGACGAGGTTAAACTTTGTCAATGCCTCACAATCATGCGTAAATTGCATAGGGTGATAAAACAGCTGCTCATGGGTAGAGAGGGGGCTACGTACTCTCGCGTCAAGATTCTGTTCGCGGGCGATCTAAACTCACCGCCGGACTCACCCGTAATCAAATTTCTAAAAGGAGAAGGCGTCCAGCGCTCAAACCTCAGTCTCATCAACCCGCTGCGACCTTATTTGAATCACTACATCTACCAGGACACATCCGCTCAATTATTCCAACATACGTGCTACTCAGGGAAGCTGAAGGGTATTTTTGACTACATATGGTACCATGACTGCGATTTCCGCCTGAAAAAGATCCTCAGCGGTACCGAAGTATCACAGGAATTAGAACTGCTCAAAGAGTTTGGCCTTCCCAACAAGGATCATCCTAGCGATCACATTCCAGTGCTCACCGAACTTGAAATTTTGGAGTAGTTAATACGTTCAAGCGTAATGAAAAGCTAAACGAAAAGGCTCACGGTAGAAATATATCCCACGCTCGGATTATTGGGGCAGAGGGCTGGATTGCTGGGGACCCATCAATATGAGAGATGTACCTTCAGGACTGGGTTCCGTTTCGCTCGATGATATTGTTCGTATACTATTACCCACCAACGCAGATCGATGAGCACTGGAAAACTAGTCGAGCAGAAGCTGACGAGCATCTCGACCAAAAACATAAACGGTTGGCAGTTGAAGTCAGACTTCTAGGAGGTAATACACACACGCACGAATCATGGTCCAGAGTGAACCACAAAGACTGCAAAGGCAGCACGAAGAGACCACCACGAGGGACGCTAGAATCAGACTAGATATGAAGAAAATGTTCATGGATGATGAGTTTTTCTTTCCCGAGCAGAGAATGGTAATGGGCTCTAACCAGGCCGTCGCGGTTTCGGGTGGGTTTGGTACGATTCTCAAGGGAGGTTCCAGTGTGGCCCGTGGAGGAGATGGTGGCATGGCTTCGGGAAGACTTACGGAGCAGCAGTATTACCAGAGTCAGCTCGTAGCAGCTGTTCAACAGCAACAGCAACAGCAACAGCAACAACAACAGCAACAGCAACAGCAACAACAACTACAGCGGCAGCAGCAACAGCAGCAGTCGAAACACTCCCATAACCCGTATTTGAATAACTCAACCTTTCACGCGCAACAGCAACGTGACGGGCTTTCTTTGAAGGGCATGCGGAACTGGTGAGCACCCGTTGAGCGGGTTCGGTTATTTTCTTTTCTTTATAGTTTTGTCTTTGTTCAGGGATAGACATTTTTGGGTCATGGTGACAGTTAGATAGATTGATGGTCAGATGGATTCATTGTCTGGGGCATTGCGTGAGTATGCTCGAGTGTTGCATCCCGCCGATCTATAGTATGTTTATGCAGGTGGTACTAAAAAGTTTTGGTTTTTTGTCATAGGGCTATCAGCAGTACTATCAGGATGAGAGACAGTATCACGATGATCAGACAAGGTCCGTTTTCGCGCGCCGTTTTCTCATAGATCTGCAGTCGCTTCTTCGCTCTGTCCAGATTTCTACCACTATTATCCACCAAGCTCTCCAAATCTCTCAGGACGCTTTCGTTTTGATCCGTCATTTCGTGGTTGATGTCCAATGACAGCGTGTGGCCCCGGTGTACCGAGTGCGACAAGTCTTGCAAATGGGAGTCCTGCTCCAAAAGCTGCTGCTGTTGCTGTATGAAAAGGTCCTGGTTCGACAGTTGCGGAACCACGCTGAGCCCACCCTGTGAGTGCACACCGTTGCTTGCGAACAACCTGGTTCTTTCCTGTTCCTGTTGCGGTACGTCGTCCGTGTAGGGTTCGAACTCCGGCTGCTGGTCCTGCGGGTGTTCCTGAAACTCCAACAAGTCATCCTTGAAACGCACTTTTTTGGTCTCCGTCCCGGGTCTCGCCCTCCCCACCGGGGTGAACTTGTATAAGCCCTTATCCACCGCGTCGTCCGGTATCTTCGCGACCAGCGCATTATACAGAGTGGCCATCTCCTCAAATTGCGGCTCCTCACTTTGTGCTAACTCCGTTTCCGTGTCATTCAACAATTCCAGCGTAGCATTCAACTGTTTCTTCAAATTCACTGTGTCGTTGACAGATGCTTTCATGTGCAAGATGGTGACCAACCGGTGTCGTTCATCAACCAAGCTTTGAAGCTTTCCAACAGCGTACGTGAGTTTGAGGAGCTCCATCTGGGTAGGAGTCAGCGTTCTTCGTGCTAGCGATGATCTCGATGATTGTTATGATTATTAGTTGATGATTTCTAAGTAATTTTAAGCTAATATACAAGGTAAGTAAGTAGATGATAGCCACAACCGACACAGTAGCACTCTTACTTGGACTGGTTGGCCTTCTTGAATGCTGTAGAACGTTTGGTAACGCGGCCGGTCTTAGATCTCTCTTTCTTCTTCTTCAATTGGGGCGCGGTATCGCCCTTGGTGGCTCTAAGACCCTCGATGGTGATGGCCTTGCCCGCGGAGGATCTGTCAGCTTTCCCTAGGATCTTGCGAGCCCTGCCGAGCTTGCTTTTCTGATGGTCCGTGAGCCCGCGTGGACCGCCTTGGGCGTGTGGCGACGACTGGGCCTTCTTGACGTTTCTGCACCTGGTGACTCGCAGCTTGCGGCCGGAGCCGTTGAGCTTGTGGCCATCCATCAGCAGCGCCTTGGCTACAGTCTGGAAATCGGTGAACTGTACGTACGCAAAGCCCTTGCCGACGTTGGTTTTAGAGTCTCTGATCACACGCACGTACTCGATGTCGCCGGCAGCGAGGAAGTGCTTCCACAGGTTTTCTTCGGTTTCTTCGAAATCCAGGTTGCCCACGAACACGGACCGCTTGTTGTCGTGCTGGGTTGGGTGCGCAACGGAGTCCACGCGCAAGTGGTGGCCCTCGAAAACGCGGCCGTTCAGGAGCCGGCACGCTGCGGGCACTGCAGCCCTGTCAACATACACCACGTAGGCGTTGACGGACTCGCGAGACTTGTGTAGTTTCTGCTGGACAAAGGCCACTTTGCGGGGAAGCGCCTCCTCGAACGAGATGGAGCGGAATCTGAGACTCTCGATGGCATAGGCGACGCTGTTGTCGTTGGTGTCGTCGTCGTTGTCGTTGTCGTCGTTGTCTTCGTCATTGTTGTCGGACGAGGAAGCATCCTTGGCTATGCTAAAGAGCTTTTTGAAACGCTTGGTCTGCGCCTTCGACGTGACCACGTCTTTGGGCACGTTCCCAACAAAGACGGTTCTCTCGGCCTTTTCCAGCTCTGCCTCTTTCAAGTCGTTCTTCTTGGCTGCATTGGTTGTCGTCGTGGGGGCCGCTGACGGGGCCGCCGCGGCTTCACCAGCTTCCGCCGACTCCGCACCCGCATCCTGTTTCTCCGACGTCTCGTCCCGCAGCAGCTTCGAGTAGTAGTCTGCCTCTACGTCGGCCTCCTCTGCCTCCCGCGTCTTCCTTTTCTGTCTTTTGGACACCTTCTTGCGTCCCTCCTCCGCAGCGAGCGCCCGCTTCTCACCAGCTTCGGGCTGCACCTCATGCTCTACCTCTTCCTCCACTTCCTTCTCCTGTTTCTCCTGCTTCTGCTGCTCTCCAGTGCCCGCGGGCTCGGCCAAAACTGTTCTGGCCTTCACCTTCAATTTCTTGGCGTCCAAAGGCTCCGAAGACCTGCCAAAAAGTTTGCCCATACCATCTCCCAGCGTCTGTTTCAACGCTGACCCAAACAACTTGTCAATCGAGCCCATTCTTACTGCTTTTTGGCTCTCTTAACTTCTTCGACTTGGATGCGATGAGCTTACCAGGCGATGACTTTCGTCTAAAATTTTTCAATATATAGAGGGACAGGGCCTCTCTACCTTAGGTAAACATACACAACCTTTTAGCCAACACCGTCAACACCGAGGAAGACGAGGACGACGCGGACACAGACGAGGATCACCGCGTTGGACACAAGCTCAGTATAGGGTCAATTGAGTTGGTTTGGTAGGGCCTGGTGTACACGTTAGATGGACTCGAGACCGCAAGAACTACAGGATAGTTTGCTGACAGAAGAGAACTTGGCCCGGATCGAAACGGAGGGCTCAGACGCAACGGACGCGACCAAGAGGAAAGAACGCGGTAGCGGAAGTGGCAGTGCAAGCGGCAGTGTCCTGAGCAGAATCGACGCCAACGCGCACAACGCGGATCTGGGGTTAGACGGATTCTACATGTCGTCGGACGCAGAGACCGAGAAGTTGGAGGAGGAGCCTTCGGGAGCGGTGGTGCTGTCGCAGCTGGCGCGGGAGCATGCGGGGGAGGGCGCAGACGGAGGACAAGAGGAGCCGCACCCTGTTGCGAGCACTGAGGAAAGTCCAGGGGAGGTCCCGGTAGAGGTCCCGATAGAGGGCTCGACACAGCAACAACCGCAGTCGCAGTCGCCAACTCAGGAACCAAGTAGCTCTTTCCAACAAGACGCGCTTCTAGGTACGGAAACCGCGCCACCGTCCGCGGTACCGCAACCCTCGGACACCGCCACACAGGAGGCAGTACTGCAAGCATCCGCCTCTGCCCCATCCCCCATCTTAAAACGTTCTCTAGACGACGAGCACCCAGATTCACACTTCAAGAAGCCCCGACTGCCGGCCACTGGTGTCGAGAAGGTGGAGGAAAATGACGACGATAACGACGCGGACGAAGACGAAGACGAAGCGGAGGACGAGATGCTGGACAAAACCGAATCTCAGGGTCCCGCGGCTGCGAATATATCACGAAAACCGACTACGGCGGCCACCGCAAGCGCAGAGACCCACTCGTCGATGGAGGCGGAAAGCACGAGGCTGGCCGCTCTGAAGGAAATCACTGAGATCGAGCGGCAATTCGCAGAATTGCGTCAAAAGCTCCACGATAGCAAGATGGCCAAGCTACAAACCGAAACGCAAATGTGCTTGGAAGGTTCACACCCCGCGCTTCAGGACTACTACCAAAAAATCGATTCGGTACGCGACTTCAAATTGCGTCGCGCCTACCAGAGACAGAAATATGAATTGGAGTGTATCGACAAAGAGACGAAAGCCACCCGTTGCTTCATCCATCAGAATTTTCAGCGCAAAGTATCGAATTTGAAGCATGACATGCTGGTGAACACCACACAACGATGGTACGACATCAATAAAGAGAGGCGAGAAATGGATATTGTGGTGCCGGACGTAAACTACCATGTCCCTGTCAAGATTGACGGGAAAACATTGAGCTGCATCACGGGCTACGCAGCTCCCGCACAATTGCGGCGCGAGGGCGACCCTCTGAGTGAGGATTTGCAGTGCGAAGGTATTCAGATACGGTTCAAGAACAACCCGGTGGATAAACTCGAGGTGATTGTGGATCGCATGAGGTTCAACAACGAACTGAGTGATCTGGAAGGGTTGAAAAGGTTTTTCGATGGGTTCCCGGGCGCGCCGAGCCTAAGCGGGTTAAAGGATTCAGAAATATACGAGGATCTACAGGCAATGCAAAGAAACTCGTAGCGCACATAGGATATAGAAGATTGTTTTAAGGCAGGGCGGGGCCCTCAGGGCCGGGCCCTCTTCAGCACGTTGCGATGAGCTAGCCGCGCTAGCTGCACTAGCTGCCTCCCGCGCCGCCTCCCCAGCTGCGCACCGCCCTCGCGTGCCACGTATACACAACCTACTTACACACCGCGTTCAAATGATATGGCTTAACTTCGATTTTGTATTACAAAATTACGTAGAGAAAGTGCGTGCGTGCGTGCTTGTATGACACCTGGAGTCCCCCACGACTACACTTATCTCAATGGAATGAAACGCGAGGTGGTGGCACCGGCTCTACCGTGTCTGACTGGGGTGTACGAGATGGAAAATTCTCCCAAGTAGTGGCCAACCATTTCTGGCTTGATTTCGACCTGGTTGAACACCTTACCGTTGTACACACCGACCACGGACCCGATCATCTCTGGCACCACAATCATGTTTCTCAAGTGGGTCTTGACGACCGATGGTCTTTCGCCTTCTGGAGTGGCCAACTTAGCGGCTCTCAACTTCTTCATCAAACCGGCTGGCTTGGAAGACAAACCACGGGCAAATCTTCTTCTAACTCTGGCAGGAGCCAACTTTACGAACTCTTCGGTTGGCATTTCCAACATCTTCTCCAAGTCCACACCTTTGTAGGAGTAGGTCTTGAAAGATCTCTTTCTGGCACCGGGGGTAGACATCTTGACTTCGATTCTAGTGAGACGTGTATAGACGGAGCTTACGGTAGAATAAACGAGTTTAAACACTAATCAGCAATCACACCTGTTGTTGAGATTGAACTAGTAGTGTATATCCGGTGTTGATGCTAGCAGTCCACACCCTACGGGACCCAACCAGAGACTGAGCCAGGACGGCAAGGCTGCCCAGCACTTGCTAGGCAGACACTCGGCAGACGCCAGGCGGAGACAGTGTGGCCCCGGCCGGGGAGGCTCCTGCCCAGACTGGAAGGACTCTGCCGGGAGCTAGGCGGAGCTGCTGCCTAGACGCGCCTGGCCACGCCCGTGGGATATTTTTCACCAACAGACCGACTCTTTTTTTTGGGACCGCATGTGACATTTACACCCGTACACCACACTGTGTAGCGTGTGACTGCTCGCAAATTGCAGAAATTTGTGCGTCGTTTAATTTTGTGGGAAAAATGGGAATAAATAGGCGTCTTTAGTCACGCGCAACGGCACGCATCGCAGCGGCGGTGAAAAATTACACTACCAGGACACAGCTCTGGACTGGTTGAGATAAGGTGTTGTTGTACACAGGAGTTTGGATAGTTTGTACAGGTTGGTAATATTCGCAATACGCTAAATCAGGATACTATCATGAAGTACTTGGCCGCCTATTTGTTGTTGAACGCCGCTGGTAACTCTGCCCCAAGCGCGGAGAACGTCAAGACCGTCTTGGAATCCGTCGGCATTGAGGTCGAGGAGGACAAGGTGTCGTCGCTGTTGAGCTCGTTGGAGGGCAAGTCGATCGAGGAATTGGTCGCCGAGGGTAACGAGAAATTGGCCGCCGTGCCAGCGTCTTCTGGCGCTGCTGCGCCAGCTGCCGGTGCTGCCGCTGGTGGCGAGGCCGAGGAGGCCGCCCCAGAGGAAGAAGCCGAGGAGTCCGACGACGACATGGGTTTCGGTTTGTTCGATTAAAGAATCCGGATTCGAGAGTTGTGTTAGCATGTGTAAGATTCCACCTACGTAAAAAGATCAAAGACAAGGAAGATTCAATTAGTTTGGGGTATGGCGGTGCGCGGAGGCCGCTTCTGGACCACAGACGGCAGTGGCACCGGCGGCCAGTTGGTGATGTTACTGCCTCGTCCCAGCGACGCGACCGTACGGAGTGATTGTGATGCGCTACACAAACGGGTTGGACAGCCCGCCAGAGGGGTCCTCCGCGCCGCAGAAGCCGTCTTGCACGCCTAGGTTGAAGAGCTGGTTCGGCGCGCCGGGGAATGGCAACAGGTCTTGGGAGGCTCGGACGTTATTGGCCATTTCGGAAATCGCCAGCGTTAGCGCCTCGATTTTCGTTTTGTAAACCTGGTTTTGCCTCTTCAAGCGCCAGTTTTCCCTGTTTTTCGTGATGCGACCCACAACGTTGTCGATGTGGTAGACTAAGAACCAATTTTGCAACAGTTTCTGGTTCCTGTCTTCACTGTCGAGGAGGTCCTCGTCGGTCATAGTGTCGCCTTCCAGCGATTCCTCATCTGCCTCCATGGCTGCCAATTCCTCCAGGGTCCTAGTTGCCAATTCCCGCAGTGCTGCTACACGCGTTTCAAACTCTTGGTCAGACAATGCTGAATTCAAAAGTTCCTCGGGAACAGCACCAACACTTTCAATTCGGGAAACTAGTGGAAGGTGTTTCTTGTTGAATGGCATCTTTCCATTGTGGTCGAACATGCTGCGTATCGTCGCTGCTTTGGCAAGTGCCTGCGGCGCATTGAGCGCTGTGGATAGCACTTTTTTCTTCAAGTCCTCTGACTGTAAATTGAGAACTGAGCTTGGATCTTTGACCATGCCCTGCAAGAAATCCCAGACGCTCGAGCCCAATTCATTGACTAGCGCTTCGCTCATTGAGCTCGAATCGTGAGCCGTGCCCTGCATGTGCGCGATCTTCCTCGATATGTCACGATCGATATTTCCTGACACTCTGGGAAACAGTTTGAAAAACTGCTTTTTTGATAGATCTCTCAAGACATCTGTAGTGAGCCTGGCACCGGCTGGCCCCTGAGATTGAGCAGCTGCATCCGCCCCACTTTCATAAATTTTCAAAGCTTCCTCAATTTTGCTCTGCTCACGCAGGCCCAGGAAACACGCGCCGAAGTATATCAGGTACATGACTATACCCATAACGTTCGCTTGCTGTTCGAGGAAAAGCTCTTTGGTGATTGTCAAATGTGGACCAGCACCAAATGCCAGCTCAGAGCATTTGTCCAACCTTTCCATTAGTTTAGGTACCAGGGATATATCTTCTCCTTCGTTTTCCCCGCTAATTAGATCAGTTACCAATTTGAGTACGTCTTCGAAGGTGAATTTTGAGACAAAATCCGCAGTTAGGGTAGTAACCGAAGGGACTTCGTCCTTCACTTCCTGTGATTTGTCCTCTTCCCCTTCGCTGCTGTGGGTGGGTAGTTCCTCGCTTGACGCTTGATGTATAATGTGATCTGCGTTGACAGAAAGAAAGTCCAGGCTTTCGAGCTCCTCTTCGCCAATAAAAAAAGCTTCATTTCCTACCAATGATATTAAGGGACTCGGGGGGCTTTCTGGACCAGCCACTGTTGCACCTGCTATTGTTCGAGACCGCGGTATACTACCTTGAGAGATAGGAAGAATCTTGTTGAGGAAGATGTCTTTCATCTTGGCATGAGCATCGAAATGTTTCATCACCGTTCTGACAGCTGGGTTGAACAAGGATCTTTCTGGCGGGTATACGCCCGCAGTTCTGAACGCCTGGCTTATTGTCGAGCTCTCAAAATCGTGACACAAAGTGTGGTTCAGAGCGTTAATGAAATTACACAAGACGTCAAAATGTCCATACCTAGGCTTCCCGTCCGGACCTAAAGTGGGGTTCGGACACCATTCAGTAGCAAGGGTTCGAACCTTTTTTTTCAGATTGCTAAAGACTCCAACGTCTAAAGGCTGAAGGATGTGTGTGGTATTGGGTGGTAATAAAAGCAGTACGATTCGCCTCTCTGTTACAAAGTCTAGCACCTGTTGGCAGTAATGAGAATAATGGTTGTCAACAATCAAGACTCGTTGCCGTAGAATGCCGTTTGAACTGTGTTCCTTTGCCGTCTGTAAGGTGTGGGCATCAAACCATTTGACGTACTCGAAGAAGGCTTTCGAATTGTTCCAGCCATTTGACGTGAACACAAGGTTCACCTTATCCTCAACGCCAGTATGGAGCTTTGGCTTAGCCAGTGCCTCGAAACGAGGATTGAAAATATGGCACTCCGTTTTGTGCTTGGCAATGCTGGAGGCAGCAGTTACCATTGGGGGCACAATTTGCCCTGCAGCTGACACACATGCAGTTACAGTGGTAAGACTCTTGGGGTCTGCCCCTGTTTCCTTGACCTTATAAACTACGCCTTTTTTATGAGAATTTCTAGGGTTGTTCATGCTGACATACCGAGCATGCTTATTACTAGTATTAAGCGTATGAGCAAATCCAATTTCGTCTGCATTGAAGACGAGCTCAGCTGGCGTTGACCCCAACGTATTATAGGCGTCCTCATTCAGCCACATGGCGATGTTATTGACATCCGATGCCTTCAGTCTGGCAGAGTCCATACGTTTAGCCTTAGAAGACCCAAAACCATTCCGCTGACGGAACCTCCACCCGAAATTCTTGCCCAGCTGAACTTCCCGGTCGCTAAGTAATCGGGGCAGATTGATGGTTCCGTTTGGTTCAAGAGCCATAGACATATTTGACATTTTTATCTCCGCACAGTCCGTGGTCGTTGCCATAAGTTCACACACAGCGTCTGCCTGCTTGACCGTGATTTGCGCATTCTGCATGTTGGAGATGGCGTACAGAGTAGTCAGAAATTGTTCACTGGATGCAGAAAGTTTGCGCCGGCGAACACCTTCGGCCACTCTAGAGATGCTGGGATTGACGCTTTTCAGCCGATCCCGTAATGTTCTCTCGGGAATGTTGTACTTGAAACTTATGTGGGGGACCAGTTTACATCGTTTCGACGGCGATACTGGGGAATTGAGGACGTTCAATAGCGCCACACTGGCTACTCTCTTACGGGTCGGTTGGTCTGGCGCCAACCTATAGTCCATCGGCTGTCCGACCTCGCCAGTCGAAGCTAGATCCCGCTGACGCTTGAGCCGCTTTATAGCGTCGTTTAAAGTCGACAGCGACACACCGTAACGATGGGCCACCACCGACTTTGACGGGTTTGCAGTGTCCAAAAATTCTTTGGCAGCAATTTTGGCCTTTTCACCGTTGAAGCGCTTTTGTTTTTGCGAGAGCGTCAGATGCGAGTAGTCTCCGGAGGGGCGAGAGTTGGCCAGTAAATAGTGTGCTGCAGGTATTACCAAGTCCCAATCACACATTCCGCAGACGGGAAGTAGCGTGGAAGTGGTGGTAGCCCCGTGCGTATTGGCCAATACCCGTGGAAACTCTCCGTGATGCCTGAAGTGAAGTAGTATGCGGTACTGACTGCCTGAGTTCGTCTGCCGGCACACTTCAGCACACATTAACGGCAAGTACAGGTGGACGCCGTTGGAGTGGACATTGCGAGAGAGCAGAAGAACGAGGTCTGGGTTGGCATGATCCAAGCCCTCTGCGGTCAGAAAAGAGACCAGTTCTTTCCGCACAATTTTGTATCTGCGGTAGTCTTGTTGAAATAGTACTCTCCCGATGCACGAAGAACTCATGATGCCGATAGTCGAACGGGAGAAAGTGCAAAAACAGGGCCAGTTTCCAGCTGTAGGCCATCGTCGTGAGTAGCCCCGGTGTACTTATACAGTATAGATCCATGATCCGCGCCCTGTGCAAAGGAAATAGCCATCCTACGCTACACTGCTTTGTTGATTGTTCACAACACAGACGCGCTTCGCGAAACTGGCAAAAGCGCGGTTGATGTGCTTTTTAAGGCGATTGACCATAGATCTACCACGTCCAGTTGCTCCTCGGTCTTCCCGCCTCCCATGTGTCAGCCTCGACCCTGCCTCATTGCCGCCAAAAAATTGGTTCGGTGTGAACTCATCGGCTCATCGCCCCTAACTTTGGATCAAAAAGCACTCATTTGCAAAAAACCCAATCCTCTTGATACCGCAAAGTCCAACTAGTCTCCTTGGGGATTGGCACGGGCCCCGTTGATTTTCTTGTCCTCTGAATCGCCCCGTTCCATGCTGGTACTGTAGACATGGTTTTCTGAAGCTGGAGTTCGTTGGTGGGGCACCCGTTTGGCCCTTCTCGCTGAGATCTTGGACACGCTAGCCACAAGAAGCGTCACAACGTACCTCAAAAACCTGGTTCCCAAGAGGAGCTAGCTACACAGACTCGCGGCCTCGAAAAAGCTTCGGAGTCTCCCAGGACGCGTCCGCGACACGTAAAAGGTACGTGTCATCTCAGTCACGTGCCGCAATCGGTCTGGGATTGTGTTTACGTAAGCCGCTTTTTTCGTGTATGAAGATGGGGAGATTTTCCAACCGTTGAAAGCTTGCAACCAGAGCTATTGGCAGCAGCCTTGTTATTGGCAACCCGTCTGGGTCGGCAGATCATCAGGTTCCTATGGTATAGGCCGGGATCAGCGCTACCGAAAGCACTGTTTAGATGAGATCCAACATTCTTTGAGAATGTGGGTCTCGAACTACATAATCAGGACACAATTTTATGGTCAACGTCATGATCGTAGCAGGTATTCGTATTTTTCCCGGTCTTTGATTTCGGGCCTTCACATACTTCAACGGTAAGTTCGGCCCATAAAGGTACCTGCGGCTTCAACGGTCAGCTAACCATATTTTTGTTCACAAGAGTAGGAAGGACAGACAGACCACAGGTAATTGGCATCGGGCTGGTAGCCCAAGTGGTACACACAATTGAGGATCGGGACTACGAGCAGGGCGATGTTAGCCGTGGCAGCCGTGGGTAGAACGTATATCAAAGGTACAACCGTTACGGAAAATGGCAGGGCGTTGGTAATTCGTAATACACTCCACGCCACGCTACCCCACAGGGACACAATACATGGCCAAGAGCTGGTGGTGCATGTGTAAAATCTTGGCTACAAGTGTGAGTTGGTGGCATAGTGTTACGTCGAGGTAGCAAATAGCCCTTTTTCTTTTCCCTTTCGGAGGGAATGCGGCTCAGAATGATAGATAGCGAACGTTGGGTAAAGTGTATAATCTAAAAGGTGACGTCTGATCACCGGGTTTTGTACATATGTTTCTGCGATTGTAGGGGGGAGGAGGCGTCGTTGTGACCTGATAGCAGCGGAAAAAGAGAAGGCAGAGCGATCGGAAACCGGCCGGTAGCAAGGAAAGTAAGCGATGCGTATGCGTGGGTGATGGAATTAGGAAGGTAAAATAAAATAATTTAAGCAAAAAAAAGTTGGTTCACACCGGCGGTGTTGCATCGTATGCTTCTAGTCACTGTGCTGGTCTTACGCTGTTCTCCCATGCTCGAGTTGCGGATGCGCCCGCGCAATACAATATTAAAGATCTACTTTCTTTTTGTAGACACCATCTCCGCGAGAACGTAGGTGGTATGTTCCGGAGTGCCACAAGAGTGTGGGCACTCGCCCAATACCTTGGCCAAGCGTCGGTTGAAGCGACTGTCAACCTTATCATGAACCATAGCGACATGTCTAACGTAAGAATCACGCCTGAAAAACTTCTTTTCACAGAACGGAGAGGGACATCCCATGATCGGGAAATCGGATTCGCCGAGCTTCAGTGAGTGTTTGAGCTCGGGGGGTATCTCCAACTTATGTTGTATAGCACAGTGGCGCCGTAGTTCAGGACGCCGGGGCAGTCCCAGTATTTTCCAAGGACACAACACAAAGGGGCATTTGTAGTCGCGTTGTATTTCAAAATCGTCGATATGCCTAGCGTAGTCCAAGACGTTAGAAAACATCTTGGGGCAATGGGCGCACCGGTAGTAGCCCCGCTTGACTCTTTTCGACAGCGCTTCCATGAGCGGCAAGTCGTTGATCATCTGCTCGTACACAGATTCATGCTTGGACGTTGGCGAGCGCTGGGCAGGGGTGTTGAACGACTGATAGAAGCGCTCCTCAAGGTCGTCCTCTGACTCCACACTCGACAGCGTGCTGCCAGGCTCGCCTTCGGGCTTAGTGGCAGTGATACCCGGAAAGTACGGCTCACTGACGTTAGAAGAAGGGCGGGGAGGGCTGGAGTTCATACCAGATGACGAGAGCCTCCCTTCCGAGTCCAGTCTCGACGCGGGCTGGAAGTCTTCAAAGTAATTTAGTCTCGGGATCTCCGGCACGCTGCTTCGAGACGTTACCTGGCACGGGATATACACCCTTGGATCGTCACTGGCCACAGCGAACGCCGCCTCCTGCTGATGTGAGTGATAGTGGGCAAGCTCTGTAGAATCCTGCTCTGGCTGGCGAGCATGACCACCTTGAGCTTCGTAATCGCAGTATCCGTGGTATTCGAGGTCGAAACTACAGCGCTGGCCACCAACGTTAGCATCTCTGCGGGTACTCAAATGATAATCACTGGTAGCAGCAAACGGATCGCTAGCAGTGTATGGCAGATGGGCGTGGTGTGAGAGTGGTTGCCAGCCGCCCATTCTTTGTCTGGTTGCATACGCTTGCGGATGGAAAGGGCGCAATGGCTGCTGCGACCCATGTCGATTGAACCGGCTATTGAATCCAGCGATTGTCGTCGGCATGTACAACTGGCTCTGAGCTGTTACCAGGTCGGGCGTAAACAAGCGTGATACATCCTCGAACTCGCGCACGCCCTCGGAGAATGAGTTGGCTTTGATAAACGCTGGCCTGGATGTGTGCCCGCTATAAGCAGTGATGGGCGGTGTCCTCATCACCGGTGCACAGGGTCGATCTGGCAGTGGTTCGGCTTCCAACAGATCTAACGTCCACAAAGAGTCCTCCGACGCTGTGTCCTGTGTCGATTGGCTCGACCAAGATTGCACCGAATTCAATTGATCCCGATGCTTGACATCCTGCCACGACGGACCTCCGAAATGGAGCGCCTCATCATAGGCTGTAGCGTCAAACGACACCATCCCGTTTTCTCCTTTCAAAGACAGAGTACGTTTATAACCTACGAGAGAGAACTTGTGGGGCCCTAGTAAGGAAATTACCACCACAGCACAGCACTCAAGTTGTCCAACTCTAAACACACACCCACCCAAAAATATTTTTCTCTTATATCAGGCAGCAAATCCTGTGGGGTATCTAATGTGATCTCAGTATCCCTGTACTAGCGATCTCGCTCCTTCCTCATCCCTCTGCAGTACACGTTCTGTGTGCAGGTTCGCCCACACCGCCGCATTTCTGATCATCCAATACTTGTTGCCAATCTTCGATCGCGATAGTGCGCCGGTGTCACTATTCAAGCTGCCATCTGAAACAAGATCGCAGGGGATCGGGCCATAAATCCTGCAAGTCCTGAGTTTGAGCGTTTTTTCGGGCACAAAAACGTAACATCCCGCGACTACTGCTTTACGGGCAATACGTCAGGCACAGACGCAGGCAAGAAGACCGACATATCGCCTCTCTCGTGTGGACGGAACTAACGACAGTGAGATCTCCGTCTGTAAGCAATAACGGATAACTTTACAACGTTATTGCAGCCAAAGCTGAAAAACAGTCCACTTAATCGGATTTTTTTTCTCCCTTGCTCTGTTCTGGTCACTATCGCCGAGACAGAGGTATTAGGAAGTGACACGGACAGATAGCACGTAAGCGTAGTGGCCATATCTCGACGGAGACCTTTGAAATTTTGCCCTGATTTCGTAAGGCATCGTTCAGCCCGTATTAAAAACCCCCGTGGGCCTGCCTATGATGCTTGCGGTCCAGACGTTGAGAGAACAAATCTGAAGGCAGGCGGTCGATCGCGATCGCGAGAGTTTTTGAGAGGTGCGAAGAAGAAGACAGGGTCTGGTAGGTAGAAGGGGTCCAAGCTGACGCGATCAAGCCACTCTCTTCTATCTCGGCTCTAGCGATTGCCTCGTAAATTGGGGTGCCTGCTTGCTAAACTCCAATATAATGAGTTGCACGTGAATACAGGATAAATCAGTTCAAAGTACGCTCGTAAGCCCAGAGGATACAGGCGGGTTGATGGAGAGATCATTTTGTTATCTATGGTGCAGCCTTTGTCCTCCTTCTCGTGGCACCCAGACATGGCGAGTTATATCGCAGATCACCGACAAGCTAAGTCGATGATCGGAGACCGTGTGCTCGGTTGATGCACTGCTACCCGTGATCTTCTCCGTGCTTAATTATCGTCTTAATCGGTTTTTCCATGTGACTAGCCACGTGAGTGGCTACCTAGGAGTTCAGCTTGGGCATACTTATTCCATCAAACCACAACTATGGTATATAATAAGCATGCGCCCAATTCCGCCCAATAGTGTGCTTTTTTCTAATAAGAAGCGCCTCACCTGCTGGATATCCCGATTCCGCCAAAGAAGAGCATCGCGAATTAGTTGTGTTTTGCGAATTTTGCCGCCCAACCTCAATTACAAGAGCTAATCACGGAGAGAGCCAGATATCTCGCTTCACAAACACCGTAAGGCCGTTTGGTTTGCTCTTGAACTAAGTTCTGACGAGCGCGCTTGCTGTGCGGGTTCTCGGCGGTAGAGTTAATAAAATCTGGGGTTTTTTATAGGTGTTGTGTGTCACTATTTACGATGGTGATTCAACAACGTTTCCGCACACAGATGATGCTCTCAGGAAATCGATTAGTGGCCATTCCGGTCTCTCCAAACGTCGTTGGACTTTCAGACGCGTCATGCTCTTTTCTAGCTTGCCTTATTGGTACTCGGTCATTTGCATGAATTGTTGAGGGGGTTCTCGCGTCGGTGGATCCGTACTTCACGAATTTGATTGTTCAGTTTTGGCCCTCTATCTGATCGCCGTGATTGTGGGGTAGAAGATCCGTCACATGCCAAACCACAGCGAGGCGAGAACTAGGAATATGATACTGACTAAAAAAGTAGCAGTGTCCTAACCAGCATCAAGAGATGAAGAAACTCAGGAATTGACAGGACTCTTCGACCTTGGTGCACCTATGAGTTCTCTAATCCCGGCTTGAACACCTTGTGCGGTGTGTTCGCTACATCCAAAAATACGCATGGAAGAGTAATGTCATCATTCACGAGCTGCACGAGCTCAGGCCGATGTATCTTGACTCCGGTGGGCGCTGCTCGCCTTCGTCAAGAAGCTGGGATTCCGCGGGACATCTGTTTATTCTATTAAACACGAGTGCCAGTTTACATAAAAAACTACAGAAAACTAAAACGTTGACGTCTCAATGCATAAAGGACGAGCCTTGCGCCCTTCAGTTAATGTACAAGTGTTTATTTTGTCTTTTTTCTTCAGGTCAATTCAGTTTTGACTATTTGAATATGTGCTTGGAGCATTTGGGAGACACTTATTGGTTTTCAGGTCTCAACTTTCTCACCTCCTTACCAACTCTCCAGATTTCCATGCCTCTGATGGTTTGCAATTCTTCCTCCAACTTGGCTCTGTAGTCAGGTTGAGAGTTGAACTCCAATGATCTCTTGGTCTCGGAACCGTTCTTCGTGGACTCGTACAAGTCTTGGAAAACTGGCTTCAAGGCGTCCTTGAAGATTGGGTACCAGTCCAAAGCACCACGTCTGGCGGTGGTAGAGCAGGCGTCGTACATGTAATCCATACCGTACTTACCGATCAATGGGTACAAGGATTGAGTGGCTTCCTCGACGGTTTCGTTGAAGGCCTCGGATGGAGAGTGGCCGTTTTCTCTCAACACTTCGTATTGAGCCAAAAACATACCATGGATACCACCCATTAGACAGCCTCTTTCACCGTACAAGTCGGAGTTGACTTCCCTTTCGAAGGTGGTTTGGTAGACGTAACCAGAACCAACGGCAACGGCCAAAGCTTGGGCCTTTTCGTGAGCCTTGTTTGTAACGTCGTTCCAGACGGCGTATGAAGAGTTGATACCACGGCCCTCTTTGAACAAAGATCTCACGGTTCTACCGGAGCCCTTTGGAGCAACCAAGATAACGTCGATGTCCTTAGGAGGCTCGACGTGCGTCAAGTCCTTGAAGACGGGGGAGAAACCGTGAGAAAAGTACAAAGTCTTTTCCTTGGTTAGCAATGGCTTGATGGAATTCCAAGTCTCGGATTGGGCAGCGTCGGACAACAAGTTCATGATGTAGGTACCCTTTTCAATGGCCTCGTGCACGTCGAACAAGGTTTCACCTGGAACCCAGCCGTCTTCGATGGCCGCCTTCCATGAGGCACCGTCTTTACGCACACCAACGATAACGTTCAAACCGTTGTCTCTCATGTTCAAACCTTGACCGTATCCCTGAGAACCGTAACCGATCATGGCCATGGTGTCGTTCTTGAAGTAGTCCAACAACTTCTCACGAGGCCAGTCGGCTCTTTCGTACACGGTTTCAGTGGTACCGCCGAAGTTGATCTGCTTTAGACCACGAGTAGCAACCATTGGCTTGACGAATTGTCTAGCAGCTGTTGGTCTTAGAGTGGCACGAGAAGCCACAGAGAGGGCTCTCTTGGCAGTGATAACACGGGAGTTAGCAATCAATCTGGAAGCTTGGATTCTTAGAGACATTGTGAGACGCAGAATTGTGGTTTAGGAGAAAAGATCACTCAGAATGAAATCATTAAAGGGTCGATTCCCTAAACATTTAGGAACCTACTGGTCATTTTATAATTGAAAAAAAAATTTTCTGACCACTCAAAATTTTTCAGATCATGAGCTGGAGTCATAATACTGCTAGTCTCATAATGATGGCCACGTTAGTGGAGGAAGCCGAAATGAGTCTGATTATGCCGGTATCGGCTTTAGAAAAAGTGGTCGGGAACTGCTGTGTAGGTAAGCGTAGGTGATAAGATGTGTGGAACACAATCAGAGCCTGAGAGCAACGATAGATTTTTTTGAGCGTGACCCGCTAGAAGTGCCCGAGATCATTGTATAGCCATGTAGGTTCTTGTGGATTGAATGTTATCTGGTTGTGGCAAGACATTGGACTTCAAAGCTCGAGCGGCTTTAGGTCTTGTGAAATTGACCGGGTGTTCGCTATCGATGTCACTTAGACGTCTTACCGATATGTCGATCTGATTGATAAAAATGTGGAAATTTGTAACGCTTATCGTCACACGGACCGGGGGAGACGCCGCGAAGCGCCGGAGCCGCTGTCATTAGCTTCAGACAAAGCTCTGGGTTCAATGGCACTCTGGAAGAACCCGTCCACAGCATGTAGAGGGTTTTTGGTGACACAGTCAGCGCATCGCTTCAATTGTTTTTGCGAACCACGCCTGTGGTTGTGATGTTCTCTACAACCTCACTGTCACCCGTTCAGCTGGTTGGTTCAACTGTAGGCCCTGCCTCAAGGGACAATTCCGTCAGTTTGTCTGGTCGAAATTTCAGGCCACTTATTTTCGTTCCCTCCCGGCCTGGCTCATTAGAATAAGGGCATAGATTCGCTAGTGCTGGTAGGTTGTGCTGAGTTCAGCTCAGCGGCTTGTCTATCGTTTATGTTGGTTAAATATTATATGATATCGTAAGATATAATTTTACCTCATCAGCACTAAGAGTACTGAAAAAGCAGCAATGGCAAAATCCAGATTTGAGTATGTGCGGCAATTTGAAACGCACTGCACTCTTCTACCAGAGACGTATATAGTGGTGAGAATCGATGGTAAGAAGTTTCATGAATTCTCCAAGCATTATGACTTCGAAAAACCTAACGATGCTCGAGCTCTACGTTTAATGAATGCTTGTGCGAAAAATGTAGTGCTGAAGTACAGAAACGACATAATTTGTGCCTTTGGCGAAAGCGATGAGTACTCCTTTATCCTTAGGAAAGATACCGTTTTGTTCAAGAGGCGGCACGACAAGTTAAGCTCGCTTTTTGTCTCTCTTTTCAGCTCCAATTACGTTGCATTATGGGACAAGTTTTTTCCCGACAGGCCGCTGGATTACAAGCACCTCCCGTTTTTCGACTCTCGCTGCGTGTGCTACCCCAGTCTAAATACTATCAAGGACTATCTATGTTGGCGGTTTGTCGACACACATATCAACAACTTGTACAACACTGTATTTTGGAACTTGATAATCAAGTGCGGCCTCACGCCACAAGAATCCGAGCAAAAGTTGTGCGGGACTCTTAGCAGTGAGAAACAGGAAATTTTGTTCGCTGACTGTGGCATTAACTACAACAACGAGCCTGAAATGTTCAAAAAGGGTTCCCTAATAACCAACAAAGGCGAGATCACTCACGTCGACGTTGTAAAAATCATTGATTCTTTGTTTGAAAAGTTTTAGGGCAAATTTTGGGACCCGACAAAGTCTCTGTTGACCATGTAGTATATCGTCTTGCCGTTGGCTATTTTTAGGCTGTGAACAACGTCGACTTCGTGTGCCACCTCTAATACAATGGTCTGAGTGATGGTGTCATCGCGATAGTCATATTGCCAGAAATAAATCTTTCCATGCTCGCTCCCCGTGATAATGCACACTTGTGTGCGACCTCGACTAACTACTTGGCAGTTGACGAGAGGTGATTTCTCCTCATTCTCTTGTCTTTCGTTGCGTACAAAAATACGCACGCTTTCCCAATTACCGTTAGCACCTCTCTTAAATAAGTGGCATCCACTATTAAGTATATTGACCGCGTAATAGCGCAAGCTCTTAGTAGTATATTGCTTAGCGACGACACCCGCCCCTGATACGAGGGTATCACCCCCTAGTGCTGACTCGATTAGCGGCAGCTTTTGCATTATTCCCTTTTCAAGCGAGTACAGATAGTTATCATAGCTCGCGAAGATTAGCTCAGGTATATATATGGCTTCTGGATCCAGGCCGCTCGGGAGACAAGGTTCACAAGTTGCAAAAGAATCGGCTGCCGCGTTTGTTTTTTCCTCGATTTTGCGAAACGACTCTGTCAAGATGTTGAACTCAAATATAACCAGAGTACCGAGCGTCGTTCCGTAAACTACTTGCAAGGCTGATCCTTGGACGTTAAATGCAAAGAAAGAGGTAATGGTATCTCTTGTTAAATAATGAGCCCACTTAAATGTTTTTCGTCGGCTGGCTGAAAAGAGTGTTTCCAGCGATACCAAATGAATTGCATCGCCAGTGTTTACGATAATGTAATGATGTAGTTCTGCTTTGCCTTTGACTACAGTGCTCGCCTGCACCAATTGAAGCTGGAATGAGTTCTTTTCGATTGTAGAAGATGAAAGCTGAATTCCAAGCTCATATCTTGTGGGTGTCCGCTCTTCATTCAGTTTTTTAACTCTCACAAATGTCTTCGCTGGCCGAATAGTTGAGATTTCTAATGATACTAGAAATTGCTCGCCTGGAGATACGCAGTAAGCAACCAGAGACACATCGGCCACCTTCTCGATCAATGAGGTATCGCCCATCGCTCTGAAGGTCCAGAGCTCAAGTATCTGTGAACTCGACTTGATGAACTTGGTGGAGCCGCACCATACACATCATGTCTTCAATATCAACACTTTGGCAAACGTGACGGACGCACATTCGAGAATACTTCAAAAAATTAGACTCCGCGACGGGGAATTGAACCCCGGTCCCGGGCGCGACAAGCCCGAATTCTAGCCACTAAACTATCGCGGATATTTTTTTTGAAAGGATGGAATCAAGAGCGAACTTATCTTTCAACATTAATCACGCCACACAACTCACTACCTCAATTGTAAGTAAGGAACAACTGGTGCTTCATAGCCACCAAATAAGCAAGTTCTTGTATTGCTCACAATCAGCTACTGCTTCTCATATGCGTGCCTGTTTTTGTCCTGACTTCCATAGCTCTTTATATTGATCGTCTCAAGAAACAACGAATGACTTCATATTGACCAGGAAGCTCTCTCTATTTTAGATCCCTAGGTGAAACTGATGTAGGTCGCCTCACACTTTTGCATCGGTACCTCTTTGCTACGTAGGCTCATGGAATAGTAACTGACTCATGGATTGTCATTATTAATTTTGCCTGACGTTCCACGCCAATGACCTTCATCCTATCCGTTTTCATCCTCTTCACTGCCATTCCAAGTTCTGGAGCAGCGTTTGGCATTGCCACTTCAAACATTGTTGATTTGTTCAAAAAAGATATATATATATATGCTATTGTAATTAAAAGTGTAAAAGATTGAACTGGGAAAGTCCGAAAATTTATGCACGATTAGTCGTCCATTCCATGCAGTTAAAAAGATGGACATGTGTTTGCGCCCATTGAGAAATAGTTGAACCGTTGAGCGGCAACGCATCTCCACTTTCTGTTTCTTAGTTTGTTGAGATCCATTCCATGCCTTTCGTTCGGTCATGTTGAAGGCCCGCTGTTTTTGTTTTGGTTTCTATTTTTTGGTGATATGTTTAATAATTTCTGGCGTTCAGTTCATTACCATGTTCGTCGTAATACTTTTCTTCATCCAACATAAGCTCATTGGAATGCGAGCCACGACCGTCGGTAGGATTCCTACTAACCCCATTGGAACGGTCGCCTGGTCCGTTGTTATCATCGTCAAGCTCGGAAGTGCCTCCGATCGGAGAGTCGCCTTCGTACTCACTTCTACCACTTTTACCCATCAAAGCATACCACCATCTCGTCAGCTTGTTCTGCTTGTAAGCAGTGACAACGTGACCCTCAGAATTGATGAAGTTTGTCTTCTTGGATCTGATGCAGAAGAAATAAAAGAAGGCAAGGATCCCGAGAAGGATGGGTACGCCAATTCCAACAACACAACCAATGACTATGTTTCGATTCTTCTTAGAAAGACCAGAGCCACCATTTTCCGATCCTTTGGAACCCGCGGTGCTGGTAGCCGTATAGTATACCGTAGAAACCACCGTTCTACCATTGATCATCGTTGTCAAGGTCTGTTTGCTAGTAGTTGAGGCAGGCGGGGTGGTCGAAGAATGTGTGTTGTCTGTTGTGGAGGAAACCGACGAATCGGCAGTAGATGAGCTGGCGGAAGATGAAGAAGAGGAAGTGGAGGACGTCGACTGCGGACCAGAGGAGCTCGAGCTTGGTCTCGCACTGCTGGAGCTTGACGAATGGCTGTCGCTGCTGCTGCTGCTACTCTGGCTGCTGCTGCTGCTACTACTCTGGCTTCTGCTGCTGCTGCTACTCTGACTTCTGCTGCTGCTGCTGCTGACTTCGGAAGATATTGATGTGAAAGATGTTTCAGCCGCGCTAGTGGTGGAAGGTGACGAGGAGTCCGAGGAGCTGGCACTTGAGCTCGGGAGCGTTGCTGATGATGAAACAGAACTAAAACTTGATGAAGAAAACGAGAACGTAGAGGACTCGGCCGAGCTCGACGGGAAGAACGAACTCGACGGAGGCACGCTGGAGCTCGACAGCGACGATATATATCCACTCGATGTCGACAGCCCACTCGAGTAGCTTGTGTTGCTGTTGGACGAGCCGCTTGGATCGTTGAAACCTTGCTGGATCGAGTTTTGGACCCCCACGGCCAAAAATAGCAGTCCGATTCCAAATCTCATCAGAAAAAGTGGTACCTTGTTCGCTTTCGTATATTTTCTAGGTCTGCAAGATACAAACCTTTCGCGCAGAAGGATCGGGGTATCCGTCAATGGTCTTGCACTCTTCTCGATTGTCTTTATATTTCTCAACGGTGCGATTAGAGAGATGAGTTTCACTGGTCCGGTTGTGAGATTTAATTTTGGAGACAACCAGATCTCACTCAAGACGGGTCTCAAAACAGGAATTTCACATATGCATATTCATGCATATGTGATGTTATGTAATCTGAATCTTGCATGGGATTTGGCGTTCTCGAAAAATTGTTTACGTGTGTCATGACTTCGTATTTTCGTGGCTCATATGAAATGGTACAATGGCCAGCTAACTATTACGAATTACAGGTTGAAGGCGCAGGCTATTGCCGTATGGACGAGGCCCGCTCTAGTATTATGGAAGTCTACAGTACTTTAATGTGGGCTGAGGACTATTTTGGCACCTTGCATACTTTGAAGACAGAAGTAGTATTTTCAAACCAAAGATGTGATGGTAACGCGATGCGTGCAGGCTTAAAGGATTTTCGTACGCATTGTAATCCATTACTCATGCTGGGCCTCCAGTTTGAGTCGTCTCTCAGCCCATTTTTCTCTCTCTTTGTACGATGACCGTTGTGGCAGAAGGCGGACGCTGTGTCGCTGTCAAGGCTAGAACGCTGGGTCGCCGAATATTCCCCACCGCTGCTCGACGTTTTTCGGGCCCGGGTCTTTCCAGTAGTCGTTGAACGTGCTGAATAGCAGTACCTGCGGGCCAACAACGTGGTTGATGGACCGAATGCACCTTTGCATGTTCTCCTGTGACGGCTGACATTTGCCGTTAGTGTCACCGGCGTTGGGCCAGCCGCTCTCGGTGATAAGAATTGGTTTTTGAGAGCCGCATTTGGCTTGTAAATTGGCGATTTGGTTTTGGAGCCATGCTCCGCAATTGCTGGGCTCGACGTTGCCGTCCCAGTACGGATGGGAGTTTACCGCCAAAAAATCGGATACGCCACACAGGGCCGGGTTGGCCGTCACAGCAACCAACGTGTCCACGCTCACGACGGGGCCCTGGTATCCGATTTCACGCAGTTGCACGCGCGCTTTGGAAACGGCCGCTTGTACGTCTTCCGCACTAGCTTGGCCTGAGTTTACGAGCTCATTGCCCACTGACACGGAATGGACGCGAGCGAAATCCCCGTTAAACGTTGTTGAAATGTCTGACACTCCTTGAGAAACCTTGCCAAGATCCCAAATCCCAACCATTACCTTTTGAGACGTTGAGAGGCACTTTTTCAGGTTCATTAATATGTCGCAGTCCGTCGCGTAAATCCTAATAATACTGAAACCCCGGAGTCTTTCCAAATCTGATCTCACCATCTCCAGAGTCTTGCACTGGCCGCTTTTTTGGTACGGCGAGTACGTGATACCGCCCGCACCTTCATAAAACTCACCTCCAGTAGTCGGCGAGCTGTGCTGTGACGTTGTAGTTTTAGATATAGTCGATGTTGTCGGTATCCCCTCAGTAGTTGCGGGCGAATGTAAAGTGGATGTCTGCCCTTCGACAAGAAGGCCACTGACTACAACGGGGGCCACCATTAGGTTCACATCTTTTTTAACCCAGAGTGGGTGTGCCAGCGACACACAGAAACAGAAAATGATGGTAAAGTGCATGATATGAGACGTTGGACCTCAAATTCATCATTGCCATGACTTGCCACATGCGCGCGCTGATTTGTGTATATATATAGGTGGGCATCATGACTAACTGTAACAATGCTCGCGACCGTTGTCAAACACTTGTCTTCCAAATGTGACACGCATGGCAACAAATGTTAATTATCTGACGGCTATCAAAATAACAGGTTTGTTTCAGACAAAAAGTATCATCGTAAGGCCCCAATGCGTAAATCGAGGCGTAAGGATCAAGTTGCGATGATCAGTTCAGGAGTGTATAGAATTTTCACCGTGAGAAGCTTTTAAATAGTGGTACGTCATTCAATGGAGGGGACCTAGGTCAAACCAGTCCACAAAGTGAGCTGACGGACCATCCTTCAAAAGTCAGGAAGTAGAGCGAAAGCGCCCTCTGACCCTCACATAACAAGTCAAGACTCAACTGACATCCAAACTGAATTGAGTTTAAAAACTCACACACGTTGACCAGAAGCCAAAAACATAAAAAAAGCCCTGTAGGGGGCTCGAACCCCTAACCTTATGATTAAGAGTCATACGCGCTACCGATTGCGCCAACAAGGCTCTTATTTTGATGATTTTTGGAAAGAATGTGAGAAATATACATGGGCGAGAAGGCAGATGACCGCAGGTTTTAAGGGTCAATTGAAATTGTTCAGGTAGCAGAATCGGTGTCGTATTGGTTTTTTTCGAAAATCGCTTCTTCTAACCAATTGCTCGCTAACCATTTAGACCCCCAAATATCAACTCAGCGCAAACTCAAGCATAAGCTTCAGTTCGCGCTACGCCTGCCCGGCTGGGCGACTTGTACTGTGTCGTTTGAAGAAAGCCGATTAGCCGCTGAAGTGTTATAGTTTCCAAGAGAGTCACTATAAACGGAAAATATCTCTTTCGGCAACACAGGAATATACCAGTCAAAAAATTTTTCAGAATTTTTAGCCCGCAGGGCATCGCATCGATCATCATCACAACGATCATCGAGCTCTTCGAGTATAGTTCATAGAGCCTTGTGCTAAAGTTCGGCTCTTCTAGGAACTAATTTTTCATTAGCAACACCGGCTAACCATGAGTACAGTCATTCAGCCGCCTACTTTTGCGAGGACTGCTAGCTTTCGTACTCTGGAAAGAGAAGAGCGGTTTGCGAACCCACCCAAAGATAAATCAGCCTACCCACTACTTCAGGAAGCCGTGCAACCACATATCGGATCATTCAATGCGCTTACCGAGGGCCCGGAAGGTGGGCTGCTAAATCAGGCGATGAAGGACATCGGAGGAAAAGTCATCTTCGATGGAGCCAAGTCCGACGAAAACCCTGAATATCTGGGCAACAAGCTCACGCTAAGTGTCGAACAGGCCTCCATATCTAAGCCCATGTCGAATGATGGTGTTTCGTCTGCCGTCGAACGCAAAGTGTTCCCTGCCGAGGCCAGACAAAGGCTCTCGTCTTACAGAGGCAAGCTACTCCTGAAATTGAAGTGGTCTATCAATGATGGCGAAGAGATCTTTACGGAAATCAAAGACTGCGGTGGCCTTCCCTTGATGTTACAATCCAACCGTTGTCATTTGAACAACATGTCTCCATTCGACTTAGTTCAACATAAGGAAGAAAGTGACGAACTCGGGGGCTACTTCATCGTCAACGGTATTGAAAAGCTTATCAGAATGTTGATCGTACAGCGCAGAAACCATCCAATGGCCATCATCAGACCCTCTTTCGCCAACAGAGGTGCTTCCTATTCCCAGTACGGTATCCAAATTAGATCAGTGAGACCAGATCAGACATCGCAAACCAACGTCCTACACTACCTCAATGACGGTGAAGTAACCTTCAGGTTTTCGTGGAGAAAGAATGAGTATCTGATACCGGTCGTGATGATCCTGAAAGCACTATGTGAAATGAATGACAGAGAGGTCTTCGACGGTATAGTTGGCTCTGACACGTCTAACTCTTTCTTGACGGATCGTTTAGAACTGCTATTACGTGGCCACAAGAAAAAGTACGGCCAGCTACAGAACCGCCGTCAAATTTTGCAGTATCTTGGTGACAAATTTCGGGTCGTACTCCAAGCGGCACCTGATGCAACCGATTACCAAGTCGGTCAGGAACTTTTGAGACGTATTGTGCTTGTGCATTTGGGCGAAGAAAACGAGGACAAATCTCGGATGTTGCTCTTTATGATTAGAAAACTATACTCCTTGGTTGCAGGGGAATGTTCTCCCGACAATCCAGACGCCACACAACATCAGGAAGTTTTGTTGGGCGGTTTCCTTTATGGTATGATCATCAAGGAAAAGGTTGAGGAGTACTTGCAAAATATCAGACTTCAAATTCAGTCAGACGTAGGTCGTGGTCTAGCGGTCAGTTTTAAAGACCGCAAGTATATGTCCAGAGTACTTTTGAGGGTGAATGAGAACATAGGTGCTAAATTGCAGTACTTTTTGTCAACTGGTAATCTGGTGTCGCAGTCAGGTCTCGACTTGCAACAAGTTTCAGGTTATACCGTTGTTGCAGAAAAGATTAACTTTTACCGTTTCATATCCCATTTCCGAATGGTTCACAGAGGCTCTTTTTTCGCCCAATTGAAGACAACTACTGTCAGAAAGCTACTACCCGAGTCCTGGGGTTTCTTATGCCCTGTTCACACACCGGATGGTTCTCCATGCGGTTTATTGAACCATTTTGCTCACAAGTGTAGAATTTCCACAACTCAGACAGACGTCTCCCGTATTCCTTCGCTCTTGTTCTCCCTGGGTGTTGCCCCTGCCTCTCATACCTTTGCTGCTGGCCCTTCATTGTGCTGCGTTCAAGTGGATGGGAAAATCATCGGATGGTGTTCCCACGAGCAGGGTAAAATCATTGCGGATACCTTGAGATTTTGGAAAGTAGAGGGAGTAACTCCAGGCTTACCATTAGACCTGGAAATTGGTTACGTACCTCCCTCCTCGGGAGGTCAGTATCCTGGTCTTTACCTATTTGGTGGCCATTCAAGAATGATGCGTCCCGTTAAGTACCTTCCTCTCGGGAAAGAAGACATTGTTGGTCCTTTCGAACAAGTTTACATGAATATTGCAGTTACTCCCCAAGAAATTGGAAATAACATTCATACTCACGTCGAGTTCACACCAACTAACATACTGTCCATTTTGGCTAACTTGACCCCATTTTCTGATTTCAATCAATCTCCAAGAAATATGTACCAGTGTCAAATGGGTAAACAAACTATGGGTACCCCTGGTGTCGCTTTATGCCATCGTTCTGATAATAAGCTATATCGACTACAAACTGGCCAAACCCCGATCGTGAAAGCCAGCCTTTACGATGACTACGGCATGGACAACTTCCCTAACGGTACAAATGCGGTTGTAGCAGTCATTTCATACACAGGTTACGATATGGATGATGCGATGATTGTCAACAAATCAGCAGATGAAAGAGGGTTCGGCTACGGTACTATGTATAAGGTTGAAAAAGTTGACCTGTCACTGAATAGAAGTCGCGGTGACCCCGTAACCCAACACTTCGGCTTCGGTGATGATGAGTGGCCAAAAGGATGGTTAGATAAGCTAGATGAGGATGGGCTGCCAATGATTGGCTCCTATGTCGAAGAAGGAGACCCCATCTGTGCATACTTCGATGACACGCTGAACAAAACTAAAATCAAAACCTATCATTCATCTGAGCCCGCCTACATCGAAGAAGTCAATCTGATCGGCGACGAATCCAGCAAATTCCAGGAATTGCAATCCATTTCTATCAAATATCGCATAAGGAGAACGCCGCAAATCGGTGACAAGTTCTCTTCCAGACACGGCCAGAAAGGTGTGTGTTCCAGAAAATGGCCTACCGTTGACATGCCCTTCAGCGAATCAGGTATCCAGCCAGACGTTATCATTAATCCACATGCTTTCCCTTCTCGTATGACTATTGGTATGTTTGTCGAATCTCTGGCAGGTAAGGCAGGCGCGCTGCACGGTACTGCACACGACTCGACGCCATGGACTTTCTCTGAGCAAAACACACCTGCAGACTACTTTGGTGAACAGCTCAAGCAAGCTGGTTACAACTACCACGGAAACGAACCTATGTATTCGGGTGCCACTGGTGAAGAGCTTAGAGTTGATATCTACATCGGTGTCGTGTACTACCAAAGGCTTCGTCACATGGTGAACGATAAATTCCAAGTTCGTTCTACCGGTCCTGTCAATAGTTTGACAATGCAACCAGTCAAGGGTAGAAAGCGCCACGGTGGTATTCGTGTTGGGGAGATGGAAAGGGATGCACTCATTGGCCACGGTACTTCATTCTTATTACAAGACCGTTTGCTCAACTGCTCGGATTACACGCAAACTGCTGTCTGCCGAGAGTGCGGTGCTTTATTGACCACTCAATACAGCGTCCCTCGCATCGGGTCCCTTGCTACAGTGCGTTGTCGTCGTTGTGCTCTCAAATTTGATGATGCCAAAAAATTGCTGGCCCAGCACCAAGGCGACGACCAAATATTCATTGACGACGCCCATATCTGGGAGGACGGGCAAGGAAACAAATTTGTGGGTGGTGGCGATACTACTACGGTGGCTATTCCATTTGTTTTGAAATATTTGGACTCTGAACTCGCTGCCATGGGTATCAACTTGCGTTTCAATGTTGAACCTAAATGATTGATATAAATACCAAAATTGTACCATAAGGCAGATAGCCTGTCAATATATGATATGTATACTTCAGTAACATAGTCTAAATCTCATCTACTCGGCAACTCAATCACTGTTAGAATGTAGCCTTGGCGCCGTTCGTGTGACAGAACTCTTAGTTATATACTCATGTACGACATACTATTTCAGCGTCAAAAATCATCAAAATATGGATCAAATAAATCGAGATTCTTGTAAACCTTAGCAAGACGCCATTCCAACACTATAAAAGGCCTCACATTCTGACTTTAACGGCAGCTCCAGGTCATTGTTACTCATTGGTAAACTTCTCTCTTTTCAGGAAACAAGCTGGAGTCTCTGCGCAATATATTTCAACCTCTATCGAGACTAAAGTTATTGCAATATGAGCGATAATCCATTTGAATCGGTCGTTCGGGGCACAGAGGGTGGTATTTTGCCCTCAGAGGCATCGAATACCCCCAGTCCTTCATTAGAGTTCTGTACGATGAGTGTAGAAGAAGCTGCAGCTGCCTTGGGAACTAATGTCCAAAATGGTCTTCCTAATATCAACGAAGTGAGAAACCGCCAGCAAGCGTATGGGATCAATGAGATAACAGCAGATGAAGATGAACCGCTTTGGCGGAAATTTTTAGGAACGTTCGTCAGCGATCCTTTGATAATGCTGCTGATAGGGTCTGCGGCGGTGAGTTTCGTCATGGGCAATATAGACGATGCCGTCAGTATAACGCTGGCAATTATAATAGTAGTTACTGTGGGATTTGTTCAGGAGCACCGCTCTGAGAAATCCATTGAAGCTCTCAATCGCTTGGTTCCCGCAGAATGTCACTTAATCAGGGCTGGTCAAGAGTCGAGGTTGTTGGCTTCCGTCTTAGTTCCCGGCGATTTAGTCCACTTCGGCGTTGGCGACAGAATTCCTGCAGACTTGAGGATTGTCAAAGCGGTCGACTTATCTATTGACGAAAGCAATTTGACCGGTGAAAATGAGCCTGTTCATAAGTCAACTCAGCAGGTCTCCAAAGATAGCTACAACGATATCCCAGGATCTTTGGTTCCATTGGCCGATAGAACTTGCATCGCATACATGGGAACGCTAGTTCGCGAAGGTCATGGAAAGGGAATAGTGGTTGGCACTGCCAAAAACACAGCTTTCGGAAAAGTGTTCGAAATGATGAATTCAATTGAAAAGCCCAAGACTCCTCTTCAAACGGCTATGGACAAATTGGGAAAAGATCTGTCCTTGCTAAGTTTTGGATTGATAGGCGTTATTTGCTTAATCGGAATAATACAAGGAAGATCCTGGTTGGAGATGTTTCAGATATCGGTCTCGTTAGCGGTCGCTGCCATCCCAGAAGGATTACCAATTATTGTGACAGTAACACTGGCACTTGGTGTTTTGCGAATGGCCAAACGGAGAGCTATCATAAGACGCCTTCCTAGTGTTGAAACCTTAGGTTCCGTGAATGTGATTTGTTCTGATAAAACTGGGACGCTCACAGCTAACCACATGACCGTCAGTAAGTTATGGTGCCTCGGGACTATGTCAAATAAGTCTAACATTATGAATCTATCTGGAGCCAATAATAGCAATTTCAAAAACCATTTGAGTGACGACGTTCTGGCAACACTACGCATCGGTAACATTTGCAACAATTCTACCTATTCCCAAGAGCATGTAAAATTTCTAGGAAACCCAACAGACATTGCTTTGCTAGAGGTCTTAAGAAAGTTTGGACTGGACGACCAACGTTCTCGGGTTACGAGGGTAGCAGAAATCTCTTTCAGCTCAAAGCGAAAATTCATGGCGGTGAAGGCCACAGACTCTAATGGGAAGACCGCAATTTATGTGAAGGGTGCGTACGAAAAGATTCTTGAGAAATCAACTCACTTCATTAATGCTGAAGGTAAGGTCGTAAAGCTTGATAATGGTCTCAAAAATGTCATCAGTGATAGCGCGAACACTCTTGCTTCAGAGGGTTTGCGTACTTTGGCATTTGCTCAATTAGAAGTCTCTAACCCATCCGAAAAACCATTCACTGAGGGCGAAATCAGTGGGTTGACTTTTGCCGGATTGTTGGGGATGAATGATCCGCCACGCTCGACCGTTAAGGCTGCTGTGGAGAGGCTTTCCGAAGGCTCAGTTCATATCATCATGATAACCGGTGATGCTGAAAATACAGCCGTTAATATTGCAAGGCAAATTGGTATTCCGGTTGTGAACCCTGAGACGGCTGTATTGACCGGAGACAGACTGGACAATATGACTGAAGATCAATTGGCGAGCATCATCGATCACGTCAACATATTTGCCCGTGCTACTCCTGAACACAAATTGAATATTGTCAGTGCCTTGCAAAAACGAGGCGACATTGTAGCTATGACAGGTGATGGTGTAAATGACGCTCCTGCGTTGAAGCTTGCCGATATCGGGGTTTCAATGGGAAAAATGGGTACGGATGTCGCCAAGGAAGCCTCAGACATGGTTCTGACTGACGACGATTTCAGCACGATTCTGACAGCGATAGAAGAAGGAAAAGGGATTTTCAATAATATTCAAAACTTTTTGACCTTTCAACTATCTACATCTGTTGCAGCCTTATCTCTGGTTGCTATTTCAACAGCCTTCAAGTTACCAAATCCTCTTAATGCGATGCAAATTTTGTGGATTAATATTTTAATGGATGGCCCCCCTGCTCAAAGTTTAGGTGTCGAGCCCGTCGATCATGAAGTCATGCAAAAGCCTCCACGTAAGCGAACCGATAAGATATTGACTGTTGATGTTTTCAAAAGGCTCTTGCAAAGTGCTGCATTAATCATTGTTGGCACAATCTACATTTTCATAAAGGAGATGACAGAAGATGGACAAATTACGGCAAGGGACACAACAATGACATTTACATGCTTTGTTTTTTTGACATGTTCAACGCTCTAGCTTGTCGCCATTCTACGAAGTCGATATTTGAAATCGGTGTATTTGCCAACAACATGTTTAATTATGCGGTAGGCTTCTCGCTGCTTGGACAACTATGTGCCATTTATTGTTCCATTCTTCCAAAGGATATTTAAGACTGAAAGCCTAAGCATTGGCGACTTGATCTTTTTATTTTTACTCAGCAGCACTGTTTTCATCGCAGATGAGGCCAGAAAATGGTTTAGAAAAAAGCAAAGGTTGAACGACCCATATTACTACTCTGTAGTTTAGATAAAGCGGTCATACATGTTAGAACATTTCGTTTTCCTTAAAATAAAATTACATTATTACTTGCAGCTTTCCTAAGTCTATTCATCACCGCCAGTCCTTCGCCTTCCTCACTTATACCTTCGACAAAAATGAGCTCGACGTTTTCCATTTCGTCGACTTCCCTCAAGCTTGCAAAAAGATTAGTCTGTATTTCTATGCTTGTTGTGCCAAGAGACTTGTACACTACCCGGGGGTCAGTTATTAAGTTGTTTGGAAAGATAAGAGTCGAAAGCACTGCAAATCTTTGAGAATCCTTTGCATGCTCGTTGATGGACTTTCTCACCCCATCTAGACGTTCTGGTAGGTCTGACGAGATGTCCTCTGGCGCGAACAGAATCACTTTCGCACGAGGAGAATAGTGACGATATTTCATTCCAGGTGTTCGCACTTTTTCACCCTCTTCAACAGTTCTTTTATTTTCTACTTTGCATTTGGCCCAGTCTTCGCCACCCATGCTTCGTATTTGTTCCCAAGTGAAGCCACCAGGACGCAGCAAAAGAGGAGGAGAAACAAGTCCATCTACCACTGTACTTTCAACCCCAACTGTACATGCGCCTCCGTCCAAAATCAGCGGGATGCGGCCCTTCAAGTCGTGGTAAACATGCGATGCAAGCGTCGGAGACGGACGAGTAGACTGGTTAGCAGAAGGTGCTGCAATTGGAGTATCACTGAGGGCAATCAGAGCCCTTGCTACAGGATTAGATGGAATTCTTACCGCAAACGTAGGCTGATCGGCAGTTGTCAACTTTGATAATGTGGATTGTTCAGGTACAGGTAACAAAACAGTAAGAGGTCCAGGCCAGAGTTTTTCTATTAAACTGTGGTAAATTTTAGGAATATTTTGCAGCACATCAGAAGTTTCAGATTGTCCATAAATCTTCCGATTCAGTTGGTCGATGGACGCAATATGACTGATCAGCGGATTGTCACTTGGCCGATTTTTAGCTTTGTAGATGTTTAAAACGCTGTCGTCATTTAAGGAAGAGCCTCCCAGACCGTATACAGTTTCTGTGGGAAATCCCACAGTGTTGTTTGTGTCCCTTATCACTTTTGCCGCTTCCAAAAGATTCTTTTCCGTCTCCGGGTCTGTGATGGTCGGGAGAGATCCATCTACGTGCGCATTCGGAGTGAAATGGATTGCCTTTGGGTTTACTTTGAGGACCCTGGTTTCGAAGTTCAACGTCATCATGAACCTTCTAATCATCCACCACAACGTTTACGGTATCTCGCGATGAGCTCTTAATCGATGCCAAAATTTGACATCTTGGGCCAGTGAATTAGCCAATAGCATGCCACACGAACAAATAGAAGCATTCAACATAAACAAGAGATTCTCTCGCCTCGCCTATAGTAACAGTTTTCTGATCGTACGTAAACCACATCGATAAATACTGCCTTGATTCATCTACTGAGGTTCAAAACCAAAGGAATTTATAATACAGTCGCTTCAACTATACCCGAAACACAAAACAGGTGTCGACTATAAAGTCATTTCCTTTTCAGCGAACAAGTACGTACTCCTACTCTTATTTGGGAATCAATTTTTACAGTATGTGGCCTTCGGACGAGTGTAGTATCTTCGAGAACATGCTTTTTGGGTTTTAAGCAATATGATCTAACTTATAATTGGTGTAAATGAAATTAGACGTCGCCCGTCTCAAAGAGATATCATATACATAGGAGTACATATGAAGGAATAGTATAGCAGATATAATCAGAGCTTTCTTTAGCTCGATTGCAATTTCTATCAAATTCGGGTGGCCAGATATACATCTGTTTATTTATTCCTGCGGTACAGCGACAGGAATAGTGAAAATGACATGAATGGTAATAATGATAGGCGAGTCAGAACTCAGCCAGCGAGTTTACAATGTTATGAAAAAGGATAAGACAGCATGAGACAATCCCCACTAGCCTCGGTCAGGATTTCGAGATGACGCAAGGTTTGTGCCGCAGTGTGAACTTCCTCACGGTTGAGTCCGAAACAGGACAACCATATAAATGAAGCCGGTGAATCAGAAGAAATAGCAAGGTTAGATATAGAAAGAAGTAATCAATAATGAAAACCAACGAGATCTACTCGGTCTTGTAGCCGTTAAGTAACCTTAGTTCTTCCAGTTGATAATATAATAATTGTTGACGACGATCCCCATGACAGAAACACGCCTATATAGATTAGTTTACCTTTTAAGTAAACATCTAAAGCGCAAGTGGTTTAGTGGTAAAATCCAACGTTGCCATCGTTGGGCCCCCGGTTCGATTCCGGGCTTGCGCAAGTTTTTGCGCAAATCTTGTATTAGTACCAGAATGGCTGAAGATCTTTTGGGCTTAAGGCAATCAAGTGTTGGACCCACTAGATTTGAACATAGCATTTTCTTCTAAGCTAACTCGATCTAAGTCTGGTCAATGAAGATCATGTTACACGATGTAAATCCAGGCAGTAATCAAGTCTCATGTTATATTCCTGCAACTCAGCACTAAACAGTGAACGCTAACGAGGTGACAATGGATGAACCTAATCCGTTTGCTGATGACTACGTTGCCAATGATTACGCAAAAAATAGTTATGGGTCCGCAATCGATGGACCAATGAGTTCGGAAGCACCAATTTCAGCTGATTTGCACACTGCTAAAGGAGGTACACCGTCAGGCGGAAAATATGCCGAGCTGTATCAAGTTGAGGATGAACTATTGAGGTCAAGACTTAAAAGCGCTCTGAAGCTGCAGTCACTGGAATCAGAAGGAGTTTACGAACCGGACCTGTATGCGCCGACGTGGGTGACATTGACAGTTGCAGCAGCACTTTATTTGAGCCGAAGTCTGTCAACGCTGGTGCTTGGATTGATACATGGACTACCTCCATCTGTGGCAGGCCATGAGCTGATGCCATATTTGGTCATGGTCCCATTTTATGGTTTGGCGACTCCGCTCGTGGTTCACATTGTGGCCAGATTTTTGTTCAAAATCCAAAGCGGATGGGGGATAGTAGAGTTGGTTAGCATATACGGTTACTCAATGGTAATTTGGGTACCACTGGCGGCAGCATTTTTCGTCCTGCGGCTGCTAGTAGATTTGCTGCCAGGAGCGGTCCTGTTGGTGGGACATATTACTGTTGCTACGGTAGGGGTTTTGCACACAACGTTGTTTCTCTATCGACAATTCAAAGGTCCTGAGGAATCCGATGGGAAGAAGTTGTGGGCCATTGCAGCGTCAGTGAGTGCTATATGCGCAGCTACACTAAGACTTGCATTCAATTCATGGGCGTCGTGAAGAGGTATGATGTTTGTGAAGTGCGTTAGGTAATGTCATTCAAGAATAAGATACAGATTACTCGAGAGCTGGCCAATTTTTGGGCCCAAACCTTCTAGGGCGTGCAGAAGCAGAAGCTAACTAGAGGGCAGAGCTAGACCTGATATTGGGCCGTAGAAAAGAGAAACAATAGTGCGAAGAGTGACGTTACGCCATGCATAAAGTTGTCGTGGAAGGGGCATTCGTGTCGTTGCCTCATCACTGAGATGTCACCGAGCTGATGGAGGTTGAGTTTTCCATGCAAAAATTTCTTTTCTTTTTCGGCGATTCTTTGAGGTCACTCAAAAGCGTCAGCGAAGGAAACAGTGATATTGGTTTGCATGCCGTCTGTGTTCTCGGTGGCCCAGCACCAAGCAGACCCCATGGACCGACTGGTTGGCAGTATCGCGTTCTGAATGGGAAATATGCCTGAACTATATACTATAAACTGTCTATCTAATATCTAAATACTGGAGGTGGAGGGAGGTGAAACCTCACAATTAAGGAACTCCCTCCATTATGCAAAAACGTCAAATTTTTGTTGATGAATGGGCGAGGCGTGCGCGCGGCGGTGTCTGGTAGAGACCAGAAACACCCATTTCTTTCTTCTTTATGCTGTCAATAGCCCGCTTTCTTGTAGTCGTTCACCGTAAAGTCCGAGAGCTGGGTCCTCGCGCCGAGCTTTTGGCCCAGCCTCGAGAACAGAGTGATATCCGCTCTCGTGTAACCCTTGGCGAAACTACAGCACCCCAGCGTGTTGGCAGGGAGTGCGGCCGCGGATGGGCTCTTGGCCACCGGGGAAGAACCACCGGACTCCCGCGACACAGGCCGTATCGCCTTCGTACACGATGCACACGGTTGGAACAGGATCAGCTTGTCCACGTGACGCACAAGCTCCTCGGCAGAGTCGCGCTTGGGGCCAGCCTGCTCGCGCAAGACCGCCTGCACATACGAGGCCCAGGACGACGAAGAAGAAGGCGACTGCGGCGACGTTGGTTCTGTCTTGTCGTCGCTGGCCTCTCCGCCAGCGCCACCGGCGCTGCCGACGTGGCGCTGGTGCAGCTCCAAAACCGCTTGCGCGTCGTCCGCAGTGAGTATCACGTGCAGCGACTCCTGGCGGTTGCCGTTGAACATGATGAGCGTCTCGTGCTGCCACAGCGTCTGGATGCGGGCGTCGCACTTGATCTTCTTGAGCCTGCAGGTATCGCAGGAGGGACCTGCGCGTTGTCGCTTAGAGGCGCGCGGGGCCGGTGTCGCCGGCGCTGCGGGCGCCGCGGCAACGGCGGTGCTTGCCGGAAGACTCGCAGACGGGCCCACAGGCGACGAGCCAGGCGCGCGCACGGGCGCAGCGCTGGGCGCCGCCAGCGGCAGCGGCGGGTGCTGGAAGTGTGGGTGTTGCAGCGGGCGGTGCACGGGCGACACGTCGTTGGCCACGGCGATGCGCGCCAGCGACTCGAGTCCTCCACGTGGTTGCCCTTCCACGCCCGACAGTCTGGTCCCGGGAGGCATTTGCAGTGCATGTGCGGCGGACGATGACACCACGCCAAGCCGGGAAACGTCCGGCAGTAGCAGCGGCGGCAGCGACCGGTGCCTTCCGTTTTGTATGGCTATGGGCAGCATCCGTGGGCGACTTGTGAAATCCATGGTGCTAAGGGCTACTTCACTGGTGGCTGTGAGCCTGTACTGGGTCGATACAGTTGCTATCGGGACTAGTGGTCGATGTCGGCCTGCAAAAGCCCAAACTCTATCGTCCAGGTTCCCCTTTGGTTGAACTTTTTCTCGATTTTTGGATTAGTTTCCACGTCCCAAAAAAAGTCCTCCCACCGTGCCGAATTCAGCCCTGTCTGCCTCCACTGCGTGTCTTCTTATATACTCGCTGCCCTGGTCGACCTTCCATCAGGTTCCCATCAAAAAGTGCTATTTTTTTTCCCAACCTTTCATACTCCGGTTCCACGACAATCCAAAAACGACGACACCATCTGAAGGCACGCTACAGGGTGAAGTAAAAAAAAAAAGTTAACTCAGTCTCTCTCCTCTGCCAATGAAAGGTGTGTCGGGCGCTGCTCACTCACTCAAACGCTCGTGGATGAGAGTCGGATTATCCCAAAAGCGGACTTCCCGTGTGGAACTCCTAAACCATTTCCACCAAACCTGACCCTAAGCTGAGTTTGTTTTTTCTTGTTTTTTTTTTTTTTCGGGAGGATTTTTCTGAGCGAAATGTGCATTGGGCCCAACACCGATTGGCCCACCGTCCCTTGGCTCGGCCCTTTCTGTGCTTGTCTGTTTTCCAAATCCACTTTCGACTCCGATCACCGCCACCGTGGGATCGACGTTGAGTTGACGATAGCCGGACTCATCGTTGCCATTGTACCTACGTAAGCACGCTGCTCACGAGAGGGGCAACTGGACAACAAACGATGAAAAAAACGACCATGGTGGCTGAGCGACTGGACCGGCGCATGAACGCGCGGCAAATCCCAGTACCGTGAACGGTATTCGTATCCGAGGCCGAGGCCCTGGCCAGTGGGGCCAGGTATAGCAACTGACAGCGTCTTTGTGCACCAGGTTGACAATGCGCGCCCAAAAGGCCCCGCAGCAAGCCTGGGTGTTGCTAGGAACGACGGTGCAGGATGCGCAGAGAAGGGCATTGCATCAGAGGTGACGGAATCGTTCGGTAGCAAGGCCGAAAGCGGAGCCAGCGAGCCCGAGTGCGGAGAATGTGATGGAGCTTGCGCGCGTCTGCGGGTAATTGTGTCAGAAGTGCAAGATCGCCAACGGAGATAAGTGGGAGCGAGTGGCGTGGATGAAGAGAGAACGTGACAGGGCATGGGAGCTTGCGCAGAGCCCAGTTGGCGGATGAAGCAAAAGCGCGGTGGAGCCCGGGTGGCGGGTGCGATGGATGCTGGGTGGCTGGGTGGCGGCGCGGAATTGGGAACCGCGTGACAGTTTGGTACAGAGCGACTGCACGTGGGCAGGAGTCCAGTCACGTGGTGCGCGCGGGCGCTGTGCATCGCTGTGTACGAACGGGGACTGACTGCGAAGCACAACTGACGGACGCTTGAGAAGCCGGTTGGTTAGGTGACAGGCACAACGTGTTCCAAGACGCGGCGGACCATCCACGTACGAAACCAGTGACCAAAATCGGTGTTTCAGGCTTCTGCCACAGCGGTCTCCATTCCCCAGGAGTAAAACAGCATCGGCCTGCCACACTGGACTGGCGTTTTCCGGCAATCGATGTAAGGGTGCTAATGTCCCTACTTTCAGAACAATTGCGGATTTTATCCTAACATTGCTGCAGTGCGGCAACGTCGGTATGGAGAAACGTGGCTCCGCATTCTTCGGCACTATCTACTCCTACATCACAATGGTTATCGGAAAGTTCGGGTATTGTCGTTCACGGCCCCAAAGTACTACTTACCTGACATACGTGGGGTTGACACCTCTGTCACGTGACTTACCGTGCCTGGACCGCAGATCCAACGGTTTAGCGACAGCACCTCCATTCCTAGGGTCCCCACACACAAACTCTCTGCAGTGTGAGTCACTGTGTAGGCCCCAGCTGCTTAACAGAGAGTCGCGCGGCTTCGAAAATAATCGTGCGCGTCTGAAGCTATTGAAGGTGCCTTGGTAATCTGTGAGACCTGAGGCTTGTATCCCAAATGGATGTCATTGAATTTTGCTCCGAATTTTGCTCCTGCTTGATAGTTCATTCCGTGGTAGGAAAATTTGTTGCAAACCCCGCAATCCTGGCTCTTCAGCTAAACTTCCACCTCACCCAGGCGTCTCAATGAACCTTCGAAAAGCTGTACATTTTCAATCATAAATGTGCCTGAGTCACCAAGCAAACTACGTCATACGAGGGCCTGGGCATTCGATGCCACCATTTGAATATATGCATTCCCCTGCGTACATCGTAGCTATACTCGTTGGTAGTTAACTCGTTGTAGAGAGTAGAGTAAGCTACAGCTTGTAAGTGTCAGAGGCAGAGTAAGCTACAACTTGTAAATGTCGGAGGCAGAGTAAGCTACAACTTGTAAGTGTCAGAAGAGGTATTCCAAGTGTCAGTAAACTAAGCTACAACTTGTCAATGTCAGAGGCGGTACTGCAAGTATCATAACCTACCCCATGATCTGACCACCAGTAGCAAGACAATGCAGAAGTAATAAACATCTATATAGCCCTCCATGACAACAAGAAACTAAAAAAACATGCGACGGAAAAATGTACAACAGTCACCGGAGCAACCCCTTATCTACCAGTCGGATCTCTTGTAACCAACAATTCGAGAAGGTGGCCAGTGGGAGGTCTCCTTTCGTTCAAGATTGACCTCGATAAGGCAGCATCAGTAAAACACCTCCATGTGTCACGTGATCGAACAAAACAATACGCACAGCATGATATATCGAGTCGCGCGGGTATCCAATTCTCAGCTTGGAATCCAGAATGTGCCCAGACCCTGTGTGGTGTATTTCAGTGGTGTCCGTCTGAACTCATCGGATTATACTTCTGGCTTCCAAGCAGACCTCTTAGCCTAAATAGCATTTTAGAGATATCATTATTCACGAGATCGCGTCGTGCACATTCTCAGTTCGCGTTTATACAAACAGACACACCATCTGTAAGCTACAGACATCTGGTCTCTCCTACCATCCATTTTTCCTGCTTAAGAGCCATGGCTAAGCGGAAACTCCCCGATAGACCCCCAAATGGAATTGGAGCCGGGCAGCGGCCATCTTTGAGGCGCAAACCGATCGACCCTCACGCCGCTCACGCTACGCTTACAAAACCTTTCAAGGTGCCACTTAAATCGATATCCACCAACCTGCGGGTCGCGCCAGCCAGAAATGTGCGCAAGAGAGCCAGGACTGTTTCATATGCCGAGCCTGGTCTACTTGACGATGAGCTTCACGGTGGAGACCTCGAAGAATACCACGAAGAAGGGGACGAAAACCACCTGTCGCACCGGGGAAAGCGTATTGATGCTCTCTCCGCACGCCGTCTATCTCAAGATCCTACTCGTTTGCAAAACATCGACCATGCGCTGAAAAGGTCTTTCACCGTGCCCATCAAGGGCTACGTCTCTCGCCACAATTTTCCTCTTTCCCTTGGTACAAAACCCAAGATATATCTAGAGCCTCGTGCACTTCACGATCCTTACGATGAGTTGGCCATTGTTCTTTACGATCCGACAATTGATGGTCAAACCCCACAACTTCTACAACAACAGATAGATGCTGGCCAAGCTGCAGCAGAAGCAGCAGCTTCGCTCTCCACGCAGAAGAGAAACAGCTCAACGCACACCTCTAAAGCCGCAACCAAAACACTAATAGCCGCTGCCCAGGCAGAAGAAATCGCTACACACTCTCTAGTAGTCTCATCGCAACTTCATCGCAAAAGACTCTCAAATGGACTTCCAAACAAGACTCTCCAGGAGTTGCTAGGCTCAACCGAGGGGAAAAAAGCACAGTTTGCGAGTGTCCCTGTTGTGATAGACCCTCTTTTGGCCAAGATACTTCGGCCACACCAGGTAGAAGGCGTGAGATTTTTATACCGCTGCGTAACCGGTCTGGTTATGAAAGATTATCTGGACCAGCAAAACGTTCTCAGGCAAGCAGACGTAGCAAGCACATCGGGAGATCATTTTCCATCACAGTCTCCTCCACCTTCACCATCACCATCTCCTTTACCTTCGGCCCCAACTTTGGATCCAACCGAGGATCCGGCTGAAAGTGATACTGCGACAGAATCTACCGCTCAAAACAGAGGAGCCTATGGATGCATCATGGCAGATGAGATGGGGTTAGGGAAAACTCTCCAGTGCATCGCTCTTCTTTGGACTCTCCTGCGGCAGGGGCCACAGGGGTCAAAGACTATAGAAAAATGCATCATTGTATGCCCTTCATCGCTTGTTAATAATTGGGCCAATGAGCTGGTTAAATGGCTGGGGAGGGACACCCTTCCTGCTCTTCCAATAGACGGTAAGAAAAGCTCTTTAAATAATGGAACGGTTGCAGAAGCAGTACGTGCGTGGGGCAATGTTCAAGGTCGGAATGTGGTAAAACCAGTGCTGATTATCTCTTATGAAACACTGCGACGAAACGTCGAACATTTGAAACATGCGAATGTTGGGCTACTGCTTGCCGATGAGGGGCATCGTCTGAAGAATGCAGATTCATTAACATTCACCTCGTTGAACAGTATAGACTGCCCCAGAAGAGTCATTCTATCGGGTACGCCAATACAGAACGACCTTTCAGAATATTTTGCCCTCCTTAACTTTTCAAATCCTGGACTTTTGGGAACAAGAAGTGAGTTTAGAAGGAATTTCGAAATTCCTATTTTACTTGGAAGAGATGCCGATGCAGATCCAGCTGAAATCGCAAAGGGGGACGAAAGGCTGCAAGAACTATCAAATATCGTTTCAAAATTTATCATTCGTCGTACCAACGATATTCTTTCCAAGTACTTGCCCTGCAAATATGAACATGTCATATTTGTGAAATTGAGACCGTTTCAAAAGGAACTGTACGAGCGAATGATGAAGCTGCGGCTTTCCCATCTATCTAAGGTTGAAGAGGGAGAGGAAGTAGAAAATCAACCGAAGAAGGGCGAGCAGCCCCTAAAACAAATTGGCATCTTAAAAAAGCTCTGTAATCACCCAGATTTGCTGCGGTTGCCGGACGACATTGAGGGCGCAGCAGATATCACACCGCCCGATTACGTGAACTCTACGCTAGCTAAACGTGGGTACTCTGAAGTTCAAACCTGGCACTCTGGGAAGTTTTCGATTTTGAAACGTTTTTTGCATAAAATCCACCGCGAGTCTGATGACAAAATTGTTCTCATTTCCAATTACACACAAACCCTGGATTTAATCGAGCGTATGTGTCGCACAAGCAGCTACCCTGTTATTAGACTTGATGGTACTATGAATATCAATAAACGTCAAAAATTGGTTGATCGATTTAATAATCCGGAGGGTCAGGAGTTTATCTTTCTTCTCAGTTCAAAGGCCGGTGGCTGCGGTATTAACCTTATTGGTGCTAATAGGCTGATTTTAATGGATCCCGATTGGAATCCAGCCGCAGATCAACAAGCGCTCGCTCGGGTTTGGAGAGATGGTCAAAAGAAGGATTGTTTTATATACAGGTTTATTTCTACGGGCTCGATTGAGGAGAAGATTTATCAACGGCAATCCATGAAGATGAGTCTAAGCTCCTGTGTGGTTGATGAAAAGGAAGACGTGGAAAGGCTGTTCAGTGTAGACAATCTAAAGCAGTTGTTTCAATTAAGAAATGACACCGCATGTGACACCCATGAGACATACCAATGTAAGAGGTGCTTCGAGGGCAAACAAAAAATAAAGCCCCAAGCAATGCTTTATGGCGATCCAACATCGTGGAATCACTTAGATCACGGAGCCTTGAAGAGCACCAATGACCACCTGCTACAGAACGAGGCAAACTTTGAAGACATCAGCTACGTTTTTCAATACATCTCACACTAAACGAATGATATATTAGGTGCTCCACCCTTGATCTGGATTGCCATCGGTATCATAGCAGCTTGAGCGTTTTAAAATTTTAGGAACAGCTCGTTCATGGATGAAATTCTCGCAAAGGCTGGCAGCCAGGCAGTAACTTTTGCCATCAGATCCGGCATCTCAATCGCCTCTAGTTATGCCATTAAAACAGTGGCGACATTTGTGCAGAAGATACCAGAAAGCGACGCCACCAGGCTTCAAAAACTTCGACAAAAATTGGAAACTCGGATAGAGATTGTGTCCTCAGCGATTGACTTGATAAAACTAGTAGCGGCCAAGGGTAATACAAATTTGGGAAGTGTTTTAAGGCTCACAAGAGACTTAAAAGAAGAGATCGATAACTTTGACATACGAATTACTGCAATAACCGATAATTATGTTACCAAAAAAAACGGAAGAGACTCCATAGTAGCTGTTGAAAACTATATTGAGGATTTGCTTTCGAGAATTGAAGACTCTATCCCCGTTATTAATTTATCTCTAACAACTTCCGGAGCGAGCTTGAGCACGACGCTCCCGGACCACGTCTCACCGGGACGTCTACTCCAGGCTTCGGAATATATCAATAGGAATAACGAGATTTTCAAATCTCGTGGGAAAGTTTCCCAAGTAGGACCCACTTTCGAATTAACTATGTTTTCAGTGTTTCAGAATCTAGCATCAGGAGAAAATCAGGCCCGAGTTACATGGAAAGAAAATATGAGAAAAGCTTGCTTCAGTATTCGAAGAAGGACGAGCGACTTAAGAGAATATGATTACTCCATAGAGATCAAGGAAAGTTTTGACGATGGCCTTTACCATGATTCCAGTGAGGAAACACCCAAGTCGGTAAATTTCGACATATGGCAAGTCGTCAAACTTTTTTTCACAGCTTCTGGCAAGCTGTTGAAGCTGGAAGAGCGAAATTCGCCTGTTCTTGTCCTCAAGGTAGACAAAAACTTAAAAAGTCCTTCGGTAGATCATAGAGGAACCTCCACAGAGAAAATTGAGTGGCTTGCATTTGGCGAATTTGAGAACGTGGATACTCGCGGCGAATCTGACTCAAGCTCAGATTCCGGCTCTGACTCCGAGTCCAGTTCCTTTGTTGCAGGCCAAGGTACAAGAGACAGGGAACCTAGTTTATTAACAAATGAACCTGGACAGAGCGGCTCAATTGCATTACTCGAATATATCATTCGATTGGCATCATTGCAGTGTAATGACCAACAGAGTATTCTTCACGTGCATGACGAGCGCTTGTCTCTATATCTCAATGACGAAAATCCCAATTCTATCAAATACAGGAAATACAACCTTGATGAGGTTACCGCCAAGTTAGAAGAAGTTAAAATTGACGATAGTCGCCATAATACGTAAAATGTGTCATAGTTACAATTAATTAGTCATTAATATCCGCTTTACGAAGTTCAGTAGGGTTTTGCTTTACAGTTCAACCATTATACAAACAATTGGCCTGCACCCCAAGTGCACTTTTCAATGAAACCTTAGTAGAAAGCATAAACAAGTACAAGTGAAAATAGTCTATGGTTCACTCATCAGCTTGTCTATGTCATTCAAATTAAAATCGTTACCATTATCTGAAAATGATGTGGGGGAGGCTTGCATAGTGTTAGCAAATGAGAGTTCGTCCAGTTGAGCTGATATCCCAAAATTTATTGACGGCTTAGATGCCAAATGGAGGTCACCTTCGTATGGGTTGCGCCCCAGCATGAGGTCTATTTCAGGCGTCCCGCTTGATGTGGGCTCCATTGATGTGGCCATAATCTCATTGGTCAGCTGGTTGGCAACACGTGTATAATTCACCGGGGCCGTTTCGTCGCTCGGCAGTTCGACATTGTAGTCCATGGATTTTACTTGCTTACCGCCTATGTTGTCGTAGGATTCCTTGGCAGGCCCGTCTTTTAAGTTGTTCAATCCATATCCAGCAGTTGTAAGTGTGGATTGAGGCAATGCACTTGCGTGCCTCACTCGAGGATTGTCCCTGGAGAATGAATCGTAGCGGTGGTTTTTATGTATACTGACCGATCGTTTTCGAGGCTCCTCTTCCTTTCGAGAATTCAAAAATGGATTCGAAGAGGCCGAGTACAGATTGGAGTTATCTGGAATATCCATAAAACTTGGTGTCAATGACAAAACTTCTACGCTATGTGAACTTTCGTCCTCCATGTTAAACATTTCCGAAGGCAAACCTTCTCTTCCAAAAGAACCCTGTGGCTGAAGTTGTCTTGCAGTAACATGGGGCTGAGGAATAGAATAGCTCTGTGACATTTGATATGCGGGAGCCGAATAATCTTTGCCGACCTGAGCATGCATTGGGTACTTTGACGAATTGGAAGTGGTGCTTTCAACTAACGACTCTGGAAGTAGCGAGCCGGGCCCGCTTTTATTATATGAGTTTGATCGAGAAGTTTTGCCCTCGAGATTCACCGACTCTACCGGATTTTTTGAGTAAATATCGCGGTCAGAGCCCCTAGGATGCTGAAGATGGTTCTGTTTCAAAGCGCGGTAATTTTTATTGGTGTTCTCTGAGGTATCCGCAAAAAGATCCAGATATTCGTGTTTTGGTTCCGTCTGAGGCCAAGCCATACGATTTTGAAACCCTATGTTATCAAAGCTACCGCTAAGATTATCAAGCTCGGCCAGCTCATCCAACGAAACTGAAACTTCTGCTGGTCGTGCTTTGTTGGAGCTTTTCATATATTTACTCCCGCTGCTATGTGCGTCCGTCTGACTCGGGAGGCCATTAGCATGCCCTCGATCCATAATGTTCAGTTTTGACTCCGAAACGAGAGAGCTCGCAGCCGAGCTAGTATCCCAGTTACTATTATTATGACTGTAGCCAGCATGGAATGATGCAGGAGAGAAAGGAGGACTTTGAGCCAGGCTGAAATCACGATCCAGGGACTGCGATGAGTGGAATGACGGTAGTGAGCTCAAACCATGATTTTTAACAACCTTGCAGCCATCTAGAGTGGAAATTATGGGTGAGTCGGCTGAGGTAACGGAAGAGCTTGCTGTACCCTTGATTCGAGAAGAAGGCGTCCGACGGAATGCTTTTCGTAGAGAATGGCACGTGCACTTTTCACCATCCACGCACTTACAGTCATCGTCCCCGACCTTGGCTTTCGCACGAGCCTCTTCTTTGGCTTTTTGAGCCAGTCGTTTTTTCTCCTGCCGCCCGCAAGTGCACGAGCCCGCCGGGTTTGAGTTTTTGTTTTTGCGAAGCTCTTTACAATGTGCACAGGTTGTAGACGGACGCCCCTTAGGTTTTATCATCATTAGTGGCTGATCCGTATGATTGCAAGTAGTAACCCTGTGGCCCCTGATACACCTTTCGCAAGCGTACTTAATTCCGTTGACTACAACCATGATGACGGAAAGCGCGAACCACAGACGAAAGCGCCTGTGCTGAATCTAATCTCTTCAAAATGTTCGGACTATATAGACACTTCTAAAACCATTCCACTGACAGGAGTAGTCTTCAAACCTTTTGTGCCTATAGTTTTCGGAATGCTTACAACGAAGAGTTCTAAGTACCAATCGTGCTGGATAGCGTTCAAACACCCGCAATTAAGACCTTGACCTCAGTGCAAGATTTTGCAGCTTGGGCTAGCCGGTCCTTCCTATTGTCTTTGAACTTCCTTTGAGCTTTCCCTGAATCTGCCAAAAAATGGTTCAGGGTTGTCTGAGAGTTATAATTTCGAGCACTTGATGGCAAAGTCGACTTTCCGGTCAAAGTACGATAGAAGCAATAGTTGGGCAACGCTGAACTCCGAAAGTCAATTCAACGGTTGCAGAAATATCACGGTAAAAGACTGCAAAGACTCACCAATGAACGCTTGGATTGGCTCGAAAATGAGTAGTGTGATCTTTTTTTCTGTATGTAATATTCTGCTCGGAGGGGGGAGGTAGGGTGATGACTATTGAGAATCACATATTGCCCTATACGGCTACCAACCGAAACATTTTCAAACTCAAGTGTTCTTGGCGCCGTCGAGATAATTATGCGTGAACCTGATACAAAGTCCGTATTACAGGTTTCTAAAGAGCCAGCAAAGATGTTTTCACGGGGGGTAGCCTGAAATGAGCCTTTGTCGGCTCTGTTGCAGTCTGTTGTACGATCCCCTACGCCGTTGGGAGGCCAAACTTTCGACGTTATCCGAATGCATTTTCTCAGTAGTTTCCAATGCGGTCTATGGCGATATGTTAAGAATACAACCCATGGCGGCCCCGGTAGAAGTTATCGTTAACGGAAGAGCTGGATTTTTCGGAAGTAGAGTCTTTACGTAGTTTCAAAGCATTGGGCGCTCGTGTAGCGATGTTTCTGTTCTGGGGCAGCCTAGCTAGTGTAGCGGTCAAATGTAACGTATGCATGTTACCGACAGTGCAGATCAAAAACACTAGCTACTAAATGTAACGCAAAACAGCGATATCGAGTTTGCACGTCAGACCGGGCCATTCCTGACAACAGTGTAATGTACGGTCGTGAAAAAGTTCATACACGCCAGTATGTTAGGTGCTCTCCGGCTCCTCAATAGTTTTGGAAGAGCTGCAGTTTTATGCTTTTAGCTTTAGCGCTCCTGGATTACCCGCCGATGTTGTTGTGACATTCTGAACCTCTACCAACGAAATTTCCCCCAAGGAGTTCAGCGTTTTGCCAGCAATAGCAGAATGCGTATTTTTTTCACAAGAAACCAACGCCGGCAGCTTTTGCGCTCGCTAGTTAGATTTTTGAGTTGTCCTGTTCTTCAGGTTTTGTTGAGTCGTCGATCCTCATTTCTTTGTGAGCATAGTGGTACTTAAATTCGACCCCTACTATTAAGGCCCTTTCTATAAATTCTATTTAGACATCGTGACAACGTTGGCCTCCAGCTTAGATTTAGAGTTCTCGGAAGCATTTGAGTCACAGTGGGTATCGATGGCGGTTTGTCCCAGCTCACCATCTTCATTGAAGTTCAATTTCTCAACTTTTTTGAACAATTCGTCTTTTTGGGTCTGGGTCAGTTCATCTTTTTTCTTGTTCTTGAGCCAGTAGGTTGGACTTAGCTGGCGCAGAGTCAGGTGCTTGCAAAAAGGCAAATGTCCCTTCTTCTCTTCAAACATCATCAAGCCAACCACTATCATCAAGACCAACCAATATATGTTATAGCACAACATAGATGACAAGTATCCAGTGTTTTGCCATCCCAGCAAAGCATTAAAGATATCCCAACCGTTGTCCAGTTCTGGGTTGCAGCAATTGACGTGGTACACGGCCTTACGGATGTTGTAGGACCCGTTTCCGTCACCACTCTCAGAGGCGTCACCGCCGGTAGCCTTGTTGTATCTGTAATTCTCAAAATACCAAGCTCCTCTTGAAAACAGACCAGCACTGATTAGGTACAAAATACAGGTCGAAGCAACCAAAAAAACTTGCATGGAGGATTTGGAGGTACCGTAATACAAAAGAACACCGACGGCGGTACCTGCGATGAGGCCAACCACCACGGGTAAAGGGTAAGCAGACGCGCTGGAACCCTGAGTGGTGATACCAGCACCAGCCACAAACACGACGGCTTCTAGACCTTCCCTCAAAACGGTGAAGAATGGTAGCAAGAACATGGCGTATCTGCGCGTCAAGTGGCCGATCTTGAAGCGGTCTCTCTTACGTTCCGGTATGTCCAGCAAAGCACGTGCAATCTTGACCCTCCACTTCGCTTGCAGCTTGTTAACTCTCAACATCGCGATACCCATAATTGAGATCATCACCGTGGCGATCATACAGAAGATACCCTCCCACAAGTCTTCAGCGCTACCAAAGATGTCATTTTGTAGCGAGTAGTAGGCACCAATGAACCCGCCACCAATGGCCAAACAAATGAAGAGACCGGCTGCTACACCGATCCACACCTGTTTTCGTAGTCTTTTGTAGATGTTTACATCTTGTTGCCCAACAGATTGTTTCAAAAAGGACAACAGCACGGAGACAATAACCACGGCCTCCAGGCATTCTCTGAAAACGACGAAAAACACTGAAACATTGAAAACTTTACTACCCTTAGCCATTCTTCAATGATAAAATATGCAGCTCACGTCAAGTTCGCACAGAAAACCTTGCCTCTGTTTCGATGATTCTTGCTAGTGACTATGAATTGTACTCTAAACGCTCAAAACCCTCATCGCATCTTCATTATATATATAAAACAGGCCGCTCCTTGCCTACTATTATCTACCTTATTGTTACGGCCCCAATCGCACCCCCAGGTTTGTGTTAGTGCTGTAATTCTTGTGATCCCACACATATATGCACCCACTACTTGGCGGTCGACCAATCTAGAGCCAAAAAAACCACAGGTGCAGGTCCGAGCTTGCCTTTTCAGGGTGCAGTTGAAAGCTGTGCAGTAGCCTCTTAAGAGGATGTTTGTATAATTCCCACCCGATGTCGAAAATTTTTTTTCTGTGTAGTGTGTGAACCAACGGGGTGCGATGGCGATACGTAAGTATTTACGGGTGTAGGATACCAAAATGAAGAAAAATTGACTCTCATCAGGTGGTAGTAACCCACAGAACTGAATCTGGCAGAGTCATGTACTTTAGAGGACCGTTGTCGGCTTTACCGTATCAGGCGTTTACCAAGAATGCGGTTTGACTGGATAAGCGCAGAACAAATTATAATTTCATATCATGATACACGGTAACGGTCTTCGTGAGCGTTATTACATAACCTGTGCAGAGTTAATCATTTCAGAGCGTTAAAAAGATTGCGCAAGCCCGGAATCGAACCGGGGGCCCAACGATGGCAACGTTGGATTTTACCACTAAACCACTTGCGCCCTCAGATGACTTTTATTACTAACTGAGGGTTTAGAGTGATCAGAAAATACCACGCGGGACTAAGAACCACCTTCCTACTGTGCACAGAATCTCCTACACTCACCAGCCGCATGTATTCGGAGCGATCACAGTGAGAAACACTGGTTTCGGCCTTACTTTAAATAAAATGTTACTCTGGCGCGGGCTCCTGCGTCGATGTTACAAGTGGATCTCCTAACAGGTCAACGCACAAAGAAGGAAGACAGTTTGAAAGCCACGGCGCACTTTATAGCGTGTCGCCCGGTTGAAAAGAGTTGTCTTGTAATGAGTAACAACCAAAGTGCAGTCGAGTTGCGCTTGCAAAGACGGAAAAAAACCATTAAAAAAAACACAAAAGCGAGATTGAATCTAATCTTACAGGCGCTGGCCTTCCTGTACATTCGATGAGGATAGAGGTCAAGTCAAACGCAGAAGACCACGAAATATTTCTGAGATCTCTAGTAATTCTTGTAGATTATCAATCCCACCAATGTAGTGACCGAACTCTTCATCCTCCAGTAAACATAACCTCCCGTCGTAAATTTCGCGGCACTTCTCCACAAGCGATTGATGATACGACAAAACATCGCCCCTAAGTAAACTTACAACCTCTGCAAGATACTCTTCGTGGACTTTGAGTAGCGCCAATGTCTCATTGTTATAACAGCATTTTTCTTGAAACATTTTTCTCAAAATGGCATTCTGTTCCTGGAGGCAAGCGAGCTCTGGATCGCTTGTTGTATCGCTGCGCTGTCTTCTGTCCTCGACGTCAATATCTCTTTGTTTCAAAAAGTTAGAGATTACGGACAAATTAGGATCGCGCATACCGCTCTTGGGCTGTGAGGAGTTCACCTCCTTCACCAGCACGTCGATTTCTTTTAATAAGTCATTTCGTTTCAGCTTATTCTCTTTCATTTGTTGCGCTATCTTTCGGACCAGGCTATATAAGTACTCCAGGTTTTCTGTCTGAGGGTTCATGAATATTACCTGTTGATCGGTCATATTAGAACAAGAATGATTGAGCAATAAGGTGAAAAGCCTGACTCGCCTGTAAAGGGTACCTTGCCGGTGTTTCAAACTAAAATAACAGCTCAATTTATAGCCTCTGTTACATTAACTTAATATTCACATATTAATATAGGCGGGTAACCACAAGCCTACAATAAAATCACTTCGGCGGCTATATTTGAGATAATAACGATATATCAAAAGAAGAGATAAAACACGTCACCCTGTTAGCAATGAGCACCCCGTCTCACCAGAGATTGCAGCTACAGCGTGGCAATGGTGTACCGGAGGGACTCTCGGGTGTTGCAACGATATGGTTACTATCCACACTGGGGGCGTCGCGTAACGCGAATACGGTGAGAGTAAAGAAGAAAGATATTCTCTCCGTATCAATACCTAAGACCTGCGAAGCTTTACTTCAGAGTAGTACCGATTATACCCTAAGGTCGGCCTCAAGTCTCTTGTATGGAGTAGCAGTGTGCTATGGCAGAAAGACCGACTATGTGTTAGCAGATGTCAATAGTGTCAAAGCCCAATTGCAAAGACAGTTATTGGAAGGAACTCGAAAGCGTACAGCTCTATTCTCGCGCAATTTTTGTCCAACTACAATTTTTGACGGTACTAAGGAATACCGCAACCTGCTAGAATTTCAAACAACGCACTCTTCAGTTCCGTTCGGTCGCCGCGATCCGTTTTTGACTGACGATCCAACCTTCGACATAAACCAAATTGGGGATATCTCCTTTCTCGACGCAGAGCGCCGTGGTTTGAATCAATCTGCTAGTCTTATTCACCAACGTGATATGCTGGACGAGCTGCAGAATGGATATAACCACGAGACCGGGCCAGGATTGGGACGAGCCTTGGCCGAAAACAGACCATACAACAGAGGCTCCTTAGAAACAGTAGAGCTATCAGCTCTCGATGCAAATTTGCATATAGACTTCGATGATGTTCTCAGCGAAATTGAAATGGGATCCGTTCAGTCTAGGAGCGGTGGGAACAATGAGTTATCAGACCAAGAAGATTTTCAGCTGAATTTTGAAGGTGGCAAACCGTTGGGCATCCCAAATATTGATAGTCTCCCTGATCTAGGGATTCAGTCTCTCAAAAATGGTGACGACGAACACCACAGGCAAGGCAAAAGGCCATTTTCTAGCTCTAAGAATGCAGGTTTGCCGAATGAATCAGATGGGCAATCTAAGAAGCCTAAAACACAATTGCCCCCAGACTGTCTTCTCAAAGTAAAGTTTGATGACAAGATAGGCATGGCGAATGATGATCTGAGAGAGAATAGTGGGAGCTATTGCGCCATCATGGATTCCTATACATCGAACTTAAATTGCAGTGCAAAAACCCGTCCAGACTCGAATAAGTTGATGGCGGTAATATTTGATGACGACTCACCAACCTTCCTACGCCTTTGCTTCGAAACACTATTGCTCGCTCAAGAGGACTCGTCGGCCCTCGCCAATACAGCGTCCAGTTCACCTGCGATTGAAAGAGGGCGTCGAAGGAGGCGTTCGATAGCATCGTCTAGATCTAGCAGTAGCATTATGAGCACAGAGAGAGGTAGGCGGGTAGGACCATCTGATGAAATCGAAATCGGCGGGGACAAGAACGATTCCATTCTTCTCCCTGAGCTTCATCAGATTGACGAAAATGTGGAAGTTGACGATTTTTATGACGAGCTTGATGGGACTGGACAAGATGTGATGAGAATTGATTTGCAATTGCCGCCGTCAAGTTTTGGGCGGAGCTCAAGCAGGACAGATGCAGGCTCTAAGGATCAAATCGAGGAGCTACAGCGCCTGAATGCGGACAGGCGAACAAGAAGACAAAATCCATTTGGAAGCGTACAGGATATGGGACAGAGTTCTTATTCTTCTTTTTCAGTAGAAGGCGTTGCCCGAGAAGGCTTTCATCATCAAGTACTCGACAATCAGAGCCGCAGATTGTTCGAATATATTCTAGAGAGGGTTTCATTTATCGGAAGCGTAGCCCGGTCACATCCACCTTTTGGAAAGAAATTGTTCCTCGAAGACCTGATTCCAAGCATGTTGACCATGGAAGTAGTAACCGACTCCAATGAAAGATTGAGACCAGTCAGCCGCAAGTTGGCTGCCAATGCTTTTCTTTGCATCCTCCAACTTGCATCTAAATCTTATGTTGACTTAGCATCTTCTGGTGTGCCCACAGGCTTCGAGAGTTTGGATGGGAATAGCATTGTCATCTACGTGTAATCGTGACTAAATTATGCAAAAAAACTCAATCAGCCTTAATCTATAAGACGAGTTGAGGCCAATGCACCTGTTTTTAAACGTTTTCCAGTTTCGTGGCTCGATTCTGATTGGTTTTTTTGATTTTTTATGGAATGGAATTGCAATCACGGATCATGATCGCAAGGTATTTCAACTCGGCAGAGCAGCGCTTAATCGTCTCATTTTGCTCATTTGAGCATGCTATCATTAATCGAGAGGGGTAGTCCTCTGCATAGTGTATAATCGCATTACATTATTCAACGATATTCTTTAGCGATTTCGCCATTAATAGGCCTACAGCGTACCTCATAACTATCCAACACATGTAAGCGTAAGTTTGCTCAGGACTAGGTTTACTGATTCTGTATCAGATATTAGATAATGTCAGTATGTCGTCCGCTTCTATACTTTGCTCTCTAATTTTTATAGCATTCATAAAGTCGTTCTCTCTGAAACGATTAATGCCAGATTCTAGCGTCGGCGCCAGCCCCGATTCAACATGTCTCTTAGCAACTCTCCGTTCGAGTTCGTCAACGGGAAGGTCCAGTTTCCAGACTAATACTGCATTGGTCTTTTTGAAGGCGGGATATATATCCTTCCAGTTTTCCTCATTCAAAAGTAAGTAAAGGCCCTCGATGACGATAATCCTTGTTGATGCGTCTACGCAGTGCTCATCCATAGTTGGATCTTTCAGCGCATGATCAAACCCCGGAATATATATAGACGGAACCGTGTCACTAAAGGATGAATTTATTTTGTCAAAGAGCTCCCCTTCCCATTTTGCCTGAACGGGTGGTGTAATTTGACAACTCTCAGCAAGAATTCTGCATAGTTGCAAACAGTTATTGCTATCAAACGTTTCAGGGGATCCTCGACGGTTATGTGCTTCCTGAGGGTTGCTAAAATGATCGAGGTGCTCCCGCGACAAGTGAAATCCGTCCATAGGAACAATCTGTGCGAGTTGACCTCCTTCCGCCATGCTCCTTGGACCAGATGCAGCGATTCTGATACTATTTGAAAGTCCTCCACGGCTAACAATGATCTCAGAGTCATTAGCAATGTTTTGGAATCTATGAGGTTTAAATTTTAAGTCTTCGATATGGTCGAATGATGGCCCTATCGCTTTTTGAGTATCTTCGGCGGAGAAGACTGGTATATTGCGGCATAAAAAGTCTCTTTGAGAAGTGGCATCGAAAGTCTGTAGCAATTGCGCTTTGCGAGTATTCTTCGAACCAAAATATTCCTGGTATCTGGCATTTAATTCGTTGCATAACTGGGCGCTGACAGTTGATTTTCCCGATCCGGGGGGACCAACTATGAGCACGGCAATTCTATAATGAGTTTCAATATGCTCACTCAAATACTCAAGTACATTGTCAGCAAGCCTAGAAGGATCGATCGTTTCAGGTATAGCTGCCATTGGGCAGGTCTTATGTTTTCTCTCGGCACATCGCGAGGTAGAGAGAAGCTTCATATAAAAAATTGAAAATTAAAGATTACTGGGTTTCAAGAATAAATTCTAAAAAGCAAGATGCTTTCCCTTGTTCGAAGTGCTTCGACCCGTCTTGTTCTCAAACAAATTCCTAGAAGCATTGCCACTTTTAGGCAAGCTTCTACCCTGGTATTTTTGGAGGCTAGCAAGAATGGTAATGTGATGCAATCCTCTTTAAGCGCTCTTTCCGCTGCAGAACAACTCGGGAACCCGATAACTGCACTCTTAGCCGGCTCTTCAGCCCCTAAAGCTGCAGAAGAAGTGAAAAACTTGAGCGGATCTGCCTCGCTCAAACAGATTTTGGTAGCTGACAGCAAAACCTACGACAATTACCTACCAGAAGCATTGGCCCCTTTGGCTCTTGAACTGTTGAAGAACGCCGAGTTTAGTCATTTTGTTGTGGCCAGTTCTGCGGTGGGTAAGAATTTGCTTCCTCGCGTCGGCGCCTTACTCGATTACCAACCAATTTGCGACATCACCAAAATTATAGACCCCAACACTTTCGTCCGACCAATTTACGCTGGAAATGCCTTGTCCACCGTGAAGTGCACCCAGGAGCGAAAGCTTATAAGTGTCCGCGCTTCTGCCTTTACAGCGGCTCCGGCGGGTGCAACAAGTGCCTCTGTCGGCAAAGCACCAGAGATTAATAACCCCGCATTGACGGTGAAATGGGAAAGTGAGAATCTGATGAAAAGCGCTAGACCAGATTTAGGATCAGCAGCGAGAGTTGTTTCGGGCGGACGCGGGTTGAAAAACAAGGAAACTTTCGACAGTCTTGTAACGCCGCTGGCGGATTCTCTAGGAGCCGCAATTGGTGCCACTAGAGCTGCTGTAGATTCTGGATTTTGTGATAACTCACTTCAAATCGGTCAAACTGGTAAGGTTGTTGCCCCAGACTTGTATGTCGCGGTCGGCATTTCGGGAGCTATCCAACACTTAGCTGGAATGAAAGATTCCAAGGTAATTGTTGCGATCAACAGTGACGCTGAGGCACCCATTTTTCAAGTGTCAGACTACGGATTGACTGGGGATTTAAATGCTATCGTTCCAGAGCTTACTGAAAAGATCAGCAAACTCCAGTGAGCTAGCGTTCGGTCAACGCTTGTGATTAATGCCCAAAAGATCCATGATATTATATAGACTAACTTCAGTTAGAGAAGTATAACAAACTTGGTCAAGAAATATCTACTTCATAGGCTAAACTTCATATTAAGTTTGCAAAGCTCGAACTGTTTGGTATGAGGCGACGGATAATCATATAAAAGGCTGTGCTTTCTTTATCATGGAAAAATATCTCACTGGTTTAGTTCACCTCCGGCCGGCGGACACAACAAAATCAAAATTCAATCCTAGTCAAGCAAAATAAAGAACTAGCACCCAACTGAATAAACTTGCAAGGCCCCAAAAATGCACGTAAACTGAATAACACCTACCATATTAAGCCACGGCTCATATTGTAATGCCATCTCCAGTACCTCTTCTTGGGTGCCTTTCGTATCGCGAGCCGTAAGTTGAAATCTTACTTTCATCACACTGTACGCGACGAACACCGACTTACCTTAATGTAAAATGTTAGACTAGCAGATGAACACGACCATAAAGTGAAAAGAATGCGTGGGAAATGAGAGACGAAAACAGGCCTTTACTCTCCAGCAGCACTATTAGGAGGGCACATAGCTATGACTCTCCGCCTTCTGACAATGCTGTGGGCAGTGGTTCAAAGTCTGAGCTGATCCCACCAAGAGAAATTCAAAGTCCTCTTCCCGCCCGATTTAATATTGACTCTGTCGAGCGGCAGAAGGAGGATATTGCTGGTAGTTTGAACTTCAATGCTACTCAGCAACAGCCGCTTACATTTTGGCATCGTCTGGCTTACTACTTACCGTGCTTCTCTTGGTTACCATCATACACGTTTTCCCAGCTGCTACGTGATCTGGTTGCAGGCGCGTCTTTGGCGTCCTTCCAAATACCACTGGCAATGTCATATTCTACATCAGTTGCTCATGTGCCCCCTATTTGCGGTTTGAACGCCTTAGCGGCTGCCCCGTTTGTTTATGCGGTATTCGGTTCCGTGCCACAAATGATTGTTGGTCCGGAAAGTGCTATATCATTAGTTGTTGGTCAGGCCATCGAGAAAATATCCAAGCATGAACCCGTCATTGGTGTCATAAACTTATGTGTAATCCTTACCTTCACCAGCGGTGCTATCTTGTTTCTGTTCGGGCTCCTTCGATTTGGCTTTTTAGACAGTGTACTAAGTCGAGCTCTCTTACGGGGTTTCATTAGCGCTGTAGGACTTGTGATGGTTCTCAATTCTTTACTCGCGGAGCTGAAGCTAAAAAAAGTATTTGAGGAAGCACCAGGGCATTACCACGCCCCAGTGGATAAAATTCAATTTTTATTGAAATATGCACCAGCAAATTATCATCTGCCAACTGCTATATTAAGCGCTATTAGCTTGGGCATTCTCTTGATTATGAAGCACATGAAGCGAAGGCTGTCTAAGAGGTTCAAAAATGTAATATTTGTTCCTGATATTCTAATTGTTGTCACTGTGGTCACACTGTGTTCTTACTACACCGATTTCAAACACAAATACGCAATCGAAATTGTTGGTGACATAGGATCAGACAACTCAAGTAAAGTTTGGAATCCTTTGACCAAAAAAAATTTACCGTATTACAATGATCTGTTTCACGCGAGCTTTATGGCTGCCTTGCTGGGCTTTTTTGAATCCACGACAGCTTCCAAATCTTTGGGCTCAAATAATGGTTTAGCAATATCTTCTAATCGTGAACTGGTTGCCTTGGGAAGTTTGAATCTTGTAGGATCTTTTTTTGGTGCCCTTCCAGCATTCGGGGGTTATGGTAGGTCGAAAATTAATGCCTACAGTGGCGCAGCTACAGCAATGTCAGGCGTATTCATGGGTGTTATTACTATAATTACGTCTAAATTTCTCCTGAGCACCATACACTACATTCCTGTTTGCCTGCTGTCGGTTATAACCACTATAGTCGGAATCTCTCTTTTTGAAGAAGCCCCTGCGGACATCAAATTTCATATTAGGTGCAGGGGTTACAACGAGCTCATCACTTTCGCTATAACAGTATTAACGACATTTCTGTATTCAGTTGAGGCTGGAATTACAGTAGGGTGCGGTTACTCAATAATTAGAGCGGTGAAAAACTCAACCCTCTCGCGCATCCAGATTTTGGCGAGGGTGTGTGGAACAAATCGGTATGTGAATGCTGATGAGTTTGATAACAGTAGCATTCAGGGAGCACAGAGCGTGCCTTTATTAGAGCACGTCGAAGGGTGCTTCATAGTGAAGGTTCCTGAGCCATTGACTTTCACCAACGCTGAAGATCTCAAATCAAGGTTACATCGTCTGGAGACATACGGATCCGTTAATACCCACCCAGCCAGCCCTCGCACTCGAGATAGAGATCTCACTAGGCATATGATTTTTGATTTAAATGGCATGACTCGAATTGACTCGTCAGCGGCACAAATCTTGTGTGAGATTGTTACTGACCTGCGAAAGAGAAGGGTACGAGTCTACTTGACGCGCGTTCCTCTTAATACCAGCGTGCGCAATAGGTTGCAGACATCTGGAATCATCGATAAGATTGAGAAAACTGGCCTGTCTGGTATGGTGACGTTGGGTAGCGTAGCAGAATCTTCATGGTGCTTCAAAAGTGTCCAAGATGCTCTCCGAGCGTCAGATGAGGCCGAGCAAGATTCACTTTCAGGCGATCTCAGTGAGTGCACATCTTTAAGCGGCACATTTGTACACTCTTCTGCTGTCTAATCAAGTTGTTCGAGAGAGTCAGCGTCGGCAGTAGTTAACTTTTTCGACTGTTAATTGAATCTGTTGATAGACAGCGTGAATTACATTCTGAGCACTAGTAGTAATCTGGAGCTTATAAAGCCACCTCTGGTTATCTGTTCGTGATCTTTAGGGCCATGTATCTGGTCCATATTTGGAACTTATAGCTAATATTTATATAAAACTCAGTTGGGAAAACTATGGGTGGAAAATCTGGTTAGCGCTGGATAATGTAACAATTCCGTCCAACAAATAAATTGTTGGGTTATTGGATAACCAGGGAATTTCTGCGTAGTCGTTGGTCCTGAATCCCATTAATTGATTATTCACCTTGTACACCTGTGTTTTGCTGACGTTAAGTATCACTTCTTACTATACTGATACTAGGTTGGTGATTACAATTATGCAACTCGATGCTATTCAAACGGTACAGGATCACTACTATTCACTACTTTTAATACTATCTATAGATGGCATATAGTTACTAGGTAAGAGCGTATCATTCATTAGCGCGGGCCGTAAAGTGTCGATTTCTAAAATGGGTATCGATGTTGACTTTGTTTGTCCTCGAGTTATTACTACAACTTCAGTCTAAAAAATTGCTAGACCCTTAGCACTAGTAAGCCAATGAATCTCAGCTTCCTCTATCAATCTATCTTTCGTCCACCCATCACCTCGTAACTGTAACGATTTGCCTCTTTTTATGCATCTTCCTTAAGCTCACACAGCTTCGAGGCAGGTCATAATATGCACTTTTTTTCTATCGCCTGTGAGGCTAATTTAGATTGTCTTGTACTACCTTCTCGGACCTCATAGCTATGCGGCTTTTCTGAACAGTCTCTGGTCCAGATCCTGTCATTAATCCTATTTCTGTCACATAATACTATTCCTGTCGTTTTAAATAAAAGAGTGACTATCAGGTGTAGACCGATAGTAGACACCCCTAACATAAATTTAAGAATGGCAATTTGGCCGAGTGGTTAAGGCGTAAGATTAGAAATCTTTTGGGCTCTGCCCGCGCAGGTTCGAATCCTGCAGTTGTCGTTATTTTTTTTAGACTACAAGCCACCAAGGAATTAGCTCTTACTTAATTGAAAATCTAACTTATTGGGATTTTCAAGGCTGATGGCATTATTTCAGCCTTTAAAAGAGAATATGGCGGCTTGCTTCGTGGGGCCACAGTTTGGAATATAAAGAATTTGTCCCTGGTGAAATTTTTACGTTAGAGGTTTCCATCCTCTGATTTAGACCAATCACAACGATGAGAGTCCAATAAGACCAATGTTACTTATCACTTGAGCTGTGAGCGCTACGAATAGTATATGATCATTCTATACGTATGGAGACCTATATGTTTTAATTAGTTCTGCCAGAATTATATGGTGGCAAATAGTTTAACTTTACCCTCAACTAACCGGAAGGTGAGATATAAGATCAAGAATCTGATTTACGATGGTATGTTAAACTGCTTCTATTCATTGTCTGCAGGCTTTGCAAGAAATTCGTTTTCTTTGGTCTATCCAGGTTCGTTTACTAACTATAACTGCGCATTGTAAAGGGTCAAGGTGCGTCAACCTATGGTAAAGACAAAAAGAAGAAAGATAAGGAGAAGCCTAAATATGAGCCTCCGGTACAGTCAAAAATTGGACGTAAGAAGAGAAAGGGCCCTGCCACGGCAGAAAAGCTTCCAAATGTATATCCTAGTACCCGTTGCAGATTAAAGTTGCTGCGAATGGAAAGGATCAAGGATCATCTGCTCCTGGAGGAAGAGTTCGTAACAAATTCTGAAATTCTCAAACCTTTCGAGAAGAAACAGGAAGAGGAAAAAAAACAGTTAGAGGAAATCCGCGGTACCCCACTGTCGGTAGGCACTCTGGAAGAAATTATTGATGATGACCATGCAATTGTTACAAGCCCAACAACCCCTGACTTTTACGTTTCTATTTTATCATTTGTTGACAAAGAATTGCTAGAGCCCGGTTGTTCTGTTCTCTTACATCACAAAACAATGTCAGTGGTAGGTGTGTTACAAGACGACACAGATCCGATGGTTTCAGTCATGAGAATCGATAAGTCACCTACAGAAAATTACAGCGATATAGGAGGTTTGGAGTCTCAGATTCAAGAGATCAAAGAGGCAGTCGAACTTCCATTAACCCATCCCGAACTCTATGAAGAAATGGGTATCAAACCTCCCAAGGGTGTTATTCTTTACGGTGCCCCGGGTACTGGTAAGACTCTATTAGCAAAGGCAGTTGCTAATCAGACCTCGGCAACTTTTCTAAGGATTGTGGGATCAGAATTAATACAAAAATATCTGGGTGACGGTCCAAGACTTTGTCGACAAATTTTCAAAGCTGCTGCAGAAAATGCCCCCAGCATAGTTTTCATTGATGAAATCGACGCCATTGGTACAAAACGTTACGAATCTAACAGTGGTGGTGAAAGAGAAATTCAAAGAACAATGCTGGAGTTGCTTAACCAGCTGGACGGGTTCGATGATAGAGGAGACATCAAGGTAATTATGGCAACAAACAAAATCGAGAGCTTAGACCCAGCCTTGATCAGGCCAGGAAGAATCGATAGAAAAATCCTATTCGAAAGTCCAGATATCTCAACGAAGCGGAAAATTCTCACCATTCATACATCTAAGATGAACTTGGCGCCAGATGTGAATTTGGAAAACTTAGTGACGTCAAAGGATGATCTATCAGGTGCTGACATAAAAGCGATGTGCACAGAGGCAGGTCTGTTGGCCCTCAGGGAGAGAAGAATGCAAGTCACCGCTGAGGACTTCAAGCAAGCGAAAGAACGGATTTTGAAAAACAAGGTCGAAGAGAATCTGGAAGGACTGTATTTATAGGTTACTCGGAGAGGGCCAAACGTTTATCCAGCGTTTCAAGAAACAACCAGGTTATTTCTAAGAAATTGCAGTTCGGTGACTATCGTCCTATGTAATGGCATGCCGTCGGTCGTATAAGATAGAAACTATCAGGTGGTAAATCTCATGTAATGTTTCGTAATCGTCCACGCAGTAGATGGATCATCTGTATAGCCAAGTCATTCAAAGTTATAACAATTCTTTTGTTGCAGCTTGTTGTCGTTTTCACAATCATGTCACGTACAAAAGATGTCGTCATATCTTATAGGGTACTTTATATATGGTCTCTTTTTTGGGTAAGCCAAAAAATTGAGCGGAATAAAAGCCCACCACTGGCAACTTACCCAACATCCCTCCAAAGACTCGACACCTAATCTTTCCATATCAAAATAGTGGCATCTTCTCTATATTCTTATTAATAGGAATACTTCATTTCAATAGTTATCGGTAAAATATCGGTACAAGATATGACAAAGAGCGACAATCCGGAAAGGGAAGACAATAGTAGGCGGACCTCTGAAGATCACCGGTACAAGCTTTCATATTCAGTGGGGGTGGCCGAGAACAAAAACTTAAAATTCCGGACATCGATGGAAGATGTACACACATATGTGGAGAACTTTGCGTCAAGATTAGATTGGGGTTACTTTGGGGTTTTCGATGGCCACGCCGGTAATCAGGCCTCGAAATGGTGTGGAGGGCACCTACACTCAGTAATCGAGCAAAAAATACTGGAGGATGAAAGTAAAGATGTGAGAGAAGTCTTAAATGATGGCTTCATACACGCGGACGAACATATTAACTCAAAGGTCGACGGTAATAGCGGATGTACGGCAGCAGTTGGTATACTGCGTTGGGAGCTGCCAAGCAATATGCCGAGCGACCAAGTAGAATTAGATCAACACAAGAGGATGCTGTATACAGCAAATGTTGGCGACACGAGAATCGTGCTGTGCCGCAATGGACATAGCGTTAGGCTCACCTATGACCACAAAGCTTCCGATACAGGCGAAATGCAACGAGTTGAAGAAGCAGGTGGGCTTATTATGAGAAGTCGAGTCAACGGGATGCTTGCGGTAACACGATCATTGGGTGACAAGTTTTTCGACAGTTTGGTTGTGGGGAATCCTTTTACAACCAGTGTAGAAATCACAACAACAGATCAATTTCTGATAATAGCATGCGATGGGCTATGGGATGTTTTAGAAGACCAGGAAGCTTGTGACGCGATCAAAAAGTCAAACGATGCCAGTGAAGCAGCTAAGACTTTGGTACGGATGGCCCTTGAGAGAGGCACTACTGACAATGTTACAGTCATGGTAGTGCTCTTTGATAACAGCCCCTGAGCTTTCAGTAACCATGGTTCAGTAGATTAATACACGAGATTTTATAGTTGCTTTCTTTATTTTTGCCTTTCCCATCTCCATTTAAACTAACGTAAAAGCTATATGTTAAACTCGTCCATTTCAAGTCCGTTATGGCCTTCTGAAGTATTCCAATCCAATCCGAGGTCGTTGAAATCATTTAATGTCAAATAACTGTCTGGATTACCACCGGCCTCGTCACTAAGCATGTCGTTCGGGTCTCTGCCATTGCTCGGCGTCATGGTCGAGCTATATGCCATCTGATTTCCCGGATTTTTGTCTTGTGGCGGAGCCAATTGAGTGTCATCAAAGTTTCCAAGTCCTATATCGCTTTCCTCAACCCCACCAAACATCGACAAATCGAGATCGTTCAAATCATTAAAACCCGAGCTGAAGTTTCCGTTACTTCCACTTCCATTATCCCCCGCATTACCACCTATATTTGAGTTTCCATTGTCACTTGCAGTGGTACCACTCGCGTCTACTTTAATATTTGACTTGGAAGCTGCCAGCCCTGTTTTGGAGATTTCATTAAGAAATGTGGCGGGCGTGGATTCCGCATAATCCCCACCAGAAGCTGGTGCCTGCTCGGAAGACTTTCGGGCCTCCTCCAATCGCTTACGCTCTTCCTCTTGCTCCTTCATTTTCTGGTCCTCTTTCTCTTGAAGCCTCTGTTGTTCCCGTAACTTCTGCTCACGCTCCAGGGCCTCCGCAGCTAAGCTGTCTACAGAGTTTCTTGCTGCCGTAAGTGTTAGGTCCAGGTCGTCAAGAACCGAATGGAAGGCGTGTACTTTCTCGCCCAGTAATTTGTGTTGCGACTGTGTAAAACCCGGTGCTATATCTGAACTGAGTTGAATGCTCTTTATCTGCTGCTGCACCATCATTTCTGCAGCGGCTGTCATGATGTCATCAAAGCATTTGGAGAGCTTGTTATGATGGCGACCGTCCCAATTCATGATGGACTTTGGAGTGAAAAGCCCAACAATTCGGAACCTTGAAATAATCTGTATTCTCCGATGAACTTAGTGATTATTTCACCTGTATTCAGCTGATACTTTACTTCACCTGAGTGAATACTTTCGTACTCGTGTCTAATTAATGGTCTATGAATACATCTGGAATGTATTGGATGAAGCGTACCTTCATCTCTCACTTACCGGACCTGCTAGAGACTGATCTTAATGGGTAGAATTCAGGTTGAGGAGGACGCGTGCTTTTAAAGTATGGGTCGTTCACGACAGAATAATACACAGTAATTTTACATTTAGCGTAGTGTTTGCTAGGCATGAGCACCACAACAGTCTTGGGTACTAGCCGCAATTGTACATGCTAGTTGTTACAAATTTAGAAAAGCTGTTTGAGAGTGGAACTTGACTGTATTAGTTGCAGTAGACGCTAGTCTCCAAATGCGATTTCAGGCTCGTGCTCTGTAAGGAAGTCAAGGGGCCTGAAGTGTTTCTCTCTACTACTACCGACCAAACATGATGCGCTGTGTAGCCTATATTTTGAGCTTGGCGCGTTTCAATCGATAATTCATGTCACATCTACTTAGCATGGTTCGTCGATAACCAAAACTCGCACTTTGTGGCGGTTTAAGTAATAAGTCCGAGAACAGACGGTTGAAGGTCGCCAGTTCGAATCTGATAAAGCGCGCGTCATAATTCGGCTTCGAGTTCGGCGTAAATATACCATTTACAACAAGATGGTATTTTAACAACGCTGAGATTGGTTATTCATATCACACCGTTGTACATTGGCCATGGGCTTTTTTTGAGATCAAGGTGCTGTACTTGTAATATTCTATGCTGATCTGCTGCTGGGGCGCCGTTGGAGACTGGCTCTGAAGGAATGCTGCCGTCAACCCATCCCCTTTTTGTTTCTCAGCTGATTTTTCGTATTAATGGTCTATAAGTACATTTTGAATGTATTGGATGAACCGTACCTTCATTTCCCACTCACCGATCGTTAGATATTGCTCCGTGCAGAGCTACCAAACGAATGGCCAATCAGTTGGCCCCAATGACCCGCTACATTGTTTAGTACAAAACGATATATGCAAATTGAAAATTTTCGTCTGCCTAACTAGCCGAAACAATACTACCCCTGCTAACATTCGTTTGGCTGCGATACCCACATCTTGCACTTAACTTCAAGTTTTTGAAACGTGCTGTTACACAAGGCTATCTGTTGCTTGAGCTAATATAGAAAAATGTTTCGTCTAAGCAGTGGGAGGGCCATTGCCAGATCCACCAACATGGTTATTGCCAGACGTACTTATGCGGAAGCCGCTGGTGATTTTTTGAAGCTACAATTTGCTCTACCACATGAAACGCTATTCGCTGGGTCTAAGGTAACCCAGGTCAACTTGCCAGCCCAGTCTGGTCAAATTGGTGTGTTGGCCAACCACGTTCCAACCGTAGAACAGCTGGCACCTGGTGTGGTAGAGGTGTTTGAAGGCGCTTCGTCCAAGAAATACTTCGTTTCTGGCGGATTTGCTACTGTCCAACCAGACTCCACCCTTTCTGTGAACTCCATCGAAGCGTTCCCATTGGAGTCTTTCTCATCGGAAAACGTCAAATCCCTTATTTCAGAGGCCACCAAGAACGCCTCTTCTTCTGACGAAAAGGTTGCCGCTCAAGCTTCCATTCAACTCGAAGTCTTGGAAATTCTACAAGGTGCCTTGAAATAAGCTACCACAGTATTTCGTCCACGACCTGACATGTATCGTTTTGAGATATAATTCAAAATCACACAAACACTTCATATTCTAGTTATTGAGAAAACCAATACACGACTAACGTTATCATACTGCAATGTCAATGGAAGGCCATTTCAAAAGATAAATAACTTTCATACTTCGAATCTTAAGTGGGCATTCGAGCCTCTTTCTGATGGACTTTGGCCACCAGAGGAGGATCCCAGACACCTAGGGATATAGACGACTATATACTACATGTATAGGTAACAACACTAGGCCCTCTATCACAATCCTGGTGATCCCTGTTCACGCGTCAGTTTCCATATAGGTCACATGATACATGCGATGGTTCAGTAACAACAAAACACGAAAACACGAAAACTAGGTATAATTCTCTGTTAGCTTGCTTTCCATATACCATAACGCGAGCGTCCGCTGCGTAACGCTTCTTGCTCACTCTTCAATTTGCTTGCAACGTCAGCATAAGACAATCGCTAATCATTCGCTAACCATTCGCTAACCATTCGCTAATCATTCAAGAGAATATCATTATTACTCTGAACAGACCAGTTCTCACACCGAAGTCTAATTGATAACGACTACCAGTTCAATAACCGAGATGACCACCGAGGCAACTACCAGAGCACCTACATTTATCCAGCTGACAACCAGCAATGGACCATTGGCCCAAATTTGGCTAGCATCTAACATGTCACATTCATTGTCAAGAACTATATCGCAGCAAACTGACATTATTAAGTCTGTGGAAGAGATTGCCAAAGTTGCTGGCTGTTCTCTCAGCAGTGAAAATATCGAGCCTATCACCTTGCGTGCCTCTGGTGAACTATTACATGGAGTTGTTCGCGTATATTCAAGAAAGACATCACTCTTATTGAATGATATTAAGGACACTCTAAGCAGAATGACGTCGCTATTCAAGTCTGCTCCTGTGAACTTGATCGTTCAAATGGAACGCACGACACTTGCGAATCCCAGTCATTATCTATTGCAAGATGCTGTAACTGAGAGAGAAGTTCTTCAAGTACCTGGTCTTGAGTTTCTCGGCGAGCGGACCACCTCGAAAGACCTCATGGAAAATGAGAGGTCTATGGAGAGACATGTTCAGGGGGCAGCTCAGTGGGATTCTTCTATTGAGTTAGGAAGAAATATCAGGCCAACAGATGAATTAGGTTTCAACCAGTCCTCCATTTTGGACCTCGACTTTGATATAGACGACACAGCGACGAAAGCCGTTGGCGAAGGGACAAACACAAGCATTAGCAAGTCTGCGCAAACAACAGGAAGTGCTTTGATTCAAGAAGATGATTTCTCTGGCGATGAACATCTGGACTGGGATCTCGGCTTTAGAGATGAATCGGCTAACCTCGTTGATGAGCCAGGCTCTGACAAATCTGTCGAAGTTGGTAGACGAGCAAGTCTCCAAGAACCTCACGAGGAGCACACAGAATTTGATTTCGATCTGGGCTTGGACAAAGTTGATGATGAACGGCCGTCACAAGAGGGAGAGGACAATCAAGCTTTGGGTGTCCCAGTCACTTCGCCACCACCTAGCAACCATCCTGTTCTACCGTCACGCTTGAGACCTATTACGACCGATGAGGACACGGAACTGAGAGACGAAATTGTAAAGGTTACCCAGTTGAGATCCGATCTTCCTGATGCAGAAATCCAGAGCGGAATACCACATATATCAAGGAAACCTGAGAAAAGAGTGTGGACTCAAATTGTTAATAAATTTGATTTCATTCCTGATCATATTCTAAAAAATCTGCTGCCATATCAGAATGCTAAAAGGCCTCGTGTTTCTAACGACGTGCCTGAAATCGAGGCTGATCCTCAGTTCAGCTCTTCACTTGAAATTGGCGAAGACCTCATCACTGATTTTGAAAATAATACAGGCCATCCTGATGATGGAGGACTGCTGAGTACTTGGGACGATGGACAAGATCAGGATATGGAAATAGAGGACAACTTGGAGGTAGACAATGGTGTGGCACAGAGTATAAGTGCTGCCAACTCTAGTTCGTTGGAATCTCATGCTGGCAGCGATACAGCGGGGAATGACCTGCCTCAAGGGGTCGACACAATGGCAGGGCAACTTAGAGCTCAATTTACTGGCCATCAAGAAATATCTTTTTTCAGGTATTTGGAAAATAGAGCCGAGGCTCCTCCAACAAGGAAAGAAGCAAGTAAAGCTTTTCTCGAAATTCTGACTCTTGCAACCATGGATTGTGTACACACATCTCAACAGAGAGACTTTGAGGATATCATGATCACAGCTAAAGCGTCGTTGTATAGCAACTTTATTGACATTTAAGTATAGGCTAATTGGAAAGTATATTAATGGTATTCTATATTCTAGTTAAAGCTCCCGTTGACGGCGGCTAATTCCTCGTACATGATTATCTTCATTGAAAAGTTGACCTTAAAAAAAATTTTCCGTCTGGGCCATATGGCGGCGATGCGATGAGCTTCGATATTAAAACGTAGTAACATAACTGAACATTGTTTAAGCTAAAGAGGCCCTGGTGTGCTGCTATACAAATCTTCGACATTTAGCTCCTCGAGAACATTAAAAATGGTAAAACATAAAGAGACGTCCAAATCCTCAAAGCGATATAGATACTCGTCATTTAAAAACAGAATCGACAACATTAGGATAGAGCCGGCCAAAAATTTAGCCAAACGAGTTCATGATCATGTCGAAACTTCGCACTTTTTGGCCTCGTTTGAGCACTGGGAGGATACAAATCTAAGTGCTACATTTATCAACTTCGCAGACGCTGTACGGCCCCTCTCTTCAACTTTGCCTCAAATTCTATTTAACGAATCTGAAATCTTTAACTACATTTTCGATACCATTAGCAAGCATGACGAAAATGCGCTTCAACCTATGCTCGACCTTTTGGCGCAATTCTGTCACGATCTGGGCCCTGACTTCATGAAATTTTATACTAGATGTATGCAGATGCTCACTCATCTGTTGGACGACGCTGTTAATTTCGAATCATCGGATGTTTTTGAGTGGGGATTCAATTGCTTGGCTTACATCTACAAATACCTATCTCGAATTTTAGCTCAAGACCTTTTGCTGACATATGACCTGCTCTTTCCTCTATTGTCGCACGACAAGGAATATTTGTCCCGATTTTCGGCTGAAGTTCTATCCTTTTTGGTAAGAAAAGCCAAGCAGACCAGCTTAGATGCTTTTATAAATCATACTTTTGCTCAGCTTCGCGACGACAATACTGAACACCTTTACGATGGTCTTCGCATCTTGTTCACCGAAACGCTTGTTTCGACTAAGGAATCTCTACATTCGAAATTCGGCATAATTATGCAAACGTTGATTCAAGCAACTCTCACGAGTGCAGAAAATTCCAGGTGTGTTTCCGTCATTGCAGATGTGATTATGAATGTCTTGAGGCATGCTTCTCGTGAGAACGCCAAGCAACTCTATGATGTCACCCTCGGTCAAATTGAAAACTCTCTAAAAAGTGGTGCGGAAAATACGGAAGTAGCTACTAAACTTCTAATACCCTTGGCGTATGCTGAAAGTGGTCAAAAAGTGGGATCTTGGTCAAATTTAATTTGCTGCATTCAAAGACTTATTGCACATGCTGGTAAAAAACTTTCGCCTAGTGATACCTCTCTATTATTTTGCTGTGTTTTGCGAAATTCTCCGATACCTGATCTCACCCAGTGCTACAAAGAGTTTTTCTCTTTCTATATGAAGAATTTTGGAGCCAACTTTACGGAGTTTTTTAAGCTGGCGCTTTCATATGACAGGGACAGGGTTCTTTCATTTGGTGGCGCCAAATATCTGCAGAAGTTTTTCAACTCAGAATGGCCCTTGCACTCCAAAAAGATGGCCTTTTTTTTGCTAGAAATTGAAAGCAACGTTGCCTTAGTCGAGAAGTTGGGCGTCAAGGTTTCTAAAGAATTGGGCCTCGAACAGCTTTCGGCGATTGAGTCCATGGACCTAAATGATGAAGATATGATTTTCGACCTTTACTGGAGGCTATTACTTGTATCTTACTGCGATTGCGATAATTCTCGAGTGCTTGTGTCTACTTTGGACTTCTTCCTACGAGATGGGCCTCGCAATGACTTCGAAAAAGATGTTATGGGGAGAATACTTTCGACGATCACCGTTAAAGAAACCTCAGAGTTTAAACAACTTTTGAATTTGGCTCTTCGAAGGATTGAGACTATCCAAGATAGTAAGCTTTGCGTCCAGGGCTTGACTCGAATAATCAATGAGACAGTTGCGGCCGGCTATGGTATCAAATATAATTTTGCTCCCCAAATTTTGGTCTCAGTAACTCAAAACTTGAGTTTGCCTGACGATTCGATCCGGTATGAATCCCTTAACTTGATACTTGCAATTATTGAATTTGAAGGAATTCAAGTACCTCACTTTTTAAACGAATGTCGTTTGATCGAGGAGATTCCTCGCAATCTTCAAAATGCACGTGACATAACTATGCGGCTAAGAATGATAGGATCTGCTTTCGCGAAGACAGAACCTGAGAATTTTGCGTGCCATGCGTTGTTTAACTATCTTTTCGGTATTCTTACCGTGAGGTTTTCTCCAGTGTGGGAAGGTGTTTACGAAATTTTACCTCAAATCTTCGAAAAGGATCAAAAACTAACTTGGGATTTGTTCTTAAAGTTCATCGATGCCCTGGATAATAATTTTGAATTGGACTATTACGTCCCAAAAACAGCTATAGCCGAAGCCCAGGGTGGTTGGTCTGTGAGCGTGTCCAGGTTGAATGACGCTTTGCAATCTTGCCGCAAAGTTTTTACATCATATGCTTCGATTGATAGATCAATCATCGAAATCTCTAAAGAAAAAAGAAGTGATTTAACTTATCCTGGTTTGATAAGAAATCAAGCCCTCAAAGGTCTACAATCAATACCACAATTGGCAGAACGTCATTCTAAAGACATCGTGCCCTATTTTTTGAAAGCTAGTCCGGTCGATAGCGAGCTTAGTGGAGCCGACGCCTCTGAAGACAATGAATACCGAAGCTCTAATACTTGGTCTGAAACCGATCGGAAGCTACTTTTAAAGCTCATCGGCAAATTCAAAAACATAAAGGCTATTTATCGATCTGAAGACGTTCATCGCAGACTCATGGATCTCCTGGGGAGTAGAACGACCGAAATACAGAAGCTGGCATTTGACGGTATTTTAGCATACAGGGACAAAGGCGTCATCAAGTACAGGGACAACTTGAGAAATCTATTGGATGACAATGCTTTTAAAGATGAATGTCTCAAATTACTCGCTCGCAGCGACGAGCAAATAATAGAGCCCCAGGATGAAACAACAATTATGCCTGTTATTTTGAGAATACTTTTTGGTCGGGCTCAAACCCCTGTTACTAGTGGTTTGAAGAGAAGCAGAAAAGCTGCAGTTGTTACACTTTTACCCAGCTTAAATGAAAAATATGTTGTTGATTTTTTGACTCTTGCTAGCCATGGGACTCATACAAATGAAAATCTGTCACTATCTCCGACGATTGCAAGCTCTTCCATGAGAAGAATGGTTGGTTTTGTAACACTAGCTCGAGCAGCTGTGAGCGCTTTAGGCTCGCGCTATCCTTATGCGACCGAAATGTTGATACATCCAATTCTGCTCACGCTAAGCGCCTCTAATGAAGTCACTCTTGGTATTACAGACCAGGACTTTATTTTGAAGCAAGCAAGTACTCTACGACAGTTATCCATAAAGTTGATGCATAGCATATTTAACACTGTGGGTGACCGTATCCAATGGGGTGTGTACGTTGAGAAAATCTTCGAGGTTATGGTCAAACCAAGGCTCACAAGGTTTGAGGACGAGAATCTCCAGCAGCCATCCTCACTGATGGCTATTATATCTTTTTGGGCCAGCGACGTCCGCTATTACAAGTTCCTATATTACGATGGTTGTTCAGCTGCTCATGCGCTTATGAGAACTTTATCGAAGGAGACCGCTAAAGACTCTGTGATCAGCTCAATCTTGATGTTTTCAAATAGCATCATAAAAAATCCAACCGAAGAGTCCAACTACATTGATCTTGTTACGCTCGTGGCTTCGGCCTGTCTTCAAAGTTTACCAAGCTTGCTCAACCTTGACAAGAACCAAGACATAAATGCAGTGTCGGCAGATCTTCTTCTAAACCTGGTGGATGCAGGTTATGTTCGAGAAAACGAAGTAAAGAAACACATTTTGAATTCGTTAGCTCTCATACTTGAGGGTGAGTTAAAAGCCTTTCGTGCAACAGATAAATTGAAGATTTTAAAAACAATTGCTGCTCTACTTACTGACTACGAATGTAGCTGGCAAGATATTGAACCGTTATACAAGTCGTGTTCGAAACTTTACAGAACAATAGCGGAAAAGGAACAGAGGCAAGCTATCAATGAAATATTCTTGAGCATTGGCAAGAACTTCCAACATTTAAAGGGTGCTTGCACTCTTTTAAATGATCTGAATGGATATTCCACCAATCGAATGGAGGCCTACAACTTTGATACTGTTTTGCCTGCATTCAAAAAAATAAATGAGGAAGGATATCTGTGTTTGAGCGACACGGAATGGTTCCCAATCATCAACACTTGCCTCTTCTACATTCAGGATGAGGAGGAACTCGCTATCAGAACAAATGCTTCTCATTCCTTAAAGCGTTATGTTGATTATATCAATTCAAAGGCAACGGTAGAAGAAGCCAGGTGCTCTGTTGGCACAATGACCTCGGATCTCATGCCTCAATTAAAACATGGTCTACGTCATAAAAATATTGATATTCAAGCCGAATTCATTTCTGTCATTGCATACATTGTAAGCAATTCTAGGTACTATACTGAATTGCAGGATATGAAGGTCTTGCAATTCAACGCAGACGAAGAAGCTAACTTCTTTGCCAACATCACTCACATCCAGCTGCATCGTCGTCAGCGTGCGATAAAGAGGTTATCCGAAAACGCGTCCGCTTTGTCTGGAAATAGCATTTCCCATTTTCTGATACCAATGATCGAAAGGTATATCTACTGTACTGACGAGAAATATAGGAATATGTGCAATGAAGCTATTTTGGCAATTGGCAATTTGACCAATTACGTTACTTGGAATCAGTACAAAGCTCTCATCAGAAGATTTGCCTCGTTGATGGATAGTAAGCCTCAGTACTTGAAAGAGATCATACTGCTTATTGCAAAGTGCTCCTCAGCTCTCGCTGACTCCATGTGCGCGGTAAGGTTACAGACTGTACATGGCCCCACGATGGAAAAATTTCCTATGACACTCTCAGACCAGGATACATTTGTTAAAGAAGAAATTTGCCCTAGATTCAGTAAAATTTTGAATATTCGAAATGATGAGACTATTGTTGCAAGAATGCCACTTTGCGAGTCGATGGTAAACTTCACTATGGGCTTGGACACTATGGACCGAGCTTCGCTTCTACCGGGCATATTGAGCAGCATATGTCAAGTTTTGCGCAGTCGTTCGGAAGAACTGCGCGAGGCTGTCAGAAAAACTCTGGCTAATATCACTATTCGATTGGGCCCTAGATATTTCACATTTATTTTGAAAGAACTAAAGGGTGCACTAAGGAGAGGGTCTCAGATTCACGTTTTGAGCTACACAATCCACTCGCTCTTAATGGCTCTCTTGCCTACTATGGTTCATAAGGACCTTGATTGTACTGCGCAGCTAATCGTGGGAGTTTTGATGGAAGATATTTTTGGTACGGCTGGTCAAGAAAAAGACGCTGAGGGGTACAACTCAAAGCTAAAAGAACTCAAGTACAATAAAAGTTACGACACAGGAGAAATCCTCGCTGCGAATATTTCGTTATCGGTTTTTGGCTCGCTACTTTCGCCAGTTAATGCATTGCTATCTGAAAACTTGGGATTGAAGACTCAGCGCAAGCTAAATGAGCTTTTGCGGAGGTACGCACTTGGTCTCAATCATAACATTGAGAGCTCGTCAATTGATGTTCTCACTTTGTGCTACGAAATATACACACAAACAGCAGAATATGGAGAAGTAAAGCAAAAAAACCGGTCTTACCGTCCAGGGGCAATGGAGGATTCATTTTTTGTGGTCAATCTTAATGCCAAAACTGAAAAAGTACAAACCGAAGGTCGATCAAACAGCGCCATTCTTCAAAAGTTCTCCCTCGACCTTCTTAGAACGGCTTTGTCTAGAAACTCAAATCTACTAGAGGTGGCTTATCTTTCTAATTTCGTGCCTCTTCTACGTGATGCCTTGGACTCGCAAGATGAAGGTGTGCTTATCAGCGCTCTTCGTGTCCTGATCGTCTTGGTGAAGTTACAATTCACAGAGGAAAACGAGGGAATTTTCAAAGGCTGTGCGCGGAAGGTGTTGAATGTTATTCACGATTCTCCTTCCACATCAAGTGAGTTATGCCAGGTTAGTCTCAAGTATCTTTCGTCCCTTATTCGTCACAAAAATATAGAACTCAAGGACACCGCCTTAAGCTTTATTCTCGGTAGAATCAAGCCAGATCTTAACGAGCCAAACAAGCAGGGATTGGCATTTAACTTCGTCAAATCTCTGCTCTACAAGCATATTGTTCTTCCTGAACTATACGACATCGTCGACGCCATTGCCGAAATAATGGTAACAAACCACTCAAGAGAGATCAGAGACGTCTCCAGAAGTGTCTATTATCAGTTTTTGATGGAATACGACCAAAGTAGAGGGAGATTGGAGAAGCAGTTTAGTTTTTTGGTCTCAAACCTCGAATATCCTTCACAAGACGGCCGTCAATCAGTAATGGAATTGATCAATCTGATCGTTAATAAGTCGAATCCTGAACTTCTCGCTCGTCTTTTTTCATCCTTTTTCCTGTCTCTGTCGAACGTTGCTGCAAATGACAGTTCCCCACGGTGTCGCGAAATGGGATCTGCTCTGTTGAAGGCGCTATTGATGAAAGTTGGAGAAGATGGGACAGGGCCCGCTGAAAAATACATTTCAGCATGGCTCAAACATGAAAACCCTGTTTTTGTTGAACTTGGTTTGAAAATTTATAAAATATTTGCGGCAGCTGTCTCCATGGGAATGAACAAGACGCTCGGTCACTTAGCAATATCGAGAGCCAAGGGCATCATTTCAGAATGCTCAGTCGGTTCGAATACCGAATGGAATCTTCTTTACACGGCGTTGAACCTTCTGAGCAACTACGTCGACGTTGTACCTAGTTGTTTCGACAACGACAATAGTGCTATGTGGGCTCATGTGGAAGATTGTCTTTTGTATCCACATCTTTGGGTGAGACTAATCAGCGCTAGGATGATTATGAAGTATTTGGCAAAAAGAGAAGAACTCCAGCGCCCTTTGCCCGACTATGAGCTTCAAACGATAGCGTACCGGATATTTCGGCAGCTAGGTGCCCCGTCAGTATCGGAGGCATTAGCTTCCACAGCCGTAAGAATACTAGCTACAGTTATGAAAAAGTGGATCGAAAATAAAAGTCCTTTTATCTCGAATTCCGAAGAGTCAGTGAAGTATGTGACTGCCATGGATTTTGCGTTAGCAAGAATTGGGTCAATTTTAAGAGATGAAGAAAACTTTCAGGAAACTTTCAATTCCAAAAAAGCTTGTGTTCAATTATTTGCTCTAATAGTACAAATGATGAACCAGTCTTTGGTGAAAGATGTTGCTCCTAAAATTATTCTGCCACTGTTCACTTACCTGGAGGATGAGCGTAAAGTCGTGGATGATCAAGTCCAAGAGTTACGACAACTATCTCAAGAGTGCTTGGAACTGTTGCAGTCGAAACTTTCGGTCACTGAATTCAGTAGCGCCTATTCGACGGTCAAACAGGAAATCATACAGCGCAGGTACGAAAGAAGAGCCAAACGAGCTACGCTGGCTGTTACTGCACCAGAGGCAGCCGCAAGAAGAAAGCTCAAGAAGCATGCCAGATCGAAAGAAAAGAGAAAGCATGAAAAGGATGACAACGGCTTCTACCGCGCAAAGAACAAGAAGAGAAAATTTTAGATTTTTAGTTAATAATATACAACTTCCCATATCACTAGAAGAAGGAGCGGAAAGTAGTAAAAAGAAGCAACCTCAATGGTGCTCAAAAGGCTACATTCCCTCCCAGCCACGCTAGGCCCCTAAGCCTCACTGGTTGCAATATCTGTTGTGGCGTCTACGTCCGGCTGCGTGCCATCTGAATCGATTTCATCGTCTTCAACTTCATCCTCATCATCCTCATCTGCCTTTTTTGAAGGTTTTGAAATATTGTTTTTACTTCGAGCATATTCTCGCATTTCTCTTTGGTACCTTTCACGATCCTCGTTATAAAGATCGTAGTATGGCCTCCTGCCACTTTCATCTAAATTCTTCCACGCATCGGTTAATGCCTTCGAGATGTCGTTAGGGCCCGAGCTCTGTTTCATTGACTCCTTATTCATGTCGCAGTAAAGCAGGTAAGCATTGGTAGGTCTCTTAGGTAGATTGGGGTCTCGGTCCTTGCCCTTCTTGCGCTTGGCTTTAGATTTTGGAGCATCTTCAAGTATCTGCGTTCTGAAGCTCTCTAAAGATGGTAGCGGATCTTCGTAACTCAATTCTGGATCTTTGTCGACGCGGCTCTCTAATCGTTCCAAAAGAGTCCCATATTCTAACCGCAATCGTTTGACAGCCAGTCTTGTTCGTTGTACAACTAGTCCGAGCACTTGATTACTTTCACTGAGCTCTTCGAGAGATCTTTTATTCTCAGTTCCGTCAGACATTCCCTGCTGATATCTTCTCTTGTTAATTTAGATAATATAGTATGTAGAGTAGTATCACTATTTAAATGTAATAAATAGTGATATTCAATTAAAATAGAGCTGACCATGGTGGTCTGAATTTCTTACAGAATCTTGCATCTAAGTATTGGACAGTTTGCAGTAGCAGTTTTCTGAGAGTTTGAACTGGTGGTATAAGAATGGTACAAGAAGAAAGAGAGCCCTTGTTGACCAGACCTGAAACAAACGCCAAGGTCAAAAAGACAGCCAGTTCCCAAAACTCTCCAAATAATAATGACAGCCCTGTAAACGTTAAAGCCCCCAAAGTGGGGGCTCAGCGAACTTCCAGAACTGCCCAAAAACTCAAACTGTTGCCAGAAGAACCATTTAACCGACAGGAAGATGAACTTGGGGCAAATGACCGCGAGGTGTACTCTCAAGTCAACAGGATCACAGACACGCCAGCGAGGCGAGATGCAGAGAAACTCGGAAAAGGGCAAAGGCATCTTCTACCTAGAGTTACAGGGTACTGTACCTCAAGCTCCTACAATATGAAAGAATTGATACGATGGTTGAAGGACTGTAAAAGAGTACATCACACGCATCCAAAATTGTTTGATGAGTGCTTATACACACCATTCATCTATACAGATTGGAGGGGTGACATTAGGTTCGCGGATGAAGATGTGATACGGCTAGATGATGAAGGCGGCGAAATTAACGTAAGCGATAAACAACCGGACTTATTCATTTTCGAATATGGGGTTATCGTCATGTGGGGCTTTACGGAGCGCGAAGAGAAGGCATTTTTGAATGATGTTGAAAGATTTGAAAAGGAAAAGTTGGCTGAGGAAGATGTACAAATTGAGGAGTTTAATTACTATATTACAACAAGCTATCAGCCTAGAATCTACAATGACTTTATTACACTGAGAGATGGCTCAAACTACATGATTAAGCTCTCTATCTCGCACGCTATCGCCCAGAGCGTCAAAATATCACTCTTCGAAGAGCTGGTGGATAACACCATTGAGGATACTCAAGATATTCCGCAGGAAATCGCTTCTAGTGGCAAAGTGTCAATGAGTAAGGAGGACATAATGAAAAGTATAGGAGAATTGTTCATTCTTCGTATTAACATTAACCTCCATGGTTCTGTTCTTGATTCACCTGAAATCATGTGGTCAGAGCCTCAATTAGAACCCATTTATCATGCCACCAGAGGGTATCTCGAAATCAATCAAAGAGTAGCCCTAGTGAACCAAAGATTGGAGGTGATATCCGATCTTCTTCAAATGCTTAAGGAACAACTTGGGCATTCGCATGAGGAGTATCTGGAATTCATCATTATCGTTCTGGTGGGTGTTGAAGTTTTAGTATCGCTGGTAAACATTGTTGTCGATCTCATCTCAGACGCCAAATAAACCAGACTTTCATAAATTCTGAAATATGTGAAATTCATAACAAACCGCGATTTAATTTGAACACATAGTGACTAATTAATGTACATAATATAATGGAGATAACCTGATATCCACAAGTTTATAATACAAGTGACCTCTGTACTTTAACAGTGGTCACAGACCCAGACTCAAAAATCATTGAATTACTCTGAATCCTTACAATTCCTGGGAAGCCTTACCTGGCTTGGCTGACTTCTTTGGAAGCAAGTTCTGGTGAATGTTTGGTAGAACACCACCTTGGGCGATGGTCACGTTCCCTAGTAGCTTGTTAAGTTCGTCATCGTTTCTGATGGCCAACTGCAAATGACGGGGAATAATTCTGGTCTTCTTGTTGTCTCTAGCAGCGTTACCGGCCAATTCCAAAATTTCGGCCGCTAGATATTCCAAAACAGCGGTCATGTATACTGGGGCACCAGAACCGACTCTTTGAGCGTAGTTGCCTCTTCTCAAAAGTCTGTGGACTCTACCGACTGGGAAAGTCAAACCAGCTTTGGCAGATCTAGATTGAGAAGCCTTAGCAGCAGAACCAGCTTTACCACCTTTACCACCGGACATTTTTAATTACTTGATTGTTATTCTTTTAGATACTCTTAGGTGAACCCAGCAATAACTAGCTATAACCAACAACAATCGCAGCACCACCGGACTCTATCGAGTCGTTCCTCCTTTTATATAAAGATCGTAACTTTGTATACATGAGTGCACCTTCCCCTTCAAAGTGTCCATCCCTACGATCGATTCTGGAGAATCTTGGATAGACTTTGTCGTACCGTGTTATTCGCATAAATTTGCGAAGATTTCAGCACGATATAATATAAATTCTTAAAATTCATTAATAAACACTCAGGTACAGCTCCCAGACCAGAATATTCGGTGCAAAACTCAAATCTTACATTGCGACAAAGCTGCCGAAGTTGGGTATACACCAGCACGAAGTACAGACCAAGATGTTCGCGCTCTACAGAACATTACAACTATTGTTATTCGCGTTTTCGCGTATACGTATGCCGTCAACGTACGAACAAGTCTCTAATCAAGACCGCACCGTTATTGCACGGCACAAGATTTGTATAAATGGGCCAAGCTCTGTAAGCAAGAGAGGTCTGATAAGACAGTAAGTCAAAGATTTTTGTTTCGTAGTCACTAAACAAACAACAATCAATCGAACAATGTCCGCCAAAGCCGAAAAGAAGCCAGCCTCTAAAGCTCCAGCTGAGAAGAAACCAGCTGCCAAGAAGACCGCTTCTTCTATGGACGCCAGCAAGAAAAGAGTCAAAGTTAGAAAGGAAACATACTCCTCTTACATTTACAAAGTCTTGAAGCAAACTCACCCTGACACCGGTATTTCTCAAAAGTCGATGTCGATTTTGAATTCTTTTGTTAACGACATCTTCGAGAGAATTGCTTCTGAAGCTTCTAAACTTGCTGCTTACAACAAGAAGTCGACTATCTCTGCGAGAGAAATCCAAACTGCGGTCAGATTGATTTTGCCCGGTGAATTGGCAAAGCACGCTGTGTCGGAAGGAACCAGAGCTGTCACTAAGTACTCCTCCTCGACTCAAGCTTAAGTCGATCACTGTTAGATAACAAGACTGATCAAAACAGGTTTTGATTTGTTTCAAATGTATTATTATTTCGGGTTTTTGTATATTAGATACGTTGCAATCACATTTTTAACTCTATTAACAGGAACCAACCTAAACTGTTGTATTCAATCCTACATAGACCTACTTGAAGAACACCATCCTAACTACTTCCCTAATTTTTCCATAACAACGTCCATCTTGTCTTGAGCTGACTGTGCTTTGTCCGTTCTTGTGCCGATTCGAATATCTGTGTGTACCCTCACATATCCCAGATCATGCGCATACTCATGTAGCTCCCCAATTAGCCCTGTAACTTCATCCCATGGACCCTCAATAGTGGTACCGGCGCTATGTAAAGTACTTTTTAGATGGCTCTCGCGAATTCTCCTCTCAACAGCAGTGACGAAATCAGAAACACTAGCCGATCCGGTTCCCAACTGCCAAATCCCATGTTAGTAACGCTGCCAAACAATTCTATACTAGAACTACTTACAGGAACCATGCAAACATCAGCGAGACACGCTATTTTGGTCATTGTTGGCAAATGACGTTCAGTGTGGATCGTAAAAGATTGGCAATGCTAACCTCCCTTGTGTTTTAAGTTGTACCTGTTATATATCACATATACAAATATATTAAATCTACATAATTAGACACGTGACTACGAAGAGAGTATGCTCCCATCATCGAGTAATATGAATGATTTTATGCAACTTTCAATAGTGCCCTTCGAATAATACTTTTCACATGAGGCCTTTTAGTATATGATTCAACATCATGTTTATTGCGACATCGAAATTACAGACTTCTACATATCTGCAGCGAAGTATGGTTTCTGTAGTAAATTTAAATGATTGTGGTTCACAACCCAACATTAAGCTTAGAGCATATTTTAGTCAACCAGGTATTGACAAAAAAGCGCTCGAACTAAAGTGATGCTAAGCAAATCTAATGAATACAGCTGGTGTACTTGCAGTACCCAAGACAGAGTTGAATATGGTCAGGAAAGAGTATAAGAATAGTCTATAACACATCTCCAAAATTAAATTGACATACATTAACTTGAAAATTTTATTCGGAAATCCCACACATAAATAGGTACAAAAAGGTTTTATTGAAACGTTTGAAAATTAAGATATAAAGAATATTAGGTTTAATGTTTTGCAAATAATGAAAAAAGATGTCATATGATATTTAACATAAATATATATATATATATATATATATATTATTTTATATTCCTTTATTACGATTTCGATCTTATTCTCCCGCACCTTCTTGGAAGGTGCGGGAAGTGATCAAGGCTTCAATCATAAATTTCGTACATATATTGGTGCTATAAGATTGATATGAAGTATGACTAAAAAAATAATCTGCCCTTTCATGGCATAGCATACTTACCTCTATGCTCTGGCTTCAAATTAGAAAAGAATGAATCTGGACTAATGCATGAAGCAAGTCCTCTCCTGGCAGATGTATCCATAAATTTTAGTCCCAGTACGTAACTGGTGTTCACCCAGCCAAACCCTTCTGTCGCCACCCCTTTAAAATCCGCGCCTTGGTTACCATATTCAGCTTCTACCCGGTGAGGATCCGTTCCTTTGGTAACATCGTACTTTTCCACAACAATGCCATTGTAATCTACAAAGGCCTTTGTCATCAAATAAAGCCACCTGTAGGCCAAGCGTCGTGCTTCTCCAACATAATCATATTTGGAGAGCCCCTCCCAAGCGAGGATCTGATGAGGTGCCCAACCGAATGGATAGTCCCACTGTCTCGTTGGTCTTTCAATTGAAACTTCTCCTCTTGACTCCTCCGTACATGACACGAGGCCTCCTAACATCTCTAGTTTAGGAAGAGCTTTAGTAACCATGGAATGAGCCTGTTCGAGTGTTGCGACTCCAGCCCACAGGGCCCACAATGTGGTCGCAGACTCATAGGTCATTCTTTCTTTAAATTTAATGTGGTAATCGTGAAAAAAACCCGTTTCCTCATCCCATAAGTATTTTGTGATTCTTTGTTTCCTTTTTGCTGCGCGCGACCTCCAGTAGGCAGTATCGGTCTTTTCATTCAATAAATCAGTAAATTCGCCATCATGAAAGAGTTCGATATGTTCTGCAATGTCCACCTCATATTTGTATAACAAGGAGTTGAGGTCAATTGTAGCTAGGTGAGCGCAAACACCATCAAAACGGTATGTAGTGTCATGTCCGGACTCTCTGACAGCCCGATCGTGAAGAAAGTATTCATCCAGTTCTGGTTCGACGACAGTGCCATTGTTGTAAAGGTTCCTGAATTCTTCAATGGGCACTTTGTGTTTATCAGCATACACTTGTAAAACCGCATCAAAGTGGCCAGCTTCGGTTTCTGGAGGAATCCCTAAACCGTTAGGTTGGTAACATGACAAGCCGGTAGCCTCGTCAAGTCTAGGTGCAGCCATCCAAACGCTCTTATACTCCTTGACCGCTGCTGCAAAGGCCCGTTTAAGAAGAGAAATAGCATCAGGATTGCTTTTTCCTCCCATCTTCTCAAAGACCTTCAAAGCCATATCAGTAAGGAAAGGAGGCTGGGACCTACAAAGGTAGTAGCTTCTGTTGGCATTAAGTATTTTTCCGTAATGCTCAATCTCAAATATGAAATGCTCAACCATTCCCCGTGCGAGGTCCGTTTTAGCACTGTCCAAGAGACCTAATGCCATCATGTAGGAATCCCAACCATACAACTCATTAAACCGTCCCCCAGGTACGACATAAGGATAACTGAACATAGCCTCTTCGCCTGTAGCTGGATCCATATGTTTTTCCATGGCTAGGGCCAAGAGGCCAGGTCTATCATTGATAGACTTCACATACTCCTCAGTAATATCCTCAGGTAAATATTCAACGTCAAGGCTTGAAGCTGGGTTCATTTGTGAAGCTTGAACATAAAATTCGTACTGATCAGGACAATTATGAGGCACATAAATCCGTGGCACTTTCGCGGCTGGTGTGTCAATTTTAGTGTCCGCTGCTATTTTTGCTACGTTATAGAGATCAATTCTTCTGGTCAAAGATTTCCAGAATTGTGTGGCAATCAACCTTTCCAGCCTATTGACTGGGTTTTCATTCAACCTCGCCTCGTCTAACATAACTTGCTTCCTCCCAAAGCTTTTAGCCAGTGTGAGTTCTTGTAATAAGTTGGAAAGCATGTACGTCCCCTTAATACTTATTTTATTGTAACCATTGGAATTGGCAGTTCCAATTCGAATCATCTTAGGCCCAGCATCTTCGATAGTAATTTGATAATTATTGTCAGTATCTTCACAACTAAGCAACTTCTGTAAAGTAGCATCCACATCCTCTATGAAAAACCTTCTTTTGCCTTTAGTGCTTAAATAACTGTCGTCTTCAGATCCTCGTCTTCTAACTGGTAAAGAAGTGAAATCAGCAATTTTGAACTGGGACGCATTTCCAAATACGCTCATTGTCCTAGTTCTATTGAAACCCTTTGTCTGTTTTTTGGTAGGATCGGTCTCAGGCCCATAGTAGATCTCTGCTGTGGAAAAAGGGTCGGTGAATTGATCAAGGGAGTTGTTTCGGCGGTGAGGCCTAGGATTGATTTGAGAATTCTCTGTCATCACTATCGCAGTTCAATCTTGTACGAATAAGGAAGCGTGCTATCTTATCTTGTTAGGAGTGGTCTAGTCTTGCAGGAGTGGGATAAGTTTGACGTGGTAGCCAGAGGTGTGGTCCCAAAATATCTCAAAAATAGGGAAGACAGCATCCTTACCAGCATGGGGCGTAAGAAGTGATGAGTAATAGAGTATAGGAAAAATTTTGAATACTTCAGCAACACACAACGAGTATTGTTCCATCCTCAAACTGGATATACCATACACAAGTGCCACAAAACAATGTCGGAAGATTCTAAGGTACAAACATCAACAGCTCCTACTTCAAAGCCACCAAGCTCTGCTGTATTCTCCATGTTTGGTGGTAAGAAGGCAGATAAAAAAGAGGAAGCTGCTGAAAGCGCAGAACAGAACAAAGGCGAAGGGGAAGAACCGAAAGAGTCCAAGAAGGATGAAGAGGAAGCTCCAGAATCCCCAGATGTGCATTTTGAACCAGTAGTGACGTTGGAGAAAGTTGATGTCAAGACAATGGAAGAAGACGAGCAGGTCTTGTTCAAGGTTAGAGCCAAGCTTTTTAGATTTGATTCCGAGAACAAAGAGTGGAAGGAAAGGGGCACTGGTGATGTGAAGTTTCTTCAGAACAAAGAGAGTAAAAAGGTTAGGCTATTGATGAGAAGAGATAAAACGTTGAAAGTGTGTGCCAACCACATTATTTCACCTGATTACGTGTTGAAGCCCAACGTGGGTTCAGATAGATCTTGGGTTTACTCTTGTACGGCCGATGTCGCTGAAGGTGGGCCTGAAGCTTTCACATTTGCCATCAGATTCGGGAACAAAGAAAATGCCGATAAATTCAAGGAAGAGTTCGAGAAAGCCCAGACCTCTAACAAATGATTGAACCAACCGAAAAGGGAATTAGTAGTGAGAAGACGGAGATTTAAATCTCAAATTAGATGAAGGTCTCACCAGGCATATTTAGAAAATTAATATATTGTAGATCATAGTAGATGCATCCATATGCTATTTGTGTCAATGCTTCCGTCTTGGTTTAGATTGTTGAGTCGATAAGTTTTTTAAGTTGAAGCAGCCCGTGCTAGTTAATATTAAAACTGCTTGCTTTTAGAGTAAGAATCCCCTTGGCCTTCAATTTCCTCGTCGAGTTCTGGTTCTGAAGCTGAATAAAATTTCTTGTATGCAAATTTGAGTAAAATCCATGCCATTTGCCGAGAGCCAAAATCGGGCCACAGACAATCCAAAAACTCTATAACTACTCCTTTTCGACTCAATTGCCAGAGCAGAAAATCACTTAAACGGGTCACCCCACTAGTTCTAATCAGCAGATCCACTGGAGGAGACCCTCCTGTGTATAAATTCTCGTCTATCACCGCCTCGTCTATATTGGTAAAATTTAGTTCTTTATTCTGGGTCTTATCAATGGTTCTTATAATGCTCTGAAGCAGCTCGTCCCGTCCTGTGTAAGGAAAACATAAATTTAGTACAGCTCTGGTGTTGTCTTTTGTAATTTTCTCCGCCGCTTCCACCTCTCGCAGTACATCCTCGGGTAGCAAGGATCTGTCTCCAATAATGTTGATTCGGACACCAAATTTTTCAGCCATTTCCCCATTCTGAACAACTTGCCTGATACCGCTACTTGCTAAATTCATTAATGAGTCCACTTCGATCGCACTTCTTCTAAAGTTTTCTATGGAAAATGCAAACACCGTCGCGGTATTGACTCCAGCCTCATAACAAAGCTCCAGTGCTCTGCTCATGCTATGAAACCCAGCGCTGTGGCCCTCCTTGATCTCAACGTGCTTGCGCTTAGCCCAACGCCGGTTTCCGTCCATAATCAAACCTATATGACGAGGCACATTATTTGAACTTCTTAAAGCACGAGAGAAGACATTTTTACAAAAATTCAAGGCCTGTGACGACCCAGGGAACGTGTTATTGTCTGTCATTGGCGGTTTTGTCTCTATGTCGAGTAACATTTCAGTTACTCAGGTGTTACCTTAAAAAAAATTTGAACGCTTGCAATTAACTACAAGTCATTTCGAAAGGATGATTGCACTATGCTTCGTTCTGGGGCTTTCCAGTGCTCAAGTAAACTAGTTTTACGCAATGCGCGCCATAAGTCTTCTTTTGCAACTGCATTGGAAACTGCGGCGAGGTTAGTGACCCCCAAAAGTTTACTAAACAACCCGGTGGCTTTAGTTTCTCAAGAGATGAATACTCTGGCGAAGAACATTGTCGCTTTGATGGGTTCAGGCCATCCAACTCTAAATAGAGTCACTGGGTACTATTTTGAAGCAGAGGGCAAGAAAGTTCGGCCCATGTTGGTTCTCTTATTATCTCGAGCTCTAGCGGAAATCCCAGTCGAGGAGCGTAATAGAATTAAGGTAGATTATTCTGATGTTCCAGAGGATCCTGTCTACTCCAGTCCTCCTCAATCATTGCTATTCCAACATCCTGCAAAAAACATTTCACCACTTCATATCTTACATGGAATAAAGCCGTTGAATCCTCTCACCAGAGGACCAGAACCCCTTCCTGAGAAGTTCGACGAGGAGAGAGGTATTTTACCGAAACAAAGAAGGTTAGCCGAAATTGTTGAGATGATACATACGGCCTCCCTACTTCACGATGATGTCATTGATTACTCAGACACTCGCCGAGGCCGAGCCAGTGGTAACGTTGCATTCACGAACAAGATGGCAGTCTTGGCTGGAGATTTCCTCCTCGGTAGGGCAACCGTCTCAATCTCGAGACTGCGAAACCCTGAAGTCGTGGAACTTGTTTCTAACAGTATTGCAAATCTAGTTGAAGGTGAGTTTATGCAACTGAAGAACCTCGCAACTGACGGTGACGTATCCACTATAGCTAATGGTTCACAAAAAGTTCCACCACCATCCCAGAAATTGCTCAACGCTGCGCACGAATACCGCGTCCCCACCGAATCAAGTCAAATAACTCAAGAAGCCATGATCACTACAGCATTCGAATATTATCTTCACAAGACATATTTGAAGACTGCTGCTTTAATTTCAAAATCATGTAGAGCAGCTGCAATATTATCAGGGGCTCAGCAACCTGTTGTCGAGGAATGCTATAATTTTGGTAAAAACTTAGGAATATGCTTCCAGCTAGTGGACGACATGTTAGACTTCACAGTATCGGCTAATGATTTAGGGAAACCAGCGGGCGCAGATTTACAACTTGGGATTGCGACGGCCCCTGTATTATACGCTTGGAAGGAAGACATATCTTTGGGCCCTTTGATACAGCGAAACTTCTCACAACCTGGTGACGCCGAAAGAGCAGCTGAAGCGGTGGTAAACCATGGTGGTATCCATAAAACCCATGAGCTGGCTGTGGAATACAGAGATCGTGCTCTTGCAAATCTTCGCAATGCTCTCCCTGATTCAGATGCCCGTTCTGCTCTCGAGTTCCTCACTAACAGCATTCTGACTAGACGGAAATGACTAAAATTTATGTGAAACATTTAAAGCTTGTATATATTTACATAGAAGGATAGAGCATTAATCTAGAGTAGACCACGAGTTTTGTGGCTACTGATCTGTAGGTTTGTGGAACGCTGAAAGGTGATGACAAGCCTATCGCTAATACTATGAGCGCTGACCTGATACGAATATATGACCTTGTTTTCAGGCCGGTGGAAGAAAAGAGGCATACAATGCAGTTTGTAAAGGAATCCAAAATAATAACCAGCCAACATAGTATCTGATGAGCTTGTCATCACCTTTCATTGGTGTGTCTTTGCCTTGGTATAGTTTATTGATGCGGTCAGCCACGTACCATAAATGTAATGGAATGAAAGTTGAGACTCTGTTGATAACTTGCGTGTGGGCAAAAAAAGCCATGATGATGAGGAAGACTCTACTCATAAACACTAACGATTTCAAATTAAAGCAGGGGTATTGGTGTGAAAAGTAAACCGTGGCATACCACATAACAACAACATTGGGCAATGCAAAAAGGAAATTAGGGATATTGTTCAGTGTCCAGTAGCGCAGTATTCCATTGTTCCAGTAGTAATCTTGAATATAAGAGTACAAGGATCTATAACTTACTGGCAGGTCAAAAATTGTATTTAGACACCACTCTCCCCTCTCTGGACAATATACCTGGAATGGCAGGTAGTATTGGTGATAAAGAAAGATAACGAACATACAGCAACCGCTGACGCACGGCATGAACATCGCTTGTTTATATTGCCTTGCTTTTATAAGATAAAACAGATCGAATAGGTAATAAGAGCCCAGTATAATACAGATAGGTCTGTTAATAAATGCCACAGTGAAGCAAGCCGTAGAAAAGATGGCATACAATGGCCATTTCAACCAGCATATTCTCAAGTTGCCATAAACGTCGAAATGGATTGTGCGTTCGCGACAAATCATTCCTAAAAGTGTAAAGAATGTCGACAAGGGCTCTGAATAAACCCCCAAGCAAAAACCTGCGGCACTGCTTGCAATGAAGAGAATAGTAGAGAGCTTGGCCAAATTATGAATGTGGTGAGATTTCAAAACATTCGATTCAAAAGTTTTGAGAGTCAATTGGTATAAGAGCGCGGCAGCCCCATAGTGAAGGAGATTCTCGATAATGACACCGGTTTTCAGTATGGTATAAATGTTCGTGCTGTCTCGAGAGGCGCTCCTCAATATCAGGGACCACAGGCTGGAAAACGCATTTTCGTGCTCAAACTCTGGTCTCGCATTGGTCATTGCAGTTTTCAGAAAGAAGACAGCGTCCCATGCTAAGAGCTTGTTCCAGAAGCGCACATTTATCCAAGTTTCAATCTCCTTTTCGGCAACATATTGTGCTAGAAAAAGCTTAGTCGAGGTATCAAATTGATCCACAGGAGTACAGAACACAATGAGATATTGGACAGCCTTCGCTGCCACGAAGAACCCCGTAATTTTACATGCATTCATCACGCAACGGCATTTGTTTTCACGTTGACAGCTTTATGTAAAATATAAATTTTGAAAATGATATGCTAAATTAATGCCTTGAAGGGATAAAGTACCAATTGTAGTAAAGGAGAACAGACACTTAAGAACGGATTGAGGCTTCACGAATCCAGCGCAGAGCCAATCTTACTAATATTGAGGATGTTCATCATTAAAGAAAGCACTGAAGCTGGATTGCCTAGCACGATGTCTTTTATGCGCAGATCTAATGACGATGACTGTTACGGATGGAGCTGTGGAAGCGAATGGGTTTGGGCTCGATGGATCTTGTTTGTCTTCTTTATTCTTGCTATAGCGGCGCTGGCGCTCACTGCGATTAGGGTTAACGGCAAAAGGGTCAGGATGGGCCAGCGGCCTATTGCAGGCACCGCTTGGTTTATGCCTCCCACATATCGACAATCAGAAAGGGACGTCCGCGGATCAACCCAAGACTATGTTCCTCCGTATACTGAAACGGCAAATCCTAATGATCTTGGTTACTACGATAATCAGGGCATTTTTCATCTCAACAGCAAGGCTGAGAATGCAGAGGCAGCACCCCCCTTCACAGAACCGCAGACTAATGAAGGTAGCCCTCAGTTCCCAAGCCCAGCTGTTACGCAGAACATCTCTCACGAAAGAACTCATTCTCTCGATTTTTCGAGAGACTATCATCAATACTATCGAGGGACCGCAACGGAACAAAACATCCCTGATTTGAGAGGAGAAACCAGCAGGGAGGTGCAGCATGGCCATCTCAACACAGGTACGAATGATGAATCAGCAAATTTTGAAATGGAGCAGCGGCCTCCCACTGTACCGCAAAACGCTCATGTGAATGGTGCTTAGTTGAAGAGGGAATCGATTGTTTTAAACAACAGGCTTTTGTTCTTTTGATACTAGAGGTTGTTGTAATTAGACAATATTACCCTTTGGATAGATATTGCTTGAGGAATAGGTTATGTCTTCATTGGGGAAGCGAATATCAATTCAAAGAGTTGAGGTTTTCTAGGTGCCCCCCTCTTGAAAATGATTCAATATTCAGTGCAGGACACTGTAATTACCATCGTGGCAGAAACTTCTTTGAGCCTCTTTCGTTACCCAGTTTGCTGGGAGCAAATAATTTTATCCTTCAATTGATCTTTTTTCTATGTAAATCGCTATATCGACTCGCAGTATGAACTGGGAGCTAGACATCGATAAAGTTAGGCTCTGTGCTCTACATGTCCTTGTATAGAGTGACACTTAAACGCTGTTGCGTCCCTTAGTACAACGTTGACTTCATTGGCGACCAGACGCCCCATGTCACGTGGTCTTTCTACGTGCATGCTCACAATTTTTTTGTATATATAAGGTGGCAAGAGAGTTAAGTGGGCGACGATATTGTTCGGTGTTCTCCTTTGAAAACTGCAGTTTGTGCTTACCAGAAAGTCAATTGATCTCCTAAAACATGGTGTACACTACCAGACAAATTGGTGCTAAAAACACTTTAGACTACAAAGTCTTCATTGAAGAAAACGGCAAGCCCGTGTCTTCCTTTCACGACATTCCCTTGTACGCTGATGAAGCTAATCAGATCTTTAACATGGTGGTTGAAATTCCCCGCTGGACCAACGCTAAGCTAGAAATTAGCAAGGAGGAAAGGTTGAACCCAATCATTCAAGACACCAAGAAGGGTAAGCTAAGATACGTCAGAAACTGCTTCCCTCATCATGGTTACATTCACAATTATGGTGCCTTCCCTCAAACCTGGGAAGATCCTAGCTCTGTGCATCCGGAGACAAAGGCCGCAGGTGACAATGATCCTTTGGATGTTTTGGAGATTGGTGAAACCATTGGCTACACCGGTCAGGTCAAGCAAGTTAAGGTTCTCGGTGTCATGGCATTGTTGGACGAAGGGGAAACCGACTGGAAGGTCATTGTCATTGATGTCAACGACCCCTTGGCAGCAAAATTGAACGACATTGAGGACGTTGAAAAGTACTTTCCAGGATTGTTGAGAGCTACCAACGAATGGTTTAGAATCTACAAAATTCCAGATGGTAAACCAGAAAACCAATTTGCTTTTTCCGGTGAAGCCAAGAACAAGAAATACGCTTTGGACGTTATTAGAGAATGTAGCGAAGCCTGGAAGGACCTTGTTCAAGGAAAGGCAGCTGATGCCAAGGACATTGAACTAACTAATACCACTTTAACTGGTACCTCCCTTTTTGCCCCTTCTGCTGCTGATGCCATTGCTCCCAATGAAGCTAAAGAGGATGCTCCAGTCGACAAATCCGTTGATAAATGGTTTTTCATTTCAGGTTCTGCCTAATTATTGACCGAGTTTGTTCAAGGACTTACAGACACTCAATGATGTATCTAAAGTAAAGCTATATCACGTAACTTCTAAATGAGTAATCTATTTTGCTTAAGACGATGCCGGAAATGCTGGTGGAATTATTTAATAGGATTGCATGGAAGGATGTCGTTGGCAATATCGTGATCTTTAAGCTTGGAATGCCTGCTGAAGAAATTGCTTGATTTTGTTGGCGTCTTTCTTTCCATTCGTTTCAACACCTCCACTCACGTCGACACCCCGTACTCCAGGCAATTGTGACGCAATTTTGACATTGTCCGGCGTTAAGCCGCCAGCAAGGATGAAGTTGGCACCTGATTCTCGACTCCATTGAGAGATCCGGTTCCAGTCTAACTTTTCACCGGTTCCGCCGGCTTCTGAATCAAACAGCGCCACACAAGGCGCACTACCCATATTTGTAATCTCTAGTACCTTAGCACAATCATCGGGGAAGATGAAGCGCTTGATTATCGTAACGTCACCTAATTCTTTGCAATATTGTTTCCAATCCTCATTTCCGTGCAGCTGTACGATGTCTAAGCAGTACTCATCTTTCAACCTTTTAACTTCTTCAACGCTCTGGTTGCGGAAGACGCCAACCAAATAAGGGCCCTCCTTTGACTTTACTTTGAGACGTTCGGTTCTCACCAGAGCTGATATGTCTTGTGCAACTTTTGCGTCAACGGTTCGTTTTCTATTGGGTACGCAAATGACTCCAAGTAAGTCAGCTTTGCTGTCAATAGCTATTTGAGCTGCTTCAAGGGTTTGCAACCCACAAATCTTGGTTATGGAATTTGAACGGATAAGTGAACTCATTTGGACAAACCGCCGCTCGTTGCCTGCGTGTTAAAGTTGTTGACCATGAATTATTGCAGTAGGCTCTTTCAATTTTTTGGTACTCATTAAAGAAGTAGTACTAATATTGTATGTAGTAGAAACAATTGATACCTTCACTCGAGCAGCTATACCACTCCCGGCCAAAACAGTTAGGAGCTACGGCATACGGAGAAAGACTATATTGTCACCAATCTGCTAAGAATTCTTGCGTCGTTTCTTAAACATTCATTGAATAAATCCTATTATACAACATAACCGAGGGACCTGGGAGCCCAGTAGAGTTTCCACTGAGCCACCCGCCCTGCTATAAACCCGAAAACAATGTATATCAAAGTGATAGAGTAATCCTTACCATATTAAAAGCCCATCGTTTAAGATCTCTCACCTCTCAATCTTCTGGCCAATTTGATATCCTTCTTTTGAATGGTGACACGTTTGGCATGAATGGCCGCCAAGTTTGTGTCTTCAAACAAAGAAACCAAATAAGCTTCCACGGATTCTTGTAGAGCACCGATGGCAGAAGATTGGAATCTCAAATCGGTCTTAAAGTCCTGAGCGATTTCACGCACCAATCTTTGGAAAGGTAATTTTCTGATCAAAAGTTCTGTAGACTTTTGGAATCTTCTAATTTCTCTCAAGGCCACAGTACCAGGCTTGTATCTGTGAGGCTTCTTGACACCACCAGTAGATGGTGCCGACTTTCTGGCAGCCTTGGAAGCTAGTTGCTTTCTTGGGGCCTTACCACCAGTGGACTTTCTTGCCGTTTGCTTTGTTCTAGCCATATCTGCTACTATGTTATAATTTGACTAATGAATATTCATAAAAACCATACAAAGTAGCGGCCTACACTCGGAAGTTCCCTGCTTTATATAGGATTCTGAAAAACCTAATTCGTTTGCGGTCAGTTCTTACGGCCTGCTCCTTGAAGGGCTTCGTGCACAGTAAAACATAATTTTGAACTATGGTCGGCAAACCGGCCCCTTCCCAGTAACGACCTTTAAGCGTATAAGCTAGGCTGGAGGTCAGCGAACATTTGGGGCTGGAAATAATTAGTACCAGAAAACTTTATACGAAAGTGCAGACCAAACTATTCGCGCTCTTCGAATATAATATCTGGATTGTTTGCGTAAATAGTGGTCCGCCTAAAATTATTTTCCTAATGTGGCCACTTAGACCATGATATTCGCGCATGTTAGCCGAATAATGTGGACCACTTAAAGAAACTCAATTTTGCTAGTTAGAACGCTCAGTCGAAATTCCGATGTAGGGGGAGGAGGGGGGGAAAGTGTGAGACTTGGAAAGTATCAAGAAAGTATATAAAGAGACGTTTCATTTTGAGGATATGCAATAGTTTTTTCTGCAGACTGTAAGAATAAACTCTTATTCAAAACACATACAATAATCCAAAAATGTCCGGTAGAGGTAAAGGTGGTAAAGGTCTAGGTAAAGGTGGTGCCAAACGTCATAGAAAGATCCTTAGAGATAACATTCAGGGTATTACCAAGCCAGCTATCAGAAGACTTGCCAGAAGAGGTGGTGTTAAGCGTATCTCTGGTCTAATTTACGAAGAGGTCAGAGCTGTGCTCAAAACCTTCTTGGAGTCCGTTATTAGAGATGCAGTCACATACACTGAACATGCCAAGAGAAAGACTGTTACTTCTTTGGACGTTGTTTATGCCTTGAAGAGACAAGGCAGAACCTTGTATGGTTTCGGTGGTTAAATCGTTTTTATCTAAAATTGATATATTTGTACATTAAAATAATGACATGACTGGTTCGGGTTAAGCTAGCAATTTGCATGTTCTTCATTTCTTGAGTTCAAGTTGGTTAAGGATATAACGGAGACTGGTGTCACAACTGTTGACCTACAGCTGTGAATTTCGCACTATTGGAACTGTGGGTGTTTGTTTTTTGCCTGACCAAAATCACTTTCAAAGGTAAAAACATATAACACCTTGACCAATGATCGATGGATATATCTTCAAAACATTAAAATGCATTATCAAAATATTTACATTGTAGACACGAGAAGAGTCAACAAACTTAGACAGCGTTAACTGATATGTGGTCTGTTGGGCTGCCGGCTTCTGGAAACCTCCAGTGATGAGATTTAGCATACTTCTTCAGTAATCACATATTTGTGGTTTACTTTTCTATCTTGTCCCTTGCCTTATGACTATTACAATTCAAGGGATATGGCCAGGAACTCCCCCTTGTATTAGACGTCCCTTCGACCTTTATATCAGATAACGTATCACATCTTTCAGCAATAGCCGCTTTTCCAGATAATAAATCGATACAAAGTCCTTCTGGGCACATCGGTGACACACACGTATATGATGATACAGCAGCTGTAGATAAAATCGAATTAAGCGAATCTAGAGCGTGAGTTGTATATCACTGTAAAATGGGCAGAAGATATGTGTTCGCTATTATTCAGTTGGGAGCTCACTTTGTGAGCATGGTCAATGACAAAACTTCATAGGGAAAAGAAACGACGAATGATCGTCACCTTTGACCGTTTAAAATGAAATCATAATGAACGACGATAGGTGGAATGCGCATACGTATGATCTCACCGACCGGTATTCTAAGCTCCCAGAAAAAGGCATCTTAGAATTTAAGAACTAGCAGTCAGCTTATCTCGCCACCTAAAGACGAACAGGGACCGTAGTTATAGTTCTTAGAACTGGATTTGGGCCAGAACGTAAAGACACAAGGACTGGGAAACTGCTAGTTCAAGCTACGAATACTGAATATTAGATAATCTGCGGCTTCAGGTTTTGCTGGCTCCTGAAAAGACGAAAAGTAGCGCCTAGTTCTTAGGTCTGACATTTCTGCAAGAATCTGAGGTTACCAAGTCACGCTGGAGATATGGAGCACACGCGAACACAAACTAATACTCCTCCCGCGGAGGCTGTTGCTTTGCACCAGGACCCACGCAGAGGTTCAAGAGGCCCCTCGGACCCGAAGGCGATGAATAGTGGTGGCAAGACCTCCGCCAGCCAAGCAGGAAGTGGCTCCACTCGCCAGACATCATCTGCTGCAGTTGTGAATGTCAAACCTCAAGGCAGCGGAAAGGAAATGGAATGCGACTATGTGGGCGATGTGAGAGCGTCGTCGGACCATGGGTCTATCACGCCTTCTCAACAAGTTGACATTGACGATAGTAGTTCACAGCGCTCTGGAGATGAATCAGGCTCAACTTCATCGCAGTTACAGACTTCAAGGTACGGTGACCAGAATCAACTTGTTCAAGAGCCTCAAGCTTTTGCACCAGCGCACACCTTATTTCCTGCGGCTACCGACGCCATTTTCAAGCCCTTTGATGACAAAGTAGGCAGGTTTTTGGCTTCCACAGGTAAAGCGAATCCTCCTGCTACGTCACTCGAGCCAAAATCGACGCTTTCGCATGCAGACAACGATTCTGAATCCGCAGGATGTCGTGAGGTTGACTTGAGAGCATTGGCGTCTTTTAAAGCTACTTCCAATAAAAGTAATAAGTGTCGGTCGCATTCCTTACCCTCCATTCTGCATTCATCGCTAAGAACTATGGGCCTGTCGAACAATAGTGGATTTTTGAACGCTCAGCGACTCCAGCAAGACAACTTAGACCACCAACAGCAATCAAATCAACAACACGGTCTACCTCCATGCCACCAGCAGACGGGGCTGCACATGAACCGTGGCATCAAAAAGAAGAAGCAGAGCAAGCATTCGGCATCTTTGCGCCACGCATTGTTGTTAAACCAGCGGATCCATTCAACGAACAACAACCTTAGCGTGAGGGACAGAATTAAGTATATGGAATCATATCCTGGCCCAACTCCCTTACCGCCAATAAACTTACAGTGTCTGAAGGAGATTGATTTGCAAGAAATAGTGAAGAACCCACAGCTGAGACATGACATCCTATTTGATCCTTTGTTGCAATTTCGGCCTAATTTAGATGGAGAGAGAGGGTTAAAGAAGAAACAAGTTTCGGACAAATATTGGTATGATGTGGAGAATGAAATAATCGTTTACAAATCAAATCCAGAAGTATTTCGCTTCGATCAAACGAGGCTTGTTCCTCTATTCAACAGCCTTAAGGAGGTACTGATAACAATCGTTCCTCAGAAAGAGGTGCACACTGTCGAGAACGTTTTGGATACAGAGCTGTTGGTACAAGAGCTTTTAAAAGGCTCGTTAATGATGTCAAAGTTTTCTGATTGGTTGGCTCAGTTGTTTAAGCACCACTGCGCTCCTATGAGGGACCCGTGGGTTGACAAGATGAGTCAGAAATTCAGGGAATCGGAAGAGGAAAAGTCGGTGCCTAAACTCGTCGCAGGATTGAGGCTAGTCTTTCAGATCTTGGAAGCAATGAAATTGGATATCGCAAACCATCAAATAAGGATCCTGAGACCTGCTTTGTTGAGTAATGCGGTCGAGTTTGAAAAGCAATACTTTCAGTCGTTAATGAGCAGTAATAGAGTAAATTTGAAGTCATCATTCAAGTGGTTCAGTTCAAAGTGCGCGGAATACGAAAAATCGCTAGCCTCACCAAGCGAGCGTCTACAGGCATCTGATGTTTACCGCTTGTGCATCAGGAGCATCGTTAGCCTTTTGTCATGCCGAAAGATGGTCCGCGAATACCCAACTTCTCTTTCTTTCGACCACGCTCGCTTGATTCTACTGAGAGCAGATATACGACAAATAGTTTGTCTTTTGGTTTGTCGATTGCTGTTCAAACAGCTGGTGGCTAATGATAGTTCTCTCGAAAAAGCCACCAAGGACCACATCATCAACTCCTATACGAATAAGAAGCTCAAGGATGAAATTGTCAGCATCATTACTGATGAGCATGGAAATTGCAGATGGACGAAGAATACAATGTCGATTGCCATACATTTTTGTAAAACGATTGCTGAGCTCAAACAAGATTTTCTTTTACAGAAGAACTTTGGGGATGTCAATTTAGCAAACACCTCTTCTTGCCCATCTTCTGTTATTCAGGGCCCTTCTCTGAATAACGCCCAAATAGACTTTGCAAAGTCATGGCTCTCAAAGCAGACGCAGCCTTTAAGTGAAGTGTACGGCGTTCTCGAAGCTCGCGTTTTGCAACAGCTAGAAAATAGCATTTTTTCGCGGTCAAGTTGTACACAGGACGGAACCATCAAACAAGATTTTGTTCATCTTTGCAGTACCATTAATGCGAATGCCTCAGCATCCTCGTTCGCGAGTTCTGCAAACCGTGGAATGCAAGTGAAGTCTGCAAATCAAGCTCCCTCGTCAAGTGATCAAGCCGCCTTTGATCAACAGGCAGGGGCATCACGGTCAACAGGTCTGGCGTCATTGGATATGGAAGAGTTTGAGAGTCTTTTCTGCCATTTATATACATTGGTGAATTTCCATTGGTCGGTTTTTGGGTGTCTCTATATGGATTATTTGGGAGACAAAATGGAGGAAGTTCACTAGCAAGACAATCAACTAAAGCATATAGCATTCAGTAGAATTGGACTTTTCTATTTACACTATCAATGCGGTGGGACGCGAGTTCAGAGAATAAGGCTGCTCCGTTTGTGACTGTGTCATGATGGTAGGAATGTACCCTTGGTTTAGATCAACGTACTAGCTTTTATGTCGAGCATCAAGGGGAAGGAAGATATTTTCAAGGAGAATACCTACGGGAAGGAGCACCCTTGCCCCATAAGCTCTGTGGTGCGCTACACAATGAACTTAGATCATAGTGGAAAGGCACTGCTGCATTTTATAACAATATAGATACCGTTTTCAACACGAAATTCGAAAAGAGAGAGGACGCTATTTTCATGCCCCTTTCTGCCTTTGACAGGGTCCACTACCGGAGAATGTGTTCCAGCGGCTCTCATAATTCTTGAACAAATAAGATTTTAGTGTTACAATATTCCTTATGTCATCCACTCATGATTGCTGCAGCTTACTTTCCCAAAGAGTTTTGGGTTGGCCCCAATCGTGGGAACCGATCACCGATGCGGCCGTGCGTCGAGTCGCTAAATTCGTTAATTTTAGATTAACCCATTTGTATCAATCTATGGAAATCAACAGATTATATATACCGCGATACGAAAAATATGTATGTTTTCGATATATACGCGAACCTGCTTGCTCACTAAGGTTTTCTGAACAACTAACAAGTCTTGTACTTCACCATAAGATTTTGAGACCTTCAGGACCTGGACCTGGATCTCTTTCTCGCGACTTTCCTTTTGTTGAAATTCACACGACTTGAAACCAATTGATATAGAGGTGCACTGATATAAACACGAAGAGTTATCCACGCCCATCTGCCTAACCTTGGCTAAGCCATGAGTTTTCCAGCTAAAAAGCTTTCACCACTTGACGGATTGCAAAGAAAAACTGATAGCCAGACAAGGACCGAGGATCAAAGTTCTGAAATTCTAATTTTGCATGAGCGAAGTGATAGCGTTGTATCTTACGAGTCTATCAAAACCACAGAACGCTTGCTAGATCGTTTGGAACTGAGCCCCGACGACGAAGCACTGTTACAGCAAGCTCTGAAGGAAAATGAAGTTCAAACGATAAGCGGCAGCGGTGCGCCAGAAAAGCGCGTAGTCTGTGTCCCAGCTTCAGGGTTTCCCTCGTTGCGCAAGTTGAGCGGATCAAGCGGCTCGTCTAATACCAAGGAGATGGCGCCATTCATGAACATCCTCAGCGAGCTATCTCAAAAGGAAAAAATAAAGTTGTCTAAATTAAACGAGGTTGAGCTCCACATGCCCCAAAGCAGGTACTCTTATTTGGTTGAGGAGGACAGCGGCGAAGACACTGACGATTTTTTGACCAGCCGTTTAGCCCCAGATGGTCGCGCGATCAGTTTCGAGAGGTATAGGATGAAAGTCCCACCTAGAAAATCATCGTCAGCTTCATTAATTAACCAACCGAATATCGAAACGACCCCGAGAATCATACCACAATACGCTCTGCAGAAGGATGGGCATCATAACTCTCTTCAAACGCCAATGGGGAGTACGTCATCACTCGAAACTAAGGTCCTTATCAAGCCAAGTACACATTCGTCAATGGAAAGCGAACGCTCACAGGAGAGTGATAAGAATAGATCTGGAGACAAGCCCCCCAGCTGGAAGTTCTCCACTCCACAAAAGTTTGAACCAAGTTTTACTGCTGATGAGTCACCTTCACCTACCAAGGCTCGGAAGGGCCATAAAAAAAAAACGTCATTTTCTTTGAAGAGTTTGTTCAAATCACCCAAAGTTGAGAGTCCTAAGGCGGTCTTTAGTCAAGTGCAATCTAGTGAGTCTACACCTAATTCGACGCCCATTGTCTCTAAATTCAAATTTCCTCCTCCACAGATGGACGATATCGCCATTCCGAGCTCTCATACGGGTTTCGAGGCCCCTCAAACGTGGAATGATAACCATAAAACATTTCGAGCCAACTTTGTCCATTTGGACCACAGTCGTGCGTCTTCTGATAGTAATGTTTATGTCAGTCGTACAGATGGCAACTGGAATAAGAGGAGTGCGGGACCCATTTCAAGCCAAACTAGAAATACACACATGCCACGCTTGATGCGTCCCAGTACGCAAGAAAATTCCCAGTCACATTTATCCAAGGACACGCAAGTAACGCAAGAGGCGCGGATTAGGACCGCAATAGAACTTCGAAATAAGGGATTATTAAATCAGTCGGCAGAACAGTTGAAAGTATTATGCGACATGAACAATCCCACCGGTCACTTACTTTACGGGCTGGCACTACGATATGGATCCGGGGTAGAAGTAGATTACCTCGAATCTTTCAAACACCTGAAGCTAGCATCTGGAGTTCACTCGGAAGAAAGGGAGCTATTCAGTGTAGATATTGACCCCTTCAAGCTCCACAATGTACCCCACGTTCCTCGGGAACCACAGGCACCTGCATTGTACGAGTGCGGCATTTCGTATCTTAAAGGATACGGTGTTAATGAAATCGACGAAGTGAAGGGCCTCAAGTATCTCGAGAAGGCTGCCTCCAATGGTCATTTGGATTCCATGTGCCTGAGCGGTACAATTTGGTCAAAAAGTTCGAAAGTGAGGAGAAAAAACATGACAAGAGCGGCTGCTTGGTTTCGACTGGCGGATAGAAGAGGCGCAGATCTTATAGGGGCGGACTGGATATATAAGGACAAGTATCAAAATCGAAGTATAGAAAGTCTTTAGTATTTTGGAATTTTAGCATGCCATAAAAAAGCTCTCTTATTATGAGTATGGACTTGAATAACCGATCAATACACTTAACATAAGATGAAGTTAGGACATCGTCCAGTGAAAGAGCATATTTGCATCAGGTGCGACCTTGGGCGGCAAAAGGTTCTGTGGTTTGTTACCCGAAGCTGATGATAGCATCACGTACGGCCCCAAACAGCGCGACTGGGAACATAATTTGGTGTTCCTGGTTATTATCGCACGGGGTGTAGACGGCTAAGAAGCTACGCGTTCTTAGAAGTGAAAGTTACAGGAAGACTACAAATACGTTATATCCTATTTCTTTACAAGCAATAAGCTTGAAAGAAGTTAGCTTGCTCCGACGATGAAGGTATGGAGGCTGCCGTCGCGAATACGGCTGACAAGACGAACTAGCGTCGGGATAAACTAAGCCGATGCATTGCTTTCTTGCTCTGGTTACTAACAATCTGCTGCAGTTTATCGACGAGCTTGATGTAGAGCTTGTAAATCAGGCTTTGAATTTTGAAACAAGCGATTGTAGAGTGACTGGAGGCTGCGACATATTTACCACTAAACCGGTGGCCTCTGATAAAAAGTTATACAAGACGATCGACAGACATCTAGACTCCCTTCTAGTCGAAAACGAGGGATTCAACAATGCTGTACAACAGCAGATGGCTCTTGAAAACCAGGAAAACATTTCTTCTTCGCCAATAGACTTGAAAAGCGATGCGCCCCATTTGTACAGCACTCGAGGGGAGTCGGGGTCCCCCTCATCATTTTGGGAACAGAAAAGACGGATATCGGTCAGTGAAAGCGGCAATGGAAACGGGGTGAGTGTGGCGGTTCCTAAAACTCACAAACTGAATGACCAAAATTTGAAAGAGCTTGTCAATTCGGAGTCTGGGTATATGAGTTCCTCCTCAACTGAATCTCATCTACACACCACAGGTGCAATCAGACGCACAAGCAGCTCTGGAAGCATGGCTTTTGGATCTGGAATTTTGAGGCGAAGATCGTCCGCGCAGAAGGAAAGCGTGAATATTGGCCCTTTTGGGCCAATTAATGAAACTGCGAGTAGGAGAACTTTTGCCTACTTGATTGCAATATTGAATGCGTCCTATCCAGATCACGATTTTTCTTCTTTGGAGCCTACAGATTTCGTCAAAAGCTCTATGAAGTCCCTCATTTCAAAATTTGAGAACACACTGATATCATTTGGGAAACAACCTCAAGAATGGATTTGGGAAACTATTAATTCTCATATGGATGTTTCAGACTGTGCCATCTATCAATATAAGCCTTCCAAGTCTTTTTTGGATGATGAGCCAGGCCACCTTTGGAGTTTGATGTGGTTTTTATTCAATAAGAAAAGAAAAAGGGTCATGTACCTCTATCTGAACGTTTCTAGGCTTAAAACTGCCTCATTGGAAGATATTTCAAAGTCGGGCCTGGGAGACGAAGATGACGACGATAATGATAAGGAGAGGAGGGGGTGGAAGCACAGAAGGAAACTGACTATTGACCACGAATCAAACACTTTCGAGGGTGAATATGATCTCACTTGCAATGAGAATGCAATTGATGATGATGAAGAGCCCATGGACGGTTGAGTTCATCATTTTTTGACTCGCACTCAACGTGACTGAAGGTTCAATGAAACTCAGACGAGGTTTCGTAGCTCTAAGCGATAATAAACGAGAGCCGAAGCTACAAGGAAGTAGCTGTACTATACATATAATAGGCCAACCTACATCGCAAAGCATCATGCTCACATAATGGATGGAATAGTTGTATCATTAAATTATCGTCACTAATGAAAAGTCAGGCCTAGGTCTTTTCCCCTAGTTGCTTAATTGCTTCTACACTTTGAATACCATTTGGAGATATGATATACCCTATTTCTCGTTTTTTAGCGTGTTCTGAGAATACCACCGTAAGAGACCGATGGGGCTGCCAAAAGAGGCTTGACTCTAAAACTTCATTGAGATCAAATGCTCCTTTTTTTATAAGTGGAGACGCCTTATAACTTTTCTTTAACATTATCCTCGTTGAGAGATGATTGGCCCAAGAAAGACCCAAATTGGGTATCTTAGTTTCAACCTGACGTTTGCGCCCATAAAATGCGGCGAACTGCTTGAGTGAGGACGACGTGGGCTCGCGTGAATTTGACTTAGGCTGGAGACTGGTAGTTTTTCTACTCGACTGTCCGTTGTCGAGGTGCCGTTTCCTTGCTAACGCAGTGGCAGCGACTAGGTTATAATCCTCATCATCAGACAAAATAGTCTCACTGCTGCTGTCGGGTCTATTTTTGTCTGCGTTACAGTTGTCGAAGGACAGCCCCTGCTTAGTTTGGCGATAAAACACGCTCGAATCTCGCCAACCAACTGTCCAGCCCAACTGGTAGTCATAATCAAATGCGCTAGTAAGTCCCACTCCATTGCACAGGCTCCCTTCAGGAAGAGGCTTATCGCCGACCTGGTTCGCGACTACCACCGCCAATGAGTTCTTAGCGGCAATCTTCAAGAGGTTCTGAGCCATCCGATCGACGTAGTGCCGATTTTCCTGAGAATCTCGGAAATTCTTACTTTCCAATTCCACTCGAAGGTGGTGCGAGATCGAGTCCACTATAATTAGCTTTATTTCTGGATTTCTCTCCATGAGGATCGGCAGCTGAACCAATAGAATATGCTCTTGATTAGCTAAATCATTGCAACTCACAGTAAATATATTTTTCTGGGACACAGCCTCAAATCCTGGAATTTGGCGTCTATAAGTGATCATCTCGTCAAGTCTGTTGGTGGGTAGGTTACCTTCTGTAGTAATGAACACACATTTTCCGTTCAGTCCCCCGTATGCGACGGGTGCTTGAACACTCAGAGAAAGCTGCATGAGAAGTTGTGTCTTTCCTGTAGAACTACCACCAAAAATCTCAGTAATACCGTGTGTGCGTATTCCACCATTTAGCACTTCGTCGATTTTTTCGTCGCCCGACGTGAAGAACAGGATTCGTTCTTCCCTGGACACTGACTGTGGCCTGCTCAGCTCGAAAACATGGTGTTGGTACTCAGACTTCAAAACCTTTTGAAACTCCGCGATCTCATTGATCGAACGCGGGAGAAATTTTGTCAGTTCGGTCGGCTTGAGTGTAATTAAATCAACTACTGTGACTCCATGCTCTTTCGCGCTTTCCAGTATTGATGAATATTCTGCTAAATACGTCAGCTTACTGTTCGGAAGCTGATCATAGAGGTCCATTAAAGAAGTCAGCGGTAAGACATAAAATGGTCAAATATAATTTATCTATAGAATTAATAATTTTCTTTATATCGGAGGAGCTCGCAGAACAAGATGGCGCCCAATTTCCTAAGCAACATACCTCGAAGAAACAGCACTTAAAGAACAATTTACAGGCCAAAATTAACTTTATTCATAGAAATAGCATACGTTAAACATTAAGCACGAAGGTTACAGCCATTAAAGACATGTTATGGGATGTAACTGGCAAACATTCTACAAGTACTTTGGAACATTCCCGATGATGGTGGTTTTGATAACCGTGTAATCATCAAGTCCATGCAAAGAGCCCTCCCGCCCGTAACCAGATTCTTTGACCCCACCGAAAGGAACGGTAGCATCGCTAAAAAGACCAGTGTTGCACGCGACCATACCAGTTTCGAGCGCTTCAGAAACACCATAAAGAGTATCAACATTCTTTGAGAACACATAAGAAGCCAGTCCCAGTTCGCTAGCATTAGCATAACCAACCACCTCTTCAGCAGTCTCGAATGGTATGATCGCACATAGCGGACCAAAAGTTTCTTGAGACGCCACATCAGCTGTTTGAGGGACATGAGACAAAACAGTTGGAGCGTAAAAGGCGGGGCCCAACTTAGGCAGACGCCCGCCCTCTAAAACGGTCTTGGCACCTTTCTCGACCGCGTCTTTGACATGAGCTTCGACTTTTTCGATGCTCTTGGGATTGATCATAGGGCCGTGAGTCACACCGTTGTCGAGACCGTGACCAATCACAAATTTCTCAACTTTCTCCGCAAGCTTGACGGCGAATTGGTCATGAATCGATCTTTGTACGTAAAACCGGTTTGCGCATACACATGTTTGGCCCATCCCTCTGAACTTACATGCGATGGCCTGTTCCACGGCTTTATCCAAATCGGCATCGTCAAAGACTATAAAAGGTGCATTCCCACCCAGCTCCAAGGACAACTTCTTCATTGTGGAGGCAGATTGTTTCATTAAAATTTTCCCCACGGCGGTAGAGCCGGTGAAGGATACTTTTCTTACTTTTGTAGATTCGCAGAGTTTGAGACCAAATTCAGGGGTTTTAGAGTGTGATAAAACGATGTTAAATACACCCGGAGGAATACCCGCTTCTTGAACCAAATGTGCTAGTCCAAGGGCGGACAGTGGAGTTTGGGAATCAGGCTTGATGACAACTGTACAACCAGCAGCAAGGGCAGCAGCAGCCTTTCTAGCGATCATTGCACTGGGGAAGTTCCAGGGACAGATGATGCCACACACGCCAATTGGCTCTCTGCGTGTAAATGCTCTGTTCCCTTCAATGCCCGGTGTGATGGCTGTACCATAGATTCTCGGAGCTTCTTCAGAAAACCACTCGAAAAAAGAGGCGGCGTACTTGATCTCTCCCTTGGCCTCCGCAAGCGGTTTCCCATTCTCCCAGCTTAGGATTTTGGCTAAGTCGTCAATATTTTCCATCATGAGTGAAAATATCTTCCTGAGCCAAGTGGCTCTCTGTCTTGGGGCAGTAAGCTTGAATGACTTGAAAGCCTCAAATGCAACGTCGATGGCTTCATCAACAACCTCCAGTGGCTGGTCTGGTAATGATCGAATCACAGCGCCGGTAGCTGGGTCTGTGACCTCAAAGTACTCTGCCGTACTTTTCACCCACTCGCCATTGATAAAAGCAGCATCCTTCAGTAGAGACTCATTGGCGAAAGTTGGTGTGATGATTGTCATGGCTTTACTGTCTTTGAAAGTACAACCTCCCCTCGATAGATTTTTGTCAAGAAATGCAGTAGTGCAAGCAGGCCACGCCGTGTTTATACTCAATGCAATCAAAGGTTTGAAAAGGCTTTCCTAGCCCTTATATGTCGTGTTTTGCACTAGGCTCAGGTTCGCGATAGTAAACCCGCGCGGGATTGTAGACCCCTGCTTTAGCAAGAAAACAAACATATCACTTTGTACTAGTAGTTTGAACAGGAGGCGGACCCTCTGGCCTTTGAAAATGATGCTCGGTCGACGTCGAAGCTGGAGGTGGCACGTCTGGTCGTTGGAAGGCTGGAAGGGGCGTACTGGAAGAGCTTGTAGCCTCTTCTGGGTGGCGGCTGTCACGAGTCACGGCAGGCTCTGGTTGGGATAGGACTGCCGTGTTTTCAGCATCTACGGGCTGGCCAGGTTGTGTGCGATGAAACTTACCACTCTCGTCGAAAAACCCTGCGTCGTTAACATTAGCAGTTGCCGAGTACTCGGGCACCGGGTTCTGGTTGCCAGGAATATTGTATTGGTTCTGAGACATTCCATACGAAGGAGGCGGCGCTAACCACGCAGTACCTCTAATGGGGTTCCTTCCATACTTACGTCTCCTAACATTCACACCAAATACCCATAAGACCACACCAATCGCGACCACGATAAACAAGAGCCATCTCCCCCACAACCAGCCGTTTGAGTTGTTGTTGTAAATGTCTGTAACGTTCAATTTAAGTTAGTAAACTGTTCTTGGTCAACGCACGCAGCTAACCTCCCTTCGGAAAATTAGCAACCCTCACATACATCTTTTGTCGAGAATAAGGCCCATTGCAGTTTGTTAATTGGGTAGTTCAAGAATGTGTGCTTTTCTTGAACTATGCTCGGTCGAACAGTGGTTGAAAAATATGGGTATCGATGACTCTGTCTTTTTTTTTCCCTCTCCGATCCTCGATGACAGTGGGAGGAAACCAGTGGTCACCATATAAGTTCAGAGAGAACCCTGATAACGATGAAATATGGTGAAAGTCTCAACCCAAGCCACTGACTGTACCTGGGAGGTTGGGACAAACCAATTAGGATAGGATTTCTGATAGAATATATAGCATTCATAGCATGGGAAATTGCCCGAAGTTCATGCTCTCGTAGGCGGCGCAGGAATAACAGAGGGGCTTGGCTGGTGAAACATGGCAAGTTGCAAAAGAGCGCCCCGATGAACCTAAAGTGGAGAACAGAGCAGCCATGGGTAGTTTGTAGATAGTTCTTCTTCCCTCTGGCACTGTCGAATAGTTGGCACTCGAAGGATATTACTCGCAGCCGATGCTTGGCACCCTGTGTAGTATTACAAATTACCATCGGTAGGGCTTAGAAGCCAAGTGATTTGTGTGCGGTGAAAACGTAGCAGATTTAGTGACATGCGCCACGTCTTCGGACTGGGCTTGGCAACGAGGCGGAATGCTGCCGGGGCCATGGGCATGGAAGACTGTGCCTCTGCACGTCATATGTACTGGGTCCAATAAATGACCATCCGAAAGTCCTCTTTACGATTGCCTACCGCACCACGAACTCCGGTTCCATCATCATATCTTGATCATCGTTCAGCGTGGCCGGCTGCGAATTGATCAGAACCTTAGCCAGTCGTCCCATTTGAAACTCGTTAATCGCCACGTTCCGTTTCAAAGAAAATGGCTGGCGGCACATGGGGCACAGGCCCTTAGCTGTTGGCGTGTCGAGCCATTGTTGAATACAGTGGACATGGAAGTTGTGATTACATTCACCTATGACTAAAGGGCAATCGTCGCCTGGATATTTGCAACTTGGACATGTTCCGTTGTAGCTCACCCGGCAAATTCCACAGAGATCCTCATCTCCATTCTCTTTTACCGCATTCTCATCGCCGGGAATATCCCAGGACCATGAAAAAACTGGGTACACTTTCTCGAACTCTAGAAGCATTGTTTGTTGGGTGGACAGCGTTTTCACCAATCCTGCACCGATAGCCCGCGCTGTAAGAGATCACCAACTTTGTGGTAAAGCCCCGGTGATCCCCATAACAGAGTTTATCGTGTCACATACGCGCAACCGCGTAACCGAACAGAAACGTGAAACGTGATCTAAACTATATCAAACTATAACCATTTAAAAACTAAGTGTTAGGCTCCAAACAAACACCAGAGGGAGTCTCTGTACTTTTCTAGTTATTGGAGGGTTTCTCTTTCTTGGAAACCGTTAACATTTTTCCCGCCCAATCTTTTAACGAGGTTAAAAGCTCACCGTTTTCTTGAAGAACGCGTAGATCATCAAACCCACCTCGAGAAACGCCGTTGATGACCACATTGGGAACCGTAGTACGCCCGGTTTGACTGCCAATGTATGACTGGAGTTCGGCTCCATGCTCGTGCTTGTCTAGTTCGACAACAATGAAATTTGGAGTGAACACATATTTTTGATGCAGGAGTTCTTTTAGCCGCTTGCTGAAGGGGCAGTAGGATTTGGAGAATATGACCATCGGCGAAGAGACGAGAATCATCTGGTACTCCTTTGCTGGGTCGAAGTGGGCATCCACAGTGGCGGAGTGGGCTTTAGGTATTTTCTCCCCGATATCTTCCTTGATCCCTACTTCTTGTTTGATGTTTTCGATCTCTTCGTCCACCTTGGCGTCGGGTTTGGCTGTGTCCGGCAGCTGTGGCCTTTCCTTAAGTTTTGCTCTCATCTTAACTGGTTGGGTGGTTACTACGGTCTGGCCTGTCGGACTGCCATTTTCATTTGATTCATTTACACCTAACCCTGCAGACATGCTTTCTGAATGTTCAACCATAAAGTAGATCAGTAGAAGCAATAGGCCAGTAAAGGACAAAATTCTTAGGCTTTTCTTGGACGGCATAATGAAAAAATTACGTTACAACCGGCCACAGTTGGGGAGCTGGTCACAGAGAACCTTACCAATCAGGACGGTACACTGGATTAAAACTTTTGACTTCACCATGGGCATTTGTTATCGACAAAAAAGAACTCTAGTCACAATGAACGAAAGTGACATTACTCGAGAACCGGAAACGAGGACAATGACACTAGTTTTTATTCTTGCCCGAACTGGCCGGCCTTGGCCCATATGAAAAACAAGCCTCGGCCCAAAATTGTTCGTTCGATTCAGACTAAAGTTCACCGGATTCATTGATACCAAACGTAGCTATCGTCTTATCAATGCTATATATTTTTAGTTGCCATATGCTTACGCTGAGAATCTATTCAATTTTTTGCAAAACCTTAGGACTAAATGGTAGGGCCAGGAATATCGTGTAGTGACCTTAATCATGAATTTTAATTAAGTTATTGATTTTGTGTTTTTTGGCCAACTGCAAACCCAACACAGACCTTGATTAAATTGGAGCAATGTAAGTTGGTGTCACCAACACACAGCATAAGGAGGATTAATGTGACGTACATTAATGTGACGTGCATTGATGTACAGTACATGGTATAATATGGTAGCGAAGAAACCTGGAAAGTTCAATAGCTTCCCCAATTTTGGAGTTTTCGCCCTTGAAACGCCATTGACTGGATTACCAACGAAAATAATTCCGTTGCACAATTGACAACTCAAAAGATGAAAGCAGGTTTTTATTCGCTGGTTGGATGAATCCCTGGCACGAGTCAAAAATGACACTGGATGCCCAGCGAAGCCAATAGGGATCGGTCAAGCGAAGCGAAAAGAAGCCACAGCATAGCACCCTTGTTTGAAAAATCATCATGCCCTCCCCTTCACGACATCCAAATGTAGACAATTCTATATCAGAGCTAGAACTTTCTTCTCATCAAAATTTACTACATGGATAAACTAAAGACTAATGCGGTTCACTATCCTTGAACTGCATCTACATGTGTACGTTCCAAAAACTTAAGCCTGTCTTTAATGTACTTGCACATGCTGTTCCATTTCTTGGGGTCGTCACCCAATTCATTTTCTAAGTATTTGAATTGAGATCTTTGCACACACAAATACTCGTTAAGTGCACGGAAATTTTCCAACTCTAAATCATAACCATTTAGCCGCTTCAAATTAGTGTAGGACCGAATGTGTTCCCCATTCACAATAAGGTCTTGGTCCGACCAAAGCGTAAAAGGATCAAATTTAGGCAGATTTGAATGCACAAACATAATATCAACCTCTTTGAGATCTTCAGGCTCGAAGTATTTTTTGTAAAATGCTTCAGGTGAGTACTCTGAGTCTAGCTTCAAGTACTGAGGAGCCACGCCAGAATACTGGGTGTGAATATCATTTGTTGCCCACTGGTAACGCTGATAATCTTGGACAAAATCGTGCTGCAACATTGCCACGCCACGGAAGCCTTCAGAGTGATGATAACCGTCTACAGCTGTCATTGATTTGACTTGATAAGAAGACAGACCATAAAAGTTGGCAGCGGCAATAAATGTTTCTTTGTCGCCTTCACCGGAAGCCTTTTGGGAGAATATTGGATAGTACCACGATGGTCCGTTAACATTGTAATATAAGGACAACAATACGGTAGGTAAATGCTTAGACTTGCTGATCATTAGCTGACCAGACTCTGTGGACACATCTGGAATTGTGTATTCTAGATCATGTAGAGGAACATCAGATAAATCGCTAATATCTTCGGTATACGCTCGAGGGGGAGTGACATCATCCATACAGTTTCTTACTCTTTTTTTGTAATTAACCGAAATGTCGGCGATCTCATAGTAGGCTGGATTAGTAGTGCGCCTCCAAAAATCTGGCCATAGGACCATACCAGTACTCTTATATGGTTCTTCGTCAAAGACGTTGTCTAAATCCTTGATGGGGAAATTGTCCGCATCCAAAAGCAGCAAGTTTTCGAAGCTAGACGCAATGATTGAAATAGACTTGAATTGGTAGCCTTTGAAATCAAAGTTGTCAATGACATCCTTTGGTAACACATCTGAGATGTAGATACATTTTGCATTGTACTTCGGCAAGAGTGTATTACAGAATTCAGTTTCACCTTCATCCTTAGGGGGGATAAAGACTTCAACAGGCAACGTTGTTCCCAGGTTTCGCAGGGTTTTGATGATCAAAAATGATAATACAGAGAACTTCCCACCCCCCACGGTGACGATCCCGTCGCCCTTGTAGGTCCCTTTAGGTAGTACCAGAGGCCGCAGACTTTCCACAAAATCGTCGTGCTTATTTTTTAGCAAGGATTTCTCTTTGTTGGAAAGAATCAAACATTCTCCAAGGTTTTTACTGGTTAGCTTTGACCAGTTTTCATAGTCATCCGTACGTGCACCAATGTCACCATTGAGTTTACAACGAGGGTCGTACTGACGTTCGGATTTGCCCATAGGAGAGTTCATTCTCAAACTATGGAATACCTGCTTATAAAACTTCTGCAAGTTCTCCCTACGTTTCTGATCCCGTGCAGACTCACCGGTTGGCTTCATTGTATCACCCGAAACCAATTCCTTACCACGAGACCCCATATCTCCATCGGCTACATCTCCTCCCTCGTAAGACTTTCCCAATTTTGTGCCTCCCCCATCATCATTTTGACTGCCAACTGTCCCCGTATAGGTGTCGATGTATTCTTGAAGATATTTGCGGTATTCTAGGGAAGCCATGTCTCTGTCAACGTACTTACTCGACAAAACAAACGCCACACAGAACAAGGCTGCCACCAGGGACAGCTTGAAGACCTTAGTAAATCGCTTGGTCAGGACTATCATGGTATGTATTTAACAAGGCTGTACACGCCCGACACTTGGCAATTGACCCCTATACCCTATGGAAACCAATCTCTGAGTAAGAGCTCTCGTTAATAAACACGGAACTATGTCAATCGCGCTGTTGAAACCCGGTTTGCGAGGATTTGCTGGCTTGGTCGAAAATCGCGTTTTCAACTAGTTTTTCGGACAAGCTTTATTGTGTCTCCAGAAAAAAAATTCGAGGACATTTGTAAAGCACTATACACGTTAAAAGACCCTAATGCATGTGGCTAGAGGTTCCTAGCAGATTTGAAGGTGGCCATAATCGAGTTGGCAATGCGAAGTTTCATGGGCTTGATATTTAGCTGCTGCAATACCCCATTACTAGGCTCAATGACGGCCACAGTATCAAGATATTGCTTGATTAAATTTGGACCCTCTTCTCGCAGTCTACGCAGAAGGGATTTAACCAAAGACCTGCATTTCGAGTCTTTGATGCGTTTCATCTGATCAAGAGTTTTCAGCGTAGCCAACTGTAAGTGGAAATCGTGGACTAAGTGCCATGCTTGGGCTCCAAGTTCGGGGCATGCACTCAGTTGCTCTACCAACTGAGAAGTCTTTGACTCATCAAATTGTGACTCATATACCAATTTTATAGTTCCAAATGCCCATCTTTCAGCTGGTGTCATTTTGCTGCTTAAGGCGGTACCGTGCGCTAACAAAATTTCCTCGATTACCTCATTACGTTCCCCCGAATTGCTTAGCCCCAATAATAACTCCTGCAAACAAGTAGCCAGCACAGAGGCCGAGTCCTGTTTCAAGTAGGCGGTGACTTCAGTACAAGTTGTTTGCATGGAGCCCAAAATCGAAAAATCACGATTATCGCTCAAAAGCAACAAATCACGGCCAGCATCGATGCCATAATTAGTACTATACTGACATAACATGGTTAATGAATCCTGCAGATTTCTTAACAGTTCTCCACGTTTATCGTTGAAGATTCGTGCCTGTTGTAATTGCTCACCTAGTCTTGACCATTTTGTCAAGGAAGTGGTCACCTTGTGGTACAATTCTAACATGCCAAGAATCTTACTATAACTTTTACGCTCGAAAGAAATCTGGATGAACCTTGGTAAATTAGCGGTGGACTTGTGAACGTTGTCACTCGACCTTAAGTGGCCAGCGAAGCCGTGATCTTTGACGGGGAATAAAGTGGAATATCTGGTTGTCATGAGAAAATCAACTGAGTCCACTTGCAAGTTTTTAACTTTCAATTCCACAAAATGCTCGTAGGCCAAAGTGGGACATCCCAGGTAGTTGTACATGACCACCAGCCAGACTCTGGTCTCAAAATTGTAAGGATCAAGGGCTTGATACTCTTCCAGCAGAGCAATACCGGTGACGGCATTCTCGAGACTTAAACATTCGTCATTAATAAGTGAGTGTAGGATTTGCAGAATAAAATATGAACAGCATGAGTAATCTGTCTTTGGCTTCTCCTTTAATGTGTGCTTGTACTTTGAAAACAGTTCAAAAAAGTACGTCCGGTCATTATCTCCAACAAGCTTGGTGTAATTACAGTCATGCACCAGCCCACCGGGAAATTTACTCATCGATTTTTTTATGGTAGTGATGGGGATTTCTTTTTGGTAGTGGGTTAAATCCGGCACACAGCATGGTTTATCGTGAAAATGCTCTAAATAGCTTTCGATCGAAGTTTCCATGATAGTACCACCATAAACCACATCTAAATGAAGGCGAGCAAGAAAATGATTCCGAGACTTACGAATCCCAATTATTTCCTCCACAGTCCCCTTGGGCTTATTGCAGGCTTTACCACTCTCAATAAGGTTGGTTAAAATCGTAAAATCGTCAAGGTATTGGAGCAAGAAGTTGCAGACGTTGAATAAGTTATGATTGTCGCCCACAATTGAAAGGTGATTGATAAGGAAGTTTTTCAGGTACAGATCCACAGAAAATTTATCATGGCTTCCCTGTTCGAACGCTGGAAGTAGTTCAACCACAATTTCTTTCGATTTGTTGTCGCATATCTCACACACATGACAGAAAATTATTGTCTCTTGGTCCGATTGGAAAGGTTTGAGGCCCTCCAGGGTCTTAAGAGCTAATGTGGCATTCAATTGGCGCTCCTTTTCGGTTATCTGTTTAGGTTGGAGTTTTATTAGAGCCACTGTCGACAATGCGTTCCAGAATTGCATCATGCGCGGGTCCTGCGACCAACGCTTAAGTTGAAACGAAGCCTGGACCATATGCCGCAGATTCAAATCCTCTATCGCTTTACTGAACCAACCGTACCCAATTTCAAGACTGGGATACTTTTGCATCGCCTTCTTGTATCCGTCTAAGGCGCGATCCAGATGACCTAATTCTAACCGAAACTGGTGAAGTAACTCGAGCGAACGAAGGTCACTGGGCAGTGAAGAATTTTCTAATAACGGCTCTAGCATCACCTTTGCGTCGTATTTACCTTTATTCTGCCGGAACCGGACATATTGGTCGAGCAGCCTAGGGAAACTAGCCTTAGGAAATTGACCACATAGTTTCGCACTTAATTGCGTTGCAAGCTTCCCGTTCCCACGCGCCAATGCTTCGAATATTGAGTCTCTGGCATTATCCATTGTTTTGTTGTTCCGGCACGGCAATTACAGATGAAGGTCTGTCTATTAAGTGCTCTTATTTTCTGGAGTTTTGGTCTCTCTATATGAACTTGGATTGAAGCTTGCTGATGTTGTCTGTCACGAAGCGGCTAGGAAAGTGAAAAAAAATTTTAGCTACTGGTGATGAGATGAGCTGCGATGAGCTTGACGACGTGCTAATAAGAACATAAACTAGCTCAACTTTTAGCTGATTAGACTAGTTGATCACCTTGAAGCTTGGAGACATTTTTTTTCCAGATATCAGCTAGACCTTCGATTCAGATTTATTTTGGCAAATGTCCTCTATTCATAAGGTGCTAGCCGGAAAGTCCTCCGGGAAACATGCAAAAGATGAAAAGGTTTTCATGAACAAGCAGCGTACACTTCTTATCTCTTCTAGAGGGATAACGTACAGACATAGGCATTTGATCCAAGATTTGCACAGTCTGTTGCCCCAATCGCGCAAAGAACCTAAATTGGACACTAAGAAAGATTTGGGTCAACTTAATGAAATTGCTGAATTATACAACTGCAATAACGTTTTGTTCTTCGAAGCGCGTAAGCACCAAGATCTGTACATGTGGCTCTCTAAGCCACCCAATGGGCCGACTATCAAATTCTACCTGCAGAACCTACACACCATGGATGAACTGAACTTTACCGGGAATTGCTTGAAGGGCTCCAGACCGGTTCTTTCCTTCGATTCTCGCTTCGACTCATCTCCTCACTATAGACTTATCAAAGAAATGTTCATGCACAACTTTGGGGTCCCGCCACAGGCTCGGAAATCCAAGCCTTTCATTGACCACGTCATGTCGTTCAGTATTGTAGACGACAAAATCTGGGTTAGATCTTACGAAATATCGCACAAGGCAAGAAACCAAGAGGAGTACGAAGAAGGCGAGAAAAAGGATGAGGAGGACATCTCTCTGGTTGAAATTGGTCCTCGTTTCGTAATGACAGTAATTTTGATTTTAGAGGGATCATTCGGTGGCCCCAAGATCTACGAAAACAAGCAGTACGTTTCGCCTAATGTTGTCAGAGCTCAAATCAAACAGCAAGCTGCTGAGGAAGCCCGCAACAGGTCCGACGCCGCTATTCAACGTAAAATCAAGAGACGCGAAAATGTATTGGCCGCTGATCCGCTTTCCAATGATGTTGTGTTCAAGAACTGATTGGCTCCTAATGTTTAAAGTGCATGGGTACCTATTCGAGCAAACTGTTAGATCGAGTTCCCAATTCACATTGCGTCTCTTCCATCTGGCGTGACGAGAAATGAGGCCACAACCAATTTAAATCTATGTATAATATCATTTATCACTGCAACACCCAGCACACTGGCATAGAGATTTTTTCAGTGGTCATGATTCCGCGGTGCGCAGTTCCATTCTTGCAGTCGTACTTCACTTCATCTATTACTGGGATATAATCAAATACTTTTATTGCTCCTATTTAATGTTTTTCAGCGTGCTTTTGGAGATACTCGGTGATGAATTTCTCTTCCTCCTTGGATCCAGCTTTAATTTCAACTTCCTTTGCGGCGGAGCTAGCGAATGGGTTTGGAATCGCGAACGCAGCTACTGCAGCAATCGTTCCAAGTGCTAGCTGGTGTGGTTGGAAAGTTCTACCCAAAATATGATAAGCTGATCCCATTTGGAACTTGTTCTGTTTGATTCCGTATCGTTTACTGGACGGTAAGGTGTTCAAACTTTACTCAGTTTCCGAGATTTTTTTGTCTTAGTACTTTATAACTTTATACGACTACCACGTAGCGTCATTAGACCTTTAAAGAACAAGTCTAGCGATCTCTTCGATTCTAAATGACATTCGAGCCGTCTTGATCTTTGTTCCTTGATACAATTGAAGGATCTTCGAGCTAGGGAGGGTGATGGTACCCCAAAATCTCCATAAAATGCTAGTTCTCTATCTGTTTGTGAGGCTACCTGCTGATTTAACCGCGGAGAGGGGAGCTTAAGCTTTCAATTAGTGACTTACCCAACCAAACCATCAGTATTCCATAGATATGGTATCACCAGTTGCATACCAACATTCTGGAGTTTTGCGAGTTGCGATTTCTAACTTTTGAAATGCTATTAACGAGGAAGCTGCGTCTCAGATGAACCTTAAAGACAACTGCAAAGGCAAAGATTGAATATGGGTAGCAGCGGTTGCAATAAGCACTCATACACATATAGGGAAAAACCACCGTTCCTAGAATATTTACCTCGTCACGCATTCGAACGAAGTGTCCTCTCTAACCGCGGCACAACTCTAAGGCGTATGTCTTGTTATGTGCTGCGGAGTCAATACTCAACTGAATGCCATTCGTATCGCAAAGGGAGTTCAGTGACTTCAATACTAGCTACGGCGAGGTTTTTCGTATCTCAATAAAGCAACACGCAACGTCCACCTGTCATCACCTGCTACTTCTTCATTCATGAGATGAAATAGCATAATTTACAACAGGTGAACCGAATCATAATCGTCCCGTCCGACTATGACCAAAATTTACCACCAGGAAACTGCCTAGCAGAGGGCTAAGCGGACATGAACGGCCAATCCGAGCGTTCAACGTTCCGTATATAACGACCACACATAGGTGATGAGCGATAAGGTTACGAGCTATTGAATACTACCCTGATAGTTGGTTTCTTTCCTATTTTCGTTGTGTTTATTGTTTGACGACATTTCAACCAGCACAACTGAACCAGCGAACCGATTTCTCACGTAAACCATGCTGGCCAGGAATTTATGGATTTTAGTGGCTGGTCTTCCTTTCGCAACGCCCTTTTCATTGTGGGAAACTTTAAGCAATGGTTTCGAAGGCCAAGAACTTCTAAACGCATTGACCTCAGGTTCTAATTCTCCAAAGAACGAGATACAGGAATTCTATGATGCGGAATCATTGCAAAAAGCTGACTTTTCAACTTTGCAGTCGCACCGCGATGATAGCTACTCTTTGAGAATAAAGAGTGTAGATCCTGGCAAGTTGGGGATTGATGTTGTCAAGCAGTATTCCGGATACCTAGATTACCAAGATTCCAAACACTTTTTTTATTGGGCGTTTGAATCCAGGAATGATCCCGAGAACGACCCTGTCATATTGTGGCTCAATGGAGGGCCCGGTTGCTCTTCTTTCACCGGTCTCCTCTTCGAGCTTGGGCCTTCTTCCATAAATTCGAAGCTTGAGCCGGTTCACAATCCTTATTCCTGGAATAATAACGCAACCGTTATTTTCTTGGACCAACCGATTGGTGTTGGGTTTTCCTATGGCGACGATTCGATAACCTCTACGGAAGCAGCAGCTAAGGATGTTTTTATATTCCTAGAACTATTCTTCGAAAAGTTTCCTCAACTAAGAGCTAATGATTTCCACATCGCTGGAGAATCTTACGCCGGTCACTACATCCCTGCAATTGCTCATCAAGTTGCGGTTGCTCATGAACATGATAAAACTTTTAACCTAACTTCTATCATGATTGGGAATGGTATCACAAATTCCTTAGTACAGTATGACTACTACGAGCCAATGGCTTGCGGCAAGGGTGGATATGAACCCGTTATTACAGAAGAGGATTGCGCCAAAATGAGAAAGAGTATGCCTCGGTGTTCAGCTTTAGCTGAGGCCTGCTCTTCTTCTGGTTCCTTGTTTCCTTGTATTGCCGCCGGCGTCTACTGTGAAAACATGGCAATGAATGCTTATGAAAAGACTGGCTTGAATGTCTACGATATTCGAGCTCCATGCGAAACTGAAAAGAGTGCATTTTGCTACCGCGGCATAGGCTATATCGAGGACTATCTGAATCAACCCTCTGTCCAAGCCGCTGTTGGCTCTGACGTGTCTCACTTCACTGGATGCAATGATAAGGTTTTTCTAAGTTTTCAACTGAGTGGCGATGAAGTAAGGCCATTTCAACAATATGTTGCGGAACTCATAAATAGAGACATTCCGGTGTTGATTTATGCTGGCGACAAGGACTACATCTGCAATTGGCTTGGTAATCTGGCATGGACTGAAGAATTAGAGTGGAAACATAAGGATCAGTTTTCTTCACTGCCTTTGAAATCTTGGAACTCGAAGGAAACTGGTGAACCTATGGGCCAAGTGAAAAGTTTCGGGTCATTCACATATTTGCGGGTGTTTGATGCGGGCCATATGGTTCCATACGATCAACCCGAGAGTAGTTTAGAAATGGTTAACAGGTGGGTTGCTGGTGAACTTAGATTTGGTACTTAGTATATATGCAATTTTAGCTTTAGAGTGTGGATTCACAAGCACGGCTCAATGAATACTGCCTTTGTGATCCATTTTATATGCTGACAGAAGACTGTTGACACGAGAAACCAGTTCCTCACATTCAGCATCACTCACAGCCTCGAAGTAATATCGTTTCAACCCAGCCGAGCGGTTAACAAATATTTTGAAATACTCTGGAACACGATTTGATTTCTGAATCAGAACTACTTGACTAAGATGGAAGCATTTTGTTTTTGCAGTTTCATGATGCCGGTTGAAACCATTTTCGGGAGGAATAATGTAAAGATAGTCCCCATCAATAGCGAGCGTCCTTTCATGTTTATTAATGAAAGACATCTGCTGCCTTCTCCAGACCCTGTACTTATAATAAGCTCCCGTGATAGCATCATTAAAGCTAGGATCTAAGTTTATCCCTGACCTGTCTGTATAGGAAGCCCTCCTTCCTCCCCTCAAGGATGATTTTGACGAGTTTTTCAGCTTGAAAAACCCTCCGCCTCCAGCAGTCGGCTCATTTAATTGAGACAATTTCGATGACATAGGTTTTTCTTTCGCCAAACTTCGTTTATTTGGTGAGATGCCTGATCTCTTGTTATTGGGGTGTCTTTCATCGCTGTTCATTTTCAGAGGATCGACAGCAGCTAGGAATCGATTTTGGCCGCCCGTGTCAGGAGTCAAATCCGCACTTTGGATAGTCGGTAAAGTAGGCTTGCCAAAAGTCGATGTCTTCATTTTTTTTAGTCCGAGCGCCTTGACTTGTTTAATCGAAATAAGTTCTAGATCATAGTTCCCATCCAGCTCACCAACACTATCCTCTAAATTGGCTACTACATTTTTCCCACTTAATTTCAGGGCATAATCTGAAGGTTTCATAGATTTCATGCTGCAATATTGTAGTAAGATAGCGTCAAGCGAGGTAGAAACTGAAACGTGAAGTGTTGTAAAATTGAACTCGGGATTTGTATTGGGAAATAGAAACACCCTTATGTTGGCTTTTATGCTCTCTTTTTCTTCCTGAAGAAAAATCGACTGTTCTTTTAATATGGGCTTGTAGTAGCTCAACTGATTTATGCTAGCGTCCGTGGTACCTTTCTTCGTCGCGAGAGCGTCAACTGGAAGGAATTCAACCTGAAGGTCAAGGTTCGGATTAGGTGTCAATAATTCATTATCGTCGAACTCTTTTTGACTTTTAACTTTGCACAAAACAACTTCATTGTCAAAAAGATTTCCAATTGGCTTTTTTCTCTCCACGGTTCCAAAATTATCTTCAAAAGGCTCCCCATCTTCATCAACAATTTTAAGTACAAACATATTCGGTTTGATCAATTCTTCGGGACTCAAGCCTGAACGATCACAGTCAGATTTGTATCTAGTGGAGTATTGATACAAAATGAAACCTATGACCTCAAAGGTAGATGAAGACTTCCGAACACCGACATTAATTGGTTCACTCCTGTATTCGATGGAGTCTTGAATGTAAACATAAAGATTCATAGACTCGGATTTAGGCACTTGGTCTCCTGAAACAAACGAAAAATAAGCTAAAGGATTCGAACTTTGAGACTCTTTTTGCTTAAATATATTTGTCAATTGCGAAGCTGTGGGCGGATCCGACTTTGAGGGTTCCACCTTTTTGAATACTGATAAATCAAAATTTGTCTTCGAGAATTTACCTTGGCTTTTGGAGTCGCTCGCAGAACGTTTGTGTCTTATATTCTCCTTCATGGAATTGGTGGGCCCCGTACTGCTGGCAGTTCTATGTAGTCCCCTGATTGCCTTTGTTGTGCTATTAGAAAGACTCCTGGGATTGACTATTCCTTTCTTACTAGCGCCAAACTGATCAGAGCGTCGAGCTGTGAATGAGATCGAGAAGCTCTGATCTTTCAACTTGTCGGCGTCAGAATTCAGCGATGGACTTTGGCTTGAAAAAGGCGCTTGCTGATTACCATCCATGTACTTGAAGGCATGAGACCGAGGAATAGAGTGACCAGGAAGAGATTCTGATATGAAAAGTTCATCTGCCAAAAGAGAATCATCAAGTACTGAACTGCGTTCATGACAGAGGCTTTGCGTCTCAAGTTCTTCAATTTCTGAATCTAACAGGGATTGTCCATAAGAAGAAGCATTCGAAGCCACGTAGCTGTTGCTGCTGGAAACCAAATTATTACTTCCGTTGATAAAGTCTGTTGATGAGATATGCCTCAGGTATGTGTTGTGAGTGACATCATTAGAATGGCCTTTATCCTCCAAATCTAACTCCCGCAAATCATTTTCATCCATATACGAATCAAGGTCAGAAACGTCTTCCTTCCTACTAGCACTTTTGATTGTTTCTGTGTCCGGCGTTTGATTGGAAACTTTACCGTCTAAACCAGCTAGCACCGGATTATTGTTTTCATCGGACACTGATAAAAAATTTTGAGCATATCGTGGAAAGTTCCCTAATTTCGCTGGCTTATTTTGTTTGCTTTCAGGGCTTTTTGGCAGCCCACCTAGGAAAAATCCATCGTTTTGTTCTAGATCATCTTCATCGTCATCCTCGTCATCCTCGTCATCTTCCAGTATTTCGTCGTAATTGAATGCCCCATCATAGAAACCAAGGTCTTTAGACTGTTTCCCGATTGGCTGGTGTGAGTCTGTGGTTTTGATTTCTACACTTGTAGCAGATGGCCTTCGAAATTCATCAACAGTTCCCTGGTTGTTTTGCGGTTTGAAAATTCGCGAAAACGACAAAGCTTTTCGTTTACCTTTTGAATCATGTTGGCCCCGTGATATGCTCGTGGTTAGAGAAGTAACTGGCCCCTCGCCTACATTGACGTCAACCTTCTTGTCCAACGCTGGCACTTGCCCGTGCAGATTTTCGGCTTTGGATTTATTCAAGAGCGTGTGCCTCTCCGCTGTCTGCGACACACCTGACACCTTTTGTCGCCGATCCCGGGCGCCGGCTTTGAGATTTGGACGGGCGCCTTCCTTGAAGCGTGGATCCTTTGCCGAAGGTATTTTCTGTTGGAACCGAGCTCTTTGTAACAATTCAATTTCGGCCATATAATTTTCTGAGATTGATGGTGATTCCAACGTGTCTAACAGATCGGCTCCATCATCCAAACGATATAAATCTCGGAGTTCCAGAGGTATCTCGCCCTGTTCTTCAAAGTCAGGCACGTATGGCTTAATGATTCGTTTCGCTAATCCTTCGTCAAATGATCCTCGCAAAAAGGAGGACCTTAGCATGTTGATTGACTTAACAGCATCCATTACTCTTTATATGGAAACATGGCCCAGCTCTAGTTGCATAAACGTCTGCTTGGGTGTGCTATCAACATTATCCATTATTTTGTTTTCAGAGTTAATTATTTGATGAAAATTACTCGAGAATATTTAAATGACGGTGGGATGAGATGAGCTCTGCTGATAGAAACTCTTGACAAAAAAATCTTTGAAAAGCAGTCAGATCGAGAAGATTATTACCGTATTATTCACAGTAGCTCAGATGGTGCTTTCTTCCAACTGGCTACAACTTCAAAGCTCTCAGACAGCAAGCGAGTCCGGGAAGGAGAATGAGAAGCGCCTACCTAAGACCAAGAAAAGCCCAGCGGCAACAACGGACAAACATGCTGGCAAAGGTCACAAGCCTGTGAAAGTAGGCAAAACTCTTTCAAAGATCAACAAGAAAGATTTTGGTACTAAGGGTGGCAAGAAGAACATCATGACCATGGTACACTCCATGACACATGAAATGGAGCTGCTGGAGGGTCAAAAAACCAGGAACTCCGCAGTGCTGAATGCACATTCTGTTGATGACCTTGAAAAGACTCTTCAAACTGCTGTAGGTGACCGGGGCCCTAGTCGGGCATTGGAGGTTGGGAAATATGTTTCACTTGATTGTGAATTTGTGGGTGTGGGACCGGGCGGTGCAGATTCTGCCTTAGCAAGAGCTACCCTGGTAAATTACTTTGGACATGTTGTGTTGGATATTTTTGTAAAACCTCAAGAAAAAGTTACTGATTGGAGAACATGGGTCAGCGGGGTACGACCCCAGGACATGCAGCACGCCGTCGTATTCTCAGAGGCGCAAGAACGGGTAGCCAAGACGTTAGAAAATCGAATTTTAGTCGGCCACTCTGTTGCGCACGATCTGCAAGCACTATTTCTTTCTCACCCACGTACAATGATAAGGGATACCTCAAGGCATCTCCCTTTTAGGAGGAAATACGCTGGTGGCAAGACTCCTAGTTTAAAGAAACTGTCAAAGGAGATTTTAGGCCTCGAGATTCAGGGATCCGAACACTCCCCAATTGAAGATGCTAGGGCGACGATGTTGATTTACAAATCTGATCGCAAGGAGTTCGAAAGATTGCATCAGATCAAGTTTGGATCAGGAGGTAAACATCTAAAATGAATTAAACTTAGGTCAATCCTTTCAAATTACGTGTATATTACAAATATTAAAAAACAGCTGCTAACTAAACTGTGAAGTGTCCGGCTACCCTGTGGTTTCGCGGTAACTTATCATTCGCGACATAATTTTAACCGTCAGCTTTTTCCTTTCGTAAAGTGCATATGGATTTGACCTGAATCCAGCCATTGTGTCGTTGAAGTTATAAGGAACCTCAATATTTTGAAGGCCAGAAAGATGTCTCATTTTCAACATTCTGTTAGTTTGACTGAAATGTGAGTCGCAAGACCCATATTCCCTATTGGTAACAATGGTCTGTAAAATGGTAAATACCAGTTGTGGGAAGTCTGATTGAACGTCAAACGTGGAGACCCGCTTCAACTCCATACGAATAAGAGCATATATCTTGATAACCTTGAGAGGATTCTCTTTCAACAATCGCTCTAACAATAACAGATAACGAGTCTTACTCAACTCATCGGATGAACCCGAGGCAAAATATACCGACGCTTGGTATAAAGCAATTAACGAAGCTTCTGAATCCGATACCATCCATTCAAGAAGTACCTTGGGTACAAAGTTTTGCTCGTCTAAGAAAACTAGCTCGACATCCAATTTTAGGTCCACCAGTATCGCTTTGAACTTTGAAGGCCGGGAAACTTGATACACCACCAGAAGATAGCATAGGTAATCTTCATTTGGTGCATAAGCCAAATCTTCGTAAGCCAAAGTCAAAAACAGGACCAGACAGTCCACTGACGTCGTTTTGATGTAAGGAACCAGCATGCCCTTACTCACCAAGTTTAATATTACATGAGAAAAGTTCTGCTTAGTCCATTTGATTCCGACCATGGATTCAAGCTCAATTAACAGGGGCTCTGCAAATTTTCGACTATCGAAGAGGACGGATGTGAGTGAACCCTTGTCAAAGCTTCGGACAACACTTGATATTTGCCGGACAGAATTTGCCATAAACAATAGTCCACCATGATAGAAAATTGAATTCGGAGATTGAGCAAAGGTAGTGGCTAACCAAAATAGTTGTTTTAGCAATGGAGAATCCGGCTGAATACCCAAAACAACCTTACTATAGGTGAAAGAGTGAGATATGACAAAGAAAACTAATTCGTCACTGATGTACGGCTCTGCCACATTTTTTATTGTCTGCGAGAGCATGTTCTTGCACAGAAATTCCGAGATTCCTTGCTGACCGATAATTCCGACTATCATCGCAGCTCTCGCAGATAAGAAAGAACCGTCATTGAAGGCTGAGTCCATAAGGTATTTGTTGTACTTTGCTTTCCATTGTTGACTATCTGCGTTTGACGAGTTCTCCATCAGTAAAATTATGTTGCTCACAAACTGTTCCAAGGTGGTGAACTTACTCAAAAATGAAGAGGCGCTGAAGCTCTGTAACATGCGACCCTTATCTTGACTGAAGCCTGACATGAACCTCATCTTTTGCCGGGAAAAGGTCATCTTGACTGAATCCAAGTTCTCCCTTTTCTCAGAGGAGAGGTCCTCGTTGGTGGAGAGTGACTGGCACACATTCATAAGCAATTTGTGCAGAGCCAATCTCATCTCTGAAGGTCCAACGTCAATGAGAAGGGATACGAGATATAGAATCTCTGGTAGAAACAACTGTGAAAGCAATAGTGAATCAAAGAATAGTGCAACCAGAATATTGATCAGAATTATCAATTCCGACCAGCTATTAGTCGAAGCTTCCAATTTAAGAGAAGGTAAAAATGAGCGAGAAATCCGCAGAACCCTCTTCACAACCTCGCTGCACATCTCGACAGTGGAAACCCTCGTCAAAAGCGAGATAGCACTCTTCCAGTCGCCACCTTCTGATTCTCTGTCAATTGAGTGACTCACTATCTCATCAACGATCAAACTGACTAGATCAGCCTGAAGGATCAGTGTAGTCCAGATGCATTGATTATAGATCAGTATCAAGTTCACATCTTTCACGCTGAGCTTAATTAAGGCCCTTATGATATGAGAAACATTTTCCGGCCCATTCTCATCATCAGCCAAATAAACGTAACGGTATAAATTTTCTGTCCAGGGTGTCAAAGCGCTGATAATGTGAGGAATATGGTGTACCTCAAAAACTCCCGAAAGGCCCTCTAAAATCGACTTCCAAACCACTAAAGACAAATGAGGGGCGGTTTGCGAAAGACCTTTGAACAACGAATCACAAAATGCCGAAGTGTCATGTGGAACATGCACTTCAGGGGAGACTCGCAAATTGCAACCAAAATTTATTCCAAAAGATTTTTGAGTTGCAGCCAAAACATTATACGAAATATTTTTGACCTCGTCGTTATCACTGCAAAATCCTGCGTAGATAACTAGCAGCAAGCTGCCAAGAATTTCGTTCAGCTCCTTCTCGTCACTTTGAGAATTTTGCTTTTCATTTTCAAAGTCACTGTTTTCATACTCTTCCTCTATCTTCGCCTGAGCATAATAGAAGATGCGAATGATCTCCAGATATTTCGAGCTGCAGAAAACTAGCTTTGTTGCGTTATCAAAATTTATAGTAAACTCTGATGGTACACCTGTTTCGAAGGAAACCACTGTTGCTACGATTCCACCTACTTCGTAGACAGCATTAAACCTTAATTCAACAACTTCATCTATGCCTGTAACCTTAAAGCGATAAGGTGTCTCTGATATCATCTGAACGTATTTGTTACCGATTTTCAGCACGACAGGAGTGAATCGGCCCCTTACGTGGTCATACAACGACACATCGCGCAATGTGACTCTAACGTCTGAAAAAACCTCATAAGAAAGCTTGTTGAGTTTGAGGTTCTTTATTAGGCTTGGGCTGGAGTCACTGTTGATAAACTCGTGAGGCGTCTTATATGGTTCCAAGTAAGGATTTTGTCCCTTAAAGACAGGCAGCCACCATGCAGTGAATTCTTCGGTCATATTATAGTAATAAAACTTGGAACAGTTTCTTGCGGCCTCGTCAGGTATCAGTCTGAAGAACGAAGCCAAAAGCTTTTTGTCTTCCACAGTCGGAGAATCAAATCCAGTGCAATCAATGACAAAATAATGCCTTGAACTCCAGATTTTTGAGTATACTTGAAATGTGCGATAGACTAGGGCCTCCGTATCACAAGTTTGCTTCTGTAGTAGCTTATAAGTAAAAACAACAATCGGGTGGCCGTCGGACGAGACTGCTTCATGAATGAAGGGGATATCATCTCTGAAATCAAAGGTTCTTAAAGAGTGCCTAGACATAAAGTCATAAAGGTCCGGATTTTCATCGCTTTTATCTCTTATAGAAGGTGGAATTTCGTTTCGAAATTCCATCCGAGGTTGTCCCAAAGCTGTCAATAGATTGTCAGTGGCCCTGGAAGCTGACTTTGATGTCTCGAAGTCCTCCAAAGTCTTAATTTCTGAAATTATCTCACTCCTAACCTCCAGGCCATGCTGATAAATGTATCTGTGAAGGTAGTTGAAATCGCTCACCGCAACTTTTCTTTCACTTCGAAGCTTTATCGAAACAATTCTACTTGGATTTGCAATTTCAGAAAGATAAATGCTTACTCTTTCGCCACAATGTCTCAAGAATGAAGACTCCGAATTAAGCAAGGGCCATTTCATAGAGCTTATTGACCCATTCGCTATATTTTGAACAACCTTTGCGAGAGTCACGAAGGACCTCTTTTGCTTGGCAGTTACCACGTCCACAATATTTTCGGCGTCAGGACTCACGATCGCGGGGCAAAAGAATCGTAGAAAGATAAACGAGCCCACTGCGACCGATTCATAGCCGGGAAACTTCTCTTGCACACTTAGATAAATTGCCTGACAAATCAGGAAAAACTCGGGTGGGAACGACGATACAGAGTTTGCTACCGAATCGATGAGCAACTTTAGGTATTTGGTAAAAAGTTTCACATTTTTTTCAGCCTCAGGATCCTCTAAAGTTATTTTTTCAATCTCAAAAGCCTCGTTACTTTCTATTATGCTCATTAATACTGGTTTGAGGGTCTGTCTTAAATATTGAGTACCTTTCAAACGTGAAAGCATTGATAGCGCTCTCGTAGCACAGCTGTTCCTGCGTAAGACATCAGCATATCGTGAAGCATTCTGAATCTCATCCTTCATTAATTCCACAACAACGATGTGTGATGCATTTTTGATCTCGAAAATGCCAAGCAAGCTGCTAGCGAAAGCGTCAATTTCATTCGCTGGACACACTCTTGCCGCTAAAGATAGAAGTCGAGGGCTTACCAACAGTTGTGAAACGTAGCGATCGACAAGCTTGTTTTTTTCTATGGTCGCTTTGGCAGTATGGATGTCAAAGTTAGAAATAATTTCAACGAAAACTTTTAAAAACGCAAGTTTTATCCCTAAGTTTTTGGAATACCCGAGAGGAAGAGCGTATTTCAAACCAACATCTACATTTGCATTCAAGATGTTTGTCAAAGAAGTGTTGATGTTGTCATTCAAGACACCTATCTTGTGCCGCAGAGTTAAAGGATAGTTCTCCACAGCTGATGTCTTCTCTAAACCCTTCAACAAAATACTGAAGTAGTTCCCGAAGGTCACAGCTTTCGATCCCTTTAACTCGCTTTCGGAGTTTGACAAGGGAACTTCTAACATCAAGTCTTTTGTAATGTAGGCCAAAGCTCTTGATGTCTCAATAGAGGTATCGATATAAAGATAATCAAGGTCTCTTCGCTTAAGATCCATTTCTCGATGAGGACGAGCCAAATTCTCTGGATCAAAGTCCATAAAAATTGCTGCTTTGAACCACGATATTGTCAACCTCAACCATTGATTTTTAACAAGGAGATAACCTGAAATGCATAGACTTCCTTCTGTGGCTTCGAAGGATTTGAGCAATTTGGATAAGTGTATGATGGCTTTATAGTACCTTGTGGAGGCATGGCTGACATTCTCAACAATTTTAAATAGCTGAGCAACTAGACCGAGCAATTGAGGTGAAACTAAAATAAGTTCATCCCTGGTATCTTCACGCTCCAATACTGTGCGCACAATCAAGATTACCTGCTCTAAGAGCAGAACTGATGCATCACTATGAGCTTCAGGTGGACCCTGAGTTTCTGTAAGATCTATGGTCTCAAGGTGGTCTGCTAGAAGTTTCAGATGCTTAAAAAGTAGCTTGAAGGCTAGAGGGTGTAATTCGGTGCCTACGATATCTTTGGAATTTTCACGAGTCAAAAGAGCAGGATCATTCAACCACGAACATTGTCTCGATAAAAAGTAGTCCACCATCTCAGTAACCTCCTCTTGCATGATAGTATATTGAGGGTTGTTTTCAACTGACTTGCGATCAATACTCAAAAATGTACCGCAGCCAGATGCTATGAGACCAGCAAGGTTTCTAAAGTGGCTCGCTTCTGCACTGCTCAAATTCTCTTTTCGTAAAAAGAACAACCATTGATTGTACATTAATTTTAAGGTGTCAAACAACATTCTATCAGGAAACGTAACGTGCTTGAGTATGTCACTCCGCAGGCGTCTCTGAAATGCGACGGCACCCGAAGAAACATAGTTATCTCTGCCCATCGATTGGAAAAACATTCTGTTGTAGCTAATACTATCACCTCCGTGTCCCATTATGTCATCGTGGGAGTCCAGCTCCCTTAAAAATGCCTTGAAGCACGTCCTTAGCAGTTTGTGAATTTTTGGCTCATGAGTGCAAAGCGAAGCTAAAAGGGCCCGCCCTGTGGCACCGTGAAGTAAGTGGTAGGTCTCGAGTTCCACACTTTTTAAGGTCCCTGAGTCAAAGGTTGATTTAAGTTCGAAGCGAACATCCAAAAACTTTAAAATCACGTCAAGCAGTTGCTCTCGCTTAGCATCGGCCAACTCCAAATTAAATAGCGTAGCCGAGAGCAGTGTTATCAAATACGCTGCACCTTTATACAATACTAAGCGTGCCTCAGAAGTTGAATTCCCGCTTCCCAATTTTAGAGCATATGACGCTATTATAACCGCGAAGGATTTCGACGCTGCTTGTACGGAAAAATTGTCATCCACTAATCCAACAAATAACGGCTTTATCAGGGCAATGTAGTCCTCAAGAAGTTGAGCTGGGTCTGACTCGGTTACGGTTACAAAATAATCATGTATCATCAACTCATACACAGAGATAATGTTGACCAGTGTAGCTCTCACATTGGCAAGTTCTGTCGATGAAATTGATTGGTTGTATACCGCAACATTCTCTGTAAGAGTTCTTTGGTGTATTGCCACTGTATTCAATGCGGGCAAACTACCGTCTGAAGGCCCTCTAGATCTCGAAAAACGTAGAGGCGATTTCGCACCCTTTTGCACGTTTTCCAGTTGCAGCCTTACGTTGGGAAGGGACTTCTCACCTTCAGAGGAATGGGATACTTTTGCGCCAACGTTGCCAATGGCTGCGGCTGAGGATCCTGAGGGGCGCCTAGCACGAGGGGCCATAATGTCAGATCTTTCATTGAAGCTTTTTTGAACACTAGCCTTCTCATTGTACGAGCTTCCTCCCGATGAGATGGATGATGATGAGGCCAAACTACTCATCTCGACCTTGTTATTGCCCTCCTGGTAAAGGGACTGGTTCTGTGGACTGAAGGGGAAATGAGGAGAAAGGGACCTTCCGACCTTAGGCACATCTGTGCTGCTCCTCAATGACCCATTCAAAATTCCTTCCACAATAGATGCAATATCATCCGAGAAATGTTTCGAGGCCGTCAAAATCACATCCGACATTTCAGTAAGGGTTCGCTTGAAGAAATCAGTTGATCTCATCACCATCTCCAACCTTGCCCTGGTAACGTTAGGGATACTATAGAATAGCTTAAACCCTTCTGTCAAAGTTTTCAAATGCTTGTATCCTGAATGCCTGTTTTGAGAGTAATGGCCCAAGCGGGTGGTGAAGGTATCAGAATCCATGATTAGAGCTGGCGTAAAGAAAGCTATCTGGAGTCTGGCACATGAGGTGGGATTTCGAGACAAGCACCTCGCTATGACGGGGTTTTTCTTGGAGACGCCGATGTCACAAAGCTGCAATGCATCGCCTATCACAAAAAGTAACCTTCTGGAAAAAGTGACTACCGGGGACTCTTCATCGGCGAGATAAATGGATGAAGCAACCCTAAATAGTAGAACTAGGGTTCTCAATGTATCTAATAAAGAAGTATCAGATACGACTAAGGATCCATTGACATTCTTTATCAAAGATGTTAAAAACTTCACTTTTTTGCTACCCGATGTGAATGTTGGGAATTTGAGCGTCTGAAGCATTCGATGATTACTTTGTCTGGGCTTAGAAAGTTGAGGTTGCGATTTCTTCCTTTCTTCATCAGTCACTACATTAGACAAGATATCCTGCTCGTCAGGAATGTGCTTAAAACTTGTCAAATTCAATTCTTCAAAAGTATTTGGTTGGAACATGAGCATCACAACTAGGAACCTCAGTACTGACACATTCGCCACGTCTTCAACTGGAACAATAGTGCCAGCTATTGCTGTGGGATTCAAAATATCCCATTTTGGCAGGTAGCTTTGAGGGTCACTGTCACGTCGTGATAGACTATGCGTTTTCCTAAGATCAGCCGTATCGGATTGGAACAAAGAACTGCTTCCTGATGATGAAATTGGAGATGGCACATCCGAAGAAGAAGGAGAGCTTTTGAATTCGGAAATTGCGGCATTTGCATTTATCGTTGTTGTAAGAAGATACGAGACGTTGAAGTTGGAATGTACATCATCAAAAAGAGAAGAAGAGTATTTGCACACGATATGTGCGGGATCGTCTTTAGTACAATTCTTGATATCACTTATGATCTCAACATACTCGTGAGGGCGCGAAATAATCCAGTTCATCAGCGCATGCGAAGAAAAGGTTAGCATCATTTCTTGATGGGTAGTTCTCTTGAGAGACTCTAAAATTTTTGAAACATTCTGCAGATAGGTCGGCAGATTATCAAACGTAATATAGAAGGCCGAGAACATGTCCATATAAGGCATAATGTCGCCTTCGGTAGAAGAGTGTGTCACCGTCAAAGGAGTGATAATTTTCGTATCAAGAAAATCACAAAATTCCTTGGGGTTAGCAGCTGAAACAAAGCGGCCCAAATAATCGAGGTTTGTGTCTATGATTCTTAGGAATGGAGACGAGTCTTGGACACTGCTGTTATTCGTGCCCTCTATTTTAGGGCTTGAAGCGACGTTCGTCGAGCTTGTGTAATGTGATGATGGGGGTTTACGGGACGCTCGAGTAGCGACATAAGTGAACTTAAGCCGACTTATGGCTTGGATAAGGCGTTCTGCAACCGCAGGGTCGATCGGCTTTGGGCGAACAACGTGAAAACATGGCTTCTGTGTGGCAAATCCAATATCATTTTTGGCTATGGCATCATCCTGATTCAGATACTGGTCGGCGTGGCTCCTCTTTTCTGTCTCTTCGTGCTTCCAGCAAGTTTCTGCAATATCGCTGAGGAGTCTCAACACAACAATAAGCGAGTGCAATGCCTTTTCAGAGAGCGTATTGATTTGTTGTTGCTTTGTGATAATGTTTATTTGTTGCAAAGTTTCTTCTATTGTGGAATTGATGTTGTATGTAGTGGCCGCGTTAATCAAAAGCAGACGTGAGTTAACAAATGTTGGGTCGTTCTCTACCTCGTTGTAATCGCCATTGCCAGATTTTATAGGCAGAGAATTGAAAACCAGCTCAAAGGAAAATCTCACCAGAGCCACACTCATGCTTGGATCTTGCGAGCCTGACTGAGAAACCTAGCCTCCAATCCAGCGCTATTGTGATTAATAAACTCTTGCTTTGACGCTTGAGCCATCCAATGGATTGTTGTGCAGTTTAACTGTTGGTACTTTTGAAACTAGTCCGGCTTAAATTTTGTTTAACGCCCCTTGCAGGCGACCAACTAAACATACGTATATACGAAGACACAATTAAATACTAAGACACATCTATCATGTGGTGGAACACTTCTCCGTGCTGTCTAGTGCTCTCGCCGTGACATCCTTCCGAAGTCTACGCGTAGAGAGTAGAAAGTTGCGAAGCCATATTTTAGTTGAGAGGAAGACTCGCTAAGCCAATGCCTTCGACAACAGTGTAATCGTCGTTATCATGAGCCTATTTGTAATTAAGAATAGAAAAAGAGCTTCTGACAAGCCTCTGAGTCCTGTCTCGGCCTTTTTTATGCTTTAGGGAAATCGAATTAGTTAATGATGGAAAGCTGGAGATTAGGGTTGCAATCATTTCCTGTACGGTCCGCTCGTTAAAGCTCTAACTCAGTGTTAACGATATGAACGAAGCTACCTACAACAGAATGCTGAAGTTGTTCATACCAGATTTGTCCTTGAGGACTTTTTTTTACCATACTCGATTGGTATGCTCTTCCCTCTATCGTTGAAGTCCGCTTCCAGCGGCACCCCTTTGTGAACATCTGAACGCGTCTTGAACAACAAATAAATGATCTTGTGAGACTGGTGGGAATGCGTCCTTTCATAGCCCAAATATGACATGATGTCAAACAGCCTTTCTTCGTCCATGTACCGCGAGTTCAATATACAAGGTAGAGGGAGCACAAGAAAAATGTACGCAGAGTTTACTTCACGCCGCAGAAAGCTTTTGAACCTTTTGAGCATCTCACCTCGAAGTTTTGGAGTTGGAACAAAGTTTAGGACTAACGAACACGAGATCAGATCGAATCGCTCAGAATCCTTTTCGGGAAGGGACATGTCCATAAAGTCCTGGCGCTGTATGTGTTCAGGGTCATTAGAGTTCAGATCTATGCGCACGACGGGATCGAATATGCCGCTCGTGGAAATCGCATTCTTAGCACTAAGTGATCCAATTTCCAAAGCTCTGTAGCGACGACCAGGCTCACGTATCGCTCGAAACCATGCTACCAGAGTCTTGGATGAATCTCCACCGCGGTTTTTATCCTGACCAATGGTGCTCGCCAGCTGATAATTCTGCAGGCCACCACGCTCATGTATTTCGCACATAATATACCCAAGCGCTCGGGCCAGCTCCTTGTCTTCTCGAATTTTTTGTGACTGAAGCATTTTTTTTTCTAGCTCAGAATCCGGATGAGGGGCATTCCAGCCTTGTTTGTAGTAAGTTTCGAGCCCTTTTTCCTTGAGTTCCTTGTTAATGAATGACGCACTTCGTTGCTCGTCATTTTCAGTAAGAGCAAGCTTGAGAACACCGCATATAATTCTTCGCTTATTGATCAGGACGTGAAACCGCCTTATGATTTGGCGCGCTTTGGCAGGCTTGATTTTCGGCTGCCTTTGTAAGACAAGACTGCCTGTAACGGTCTTTTTCCGTTTCGAAAGCATTTAATGTTGAAATGTCTATCCTATACTCTGTGATTGTTGATAGCCTCTCTGGTGCTTCAATATGCTCGAGATTGGTCGCTATGTACTTGTGTGTTCTCCCTGCTGTATGTTCTGAACTCATCTCATCAGTAGGTAATAATAATAAATAGAAGTATTCAAAAAATTTTATTAAAAGCTTTAGCTCTGCGATGAGCAGCGCTAGAACAAGCGTTGGACCATCAGTACAGTTAAGGTGAGCTAGTATGAGGACTACAAGACTGGATAAAAGGGTTCAAAAAGGCACCAAGTCTAAGGGCCTGAAGAAAAATGGATCCAAATCGAAAACGAATATGATTGCTAAGATTTCCAAATCGCAGAAGGATGACAATGGAAAAGGCACAATGGTGGATCCTAGCGCACTAAATTGGAAAAGAGTAGATATTCCGAATACCATGGACGATTATGGCGGTTTCTACGGGCTGGAGGAGCTCGAAGGTGTAGATGTGAAAATTGTGAACGGGAAAGTACAATTTTTCGCAACTGATCCTAAGAAAGCAGTGAAAGTGGACACCAACGTCAACGAACCGAGTTACGGTACCGAAGACAGTAAGGACGAAGAAGGGGAAGAAGGCGAAGAGATGGAAGATGTAATAGAATTCAAGGACATGGACGACATGAAGGAGGGGGAGTTGAGTGAGGGTGCTTCTGATGGGATGGAAACGTTTGGCGATAACGACCATCCTAATGACGACAGTAATAACAAAATTAATTTGAAAGCCAAGTTTGGCGAGCGTGGGGTGTCTGATAACCTCCATTCGGTGGGGCAAGACAATGTTAACAAGGAACCGAGTGCTGAGATCGAAGCACACTCTCAAACGGAAAAGGAAGAGCTCGAATCTAACGTCTTTGGTGGTAACTTTGATATTGATAATATTGAACCTGATGCACTGCCGGAATGGACGGAGAAGATAAATCTTTCCTTAACAACGCTACAAGGTCTCTCTGAACAATACTTCATAAGGCCTACCGAGATCCAGGCAAAGGCTATTCCCCTCGCCCTAGAAGGAAGAGATATTATGGGTAAGGCTTCGACAGGCTCTGGTAAGACGTTGGCGTATGGAATCCCCATTTTAGAAAAACTTTTATCCGATGAATCTACCGATAGAACCATCGGAATAATTTTTACACCTACCAGAGAACTTGCCCATCAGGTAACCCAGCATATACAAAAATTAGCATTTTCACTGAACAAGAAGAACCCATACGCCATTGTATCTCTCACCGGCGGTCTGTCGATTCAGAAACAGGAACGGTTACTTAAGTATGACGGCTGTGCCCGCATTGTGATTGCCACACCTGGCCGATTTTTGGAACTGCTTGAAAGGGATACCAATCTGATAGAGCGCTTTTCTAAGATTAGTTATTTGGTTCTTGACGAAGCTGATCGATTGTTACAAGATGGCCATTTCGACGAATTTGAGAAAATTCTCAAACACTTAGGAAAGGCAAGAGAGATGAAGAAGAAGTTCAAAAGCGAATATGCAGGTAGCGGGTGGCAGACCATGATTTTTTCTGCAACCTTCTCCATGGATTTATTTAATAAGCTGGCAACGACAAAATGGAAGAAATTGGGGAGAGCTAAAGACGAGAATGAGATGGAACAGGCCCTCAAGCATTTAATGACCAAGATTCATTTTAAATCAAAACCTGTAATTGTCGATGTGAACCCTGACGATAAGATCCACAATAAGATTAAGGAAGCTCTTATCGAATGTCTACCCACCGAGAGAGATCTTTTCTCATACTACTTTCTGACGCTCTACCCTGGTTCTACTTTGATATTTTGCAATGCAATCGACTCTGTTAAAAAACTGAATTCTTACCTTAACTTTCTAGGGATATCATCATTTCAGATACATTCGTCAATGACGCAAAAAAACCGCCTTAAAAACCTTGAGAAGTTCCAACAAAAGGTTGCTCAAAATAAGGCTAGCAGTCAAGCCACTGTATTGATCGCAAGTGATGTTGCTGCTAGAGGTCTCGATATTCCTGATATCAAACATGTCCTCAATTATCATTTGCCAAGAAGCGCGGATGTCTATATTCACAGATCCGGGCGTACCGCCCGTGGTGAAAAAGAAGGTGTGTCCGTTATGATATGTTCTCCACAAGAGGCCATGGGACCGCTAAGGAAATTGCGGAAGGTACTTTCCTCGAAGTCATCTACTCAGCAGGGCAAAAAATGGCAAAAAGACGTTCCAGTTTTTCCAATCGAGCCTGGCATCCTGGCGCAATTACGCGAGCGTAGCTCCTTGGCTAACGATCTAGCAGATGATCAGTTAGCCACGCGGTCCCTCAACAAGGACGAAAACTGGTTGCGAAAAGCAGCTGATGACCTTGGAATAGAGATGGACTCCGACGGCGAATCCAAGGACATCATATTGGCCAAAAATAAGCTTAAGAAACAGAATAAGCAACTGGGAAAATCTGACGTCAACTCGCTTTTGTATCAATTAAAAGAATTATTAAAGCAACCGATTAGAAAGGACTTGAGGAAAAGTTACTTGACTAGAGGTTTTGTCAATCTTGCTGATGATCTAACAAAGAACAAAGGCCATTCCACCATTATCGGCCAGGATAAGATAGGGGCGCTGGAGCTTTTGAAAGGCAAAAAACTCAAGAATGGTAGCAACTAGAGACCTGGTATGTATTAAAATATTTATATTGAGAAGACAGCAGCTGGCAAGTGACGATCTAGTGAAACTCTCCAAAAGAAAGGTTACGGGATGCGTTTATTGATGTTATGAAAGGTTGACAGAATGATAGAATGATCCTAAAAATAGTCCTGGTAATAGCTGAATTTACATGTAATTTGATATTTTATCCATAATAATGCAATTAGATGAAGTCGTAATCAGAGCCTTCATCCTCGTCGTAGTACTCATCATCAGACTCCTCTACAAGCTGCTCAAAGTTAACTTTGTAACGTAGCATAGCACCAATACCACCAAACCCAGTCACAAATTGCGCACCTTCTGAGGATCTATCTGTGACAAACTCTAAGTTTGCACCATAGTTTTTGTAATTTTCTGCCAGCCACTCAACCAACGGTTGTTCTTCAGCTACCTCCATCTCCAAGCCTGTAGCCTTGTCAATGTTGTAAGACTTATCTTCTTGTTCAGGTTCGGCAAATCTCAGAACTTCACTGTCTTCAGAATCCTTGTAAATATATCTGATTGTTTCGAGATTTTCAAAAATGATCAGAGTCTCGACAGCACCTAAATCGAGAGCCTTGAGGGTGTCATCGATACCGTAACAAAATTTACCGGTATCTTGGGAAATTTCGTCAAAGTAGTCTGTAATCAGCTTCTTTTCCTGGATAAACTTTACGTTGGCCAATGCTTCAGCAGATTGCTCAATGGCTTGGTTGAAACCGTTCTCACCACCATAAGAAATGTCGACAATTTTAACAACTCTTGTAGCTAACCTCTGATCGAACAGCTCAGACTTCGCCAAGTCGGTCTTGAAGTCAGCGGAACCAGCTAAAATCAAACCTTTAACGTTAGGTTTATCATTGGTGATAAAATTTTGCACCGCTACTTCAGCAACTTTCCTAACATAGTTATGCCTCTTTTCTTCTCTAAGACGGGCGAAACGAACAGCGGATTGACCACCTCTTCCGTGCTTCTTTGGCAAGTCTACTGTAAATTTGTGCAAAACGGTCCTGGTGTTACCTGACAGAAGACCAAACAAAGATCCCTGACCATCCATCACAATAAAACCAAACTTGTCATCGGCCTCCAGCAGCTCCGAGAGAACGTCTGTGTGGAATTTGTTGTCACAAAGATACAGCGAAGTGTTGATGGGCTTGTAAGGCTCAATATCTATCGTCACCTTCTTTTCCTTGCCTTCTTCCGTAATTATATCACCACAGTACAGCACAAGCCCGTTTGGTGGCACTTTTGTATACAGCTTCAACTTTTGCTGCGTTGATGTGATGGCACCCAAAACCGACAGACGATTAACTCTGGATTTGATATTCGATGCCGTACCATATTCATCTGTAAGCATTCGTTGGATCATCGAGATCTGGCCCTTAGGTGGGATTACAAGCGAAATCATAGAGGTACCATTACCTCTGGCCTTTTCCAAAGACTTGATCAACTTCTTAACCTTCCAAATGGCAATATTTTTTTCGGCGTCTGTTTCCATGTTAGTGCTTCAGAGTTTGGGCTGCTAGTAAGACTCTATCAAGCGTGCTGATTGAGTCCTTAAGTCAGGTCTATGTCTTTTCGAAGAATGTTAACTTCATCAGCGTTCAATTGTGTTAAAAGTCTTTAAAATTTTTCACTAGTAAGCGATGAGCCAATGTCAATAATTATCATGTGCACAGGAAGTTCAACGGCCAAGTAAGCGAATTCGACAACAAAATGCATATACATGCGTACTATATATAAGAAATCAATTTGTTTCATAAACTGGTTAGATTACTGAATCGAAACCTATTTATTGGGGGACTTTCCCGAAGTTATTATGATAAATGAAAGACTCGAAGCACTAACAACTATAATACTGCCACTCATGACAATTTGCGGAAATGTTCAACATAGCAAAACGAGCGAATGGGGCTCCCAAGATTCAGATCAAAAAGCCAAAAACTTATAATGCAATGGCATTTGCAGGTATAGACCCTTGTGAAGATAAATGGCCCGCAGCGAGCTAAAAAAGGCTCCTAGTTCAAGTATCAATATCGCTGTCGCTGAGAAAGTCATAATCCTCGAGCTCCGAATCCTTGGTATCCTCGTTGGTCATTGTGTTGCTGATTATATCTCTGTCGTCGCGATCGTCCTGCGACCCGGTCTCTAAATCGTGTGATTCACGTGCCTCGGAATATACCGACTCCTGTATTCCTATCATCATAGGTGGCCTGAGCAGAAGCCTGGATCCCCCTCGAGAAATACCTGTGAAAACGACCTGGTCGTCATGATCGACTAAATCGATTTGGCAGGTGTTGGCCATCGAAAAGTAGTCAATTAGTCCACGGCAGTTAAAGTTTAAAGTCTTATAGTGATCCCGCTGAAATTCGTGGGGCCCCATGTGGAGCGTGCACTTGATTGGAACTGCAGAATTAGCCTCAAAATAGCGGAATACAAGCTTCAAACCATTGCACACCGAATCAGGGCCCTTGTTCAATAGTTTGAAGGAAATGACATGTTCACGCTTGCTCATCTCAACCTCAATCAAATTATCCGCGTCGTGAGCAGTCTCAACAGAGGCGTCCAATGATGTTATCAAGTTCTTCGAAGTGGCCTTTGTATCGAGGTGCGTCTCGACGAGCTGAGTTAATTTTTCCTCGTCTCCTTCCAACTTCGACAAAAGTAGCTGATATTTCTCATGGTCACCGACGAGCGCTGCCAAGTCGCTTTCCGATTGAACATTCGAAAAAAAATCAAAAACCTTAGAACTACGCTCTGGGATGTCGATGACAATATCTTTGGCAGTACTGCTGACATTGAAGTGAGCTGGCTGTACTACCATTGGGCTTCTTAAGGACTGCTGGCTCACGTAAGTCTGGCCGTGCAGCCGGTCATTGAATCCTGCCCATAATCTGTTGATGTCAGAATCGGGAGTATTAACTTTCATCATATTGTGGTATCGCTTGTGGGTTTCAGTTTCCACGCCGTTTTGCACGCACGCTGCACATAAATCATAGTTGAAGCAGTATAAACATTTGTATCTGGGACCCTTGATAAACGGCATTTCCGGAGAGCGGGTGGATGTGAGTCCACTGGTGTTTATGTTTTCGGGGTGGCAGCCGTCGCATATCACGTCTTCGTGCAGAGCATCGCAGTGGGGATCTGCATATGCAGTAGCAGCATGTGCGTCGGCACAATCGGAATCGTTATTTTTAATATCCTCACCATTTTTTAGTGAAATTTCCAACTGCCGGATGGAATTGATCAACGCTTCCAATTGATCGGTGGGAATGGAAACGTAAGAAGTCTCTGTACCACTAGGCCTCACTTCCGACGTTGCACCGCGACCATCACCAGTGCCAGCACTAAATGCACTATAAGTCGCTGCCGGACGATTCACATTGAGCTTGGCTGCATGCTGCATTTCAAACCACCTTCTAAACACCACTACGTCCTCTGAGGTTCTTAAAACTTCTAACCTAGGGCCCTCGGCGCCGGCGTACTCATAGGATAATGCTCCGGACTCCACAGCGTTCGCCAAACCACACTCCGCGAAAATTAGTTCATTCAGATATTCTTTGCAGATGGAAAAAGGATTCACCCTGAAATACCGACCTTCCGATTCTGCGTCCCATTCCAAGTGCAGCGGATACAGGCTGAACGACTTTTTTGTCTCCATGATCTCGATGTATTTGCCTAGTCTCGACACACAAAATTACTGGGTCTTAATAACTTTCTAATAAGTACTGAAGGAACCTATGCACTGTTCGCAATCTGGCTTCTGGGTTTGATTTCAGCAAAGGCATTCAGGCCAACCTCCAATTTCTCGTTATCTTTCTGCCCTTATATATAAGGGAGTAGGGGGAAAATTAAGACCTCATATTGAACGTCCATATTGCTCGTGTATCAGAAATCTGTCACTAAGCATTCAAACAACGCCTAGTACACATGCAAATGCTAAGACAGAATCCGTTTTATCTCCTATTGAATGATTATAAAATAAAGCAGGATTAAAGGAGCTGATAAAGCTATCAGATCGAAACATAGAATACGTAGGTTCAAAAATTATCGGTAATCGTCACTGTAGTTTAGTAGATAGTGCATAGACGGAAACAGTTAGCGTTTCGCGACTGGCTCAAAGTCTGGAGGGTGGAAGGAGAAAGTCGCTCTGCTCTTTTCATCGTAACCGGTGAACTCGTCACTCACATCTACGCCGTGGGTTCTGGCTAGAGAAATTTGTTGAGTCGACAATCCCAATGGATCACGAGCCAACCAGAGTTTGGGCGCAGGATCGGATACGCTGGGGTCTGCATAGGCAGTCTCCAAAAAGTCCTGGTCATATTTCACGCAAGTGTTTAACACATATGGAAGACTTCTACGCACTTCAGCAAACTCGTAGCATTTGTGCGGCATGAAAAAATTCTCAAGTCTTTCTTTCAGGCTCGAGGGGAGTTTTTTGTTTGGTGGGAAGGCAGCCGGATCTTTGGTCACCGCTTGGGCGTCAGAAAAGACATTTCCTGCGTCAGCATTGGTAACAACGGCGCCATTGGCATCGACGGATTGGTGGGCGTTGTTGCTAGTGTCCAGACCCTCGACGTCCTTATAATTATATTTGTGGAATTCTTCATTCTCAGGGACGAAGTTGGGCTCATCTTGATTAGTGTTTGCTTTGCTGATGCTGGAAGATTGGCGCTTCTGTTCGCTGTACGATTCCTTTTCAGCGTAGCCGTCTTCGTCAGAAAGAATACCAGCTTTTTTCAAATCCGCTGAAGTTGCTGGCTGAATAGCACCACCGGTTTCACTCTCATCGAGTTCCTGTTTGAGTTTTTTGCCGGTGCCCTTGATCTCACTCAAACCTTGGTCTTTTGCAGCGTAGAAATGGGTACTTTCACCTCTTGCGTATGTAATTGCACTTAAAGGAACGGCTTCAAACAGTGGAATGAACCTTCTTTGGAAATATAAGTGACAAAGCACGGTGAACACGATGAATACGGCTTCGATAACCAACGGACCCCAAGTTTTGGCCATGATGAAGAGTCCAAGTAAACATATTTCAGACAAATACAGGCCGAGAAATGCTTGGAACAGAGCCCTGGAGTAGCTTCTTCCCTTCATATCGAATGAGAACCCTAGAACATAGTTCAGGTTGTAGGTGTGAGCGAGGTAAAACAAGCCCAAAGAGAAGGTCGCGAAGATCAGTAAGATGGGCGCGATGATGGAGTAACAAATTAGGATACAGACCATAAATTCGATGCTAGGAAACATAACACCCCAACTTGGTTTCCCCAGGGTGTTATAACGATTCCATTTCTGCCTAGGTGTTGAGTCGAGAATACGTCCCAAAATTTTACTGAGAATCAAAGCCACAACTTGCAAAAGTGCACCGCTGGAGAACGTTAAACCAATTAGTAAGAAATAGGCAATGTAGAAGTTGGATGCCTTTGGTAGATTTTGAGACAGCAGTGTCATCGCAGAAGACGGGTCTTCGATAATAGCGGATACTGTGGAGGAAGCAGATGATGCCAAAGTCACCACTATAAAAACCTGAACAACCATAAAGGCGTAATACCAAGCCTGGCAATACAATTCTTGTTCCTGTACACTGCTGCAACCACTGAGTTTGCCCAGTTTTTTGATAAAGACTGGCACCAATGACATCAAAATTGCTAGGGCGACAGTGGGCAACATTGCAGTGATCAGTCCCAAAAGGACATCTGGTAAGTTGTTGATGAACTTTAAAAAGTGCAGCTCACTGATCAAGAAATTAATGTTGGATATGAACCCAACGAGAGCAACAGGGATTGCCCAGAAAATGATCATCAAAGTAAGCACGGTGTTAGCGACGCCACGCTTGGATTTTCTTAGTGACTTCGACATACCGAGGGCACTCCAGTTAATGTCTTCCGGAGAAACCCCCACCAAACACTTGTCGTAAGAACCTTTGTCCAAAATGTATTGCACGGATTGGAATGCTCTTTGGGCATCGAGTTGACCTTTGAACTCCATGAAACACGCGCCAACTTTGTCGCGGGTGTCCCACGACGACTGTTCGTCTTTGATCTCATCGTTTAACTCGCCGATGCGCTTGCTGCAGTACTCCAAAGTGTCGACCTTCTTACCACCAATGATGGGAAGGGGCACCTTACCCAGGCGGTGAGTGGGTCTCTTATTTTGTGGAATGTAGGTTTGCAGATCGTCTTCGGGCTTGCTTCCTAAGAGCTCCTCGAGCTTGCCCTTCTTTTCGGCCTTTCGTCTAATTTTCAAAGACTTTCTGATTACTTTGTTCATGGCCCCTTCGTATTTGGAAGCCAGCTTTGTGCGCTCCTGGACCAGCTTCTGCAACTTTGTATTGTCGTGTGCGAAGACTACCCTGGTGCAGTTCTGGAACCGGCGTTGGATCTCAGATTCATTGCGAAGACTCGAGGAAAGATCCGTTAGCATCACGGTTCTGGAGGAGATGAGCCCGTCGTACAGCGGACTGGTCTGCACAGCGTGTCTCAGCGAAACGTAGTAGTACAGCTCGCGGTAAATCGTATAGATGACCAGACCGAAAAAGATCCACGACAAAAAGACGTGCGCATAAAAGCGATTTTTGTTTGTGACGTTTGCAAACGCCAGCAACTCGAACCCCGAATAGTTGTTACCGTTTGTGGCATTCACAGGCAGCAAAATTGGCAAGATAATCACACAGCCCAGTAACGACAGCGATCCAAACACTGCGATGTACCGCAGAAACAGATACCCGTCTAACCCTGTGTGCTGGATAATGTATGAATGGGGTCTGCTCAACAAAAACTGAACCCACTGGAAGTTTCCGGAGGGAACCGGCTCGGTCCGCTCTTCTTCTCGTATCGTCAGGATATCCTTGATAGACCGGGGTTGGTAAACGCGCTCATTCCGCGGTCTGAGCCGCAAGAAAAGAAATACCATCACCAGCGCAATGATCCCGTTGATGATAAGCGCCGTTACGAAGGCAGACGTCGAAGACGAAGCCTGTGAAGAGTCCGCCATTGCTACAACGATCTTCGATAGAAAGTACTACGGCGGTGCTTGTTGATAAAAGGTTCGTTCGCTTGAAAAAGTGCTTTCACAATGGTGTATTATCCAGGCTAGTATTTGCAGAGGAGAAGTATAAACAACACTCCCAACACCAAAACTGTTTTTCGGATTATAGGAAAATTAATCAAATGTCCCGGATTCTGAGCTCACAGGGTAGATGTTATTAAAACAAATTTCCTATCTTACACCTCGATATATATCTGCTTTCAACTTGAAATAAACAACCCACCCTTTTTCATAGGGTTCGTCAAGATGAGCAAAACTCGATGAGATGATGCTATTTAATAATCATGAAAAAAAAAAGGTTATATCTTGGAACGAGGAAGCTACGCTAAGCTTTTGTGGCTCCCCTAGAAAGTTCTGGATGTCAACGCTTTGAGGGCTTGCTTTCAAAAAATGTCGGTGGTGATGCATGGAAGTATAACGTCACGACTTCGTGGCTCAGAGTCTGCATTTACGTGCAGGAATGTGCAGCTAGTTTGTGGTCGGGTAACCCCTGGAACGACTGGAGAAAGGACTGGATAAGTCAAGCTGGGCACGCTGTGACGGGGCGATGTATGAATTTGGTCCTCGTGATACAGCTGAGCACGTTCTACTATGAGGGAAGATGTGTGTGTGTGTGCTCTGTCTCGTTAGTCTAGACTGGCGCAACGTCATTTTGCGTCATAAAAATTGGTGAGCTCAAGGTACGGTGTATGTTTAACTGACCTTTTTTAGGTGGTGGCTCAACTTTGAGGAAGATGGTCCTAAGCATTGGTTGGTACACCTTCCGCTAGGCCAAGGCTTCTGCCACTTGTCCTCGATTTTTTTGTAGCTGATTGAGATGTGGCTGAACCTGCACCCCGTATGTCCACGCTCCACAATCTCCTCATCCCGCCATTTTACAGATATGTACACCCTAGGTATGCTTGGCGAAGCACAGTCTCAGCGAGCAACTTTGATCGACCCTAGATCACTGCTAGCTACTTACGTATTGGCAATCAATTTTTGGCAGCGTCTATAGCAATATCCCATCCGTTTTTATGCGAGCTCAAGCGTGAGCGACGGAGAAGCGCACTGGCGATCAGAATATCAGTCGCGATTTGGCCACGTTTTGAGTCGCCATATTGATAGTTATACCCTTGGCAAACTGCCTCGACGCTGCTAAGACGCGCGTTCGGAGTTATATACTAAATTACCCAACTATATAAGTCTGGCCACACTGAAGCTGGAGGAGAAGCAGATACTGACATCGCCCTTTTTACCTCTGCAGGGGCTCGCTGCTGGAAAGGTTGCATAGGGATTTCGGCATTTGGCCCAACAGTTTGTTAGGGCTACTAGATGGTTGTGATCTAATACAGTTTAAATAGCGTCGAGCTGCATGAAAATGAGCATCGACGCGTTGTCAGACTAGTACATAGTGATCATCACGAGGATGCATAAGCTTACTAAATAGCGCCCACCAATCGATAAACCAGAGGAACCGCGATTACATGGCCTGGTCGGTCAGTTCAGCTATGAGGTTGAGCTCGCGCTGACTGTAGTGCTACAACTGTGTCTAACAAAGCAGGTGCCGCGCTGACTGTAGTGCTACAACTGTGTCTAACAAAGCAGGTGCCGCGCTGCCTGTAGTGCTACAACTGTGTCTAACAAAGCAGGTGCTACACTGCATACCAGATTGAATACCACCGTGTGTAGTATTCGCCTCGCCGTGTCAACAAAAGACCGCGCGCCTGGTTCAAAAATCATTAGTTCGTTAATAAAAAAGCTCCTATATAATTCTATATCACGCTTAAGCCTTGGTGACGTGCTCGACCAAGTCGACCACTCTGGTAGAGTAACCGAATTCGTTGTCGTACCAGGACACCAACTTGACAAACTTTGGAGACAATTGGATACCGGCAGCGGCGTCGAAGATGGAGGAGTGAGAGTCACCCAAGAAGTCGGTGGAGACAACGTCTTCGTCAGTGTAACCCAAGACACCCTTCAAAGAACCTTCGGAAGCCTTCTTGATGACAGCCTTGATTTCGTCGTAAGTGGTTTCCTTGGCCAACTTGACGGTCAAGTCGACAACGGAAACGTCGACGGTTGGGACTCTGAAAGCCATACCGGTCAGCTTACCTTGCAAGACTGGCAAGACCTTACCGACGGCCTTGGCGGCACCGGTGGAGGATGGGATGATGTTACCGGAAGCGGTTCTACCACCTCTCCAGTCCTTTTGGGATGGACCGTCGACGGTCTTTTGAGTGGCAGTCAAAGAGTGGACGGTGGTCATCAAACCTTCTTCGATGCCAAAGTTGTCGTTGATGACCTTGGCCAATGGAGCCAAACAGTTGGTGGTGCACGAAGCGTTGGAAACAATGGTTTGACCGTCGTATTCTTGGTCGTTGACACCGACAACGAACATTGGCGCGGTGGAGGAAGGAGCAGTGATGACAACCTTCTTGGCACCAGCGTCAATGTGCTTTTGAGCAGAGTCCAACTCCTTGAAGACACCAGTGGAGTCGATGGCGACGTCCACGCCTAGCTTACCCCATGGCAATTGAGCTGGGTCTCTTTCTTGGTAGACGGCGATCTTGTGGCCACCGATAACCAAGCT